CTAACCCTAACCCTAACCCTAACCCTAACCCTAACCCTAACCCTAACCCTAACCCTAACCCTAACCCTAACCCTAACCCTAACCCTAACCCTAACCCTAGCCCTAGCCCTAGCCCTAACTCTCCTGAGAATAGATATGGCTTGACTAAATAGTGTAAAAGGAAATAATAGCACTATTATAGCTATCTATCTTATTAGAGCTAGTATTCTATTAAATCCATACTAAGAGTAGATCAGCTGTATGCTTGTCTAGCAAGTAAAGTAACTCAGGCCTACTATTATCACTGTCCTTAGAAGATAAAGAGGCTTCATAGTTGTTATCACTATAGAGTGATATAGGATTATAGTAGTGTCTAGGATATAGACTAGGTGTGGATACACTAGCCTCTAGCTCTTATATAATAGTAAGTATACTGTCTAGTGTGTAGTATTAGGACACTATTATTATAAATATCTATTACTTAAAATAATCTTGCTCTATAATCTAAATAAAGTAATATATACAAGACTATATATATTCTATATAGTTGTTATATAATCACTTGTTCTAGAGTAGCTATATAGAATTCTATAATATAGTACTAACCTAAAAGGTGTTAAGGACTTGAGTATTAATATAGTGAAGCTTATTAACTATATTATAGAGACAATATAGTATCTAATAAATAGACTAAGCAGTATACTATAGAAGGCTATTATTAGTTATCTAGTATAGAACTATTATGATAGATTCTATTAGGATACTATTAATGTCTTAGAGATACTAATAGAAATAACACTTATATAGCTATAGTGTCTTCTCTAAGATATACTAAGGTTCATTAATTTATTAATAGTGAGCATAATCCTTATTAATAAGTTAACTAAAGTAAAGAGTAAGTATTGCTAGAGTAGAGATAGTAAAGTATATTAAAGCTGTTAAGGAACTGACTAGGCTGGATATAATGACTAATAATATTAAGGGAGATAATTATATAAGTAATACTAGGTTTAAAGGTGCCACAATAAAATAGTGGAGTATTTTAGTAAATAGCTATTAGAGAGTGACTATAGAATATATTTATATTTATTATTATTATTATATTACTACTAGTTAACACTATATACTTAACTAGTATAACTTTATATGTTTTTTAATAATATAACTTAATAATAGTAATTAACAACTTTATTATATATATATTTTTGTGCTAACTAGAGATATAGAATCTTAATAGTGTAGTTAGAAGGGGTTATAATAGTGTTAGTGTAGCTCTATTTCTATATTTATTATTAAATAAGTGCTTGTTACTTACTAGGGATAGTATATTTACACTTTAAATGCTCACTAATATTATTAAGAGTAAAGTAGGTTTAGTGTTTAGTATAGAGGATCACTTTATAAGTAGAGAGTGTATATAAAAAGGGAAGAGGTGGTGTTAAGGTTAGCAATAAAACTTGTGACAATTCTATTAATATGGCCAGGCTACTATAGGCTTCTAAACTTGAACCTAAACTTGACGAGGGACTGTGTGACATATTTCTACAGTACATAAAAGCAAATAATGATGAATTGGGTGTGGTGGTAAAGAGACGTTGATGATCTGAATTTTTAGTGGGAGTGATTGACCCAGAACCAATGACCTCAATGCCAAGCGGGGTCAGTGTCAAGACCTGATTTTGGTGGTAGCGGGTCACCCGCAATCCGGTTACTAGTGTTAGCACCTAGCAGAAGTGGAGAGCAGAGACTAGCAGCTGTGCTCTCGTGTGAGGTCCTGGGCGTCTTGTGCTACAGTCTAACCTAAAGCCTAATATCTGTACTAGAAAAATTCGGGTAGATAAAATAGTGAGCCGGATACATATGTACGGAACTTCTCTTACCTTGTCTCAAGACCCTGTCGTCGCCTCGATCGGCGCAATAATTCCAGCTAAATACAAGCTCGAAATAAGATCTTGGATCATGAAGTCGCATCCCTTGGCGGCCATAATAGTCATCCCCCACGGAAGTTCCTGTGAAGCATTCCAAGACGTTGAGAACGTTGAATACTGTCCTGCATCGGACCCCAGAGCCATGGAGCCAAGAGTGACTGCGACGTGCGGTAAGCCTGCTATCGAAGCGAGTCGGTGCGGGCTTGTGTAGGATCCATCGTCTGAGTCATCCTTAGAAGTTGCCGAGTCAAGGAGTTGTCGACAAGTCATGCCGAATGTCTTTGGGAGCACTACTGTTTCGTTGAGAGCACAGAGTGAAGTAGCTAGCTGCACCGATTCTGCGGCGAACGTTACGTTGGATGTAACAAGCTTTTTGATCGATGGGTTCTCAGTCCTATACACGTTAGATCAAGTTCGCTCCAAGAGCGAAGAACCTACGCATGGCTGACGTCGACCTTGTAGTTCAGACTGGGCGGCTGCATTAATATGTGGATCGCTTCTGAGCAGGCGTACTCGTCTGGTACAAGGAAATGAGCTTGGCTCCAATTTGCGACCATTTGCCGGAAGTCCTGAGCATATGCCAAATCATCAGCGGTGATGTTGGCATCAGCATATTGCCAGCCGTGAAGCGTGCCTGGGACTACGTGTGGAAGATGACCGCGGTGTGACTGCTTATATTCGCTGATATATGCGCGGCCAAACTCGTTCCATTGTTCGTACTGGCAGAGTGCCCCATAGACTTGATTGGTGTCGTCCGCTAAAATGTAGGTTGAATTCGCCGTAGAGTTCCACAACTTATCGATCGATAGTTCGTGGATTGTAGCATTCATGTGAAGAGCAATCTGCGCAAGCAACGCCATGCTTGCGTTCTGCCAAGCTCCAAAACCGGGATCTGGGCTCGATACCTCGTTGATCAGGATCTGTGCTGGGAATTCCGGATAGGTCTTCGCGTAATCGCTATATAGGGCCTTATTGATGTCGTTCCATATCGAAGGGTCTCGAGCGAGTGTGCCGCAAGTGTCCATCGAAGTTGAAAGCGGTATAGCACCTTCCAAAGACACAGCTCCGTGGCTTGGCCGATTGCCGTGAATGCCGTTTGCGATTGCCGGACCTCGTATCGATCCTCCCGTATCGCTGCCTATACTTGCATCGAGCCATGCATAGCTTGCTGCAGCAACTGCAGAGCCACCAGAACTATCACTTGCTGACTGGTAGCCATCACCACGGGGGTTGAAAGGCATCAGATAATCCACATGATCAACGATGGACTGCCCAGCAAACGCAAACTCGGATAGTTTGTTCTTCCCAACAATAACGGCTCCAGCATCGATCAACTTCTGGATCGCTGGTGCTGTGGCAGTCTTGGCATCCCTCATCGCAAACAAGGCCCTGTTACCACCCGATGTTCGTAGCCCTTTCAGATCATAGAGATCTTTCACGCTGATTCGAACTCCAGCGAGAGGTTGATGTGCGGTCTTTGTGAAATACAGTCTCGAGGGTACGGCAATTGTCAGACCTCCTGCTTGTTCGGTGGCAACAGGGGTGGTGTAGTGGGTGCCATCCTGACTCTGGTAAGATGACTAGGTTGTTAACTTTGGCAAAGCGAAAGCTGTGATGAACTTGCCTGAAGAAATGCCTGGTTCGTGTCTGGGTAGAGTCGATAAGCTTGAAAGATATTCCCGAGACTATCAAGGAAATATGGACCTTCAGGAAGGTCTGTCGAGGCTTGTAATACTCTGGCGACGCCACAGTCTTGTAAGGGACCGGATAAGATACTTGAGTTCCGCAGTACAATCGTTGATGCGAAGGCCGAGTTCCATACATCGTCAGTGCTGTTAAAAGTGTCGAGCTTCTGGCGAATAGACCCTTCGTCAGTTGCGGTACGAATAATAGTGATAGCATCTAAATCGCTCCCAGGGTTTGATCGTGCCGACAAGGTACCGACAGCTTCTGGTGGGACAAAAAAGACTGCACTTCCGACACTGACTTGACGAGACACAGTAAGGGCGTCTACAACGCCGCCCAAGAGGTATGCGACCCAAAGAAGATGCTGCATTCTGGCACTGTTTCACAAGTCCTCAATCGCCCAAGTAGCGAGTGGACAGTCTAGAAGAGAGATACAAGATGCAGCATATTCTTATGACTGTATCTGGTCTGGAAAAGCTGAGGAAGCAAAAAGGCACCATTCTTGAACTGCCAGTGTTATCACCATCTATGCTGGAACATACTTTCATGCGTGTTGTCGAGGTTAACCTCAAGGATGCAGCCATTGTCTCTACACTTTGCTCTAGCTGGCTAAAGCCGCCGGATGTACCGAAGCAGTGGTCTGAGGTTGGAAGTAGCTGCGGCTCTGTGCTGAAAATTGCCCCTTCAGCCGCAAAGGTGCTTAGCGGGATTACACGTGATCGTACCGGAGTGCCACGTTGATTCGATTCGAGTGCTCATCGAAGCATCCGATATGCGCTATGATATGCGCTTGAGCACCAGGCAGTCATCAAGGCTTCAAGTTGCAGACAATAGTGATAAGCACTCCAGGAGAAACAAATCTGAAAGTAACATTCCAGCTATTTAGGGGACCTAGGGTCACTGTGGCGCCACGTGAGCTCTAGCTGACAAACTCAATTTTCAAAATGTGGCCCCATGGTTCAGCTTGTGGTATTTCCGCTAACACCGTTGAACATACATTCCAGCTTAGTATCTGTTATGGTTTGGTACCCCCTTCGCCCTCGCCGGCGTATCATTTTAGCCCTCCTTAACCCGCCCTTCCTCTCAGTTCCACTTACCACTCTTTGAGAGTAGTCGTTTGTGGAGGCACCTCCTCCAGATGAAGGGCTCTAATCTTGAGAGGAGACTCGCCGTCCCCTTCGTGGATCTGCTTCTCGAGCGCAGGCTCAAACGCTGGTAAAGGCTTGTGCGGCAGTCTGCGAGCGACGGCAACTGTGTCGAAAATAGACTTTGATTGCACGAAGATTTCGTCGATCTCTTCGAGAGAGCGACCTGGGCGGGATCTATTAGCAAGGTACAGAGTAGTATTGCTTGAACTAACCTTGTGTTTCCGGGAATAAGAAGTAGATGATGGGAATCCAGCTAGCATTCAGAACGCAATACACGATGAAGTATCGCCATCCTATACTCGTGAATGCAACTGGTGTGATTTCGGCGACCAGGAAATTGAACAGCCATGAAGTAGCGGTTGATAGCCCGCATATGGCAGCACGCTCCTTTGCTGGCGCAATCTCACTGGCGTATAAGAACGGCAGTCCGAGAAAGCCCACGGTGTAAACGACTTGGAACAAGTAGATGAAGAACACGGCCACCTTCAAGCCGGCCTTGTTGTCTGGATGAGCGACCAGACCTGCCTCGAATGCGAAGCATACGGACATGGAGGCGGCAGAGAACAGCATCAGCCGCCGGCGTCCGAATCGATCGACGGTAAAGGAGCAGATGAGTCCACCGAGAAGAAGAGCGAAGTAAGACCCTGCAGCGAGTGCTTCAGCTGTTTTTGCATCAAAGCCCAGCTGGGCTTCGAAAAGACTCGATGCGTAGTATGTGATACTGTTGACACTGCTTTATGTTAGCCAGTCAAGCCACAGATACACACAGTCCCTACCCTGTCATCTGAAGCATCATTTGGGCGAGGCATCCCAGAGCAGCTCGATGAAACACCCTCTGCTCGCCCATTCTGAAGATAGAGCTGATACTACTTGCTTCGCCAGACATTGAGAGGCTGATGCGGATAGCGGTCATTTCGGACTCAACAACCTCTGGATCCTCGTGCAGCAGCTCCATGATTGCGTGAGCTTCGCTGTCACGTCCCTGCTTCACCAGCCATCGTGGTGATTCCGGCAGGAGGAATATCGTAGGCATCGCTATCAACGAGAAAACGATCGGGACGGCAAGGGGAAATCTCCATGCGAATGAGTTGATCGCATAAGACGTTCCGAACGCGATCCACAGCGCCTATAGGGCTTAGTCAACCGTCTTTTAGTAGAGAGATCGATGCATACCAACAGCAACCCGATACCGCAGAAAATACCGAATGCCGAAACATGCGAGCCACGAGAGGACGCCTTTGAAAGTTCCGACTGCCAAACTGATGTTGTTGCAATGACGGCGCCGGTGCCCAGTCCCAGGATAATCCGGGACACGATAAACTGTGCAAAAGAAAATGCTGAACACATGATGACAGCACCGATGAGGTTGAACAAGCACGCTATCCACAAAGTCCATCGTCGCCCAACCGTGTCGCCGAAGAAAGTGCAAGCGAGAGCCCCAAAGACACCGAACAGGGTATATAGGGCAATAACGGTTCCTGAGAGCGAGTCAGTTTGGAGCTAATCGATACGGTTCTGACATACCTTGAATAGTGGAATTGTGCGACTTCTGGGCACCAGTTGTGTTGAGGACGTCCATCTGAGGGAACTGCTCATTGAATGATCTCGTCGGCAGAACACTTCCAGCGCCTGCTTGATTGTAGCCAAAAATAGCCACAAGAACACATGACTCTGCCCAGATGGCAGCGTGAAGCGCGCCTCCACGTAGACCCAGGTGTTTTCGTGGCATAATGATCTGACGTTAGACCCTTCCTGTTTCGAGAGGTTGTCGCAGAGGTTGCTGATATTGATACCTTTGGGGAGAGTAAGATCTCTTGTACGCCATGTCGTGACTGACGAAGACGTGCCGAAGCCGAGGGGAAGACTTGGGGTAGCTGTGGCATTCTGAAGCAGTCAGCATTCCCTTGTGGCAACGATCGTCAAAATGCATGTCAATTGTTCTTTCGCAAGCTCAATTCATTCGTCGACGCCCGGGGCTGCTCCCCGCGTAACTCCAATTAAGCATAACAGGCCGTGAGCTTGCGTGGCATAAGCTTTTGCACTGCAGGGTCGGGGAGTTCCCTGCGGAGAGAGCGGAGGCGTGAGAGCGTTGCCCCAGAATCGAAAGCCGAGGTGCAAGAGCACAAGGAAGTGAGCACACTCATCCAGACATATCGTCTCGTTGCGAGGAACCCCTCAGCAATAGAACTGTAAAGGATTGGTTTTTATAGCCGCAGTCCTTGTGTTATCACCAGTCCTGGGCAACGTTTCTGCCGCGAGCGCGCATCGGCTGGCGAGGCCATGCGGGGAGACTATTGCCTCGACCCTGTCTGTCAGGTAGTATGTCACGACTCGCGGAGTCGCAACACCTACCACGAGTGAAATGGTCTAGCCTTTTGACCTTATCATAGCTACGAATCGCTGCGAAGGCTGGGAATGGTGAAGCCTGGTTCTGTGCAAGCGCGCTCTGGCGCTGAAACACCGTGTGAGCCGTTCTGAGCTCGCCAAGGCGCTGGAGTGTCGGGCTTCCGCTTCATGCCCGCTCTGACAGTGGTCATGATCACGGTTGCCGTGGCGTGAGGACGAACGCGAGCTCGGGAAAAGACGAGAGTCAAAGAGCAGATAGTGGTCTGCCGCAGAACTCTTCGCACCTCGAGCTCTGAGCAGCCGACAGCTGATGACTGATCCGAGCGAGAATGCGAATGTTCTTGGTTGAACAAGATACGAAGGCGCGAGATTCTTCAACTCCTGAACGCGTGGGAGCTGCAGCTTCGACGCGTATTTCCTTGCGGGTCCCACCGTCCCCAATCTGTAGTGACGTCAATCAGTGCTGCTGATTATTCTTGGCAAGCGCTGCAAACCTTGCAGTGCTCTGCCATCGCGCCTTGCTTCTTCGGATTTCTGCAGTATGGCACGGCGCCAACACGCAAGTTTCGGTACATAGACTGCCGTGTGCAGTAAGAGCCCAGTGAGGGAGGCGCACCTATCGAAGCAAAGTCTGGTCGCATGCCCTTCGCGAATATATTTGTGAAGAATGAGTCTCCTTGGCCAGCACGCCTGCGAAATGATGATATTTCTGCCACTGGCGCAAAACAATGCCGTCGAAGAACCACTAAAGCCTTTTGCCGCTCGTGAGGGCCTGCGAGAGAGTCCAGTATCATCTCAGAGTCGGCCAGAAAGCCACGCTAGGTCGTTTAATGTTAGTAAGAGGTAGGCTTGGCTCATCATATTTCTCAAATCGACTAATGAACAGCATCATCGAACACCGCTTCCCTGGACATCCGAGCGAATCGATTATACTATTCTGATGATCTCCCCGCGAGCCTCACTCGATGATAATTAGACATACAAGGAGACACTCATGAACCGCAACGGCGCGCGAGTATTCAAAACTCCCCGATACCTACTTTAGCAGACCCCCGACGAGGACTCGCCATGAGAAAGTCGATGCAGATATTCTTCCATGAGTGGCACCGGCTGTATGAGGTTGCATGCGGTGTCCTCGCCTCGGTTCACGGGACTAGCGTCCACACGCGATCCCGCTCTTTCTCCAAGCCAAGATCATGGAGGTGGACAAGACGTCCAACGTGCCAATAAGGCCTCCCGGCCAAGACAGAAGGGTGGGACGCGGCCCGGCATCTATCTCACGAGAGCCGTCCTTCTGTACCTAAAACCAAGTCGCCTCGGCTAACTTTGGCCAAGCAGGATCTCCAACGCCCTTACACAACCTTTGCGATGCTTATAAACCGTCGAGAAATCTTTTGCTCGGTCAACCGCGAATCCACTAGACCCCAGGGCAGCAAGTATGAGAGGAATCGGTACAAACGATACGCGTGATGTCGAAGCGCCTGCGGATCCAACCTCTGACGGTTTCAAGATGGCGGACCATCTCGAGCTCGAAGAGACCAAGTCTGCAGGTGCGACGCCAGCGGAAAGCTTTAACTACGGCATAGATCCGACCCACCAGAAGCGAGTGATTCGCAAGATCGACTTGCGCCTTTTGCCGATACTTGGGCTGATGTACAGCATATCACTCGTCGATCGAACGAATCTCGGACTGGCCTTGGTCGCTGGGATGCAAGAGGATCTCGACCTTGCGGTTGGAAATCGATACACGATCATTGTCATGGTATTTTTCGTGGCCTACATCATTTTCGAGATACCCAGTAACCTGATCCTCCCAAAGGCCGGCGCCGCAAATTGGCTTGCTTTTCTTGGAGTCAGCTTTGGGGCGATTCTAATCAGTATGGGCTTCACTAAGTCCTGGGGTACAATGGCTCTTTGTAGAGCACTCTTGGGCGTTCTTGAAGCTGGCTTCTTGCCTGGCTGTACCTATCTGATCACCTGTTGGTATCAGAGGTTCGAAGTCGGGAAGCGGCTGGCTGGTTTCTGGATCCTGTCAGTGCTTACTGGAGGTTTCTCGGCTATCTTCGCCTACGTATTGACTCTGTTACGTGGCAAAGCTGGGCTCAATGGCTGGTCCTGGATCTTCATCATTGAAGGTGCCATTACCTGTGCAGTGTGTATAGCGGGATGGTTTATCATCATCGATTTCCCCTCGAAGGTCAAGTCTTTCCTCACGCCAGAAGAGAAGCAGTTCGTAATTGATCGAATCAACAACGACCGCGGCGACGCAATCGAAGACGAAATAAACCTGCGTAAAATCCTGCACCACCTCAAGGATTGGCGCCTCTATTTCTGGGCCTTCAACCTCATGGCGTCTACACTTCCAGGATACGCCTACAGTTACTTCCTCCCTGTCATACTTCGATCTGGCATGGGTTACTCGACTTCACAGTCACAGCTGTTGTCCGCGCCGCCGTATGTCCTCTCAGCCATCATGACTTACGTATCTGGATTTCTAGGAGACCGCTACAAGATTCGGGGGCCAGTTATTGCCGTTCATCAACTGATCACAGCCATTGGGATGATCATCACAGCCTACGGAAGAAGCAACGCGTTCCGCTACTTTGGAGCCTTCCTTGGCATTGGGTTTCTACAGTACTGCGTTCCAGGTGTCTTGACGTATCAAGCGAACAATATCACTTCACACAGCAAGCGAGCTGTAGCTTCTGCGACCTGCATCATTGGTGGCGGCATTGGGGGCATCGCCGCGAGTGTGGCGTTCAAGAGCAGCGAGAGTCCAAACTATGGAACGGGCATATGGACCACGTTTGCCGTGAGCATGGTCAGCATTTCTCTGATCGGAGTCATGGATTTCTGGTTTTGGAGATGCAACAAAGCGGCCAAGCAAGGCCTGCGGCAGAATGAGGGCCGACACATGTGGTTTTACACACTGTAAAGCGCCCTCTGTCGTGAAAAGTCGAGTAAGACGCCGGCTTGTCCTGTCTCCACGACAGGTCCAAGACTACAGAGCTGATAAACTGGCTCCCAAACTGAAGATGCTGAAGAATTGTTTTTGCGCACCCTCAGGAAGAACTTGGTAATTAAGTCAAAAGGCAACATAACGCGGCTCAAGACGGTGCGAAATGACGGCTCGAAATAGCGTGGTAACAGTTGTATATTCATGCAGGAGCGTGACCTTATCTGATGCCACAAAACTGTGCCTGTAACGACGCCTCCCGCGCCACGCGTCTGTGCCGTACCGATACCGCGCGAATCAGCTCTATCTCCGCTTACAACGAGGCTGAGGATGGAAGCCAGATCTCCGTCGCCGGCTTGAAGAACATCTCTAACGTCTTCAGCGTCAATGGGATAATTCCCGCTAATCCCGCATGTCTATGACCACCTGAGTCTGAGCTCCGCATCTCCAGCACGTCTAGTCGTTCCTCGTTTGCAAGCTGTAGCGCGGACGACACCGAGGAAGCCTCGGTTCAGATCTGCGTTATCTCCAAGCCCTTCGTTGTTCGAATCGCATCGCTCCACATCGACGCCAACTGCGTCTCCAACCAAATCACAACTGATCGATTTCGCGCCAGTATGTCCAAGAAGAGCCCGCGCTTTTGTCCGTCAAGCGCAAATAGCAGTAGGTTCACGCGTACAGGCAGCGTCCTATCGCGCCCACCCGCGACAGCCGGATGTTTGCGAAGTAGAGACTTTGCATCGTAAAGTTGCCGGTCAAGTAGCTTCTCGTCCATCAATGCGCGGAGCAGGCCTTGTCCGCCGGCGGACACGGCGGCAGCGAGGTGCTGACCTGCGAAGCAGCTCATGGGGGCGGAGATGATGACTCTGTCGGATGACATAGGAGCACTGTGTCAGCTGCCCATACTGAAGAAGGGCTCAAAGTTATTGAAGTCGTCGAGGGTTGTATCAAATTCTGCCCAATCGAGTTCTGTCTCCGGTAGGGCCGACTCGGTAGACCCAAGATCGTTCTGCGAGGGAGAGATTCCTGTTTTTTCACAAGAATCCGGTGTTGTTGCGACTGCCATGCCTGCCCCATTCGGCTTCACAAGGCTTGTCGAGTCGGGACTCATCTTGTCCAGGATTGTGTGGCTTTTCTGCAGTGCGATTCGTGCAGATGCGACAGTGTCAGAGTATGCCTCGAAGATGCGAGTGCCATGCGCGATAGTGTCTAGTATGTTGATGCCTTGTAATTCGGATTCAAGAAGTTGTTGCACAACTCGAGAGCTTGCAACGAACAGGAGTGACACCACGGCATTCCAGAGATACAGAACGGCGTGGAACAGTATACCCTGCAGAGTGCCACTCGAACGTGCCGCAGGATAAATGTCGTCCACAATTATAATAACAATATCGACGGCAATTCGAACAGAAACGGCGGCAAGTTCTTTCAACTCGTTCGATACCTTCTCCTGTCGGCGGGCACCTTGTACGAGGATGCTCAAGAATGCGCGGTACAAGAGAAGCCTTGAATGAAGGAAGCCTGCACCCGCATGAATGATGATTAGCGAGTCTGTAGAGAGTAGACAAGGGCAAAGTATGCTCACGTAGCCGAATCACAAGCCCATGAGGTTCCTTAGCCCATGTGCAGTCCAGGAACCAGCTGTTGAACCAGCGCTCGAACGCTTCGTCGGTCTTCCTTAGTGCGTCACTTCGCTCAGACAGGCCTAAGTGCTTTAGGGAAAGTGAATAGATTTGATCGTACGCACTCCAGGTTATCGCCGCAAATTGTCGCTTGATTTCCCAGTCAGCTAAACTGTGCTTGACGCAAACGAGGACTCACCATTCGTTCCAGATACTGAAGCTCGACTGAAGATTCTTCGAGTGGGAAGGTATTGATATCGAACTCGTGCGCCTCGATTGCGCATGGCCGACCGAGCAAGGCGACCATCTCTCTAATAAGATAGTTAGCCGGCGGCGTACAGCATTACTACTGCATATTAATACCTTTCGTAAGTAAATAGACACCTAGGCAGTCTGTCAGACTCAGGTTTTCATATACACAGTGTGAGATCAAACCAGAAGGACGAGCACCACCCCATGACGTGCGGCATGATATGGAGGCCTTGATCTGGATCCATCTTGAGATTTCTGTGCAGTCCTATGCCATACCCAATGCGTGCGGCGGTTCCCAATACCATGTAGCCTTCGTGCAGCCGATGTTGATTGTATAGCCACAGAAACTGTCAGTTCCGTTAGTGGTCCTCTCAGGCACGCTCAACACTTTTATGAAAAAGAATACCTACGGCGAGCAGCAGGGAGTTCACTGCAGAAATGTCTCCACCAGCAAAGTGAACGTCATTGAGACACGCTTTGAGCAGTTGGAAGCATACCTCTCCATCCTCGGGCGAATTAAGTGCACGTCTGCGAACCTCCGGATCCGGGTCGACCAGGCTGTACTGGTGGCCAAGGGCAATGACCATATACATCACGGCCGTCCATGATTCATACCCTTTGCCCTCCGTAGGCAACCCGTTGTAGTAGTCGACGGTAGAGTTAACGAACAGTCTCTTGTCTAGGATAGGAAAAATGCGATGTGCTGTCTGAAAATAGCGGTGCACATATTCCATGGCAACCACTTTCGGGGGTAGTAAAGCACCAGCGGCCTTTCCGAATGTCAGCCCCGATCTGCTTCCAAGCCAGAGCAGCGCTCTGTTCTCTGGAGACGAGAGATCTGTCCCGGCTTCGTCGGTCTCAGACGACTTCGACCGAGCTTGTATAGCTTCCAAGACTTCCGACGACGACCCGCCGTAGAACTCGGGCATCCTAGAGGCAACTTTCAAATGATTGATTCCACGTAAGACACTGGACATGTCGACGTCAGTGCTCTCATCTTTTCCTGCATTGGTGACGCTTCTGTCGGCGCCTTCCCCGGCCTCGCGACTCTTCTGTCCGAAATCTGAGCGCGGACTACCCTCGTACACTCGCAGTCGCGCCTCGAGCTCGTCGATCTTCCTAGTCAGGTAAGTACAACTCATACGAAGCTGCGTGCAGCGACAACGATGACGAGATAACAATCATGGACTAGACGTACCTGATGGCTCGAGCGAATGTCAACTTCGGCGACGGATGACTGAGGCCGTCGTACGTACAAGCAAGGTTGTCATGCTCACAAGCTGTACAAGGGCACTGAGCATCGCACTTGCGCTCAAGTAAGCCATGACCCTCGCGTTGTTGCGGACAAAATGAACAATACCTTTCGACGCAAGACCCGACAGTGGTCGCATGCCTGACCCGTTCGCACTCGCTTCTTGGCTAGATTGAGATTTGAGGGGTGAGACTGTAGCTCAGTCTCATGTGGGCGTTTGCGACTGCTGCTACTGTTACTGCCTGGTGTTTGTTCGGACATTCTCGATGGCAATGCGAAGTGTTGTGGAGGATGAATGGCGAAGGAAGACTTTGAGGGACGCGTTTGCGGGGTCGACTCGACTCAAACCTTCATGGCCTGCGGGGCCTATCGGTTGCGTTAATGGGCCTCGATTCGGGTGCTTTGGAGGGCCCCGCGCCGAGCGATTCCGTGTAAACTAATGGCTTTTAGGCTTCATACGGCTCGCAATGTTTATTATCGAGCTGTGGAAAATTCCTCTGCCCTTTGCGCCATAGCCTAATCCTCTACCGCACGTTTTCCGCCAGCAAGGCTTACCTGATGACAAACATCGGGATTCTCTGCACTATCCTACAACGACAGCCGGATCGACACGCAGAAACTGCATGACATCCTTCCTCATCTGCTGCTCATCCACCGAGTGGATCCGCTCCCTCATCGTGTTACTCTTCTCAATCAACTTGGCTGATATCTCAGTCCAAGTGAGATTTTCGCTCGCTCCCTCACGCCATCTCTGATCCTTTGGCACCGTGCGTACATCTTTGAGGATTCCGTTCTCCTTACGAATTATGCCATCTACCATAACCAGCTCCACGTCTGCCGGGCTACTCAACATCACAATGGCAGTGACAGGATTAGTTTGAGCGCCGCCATACAGCGCAGGCGTGGAACCATCGTAGACCACAATATCGGCCGCCAGGCCCACTTTCAGCTGTCCAATCTGGTCAGCCATACCGAGCGCTCTGGCTCCTTTGACCGTCGCGAGGTTGAAGACATCTTCGACACTGCGATTGAGCTTAACAGGGGACTTCCATTGCTCGACAAAAGAGTCGTTGAACTGCGCACGTGCGTCCTGCAGCAGGATGCGCATCTCGGACGGCAGCGAGGAACCGCAGATCGCGTGGCTGTCTGCACCAACCGACGCGCGTGGGAAGAAATCTTCCGTTCGATGATACAGGGCTGTCGGGTGGCCCATAGTCATCTGCATCGCTGAGGACGGCGCCGCTGACATGTACATGTTGTGTTTCTCCAGTAACTTCGCATCACCTGGCGCCGGATTGGTTGCATGAGATACGACCCAGTGCGTGTCTGGATCGACGATACCGTAAATATCGAACAGGGCCAGTCGAGAGTCTTTGGCTGTTAAGGCAGTAAGTATGGGATGGTGAGAACGTGTTGAGTGCTGCACTCACCTCCAGCGGGACTTCGGAAATAGTGCGTCGTAACATGACGAATTCCATACGCCTTGATCTGCTTGAATACCTTCACTGTCGTGTCTCGATCGAAACGGAACTCATCCAACCCAAAGCCGATCTGGACACGACCATCTCCATACGGTGCATTTTGAGCTAAGTCTTTGATCTTATTCATGCTCCAATCGCAAAATATGTCGCCATCAACCTCAAGAGGATGATGTTTCTGCAGTCGAGAGCTTGGGCAGTAGCAGAACACTGCTCGCAAGCCTGAAGCTTCGAGTGCGGCAATTGCTGCCTCGGCTGACAGCAGTCAGGTCTTCATGCCACCAAGCCACTCTCTGTAGACTTACAATGCTCAGGAGAGTAGTGAAAGTGTGCATGGTCCATGACGGTTGTAGTGCCGGCATCAATTCCTTCCAGCGCTCCTCCCAACTCGGCCCAGAAAATGTCGCTTGGTTGGTGGTGCGCATTGTCAAACAGGCCTGCCAACGCCGATGTTTCAGTTTTGCCTCTTCCACTTTCTTGGTCTCAGGCATACACACCTAGGCACAAATACTCGAGAATAGTGTATTCGCTCCAGAGCGATTTGCATAATGATTGCCATAAATGCTGATGTGTGCTAATAAAGCCAGGACTCACAACCTTGTTTGTGCAATCAACAACTCTGACGTCGGAGCCAGCTGGCAGTCGGATGTCTGGCGAGATCTCCTTGATGACCTTCTCTTCTACCAGCAGGTCGCTCTTGATAGGAATGACATGGTCGTTCGCGTCATGAGTAAGGATCGTACCGCCACGGAATAGAACTCTCCCCATTATGTCCAGTCTCTTGAGTCTTCAATGCAAAGACTGCGATTGCTTCTCGCGATGGGGAGCTATTTCAACCACGTCGATGGAATTGATTGGGCCTTGTGCACCCATGGTATTGCAACAGCTCACGATCCGAAGCTGCATAGCTTCGGTGCATTTTCGCTCTGGAGCGGAATAATTGAACCATAGGACACCACTTCGGTCTCTTTAGCGTGTGGCTCTCGCGTATAGCTATCGAACTACCATCGCTGTGGTCGTTATTCGCACTTTGGTGGCACGGAATTGGCCCAATTGGAAACCGCGGACCATATTGGGCTATCCACTGTCTACCTCCTTGTGGAATCCCCGCGTTGGTGACCGCGCTTCCTGCCTCCTTGTGGAGTCCCCGCCTCGATGGCCGCGCATAAAGGTAGCTCTGATACCGAGCTACGTGGTTTCGGGCATCGCGAACGCTTTCCGAATTTCTCACACCATTGACGCTATCGAAATAAGTACGTTAGATCTCATCCGATCATCTTTGCACAAGTTCGCAGAAGCGGATCAGCCACGTGCGAGTCACGCGCCACTGAAAATCCTATACTGATGACTTGCCCGCTTGGAGAACAGAGTTATTAGTCGAGCAGTATCGCGAGCATGCGTATTGCTTTTTCAAATTCTACTGACACAAACTTGAGTTTGCACGATTCACACTGTATGGTACCACGTTCCCGGCGAATACCTAGCTGTCCCCTCCAAGAGCGAGCCGTCGCGTTGGAGCACGACTCTCCTGGTCAACGACAGTCTCTCGGCCCTTCCGTTTCTGACCGAGTCCACCCTAGCGGAGGCTTGACATATGTGGCTGCAGTTTTTCTGCTAGTCATGCTTGCGCACAATATCCTCAACCAGCTGGGCCTCTTCTTGTTTGTGCTCTTTGATCTCCGCCACCTTTTCATCAAGATGAGACTGGCCAACGCGTGTCTTCCAAGCGGGCTTAGCTCCCTTCTGAAATAGTTCTTCCACTTCTTCCAACGTCTTCTGTCCAGTCTCTGGATACTGCAGAAACATGTGGATACCACCGGCGAAGCACAGAACTCCGAACACAATGAATGTCTTCCATGTAATATTGGCAAACGCTGGCGGCACAAACAGTCCAAGCGCGAAGTTGCAAAGCCAGTTAAACACAACAGCGACTGACATGCCCACGGAGCGCGTTTCGAGCGACCAAACCTCAGCACAGTACACCCAAGGCACTGGCGCCAGTGTCAGACCGTATAATAACATGCCGATATAAGAGAAGGCGATGACAGTGTGGCTGGCAGCACCGGTGACTGTAACTCTGACATTGAGATTGCCGTCCAGCCCGTCGGGAAGATAGGTCCCGTACTGTCCAAGGACACCACCTACAACAAATTGGCAGGTTCCCATACCAAGAATTCCTAGTACCAGGAGTGGGCGGCGTCCGACCTTGTCGACAATGACATAGGTGATTGCTGTTCCAATGATCAAGGACGCGTATAGAGCTCCAGCGGATATGAGATTGATGTTACCCGTCAGACCGGCCATTTGGAAAATATACACGACGTAATAGATAAGAGCGTTCGCTCCTGTAAGTTGCTGCCAGACCATCACAGATATGCCGGCCAGAGTGCGTCGCCACATTCCGTTCTTGATGAACTTCCTCCAACCTCGGAGAGCTTCACGTTCGGCGTTCAAAGTGAGCGTGATCTCTTGCCACTCTGCGACAACAACAGGGTCATCGCGATTGCCATTGGCTTGAACCTTCGCAAGAATGTCGTAAGCTTCTTCGAGACGACCAACTTTGGCGAGCCAACGAGGCGATCGTGGCAAGAAAGGAAGGCCTGCCATCAACACCAGACAGGGAACAAGTTGCATTGCCCAGGCGAGTCGAAAAGATGTCGTTGCTCCTGATATGAAGGAAGCCCCGTAGCCGATGAAGTACATTATCAACACACCGAATTCGATGGCGAATTCTTGGAAGATGATAAGTGCTCCGCGGATGTCTTTCTTTGCGATCTCGGCCAAGTAGACAGGTACCTGAGCTGACGTGACTCCGATAGTCACTCCATTCAAGATGCGGCCGGCGATTAGCATACCTGTGGAGATTGTGGATGCCTGGATTATAGTGCCAATAACCCAAAAGAAACACGAAACGAAAATCGTGTCTCGGCGACCCCATCGATCTGAAGCTGGTCCGGCAAGCGCGGCTCCAACCACCGAGCCAGCAGCCAGCGAAGATCCAATAGCACCTTGCACGACACCATTCGGGTTCCCGAAGAAGTTGATGTATTGCGAGGTTCCGACTATGGCTGAAAGAGACGACACATCAAAGCCGATCCTAGAACCAGTGTCAACCCGTGGTTTCCCGACTTGCTGGGGTAGCAACGAATACTCAGCGACATTACTTACAGTGCTCCTCCGAATGTAGCAATTACTGCCATAAAGTATGGGTTGTAGGTCTTGGGGATCTTCATGATGCCTGTCAACGGTTGCGGCTCGTCTCAAAATATTGGCGGATTGGCTGTGCACGAAGTGCTCGTTGCTCGTTATAGAGGTGCAGAAGCAGGCCATGTCAGCAGAGACGGGGACAGCTTTATAGAAAGCAATTGCCCGAGTGTCGTGTGTCCGTGCGTAAACGTGTTCGACATGCCCCAGCTGCGATAGCCTCCACGTTTTCGGTACCCCGTACTGTGCTTGTGGGGATTCTGGGCCTGCGGAGCCATCGAATAGGAAAACGCGGGCCACAAGGTTTAGTGGGTCGGTGGGTTCAATCTCACAATGCATCGATGCCTCAATGAACCATATGGACGGACTGATTTGTATGTCTCCATCAAGTTACGAAGGCCCAGACGGATCTTCGAGCACACTATCACATGAGAGGAAGAAGGTGGATATAATTTCACAAAGATTCCCACCAGAGTGGGTACCTAGCCGATGAAGTCCAGGCATGCTCGGTCTGATTACGCCAATTGGGACGACCGGACTGATCTAGGACGAACAACCGGAGCTGCGCATCGTTAAGTGACATGAAAAGCCCGTGCCGTCAAGCTCAACGAAATCACTTCGATACTCTTGTCGATTCATACGTTGAACGAGCTGCAGGGCTTTTCTTCCCTTTGATCAACGCCTCAATTCTATGTCGTTGCTGAAGGAAATAACAGATTGTTACTTAGAGTACGTTCCTCGACTGTCCATCGCAGAGTAGTGGCAGATATACACGCTAAATGTCGTCCGTATCGGCGACATATCGAGCCACGGACGGCAGCCCTGTCCTGGCGCTCTCCCTCTGTGGCCACCCTCTCAGCTACCCCAACTTCCTTTCAAAACAGCGTCAAGAATTTGGCCCGAATCCTACGGCGAAGAATGACATGTCCAACGGAGTCGCAAGCAATGGCCTTCAACACCACAGCGGTATGAAGAGCACCTCATTGACAGCACCGAAATCTGATCAGGAGAAATTGCTGTACATGTTCGAGCGCCAGAAGATTGTTGATCTGCTCTGCGCGTATGCGTATACACTAGACTGCACCATGATGGACCTCAAAATCGCCCACGACTGGGCCAACCTGTTTACCGATGACTGCCTCTTGACTTACCCATTTGGGACACACAACGGCAAAGCAGGGTTGGCGGATTTCGGTATGGCTGCAGAGTCCCGTTTCACTAGGATGTTGGTGAGTTCATGGCCGCGACTTGAGCCCCAGTCTCACGAGCTACATTAGCTGACGCACAGCAGCATATCGCGAGTAACTTCGTTGTCGAGTTTGAGTCGGATACTGTGGCTCATGCTCGATACACCTGCTTCGCAACTCATGGCTCTCACGAGTGGGATCTATCTAAACATTTTATGGAAGCCGGTTACTATTACTCGTCATTCCGACGAGAGCCAACTGCCGATGGATTCAGTACGTGGAAATTTTCGCATCTCACTTTGGATATGGTGTGGACGCAGGGCGAGTCCCTTGGTCTAAATGAGCCGCTGAATGTGCATCTAACCAAGAGCTCCATTCAACCGATACTCACGGAGTCGAGTCCATGATCAGGATGGGCTTCGCTGGTATTCCTGCCTTCTCAGCGACACAATGGCGCTCGGATAGACTGAATTTAGTCCGCCTTTGATTCAAGCACCGCCCAAGTCATACTGTAGTTTGCAACTGGATTGGGATGAGCGAATTCGCCCTTTCAGGTCGATTGCAGTGGACAGACTGATGCTTTTTCAAGCGCACGCGAGGCTTCTTCAGCGAGTTCAATCAGTCCCGAGCAGTTACACGGAAGTCGCAGGATCATGCTCGTCCATCTCATTGTCTGAAGAGATGAGAAACTCCAACTGCACAGCCGCAGCTCAAGTGGGAGGGTGTAGACGTTAAAGAGACTCGAACGTAAGATATCTTCCAGTAGTCGCGCCCTGTGCTCAAGTTCCGCTATTGCGGCTCAAGATGCTCTTATTCGGGAACTTTAATTTGCTCGAGTACTTCCGTCGGAACTCTTACTTTCGCCACACAAATGGGATGCTTAGGCCAGCTGACATATTTTATCATGATAAGAATGCGCGCTGTACTACTAGCTTTCGATCAAGGACATTAACCAAATCTTGGCTGGTCCTTGTGCGTCCCACGACAAGTGTGAGCCTACAAAGCTCAATCCCAGACAGCTGGAAGTCTTTCCGTCTGAAGTCTCACAACTGCTGCTATAACATCCTGGCTATATCATCGGCTTACTTAAGGCGCCTACCTGCCACTCCACACGCTTGAGCTGACGTGCTGAACGGTACAGTGAAACGTGAGCTCACACCTAACATCTTTCACTACTGAGCTCTCTGAGGTGTCCACGAGCACTAGCCATGTCTGGAAATACCCTACCACCCAACAAGCGCTATATCTCCGGCCATAATGACCAAGGCAGAAGCATCTACCTCAACTCTCCGGACCAGGCTCTCGCCCAGATTCCTGGTTTTGGCCATATGGCGCGATCTTTCGCGACCAGCAGTATACCGGCAATCATGGAAAACGATGTTGATGTTCGAAACTATTCCGGTACTTCGAGTGAAGCATCCTTCAACAGACCGGATATCGTCATCCCAACCGGCGGTGTTAATGTCGTCGTACTGGATATAGCTCCAAGCGGCGATTCGCACATGCATCGGACGCAGAGCATTGATTTCTCGATCTGCGTTATTGGTGAAATCGAGCATGAATTGGATGGAGGGGAGAAAGTCACGCTAAAGCCTGGGGTACGTATATAAAGCCTGATGCTTCTTCACTATTCGCCTGTGCTGTGCACGCTGACTTACACTCTTAAGGATCACATCGTTCAACGTGGTACGATGCACAAGTGGAAAAATGCCTCAAACACTGAACCAGCAAGAGCTGTCTGTGTGATTGTTCCTGCTACATCTTTTGAGATCCCGGGTACCGGGAAGATGCTGGTGGAAGAGCATTTAGGCCGCGTGCCGGGCCAGTAATAGGAGCGACACTGTCATTCGCTGTGCTACGAACCAAAGCCATGCTGTTGTTCTTCTTGATGTCGGTGTCATACACAGTTCGCTCCGTAACTTTCAATCTATAGCTTAGCACTACTACTCTTATTTAACATCGCCTTATGCAAAGCGAAAGCCCGCTTGACAGACCAGTCAAGCAGTACATCCGTACTCCCTCCTGGAATTGCGTTTCCCTTCAAATCTCGCCAGATGCGTTCGATTCTCTCACCGCGTCCGCCTTTGGTCAATCCAAGCCCTCCGAGTAGTTGAACCGCAGAGCTTGCCACATTCTCGAGTACGATTCCGGCATGGGCTTTTAGCTGTGCTGTCTGACCGGCAAGAAGAAGGTCGCTCTGTTGGCTGGTCATGTTTGAGCTCTGATATATCAAAGACTCTACCCACGCCTGCAGTGCCTCCGTCTCACGAGCCATATGAGCGAACCGGAAGCGGACAATCGGCTGTTCAACCAGCTTTCTCCCGAACGCCTCGCGCTGAAGCAGGTAGCTTGCTGAGTCTTCATGGCATATCCGTGCTAGCCGAAGAGACTCCATGCTGATGTAAAGCCTCTACTCAGCTGTCAGTTAAGTCTGCAGGCTTACTATGGAGTGACGAACCTCATGGTTAAAGTTGGACATGATAGCCTTCAATCCGTCTCCTTCCTCGCCGATTCGATTTTCTATTGGTACTTGGACATCGTCGAATTCAACGTACGCCGTTCCTGCCGAGGATGAGCCAGCAAGATACATATGGCGAAGGTTCACCCCTGGCCCCTTTGGCACCACGAACAACGACATTGCCGTTGGCGATGTCCGCGCCAATGTTACAAAGTAGTCTGAGTACATCCCAGAAGTGATCCACTGCTCACGCATTAGGTCTGTAGAAGGACTCGAAGCTCTGCAGCGTTGCTGACCTTTTTCTCTCCGTTCAAGATGTAAGAGCTACCGTCTTCGCTCACGACCGCTTCTGTAGCTATGCCCTGCACATCTGATCCTGCGCCGGGCTCAGTGATGCAGAGACACATTCTTTTCTGTCCTGACAGAACCTCTTTGCTGATTCTGAACGGCGTCAGCAAGGTTGAGCGTGATTTCATTGGCATCGACGCACCTGTTCTGAAGTTCAGGTTCGGCGAACTTCAGTATCAGGGGCATAGCGAGGGTCTGCGATTCGTGATAAGGATCGCGTCGAACCTCAGTAGTGCCATAATACGTACCACTCCTCCAAGAAATCCATTACATACTCTGACTTGGCATTAGCACCTGCCTCAGTCAGGACACAAAGCAGGGTCATCCAAGAGCTTACCCTAAAGAGCCGCACCGAGTAAATTCGTCATGTAGTATGAAGTCACAGAATCCATCCCAATCTTTTGCACTCAGGCCAGCCGCAATAGGAAATTCTTGTTCCCATTCTTGTGGTATCCGGCCGCCGGATGCTATTGGCATCAGGAGGCCAGCTTTCGCCGCTTCTGTGTAGACATTATGTGGTAGTTCCCGTTGCTCTTCCCAGGTCTGAACATTTGGAATGATATGCTACATAGGGATCCGTTAGCGATGCTTCGCGTGACAAAAGACACATGATGATAATGACCTTCTCGACCCAAGTGCGAATGTAATTCCGTAGCCGACGGTGTCTTTCGCCATAGTGAGGCGATAGGTGACCCCTGTACCATGGCGGTTCTGCATAGGGCACAGTAGATCCAAAGATGTCGCTACTGTCTGACATATTTCGACTGCGGCAGTGACCGGACTAGCCAAGGGTGACACAGCTTGCGTTATGGCTGAGCGGCATGTACAAAGTGGGCGACCGCGCAGGCTAGCGCGGTGAGAGTTCCGTTTGCAAGGAAATCCTGAATTCCGCGCTAGACCTTCCGCGTTCCATGAATCGGCCAAAAGGCGTGGTAAGTTCACGAGGTCAAAGCCGGTATCTAGCACGCAAGATCAAGAAGTCTTTGTCGACTGATTGTTGTGTGATCCCTCTACCAAAATGGCGATTGAAGATCTTATGGTACGTCGACGCCAAGCCCCAGGACGAGTTGTTCGCTTATTCTGAAACAGAACACGCGAATCCGGTATCACTACACTGCAGGTCTGGATTGGGAATTTGAGATGTGGTACCGATCTCCAGTAAGCTAAGCCGCAGCAAAATCTGCTCATAGTGGCGTCTGACGTTGCCATGTACCTTTCCAGGAGCGCGTCGTATATCGAATGATCACAGGAAAACTGGCTGGCCGTGTCAACTATGTGCGAGCGTGGTACCAAGAGATTGTTCCAAAGCGGATATACAAAATCTCCTGGCTCGAGGGTAGGCGAAATTGTGTTCCCATTCCGACAGAAGAGGTGTTTACTCCTGTGCGCGTAACAGAGACCGGGACAGTTGTCTCGCAAACCATCGACTTGGAGACAAAGAAGGTCTGGAGTTTTGCGGCTTTCTCAAAAGGTCACCATGTAAGTCTTGCTGGATCTACGGAGCCACATCGCCTATGTGAGAATTTCTAACGACAAGATGCGCAGGAAAATCGTGAAATACTCAGCCATCCGAAGATGACGCATTTAGATCAATGGAGAGAGCTGGCCAAAATTGGCATTCAAACAGATAGGCATTGCATCCCTCACGAAGGCGTCATCGATGAAATATTTCAGGGGCGCGGAGACCATCTCCCGGAGATAGAGGATAGCTGGCCCACGCTATGATATGCCCGTGTCTACAAAGCCAGAATGTGTAAGCCTTGATCGCGAAACACGTGATTGAGATTACCCACCTAGATGAAGTGGCTTGTAACACGGAACAAGTAGCAACGGAACTGGCGTTTTGGAAAGGTACCCAAATTCCGTCTGCCAAAAGTATCCACCTATTGGTCGACTTCGCATTTCAGCCACGCTTTTTTGGTATCAATATAGCGACACTGCCTTCGCAGGTGCCAGAAGTCCGCATACGCCAGTGATACTGAGTCCCGCAAGTATGTCTGGCATCCCATCGCTGCCAGAATCAATTGTTGCACAGGTCGCTCAACATGAGCCGAAACCAGAGGCACGTCTCGACATTTTCGACAAAGCCTGCATTGAGAATTTCCGACCAATGAAGGTCATCGTGATTGGTGCAGGGTTCTCAGGGATAAACTGTGCTATTCGAATTCCGCAGCGGCTACGCAATGTCGAGATAGTGGTCTATGAGAAGAATCGTGAGGTTGGTGGGACGTGGTTCGAAAACAAGTATCCTGGTGTGGCTTGTGACGTGCCAGGTAAGCCCAAGATTCTGGTTGTCCTCATGTCCTAGCACAGGCAACATGCTAAGAACGACTTGTGAAGCTCACTCCTACCAATATTCGTACTCTCCAAACCCTTCATGGTCTTCCTTTTACGCTCCAGGGCCGGAGATAAATCGGTACCTCCAGGATACGGCGAAGAAGTTCTCAGCAACACGATTTATTCGGTGTTGTCATCGCGTTGATGGGTGCAAGTGGGATGAGTCCCGCTCTAAATGGTAGGTAGTCTTGTTCTTAGCGCTTGCAAGCTGACTCACACTCGGCAGGACTGTGACTGTGACAGACACATCAAGCGGCACGACTTTTCAAGATGAGGCTAATGTCATCATCTCTGCACGAGGATCGCTGAACGACTACAAGTGGCCACAAATTGATGGCCTGGATACGTTCAAAGGGGATCTAATACACTCGGCAGCGTGGAACCCCAGGTTGTTAGCACAAACCTCTCCTGAACTTGTGCTTACGGTCTACAGAGTGCCGCTCGCGAATAAGACTATCGGGGTAATTGGTGCAGGAAGTAGTGCTATCCAGATTGTACCGGAGCTCCAACGACTTGCTGGAACAGAGCTAAAATGTTTCATCCGCAGCAGGACTTGGATATCTCCCCCTTTTGGAGAAGAGACTATGGATAGACTTGGCCTGAGAGAGCTGAAATGTGAGTGCATATCTTTTTCGTTTGTTCTAGGCCCTGACGTTCAGAAGTTTCTCAGGAGACCATCGATAAGTTCCACGAAGATCCTCAGTCCTACCATGACTTTCGCAAAACAGTCGAGCATGACGGCAACTCAGTTCACTTTCTCACCCACGTTGATTCTGATATACAACAGAAAGTCCGTGGATATTGCGAGCACGTCATGAAGTCAAAGCTGAACAATCGACCCTTGATCGCAGAGAAGATCATTCCAACCTTTGCGGTGGGGTGCCGGCGATTGACACCCGGCCTCGGATTTCTGGAGGCCTTGACCGAACCCAACGTCGAATTCGTCGGCACAGAAATCAAGAGCATAGATGAGACAGGTATTTTGCTCGAAAATGGTAGAAAGGTCGACTTGGACGTTCTGGTCTGCGCTACAGGATTCAACGCGGCTCACGCACCGCCCTTCCCTGTCACAGGGGTAAACTCACTATCCATGGCAGCCCAATTCCAGCCGTTCCCCAAGACATACCTCAGCATGATGATGTCTGGGTTTCCAAACTACTTCTGCGTCCTGGGCCCGAACTCGCTTATTGGGACCGGTAGCCTAAGTATGATGCTCGAAGCACAGGTAGACTACATCACCAAGTGTATACGCAAGCTACAGAGGGAGAACATCCGGTCAATGGAACCCAACGCGGAACGTGTCAGTGAGTTCTCGGACTACATTGATCGCTACTTCAAGAAGACTGTCTACAAGAACGGATGCAGAAGTTGGTATCTTAGTGATGGAGGTACGGGTCCTCGTGTCATCGGTCTTTGGCCTGGCAGTTGTTTGCACGCCATCGAAACGTTCCGATCGCCGAGGTGGGAGGATTACAACTACGAGTACGAGAAAGACGAGCAGGGAAAGGCGATCAGTCATCTGGCGTGGCTCGGTGAAGGCTACACGCATACTCAGGCGCATGGTACTGGCGACTTGGCTTTTTATCTCGAGCCAGAGTATAATGATGTGCCCGCTGCACCGTTTCCGGAGAAGATACGTATGTACGAGCTTCGGCCGTACAGCTATTGAAGCGACGGTAGAACGGAACTTCGCTAGAACATCCCAGTGTTAAAGTCTCCTTCTCGGCTGTGTCAGGGGGTTTCCTTAAGCTCATTGCGGACTCAAATACAGAACGTTGTAGTAAAGCGCGATCCCTTCTTATACGTGAGGTCACTAACCACGTTCAACACGGGAACACGCCTCTGAAAGATGGTAGATTCTGTTCGAGACGCAAACATCCACCAAAGGATCGCTGATCTACATCAGAGTCGAAGTTCACGGTACTAGAGAATCGTCGCGCTTCCAAATTCGGCCATGGTCTTTACAAGCTTACGCCGCGATGTAGGAACAGACCCCCAGTGGGTTTTAAAAGATGCTGGAGAGTGTAAAGCATTGTTCATGGGGTCTGTCTCTGAGTTGGAAATGTGCCTACCCCGCTGCCCGCTTCCCCAACGACTATGGTTCCCCAGCCGTGGAATGCGGAACCTTTTGCCAGGCAGAACTCTATCTGCCATGTTCCGCGGGGATGGAGCTTCCATTCCGTTCAGCCTCATCGCACAAATTGAAGTACATCTACTGTCGGTGTCATTCATGACGCGCCATAAGAGAATCTCTAACTCGACCATCATTTTCTCAGCCATGACTCAACATATAAAGGGCTTGTCGGCGGCCGGCAAGGTCGCTTTCGTGACTGGCGTCAACGGCATCAGTGGCAACGCAATGGTCGAGTACCTTATTCGTCAGCCAGAACGGGAGTGGTCGAAAATCGTCATTTCTTCGCGCTCATCACTGAAAGTGAAGTGGCAAGACCACCGAATCGAGTTTCTGGCCCTTGACTTCCTGAGACCAGTGGAGGAGCTTATACAAAGCATGAAGCAATCTTGCAGCGACGTCACTCACGCTTATTTTATGTCATACGTCCATGTTGATGACTTCACTAAGCTTGCCGGGCTCAATGTGCCTTTGTTTTCGAACTTCCTGCACTCCATCGATCAAGTTTCCGGCCAAAATCTCCAGAGAGTCAGCCTTCAGACAGGTGGAAAAGTGAGCACATGGCCTCTACGTTGCTGTTCTATGCGGTCGCGCTAATATCATAACAGCACTATGGCTGTCACTTAGGCCCTTGTCCTGCCCCAATGCACGAATCTCATCCCCGATATAACGACCAAGGACAGAACTTTTACTTCAATCAGCAAGATGAGCTCGTTGCACTCAGCAAGCAACGCAGCTGGGGCTGGAATGTGATTAGGCCAAACGCCGTGATCGGCTGCACACCTGGACGTAAGCTTATAGGATGCACTGGCCATTTTCAGTCCCCTGCTAATCATCAGATCAAGGCAACGGAATGTCTGAAGCCTTGACCATGGCCTTGTACCTTCTAGTGTGCAGAGAAACAGGCGAACAAGTCAAGTTCCCTGGGGGTGCATTTATCTACGACTCGCCCGACGATAACTCTGACTCACAAGGATTGTCAGAGATCACTGCTTGGTCATCCACTGCATTACACACCAAGAACGAAGCATTTAACTACGTCAATGGTGACACCTTCGTCTGGAGGTACTTCCTACCAGAGATCGGCAAGTACTATGGCATGGATGTAAGTGACAGAGCTCTTCACCTACTTGCTTGATTTGAACTCTGATCTAATCTATTTGCTTAAGATCGGTACCAACTTGGAGTTGAACCTCAACCTCGCAGAGTGGGCCAAGGACAAGGAGCCTATATGGCAAAAGATCTGCGATAAGTACGGAGGAGACAGAGAAGCTTTTAGCTGGGCGACCTGGTATTTGATGGATTGGCTCGGACAGAGAACCTGGTGCACGCTGGCCAGCATGACTAAAGCGCGAGAGTTTGGCTGGACCAGGCACGATGACACTGTCCAGAGCTGGTATAGAACGTTCAAAAGTCTTGAGAACGAGGGAATTCTGCCTAGAATCGGACATTCAAACAGTGTGTAGCTAAGTATAAAAGATGTTGGTCTTCTTGTATGGTTCATCGACATGGCAGCTGGCGATCAGACGGTCCAGAAAAACGGTATGAGCGACGGAGATATTGTGGGGCTAGTTCTTCCTAAGTGATCTATTCCGTCATTCCGTTCACACGGAGGCTTGCATATATGCACTGTCAGCAGCCACCTGTGATTCCACTTGGGAGTATGCTATATCCACGCCCGCGGTAGGTATCAGCATAGTTCTTTCAAATAAGCGCAAGGTCTTAGACAGGACGAGGGACGACGCTCGATCGAAGGTATCACATCTCTCCTGCCAAACGAGTCACAATGCCAGCCCCTGGCGCGCCTCCCGATTTCAGCAACATAACCCTCCCACCAACACCACCACGGCACAAGTTCGAGACGGAGTTTCTCTTCAACTACACCATGAACCTCCCTCTGGACCAGCCACCCATGGTACTAGGTGATGTCGGCAGCGGCTGGCTCATGGTACTGTCCGAGCAAGGCACCAGGATTACTGGTCCCAAGATCAACGGATGTGTTGCCACTTTTGGACAGGACTACTTGACGGTGCGGCCAGATGGTGTTGGTGAGCACATCGTACGTCATGTGATATTGACGGATGATGGAGCTAAGATCACGTTCTGTTACGAGGGAAGGAGTGATTGGGGCAGGGATGGGTATGCGGCGGCAGCGAGAGGTGACTTGCCAGATGGGCTACGGATCCGCTGTGCGCCGTACATGCAGACTAGTCATCCGGATTATCTGTGGGTCAATCGTTTACAGTGCATAGAGGTTGGGGAGGTCTATCCTAGTAAGGGCTATGGGAGTTTTGATGTGTATGCGTTGGTCTGACAAGCAGCTACGAGAGTTTTAAGGAGTCTAACACATTGTGCTCACTCCTGCGTCTGCGGCTCAACTACAGCCTTGATTGCTTTGCCCGACGCTACCACTTCGAATGCCCTCTCGGTATCTTCGAGAGAGAACCGGTGTGTGACACATTCAGCCAGGGGAAAGATATGATGATTTTGTTCGACCAATCTCGCGGCTTGAAAGTAGTTCTCTGGTGACGCATAAGTTGTTCCAATGATCTTCAGTGCCTTGCGCACGATCTGGAAAGGCGAGATTGCCACAACCCCGCTCCCAGCCCACGTGCCGACACATAGGTATCTTCCATTACGGGCCAGCAAAGGAAGCCCTTCCTCCATAGCTTCTGCTCGCCCAGTGCATTCGATGGCTAAGGATAATCCCCTTGGCCCCGTAAGCTCATGAACCCGTTTCGCCCTGAGCTCCTGAGTTTTAGATGCCGCAGACTGCAGATCCAGCGTTTCATTCGCACCAAAACGTCGAGCCATGTCCAACCTGAGAGGATTACCATCGATTGCGATGATTTTCCGAGCTCCCGCCATGCGCGCCAGCATGATCGACGCCAGTCCCACCGCTCCACAGCCCTGAACTAGCACAGCCTCATCTTTCTCGATGGGTCCAAGATGTTCCAAAGCTTGGAGCATCGTCGGCAAAGCGCAGCCAAGAGCGATGAAGGCATCACACGGCACAGATTTGTCGACCTTGTAGAAAGCGTTTCCTCTCTGAAGCGTAGCAATCTGCGCGTAGCTCGCCCACGTAGTCGGCAAGCTCGCAGGCGAAAAGAACTCGCCATTGGGGCAACCCGTCAAATCGCGCTGCACAGTACACTCGAAGCACGAATGACAGGGCCGGATGGGATTCCAGTATACCACGTCCCCGACAGCTACAGGATAGCTTGCATGGTCCGTGGTCACACCTTCACCCAGCTCGACGATGGTTCCCACCCCTTCGTGACCGAGCACGAAAGGTTCCAGGTCGTCTCCTCCATCCCCGCGCCAGAGGTGTACATCTGTACCACATACTCCTGCTCGATCAACCCGTATGTTGATGCATCCCGATGGCGGTGATGGTACCGTCTGTGACCATATCTCGACGGGCGCTTTGCACTTGGTGACCACTGCCACCTTAGAGTTTGAAGTCGGCATCGTCGCGCGTAGTTGTCGTCAAAGTGCTGCAGGCAGCCTCTTCCCAAGTCTCTGATTGTAGAGCGCACGCCATCCGAGCAACTTGAAACGGACAGGCAAACTTTTTGGGCTGAGACGGTGCTCAGAATCCGTGGTGTGGTGAGGTAGACACTGTGGTCCCCGTCGAATTTCCGTTATGCGGAAGCGGATCAGCAGAGACGGTCACGGAATTAGTTATAGGGTTTGAAGGCGATTTCCGTCTTCTGTACTGCGAAGACAGCCGAGGCATTGCCAAAGTATCAGCTCTCCACGTGACTGAGGTATCCGCGCAGCAGAGTATCCTTTCGTATGGTCTACTGGTGACCAGTTTGAAGTCGGCCACGTTACATAACACTAACTCACGTGAGCGAATGATGAGGTCGAGTTCGTGGCGAGGAGTTCAGCACACAGTGCCAGCTTCGACGAAACGTCGGCATGAGAAACCAGACACCCCTTCAGACTCGCGGCTCGTACTAAAAGTCGTCGAATGCTTGCCAACAACCAAGACACCGAAAAATGGATGCAGTATTATTATGACTCATGGCACTTCTTTCATGAAAGAAATCTGGCATCCGGTCGTCGACCAGATATTTGCGTCGACGGCACTCGGACCATGGATAGAGAGAATCATCATATTTGATGCAGCCAACCATGGCGATAGCGCTCAGAGTAACAAGGCCTTGTTGCCGTCTTCGACTCACTGGCCCGATCACTCGCGAGACATTCTGGAGGTTTTGAGTTATTTCAAATGCGAGAAGCCTGTTCTTGGGATCGGGCATTCGTTCGGCGGAGGGACATTGTGAGTTCAGGCTGGCCGCATAGGAGTGTCGATAAATCGCAGACATACTAATGTTCCGGTCTTAGGAGTCATGCTTTGGCGATGGCGCCTCAAAGGTTCTTGGCGGTGATCCTGGTCGAGCTATTCTATTTGACATGGGCCCGGCAGATGATTTGATGGCCGAGATGGCGCTCAAGCGGCGAGATGAGTGGCAGGACCTGTAAGCACCATTTTCGACAAGCCACCATTATGTCATTAAGTAATACTGTTGCAGTGATGATGTTCAGAGGTCGTTCAGCAAGTCAAAAAGTATGTCAGATTGGGATAAAGGCCAGCGGGATCGATATGCGGTAGGTTAACATCCAACCCCATCTTGCGGCATGCTGTCAAGGACACTGACGCCTTGTTTAGAGGTACGGCACTTGTGAGGCTCCCTCAAATGGTAGAGCCGTCCGAGTACTAAAGACTCCGAGGGAGCAAGAGTCAGTGTGTGCCATCCATTCAGCATACCTGCACGTTGAGAATTGACTGACCGGAAGTCAAATCTAGGCGGTGTACGCGGCAAAACCAGACCCGCAAATACTTAAGTTGCTATCGGCTTGCTCTGTCGCACAATGTTACATTGTAGGCGAAAAGAGTGTGGTGCTGTGAGTACTCGCGCGCATCCCAACCTGAGACTCCGTTGGCTGAAACTGTTACACTAGCAACCGCACACTGCAGCAAAGCCTGCGTCAGCTGTGTCAGAGGCCTGGAGATTTCCATGTGATGGAAGGAAGAGGACATTTAGTGAGTGAACTGCTCTGATATTCCCTGAAAAGGGCGAACGCTGATCAATGCGGAGATTCCTTTGGAGGATCCTGAGGCACTGGCTGGCGTCCTTATCAGAATGAGCCAACGTTATGTGGTCAAAGAGAGCGAAGACGCTATCAAATCCTCAAAGCTGTAAGAAATTTGTGACACTATATGCATTCAGACATGCTATCTCTTTCGAATATACACGTTAAAATCGCTCTGTTTCACAAACCAAGAATTTCGTAGTGTCCATGGCTGCTCCTTGTCCGCCAGGTCGAACTGTTGAGGCGTGTATTAGCGACAGACAATTTGGAGATTCTCGCACACAGACAACTGGAGAAACTTACATTGAAGGTAGTCAGCAGCGCGGGCACCAGTTTATACATCTCGAGTAGACTGATATTCTTCCCGATGCAAGTTCTCGCTCCTGCACCAAAGCTGAAGAATGCCTTGTCCATAGCTTTCAATTGATCCGCCGACGCATCAAGCCACCTGCGAGGACGAAACTCCTCGGGCTTTTCGCCAAACACGCTCGATCGATGCAAGGTCCATGCAGAACAGCCGACCGTAGTTCCACCGGGAATAAATTTGCCACATATCTGCTGTCCTTGCGGTGGCACGATGCGCTCTAAAGGCAGCCCAACAGCAGGATGTATCCGTAGCCCTTCTTTAATGACAGCGTCAAGGAACGGAAGGTCTTTCACTTCCATCCAGCTGAACAACGCGCCGTCGGGTTGGAGCGTACCATTTTCGTAGCCGATACGCAACTCGTCTCTCAGGCCTCAAGATCTGCCGGACTTTTGAGTAGATGATAAAATATGGATCGAAGTGAGATCGCCGTGGTGTCGGAACCGGCGAACATGTTGGCAACAGTGACAGCCAGTACTCTTTCTTGTGTCATAAAGTCAGGATCTTTCAGATGGGCCTTCCAATAACGGATGAGAAAGTCGGCACCCTGGCTTGAATCCGAGGCATTGCTCTCACCGGACTTCCTGTCGGTTGCCATCGACTCAAGCTCATCACGGCGCTCTTCGAGTCTGTTAAGGGCGAAGGTGACGATCGGTGCGGAGGTATTTAAGAGTCCGCGCCTGCTTGCCCAGAGCCGCACAGGATTCTTTTTGAAGAGATAATCCAGGATAGGAATTTGTCCGACAATCGAAGCATAGTCCAGTGATGTCTCCAACAGTTCAATAATGCCATCCACGTCTTCACCTTTATCAAGGAATCCCAAACGTTTAGAGAACGTGAGCTCCCCGATTACATCGAACGCGTAAAATTGCAACCATTTGCCAAAGTCGCAAACTCTAAGTCCACCAGTCTCGCCAACATATCGCTCGGTTAGTACGCTGATAAAAGCTTTCGTTGTGGAATTCACTAAAGGCTCCAGCTGCACAAGCGATGACATGGCAAAGGCGTTGGAGACGCTCCTTCGTAGCTTTGCATGATACTTCTCGTCCGTTGTGTTGAAGAGGCTTTCAAGAGGTCGGCCTTTGGATATATTCTGCTGAACGGGATAGAAATCGGACTTGACATAGCCAGATTTTAGTCCGTAGATCACGGGAATCGCTTCAGGGCTATTGACAAGGACATTTCGTGGTCCTAGTCTTACAAGATCTCCATATCGATGTTGTAGCTCAGCGTGAACGAGCTCGGGTCGCCTCTTGCTCACAACTTGTAATCGCCAGAGATTCGATAAGGATGCAATTGTTGGACCTGGGACGGAATTGAGTCCTTGCCCATATCTATTGTGAAGCAGCTTCACTGCTACAAGGACAAATATGGTGCCAGCGATAAGCAGAGCATTTTGTGTCGCTGCCAGTGTGAAATCTTGCAACATGTTGAAGGTCTGTGAGCCCGAGTCCTGTCGTCGGAAGAGTGCTAGCCAGTACAGCAAAGCTGGCATATATCGGGGCAGCGGGAGGTTAGGCAGGTTATCATCTGCATTGGCTGCAGGCGTGGGAACGGACAAGAGCGGAATTTAAGTTGACAAAGAATTTCCGTCTCTCCTCGCTAACATAATGTTAATATGTGGCGCTGTGTCTTCGAGGTACAGACTTCTACCAGTACTCAATGCAGTCCAGGAAAGCCGAGCCCTTGAGGTATCCGGCAGACGCCTCTATACCCGAGATACTGCTTCATCACAACCTACATGGAAGGCCTGCCTGGTACCCAGCCATTATCGATGGCCCTTCAGGAGATGTTGCTTACACATATGGCTCGCTCCGAAAAGCAGTCGAACGTCTCGCTTCATGGCTGCGTACGCGGCAAGACGTCAAAGCGGGAACGACTATTTGTCTTTTCGCGGCTAACACGGTCAGTGTGCGCTTGTAGCTTATGTCGAGGCTATCCAAACTCGGTCACTAACAGTTCGGCGCTCCAGGTCCATTATCCCTTGTACGTTCACGGGGTTCTTGCTTGTGGAGCGACTCTGTCGACCTTGAACCCACTCTATACATTAGAAGTACGCTTGAACACCACCGCTCTGATTCGGCTTCTTTTGACTGACACGAATTGACCCGTGAGTGAAGGAAGTGAGGCATGCTCTCAGTCTAGCAAGGCCCACCTATATCCTCGTACAAACGCCTCTGAGAGCGAGATTGGAGGCCGCTCTTGATCAGATCCGCGACGTACCCTTCTGTATCTCTCTGGACGACATCGATCGCCAGGTACAAAGCTCAGTTCGATCGACTCCAGGCCCGAGAAGTCCTTCGATAAGTGCAAATGCGACTGCGTTCATCTCATTCAGCTCTGGCACGACGGGGACTTTCAAGGGTGTCATGCTTAGTCACCGCAACATTGTCGCAAATACTTTCCAGCATCATCAGACACTTAGCTCTGACTATGGTCCTAACCCCGTGTTTGCGTTGGTCTTTCCGTTCTCGCACATATTAGGCTTGGGAGTCTTTGCATGCCAATTCGTGCTGCAGGTGTGTAAGACTTTATGTGCGGCGACATTCGGACTGATAAGATCTCTGCCAGGGACATACAAGTGTCATCTTTCCGCGCTTCGACTTCCCAGGACTCTTGAGGTCCATTCACAGAGACAGAAGTAGAGTTTTGACTGAACGCCAGTATCGATGGAAAACAAGCTGACGGCGTTGCAGTCACACATTTGAACATCGTACCGACCTTGGCTATGCAAATGCTAAAAGATCCACTCAGCAGAACGTCCGACTTTTCATCGCTCAAATGTCTCTTCAACGCAGCAGCGCCACTGAAAAGCGAGTTGGCGACGCAAGTCGAGGACCTTGTCGGGTGCCCTATCACGCAGTGGTATGGGATGACCGAGGCAAGCCCAAGTGCAATCACACAAACCATCGCTCAGCTCTCCAGGATTGGCAGCATTGGAAAGCTACTGCCAGGCCTTGAGATGGTTGTGGTTGACGAAGATAACAAAGGTACGATCCCAAAACTGCCATAGCCTTCTGTCAAAGTAATATTGAATCCTGGACAGAATGTGCCACGTTGCAGAGCGGCGAAATCTGCCTGCGCGGACCAAACATCATGCAAGGGTATCTAGGACAGATCGATGCATCTTCTTCGAGTCTGAACGGGTTCTTTCGCACTGGTGACATTGGCTACGTTGATCGCGATGGCTTCGTCTTCCTTGTGGACCGAGCGAAGGAGATGATTAAAGTAAAGGGGTAGGTTATCCACAGTCATCTGGCCTTTTCAACCCGGAAACTTGAAGCTGATCTGACCTACTTCAGTCATCAAGTCGCTCCAGCGGAACTTGAAGCTATCCTATTGTCGCATCCGGAGATCTTGGATGCGGCTGTGAAGGGCGTCTACCGGGACGATATTGCCAGCGAGGTACCGATCGGGTTTCTTGTGAGCAACATTGCCCAGGATCGACAGCGCTCGCTTGTAGAAGAGCTCCAGAGGACGATCCGAGAGAAGGTGGCTCCTTACAAAAGAATTGTAGGCGGTCTGCACTTTATCAGTGAGATTCCACGCAATCCCTCTGGCAAAGTGCTCCGAAGGCTCCTCCCGAGCTCGGAACCGCTGCTGAACCAAGCGAAGCTGTAGCATGTTAGAGTCCATCGAGCGGTAATTTCTTGATGAAAGTGTAATCGGCTTTTCGACCTTGGTATTCGTGCAAGAACCGAGTCGAAGGATTGAGCGTCGCCGATTGCGCCAACGGAATATGGGGAACCAGCCTACTAAGGACGCCTGCACCCCGCACCTGGGCAGACTGCAGGTGCGGTCGACCGGAACTTGAAATTAAGGTTTCCCCGCGTGTGCACCTGGCAAATTCGAAAGCTCTTCCTTCATCGCTAAATTCCGCTCTCCCTGTTCCTGTAACAACACGTCCGCTAAACAACAAGGAATGGAATCCCGAGACTCTGCAGAGCCAAGACCTAAGCGTTCAAAGTACGCTTCGAATGCGTGGTGAGCCATACTCTTGGAATAAAGCGCCGTTGATTTGATATCTGATAATTGTACAGCGAATTCTGTCAACGACGGAAGATCAAGGTCAGTCCCGTGCAGCATGGACCCTAGCCAATTACGGAACTAATTCAGTAACAGTGCGATGGACAGGAGCCTTGTCATCCGTGCTCGTCGAAGGGCCGTCAGTGCATCCGTCGACGACTGACTGAACGTCACGACGGACAACCTGTAGCCAGTGTCAATCAGAGGCGACCGCGAATTCCCGCAGCCAGAGTCAGGGCTTCGAGTCCGAGCCGGGACTCGCGTCCGATCAACGACCTTGCAGCCTCTCAACTGGTTCTCGACAGAATTGAGGAACTGCAGGACCAAATCTCACTGCTTGCAAATCAGGTTGCGAGGCCGTCCGAGCGGAGTCCTTCCGGGTCACCATCCAGCGGACCACGGCCCGATGTCCCTGGTGATGATCTCAATCACGAGGGTCTGGGTGAAACTCGACAGGACCAACAGGAACGTGCCTATGGCGAGATTTCCATTGAGTACACCTTGCAGCAGGTCGAGCGGAGCATTGACAACCGGCAGCGGACGCCGCCGGCTGCTAGGGAGTCTCGTGGTCCCTCTTCATTGCCGGCCTCGAATGCACATGAACCCACCTCTTCCAGACTGAAACTACTTCGCTGTTTCCAGCAACATGATTTGCAGCCAAATCGTCTAGAGTGGGACCGTCTGTTCAACGAATTTCGCGACTACGTTTATCCCCTATTCGCATTCATTCCGGTCGCTGCACTCGAATCCGCTTACACGAGGATGTGGTCTACCATGGATAACGAGCCGCACGTAGTGGAAGGAGACGTACTGCGCGGAGAGGACAGATTGCCACAGGTGTTGATATGTCTCGCACTGGGTCGCTGCACCCATTCTGTGCGAATCCCGGACTCTGAAGGTTCCAAGTCGGCAGGCTGGAAATTCTACACCGCCGCCACTTCGATGGTCACAGTTTTGCTAGACGCTACCCGGGACACAGGGACTACTATATTGACCCTGCAAACGTGGACACTCATGGTATGGCGTTCCAAGTAAGTCCTTTTCGTGTCGTGGCTTACTTTTTACGTCGCAGATTTGGTACCTTGTCCGCCTCGAGGCAATTCCTTTGGCCCAGAAAATGGCAGGAGTTGCCGTTGTTGAGGCGCAATGCTTGGGTTTACACCGAGAAAGAACTCTTGGGCCCATGACCTTTTATCAGGCCGAGGAAGTGCGACGCTTGTGGTACACACTATACATACTCGATCGTCGTCTTGCCTTGGACAGTGGACGCCCATTTCTGATCCAGGATCACAACTTTGATATAGCATTGCCCTTCGACATATCGGATGATTTTCTCAGTGCTCACGCGGACGCCAATAACGCTATCTGTAAAGCCGATGCTGAGACCGAGGAGACCACAAGAGCGGCGCAGACAAGTCCGATTGGGTACATGAAAGCTATGGTCAAACTTGCCTGTCTCGCAGGTAAGGTCTGGGACGCCCGATACAACGCTGAAGCCTCTAGACACATATGCGCACCCTGGGTGCTCAAGTCTTTGGAGGAGCATCTAACTTCCTGGAACCGCCAGCTCCCAAGCGGTCTGCGCTGGGACGGCCATGTCACGCAGACAGGTAACGCGTGGGAAGTTCGACAGTGTGTGTTGTTGCAGGTCGTAAGTACAACCCCTGCAGCCAAGTTGCCTTTCCTCTACTGTCTTCGTCAGCTGGTCACCTCTGTGCTAAACGCTGACATTTCAGCGTTCGTTGTGGCTGCGAGTGCTGCTCTATCGCCCATTCAAACAAGATTCAGAATCCGCGAGCTTTGTCGATGCCACATCAAGAGCTCTAGTCCTCGCAAACGAGATTATCAGCATATACTCGACCACCTTTCACTCGCAACAGCTCTATCATTTCCCATTTCTTCAGTACTTGCTATCTGCCGCGTCAGTGGTTTTGGGAATTATTGCACGCGACGCACCACTACGGCAGACCTATGAGGAGTCCGTCCGTATTGCAACACGGATGATGCGAACGTTTTGTCGCAAAACATGGGTGTCTGGAAAGACAGCACGCTCTGTCCAGCGCTTCACCAATGCGGCAACAAAAATCCTTGGATGGCGGGCGGAAGAAATTCTGTCCAGCTTTCCTTCCCCATCGCACGGCAATCAGTCGCTCCGGTATAATAGAGGCAATGTGCTGCAACTCGATCGGGCCATCAACAATGGATTTAGTAGCAATAACGACATTGACAGAAATGTCCCGTTTTATGATTGCGTTGCAGCAGCCTCAAGGCTGTCTCAGGGACAAAGTGAAGATCTAACCACAAGACGTGCGTATGAGGCCCTGCCACGTAGTTTAAGTACTGCAGACCGCTTCACAACATCACAAGCTGGCCCGTCAAGCCTACGAAGCGGCGAAATTCACAGAATATCGCAAGACCATCAAGATCGGTCAAAGAGTCAGGATCGAGGACCAATGATCTCCTCAAGTACTGGAAAACATACACAGCGGCCAGCCAACCACAGTCATCGCCCTGATGAAGTGGAAGACCTATGGCCACTGATAACGGATGACTTTCCCTTCGAGATGGGTTTTGGGAACCTCAGCACTATCAACAATAACAACGCCAACACCATTTGGGATCCCTCCGAGGCTGGCGCTGGAGGTGTGCCTCTAGAGAACGATACTGGGATGACTACAAGCCTCGAAGCACTACGATTACCGTTCAATTACACGGATGATCTCTGGTCGGGCTGGACGGAGGATCCGTTATAGTCCACTGCACCAATCATTTTCGCAGCCCTTCATGGCATAAAATGTCAGTGGACAAACATAACGAGTGCTTTTTGTTGATTCACAGTGGATCTCTTAAGATTACCTTCTGCGGTAGAAATTGTCAGTGCGCACAGATACGTCACATTGGAGGGATATATGTCATGTAAAGGGTGGTATGTTGCCCTCAACATCGTGTAACTGTGTAAACGAGGACCTGGAGATACGAGGTGGTGAGGCCTGGCGTGGAAGTAGCTCCATCGTGCTCTCAGGCATATGGGGACAGATTCTATCCAACTTGGCCGGCAACCTGATGAACGATCGTAGAACGCTGCCGGTAAGGTGTCTGTAGCAGCGCAGAAATTCACTCTCAGGTTAATCATCCAACTCGACGGTGTCTGGGTTCACTCCCGCCACTCATACGTAGGTACATCTTACGACCTCAGGTGCAAGGTTGGAGCCTCCGTTGAGATATCACTACGGACATTCGCCATATAGCTGAGTTCATGAAATAGAAGTAATGCTGTGACCGTTACGAGATTCTCGCCTGCGTTCAAGAACGGGGCAATATCTACTGTTTCGTGGAACCACAGGTTGACATTCCCTTCAAAAAGGCCAAAAGGCCCTCTCTTTCGACCAGCGAAAAGCCGATCTCGCGTCCGAAGGGATTTCAGAGCATTCAGTACGCCACAATCACGTGCTATCATGCTGCTGTGCTGCCATTCTACTTTGCACGCCCCTCGCTCGAAAATGGAGCTCATGAAGACACTGAGTTCCGGTACAGCGCATCATCGGCATTACAACGCGCAGACTGGCATTGAAAATCGTGCCAGGATTTCGTTGCGGGCCACGTCGTCGATGTGGGCGATTGGTACCCTCGTCTCAGGTTGTGCGTCGAACTGGTCGGGCTTTGACTAGCCGATGCCTCTGCCTTGAAGTCCGAGGGTTGGCCGAGGCTCAAGCCATGCCCTTCAATTTCCGAGTCCGCCCGGCCGGTGCAAGTGCACCTTCATATACTGCTGCTCAAGGAAGTCGCTATTTTGACAGTCACAGAACCTCAGCTTCGAGATAGAACCATGACCGACAAGCCGACTTAGGCATTGAGCCCGGGAAGCGAATTGAGAGGCAAGCAGGAAGTTGCTGCTGTACGTAGGACCTTGTGTGATGACGTCAAGCCTCTGCAACGCCTATGGGATCTCGACTTGTACACGCCGTCAGAACTATTGCTTATAATTGACACCCTCGCCAGACGTACGCAGCGATCGATTTGTCCGGCTTCTGCTGTTGAATTATTCTTGCAATATTTCCCACTCCGCGACGGAGCATGGACTACAATTCATCAGAACTCCCACAGTTTGGGACACGCTCCATGGCCGCCCCAAGCATCTTTGTTCCCTTACTCTTTCTGGCGATCTTCGTACTCACGAACCTCAAGAGCCTGCCCATGGTATGGAACGTAAGTACTCCTTCTCCGCAGCCTCTATGCTGATCGTCGTCCACCCAATCTTTATTCAGTCTACACAAACTCATCGATCTGGTTCACCAACCAGTTTCGCCTTCTCAGTTTCCTCTGGCAATTCCGCTCCTGGCGCTCTCCGCAAAGCACACCGGAGGTCACCATCTTCCGGCCGCTGCTAATGCGTACACGCTCGCCACTCCTCGAAACCGACCTGTACCTGCACAAGAATAATGCCACCTACATCAGCGACGTCGACATTGCGCGGTGGCATTTAATCATGGCGCTTTTCCTTCCCGTGGTCCGCTTCGGCCCAAGTCCCAGCAGTCTCGGCGAGGCTTCTGCTGAGGCTTCTACTAGTAATGATCACCACAGCGTCGTTGACGCTCACACAAACACACATCGCCGTGGCATGCTCCAAGTGATCCTCGGCGGAGTCTCATGCACCTTCAAGCGTGAGATTAAGCCTTATCAACCTTACGAGATCTGGACACGCGTTCTCACGTGGGACGATAAGTGGATGCACTTTGTTTCGCACTTTGTACGTGCTGACAATGTCCCGAGACGTGGCTGGGTCTTGCAGCCGCGGAAAGCGGGCCAGAGAAGGTGGACGGGCATAGAAAGAGATGCAACGCCGCAGTCAGATAAGGCGCTCTTAGCGAGCGCGTTGTCGCGATGTGTGTTTAAGAATGGAAGGGTGACGGTGAGACCAGAGGTGATTGTCAAACAGGCTGGCCTTCTGGGCTGTGACAAATCAGAAGCGAGAACGGATGGCATGTGGGACACAGAACAGGTGGAGATGGAAAGGCTTAGGGGCTTGAAGGTGGTAGAAGCGACGGCGAAGGAGGCGGGCGGGTTGCATGACTTGTTTGAGCCTGCCGGTGGATCGGTGTTGGGAGAGTACGAAGACGTGTGGGCATGGGTTCCCTTCTTGGGATGAGACATGTAAGCAAGGAGAGCGCAAAGACTTGGGGCAGATAGAGTCTAGAGATAACGACAGAATTGCGAAATCTAGGCCTCGGGAGTTCTCATTCTAGATCGTGGTTCCCGATGTTCCTGGACTGTCTACGAGTGGTGTTCTGTACCGGTAAGCTTGTGGCTTTTCTGTAATTCAAGGCAGAAAAGGCTTACTATGCAGGCTATGAAATAATGGATATCAAGAAATCGTCACCTCCAACATCACGCACTACACCAGCACACTTCTGTCCCTCTCTGTGAACTGAATCATCGGGCCCTTCTTCGCAGAGGTCACATGGTCCCAAAGCTGATACTCCTCACTACGGCGTCTCTGTTCGCTGCAGCCGCTCCATCCCCCTTCGCCCAGAGTCCTCTCCTCGTCACTACCGACATCGCTCTTTCGGAAATCAAATTCTGCCATTAAAAGTGCCATGGTCAGCATCATCTCCGCCTTCGCGAGATGCTGGCCCGCACAAGCGGTCAGCCCCGCCGACCAAGCGTTAAAATATGCTTTGACCACTGTGGTGTCTTCTTCTAGCCATCGCTCCGGTCTCCATACAAATGGATCAATCAGGCGGCGTGATGCTGGATGGCGTAGACACCAGTGCCGACGCTGGTGCCTTCAGGAAGGAAAATGCCGTCGACAACGGCGCCGCCGGGAAGTATCTCGCGCGGGAGGATTGAGCCAACGGGAGGAGTCATACGAAGTGTCTCGTCGATGCAGGCGCGAAGATAGGCGCAGGAGGAAAGACTAGTGCCGAGTGAGACGCAAGTTGTATCCGGGAAAACAGTGCGGAGCTCCGTGGCCAGCTTTCTGTAGGCGTTGGGATTGCGAGCAAGATAGAAGAGGAGCGCTGACAGGGTTGTCGCTGAGGTGTCGGCGCCCGCTATGATTAGCATGGCGCTTTCGGAGATCAGACTTCCTCGAGTGCGTTTCTTGTTGGTCAGAGGGTCGGGTGTGGTCATCAGGCCGCCGAGTATGTCGGAACACAGGGTTTCGGATGAATTCGGAGCGAGTCGGGCTTTGACAATATTGTTGACGAAGGCCACAAAGCGAAGACCGGCAAGGCACTCCTTAGTGAAGAGTAGCCGGTCGAAGTTCAGTGTCTGGAGAACCGGGAGATAGGAGAGAACGATGGACCGAACCTGAGTGGTTTTGATGTCTTCAATGAGGGAGCGGATGGTTTCCTGGGTGGCAGCATTCTCTACGGTGTTGAATTCGAGACCGAACGCGACTTTGCACATGACATCAAGCATTGTAAAGTCCACTGAAGAGGTCAGGCGGGTGGACGACATTTGAGACCGGTTGGTAAGACTTACGCCAGTCCGCCATGTTGAATGGAAGTGTCCACCCACTTAAGGAGCTTTGAGAAGTAGGTATCCGAGTGGATCTGGATATACAAGCCAAAAGTCGATGGACGGCTTCGATAATCGTAGGCTCGTGCTCGCGAACGGCTTGCTGAGAAAGGCTTTTGCTGATGAACTTTCTCCTTAGCCGGTGAATAGCCTCGTCGTGCGTACTTATGGTGTTGGGGATCGAGGCGAGGAGGGAGTAGCCAGAGTGTTTCTTGGTCTTGTCGGTGACTCGGTAAAGGTCTAATAGTAGTATAAGATTGGTTGACCATGGCGGAAGAATAGGACCGTATTACCATGTAAAGCACCTGGGGTGTTCATAAGGAGCGTATTGGGAACCCAGCGGACATATGGCCCTATCAAACGTCTCAGTCGAGGAACTCGCAGCCTCATAGTCCGAGTACTCACCATATTGCTCATGTAACTTATGTATCTGCAGGTGGGGATCACCTCGCCAGTTGTAGTAGGCAGCATACAGACGACTGACTCGTGCCAGCCATGGGCCTGGATATCGTGCGAGAGGGTGAAAGTGTAAGTTATATATGCATCGAAAAATAACCTATCGACTAGGTTAGTGTCCCAGGTAGTGATCGAGGGAGAAGTCTCACGTATGTGACGGCAGCTGCCAACAACGAGCAGATCGCTTTTCGAACACTGAGGTTCACTTGGCCGGTGTTGTATCGCTGTGAAAAATGTAGGGGTATACCATACTGGTCCGTACCAGTCTCGATCCTTGTTGATTGTAAGAAGCAGATTTCTGCCAGAGAAGACAGCATGTTGTTCACCGGCAGTCGAAGCAGTTGCACAAGGGAGACTCTCAGTGTACGGCTGAGAATCCGAGCAGTTGTTATGCTTATCAACAGTTGAGCCGCGCTGAGACCTCAGACGGGAGACAACTGTTTCAAACATGCTGAATGCTAGGGCGAAGTGACTGGGGTACACAGTATAGACACGCGGGAGTTGTTTACGCTGGACCTTTCGGAACTGGCTTCCAAGTCAGGACACCCGATAGGGGAGCCGCAAGCCATACAGACCATGCTCACACCTTTTGTGGCCTTGGACGGACTGTCCGCAAGGCTTACTATGTGCAGTGAGGTTGTATTGGCGGAATGCGCAGCCCTGTGCCTCGTTTCAAGCCACATGGCAGTGCCATTCATGCAACCGCCCTACGCACGTACCAAGGCGGTCTTGAAAAGCTTCAGAAAGCTTGTTCCGACATTCCTCCAAAACCCGCGGCTCCAAAGCTTGATATCGCATCCTTGCAGGAGCTGTTCTTTTTCAGCTTCGTTTCACAAGCCTGGGAACTTTGGAGAAGCAGCGTGCGAGTAACTGGCCTGTACTCCCACGTTCTACATCAACGAGCACCTGGATAGTCACCACACTAGTCCAAATGTAATCTCCATCGATATGGACGCGTATGCAGTCCACCGAAATAGCCATCATTTTCGGGGCACATGCCTAGGCTTGACCCTCGCATGCACCGATCTCAGGTCTCTACGCACAAGCCACCACAAACAACAATCTGCCCCAATCTCATCAGTTTGGCATGTGGCAGGTACGCAACCGATAATCTATAGATTTGCATGGAACAGTGGTATGCCTTTGCCCATGACTCTCATGTACGAGTCGTTGCGAGCAGAGTGGCTAATAGAGGAGCTCCCGTAGCGCATGACTCGGTGGTGACAGCCTGAAGAAGGTGGTACTGGTCTGACTCCTCTTGCTCGAACAATTCTTGGAAACATTGTGAACATACCGTTGTGACTGCGATGAAAGGGTTCGGAAACACATCGCGCGAGCATGGAAGAACCACCTTAGCGCCCGATTTTGAGTGGTCTACCTCGTTTACGCGTGGTTGTACTGGAGCCAAGCAGAGGGTCGCAAACTCATGCGCCCGAGCTCTATCTCCAAACTTAGCACAAGCTTCCATAGTGCAGCCCCACGGCTGCAAGTCTTTTCCCAATCAACCTTCTGCTGTGCGAGTTGTTCATGCATGCCAGCCTAAAAGGGGTACTTGTAGCCTTCGTCAAAGTCTCCTTCACCGCTGATGGGTCTATGGAGATATTCTAGTGGTCCCGATAATAAGTCTCGCACAACGGAGCAGCTCTGTACTTTTGTACTCAAGCATGGAGCATACGTTGGAAGTCCACGCATTATTGCTCCCAACATATCATCACCTCTTCGCCATAGCCAGCCAAGCTACGTACTACAACATGCTAGCACTCTGACATGAGCCGTCGTCAGACACACTACTGATATGGCAGGAAATGATGTCCTAACCGGATCCGCGCCAGCCATACTGAAGCCTTACACCATCAACCATCAACTCCGGCCTGGTTCTGCACTCATTGTATCCGCCAAAGAATATGTTTTCCCGCAAAGCAAGCTCGAGCAACCATGCGATGTGATACGCGAGCCAGTGACACCAGACGATCTTGTTTGGGACGACGAAGTCGATCCAGACAATCCACGGAATTGGCCACAATGGCAAAGGATATACTGCACAGCAATTCCAGCACTTCAGCTATTAATCATGTGAGTCGGCGATTAACTTTCCAATACCGTCGTCAGCCCATCTGGCTAGCTTCTAACTGTCAGACAAGTACGATGGCATTATCGTCCTATGTACCGGCTACTCCAGGCATTCAAGAGCACTTCGGTACTACCTATCAGGTCACAACATTGGGGGTATCTTTATACCTACTAGGCTTAGGCATCGGGCCATTGCCCATCGCTCCGTTGTCGGAGATGTTCGGCCGACGACCTTTCTACTGCTATGGGATACCACTGTTACTGCTTTTTACCATCGGATCGGCGTCTGCCAAGAATATTGGTGTCCTGCTTGTCTGTCGTATCCTTGGTGCGTTACTGGGATCCGGGGCATTGTCTGTTATTGGAGGTGAGTAGCGATACTCAGACGCTTCTAGCCTACGGTAACACAAGGAATAGGTACAGTGCTAGACATTTGGGACATCAAGAAGGGCGGTGAGTCCACGACCCACGTGTCATTACACTCGAGCTCAATCTCACTGGTAGAATTAGGTGCCCTCGCAGCCTGCATTGCGACATTGACACCGCTTACCGGGCCGGTCATAGGCCCTGTCGCTGCTACTTACATCATATCCGACCGTCATAATGACTGGCGCTATGGCCTCTGGGTAAACGTTTTCGTCGGCACCCCCATCTTCATCCTTACCTTCCTCTTAAGGGAAACGTACGGACCACAGATCCTGATGAAGCGTGCTAAACGCCGAGGCATCGCACTCCAAGACACAAGGCCGCGCAAAGAAGCTGCCATGCACATCCTCCACATCGCATTCACCCGGCCAGTCCACATGCTACTCACTGAACCACTTGTCCTCCTCCCTGCCTTCTACGGCGGCTTCACCTACCTCCTCCTCATCAGTTTCCTGGGCAGCTATCCCTACGTAAGTCTCTTGCCACAAGGCAGCCGCGCGCAGTGCGCAATCTCTTCACACTCCCAGGCTCCCATGCCCAGAACACTGGACACTGACCTACTTCTTACTTCGACAGGTCTTCGAAGCCATTTTTCATTTTCAACCCAAAGCCGTCTCTCTGGCCTTCCTCGGCATTTTGGTGGGTCTCTTATTGGGCATCATCGGCTACATAGCGTGTGCCATCACGGTGAAGAAGCGCGCGCTCGCCGGTGACCCTACCGCTGAGGTTCCAGAAGCTCAGTTGAGGCCTGCCCTGATTGGCAGCGTCCTGTTGCCGACAAGTTTGTTTTGGTGAGTATCTCTTATAAGGTCCAATCTCCTCTTCCGGATGTCATCCGCAAAGACAATATTCTTATCGTCATGATGTCCTAGGTTTGCGTGGACTTCGAGAGCCTCGGTCCATTGGATGGCGCCAGTACTTGCAGGCACGGCCTTTGGTGCTGCAATGGTCATGATATATTTCACTGTCATCGTATATGTAAGTGGTGGCGCCCACCTAATCATACTAACCTCTCCGCCTGGGGCGACGCTTCATCTCGTATCGTCGCTGTTACTAAAAGGTCCCAACAGATGGCACATATCTACCCACTCAGTGTCTCCGCCTCTTCCCTTGCCGCTGTTGGCCTCCTTCGCTACCTAATGAGCGCTTTCGCTCCACATTTGGTACTCCCGATGTACGAAAGGCTAGGTGCGACATGGGCGGGGAGCGTGTTCGCCTTCATCAGTCTGGCACTTTTGCCCTTGCCTTGGGCTTTCTGGAAGTGGGGCAGGCAATTGCGGGCGAGGAGTCAGTACGAGACGAGTCGTGCGTGAGGGAACAATAGAAGAGGACGGCAAAGATAGGGTCTCCTCAATCGGGGTAATTGGTCTCGACCAATATACCAGCTGAAGCCGCACGAATCCGGGAACCCTAGTAATAAGGGATTTCATCTTTGTTGTATGAGCCTTCAATCGTTCCCTTATTCGTTCTGTATCCTACCTGCGTAATCTGTGCTGTGCTGCGCCCTACCATCGTGCAACCAAGGCTGGTACACTGTGCCTATCAGTCGACAGGGGCGCGACTATTTCCGAAGCGTAGAGTCATCAGCGGGAGCACAATCGATGCATTGTAAGAAGGATCGTCTCGGTAGGGTCATCCCCGATGTCAAGTATGTGTTGGCCGGATGTCCGAGGATCAGCAGCTAACAGGCTCCAGCCTCCCTTACTTGTCATGGTCTTCATTCACACCAGCTCCTACGCCATTCTTCACGCCTATCTCGGATTTTTCCCCATCCAAGACAACACCTCCACTTTGCGGCCCTCTGAAATGCCGGCGACCGGTGGTGAACCACGTTATCAACGCGATGAACATGATGACGCCCACGGCAGCCGACGTGTAGTTCATGTTGTCGGCCGTGACCGGCGACAGACCCGGAAAGTTGAAGGTAATCACCGTAAACAATAGATACACCAGGCCGATGGCGTTAAGCGGTATGCTCCACTTGCCCAGATGGTATTCTCCACCGATTGATCGGACTGGCTCCGACGTCATCAGAGAGAGAAGCCGAGCGAGCAGCGGCAGCGCATATGAAACGTAAAAGCCTTCTGTCGCAATGGCAATGACGGTATTGAATCCTTGCACGGCGCCGAAGTATATTGCAAGCAGTGCCCATTGGACGGCAACCGTGAGGCAAAGGCCATTGACCGGCGTTGCATTGCTGGTCCGGACTTTCGAGAAGAAGGCGGAGAAGGGAAGTCCGTGATCGCGTGCAAAGGCATAGACCGCTCGTCCTCCCGTGGCTGTGAGGCCATAGGACGCGCCGTAGCCGACAACCACAATCAAAGCTGCAAGGCCACTTGCCCCAGCTTCGCCAGTGGAATAGCGGAAGATCTCGATCAATGGGACGCCAGTAGGCCCAGTAGCGACGGCTTCGACGTCACCGATGCAAAAGCATGCGGCAACCAAGAACACAAAGCCTGTCACGAATCCGATGTAGACCGAAAGTACGATGGCACGAGGAGCTTGCTTCCGAGCATCCTTGATTTCTTCAGTCATCCGGCTCGCGCTGTCGTAGCAACTGTATTTATTAGCGAAGCACAATCCAGCGACCAACAACATACCACATGCCGAAGGCGGCCTGCAAGAGTCCCAGAATCGCTGCGTAGGAATCGGAGAATCCTGTCAGATTCACGAAATCGGAGAAGACGAAGCTCGCGGAACTCTTGTTATTGTTCATCGCAAGGATCGTGACGACAACAATGACAAAGCTCGAAAGGTTACTGCAAGCGTCAGCCTTAAGAGACCCATGGTGGTGTCCGAACTCACAGTATGAGGAAGCCCTGCGATGTGGCATTGAGCAGACGCGTGAAGAAGACGTTGAAGACCAGGGTAGACGCGGCGATTGCCCATCCAACGAGGACAGTATGCCAGCGCTCAATGACGAAGCTTGGGTTGTTGAGAGTCGCAAGGCCGAGAATGAAGTTCGCGGTCACGAAATGACTAGTCGCGCCCATGGCCAGAATTCCGATGAGCAGAAACCATCCGCAGACATAACTCATCGTCCGTCGCATGCTTTTGGGAGCAAACAATGCCACCCACGCATACTGACCTCCTGCCACGGGGTACGCAGAGCACATTTCCGCAAGACTGTACGCCACGGCAAGCGTCAGCACGCATATCGCGATCCATGACCAAACAATCACAGGCGGTCCGCCAGATGTGACACCGATGATGAGGACGCCTCCCAGTGCCGACCAAGACGTAACAATCGCGAAAGAGAAGCCAATAATCCCAATAAGGTTGAAACCGCGCTTGAGCTCTTGATTGTATCCCAGCTTGTTCAGTGCCGCAACCTCTGCTTGACTGACGTCGTCAGCGCGACTCTCGGGGACGCTACCCTCCGACTTTTTGGTGAACATTGCGGCTGAACAGGTGCTTCAGTAGAGCCAGAGACAGCGACAGGACGCATGGTCTAGGAGATCGCAAGAGCGAAAGGACAAAGCATGATTATATCTGTTGCGCGATTGCTTGACATTGAGATGCTGTAACGTCCATGCTCATTGCCCAGAGATAAGAGCTCGGCATTTAATCCCTGCATTTCTTCCGTCGGAGATCGACGAGCGACGATCCTCGTACGCTTGCCGCGAAGCAGATAGGCGTGCAGCAAGCACGAGGCACTTCAACGGTTGGGCTTGGGAATGCTCAAGGCACGGCGCGTCAAGCTGTCAAGCCACTCTGCGTCGAGGTCGTTGAATGAATTCGTGATCGCTGCTGTTCAGGTTGCCTGTCGACGCGTCGAGCGCGGAAAATAGCAGGCCTGCAGCTCGAGGACGGCTTGACTGGCGTGAGAGTAAATCACTGACGTGCATCTCGCCGGCTGATCGGTGCTGCTCTTTCGCGATCTCATCGTAGGCGGCGTAGGAGTCGTTTCGGAAGGTGTCATCGGGCGCGCGTTAGCCGAACGCATGCCAATCGCGGTTTGCCATTATCGTCGCTACGTTGTCTTCAGATACTGAAGTTGTTAAGGCGCTGCTTCGAGTATGCTCTCGCATTTCTGTCAGCAATGTAACGAGCTGTCAATGTGTGTCGTGGAGGAAGTTGAAGAGTTTTTGAATGCAGGCGGGTCCTAGGCGTGTGATGGGGCAGGCCTGATAGGATGGGGGTGCCTTGCGGCCTGAAAATGGGGAAGCAAGAAAACTTGGGGCTTGGGCTTAAGCATATTGCCAAAGACTTTCCGCTAGCAGCACCTGCGCATCTAACCTCGTCAACGTCAGCATCAACATCGACCTCCACACGCGACTTTGAACTTTGACTGCCGCGTGTTGGTGTCTACAGTGGTGCCTGGGTCGGTACCTCGAATGTGGGAGCCAGAGGATCGCCGTCATCGTACTCTTTTGTCATTTCTGGTTTTCGCAGAGTGTGTACAACGGCTGCACTTGGTAGACAACGGAGCTCTCGGATCCTTCCACCCACAATCTGAAAGTTGGCTGCCTCGAGGCTATCAACCGCAATCAACGACCAACATGTGTGCGCTGCGCTGTCTGATCCCTAATGACATTGTCGCTTTGCAGCGGCTCTTGGTGCATATCGGCCCTGCGTCCCCAGTACGCGGTTGCCTGAGTTTTGGGTCCCCCATGAGTGCAAACCGACCCGTTGTAGCGCCAACGCGGCTTCGAGCGCTGGCCCGCAGGAAACGCGTACAGAGCTCAAACGAAGGCTTCCGAAAGCCCCTCCAGGTACACCGCCATGCTTGCACTCTAGTCACCAGGCTAGCTCTTTGACCCGGCCCATTGCTACCCGCTGAGCCTCTCTAGCAAGCCTGACCCGAGCACTAACCCCGAGCACACTGATCGAGCAGGTAGCAGAAGGAACAGCGAAGACGTGTGAGAAGCCGAAGAACAACGTCGGCGATCTACCACTACTCAACAAGCACCTAGGAAGTTGTCCAAGCGGAACATCGGACGACGTACAGCTCGTGCCATGCCATGCGCTCGAACCAATTTGCGCTGTCTTTATCGGCCCATGTGGACGCGAGAGCCAGCAATCATACCTCACGGCGCCCCGGGAAGCTGCGGTCATGTACTCAGGCGTCGGACTGACTGCCGGCTCATCCACAGCCCTTTCACCATGTTTTCCGACCCAGACATCGACACTTTGCCAAGCTCGCCCACTCCTGAATCGTCGAAATCGTTGGGAGTACCCATCGCCTCGAGCGTTGCAAGGCTATCGATGCATGGCCTGACGAGGGTTGATTCGACCGCGAAGCCTCTGGAACCGCTGTATCAGACATATGCCATGCAAGTCTCACCTCGCTGATCTCACAACAGGAGGATTGAAGCACAAAGATGCTCCACGAGGTCTTACGCTGGCCCGTCAGTCATTTGGTCAGAGTGCAACATCAGCCGTCAGCCGCTGCTGGAGTGCGACTTCCTCAAAGAGCTATGCACAGAGTCCGGCTGCCAATACCACAGCGACAGCATGGCAGTCAACAGGTTGTCCTTCCCCATGAGAGTAGACTTGTACAAGACTGCAAACGGGAATCGCGGGTAGCCATCGAACCCAAATCATGGTCAGCTCGGATATCATGACCGGATGGCACGACCTTCCAGATTACGGTATGTAACCAGATACTGTTGCACGAAAACTCGCCTATGCTGTGCATGTGCGCAACTGTTTCATCCAACACATGTGAAAACCCGCCCATTCAACCATAGCCGTTCGGGACTGAGCCGGTGTCAACGGCGTAAATTGTAGTCAGTCATCCGGATCTAGTCGGCAACAAAGCAGGCGCGGCATACGCATCTCCAATCAGTGGAAGGATTACGAGCACCAGCACGAGCACAAAGTTCTCGATGAATTCTGCGCAGAGACTACACAACGCCGACTGATCACATGAGTCATCAGCTCAAACACACAAGTAGGGGACTGCGCACAACAACAATTCGGATCGTAGTCTTATCTGCTCCGAATTTAGCCCTACATCATCACTCGGTACGATCGAAGCCAGTGACGCCGAGTGGAGCTTGACTGCGGCGCCTCCCTGTCAGGCACAATGCTTGGCTCTTCTGTCAGCCCAATAGGCTCGCCACGCTTCTGAAGCTTAATCCCGACGGATCGTCATCGATCTCTCAATCCTCATCGAAATTCTTCCGCGCTTTCTTGAATCCTTGCTGCGATCCGATCGGGAAAGTCGATGGCGCACATCATAGTGTTTTTCATTGACGGCGAATGGCAATAATTCAATCCCGGCAGGTTCAACCGTGATGGTGTTCATCCGTCCCTTGGGCGACATGACGTGCCAACAGATATACAAATATTTCCGCCGCCGCAAAATGGTTTGACCAGAATCTTCAACCACTTTACTGAACACCCACCATAGCCATGGTGCCAGATCTCATCCGCGACTCAATTGCTGGCCAGCTAGTGCGCCTTGCTACGGGTAGCAAATTTCTCAAATACCCGGAGGAACGCGACTCCTCTCTCATCGACAAATACATCAACAAAGAGAAATCCGCCAATCTTGCCAGAACCGGAACTACTGAGTCTACTCCCGCTGCGGAGAAGTCAGAAACCCAAGAACCGCTCCAGAATAGCTCTGCAAACTCATCGAATTCGACACTCGCTGATCCAAATGCCCTCGTCAATGTTGCCAGCGGTGCAGCAGTCGATCCTGAGAAGGGACGAGATGGCGATGTGGTCGACTGGTATGGGCCAGATGATCCGGAGAATCCGCAGAACTGGTCGATACCCAAGAAGTTCTGGGCCACATTCTGCATCTGCTTCCTGACATTCTCCGTTTACATCGGGTCCGCCATCTACACAGCAGGCATCCAAGATGTTACCCGCGTCTTTGGCGTCAGCCAGGTCGCCGCCACTCTCGGCCTGACACTCTTCGTACTTGGTTACGCACTTGGTCCCATGATTTGGGCACCATTGTCGGAGATTCCTCAAATTGGCCGCAACCCCATCTACATCGGCACGCTGGCCCTCTTCGTCGTCCTTCAAGTGCCGACCGCTCTAGCGGTCAACTTCGGTATGCTTCTGGCCTTCCGTTTCATTACCGGCTTTGTCGGCAGCCCATCTCTTGCAACCGGCGGTGCATCAATCGCAGATATGTACACACCCGCAAAACGCACGTATGGCATTGCTGTCTGGGGCATCGGTGCAGTTCTAGGTCCTGTCATGGGTCCCCTCGTTGGCGGATTCGCAGCTGAAGCTAAGGGCTGGACTTGGACCATTTGGGAATTGACATGGCTCTCAGGCTTTGCGCTTGTGGTGCTGATCTTCCTTATGCCGGAGACTTCGTCGGCTAACATTCTATACCGACGCACTCGCCGTCTTCGCAAAATGACTGGCAACGACAAGTTGATCTGTGAACCGGAGCTCATCGGTGAACAGATGACTAATCAAGAGATCGTCCGGATGGTCCTCATTCGCCCATTCACCCTTGGTTTCTTGGAGCCAATCTGCTTCGCACTCAACATGTATATCGCTCTCATTTACGGCCTGTTGTACATCTGGTTCGAATCATTCCCCATCGTCTTCGTCGAGATCTACGGCTTCTCGCTCGGCACAGAAGGTCTTGCATTTATCGGCATCCTCGTGGGCGCCTTCGTCGTACTGCCACCATTCCTGTGGTGGTTCCACAAGTATACCGAGCCCAAGTTTGACGATAAAGGCGAATTGACACCCGAGTGGCGCCTGCCTCCCGCATTTGTCGGCGCGTTCTGTATTCCGATCTGTTTGTTCTGGTTTGCATGGACAAGCCGCGAGTCCGTTCATTGGATTGTACCGATCATTGGAACAGCATTTTTCTCCATTGGCGCTGTAAGTTCTCAACTATACGCTGTGCTGCTTGTCGCTAACACGCCTCAGTTCCTCCTGTTCAACGCTGTCCTCAACTACCTGGGCGATGCTATCCACAGTACGCTGCTAGCGTTTTGGCAGGTAATGATTTGATCCGATCGTCGTTCGGAGCAGGCTTCCCGCTATTCGCAAGCGCCATGTACAAGAAACTTGGCGTTGGATGGGCCAGCTCTCTGCTAGGCTTCTTGTCCATTGCTTTCATTCCGATTCCTTTCTTGCTCTTCAAGTACGGAGCATCTCTCCGCAAGAGGAGCAAGAACGCTCGACAGGATTGAAAGGACCGGCAAGGATACGGTGGATAGCCAAGGAGTGGGCGGAAAAGGTGCAATAGAATGTGTTTTTGAGCGTCGGCGTTTCGATATAGACCACCAGGGCGATCTGTAATTGCGTTGGTGATGCTCGAAGGTGTAATAGAATCCAAGCAACTAATCAATCATGTATTTATCTGCGTGGTTCTGCAACGCCATTCCCAAGACACAAAGATCATCAGCACCGCTTGCTTGCAATGATCTGGAGCATTGCTGGGTATCGTGGGACGAGATGCTTTCAGCGTAGACGTTTGACTTTGAGTATAGTCTTCACTGCGGCCAGAGATGCCCTTGCGTATCGCAAGCTTGGTGCTTGGTGTGGAGGCCAGTGAAATGAGGCTTGCACCTGTGTGAGTTCGCCATTGAGATTGTGTGCCGCGAAGTCGAATACGGCGCGACCACGTCGGATGCTCGGCGTGAAGCTCCCTCACTCATTGGCTGCTTTGCTTGGCTTGCCAAGGTTTCGAAACTCCGCCAGCCGGATGACTGCAAGCATCCTCCAAGTTTGAGGCCGAGCTACGATGCACGTACCAAACGTTTCTGCCTCTCTTCGCCGTGTGCCTTGACCTTAGGCGAAGCTATGTCACCCTGGCAGAAATCTAGTACATCTCAAGATCAGGTATGATGTGAAAAGCGTGTGCCTGCGCCAGATAGTCAAGGACGCCGGGTGAAAGCTAGAAACGTTTATATTTCCATTTCAGCGTTATGAGGCAGTGCCTCGAAGCCTGGATGGATCATGTCTCTTGTTTACGGCCTGCACGCTGCTGCAAGCTATGATTTCCACGGGCCGGACAGACTCGAATGGTCGCGCAATAGCATGAGCGACCAGTGCCGATTCCGCTTGACGCGCAGGCGGCTTTCGCAAATTCTCACGTTCACTAATCTAACGACATCGTGCAAGATCCGATGCTTTGTAGGAACAGGTCCATAGCATGGCTGTCCAACGTCGGCTTGCTTCTTCGGCAGACGAGGATCCTTCATTCAGCTGCGCTCCTCGCTTTAGGCGTCCTTCTCGTGGTGAAGCGAGTCAGAGTGGTCGGACGAAGCCTCGGTCACGCCCAGGGCGCCCGAAATGTTCCCCGCCATCACGAAAGAGGTTAAGCAATATGCGAAAGTATAACATCCTCGGATCTCCGCCCAGTACTGTACTTATGGTCCGCTGAGGTCTTCCTGCTAGCGCAAGTGTTTGTCACCACGCCGATATGGCCACAACTACAGCATTTTCACCGCGACAGTGCGTCGACGTCTCGACATATCCCAAGCTCGACCATAAGCAAGCCGGGCACTTGCGCCACTTCCACAACCTGACTGCTCAACGCGATGGAGAATGGAAGCATTTCGACACTGCCGAGTACTTCCAGGAGTTTGACGACAGTGCTCGTTACCAACTGGCCACCATGACATACGCAGCCGGAGCCGCACACTACCATCGACTACCTGCGCTTCGCGGTCCTTTCCGCACCCTCTTCCGGCAGATCATCGCAAAGATGCTTCGACGGGAGGTTTGGGCATACTGGTTTCTCAGCAGTCATGGCAGCAAGATGTTCGACCCCAGCATGACGAAGCTGCGTGATCCGTGGGCGGATCCGGTCATGAAGGAGAACATAATGTACAGTGGCCATCTTCTGCTGATGACGAGCTTGTACACCATGCTGTTCGATGACGACTTGTATGAGAAGGATGATGCGATTGTCTTTGACTGGAATCCTCTCTTCACCGGGTTAGGTCCGGAGCGGTACACGTACTCGGTGAGCAAACTGCAGGATGTCATTCTTCGGCAAATGGAGGAGAACGACTGGGCAGGGGTGTGCTGCGAGCCAAATGCTATCTTTGTCGTTTGCAATCAATTTCCGGTAGGCGACGCTGCTTGGTGAAAATAAGACACGACTAACGAAACAGCTAATTGCGGTCCGGTACAACGACGTCCGGAATGGCACGAATGTGATCGGCGACGTCTTACCGAAGTACAAAGCCGCACTGGTCCGGAAAAGCATGATCAATCGAGACGACGGCCTGTACAGCAGCTTCTTCGCGTTGAAGCAAGGCGTTGCCATGCCAGCCCGGCAAGGGGCCCACACTGCGTGGTAAGATCCACGAATTGGCAGCCAGCTATCGAATGTGCTGACTGTGTCAAGGGCTAATGCTTTCATGAACTCCTGGAACTCGGACTTCGTGTATGAAGGCTATGAGCGATCCACGCTGGGCTCGCTGACCCACTTCAACGGCAAGACGCAGCTGCACCCGGCACGCGTCGCCAACGCATTCCGCAAGCTGGTGTCCGAGGGTGCTGACAAGGACGATCCACAGACTCTCAGGAAGGCACAGGATCCATCATGCCACGTTGTCAATCCTCGGATGCCATTCGAAACACTGAATTGGGGGACGTTTACCATGATGCTCTCGGAGCTTGGGAAGGACAAGGAGTTGACAGACTTGTTGCAGTACTTAGACGAGAAGCTGAATCCCACATGGGAGAATGGCGGATTGTTCTATCCTCGCAACGATCATTTGGCTGATGAGGAATGGAATCTTACCCACGTCGAGCCGCACTCTGGTAATTCGGGAGTCGGCTACGCCAGACTGAACATCAAGGACGGGCAGAAGAAGATGTGGGAGAAACCGTGGACATCAGACCTGCTGGCCAGTCGCCCATACATCGAAGGGCCGACGTTCGCGGATGACATAGACTTCCTGCGCGCCATCTGGGACGAAGATCATTCTGCTATGATATTGACAATACGGCGTTGGCAGGGTCCGTCGAAACCGCAGAATATCACCGTTAAGAATCTGCAACAGGGAGACTGGGCAGTCTTCGTTGGTGGGAAATTGTCGCAGCAGACTAGCGTGAATGAGGGCGGCGAGGTCTCGTTAACGTGCGATGTGGGACAAGAGGAGGTCGATGTCGTCGTTGAGAGCGCTTCCAGGTAGTCATTGTAACGACTGACCGTAGATCGAAGCAGGTTCGGCACATTATGCTGTGTCTGTTCTTCGTTCGGCCTGCAGGGCCATTCGTCCGCTGGGCCTGCTCGTCTGCCACAGCTTGAGCTTAGACCTTTTGACAAAGATCAGTGAAGAGAGGCCGCCAAAAGCGAAGCCGAGATCCCGAACAGGTGTGCAGCCTTCTCTCCTTCGCAACAATCGTCAAGTGCTTCCGCTTCAGTATCTGTCGGAAGTGGCACAGGAGTAGAAGACGAACTGGATCAAACAGATGCGCAGGACCGCAAATTTGCAAAGCAAAACACGCGTCGAACGCGATTGCCTCGGCTCGTTGTACGCGTTGAGCCCTGACGTCACCATCTTGTCCGTCTTCTTGTTAGCAGACTGCGATTCTGGCTCGCGCATTACCTACGCCTGACCACCTTCGTTTGGTTCCTCTGCCTCTGCGCAAGATTCGGCGGCCCGCAAGTCGAGCTTGATCCTGTTGAAGCTATGGCGCACGCAATCAGGACGATGGCAGGTCCTGATCTCCTGATGCCTGGCCCTTGAGCACTCTCCAATTACCTGAGATCTTCATCCTACGGAGTGCAGACTGATGCGTGTCCTGGCAAATGAGCTACCAATGGACATCCTAGAGCTCCTCTCTAGCCCCCCACTCGACACGTCTACCGAAAACGCGCAAAGAAGGCAGTACTATACCCAGAGGCACAAAGCAGGCGCAGAGCTTTTGTGCAGGTTGCCTTTCGAGGCTTTGCGCATATATGCATGCGCTGAAAGAGCTGACAGACTCTCTCGTCAACACAGTATGTGCCATTCGGGTGTTGTCGTAGGGCTATGGCTGGTCCTCGTCGTGCAATCACTCTGGAAAATCAACTTGAATCGGGACACAACCATCGGGTCTGGTGAGAACAGAATCGCCTTCATGTTGACGAGATCAGCTCGGGAGGATTTTTGATCCTTCGTGCTTCGACGGCAGCATGTTGCAACGGAGTGGACCATGTTATCATTCCACTGCTGCCCTTCTGACTCAGTTGTGGCGAGACTTATGTCAGCAATCCATTTCCGTCTACGAATGTGCTCCTTGCCCTCTGACAAACAGCTCCATTTGGCAATCTGCCTTTGCAGGACTTGAGCGTCTTCCTTATCGAAGAGCGTGCCTTCGTGTGCGGCAATGCTACCATAGTACACTATTTCCTGGTTCCTCCGTTTGCGACCTCCACTTTGGGATGCTTGTCGTTTGACTGACTATCTCCGGCGTTACTGATTACGGAAGGTGATCTTAAAGTCCCAGTCAGCAGTGTCGCAGCACCGTTTACTACTTGCGCCCTTTCCTCACGAATTGTCACCCCTGGGTCGCCAGGGTCACGTTCGATGTACTGAACAAATTCCAAGTTGCTTCGTCACGTTAACACACTGTTGAGCCCCCAGCCTTTGGAAGTCAATCACTCGCAGCGGTCCGACAACTGCGTCGCCTCGTCACGCCGACTGGACATGGCGAAGCATCATATTCATTCAAAATGACTGACCACGCTCGGTCTCCGACTTTCGAGGAAAGCATCGAGCTTGAAGAGATCGTCAAGGACCGTTTCCGGAGCGAACACAAACCATGGCAATGGCCGTGGGCACCAGGAGCTCCTGGCAGCGTGCTACTATCAATGGCTGCCGCTGCTGCATACCGTACAGTGCCGGATGATGTCGCCATCACCAGCTTACACGCCCAGTTCGGAGCCAACGTCGTCACTGACAAGCCAATTGTTTACCGAGTGCAGAGAGTGCGGGACGGTGGCTACCTGAAGACTAGGAAAGTCGTCATCGAGCAAGATAGCTGCGAAATGGTATGGTTCACGATCGGTTTCGTCAGAATGACTCCTTGGAAGGGACCAGCGATCAAGCACTCTTCGCAGCAAGTTGGACTTCAGCCTCTTCGCAAAATCGAGCTTGACGAATTCCGACACTTCTTTGGGCGGAGAGCAAATCGTCCACGAATGGAATTCCAGCGACTGCCTCTGATAACAGAAGCGAGCATTTCGTCCTCAGTCCAGCCAGTTGTCGGCCGCATCATCGACGCTCTCGAGGCGCCTGCAGGCTCTGCAGTACACGTTGTCGGCCTCATGAGTCTCACCGATTGCATGTTCTCTAGCGCGCCACATGCATTGCACGACGTCAAACTCGTCCTACCACCAATCGGTGACACGACCAGCGGACCACAGATTCCGGACACCACGAGTCTCATGACATTGGATCACACTGTTCACATTCACTCTCACGACTTTCGAGCAGACGAGCTTCTCTACTTCGAAATGGACTCGCCCTGGGCGGCTAATGGACGGGCATTTGTGAGGTCACGCATTTTCAAGGAGGACGGCACCTTTATTGCGTCGTGCTCGCAGGAAGTCTTAACTGTCTTCAAACCGGATGCGAAGCTGGAGAAGAATGCAAAGCTGTGAAAGTCTAATCATTAGGCTATGAGACAGATCCGGCTATCCAAACTCCTATCATCATTACCGCTGTTTTCCCTATATGTTCGTACATTTGTGAATCGACTCCATGGACAGCCATATGCGCCACCGTGGTCCCGTCACCGTCCTTTTCTAGTCTATCTGTCGTTACTCATACATCATTTGTGGCTGCGAAGAAGAAGGGCCCGCGCATGCTCAGGGTTTCTGCAATTGCGATTTGCGATACAACTGGAAAATTGTCAGTACACTCATTACTGATCAGAAGGATGATAGACCATACCTTAAGGAATCCAACGCAAACAAGAAGCTGACAGACCAGGCCGACCCAGAACCAGACTCCCATCCGAAGCTCCGCAGCAGCAAGATTGGGAAACACGGGAAGCGGCCCTGTCCGATGCGGTGCAATAGCACGCGCCAGCATCGTGACGGCGGCGCCAGCCATCTGCGCCAAAATCAATGTGAAGAGTGTGTGCACACGGGTCAGCGACATGAGCAGCATCGCACCCATGCCAACGCCTTGTATGCCGTCCAGGACACCAAGCCAAAGCCAAATGGCACGACTGAGGAGGGCTCCCAGCGCTGGCGTAGCAGCCCACGGAATGTTGTTCCCGACTCCAGAGAGCGACCATAGCATCTGACACCAACGCGGCGCGCCGAGCGATATGGCGAAGATTGGAACGATCCAGGCGTGGCGCTTCGAAAGGTTAATGAGCGCCGCCATGAGACCGAACCAGAAGAAGCCGAAGAAAATGATGACGAGCAGTGCAACGGCATATTTTGGTGCAGAATTTGATGACCATAAAAACATCCAGTTCCGGGTGTAGTTCGTCGACAGCCAGAAGCATTGCAACACGACGGCGGCCAGGAACCAGAGGACGAGCGGTCGGCCGAGTAAGGATCGATAGAACGAGGGAACGACACCAGGTGGCTGCCTGTAGCAATCCGGCAGGCCGAAGAACGTGATCGCGCCCAAGATCCACATGATGGCCGCGAGAGGCAGGCCGACTCCAACCAGGACCTTCGTCGAGCCCATGGCCTGCGCAATCGTGGATAGCTTGCCTTCCTGCGTCAAGAACGATCCCCAATACCACATGAAAGAGATGAGGAGCTGTTGGAGCCCCGTCATGACGCAGGCGCGCCATGCCCAGACTTCAGCCGCCATGCCAGCTTCCGTGCCAAAGTTGAGCGCGAAGAACAGCGCATACGCCGCTGAGCCAGTGGTGTACAGGCAGGTGGCGGCAGTCCACATGTGGCCGACTGTGTCGGAGTCCGATACCGCACTGCTGCAAGCCAGGACCACAAATGCGAGACCGAAGAAGACGAATGGCGCCGAGAGGAGATACACCGACCGGAAGAATCGATGCAGGGTCCACCAGACGGCAGACATGGTGAGATAGACCGCGCAGAGCGTGTACAGCTTGCTGGCCGGAGCGCCGACCTGGCCCGTGAGCAAGACTAGCTGGTATGGGTTCGCGCAGAGTATCTGGCCTGCTGCAAGAACAAGCGTGTAGTAGTGCCATGATCCAAGTCTGTACAGCATGACCTTTCGCAGACCAGTTGGGGCGGTGTACTCCTCGCCGAGGATGCCGTAGAAGTCCTTCTCGACGTCATCCTCACGAATACAGGAGGTGTACGCCTCGACCTTATCCACCTTGTGCGACTTGAGCAGATGGACGAGGGAAGTGGTAGAGGACGTTGCAGATCCCAGGTGCATACCAAGTGAGGTCTGATGCAGGCCTTCGAACCAGTCTTGCTCACTTTTCACAATGTACTCCTCGATTGCAGGCCCGAAGCTGCTGGTGAACGGGCCGTTGCGAGCGATATCGTCCAACAGCCGCGAGTAAGTCTGGTAATAGCGCATTTTGGAGTCGTCGAACATCGGTGTTTGCTTTTCGGACCGCAAGCTCATTTCCGATGGCGATCTTGGTAGACCACGAGGAAGTAGCTCGTGAGAACCGTGCTCAGGTGAATCTCCGCGCGGAGCTGAGCCGGAGACTTCGATGAGCGGCATCAAGCGCTCGGTGACAGCTTGGCTATGCATCGCCAGCATGCTGGAACTGCGCGACATTGGAGGTGTGGAGATGGCAGCCGGCGTCGCTGTCCGCGAGATGAGGTCTGCCGGTATCAGATCTGGCGTCGAAGTGCCCGATCTGGGGAAATAACTCTGCCCTTGTGACGAAGTTGGCCTCGACCCATTGCCTGCTTGATGCCAAACGCCCGGAGATAGAGTGGGAGATGGTGAGAGAGCGGCCCGCATGGACTGTGCGCTCTCCATGCATCGAAGTGGCACAGGAGATGTTGCCGGAGATCGGATCGTCGGTGACAACAAAGCAGGAGAGGGCGATCCGAAAGTGCGCAGAGAAGATAAGCTTGTCATCGAACGCAGTGCAGGCACCCTTCGTGCAACCTTTTGGTTGGCACTCTTCTCCATCGCCTTTAGGTGCAATGTCTTCAAGTCGTGAAGCCATGTCTGCACCGGAAACCTCTGAGTACCGCAGCAAGCTCTCATAGACCTCCGAGTCTCCTGATCCGAGCCCAACGCCGCCAAAATTGCACGTCGGCATTGCTTGATCATATGCTCCGTCGTCATGGACTCGACAGGAAACCACCAGCCAGGCATATTCCCGAAACCTCCAACTCGAGCACCAATGCACAGAGCACCCTTCCGCCCGAACTCGACAGCGACCAGCCCAAAAGGTTCGTCCCGGGAAGGCATCAGTGCGAACTCAGCACCCTTGTGTATATATGGAGGAATGGCCGTGAACTCTGGCTTGGAGTATACTCTTCCTGGGAACATGTCCATCAACTTCTCGAGTTTCAAGGCAGCAAACTTTCCGTAGAGGTCAATCACGGGTCCGACACAAATGAGCTGTGTGGAAGGATATTTAGCCAGGATTGCGGGGAAGACATCCGCAATAACATCAACGCCTTTCTGCTTGGACCATCTCCCAATGAAGATGAAGAGATCCGCGTTCGGATTGACATCAAGTCCAGCCCACTCCTGCGCTTGCTGACGAAATCCCGCCCTCTGTTCTTCGAAAGATTCGTCTACCAGAGCCTTGGTTGGCGAGTTGGAGCGCACGTAGGCCGCCATGTCGGTAGGGTCCGGGTTCGGTAGCGACCCGATCTTGTTGATGGACCAGAAGATGGGGTATCGCTGCTTGGTACGCTGGCTGTACTTATCTGACACTCCGACCGCACCAAATCCATCCTGGTGTTCACGAAGGTAGCTGACACCGGCATGGAGCAGATTGAAGACGTCACCGAAGCGGACATATTTGTTGACGACATGCACGTCCAAGTTGAAGATCTCGCATACGCGCATGAGGTCCGCATCCTCCTTGAGCGACCACAAGCCCTGGAACTCCGCATTATGTAGTGATAGACAGCAAGGAATGGTCTCGGGCAGTAGATACAACGGAGCAGCAGCGCATGGTAGTCGTTGATGTGATAGACGTCTGGTTGATATCGTCGGATCACAGCAGCGATCGATTGGTTCCAGATCGAGTAATAGAAAGCGCTTTCGGTGTCGTCCATCCTTGGCGGATATGGCTCTGCGGATTTCCTAGCTCTGAAGGCGGGCGTGTCGAGCAGGACATAGGTGACATTCCCTTCGCTGTGCAGATGCACGTGAACGGTGTGGTCGACATCCTCGATCGCGACCTCTATCGAAGGCTCCATCGTTTCCGGAGAGAAAGGATATTCGATATCGCCAAAGCACGGTACGACCCAGAAGAATTCCCTAGCTTCTGCTGTCTTGGCTTGGAGAGATGCCATAGCACCCAGCCCGCCGATCTTGACCTTGACCGACCATCGAGGTATTTCATATTCGATTGTGGCGATGAGGATCGACTTGTCGTACGTGCCTGTGGTGATTTTGAGCTCAGCATTGTCTGCGGCTTCGGCTGGGTCGTCAGTACGGCGTAAGGCTCTGAGCACTACCGCACTGACTTTCTCCCACGCTGGAGTAACGTTGGAGAGAAGTCCTCCCTTCGTTATGTTTGCAGTGCCGAGCTTGTTCAACTTGACACCATAGAACATGCCAGCAAAAGACAGAGCGCCCAAGATGCCGGATCCGATTGGCAGAAGACAGACCATCAGGATTATCGCTGCTTGCAGAACGACCGAACCGACTGACACAAGTCTGAGACTGTAGTTGCCATCGTTCACGACGATGCGGTATCCGATCCCGTGAGCTGGTGCTGACGAAATATTGATGACATTCCTGGCTATCGTTGTGGGATTTAGCCAGTCGAGAACGCCGTCGCGATCAATGTCGCCGAATGCGGCGCTCTTGTCGGGATTGCCGTCTGGATTCATTCCCCACACGTTGATGAGGATGTCGCTAGGGTATTCGCCGTAAAGATCGAACGTCCATGTGGAGTTCTGGGCTAGACGCATCTCGTTTGTTAGACCTTCGTCGTAGCCCCACTGGTTCCAGACGCCTTGCACCCATGCATGTGGCCAGCGGCGGTCGACGGCGCTTTCCAGATCGCTGTGCTGTACGTGCTGACTGCTTCCGGCGGCTTTCCCCAATATTGCAGGATGACATGTTCACCTGTCCACTTTTGGGCCGATGTACCAGACCAGGCCTGAGGCTTGATCGCCAGCCGATTATCGGAATAGGCCGACCACGAACTCCAGCTTGAGCCCCAGTTCGTGGAGTATCGGATCAGATCAGCACCGGCTGCACGGGGACGAACGAACAAGCCGCCCTCATCATCTTTCTGCAGCAGCCCAGTCGTATAGTTCGAAGACAGCGGAAACACCATGGGATTATCTGACTGACCAATGCGGAACTGGAAGCGATCTCGGGTATTCGTGAAGGCGGTCTTGTCGGCGGTTGACGCGTTGACGACAGTGTAGGTGTGGATGCCATTGGCAACATTCTGAAGTGTCGCCTTGAATGTGAAAGCCGTCCCCACGTACCCGTCATGCGCTGTCGCAGATTCATTGAGCCGTCCGCAGACGATGGTGGAGTTGTCCAGCTCGGCTACTCGCCCACCTTGAGCTGTGGATCCGATGATAAGACTGTTGGCGACGCTGTCGCAATCCATCTCCTGGGAGAAGCGAATCTCGATAGGTACTTGCTCGGTCTCAGTGTATGCAACTTCTGACGAAAGGCGCTGGTCGTGCATCGGAGTGACACCGGTGATCACTGGCTTCGGCTGCAGCCACTTATCGGCCGGAACCAATGCCTTGAAGCCGAATTTGTCCAAGGTGACTCTCGGAAGACAACCGTTTAGCTCGGTCGAGTTCTCGATTCCGAGCAGAAACTTGGACTCTTCGAGTGTATAGGACTCATATGGATAGAACAGATTTCTCACGGTCGTCGATGCTGCGAAGGGTGATAAGATGGACCCGTTGATGCTCTTCATGCTTGAACAGTCGCCAAAGTATGTTGTGGACTCGTTATTGTTGTGGAAGAGCAGCCAGACTCCCTGGTTCTCGAATCCCGTGCCAGCGAAGTCCTGCACAGTCTCGCTGCGGCCTCGGTACACACTCCATAGGCCTGTTGGCGATGGCATGCCGTTACTTCCAGGGAGATAGAAGTTCTGCGTCCACGTGGCGAGGTTGGTCAAGTTGTAGCCGTCGTTGAGCGTTGGGTAGCCATCACGCAGCTCGAACAGTCGCTTGAAGAAGTTTCGGTTCGGATGCGAAGGGTCGCGGTGGTCAAGACTGACTCCGTCATCATAGCATCCGTACTTCGACGAATTGAAAGGCATGTCGACGTAGAGCTCTTCGCCCAAGTCATAGCAGCCGTGCAGTTGCCAGGCTCTGCTGGATCCATAGGGGGTTCTGCCGTAGACGTAGTCCGGAGCCAGATTCTCGAGCACGTAGTAGTCTTGTTCTTCTCCGTAGTACATCATGGGTGCGCCAGGAAGCTCAAGTGTGGTGACAAATAGGCCGAGGAGCTGTCGGGCTGTGCCATCAGCCAGTGAAGGCCAGCGAAAGACGTCTTGATTGGTAGTGCCGAACATGTGTAGGGGATCGAATGCGCCGGTATTGGGATTGACCATATCTTGTGTCACCAAGAAGTGATTCCATATACTGGCCCAGTCCACTCCAAGAGATCCCCATGGACCGTCGAGTCCAAGAAACCGAGTCATCGAGCCATACACATCGTAGTGGAAGGCGGCGCCATTCAGTGCGACTTTCTCAAGTGGCCTCACATATGTGCTTGGGTCGGTTTCGTTCGAGCTGCTGACGGATTCGAGCTCCGAGGTGAACTGCTGATCGGGCTGTTTGCCACGACCGAAATACACAGCGGCCAGGCGCGGATCGGCCACTACCTCGCCGACGACCAGGAAATTGTCTTTCCCGACACTGCGTGCACACTCCCGCTGGTAGTGCGAAAACTCGGCCAAGGCATCAATGGTGACTTGGACAGCTTTGTCAATACGGAACCCATCAATATCGAGCATGGTGATTTGAAGGCAGGACATGCGATTGATTTTCTCGAGGACATCAGGCATCCATTCGCGCAGTCTATCCTGGACTGAGGCGAAGCGAGAGAGTTGATTGACGTAGCTGGGATATGCACCAGTGCCTTTGATGTCTCCGTACATGTCGAACTCGCTGGCGCGGCATCCGCGAAACTTCTCGGTGACGTTGTCCGCTTCCAAGTAGCCGTTCTGCTCCCAAATCCTGGGATACTGGCAGGACTCATTGACGTCATTGCCTGGCTGAAAGTCGTGGTAGCGAGTGTCGCCCTTCCAGATGTAGTCGTACTCTTGAAATCGGAACTCTGCGGTCGTGTTGGTGTAGCCATCTCCATACGCCAGGAGATCGCCCATGGTCGAGACCGTGTTGTCGAAAATGGCGTACATGCCGCGGCGATGAATCTCGTCGATCAGAGTTCTCCATTCCTCGATCAGACCATGATGAGCATCTAAAAGCGTCAAGTCCAAGGGTCCGTAACCGTCGGGCGACCAGGGCATGTTCAGCATCATAGAGCCGGTGAAGTAGATGGTCTTGATACCCATGCCCTCCAGGTAGTCCAGATTGTCGTATACGCCGGCTGTGTCTCCTCCGAAGCGGAACTGGTTCGCCATCCAGTTGTTTTCGAACACAGTGCCATTGGCATCGTTGTTGGTGGGATTGCCGTCAATGAATCGATCAATGGTGAGGACAAAGGTGGGCATTCGCCAGTTGGCAGGCGAGGGTTGGAAGGTATGGTTGTCCCATATTCCCCAGAAGTCTTTGGCCTCGATCGCAGTCTCATTCTCGTTGAGGTTGTGGCCGATATACTGCTGCTCGTACCGTAGAGCGGCGCTTGGAAGCACCAGCGCCGCCAGTGAAAACGACAGCAGCACGGGCAAAGTCATTGTTGCTGCCCCTTTGCGCTTCGAGTCACCGACGAGAAGGCATCAAGTTCAAGAAAACGTTCCTGCGTAGTGGTACAGCGAGATCCAGGGATGTGTCACACAGCCTGAGACAGTCTTGGTCGGAGGCTCAACCGGCCAGACGAAAGGCGGACTCAGAGATACGGCCTCTATCATCGGTATTCATGGTGGGTCGTCAAGTATCTGCATGATGATGGATCTCAACACAAATTGGGAGGTTGTCGGCTGAGCTGAGGACCACATCTGCAGACAACAACCCCTAAAGATCTTGTTGGACACATCGGGTCAGTCTCCAGGAGAGCCACAGTGCAAGAACAGTATCGGCCCACCCGACCGCCACACCCATAGTGGACCAGATGTTTTGATAGCATTGCGGTTCTCAGTGGGCACCGCCGGTCGGATCGCCGCCACTATTGATTGAGTTCTCTGGACAAATTCACGCACAGGAAATTGTCTCGCAAGTGTGTCCAGCTCTGCGATAACGCCTCATAGTCTTCCGGCGCATGGGAGCCCTCGGCCGTCAAATATCCAAGCGGCGTACATGGCGGACTTGCAGTTGCGGCCAAAAGACGTGGGTCGTGATGAAATTCTCAACACGATTGTAGACTTGGCAACGCTGTGGCGAGGCGTGAATCTGTGGTTGGGAGGAAGTAAAAGCCCCGACCACACGGTGATGAGGACCCATGATCAGCTACGTTGCCAGCGCCGCCATGCACGGTACCTGGCAGTAGCATGCAGAACAGAGTCTTCTAGCTTGTGTGTCAAACCTTCCAAACGTACAGACAATGCTATTGGCCAGTGTGAGGCTTCGAATAGTGGAAGCCCGTGAGTTCAGGAACGGCATCAGGTACCCGCAAGCGACTATAGAAGTCTGCTGTCGATCGTTGATGCATCCACAGATAAGGCGCCAGAAAGGAGCGCTCGTCGTCGCATGATTGCTGCATGCCGGTCGAGTGCATGTATTCGTAGTACGGTCGTGGTCTGGCAGCAATAATGCAGCTGTGGTGTATCTCGAAGAGACGCACATGTTCCAGGGGTCGATAATGATTAGCGCGCACAAGGAAGCTTTGACTTGTTCCAGACGCCCGGTTCTGCCAGGGACCACGAGGCGCCATTGTCAGGAAGAACCTTGGAGCTGAAGAGGATGTGCATATTGTTGCGGCCGCGTTGCGAAGCTTTCCCGACGAACCAAGATAGAGGAACAGGAGGTGACGTTAAACTTCGAGAGTTCAGACTTTTCCAACACCGAACCGGCGCCGTGATTAGAAGCGCCGATAAGGCTTAGTGCAAAGCTCAACGCCCCCAGCTACCGAAAACCAGGATTAAGCATAAATTGACTCCTCTCTTTTCGAAAAACAAATGACGCGTTCGCAACTCAAACATACCATTTTGCACAATGCCATGTGGCTTCTGCGCTCAACGTGTCATGGCCATAATATCTCGAATCTCAGGGACCGAATCGGCCGCTTGACCTGGGCTAAACCGCATAGATGCATGAGCCGGGATGTCCTGTTATGAAGCGCCGCGGCGTGGTGGGTCGTCTGTCACACAGCATGACAGCTCATAGTGTTGGGAGTGATGCGAACCCATGCTATGCCCGTCGTGATTGATAGGCGATCCTTTTCTGACTGACAGAAATAGATGTCTGTCTCATTTTGAATGACAAAGATAGGCGTTGGCCTAGAGGCGAGCGGCTACTGACAAGGTACCGAATCCCATTCGGACCCTTTCGAACCACCTCGTACTCCGGCCAGCTCATTGCCGTTCACATCGGCGCGCTGACCGCAGGGACAATCAGCAGCCGTCGACGGAAATTCAGCAATCCCGTTGAGGTCTCAGTCGAGAGCTCTTCGTGACTTACGCCAGCTCAGTACTATTCCCTACCGTTACTTGAACTGCACAACGTGGACGGCCGCAATGTTCAGCTTCAGTAGCAGGACTCGCAATTACGCTAGCGCTGACGACAAACTCACCATAAAGGAGAGCTGGTACTTAAGCAAAGCGGTCCAGTTCGTCGCGCTTACTGCCGTTGTGGTAATCGCAACATCCATCTCAGTTCCGCTTGGCGTGTGTCTCGGTGGCAATGACCGTTGCGGCAGGTCAGAAGCACATCGGCCAAGCAACACATCAACTTCGCTGCCACTCTTGAACGATGCCGCTGTCGCGATTCCGGAAGCATATCCCGCAGCGACGCATCCACCATTGACCGAAGATGCGAATCCGTTACTGTTCCAGGCTTTTGAGTGGTACATCCCCAAGGACGGAAAGCACTGGACGCGCCTGACCTCGATACTTCCACAACTGCAACAGATCGGCATCGGAGCGATCTGGATTCCGCCTCCGACGAAGGCAGCAACAGAGGGCAGCATCGGCTACGATGTCTACGATCTATGGGACCTGGGCGAGTTCGACACTCACAACCGGACCGCTACAGCGATGGGCAACAAGAGTGACCTGCTCGACCTCGCACAGGTCGCTCACCAGTGGGGAGTCGGTATCGTTATCGATGCAGCCCTGAATCAGCGGTCTGGCGCAGACTACATCCAATCATGCGCGATCACTCGACTGAACCCTGACAACCGCCTGCAGCCCATCAACCCGACCAAGATGGCGGATGTGTGGGTAGGCTTCAACCACACTGCTCGAGGCAATCACTACAGCAACAAGACATGGAGCTGTGACGACTTTACCGCTGTCGACTACGATGCCAGTGCCAACAACAACGGGCTCTTCAAGATCAACGGCCACGACAACGACTTTGCTACCGACGTCTCGACCGATAATGGCAACTTCGACTATTTGCTGCTGGCTGACGTGGCGTATGACAATCCCGCCGTCATTGAGGATGTCAAGACATGGGGAACGTGGATCACAGGCCAACTCGGAGCATCGGGCTTTCGAATGGATGCGGCCAAACACATCTCCAGGAGTTTCATGAAGAACTGGATCAGCGGTGTCAACTCTGCCATCAAGACTCCGTTTCAGAACCCACCAGTCGTTGCTGAGTACTGGACCACCACGCTGTCGGAACTGCTTGGCTACGTTGACGAGATCGGAAACGCGGCGCGTGTCTTCGATGTGCCACTTCTTGGCCAATTTGCCGCTATCGCCAACGGTGAGGCTTCCTTAACAACCATGTTCCAAGACTCCGTCGTGTCTACACAACCCGACAGCGCTGTCACGCTCGTCGGCAATCACGACACCCAACTCGGTCAATCTTCCGCAAACCTATACGTGCAAGACTGGTTCCGGCCCGCAGCATATGCATTCATCCTACTGCGTCAAGAAGGCACGCCTTGCATGTTTTACGGCGACGTCTATGGCATCTGTGACGCCAACGGCCACTGCAACAAAGCAAATCACTCTGAGTCTGTGGGCAAGCTAGCCATAGCAAGGACGTATTTCGGGTACGGACAGCAGCACGACTACAACAGCACCGACGTGTCGACTGTCGGCTGGACGCGGCAGGGTGATGAGAAGCATACAGGCGGGCTCGCGGTAATTATGTCAATAGCACGAACAGCTCCTGCTCCGATGACCATGAATGTTGGCTCGGAACACGCCGGCGAGTCTTGGATCGACATCTTGGGCAATGCCAAAGACGCAGTTGTCATCGACGCCGATGGTGCTGCGGCATTCACGTCACCGCCGCAAGGTGTCAGTGTGTTCGTTAGCGAAGTGCGATGGAGCAACCTGTCAATGCCGGACTGGGACTTCGACATTTACGGGTAATGGGATTTGTCTGATATGATGTCGGTCACATTCCAACCTTCAATCCAGCTTCATGTTGTATATGTCGGAGTCACTGTACAGTGGTCAGTCGCTGTCAGCATGGATCCCAGCGTCTCACTTACAAATTCATGTCGTCAATCTTCGCACGCGCCGAGCTGTTGCGTCTGCACCACACACTGACGGAGCCCGGCGCACACGAGAACATCCCATACCCGTTGCGGCCAATGACGACTTCTCCAGCTGCCGCTTCCAGTACATCCGTCCAGACTTCATCCTTGTGAGCCGCGCCTACATTCATCCGCTTCCAGCACACCCTTCTGGCATTGCCTATCACGACGGCCAGGCCCTCCGGATGCCTACTGTCGCCCGAGCGCGTGAAGCCAATGCAGTTGGCCTCATCCAGATACTCCCTCATCGGACCATACGCCAGCAACTTCCGAGCCAAGATGAGCTTAGGCAAATTGCCGCCACACGATGGTGGCAGCGGATGCTCGCCGCTAATACCATAAAGATCGCCATAGAACACACACGGCAGTATCGAATCCGAACGCAGCAAGATGAAGGCGTTGGCTAGCGGGATGAACCAAGGCGACATGGCTATGACGGAGTGGTCGCGTTCGTAGCGGGTTTGAGTGTCGTGGTTCAGCACGAATGGCTTTTGTTTGCGGGTCAGTATAGCTTTCCACGTCTTTCAGTAGCAGGGAGGATCTGACATACCACTGCTTGCCCTGGAGAGTGCTTCAACAACGACTTGTCCATGATTGATCTCAAATCCCCCTTTTCCTTTTCCAGTGACAACTTCGACATATTAGATGCAAGCGGCACGTCGAACAGCCGAAGTCTACCCTCGAACTTTTTGATCATGGCACCAAGAGGGGCCAGCTCGCCACGCCAGTATTCTCCGATCATCAGAAGTGGCGCGTTGGGGTCACATTTCGCATCGAGATGCGCAATCCAGGCGCGAAGGAAGTCGGATGAAAAGTGCTTCACAGCATCGAGACGAAAACCTGCGAGACCGAGGCGCTCTGTGATCCAAGTTCCCCACTGCATCGCATCGTTCCGCACATCAGGCTGCGAGTAGTCGAGGTCATTGCCCATACTGTGTTGCATCAGGGAGACGTGCTTCGACGGGGTCGACTAGGCTAGGTCACTTACAGGAAATCTGCGTTGCCTTCGCTGTCGTCGACATCGGGCGCCCAGCCTGGCTTACCGGGCCCAACGAAACGGTATAGATTGTCGTTGTTTTGCATTTTGGCTTCCCAATCCGTGCCGCTGAAGTGTTGCCACCTGTACTTCATCTCACTATACTTTCCTCCTCGGCCGTCGAAGTTGTAACCAGTCCAGACATCGATGTCTTGCTCTGCAGAGACTTCTCGTGTCCTGTCTTTGGGTTGGCGAACGTCAGCACATCCACCTTGATGCCATGTGGAGAGCCGTGCCACAGTCTACCTACCTTTCTTATCGACCGCGACCGCCCGGCACGTCTCAACATAGTCCGCAGCAGACTTATGATTTAACACAGCATCCCATAGCAGCCCCATTCCATTGCGCTGAGCTACCTCCGTGAGTGCCAGAAGCTCCTCACCACTGCCCCATTTCGTAGCTCGATGACCCTTCTGCTCGAATTCGCCAAGGTCCCAGAGGTCGTAAATGTCGTAGCCATTGCTTCCGTGCCATTCTGCTTTGCATCCCGGCGGAAGCCACAGGTAGTCGATGCCGATATCCTTCAAATGAGTTGTCACGTGGGCGAGTCGCCGCCAGTGCTTGCCATCTGCAGGTGCATACCATTCAAATCCTTCCAGCAAGGTCAGGTTCTCCTTGGCGTAGGGGCCGTCGCCTACGTTTTGGGAAGACTCTGGGCCTGACTTCGAAGAGTGCGCGGCGGCTCGCAACTTCTTGAACATCACTTACTAAAATCTGAGGCTACTCACGTCGCTTAAGCAGAGTTGCCGCTTCAAGGCTGCACCAGGCTGTACAGCAGCGATAAGACCTACGTCCAATTCGATACGGCGGTGCGGATGGCGGGCTGGTGCAACCTGGCAGGCCGACGAGTTGCACGACATGCCAAAAGCACCTGAGACGTGCATGCTAGTGGTTGGAATCATTCATCCCTGGCACCCTGCTAGCTATCGACAGAGTTGCGAACGGTGGACGCGATTGACGTCAAGCTAATGAAAGGTTTGAGAGGTGGATGCTGTCTCAGATTGGGGGCCGAGAGTTGTGCCGACCGCAGGAAATCGTGTTTCCTATCTTGCGCATGGGACTTGTTGAGATCTCGCTATTTGAGACTTCCTCAAATCTTCAACATAGGCACTTTGATCAATGCACGCACGTGCTTTCCGCCATATGTAGGACGTGCCAGAACTGGAGGTCGTCAAGCAAGCAGAGATTCTTAGATGGGTGAAGCTAGTGAAGTTGGCGGGTCACAGAAAAACTGTTGGAGAAGGCCACAACGACAGCCGGTTGACATGGAATACTCTATGATGATCGGTCCAGTCTCACAACTTGGAAATTCGTATTTCTACAGTCTACGCTCGGTACAGTGCTCACCAGGCGAAACTCTCCTCCAGCAGCTCAACATCATAGCCCGCGATGTTGGCCTTCACCACTCCTCCCCTCACATCATCTGCCAGCCCACCAGGACCGCACACTAGCACCACTATCTTCTTGCCCTTCGCCAGCATTGTGTCGATTGTCTCGCCGACGTTCATCCTCCGCTGTGCCTTATCCGTGCCATTCGAGTCACCTGTGACGTGAAAGCTGTACTCTAGCGAACGTTCGTTGCTAGTTTGTGGCGTTGGGAGTAGTTCTCGACGAACGTACGCCAAGAGATTCGCCTCGCGAACGGACCACACGAGGCGCATGCGAGTACATCGGGGCATCAGTGCTTGAGTCGAGGAAGACGAGACAGCAGTCTCGTCTGCGTATCGTTTGGCGTATGCCGTAGCAAACGTGATGCCAATCCCACCCGCTATGACGAGAATATGCTCCGCATGCATCAGCACACTGCGTGTCGCAGGGCTATGTCCGCCATAGGCGCCCTCTGAGAGAATCGTCGATGGAATTCTGCTAGCAAGCGCGCGATTCAGGCTTGACGTCGTTCCGCCATGCACTCGGAAGAGACATTTGACGTAAAACTGATCGAGGTAGACCGGATGGTCGGAAGATTTGACAGCTTTTGCTGCGACTCGAATTTCTTTCTCCTTGCCTGTGCTAGAGCCAGATGACGTTATGGCATCGACGTCCGACGCAGAAGTGGAAGAAGACTCGATCTGTTCACTATTTGATCCGCGATGCGTCGGCGCGGTGTCAACACCCCAGCTGGCGATGGTGAAGGGATGATTCTCCCAGAAGCGACCAAGACCTGGGAAGTAGACAAACGTGTGCTGGCCTGGCGCGGTGTTGAAATGCCTTGAAGGATACAGCTTCAGGCTGACGACACCATCAACGCCAGGGACGCGCTCGACTTGTCCGTGGCTAGTGCCGCCGAGGAAGCTGTACGACACCAGTCGTCCAAAACGTACCAGTCTATCGTATGCCCAGAAGGCGAAGGCAATGTACAAGTACACCTCATAACCCCAGTCTTTGTCAAAGCGGAGGCAATGTGGTACCAACAGCCAAGTAACGAGAGAATGGCAAGCACGATATGCCCGATCAAGAACAGCTCATATGAGTATCTCCGGAGCGGAAGGATCGATAGGCCGGCCATCAGCGACATCGCGACTGTTGCAATGATTCCCCACCAGAAATACGGAAGCTTGACTTCGGAGGGGTATCTGGCTGGACTGGTGTACGAGACGAAGTCTGCAGTGTAGGCGATGGAGTGCACTACCGCTTGGATGACAGAAATGCGAGCGGCCCACCGGTGTAGAGTGATGAATGTTGTGGGCGACCATCCACTGATGAAGGACAACGGGTTGTTCCGTGTGCTGAAAAGCATTGCAAGAGCCATGTTGGCGAAGCTAAGCACGCCAGCTCGGTTGCCAACATATGCCGCCATCTCTTGGTCTCGATTTGTGTACCAGCTGCTGGGCTGAACGCTCCGAAAGTCAACGCAGTTGAAGATGATGTTGAGGAAAATGTAAATAGTGATGATTGTGGATGTAGATCGAGCTGGTACGTAGCCAATGTTCCATGCGAGAGGCTGGGACTGGCGGCCACCGAACAGCGCAGGGACTGTGAAGTATGCTCGCGTCTTGTTGAATAGCGTGCTCTGCTTCGACGATGTGATGATGAGCCAAAGACCGGCAATGATGCTGAATGCGACGGGCACGATCATCGAGACCATCCTGTTCGAGTCAGCGGTGTTCATGTTAGGTGAGTAGGTACGTACGCAAAGATAGAATGATCCCGCTCCACTTCCGCAAACTCTTGAATTGTTCGGCGATCAGTGGTCCAGGCCGCTTCGTTGGCTAGCATGGTCTCGTTGAGCCACTCGGCCTCGTCTTCGACAGATAGTGTGGGCGCCGTCGCGGGCAGAGCTTCCGTCAAGCTCGGAACGGGCATGCCCTCAGCCGCATTCTTCTGCCAGTACTTCTCCTGCGCTTTAGTACTAAGCCCTTCCGCATCACAATGTGACTTGATGCAGTAGCTGAATGTCTGCAGCCAGGGTGCATTGCTGGCACGGCACTCGGCTGAGGTGACTCCCATCATCATATCCATACCGTCCATTCGCTTGACCTTCATTCCGTGGTGGTTGCCTGACATCTCCTCGAATGTAGTGCAATTCAGGTATAGGCCAGAAAGAGTATCGGAGCAAGCTGTCGCGCACCATGGCTTGAACATGTCGATGCCCATGCCGATGACTCCATGCTGGACCTCTGCGTTGGCAGAGAGGGCGGCGGCAAGGACTAGAAGCGTTGTTGTAGACCTCATGATGGTGGTGAGTGTAGCTTAGTCTGCCAGGCTGTGATATCGTCCAAGAGGACAAATGATGCACGGAGGCTTCGAAGTCGGCCCTCGAATGACCAGAGCAGCCCTGATGATCTATAGTCCTGTCGATGTTTGATACTCGTCAACACCGTCGCAAGTGTCATACGCCTGAAGACCAGCTTCCACGAGGTCGGGCATCTATACTCAAGTTTATCGTTGTGGTCTGTCGTGGCGCTTCCCATGCAAATAATTCTCCAGTCGCTAACAGAACCCTTCCAAGGAGCCATCGCGTGCTGACACCCTGCATATGAAAGAGCGCCATTGGTCCAATGCTACATTTGGTGGCCTGCTCTTGGCGTTGAGCAAGTTTACCGGCATCGCGCTAAACGGGAAGGGATAGAACCGTTGCTCGGAAAACATGGGCGATACTGGTCGGGAACGTGGTGCACGCAGCAGAAACGTGCTCAAAGCCATTGACATAACTCACCAGCACATAGATCTTGCGTGGGCTCGAATATATCGCACATACTCACATCAGGTACCTGAGGAAGAGAGACGCGGTGTGGTCAAACTCGGTTGCTGCATTGAGAGGAAGCCACGCAAGTGGTCATAGTGATTGGCAGCACAATACGGGGTGCACGCTTCTCAATTTTGATGTTCGAGTGCCCAGGTACTGCGTACTATGCTCTCGCACCTTTGTTGTTTTCGTTCCTGCTCAAGAAAAGAGCGGTATCGAAAGATGAAACTTGCTCAAGAAGCAGCCACAATGCTTGGCTGCAGCCTTGCCAAGCCTGGCTTTGAGCCTTACGGTCGGCGGTCGGCATCGCCGTCATTCGAGCCGCGGACCGATGACTTCAATACTTTCAGAGGCGTTCGAGCAGCTTCGAACCTAGCGATACTGTATATTCGAACGACAGATCCTTTGACGGCCTTCAGCTCGACCCGAATCCTGTTAAGAACTCATTCCACGTCTGAACACCGCAATGAAGCCCAGCACTCGGCTCTCCCTAGCCCCTCGTGCCTATCTCTTCACAGCTCGCCGCGCCCTCGCAACATCCACCCGTCTACGCAAAGAATTTGCCAACCCATTTACCAGTCCTGCGCCGCCACGACTCCCGCAAGAAGACCAGAAAGTCTTCGAAGAGCTCGTACAACAGTCCACAGGCGCCTTCTCCTCTCCACGCAGTCCGCCCAAGATCAACCAGTCTCCCGACTCGTCACCATCAGAAGCTGCGGCTGCGCAAGGCACGATTGCCGCGCGGGCACAGAATATCGCCAACTCCGAGATGGGCGCCGCCGCTGCTCAAGCCGCGGAGTCGAGCAAGGCTCATTCCAAGATGCGTTCAAGCGGGAGATCAACGCACGAGGCAAAGGCGAGGAATTACACCCGAACGTGCGACGAGGTGCGCCACCTGAATTCGAAGGCGATGTGAATCCAAAGACGGGCGAGGTAGGTGGCCCGAAGAACGAGCCATTGAGATGGGGAGCCGGAGGAGAGTGGGCATACAACGGGCGGACCACGGATTTCTAGTAGGAGGGGAGATATGATAAAGGGACCAGTGCTCGACTGGCACCCCGACGTTATAGTTGACTAGCAGACGTGGCTGCTGGATTCAAGAAAAAAATGCTATACGAGGCCTTCAATGCATCTCATCGTTCCTTCTCTTGCTATAACATCATCTGCGAGCTCGTCTACTGAGTCTTCACCTCGCCGTCTTGCTCGACATGGATGTGATCGTTGGTCTGCAGCACGCCGACTTTGTCCTCGGGGAATTCGACTCTGCAATCTGTCAATGCTTCCGTCGAGAGAAACGCAGAATATGTGTGACTTACGTGAAGCCTTTGATGAGCGTGAATTCATGCTTGATCTCGCCGCCATCGGACTTGGCCTTTTCCTTAGCCTTGGTGAGCTCGTCGGCTGGGGCGTTGTCTTTGAGTGTGACCTAGATTCATTCAGCGACTAATCTTGATCGAATGGACAGGACTAGATGTTACGTTGAAGAGAGGCATCTTTGAGGATTTCGAGGTTGAGAATGCAACAGATCGGGAACGGATGAGTTGAGAGGAACAACGGGACCAGAATTGGAAGAGAAGATGGGAACTCAGTTTGGCTGTGTGGGTTGTTGTTTGTTGAAGCAGGTGGTATATATGAGATTAAATCAAAAGCGGGCGACAACGCAGTCTGCTACAGCACATCTTCACCCCACGCTCTCCGCCATGTCGCCTGCCTGTCCCATGGTCACAACGTGGGAAGGAATGACGCAATTTCGCTCTTGTCTATCGATAAGAACACCGGTTGGAGGCGGAACTAGAACTTGCGCGACGGGGCGTAAACCAAGACAAAAGCAAATCCGCACGTTGTGTACCCATGCACACCACTGCTGATGATGTTTGAAGGCGACGACATGCATCTGAAGTAGCTCGAGTCTCCGATGGACAGGCGTTCGCTGGCGCAGAACGCGTCTCTGCAAGTTTCAGCACAAGCAGCGAGACCAGATGAGATGGGCCAAAGCGCGCGTTCAACTATCGAAACGAAAGTCGACGAGAATCAGACACGCTTGCATCATGTCAGGATCTCCCGACTCCGTCCCAGGTCATTTGCTGGCGCGACTTTAATCATTCGCCCAGTCCATCCAACACATCCGCACTCGGCGCGAAGAAAGTACTTCCTGTGACTGCCCTCGAATAGTCCAGTATCCGATCATGTTTCCCTTCCGGCACGCCCACAAACATCCTCTCCAGCATCTTCTCCGTCACCCACAACTTCTTGCTATACCCAATAAAGTAGGTCCCATACTCGCTCGCTGCTGGATTGCCGAACGGCATATTATCCCTCAAAATATCATGTTCAGTCCCCTCCTCGTCCTCTATCGTCGCCAGCGTCTTATGTGCTTTCTGCTCCTCTTCCCCAGCATCATCAAGCTCGATATTCTCAAGCTTCGTCCTCCCAATGATCGCTTCCTGCCTCTCCACGCCTAGTCCTTTCCACCCCCTCAAATCATGCAAGTACTTTTGCACAACCACATAACTCCCACCCACCGCATTTCCATCATCCTCTGCAGCTATCAAAGTAGCTTGCGGCACAGCCTGTCCCACCGGATTTGCCGTCCCATCCACGAAGCCCAACAAGTCTCTCACATCAAAATACCGAAACCCAACGGTGTGATCAACCACCTCCACAGCATCTCCCAACAAATCCATCAGCTGCCGCTCGAACTCAAAGCACAAATCCCGCCGCTCCGCCCGAATATGAAACAGCACGTCCCCAGGTGTTAACACCGCGATGTGCTTCCCACCCTTGACCTCCTTGAACGCATGCAATTCAGCAGGACGGGGAAGGCCGTTGGTGAGTTCGTCCCACACTTCGGCACCGATGCCGACGGTGCATGCGAACGAAGCGTTCAGGTCGCGGATGGAGACGTTCTTGGTCAGGTCGGACACGCTGGCGAGGGCGGAGCGGACTGTGCTGACGGCGTCTGGGGCGGTGCGGGAGATGGTGACCACGATGAAGGTTGCGGAGCAGGTGAGAGGCGCATCTACTGCTTGCGGCGCGATTGGGACTCGGCGGGCCATGTTCAGTCGGGCGGAGCTGTTTATTACTCGGTTGGGGGCTTTTCGCGTGGTCGATGATGTAGTCCAGATGAACGCTGCCGCTTTGTTTCTGGGGGATGCAAAGTTGGTCGCGCTGTTGGTGTGAACAGCACTGGCTTGACGAGCGGTCGAGACTCTTCGTCCAGAAGGCCGCTGCCGGGCTGTTGAGTCACTAGATGCACGTGTAGGGACACGGCACGATGGTCTCTATGCAGAGGTTCGAAGGAGGCACAGCTTGCAGACATCCCGGAATACCGGTCTGCCAGGTAGCATTGCGGACGGCTTCAGGAACAACTACATCGCGCGGGCCTGCATGGTTTCGTAAGCGGTAGAGTGCAAATACGTAGATCTTTATAGGTCAAAGGCGACCTTGTTCGGCCCCGCCGTGTGCTGACTGGACGCGGTAAGCGAATCCCTGTTTCGGTAGATCGAGACATGCTTCTTTTCAAGCGGCTTTTCCAGCACCCACGATTCAAGGCTAGGGTCCCTAAAACAGTCTCTATACGGGCACCGAAAGGATACAAAGAGCACTCAAGTGGGTCTACTTGAAGGGAGAACAGTCTTCCGCACTCCGGTGGTGGTCGAACTGGAAGGCTCAAGCAGTCACTAGGGAAGAAAAAGGCGGGCATTGCAGATCTTATGATTATATTCAGACAAACTTTGAGAATTGTGATACCACCACCTTCCTCTCAACCTGAACCAAACCCACAAGCCCAAACCGTCCCAACCAACGCCGATATGCTGGAAGCAACCAAAAGGACCACCAGCACCGACTTCTTCGCCGCAGACAACTTTGGCGCAAAGATCCGGAGATAGAACAACAACGGCAGGATGATGGCGATAGTGAAGCACATGGCCGAGCCCATGAACGCCATGACAATGCCCAGATCGGGCGCCATGATTGCCGCAGCGATGAGGATGACGACCCAAAGGATGCGGACACCACAGCGTAGGAGATGGACGAGCAAGTTCTTCGACTCTTGCTGTTCGTCGCTTACGAGGCCGAAAGCGTATTCCGCCATGACAACCAGTGGGCGCGAGCTTGAAACAGTCAGAACATTACGGAAGAGTAAGCGGCAGTGGAAAACTCACAGCAGAGGAACTTTGCTCACAGGCATAAGCGCCACCAGTACGGTCAGTGCCACGGCGAGTGCCCAGCTATTGGTCGTTCGGATGACATTGTTGACAATCGCATCGCCCGTGTCTGATCCATACATCAGATACCCGCTCGCAGCAATCGTGACATCAATCAGATACGTGCTGCCGAATGCCCAAGCCATTGCACGTCCATACTTAGCGGGCTCAGCCATATCTCGGTACAAATTTGGCAGTATGGCGTGTGCGGTCCATGGTGACATCAGCAGACCGAGACTCAATGGCATCTTGGACCAGTCTTGAGGTAGGAGAGTCGTGTATGCGGGATGCAAAAGAGAGCCATCGGTCCATCTGAGCCAAATCCTTCCAGCAAGACGAGCACAACCATGCAAACGCAGGCCCCAATGCCCAGGATACTTGCCATGCTCAGCACGTGAAATGGCATGAAGTGCAAAGGCAGCAGAACCAGTCCACAGACTAGCTTCCATTGCGTGCGAGTGAGGTCCGGAATCAGCGCAAACATCGCGTCGGCGAAGAGAATGACCAGAGCGACACATGCCGTGATGGTGATCAAGTTGAAGAGGAAGATGGTGATCAAACGACCTCTGGGCCCGTACGCTCTGCTCGCGATGTCGATGTAGGATCTGCAGGTCGGGTCGCTGTCCATGCACCTGGCCAGGAGCTTCGCAGTGTAGAAAGTGAGTAGTGCGAAGGTGAGTAGGAGGAGCGATCCAATCAGCCAGCCGGCATACAGGAAGCCGAGTGGAAGACTCAGCAGCCCAACACCGAGGAGTGTGTTCATCGAGTTGAGAGTCGTTTGGGTGACTGTCGAACCACCATGGAGGTCGTTGGCTCCAGCAGCAGCTGGGTTGTCTTTGGGTATGAGAGGCTCGCGCTCAACATCCTGCTCGGACGCATGGCCTGCGTGAGATCTTGTACCAAGAGTTTCGAGATAACTGTTCGCTCTATGCCAAGCGGCAGTAGTCGTGGACTTTGCGCGAGCTCTGCTGCCATCCGACGCCTGGGTCACGGCTAGCGCTGGCCGAGACTGCATTTTGCCAGGCGGCGGCGTGTGTTCTGCACGTGGCTAAATTCGGATTATTCTTGTTCTGTTCTGTTGTGCTTGAACGTCAATATCAATCCGTCAAACTCAGTTCTTGTTCGTCTTGGAAAATGAGCAACAGGCAAAGCATCTACTAATACAAGTGAAAAAGGTGATCGAAGTGGAATGGCTCGCTGCGATGTCTCGCGAACGACGACATACTGTCCTTTTGTAGGATTAGCGTGTGTAGAACTTCCTCTCGTAGCATGCTAGAAATCTTCTTCGGTACCCTCGGCGCCCTGTCAAAACTGACATGGGCATCGAGATCTTTACGCCCTTGGCCACCAAGGGCATGCAATTTTCACGAGCAGCCATGACGCTGCTGCAGGTACCAGTCCAAGCTCCGGATAGAGACGGTTAGAGCCAGGGACCGTGTCGCGAGGCGCGACATACTTCTCTGATGCCTTGGACGGGCATCGAGATGCGGAAAGAAAACGGATAGCATTGCCGTCTTAATGCTATCACCGGCATATTTGTCGTCTCCCGTCAACCTTGCTGAAGGAGTGACGGAGGAAGAAGAGACGCGGGAGGATGAAAGGATGAAGCAGTATTTGGGGAAAAGGCACCCCCAAATTCGACTGCCAATGATGCGCGATGGATTCTCGTCGCAATGTTGCCGAAATGCCGATATCGACTTCGGCGCCCTATCATCATCTCGATGCAACTTTCACTTTTCGCATGCGGTGATACGAAGCTCTGTGTGAGCACATACGACTGCGCTACGATGCCAGCGCACTCTGAGTCAACTGCATCTCCTCGAGCGACGCCGCCGCCATAGTCCTGCACTCTCTCCCCAGAGTGCCATGCTCAGTATGGCATCCGACCCCCGCCGGGGGCGCATGATCTCGGTCATTGCCGCAACAATCACCTCGCTGGCCTGCGGAACGAATGTGAGCAAGATCAGAAGAGTCAGTGGAGGGCTAGCTGACGGGAGTGACAGTATGTCTACTCCGCCTGGGCACCGCAGTTCGCCCAGCAGCTTCGGCTGTCGTCGACAGAGAGCAATCTGATTGTACGGCCCACATCGGCGTCACCACAACGGGAAGAGGAAGACTGATAGAAGCAGGGCACATTCGGAAATCTGGGCATGTATGCCAGCGGGATCCCCCTCGGCATGATGGTTGACGCAAAGACGCCTCGCTGGGGCGTCGTCTTGGGCATTATTTTCTTTCTTGCTGGATATGCGCCCATCGCAAAAGGTGAGAGATCACAGCTCGCGACATTCAGCCCAGCTAACATACTGCCAGCATACGAAGCCGGTCCTGGAGCGTACAACATCTGGATCCTGTGCCTCTTCTCCTTCTTCACCGGCTGCGGCAGCTGCTCCGCCTTCACTGCCTCGATCAAAGTCGCCGCCCTCAACTATCCCGACGCGAGAGGCACCGCAACCGCCTTCCCGCTCGCAGCATTCGGCCTCTCTGCGCTCTTCTTTGCAGCCGTTAGTCTCGCGCTGCCTCACGACACCTACAGCTTCCTCATCCTCCTCGCTACTGGCACTGTCGCCCTACCCATCATTTCACTGCCTTTCCTGAACACCCACGCTGAAACACACGAATATTCTGCCATACCTGGCGCAGACAACACCCGTCGAGGGCGGCGGAAGTCACCAGCCGATGAGAGCTCAGCCCTCAACTCACCTTCCCGCACTACAAGTCCTCCACCCTACAACGTCGACTCTCCCGATTCCCCGTTCCTGCACACCGACACATCGCGAGAACGCGAGCACGATCACGCTACCAGCCTCGATCTCGACCGCAGCCAAATCCTCGACGACACCTCATCATCACCCACCCAGCAGCTCGACATCCGCGGCTGGCAACTCGTCCACCTCCGCCGCTTCTGGCTGATCTTCTCCCTCCTCGGCCTCCTCACCGGCATTGGCCTCATGACGATCAACAACATCGGCAACGTGACCCTCGCCCTCTTCCTCTCCGATCCCTCCCCACCATCCCACGCCTTCATCACCCGCACGCAATCAATGCACGTCTCGATCCTCTCCTTCTTTTCCTTCTGCGGTCGCCTTACCTCCGGCATCGGCTCCGACTTCCTCCTCCGCGTCTTCGGGCCACGAAAGGGAACGCGGTTTTGGATGTTGGTTTGCAGCTCCGCTTTGTTCATCGCGGCGCAGTATATCTCCATCAAGCTCACCAACCCACATCTATTGATCCTGATCTCCAGCATAACGGGCTTGGGCTATGGAATGTTGTTCGGCGTGTACCCGTCCATCGTGGCGCATAACTTTGGTGTGGCTGGATTGTCACAGAATTGGGGCACGATGACGCTCGCGCCGGTCGTGTCTGGGAATGTGTTCAATATCCTATACGGACGGATCTACGATAGTCACAGTGTAGTGGACAAGGATAGTGGAGATCGGGAGTGTAGGCTGGGTAGGGAGTGCTATGAGAGCGCGTACATGGTCACATTCGTCGCGGCCATCGCGGCGTTGGGGTTGAGTGGTTATGCGGTATGGCGGGATTGGAAAGGTGGCAGTGGTGTGGATGAGGACGAAGAGATAGAGGGGCAGAGCCATGAAGAGGGGACGAGGGCGCATTCTGCTTGATTTGAGCGATTGATAGCATAACTCAGCTAGACGCATTGACTTACTACATAACCAGATTCTGCTTCTTGTGTTGGGGCCAGCAGAGTACCTGCCCCTCTGTTGAAGCTCGTCAGGATGCGCGACCACATCCGGAAGGCGTATTTCCACTTGTGGTATCTCGGCTGTAGGATAGCCCTGGTGTATCGCCTCGTTCGATGGGTACATTATGCAAAGCCGCAGGTCGCCGCCTCGCAACCTAGCGTCCAGGGCCAAGCGACCGGGGATATGTGGAGTGTCAAAGCGTCAAGAGCACCTCACGCGTGACAAAGCGGCTACCAGTTCAGTTCACGACGGTGCCTGGGAGATGTCAGGCGGAAGCCGCTTGAGCCGTGTGCATCGTTAACGCATTTTTTGGATCTGGCAATACATACGAGTCATCACGTAGTGGCTCGTTCCCGAGGTCCTCGTCAGGCATCCCACCACTGCTGGGCAGCTGGAACGGTAGAAGTTAAGCGGCGCGATGGTCGAAGTCTACTTTGCCAAATTACGTGTACGTTATGCGAGCGAATCCGCAGCCTTTGTCGTACCCTGCTTGGTTGTCTCTGATGCGTGCGCGAAGGATCTAGGTACAGGACTGGAGCTAAGGCATGAAGGGCTGACGGGTGGGTATCATTTATGTGCCCATGCGGCAGGCAAGGATTCACGTAGGAGCATCAGAATGATTCCTATATCCTACAACCAGTATAGACTCCCATTGATGCTGATCCCTTATGGAAGTATATAAGACTAGTCGTACGGCAAATATGGTGCCCTTCGCTTCTGTGCAGCCACAGCGTCCTTATTACACTTAGCTTGAGGTTCGCAGTCAGACAATCAAGAGCAACATTCACGATGCCGCAGCTCGTATGGTTCATCACGGGTACCTCGAGCGGCCTGGGCGCGGAGGTAGCCAAGGCAGCACTGGCCAACGGAGACAAGGTTATTGCGACAGCGCGTGGCTCGGTAGACCGGCTGAGCGGTCTCAAGGAAGCGGGCGCTACCACTATGAGTCTTGACGTGACGGCAGATGTGGCGGAGATCCAGAAGACTGTTGAAGAAGCCATCGGGGTATACGGTCGGATCGACGTCGTGGTTCCAAATGCTGCGTAGGCTGCTCCGATGGCGTCGCTAAAGGCCGATGAACTGACAGCAAGACCAGGTCTATCGATGGAAGATTTCTCGAAGCCACGACGTAAGTATTGCTATCGTCGCATGCCCTTCCCGCATACGGACCCTATTTCTGACGAGCTAGTTTCAGACACGAGACATGGAAGTCACAATTCGACATCAATTTCTTCGGCGTGACCAAAGTCGTCGACAGCATCCTACCTCATTTCCGAACCCGCGGTGGCGGGACAGTGGCTTTCACAAGCTCCGTATGGGAAATATCCAGTAATTTTGGCTGCGGCACCTACTCGGCATGCAAGCATGCGGTGGCAGCGTACGCCAAAACGATAGCAGTGGAGATGGGAGCACTCAATGTCAAGCCCATCCTGTTCCAGATGGGCTTCCTTCGGACGGAACTCATGGAGAAGGGGAGATGGACAGATCCGACGCAGGAAGAATACAAACCTGCTCTGGAAGTTGTCCGCGGCATCATTGGAGATGGGCCACCTTCGTCGGCGGATTTTCCTGGCGACGCGGCGAAGTTTGGGGCGCGAATCGTTGAGACGGTGCATGATACGGGGAGGAAGTCCATGTTCGTGCAATTGGGCACCGATGGTCTCGAAACGGTACGAGCATACGCAAAGGCTTTGTTGGCGGCGTGTGATGAGAATGAGGAGAAGGCTCGGAGTACGGATTTAGATGAGCAGAAGCGTGGGCTGTTCGCGCAGACGGAGAACTTGTTCTTCCTGGCGTAGCAGGCTGATCACAAGCATAGCCCGTAGCAGACTGAGAGGCGCTGTTGCGGTAGATATGCTGATGAGAAGGAAGCTGTGATCCAGGTCTTGCTGGCATTGACCTGTGGTTTCTTGGCATTACGAGTGCCAAGACGTAGACATCGCTGCCTCGCTTCGAAGTCGGCTGCGTTAACATCATCGCCTCAACTCAACCACGCCCTCTCCTCCTCAACTGTCCTTCTGCGCGGGGCTCATTGCTAGAACTAGAGTCCTCACGCAGTGGCTGTCTGCTTCAACGTCCCCAGCGACTACACCAAGCAGCATACTCTGCGGAAGCTGCCCTCGCAGCCGCCGGCCCTCGCTGTCGCCTGACCAGATCAGCTCCTCCCCCCACCGCCGCCGACATGGGCGCCCTCCTCTCCCTCCCACTGCTGGCGCTGCCCAGCGCTGCTACACTCTGGTCGGTCGGCGCATCATGCTGCGGCGCCGCTACCTGCTCGGCCCTTTGCTCGGCATGTGGCAAGTTCCGCAGCAGCATTGCGACCCGTATCGCCTATGCAGTACTCCTGCTCATCAATAGCATACTCTCCTGGATCATGTTGACAGACTGGGCTATACGGAAGCTAGAGCACCTGACACTCGACTACATGAACTTCAAATGCGGGGACAAGGCCTGCTACGGCTACTTCGCCGTTCAGCGCATCAACTTCGCGCTCGGCTTGTTCCATCTGGCCCTCTCCATCTTCCTCATCGGAGTCACATCCACCCGGAATGGAAGAGCAGGCCTGCAGAATGGCTACTGGGGACCCAAGATCTTCGTCTGGGCCGCTCTCGTCGTCATCTCGTTCCTCATTCCCGAAGGCTTCTTCATGTTCTACGGCAAATACATTGCATTCGCAGGCGCCATCCTCTTTGTCCTCCTCGGCCTCATCCTCCTTGTCGATCTGGCATACCAATGGGCGGACATGTGTCAAGAACGCATTGACTCGGCCGAAGACCGCAACGACAACACCTCGCTACGAATCTGGCAAACCCTCCTCGTCGGCTCGTCCCTCACCATGTATCTGGCAGCCTTCGCCATGACCATCGTCATGTACATCTACTTCGCCGCCAGCCAATGCAGCATGAACATCTCCGCCATCACGATCAATCTCATCCTCATCTTAGTCGTCACCTTCATCTCCGTCCTCCCAGTCGTCCAAGAATCCAACCCCAAAGCTGGCATCGGTCAATCCGCCATGGTCGCAGTCTACTGCACCTACCTCACCTTCTCCGCTGTGTGCATGGAACCCGACGACCAAGCCTGCAACCCTCTTGTCCGCGCCCGAGGCGCCCGCACCACCACCATCGTCCTCGGCGCCCTCGTCACCATGCTTACCATCGCCTACACCACCACCCGAGCCGCAACCTACGGCCTCGCCCTCTCCTCCCACAACGCCACGAACGACTCCTACGCCGCCCTCAACCAAGACCCAGACTCACACTCCGAACACGGTCTCGTCACAACCCAACCCGCCTCCCGCCGCGAGATCATGCGCGCCGCCATCGAATCCGGCGCTCTCCCAGCCTCCGCCCTTGATGAAGATAGTGACGACGAAGACGACGTCGTCTCCAAGCGCGACAAAGACGACGAACGCACCGGCACCCAATACAACTACTCGCTCTTCCACGTTATCTTCTTTATGGCCACGTGCTGGGTGGCGACGCTACTCACCCAAGACTTCGATCCGGAGACGGCGAGCGGAGATTTCCAGCCTGTGGGACGGACGTATTGGGCGAGTTGGATCAAGATTGTGAGTGCGTGGACGTGTTATGCGATTTATGCGTGGAGTCTGGTCGCGCCAGCGGTGTTGAGTGGAAGGGAGTTTTCGTGAGTTTTGACGTGGTCATTGTACGGGAAAAACGCGTGGAAGAGTATCATTTCGGTGTAAGGATATATGTGTAGGTTCAGTACAGAACGCAAACCATTCATCACACCCCACTCCCTTGCCTAGAGACACCTCTCTGAAAGCGGCCTCGAGGCCTGTCGCTCGCTACATCTCGGTCACCATGACGTCCGATCAGCTCATTACCATCCCACTTTCGCGGCCATCTGTCTCGTCGTCATCGTCGTCGTCGTCGCATCACGTGTAGACACTCTGTTAAACCACGTTAGCAAGGAACTTCAACCATACAAACAAGAAGACAAGCACGGCAAAACAGTTCGCTCCACTCGCTCTCCGTAGGGAGCGCCTGCGGCGCGACCAGGAAATCGCTCGTTCGCTCGCCGGAGGCGGTGGGAGGTGGTGGCCGCGCTTCGCGCGACCACCACCTCCCCACCGCCTCCCCCGCCCACCGTCTCCGCTCTCCACAAGATCGCACGAAAAACAGCAAGAGGAAAAACAGATCAAACTCACCTCAGTATACGCGTTAACCTGCAACCCCTTCTCCGCCATCTCCTCCTTCTCCAAGAACTTCAACGGCATCCACACGAGATGCCCGCGAATCTTATCCAACTCCTCCCTCACTTTCGCCGCCGGCATGTACGGATCATGCAGATGGCCCTGCTTGATCGTCTTCCTCGGCGCGAAATGATCGTACTCGTCCCAGGTGGTAATATTGTCATCGGGATCGGCGCGGAACATATAGCGGTATTGGTTCGTGTTGACGGTCGCCTGGTGGCACCATTTCTCCCAGACGGCGTCGCCGAGAGGGTCTGCGACGAATTCCCATTCTTCGCCAGAGTAGGTCTCGTTCATGGCGACGGTGGGGGGTTGAGCGTTGGGGTCGTTTTTCGCGTCGAGTTCTTGCGCTTCGATCATGCCGAGGTGCTCGCGCCAGAGGTGCCGACGGAGGGTGGCGGCGTGGTAGCCGGCTTGGTAGGGCTGGCCGTCCATGGTTGAGTCCATCATGCGGGTGTCGGTCATGACGATGGAGAGTTCGGAATCGTGGCTGCCGAGTTGGGAACGGTCGTTCAGGTTGCTTGAGCCGCAGATCACGGTGCGGTCGTCGACGATGAGGAGCTTGGCGTGGATGTAGAGCTCTTCTTGGACGAAGTTGTGTTTTTCGTCTTCGATCTCGCCTTCCCAGGGCTCTTCGGAGACGAGGCCGCCACGGGCCATGAGGTCTTCGGCCACGCTGTCCGCGGAGTGGATTGGGTCTTCGGCGTCGATGTTCTTGCGCGCGGCTTCAAAGCGGCGTTTGCGGTCGATGATGTTTTGGCGCTCGTCGTCGCCAATGCGCGTGTGCTGTTGGTCTTTGGCGTCCTTTTCGGTGTCCTCGTCGTCGTAGCGTGAATGCCGGAGCCCATTATTTCTTCGGCTTCGGCGCGCTGCAGCTCTTGGTACGTAACGCCGGAGTCCTTTTCTTGTTGAATAAGGCCGGGTGTCTTGTTGATTCGGTCGAAGGCGCGGAGGTTGAAGACAAAGATGTGCTGTGTGGGATCGAAGCCGGCGGCTCTGATTTGGCCCATGATGCTGTGCTCGCCACGGTTGATTGACTTGTACTGGTAATCCATGATGGCGCGAGTGCCAATAGCGGCGTCTTCTCTGAGATCACCTGCAAAGCCTGGAATGGCTGGAATGACAATGATGACACGGAACTTGCGGCCCTCTCTAGCTGCGCGAATGCATGCATCTGCGATTGCACGACCTATGGTGTTCTGGATTGGAGCTTGGTTCTCGCCAGTTGCTGTGATAAAAAACTGATTTTCGATGTAGACGTAATGCTGGGCGTTCTCGATGACCTCCTTGTAGGCATTCTGGATCGATTGATCGTTGAGGATGCCGCTTGACCAATCATCACTGCTGCGGACTAACTGCGCGTGCACGGTGCCCTGATTGCCGAGTGCCTTGGTTTGCAGTGGACTGAGAGGGTGCTCGACGTAATCACCAACAGGGTGCTTGGGTCGCTGAACAGCGATGAGATCTTCATCCGGGTTTGTCCCGGCCTTGTTGCCACGAGTCTCCATCAGCAGCCAGTTCGTCTTCTCGTCTCGCTTATATTTGTCTCGTTTGACATGATTCCAACGCAGGACGAAGTGTTCGGCAATGTCGACCACGCAGTCGCCAATCACGGCCATCGCAACATCATGCCACGGCATGCGTCCGAAGTCAGTCTTGTTGAGCTCGTTGTTCATCCAGTCTGTGACAGTATGAAAGTCCATGATGCTGGAGATTTGTTAGCCTAGTCTACTAAGGGGAGGTTCAGATCCCACCGGTTATTGTTGAAGTCCTGACCGGGCCAAATTTCGTTCTGTACGCCCGAGGGATGCACATCAGCCAAAGCGTGATGTCTGACATCCCAACGACCGTAGCACATATCCAGACCACCGATGAAGGCAAGCTCGTAGTCAACGACAATGAACTTCTCGTGATGTGCCCAGTAGAAAGTCATGTCACCGAGGTTCTCAAAGAGGTTGTGGTCGGGATGTCGCTGGATGTGAATGTTGCCATGACCTGGTGTTCCTTCAGGACACAAGGCGCGGAGAGCGTGTTTCGTATGTGCAGAGTTACATGTCAAAGCCTGTTGAACTTCTTTGTAGACAGTGACATAGATTTGTACGCCTCTCTCAGCCGCACGCTTGAGGATCATGTCGAGTCGCCATTCCTGGTTGAAGTAGGGCGGGCGGCGAAGAAACAATTCCGGGGAGAGCCACCAGTCGGCAATGTAGATGGTCTCTTTGGCGTTCTCGAGGGCAACAGAGACAGCCCAGAAGTAATCGCGTCCGTCGACATACCATTTGATCTTGTTGTTGGGTCGCTCAGGAAAGAATGACTTGAATCGATGCGACTCGCAGATTTTGGTGCGCTTCTCGTCGGTGGCTTTCTCATGCGCTTCGTCGTGGCGATGATTCCGGTTGAACAAGTTGCCTACCTTGCCGAGCTTGTTCTTGGTGTGAATAGCTCCAACCTTGACATCGTAGAGCTTGGTGTCTACATAGATCAGCTATCAGCGCTCGTGGGATGATTCGTGCGCTCGAGGTACCTTTCAACTTCTCACGGAGCGACTTCATCTTTGCGTACTCGAGGGGTTTTGCGCTGCGGTGAGATGCTGCGGCAGAATGAACTGGCGGATGTCGCGCGATTCAATCGCGGTAGCCGAATGAACGAGTGGGCTGGGAAGAATAGTAGGAAGAATACCAAGACTATGCCGCGCGGCCTTCGTGCGACGGACTCAACAACCGTACACGGCGGGCGTTCGGGCACGATAAACTGGCGTCGCGAAGGGTCAGCGAGCGAGGGTCGACGAGGTAGTAGTTATGTACAACTCGGAGCAGAAGAACATGGAGGGGTTGAATCAGGCTTTCACGTGTAACTTCATCCTGGTTCAGCCTGTTGTCGCTTCCGCGGGGCTGATGTCATGGTCTCTTGTGGATTGTAGGTTTACTTTGGTGCCAGAAGTGCTTGTTTCAAGCTTGAGCGAGCTTGATTCACGCCTGAGAGCACGCCTATTCGCTCTTACCAGATCTCGGCTATGATCTTGCCGATCCAAGGAACGATACATCAATGGTTCAGCTTGAGTGTCCTATCGGCCTTAGGGTTCCGCTGGTACCTTCCTAGAGGGCTTCCGCGACAATCCTGCGGGTGGATGCGAGACGAATTCGACGCCTTGCAAACGAGGAAGCATGGATTTGTGGTCCAGTCCGAGCTACAACACATTACATACATGCAAATGAAAGACGAACGGAGCTGTGCCAGAAGCTGAGGATACTGATGCCTACGTCTCTAGCTGGTCGTAATGAATATTTCCGTGTTTGCATAAGTGGTATTCCCAAGTTAGTGGTCGACACACCAAGCGCGATCTATCAACTCAACTCCATGTTCGTCGCACCAAGCCTGCAGTGTGAAAGGAAGAACGCCGTGCTGTATGATGAGATAGCCACCACCACCGCGACCACAATGTCTCGCGCACCTTCTCTGGATCTCTGTCTCTGATTTCTCCTGTGATGTCTGCCTTCCTCTGCCTTCATGCTGTTGCTGTGAATCGTGTCGTGCCGACTATCTGACATCTGATCTGTGATTTCTGGCCTTTCATCCGTGGCGTCGTCTCACCGTCCAGCGATCTCTGGTCAACTGGTCTCTACTCTGAGGCCTCAGTCCGTGGATGTTCTGATCAGGTTTCGGAGTGGATTGACTTATTGAGCCTTCTTCGGCGCACCCTGCTGACCCTGCGGATTGATGTACTTCCCCAAGTTGGTAGCATCCACAGCCGTCTTCCCAACACCCTTGGCGCTTTCCCAGCCAGATCGGACCGCAGGCGGAACATTCGGGTTCTGAACTTGTTGATCGATATGGGCGGAACCACGGGTGAATGCATTCTGGACGAACTGGCTCTGGGAGAAACGTGCTCGGAGGAAGACAGTGTAGACGCCCAACAGGATCCAGCTGCCTTTGCTAAAGGTGATGGCGGACAAGAGGAGACGGATCCACAGGAGGATTTCGAGGCCGGCGACCGCAAGCATGGCGCTGTCATAGTAGTCCTTGACGAACTTGCCGATCGTGTTGGCCGCAGCGCTCTGAGACTTGGGAGTGCTGGGAGAGGTGGGAGTAGTGCCGGCTGGGGAGGCTTTGGGAGGGGATATGGTCGGGATCAGGTTGGTGCGGGTGTAGGTTGCGACGTGGAAGATGCTGTAGACGGTGAAGGGGAGGAGGGCGAGCGGAGTCTGTCGGGAGTAGAGCCAGACAAAGCTGATCACTGTTCGACCTGCTGTCAGTACTGTATTCCATGATCGAGATCTGGGTCGCATCGCTTATGCCGGGACGAACTCACTCAGATACTGAAAGTTCTCATCCCCCAACAAGGCCAACGCAGCATTCTGCGGCTTCGCGCCCGCGGGCTTCATGCGGACGCGCCACGCCTTGTAGACGACAATGCCATAGGTAGCAACAGCGGAGACAAACGCGAGGCGGTAGCTGAACTGCGCCCAGCGGGAGTAGTAGTTGAAGGTGATGTAGGAGAGGCCGTAGCGGGCGACGCTGAAGAGTAGGGTTGCGTGGCCGAGGAACCAGCCCTGTGGAGGAGGTTAGTCAGTGCTCTGTGGTATTTGTTGCGATGTTGCGGTTGAGGTAGAGAGGGTGGGTTAAAGGGAAGCTTTGGACCGCAGGCAACCAGTCGGCGACGAGTGCAAGGCTTGCCACGCCCGCTTTGAAAGATTGGCCTGTGGCGCAATATTTGTATAGACTGCTATACCATGCTCACTGCGTCTGTTCGGGAATGACTTACGAATTGCAAGGTCATCGCAAGACGCTGCAAGCGCTCGGTGAGGGGCAGGTTGGTAGGCGGTGGAGGGGCCATGATAGCTTCGCTCTTGGGCTCTCAGGAGGTGGATGAACACGACTTGATCTTTTCGAAGGTATGGCAGAAGAAGGGTAAAAGCTCGACAAACGTGTCGTTGATCGAGACGTGTTTGTAGGAATTGAGGATGAACAGAGCCTTGAGTGCAGTGGTGAGAAAACAGGAAGGTTGGAGAGTTCAAGTCGTTGACAGACTTCTTGACCGGACCTGGACGTCACCCGACGTCACGGCCTGCAAGAAATTCAAGCCACCTAAACACCTTGCCAAGGCACACGCTAATTCCACGGTCTCACATGCCACCGTTAATTAAAGGCAGCCTGACGACGCTGACTACCTACCTGCTGAACGCAGCGCCTGTAGCGCGACCAGGAAATCACACCCCGTACTGCAGCGCCCTGCCGCCGCCCCACCGCTCGCTCTCGCTGAGCGCGTTAAGTCGCGAAGAATAAGAGATGGACATACCTCACAGCAAAGAGTCAATATATACGTACAGGAGATTTAAGATCCCAAAAACAATATTGTGCCTACCGCATCTCACCTCCCGCACCTTGCTTCCCGCACTCCAACACTCCAACAGTCCCTCCTCTCCTCTCACAGAGAGCGTTCCCTATGGAGTGCTCGCTACGCTCGCCTGAGGTGGTGGTGAGTCGGTGTCCGCTTCGCGGCCACCTCCTCCCCACCACCTCCCCCACCCACCGTCCCCTCTTGGTAGAAGCTGCGATAGTGGGGTAGATCTCAAGGACTTCGTGTTTTACAGTCCCTGGGCGCACAGAACTTGCGTCCTGGTGATCACTCGCATTGCAATCCCTATGGTGCCATTGTAGAGCAGGATGAAACTCGCTGGCGATGTTTCGAGTTCTCGGTTGATTGCCAGAAGGAATGTCGTTACGGGTGTGTAGGCGAGCGAGATGTGAACAGATCGGCAGGGCTGAGGACGGCGCGTGCTGAAGGGGTGTTATTTTTCATCACTTCGCCATACTGAACATTCAGAGTGAAGTCAGAGAACGACAGTGCTTCAAACGAGTGTGTATATTGTGACTATGGTATGCATGCTGTAACAGTCGCAACAGTCAAGAGCTGCCTCCTGGTGTTCAGTAGCACACCAGGAATCTCCCCTCGAAAGAGTACACATAAGCCAGCACAACGAGCGTCTCGAAAGCGTCAAATCCACAATCCAGCCTACATCACCTCACTTCATCCTGACTTCTTCGCCTTGGACTTACTCACGACCCTCCAGCCGTCATCACTCTCATGTTCTGTCGTCGTCGTGATTGTCGTTGTAGGCGAAAGCATGCCCACCGACGGCGATCGCTCCCTCCAGCCATAGTCGCTTGCGTCGGCCGTTGCCATGGCTGTTGTTGAGAACTGCTCCGCTAGGTTCCACTGCCCAGTTCTCGAGTTGAAGTCCTCCCCAGCAAGCTTCGACTCGCGCCTCTAGCGCTTCCCACCAGCACCACCCTTCTTCTTGCTCGGCACAACCTTGAATTGCGCACCACCCACGTCCTGAGCAGCCTTCTCAGGCCCCTTCTTCGCGACCTCGCTCCATCCAGCACCGCCCGCACTTTTCGCGTCAGCGCTGCCATTCAAGCCGATTTGCGGGCCGATAGGCTCGACGATGCCCTTGTCAGCGTTCTTGCGTCGGCGGACAAATTCTTCGGCGATGCGTCGTCCGTCGAGGGTCTGGGAGTTGGCGTAGACGCTGTCGGCGATGATCTCGATCTCTGGCGGGAGCATGAGGAGGTCTTGAACAAAGCTCTCAACTGCAATATTCAGTTAGCATGGGGGTCATGTCAGATCATTAGGATTTGAGCTTACCATTGATGCCGCCATTCAAGCCCTTGCCAAGCTGTGTCTTCAGCCATCTCACGAACTCTTCATGAGCCTTGGTCTTCTCGCCCAGAGTCGAGCCTCTGGTTGCAGGCAACGCAGGCCTAGACTTAGTCGTGCTCACGGAAGAGCTGCTAACAGTACGTGGCACGGACTGCGGTGTCGCAAGTATGGTCGGAGGAGCCTTGGCCTTACCACCACCAGATCCAACTGTGGTCCAGGCGCTGTTGGCAGTGGCAGTAGCAGGAGTAGCTGGGGCAGCTTTACTTGCCAATTCGGAGTACTTCTTCCCAAGCACAGCTGACACGGGTGAACTGGTATTCTGGGCTTGTGCTTGTGCCGCTGCGGCGGCGGCCTGGCGCTGCTTCCGTGCTTCCTCCTCCTTCTGGATCTGTGCGAGTGTCTTCTTAGCCGGGGCAGTAGACGTAGGCCCTGCTTTGACAGGTGCTTTCGCCCATACTGATCCTGCGCCAGTAGTCGTAGGCGTGCTGGGCGAAGAAGAAGTCGCCCAAGTGGCAGAAGAAGGAAGACCTGGAGCGGGTGAAACCACAGCTGCCTCGGCCATACGTTCTTGCTCAGCCTGCGCACGACGGGCAGCATCCAGAATTGCAGCCTGCTCTGCTGCCTTCTTGGCCTCGGCTTCCTGGATCTCGCGCAGGGAAGGTCCTCTCGGTGCCTCAGTCGTGCGGTCTGCCCAAGGTGCCACAGAACTTGCCGGCGTTTCAATCGGAGTCTGAGTTTGGGAGCGCGGTTCCGGGACCAATGACTCTGCAACATGCTGTCGATTGCGCTGAGCTGCAGGAGCCGGCAGCGGTGAAATGGACAGAGGCGGTGCCTGGATTGGCTGCTCCAGTTGGTGTGCAGTTGTCCACTGAACCTGCTCGGTAAGTGATGGCTGCGATGACTGCGGCAGAGTAGCTTTGTTCATAGGCTGCCCAATTGGAGTTTGCTTAGACTCGAAGGGTGCTCGGTTGATTTCCTCACTCGTGCGTTGCGCACCGATGGGAGGAAGGATGCTATCAGGCCGGAACGACCTGTCCCTCGAAGCTCCTGGAACTCCTCGAGGCGGCCATTCCTGCCCTGCTCGCCTAAAAAAGCCTCCTCGTGAGCACGGTTGTCGAGAGGTTGGCGAGTCAGTCGTTGACGGTCAGCATGGACCTGCTGATACTGCTGAATATCACCAGGCGCTCCGGGAGGGCCACGCTGATTGAAGCTGAGTCGATCCATCAGACCAGGCAGTTGGCCCTCTTGACCAAATTGTGGTGGTTGCTGCCCGATTGGTGCATGTGCGCCCATGGAAGGGCCTGCTCCCGGTGGCAAAGGCATCGGATGGTAGCCAGTGCTGGGCGAAGTAATACTCCCGTACGATGGCTGAGTGTGCAAAGAGTGTGCACTTGCTTGGTGCTGTAACGGGTGCATGTTATGTGGTTGACCTGGTCCTTGCTGCCTCGCCATGCGATTGGCGAGATGCTCCTTTTGTTGTGCCATCATATACTGCTCTTCCTGCTTGCGACGCTCGAGCGCATTCTGCTGGTCTGCAGTCAGAGTCGTGCCGAAGCTCGGAAAGTTATTGTTATTCGAAAATGGTGTCTGAGAATGGTTCGCTGCTGTCGGAGTGGCCGCATTTGGCCATGCATTCGTTTCGCCAGGTTCCTCCCCGTGTGCAATTCCTATCTGCGGGACCAAGAAAGGCTCGCGAGAATTGCCAATCTGGCGAACCAGCTGCGCGAGGGGTATGAAGTTCTTGTCCTCCAACTTCTTGACGAGTAGTTCAGCCTTGAAGAATCCAGCCTTGAACCAGTCGTGCATCTCCAGACCAGACCAAGGGCCTTGCTGCTCGCCTTGTGGGTCACAATAAACCCACCGCATCCTGTCAGGCAAGACCATCTTGAGTTGCTGAACTGCTGGCATATCATTACTGGAACCGGGCGTTGGCCTTCCATCGTTGGGGGGAGATTCTCGGGCTCCAGACGGGCCAGCGGTATTTTCGCCGACAGAAGGGAAAAGCGGGTTGAAAGATGCAGGATCGTTGTCACGGCGAGCAAAGGCCGCGTCGTCGAACGCAGCACTGGCTCTCCCAAATCCGGGATCGAAAGGATCGCCGCGCTGCGACACACCCTCGGCTCCACCGAACAATCGGCCTCTGTTGCGTGCATCACTTCGCCCTGCGTCGTCCATGCCGTTGGGCAGCATTCCACCGAGCCTGTTGTTTCGACCAATCGAGCCGAATGCGCCGAAGCCAGCAGACCCTATCCCAGCTGTGGGAGATTGTAAATCAGCGGAGATGGGACTGAAAATGGAATCGTTGAAGCCCAAAGTGCGTTCTCGGCCAGGCGTGCCGGAGGAAAACCCAGGATTTGGTCCCCAAGCAGCTGCCGCAGGAGAATTCGCGAAAGTGGAGTAGGTGGGGAAGCCGGACGCCGAGCGAGGAGCGCCATCGTCGCTAAACAGAGCGCGTCTTGTAGCACTGAACGGAGCTTGAGAATCGGTTGCGTCCAGTCCATCATCTCGAGCACCGTCGGTACTCTGATAGGGATTTGTGTTCGCCGGGCTGGCTTCATTGAGCCCAGCTTGAGACCTGCCAATTGAGCCAAAGTTGGACTGATCAATAGAATTCGCGGTATCTTGAGCGCTCAATGCAGCACTACCTGACCTGTTTGGTGCCTCCTCGAATGGATTGGTCTCGCTACGATTTGGCCGAGTCTTGAGAGCCTCACGTGCTGTGCCTGCCGAGTCCTCTTCGGCGAGCTGAGAAAGGGCGCCGAAAGCAGACCTGTCCTTGTTGGCATTTGGAATGTCTTCGGTGCTGGACTTTGCCATCAGATCCTTGAAACGACTCCCACTACGGACGCTGCCGAAGCCCGGACGCTGGTCGGACTTGTCTTGCGTCTGCGGAGCTGCGGAAGCAGTGAAGCTTCCGAAGGTGCCCATGGATCCAAAGGCGGATGAACCTGGCCCGGCCGACCACGGCGAAGCTGACGGCGGGTTCAGACCTGCATTCAAGGGTCCGTTCGCTCGTCTCAGAGAACCAATGGGGGCTTGAGGCTCTTCCTCGTCTTTTGGCGGTGGCAGGTCTTTCTGGGCGGTACTTTGGGGGTCATCCTTGAAATCTGTACGTCGGCGAATCAATGCTGGTGGCGGAGTGGCCGCACTGGACTCGCCACGGAAGAATGTCTTGTTCTCGGTTGGCGATAGTGGCCCGTTGGCAGTGAAGGAGTCGCTGGTGTCTCTACGCCGAGTTCCTGGTCGAGACCCGACGCCTCCAGGATAATTGGATATCGAGGTCTTGCGCGTCCCAATAGGAGCTATGCCAGCTCCTTCCTTGGGCGCCGTGGACACCTTTATAGGCGAGTTGACAGAGGATGTGAAGAGCTAGTCCGATTAGAGCATGTTGTTGCAAAGAGGGGCGAACCTACCTGTCTCTCCTCCTCGTCCATCTCTTGCAGGCCCAGCGGCAGTGGATTTGGCTCATCCCTCCAGCAGACAGCGGGTCCAGGGTATTGCTCTGCAGACTCTCCACGCGGTGTTGGCGGTACAGGCCCATTTCCCTGAGTCTCTTGAAGCCAGTTCTCATCCAGCAGCTGAGGTAGACGTCTGGACATGCCGCCAGCATCCCTCTGCGACTGGTACATGGCCAGCATCTGCTCCTTGCCATACCGCGTAGGCCCGTTGACGCCATTTTTCGCGATATTGGAAGGATGATTGGAGTTGAGGTGGGGCGGGATGTAGGCGCCTGGGCTTTGTACGGATGAAGGGTTTTGGGGGGTCATGTCGCGTGTCTGGGCGGTCGTGTTGGCGGAAGGCCGGCGGAAGGTCTGTGTAGCACCGTTCGGACGGCTTCGGGCCCTATGATATGCAATATTAGTATACGGCGATGATTACGCGCGATGAGCTTGGCTTGTGAAGCAACGGGAGGCACGTATTCGACAGAGGGCCAGACGCACCAGTCGCTAGTACCGTTACCCTCTCTTCTGTTGCCAGCGCCGTTGCTGCCCGCAGCGGCAGAAGCGAAGGACGATGAGAATGGAGTAGTCATATTGTATGGTTGAGAGTTGCGTAGATAGGTTGGCAGATGTTGATGTTGGCCAGGTAGACGTGTTGAAGGTGTCGATGAATTGTTCGCGAGTGCTGCAAATTCGTTTCGTGAGGTCGAGGCGACTGTCCGCGTACGAAAATCCGTATAAAACGGTTTTTGCGGGGTGTCGGCCATGATATCCGGTATGGTAATTTCAGCTACTGCAGGTGCACCGTGTTCGAGTCGTTGGTGATAATGTGACACTGACCGTTGATGAGACAGCAATGGTGATCCAGATGAGGATGAGGCAATTCCACTGGGGCAATGTAGGAACGGGGCAAGTACGTCAAAGGGGAAGGCAAAGTGATCCCTGGGAAAGTACGCGCCACTTAATTATCAATATTCCCACAGCTCAGGCAAGTACCAAGATTGTGCGAGGCTCAGCTAAGGTACTCGATCCTTAAAACTAGTGATTGGACGATGTTTGAAGCTTCGCAGACAGCTTTTCGAGCTTCTGGGAGCCAACATAGCGTAACGTCTTTGATGATCATAGTGACTAGCGACTGCTGTAAATATATTGCTATTCGGCGGGCTTGTGAAATGTCCTCCATCCTCAGCGAAAGTACATGTCCTAGCGAGGGCTCAGGACCTCGCTGGTCTGCTCAACAGACTTTCGGTGCTGGTGGGAAACCTGGTCAGCTTCCAGTCAACGCCATGCCTGCCCATCTTTCTCGCCCCTCCCACTTCCTGGGCGAGCTTTTGCCACCCTTTTATGCTACACCTCTCAAACTAGTCCCCCATGAACAGCAACCCTCTTCTATCCTCCGGCTCGCGCTCATACGTCGGCACCTCCTCCTTCGGCTTCTTCGCCATCGGCACATCCTCCTGTGACGCCCATTTCCCGTCAAACACATTCTCCAGCCTTTCCTTGACATACGTCGTCATCTCCTGCCGTAGGGACCCCGTGGTCAGCCTCAGAGACCCGAGAGCGACCTTGATGTGAACATCGAGCGGCAACTTGTCGTTGCTGTGGGCTTTAGTCATGTCCTGCGATGAGGCGGCCCTCCGTAGCTGCGGATGGCCAAATCGGAGCGGTAAGAACGGCACTATGAACCCATCAACATACGGCTCCTCGTACTTCGACAAGTCATCCAGGTAGACAAAAAGCTCTAAGGTTCTCAACTCCCCAACGATTGCGCGCGCCTCCAGTGTCTGCTTTTCATTATAAACGGAGTGGTAGGAGTCGGCCGGACGCTCGTATATCTCAAGTGCTGCAGCATGCCTGCGGAGCGGACAAATTTTGTCGCGAAGTAGTACAGATCTCTCAGAGAAGTAAAGGCGAAGCGATTGCGCGAGAAGATCAGGTCGAGAGCTTCGCGGCGGATAGTATGGGAAAGGAGCAGAAGGTTTGTGTCGAGAAACGCCGGAGGGCTTGGCGGGGCCGCACTGAGGGAGAGTCGACCAATTCCTTCGCAGCGGCACATTCCCTTGCGAAGGTCTGTAGCATTATCGTCGGCACAGCGAAATAGGCGGAATCCGAGTCTGGGGTTGTTGTTGACAGGGTGAATATGGACTGTCTCTGGCACAGTGACAAGATAGCTGAAAACTTGCTGGCGTAGCTCTGTTGGTAGTTTGGTGTACAGTGGGGAGGATGCAGTGTTGTTCGGTTCTGCTTGAGCGGGGGAGTGCTGGACGAGGGACTGGTCGAGCTCGCGCTGAAGTTGATTGCTGGCTAGGATGTCGAATTTGTGACAGGCCGGTGCTGCGATGCGTACGGTGCTGAACAAGGACCGTTGGTTGGACACTTTTGCCATGTGGGCAGCTGTTCGAGGCTCACGCTGAAGTTGGTCGTTGGCGAGAATAGTCGATCTGTGCTCGTCGTGGGAAATGTCTGTGCGGACTGGTGGAAAAGCTGGTGCCTTCGTGCGTGTTGTGCTGAACAAGAGCCGTTTGTCGGACACGAGTGCCTTTATTGCAAGTGATCGAGGTCTGCTGGGAGGCATAATGTTGCGTGTTGTGATGAGCAAGGGCTGTCCGTTGGACACCTCTGCCTCGCGAGGAGGTGTTCGAGGGCCCCCAGGAGGCATTTTGCGGACGATTTTACGTCTGGGGTGACTATGACCGGAGTCTTCCATAGAGACCAGTGTCGGCGAGTTCGGCTCTAGGGATCAGTGTTAGATGCCACAATGAGGAACAGTCGGCGTGCTCGTACCGTCTATTTGCAAGGATATTGCAGGCAAATCGATGGAGCAAGAGCCGGGAGACATCAACGACGACTTGTCGTCCAGTACGCAGACAGATCGAAAGTCTCGTCAGAGAAAGTGGCCTCGTTTATGATCGATATCAGAACTTACCAAGTGATCGACTATCCCGCTCAGACGGAGCTGTGCCACATCACGAAGTTCGCAAGATGATAAAAGTGTGCCAAAAGAATGATTTGTTGTGGTAACGGGTGGGAAAAATCGCGACAAAGGTCAAGGAATAAAGTAACAGGAATAGGAAGGTCGTGCCTGCCGATATAGTCACTTAGCTCTAGAGTGAAGACGAGTTCGGAAGGCGCGACCAGCGTGAAGGTGACTTGCCCGGTGAAGGCTTCATCAAACGGCCAGCACAACTCACTGGACCGGCACAAGAGCCTCACTGTCCCTCCCGAGGCCTCTGCTACAACGCAATGGGGATGGTAGTCGTCTTGCATACATCAAGTCATGGAGCAAACATACCTACTTCGTAGATGTTCAAGATCCGGAAGATGCTCCCCGGCAGTGACGTTCCCGTTCAACCAATCACGCTCCACGCGAAAAGCGGGGAGCCTGCTTAGAAATACTTCGTCCGCCTCGGCAACAATCTAGTGTCTCGAGTACTTCATCTCCGATATTCTGAACGTTCGACCGACATTCGCAACGGAACAGCACCGACTAGGGATATACAAGACCGAGAGACCAGTCCCAGGTGACCCTATCTAGCTGCCTCTTCCCAGCACATGAAAGTATCACCCTTCCGCCTCCTCCACCATACCACCAAAATCCCATCCACCACAACGACCACCGCCGCCATGACACAATACAACATCTCCATAACCTCCGACATAGTCTGCCCCTGGTGCTACATAGGCCACACCCGCCTCTCCCGCGCCATCACCCACCACAAATCCATCCATCCCAACGACACCTTCCACCTCTCCTACAAATCCTTCTACCTCAACCCCGCCGCCCAAACAGGCGACTATTCCCAACCGCCCTTCCCAATCCCTTCTTCAAACCGCAGGGAGTACTACGCCAGCAAATTCGGGCCCCAACGCGCCATCCAGATCGAGCGCATGATGATCGAAACCGCCGGTCGGGAGGGGCTAAATTTCAGCTTTGACGGGAAGACTGGACCGTCGAGGAACGGGCACCGCTTGGTGCGGTACGCGCAGAATCATGGTGGCGAGGATGCGCAGAATCGGGTTATGTTGGGGCTGTGGAAGCGGTACTTCGAGGATGCAGTCGATATCACTACTTTGGAGACGCTGACTGAGGTGGGTGTGGAGGCTGGATTGGGGAACGAGAAGGAAGTGAAGGCGTATCTCGAAAGCGGGAAGGATGCTAAGGAGGTGGATGATGAGGCGGAGGAGGCAAGGCAGAAGGGCATCAATGGTGTGCCGAACTATGAGATCCAGGGCATTTGGGAGGTCAGTGGCGCGCAGGAGCCGAGGGCTTTTGAGCAGCTGTTTGCAAGGTGGAAGGAGATGGAGAAGAAAAAGGGCGCCGCGGAGGCGGCCAACGGGACCAATGGAAGTAGTGGAGGCGCGGCGTGTCTGTGAAGACGGCATGGAAGTCAGCGGTGACCCGCAAAACCCCTTGAGCACTATGATTATCCCTTGTGGCGACGAATGTCAAGTCGTGCCGATATAGTGTATTGAGCGCAGGCCGGCCTTCCCTAGGGCTCCCTATCCTAAGGGCTAGGGCAAACCATGCTCAGTGGTACTTGTTCTTGAAAGCCTCCACATCATTCTCCAAGAAGATTTCAATCTTCTCGTTCATCTTGGGCCCTATGTCTTCGATGAACAGCGAACAAATGATCGCAAGCCCGCCGAAACCCAGCAGGGCGAAGCAAACCGTTCTGCAATGTCACAGTCAGAGTAAGTACGAGCCACAGCAGTGGAGAGGGCGGTAAAAAGAGGTGAGCTTACCGAAGACCCTGAACAAAGCTTTCAACAAACGCCGCCCCAGCAGCCTCAGCGATGGCCGGTGTAAGGCCATGTATCTTTGCAAGAGCCGCCTCCCCATTCGGCAGAGCAGCGGCGACAGCTTCTGCGATCAAGGCCGAGGCACCAGCCGCTTCAGCCGCCGCCGCAACATGTGTTGCCGCCCAACTGCTCTGCACACTAACTAGAATGGTCGCAAAGACCGTAACAGCTATCGCACCGCCGGACTCGCGAGCCACACCAGCCAGACCACCAGTAATGCCGAGCTCGGTCTGAGGTGCGCCGAACTGGATGTACGTGATGCTGAGATACTGAGCCCAGCCAAAGCCCGCGGCGGACAGGAAAGCGCATGCTATGCCGACGCCCTGGCGCTGCGGGTTAACGTAGGCCAGAAGTCCGCCCCAGAAGGTCGTCCATGTTAGTGACGCTGTCATCTGCCACTTCCAGTGTTTTACAGTTCCACCAAAGAACGTCAAGAGCAGTCCGCCGAGGAGGATGCCGAATCCTTGTACTGTTGCGAGCCAGTATACGTGCTGAGTCGATTCTGTGCCCCAGTAGACGCTGACCATGGTGCCCCAGACAATGTTCAACCCAAAATAGTACCTGGAGGACTTTGTTAGCCATGTAATGGAGCAGCAACATCGGCAAGAGCGCGAACTTACATTGTGACAACAAAGCCGACAACGAAGGGAAATGATAGCGTCCGACCTCGGTTGGCAGTAAAGAGATGCGTTGGTGTAAGAGGCTCTTTGAGTGGCGCAAGCGTCTCCCACGCTCCGAAAAACACAAGACATGCAAATCCAGAGACCAAAAGGCCAATGACCCTGGGGCTGCTTGGCGGGATCAGCTGTACGTACACGATACCAACCAGGATGAGAGCCGCAGCAGCAGTGAAACTGAAAATTCCGACCCAGTCCAGGTGCTTCAAGGCGACGTTCCAAGCGATGCCTCGCGGGTGCTTCGGTGGGTAGTACAACGCAACGAGGACAGCGGTGCAGACTACACCACATATGACGACCGACCAATATCCCCATCGCCACGACTCGTCGTGATTGATGGCAACTCGGGCGGTCACAGGGCCGCCAATGACACAAAAGAATGCGACACCATCTGCGATCACAACGCCAATGTGCCTCCACTTGTTAGGCAGCAGCTCTGCGATTGCAAAAGCAGCCAATTGACAATTACCGCCACCGAGGCCAATGATGACGTGCGCAACAATAGTCTGGCCCATGTGATGAGACGTACCGCCAATGATAGAACCAATGGTGATGAGAACACATCCCATGATGATGAACCACCGGCGTCCGAACAGATCGCTGTTGGCTCCGCACACCATAAACGCAATTGTTACGCACGTGATGTAAGTCGATGTCATCCATGTCCCCTGTGAAGCTTCACTGCCAAGTGAGAGGGCGACTTGCGACTGAATAGTGCTGAAAAACGGTACAGGCCAGAAGGAGGCGCCATATGCAATGGACATGACCTGAATCAACATAGTCAGCCTTTGACTGGAGAGCTCCTGATGCAGGAGAAAGTAGACGACGGCTTCGATGGCCTCCTCCAAGAGGCAACGAAAGTGCGGCGACGTGGGGATCAGGGCGACTTGGTCAAGCGCTATCTTGAGCACGTGCCATCACAGATGATGCCCTCCGTGTCACGATGGAAAACTACCCGGGCACTTACCCACACAACAATCCATGTCTTGAAGGTAACCACATCATCGCCAGCTTCCGCTCGAGCAATTTCATCGCTGTTCTCCTGCGGGTTTCGTTTCTCCAGATCCTGTACCGAGTGCAGACTGTCCGCTTCCGCGTGTGATGGAGACGGTCGCTCTTCGTGGGACATGGTCGGCTTTTCGGGCGATGTTGTTCCTGCTGCTGTCGAGGATGGCGCCATGTCATGCATCAGTGCAAGTCCTGACTTTGCGAGAGAAGTGTATGTTCACCAGCGGCGAAGGTTATTGAAGATGGCACTGCCAACGAAGAGCAGGCAGTTCACATGGCTGTATATTCGTACTCCACTGCTGAATCCGTGAGCCCCGGATATACCAAAGAACCGAATAGCATCCCCACGGGGTTGCCACTGCCGCCCTTCGGAACAGTTGCCGACTAATCACAATCAATGACTGCAGTTTTCAGGCCCAGCAAGTTTGGAAGCCCTCCCGCGGCAACCTGTCAAACTTAAACGTTAGCCGCGCATAACTGGTTTTGGTAAGACTTCAGGTTCGTCTCCGAGACCCGGGAAGGCTAACTGTTCTGGTAAGTCCCACGGCTAAAACAATCGGTGGAAGATCGACATGCCATGGTGGGACGACTGATTCGGCATTAAAACGTCCCAGTGCGACACGTTTGAATTGCTGAGAGCGTCCAAGATCCAGGTAGTCCGTGCTTTTCAAGATCAGCAATCCAGAGGCCACAATGACAGCAGCAGTCCTCCAATCGCAGGCAGTCCGGACGATTCTCAATTACCACCTAGAGCCTGAGCGTGGTGGTGCTGAAGTATGGTGTCCTGGAACGGTTAGGGACAAACGACGGCCACACGAGCACCAGGAAGTTTTTGTGACCGACATTCGAGGCCATGAATCAGACTTCTCTTTAGACAAACAAGGATTCCATGTCGGGCCGTTTCATCCGTCATTCGAAGGTGACCTGGGCGAGGACGCCAAGTTCCGCGAGGGGTACTATCCGGAGGTTGCTGCCCACGTGAAGAAGATGTATGTATCTGGGCGCGCGGTATGCCGAACTGTCACTGATCATCATCCTCCAGGACTGGCGCTTCAAGGGTCGTGCCTGTAGTCCACATATGCCGCCGACAACAGTGGGAACAAGTCGCAGCAGCCGAGAAAGACATGCCAGATGATGCGCCCGTCACTGCTCCGGCGGCCAATCGCTCAGGTGAGAGACGATTCGCGAACGGCAGATTGAACCACAAGCTGACGTGTTGATCACAGTACACGTGGATCAATCATATTTTGGGGCCGAATTAGTCCGCGACAATAAGCTGAAGAGCTTCGCTCACGAAGAGGCTGAGAAGCTCAAGACATGCCGCTTCGCCATTGTCAATCTCTGGCGGTCCTTCGCCCCTGTTACACGTGACCCGATGGCTCTGTGTGATGCGAGGACAGTGGACGAGAATGATCTTACTGCGGTGTATGCAGAGCTCCCAGAATCTCTCACGAAGGCCAAGACAGGCTACAACTTCGCCGCTGGACATCGCTCTGAGGCATGGGAGGTGAAAGCCAACCCAGCATCGCACAAGTGGTATTATGCGTCTGGCATGACACCTCATGAAGCGTTGCTGATCAAGCAGTTTGATTCGAAGAAGCACGGTGTGGCAAGGCGCTGTCCTCATTCGGCTTTCTCGACCGAGGATGACTATGGTCCAACCAGGCAGAGTATAGAAGTCCGCTGCCTTGTCTTCTGGGAGGACCAGGGCTTGGATTAGTCAAAACTTAGGCCGAGTTTTGACTGTGAAATCGACAGACTGCGCGAGTCTGAGTCTAATGTAAATCTGTGTTGGCACTGCCACTCAAGAACCATCCTGGACTGAACATTTGTTGATTTTCGCTCTCATGTAGCGTTGTGAAGAGATCTTCATCTCCAGCAAAAGGCACCGGGGTGGGCATCAGGTAGCCATATTCCGTCATCAAGCTGCTGAGCTGCAAGTTGTCGGGAGTGCTTGTAGAAAGTGGACTGGTCTGTGAGTTCGCGCGTCGAGCTTTTGTAGCCATGAGGTCCGTGGAATCTACTTCTTGAATCGAGGTGCTTCGACGTGGCGGAAATGGTGAGACGGAGTCTTGTACCGGAGCTGTAATCATCGAACCACGCCGTTCACGCGTGTTGCTCACGTGCACTCGCTCCGGCCCAATAGGTGCACGCATTATAGCGCATTGTAGGAAAGCCGTTGAGTAATCAGCAGCTGCGTACATGTCTCTGAGCGCTGCCATGAACTGCATGCATCGATGGAACTGTTTCAGACTCCAATGGTGAAGAGAACTTGCTGGTGCCAGTGCGTCTGATAGGTGACTCATGATTGCAGGCAGAAGCACAGTTATGGTTGGAGAGGGCAAGTAGCGAAGCAAGTCCAGGTCCTCGAGCGCAGACGCTATTGCGCATATATTTGTTGCTGCGACTCGGATAACAGCTTGGGAGGCAGCCGCAATCCTTGCCGGGGTGGAGAAATCCTCTTGTTGCAATGGGAAGCGGTGGACAGCAAACAGAAGGGAGTTGTATGTCATGTGCAGGAAAGCGCGATGCACTAGGACGTGACTGTCGCCAGATTCCACCATTTGTCTCGCCGGCACGAGATATCTCGATTGTTCGGCAATCGATTCCTTCCAAGCTGTCAAGACCTGCTCAGAGGTGTGATCATTGACGTCTGAATCGAAAGTGTTAGCTATGACTGTCGCCGTGTGCTTGCTTCCGCGAGAGCCGGCTACGCCATTCTGGATCGATAGGATGTAACTGGTACAAAGGGCCAGTTTCGCCAGGTCTATGAACATATTGGCTAATAGTTGTCGGCTTTCACTGCTTTGCGAACATGCCCCAGGGACGCTTGAAGGAAAGCTTCCAGGTAGACTGTCAGCCTCGAAATCGATATATTGCAGCATGGGCATAGTGAAATCCATCTCCGAGATTCGTGTCGAATAACCTGTAGATAGGGAAATTTGGCAATCGCGCACGTAAGCTGACCACCAGATTCTTCGACGGAGTCCACTTAGGGAGTGTTCCGTGGCACTAGACTCATCCGCGCTGTGCTGCAGACCAAGCTTCTGCACAAGCGAGAGTGCGATGTCTAGCCAGTGATGAGTCTCTTTACGGCCAGCTGGATCTTCCCTCCAATATGTCATCAATAGTAGTGCTTGTACCGTCGCCATTGGGTCATCCTCGTAGTCAAGGTCGTACAATAGACGAGCTTTATTGAAGAAGGCTCGACGCGCATCTCGTCGCGAAGCATGGCCATTCTGTTTCAGCACATCGAGTGGAACATGAGCGATACCGGCGAACATCACCGCCTGGAACAGCAAGAGGCTGATGGGTTTCAAACGTGCATTGCTGTCGCGGACAGTGCGCATGAAGTCGCCGAGGTCGAGCAGCGGCATAAACGGATGCACGTAGTTGGCGTAGCTTTGTATGAGTTCATCACGCAGGAGCAGCTGAGGAACAGCCAGCGCTCCCTTATTGCGAAGATACGTGACATCGTCCTGCTCGAAATGACTGGGGAGTGCTTTAATGTACGGCGGGAGTGCATCAAAAGGTTGCTGAGCTGGGGTATCGTCTCCGGAAGTCAAGTGTGACTGGCCATTCAGGTGGTCGAGGAGAGTCGCCGCCACGGCAGGCTCACTGACGTTCTCAGGCCAGTATGCACGGGAGTCCAGAGAGTCCGCTAGGTGGTTATTGAGATTAAGATCGTCCATCGCCATGTCAGCCGCGGATGCTGTGACTGTATCAAAGAGACGTTCCGAATTGTTGTCAGATGTATCAACGTTCGCTGAGAGGCACCGCGTTACTCCATTGTCAGGTTTTCGACGCTTCCTTCTGCTTTCGACGACGACACAGTTAGCTCCATCCATTTTGCAAGGCATGCAAGGCACGCCATGTCGAGCAACATCGCATCTGATTTTTCGCCCTCGACATCCTTCGCAAGCTTGTGGCGCTCTTCGTTTGATCGGCTGCCCGGGACGACCGTCTTGGAACTGGAGTTGTAACTCCGTGACGCGCCCCTGTGCATCTGTTCTAGCTGCACCGTTGCTGACAGATGGGTCGAATTGTGTCGACAGGCTTCCACTATCTATCAAATTCATCGCACACGTGCCGTATTGAATGTTCTCGACATCTGCATGCCCAGATATTCCAGAGAGCGTCCACGTGCGGTTGAAGTAATTCGCCTGCTATTGGTGTAGCAAGTTCATTGCGTCGCGCCACTCACAGCTCGTGAACCTTTGGCATTCGAGATGTCATGCATCCCCTCTGCTTTCCCCGAGGTTGTTGTCGTTGGAGAAGCTCGAAAGTCAATGGATTAAGTTTAGGTTTGAGCCACTTGCACGTCCTTCTGAACCAGCACCCCGTCCACCGGATCTGGCGTCGCATCGTCCTAATATCACCTGTTTGACGCGATGATAGAACAACGGCCGTGAGTGACCTTGATGAACGGGGCTGTCGCGTCGATGACGGAAAGGCTGCTCTGCATCCTTATCGAGCAGGTGCGAGGTATCATCACGCAGGGCAATCGAGGGATGCTTTGATATCGCACTCTGCCAGCCTCCAGTAGAGCGAATGAAGTCAATGGACCGAGTAGCACTGGCATGCTTTGTCACTTCATTACGCACGACAGGAACGTCGAAGGAAGTTCGCTAAGTAGTGGTGGTGTACATGTGGTGTTCGCGTCGCGGGAAACATTTCCGATTTGATGCCAAGCTCCCGTTGACTTCCTTTGCGCGTCCCAGGACGACTTCGCCATCGACTACCCGCAGTCGTGATCTAATGGTACTGCGACCTGGCCTGTGGCGCGTAGCTCTTACTTTGAATGTAGCAGTCCCACGGACAGGCACGCTTCACGCGTCTGCGCACCCCGCGACCCAACGACTCCTGTTGAGGTCGTCTCACCCCAAACATCGATCCGTGAGCGACCGGTCTGCGCCTGCACCTTCCTTAGAAGCAGCAGGCGGATCAGAACTGAACTCGGAAGCCCCCACAGGCCTCAAATCCTCTCGCGGCATCAAAAATGCAGCATCATTTGCAAACCTCACTCCTCCAAATCTGCTTCATTCAAGTCTACCAACATTCCTTGCGCATGCGCGCCGAATCTCCTTGAAACCATGGACACATGTATTCTTGGGCACAAGATACGAATATTTGACCCAGACAGTACTAGCGCGATATGGCTTTGAGCTCATGCGAACAGGCAAGGCTGGAGACCGCGGCGTTGACCTAGCTGGCTTCTGGCATCTTCCCGATGGCGGACAAACTGAGGGTGCTCCGAACACGCGATCACTACGAGTCCTGACACAGTGTAAGCGTCACCGTGGCAAGAAGAGTCTACAGCCGTCTGCAGTGCGGGAACTAGAGGGCGCATTCCTGGGAGCACCTCCGGGCTGGCGTGGCGAGGACGTCCTTGGGGTCATGGTCAGCACGAAGCCCGCGACCAAGGGCGTCTTGACTGCGCTTAGCGCGAGTAAGAGAGGTCTGGTTTGGATATGTCTAGAAGAGGACGAGACCTTCGAGACACAGCCGACAGGCTCCGAAGGACCGGATGGAGATGAGGAAGTGCCTGCAGAAACAGAAGACGCGGCACAGTCTGAGGGTGCCTCGGATGAGGCGCCCTCTGGCAAGCCTACAGTGATCCGATCTGTCACTGGTCGAGTGATCCAAATGCTGTACAACCATGCCGCACAACGGATCGGGCTAGAAGGCTTGGACGTGATCCAACAGCATCACGTAGACGACTCAGACTTGACTGCATACGTCGAGATCAAGCTCAATTATCGTGGGCACCCGGTGCGAGAAGTCAGCGGAGACGAGTGACGGCTATGAGCATACGTTCAAGGACAGAAATCTGAGTATTTCCAATATCATTGCGTCATTCATAGCGACTGAGCATTATATGAATAGTTGCGGACGTCGATTTAAAGTACATGGGTATCAACTTGTAGCACTAGCTGAATCTGTGTCGGGTATCATGACTCTGTCGTGTTGACGCAGAATAAAGAAGCGCGTATCCCAACACCAAAACTCCGGAATCGTTCCTCTCACTCTGTTCGCATGTCCCCAAGGACCCTCTCGCACAAGCCGTTCGTCCCCTTCTCCGTGGCTATGCTTTCTCGTAGGAGAGAGTCCGAGATCATACTCTGCTTCTCGTCGTGTGGTGGCTATGAGTTGTCCTGGTCTTCCGACCACCAGCACGGTTGCAGGTCAGGCAGCCGACGAGGACGCTGAAGAATGAGACAATGGCGTTGACGATGCCAGTGAGAATGGCTCCAATGCCTCGAATGACGGCCATGATGCCCTGGAGACGTGTTAGTAAGGTTTCAATGTACGATAACGACAGAGTGAGCGTACATTGCCAATGGCCTGGAGCATGCCCCGAATGCAAGATACAACGGCGCCCATTATTGCGATGTGGTTTGACTTCGGACCTGGCTGAGGTCTTTGAATTTCGTGGAAAGTTCGTGGCTTGTGTGTTAAGAAGAAGAGACAGAAGCTACGACCGACCCACCACGAGTGATATATGTGAGAATCTTCACTTGCTGTTCACACGCCCTGTTTGTTTGAATCAAAGGACATCCGCACACTATGACGTTGCCTCGTGCGCTTCCAGCGATAGGAACGGTCTTCCGTGCCACTTCGTCTCCATTTGGGCAACGCTGAGCCAACGCTGAGCAGCCTCCAACCTCGTTTCTGCCATGTCACGAATCTCCTCAAGGTCGCTTATACGAAGACACAGCCAGTCAGAGCATCCAAAACTTTGAAATCGTGATCACCTGGCCGGAAAACCGGGCATGACCGCACGGCATCCCTGCATCGTCAACGTCAGTTTACTGGGCCTGGTGGCTCGAATTACAGCGAAAGACGGGCGAAAACAACAGCTTTACAGTCTGACGCCTCAGTGACCGCCATGAGATTTGAGGTGTTTCAGCTAGCAGCCAATGTTAGGCTGAACGAAAAAGCAGGGATTCTGACGGATCGCTTTCATGCTGGGAGATCGCCCTGTCAAAGCTGCACGCCAACGTCACCTGTGGCTGGTAAGGAGCCTTGGAATCGAGTGAGATCGAAGATTCGGCAACCTTTTCCGTACGCCACAGCTTCTGCTAGGACCAGGTCTCCAGCACGCTTTGCTGGAGGTGGCTGTGCAGTAACGGTTCCTGAGCTAGGGCCTGTGCCACAAAGCGTGCTTAAACCGCAGTCTGCTCTACTGCGGAAGTGTGATCATGCAGCAATGGGAGGAATGGAGTGATCGTCAGTATGGGACACTGCTTCTTGAGAAGTCGTTCCTGACTCTGCTGGTGGTACTGATCACCTTCTGTTTGTGGACATGGGTCAATTCCTGGTCTGAAAGCGCCCGAGATGTCACCGTCGAAATCCCTGCGCAATTAAGCAAGAAATGGCAGATTGCCTCGAGAAGCGAGGCTGAGGTACAGCACAGATGGGAGGAGGTTCGTCTGGCGTTCACACGCCGTTCTGGTGGTTACTGACACACATCAGATAAGTGATGGCAAGATCTACCCACGCTGTCCAGCGGATGGTCGTCTGCTCCAGACTGAACCCATAGTCCCTGCGACAACGAAGGACATCGATGATGCGATTGCTCAAGCTGCGGCCGCGCAACGGAAATGGTCCACCACGACATTTTCCCAGCGAAGGCGAGTATTGAACACCCTGAGACGGTATATCATCCAGCATCAGGACGACATCGTGACCGCCTGCTGTCTCGACAGCGGCAAGACCAAGATCGATGCAGGCCTCGGCGAGATTCTCGTCACAGTTGAGAAGCTGCAATGGACTGTCGAACACGGCGAGAAAGCTCTGGCGCCCTCTCGACGACCAACGAATCTATTGATGTCCTACAAGCAGAACACGGTCTACTACGAGCCACTCGGCGTGGTCGCAGCGTGCGTGAGCTGGAACTATCCCTTCCACAACTTCATCTCGCCCATCATCTCAGCGCTCTTCTCAGGCAACGCCATCGTCGTCAAGCCAAGCGAACTGACATGCTGGAGCACCCAATACTTCACATCCTTCATTCGCCAGTCCCTCGTCGCTTGTGGGCATGACCCCAACCTGGTCCAACCCATCGTCTGCCTGCCCTCCACAGCCGACTACCTCACTTCCCACCCTGTTATCGCACACATCACCTTCATTGGCAGCCGCGAAGTCGCCCACAAAGTCGCTGCCTCCGCTGCCGAATCTCTGACCCCAACCATACTTGAGCTTGGTGGGAAAGATCCCGCTATAATCCTCGACGACCCCAAATCCGTCGCCGACCTCGAGAGCGTGGCCTCCATCCTCCTCCGCGGCTTCTTTCAATCAGCCGGGCAGAACTGTATCGGGCTGGAACGCGCCATCGCCTTGCCCAACATCCACGACGCACTGCTCGAGTACATTCTTCCAACGATCAAATCTCTCCGCCTAGGCAGCGTCCTCCTCGACGCCTCCGCACCAGACATGGGCGCTATGATCTCCTCGCGCTCCTTCTCCCGCCTCGAGGGTCTGATCGACCAAGCCGTCCAAGAAGGCGCCACTCTTCACTGCGGTGGAACTCGCTATGCCCACCCGCAGCATCCACGCGGCCATTACTTCCTCCCAACCCTGCTCTCGAATGTCACGCACAACATGGCGATTGCCCAAACGGAGCTCTTCGCGCCAGTCTTCCTTCTCATGCGCGCCTCCTCCGTCAGCGATGCGATCGCGATCGCGAATTCTACGCCCTATGCCCTCGGCGCGAGTGTGTTCGGTCATAATTCGCAAGACGTACAGAGATGCGTGAAGGAGATTCGAGCAGGCAATGTAGCGGTTAATGACTTCGCGACTTTCTATGTCTGCAGCATGCCGTTTGGCGGGCGAGGTGGGAGTGGGTATGGACGGTTTGGTGGCGAGGAGGGTTTGAGGGGATTGTGTAATTTGAAGAGTGTTTGCGAGGATGCAGGCTGGGCGGCTGCTCTTGGGATTCAGACGAAGATACCTGGTGTGCTGAGATATCCGGTGGAGGGTATGAGGGGCTGGGATGCTGTCAGGGGGATTGTGAGGACGGGGTATGGCGTTGGGGTGATGGAGCGGGTCAGGGGCATGAGGCAGCTTATGGGTTCGCTTTTGAGCAAGAGCAAAGGCGAGGAGAGGTGATGCTGGAAACGCGTTGTTCTTGAAAAGCTATGCTTTGCGGCTCGCGGGCCAAGAAATTCGAGCGAGTTCTACTGAGAGCCCGCCTAAGTAGCAGCATCGCTGCCCTGACTACTTCCTGCTATTCATAGCCGTAGCGCAGTCCGCTAACCTCAATGTCCCTGCCGTGATGCTCTGATTGGCGCTATTTGCTCCCCACCATCGCTTTGTTCAGGACTCGGATGGCAATTCGCTTCCACCAACCCAGTCAACGTGCTTTGTGACCCCTTCCGCATCTCAGCCACGATGGCCGCACTTGGTCATTGACATGGTTTTAAAGTGAGCTCGATTCCTCGGCAGCATGTGCCCATAAGCTTGGCTCGTCTTCAGATTGGTACCGCTTTTGTCCGTCCACTAGAGGAGTCCTCCGAAGGATGAGCCGCAGCGTGCTTCGTGCGGAGCTGAGTGGCACGGTGGCATGACAGTCTTCGCCAGGGGATGCATGCTGATCTGTCAGCACTGCAGTCATTCCAGAAACGCTCGTCCCTCCAGCAGATGCAATATCTGCGCCACTGGAGAGGGCACCAATCAGCTCAAATCCGAAGTCGAGATCGAGGATTGGATTCCGTCGTCGGGTTCTGAGGTCCTTCAAGCTGCCCGTTTTACGGATGCTGCCAAATCGAAGAGCCTTCACTTCAGGTTTTTGAAGTCAACAGGCATCTCCATCCCGACTCTCCGCGCACTCAACCTGACCCGTTCCTCCTCGTCCATGTTCATTCCCGGGTTGTATCGTTCAAGCAATTCGCCGTACACTCGTTGAGCTTTGAGGTAGGCAATGAACTGCTCTGCTTCTTGCCGGCGGGCGAGATGATGTGAGTGGCCTGTGGCATTTTCTGTGGCGTCTGTAGTGGTGGCCGTGGGCTTGAGGAAATGCGATCGGATGCTATCACGGAGAGGCGAGGGTGGAGTGGTGGGTGTGAGGCGAGGGGGTAGTTCGCGGAGAAGAGCCCGGTAGAGAGACCGGGCGTGCTGGCGAGCCTCTCCTGCCATGTTGTAGTGACTGTGGTATGTCACTCCGCCGGCGTGTCCAGCAATGATATTGATGGACGTCGGAGGTTTTGCGGAGGAACGAATTCTGCGCGTCGAGTAGTTGCAATCGACCGTAAAGGCCTGGGCAGGAGCGACCGTAGTGATGAACCCCTGGAAGCTTAACCTCACTCCCTCTACCTTACCACCAACTCCTCTGTCCTTCCGTTGCCCAAAAGCATGATCATGCGGAGGATCCTCTGCCTGGCCGAAGCCATTTTCCAAGCTCTACATCAGCCAGCTTGCATCCAGGCCAGCAAATCTGACCGCACGGAAACCTCTAGCTCCGGCAACGGGTCCGCCGCATGAACCGAACGACCAAAACGTCTCAGCCGCGTTTCGCCCACCTTGGTCAACCCCACAACTTCCCTTTTTTGCCCATATGTGTTCGCACTGATACACTGGGAGCATCAACATGGATCGCCTCGAACGCTCTCAACGTCACAACGTTCGCAAGATCGGTCGTTAGGTTTCCCTTCGAGATGAGGTAGGTTTATAGGGGAGCTGTTATGAACTGGCCGGAAGGGCTGTTGGTGTGTCTTGGCTTGCGCTCCTGCTCTCCTTCCAAGTTGTGCTTCTGCATCTACGTTCTTTGGTCAATCATTCTTGTGTGCAGAGTGCTTCGATCCTCTGTCTTCTTCTCTGGTCTTGCCTTTCTGTTCACGTCGCCGGCCGACTTTAACGTTCCTTTGCCCGTGGGAAGCAAGCATTCCGCCATAACATCACAACGCCATATAACGAACTATATCCCACAGCCTATAACAAATCCTAGATCAAGACCAACATCATGAAGCTTACAATCACGACTACTCTCTTCGCCATTCTGGCCATCACTTCTGCCGCTCCCCATACTAAACGTCAAGGTGAGGATTGCAAGCCTGCTGACGAGACGGTTCTTCTTTGCGATCGTGACTGACGTCTGAGTTCAGCGGCCACTGGCGTCACACTCGGACCCATCCCGTTCGAGATCGTCAATGCAACAACCACAACCACCAAGTTGAAGACACGCCAAGAGATCCGATTCCTCGACAGACGCCAGGCTCCAAGCGCCGACCAGCCCTCAATGTTCGTCAACGGCGAAGTCGTTCCCTACCAGAACACCGGAGCAGGAAGCGGCATGGGCAGCAAGAAAGCCAAAGCCAAGCGCCAGGCCCCGAGCGCTGACCAACCGTCCATGTCCGTCAATGGCCAAGTCGTCCCATTTTCGAACACCGGAGCGGGCAGCGGTATGGGCTCGAAGTTGAAGGCGCGACAGGAGACCCCTTTCCTTGACAGGCGCCAGGCTCCAAGTGCCGACCAGCCGTCCATGTCTGTCAATGGTCAGGTCGTGCCCTTCTCGAACACTGGAGCTGGGACGGGGATGGGTAGTAAGAAGGCTAAGCGTCAGACGGGGATTGATGCTGATCAGCCGGTCATGTCGGTGAATGGGCAGGTCGTGCCGTACAAGAATACTGGTGCTGGCAGTGGCATGGGTAGCTAGGTTGGTGCTTTCGTGGATTGGAGTCTTTGATTGATTTGGGCAATATTGTGGTTGCGATGAGGTGGACAGAGTCGTCCTGTAGATCATCAACACTGGATATCAGGAGGTAGCGGAGGGTCATGGCCGGGGAAACTCAACAAACAGCCATGACATGAGCGTTACTTCCGCCAAATGTAAGGATTCAATAAAATGCTAGCATAATCAGGTCAGACTCGGATCATTGTTCATTGAATTGTTGCACTACCGCCCCCACATATCGAATGAGGAAGCCTGCCTTCAAGCCGGTTTGCGCCATTGCCACAGGGATCCTGAAACATCACCCATCCCTCCTCATCTGCTCACAAATCACACATTTCGTCAACAACGCATTCAAAAGCAACCACTCGTCTACACCTTCCCCATCCTTCAAGCTGCCGCGTCCCTCGCCCTTCAAGACCTTGAGCTTCCCCAGCTTCCGAAAGCTTTTGAGGCCATTGCTTTCGAAGACCGCCAATATTTGGCCCGTGTGGTCGTCGACGAGCTTGAAGTTGGCCACGCTAGCGAGGCGGTAGAGGGCGGCGTTTTCGAGGCCGGAGGCGAGGGAGTGAGTGCGTTTCCATGTAAGGTGGCGCGGCGCGTGTGGGTTGGAGGTTGGAGTAGAGCTGGGCGCTTTGATGCTGCTGTCGCGAACACTCGATGTAGTGGATGCTGATGGGGTGGTCTCGTAGCTGTCGGTGGTCGCATGTCCGTGAGCATCAAAAGGAGATTTATCGAGGTCTTCCCACCAGTCGTCGCGGCCAATGTTGTGCGCACTGTGCTCGTCCGACTCAGCTGGCACGCTGGCTGGATTGCTGGAGAAAGGATTCGCAAAATCATTCACGAATTTGGTAGACCCGAGGACGTGCTGTCCGACCGAGATGGAAGGCATCACGAAACTGTACCGCCCTTTACTGTGTCTGCTCATCGTCTCCCAGTGCTGCAAGCCTCGGTGTTCCCGCTGGAGTTCTCCTTTCCTCGGGTCGCAATAAATGATACCGACCACTTCAGTGCGGCCAGGATCACCATAAGCCAGTCCGATCTTCTTCTGAGTGTGCCGGAAGTGCGCTGTTGCCACAACTTTGCCCATTTCACGTGCGTTCTGGGCGGATAGCTTGCGGCCATCGTGGGGGACTCCATTCACAATGATGTCTGGACTTTGTCGGTTAGCATTGGGCCAGATATAGTCTGGAGGGAAGAGTCGATACAGGGTAATGTCTGCTTTTCCCGTCTTACCAGCACGAAGGGCGGGCTCGACATAGTAGAGTGGTGTGTGTTCGGGATCTGATGCCGTGAGAAGCATCTTGGAGGCGGTGAACGGGATGCGATAAAGGTTGAAGCTGTGCCATCGTTGTGTCTTGGCTGGTCCAGATGGTGGCGCCTCGGCGTCAATGCCCATGATCTCTATATCCCTGTGCAATGATCAAGTAAGTCTAGTTCACGGAGCGGAAACAACCTTGGAAGTCCAGGCCGCGAGGCAATCACCTATGATGGACAACGCAACCGCGGCAGTGAGGCCACTTTATACATCGCATCGACAATGGTCGATGCATCGCGCTGTGTAAATTGCTTTATGGCTGTTGTTTAACGTCAGAGCCAGTACGCACAAAGTACAGCTGTGTGCCATCGGGCTCGCGAATTGGGCACAAAATCGGAATAGTCAGCCTCTCAGCACCATGTCGTAGAGAGATGCCCGGCCATTGTCTGTGTTGAGCAGGTGGCACGTGGACGATAGAAGAAGCGATCAGTGGTTGGTGGAACTTGGATACGTCGGGTCCTTCAAAATCTCTTTAGTGGCTTATTGCGAAATCCCAGTTGACCATGTCTGGGATCGCTGATCGTTGGAGGCACCCAGGCTGGTACAGCACAACGTGTCTATCAATGTGATGAATGTGTGGTAGGTAGTACGAAGCTATATCTAGCACTCAGGCTTAGAGGTAGGCCAGATTTGCTCCTTCCTAATCGGGGGGCTACATTATGGCACATTCATCAGTGAGAGCGAGACGGCTGGTGCTTGCTTTCTCACACCTAAACAATCTCAATAGCTTCGACACAGTTGAGATAGTAGAGCATGTATGGGAATCAGCATATCATGCTAAGAATAGGGATGGCATTTGCGATGGCGATGGTAGCAGGTGTCCTGAGCACCTTTAAGATCCTCATCAAAGTTTCCGTACATCAGGCACAGCTCTTGGGAATCTTATTCTTCCTGCTGAGACGAATCCCCGACGACGTATGTCGGTCTGTATACCACATACACTTTCCAGGAAGCGAACAGACATGTATTCAGCTGATTTCAGCGTGATCCCAAAGTCCGCTCCACCCACAATTAATGTCCTGCACCGTCAAAACAACCCTCATCGACAGAAAATGCTACTAGTCGGTGCATTGTGCAGTTCACCCCCCTACCTTGATCCTCCTTCCTCAATAGCCTCAATCGACGGACGTCGCCTTCGAGCTCGGCGTTTTCGAGACCTTCCATCAGACATCACATTCACCAACGGATCGTCCACCATCAGCAGCGGTAATCATGGAATGGTGGCACGGGACAATGCATTGCAAGTACGAGGATAAAACTCGCGTGTGCACACCGATATGGCCAACCGCAATGCCGAACAAACCCCCAGCAAAAGACCCACCTCCGGAGCTCGACGCACCCCCGGAGCTCGACACACCCCCGGAGCTCGACGGCCGCGCACTGCCGTCCGTCTCAGAGATCATGCGAGACATCAAATTCGACTCCCATCGCAACAGCACCATCCAGGCCAACACCCGGAGTATTGGAGGCACAAATACCTGGCACGACAGCCTGTCCGGGTGGATTCATCGTGGAGGCTGGGTGGTGTTGGTTGCGGGGATTTGTCTCTTGCCTGTCATCGCCTACTTGTTGTGTAAGAAGAGTGGCGCGCCTCGACGGGCTCGTGGAGACGCAACACGTGCACTCGCAGAGGATCCCGAAATTTTGACGCGTCGGTTGAACCCGAGGCGTGAGAGAGGCACGATGAGTGAGGTCAGTGGAAGCAGCAACAACAACAACATTTGGGTTGGGAGCAGCAGCAACAGTATCAACAACACAACATGGACCGCGCCACCAGCTTATAATGAACAACATGGATGGGAAATTGTTGGGTTCAGCGGCATGGGCGGAGGGCTAACGAAGCCCGACCCTGTCGCGCCTAAGTATGTTAACGGGGGAAAGTCCACTGGAGGGCTGTCATAGGGCAACCTTTGCATTCAGTGCTAGCACTAGACAGTAGTGATGGAACGGAGGATGTTGAGGATGTTGTGCGCGCAACAGAACGAACTCCAAACACAAAGTACTTCGGTAGTCCCCAGGTCATTGACGCGTAGACATAATGGGGCTTATCGCCTAGAAGTTTGTCCGGGCGCCGCTCCTGTGCTGCTCAGGGGTGCTGTAATTATGTAAAAATCGATTCAATATAATTACCAGGCTTCACAGACATCATTGGAAGTTTTACGTGATCTCAGTAATTACACGCTAACTGAATAAGAAAGCTGACTTAGTCAGCACCTTCTATGAATAAAAAATTTTGCCAGGGCCTTTGGCCCTATACAGAGGCCCAAGAAAGTCACTCATTTAGGCCTAGCACGTCAATTATTGTTAGTGAAACGATACTGATGCGTAAATGATACGGCCAAATTTACACATAATTATAAATGTCAATTACAAGCAGCAGTGGCACTGCTGCTCCTGCCAAGTGTCCTCTTTTCTTGGCGTCGGCTGTTCTTCCTGAGGTCGCCTTTCGGTACAATTATATTCTCTACACACTGTACTGCAGTGTGAGCTCATGCTCAGATTCGAGCACGAATTCATTGTCATGTTCTGAATTTCGCGCTCTTCACCATGTCGATCAAAAATCTCGCTCGCTTCCCATCACCATTGATCTGGCTGTATGTCGACTTTTCGGGACCTTCTGTCGCATAGTCTTCACTAATATCGTCCATACCCGTCGCCTGGTCTCTCCCGGTAATAGTCCGCTCGAACAACGCGAACGATGCCTCCGGCTGGTAGAATGGAACAGCATGACCGGCATCAAACACTCGCGTGAATGAGAAGTGGCCGTACTCTCGGGTATCACCATAGTGAGTGCCATCCACCGTCATCGGCGCGTACCCTGCACTGGCGAACTGCTCGGACTGCGTGGAGTTAGTTCCCAGCGAAAGCATTTCTCCGCCAAGCCAATTGCACACCCAGTCTTTGTCGCCATACCACAGTGCTACGCGAACTCCAGCATCAAGCAGCTCCTCCAGGTCGATACGCTGCTTGCGCCTGACGAAGTCCCCAGTGAACAAGAACGAGCCGTATACTTCCGTGTTAACACCCACAGTGTAATTGCTGGAAACCCCAAGCGCTGCCTGGACCTCCGGTACATTCAGGAAGACTGGATAGACTCCAGGAGGAAATGGCTGCTTCGTGGCGTTGATGTCGTTCGTGATGTCATAGTTGTGGAAGTCCAGGCTTGCTTGTGCCGGCATTTCGACAGTATGGCGACAGACAGCCGCAGCTTCGGCACACAGTGATTTGAAGTGGAGGGACTCGGGAGCCAGATTGATTGCAGTCTCACAAGTCTCGATCATGGCAAGGCACCCATTGACTTCGGCTAGCAAGGAGTAGTCCATGTATGCGGTGACTAGGGGAGGTGGATGCACGCCATGTGTGTTCTCCATGGCGAACTTTGGGAACGAGGGATACTGAAGGTAAGCGTCCGTGATGCCATTGATGATCATGAGCGAGCCGATCTGAAATGGAGCTTCGTCTCCTAAAGCTTCTGTCTCTTTCCTGAATCGATTGAAGAAGCCAGGGCCCCAGTGTCCGCCGTACGATTGCGTGCCCATGTGGAAGGTCTTGGACTTGACTCTGGGAGCCATCTCGGGGAGAGCAGCATAGAATGCCTGCATGGCCGCCCACATATCATCCGCTGCCAGTTCGGTTGTGTCTATGGTGCGAACAGTCAGTCATGCACCGTACTAAGTGCCGGAGGGGGGCTTACTCAGATTGACAAAATCTGCGTTTGCAATGCGGCCTTCCAGTGTCCTCTTGCCAGAAGCATCCGTTGGGTCGGGTATTGACAGCTCTTCCTAAAACTAGTGTCAGCGGGGCACAGCCCTCTGTTTACGGTGACAGACTTACCAGGAAGCCATGAGAGAAGCCCACCCCGACCGGCTGCGTGATGAATAGCAGATTTGAGATCTCGTTCCATGAGCTATCATTTCTCAACACTGTCGTCAGACCATCATCGCTCGGCGAGCACGGTCCGACCTCGTCGAACAGACCTCCCATGTTATCTGCTCCAGGACCTCCATTCAAGAACAGGGTCACAGGGTCCTCCTCAGGGTTTCGTCTGCTTTCGAAAAACCAGAAGAACAAATGCCTATCTTCAGCAATATCGAGGAAGCCAGAGTATGAGTTGACCCCCTCGGTCGTTTCGCAGAGCTTGGGCTCTTTATATCGGACTCCAACGCCATCTCCTAGATCGATCTTCTTGTGGTCCGTGATTGTGGCGGGAAGTTGTGCCAGTGTCAGCCCGGCGGCTGCCAGTATCATAAGCGATTGCAGTGCGCTATGCATGTTGAGGTCTATAATTACAGAAATGTTTCAGAATGCTCAGGGTTGTGAACGTCGTGTCCAGGAATGTTTATATTGGCTTGGTCTGAGTCCATGAGAGGCACAGGACGTCCACGCCTCCGCCCAAGTCGCGTCTTGCCTCCCATCGTGGCTACCACAAAATCACAGCCATCTTTACGGGCAATCTCCCAAGCTGTCAACGAGCTCCACAGAACACTGCCTGGCGGCATCTATACAACGTACTTGGCTAAGAAAATGCTTGGGAGCGTTGTATAGACCCGGATATGGGCTAGGCGTGCGCGCGACTCCGCTCATTTCGTCACTGCCAAGACGTTCCGCCCCAGTCCGAGGAGGGCTTGATAGGTAGAACCAACTCTCTTATGGCGTATATGGGGCCGAAAAAGGTTGACGCTTTTGTGGAATATGCTTGGTGACCGCCGAATATCTATTCTCGGCCTCGACGTCGACGATCGATGGTTCGGACCAGATCTGGGTCGAGGCTATGTGTCAAGTGTCTGTGTACGCTTGGCAACCATAGCGGCAGACCAATGCTAAGCTGGCGCGGAAGGCCGCTTAGCAGAGACCACGATCCTACGCCGACGCCCTCTCGTCATAGCTTAGACTTCGCCTCGCCGCGCCCCTCAACTTCTTCGATCGCCACCGAAACCTGCTGCTGTCCGTCCCATCCAGAGATCAAATCTTCCACAGCCGCGATGTCGTCCTGTCCCCATATGATGTCGCTGACCAGCTTCCAATCAACCCCTACTTGGCCTTTCTGCCGCCTGAAGATCCTGTAACTCGGCACACCACATATGCCAATGTCTTTTGCCTCTTTCGTCCTCGCTCGAAGATCTTGCTTAATCTCTGCGCTGTTCGCGGATTTCATGATTGCGTCTGCGTCGTAGCCGGCTTCCGCGATCACCTCGCGGAGGATTTCATCCGATGACATGTCTTTGTTGCGTTCCCAGCACGCTCGGACTGGATGATCAGTGTGCTGCTCAATCTTGCTGGAGTGGAAGCTGGGACTTACATAGAACATCAACTAATTTTGGTTCGGCAAGGACTGCGCGAAGCACTGTGGGCGTCCGAATGGGGAAGATGTCTGCCCAGTAGAAATCGATATTCTTGTCAGGCCTGCCCTCTTGGTGATTTACATCATTCCACCACTTCGTCCAGTCGCTGTGGTCGAGCTGTGAGTAGATGCGTTTCGCTTCTGAAACCGCTGCCATGGGAGTGTTTGGCGCGCCGATCCTGTAGCATTGTTAGCCATGCCCTGCAAAATTTGCTCGAGGGCCAGAGCCGTCATACTCTCGAAACAGAATCCCCAACAAGAACGGCTTCATCTCAATCTTCAGCTGTGACCCAAATATTCGCTTCAACCTCGCAAGCTGCGTCCACCCAAGGAATGCCCACGGGCTCGAGAAATCGTACCAGAACTCCATCTTAGCTTCCTGTCCGTCTGGCACCTTTCTATTCCCAATAGCTACCGCACGCGGCACCAAGCTCTCCAACCTTGGGAGGCCACTGACACTACTTCGCCTCTCTAGCGCAAACAGCGCCTTCTCAACAAACTGCAGCCTATCCTGGCCCCAATACAGCCTCCCCTTCTTCTTCTGCCCCGTCTTCCTATCCGTCCACTCCTCTGCCTCAATCCAGAACGCCGGCACACCAAACGCCCCCCTCTCCACCGCCAGATTCGTCGTCTCCTCTAGCTCCCTCCTCTGCTTGGCGCCCTCGAAACTCCCGTCCTCCAACATCCCCAGCAGCTTATTCCTCGTCCCCTCTGCCAAATCCCCGCACTCCCTCACAACAGTCTTCAGAGTCGCAACATCACTAACATCCATCCCCCTAACCCAATAAGCATCATACAGCCCCTTCGTCAACACCACCCTCTCCTTTCCATCACCCACACAATACAACAACCTCAACGCCCCCGTCGTCTTCATCGGATGGCGCTTCGGTTCATTCTGCACAACACCCAACCTGGCCTTTGTCCGGACAAAAGCTTTGGAAGTGACATGGCGCTTAGTTGGGTTGAATGTGTCGGAAGCAGAGCCAGCGGCGCCCTGTGGGGCGGCAGTGGCGCGGTAGATGGCTCCCAAGAGGACGGGGCGGTAGGCAATTTGGAGGTTTGGGTGACGGGTCTGCAGGGCGGGGATGAGCAGGGAGGCAATGTGTGCGAAGGGGCAAGAGATGTCGTAGTGGAAGTCGAGGGTTGTTGGTTGGGGTGACATGGTTTTGTATTTCAGGGATGAGTTGGGTTTGTTGTGTCCAGGATGGGGAGCAGGTACCTAGTCGTGACTGCTTCGATGCTGCGCTGTTTGCGCTGCCGTCTTCTCTGTTGCTCTTACTCCGTGATAGCCTGGTACGATACTCTATGACTACTACCCAGGTACGTTGAGTGTCCCGACAGATAGCTGAGGTCCGTCGGCGATGGGCGTGAGGATGTCATGCTTCAGAGTGTGGAGGAAATTACGTAGGCGGGGTTCCGCCGAGTTGAGCCGAGGCTGCATCTTCGAGATCTGTGTCGATCGCCAAACCCACGGAGTACTACGTCGTAAGCTCTACCGCGCCACTGCGACTTCGGTACGGAACATCATCTGTCTTGTGCGCCCACAGCGAGGCGGTCAGCCCAGTGGCGGTTTTGCGCAATGTTGCTATTATATTTATAGTTGCTCTATCATGCCACCACATCCCCAAATCCTTCCTAGCAAGCCGAACCCGAGCACTAACCCTGAGCACACTGATCTAGCAATAGCAGGATGCTGAGCTGTACGAAACACTGGTGCTTGAGGTAGCTTGCCTGTTGACGGGCTCAAGATATACTACTCCCCCTGCTGTTCTGCATTTCGGGCCACTTCCGACAGTGCTACTGCTGTTGATGTGTCCTCACTGCCAAAGCAGGGGTACCACCACCACTTGCCGAAGCAGAGCCTCGCCTCCCAGCCGCACCGCCACCAGCAGCGCGACTGTTGCCCCGCCTGTGACCACCTCCTCTTCCCCAAGTCGGCCCCATGTCGTTCTGCTTCCGTTCTCCGTCCTTTCTTACGCTCTTCCCAAGCCGCCATCTTCTATCCCAACCAGCGTCCTCGGCTTCGCGATTCTGTTGCGGCTGAGCATCGAGCTCATGCCAGACTACCTGCTTGTTCAGCAGTACGGCGTCTGTGGCTTCGTAGCCGGGACGAGGGCGTTCATAGCTGGCTACGTCGAACACTGTGTTGTGGAAGGATTCGACGCCGTTCCCCCAGCCGCCCCCATGCTTTGCTTCATGAGTTGCCTGTGAGCCGATTGAAACATGATCAACCCCACTGCGACCGCGCTTGATGTCGTCAGTGGACGTGAAGTCGAGTTGCAGGACGTGGTTCTCTATGCCGGCGTATATGGTTGGGGAAGTCGGTGAGGGGATGCTGAGACTGTAGATGGAGCCAGAGTATGGGACAGTGTTGTTATGGGTCGTAGCTGGTGGGAGTGACGTGCGCAGGGACTGGAAGCGCCACGTACGAACGGAGATGAAGTAGTTGACATCGCGCGGCAGATGAGAGTAGCGTCGTTGGTGCGAGTCTAAGGATTGTGGTGGGGTCAAGGCAAGCCGTTGTTGCTGCTTCTCCCTAGCTGGAGACGTTGGGTGTGGTACAATAGGCCTTCGGGCATCGAGATACGAGTAGCGATGGTCGCCGGGCTTGCGAAGGTCGAAGGTCTTGAGACATGCGTTCTGGTCGCTACCGGCGAGAAAGCGCTCGTGACCAATTGCGGCGAGGGAGATAATCTGGCCGGTGTCGACAGTGTCTTCCCATTGAGCGACACACGATTCGGGCGCGCGCGTATCGTGGAGGCGCGCCAAGCCAGTATTCCAGCCGGAGAGGAAGAGGTTGCCATTAGAGTTTCGATGACCATGATCCAGAGGTAGAAGAATGTGCACGTACTGGCGCGATCCTAGGCTTTTCCAGCCACAGGGCGCACTCGACCACAGCGGCGTGGCGACATCCGAAAGCCGAGTGCCGTTGATGTCGTAGACCTTGATTGGGATGTGATGGTCTTCTAGTGAGAGGTCGCGATCATGTGATGTTGTGCTTAGTGCCACTGTGCCGGAGTTGAGGAATTGCAGACTCCGCGCTCGACGATCAGATAGAGGTCGCGTTGTGTCCAGTTCGATCGTCTCAAGTGGTGCGATATCAGCCTCTGGTGTTTGGACTTTGTATAGCTGTAGCCGAACGGCTGACGAGATTGCGAGCACAGGGGAGATCTCGTCGTTGACTGCTATCAACTGAGCTGCATGAGTCCCTGTGAATCGTGCATGCTGATGGAAGCCTGCTTCGTTATCGGCTGTTTCTAATGTGGCGACTTCGCCAAACGCACGTCGGAACACTATGGTTTCCGCGTCCGTGGCTTTCTGATGAGGCCTGAGCAATCTCAGCTGGAGGATATCATTGGTCGCAACATCGTCGTCCTCGAAGTTGAGAGACCTCCAGCGCCTAGACTCTCTGTCAGTGGTGCGGACGAAGATCTTTCCGGCGGCGCCCCACGCCACTGTTTCCCGACGATTGGCGATCGAGTTGCCCGTCAGGTCGTCGTAGCTATCTAGAGCAGGCACATAGCCCATCTGGGGTCGTCTTCCGTTGTTGGGCCGCCATTGAAGCTGCAGATTCTCGGGAGGGCAGCACTCTCTCACAAGAAGAGCCCTTCTATCCCACGCTCGCGATCTAGATGTCAGGAATTTGGCGACCTCCCTCCATGTCGAGGGGGTAGGAATCGATGGGAACGAACGTTCCACAAATGGCTTGTACGTGACGGACTCATCTCCGCAGACGATAGCGTGGAGCTTCTTTGAGGTCTGAGACAGAGAGGTGATTGCCTGTACGGTCGACAGATGGTTCACGATGAGATGCAGGACTTCTGCCGGGAGTTCTTCCAGGTTGACCATAGTCATACATTCACAGCGGACAACGAAGACATGTAGAGAGGAACAGCGCGGAGTGCCATGAACAAGACCTTCTAGATCGGTCGAGCAGTACTAGGCTATCGAGTTGTCCAAGCATTGACTCATTCGTCAAAACTTCTCGTGTTTGCCTGAAAATGACGTGAAGTAATGCAAATTTGCCTTCTCAATCCGTAAGACCGACTAAGTCCGGGCTGTGATCGCCTCGTAGTATTAATTGGCTTGACACCCAATCACACATATCCCGAATGAGTGAATCTGGTTGTTGGGATGCCTCTCGCTCAAGTGGCCCGGGGCTAAGCATGCGTTTCACAGAGGAAATGACAGTCAGGAAAGTTCTGGGCGCTGATGAGCTCCTTCGTGATGAGCGCCTTGCGTGATGTGCTGCCTTCGTAAGCTAATACAGGATCAATTGGCTGCAAGTCTGTTGAGCGTTGAGCAGCCATGTACTAGGTTGTTATCATTGCATTGTTCAGTACGAGGTCCAAGCGCGATTTCGAATCCGCCATGACTATTTGCCCATGCGCCACGACTTTGCAGGCAGGCACAGTCTCCTCAACAGGTCCAAAGACGCTCTGTCCCTGTGATACTCTCATGCACGAGACCTTATCCCTAAATATTACTTAGCCATCAACAGTAGAATTTCTGTAACATGGGATCGTAATCTACTGGTAGAAGCCGTCCTGAGGGAATGCGGAGGCGTCAAGTTCGCCTTGCTGCTCATACGAAGTATGACTCTGGAATAAATCATTCCAAGCCGTGGTCCAGTTCAGTGAGTCGTACATTGACTCCATGGAGACGTCGTTGGGGTTCATCAAAGTCAAATCGTCATAGCTGCCTTGTTGTGTTGCGTTGTTGAGGTTGACCCACGAATCTTGCGACAGATCGAGGCGTTCTTGTACATTACACTGTGGTTCCTCCCGTAGCACCCCCGACGAATGTCGTCGACTTGTGTAGTATATTCGACTGACAACATCGTGTGATCTGGACGCAGTAGGAGACCAGGTGCGCATGGCGTTGAATGCTGAAATACCAGTCTCAACAAGCTCACAACAAGTCTGTTCGAGTTCTTCTGTAAGCAGCTTCGAATATAGCAGCAATAAAGGAACCATCAAAGCTTGATGCAGAAGCCACGTAGCATTCCAGCCTGAGGTCTGGCAAGGACGTTGAACTTGCCAAGTATTCGATATATCATTGATCAAGGTGTTGCTGACATTGACGCATATCTCAATAGCCTCCCGCTGGTCAGGAACAACCGCTTCCATGGGCACTCTTTGCATTGCACACCTCAACAGGATCGGCCTGTGTATCAAAATTCTGCATAGGTTGTATCGCCAACGCATAACATTCTTGAGCACAAGTACACCATGTGGGACAATCGTGTCAGGTCGAGGCGTGCTATCCTGAACAGAGGAGCGTTGATACCAGTCAATGAAGCTTGCATCCAAAGCTTGTCGTGCTTCGTCTAGCATCACCGGTGAGTATGCTAGACTGTCTTCCATCCTTGTGCTGATAGTGCAGAATTGAACATTCTCCTGGAACAAGGCTCCTAACGGCGAGACTGAAACAGGAATTGTCACTGTTGTGGCGTGGGTGATTCGGCCCATGCTCGGCCTGCCCAAACAGTAGCCTGCCCAGGCATCGAGGATGAAAGCACTCCACCATACACGTCTCCTAACATTGATGGAGTGTGATACTCTCGATTTGCCATTGGGATCCATCGTTTCGGAGAAGTCTCGATGTAAGCCTATAGCTGTTGCAAGTCTCAATGCGGCTCCCATAAGTGAACTCGCACGATTGGGTTCTTGTAAGTGATGAAGATACAGACCTCCGATGAGAACCAGGGCTTGAACAGTCTCGATATGCGCGGAACCCAAAGTTTCTATCCCGAGATGCTCGTTTGCACGTTGCCAGTACATCAGGTGTCGATGGTCCTCATGACTTGTCGCATTTGCTATACTGCCAAGTGCAAGTACAGCATTGAGCAGTAACATCCACCGTGCGTCAGTACGTGTTTGAGTCATATAAGTCTTCTTGAAATCGTCCTCGTCCAGCACAGGAGCAAAAGGATGTACGTAATCAAAGAATGCTCTGATCAAGGGTATCTCCTCCCAGAGCGAAGAAGGACCACTAGCCTGCATTTGCGAAAGAAAGACTTCTGTTCTAGCAGGAGATGTTGCCACTTTGTGTGGAGTGTCACTGGAGCTTCTTGCCCTTCCAAACAATGCTTGGGCCTCAGGATCCAGCCATATGATGACCCGTAATACAGCAGAGACGGAAGAGATGCCCAGGTACGATGTTGATCTCTTGACTGATAGCGATAAAGCGTTGACATCGTCCGTTATACCCTGCAGATTTGACGTAATGGACTCACTGTCATCAGTGCTTTCATCTGGGATAGGCTGCAATAATTCCAGGTGTGCGGCATCTGGATTACCTTTAGGCGAGTCCAGATCTGATGCCGTAGTCGATGCTCTTCGAACGCTCACAGGACTGTCTTTCACCGACAGCTCCAGCAATTGTTCTCGAGACATCGACTTGAGCTGTTTCAGACCAATGTGAGGGAAAAGCTTGTTGAGAATTTCATGACAGTCCTGTAATGTAGCAGAAGCGTTCTCCTTTGAGCTGAAGCAAATCAGTCAGCGCTTTCTAACCCTTATATCGACGTACCTTTTCGAAGCAACAGTTCTCTGTGTGCTTTCGGTGTAGTAGCAAGACTGAGATTTGCGGTAATATATGCATGACTTGCACGGATGGCTGCCATCACAACGGATTTTTCGCCTCCGACAATTCTCACAGGCTCGTGTTGTCGCGGCCCGACGCTTGGTAGCAGGTGCAACATCGAGTTCGGATGTCCCGCCAGGGCTGGCTTTGGGAGGCTCCCATACATGGAACATTGTCTTCGTTGGGTGTCAACAGCCTAGTCCTCGGGCAGGAACATGAGGTGGTCAGTGGTCAGTCGCCGAAGCTCTCGTTTGTCAAATCATGGATGGAATCGGACTCATCGCCCGAGAACGACTTTCGGAGGCTGAGCTGTGGTAAGATCAGGCAACACCGATACTGCAGGGCTAGAACTGATCGACGTGGATGGTCGAGCAGTATATTCTTCAACTTGTGGGCGAAAAGATTGGGGCTTGGTCAGCGCCAGCTGTGATGAAGCTCGGCGAACCTTCTGCTGAGAACGGCAACGATCTTTCTATGCCTTCTCGAGATACCAAGATCTTCAGATGCTATGCAGTCGATGTGTATGACCGAGGCAAGGACGAGATGTTCGCGCGGTAACTTTCAAATTGAACAGGGGAGGGGGTGGGCATTCGCAGCTTCCCCACGACTCGGACATGATCATCGCCAGAAAGGGCTTAGTTCCTCATCCGCGTCAGTATCCTCTTGCTGTCGAGGCAGAAGGTCGACGCTAATCCTTTTTGTAGCAGAAAACGCCGTTTTTACAGGATCTAGAACTTGCTCGTGGTCGGTACACGAACCATTACCAGTATGTACTAATGAATTTTGCCAGCTGCTAACAAATAATTGATGGCAAGTGCAAAGGACGATATTCTATGCCTGACCAACCAGGACGAATGCATATCTTGTTTACAGATCTCTCCGACTAGATAGCTATTCACATGCAGAAGATTGCTGAACGTATCAAGCATTCTGAAGTGCCTCTTTCGTGTCCACATGTCCTGAGATAGAGCTAGTCCGAGCATCGATCTTCTTCGTGCTTGCCTTGGCCGGATTCTTCTGTTCAAAGATAAAATCCAGTTCTTCCAGTGTCCTCCCCTTGGTCTCGACATAGAAAAGGTAGATGAACACGAACTCGAAGAGGTCCCAGAACACGAAAAAGACATAGAACCAATATTTGATCTATATTGAAATTAGCGGCCACTTCTCTCCATGTCGAGGGGACTTACGTTTCTGAGAGCAATCGGTGCAGCAAAGGTATTGACGAAGCCCGCACAGCCAGAAGTGAGCGAGAAGACACCCATGCCTTTTGCGCGCATTTCGTTAGACAGAACCTCGCCTGGATAGATTGGTTGCATGGATGTGAATGCTAGAGCAAAGGTGGCGCCGAAGATATAGATGAAGGCAATAGATGCCGAGGACGAGGCTTTGCTGCCGGTGTGGACGTAGTCTGCTGCAGTAGCTGCGGTTATAGCGAGACATACGGCCATTCCTAGCGTAACGCCCATAAGCATCTTGCGTCTGCCGACGACGTCATGAAGCCGAGCTCCGATCATGGCTGGAATCCAGCCAGTGATGGCGTAGATGATGTTCAGCAGGAGCTGAGTGTTGGTGTTTGTAATTCCGACATTTGCGACCAGGTAAGGAAGATAGTAGCTAATTTAAGTCAGTACTTGAAACGAGTGCCTGGTGCTCACGAGAATGAGTAAGCTCAAAAGGAACACTCACGACGCGATATTGTTACCAGAGAACTGTCCGAACCAAGAGAAAGAGATGTTGAGCATCATCCGATACCGGCGAGATCGAGATTTGAAGAGAATCCTGAGGTCAAAGAACGTTCTCCACGAGAGAAGCCCAGATTGACGAATACCTTCGGTCATCTCGGCCATCTCAAGATGAACGAGAGGATGATTGATGTCGCCATTGGCGTGCAGTTGTGCCACAATCTGTCGCGCCTCATCTGGTCGGTCTTTGCCTACCAGCCACCGAGGTGATTCCTGCCGGTATTCGTCAGCCTGAATCAGGAATTTGAGTGCTTCTCAAGCGACACTGGAGGGCCAGCTGAGCTCGGTGCCAGAAGATCGTCAAGCAGCAGCCAGGAGAACTTCAGAGATGGCTGATAGAAGCATGAAGCACCTCTCCGAGGACTGTGAAGATGATGCGAGACAGAATCCGAGACTGTCTCCTGATCGACTGATGGTTTAGGCTATCGAAAAGCGGATAGACTTACTGGACAAAACCATATACCAAGAGCTACGAGGCCGGGACAGATGATCTGACACCATAATGCAACCCGGAACGTTGCAGTTCCGGTCAAGTGCAAGTTCGATCCGTAGACTGCGCACGTTGCGATGATACTGCTTCGTTGTCAGTCTCTAGGACAGATTCCGCAACAAGCTCGTTAGAATCGCAGGGGCCACTCACCTGCCTAGGTAATATAGAGTGTTGTACGAGCCTGCGACAGTGCCTCTGTATTGCGGTGGCGCAATCTCAATGAGATAAAGAGGCGCAGTAATGGTAGCAATCGTCGAGAAGAAGGACAAGATGAAGCGGCCACCAATGAAAGCTCCAAGAGTAGGTGCTGTAGCCGTTATGACCGATCCAACGCATACTCCAATGCATCCGATGAAAATTGGCCATCGTCGACCCTGCCAGTCTGCCACCCACGCAAACAGAGCGCCGACCATCTGACCCTGTTTCAGAGCATCTTGATCAGCTTCGTCTCAGGAAATGATCGTGAAATGGAAGATTGCATGGAAGGGGCGGCAGTCATGTCTAGGGAGACCTTTGTTTCCCCCCTCAAGCCAATGCTCGTGTCATCACTCAATTGCCGATGCAAACTCGACAGGGTACTCACGATTTGGAAGATTGCAAAGACGATGCCGGTGCTACTGTTTCCTTCGGCTGGCAGATTGTAGTATTTGGTATAGCTCGGCATCGCGTTGATCGATCCCATGAGTGAGCCATCGTAGCCTAGAGGTCAAGTAAGCTTCCGCTAACGTGGATTGGGTCTTGACGTACCATTCATGGTTGAGCAGAGGTAGATCAGTAGACACATGCCATAGAGTCGTAGATAGCCTGCACTCCATGGGTCGGGCTTGCTCATCTGCATGACACCCGAGAGATTTGCGCCATCGGTCATGGCTTTCTCGGGTGTCTGTGTCTTTCTCTCGTTGTCAGTCTCAACGTGTGCGCCGGCGGAAGATACTTTGTCGTCCATGATGCCTGTTAGCTGGAATGGAATGCGATCTGCTGAGCGTGCTCTCTTAAGTGGGATGCAGAGACGTGGCCGTCTATAATATAGCAGCGAGCGCCACCGTATCTGGTGTGGTCGCGTGCTGGGGTCTTGCCCCATGGGGAGTCCGCCGTGTCACAATGTCGGCCGCCACGTGAAGGTCAGTAAGTAGCGGAATGTCCCCAGTATGGTAACAAGGATTGGATTAGCCTCAGCAGGTGAACGGAGATGAACATCAATTACTTCTTTCGATGCGGAGCACGATTGTTCCGTGCTGTATCGGGTGAGCCAGCAAGCCGATTCAGTGTTCGTCTGCTCTGAACGGCAGAGGCTATGTATGTTCTCGTGGTCCAAAGCATGGAGTGCATGACTTCGATCATTGACATCGTGGGGACATAGAGTACCTAGGTACACCCTGGACACGCACTATGAATTCGCGGGCTTTATTGGAACCTGCCGTCAATTATCTTTGCACACGTCCGGGCTCGCCGTGGAGCGGAAGAGCGAGATGTATAGGTAGACATGCATCCTGTGACAGCACAACCTCAGATGTGGGACATAATGGTTCCGTCGGACAAAAATATCATATATTCAATGCCACCGAATGCGAGCTATATTGCCAAGCCTCGAATTAGCAGCAGAATTTGAAGATGACGTAGTAGTGGAGTTGAACCTTGGAATTTTGTCCACGCACTGCTGCCAACAGATCCAGTTCCAGGCACAAGCATGCTACACGCCAATCATCCTGTCCTGCAACACTCTCCCGAGTAGCGTATGAGCGTACCTAAGGCTAGTCTTCGAGGCCGTGTCAGTCTTGCAGGCTGGTCTACTGAAAGCTCCTGTTTCTTTAAAGACAGCCCGCAGACCGGGCCCGAAAAGTGTTGCAGCCTGAGTGGGTTGAGACTCCGCCTATGCTGCGCTTGAGCCACGGCAGAGCCCAAGTTGTTCGGCCAAGAGATGGGTGTTTTTTCCAGCTCTATCAGAGACACCACGAACTCCTGCAGCGCCCGCCCTGGGAAGAAAACTAATGATCAATCGTTCCGGCGACTTAGACATGAAGTGAGGCTCATCTCAAACTTGCTAGCTCAGACTGCAAGGCCATTCTGGTACTCAGAGCCCGCCCTGACCTGGAATCCTAGAACCTAACGGACAAGTATACAAAACGCTCATTTTATGCCCGAACAGCCTGGAGCCTCGTAAGCCTTCGAGAACTTGGAAGCTTTCGTGCGCCTCATGAACTAAAAAGGTGACCGAAAATCGACGCGGACGTCCGTGTCCGCATTGGGACGCAGATCAACCTGTGCCGTGCCCGAACTCGCCGCTTTCGTCCTGACCTCCGCACTCTGGGGTATCGTGGTAAGTTGCTGGGCAAGCTAAGGTGCGTAGAGTATGTTGATTGCACATCACGTGTTTACCTCATAAAGCGATACAACAAGTGTAGCTGGTCCATCGACTCTGGCTACCTGTCAGATCTCAGTATTCGCGCTCAGCCAGCAACATGGGTGAAATGTCTTTGCCTCACAGCGATCGACTACTCGAAGTCTCGCTAGCTGATGGCTGGCAATTCAGACAGACAGATAAACTGGACGAGGATTGGCTGCCTGTGAAGAAGGTGCCGTCCACAGTACAACAGGATCTCATCGATAACAAGATCATACCCGATCCGTTCATTGGCTTCAATGAAGTCAAGGCCGAATGGGTTGGCTCGAAGGCTTGGTCTTATCGGAAGACCTTCAGTGCCCCATATGTGCCCGGCGGATCGAAAGTGATGCTTGTTTTCGGAGGGCTTGACACCTTTGCTCATGTCAAGCTGAACGGCACCAAAATCCTGGAGACAGACAACATGTTCTTGCCTTACACTGTCGACATTACCCACCACCTATCTTCTGGCGAGTTTCAGACGTTAGAAATCGACTTTGATTCAGCTTTGCTGAGAGCGCGAGAAATTCAAGCCCGACACCCTGAGCACAAATTCGCGGGCTTCAATGGCGAGGGAGCCAGGGTGGGTGTTAGGAAAGCGCAGTATCATTGGGGCTGGGATTGGGGACCAATACTGATGTGCTCTGGAATCTGGCGGCCGGTCAGGCTTGAAGTGTTTCCCGCCAAAATTGAGGATGTACGGATAGAACAAGAGCTCTCGGAAGATTTACGAAGCGTCAAACTCGACATCAGTCCAGTGATCTCCTCTGAAGTCGAGGATGATTTCTCTGTCTCAAGCTCTGTTAGTCTAGAAGGTCAGATCGTTGCCAGTACAGGCCCAACTGCTTGGCGTATGGATGGTACTCGATCTACCACCCTGAGCATCAGAAACCCTGATCTATGGATGCCACATGGGTACGGCAAACAGCCCTTGTACTCTGTCAAGGTTGAGCTGCTCAGGAGTGGCACAGTTGTGCACAGTGTGACCAAAAGAATCGGCATAAGAAAAGTTGAATTGGTCCAGCAGCCAGACAAACACGGCAAAAGCTTTTATTTCCGTGTGAACGATGTCGACATTTTCATGGGTGGATCATGTTGGATCCCAGCAGATAGCTTTCTCCCCAATGTCACACCAGAGAAGCTCAGGGCTTGGATGGAACTCGTCGTGGCTGGTAACCAACGCATGATCCGTGTCTGGGGAGGAGGTATCTACGAAGATGATGTATTTTATGACACCTGCGACGAATTGGGCATCATGGTCTGGCAGGATTTTATGTTTGCCTGCGGAAACTACCCAGCCAAGTTACTGGAGAAATCTGTGGAAGCTGAAGCAATCGCCAATATCCGGAGACTGAGACACCACCCGTCACTCGCCATCTTTGCAGGCAACAATGAAGACTATCAGGTGCAAGAACAGCTCAACCTGACGTACAATTACGACGATAAAAACGAGCAGAACTGGCTTGAGACAGACTTTTCTGCAAGGTACCTCTACGAGTCGCTACTACCACGCATAATGTCTTCAGAGTGTCCTTCAGTGCCCTACCACCCGGGCTCTCCATGGGAGATGGAAAAGTTTCATCTGATCCTACTGTCGGCGATATACACCAATGGAATGTTTGGCACGGCACACAGGAGAAATATCAGATCTTTGACTCTTTGGGCGGGCGTTTCAACTCTGAATTTGGAATGGAGGCATTTCCACACCTAGGAACTATCAAGTCCTTCGTTGAGCACGACAAGGACCTCTTTCCACAATCCCATGTCATAGACTTTCACAACAAAGCAGATGGTCATGAGCGGAGGATTGCAACATACCTTGCAGAGAATGTCCGCATGTCGAGCTCCACAACTCTCGAAGCACATATACATCTGACCCAGCTTGTACAATGCGAGGCACTGATGTACGGCTACCGTGGCTGGCGTAAACAATGGGGTGATCAGAGACATTGCGGTGGTGCCTTAGTGTGGCAGATGAACGATTGTTGGCCTGTTACGAGCTGGTCGATATGTGACTACTACCTGCGAAGGAAGCCTGCATACTACACGATCGCACGAGCGCTCGCCCCTGTCACGGTCGGTGTCCGCAGATCACACTATGACTGGAGTGTGACTCATGCCAGACAGCCCAAGACACAGCCTTGGGAGCTGTGGGCGACGACTTCACGACTCAGCACACATTCGATAGATGTGGAGCTTCGGTTCATTTCTGTCGAGACAGGCAAGGACATAAGGCCTAAGATCACAAAGACTGGGGTCAGGTTGACACCAAACGGGACCACTGACATTCTGAAGGGGTTTGTCGACAACGTCCAAGAAGAACCACATATCTTGGCAGCTCGTATATGGGAGGGGAACCGCATTATCGCAAGGGATGCGGACTGGCCGCAACCGCTCAAGTATTTATCGTTCCCGAAGCGAGACTTACTCGTCAACTTTGATGAGAAGGCTGGTGAGCTTCGTGTCAGCGCGGACAGACCTGTGAAGTGTCTGGTATTTGAGGAACGCCAGGGATGTCATCTTAGCGACAGCGCAATCGACGTCATGCCAGGCGACGACCAGATCGTTAAAGTGCGTGGCCTCAGCGATGGGGACGAGCCACTCTCCTGGACCTATCTTGGAGCTGGTGAGCAATAGTTCGTGCTCGGATCCCACATCTGACTAGCATGCTCAAGTCTCAGGGTTGTAGTCTCTCTACATGAGTCCATATGTCCAACACGATTATTTACTGCTAGCTCGAACTCTGACGCAAATCTTCGCACGTTTCATCGAAGCTTCACTGAACTTGACATATCCCGAACGAATGAATCTGGTCGGTGGGATTCTCCGCGAACACACAGGGCTGACCATGCTTCCATTTTCTTTCCCCACGATTACCTTTTGTCTGGTATCCCACAGCATGCATGCCAGGAGGACTCCCTCAACTGATCGGTGTCTTCCAGCTACTTTGAATTCATCAGCCCTGCCAACAACTGCCCTTTTCCACCATCTTTGCCTTTCTTTCCCTTGCCACCTCCGCCAATCAATTCCGAACCCATGGCCTGCTGCATCAATCCATTGAGCAAGTCTGCCTTACTTCCTCCACTGCTACTGCCTTGCAAACCCCTTGGATCGTAGCTGACCTCGTCATCCTCGATAAAGCCAGCCTGATACCGGTTATCTGCATGACGAGGGGAGTACTGCGGGGGCGCAGAAGGCGAACGGCCTGAGGTATAAGCGTAGTCGTCGTTGTATACCGATCGGTTGCGAGGGCGAGCTGGATCGTAATTGCTATCGTCGTTGTGGTGGTAAGCTCGCTGATCTGCAGGTGGGGATCGTTGGTAGTGTTGTTGTGGGTCTTCGAGGCGAAATCGCTGGCGTTGTTGACTGTTGTGGCTCGGGTAGTCATAGACGTCGGCATCAGGAAGGTCGCGAGTGTTACTAGAGGAGTGTTGACGACGGTCAAGAGGTTGAAGCGGTGGTGATCGGTCATAGGAGTAGTCACGACGATGAGCCGGTGCATTGTTGGAATGATTGCCACGGTTCTGAGCTGTCTTGGCGATCTGGTTGACACCATAAATGGCGACGCCAGATAGCATGGCTGTTTTGATGATGCCCATACTGGATCGGTAGCTGGTGCTTTGGGCGGACTTTGTTTTTCTGTTGAGTATCAGATCGGTAGCTTGATGGATGTTGGTAGGTGTGGATGTTGTGAGACCGGACAGGGAGTCGGCTCCTTTTTGTAGTTCTCAAGCACAGCTGATCTCCGAGACTGTTACTTCTCTGGGCGTCTTGCTCGGTGACAACCTGATCACGGACATTTGTGAGGCATTTCGTCAGGGGCGTTCCTCATTGAAGCTGCCATCACTGTGCATATCAAGCAAAGGATTAGCAGACGTTCAGCTCCATGGCTGAGCCGAGCCGGCGTGTTGCAGGCACGCAAGCACACGCGTTGATTTCCGGATATGCAGGTCTGTCGACAACGAGCTGTATGCCGCATGGAGCAATCTGTGAGGCGCAGACCCTGCATGTTAGCCGTTAGTCATCGAGGTGCCACAGTTCAGCGATTCCGACGCCAACGCCGGACGGGAATAGATTGTCAACTGCAAGGCATCATCAAAGGTTTGCAAAGCTTGCGAATGAAATGCGACTCGAAAGGCTCTCTGCGTGATCGCACCAGTTACTTACTTACTCAGTAGGTAGTCTCCATTCGGTAACCAGCTCGGCGCTAGCCCGACTAGGTTGATGCTGGCGAGAAGGTTTTCAGGCCCAAAAGATCTGCCACTGGTGATAGATCCACGCGTGCAAGGCTGTAGTTGATAGCTGGCAAGGTCTCCAGAACCATGACAGGGACCCAGAATAGCCTATCTCGCTTTCCGTGCTACACAGAGATTAGCATCGTCCTCCAATGACATGTATGCTACCTTTAAAGGGGGATGTATCGCGAACAGGCGGCACATTCCTTCAAGCAAGCCATTGTAGGATTCAAATATAAGGATCGCTGTGTCCCAGAATTGGCCTGTCCTTGTCAACAGCAACAGCCTCAGAGTATTGACACTGACCTCAATCTTCACCTCACCATCGATCATCATGGGACATTTCACCTATGCAGACGGAATCGCCGTATTTCAACTTGTTTTCTTTGTCCCAGGTCTGCTTTGCAGCATCGCCGTCGCGAGACGCCATGGCTTCAGAAGAACCTCTGGGTGGATTTTTTTAGCCATTTTCTGCGTCATCAGAATAGTCGGAGGAGCAGCAAGACTCGCGACACTCAGCGATACAACGTCCACCACACCATATACCATCGCCTTGATCTGTTCACTGCTCGGCCTGTCGCCATTGCTGATGTGCTCCCTGGGACTGATCTCGCAAACGTGAGCCCACGTCCTATCATGTGCAACTCCAGGCTAATGAGATGCAGATATTGCTCATTCCTGAGACAGCCATACAACAATCTCTTCTCAACATTCGTCGTCAGAGCCGTCCACTTACCAGCAATCATTGCGTTGATTCTGTGCATCGTGGGAGCAACACGTGCCGACACTCCACAGCTGATCGAGAATGAGGCCACGGTCCATGTCGGTATTGCGCTCTTCGTGGTCGTCCTTGTGATGCTCACAATTCTTGCCATTGGTGCATGGCTCCGTATACATCGAATTGGAAAAGGGGAGAAAGCTTTGGTCCTAGCATCGCTCTGCGCCTTGCCGTTCCTATACGTCCGGACTGTGTATGCTCTCTTGGCAGTGTTCTCGCACTCCGAGGTTTTCAGTCTGGCCTCAGGATCGACGAGCTCAGAAACGACATCATTATGCATGTCAGTCCTAGAAGAGATGGCAGTGGTAGTCATCTACCTGGCGACGGGGCTCAAGCTGCCGTTGAACACTGAAGGTGCCGCCGAGACGCGTGAAATGGGCTTGGCCGATATGTCCTCGGACAAGTAACACGTTTCAGCCGCCGTCGCACCTGGGGGAGAGCAGTCATCGCGTGCTGGAAACACGCGCACTTCCAACGGAATAGAGTATGATGTATGGCATGCTACCACTTAAGTGGCGCAGATCTTGTTGCAGCAAGGCGCAGGAAGTATTGAGTGGGATGAGTCTGCTTCGTTGCGCTCTAGAAATGAACCTACTGACAATACCTGAAGAGACTCGGAATTAAAGCCCGGGGACCCGAGGAAGGCTGCGGGAAAGATCTGGTGAAATTTGACGCGTCACGCTTGCTGAGTCAGCGCTTTGGCAAGCGCGATCTTTTCCTAAGGTCCCGATGTATGCCCTCGCTCTTGCAATCGTACCAAGCCCTACGTTCGCGCGATAGCAGCCACCGCTGATGTTGTGTTCGTTGATTGAGCTAATTTGAGTCATATCAACAGAATGAACATCTGCTCGCTGGTCTACGAAAGCACAGAGCTCTAGCGCCGAGCTGCATACCGCATTAGGCCTTGCCGGCGAACCTAATACTACAGCAGATAAGTAACGATCCAGGGCTCACAGCTGTGCATCTGGCTTCTGCCCGGTCAAGCTTGCAGCCTCTTCGAACAAGCGCAGGGTGCCTGTCGGAAATGACACCGCAGTCTCTCAGCATGGCAGAAGTATGTGCCAACCGAAGCTCTCAAGCCTACCTTCTTCAGCCAATTCGCGGCTCCGTATATATTGCCATAAGTTCTCGCTCACAGTTGACGCAAGCCAAGCAGTGAACCTGCAGGCAAGCCCTCAGACCAAGCATGGTTTACTGTGGAAAGCCCTCCAAAGGTTGCAGAAATTGCCGCTCAAGGAGGCTCAAGGTGCATCCTCAACTCCTGCCGGATGTTGGTCTTTGAAGCTAACCATAGTCAGTGTGACCAGAAACGTCCAAGTTGTGGCCAATGCAGCAACACCAAACGTACATGTCTTGGTTACCGAGATATCAATGACTTGCTCTTCCGTGACGAAACTAAAAAGGTCACTGCAAAGTCTGAGGCAAAATCCGTACAGCTGATCAAGAAATCTCAAGCTGATCCGTACATCACGAGCATATACTCTGGGCCTACCACAAGCCCCTCGCTTTTATGTTCCAGAGCCTCAGTTTCGCCGTCGCAGCAGCAGGTCTCTCGCACAATCGATCCGCCGCTCGAGGATATCGCTATCAACTATCTGCTCGGCGACTACGTTCGTGGCAGTCATTTCGGTTATCTGCCAAAGCTATACAGTAGTATTGTCGATGGTGAGGTACTACCTACTACCGTGAAAGCTGTCGCGTTATCCACTCTCTCCTTACAGACTGGACGGCGCGAACTACGCCGAGGAGCTCGCAAGGCCTACGTTGATGCCATTAAATGTACCAATGGTGCCCTCCAGCAGCAGCAATCTGCGCTGGAGGATGAAGTCCTGGCCTCGATCCTACTGCTTGCCCTGTATGAGACCCTCGACCCAGATGTCCAAACAAGCGTGGACGCTTGGGAAACGCACATGCAAGGTGCACTATCGCTCGTTACACTCCGTGGGGCGCGCCAGTTCGAGACCACTCTTGGTATGGAGCTGTTCAAGCAACTCGCAGGGGGTATACGTGTCTTCTATGCGCAAAGGGGGCGTAGACTACCTCAGCAGCTCTGCGACCTAACAAGCCTAGCCCGATCGTATTGCGAAGAAGGTGACAAAAGTTTCGCCTGGGCGTTTGTTGTCGAAGCATTCGCGGGCTTTCAGGCAGATGTCCTCGACGCTACCCTCTCCACACCACAAGAGATCATTGATGGCGCCACGGACGTGCTGAGAACGCTTCACACAATGGAAGAGAGCTTGCCGTCAAATTTCTCCTACGAGACCGTCTTCACCCAGGACAAGTGTCAAGAAATCTACCAGAACCATTTTTACTTGTTCAGAAATCATCATGTCACTCAGATGTGGAACACAGCTTGGATGGCACATATCGTGCTCAACACGATCATCTACCGCCAGCTCGAAGTCCTCCTCAAGGATCCGCACGTTCCACACAACCTCAATACAGATCCAGCGGCACAGCCCTCAGAGCCCGCCCTGACTCCTCACAACCTCAATACAGATCCAGCGGCATTACTCATGACTTGCAAAGCAGAAGTCATCGCTGCAGCGACCAACATCTGCGCCAGCGTGCCGCAGTTCTTCCCGCCAACGAAGCGTGGGCTGCACAGCCGACCTAAGTCACGTACAGTGGCTACAGGATACTTCTTGATCTGGCCGTTGTTCATTGCTGGCTGCGCACCGCTGGGAGATGATGCCGCCACAGGATACATTATCCAGCGTTTGAAGTTCATAGCAGAAGATTTGAGATTACCGCAAGCAAAACAAGCAGCGGATCTGTTGGAGAGCGATGTCAGGGGTGAGCGGTGGATGCATATGTATCACGCTTTTTAGATCAGCTTCAGTCCAAAGGACTATCCATCAAACTGATCGTGTCAAGCTGTTCGAATAAGACATGAGCGTTTTCTCTATCCTTAACATGCCTCACGCCAAATTTCGTACAGCGACCCCCCTGGCAGGCAAATTGATGATATGTTGATTCTGCGACTTGAAGCTCAAGTGAGGCTCCTCCCAAAACTTCCTGGCTCGATTTTCAAAAGAGCTCCAGCCCTCAGAGCCCGCCCTGACTCAAAATCTTGAGGCTCAACTGGTCCTACTGAAAATGCTCAGTTTATGGCCGAACAGCCTGCGTGTTCAAGTTTGCCTGAAAGTGACGAGTTACGCAGATTTGCCTTCTGGATACCCAAGCTGTGGGCACAAGAACCGAGCGTTTCCTCCACCTTGCGGCACAAGGATTTCTACAGCGCTCTCCCTGGCTAGGATTTCTCAATACGTTCTTGCTAGCGTTCTGACGCTTAGGTGAGGCTCATCTCATTCTATCGACTTGATCAGCGAAGAACAAGAGGCCGCCTTCAGCGCCCGCCTAGGCCGGAAAAGTCACAACGAGTAGCATAAAGGCTTGGTAACGAGAAACGCTCAGTACTTGTGCCCACAGCATGGTGCCTTAAAAGCGCTTAATTCCGGGCGCTTACGCCTTGTCGCCCTATTTGGGCTTAATTGGAACGCGTCTTCGCGACGACTTCGAATCCCTCTGTTCCAACTTAGCCCACCGTCCGACATTCTCGTAGCATTCTCGACAAGCGGTACAAAAACTTCCTGTCTGACATTAGACAAGATTCTCTGCCTCAGACTCAACATGACGGAAGATGGCATCAATCAAAGCCATCGAGGCGAAATCAGTACACCAGATCCAGTCTGGTCAAGTCATCGTTGATCTTTGCTCAGTAGTCAAGGAACTTGTCGAGAACAGTCTCGATGCAGGTGCCACGACCTTGGAAGTGCGATTCAAGAACTATGGACTCGACCTGATTGAGGTTCAAGACAATGGATCTGGTATCGACCCCTCAAACTACGCAAATGTCGCCTTGAAGCACTATACATCGAAACTATCAAGCTACGATGACCTGTCCAGAGTTCAAACGTTTGGCTTCCGTGGAGAAGCCTTGTCATCACTATGTGCGCTTTCGACGTTCTCGGTCACTACTGCGATGGCCTCGGAAGCACCGAAAGGAACACGGCTGGACTTTGATATGATGGGAAAGCTCAAGTCGACAACAACAGTAGCCAGCGGCAGAGGAACAACAGCCTCCGTAGAGCAGCTCTTTGGCTCGCTTCCCGTCCGCCGCAGAGAACTCACGAAGAACATCAAACGCGAATATGGCAAGGTGGTAGGCCTGCTTCATGCATACGCTTGTGTTGGTGTCAATGTCAAGTTCTCGTTCAAGAATGCAGTACCGAAAGGCAAAAGCATGGTCGTCTTCTCTACAAAGGGCAACGCTACGACACGAGAGAACATCGCGAATATCTACGGCGCCAAAACTCTACCAGCGCTGGTGGCCCTTGACCTACAGCTATCGTTCCAGCCTTCTGCAACGCAACTCGCCAAAGATCACCAGCAGACGACTCTGGTTGTAAAAGGCCACATATCGAAGCCAGTCTTCGGCGAAGGAAGACAGACTCCAGATCGACAAATGTTCTTCGTCAATGGCCGACCGTGCGGTCTACCTCAGATCGCCAAAGCCATCAATGAAGTGTACAAGTCCTTCAACGTATCGCAGTCGCCATTCATCTTTGCAGACTTCCTGATGGACACGGCGGCGTACGATGTCAATGTATCGCCAGACAAACGGACAATCCTACTCCACGACGCGGCGGCTTTGATCGAGAGCCTGAAAGAGTCATTGACTGATCTGTTTGACAACCACGAGCAGACTGTGCCACAATCCCAGTTTCAGACTCCTAAGCTGCCAGTGTTCAAGCAACTCTCCGTGCAAAGGCCTCAATCAGTAACACCCGAAAGCGATGTCTCTAGTGAGGGGTCGAGCTCAAGGAAAAGGCGAAGGTTGACAGACGACGACTCTAGTGTAGGTACTACGTCCGACGACCAAGAGGAGGTTGCTGCGCCGAAGATGGCGTTCGTTGACCATTTCCGGGAACAGGCTAGCACGCGTGAGGAGAGGGATCCGGAGAAGAATGCAAAGCGACAAGCGCGGATGGAGATAGATCAACAGAGAAGGGCACAGAAGGCCAAAGATGCGCTACAAGAGGCGAATAAGCAGCAAAGTGGCATGGACGAGTACGACGACCTTCGCGAGATGCGAGCGAGTGAAATTAACCGAAGCCCTGAAGCACCTCCCGAGCACGGAACAAACGAATCACCCAAAGATATTGACGGTCGTGAGAGCAGGCAGCCTGAAAGCAATGGCACTCACGAGGACCACGAAACCATAAATTACGAGCCACCTATTCCCTCACAATCGCCCATCAAAAGGACGAATACTCCAGGCGTTGTACAGAACGCATTCGATCGTATGAAGCCTCTCCGCCTGCCAACACAGCTAGCGACAATCGAAGTGGACGGTGTGACGAGTACCGGGATGATTGGCACACAAACGCCCATCGTCCAGAACGCCGTAAGGTCTTCACTCGGAAGGCAGACAACGAGACCAGTCACGAACGACTTTGGCCGGAAGCAAAAGACTACGCTCACACAATTCTCGCAAAGGCTGCGAAGGTTTGGGGCCGAGGTGCACGAACCTGACACGGGCTCAGACGGAGAGGCCGAAGGAGATGCAGAGACGGGCGGAGAGTCCCACACAGCTGGGTCCGTTGACGCGTCGGCAGACGAAGCCGCTGAAGATGTCGTTGCTGACGATGAAGAGGCGCCGGAACACGTGGGTGAAGCAGAACCAGACGAGCCACCAGATCCCGAGCCAGGATCGCAGCACCCCGAGGAAGAGGGAGACAAGGCTGAGGAGGATGCTCGAGTTGCCGAGTTGATTCGAGCGGCTGAAGAGACAACAAAGAAGGTTAACAACCAGCGAGCTGTCAAAGCCTTGAAAGGCATGTTGTCACGCGATACGACTACGAGTCTTGCCGTGACCGTTGATGTTTCAATAGCCGATCTTCGAGAAGAGAGCCGGGTTCTCTGCAGCAGCGACCGCGTCTGGGCTGGGTGGACCGAAGAAGTCGGCCAGGCCTCTGATCGAGCTGCGGATGCTGACGAGGAGGCCAAATTGGCGTTGACCGTGTCCAAAGCGGACTTTGCAGAAATGAAGATAGTCGGCCAATTCAACCTCGGTTTCATACTGGCTGTCCGTCCAGCTGCGGCGGGAGCAGAAGGCCACAGGAGGGACGAGCTCTTCATCATCGATCAGCATGCGTCTGACGAGAAGTTCAACTTTGAGCGACTGCAAGCCGAAACCACCGTTGGCAACCAGAGAATGGTACGCCCAGTCAACCTTGACCTCACCGCCGTGGAAGAAGAGATCGTCCTCGAGAACACCCATGCCCTAGAGAAGAACGGCTTCCTGGTCGAAGTTGACACCAGCGGAGGTCAGCAAATCGGTCGACGTTGTACGCTGCATACACTCCCGCTAAGCAAAGAAGTCGTCTTCGACACACGAGACCTGGAAGAATTGATTCATCTTCTCTCCGAGTCACCTATGCTGGGCATGGATTCGGCGGTTCCGCGACCAACGCGGGTGCGCAAGATGTTTGCTATGAGAGCTTGTCGGTCGTCAATCATGATCGGCAAGACATTGAGCAAGAAGCAGATGAAGACGGTGGTGATGAATATGGGGACGATTGACAAGCCGTGGAATTGTCCGCATGGACGGCCTACGATGAGGCATTTGACTAGTCTTGATGCCTTTGGGTCGTGGTCAGAAGGAGATTATGGCGGAGAGGACGACATGGACCGCGTAGGTGGAGATGATAAGAAGAGGTGGACAGAATATCTTAATGAGGAATGACGGCGTGCTATCACCATGACGAATATATTAGAGAGTTCAGCATACTAGGCTGTATAATATCATCGACGGCCTTTCTGGCTGATACTTTCGTGTCTGTCCCCATTGTCTAATCCGGGCACTTATGTGAATGCGTCCGGCACCGATGGGAGTGTTGTTGCGAGAACAATCGACGTGCCTGCCTCCGAGCCGCCGACTCGCTGCCGGCAGAACTTATCCTGGGATCTTCGGCACGTATAACAACGCGTGACTGATAGAAGAGCGCCTTTTTTTCTTCGTTCGGCGTTTTGATTCCGTGATGACCCAGGTCTTGGCCTTTTTTGTGCCGAGGTTCGGGTGAGAGGGATGCCCTCAAGCTCACAACACCCACGACGTGTCCTCCAACTGATCTACCCACCGGAACAGGGGAGCCAGCCAACACTGCATCCAGCCGCGGTCTACTGCAGAAAGCGCATTGGTGCTGTCCGTCGTCTCTCTACGTCGGCTTGCATAGAAAAGTTTAGAGCATCTCGCTTACCCAGCGTCATTCTTTTTTCCCTTGTTCAGCATTATTCGTAGCTGGGGATGTTGCTGTCGACCTTTGCACGTGGACAGACCTCTCTGCGTTTCCTGGCCAGATCTCACAGTACTCAGACCGCTGCGAAAGTACTATCAGGGAGTGAGCTGGAGCAGAGGGCGCGTGTTGACACGACCAAGTCCTTTGCTATGGCGCCCGCAAACAAGAGGAAAGCGTCCAGCCAGGCGCAGTACTGGGTTGGTGAAGGTATGAGAGTGCTGCCGAATAGAACAAGGACCAGTAGACTTACCAGCGTATAGACTACCGGGAAGACAGCTCGAAACCGGCCATGCTGCGCTTCGAAGACTCCCTTCCTAGGCTACCCGTACCTACACTCGAAGAAACGTCGAAACGATACCTCAAGAGCTTACACCCCTTGCTCACCAAGGAAGAATACGCCGCCTCCGAGAAAGCTGTCAATGCCTTCAGCCAATCCAGCTCTCTCGGTCCAACACTTCAAGAACGACTAGTTGCCCGTGCCAACGACCCCAAGCACAAGAACTGGATCGCCGACTGGTGGAACGAAGCAGCGTACCTCTCCTACAAAGACCCCGTTGTCCCCTACGTCTCCTACTTCTACTCCTTCCGCGATGACCGACGGCGGCGGAACCCAGCCAAGCGAGCCGCCGCCATCACCACAGCCGCCCTAGAATTCAAGCGCCAAGTCGACACCAAGACCCTCGAGCCAGAATACATGCGCAAGAACCCCATCGCCATGAGCTCCTACCAATACATGTTCAACTGCTCCCGCGTCGCCGCCGAACCCGCCGACTACCCGATCGAATACGGCCCCGACGGCAACGAACACATCATCGTCATGCGCAAGAACCAATTCTGGAAAGTCCAAACCCACATCTCCGGCCAACAACTCAACACATCCGAACTCGAGCACCAATTCTCCCACATCTACAAATCCGCCGAACAATCCCAACCCATCGGCGCCATCACCTCTTTACCCCGCGACCAAGGCGCCACGGCCCGAACCCACCTCCTCGAAGCCTCCCCCTCCAACGCCCTTGCCTACAAGGACATCGAATCGGCCTCCTTCGTCGTCTGCCTCGACTCCGCCAGCCCCATCATTCTCGAAGAGCGCGCACACGCCTACTGGCACGGCGACGGCGCCAACCGCTGGTACGACAAACCCCTGCAATTCATCGTCAACGACAACGGCACCGCAGGCTTCATGGGCGAGCACTCCATGATGGACGGCACGCCTACCCATCGCTTGTGCGATACCGTCAATGCGCTTATCGTGCATAATAAGCTCGACTTCGAGAACCCTTCCGTTCGCTCGTCCTTGCCGCCGCCCACTGTCGTGCGCTTCCAGACCGACTCTAAGTCTTTAGAGGATATCGCCAGCGCACAGAAACAGTTCGCGCAAGTTATCGCCTCGCACGACCTGAGAGTGCAGGCGTACCAGGGCTACGGGAAGGGACTGATCAAGAAGTTCAAGTGCTCGCCCGACGCGTATGTGCAGATGGTGATCCAGTTGGCGTACCATAAGATGTATGGGAAGAACCGCCCGACGTATGAGTCTGCTGCGACGCGGAAGTATCAACTTGGACGGACTGAAACAACCCGGACTGTAAGCGATGAGAGTGTAGCATTCTGCGACGCGATGGCGAACCATGAAATTGGGAGGGAGGAGTGTGAGAAGTTGTTCCGCGCGGCTGTCGCGGCGCATGTGAAGTATACGCAGGACGCGAGCGATGGGTATGGTGTTGACCGGCACCTGTTTGGGCTGAAGAAATGCTTGAAGGAGGGGGAAGAGGTTCCCGAGTTGTTCAAGGATCCGGCATACAGCTACAGCTCGTCGTGGTATATCAGTTCGAGTCAATTGAGCTCGGAGTATTTCAATGGGTATGGGTGGAGTCAGGTGATTGATCAGGGGTGGGGAATTGCGTATATGATCAACGAAAACAGGTAAGTCGCTGGTTCTGTCCAAGAGATTGGGCAAATGAGAGTTGTCGAGTATGCGGTTTGCTAACAGCTGTGTGCTATAGTATTCAATTCAACATCGTCTCGAAACAGCTTGGTTGCGAGCGGATGAGCTTCTACTTGAACGAGGCGGCGGGCGATATCAGAGATATGTTGACGCCCGGCTTACAGCCTCAGGCGAAGCTGTAGACACCGTTTGTGTAGGGAAGAAAGCAACGAGTCTCAAGCCATGTGTATCCTAAGATCTAAGTAAGCTGATGCATTGGAAAGAGAAGTACGTATCTATATACCTGGGCCTGGCAGCGAGCTAGAAGAGGCATCGCTATTCGCATTATGGCAGTATCAACGTCTTGAGCTTGTTTTTGTGTCACTCTACGTTCGTCGTTCCCTTGTACAGATTTATGTATACATGGCGGGCAGGGCTAATCTACCCAAAAAGTAGCTTCCTAGCTCGCCCATCTTTGACACGCTCGCGGACGAATGTGGTGCGGTTCAAAGCATCTTCCCAGAGATATGTCGGTTTCGGTGCTCTGGATGATGTTGCATTGCCCTTCTCCTTCTTGGTCCTGTCTATCGGCGTGTTGTCTTTCGTCGTCACGGCGCCCTCCTGCTTGTTATCTGCTCCGCGTTCCCCATCATGGTCTGCTTCAGAGAGCGTTGGCAGCGAAGGCTGATCCGGCATCGGCCTCTGCGACGCGAGTGGAGTGTGGCGGAGGAGGTACGCGTACTGGCGGCGGATCCAGCGCTTGCTGCGGGCGGTGGCGATGTGGGGAGTGCGGTCCGCGCCACGACGGGTGGAATCACTGATGTATGTACGGTTCAGTGGGGCGAGGAAGTCGATCTTCCTCGGTCGTTTGGACTGGTCATCGGTGATGTTTCCCCCTGCAGATGTCGCTGCTTCATCCGAGTTGTCGTCGAGGGTCTGATGTAGTGCACATTTGCGCCTCACCGGCCATCTCAAAGCCATCTCGCCTGTCGCGACGGCTCTGACGTAGTGCCAGTCCTCCGACGGCAGCGGCGGCAACAGGATGGAGGCCTCGCGGGCATACCATTTGCTGGTGTGCCTAGCGACTTGGTTCGCTGGGATCGGTCTGCCCCAGATAGTTACTTCAGGCATAGCTGCTGGGCCTTTGTGTCGGAGTGGGGGTGCATGGCGCAGAACGAAGCGCTCATGCTGGGACTGCGATTTGGCGAGGGCTGTAAAGGCTGGAGAGGGGTTGAATGCATCCGGGAGTGGTACTGGTGTGGCACCATCGTCACCGAGCTCCTGCTTCGCGATCGGAGGGCGGAGGATGTCCTCCATCAACTCATACCTGCGTGGTCCCTTGCGGCCATAGACTAGATCCAGAGTTTGGCGGAACTTCTCGACCGAGCCATTGTTGGCTTTGGTCAGCAGGGTTGCGAATTTGCGAGCGCGAGAGAGGAGGGCGGTCTCTCGGCTGCGGCGGTCGAGATCGCACATGCGCTTGAGGCCGGTTTTGAGGTTGTGTTTGGCATCGTGGAAGGATGAGACGGCGTAGTTTGTGAGCCAGAGGCGGGCTCTGGGGTCCGGGTGGTAGGTGGCTTGGCGAAGGATGGAGCGGTAGATATGAATGGGATTGAAGTGGAAGAGGGTTTTCATGGCCTGAAGATCATTTTGCGCGCTCCAGGATGGTCTCACGTCCGTCAAGGAGATGAAAAGCTCACGAAAGGGGTGGTTGAGATGGCTGTGCTAGTGTCTTGAGGGAACAGAATCTTTCGCTGGACTTGAACGCCGAGTCCCGAGGTCGTCGCCAAGACGGCGTCGGGGTGGGGTACCGGGGTGACGCGCACTTCCGTGGTCTAATCTCGCGACGTGTCACTTTGGCGTTGCGCGTGAAGTGACTCGACTTTTGCCAGAAAACGACCAGAATTGACGAGAAACCGTTCAGAATTGACCGTCCCTTCCATACTGCGCGAGTCTCATCTGCCCACGGCCACAACACCAGCATTGCTGAGCTCGCGCTACTCGGTCCATTCCCAATCCATCCAGACCGTGGATATCATCGACCCCTGCCGGCGCCGTCACACATATTATATTGGCCGTGCGCACCGAGCTTATCCTTTGCAGGTCCACATAGTAGCGACAAAGACATTGAAGAACTTGTATGAGCAGTCTATAATAGCAAGCTTCCACCATACAGCAACAACGAACAGTGATGCATCAAGAGAGGCAGTAAGATAGCACCTTCATATACCACCAGCAAAGACAGCTGCGCTTCAACATGGCCGCCGCTCCCGCTGGAGTGTATGCCACCCACCTCCGAATTTCCCTCAGCATGGCCACTCAGCATCAATGAGTGGCTCGTTCACCCACCAAGCTATGCCGTCATTCGACGGTCAGTCTGTTGGCACACCTGTTCAACCTACTCCGCCTTCCCAAAGACCGACGTCGCAGCACCAGCAGATGGGCTACAATAATGTCAATGGGAACCAGATGAATGGCATGATGCCCCCACAGCACTACCCGCAGTTCAACGAGCCGCATTCGGCATACGCGCCCACGCCGCCTCAGCAGGCGCCCCATGTTCAGACGCCGTCTTCGTTCTACCTTGATGGAGTGAAACGTCAGATCTACACAGTAAGTTCATATTCGTCACAGCTTCCTCGCTTTTGCTGACCATGCGGCAGGCTGTGTATTCGAATGTATCTGTCCTAGAAATGGAAGTCAATGGAGTCGCCGTCATGCGCCGAAGAAACGATTCCTGGCTCAATGCCACCCAGATCCTCAAAGTCGCTGGTGTCGAGAAAGGAAAGCGCACAAAAGTCCTCGAGAAAGAGATCCTAAGCGGCGAGCACGAGAAGGTTCAAGGTGGCTATGGCAAATATCAAGGGACGTGGATAAATTACAATCGAGGCAGGGAATTCTGCCGTCAGTTCGGTGTTGAACAGCTACTCCTCCCTCTGCTGGAATTCGATATGACCACTCTGGGTACTCCGGGGCTAGAAACGCCGACCAAAGAGCAAGCACTTGCCGCACAACGACGACGGATGTACAGCAACGACCCCAACATGAGCCAGTCTGGGACCTACTTCAAGAACATGTCAAACACAGCAGCGACAGCTATCCAGGCGCTCAACCGCACTCGAATGGACTCTCCAAACCACATGGAGGGGCGAAGATCTGCAGGTCCGCGAAGACCATCACAATATGGTCCAGATGGAGGGTTTCAGAACAGCCAGCAGAGTCTTAACAGCATGGCTTCACAAGGGAGCTTCGATGGCGGTGTCATGAGTCAAGGTGCCAGTTTCGCCGACTTTCCAAATACTGACGCTCAAGAACCGCCACGAAAGAGGATGAGGCCATCGCCACAAAATTCATTCATGGCTGGGTTCGACGGCAATCTTGATCTTCCTATGCACGACGGTACACCGACCGAGCCGAATCAGTCGTTCTTCTCCCAGCAGAGTCAATCATACATGCTTCCTCGGCCCTTCACATATGCCCTAGAAGCACTGCCACAACCGAGAGGACCGCCTGAAGAGCAGAAACAGGAATGGCTCATGGCATTGTTCATGGAGGCGTCGAAAACAGAATTTGATGACGACGCTGCATTTCTGAAATTGAGCGGCGATGAGTTCGAGATGCCAATCGATGCGAAGGGAAATACTGCACTACATTGGGCTGCTACACTGGCTCGGATACCGCTGGTTAAGAAGCTTCTCGAGCGAGGTGTGAATATGCGGAGAGGCAACAGCGGAGGTGAGACTGCTCTCATTGCCGCATGTCAGGCTCGCAACCACATGGATGAGCATACTTTCCCTCAGCTGCTCGAGCTGCTAGGTCCGAGTATAGAAGTACGAGACCTTCGAGGGCGGACTTTGTTACATCACATTGCAGTGTCGTCGGCAATGAAAGGGCGAGCTGCGGTTGGGCGTTACTACCTCGAGTCATTGCTGGAGTATACTGTCCGACAAGGTAGCGGCAGTCACAGCGGTGTCAATGGAAACTCGGACAGCGAGCCAATGACTTTGGCGAGGTTCATGAATGAGATTGTGAACGCACAAGACAAGTCTGGCGATACTGCCCTGAACCTCGCAGCACGCACGAGTACAAAGACGATCATCGATCAGCTGATCGAAGTCGGAGCTGATCCGCATATTCCCAACCGCGGCAATCTTGCACCGGTGGACTTTGGCGTCGGATCAAGCGCTAATGGCGTCGCACACCACAGCAACTTCAATGCGTTCGATGTGGCCATTGCAGAGAACGAGTCGTCGCAGAAGTCATTCGAGGAGGCGGAGGAAAACTTCGTGACTTGTAAGTACCACCAGCACAGGTGTCATACACATGCTAACCATGCCATGCAGCGATCCGACAGATGCTATCAAAGTCTAACGCCGACTTCCAAGCCGAAATGAAAGAGAAGCAAGAATCGCTCGACAAAACCCACGCCGCTCTTAGAGAATCTAGTGCATCTCTGAAAGAGGAAAAGGCGCGACTCGAGCGGTTACGCGCGAGAGCACGTGAGCAAGAAGAGCTCGAGCAGAAAATCAAGAACCACCGACGCGTACAAGCCAGCTTACAGAAAGACGTCTCGCCGACAAGTCCCCTCGGAACTGCACCCGTCCAGATCGGCGAAGCTGACAAAGGCCTCGACCTGGACGGCCGACTACAACACATCGACCAAGTCTTCCCCGGCGGCGCCCACGATCCCAGCATACCGCTGAGCCAAGACCAAGTCAATTTTGTTGCTGGACTGGAGCGGGCGCCTGTGTTGGCTGGCCGCGTCAATGCTTACCGCGAGCACAATGCCAAGCTTGAGCAGCAGGCACGAGAACTACGCGCGAGAAGCAGTGAGCTGGAGGAGAAGTATAGGAAGATTATTGTGCTTTGTACCGGAGCGAATGAGAGTCAGGTGGACGAGTTGCTCGATAATTTGGTGCAGGCTGTGATCAGTGAGCAGAAGGAGATGGGTGATGGGAATGAGCTGTCAAGAGTGCGCAATTTCTTGCGTCTCGTGCAGAATAACCAGGAGTAGCAGCAGCGATGAATGCTCGATATCTTGGAAGCATTGTCTGCGACTTGGCAAGCAGACCGCGAGTCCTGTAGCAACAATGCTGTGCGACACGAGAAGTTTGTCTGGACACCTCCACATGGGATGATCACAGTGTCTAGAACATGTACAAAGAAACATCTTCGTTGATACGAATAATGAACCACGGTCACATCGGAGCTCAATAGGATTGTTCTCGGACGTTTGACGGGCTCGAATACTCACGCGTGGGATTTCCCATCGGGACTGTCCGCTCCATACTCGAGCAACCAGTGGAAGGTTTGTAGTATTTGTAGAACACGGTGGGCGAGTCGCTGTGGTGGACTCTTGGCTTTTCGCGATGAAACACCTGAAGTTTGGTAAGCGCCCCTGGCACCAATCCGCTCTGGGAAAGGAAGGAGATCCTTCTTTACCCCTGCTTCCTATCTCGCCGCATTCTTGCATGTGGCTCGATGTGGTCGCGAACCTCGCTGGCTCGGTAAGACTCGCATGATGGAGCTCATGAGACTCTACTGTGTCGCATCATGCTCTTTTCTCTTCTCTAGATGCCTCACCCACCTGCACGTTTGACCTTTTCCTCACACCACCTTGCTCTCTCCTCCCCTGACCCAACCATCAAGCATCTCGCCTAATACGAGCATTACCATCCCTAATAATCAGCAGAGCCAGTCTGCCAAACCCCATAACCGTGAACTACGCCACCCAGTCTCTACGAACACACGACGTGAGCTGTTTCGCACCCACCAGCAGAAACGAGCATCTCGTCTCGTCAATTGGACCAGGCAGGCATCGTATCCTACTTACCTTGTCTACGCCTCTCGCTCCTCTCTTTTCGTTCCTGTTGCTTCGCCCAGGCTGCGCCTGTACCTCACCACTCACTACCCGTCGCTCTTTCAGTAATCGGCCACGCTGGTCGGCGGCTTACACACGCACAATAACGAGACATACACTCCACCAAAGTCCCAGAAGACAAACGACACGTCCCTAACGACTACGAGAAACGCCTTCCCATCGCGCCCGCCATGCGGGTCGCGAGCTTTGCCATGGCGGCATGCCTCCTGCTGTCCGATATCACGACAGCAACCTCGAACGTGGTGCGCATGCTAGGAGTTGACGGAGGACTGATCGGCCTACAACGAGATCTAGAGCATCAAGTGCGGCATTTGGAAGACCACATGGAGCGGCGGCAAAGCAATACCGCGACCGTACAATCCACAACAATCTCCATGGCCGAGATGAACAGCACAATCGCGCGTGCGTGCCTAGACGTGCTAGACGACATCACCGTCATCACCAACGACGCCGGCCTCTCAGCCTGCTACAACATCATGTCCATGGACCGCTCCTCCAAAACGTTCGTCGCGGATCTACGCCTCTACATCGCCGCCTCCCCCAAAGGCGCCTTCACTCAGGTCCAACCCAACAACCTCATGATCGGCGTAACCTACCCACCGTCAACAAAATTCACAACCCTGAATACTACCGCACCCGCCAAAACCAAAAGACAGGCCGTGCAAGCCAACAACATGACCGAAATCCAACAATACACCTTCATGGGCGAAATCGACACCAACATCGACCTCGAAAAACTCACCGAAGCACAAATCATGTCCCTCATGGTCCCCGCCATCACCATCAACGCCGTCTCCCAGGACGGCCGCACACCACTCTCTACTCCCCTCGCCATCACCGACACCGCTTTCTTCGTCGTGGGCGATTTTCTGGGCGGGTTTACGGCCGACACAGCCAGCCCGCAGTTCCAAAAGGCGGCGATCGAGCAGAGTAGTGTGTTTGTGCTACCCGGAACGACGTTTGGGATCTTTCCGGTGGGACTGATTGTGACGGGGAGTTGGCTGGCGATTTTCGTGGCGGCGTATGGGTTTGGGACGTGGAAGAGGTATCAGCATAGGGAGTTTTATCGGAAGAGGATGCATGTTACGTCTGGTGGGGCGCTGAAGGGGTATGATAGTGGGAGGACGGGGAGGAAGATCTAGGGTGTGAGTGAGAAGTTGATAGGTCTCAGTGTGCAATGAGGCCTCGTCGAGAGATCGCGGTCGAGTGCGCTGGGTGCCGGCATTGGGAGGCCGGCAGGTACGATCTGACGCGCGAGGTCATTTTCGGTGGACATTCATGCCATGTCAGCGGGTTGTATCTTGCTCATCATGTCATCATGGCAGCCATCTTCCACCATTTCAATGCTGTACTTTGAGCGAGGTAATAACGACTAGAAGAACCAACTGTCTTACAACGAGCATCAGTTCCATCTCTCTGCAGAGTAGAGCCGTTCAACCCACAGTCGTCCTTCTGATACCCGAAGAAGCTCGCCTCATCAAGCAGCAGCAAATGCTAGTTCGGTGTGGCAAGTAGAGTGGTGGTTAGGGTCGCCATGCTGAAGAGAAGAAACGCCGAAGCATGTTGAGGGCATGACGCTTACTTATACCACTTCAACTCAGTGAAGACAGGGCTAAACATGGAGCGAAGACTTCAGTGACTCGGCCAGAAACATTCACTGTTGGTCGCGTGATATACGGTTAATGACATCCTCCAGAGACGCTCACCCCATCAAGTAGCAGAAATGCGAAGTTGACATGGCAAGTGCGGCCCAGGGTCATCGTCGCGGCCCTTGTGGAGAAGAAAGAAAGAAGACGATGCAGGCAACACGGGTACTTATACCTCTTCAACGTAGTGAAGATCGAGGGGAAGTCAGAGTGACTCGGCTGGCAAGCATTCATTGTTGGTCGCGTAGGTCATGGTCAACGGCCAGTGAATGCATCACAGCCGGGTCAGTGATGGCTTAACATTCACCTTGACATTGACGACCTTGTAGAGGTATAAGTACTCGTCTCGTCCCCGGCTTTCTTCACCCTTCCTTCCCACCACAGATTTGACAAGCGCCTGGCTACTTGCCAGATCAAGGCAGCTTCCACTGCTGCTTGATCGGGCGAGCCTCTTTGGCCGACGTCCTTGCATCATCCATGATCGGAAACGTTGCCAGTCTTCAATCGCGGCACAGACTTGGACGTGAAATATCTGATCGTTCAGCACGCGGCTCAATGTCAAATCTATCGAGCAAACGAAAGATGTGCAGACTCACGAACTGGTGATCGCCGTCAACAACCAAGCTCACAAACGTGCCACTAGTCCTCGTCGAGCATAGAGTGCCAAGCCAAAGCCACGAGCAAGCATTTGCGGGGTTTTTGATTGCCTTCATTCTTTCCACGGTTAGCCGCCTAGACCCTGATGAAATATTTCGAGAACTTTTGTGCATGTCTTGTGCCGTTGACAGCATTATGAATAGAGGCAAAAGGTTGTACAGCGTCGTCGTTGCCTGATAGATCTCGCGGTCAGCTTCTGTATCTAACTGCTGCGATTTGTTGGACTGCTGAGGTGATTGTGGTGGTGACAATCAGTTACGGCTAAGTCCGAGCATTTATATTGAGGCGAACACTGCTACGAGTTGTGACGACTGCATCTACCTTGCCTCGGACGCATCACATGGGGAAGATGCGCGACCACATGGGCAGAAGTTCTGAGACCGCAACCTACCCTAATCTTTCAACATAATAACACCTCGACCATCTGAAGGTCACCATCGGAGCTCGACCAAACTTCACCAAAATGGATCTGCTCTTCCCATATCCCAAAATGGGCAACTCCTGGCTAGAGATCCTCCACGACCCTCTCACACGAAAGCTGCTGGGCTTTGACGCCGTTCACGCCGAAAAGGGCCCCTTCCTCGCCGGCGTCAGCTCTCGTCTGAAGTTCTTACTAAGCGATACCTCGAAGCATCTATCCTTCCTGAAGATCGGCTACACCGCACTCGAAGCATTCCTGCAAGCGAATTGCACCGGCCCACCGCTTCCCTTCGATCCAGAGGAGAGCATTTTCCCCGAAGCATATCGCGGTGACGACGTGCCCAACATTAGGCAGGAAATGCTCAAGAACTTGGCAGTCGATGGGAATGCCGTGTACCACCTTACACCACATGTCGAATTGTTCTGGCTGGCGAAGCTCATCATGTCCAACCCCACTCTCGCAGAGCCAGGTTTCAACGGACGGAGAGCACGGTTCAGAGTCAATCACTGGCATCAGAAGCTATTAGGCGAGAAGTCAGAGTGGTTGAAAGATCATATCTACGCTGATGCGGAAGTGCTGGAGTCGCAGTTGTACTCTCGGTTGAATTTTGGAGGCGCTGCGGCAGAAGAGCACTTTGTCGAGTTTCTGATTGAAAGAGCGCAGGTTCGGATACTGTACGGTGATGATGCGCGAGCTCGTGAAGATTTAGCTCGAGCTGCGCAGACGAGGAATTTCCAGTTCGCCTTGACCGGCGCGCTGGGAAAGCGGACTAAGTTTCAGAGGAATGACTTGAGTCAATTGGTTGTGCTGGCAAAGAGCCGCGACCACGAACCCGAATCGTATGCTAGCCGCAAGTCAAGTCGTGCAGATCCATCAACGTCAAGACGGAGCAGTAAGGTAGATGTTGCCAGATCACCACCAGCCAGTCCTTCAGTACCGCCCGATCCGGCGACGATGGCTTTGAGACCACTGCCACCAACTTCTGCGCCAACTTCACCTGTCCACGAGCACAAAGTGTCGCCCTTGGCAGCTGCGCCAGTGCAGCCGGAGAACATATTGTTGAATGACGACACGCTACTTGAGCAGATCAAATTCAAGGAGCAATCAAATGTCAAGCCAGAGATGACTCAAGTGTCAGAAGAGTCCAAGCTGCCAACTCGGTTAGCAGAATTGGACCCGTCAAGCCAGCCGATGCTGTTCCCAATGGACAGCATTATTCTACTCGCCACGGCGTCCAGTATATCGAACACATCCCCTGACGATGGCTTGACTCGTGAGGAGACCCTGCCATATGCTACGAGAGTGCTTGAAGGCGGCTCATCGAACTGGCAAGTGTATACTCAAGCTCTCCTCGTACGCTCCAGGATCGAAGGGTACAAGTCAAGGACGGTCGAGCGTGGTCTTCTGCAATTGCAAGCGCTCGTCGATCAAGTCATCGCCGAGACAACGCAAGTCAAAGACAAGCCATCAGCGGAAGCCAACACTGACTCATCTGCACCGGCCACCTTTCTTCCGAAAGCCAGAGATTCCGAATCCGCGTCAGTTGCTGAGCGTCTGATGTACATACACCAGTTGTCATCACCGCTTCGATGGGAGCTCGAGGCTGAGTTAGCACAACGATGGACAAGTATGGGGGGTCTGAAATCAGCACTGGAAATATATGAACGTCTACAGATGCAGGCCGAAGTGGCATTGTGCCTAGCTGCAACTGACAGAGAGAAGGAGGCAGAAGATTTGATCCGAGGACTAGTCTTCGCTGAACCATCCGCGCCTGCTGGCGAGGAGAAGATCTTGCGTACTTCTCCCACAGACACGCCGCGACTCCTATGCATCCTCGGCGACATCACAAGCAACCCTCTGTACTACCAAACCGCCTGGACACACTCCCGCAACACCTACGCTCGCGCTCAACGCTCACTGGGCAAACACTACATGCGCGCCCGCGACTACTCAGCCGCAGCCAACGCCTATTCACTAGCCCTAACCCGTGGAAAACTCGACCACTCAACCTGGTTCTCCCTCGGCTGCGCCCAAATCGAGCTCCTCGACTTCGAATCAGCAGTCAACTCCTTTCAGCGCTGTGTCGCCCTCGACGATCGAGACGCAGAATCTTGGTCGAATCTCGCGATCAGCCTCCTGCGCCTGCCTGAACCAGACCAAGCAGAGCAGGATGACAGCGATCCAGCAGCGACCCCACGCGCCGACTCATCCTCAATCCCCCATCCACCGCCACGAGATGACGACCCAGAGAGTTTCGCTGGTCCACCAAACCCTCACCGGAACAAACAGATGGCGCTGTCGGCGTTGCGCAAGGCGGCGACGCTGAAGCGGGATGATGCGCGGATCTGGGATAATTACCTGACTGTCGCGGCTAGTATTCCGCCTAGTGGCGGGACGCCGTGGGCCGAGATCATACAGGCGATGCAGCGTGTCATTGAGCTGAGGGGCAAGAAGGAAGGCGAAGCCGCTGTTGATGTCAAGATCTTCAGCGTGCTGGTTCAGTATATCACTGCAGAGTTCACCTACCGATATCGGGCACCAGCAACGGCGGCAGTACCGTGGCCGAAGAATTATTGCCAGAAGAAGCATCCTCCAACAACAACGCACCAGCAGAAGAGGTCGGCCCACCCGACTCCTCACAATCCACAACACCCACCCCTCAAACCACCACAACGGCAGCATCTCTGTCCTTCCTCCCCCGCGCCCTCCTAACCCTCTCCGACGTCCACATCTCCCCACTCGTCACAACCTCTCCCAAACTATACTACCTCCTCGCGACCCTCGCCCTTTGGCGCCACCGCCCCTCCGAAGCCCTGTCCCTGCACGAAAAGGCCTGGCGCGCTGTCACGAGCCGACCGGATGCTTATACGAGCGAGGCGGGATTCGGACGGGTCGTGACAGCAACGGAGGTGCTGGTTGCGGCGTATGAGGATTTGGGAGGTAGGGAGAGTGAACGTCTGGGCGGGGGTGCTGGTGAAGGGCGGAAGGTAGAGGAGAAATGGCGGTTCAAAGCGCGGACGGCGGTGAGGGGGGTGTTAGGGAAGGGGAGGGAGGTTGGCGAAGGAACTGAAGCTTACGAGCGACTGAAACAGCTCGGTGAGAGCGAGAAGTTGAAGGGGTGACCATCATGGCGAGGCGAGCAGATGTATGACTGAGTCGAAGAGGCAATTTCTGGATGGCGAAATCCTGTAGTGATCCGGCAACGGCGCCGTGTACAGTTGTACGAAAGGCCAGGAAAAGTTCACACTATCTCGCTCTGGTCCGTGCTCCGCTCAGGTTTGTTCAAGCGTCTCCCGCACCCTTCGGCGCAACCACCCGCAAAAGCTTTCATACAGCACTGCGTCGAATCCGAAGAGCCAGTCCGCGATGATAGCCGCCTCTTGCGGATAATCCGCACCTTCCGTTGTGGTAGAGGTCGTGGGAACGACGGCGATGCGGAAGACTAGCTCTGGGTGTTTGTTGTTGCCGCTGAAGATGCTGCTGCCATTTGCATCTCCATCGCCCATCTCCACGTCTGCGTCTGCTGCACCCGTTCTACGCTGCTGCCGTAAGAGCTTCTCTCGATCACGTGCCCTCCGCGCCTTCCGACTCCAGCAGTCGCCATGCATGCACACCCCGATACCGCTTGTTGAGGCGACGTTCCAACGCCAGGACAGTCCAGACTTTCTCGTAATCTTGCTCGAGGATGCTCCGTCGTATTCGTCATCCTCGTTATCAGAGTCTTCGTCATCGTCGTCAAGGTCCTCGACGACCTCATCCACCAGTCCTCCAAGCAGTTCCACAAAACCCATGGACGCCGCAGCTCTCTTGTCCCCTGACACTGTATAGCTTTTGGGGAGTTTGACGGTCCATGCAGTGCGCGTGCTTGGCGGCCAAAGCCTCCTCTCTAGGCCATGCACAGTAAAGCTCACCGCTTCATTGCCGATGTCCGTCTGCCCTGCAACGGGAGGTTGTGCATATCGCCACCCCTCCCAGCTCCACCCAACAGCCCAGCGCTTCGTTTTGCTGCCTTGCCGGAACTCTGCGACGACGTAGTTCAGCGCCTTGCCCTTGACGTTGTTCTTCTGCTTCTGCTTTCCATCTCCTTCAATGACGCCCGCGCTCAGTTCTCGTAAAATCTCAACAACAGCACTGACAGACGACAGCTTCCCCAATGTGCTCGTCCACCACTGCACCCTCACCCTCCTACCTCCCCTCCTCTGACGATGAAGCAGCGAACTCTCCTCAACAAGCCGTCTCACAAATCCAACCTCCCCCCCATCAGCATACACCATCTCCACGGCCGCACCCGTGCAAGCCGAATTCGGCGGGCGCTTCTTCAGTGCCGCGGAGGTAAGCATTTCTTGCTGCGAGACGTAGAAAGGCGGATTCGTCATCGTGAAGTCGATCTTAATGGGGAAGTCACTCTCGCTCTGGGGTCCAGTCAGGCGGAGGAGCTGGTGGTAGGGGAAGAGGTACTGCCTCTGAGCGCTGCTGCTGGTATTCTCATCGTCCTCCGGAGCATCACCTTCGTCTGAATTACCGGCGATAGGAGGCTGCGTTTCAATAACGGTGCATCGTGCTGCCAGCCCGTTTGTCCTCACGTTGTCACGTGCACACGCCAAACTTTCTGAATCAAGCTCTGTCGCCAGCATCCGCCAGTTCCCGTGCTGGCGGAGTGCGAGCAGTGGATAGATTGCGGAGGCGCCTGTGCCGATGTCGACACCTCTGATATCGTCCTCGTCCTCGTCAACCTCCTCAGCTGACGTGGTGTTGCCGTTGGAAGTGTTGAGGTACTGCGTGGCGGTAAGCGGGCGCGAGGCAGCGAGCAGTCGCTCAAGAAAGAGGATATAGTTGAAGCGATTTGGGATAGGCGGGCACAGACGGTCGGGTGGGAGGTGGAGGTCCAATGCGTGGTTCGTGAGGGCCAGGGCGAGCGTGAGCTGCTTCACGCTCTCCGGATCCGCGAAATCAACCTGCCCGTTCTTCTTCAAGACCTTCGCGAAACCTTCATGCTTGCGTGCTAGCGCTCGGAAATCGATCTCGCCTGGCTGCGTCCGTGACATTGAGGATCCATCTGTAGACACGTTTGCGTCATCATCGTCGTCATCGTCACCGGCTCCATGTACCCTGCTACCGCCGTTGCTGTAGAAGTTTGGAGGGAGAGGGTGGACCAGGGAGCCATCTGCGTTGAGCTCGGGTAGTGTGAATGTGCTGGTTGAAGGTGATGGTGATGCTGCAGGTTGTGCTGTGTGGCGGCTCGATATAGATGCCATCGATACTTTTGCTGGGGGTCGCGACGGCGTTGTGGCCAATGTCGACCCTGTTGTGGCCTTCCTTCTCGAGGCTGTCGATAGCTCAATTCGCGAAGGCGCCATCTTCTCGTGTAGCGGCCCCAGCCACTCTGACCTGACCCTTCACGTCGTCGTTCGCTCCATTAAAGCCAACAAATCGTCACACTACCATCTCTGAAACGTTGACGGCTCTGCTGTGTTCTCACTGCACTAAGATCGCGCCAAGGCTCCGACTTCTGGATGAGCGGTGTCCAGTCTGTCGATGTGCACGTTGCAAGCGGGACAGAAATTCCCAGTGGAAAAGTGAGTCCGAGCAAGAGAGCTTCGGGTCTCAGCTCGGGCAATTCGTAGTGGCTGTGAGGACAGGTGTTGGTGAATTGAGAACAGAAATCAAGCCCAACCTGCGATTGAGGTTCAGGGACAAGTCTTGGCACGCTTTCGCGATCACTCCTGCAATCATTGCCAAAACTTGGACGGCGCACACAATGACCCATTAAGACAAGACTTCAATGGCGTACCATGAAGGCCACACGCAGCTCGAAGGCGAAGCATGATTATGACAGTGGCTTATTCGTAATCTAGGTCTATTCTAATCCGTAACGCAATGCGCGAAGTCGTGTCGTCGTTGTCCCTGCCCATGAAAGCACATACACGGCTCCCAGACGGACCATAGCCTCCATCTTCTGCTTCTTCACCGCAAGTCTGATATCCTTAGACCGCTCCACCACTCATCCCAGCAGCATAAGCAATATACCACGCCCGACTCGCCCCACTATCGATCCATCCACCATCAAACGTCGCTTGCGTAAAGAACTTGTACGAGTCGATCGGATTGATGATCGCCAGATTCGACATCAGCAGTCCCCTCCAACCGCCACTAACATTCTTCGCCGGGTTGAACGAGCTATCACTAAAGTACGCGTCCCATTCTTCCTTGACGAATTTCGTTGAGCGAGTGTATGGCGAGAATGGCATCTGCGGGATCATTTGGATACCCTGGACGTACTCTGGGTTCGTGCCAAAGTAGGTGACATGATCAGCCTTGTTCTCGAACAGGATGCCGGTTACCTTGTTGGCGATGAAATTGGCGGGCTGATTGGCATTGGATGAGTCCATGAGGAAGTAGTTACGCAGAGCACGCGACAGGATGGCCAGCATCAAGTTGCCGCGAGACTCCATAGACTTGTCACCGACGGTCTTGCCCCACATCTTGACTGCATATGCGTACATCGCGTCCTCGGAGGTCGACTCTTCGTCCTTGCCGTCACCAGACTCAAACAAGCCTTTAGCCCAGGAATGGCCATCGTACATGCTGAATGATCGGAAGACTGGGAAGTACTGGTCTTGGGAGCTGGGATTTGAGGTGTCCCGAACCAACGCATTGACCCAGTCTTTGTTTGCAGGTATCCATGAAGGATCGAGATACCCGATGACAGCGGCAGCGTGGATGAAGTAGCCCTGATGGAAGTGGTGGTCGTTATAGTACGAATTCCCATAATCAACATTAGGATCGCCTGTCACGTAGCTTCCTGATGACACTATTCCTTTCCAGTCAAGATCGTAGAACAGGGGATATGGCTGTCTATTTTGGACCCATACGTTGAATGCGGCCTTGAGTTTGACGAGAAGAGCATTTGCGAGGTCTTGTTGGCCAGTCAAATCATGCATAGTGTAGCAGAGAGTGGCGAACTTGCTCATTGCTTTTCCACTCCAGTACATGCTGTCCAGATTGGTCTGCTGCATTACATCCTGCGAAGCTTCCAGAGCAGCAATCGGCTGGATCTTAGCAATCGCACTTGCAGAAAGCTTCTTGAACGTCGCCGGAGCTGGCCGCCACGGAGCGAAGCCCATGGTCTCTGGCAGGACCTCCTGCATCGACCAATAGTCTGCAGAGACGGCTGTAGCAGTGCCTTTCGTGACTGTGTTGAGTTGTAGTGCTGTGACTGCCTTCCTACTCGCAGCAACGAACGACTGGATGTGATGAGGCAAAGCAAACATGAGACATGGTGCGCTCGCAGCGAAAGGACCACTCTTGTCCCACGACAGCGTGTATGTGCCGACCCTATTCTTAGCAAAGCCGCTGATATGCCCAGCCGCAGGATATGCTCCTGTCGAGTTGTCGTATAGAGCCTCGAACTTCTGGTCGGGCACTTTCGCCACTTGTATCATGCCGGACCAGTTGTCAACACCCTGCATAAGAGTGCTCGAGATCAATTGGAAGTTTGGATCAATGCCCGAGTCGGAGATAGCATAGAGCACCCAGACTTTGCCGTCTTCGAGCGTCAGAAGATACTTGTAGACGCCTTGCTTGGGTGATGGCCTAGCCGCAACGCTGCGGAAAAAGACACTGCTTTGAATCCATGGTTTCAGGTTGGTGAAGATGGCTGTGACGAAAGCTGAGCCTTGTGCCATAGGAAACACAATCTCGTTACTTGACCCTTCAAATGGCAGCAGGTGTGCTCTACCAGTCATGAATTGGAGGTCACTTGACTTGAGTACGGTCTGTTGTTTGAGCTCTTTTGCGGAGATGATAAGCGACTGTATGCCGAGCGGATTGATGTAGAAGGAGACAGGCTGGCCGGGAATCTGTGCATTCTGAGGGCCATATGCTCGTTGCTGGGCCTCGATGTGCGAGATGGCCATGCCATAGCTCATCGCATTGCCAGTCCCTTTGCTCCATGTCAGAGTATAGGGTGTCATGAACGCTGGGAAGCCTTGACTGCCTAGGAAGAGATTCGCATAGAACTTGTTGGTCTGGATGGGGCCAGTCATGCCAACAATGCCAAGTCGTGGAACAGGATGTCCAGCCCGCCGACCGATATTCGCAGGTGGCTCACCAATATTGATCGGTGCAAACATATCCTGTCCAGATGTGGCGCAAGCCATTGGAGCGCCACACCTAAAGGCTGAGCTTGCTGATGGAAGATTAAGGGACGTCGGATCAACGGTGACGATTTGAGTCGTGATAGTTGACGTGTTCGTGACCAGAGCGGACAAGGTAGTCTCGACTAGTACCGAGCCAGTCGTCGTTATCGCCGTTGTACCCACAGTTGAGGTCGTCAAGATCGTCCCATTTGACTCGTACGTCGACTCAACAACAGTCACCTGCGTGATGACAGCGGTGGTCTCCACAGGGACAGTGACGACCGTCTGAGTAGTGATGACAGTCTCATACGTGGTCAGCGGAAGCGTGACTGTCTGCGTCTGATACTCAGGAATCGTCGTTACGACAACTTGGCCATCGGTGTTGGTCGGTTGCAGAGTTGGGCTTGCTACCGTCGAAACATTGGTAACGGGCGGGATTGGCGGGTGGCCCTCTGTCTGCAACGAGGTGTTGATCGAACCACTCGTATCAGGTACACTGCCTGTCGCATTGGTTGTCGTCGGTGTCTGAGTGTCGGACAGATCGGTCGAGACGATGGTGTGTAGACTCAGGGACGGATCAACGATAGTGACTGCCGAAGTATATAATGAGTCTGTGGTTGTTCCTTGGGCGGAGACATCTGCAAATTGGCCAGGTGCCGCTGTTAGTTCTGAACCTGTCTTATTGGTACTATTGTCGGCTTCGCAAGGTGTAGGGGCAAGATAGTCAAGCCACTGACGAAGTTGTAGTAACGGAACTGCGCCAGCGAGAAGTGCCTGTGTAATAGTCAGCAAGAGTGTCAGGCGTAATGAATGCATGCCGAGCAAGCGGCTGTGAAATGGGGACGAGCTCGGCACGCCTCAAGCAGTGTGCCAGAGAATTCACGACGATGGAAGGGGATATATGTTGAGGTTCTGCAGGGAGGAGTTCGAGGGGAGGTTTGCTGCTGCAGATCTGATAATCTTGCAACCGCTGGACGACTGGTGTGCTATTCTATGCCAGGGAGAGTGGTTCATCGACGTTCTTTGTCCTTGCGGGTGGGGCGGTCGGGAAATAACAGATTGCTCGTTCGAGCAGCGCACATACCAGAGCAGAGCGAGTAGGGTCCAACGGCGACATGCGGCTACCGCCAAGGAGTCGAGGAATGTGAACAGCTAAGTTTGTAACAATAGGAATGCAACAAGGGGATTGTACGGGAAAGGTTTATAGGATTTGAGAGATCATGTAGAGGAGATGGTGTCGACGAGGCGTGTCGAACGTTTCTCAGATTTGCTTGCAGACATCGTGGTTGCTGTAGTGGGCAAGAGCGTGTCAGCAGGAGCACCTACCTCAGGACGTACCAAAGAGTCGCTCTTGTCGCAAGGAAGGACTCCCAGGCGCCAACACAATACTGGCAAGCACACAACTTCTCGTAGCCGGATGCGCTGTGGCCGGTTTCGTTCAATTTGATGCCGACGTATTGCAACGAAGACTGGAGACCAAAGAGTGTGTCGTGTCGTAATCTGCAAATTGTCTTTTTGGCCGGGGTGGAGCTCTATATCGGATCAGAACGGGTATGGTGTTTGCATTGATCCTTGACGGAGATTGACTACGACACGGCGGACCGAATACCTGAGTGATCGCGGAATACGCCTTCTATCAATGAGGTTGCTATTTGCTACACCATCGGCTTAGCCATCGGCTTAATCACACCCTGCTTAACCAGCACCCTAGGCTTAGTAGCGTCTTGGAACGTGCTCTTAGTCGTCCACTCTGGCCCCAATGGCAGCCGCATCGCTCTCTCATACTGCGACCTCGACTCGTACGGATGCGGCAGCTCAGTAGCCATGTACCTGCCATTCTTCTTGATGCGCTTCTCGTTGATTATGACCTTCTCGAGCTTAGCATCCTTTCGAGCTTCGGGAGCGACACCTTTGATTTTTGTGACGAAGCGTTCTTTGTTTTTCTGTTGAGCTTTCTTGCCGATGCCCACCCCGCCCCAGCTGCCCCAGCCAGGCAGACTGTTGTCGATGGTCTGGTCACCTTCTTCGACGATGAGCTGCTGCTTCTCCTTTGCGAAGTCTTGTGCGACGTCGCTTGGGCCGGCGAACACGGTGTCTCGGACATCGTCTTCGTCGTTTGCGTCGTCTCCAAAGATGTCCGGACCGTCATCATCAGAAGCATCGTCCAAATAGCCATTATTTCGCTGTGCCGTGGACAGTGAGGTAGTCATATGCTGAGTTGAAGTGTTCCGTTGCTTTTTGCTCTCCTGCACTTCAGACTTGGACAACATACGTCCAGAACTGCTCTGATTAGATGTGCTCGCGGCTGATGCCGCATTCGTGGCAGTCTTTCGCAGGTCTGCGGTAGTTGTCTCATCATTTGTGAAGCCATCTAGCTGATCTTCGTCGTCGGACATCAATTCCTCGAATTCTGCGAGGTGAGCCCTCTTGCTCGGCGCCGGACGCTTGCTTGTACTGGCAGAGCTAGCAGATGCTCCGAATCTTTGTCGACCGCCGTCAATCTCTGCATCATCATCAGAATCGTTTGCAATACCTTCGTCGCCGTCACCCAATTCTCTTCGGATAGCTTGCAGCTGCGCGTCATTTGCAGCCTTTCGCCCAGCCTCCGCTTTCTTCATGAATGCCATGTTGGCCAACTTTGAGCTTCCGACCTCAGGCTCGGCCGCTTGAGCGTCCACAAGTCGATTCTGGATATCCTCATCTGCCTCATCAGAGCTGTACGCATCTGACGCCGAGTCTGAGTCATCAGAATCATCGCCTGCCTTCCCTTCGATTCGCTTCCGCAGCTCATTGTCCCGATGAGACATGTCAGCGATACCAACGCGTGCATCGTTGTCCCAGACAGTCTTTCCAGCAGCTTTAGCAGCTCGGGCCCATTTGCTCTCACGATGTCTAGCACCCATGCGCTCTTCAGCACGCTGCCTATCGTTCTTTTCTTTCTCATCATCAGAATTTAGCAGACCATTGACTGCAAGCTGCGCTCTCTTCTCTAAAGCTGCCCTATCACGCTCCTTACGATGAACGCGACGGTACGCCTTGCTCTTGATCTTCTTGATCCTCTTTGCACGTATCTCCTCCCTGAACATCAGATCTCTCGCCATCCGCAGTCTCGCCCGTCGAGCCTGTACCTCTTCCGGCGACAGCTTCTGCTCAGCGAGCTCCTCGTACTCTTGCTCCTCCTTATCCGCCGAAACACCCGGATCGATTCCACTCTCCTCCATGATGTCCCTGATCTTAGACTCCAACCCACTCATTGGCTTCGAGCTACCGACTGGCATGAATCGATCGTTGCGAGATCCGGCTTCGGAGGGATCGACAAGAGGAAATGAAATGTGCTCGGCTCGACGATTCTGTTTGACGGTGTCAACCCACTTGTCGAGTTCCTTTTTGCTCTCTCCGTACGCAGCAACACGGTCCAACTTGTCTTGCTGTCTCTTTGCTAGTGGTGGCGCTAGGCGACCAGGTACTCCGCCTTTGTAGACCTCGGGACCCTTGATCTCGCTGTTCTGTAGGACCTTGAGTGACTGGCGCTGTTGAGGATCTTTGACGTATTGTAGCAGGTCAGCGGCGGAGATCTTAGCAGTCTGGTGTGGCGCCTCATCCTTGCCCTTCTGCGTGTTGGTCTTGCGAGAGAGGTTCTCGACGAAATTCTGCAGGCGGGCGTGGTCGCCGTCCTCGACATCGGAGGCGAAGAGGTCAGACGGATCGGTGGCAGCATCTGACTCGTCGCTGTCATCATCAGAGCCCTCGTCCGAGCTCTCGTCAGCTTCTTCGCTGCCATCCTCTGACTGTTCATCACTGCTGCCCTCCTCACCAAATACAGGCCCATCAACAGTCTTCCGTTTCCGTTTCGTACTTGGAACATCTTGCGGGTCCGCTTCCTCGACACTGTCCTGATCCCAAGCAGCAGCCAGATCAATACCTTCGTCTCCAAAATCATCCGCAATATCGCCAATGGTATCTGGATCATCAAACTCTTCCTCTTCCTCTTCCTCCACCCCGTCCTCCGCCGCCTTCCGCTTCGGTCTTCTTTTCGTCTGCTTTCCTTGTGTACTCCCTCGAAACGAGAAATCGGCAAACCGATCCTCATCACTCTCCCCAAAAGCATCCTCACTGTCAATGTCACTATCCTCGTCCTCCTCATCTACACCTACATGCCACCTCTCGCCTTCCGGATCCGACCCACTATCACTTTCTCGCTCATCCTGCTGTGAGATCTTCCGGCGCTTAGACGACCGCTCGTCTGCATCTTGTCTTGTGTTCGCATCGTCATCGTCCTCATAGGACTCTCCCAAGCGGTGCTGGCGGATTTTGTACGTATCGGGATTTTGTTCTTCGGCGATTTGGAGCGCATTGAGGCCTCTGCCTTTGGTTGGTTTCCGTTTCGGTGGTCGTGCAGGCGCCGTCTGACCGACTGGGCGGCCGTGTGCTTGACGAGGCATGCTGTTCTGCTGGCAGCTTTGCTGCTCGGTGCTACATAGAGAAGTGACCAAGTACTTGATCATTTTCATAAATGCGGTGCAACTTTTTAGTGGGGCTACCGGACATAGATTTCTCCATCACCAACCCGAAAGTACCTCCGACACATGAGCTCGCATCAACTCAACTCATACAGCAGCATCGCAACCGTCCTGCTTCTCGCCTCCGTTCCTCACGATAGTCTCTAACAACACGACTACCCTACCAGGCTTTCTTATACACCGCCCACAATGAAACCCACCCCAACCCTCCTCGGCCGCCGCTCCGCCGGCCAACGCATCCGCTTCACAACCAAAGAAGTCGGCCGCGGCTTCTACCGGGGCACGCGCACCGGCAGCATGGGCGCCCACACCCCTCACGGCGGCTACCTGATCGACTGGCGCAAGGTCCGCCACTTCAACGTCCCCGACCTAAAAGGCTTTACGCTCACGCCCTACGTCTCCAAAGAAATCGAGGTTCCGGAGAAGAAATACACTAAGCGGATCAACGACGGCATGAGTTATCTGCGGTTGTGGCGGGAGAGGAATGAGACGGAGTATGAGTGGATTAGGAACCATCAGTTGGGGGTTGTGAGTGAGGAGGAGGCGGAGGCGAGGAGGATCGAGGAGGCCAACGCAGCAGCCAGCAACGAGGCGGCAAGCAGCCAAGAAGGCGGACAGAAGGAGATGAGCAGGGCTTGAAGCAGGAAGACGAGTAGAAGAGCAGGTTTCGCTTTTCTCTACAGGAAATGCCCTATTTACGGCTGCGACTGCGCGGTCCCTGATGGCAGGACCTGAGTCTCCAGAACCATCGAAGCTCGCTATGGGGCACTGCCTCGGCGCTCGATCCAACCACCAAGTCAAAGTGACCATGGCACCACGGCTTCTCGTTGTCTCAATCCAGCTTGGTGAGCCATGCTTTTGCGGCGAGCAAGCGTGGCTATGGTCGCTGGGTCTGGAAGACAATGAGTTCACGTTCCCCGAACACGAAATCCTCCGAAGCGGCTGCGCAAACCTTGCTCGTTGCCTATGGAGACAGTGTCCGCGGTTGACCAGACACCAAGACTCCCAGGCAATCATACGGGCACATGTTGACATGAAGGACAATATGCACGGATGGCCGCGCTGAGCTACGAGTCTCAACTCGCAGCCTGTCCACTGTCAGTATTCCCCTGGATCACAAGATGCGGCTCCTCAGCGGGGATTCACATATCCGGGCATCGCGGGCCGTGCAGCTGGCGGGAACAAGGCATCACTCCAGGCAATGAAGAATAAGATAGGTGGAACGTTGAATGCGCCGAGCTCGATCATCGGAGACGGTGAGATAAAATGGGAGCAGAGATGTGCAAGAGCCGAGGGCTCCTCTAGCGTGGTGCTGCAGTAGATATAGACGACAGCGAGAGACATAGCTTGAAGCCTTCTCTCAACGAGAATGTGACGCTAAGAATTATGCATTCTATCTAAGGCGGCGTCTGCTATCGCGTGTCTATCTAGTAGCTCTACGGAGGTTTCGTAGATCGTATCGTCATTGCAACGTGGAGTAAATGAGCGAGGCTCATCTAGTAGATGCTCAGATCATTCGCCCGAGCCCTGACTTCAGTCGTGCTCGGTCCAAGCAAATGCATCATCCAGTGCTGCCATGCCTATGGCTTGGTGTGTGTCACCATGACGCCTCGCTGATGTGTCCTTCAAGCTTGCCTGATTGGAGCGGGCCGTAGCACTGATTGTATTTTACTGCCAGTTTCATCCCGTTCCGTCGATATGCTGATTGCGGTAGATGTCCTTATTCTGACTTTATGTAGAGCAGCACATCTATTCCTTCCTCGCCACCTGCACCTACCTGTTGATCACCATTGAAGTCTTCACGAATGTGGCTGCTGACCTGCACCACACGTTTCGGCACCGCCACCACTTCCTCGAACATAACATTATACGCCCAGCACAGCGCTTTTGGTTTGAGCCATTGCTTGGGGATCCCTCCTTGCTGCTGCCCATCTAACAAGTGCTCCTCGGCGGCTTTCATTAAGGCCAGCAACGCCACTGGCGGCTGCTCTCCAATACTCCACGGCCCATCAGCACTGGGGACATACGCCCACGTCTCATCGTCGTCAGTGGGGTACCACGCCGTCACCTGCTCCAGCCAGCTCGCTAGGCGCTTGTCAACCTTCAACCCGCGCGTGTATGTGTGGTGGGCGGCGGAGATACATAAAGCCATGCGGATTTGTTGTGTTGCTCTGAGTTGGTCTGTGGTGGGAGCGTCGAAGGTAGAGCTGAGAGCCAAATGACGGATTGCACTCGCCTCGATGTCCTTCAGGAGGCCGCTGAGGGTTGTTTGAGCTGCGGGCGGAAGCATAGCTACAAGCTTTGGGAGAGTAAAGAGCTCTTCGTGGCGGGTGATCTTGGGCAAGCGATTGAAGAGATCCATGATGTTCGTCGTAGCTCGGGCAGCGTATTCCTTACCGAATGCATGGACGAGCTTTGTTGCTGAGGCGGCCTCCAAATGGCTTTGGCATGCTTGTGCTAGGATGACTTTTCCCAGAAGCAGCGCATCCTCATAGTGTCCGATCTGCTGATCACGCAGCCGATTGGCATTCAATTGCTTCGAACTCGTCGGCGCCTCCTTCGGACGAGTCGATATCAGCCTCTTCCGTCCAGTCTCGCAGTGCATGATGATCTGACCGAGGACGCCCAACAGGTTGCGGAAGTCTTGAAACTTATGCTCTCGTGCTAAGCAGGTGCTCATGAGTGTAGCCTCTTCAGCGAGCATAGCCGAGCTCTCGCGTTCGTTGGCAGTCAACACCGAGATCGTGTCGAGTAGGTCGTAGTCAAACAGGACAGCCTCTAGACAAGTCGCGGAAGCAGCCTTGACGTGGCCGATGTTGAGGATATAGAGCTTGTGCTCCGCGTTTGAGCGCATGTCGACCTGGAACTTCCTTGTGACGTCTAGTAGCGTACCAGGGGGCACCTGAATGGACAAGGCGACATGCTGGAACGATCGATTCTCCGAGATGAAGCCATAAGATAGCAGCAGACTCTCATTGTCTTTCGGTCCGTAGTTATTGTAGATTTGCTCTCCTGCTTGGTAGGTATCGTGCACCTGTAGACCCACGAAGCTTGTTCGTGGCTGCCAGTCGACCTTGGTCTTTGGCTTATGATTGTGCATGTCCATTAGTGGTAGCAGAACGGAGAACCTGTCAGCCCATAGCTTTCTGATGGCTGAGTCTTTGGTGATTCGTAGGCGTGCATCTTCTGCTGGCGCCGTGTCGGCCAGCACTGCTGACGAGAAGCCTCGACTTCCAAACATGCTTGCTGCCCATCTGAAGAGTTCCCAGGTGTATGAGAAGCACTTATCCTGTCTCCAGTCGTTCGCTTTGAGATCAATCAGCCCCTTGTCGTAGTAACCTCGCCATCTTGCCATCAGCTCGCGGTATCCAACCTCGAGATTTGTGCCACGGATGAATGCTGCATCAGCAGGCGAGTCGAATTGAAGCTGATTGACGTCGTTCACCGTTGGCAATGTCTTGATGTACGGAGCCCACCAGGACTGGTCGCCCAGAACATGCTGTTCCATAAGGAAGAACGTCTGCAGTAACTCCGGAGATTCGAGATTGGCTCTGATGAACTTCTCCGGGAACCTGGTGCCTCTATTTGGGAACGGTGTGGTGTTGAAGACGTTCATGACCGACATTGTGCAAGCCATTGGGCAGCTAGAGACTCTCGTTCCTGGCGTGACTGTCTTGCCATTGCCGGCGACGATGTGGTAGCCACTGTCTTTGCTATAGGCAAAGTCGATATCTGGATGCATGTAGCCCCCGTTCGTGACAACCCATTCAGCCAGCTTCCGGTGGCCATCGAAGCCGCCATTGACAGGAATCTGGTCAGCCATTTTGTGGCGATTGGTCGAGCCTCGCAGAAATGGCGTCGAAGTGTTGGGCTTTCCGTCGTTGAAATGTGTTTATCATAAGTCATCGACAGATATCGTCGAAAGCTGCGATTCCTGTCAGAGTCCGCCTGAATCCCGAGCAAGAATAGTGCTCACTGTGAAGTGGCTCAGCAGAGAACACTGTTTGAGATTCTGAAATGAAAGAGCCAACGACAGGTCCAGTGGACTCGCCTGGTGTGCATCATTCTTGGTGCTGTTGCAAGAGCAGGAGCACTCCATGCTGTCCCTTACGAACGCCTCAACATCTGCGGCGCTACAGAGGTCCCCTGTACAGTATCATCGTTCTCAATATAAGGTGTAGGCTTTAGAGAAAGCTTCACCGTATAGTGTAGGCGAGAAAGGGGAAATGGAACCACAATGCAGGCACGGCTCTTCAAGTTTTTGGGCGTCGGATGTCTTGGCACAAAAATATACAAAGTCTTTCTCAGATATTAGCCTTGTCTACTTATACATTCTCTGAAACAAAGACTCTGCTGCGTTTTACTTCTTGCTGACCACCGTCCCGCCTTCGAATGAATGAGACCTTCTCTTTGCCTGGGAAGAATTTTGCTTCTGACTTGAACAAGTCTGGCGCGCAGCTGGCCGAGTCCGGACTGACCATGCTGCATCAACATTACTCGCAGACTGCAACACCATACGTGACAGCTTGATTGCACCGGCCCCTGAAGAATGTTCTCAAGTCAATCTGTGCCATCAAATCCAGTCATTCGCGCACCCATTCCACATAGCACTCTCCACCACAGAGCCGACCTTCCAGCATCCGGAGAAGTTTTGTACGTGAGCCCTCGATATCATTTCGGTCGCCCTCGAACATCCACGGGAACTTCGTCACAATCGTGTTGGTGTCTCTCGCATTGAATCCGCAATTCCTTGCATCTTCTTCCGCTCGCAACTCTTGGAAGAACTCGTCAAACCAGTCGGCCCACGGCGAGCAGAGGTCCGCGGCGACGATTAGTCGATACATTCGTGGATCGTAGCGATATATCGACTCCCGCAGGTCTCGTGGAACTGGCAAATACGTTGTCACTGTTGAAGACAGCTCTTGGGTTATGCTCGCTTCGTGGCGTAGCTGGACAACATGTACCGAGTAGTCGAATAACGACACCACTGTTGCGTGACGATTGATCTGGCAAAGAAGGGAGCCCACGGTGCGAAGTGTTTGTCTGATACTGACGTAGTGTAGCGAGCCTGGATCCATGATATTCGATACCTCGATCCGGTCGAAACGTTTGGGCCCATATTCGGTCAGATGATCCGCCAAATCGGACACCCTGGAACACGTAGCATCAAACGAGATTTTGCTCTGGCGACATCGATTGCGGAATTTCTGGAGCTGGTCTCGGAGGACGACATAGCTCTGGCCATATTCGTCGTTTGGTGGAACGGGGCAACCCTCTACGATGTACTGCACAATTTCGTCAAAGGAGTAGCCCTCCCGAGGGTCGGCGCTGTCCATGGCGCTCCACGTTCCATCTTCACGGAACAGTGTCCTTGCGGTATTGTCAGCTCCATTGAAGCACAGATGTACACATGGAGACTTACGGGTTTGGGCACACATACTCAAACTGGCTGCTACCAAATGGCAGGAGAACTCCAGTCTGGCGAAACTTGTGTACGGCAGCCTTTGATGCGCCCGGCTGGTAACATAAAGCGCGTTGGAAGTCATCCTTGTGGGCGAGCACTACTCGATTGCGGTGTGCTGTCGCAGTCTCAGTCACGATCTCCAGACGAGCTTTCGTAATGCACGCTTCCAGTCAGCACCACTCAAGACGATGCGTAGGGAGCACCCCTCATCACCGAACCACATGGTCTTCTGGTGCTTGCTGATGTCGGTATATCCTCTCGTTGCGTCGACAGCAGGTTGGATGCGCGGCAGCACGAGGCGTTTGATTAGATCTCGGTGCTTCGGTGTGAGGAACGCAGAGTACCACACGTGTATCATACAATCCAACACGTCCCCAACATCCTCGGTATCCTCAGGGTCGGTCAATGCGAGTATGAGCAATGTGATGTTGCGAGTGACGACATCGATGTCCCAATGGTTGATATGGATATTGACAATGTTGTTAAATGATGCTGGAAGGGCGTTGACCGTGTGCACAATGTTGCGGATGTCGCCAGCAGCTTCCAAGAGTCAACACACAGGAGTCCAGACGGAGGAAGGGGGCACTCACCAGCGAAGCTGACAGCCAGACGCCTGGCATAGTCTGCTCCCTCATTCTCACTCAGGCTCAACACATCGAGGGCAGGAACATGCTTCAATTCGCGGCCGTGGAATACTGGCTCTCTGTTCTCCTTCACCCACTCTGGACGCCACTGATCGCTGGCAAGTTCGGATTTGCAGTCTTTCTCGTGCTCTGGGAGATGGCTCAAGCGACATTCTTGAGAGCACCACTTGGCTTGATTAGCTTGGGCCTGCACGCCAGGAGTCGGAGGATCTCACCTGCACTAGATGGCACTCAGTACAGAGAAGGCCCGCCCTACCTCGACAGTTTCTTTCCACGCCGTCCTCCTCGACAATAGCAGCACATGGTACTCTTGATCGCTCCATATCGGCCGCGGCTGCGTTTGCGGAAGCCATCGCTGTCGATGAGGACTGAAGCACTGCTCACGCAAACGCAAGGACTCTGATACCATCATACTTATCTGCTGTGTTGTGTTTGCTGTTCTGAAAGACCCATTGTGATCGCGAGCAAAGGACTTACGCAGTGCTGCTGCTAGCATCTTCTCCATAGCTAGCCGCGACACAACATTGGTATTGTCCCAGACAGTACCCTTTGTGTAGGTGAACAGACAGTCAAGAGTCGCGGCTTCCAGCTCTTTCCCGGATGTTTGCTCACCGTCTGAACGCCGCTGATGGCAAAGTCTGTCGAAGGGCGAAGGTGTTTCCGGCTGGGTGACAAGCTCGGACTGAGTATGAAATTTATGGTACGGGCAGCAATATGCACGGAAGAGTGAGCTCAATGCAGCCATTCGTTGAAGACATTGTCCGATGAAGCCGAAGCTGTGCGAAATCTTATCCGAAGTAGAACTCAGGGCAATCAGAAACGACGTCGAGAAGGCAGTCATGCAGTGGCCAAGCTCTTTCCACGAATGAAAGAAGCTTACGTGAAGGTGTTCGACATCATTGCTGGGCTACCCAGAAGCATTATCTCATGCTTAGTGAATTCTGCTCTCAATACTTTGCACGCGCAGCTCGGCTGCGCCGACCATAGATATTCAGATCTTGGACTTCGGACAGTTCCTCGAGGCGTCGCTCCCATGCTGAGCAATGACCTCCGCCATGACACCAACGCTCGTCTCATATGGAAGACAGCCAATCTTTGCGTCCTCCTCCAACGTTTTCGAGGCCTCCTCCGCGTCTTTCCAAGACCCACCCATCTTCTTGACACGATCGCGGTATTGCTTGTATCGGCCATCATCCGCAGCGGCAAGCTGCACCAGCGCAAACATGAGCGTATAATTCCACGACTGGTATTCGTACATGTTAGCCATCGCGTCACTAACGCCAATCAGTTCGTCCAGAGCCTCAATCTTGTAACGCAGTTGTAGTTTGCGAAGAAGCGACAGACAGATTGCTTCCAAGCGGAGCCAGTCGAAGCCATCAGCGAAATGTTTGTATTCAAGCCGTAGACGCGCTGCCGCGGCGTCGAGGAGCTGCACGGCATCAGCGGTTCTGTGGCGCCGCGCTTGCTGCTCCAGAAATGGCTGATTCTGTAGAACAATATCTGTGTCAGAGATCACCTCGACGTCGACGTTGGGGTCCTTCACCAGTGCACGCATGACGATGTCGAGCTGTCCACGAATGTCACTGATACCGAGTCCGCGCTCATCTTCGTCAACTCTCGCAGCCATAATGCAGAAAGGAACGGCTCGCGGCTCGAACAGCCCCTTAGGCTCCTTCTTCTGCCGAGGCATGTAGCGTCTACCAGTGTAGACATCACCAAGTGGAACATCCAGGTTCACTGTCAGACGACATACGCTGAGACACTGTTCAAGGGTTCGTGGTCGGTCACCCAGAAACACAATCTTCGTACCGATCGCCTCAATCACGTACTCCATGTCATGCCATACATCTTTGAAATCTCCACGCTGCAGTGCTGCATTGTAAAAATGTAGACAGGCCCGGATGACGAAGGAGCCATCAACCTGCTTGATTATACGGTGCAGCCGATCTTGCTGAAGTCGGAAAGACAGGGAGCCACAGGCGAGAGGGCTTTGTGACAAAAAGCTTCGAATCTTCTTCTGAACGGCAAGAGAGCCATGGAGTCCGGCCTGCGGGTCTTGGTGAATCTCGACTTGCCCTTGCCTCCTGTTTGATCGCAGATTGCGTGTGAGCTCGACGTACTCCAGGGAATATAGGCGGTGACCATTCATCTCTTTGTGATCTTGAAGGTGATTCATGTGAGCCCTCTGGGCGTATACGGTCATTTCTGTGATTTCGGCCGCTTCGGCAGCTTTGTCAACCGCTTCCAGACAAGGCGCAGAGGGGATATCGAGCTTTCGAATGTCGGCGAAGGCAGCGACGGCAAACGCTGTAGCCAGTCTTGGTCTGTTGGAACGTACAGCGTAGCGAAGCTCCCCAAGCACGAGGTCTTCATGTACCGTATGACAACAGTATTTGTCGTTGCAGTATGATAGGCCGTCTTTGAATATCGCATCCAGATCCGCGACCATGTCCACGTCATGCATTGGTGGACTTGAGGCTACCTGAAGGGTCGAGACAGATCGTGGTACGAGCATTCTGTGTGTATGGTCTCTGCCGGTCAAGGTCAATGGGGGAGCCTGTATTTGAACGTTTTTGCGGTCAAGAAACACCTCCTCGCTGTCGATGAGATCGCACGTAATATCGCCGTGTCGGATTTTCTCCCCAAAATCTTGGAGCTTCATCTTCGCATCAGGTGTAAGATCGTGCTGGAAGATACGTGCACGTGCTTTCCACACTAATCCGTAGGCCACATCGTACCATTTCGGCAAGTCGAAAGTCGAAGCGACGTTGGCGTTCTCGGAAGTCGTCTGTGACGCTAGTGGTTTTGAGTGATCGACCCCGTGTAACCAATGGGGAAGATGGTCTTCAAAGACAAGCTGCAAGACCAAAGATCCATCGATGTCCATTGATTGCCTGAACCCATCCTCTAGCTGGCGTACCATTCTATCGCAAGGTTTGTGGAAGCAGCGACGATAGAAAGCGGCAGACTACCATCTTTATAGGCATCCCACTTCCGACGGAGTGCTTCCTGCAGGCGTCCAACTTCTAGCAACAGACAATTAGCCGCGCAGACTCTTCGATAGCTTTGCCTGATCTTCGGAGGCAGCTGATTGTCGTCGCTGAAGGGGTCCACAGCCTGGTTGCTTCAGTCTGAGGTTCGACTTTGCCGGACCCTCCGAGGGGACTCGGACTTGAGTTGTCTGAGGATGCGAGAGCTCGCTGATCGACTTGACCTGGGTCTTTGATGAGATCCGTACTTCTTTCACGGGAAACTGCGAGACCTCGCGGTTCGACCTCACTGGAGTCTTTGATGGGATTTGTGCTTCTGTCATCCGAGACTGTGAGAGACTCAAATTTGTTCTTGAAGAACTCGATCTCGTCTCCTTCTTCGTTGTTGACTTCTGCTGGGTTGTCGACGACCTCGCGGAAAGGTGAGAGGGTGGCAAGAGTCTGCTCTAGGATACGTACAAAGGCGAGGTGGGACTCATTGGATCTGACAGTCTCTGGATCAGTGCTATGCGAGAACCAAGAGCAGCACACACGTCGGAAGCGAATGACTGTGCTGATAGCATCGATGATTGGTGCTGGAACGAGTGCTTTTCCGGAATCTCGCACAATATCATGTGCAAGCGGCAGGTACTGGCTTGGCCGCAGACAAATAGCTCCGTCGAGAGGGTTGTCGTTCGTTCTCTCATTCGGCTTCGGCTGCGAGGATCCTAAGAAGATGCCAGTGCTTTTCCGCGCCTTGCGAGACGCATTGTTCACAAGCCATTCGCGGACAATTCGGAGCCTGCGCTTGTGCCTGGTGTAAATGCTGTGCTGCTCGGGACTAAGCCTAACTGGCTCTGTCACAGCGTTAGCCATTGTGCGTGGTGCCATAGCTGCTCACAGGCAATGTCTCTGTCAACGGCATGGAATATAATGCGAATGTCTTACATGAACTCGGAAGTGACTGAGCCAGAGGACTGGCAAAGCAGGCAGCCTTGCGCACGGCTATTGCCGGTAGTGCAGGGCAGTACTCTAGATATATAGGAACGTCAGTTGAACAGGTGAGGATCTAGCTCATTGTAGCCAGGCCAGAATCGTCACTTGGTCTAAGGAAGCTGCACATATTGGGGATGCTCCAGCTGCTGAGCCCATGCTGCAGATCTCCATACAAGGCGATGGAGAGCAGAAGTCACAGACAAGCACGTAACATGTACGAGAGACCATATATCGATTCGAAGCTCAGTTGCTTGGCGGACGAATGTGCCTCAAACATGCTGCATTGGCTGCTTGAGTTGTCCTGATTATCAGTATAACTTGATGACAACCTTCTCCATTTCGTTCACGGCGGAGGCATAGTTGTCACGAGCTCGGACCATTAACGGCATTCCTGGAGTGAATCCGTGTGCCAGGCACAACATCGAGAACGCGTGTCCTTGCCGCACGATAGGATCAGGTTCGATCATCGACAGGCCTCGGCAGATACAGACCACCAGGCCGTCCAAAGTGCTGTTCGCAAGTGCCCAGGTATCTGGGAGAGCAATTGTTTGAGGTAACAATGAAGTAGCAAGCCGATGAGCTTGTCGTTGCCTTGTTCTCGTTCCTACAAGGGATCTAGTCTTTTTCAGGCTTAGCTTCAGGCTCTTCCCATCCTCCAGTCCTCCATCTTCACATCCTTCCATCTCTTACAACTTGCCCGTTCGGTCTGCGAAATCGCCTGTGATGACCCGATCTTGGCCCAGCGAAGCTCATGTAGCATTCATTGCCTTGCTACACCATCCATGGAAAGGAATCTGAAAGCGGCTGTCGACCTCGAGCTCGTCTAATCTTGCTGAGTTCACTCCGTTGCGCTCACTTGCAGCAACCATGATTAATTTGCCAGGGCTTGACGGCGCAAGCCGGCTTGGCAAGGGCTACGTCGAGTTATAAATATGATACATGCTCTGCCTGCACGTCAGACCTTCTTTTGTTGTGAGCACTGAGCAGGAGGCAAGCTAGAGTGTCACATTGTCAAATAATGAGTAGCACAATGTCTGTGACTCCAGCACAGCACTCTGAACCAAGTACCACTGCTTCTTCACCACTCACTCCACCAACACTTCTCACTCTCCCGCCAGAGATTCTGAATATGGTCTACGCGCTTTGCATGAAGGACCTCATCGTCGATCTTCACCGTCACGATGTCACCAACGAACTTCACATCGCTCATAGTCAACTCCGCCACATCCCTTACGGCCTACCGGGCGTCAACAAAAAGCTGCGCAAGGACTTTCTCAAACTACTGGCCAAGTCGATGCCACTGCACATTGAGAAGCCTTCTCTCCTGGTAATGCGCAACTACATCGATCCTATCATACCCAAGCGCTACGCCGACAAGCTTCAGACGCTGATCATCAGCTGCTCCGCGAAGCTCCCAGTACAGACCGTCCGGATCGCATTGTTCCCAAATCTGAAGACTCTTCTGTTCAGTTCAACCTCAACGGCGCCCCTTCGACAGTTCCTGGACGCGGAAGTAAAGAACATCACCCAGGGATGGACCAAAGCGCATATCAACGTAAACTGTACCGAACGCGTCACAGACTATATGCGAGACCGTGCGGACTTCCTTCTCGACCAGCTCCAAGTTCATCGTGCACTGCATCCTGCATGCCTCGTCAAGCACGACATGCAATTTGACACCTTCGAGGCAACTGTCCTTTCACCCCGGAAATATTTAAAAGCGCCCACGTTCACGGCCACCATCACACGAAGCGCAGGCGGGGATTGGGGGACCGCGACGATCGAGTATAGCAAGGCTTTTGAGACTTGGGATACGATGATAGCCAGCGGCGAGAAAGGTGCTGTGTGGGGCTGGCTCATTGACTGAATGAGCTCAGGTACTTCTTGTTTTTCCTCTCTCTTCCTCTGCTCTAACTCAACGGCCAGGCCAAATCACCCCCATCGATTCACATTCGTACATCATCTCAAAGACTCTACGACTTGAGAACAATTTGGATCCGAGACTTCAGCAAGCCTGCGCACAGGCCGAGATAGCTCGAATCAGTCTTATCATGCGCTTCGGGCGTGATTGTAGCCGGCTTCAAGTGTTCTCATCTCGAGCTCAGCGGTGTTTGGTACCGACATGGATTTCGCATCGTTGCAGGATCAAACGTCTCGACTTTCACGCTCCCTGTAGCCGGTTCTACAATGGCGTGGACCTTAGAGATAACGTGAGCGTCTGTTGAGGGCATGAGCTTACCCCATATGCTCACAGTACGGTATGGAAAGGGTCGGGTGGGATTCAAGGCACGCGGCAGATAGAGCACCCTGCACGAAATGTGTGCCTGGTACCTGTCCTGTGCAAAACACCGAACAGCAAGCCTACCCAAGTATCCTGTCTCGTGTTCCCAAAATAGCTTCCAAACTAATTCACCGAAGTTATATTCCTGCCTCCGGATCTTCAATGTGCCCTGTTGTACCTTTGACAAATTCGCATCCTACCCCCATAGTCGACCTACAGATCCCGCCCAACTGCTCTCAATCTGTCCTCCCAGATTCATCACTTGACAAGTCCACCCTATCAAGATCCTCCCTCCTCCCCATTCTCCGGACTCAACGCCCTAATCATCCGCTTCAGCTCCTGCACCTCCTTCTTCAACTCCCTAATCTCCACCACATCAACATCAACCTCAACATCCGGCTTCGTCTCATCAACCTTCTTCTCCCACTCCTCCTTACCCTGATCGGCCTCAAACTCCTGCTCCATCTGCTCCCACTCCTCAACCTCATCATCATCCTCCTCGCCCCTCTTCCGATTATACTTGACCTTCCTCGCCTCATGCTGCTCATAGAAAGCCGTCAACAACAACATCGGGCTATAAATCACCCCCATCACATAGTGATTCAGCCTCTCATACGTATGATCATCCATCCACCACTCAAACGGAATAATCAACCCAAAGATCTCAAGCAGATTGAACGGCGCAATGAACACATTCTCATCCGGCGCACGCACGAATTGCATGGTCTTGGCGGCGAATAAAGCCATGTACTCGTCGTCGGCGTTGCCGGTGATGTCCTCGTATGCGGAGTTGTAGAGAGCGATGAGGACGTTGAGAAGGATGACCATGACGACAAAGGTGAAGATGTAGTAGAGGATGAGGCCGAAGGGGTGGGCGTAGTCATCGAAGCCGTCGAATTCGGGGGACTGCATGACGCTATTGGCCATGGCTTGGATGATGAATGTCGAGATGGAGGCGTTGCCTTCGATTTGGTTGAGGCCGATGAATGCCTGGAGCAAGAGCGTCAGCATCAAAGAAGTCGAACGACCCTACTGGGGGAAAATTCTGGACGAGGACATACCTGCAAAAAACCAACACAAACCACAACCAACAACGCAAAAAAGATAAAACTCTCCCTCATCATCACCTTCAACACCACCAACATAGCCCCAAAAAACTTAAACGTATCCAAATACAACAACAATCTCCCCCAAAACATCGGCGCGAGAACGCAAAAATATGATACCCCAACTTATTCAACTCAACCCTCCTCCCATCATCCTCATCATCACTCGTCGCAATCGCCATCATCCTAATGACAAAACTCGCCGTCAACAACCCATACAGAATACTATTAAACGCATTCCAAAAGCTGAAATAATACCACCCGACCTTCCAAAACTTCGCAAACTCATCAAAGATAAACCCCGCCGTCATCAGATACAATATCCCCTCGACCACATCGAGATCCCCATCCTCATTAATCGTATTGATCGCGCCCGTATACAGCCCCAAGTAGATCACACTGATCGCAATCTGCACTGCATTCTGGTAGATCGGCGCCCTCATCCGATCCGGATCCAAATGATCCCAATACCGTGTATTATCCCTCGCCTTGAACGGCACGAACGTCCCCGCATTCTTATCGTCCTGCTGCAACCACCCCCTCCACAGGTACTTGACACACTTCTGATACCCCGAACTCCCCGTGACTTCCAGCGCATGCAGATCCACCGCGCGCTCAATCACGTTCGCCGGCTCCGTCTCCTGCCCATCCTTGACAATCGAGAACCTCTTCAACAGCACATCCTGCAGCAGAAAATCCTGATCCTCCTCCGCCTCAATGATCCGCTTCGCAATCACCTCCGCCGCCGTCGCCCTTACCCCATGCAGATCCGCATCCCATAGCTCCAGCAACGCTTGGCGCTTGAACCACCGCTTGCACACCAACAATCCATACACCACACACGCCCTGTACTCGTCACCTCCAGCGGATTTGGCGGTTGCAATGACTTTCTTCGTAATGATGGGCGAGTTGGCGGCCGTAACCTTATCCTCGGGGAGCTCGATGGGTATTACCTGTTCGATCTGGTACTTGAGGCGGAGCGCGACGCGGGTGACTTCCTTGGCGGGGTAGGCGGAGGGTCCGACGTCGCGGGAGTGTGCTGGCAGGAGGCGTTCGAGCTCGCCGCTGCGGTGGTGGCCGTGGCGGTCTTTGGCCCAGCCGGGGATGAGTTGGGACCACTTCATGGTTGGGAGTGGATGGTGATTGTGAGCACTTGGTCGGTCCAGTAAGCGGGCGGTTTCTGCTGTGGTCTCTAGAGGATATGAGAATATATATATTCAATTGACAGACTCCAAAGCATATTCGAAATTTTCTTTGGCAAGAGGTCGTGTGCTACACAAGATCTATGAATGTGTGGAACATCTCAGCTCAGATTGAGAGCTCTGTTCGTGTTTTTGCTCGTCACTAGCACTATCTAGCTGTGCCATGCCTTGATTTTAAGCTATGGATCCACTTCTAGCCGAAATCTGACTAGTCGATTAGGGTTGCGGGCAGGCGCGACGACCTCATTGAACTTTTTGAAGAGACGTCTCTTCATGATCATCGTGATCCCAATGTCGACTCCTGTGCCGCCTGCTCATGAGGAGGTCGACAGCGCCGCAGATCCAGACCGCGACTCTTTCATCTCCTAGATGCGCATGTTTCAGACCTCAGGGCCATCGTCGCTCTCGCTAAGATCCTCGTCACCACTGACCTCCTCGTTCTCACGCGCTCTCTTGTCCATCAGAGCCTGCAACTCGGCATCGTCGTGTTCTGTGACTGCCTTGGGCGCCATCTTCACCTTGCACTCACCGCCAGCGCCAGCAATGCTCTCGGTGATATCCTTGATCGCCTGCTCCAAAAGCTGGATTCCCACCTGCTTATCCAGGCATTGACTCGTCAACACATAGTGTGGAGGCGACACAAGCTTGACCTTGACCTCTGCGTCTTCCCGATTGTTGGCCTCAGCTTTCCGTAGAGCATCCTTGACCGCGTCAATGCCCTCATAACGGAAGCACGTGACATCGACATCGGCTCGGACTTTTGTGGGATGCGGCGTCAACTTCTTGCCGATGTATGACTGGAACTCCTCCTTGACGACTTGGCTGGGGAATACCACGTCGTTCCAGACGTCGGGATTTGTGATGGAGAGTTTGAAGGCATCGTTGGCGTGACCGTATCTTTTGTTCAGTGGCCAGCCGATGTCCTCGTACAATTTGAGGATGGGTGTGTTCGTCTTGCCTGCAACGTGTCGCATGATCGAGTGTACTGACTTGCTCTTGTTGTATCGCTCTTCGCAGCGGACAATATCCTCTGGCGACACTCTACGTTTCGACAGATCAATATAGCCTTTGTCCTTGTCCACTCTCAGCACCACAACGACTTCGTTCCTGCCGATCCGGATGAGTTTTTGTATACTTCTAATACGCCGTCTGGACAGTTCTGAGAGGAGAATCATGCCGTCGATGTTATCGTATTCGAGGAGTTTGACGTAGGCACCCATTTCTGCGATCTGTTCGCAAGGTCAGCCTCATGTGTGACTGGCATGCCAGTATATTTTCTAGCGCACAACTGACCTGCTTGACGTTGACCATCACAAAGCTCTCAATCTCGGGATATTTCTCTTCGTAGAACCGACAATTTGTCAGTGAATCTGCTTCGGACGCCATGATTGCGGTGGGGACCCGAAGGCCGTCTCAATTGCGATTTAACGCAGGCGTTAACGACTGAGTTTGATGCGATGAATACAATGTACAGTAGATAGCAATTAATTGTTCGTGGGGATACTGGTCGACAATTGCAAGATGTTATTTATGAGGCTGAAATGTTGCGGGTCGCACTCACTGACTCAAATATTTCGCCAAGTCCAACTTTTTGGGGCAACTGCCCCTCGTGCCTTCCAAAAAGTTCGCTACGGCGGGCGACGTGGCCTGCCGATGTCAGGAAGTAGATCACGCCGGTTGACAGCGACACCAGGTTCTCCGGCTCCAGGTCTTACGAAACTCGTCCATCTCCGCATGACTATTTCCAGCTTCATCATTGGTACATGGCCGCGGTGTATTTTTGTTCTGCCAGTGGGCCGTTGAAGAACCATTGATTCTGCAATGTACTGCTGCCGCTGATATGGTAGCGCTTGGTGACCGCCGGTGATGGACTCACCTTGAGGCAACGCTGCTTAGCGCAAGCAACATGTCGAACTCTTCGCCGAATTCTCCTCCGAGGAGCCCTCCGACGTCCCCTCGTCGCCCGGCCGCCTTTCGACACACAACCACGCCCACGAACCCGAGCCGACTGCGCAATGCGACCGCAATATCTCCGGAAGAAATCACCAAGTCAAATGCTCAGCACGATGGGCACGAGTCAGATATCGAGAGCCCGTCACACTCCCCGCTACTCGATGGCGTTGGCCAGTTGACGGCCGAGCCAGACCGCGTTGCTAGTAGAGATCTGGAACCAGAATCGGAGCTGAACAATCCAACAGAGACGACCGGGCTACTGGACAGCTTTCAGCACAACCACCACAGCCGCGTTTGTGGTCTGCGGAATTGGAACCATGGCACATTCTCTCCGCGGGCAGGATCTGTACACAGTCGACAAAGTAGCTTCGACAGTTCATACGCCTATAATGCCGAGACCTCAAGCCTCTATGGAGCTACAAACTACATCAGAGGCATATTTGGCTCGTCGGGCAACGAAAATGGTACGAAGAGCTTGTCCACAACGGAACGACTCGCTCGAGCACACGGCATCCGGAGCAAGAAGTACATGTACTTCTCATACTACGTCCCCTTCGTCAAATGGATTACGCAGTACCAGTGGGCTTGGTTTCAGGGTGACCTAGTGGCCGCATTCACCATGGCATCCTTCTATATCCCCATGTCGCTGTCGTACGCCTCCAATCTGGGACACATCCCTCCGATCAACGGCTTGTATGCTTTCGTCTTCAACCCTCTAGTCTACGCCTTACTGGGATCCTGCCCCCAAATGGTTGTCGGGCCTGAAGCAGCGGGTTCGCTGCTTGTTGGCACTGTAGTAACGACCTCTATTGATCGGCATGGCACGAGAGATGATGATGATGTTCTGAATGCGCAGGTTGCCGGCGTTGTCACTACGATCGCCGGTGCCGTCCTCTTCGTTGCAGGTTTCGCAAGACTTGGATTTTTGGACAGCGTTCTAAGTCGACCGTTTTTACGAGGCTTTATTAGCGCAATTGGTTTTGTGATCTTCATCGATCAAGCGTTGCCAGAGCTGGGCCTCAGCAGACGAGCGGAGCATGTCGCTCATCACAGCACGGCGGACAAGTTCGTCTTCATCATCAAGAACTTTGATCATGTTCATGGCTTGACAGCTGCGGTGTCGCTATCTGCTTTTGCCATCATTATGGTGTTCAGAGAGCTCAAGAACAGGCTGCAACCAAGATATCCCAAGGTCGCATACGTCCCAGATCGCTTTCTGGTGGTGGCCCTATCAGCTGTTCTGACCTGGAAGTTCGGCTGGGACAAGCAAGGGCTGGACGTTCTCGGACACGTCAAGTCTTCTGGCGGCACAGCAATCCCCTTTCATTGGCCATTCCAGTTCAAGCACATGAAGCATATCGATACTGCGCTCAGCACGGCTTTCTTGATTGCATTACTCGGATTTTTCGAATCCTCTGTCGCGGCAAAAAGCCTGGGTGACGGCACTTCAGGTCTGCAAGGCATGAATGTCAGTGCAAACCGCGAGTTGATCGCATTGGGGACTGCGAATCTAATCGGAGGCTGCTTCATGGCTCTGCCGGCTTTTGGTGGTTATGGCCGTAGCAAGGTCAACAAATCCACTGGAGGGACGACGCCCATGAGCAGCATTCTCCTGAGCATGATCACTCTGATCTGCGTGTTCTACGCGCTGCCTTTATTCTACTACTTGCCGAAGGGTGTCTTGTCGGCTATGGTGTCGGTCGTTGCCTATTCATTGATTGAGGAGGCGCCACACGATATCAAATTCTTCTTCAAGATTCGTGGCTGGACCGAATTGAGCTTAATGGCCATCATCTTTCTGGCGACTGTATTCTATTCACTTTCGGTCGGCATTGCCCTCGGCATCGGCTTATCCCTGCTTTCACTCATCAAGCACGCTACCAAGCCTCGTATCCAAATCTTGGGTAAGGTTTCAGGCACGGCGAATCAGTACGAGAACGCCGAGTTCTTCCCTGATGCCATTGAGTATCTCGAAGGCTGCTTGATCGTGAAGATCACCGAACCTCTAACGTTTGCCAACACCGGCGAGCTCAAGAACAGGCTGAGAAGGTTAGAGAAGTATGGGACAGAACAAGCTCACCCTTCGTTGCCTAGAGTTCGACATGAGGATAGCAACAGGAACATCATTCTCGATGTACATGGTGTGACTAGTATAGACGGATCGGGAACTCAAGTGCTGTTCGAGATCGTGGAAGAATACGTGAAAAGAGGAGCGAGAGTCATATTTTGCAGACTACCAAGGAAACGGAGCAAAGTATTCGATGCATTCGTCCGAAGCGGTATCGTAGAGCTGTGTGGGGGCGAGCGCCACTTCGTGGGAAGCGTTGACGAGGCTTTGAAAATATCGAATGTTGAGGATCTGGATCGGTATTTTGACGAAAGAGTACCGAACGGCCAGCGAGACCTACAGTTCGACTCGAACAGTTTAGTTGCATAGCAACGGCAGGAAAAGCAGTAATCAGCATTACCACCAAGCGGTGAGGTTTCATTCGATCTTCGTCTTTTCTGTTGTCAGGACGTGGGAACGCTTGACCGTGGATCTACCGTCCAGGGAGGGCGCTGCAGGTCCAAAGTGGTTTCGCTTCTCGGATCGTCAGGCTTGAAACGGTCCTCATTTGAACGTCGGTTCAGGTTCTAGGAATAATGCATCAAGATTGTCGATTTGCTCGCCAAGGAGGACTCTGAAGGTCTGCAATTGTTTCACCAACATCACTCGTCTTCTGACCTGATCTAGTATCACTCCTGCACATTGCTACCTTACGACAGTCATCATGCTCCTTCCATCATTGCTCATCGTGTTCATCACTGTCCAAGCGTCATCTGCAACAATTAATCTATCTATCTTCCGCCGAGGAGGACGCTTCACAGATCACAAGCCATGCAACCTCACTCATCTGTCCGAGATCCTAGCAGCTACCGAGCAGCGCTATCTAACGACATATCGAGGTGTCGATGAGAACCGACTCGTCCGCAGATGGCGGCCAACCACAGGTGATGATGATCATCTTCTGCAAGCCATTGGTGGAGATGGCAGCTGGTACGCAGCGCTTGAGGTTGGCTCGCCGCCTCAAGAGCTTCAGTTCGATCTCGACATGCTCGGGCCTGACTTCTACACGGTCATGACAACGAGCGCAGAGGGATCTAGGTACAACACATTCGCTTCTGTAACTTTTGGTGAGGCTCAACTTCTCGATGACTACAGCGCTGACCGTGCCATCTAGACGAAGACGGCAGCTTTGATCATGCGATGTGCAAGCGTGCATCAGATCTGTTCGAGCTCAGCACCAGCGTTCGCCTATCGCTGCCGATCTGTACACCCCCGAAAGCATCATCCCTCACTCTCCGCTCGTCTGGTAGCGTCATCGGTCTCGGTCCTCCTGGCTTCCTTACGCGTCTTTCCGGGCTCAATATTCTTGATCAGCTTCACACGCAAGGCTTCATCACAGACACGATTTCATCAGTGACTATTCTTGATGCTGAGACAGGTGTTCTGAGCCTTGGAGGCACCATCGCCAAAGACGCTGAAGAGGCCAAAATACGTGCAGGTATTGAATTGCAGCACTTCGGACAAGCAGAGGCCTCCCCAGAGTGGGTTCAGGCCAGAGTCGTGGAAGGAATGGGTCTCTTCGACAGCACATCAGTCGAGAAGCAGTTCAAGTGGACGAAGACACAGGGCCCGCCTGGTTGGTGGACAACGTTAATGCCCGGTGTCTGGATCAATGGCGCCAAGGTCATGCGGAATCAGCCTGTGCTCCTGGATATACAATCGCCTTTCATACTCGCACCATCAGAGGCCGCCCGACAGTTCTACGCAGCCATTGGTGGCTCTTATCGACTTCCAGCGCCGCACGACATGTTTTTCGCCATTCCGTGCCTGAACAAGGTGAACATTGCCTTTGAGATGGCAGGCTGGAACTTTCCTGTTATGTCTGCGGAGACCACGAGATTTGATAGCTTGCATGGACCACCTGGAGGCCCCCTCAGCCTGGGAAAGTTAGAGGACGGTACAGGCTACTGCGTTGGTGTTGTTGTTGAGACTAGAATGGGCGAGAGCAGCGAATGGGCGGATTCGGGCTTGAAGAGAACATGGGTCCTTGGCGAGCCATTCTTTCGCGGATTGGGAGTCGTGTTCGACCACGAGAAGGGAAGAATCGGCTTGCGATCCTACTGAGTCACAGCGCTGTGAATACTCCCGACAGTGCAGTCCTCCATTCACTCACAGGTCGGCGAAATCGTTGCAACACTCATTTCTCGACACTGATGCCTACTTCGCCATGTCCGCCGACGACGATTCTCTGCTCGAAGCTACCATCATACCATCAGAAGGACTCATAATCGGGCTATCTTTCTTTGGCACCGGTGCTCATAATCAGCAAACATGTCCAGCTATCTCGCGCCGCTGGACAAGGACCTGTACACCGTCCTTGGTGTTGCACCCGACGCCTCTCAAGCCGGAATTCGTCAGGCATACCACAGTCTAGCTGCACAGCTTCATCCTGACAAAAACACTGGCGGCAATGAGAAGACAGCACGGTTTCAAGATGTCCAGGAGGCATACGAGACCCTAGGCGACAAAGATCGCAGAAAGTCGTACGATCTCGTGCGTTCGATTGTCTTCCTCAAGGTGAAGACTGCGGCACCTGCGAGATTCGGCACTGTGACCCCGAAACAAACGAAGATGATCATGCGTTACACTGGTCCTGACACTACAACAAGCACTCCTGAGATGCCTCAGACACCCTTCACGTAGGTCATCTTCTCCGCTGAGAGCTCTCCTGACTTGACGATACAGCAACAATAGCAGCAGCTATGACAATTCTGCCACCCACAGCCCGCCCGATGCCAAGACTCCTTCCAAGAACCCTTGTTCGCGACGTGAGAGCACGGTCGAGGCGCCTACCACGCCGGACGTTGCTACAAATCCACTCATAAGCGCATGCGAGGCTCTGAAAGCACAGTCGACTACTGAGTAAGTGTATCCTGCTTGAATTGAGCAAGCTGACAGATGATAGAAACCCCGATGGAAGCCCAAGCCATGATAGCAACAGCAAGACCACCAGCGTCGGGTCTTCTCCTACTGCTGAGGAGTCTTCTGCGCTTCAGACACCACCCACAAGCAGCGAGTCCGTCACCGTCCGTCCTGCTGGAGACGCCTTTCTGCTTCATACACCCCCCACTACTGGTAACGCTCCTCCCACTCCAGCTGCGCCAAGAAAGCAGTCCATTCTCGGCCCCAGCTATCTTCTCGTGGACTCAGACGATGAAGGAACTCCATCCCAAGATGTCGCATCTACACCAACACCTGCTTTACCCCGTCTAACATTCTTCGACTACTACGTCAACGACACCGAGTGGACCGAGACAACCCTGTTGCAAAGCTGGCGTGACAAAGTCGGTGATACCAAGCGCCGTCATCAACTCGCTATCGCGTACACGAAAGAAGCTCACCAGGCCAAGGTTGCTGCTCCCTCAGGCAAAGAGAAGAGAAGATTCGACAAGATGTACCAGGCCAAGCGCTCAACTCGCGACTCTTGGAATCGAGTGAGAATCTTTCGAGAAGCAGAGTTGTTGAACCATACCAAGCGCGCTCGAGAAGTCAAGTCAGCTCGCATGCGTATTGTAAAGGAGCGGCAGGAGACTGCCAAGAAGCAGGAGCGCGCGGAGAAGATGGCTGCTGTGGTGAAAGATAGGGAACGACGCGAAAATGTCAAGAAGCAAGAGCGCGCCGATAAACTGGCTGCAGAGGCAAAGGAGAAAGAGCAGAAGCAAGCTTTGAAGGCAGAGGAGCGCATTCGGAAGGCTGCGGAGCGTGAAGCTTTGGTCCAGGCTCGCAAGAAACGCAAGACAGATGCTCCGATATCGCCAGGTGGGACGATGAGGATTCAGGAGCCACGTCTTGCGAAGGCTGCTCCTACTTACTGTGTCATCAGTGATTCCGAGGAGGACTGAGCTGTGGACATCAGGCTTGGCTGGGACTTCTGGACTTCGGCACAGTCATGACGGGATATTCTTCGAGACTTCGTCGATCCTGAAGCGTTATCTGGAAGGAGTTGGAGGACACTGAACAAGGATTGGCAGTGTCACAATGAACTGAAAGCACGCTTTTGTGCGAAGCAATCTTAGAGAATCTGCTCCGCCTATGTCAGTGTCTCGGATGATGGTTTCAAGATTTCCGCCAGTTTAAGGACGGGCTCAGCGGCAGGGCCTGTTAGTCGTTGACATATCAATGCACTTGCTGAATGGCGAGGCAGTGGCACCGGTACCTTCAGCATGTGGCCTCGTTATTGGAATCTACGCAGGTGCAGCCACCGTGGTTCCTTCCTGTCTGCTCGATCTCCCTACCAGCGATTCCTCCTCACTGAAAATACATACAGATCGACAAAAGTCGTGTTGCTTCTCGCCCTTCCAAGACGATGTACTGTTCTATCGTCTCTGAACCAGTTTCCACTACTGGCTGCCTTCCGCATGCATGGTCAACGTTCGGGCAACGTGCACTCGAGTCCCGCAGGCCTTCCCACACACAGCATCGCGACCGAACGAAGGTTCATTCAGGCACAGCTCAGTGTCTTCGCCAAGATAAGAACCCGAGCGAACAGTGAAGAACTCGACACGCCTGCCAAAACCGGACTATTGCCATGCGGTTGTTGAAGTGCTACTGTGAGGTAGGCAGCTTGGCCTGGTCTACGTGACTGAAAGTATTCACGGGCAAGATTGCAATCATCAACACACTTGCTTCTGACGAAGCAGCTACTTCAAGCTCAGGCCTCCATGCTGCTTCTGCCTCTCCCCTTTCACGTGCTTCTTACTCACCTTCAAGTGTACAGCTATGCAGGCTATAAAGATGACCAGTCCCCACCTTTGTTGGCAAGGCTACTGTCTTGGACGGCAGATTGACTTCTTTCCACCCAGCACAGCACCACAGAACTTCGTCGAAGTGCGCGAGTTCCGTCTCTCAACACACAAGCAACGATAACGAATCGCTCTTCGCGCTCCTCGGCAGAGCCATAATGGCCTCACAACCAGCACCGCCGCGTTCTATCGACACCACAGCACACCTCCGCCACCTGTCCATCCTCAAATTGACCACTACATCCCCCTTCCGCGACGTTGCCCGTTCCCTCCTCCTTGCCCGCCAAGAGACATCGCTTCTCCTCCGCCAGTCTCAGCTTCACGCAGAAGGACGCGCACAGCCGCTCTCGCTCGACAAGATCAATCGGTACTATGCGCTCACAGAGGCGATGCATGCTGTCGTGAAGTATCTGCCAGGGCAGGGTTTAGAACAGTACTGTGGTCTGCATCCTGCAAGACCAGTCATTGTTCCGCTGGAGGAGGAACCAAGGAACCGGCTGATTGACCCGCAGCTCTTGTACTGGGAGTTCGAGAATGGGGAGCGGCTGGGCAGTGGGCAGGAGAGTGCTACCGCACAGTGGGTGAGGGCACAGCAAGGTCAGCAGTACGAGCAGGAACAAGATGATGGTGCAAACAAGGTTGGCGAGATGGTCATGGCGCAAGGCAACAGGCTGGTGGAGTTTTCGAGCAGGGCGGCTTCCAATATGGTCAGCAAGGCGCGCAGAACCAGTATGCTCTGCATGGTCAGCCGCAGTACCAGCAGCAGCCGGTGCCCATCGCTATTCAGCGTGGACCGCAGCACCAGTACAGTCAGAACGCTCAGCAGCACTTCTCGCAGGTCACACCTGCCGTCCGTCAGCAAGGCATGCAGTATAACGTCGCCAATCAACGCTTCCAAACTCAAGGATCGCCTATATCTGGCCAGCAAGACATCCAGGACAACATGGCCACTGAGCTCTTCATGCCTCCACCACCACTTACGTCTGGTCAGCAAGGGCTCCAAACCCAGCACGGCAACGTTACTCAACCTACTCAACAGCAGAGCACTGCTCATGGCTACAATCTCCGCGGCCAGGTCACCAGATACGCGCCTCAGCATGGTGGATTCGTCGACCACACTCGCCAACAGACTCGCTATCCCGGTACTCGCAAGCACTTCACCCCGCTGCCTTACCTTGCCCAGGATGCAATCCAGCAACAGCGACAGCAGTCAACCCCTATTGACACCTCCACGAATGCCGCCGCGCCCAAGGATCCGACGTACCCCTCCCCACCAGAGGCCTCCCCGGTCCCAAACAACTCGTCAGCCACACCCGGTCCAATGCAGTCGCGGCCCCTGAACATCTCAAGCTGGGCAGCCCCCCTACCCGACTCCTTATTGGTCACACCTGCACGACCGACACACCGTTCGGACGGTCGTAGGATTCAGTACTGTACGTATAATGGATGTCCGTACGAGACGGTGCATCTTGGGCACTATGCGAGGCATTTGAGGGGTCATGAGGTCAATGCCTGAGGCTACTAGCTCAGGACGGACCATCAAGGGAGACCGTGGGGTGGGCTTTGAGAGAGCAGATCCGAAGAGATCTTTGGGCACCCAGGTACTGTATGTAGCAGCCGATGCCGGGCCATTGAGGCTTAATGACGTCGGGAAAGGCCCTGAGGTAAATGCACGAATTGGATGACGGTCACATCTTGAGATCCAAATCACATCAGCAGATAGATACAGAGATGTGGATAGCTAACAATGAAGATGCATCGAACATTCCATGAAAGAGAGAAGTTCGTTCAAGTATTTCTATTCGAGGGCTGAGCAACGGAAACAGTTTCCGGCGCATGCCACTTCAGTGGCCGAGGGAGAAAGCAAATCTTGACGACCTATCCTACACAGTCACATTTTAAATCTTCCAGTCCGTCGCTGAAGAACAAGGATAGATTCATGTACTTGGCATGGAGAGCGCCGTAGACGCTGGCCATGGCATTCCTGGCGTAAGGTAGGTAGGTGGAGAGGCATACGAGGCAGACGGAGCGGGAGACGAGCTCTGGCTCCGGCACTGAGCTAGCACGACTTCGTGGGCCATGGTAATGATTGCATGACTGATGTACAGCGATGATGGCGATCCCGTCTGCTGAGTCCTCTTTCGGGATGAGGCAGAAATTGAAGGGAAAGTAGCCAGGTTCGCTGATGTCGCCCATCTTCACGGCAACTACGAATTTAGCGACCTGATCGAATGGGCAATTTGATCAAATAAGCAGTCTGGTCGCATCTTGGACAAGTCCCTTGGACAAGGACTCTGAACGGATGGTTCATCTGATCGGAAAGGCGATTTGATCGAATTGGCCACTAGTCGAAGAGGCAACTGATTAAATGGGCCACTGATTGAACGGGCTACTGATTAAATGGGCAATTTGACTGATTCCGTGCCACTGGACCCCACAAATTTTGTCTATCGTACCCTCAGGGCTGTCCGGCCCTGAGCTTCCGCGCTGTCTCCCACTCACTGAAGCAGATCCGGCAATCTGCAGTACCTGTACTGCTTGCTTCACTGATTTGGTCCAACCAACTAGGACTGAAGGCAGAGGCCTTCCTTCGCCATCCCTATCTACGATCAGGTAAGCATCCCTACCATCTGGACGACTATTTGGCTGATCAGCGCAAGCTTACCTGGCATCAACGAGTCATCATGGCAAAGAAAGCAAAGTATTGCTACCCCATGCTAGACATCTACTACCGGATCCATAACATCATTCGGCCAGATCTAAGCGATCTCGATGTCGTTGGTTCCAAACGCGAAGACGGTATCTGGAAGCCCAAGAACTTCTCGATCAAACACTATTACGTCTACGGCGCCTGGCCGGGTTCGGGATCAGAAACCGACTTCTTGGACTGCCTGGCGAGGGCTACGGACAAATATCGTCAGAGACTCCTAGCTGCACAGAAAGCAAAGCAAGCAGAGGCCGAGGTCGAACGTCTGGGGAACCATTACCGGCGAGTCCGCAAATGTTGGATTGCTCACCGCAACAGAGCAGCTGGACTCAAAGGGGCTCAAACCAAGAAGCGTAATGCACAATTAGATTGAGCTTAAGGTGGATGCTAGATTCAGTGGTTGTCACAGCTGGGTCGCCTGGAGCTCTATCTTCAACCGTCACGCAGCACAGGTGACAATCCACGAGTGAGCTCTGTGGCTTGCGGCAATCAGATCGAGATGGGATGGGCGAGCTTCAACGATCCGCCGTGTTGTCTCCTACCATCCAGGGACAGCTTCATCGATGGACTGACGACCGGGAATGAGGGGATTGGTAGGATACATGTATCTTCATGGACAACAACGATAGCACTTCATGCCACGGTGAATGCTGTGCCGCAGACACCCACTGAGCCTCGACGACGACTGTACTGGGTTGAAGTTCAGCGCAAAGTGCTTTGAACCTGCCATGCATGCGTATCGTCAAGCCGACGACATCGGCGGCTCCTTGAGCACAGGTCAGATAGGCAGATCAGAATTAGGCAGTCAACAATGACAATGCAACAGACAACCGACCTAATATCAAGTGACAGTGTGAAGGTTCTTGCCTTCAGCTGTACCGCGTTGCCTTGCTTACTTTGCTCCTAGCGGGCCTGCAGCTATATTTCCATTCTGGATGTCATTCAGCTCGGGCGCGCAGGCTCATCTATGCTCAGCGACCCATCATGGACAACAATCGCTTCGACGTGCGCGAAGACTACTATACCATTCTTGGCATCTCTTACGAGGATGCCAGCGATGAAGCGAAGCTGAAACAAAGCTATCACAAGCTCGCGAAGGCTCTCCATCCCGACAAGACTGGTCAATCTGACAGTGAGCCGTTCAAGCAAGTCTTGAAGGCTTATGAGGTCCTGAAAGACGCGACGGTGCGAAGGGCGTACGATAATGCTCGACGAAGCCAACAGTCTCAGCCCTCGTCAGGCGCCTTTGAGGAGAACAACGACGCGACTCGCCGCGCTCCCGGAAAAGCAGAGACACGATTCCAATCGTTCTTCAAGCCACATTTCGCGAGCTCCAAACCCACACACGCTCAGTCTGCCAATACAGCTGATACAGAAGCTTGGCATTTCGATGGCCCAGGCAATCGAAACACCCCGATGATTATCTCGGCCGCCGTGGAGCTGCTGGCGTCGTTGCTGTTGGTGGTCGTAACACTGGCCATCTGGCGGCTTGTCATAGCCATCGCAGCTGCTGTGTCGCTGCTGGCGTCTGTCGCGGTATTGGCCTTTATGCGGCTTGTCATAGCCATCTTGGTCGTATGCGTCGTTCTTGGACTGTATCTGATGGTGGCTATGGCCTTCGCGGCCATCATCAAGGGGCTGGCAACGCCTGACACTGCAAAAATGCGTAAGCCATTCAGACGTCAGTACAAGGCATTCAAACGCAAGCAACGGTCCGAACAAGCACGCGCCGCGCCCACGAGCTGAATAAATCGATCAACACTCTCGTACCTTCGACATCGCAACTGACCCGTTTGCGAATGTAGCACACCCATGACCAGGGCCTTCGATGCTCAGATATGCCGCTCCAACTCAGCAGCTGATACGTCAGCCAACACAACATAGTCACAGTCAGAACCGTCTCCTCAATCCCGCAGTGGCTACAGCCAGGAGATCTGTGCACCTCCGACAGCAGACAGTCAGCCAGGACAGTCAAGAGCAGCTCGGCCAATTACACAGCCGGCTCGTCCTTCTTCATGCAACACTCAAGGTTGTCTCTCCCACCAGAATATGGGCGTTGCATGGCGGACCCGGATCTGAAACACCTCTTCTGTGGCTGTGATGACAACTTCTGGCATTCAGACAAATTCGCTTTCGGAGTCTAACACAGCCGTGTCTTCCAAGCAGCGAGGGACAGGTCCGATCGAGAAGCGCTGGCGGTCCATGATGGGCCTCTGCAGGCCTTTGCCACGACAGATGTCATAGCTAACAACACCTGCTCAATTTGACAACAGTTGGAACCTGTCTGCTGTTAGTGGTATGACTATGAGCAAGCCACACGTGCACGCTATAGCGTGGCCGGCGACAGCGACTTCTGGAGTAGAAATTAGATAGTCAGGTAGACACAGGTAGCAAACGCCTCCAATGACGCGTATACGTCCTGGAGCGACGTCGGTTCAAGCAATTCCAGACCAGAGCTCGGGCAAGGATGGAGAATGTTTCCGCCGGCACGCGCAACCAAAGAAAACGGAACTCGTCTTTTCGTCCTCTCCGCTCTACACAACACCTTGGAACAATCTATCTTCTACTTTTACCGCTTCTCTATGCATTCTTTGAGATGTATGGCTCCGCCAGTACGTGATGAGCACCGGACTGGTGGTTGGTAGGACTCTGTCGCGAAGCAACGTGCAAGCTAGTCGCGCAAAGCTAATAGTCTAGGCCGACTGCCCATGGCCGTGGCTGATGCTGCTAAGAATTTGACACTCCTAGATTCGAAGTAATATGCCAGACACGATATCTCCCAGGGATAGCCGCCCTGTACAGGGCCCACGACCATCCCCTTTTCAGAGAAAGCCAGGGGATTGAAAGCTGAGGCTGCACCCATCCGGAGCGGGATGTGGAATGTACCCTTCTTTGCAATGGAATGTGGTCGCTTCCAAAGGGCTATCGACCGCGTAGGCGTGATAATGAACACAGCATGTATATACGAGAGTGAGAAGCCGCCATAGGCTACCTACAAGGCTTGCGGCTTCTTGGGCTCAAGTTGTCAATCATGCTCTCCTTACTGGCATTAGGACTTCTCGCAACGACAACCACCTGTACAACTGTACCGGTAGCAGATATTGGGTCTTTCGATGGCAAAGCTGTCAAGAGTGTATTTCAGCGAGAGGTAAGCACGATCCATTACTGCTCCCTTCCGAGGTGTAACGTCTCTGTGCATGCAGGTAGACGACGAACTCCCCCCATGGGCCGACAAACTCGTAGATAAAATTGTGCAGGCGTTGGGCGACAGATGTGCAGCGTCCGCTTCAAGCTGGAGCGCTTCAGCTGGTAACGACGATGGCAGCAGTAGTGGCATCCCCGCGAGCGGCCCTCCAGCAGCAAATGGACCTTCCGGAGGATCAACAGGCGATGCGAACGGCGCGTATGACTCGAGCTCTTGCAGTGAAGGCTATTGCGGTGACAACAACGATGCTGACACCGCCGAGTCTTGGAACGGTCATCAGTATCAACAGCCACCACCGTACAATCCTCATCAGGGAAACGACAACGTCGGTTCAGGCTCTGCTATAGATCAGGGCAGCCAATGGTCGGCACAGCAGCTATCCACGACTGCACACTGGCCCAAACCGTGGACTTCGACCTCGACGGCAACTTTTTCGACTGTGAGCACACCCACGCCAAAGCCAACTGATCCTTGGCCCGATCATGTGGTAACAGGCTACTACGGTGTGGGCCAGTCGAAAGGTTATCCGTTATCAGAAGTGGCTTGGGAGTATCTCACTCACCTGTGCTATGCATTTGCAAAGACCACCGCAGACTACAGCCTCGACATCGACAGCACGCTCTTGAGTGCTCTCAGTTCAGAAGCTCGGGCTCACGGTGTCAAGCCAGTGCTCAGCATTGGTGGCTATGGGAATGGAGGCGGCTACTTCTCAGTGAGCATTGCAAATAATGCCAGCCGCAGCAAGTTTGTCCGGACCATCAAGGAAGCCGTGGATGAGTATCAGCTTGCTGGCGTTGATATAGGTATGTCTTCGAACCCCTTCACAGAGACACTTTGCTTGAAAGCGGTGACTGGTCTCTTAATGCGCTGGCTAACGACGTCAATGATATGCTACAGATTGGGAATTCGTAGGTGCCCTTGCGACGTACGACGACTGGGAAGGTCCTGACGATGACCCTGTCAATGATGCGGCTAATTATCTGGAGTTCCTGAAAGCCCTGCGTGCCGCTGTCGGCGCAGACATTGAGATCTCCGCCGCGGTGCCAATGTATACTTTCACAGCAGGGAAGTCAAGAGAGGAGGAAGTCGACATGACTCCGTACGTGCCTTACTTCGATCGAATTTATCTGATGGCGTATGATTTGTGGTCGACAAACACTGTGGCTGGCTCCAATGCTGCTCTGGAACGACTACAAAGCCCTCCCGCTCATAAGGGCCAAAAGTTCGGTTCCGACGGCGTCGCCGCGTGGAGCAAGTATTTCCCACCCGAGAAACTGGTACTGGGCGTCCCATTCTATGGCTATGGCTACAAATTACTCGCCAACAGCAATCCTGAGGTGGACGGACTGTATGTGCCCGTTGGTAACCGGACTAGTGGTGATAACGGGGAAAGCCCTACGAGTGATCAAGGCTTTTGGAGATGGCGGAACCTGAAGTCCCAGGGCGTTCTCGTGCAGAACGGTACAGATGGTAGCTACGATGCTGGCGAAGGTTGGGTGCTTGGTTGGGATGAAAGTACACAGACGCCGTATGTGTTTACTGATGACCGACTGAGCAGCAGCGGTAATGGGACAGTGTTGCAGGATACGACGGTAGCGGGTGGAAGCTATGGAGAAATCATCTCCTTTGACGACCCTGCGAGTCTGCGGTTGAAGCGGGACTATGCACAGGAACAAGGCTTAGGTGGGATGATGTTTTGGATTGCATCTGCAGACACGAGCGATGGGGAGCTTGCTGCAGTCCTTGCTTGATGACAGAGGATCTGCACCTGTGCAGGTCAAAACGACTGCTTGATGTGCAAAAGGTGAGGTCCGAGGTTCCTGAGCTGTCATACACTTCGCTCATTCACTTCTCAGGTCGTGACTCAGCAATCCATAGTTACTATGGCTCGACATTCACTTCGACACCACCCACACCCATGTCAGCAGCGTCTTTCCCGTGGTCCTACTCCTACGATCGTACTATCCGCAGAGTCCGCCTCGGAGCCGCCGCACAGTCAGTCAGCCAGCAGCCTCGGCAAGCCATCATGAACGACAACGACCGCTTTGACGTCAGCAAGGACTATTATGCCATCCTTGGGTAAGTATTTCAGCAAGCCTGCGCTTCGAGCGCTGACACAAGGACAGTGTCACCTGGGATGGCGCGCGCGATGCTACGACGCTAAAGCGTTGCTACCACAAGCTGGCTCTCAAGTATCACCCCGACAAGACCGGTGATACAAATAACGACGAGTTCTTCAAGCAAGTCTTACAGGCTTACGAAGTCCTCCGCGATGTGACTGTTCGATTTGACTACGACAATGCTCGTCAGCTCGCAGGCTACCCCAAGGCTGGACCCGAGTCTCCTAATCCTCATGAAGCGTTCACTGAGACCAACGCGACGTTTCCAGAAGCTCAAACTGCTTCTGCTGAGTCCGAAGAGGCCCCTGGTGCAGCTGAAGGAGAGCAGCGCAGATCACCGCGACAGCCGAAGGCGCCCGGCAAAGGCTACGGTCATCCCAAGCCCTCCAAGCCCAAGAGAGCCAGCAAAGCCAAGAAGGCTGGCAAGTTCAAGCAGACGCCACGCAAAGACAACAAGAACACGAAAAAGCAGGCTGAGCGCGAATGGGCATACGACCAATATGTGTATGCGGAGGACTCTGCATCACCAGGCTCCGAAGCAGACGCTGGCACTCACCGTGATCGCAGTGGGCCGAGGACGTACGGTCCGCGGACACCTACTCCAGAGACATCGAGTCCGCAGACACTAAGCTCGCCAATTGTTGACAGAGACCTCCCTGAAGTCGATTTTACTCCGATTGGCAACTGGTCCGAGGGCCCAATTTGGGACCCCAAGAACTTCCCCTTCGAAACATATTGGCACGACGATTACACCGCGACCGATTTCATGGCGGGCCTTGACTCAGCTGTGAAGTTGCTCGTTAGCAGAGCCCGAGCTGCTGTTGTTGCAGAAAAGGACGCTTTGCGTCGTATGGAAGGCGACCATTCGGCAATGTACTTCGAGAGAGTGAAGGAGTATGAAGATGCGAAGGCTGAAGCTGGGAATCTGATGAATATGTGTACCTACGCACATAGGCTGTACGAGCAGCACCGTTCGAGAAGTAGTGGTCTGAAAGGCGCTAGGAAGTCTGCCAAGTCCAGACGAGCCAACGCGCGACGGCAGCCCGGTTGCGGATACTAGTCTGCACGACTCTGTCGCTCAAATGCGCGCGGACAGCATGCAACGATTAGGCAGTGGTCTGAGAGGCAACTTGTCTGCTTGATGTGTACAGAGGAGACATGACAATGGCTCTGGGTGTGGAAAAAGACGTGAAAGCAGTTGTGGCGATTGCCTCTTTGCAATGGAACTGTTGCATCCAAGTCAAGCTAACGGGTACAACCAATCTCGATGAATGGGACGACTGAGTGTATGTTGACTCCTTCATTCTGTCATGGGGCCTTGCAGCATGGATATCATAGCAATAAGAGCTCGCCCACGGCTCTAGCAAGACACACGCGGCATGCTGAATACGAAGATACTGGACCGGCATTGATAGCTTAGCATTCATGTTCCAGCACAGATGTCGCAGCCACGTTGGTGTCATCGTCTTCTGCTGTTCGACAGGCTATTGCTTTGGATTCGCAGTGATTGTGGCTCAATATTCACTTTCGCAACATCTCGCCCAGGCACCAGTGTTGGCATCGTCTGCTCTCAGGCTCAACGAGTATTCACTGCGTGATAGACCCACAGCGCCCGGCAGAATGACGACTTCACATTCACTGAGACGCCCATCCTTGCTCTACTTTAAGACAAATTGACTCTCTACACCTCTTCCCACCGTCCTACTATTCTCGAAATCAGTCTCAAAGCCATCAAGACACTCGAGTCAACGCACGTCTGTCTGAAGTCAGTCAGATATCATGGCGGACCATCGCTACGATGTCCACAAGGACTACTACGCCATCCTCGGCATCTCCTCCGAAGATGCTCGCAGGCCCTCAAAGCGCAACAAAGCCTACACGAAGCTTGCCCTGAAGAACCGTCCCAACAGCGCGGGCGGAATAACCGAGGAGTCGTTCAAAGTTGTCAAGGAAGCGTACACGGTGCTGGGAGATGCCAGTGCGCGGTCTGACTATGATGAAGATCGTCGAGCTCAAGGCTATCCCAATCCCGATGAGCCGACTGCCACAGGGTCCCATACAACTCTCACTGCGCCAACAACCTCGGAGGCGTACTTGCCATCAGCGAGCTCGTCTAGGGAAGATGCCGGTAGCAGAGCCGAGCAACAGCAATCAATGCCGAGCAAGGAAGAGAAGAGAGCCAAGCGAGATAGAGAGCAGCAGGGTACTCATCGCGAACGCAGCGGTCCTTCGAGGGACGAAGCTCATATCGACAGAATCGATTTCGATCCAGTCCGCAGCGGTGGCAGGGGGCGAATCTGGACTCCGTGGAAGTTCTCTTTTGAGACTTACTACCACGATGATTATGTTGCGACGAGCTTTCTAGGACGTCTGCGCACGGTCATTCAGGAAAACAAGGACGAATGGCAGGCCGATCGTAAGGCTTCAGAGGATGCGCACCGCGCCATGGTGGAAGATACTACTGGGTCTAGAATGCTGTATGGAACTATTTGGGGCGATGCGCAAACCCGAGAGCGGCAGTCGGAGGCCATATATCATCGATCAGAGTCGTTACTTGAGCGCCACCGCAAGCGAGCAAAGGCTCTCCTCAAGCGCCGCTAGGAAGTCCGACTAGCACGGACAGGCCCGTAAGCATCGTCGTTGCTGGTAGCACGACAGTCGCACAGCGAGTGAGAGGGCGATGAGAGCGAAGGTAGTCGAGCAACGAGAGCCTCCAACGGGCTGCGGATGGAAGAGAACATCGGGGAGACCAGTTGAACGACAGTCGTGTGCTTCAGAGCCGAACGAAAACGTCATCGACGACCAAGTCACAGCTATGGACGATGGCAGGCATTGCAGCGGACCTTGAGCGTGGAAGCGGAGGATGCAATCTCGAGTGCTCTAGCGATGAATACTGCATGCTGGAAGTATCATGCCCTGATAGCGAATAGGACGTCCTAACGTGATAGATGTAATCGACGCATATGCGCATGGTCGTTCTCAAAACGTTGCCTCCATTATAGTGATTTCAAGCAAAGCTGGCAAGCTCTGCTAGTAGTCGCAAAGATTGGTTGTAGTCGTAAGACGGAGGCTATGCAACGGGTTCGGCCCGGTTTCACGGATCTGCGAGGAACACGGGCGGAGATCATCCATCTCAATATTCAGATCTTGAGCGGAGGTGAGCTGCACGACGTCGTCGACGGCATCATCTCATGCTGGCGCGCGTTGCAGTGTGCGCGGATCTTTGTACATCTGCACCGCAACAGATTTGATGCAGCCGATGTCGTGTTTCTTATCAGACATACAGTCTCGCATTCAAGCAACAATTTTCCTGTTTCCAGGGGTCTCGAGCCTTCTGTATTTCGCTTAAGCTCCACCCCTCCGGCTCTTACAGGGGCCTCTCAGACAAGCGTCGCAAGTGCATCCGGTACCAGGCTTATTCAGGGACTGCTGTGCAGAATGGAGGAGGTCAAGCAATTCCAAGACGCCTGTTTGGGGCTTGTTATTGGCGATAGTGCACCCCACTCTGAGACGTGCATAGACGACAACCGCCACCACCAAAGATTATCCAACCACTCAACACCATGTCCGGGCAATCCACCAAGTAGATCCGACATGAGGAAAAAGATAAAAAAGATACGGGGACGGGGGGGACACGCTCGAGGGGAACGTGCAGACTGCGCGCGACTTTCAACAATCACTGGCATCCCTTTCTTGGTTTCTTGCCATCATCCTGCCATCTTCATACTGAAATTCGTGCTCCTTCACCAGCTTTCGTTTTTTATTGTTTGAGGGAAGCTGCGACCTTGACACTCGCTGTCGTTTGACATATTAATTCTACGCGTTGCACTTGCCGCGTAACACAAACAAAATCACTTCTTCCACGGCCCATCCATCAACGCCGTCCACAACTTGACACTTCCATCATCCCCATACTATCCAATAATGCGTTCTTCCACTGCTATCACGGCGTTGGCTGTCGGTGCCAGCACCGTAGCTGCTGCTGCCACGAAGCGTGCCGTTCAGACCGTCTCTGTCAAGGGCAATGGTGAGTTGTCTACCAAGAAATCCCCTCCGGGCTACAGGCTAACGATATGCAGCTTTCTTCGCCGGTAACGACCGCTTCTACATCCGAGGTGTCGACTACCAGCCCGGTGGCTCCTCAGATGTCGCCGATCCCATCGCCGATGCCGACTCCTGCAAGCGAGACATTGCAGAGTTTCAAAAGTTGGGCCTCAACACCATCCGTGTCTACACTGTCGACAACACAGCCGACCACGATGAGTGCATGAATGCATTGGCAGATGCTGGCATCTACCTGGTGCTCGATGTCAACACCCCAAAGTACTCACTCAACCGAGCTGACCCCAACCCATCCTACAACGATGTCTACTTGCAGAGCGTCTTTGCCACAGTTGACGCCTTTGCAAAGTACGACAACACACTCGCTTTCTTCTCCGCCAACGAGGTCATCAACGACGCCAAGACCTCATCCGTGGCTCCCTATGTCAAGGCCGTAACTCGTGATATTCGTCAATACATCAACAACCGCGGCTATCGAATCATCCCTGTCGGCTACTCTGCAGCCGATGTCTCCGAGAACCGTCTCGAGATGGCCGAGTACATGAACTGCGGCACCGACGATGAGCGTTCCGACTTCTTTGCTTTCAACGACTACTCCTGGTGCGACCCGTCCTCCTTCACCACATCTGGATGGGATCAGAAGGTCAAAAACTTTACTGGATACGGCCTCCCTCTTTTCCTCTCCGAGTACGGCTGCAACACCAATCAACGCAAGTTCGAGGAAGTCAGTGCACTATACAACACCGAGATGACTGGCGTCTACTCTGGTGGTCTCGTCTACGAGTACTCCCAAGAGCCCAACAAGTATGGCCTCGTGGAAATCAGCGGCAACTCCGTCACCGAATTGGACGACTTCACCGCTCTGCAGAGCGCGTTCAAGAACACCCCTAATCCAAGTGGTGATGGCGGCTACAACCAGACTGGTGGCGCTTCCGGCTGCCCGGCATACAACCCGCCCAACTGGGACGTCCAGGACGACTCCCTGCCTGCCATCCCGCAAGGTGCAGTGAAGTACATGAGCAGCGGTGCAGGCCAAGGCCCCGGTCTTTCGGGAGCTGGCTCACAAAATGCCGGCGGCGCAAGCTCTGGAACCGCTACAGCTGGCAGTGGCCAGCCGACCAGGACGGGCACCAGTGGAGGTACCAACACGGCTAGCGGTAGCGCAACGAGCAGTGGTGCTGCGTCGACGCTGAAGGTCTCGCATGAGTTGGCTCTGGCGCCATTTGTTTGTGCGGCAGTTGTGCTTGTGTCTTCGGTGTTCGGCGCTGCGTTGCTGTGAGCAGGTCAGGCACGTGGTGGAGAGATCCATTGTGGTTGTATGTACATAGACTAGCAGCGATTGTTGGCGCTGGCTTCTGAAAGGCCTAATTTGGGCGACCATTGGGATCGAAAGGTATTATTGGCAATTGGTGTTGCAGTGATGGTTCAGAGACATGCATAGAGATTCTTACCGGGATAGCTTGAGTAGGTACTTCATCGAGAAAAGTAAAGGATTGTCTTCAGGATCCATCCCAGCCTTCTGTGTCTGACACACACGTTCAAGCCTGGCGACACAGAACTGCGAAACGGCTTTCCTCCCGTGCCTTGATTCGGACAGTCAAAGACCGGCTGACTTCTATAGCTTGACCCAAAGCCGTCGGGGTTTCTCACAGCGCTAGATGACATTCGGCGTCGCAGGATACCGGTTGACAAGAAGCTCTACCAGACTTTCCCGCCGCCGGTTGACAAATCACCTTGAACCACGGACGACTTCGGCTGCAGCTGGGCGTTAGGACCACAACACCTGGTGTGTGGCTCTGTCTATTGCATCAATGTACATCATCCCAAGTGGCTGCGAGACATTTCTTTCCTCTGCTATACCCGGTCTTCCCACCTGAAGTCAGTAGACAAGTTCTTTATCTGTACAGCATAAATATACATGTGCCGCGCCCGCCTCGGCTCTGGACAAGTCTCTCAATAACAAAGCCGTGTATGACAGTCGATGGCATACGACCTAGCCAGGGGAAGCAGAGCTGGCGTCAGTCGTGTGGCCAAAGATACTGGCTCTCCGCTGCTGCTGCTGTGGCGGTGTCATCGTCGTCGTCGTGGCATCATCATCAGCCGATGATGGCGCAGATATTGTTGCAGCTGGCTTCGACGACGGCAGTGACGCCGAAAACTGTAGCGAAGCTGGAATGCTCGCATCACCATCGCCATCGTCGGCGAACCGCACACCCTTCGTCACCTTTCCCGTGATCCTGCCCAGCCCCTGCACCGGCACCATCTTGGCCTTCTTCCTCCGTGGAGGCTCTTCTTCTGCGTTCGCGTTTCCACTGACGTGTTGGGCAGTATTAGCTTCGCCAGCTTCCACCTCCAGGTCCTCGTTGTTCACGAACAGCTGCACGGGCGTCTGCAAGCGACAACAGCCCTTGCTCCCGTCAGACGTACTCTCGTAGTCAACATCCAGGAACCTCGCCTGCTTGATAATTTCCACCACACCGTCATCCTCTAGCCACCCGCCACTTCCCAGGCTCTGCATCGACTTCGCTCCACCACCAGTGCCTTTTGCGCTCTTCCCACCCGGACCCACATCCCCTTCACCACCACCAGCAGTACTACCTGTAGACTGCTTCCGCACCTCCCCCTCACTCAGTCCCTTCCTCCTGCGCCAGAACTTCTCCTCAATCGTGCCCTTGAGCACTAACGTCTCAAGAAAGACCTCGTTCACCTGCCCGATCCGATGTGCACGCTTGATCGCCTGCGCTTCCACCTCTCTCCGCCAGATCGGCGTCACGATCCACACCCTTGACGCACTCGCGACGTGTAGACCGGTGGAGGCCTGTCGCAGGTCCATCAGGAGCATGCGCCAGCGTGGCTCGCTGTTGAACATGCTTAGGTATTTGGCCCGTGTAGCTGGTGGGAGAGTGTTGGCGTAGATGAGAAACTCGATGCCAAGCAATTCGAGGGCTTCAGCGAGCCAGAAGGCGGTGTTGTTTGAATCGTAGAAGATAAGGCATTTGGTGGTAATGGGGAGGGAGAGGATGGAGGTGCATATGTAGGTCAACTTAGCGGATGAGAAGCCGACTATCTGGCAGCGGCGAGAGCCCTGATGGTCTCCGGAGACTGCGGCATGATTGGCGAAGCAGCAGAGGAGTGAGGTCGCTTTCGTGGTGTTTTCGGCTGTGCTCGGGTCCGGGTCTGAGGGCCACGGATCTTTGGCTCCTCTGATACACCAGGAGGGTTTGTGGTGGTGGTAGTGGTTGAATTGCTGGCGGTGGCGGACCTCTTCACACTTCTCGCTAGATCCTCGTCGGCTCGCTCGCGGGCATCTCTCATCGCTCGCATACCGGTCCCAATGAGACCAGCAGTGGGTTCCTCGTCACTGATATGACTTCGGATGTATGTCTGTGCTTCACGTGCCTGAAGCGTGCCCAGAAGGAGAGGGTCGCCGCCCTTCGCGTGCAGCGACCATACCTCACGCGAATCTTTGGGAAAGTGCTTCACGTAGACGCCGATCTCGTGTAGTTTTGAGAACGCCCGCCAGCCGTCGTCTGCAAGCGTTCTTTGAGCGTGTGAGATAGCCTGAGTCAGCAGTACACCATCATCGTCTGAGATCTCGTCGAGGTGCTTGTCGAAGTACGTTTCGCATAACTTGATGGTATCTTTAACTTGGTCTGGTGTGAACCCAACCCAGTGAAAAGTCGACTGCCGAAGATTGCTGATGAGGAGTTCCAAGGTCTTTCTGTTGTTGGGATGATGCATGTAGTCCTGGTCCACCCGTTCTGAAGTGATGGCATTTGCAGTCAAGACAAGCACGAAGAGGTTGAGGGCAAGCTTGTCGTAATATGATGGCTCCAGATACACTGTCCGATTGTGCAGTGGCGGCAGAGTGATGTCGGAATCTATATCCTTGATCCTGTGACGAACCATGAGACTCTGCAGAAGTGGCCGCAAAGAAGCCGCACACCGTCGGGACCCGTCGCTGTTGAATGGAGCCAGGTACTGCTTCCAATTGGCGGTGTCGGCACCTTTCTGATTTGCCCAGGGCTGCATCTTGAAGAAGTTCACCACGATCAAACGCAGTCTGTCCAGATCTCGCTCCTCTTGCCTAAGAGAGTCTGGCAGTCGTCTACGCTCCAATGCCTTGTCGAACGAGCCTCTTCGCGATGAGCTGTCAGTGCCATGCACAGCTGAAGTTACATCCACTCCGACCAATGAGCTCGAGGGAGTGCCTGATATGATCCATCGTCGTTCAACAGATAGCTTATCAAGCATGGCCATTGTCCTCGTTCTTGAGGCTGAGCTCGCGACCGAGTGACCTTCGTCACACACGACACGCAGCCATCGTAGCTCCGTCAGTTGCGATGACACTCTGTCCGTGCCACGAAGCCGCTTGCCCTGGTTCAGGTCATCATCACGGTACTCCACGTCCAGGCGATTTTTGGAGATCAGGACGATATCTTGATCCATGAGAGTTCGCCACGACGGTATTTCCTTTGTTGACATGTCGATAACGAGCACATCCAGCGCATCCAGCTCGGTGTGCTTCTTGATCTCATGTTGCCACTGGACGATCAAGTTTGGCGGGACAACGACTAGAGTCGCGCTACAGAGTCGGAGGGTGCGGTCTGATTCCCGTTTGCTGACTTTGCGGTCTGGCGTGGTAGGATTGAAGATTGGCTCTCCGAACTCGCGTTGATACTTGTCGAGCTCTGTCAGACAATTGTCGTAGTGGTAGCCGTCCATTCTTAGGGCATGAAACTTTGCTTTCCATGGCACGCCGTGATGTTTTACAGCGCGAGCTGCAGCGCTTAAGAGGCTTGGTGTCTGAGGATATAGCTGATGTACTGTTTCCTCGATACGGGCTTCTGGGAGTCGAGGATAAAATCCTCGGGTTGCAAGGATCAGTGCAATACACACCAACTGCCATCGTTAGTACCCACTCAGCAACACGATGCGTCTTTTTCGGCAAGCAGGAGAAGCATGTAAGCGTCAGATTCGAGGGCTGAATAAAGGCTCCCACGCCGTTGAACGCTTGACGGATCTCAAGGGGGAACATCCGAGTGTTTACTTACAGTCTTTCCGTAGCCCATGGTCTCTGCCAGTATGCCACCACGAGGCTCGACATAGAGTTGTGGATGTACGGTAACGCTGCCACTGAAGACATCCATGTAGAATGAGTTGCCCTCAAGATCGATGTAGCTGGGCTTTCGTGGGTCCTGCGACTTGTACGGGTCTTCTTCTCGTTGCAGCATCATGGCAACAGATTTTCGCTGGTAAGGATACAGTTCTGTTGTGATGCCAGGAATGGAACCATGTAGGGCATCATCGAGAGCTGCATGTGCATCTACGGTGCCTCGAAAGGCTGCTGAGTCTGGACTTGGTGCCTTCAGCGTGTTGAAGATATAGAAGAGTGACTCGTCTTGATCCGCTGATGGTATGCCATACGCCTCCGCCGGCCTGTCTGGATCGAAGTCGCCAGTCCATGTCTTCGAAGATCTGTCGATGATGCTGATAAGCCATTTAATTGTTTTTCGGAAAGGCTTTGGTGATGATCTGATAGCTCTATCAACGTCTTCTGGAAGCAGATAGATTCGTGCGACCGCCAGATCCGCCCTGCTAGGATGATCGACGAGGTGATGACGGAGCCAATGTCGTAGAACACATAGACGCTCATTTGGGAATGTTTCGGTCTGACCACAAGCAGATATATGCCATGATGAGTCCGAGTGGGAGGTCAGGTCGCGATGCAGACGGATCGATCCAAAAGCCACGTAGTTGCCCATTTCGCTTCCTGCACGCTGGTCCGAGTTGGAGATCGGAAGTGGCGACTCTGTATTCGACTCGTCACTTCCCAGAGATGCAGACATCGAGCCGTCGTCCGATTGCGACACGGCAAGTGCTTTGATCTGACTTGACGATCCTGGCTCCGAAGGAACACCTGCAAGATTTACGCTTGCAGGACCCAAGAAGAAATCCTGCACATCGTGGGGAACCTCGTCGAGCGGCATGCTGAAGTGGTCGCTGACCTTGCTCTACGACATCACGATCAAGCTCGGAATCGCGCTCGTCAGACCAACCTTGACGCGGTGCGAGCAAAGAGCGAAAGAGATGACAAGGTGGGATGGCAGCCTTGGGGAGGGGCCTCGAGGCAGTCGATAACAGGGGTTAGGACTAGTGCAAATGCCCCTGCGAGCTCATTGGCAGGAAAAGTTTCCCGAGCAGGACCCCCGAGACATGGTGTCCGTTCATCACAAACCTCACATCTAGCAGGTCGTTGAGAATAGTAGGCCGACATTGCCGTATAGTTCATCAATGAGACTCAAATACCGGAAGCCAGTTGTTAGGGCCGAGTAGTACTCGTTGACGAAGAGAGCTCATAGCATGTCTGCAAGGGTGAATGAATATAAATGCTGGTAAGGATGTACATCGGATGCCGCTCACACACTACATGCGGATTCTTGCTGAATATGGGCACTGGTCGAAGGTTCCAGACAAGTCGATATTTTTTGTCGAGCACTACCCAAGCACAACGTCTTTCCACACCGGCCCAGGCGCCAACGCTCGATGAACCGCACTCGCCAAGATACGACCCAGCGCCTCTCGATAGTACACACCATCTCTACAAGTGACCAGCAGCACGTTGTAAGCGCCATAGTCTCGCCGTGACATCTCCTCCTCCACTGCGTCAGGCAGCCAGCCCTGCTCATATGCCTCGATCTCGGCCTCAGTGAAGCGACTCATCCGAGACATGACCAGGAATTCCATCGGCATACCTACCAATTCGCGGTACGTCATCGTCAGGTCTATCGTGCCGCACCATTCTCCATTCTTGTCGGCGATGCCTGCTCGAATCAATCCTGGATCAGTCGGAGCTGGGCGTTTGGTCGAAAGCGCGGCTGGGCCAGTCATACGCTTTCGTAACGGCGACACGATGTCTTTCGTGATGGTAGTGGGCCGTAGCAGTGTGAAGGTTGCAGAAATCGTTTGGAAATGAAGGCGTGGCATGGTTGACCCACGCAGAATTGAATATCCTACGGGTGTCGGAACAGTGCTTCTAGGAACGGGCGGCCGGATCCGCCGTCGAGTCTGTACAGGGAACGGTGTGATGGTGTCGCTGGTCTGATCTGCCCCGTGCCACTCGATCCATGAGTCGGCCATCTCAGTGACCTTCCATTGAATCTCTCCTACCCAACCAGCCCAAGACATGGTCGAGAAGTTCTGCCGATGTTTGAGCATCTTGGAGGATTCCCAGATGAGTGCGGTATCGATCATATTGTCGGGCATGCCGAAGAACAGGTTCATGTCCAGACGAGCTTCGAGCACCGTTCCGACCGCCTCAAAAGCATCGAGGATGTCATTGGGATTGGTCAGGTCCCGCTGTGTATAAAGCTCAACGGCAGAGCTGAATTGCCAGAAGTGCCGTTCTCTGAATATCCTGGTTGGCATGTCAATGCAGTTCAGCGACCAGCCGTTCGTTGCAGGTGTTTCAATGTCTTCGCAGAAGGTGGCTCTACGGCATTGGAAGTAGATGCGACCATTCACGAAGAGCAAGCAGCGACGCGATAGCATTCGCTCACCGAACACCCACGCACGTGAATCCCATTGAGACGTGTTGATGTAGTCCTCTGCGATATGTGCGACCATCAGTCTTAGCCCAGGTACGACCTCTTCAACATCTTGATGGAATGCTCTTGACTCTTTGCGGACTCCTGGCAGGCCTGCATTGGCATCTTTGCCAGAGCCGCGGCCACTGTCAGACTGGCTCGAGCGTATACCCAGTCGTCGTGGTATTGGAAGCCTGGATCATGTATCAAAGCCAGGCTGTCTGTCCAGAGGTACTTCTCGCCGAGCATTCTCGTAAGCAGGATTGTATCCTTGATCGTTCTCGGAAGCTTTTCCTTTGCCAAAGCACCAGGGGTTGAGAGCCTGGCAAGATTTTCGCTAGTGGTGAATAGTTGGGCAAAATTCCTGCCCCAGAGATAGCTCAGAGCAATGAAGCGAGCATCTTCGGGCGGCTCAACTATGCACATCTGATCGACGTCAATCGCTCGAAATATGCCTATCCGCTTTGCGAGGAGTGCGGCTGGCACAAGAGACACGTCGCACTCAGGTCCATGCAGAGTCTCACAGCTTTTGAGCCATTGCTTGAGCATTGCCGCGTCAAGTTGGCCTTGTGTGGTGAGCATCCGGCCAAAGTACGGTCGCGACGGTGCATCATCGCCGAGCAAAACCAGATAGCCGTCTTTGAAAGTCTGCGGATCCGAGTAGATGAGAATTCGCCTCGTTCTCGGACGAAACACACTAGAGCCCTCCCTCGCAGGGTGTGGCTCTTCCTCCTGGCCGTCAACGACCCATCTCGCGTAGACGGCAGGGTCTTCATCTGCTATGTGACTCGGGTTTCGTTGGTCCAGCGGACGATCTGCTGTACTGAGCACAAGTCGGCATAGTGGACAGTGCAAGCGCTGCTGGATGTAGGACAGCTTGCCCAGCCATCGGAACCTGTTTTCCCTTTCATGCTCGTTGTCGCCCGGCTGGACAACAAATGACTCGACTCTCAGATCAAGCTTCGCACAGAAATCACACAGGTAGGACTCGGTTGGAGTTGGTGGCAAATCTTTGATCTTGAAGGGCAGGCGACCTAGAGTCTTGATACGCGATTTGAAGGCAGCGATCTTATCACTGCTTGCCGGGACCGGCCGTGAAGTTGACATTGGTTCATCGCCGTACACGAGAATGGCTCACGCATTGTGAAGGCCCATCAGCAGGTGTCTGGGCAGTATTGACAGCTGTAATCACTCGGCAAAGCTGTGTGGTACGTGTTTGAACATTTATTGGTGGCAGTTGCCCCACGTCATTCAGGTGCTCCTGCTGCACGGTATGCCTGCCCGATGTTCGAAATGACCTTCAGAATTGCTCATGGCTACAGAGGTATCGAGAAGACAAGCCCGTAGATGCCACCCTCCTCTGCTTTTGCATCTCAGCTCGATCTGAGAGAAGTCGAAGATTGCAGTGAAGAGCAGTTCAATATCGTCCCCGGACACACGGACCACCATCATGGCGGAGTTAGTGATCTTGTTTCCTGCAGTAATGGAACATTTTTGTGAATGGAGAATCGGATGCAGATGAGCTCTCCGACACTCAACCCAATCGTTTGACGAAGCATTCGAGTATCCTACGATACTTCTGTTCTCATCTCTCATCTCCTTCTTGCAGTCTTATAGCATAGACAGAATGTCGTTCGCCACACGCATGTTCGGGCAGGCCCAGCGCCGAGCGTTCTCGGTATCTGCGAGATCGGTGAGCTATACATCTCGAGACTGCGAAGCCATGATCATATGAGCCGCGGAAGCTCGAGTTGAGGCCGACGTCAGCTAATGCGATGCACAGTCTTCCAAGGTCGCCGTCCTCGGTGCTGCCGGTGGCATCGGACAGCCTCTGTCGTTGCTCATGAAGCTCAACCCCCGTGTCTCACAACTTGCTCTCTACGATATTCGTCTGGCAAAGGGTACTGCGAACCACTATCGTCTTGCGCTACATAGGTACTTACTGAGCACGCAGGTGTCGCTGCTGATGTCGGTCACATCAATACCAAGTCAACCGTCGTAGGCTACGACCCAACCCCAAGTGGTCTACGTGAATGTCTCCAGGACGCCGAGGTTGTTCTCATTCCCGCTGGTGTTCCCCGGAAGCCTGGCATGACCCGTGATGGTAAACTGAATACTCGACACCCAGAAGCCAGGTGGCTGACCGCAACAGATCTGTTCAACACCAATGCTAGCATCGTCCGAGATCTAGCAAAAGCCGTCGCTGATGCGGCTCCCAACGCCAACGTCCTAGTCATCTCCAACCCTGTATGTACTACCTTCTACGACTACGCCTCTACTAAACAAATCAGGTCAACTCCACCGTCCCCATCTGCGCCGAAGTCTTCAAGAGCAAGGGCGTCTACAACCCCAAGCGTCTCTTCGGTGTCACCACCCTCGACGTCGTCCGTGCCTCCCGTTTCGTCTCCGAGATCAAGAGCACCGATCCTGCCAACGAGAACATCACAGTCATCGGCGGCCACTCCGGCGTCACTATCGTGCCATTGATCTCTCAGTCAGGCCACACCGACATCACTGGCGAGAAGCTCGACAAGCTGGTCAACCGCATTCAGTTCGGTGGTGACGAGGTTGTCCAGGCCAAGGATGGCGCAGGCTCTGCTACTCTGTCTATGGCTATGGCTGGTGCTCGTTTCGCTGAGTCTCTCCTCCGCGCTGCGCAGGGCGAGAAGGGCGTCACTGAGCTACCTTCGTCGATTCTCCTCTCTACAAGGACCAGGGCGTTGACTTCTTCGCTTCCCAGGTCGAGCTTGGCCCTGATGGTGTCGAGAAGATCCACCCTGTCGGCAAGCTCACCTCGCACGAAGAGTCACTCCTCCAGGCTTGCCTGGGTGACTTGAAGAAGAACATTCAGAAGGGTGTTGACTTCGTCAAGGCCAACCCATGACGGATTGCTGCTCAAATCCAGCGCCAGCGTCAACGCGAAATCTCTCAGGGCGCTGATAGCAAACGACCAGATTTCAAGATGATTGCAGTGTGCGCGTACAGCATGATTATGTGGAGGCTTTCGCAGAGGTCGGGCTATCCTACAATGCAGCGGAGGGCCTGGGTGCTTGAGCTATTGACCTCATTTGGCGGTGTGATTTAGATAGCGTCTTCCAATTAAGATCTCCCTTGTCAAGCATGTTGCGGGACACTTCATAGCTACCTCACAACCCTGGACGTCCCGTTTGATTACACCTTTCCTTCCACAGAGTAACATGATCATGCCAGCTGAGTGCGCCGATACTAGATAGACATCCTAGATCGAACTTCTCGGATGTCAATTGGCCACCACGGTCGTCCCTCGAAACATCTAAGTAAGGTCGATGTGAACGGAAGAAATGTCCGTGAATCGATCTGCCAAGACCTATACGCGATGCTACTAGTGAAGACCCTGATGAGGTAACACGACCTGCCGCAACTGTTATCTTCTTTAGCTTTGGCGTGACTTGAGCGAAAAGATGCCAAGAAGTATGTGCCCGAGATGGTCGTATAGCTTTGCTGAAAGCACGCCCATGACGATACGCGGACGAGCTCGACATTCAGGTAGGCCGTTAGATATATGAGAAGGCAAGTACCCGCTCTTTCGACATTCTCGCCGCACCGTGAACGTCCTCTACATCGTCCCACCACCAGAACACAAGCAGTTCCTGGAAACCCATCAATCTTTGCATCTCCCTACGCACGAGTCACTGAGCGGCACGGTCGCACACGATCATGTCCACCACATCCATAAGCCTTGACCGTAGTTTCAGCTACGAATCCGCGACACACTCTTACGATATCAAATGGACATCACTCGGCAGTCCATCCTCCCCACCACTAATCTTCATCCACGGCACCCCGTGGTCATCGATCGTCTGGCACCAGTTCGCCCTTTCGCTGGCCCACTCTCATCACGTCTACCTCTTCGACAACCCTGGTTTTGGCTCTTCGCCCCTTGGTCGACCTCTCCCTGGCGTAGCCATCTCGGAAGCGGAGGAGTTGGATGCTGATTTGGCACGGCAGAGCGAGGTCTATGCTGCGCTGTATAAATACTGGGAGCGGAATAAATCAGAGGGGTGGAACGGCCGAAACCCGAGCGTAGTAGCGCACGACCACGGCGGCCTGATGGCCCTCCGTGGCCACCTCCTCCACGATCTGCAGTACTCCAAACTATGCCTGATCGATGTGGTCGCCATCCCCAGTCCCGACGGGAGGAAGAAGCCTTTCTTCGAGTTGGTGAGTGAGAACCGAGGGGTATTCGAGGACGAGCGGTGGAGTGATGCGAACGGGAGGTTGTGGGAGGGGTTGGTGGAGGGGTATATTCGGGACGCGGCGTATAGGGAGTTGGATGCGGGTGTGATGGCGCAGTTGAAAGAGCCGTGGACAAAGAGGGGGATTGAGGGGAGGAAGGGCTTTGTGAGGCAGACTGTGGGTGCGGCGAGGAGGGATGTTAGCGCTGTTGAAAGCAGGTATGCGGAGGTGGCGGGGAAGATGCGAGTGCGGATCATATGGGGAGGTGAAGATCGGTGGCTTCCTGCTGAGACGGCAGGGAGATTGGCCGACGCGTTGGGGGAAGATGAGGGATGTGTAAGGGTGATTGAGGAAGCTGGGCATTTGATCATGTATGACCAGCCGGCGAGATTGGGTATTGAGTTGGCGTTGTGGGCCGCTGAAAGCTAGTCATTGAGTGTCTGGTGGTTGGTGGCTTCATATTGTCCCTCTACATCTTCCTGCCGTCGCGCCCTTGTTCTGTGAGCGCTTCTTCCCGTTGTCATCCTGCATGCTCAATTTTCTCATGAGATACCTCGACATCTTTTCCGGTGGCAGGATCATGATGATCGGGCCTCTCTGCAATCTGTAAAGGCCCATTGTAGACCTCGGTCTCATCTCCAAACATTGCTGCTATTTCCTCCAAAGGTTTTCCTCTGGTATTGGGAAAGAAAAAGAAGGCAATGATAGCGAACAGATACGCAGGAATGATGAAACATAAATAGAACTTCCAGCCAATTGTCCTGCGGACGCCCGTTAGAAACGATACGGGGAAGAATCTTTTGCCACTTACTTGAAGGCCAGTGGTGCGACCTGCAACCACATGATGTTGACCAAAGCGATAGTAGCTAGCCCAAGGCATACTCCTTTACCCCGGAGATGGTTTGGGAACATCTCTGGATAGTACACCCATTGGACCTCGTCTAGACAGAGTTGAGAGAAAGCCTGCATCATAGTCTTCAGCATGCTAATTCAGTCAGTGGAGGATTGCTTCTCGTACCATGTAGCAAAACATCATTGCAACTGCTGCTCTTAGGGCAGTATCGTTCTGACCTGGGCCGACAGGAAAGTTGTGGACCAGTGCAGCTTCCACCACAAGACAGGAGGTCACGAGAAAGGTGCCTAGCGCCACCAGTTTGTTTCTTGGAAGCAGGTCAATCAAGAAGATGCCAATGATGCCGCATCCGAAAGCGAGGGTGTTGAAACCAGCTTGATACAAGAGGATGTTCAAGCCTTTGATGCCAAGGCCCTCATAGATGATGGAACCGTAGTCTATCTCGCGTCAGTCCCGTTGTGCTCGACAATTCGAGCAAAGGTACTCACTATTGAACACAAGCACACCAGTCATTTGGATACCAATTGCGAGTCCAATGGAGAAGAGTGCACGCTTGCGGTAAGACCGCTTGGTCATGAGGGAACCCCAGCTCGATGGCAACTGCTTGTCGACACTCAGTTGAGTTTCGATTTGCGAGAACTCAACTTCTGCTTCATCTGGATGATGAAGCTTGGCAAGCGTCTTGCGTGCTTCTTCGTGTCTCCCAGACTGGACCAAAAATCTTGGCGATTCTGGAACCATGGCATTCCCGCGAGCACGACAATTGCAGGAACAATTTGCAATGCGATTGGGCCTCTCCAGGCATTTACCTTATCTCTGAGTCAGCCTGGAGGCCCATACACCCGATGATGGACAGGGACATGTGCTTACCGTTTGAAGCCCGTAAAATGCCACTCCCTGTAAGGAGTCAGCAAATCTCACGATTGTGGACATGGGCCGAGAAGACCTACCATCCAGCTCGCCCACGTATACCCCAGCAATAGACATGCGCCGTGAATGTTGACCAGGGCACCACGGTTCTTAGGAGGAGCAACCTCGGTCATCCAAAGTGGGATACCGCCCAGGAGCATCCAGGATCCCATTCCAGCCACAAACCTGAAGATCAGGAACATTGCAATATTGACCGAGCCCGCCATAAGCGCTCCGGATAGCACAAGAAGCACATTGGCAACCGCGATGGTCCATTTACGGCCATAGTGATCGCCGATAACGTTGATTAAGATGGATCCAAAAAATGCACCAGCTTGGAACAAGCTGTTCATCAAAGAGATGAGGGTCGTCGCATCTGAACGGGTCGTGAGTTGGAACTTCAGAAGGAATGATGTTTGAGCTATGCAGATGTAAGCAATTGAAGGTGTAAGGCACTGTGATCTCGATCGTTGTGCTTTACCTAGTGTTGTGCCAATGATGCTGGCACTGTAGCCCATAGCAAGTGATCCGATCCCCATGTAGAGGATAACGGCGACATTGTACCACTGAAATTGTCGCCTGTCGACATGGGGTGCTTTGCTGGCATCCATGTTAGCAGTCGAACGTAGCAGACTAAATTTTATTCGCGTCGCAAGTGTTTCAACGCGGACAGCCCTGGAAGCCAGGAAGATAATTCGGAGTCGTCAGAGGAAAGTGAATCTCTGGTGCCATACCTATGGTCTTAAATGTCTTAGTTCTGCGCATTGCGAATCCTGGGGTAGCCAGAGTCCATGGCAACGGGTGCCATTGCTTCGACCATGAGCGCGTACGCGAGGACCAGACAAAGTTGCCCTCCTGCGGTCGCTTCGCGTACGTCGGCTGAAGTGGGCTACAGGAAGAAGTTAAATTCTACCTTACTCGACGCAGCCGAGACGCGAGCACATCCGACGACCAATTGGAATTTGTAGCACACGTTCGCACGAACGTGGGGATTTCCCGCGGTCACGTTCGCCAGTTTCATCGTTGAAGGCATGCACCCGGGCAGGGGTTTCCCCGCTATTCGCCCCGTGGGGAGAGCTGCTCAGGGCCTATCCTATTCCTGTGACCAGAACCTCCCATCGTGCCACCGTGAACTCTCGAAGGCACGTGCTCTCTATGGCCTGGACTCGGAAACCTCCCCTTGTGTCAGCTTCCACGAGACTGACCGATGCTGTATAGCTTGCACCAGCTCACCAAGCATTGAGCGAGGCAGAGATACCTGTCAACGATTGAAAGAACTTGTGATATCAATGTATACATCAGATCCTGCTGCTGTGGGCGCGACGACCGTTGCCGGCGAGAGGACCACTAGAATCCGTCAGACCGGGCTTGGACGGTCAGGACCTCGATCGAGGTCGGGCTGCCTGCCATGTAAACAACGTCGCGTCCGCTGCGATGAGATCCATCCTTCATGCAGTCATTGCGTGAGGCTCCAGCTGCGCTGCCAATACAATGCTCCAACCCAAAGGAAACATGCCTCTTGTAGCGGTCCAGTCGATCATCAGAAAGTGGCTGGGGTTGCTGCACATGCAGGCACGGCCGAGGGACAAGCATGTTCTCTCGCTGACGGTGTCCCATTGTTCCTCTCGAACCCCTTGGGTGGCAACTTTGGCACAGCTGCTCTCAGCGTCCAGTCAAATATGGGACTGTGGGCCAACGACCGACTCTACAGCTTCGCTGACTTGACCGAAAACTTGTCAACATCATGGGCTGGTCAAGCTGCGAGCTTTTTCCCGGAAGACGAAGAGTTGGGAACCTTGGTGGATTCCACGTTCGATGGAGGATACAGCTTAGCAGACACCGGAAAGACAAACATAACTCGTCCTGGAGTAAGTGATACGCCACCGTCTTGCACGACGAATGCACCTGTCAGAGATGTGCAACAAGCCGGTCAGTCCAACGTTGCCTATCAAACGTGCGACTCGCATGACCTCGAGGCGTCATCACCGTCATGGGATAGTATACTCGAGCAAGCGGGACCCAACGCATTTCTACTTGACCAGTTTCGCAGAATCGCGCAGCCGCCAGCTGCCATCCTCATTGGAGGCTCCAAGAAGTGGCGCAGGCTACAGCAGTACCTGTGCAGGTGCAGCGGGGAAAGTCGTGCAGTAGAGAACGCTCTGCTCTGCGTTGCAGAATTACTGTCTACGGACGCTACGAGTAACCAAGAAGGCCATCACCGCACAGACAGTCTGCGTCGCGTTGAGGATCGTCATCGTGCAGCATGTCACGAGATCAGAACAAAGCTTGCAAAATCGATGGAATTCAAGGCGAAGTCGCTCGAGCATCTACTGGTAGCTATATTCCTTTTAGCCTGGCTAGAAGTGATAAGGGACCAGGACGCTGGCGTGAGTCGCTTTCCACGTGACTTAGCCGACTCGATCATAACGGGTCACGTCAACTGGAGCAGAAGTTCTCAGGAGCTGCTATCCTGGCTGAACACTCTCGACAGCAAAGCAACACATCTTGGTGGTCACCATTTGCTCTCCTCGGAAGCACTCGAGATAGTGAGCCATTATCCCACCCAGATTACCTCATCCGGATCTTGTGGCGATGAAGTGGCCATCGACTCCCAAGACAGAGCCGCAAAGGAGTTTGGTAGATCACCTGCATACTCCAGCTCGGCAAGTGGTGCATCTCCTGAAGAGCGTCGGCGGCCACTGCTGAACACTAGCACCCCTTTCAAATCTATTGGTCATGTCAAACAAGCCTTGCTGCACACGATACTCCAGCCTGCCTTGCAGTGGCATCTGACCTCACAATCGTACTGCCGTCGAATCAGCACACACGACAAGCATCATCGAAATAGATTTACCAGTGACGATGAATATGAAGTCATTAATGCATGCAAGCAGCTGGAGCTCGAACTCCACGACCTCTGGAGTTTCAGGCCGGCAGTGGTTTCACTTCCTGCTGCACAGTTGAAGCAAGTCGTAAGCGAGGATCTTGCTATCAGGCTAGAAGAGATTTTCAGCGTCTACAAGGCAAGCTTCTGGATTCTTTTCGTGTACTTGCATCGCGTAAGCTGGTGGAACTTGCCACACTCCGATTTGACGCGGCAGGCATTGTCGGAGGTCTGGAAGAATATGCGTGGTGCCTATGGAGAGAAAGTCCCAGGCGCGATGCACAAAATCGTACATCCATCTCTGCTCTGGCCGCTTTTCATGTTTGGTTGTGAATGCGCGGACATAACGCAGCGAAGCTGGGCGATTGCTCAAATCGAGGCGTTAGGTGAGGCCAAACCAATCGTCAACGATGACGAAAGCGACACCGATACACTGCCTCCGTTCCGGCTGAGCCTAGGCGCGACACGGAACGCGAAGCGGGCCGCTGTGCTCCTCACTCATTTAACTCAGGAGCAGGACAAGCAACGGACTCGGATAGATGATAGGGACCTGTCCATTACGCTGTTCGGTTGCTACTTCTCGATCATTTGAAGCAGGATTTCGACTTAAGCATTGTCGACTTCCATTTCACTGCACGACTGCAATGATTTCGGAGACTTGATCTGCCTCCAAGAGCGGGACTGGGTTTGTAGGCGACCAGAAGTCATCCAATGCGCGTCTAGCCAGCCCTGGGATGTCCGCGGCCGTTATGCCAACTTCATTCAAAGTCCTGGGTAATCCTAGTGCACGGATTATGGCGTCCAAACATTGGCCTAAAGATGAGGTCTCATTCAATGACGCAGCTCCAGCATTTGAATCACTTCAGGCTCTGACCACAATATGCTCCTCACCATCTCCTGCCTTCTCAGGATCTCAGAGTTGTGGGCGCCGTGCTTGATGTTGTAGTCCATGACAGCCGGGCACATGATGCAGCTCGTGACCCCATGCGGAACCCCAAGCGGGCCAAGCTGATGGCCAATAGCATGGCTCCCGCCCATAGGAATGCCAGCGCGGATGTTGTCCATTGCCATGACGACTGCCATCTGGCATTGGTGGCGCGCTTCCAGATCACGTGGGTTTGCATGACTTTTGAGCAGGTTGGGAACCAGTAATCTCAGCCTCGTGAAGCCTTTTCGTCACTCTTAGCTGTGCCGGTGAGACAACAAAGAGCTTCGACGCAATGATCTAAGCTCCTGAACCCCGTGCTGTACCAGTAATAAGGTGGCGTCGTAGTGCATAATTCCGCATCCAGTATCACTAATTTTGAGCCCATGCCGGAATACAGAAACCCCTGCTTATGATGAGTCACGGGATCAGTTCCTCCGGCGAGGCTGAAATACTGGAGCTGGTCAGTAGCTGCAAGTATCTACAGCCCTCGGGACAAGACAGAGGAAGCATACCTCTCCACCAGATAGACTGGTTGGGATTGTGATCAGCGGCACCACTGGACGCTTCACATTCGCCGGGACGGAAGTGCTTTCGATCGAATATCGAGCAAGCTGCTCTGTGGTTGTGATATCGTTGGCCAAAGCCTGCGGGTGAAGGTTCCATCAGCAGTGTCCACAAGATCTGGCCAACCTTGTGATATCACTTACAAGAACAATGATCTTCCCTCCATCGGTCAGGCTGCCAGCACCCAAGGTGACTATGCAGTCCACGTGCAGTTCCCTACATTCATTCGTAATCTCAATAATGTCGGTCCATGGTGTGTGTTGTGCCATTCCTTTCTTAACGCCGACGACTCTATCTCTACCGATGCTGGAGATCAGTCGCTCCACGCCATCGGTCTGGTGGGACAATGTTCCGGATGCGATGATGTATACTCTCGACGCATGGAAAGTGTTCTGTATATGCTTCGCACACAGCTCGTCGTATGGTGCGCCGTAAGTCATTAAAGGTGAGTCAAGTTCTAAATTCGTTGTCGGTATCCCGGCCAGGTTCGTTCCAGCAGGTTCTTCAAACGCTTTGCGGCATACTACAGACGAAGACATGGCGGACTGAACGTCCGTGACGACGAAGCCGATAGACCCGCTAAGACGGAGATATAGCGAAGTAGACGTCGGCGCTATGTATACAAGAGCTCAGAAACGACAAGAATTCTCTAGCATATTCATCCGTTGGCGGTGCTCGCTGTCAGTCAAACGGACTCGGCAAGTCGTGCTGACGTGGGAATTTACCGTCGCGGTCGCGGTCCAGCGCCTTCCTGGCTCCAAAGTGAAAGTGACACCGAACCAGGCGATGCCAGAAGGTTGACCTCTGAGGTTTGTCCAGTTCTCCGAATTGCTCCGCATCTCGTCAATCGTCTCGTAGTTGTCGATCGCTCGACAAGCATGCGAGCCGACAGCCGAGCGAAATACGGGGCAGAACGATGATCGCGGGCACCAATCCTCGAGCCTGAACCCCATGTGGGGATGAAAATGCTTGTTCGCGTCTCGTCAATCGCGTATCTAAGTACCGGGAACGGTTGGCAAGATCGACCTTCATGTCTCCTCGTGCGACTTGTGCCGCTGTATCATCACTCTGTACTCGGAGCAAGCCGCATCGGAGACACGCTGGCATTTAAAGGCCAGTAGAGACCTGATACAGTACCTGCAAACACTGGTGGCTATAACATCTGCACAATATAGTCGGCTTCGACGTTTGCGACCAACACGATGGCTCAAAATCGTATAATGACGATCTCCAGTACCCCGGATTCAAATGCTATACCTGGAGAGGACTTCGTGCACCCCAACACCTGGTACAACCAAGACTTCAACGGCTATCGAGTCACTGAGCACCCTCTCTATACCAAACGGCATCTAAGGATAGTATGCGTTGGGGCTGGTGCCACGGGGCTTCAGATTGCATACAAGGCTGAGAGGATATTAAAGAATGTCGACCTCCAGATATACGAGAAGAATCATGATGTAGGCGGAACCTGGCTTGAGAACCGATATCCTGGCTGCACTTGTGACATTCGTAAGTGTCCTCGCATCAATGTATAATAAAATACTTGACACAGTTCGATCAAAACACAACTCTGAAGAGGGCGCTAACAGTCGAACAGCTTCACATTCATACCAATTCACGTGGCACAGAAATCCAAAATGGTCTCACTTTTACTCCTCTTCTCCGGAAATTTGGCAGTACTTCAAAGACGTCTCTACGACCTACAACCTAGAGAAGTACGTTCAGTTCAAGACGAGCGTTGATTCTGCGACTTGGGACGAGGAATCAGGTAAATGGACCCTTTCGGTACTCGGACCAGACGGCAAGGTCTTCAGTGATACCTGTGACATCCTGATAAGCGGCTCTGGAGTCTTGAACTCTTGGAAGTATCCAGCTATCCCAGGACTTGAGATCTTCCAGGGCAAATTGATGCATAGTGCTAAATGGGACGATTCCTATGATCTCACCAACAAACGGGTAGCAGTGATCGGGGGTGGGTCTTCTGCAGTCCAAATCATACCAAGTATCCAGCCGAAGGTAAAGAAACTTATACCCTTCTTACGGTCTCCTGTTTGGGTGACCACTGGCTTTGGTGCGAAATATGCAGGACCGGGTGGCACCAACTTCAAGTACTCAGAAGACCAAATCAACCACTTTCAGGACAAGCAGGGCGACTACACGAAATACTGTCGGGACATTGAAGGAGAGCTTAACAAACGATTCACGCTTATGCATAGTCTTGGCCAGGATCAGAAGGCTTCTCTCAGCTGGTGACCGATATCATGACCGAGCAACTAGGTCACGACCCAGTTCTGACGCAACAAATGGTGCCCGACTTTGCATTGGGTTGTCGAAGGATGACCCCAGGCAGCGGATATCTACAGTCCTTGCGGAAGGAAAATGTGCAACCAATTCATGCGTCTGTTGTGCGTCTAACGACCACAGGGGTGGTGGACGACACAGGAGTCGAGCATGAAGTTGATGTTGTTGTATGTGCCACTGGCTTTGACACCTCATTTACGCCGCATTTCAAGGTTGTCGGTCGGCACGGCGCGAACATTCAGGATCAATTCGGTGACTTCCCAGTTGGGTATCTGGGAATCATGGCGAGGAACTTCCCAAACTTCTTCTGTAAGCTCGTGGACCCACTGGGGAAGGGATTACCAGCTTACCTCGTCACAGTATTCATCGGACCAAATGGCCCAGCAAGTCACAGCTCGATTCTACCTATCCTGGAGTGGTACACCAGATACGCGTTTCAGATCATCGAAAAGGTACAAACTGAGAACATCAAGGCATTTGAGCCAAAAGAAAAATGCATAAGGGATTTGTACGACCACACCCACGAATTAATGAAGCGACTGGTATGGTCTTCACGTAAGTAGCCTCTTCGAACTCTTGGCCATCTACTGACGATTTCTTTGCTCAGCCTGTCGGTCATGGTTCAAGAACGGCAAGATTCATGGACCTGTGACTGCAATCTACCCTGGCAGTAGGCTACACTTCTTTGAGCTGTTGAAGAATGTTCGTTATGAGGATTTTGATATTAGCTATCGGACGGGAAACACCTACCAGTTCATGGGCAATGGGTATACCGACTGCGAGATTAGCCCAGATGGCGATCCGGTATGGTATTTCGATGATCCTTTTACGCAGGTATAGAAAGCATGCAATGTCTTTTTCAACTATGAGTGGTGATGACGACGAAGCCACAGCAAGCAGATGTAGCGGCAATAATAGCAGTGATGCTTCTTCTGAGACAGTGTCAAGCTGAGAACAAAGGAATATTACTGTAGACTTGACAGCGAGAAGCCACGGCTAGGAGAGCGTAGGCATTACGACTATTCAGTGCCAATAGCGTCCTTTGATTATGAGGCAGTCAAAAGACAGAAGTATCGGCGTATACGTTATCCTTCTACCGCGCGGCTTTCGTCTCGCTGTCTAATATCTCCATCGTTGACCTCATAGACCTCACGAGCAGCCAGGACTGAGGTACCGTTTTCTTTCTGTTCAGACGACAGTCTCAACCATGTGATTAGAGGTTGGATCGCAGGTGTCCTGCAGCAGAGCTATCGTTCGCTCGCGATAGGATTTCTAATACTGTCTTAGCCTTCGATTGCGCACGCCTGTCATTTAAGTAGCAGAGCCACTCACCTTTACCAATGTTGCGCAGGTCGACTTTCCTCAATTTGCCATTCGCCGTTTTCGGCCACTCCAACGGGATGCCCAAAGTGGCATCTCCCAGCCACCACACATGGACCGGTACCTTATAGCGAGCCAACGTCTGGCGTACCCATGATTTCATCTCGGCAATTGGCGGAGGGACGCTGCGATAACTCTGAATCTCGAGCATGGCGGCAACTTCCTCCCCATAACGCTTGCTTGGCACACCAAAGACTGCAACCTGTTTCACGGCAGGGTGCTCATAGAGTCTGGCTTCAATCTCTGCAGGTGAAATGTTCTCGCCGCCGCGGATGATGAGATCTTTGATGCGACCTGTGATGACCAAGTAGCCGTCTTCGTCTAAGTATCCTTCATCTCCTGTATGCATCCACCTTCTAGATTTCCCCAACTCGTCAGGGCCCGCATGACCGGGCAAGGTGTCCTCTGGGTGCGCCTTGATGGCCTTCATAGTCTGAGCTTGGTCATTGAAGTAAGAGTGCATAACAGCGAAGCCGCTGACCACTATCTCGCCCCTACAGCCCCAAGGGACTGTGCGTCCAGTCTCAGGTCAATAATCTTGGCTACCAGGTTTGGCAAGAGCTTGCCCGCGGTTTTCAGATTTTTCTCGATTGTGTCCGAGCCATCAGTCATAGTAGCTATTGAGGAGAGCTCAGTCATGCCCCAATTGGTATAAATGATGGGAAGAGGAAAGGCCTTGGTGACTCTTCGAAGCAGCTCTTCCGGCATCGCTGACCCTGCCATGACGCCAAAGCTGGGGAACACCATGTCAGCCAGTATCGAATCCAAAGCGGGTATTGATGGCACTAAACGTACCGTAAAGATGACAACCGGAAGGCTCCGAAACATGGATGCGAAAGCTCATCAACGAACATAGTTGTGACGCCATATATTCCAGTGCATCGAAATTCTTGTATCGATGAGAGTGTTGCTCCTGCGTCAAAGTACTCAGATGGAAGCACGATACTCGCGCCTGCCATCATTGCCGCGCACATCCCTACACGATCGTCAATGCAGGTGTCAGGCCCGGGGAGGGAGTGGCTTTACCAATAATCAAGCCAAATGCATGGAACAAAGGTACGGGCACCAAAATCCTGTCGCTGGGGTGAATCTTCATCTGCCGGCCTATGTAACGTGCACTGTTGAGAATCCCTCGATGTGTAAGAGCAGCAGCTTTCGGTCGGCCCGTGCTTCCTGAGGTGAATTGTAGATTGATGATGTCCTCTGGCTTCACGGCGTTCTCAGCCTGTACCAAATCCCAAGTGGACGATGAACCAAGGTCACAAAGTCCACAGTAAGTGAGGAAGCCGTGGTTTCGTTCCTGGTGGTCAGCTTCGCCTGATATATCCGGCAGTATGACGATGCTTTCTATACATGACAACTGAGACGAGAGCTCGTTCAACGTTGTGGTATAGTCGTAGCGAGACGTCGTTAATGTAGTTATAAGCACTTTCGGCGTCGTAGCAGCGATTGTGCTGTGCAATTCCGCCGCTGAATATGCATAGTTGAGCAGGGTCGCGTATGCCCCCAACTTGCCGCAAGCTAGAAAGATCTTTTTGACAATGAGCAATCAGTCCAAGTCTGCTCATCGTGCGGTCATGTTCGGTATCTCACCTCGAGGTACTCTATCCTGTTACCTAGTAGAATGGCAACTCGATCTCCACTTCCGACTCCCAAGGCCCGGAGTCCAGCCGCAACTCTGCGAGATTGTGTCTGAAGAGAAGCGTAGGTGATTTGCGTCTTCTGCTGAGGTGAGTAGGCGATGATATTTTCGGGGAATTCAGAGCATCGTTCTTCAAGGGCGATGTTGAATGTGGTCTCCAGCACTGGCGGTGTTGAAGGACCCCTGATCAATGACGGCCTTGGAGCCAGAGTACTGCCTCCAGCCATGCTGGCACGTCGATGGAGACTTTTAGACACGTTGAGCTCAAGACATGGTATCTCACTGCACAGTAGATGCCGTGAATATCGTGAAAAGGAGATACATTGCAACAAACCCCAGAAGCATTACAGCTCTTCGAGTCTCAGGTGTTCCTCTGTCCTTGCGACATTGGATCGACTACGCGACTGCAGTACTGGGCGGTGATGCCCCGTGATACTCACCTCTGGTGGGCTCCGCCGCTCCGCAAGTCAATCGCCCCGTCAAGAACACACTGCCGATAGTTCCAGTGGGAATTCCTGATTCGGCTGTCGGCTATCGCGTCTCGGGTAACCCAAATTCACTGGCTTGCCACATCCCTTACCCCTTGCAAGTTGCTACTGTACCTAACTTCCGACCCTTTCTTAGTGCACGGCCTATTTGCATGTCACTTGTACACGATGTGCACGGACATGCTTAGCTCGGCAGGTAGGAGCTAGAATCGTAGTCAACCTGAGGTCTAGACGCAAAGAGATCCTTGTGCATGACCATTCGTCCAAGTGTGACAAAACAGTCCACATCGGAGACGATGCATGATGAAATCAGAGGGCGCCGCTTGTAGCGCAGCAAGTAAATCACACTCATCGTGAACAGCATTCGGCCGGTATTGGAACTCCAGATCAACACGGTTCAAGAAATTCTGAGCGTAGGGATCGGTAGTAGTAAAGGTCCAAGGACGCGTAGCAGTCGTACATATTGCGCTGCTACCAAGCACAGGAAGTTGCATCGTTGATGTATGGCTGCTGATGCTCAGGGTTTGAGTTGGTGATATCACACGAGAATTCAGCCAGGCGACTCAGGCACTAGTCCCAAGATCGTTAGCCTACGACCTCACCTTGTACAACTGACCTGAGAGCAGCGCAGGCAGACATGGTCATGCAAGTGACGAAGATACGACCAAACAACGCCTCGCAGAGACCGTGAGAAATAGGACATCGTTGTTCCTACTTCTCGAATGGCATAGAAAGACGGAGAAGAGTTCTACATTTCGTCTTCCTGAGGCAGCCTACACGCTGACCGTGCTGCCATGTGACCACCAATAGCCATTAGCTCCAGGTAGAAGTCCAGGAAGCATAGAACGTAAAGTCATGCGTCGCTCTATCGTCATAGTGCTCGTCTCGTCATGTTCCATTCATTCGACCTTGTTCACATCATTCCTTCGTCCACGTTTTCGTGTCTGCGTTACCTCGCGGGCGCCTTTGGGGCCGTGACAGCTTACCGAGTTTGACACCACCCGGAGCATCACGGGATGCTGGCGAAGACCGCGAAATGTCAAACGCACTTGAGAGTGACTTGCCTCCAGAAGAGTCGGGAGACTTCATCCGGCGCGCACAAGGACCGATCAAGTGTAGCCTGTGGATTGTGAGTGACCTGATAGCATTAAGGATAATGGACAACTTACTTCTCATCGCATCAGTGTAGCCCGTGCCGCCCTTCAAATCCCTCTCGAAGCTCTCCGCCACATCAATGACACGCCTAATGTGCTTCATGTCCAAAGGCTTCTCTTCATGCACAGCCAAGGCCTGCGCAGCACGCACCAAATTCTTGATCTGCCTACCATTGACATCGCGTCTCGCCAGGTCGGCGTAGTCTTGATCTGTAATCCGTCCCACTTCCGTACCTTCTGACTTCATGACCTTCTCGATGAACAGCTTCCAGACGCGATGTCGAGCCTTCGTGCTCAATTCCTCGTAGCGGAGCGACAGGTGAATCCGGGAAACGAATGCTTCGTCGAAGGTCTCGACGCGGTTTGTTGTCAAGAACAGTATGCCCTGGAAATACTCCAGCAGCCGCAAGAAGATGCTGACCAGTGCGTTGCGATGAATATCGTGGATCGAACGTTTCTCGAGGAAGACGTCGGCCTCGTCGAGCAACAGGATGGCACCCCAGCTATGGGCGATGTCAAGAATATTCTGAAGCTCCTTCTCCAGATTGCGCGGATCAGTACCGAGATCGCCGGCACTGACCATGTACAGCGGACATTTGAGCAGATCAGCGATGCCTTCAGCCGTCAAGGTCTTGCCGGTGCCTGGCGGACCGTGCAGAACACAGCAAAGACCACGGCCTTTGCCAGAGATGATATCGTCGATGCTCTTTGACGGGTGGAAAGCATGGCTTGAGACTAGCGCTTTCACTATAGACTTCTGATTGTCTGGTAAGACAAGACTGTCGAATGCATCTGTGTTGTAGACGACCTCCGAGATGCCTGACACGGTGAACTCGAGCCAGAGCTTCTCGCCAAACGCAAACCCAAGCACGACAGGAGATGCGATCAAGAGCTCCTCTTCGCTGAATGCTCGGCTCTCGGCTTCCTCGATCCGGTCGCCCTGTGAAATAGCCTGGGCCTCGTCCTCCGGCTCGACTGCAACAATAGTGGCTGTTCCGTCGGGAGCTCGGACGACTCTGTACCGACGACGCTCTTGTTGACCAGCCTCTTCACTAGACGAGGGAGTGTTGCCATCGTTGCCACCATCGTCACTGCTGCTGCCACAGCAATCGCTCTCCTCTTCATCATCGCTGATTTCGAAGATATCTTCGTCTTCCTCCTTGGGTCGGACAGTGCTGATCTGGTAGTTCGGGTTGATGCGTCGGTGAATAGCCGGGTCGCACATGATTCGACCATTGATGTTGATCTTCAGTATTTGCCGCTTTCTCTTGGTGTACGCCATACCCTTGTGGAACTTGTAATGCATGCCCTCCAGAGAGACGAACTTCTTGCCGCGCTCGATAAGCGTTTCCCGCATTGCGGCAGGTTCTTTGTGGTACTGCAGTGGGTAGCAATCCAGAATCGATATGCGACGCACACCTTGAAACTGTGGAACCTGGACAGCCATGCTACCCATACCAAAGGACTTGCCATCGTATTCAAGATATCGACCTTCAATGCTGTACCACGTACCTTTCATGAAGTGCGACTCTTTATTGGCATACTCAATCTTGAAAGCGCGAGGCTGTTCGCTGTCGCCATAGGTGGTGGTGTATGCGATGGTGTTCGGCTTGAACAGAGCCCAGAGAAGATCGAATGATATCGTATTGTTCTCCAGCATTGGATAGAGGGTCTTCTTGGTCTCGGCGTAGTCCTTGTCGAGGTACTTCACGAGGACCTTCAGATGCGCAGCCTTTGCAGCGGCCTCTTTCCGATCCTTCTTCTTCTTGGCGGACTTGCCTTGTTCCGAAAGCTTGTTCATATATGCTCGCGTTTCCTCGAGATACAAGAAGAGCATGTTGGGATCGACATGCGGCGTGTCAGCAACAAGACTGACACCTTTGACCCCGACCATGACGTGTTGAAGCGCTTCCTTCAAAGGCTTTGACTTGATGTCGACCGCGGTCTCCTGGTACTTGTGCTCCCAGTCGAATTTGCGCCGTACAGTGAAGATGTATTGGTCCCATTCGTCGGCATCCTTGTCTTCGACAGTCTCGGTCAGCTTGTAATTATGGATAGACGAATCCCATAGCTGATCGACGCGCTTGAAGGCCACCTTCGATGCCCGCTTCTTCTTTGCCAGCTTCGCCTTCGCCTTCTTCTGCTTCTCGGCGGCCTTGCGAATTTCTTCGATATCCAGATTGCGGCGATTGAGCGTACTCAAGGCATCCAGAGACTGCTTGCGAGTCCGATTCTGGAGACCTCTCGACGCAGCACCACCACCCAGCCTAGCCAGAAGCTCGGCAAGTTCGGTCTGATCTTCGCTGATGCTCTGTTGCTTGAGTTTGCGTAGCCGGCTGGCGCGCTGAGCCTCGATCACGGCCTGCAGCTCTGCTGTAGCGTCTTCATCAGGATCCTCGTCGTCAGACGAGTCTTCCTCTTCCTCCCGGGTAGCTCGTCGTTTCCCGAGTCTGCCCTTTTTCGCCGCCTTGGAGTTGGCTTTCTTCAACTTGGCTTTCTTGTTCTTTCTCTTCTTAGTCGCGCCATCGTCACTAGATGAGCCGCTGTCGTCTTCTGAGGAAGAGAGTTCAGACTCGGAGGACGACGAAGATGACGAGGATGAATCGCTTGACTCTTCCTTCTTCGCACTTTTCTTGCTCTTTGCTGTTTTCTTGGGAGTAGACTTCTTAGAGCGCGCTTGCTTCTTATGCGGTGTAGTCTTGGTCTCTTCGGTAGGCTGAACGTCTTCTGGTGTAGGCGCTGGCTCGGCGGGCGGAGGAATGACGGTCTTCTTCACCTCTTGATTCTGCGTAGCGGTCTTCTCAGCATCCATAGTGGTGTTGCGCGATGACTTCCTTGGATGCAATGGCTATCATTCATTGATGGCTTGGCCCGCGAGAGATGAATTTCTCAATGAGATGAAATTGAGGCAGTCAAGAAGAGCGTAGAAGATGGCAGAAGTCACAGAATTGCGGAAAGCCCCAGGGCAAGGAATTGCTAGTATCAATTGTTTGCTGTCATGCGGCCCAACTGCTTGGATAAATAAATGTGACTCGTGGTGATCGTATCAGGCAGACATTGGGCAAAGACTCGATGATGACTTGACGACAAGGCACCGCTCACTGTCGCCTAAACCAAATGCACGCCCAACGAAAATATGCTGGGTACCTTGAACAGCAGCGAATACAAGACGGCGCTTCAATTTCGATGGCTAGGAACGAGACGATTAGTGGAAGATTCGACTGAGCTGCGATATTGAAAATGCAAGACCTCGAAGAGTCAAGACTGCCACGGCGGTGATGCGTGGAGGTGGGGAAGCGAGCACTCGACTTCGATTCCCCACCACGCGCCTCGAGTCCGCCTTCAATTGAACCCTGCCTATAAGCACACCATCAATCCGGAAATGTAGGTCAAGGTAAGATAGCTATGCCGCTCATGCTCAGCTCCAACGTCCAACCCTCATGTAGTCGCGCATGCATGGTGCTTGTGCATCGCGCCGTTGCAGAAATCCTGCAGCTACCACGAGCTACCTCCAAGCTCTGGCTCTCACCGGTTGCACTGCAGGGGCCGAACTGGCCCGTTCTCAAATCCATCCTTTACCTTGTGCCACAATTTACGTGAGAACGACCAGCTTATGGTTTGCTGCTCGAGCTCCATACATTTCGTGATACCTCATAACAACACAGAACCGAGCCCACGGTCTGAGATATCCGAATTTCACGCGTATCCATAGCGGATGACCAGCTCGATGGTGTAACAACACTCATCGAACCAGTACTTCGGGTCGACCAGTGGTCAGCGCCCCATTCGAGTTACAAAAGCGAGGTCGGCAGGACTGACCCAGCCTTCTATTGAACAGACTGTTGTTGAGTATACTGACCACCTGTCTATTTGTAAGCCGCCCATTGCCCAGAGCAAGCAATAATCGACTCCAGTTCGTGAACCGAGGCATCTTGTCACGACATCGAATGCCTCCTTCGCTTTGTGTCGCAATTGCATGATTTATGCTTCTCGCAAGATACATAGCTTACCAAAGTGATCGGGAAGGAGTCTAACGGAGGTATAAAGGTCGCACGCCTGCACATTCATTGACTGCACTCTAGCGCTGCAAGGCGATCACTTGAAGAACTGAACACAGTCCCTACAGCCTGACCACAACTCTCCGAACACTCGTCGCGCAACTGCCAATATGACGATCACTAACAAAGCGTTCATGTACAAGAAGCTGCCGGTCGGCTGGCCTGTCGCTGGGCAAGACCTCACCATCGAGGACATTGGCTTCGATGACCAAGCTCCTCCTCCACCAGGAGGCATCACTACCAAGAATCTCTACGCGGCCTTCGATCCATCTCAGCGAGGCCGCATGAGGGACGCGAGCAAGACCAAGTCGTACTCCGCCGCCATGGAGATCGGCAAGCCGGTTCTCTCAGTGTCTGTCATTGGCAAGGTGCTCAAATCTGACAACGACAAGTTCCCTGAAGGCAGTACTGTTCTTATTGGGAGCTGGTACACCGAGTCTTACAGTGCTGTGCCAGCGAAGAACCTCGGAGGCAGCATGCTCGGTGCGGCTAGGCTGATCCAGCCGAAAGAAGGTGTTCCGCTCACTGCGTACTTGGGCGCCCTGGGAATGACCGGCATGACGGCTTATGGATCATTACATGAGCTCGGGCAGCCAAAGAAGGGTGAGGTCATCCTGGTGTCCGGAGCGGCTGGCGCGGTGGGACAAGTCGTTGGTCAAATAGCTGTTCGTGAGGGCCTGCACGTCATCGGATCCGTCGGAGACGACAAGAAGATCGATTTCATTACCAAGGAGCTGGGCTTCCATGCTGGTTTTAACTACAAGAAAGAGAATTTGTCGGATGCCATTTCGCGACTGGCTCCGGACGGAATCGACATCTACTATGACAACGTGGGTGGAGAGCTCCTCGATACTGCTCTGGTTCATCTAAAAGACTTTGGACGGATAGGTGAGTCTGCGTCAACAGTGGTCTCGCGATATCGACTAACCTCGCACAGTGGCCTGTGGCGGGATCTCGCAGTACAACAATGCTTCACCAGACGAAGCATACGGCGTCAAGAACTACATGCATGTCGTGCGCAAGAGGTTGGCATGGCGTGGCTTCCTAGTCTTCGATGAGAACATCATGAAGCATTCCAAAGCCCGAGATGAGAATATCGCGAAATGGATAGCAGATGGAAGCTTCAAGTCCGTGGATCACATAACGGACGGTATCGACAATGCTGTGGATGGCTTCTTGGGCATGCTCAAGGGCGCGAATCTTGGTAAGAGCTTCGTGAAGATCCAGGATCCATGATGGACGACTAGATTTTCGAGGATTTTGGGAACGCTGAGGAAGCAACCCTTCCTGTATGGCAACACAAAATAGTTGATGGACGACCATTCAAGTTGTTGTCAGTCCCTTGTATATGTGTGAGTGACGTGCCCAAATGCCTAGAGTAGCAGGTGCGGCCCGCGAACCGCTGTGGCCCATAAGCTTCCCATTTAGCCGAGGAGTAAACCATCATCTTACCTAACAGCGAAAACATAACAACGTAAAAGTTTCAGCCTCGACACGCTTGATGACGACGCGAGACGAACGGCGCTCGCTTCCGTATCAAGTATGTTAGAGAGGCTCACGCAGCCAGTGTCTAGAGTGATGTACCCACTGCAAAAACATTACACCACCGGCGGGTATCGAGAAAGGCGGCTGCGGCAATGGACGACAAGCCGCATGGAAGTCGCGATTCCTCGAATCAGAGCAATGGCGAAAATGTCGGACTACAACAGCGCAGCACCATACGAGCACTCATACAAGACTTCAGTCCTATCTGGGTAACATGGTCGATGAATCTGGGCATCCTCAGCACCCTGATGCATACACTGCCATACCAGTTCTCGGGCCTACGCACGATCGCGGCAGTTCTCTACGTCGCCGACCTGGTCGTGTTCATCTTATGCTGCACGTTCATGTCGTTACGATTTATCGTGCACGGACAGACTGCCTGGAACGAGATCACGAACGATGTCAACGAGCTATGCTTCATGGCTTGCTTCCCGATCTCGTTCATGACGCTCACGGGAGGCACCGCTTTGATCGTCAGTACCAGCACCTGGGGCGGCTACGCCTTTACAGTCGTAAGCTACGTCATGTGGTGGATCGTGGTCGTCTGGTGCATGGTCTTCGGTGTTGGGATCTATGTCATCCTCACCCTGAAGAACCTGACGGAATCAAGGAATTTGACCTTGGCCATCATTCTTCCCGCGGTTGCAACTTCCACCGCAGCAGTCGAAGGCGGGATAGTCTCAGTATACGGAAATGGCATTACAGCGAGGATGGCGGTGCCAGCCATCATCGTGGGCTTCATGCTCGTCGGCATTGGGTTCTTCCTGGGCATGACGATACTGGCCTTGTTCCTAAATCGAATTCTCGCCAATAGCTGGTTTGACGGCGTCAAGAGACCAACACTGATGATGCTTCTGGGCCCTACTTGTCAGTCCACGGCCGCTCTGCTGATTCTATCCATGGCAGCTAGTATGCATTTTCCCGAGTACAACAAGGGGACCTTCTTGCACGAGACTACAGCGACTGCTTTGCATGGCGCCTGTGTGCTGCTTGCGCTGATGGTACTTGGTCTGGGGATATTCTGGGGACTCTGGGGAGTCTACGGAATCCTGGATGCTGTTGTCAAGGGCGAGGCTAAATGGACGCCGGCCTGGTATAGCAGCCTTTTCCCGACGGGTACACTGAACACGGCTTTGACACTATTCGCAGAAGAGTTCGACAGTCCAGCTTTTCGAGTCTTATCGGCCGGCCTGTTGATCCTGCTCACAATCAATGGCATCGTCAACGCAGCTACACCATTCGTGCCATTGCCAAGCGACAAATACTGATTGTGAGGGAAGACCCCAGGAAGAAGAAAGAGGGCTGATCAGGCTGCCTCATGCGTTCGCCAGATAGATCCTGCCGGCATCATGACAGGTACATTTAGATTTCAACGACTGAACGTCAATGGCTGCCAAACCAAACTCCTGGTTTCGCAGCTCGCCTCACTCTGCTGCAGCCCGTCATCTGCAATGAGGGAGCCACACTCCGTCGACAGGTGCCAGCAATGGATTGCTGTTACTAAAAAGGTGCGCGGTTCTGCACATCTAAATGGATCCTACGCAGTGAGATGCAGGATGATCGCTCCCCGGGCGCATCTGGATCGGCTCCAGGTCAGGTACTGTATCGAGCATGCCCCAGTCGATCACCCCGGCCTAGCCAAGACACCAATGCAACGCTCCCCAATTATTGCCCAGCTTTCACCGTATTCGCTCAGAACTTCTCTGAGCAGCGCAAACATCACCAGCTTCCCGTACTATCCGAGCAGAAGCTGCCAGCATTACGGCTTCGACGTTCATATAAAGACTTCTTCAAGCTTTCATGGATCGTGCAAAGACATATTCTCTTCTTTTTGCTCTCTCAATCCCCACCATATGGCTGACAGCCCCATGGGGTTACACGAAATTGCGGCAAATGGTTCACGCAGCCGACCCAGTCCCATGGTTCGGCATTTCATGAATTGCAAGTGTCACCCTCTGGCTGACGGGACTACTCGTCACACGGGCCCAGACGCCAGCTGGGAAAGTGTTGCACATGGCGGCCTTTGACAGACTGGAATTAGCATCGGGCCCAATTCGAGCCAAGATCGCGGCTGCATACTCTACAAGGACTTGGGGAGACGCCTGAAGAAACCTCAGATTTCATTGGGTTCTTTGCCCAGACTAAACAGCAGATCATGCATTCAAGCCTTGTCAAGACTATGGAGCCGAAGCCACACGCTTGATCTTATCATTGGCCGTACACCTTACCGTCGCAATCCTTCGCACGATCATTGCTTCGCTTGATAGACTGGCATATCTCGGCCAAGGCGTCTGTCCTGAGTGGGAAGGTAGCTGCAGTCGATGCAGCAGCTGAGGATGCGCAACTGAATTTAGTTGCCCCTCCTGGGAATGGGAAGAGCAGTCACCGAAGTTCTGGAACAAAATTTGTCACGGTGATATATTCACTGATGCGACCTCTTCGGTCTCGAGGCCCTCTTCTGATCTTCCAGCCTCATCGATTTGTAGCTTACCGCTTGGCGACTGCGCACTCAAAGACAACTCCCACAGAACCACAAAATGTCAGAGAAGACTCAGTCATCAGATGACGAAGTGAGTCGGCCAGTCGAGGTCGCGTCAGTCTCAGAAAAAGCTCAAACAGCCAAGGATGGCATCAACAAGACTGTCAAAGTTGGTGAAGTCTCCTCGGCCGAAAGCGGTGGCATTTACGATGCAAAGCAGGACAAGGCGCTCGTGCGCAAGCTGGATTGGCACATCATGCCTGTCCTGGTGATCCTGTATCTTCTCAGCTTCCTCGACAGAACAAACATCGGCAACGCCCGTCTAGCAAACCTGGAGGTGGATCTCAAGATGTCTGGGCTCGACTACAACATTGCTCTCGCAATCCTCTACCCGTTCTACGTCGCAGCAGAGATCCCTTCAAACATCATGATGAAGTTAACCCGGCCATTTCTGTGGTTGCCTAGCACTATGGTGGCCTGGGGCGTGTGCTGCACACTGATGGGACTGTGTACCAACTTCGCTGGACTGCTTGCGGCGAGAGCTGCGCTGGGTCTGGCTGAAGGAGGGCTCTTTCCAGGAATCAACTTCTTCATTACTATGTGGTATAAGCGCCATGAATGCGGTCTGCGAATGGCTATTTTCTTCTCGATGGCAACAGCAGCAGGCGCTTTCGGTGGCCTACTAGCACGCGGTATCAGCGAGATGGATGGCGTCGGCGGTCGCGGCGGCTGGGCATGGATCTTCATCCTCGAGGGCATAGTCACTGTTGCTGTCGCTTGCTGGGCGTACTGGGCATTCCAGGACTATCCTGACACGGCTCACTTCATTACCGAGGAGGAGCGAAAGCGTGTTCAGCAGCGGCTCGACGAAGATCGCGGCTCGCTTGCTGATGAGTGGGATCGGAAGTACATCTTGCATGCTTTGACGGACTGGAAGGTGTATATGCATTGCTTCAACTTTCTTGGGTTGGTCTATTCTCGCGCTGTAATTTCCCGAAGCTGACATGAACCAGGACCTTTGCCAGCGTCTACTCCTTCTCTCTGTTCCTGCCGACCATCGTCCGTGGTCTAGGCTACAGCAATGAGAAAGCGCAGTGAGTTTAGTCCTCATTCGGTGCTGTCTGTCCCACTAGCTGACACGTGTGTCAAAGATTGATGACAGTCCCACCCTACGTCGTGGCATGTTTCTTCTGTCTCACGTCGGGATGGCTGTGCGACCGCCTCCAGACCCGAGGAATCGTGCTGATAGCATTCAACGTGGTGGGCATTGTCGGGCTGATCATGTTGATCTCGTCAACAAATAATCACGTCAAATATGCTGCGACCTTCTTCTACGCTACGGGCGTGTACCCGAACACGCCACAGTGCATGGCCTGGAACGGCAACAATGTGGGAGGGTCGACGAAGCGGTCGATTGCGCTGGCTGCGCAGGCTATGGTTGGAAACCTGGGAGGGTGAGTCCTGAATGCTCCTCCTCCAAAAACCGCTAATGAGGCATCTGCAGAATCCTGGCGTCCTTCGTCTTCCTCAGCAAGGACGGACCACGGTACATCAAAGGCTACGGCATCCTCATCGGCATCCTCACTATGAGCATGAGCATCTGCACTTTCATGACCATTTACTACCGCAGGGAAAACGCTCGGCGGGATCGACTGTATAAACCGCCGTCCGAGTATACGGCCGAAGAGAAGGCGGCGGAGAGGGAGAAGGGCGATGCGGCTACATTCTTTCGCTTTACGGTCTGATCGACTCGATATACCGGATGATGAAACATCACACGAGAGAAGATGTGGAGGAAAATCGTTCAGGTCGTTCGGGTCGTTCCGATGCATTTCCTATTGGATGGTAAGGACGGGGTCTGGCAAGTGATGGACGCCTGAATTGACTGATACGCAAGAATTGCGGTCTTGGCACGATACTCGTCCGTGGGTTTGGCGATGTTCAGCCTACCGAGGGCACACCAGGTCAGGGGAAAACATCACCATATGCTTTCATGGTCGCTCACAATGTCTCCGTGGCTGGCTTACATCTTGACATATGTGCCCGAGGGCGGAACGGAGCCTGCTAGTGGGTTGTCCCAGACCAGAGGATTGGACGGCTCCTCCAGGTCAGATACCAAATCGATATATATACGATAGATTCCTGAACTGATGATCTTACGCCACTGCAACGAGACACCATGAACGCAACCACAGAATCAGCTCCGCCCTCCATCTCGCCCGCCTCTCACCTCCGCCTGTTCGCGCTCGTCCCAGCCCTCACCTTCCCGACCGCCTTCCTCCTCGCCCTCGCATCAATTACGCTCTACCTCCTGCTCCTCTCCATCTACCGCCTATACATCCACCCCCTGCGCCACATCCCCGGCCCCAAACTCGCCGCTCTCTCCTACTGGTACGAGCACTACTACGATGTCGCCCCGCAATCCGGCCAATTCCTCTTCCACATCCGCGACGTCCTCCACCAACACTACGGCCCCATCGTCCGCATCAACCCGAACGAAGTCTCAATCTGTGATCCAGACTTCTACTCCTCGATCTACCACTCCGATCCAAACAGAAGAACGGATCGGGATACGTGGAACAACCTGGCGCATCTAGGACAGGGACTCGCGTTCACGTTGGATCACGATGTGCATAAACAGCGGAGGGCGAGTATGGAGGAGTACTTCAGTATGAAGAGCGTTTATGCGCTCGAGGAGAGGATTGGAGCTGTGGTTGAAGGGCTGGTGAAGCGGCTGCAGAGGGATGTTGAGGAGGGCCGGACTGGAAGGAGGGCAGACGTGAAGACGCAGGAGGAGAACAGGGATGTGGTGGAGATGACGGGCTGGACGATGAAGACGCTGAAGCGGAGTCCGGAGAAGGAGAAGGTGGTGCAGGCGGAGCTGCCGCCGGGGGTGGAGAATATGTATCACTTGGGGAGTGCGGTGGCATTTGATGTTATGACTGATTATGCTTTTGGGAGGTGAGTTTTGTCTCTTCCGTTTAGAGATCCTCTGAGTCTTGCCGAAGGTGTTCTGCTGTGCTGAGGGAGGCGCGGAGAGGGGGGTCGGTGATGGGAGCAGGGGTATTGAGAGCTAACGTCCACGACAGCAACGGCTGTACGAACTACATGCACAACAAACACGCCGGCTCCGAATGGGCGGACCTCACGAAGGAGACTCTCCACATCAACCCCTTCGTAAGACAGTACCCATGGTTCGTGACCGCCATGCAGAGCCTGCCAGAATGGCTCCTCATGAAACTCCAACCCACATTCGCGCCATTCGTGGAATGGGACCACAACATCCGCATCTTCATGCAACGCGCCGCCAAAGAAGCGAACGCAAACCCAGACTACTACCTTGACCCGGCAGCGAAGCATCGTCCGGACAGGACACTCTTCCACGAGCTGGCACTAACCCCCAACCTGTCCGCGGCGGACAAGAAGCTAGAGCGCTTGGGCGCGGAGGCGACCATGGTAGTCAGCGCCGGCGGCGAGACGACGGCGCAGGTGATCAGCAGGACATTCTACCATGTCGCGGCGAACTGGGACACGGCGGGGGCGAGGTTGAGGGAGGAGCTGAAGACGGTGATGCCTGATCCGAAGCTTATTCCCAAGTTGAGCGTGCTGCAGAATTTGCCGTATCTGAACGCTGTGTGGGAGGAAGGGTTGCGTTTAAGTGTCCCAGTGCCGGCGCGGGTGCCGAGGGTGTTTCCTGAGGATGACTTGGTGTATGTTGATAAGGATGCGGATGGTGGGAAGGGCAAGGAGTGGGTTGTGCCGAGGGGCTGCGCGGTAAGTATGAGTCAGGAGTTTGTGATGATGAATGCAAAGGTATTTCCTGAGCCGAAGAAGTTTACGCCGGAGAGGTGGTTGGAGGACGATGGGAAGGGTGGGTTACGGAGGAGGAAGGATATGTTGAAGTACAGCGTGGGCTTCGGGAAGGGCAGGAGAGCGTGTTTGGGTAAGAAGTAAGTGCCTTCCCCTTCCCCTTCTCCGTCTGCCTCCATGAGGATGCCAAACCTCATACTCACCAAAGGCACTCTCACTAACGCCTGCCGTCCCTAAAATCACAGCCTAGCAATAGCCGAGCTCCTCCTCACCTTTGCAGTCTGCTTCCGCCGCTTCGACTTTGAGCTCTACGAAACCACCGAGCGCGATGCAATCATGGCGGTCGACTACTTCATCAGCTTCGCGGCCATGGACAGCAAGGGTATTCGGATGAGGGTCTTGAGGGAGCTGGAGGATTGAGTGTTAGACCAGGACATAGGGGACTATTTGTCGGTAGGGATCGTGTGAGCAGGCTTGCTGTTCGTTAGCGAGGATTGGTCTGACAGGTCAGAGTCGGGACTTCTTCTATGGGGTGTATGTTATACCGTCGCAATACGAACGAGTGCCTAGGGTAACCACACAAGGGAAACAAAAAGGAGGTCGTCGATTTTTCGTGCATATTGCGAATGCATAAATCCGCTGTCCAGGCCCGTCCACTTTTTGCATACACAATGCGCAATCTGAGAACTAAGAACATCTGCCTGCATCACTTCCCCTTCCCGCCCCATCCACCAGTGAGTCCACCTAATCGCCCACCTATGCTGCCGACGGCACTGGTCGCAGCTTGACCAGCATTAGAAACCTGATTCCGCAACCCGCTGGTTTGACGATCCAGCTTCGTCACAGGACTCTTTGGAGCATGCTGCCCCGCCGAGGAACTCGACTGGCGATTCAATTTCGGCGGCGGACTCTTCGCATTCTGTCCCGATGCTTGACGTGATAGTTTGGGTGGCGGGCTCTTAGCCGCACTAGCTGAAGACCGACGGCTATTGTCGAGCTTCGGAGGAGACTTCACGCCTGAAGGCGTTCGCGAGGCTGGTTTGGGGCGTGACGGAGTGGATGTCTGAGTTGTTCCTGCTTGTGTAGTCGATGGGGTGGATGGTTTGGGTGTTGATTGTTTCGGTGTTGGCGTCTCAGAGGTGCGTTTGGCGCCGAGTTTTGGTGGTTTGCGTCTCTCTTTGGGTTTGTCATCTGTTGACTTCGACTCTGTATTTGTGTTGTTGGGCTTCGACGCCGGCGTCTCTTTCGTCGCGGTCGCCGGCTGTTGCGGCTGTTTCTTCCCACTGCCGGGAAGGCTTGGCATGTACGAAGACGCCATCCCGAAATACGACTGCGCTTTCTCCTGAGCTTGTTGTGGCGCTTGCTGCTTCGGCGTGCTGGGTGTCTTCGGCGACTTCACTGCTTCCTTGGACGGAGTTGCGGCTGGCTTGGGAGACTTCACTCCCTCAGTCGCCCCGGCCGAGGGCGTATTTGGTTTGCTGGACCCCCCAAACAGCGACTTCCCAGCACCAGCAAGCGTGTTCGCGCCCGACGAAGCCGCGTTGGTCGCGGTTTGTCCTGCATTGGCAGCCTGTTTGGGAGCGGTCGATGGACTTTTGACTGCTTCCTGGCCCGAGCTGGCCATTTTCCCGAGACCTCCTGTAATGCCCTTTGTTGTGTCCTTGCCTGCACTGGCGGCCTTGCCAGCATTGGAGGTAAGCGCGTTTGCGGCGCCCTGACCTACGCTTGTCACCTTGCCGGCGCCGTCGGAGGCTGTCTTTGTGACACCTTCTGACGTGCTTTTGCCTGCGTTGGCGGCTTTGCTGGCGTTTGCGGTGAGCGCGTTCGCCGCGTCCTGACCTGCGCCAGCTGCTTTAGTAGCGCCGTCTGACGCCGATTTTGCTGCCCCTGCTCCGGTGTCGGTAAGTTTGCTGGCCTGCGACTTGGCTGAGTCTGCGGCGCCCTGGCCTGCCTTCCCTAGCTTCCCAGCACCTTCGGATGCAGATTTTACAGCACTACTACCAACATCCGCAGCCTTGCTCCCTTGCTGCGCCGCGCCATCAGCCACATCCTTCCCAAAACTCACACTCCTCTTCACTCCCTCCCCCCGAACCTTTGCCGCAGCTTTCCCGGCGTCGGCCGCCTTCGACGTCGACGAATTGACAACTGTGCTCACCTGCTGCGCACTGTTTTGAACAGTCGTGCCCACTGTATCGCTCGTAACCTGCGCCGCTTTATTCGCGCCGGGGACCCGATCGGCGGCTTGATGAATGATAGGAGCATTTTTGGGGACGTTCTTGGCGGCCTTCACCGCAGGGTTATCCTTCGGATTGAGCACGTTGTTGACGGTAGGCTGCACGACGTTCTGTGCAGTGTTTATCGCCTTCTCGGTGCCCTCGGTTTGTGTGTCGGTCGCTTGCTTTGCAAAGTCAGCGGCCTTCTCTGTGGTTGTGTTCGCGCTGTTGTCTTTGCCCTTCGCATCAGTCTTGCTTCGGAAGGAAGGCATGGATGGCATATTCGGGAGGTACTCCTGTGCAGCTTGGATGTAGCCTGTTGATGCCGAGGTCGCGTTGTCCGCTGTATCGGTCGCCTGCTTGTTCGCTTTGTCTGTCTTCGGAGTGTTCGACGAACCACCTGGCATCGACGGGAGCTTTGACGCGGCCCACGAAGCGTACGACTGAGCAGACGCTTGAACATCTTTAACAGTATCGCCTGCAGCAGCTTTGGCATCACTCGGATTCTGTACGGCCTTCTGCAGCGTCTGACCAGCCTTCTCGGCATCTTTGGCATTCGCTGGACCTGGAGTGTACCACCACTCAATCAGTCTCGCGGTGAGACTCTTCTCAGTCTTGTCCCTGACCTGCTTCTCCATATCCGACGCCTCGACTTCAGCCTCCTCATCTTCGTCAATCTTCTCACCTTTGTACGACTCCCGCCGCATGAGTCGCTTGCGTTGTGATTGGAGGGAGTTTTTCTTCTCCTGCTTCAGCATCTTCTCCAGTGCCTCACGCTCTTCCTGCACGGCTTGGAGGTCGATATCCTCGAAGCCGATCTTCTTGAGTATGCCGCCGACGAGGAATCGGTAGCGGGTGTGGCCGTCGACATCTTCGCTCACGTCGACGTTCTCGATACCGGCGAGGCCGCGAATAGGCTGCAAGCCTGCGACGCCATACTGAAGAGCTGATGTGCGGTACATGAAGCCGAGAAGGTAGTCGTTCTGGGAGTAGACGTTGATCAGCCGTCCGGAAACCGCGGTGCGGAGGACGCGCCAGTGTTGGGTGTCGGATGGACAAGGCCCGCCGATGATGACGGCGTTCTCGACGAGGCCGAATGCTTTACGCTCTGCGAGGGTTTTGAGGCAGGTGTAGATTAGGCGTGCGCCCAAGGAGTAGCCGATCAGTGTGACGGGACGTTCACCCTGGGCTTTGTTGATCAGTGCGTCGGCTAGGACTTCGCCAGCTTTGTCTGCTCGGGCTTTAGCCACGCTGAAGGGGTTGTCAATGACTCTGGCGACCTTCAGCAGGCCCATCGGCCACAGCGCGGACATGAGTTCGGCGAAGATTGTTCGCTTGATGATCTCCCTCTGCGCGTAACCCCATGCCGCGGACTGCATCATCCCGTCCATAGCGTGGCCGAGGTTTAGAAGAGCTTCGAGCTCCCACTTGAGGCCGAATACTTCTGCGCCCGTGCCCATGACGCGCCAGGGCTTGGTGACTTCAGACTTGTCAGTGAGCCAGCCTGAAATACAAATCGTGACGCGAAGTTTGTGATCATGCTCGCTGGCTTCTTGTGCGCCTTGCTCCTCGTCCTCGCTGGTCTTCTTGTCGCTGTGCACAGGGAGGAACTCGAAATCTTCGACTTCGCGCGCATACTTGTCCATCATCTGGCCGGTCATGCGTCCGCCGTAGGCGCCGAATAGGCCGCCGACGAGGAGGGTGCTGCCGGCGACGGAGCGAGGTAGCCTGCTGCAGCGGTCGCGCCGAGACCGAGTCCGCCCATTACAGAGCCGACTCCGGATGCGACGAGTGGAGCCGCAAGACCACCCGATACGCCAAGGATGGCGGCGCCTGCAGCAGTTGCCAGGTAGACCTTTCGTTTCCGGTTATCTGCGTTCTCCTTCTGACGCTTCTGTGTCTCTTCGTCGGCGCTGAGCTCTTTGGCGGATTCGAGCAGGCCTTTGGCCGTAGTGTACTCATCTTGCTCGAATGTGCGCAACGGCAGCTTGAGTGATGACGTGAGGTTCAGCATAAGAATTCGTGAGTATGCATTGTAGTGTTCGAGCGAGATCAACAGCAGAAGTAGCGAGTGCAGCACCAATGTTCTCTTTTCCATAGGCAACTTCGTCAAAGGCGTCTTCGTTGGTGGAAACAGGTCCTTGAACTTCAAGTTCGGATTGCGATCAGGCACATCTGCAATCTTCCCCGTCGTGATCGGCGCCTTGGGCTTGGGCGACATAGGCTCCTTCTCCTCCTCCAGCTGCTTCTTGGCGTCTGACTTTGTGTTGACGACTTCACCCACTCGCATCATCACTTGCTCTCTCCATTCGTCGTAGGCTTTGAGTGCTTCCTTCTTCAACTTCTGCGACTCCTTTGAATTGATGTCCTTCTCGCATTCTTCCTTCAACTTTCGTTCTTTGTCGTATGCTTCCACGTCGGCCGTGGAGGGGTCGGTGCTCATGAATTTCTCTTCATCTGATCCGCCCTTGGTGAAGAGCTTCCTGTCCATGCCAGCGTCGGCATCGAAGTTCTGCAGTAATATATTTCTCGTCGCCTCTGTGCAATTGGCGACAAGCAGTGTGACCTCTGCTCGCTGAGCATCATTGAGGATGCTGTTGAGATCCTCGCCATCCTTACCATCTTTACTTGTTGGACGCGACATGATTGATCGACAATGTGTAAGTCGGCAATCCCTCGCCTAATTATTAGCATGAAGGTCAAGCGAAGGGAGATGAATCTGTGGCGGTGCATCTGAATTCCAGCATTTGAGGGGAAGCAGAAGTTGGACAGGGAGGGCCTCGAGGGCTGACGTCAGTCGGTTAGTGGCGCGGGCACCCCTGGCACCTGGGCAAGAACCCCTGTCCCCTGTAGCCTGACCAAGGAGAAAAACATGGATGGTAGAAAGTCAATCAGAGCTGTTGTTAGCGGAGAGGAGAGAAGTTGGCAACGTGTTCAGATTTATCGTGAGATACCGTCTTGCGTGGCTATCAGAAGGCCGCGAAGCCAGTGTGGATTCGTTGATCTTGGCGTCTTTGCGATGCTGAGAAATATGGCGCTAGATAATGGCAGGCGCTCAGAGAATGGTGCCGAAGCTGAAACTGTCAGCGCGCGAAAGCGATGAGTTGAAAAGACTTACCCAAAGGTCTGCTTGATACTGCGAACATAGTAGCCTTCCCAATTCCGCCGCACGACCTCCTCCTGGCCAACAGGAACACCAGTCCAGGTGACTCTCATGTTGGTAACGCGATCGACGTCGTTTTGATCGAAGACAATCTCCTGGCTACTCATGTGACCTTCCGGCCACTGCGCAAGTCGCCATTTCTGGACGATCTTCTTCGGCCCTTCTAGGGACACGTACTCGCCCGTAACATTGCCATCGAAGATTGCGAATTTGGCACCCGGCTTTGCTCCCTCAAACACTTTCGGTGGTGCTCGCGTGAAGGCAGCTAACCGCTGGGGGTCTGTGAAAGTCTGATACATCTCCTCCGCCGTAGTTCGGAACTCATCGGTGGCGGTGACTGTCGTGGTGTTGATGGAAGACTTGCCAGCGGTGCTGGTAGCTGTGGACGAAGCAGACGGGATTGGTGTTCGCTCCTTGTTAGGATGCCATGTCGGCGTCGAGAAGCCACTCGACGGGTTCGAGCCCGGCGCATGTTGTAGGTCCTTGCCATGCTCTGAGATTAGAGCAGGACCCAACTTGACCAGTGTGTCTCTCAACTGCGGGACAATCTTGCTCCTCACCAAGTCCTTGACCGGCTGCTTCTCCTTTGTCTCGCTATATATATCAATCTCAAACACAAATTCATCGTGCTCGGTGTCATAAGCGCATTCGGGAACCCGTATCGTGCCACTTGTGTCTGTGCCTTCGGCATTCTTGCCGTCATACTCGAACTTGAGTGCTACGTCGAAGATGGAGATGACCTTGCCTTTGCGCTGGCTGACTTCGACATCGCCATCCATAGAGATGACCTTCGAGATCTTTGCAGAGACCTCACCGGCTTCGGCAGAGAGGCCGACCACATTGTTCTCTAGCCATTTTTGAGCCCAGGGACCGCCGTCCTTGTTGACCCAGTGCCAATTGTTTGGGTTGTGGAGGACCATGTTGCTATCTGTCGGAGAGTCAGCATGTGTATGCGCCGTCGTGTGTATACGTCGAGGGGCTCGTATGGCTGTCAGAGTTCAGGCTTGTGCCTTGCAGCTAATCCGCAGATAGAAGAGTACAAATGATCTTCTCGGACTGGTGCCAGCTTGTTGTCTCATCCTTCGGAGAGGAATGTGATATTTATGTAGTGTGACTTACCTCCAGAACTTGAACGACTCGCTCAACTCAGACGCCGACAATAGCACAGTCATGAGGAGCGAGTATGTAGAGTGCGCATGTTGCACGCGAAATCGTTTTGGAAATCGCGGAATATTCTGGATTCAAGAGCGTCCCCACATTCAAATGACTGCCAAGCCTGACGACTACCAGTACTTCAAAACGTCGATTGGAAGATGCCTTGATACATACAACGTCCGACTCATGAGACATGGCTGTCGTTGTTAATGGGTGCTAATGTGCGTGTGCTTCGATCCGACGTCAGGGCCAGGATTTCGTCACCAAAGTACCTGCCCTGGGTTGTGGTTGTGGTGGGCGTTAGATCAATATGCTCAGGTTGAGGGCTGTGCTAGGGCGAGAAAGGGGAAGTCATCATCTCACGAGACTCTGAGATTTACGAGATAGGTCCTTCATTAGAGCTACGATGGCGGTCACGACCTCATTGATGCAAAGCTACAAACCCGCCATGCAGATCGCGAGCTGATGCCCCTTCAAGAGTGTCCAGACCTTTTCAACTATTAATCTCGCCAGAGATCATGGCCCGGTATCGCGACGGTGCTCTCTTGTGGCGCGGTATAACCTCTGTGGACACTATTTAGCGCTGTCTGTGGCCGACACGATCGCGCTTGTTCGATCAGGACCCGTTGTCGTTCGTCACAATCAATTCAACTTTAGTCATGAACATCCTCAGTTTGACCCGTCGAGCCCGTTCGTTCGCAGGAGGTAGGTAGTGTAGTCGTGAAATGCATAAGTATGACTATAATCTTCACCCAGTCCTCTCATGTCCATCGACGACAGATCCAACAGGTTTGAGGAACCAACAGCCCAACATCACCCAACAAGCCCAGTTCCCTTCAAACCACCCACGATGCAGCTCATCTACCTTATAAACTTCTTCTCCCAACTTCTTCCGCTATCCCTCTTGATCGCCAACACGCTACGCCCTCGCCTTCCTACTCAGCAGCTCCCAATCCAAGCGACAGAGTCACAGCAACGTTCCACCTTGGACGACCTGCCAATACCGCAACCTTCGAGCAGCTTCGTCGTGCACGCGTATGCTCCGCAAGGGCCGCCAGAATACCTACGAAGCCCATCTAATACGCCGATCCCAGCCCATCCACCTCCTCTCACAGCACCCCCAGACCACAGGTACCAAGCCTGCCTGCCCAAGGTCTACCTAGGTCAACTCCCTCAACAGCCACAAGCGCATTCCACAACATCCTTGCTCACGGCCCAAGCACTTCCCCTAGTCATCATCTGGGTGATCTATTTCGTCTTCTTACCGATCGCAGTAGCCTTTCTGCTTCAACGGTGGGCATTGGTACCGGAGACGTTGCCAGTCGGTATGCATCAGAGAGATCCAGGAGGGGAGGGGAAGCTGCCCGTGGGAAGACTCAAAAGCCCAGAAGGCGACGGCCGAAAAGAAACGGGCAGCAGAGCACCGCAACAGCAGCCCGACAAGCCAGGAACATCCGGACCTCGCAACAGCAACGCCGGTAGCGGTATAGAGCAAGGCCGCATCTGGAACAAGCGTTCGGGTATGGTTTTCGCAACAGGAAGAGGCGTCCTCGGGAGACCAAGAGGAGGAGACAAGGGGTTGCCCTCTCGAGCAACGACAACGAGTCCTACCGCGCCTGCTGCGAAGGATACGCATAAGCGAATGAATCCTGGCGATGATGTGCACATCCACCTTGCGCTGTTTCCTGTGCCAGCATTCTTCGCTGAAGGCGGTGATGGGGCTGGCAAGGGTGGCCATGGTGCTGGCCGTCACAGTGGCGATGACGATATCATGGACCTCGACCAGCCTCCAACACCACCGCCAAAGCCCAAGAAGAGGAAGAACCGTCGGTACCGAGGAAAGCCGCATCCATCGCCAAACAACAGAGGCAGCCCAAGCCATGCCGGCCCATCACTTCCGGTCAACTGGACGCCCTTCTTTGACAAGCCCTACCACTCCGCCTCTTCGCACTCGTCAGGCAGCTACTGGTCCAAAGAAGACGGCTGGCCGCCCACCTCCCCTGACCCCCCTTCCACGCCCTCACTGTACGATTCCCCGCCCTCCCTCTCAACATCCGGCTCTCCTCATACGCCTCAGTCCGGCCGCCATCTGTGACCAGCACTTATCACGATCCACAGGTTCCTTTACCCGAGCCCGACGATGCATTGGGCGCATTCATCCTCCACAACGACCCACCTCCCACACACCACCTCCGCCGCGAGACTCGCAAGATCAGGGACGAGACGTACGAGTGTCCGCGAACCTACTACGCCGAGGATTGGATGTCCGCCAAGAACAGGGCAGCGGCGGCAAAGGGCAAGGGGAGGGAGAGGATGAGTGTTGCGGAAAAGGAGGCGAAGATGAGGCTGGGGAGCTGGAAGAATATCTTCACAGGGCAAGGAAGCAGGGCGGCGGAGAGGGCGAGAGAGGAGGGAGTTGCGAGGGAGAGGGCTGAGGAGGAGAGGGTGAGGACGATGAGGGCTGTGTTGGCGGAGAGGAGGGATGGCAGGGAGGATAGCGCGGTGAAGGACGAGGATGAGAATGAAGAGATGAGTCTCGATGGTGTGGAGGATAGTGAGAACGAGAAGGGATTCGATGGTGGTGAGGAGGCGGAAAGTGATGATGAGGGCAGGAGGCGTGGTGATGAGATGGAGGTCGACGATAGCAGAGGGCAGGAGGACGTGGCTGGTCCTTCCTTGCGATACAGAGGACGAAAGCGGAAGGCGCAGGAGGATGATGCGGACGAGCAGCCGCAGGCGGCGACGAACGAGAGCCGCATGTCGAAGGTGCGGAAGATGTGGAGGGCGAAACTTGCAGCGAAGGAGCTCCGGAGGTTTGTTGAGTAGACGAGTGAAAGGACATTGTGAGCGTCCCGGCCACGGCTTATCAAAGAGAGGTACTTGGTCTTCAGGGGTAGAAGACAGTGCTTTTGTGTCGACGAATCGTGCAACAAGCCGCGAATCACGAATGAGTTGAACAGACGCCCCGCAGGGGCGTGCCGCGAAGCGGCGCGCTCGTTTCTCCCCCTCGTAGTGACCAAAGATTGCTTTTTTGTCGTTTTGAAGAGCTGCAGAAGCTGTGGGAATCCTGCAGCGGTGTCCTCTGAAGGCCAATGTACCTGGACGATGAGGACATACAGATGCCGAGTTGTGGTTTATGAATAACACATCGTCGACACCCTGGTCATAGCAGAATGCTGCTCGACGTCGATGGTGCAGTGTCCGTAAGATGTGACCATCGACGCACGGATGTGGTTGCATTAGAGGTAGACCCATGGTATGGGAGAGGCTAGGTGGTTGGTGTAGCCAGACTGCCAAGCCGGGGACCGCCGGCCCTTTTCCCTTTCGGGATCCCCGCACATTTACACCAAAAATTCACTTTTCCTGCTCCTGACACCATTTCCTCGATTCCCACGCTTCTGCAGCTCTTCAAAACGACAAAAAAGCAATCTTTGGTCACTACGAGGGTCGAACTCGCGACCTTGGCGTCACACAGGCTCTCAATCGCTCGTTTTAAGCGTTGAAATCTATTAGCACCACGCCTAACGGTGTTGTTAGTTGTATATCCATGAGAATACGGCTGGAAATCTTACTCTAACCAACTGAGCTAAGCGACCGAACGATCTGAGCATCTCTGCTGGAATTGTTGACGGAAAACGGCAAACAGAAATATATATAGAGCAAGATTTGGCTCAAGCGGAGCTGAAATCAAAGTGGGGGAACCCACGAATCACTCTGACAGGCAGCCCACCAACGGCAGAAAGCTGCTTCTGAGCAAGTCCCGCAAGCGCTGGGGGCCTCGAGTACGACCTGAATGCAAAGTCTGACTCACCCAGGGACTTTGGTGCAGCGTGGGATGATCCTATGGGATGTCTTGGCACGGCGGTCTATTCCTCCGTGGCAGCTCATACATGTCGGGCTTCTTCCACACCCCTCACGACTCCTTGGATCCTTGCGCAAGGATACACGGGTTCCGGCTGGGTCATACCTGTGATGGCCGCTTGCAATCATTCGGCTACAGACTACCTGAGTATAGTACGATACGATCTTGGCGCGTCATCGTACCCGTCCGTGGCCAAGATACCCGCAAACTGATGTTGCTGCACACTTTCTGGATATCTAGGACCACAGTGTGAGCGGTAGCTGCGGCTTGTGTCACGATCACGGCTTCCGAGTCTATGAAGTGCTATTTCGCCATCGTGGACATCGTGCGACAGGGGGTATAAGTCTTATGAAACCACCGGGTCGTTCAGCCTGATACAACATTTATATTCCCAACTTAGGCGCTCATCGATTTAATCTTCAGGACATAGCCACATGCACACTCAAGTCTGACTATCGAAGTCTTGGGGGTCCGATGTACAAGAATGCGAGAGCCTCAGCCTGATTTCCACCGAGACTCGCTCCCATTGGCGCTGTCATTGCTCAGAATGATGAGAGAATATCGAGGCGATCAGCAGACCGATGTCTTCGTCAGCATCCCGGCCGGACCTGCTCAGGTCAATAATACTCGGTAAGTCCAGAGCTGCGACCTGCTCTGTACATCGTCCTAAATCTACCTTCTCTCAAGTCGGTTCCCCTTTCGCTTGGCATCATCGCCAGCAGTCTGCCTTCAGCAGAGGTCTATGTTCGCAACCGAACGACCTTCCAAGAGGGGCTGGAACGAGGAGCTTCTGGGCCCTCATGGACAAGGCTTGCGTGGATGAGAGGTCATCGCAGCGTGAAGTCGAGCACTGCGCTACCCAGTCAACATTCATGCTATCTATGTCCCGACACAGGAGTCGCCTAAGGGTTTGGCGTCAGACGACCGTAACTGGAGCTATCGAAAGGTACCTGCTCGACTATGTTCGTGTAATTCGAGGCCATTCTCCGCAAGAAGTTGCGTTCACCGAAATTGCGTCAATGAAAAGGCAGCGGACGATATGTTACTTTATCTAACTCATAGTCGACTGCACTGGCTACCAGCTTGTCCTGCCAGCCGTTGACTATTGATGCGCTGGCAGGCTCAGTCATAGACTCACCAGCAGCTGGCGTCAACGCCACCATGGACTGTCGCACAGGCACGGTCAATTCCTCCTCGAAAGCTCTTGTCTGTGCTGGGGCTCTTGCACTCGCTTTGCCGATGGGTTTCTACACTCTGAAAATTCTTCGCCTAATCCTGTAGGCTGTTTGGGTCGCATTCAGTCGACGAGCAGAGACTTCTGGTTCTACCTGATGCCACACCGGCGTCACCAATATGGCCCTTCGAAATAACCACGTGCCCTGTCCGCTGCGCTCCATCGCCGCCAGTCCCAAAAAGGAATGTGGCCTGGTTGGTGTCTGGATACTTGGTCGCTTATTTGGATCCCACGCTTCTGTTCGCAACTATTGCAAGTGCAAACCCGTTGCCAAGGCTGTCTTTCAGGCACTTTACCAAACAGCTTCTCGAAGTGTCGCGGGGCCAGTTCTGCTGCAGGCATCCAAAAGTTGGAGGCGCCACCAGCATCAAGGTGCGTCTTGGGCTCGAGCTCGGTGCAAGTTTTCAGCAGCAAGGATTGAGTGACTTGGCGGATATATCTTGACACGAGCAGGAGCTGCGGAACCTCCCATGGATGCCACGCCACAGTACCCCGCGATTCTCCTTCCTGGAAATGCATCTCGACACTGATCAAGTCGCCTGTGATGAAGCGGATGATCTTCTCCAGTATCTCAAGCGGCATGTTGTTTAGTCTCGGTCTAGGTTTGTCCTTGTCAAGCTTGTCAGTTCTTGGCACTCTTCCGGTTTATCGTACAGGACTTACCCATGTTGATGCAACAATGACTTCAGACGTTGTCAGAGGATTGAGATCAGATGAAGGTATTCGTAAAGCGTCTCGCTTCTCGAGCTTGGACTGATTGTGGCTAGCAGTTGTGGTCTGTGGGTTGCTGCATCGTAGCGGCTTGACAGTGACCACCCGAGGAGTCGGAGGAAAGACAAGCGAATATTTAGAGATCGGTGCTATAGTGTGGTTGTTGTCGCCTTGGTCATATCCGGCACCTCGTACAGGCTGTCGATCTTGGCTCAAGTTCTCCGCTGGCTCTGTCGCAACGTCTTGCGGTTGGACATACCCGCCACCTCGTACAGGCTGTCGATTCTGGCTCGAGTTCCCTGCTGGCTCTGTCACAATGTCCTGCGGTTCGGCATACCCGGCACCTCGTACAGCCTGTCGATCTTGGCTCAAGTTCTCTGCTGGCTCTGTCGCAACGTACTGCGGCTCTTCGACAATGCGCTTATCTGGAGTCTTGGTCTTTCGGAAGAGTCGGCGCCACCAACCCGCAAAACGGTGCTTCCTCGGCATTGTCGTGGTCATTGCCGAATCGTGGCCCACAATTGAGACTGTGTGACTTCCTACCAGGCCGCTCGACTGACGTTATCGACGCTCTAGACAGCCGCAACGAAGTTGTCGTAAGATCGCTGACGATCACGATCCGACAAGAAGCTAAGGTATTTTCACAAAGTGCACCTTTGCCAAGATTTGCAGGTGACGGTGTCTACTCAGGTAAGTCGAAGACATCACCTGGGAGCTCAATCGTCGTCGAGAGTCACTTGCGAAGATGTTCTGCCATCATGTCAAGCTACGCGGACGTATTGTGGAAGGCTGGAACTACGGAACCGCTTATCTACCTTGCGGTCCCAATGCCATGATCAATCTGGCCGTTGTGGTATCCAAGTCGCGATGACCCGCACTTGGCCTTGATGACGAAACAGTTTCTTCGCCGTCGCCACGGCTGGTGCGCCGAAGGGTTGTTGACCAGACCGTAGCTGTCTGAGGAATCGTGGCCATCTTCTCCTTGATAGCTCATGCTCGAGCCGGAGCTCTAGTACCCGCCTACTCGCCCTTCTCCTCAAGCTCGGAGGACTGTTGGCCGGCTGCTGTATCCTGCTTGGCGAAGTTTCTCACCGACGAGAAGAGACCTCTAAACCGGCGTCCACATCGTAGGAGCAGACGTTTCAAAGTATTTGTCCCAGCTGCGGTCGATTGGCGATCTTTGCCTTGGGGGTTTCCATCGAGACACTTCCGACAGATCTGGCACATGATGATGTCTTCAGACTGCCGTTCCGTACCAGCAGTGTAGTCGATCGCACCATCCTTGAGAAACCGACGCGCCCACCGAGCGAAGGCTTCCGGTATATCATCTAAGGGGGGGGGCCTCCGGAGAATCCATCGCTTTTGCCAGGATCAAGTACAACATATTCCATCCCTGTTCACCCAACCCCTCAGCCCAGTCCGACATCTCCTGCCTCGAATTGCCTACGCTCCATTCAGGATCGCACTTGAAGAACTCTGTGAATAGACCCAGGAGGAATTCGTGGTCCATACTATCCACCACCTCTTCGATAGTGAGCAGTGGTACCTCGTCGCTTGGCTTGTCTCCACACTTGATCTTCCAGAGGTGGCGTTGATACTCCAGGACCCTCGCTCTCAACGCTGCTTCCGCCGGGGTCACTGTCGTTGACTGAGCGCGATCTGGCGTCGAGATGGCTGCAATAAAATTAGTTTCGGTCACTGTCGCTAAGGCTGGGAGTCCCGTACCCTGTCGAGGTGCCTTGAAGCTGGTCTTATCTCCAGACCTGGTCTCTCGGTGTAGGCGCTGTCGGACCTTCGCATCGAATGACTCTTTCGACATTGTCGGCATCGTTGTGGAAACGTTAGTCGGTTCCCAGTCTGTTTCGTCCATGGCTGTCTGCTTTACTGGCTGAATTGAACTTCGAAGTTAGGGCGATGAGAATGATCGTCAAGATGGCCGACGCTCACGACTCGACAGGCGGTCGGGGCATTTTCATCACAAGATGCCTGTGCCAAGAATTGCAAGTGATACTTCGTCAAAAAGAGCGTCTGCGAGTTCATCTACCTTGTCTTCGGATGTCAAGTGAACGGTTGTCACCTGAGGGTCGTCTGGACGGTTGTCAGCCCGCAGCAGTCGGCCGCCAGCAATGCCCACAAGTAGCGTTGACACCTACATGGGTAAGTCGGATTGATGGAGTCAGGGGACTGTTTGGAGTGAACTTAGGCCGTGTTATTCTAGATGTCATCAACCTCGTGCCCATGTTTATATTCCCAAGCCAATTTGTTAGGCCAGAATGAGTTGAGTGATATACCCCCTTCTCACATTCCCATCGTACCCAAAATCGAAGCGCCACGCTCGCTAATCCAAGGATATCCAAACCAAGTGGCAGCCGTAGGTATCTGCACAGATCACAGCGCCTGATCTGGCATCGAAGCTTCCCAAGCAGCATCAAGCGTCCGTGTCACCAGCCGAGGTTTCCAACTGCTTCAACCACTCGCCTGGGGTCTGCCCGACATCGAGTGCCCCATTCACAAGCCCGGCTTTTGATACAGCAGCGTCATTGCCACCCTCGCCCTCTTGCCTCTTCTCCTCCTCCAGCCTCATCTTCGCCTTCAAACTGTTCATCGCTGCCTTCCCCGCCATTTCCTTCCTAAGGGTGTCCCCATTCTTGCCCCTCTGCACCTTAGCGACCTTGCGAATTCGTTTCTTATACTTTTCAGCCATCTCCTTGACTCGTTCCTGACCACGCTTGCGCTCTTCCAGCTCTTTCTTGAGGCGCTCGCGGCGCTCTTTGCCCGTTCGACCCACTCGTCGGGCTTCGATGCATTCATTCACGAACTCGACTTTCAGGACCGCGAAACTGACTCCGTCATGCTCAGCGCCGTTGGCTTCTTCCGGCCACTTTCGACTCTTGATGCCGTAGCGAGTACTGCTTGGATATTCCTCGAGGCAAGGCAGGACGACGCAGGTGATGATGGCGTCTTTTCCAGACTCAGGCACCATCGGCTGCTCTGGCACACCAGCCAGACCCTCGATTTTGGCGTTCTGTTCTCGTGCGATCAAGTCCAGCATCGCCCTGTCTGCGTGCTCTGGTGGCACACTTTTCAGAAAACCACTGTGCATGGCTGCCGCGACGATATCGCTGTCGTCGGCATAGATGCCAGTACCCCACAAGAACCTCTCTTGACCGATTAGACGCGCTTCTCGCTCTTGAAGCCATAGTTGGGGTACACGGACTGAGTAGGTGCAGTTGATCTGGTGCGGCTGGTCGAAGCTGGGGATCATGTTCGGCTTTAAATCCACGTCAAAGTTGCCACTGGTGAGCGATTGCTCGCGATTCGAGAGTATCGGGTCGTACTTGAATGTCCCCAGATGCCGTCTCTTACTCCGTTTTGCAGCATTGATGACTGACAAGATCTTGATCGTCTGTCGCGGCTTGAATGATGGCTGCGGCTCGGGTCGTTGGTGAGTGATCGCCTGATGTGAGAGCGTAGAAGCGTTGCGCTGCACGGGTATCGACAGAGGCGTGCCTCGGCGAAGGGGTTCCTCGGGCTTATATGAGGAGGCATACTTGGTCCGCTTCCTGCCCTTCTTGCCGACAACTCCTGCTTCGCTTTCTGCACGGATGTCATCATCGAATTTGCGTGATCTCTTGGCCACCCCTGATGCGCTTCTCGACATTTTGATGAGGTTCTCTTCGCTAAGTCGAGCCGAGACATCCTTGAAAGGAGATCCAGAAAGGCCGACGGGAGTCGAGGTAGGACCACTTCCCAAGCCACCCAGACCGGCAAACACTCTGCCCTGCTCGGCCTTCTGACTCGCTTCAGGCACAGGGGTTTGTGCTTGCGCTCCTTGAACAGCTTGTGGCACAGGCGAGTATCGTCCTCTTCGAGAGTCGTTTGCTAGGGCTGCAATTGTACGGTGTCCAAGCTCGTCACTTCCTTTCCTGCCATACTCATCTACTGGCATGGAAGCCTGAGAAGTCACAGACGGTGCGAAGGGCGAGAAAGGTCGCGGTCTATATCGATCGCCAAAGGCAGAATTTTGCGACTGTATCGAATCTTGTCTAGCCATCGTCTGCGCAGCCAGACCCATCGACGGACCATCGTTGAGGAGGCCATTAAAATTGCGGCTGTCCAGACCATTTGGCACGGCTCGACGTATCTCGGGCGAGCGAGAAAGAGTATCCCTTTTCTCGTAGTGTCGCACGGGAGGTGCGGGAGGTCTGGTGTTAAAAGGCGGTGGTCGCGTGTCGTAGGTGCCACCGAGAGGAGGCTGTCGCTCGACGGGAGGGTTGCGAGGTGCGAACGCATCACCGTTCGTGATGATCGGCGTAGCGCTATCTGGTCTCGGGAGCCTTATTGGACCATTCGCGTCAGCTCTCTGCGGCGCACTCTCTGATCTTTGCAGGATGCCACTAAGGCTTGTTCGGCGTACACGGTCGGTGAGATCATCTCTCGGCGGCATTTGCTGCCCAAACACGGCATGGTCTTGATGTCTCGGAGGGAAGCGTTCGAACGCAGGTGGTTGATCTGGGAATGGTCCAGGCCTCTGTAGCATGGAGCCAGATCCGGATCTATATCGGTTCTGGGACTGATCTGTGAGCTGATCTCTATATCGATCTGGAGTTGTTGCGCGTGGTTTGTAGGCATATTCTTGAGGGTTCGATCGAGGGGGATATTGTGGCGGCGACATGATAGCATTTTGCGCTGGCGGTGGACCATGGTTCAGAGGATGCTGTCCATGCGACGATGACCGCATGTGATTGAATAGGGAGTCATGATGTGGTCTTTCGGGCTCTCCACCTAGCATGGATGATATCGACATGCTACTTCCAGGTCTCTTCTGTGGCGGTTGTTGCTGGCCATAAGGTGAGTGTGATATCGACGGCGGTGGTGGCAGCGTCGGAGGAGCATATCTTGGGTAGTGCTGCGGGGAGGGTGGCGGCATAGGCCGTTGCTGAGGGCCATACATCGACTGAAAGGAATTACTTTGCTCGTGATAACCTGCGGGTGAGATTAGTCACTATTGCATGCGCGTGTAGGATGAGGAGGGGCAATGCGACATACCAGACAATGCGCGCGGAGGACTACCTGGGCCATTGTATGGCATCGATGGCGAGTGACTAGACATCGCCATCGGCGGTGAGATTGATTGAGATCAATGTAGATCGGCTCGTCCACGCCAGTGTTGCGGATATGCGGTGGAGGACGCGCGATCAGCGGTTGAGTTTGGAGTTGACGAGTACATGGATGATCGACAGTAATGGCAACGAAGCTCGAGCGACGACGCTGCAAAGTGGATAGACAATAGAGCTGTCGCGCAGAGCTGCTCCCGGACTGATGTCAAGCGACAGTGGTACTGATGCAGGTAGCAGCAAGCAGGGAGCAGGAGTCGCGATCGAAGCAAAAGAGTGCCAAAAGGTGGATCTTGCCAGGCACGAATATGCGGAAATCCCACATCCACACTGATGACTTCTCCATTGCGGATGAGCTGTCCAATTGCTTCATCTGCATGACGACAGGGCCTAGTGCTTTCAGGGAGGGATGCTGTGTCAGGGATTGGCATCTTCCGAGCAAAGACCAGGGTCAACTCTTTACCAGCCACATGACACTGCTGGCTTGATGCATGCCGATGTTACTCTGGTCTCTGCAAGTGCCTGCATCAACGTGTTCATTGTGCGATGGTCGCCTGAGCTGAAATGCATGAGGGACAGCATTTCCCCAGACCAACGCATACCACGCGCTTTGCCGCGATTTTGCTTCGACTTGAGAAAACCTTGAAGAGTTACCAATTGATTTTTTGCTTTCCGAGGCCCCGCCTTGCTCTAAGCTGCATAGAGCTTAGCGATCGACGGAAGCTCTCGGTTGACTCAACGGTGGTACTCTATAAAAAAGTGCCCGAATGCTCATCTTGAATTTGCATGAAGTCTTCGATTGAGCGAGCAGCAACGACGGCATGTATATTGGTGTAGTCTGCATACTAGACTGGCTCGTTCAGATGTGATAAGCGATTGTCTGCTGCCCAACAAACTTGGTTCCGGTCGAAAAGAATTAGATCATCAGTGTGAAAACATCCGATGTCATCAAGATCTGAATCTGCGAAGGATAGAAGGCGAAGCCTGCCGTTCACCTTGCAACTGCCCTCGAGCTGGGCCAGATCTTCGGTCGTGATTGCCGTGTGTGCGCGCAAGCATTGTCGCTACTTACCTAGGTACCTGCCATCTGACCTCGCTTCCAACAACGATGAATGAATCTTCAAGATCTAAGAGCAGGTGGGAAGGCTGTGGCTCAGCCTGCTAGTCGGAGAAACATTCGCCGACCCCGTGGATTTTCATGATGCTGCTCGATATGCACGCGAGATTATAGCATCTTCAACACCATCAATTGTTTCTGCTCTTCGCCCGATCACTTGCTTTCAGCCTAGCACATCTCGTTCAAGAAACAGAATCACAACGATCAAAATCATGTTTCGCACCTCACTTCTCCGGCAGCAGCGAAGTTTCGTGCAGAGCCTTTCCCGAACACAGAACACTTCTTTATCTTCATATACACGCTTCCCAGCACGGACGCTACCATCTCTTTGCCAACAGCCTACACGACGATGGCAGTCTACAGAAACAGCCAAAGCAGCTGATGAGCCGCCTCCGAGTGCGGAAGCAGCAAAGGAAGATCCAGTTAAGAAAGAGCTCGAGGCCAAGTCGAAAGAAGTCGTCGACCTCAAGGTACGCCTTGTCTGATCGCTACCTGCCTGTTCACTCAAGCTAACGCTGTCCTCAGGACAAGTACCTGCGCTCCGTCGCCGACTTCCGCAACCTGCAAGAGCAAACCCGCCGCCAGATGGAAGACGCCCGCAAATTCGCCATCCAGCGCTTCGCCACCGACCTTCTAGACTCGATCGACAACCTTGACCGAGCACTCATCGCCGTACCCGAGTCCGCTTTGAAGCCATCAACAGAGACAGTCACATCGAACACATCATCCGCAGACCCTAACGTTGCCGCCTCCAACGAAACTTCATCTGGCACTTCTACACAGCCTTCGAATCAAGATCTCATCAATTTGCATTCCGGTCTGAAAATGACGGAAGAGATTCTAATGAACGCACTCAAGAAGCATGGCCTAGAACGATACGACCCGATTGAGCGAGAAGGCAAGAAGTTCGATCCCAATCAAGACGAGGCCACGTTTTTTATGGCCCAAGAGGGCAAGCCCGACGGAGAGGTCTTCTTCACGCAAAGCAAAGGCTTCAAGCTCAACGGACGGGTCGTCAGAGCCGCCAAAGTTGGTGTTGTCAAGAACTCATAGTCGGGCTTCTCAAGCCTGACTTGGTATGACACCTCAGTCTTCGCTGGCGCACCGCGTCGGCAAGATCGAGGAGCTGGTGCCATAGACGGTCGTCTTGCGCTCTAGAAACGTGCAAGTGCGCTTCCACAGAAGCTGCCTGCAGCTCGATTAATGCAGGCCGTCGGTGGCAGCCAGATCGCAGAAGTGCCGTGCTCTTTGAGACCACGGGAGACGATTCCACATTGCGGCTAACATGTCCCGCAAGGAGCACCAAACATGCGCCAGCTAATCAACCGTGTCTGCACCCACGACTCCAGTGGCATCAATTTCTCTCCGCGCATGCTCGGCACACCAGCTCACTCGTCACTGACCGCCGCTTCGCTAAGAAACTGGCACAGGACGACTCAATCGATCAAATTACACTCCGGCGCACAGCGTTTCCCACGAAGAGAGGAAAGGAATGATTTGATCACGGCGGCATTTCGACTCTTGTAATATAGACTTCATGTACACCATATATCACCAGCGACACGGAAAAGATCAGTTTCGATCGGATAAGGACACAAGCGATTTGGTCCTGGAAGCACATATCCACAGCTGCAATCGTTCCTGCATTGAGAAACACTGTATAGATCTGATATGTTTGGAACAGTCATCTCAACCGCCTCATGTCTCGATCTCGTTGCTCTTGCCGCTCTGTGTCTTGTAGGTTGACTCTGTCGGTCACAGCGACTTCAAGTTGCCTCGGCCTGACCCTGGGACAAATAGCAACAAAATCCAATAGAAGTCCTGATTGGGAAGGAGGCCTGCCTCTTTGAAGCGCTCTGCGATTTTTACCACATAGCTAGGCAGGTACCTAGTACCAATCTTGCCCGACAACGATCCCCGTTTCTCTTCGCTGCGCTTTGTCCTTTGGCAGATCGCAAGAAACGAAGACAGCCGTCCCCTTTGTAGTCTGCGACTCTACAACCACAATCTCCTGTCCCAGGTCGCCAATCGGACCTCAAAATCAGGACTCCTATCAGACGCGCCGTTGAGTTCGACACGGGAAAAAAATCGACAACGTCGATTCTCAAGGGTCGAAATCGACGCTGTCGAATTTTTCCCCGTTGTCAAGCTCGGCCGCGCAACAGGTAGAAGTCCTCATTAGGAAGGAGGCCTGCCTTTACCGAAGAACTGGTCCTGATTTCTACAAGTAGTCCAGGCCTTGGAAATGGTCCCCTGAGAAAACTGCTGATCTCCGTTGTCTATTCTCCCTTGTCTATTTTGCGAGCTGACTTCGTAACCAGCTCTTATGAGATATCCCAGCACTTCTAATCATACAAGCTCCTCTCCATCCCGCCCCCGTTCGCCCTGTCAAGCACCACCTTTTGGGCTACCATCTACGGCAAGCCCCCAAATCCGCCTCCATTTCGTCTCGCCCGCACAACCTCCTTCCTCACCTTCACAGTATCCAGCACCTCGCTAGCGACCACAGGGTCGGTGAACCCCCATTTCGGCGCTCGTTTCTTGCGCGACCGCTTGTCTCCATAGACATCATCAAACTTCTTGATCTCCTTCAGACTGTTCATGTCTTCTGACACACTGGCCGTGATCTCTTCGAGGGCTTTGTCGAAGTGTGCGCGGGTTAGGACGCGTTTCTTCGGGCCAGAAGAAGGAGCAGGTTCATGATGAATGGGCGACTCGGTGGCATCTGCGGGTAGTGACGGTGCTGCTTCTTGTTGTGCGGTCGCTTGCTCCTCAGGCTTTTCCTCGCCAGAATCTTGGGCGGTGGTGTCAGACATCCCCGACGATTGGCCCTTCTCCTTCACCAGACGTGCAATCAGCTCCACCTTATCTTTCCTCATCGAAGGTTTCAGCGTCGATATTAGCTTCTCCGCAGTAAGTGGATGGCTTGCTGGCGGTGGGAAGTCACGTAGAAATTCATGTATACGGTCCGCGACCTCCTGTGCCGCCTGTGATTGAGCCTCTGTTTCCGATGCCCTTCTCACCGCCACTTCAGCCTTAATTGCTGACATCAACCTACGGAAGTCATCCGCAAAATCCGTGCTGAGGTCACCTGTCGTCTCGTCTCCTGCTGCAGATTTCGAGGTTGGTACAGAGGCAGTCTCGGCAGAAGCCGCTTTCCTGGATAGATCATGTTGCTCCTTCACCGCAGTCAGTGCAGCGGCGACACACAGATTCTTCAGGTCTGAGCCCGAGTAAAAGGGGGTACGCTTTGCCAGATCAGCCAAGTCAAGACCCTCACTCAGCTGTTCGGCCTTGAGATGAATCTTGAGAATGGCGTGCCGGTCCTTCTCAGTCGGCAAATCAATAAGCAGCCTCCTCGGCAAGCGCCGCAGCACTGCATCGTCAAAGTCCATGGGCCGATTCGTTGCAACCATCAAGAACGCGCTCCCGGCATCATTGCTCATGCCATCCCACTCCTTCAGGAACTGATTTAGCAGCTCACGATGACTGACGCGTCGGCCGTTGGCAGACCGAGCGCTGAACATGGCGTCTGCTTCATCGAGGAATACCACGCAGGGCGACAACTTCTTGGCCAAGCTGAAGAGCGCCTTGACGTTCTTCTCACCCTCGCCCACGTACATGTCGTTGAGGTCTGCAGCGCTAACTTCCAGCATTGTGGCACCCGATTCTTTTGCCACGGCTTTTGCGAGCAAAGTCTTGCCTGTGCCCGGTGGTCCGTACAAGAGTAGACCTGGTATGCGGTCTGATGCGAGTACGCCGTAAGTGAACGCTTCGGGGTTGATGAGCGAGAGCGTAGTCAATGTTTGCAGAGCCTCAATGGTCTCTGCTGGTGCGTGGACATCGTCAAATGTCGTGCTCATCTTGTCTGACTCGATCACGCCGCTCAGTAATCGTGTCTCGTGCTTGTTGGCCTGAGCTCGAACTCTGCTCAATTTTGCGTCGTCGCCTTTGATATCGCCCCGAGCGCCACCTCTGAGGGCTCGCAATGCTTTCTCCACTTGGGATTGCGACGAGGATCCCGACCTCAACTTGCTAAGGTCGCTCTCGGCCAGCTTATCAATTGCATAGCTTATGACTGGCTGGAACAATCCCATCTCCATGGGGGCTTCCCTGCCATCGCCCAGACCACGCATGTAACTGACTAAGCGATGAACGTACTGAAAAGACCAGACCTCCTGGGAAATATTGTACCTGTCCTTGATCGTGAGGTTCTGTAAGAATGGTTCCTTCCAGAAACCTGGTTTGAGGTGCGAAGAAAACGGCTCGATCACTATATTAGGGCCCGTCTCCCACACCCGCATCATCTGCCAGATGTGTCTAAGATTGATACTTGCTATTCGTCTCGATCGACTGAGAGCGGACATCTTCGCGTTGTTGGACTTCCACACTGATCTGGGTGGGGTGACGACAATAATGCGTGCAACGTCTGTTTCTGATGGCATGGGTGTCTGCTGTAGAGCTTCAAAGTGTCTGGCTTCCCTTCCCTGGGCGTCCTCGAGATGATGTTTCGGGCACTCCGTCCCGACAATGATCATATGTTCCCCTTGCTGGCGCTTTGCTTCAACGGCGAGGCACAAGTCGTTCATGAAGGTGTGACCAATCGCAATATCCTCTATGTTATTGATATCTTTGACGTGAACGAGCGTCGAATTTCGAGGAAGTCCAAGTTTGTCAGTCAGAGCGTTCCGACGGTCTTCCGTTGCCTGGTCCGGTGTCGTGGCGCGTGCTTTCTTGGCCGCGATAGTAGACAGGAGGCTCTCACACAGACCGGAAAAAGGGCCAGCTGGCGACGCCGCCCTTGAGTAACTTTGCCCGAACGAGTGCGATCTACCGCCAGCCCCTAATAGATTGTTTCCACGCCTCGAATGTCTACCGTCGAGACGAGTGAGGCGCGAACCGAAGTCTCCTAGATTTGTCAAATCAATGGTGAAGGCCTTCATGATCGATGGACTTTTGCTGCTACTCGAAGGAAAGCCCATCTCCGAGATGTCCATGTCCGGAGCATCAGAACCTGGTGCGAATTCGTCGTTCATGTCCTCAGAAGGCTCCGTCTGGCCGCTGTCGTTGCTGCGCGGACTGGGTACCAGCGCATCGTAGCTGAGCATTCGCGCTTCAGCGATAGAGTATTCACCACGTGTGCGTGCTTGACTGATGAGGTCCGAAATGTCCTGAACATCCAAGTCAACCAGATGGCTGCCATACGAGGTAGCCAGAGATCGAACCAGCTCGTCTAAGAGATTCTCTGCGTCCTTGCCCGCATAACGGATAATTACATTGTTCGCTTTGACAGCAGGCTCTCCCTGATTCTGGCTGGTATTTGCTGCAGTTCGAAGGGATCCTCTTAATGTTGTGAGAACTTCCTCACACTGTGCCTTTTCGAGGTAGTAGCGTGGTGTATTTTCTTGGTTATTCTCCGATGAATTATCTTGCTCTTTTGATGCGTCCGTTCTGGAGACATCGAGTAAGGTGAAGTCGCGAAGGGTGGGTCGAGAATCATCGCTGCGCGGACGCGACGGTTTGTCTTCGCTGTCGCCTCCAGGCGGACCTCCTTCTCCTTTCGTCTTTGCTTCTAGGAAGTCATCGGTGGTTCCAATTTCATTCGGTCTCGCCGCAAGATCTGACCACAGCGCAACATTGCTGTCCACAAACCATTCTGGCACCGAGAATGGCGGCTCCGTGACCTCTTGCTGTGCTCGCACCCGTTGTCTTCTGTTGAAGCTGGAGCCATAGAAGCCATTTGTTTGGTTCTGCTCCCCAGTCCGACCTAGCGATGGCGCTGTGACTGGCAACTGTGGTACTACCGAGCTGGCACCGTCCCGCGTTGGCGACGTCCTATTGTCCGCGGCATCCTTGCCTGGCCCTGCTGGTGGAGCAGACTCGCTGTTCGAATTTGATCCTGGGTCGGTGGTGTTTCTGAGTGTCGAAGTTCGATGAAACGATCTTCGGGATGACTGCGTGCGTGCGGAGCAGTATCGACAGCTTGACTTGAAAGAACGGTGTATGAGGCGTGCCTCCTGCAGGGTAGAATGCATTCGGAGCGTGGATTTAGCATTGAACGAGAGCCAGATGAGTTCTCACTGTTTGAAGGAAGTTGCGATCCAAATTTTACGGCGGGGCAGAGGATTCGTCTGCCTCATATTGAAATAGTTCGCGGGAGTCACGACTCGCATAAGAATTTCTTGCGAAGACATCCATCATTTTGAAATCAGTTTGAGGACGACGCAGAATGCCCACAGCATGCGAGGTATGCCAAACCAACCGTGCCGCAGTCATACGACCGAAGAACGGCCAAAAAATCTGCAAAGACTGCTTCATACAGATATTTGAAGCAGAAACTCATGACACAATTATCACCAGCAAACTATTCCAGCGTGGTGAGCGAGTTGCCATTGGAGCCTCCGGTGGGAAAGACTCGACAGTATTGGCTTCGGTCTTGAAGACGCTGAATGAACGGTACGACTATGGCTTGGATCTAGTGCTGCTCTCGATCGACGAAGGCATCAAAGGCTACCGAGATGACAGTCTGGAGACGGTGAAACGAAATGCTGTGCAGTATGACATGGATCTCGAGATTGTCGGGTATGACTCGCTGTACGGATGGACCATGGATCAAGTCGTCGCTCAAGTCGGCAAGAAGGGCAACTGCACATATTGTGGAGTGTTCCGACGGCAAGCACTCGACAGAGGAGCGGCGAAATTAGGCATCAAGCATGTCGTGACTGGCCATAACGCAGACGACGTGGCGGAGACGGTAATGATGAACCTGCTGCGAGGCGATCTGCCACGGCTGGCAAGGGCGACCAGTATCGTCACTGAAAGCACGGCGAGCGAGATCAAGCGGAGTAAGCCGCTCAAGTATGCATATGAAAAGGAGATCGTGCTATATGCGCATCACAAGAAGTTGGACTACTTCAGTACTGAGTGTATCTACAGCCCGGAAGCATTTCGAGGAAGTGCTCGTACCCTGATCAAAGATCTGGAGAAGATCCGGCCAAGCAGCATCCTGGATATTGTCAGAAGTGGCGAGGACATGGCCAGATTGGTCCCCTCTGAAGTAGCCGCAACAATGCCAGCTTCAGCCGGCACCGAGGCGACAGGATGCGGCTCAGCCAATGGTCGATCCAGTGGTGGCGAGATGGCCGACATGGAGAGGCGTCTCGCAGAAGATGAGGCTGCTGCTCAACATGAGACCGAAGTAACGCTTCCGGCAAGTCGTCCAGCCAATGGTATATCGACGCACGACAAGAAGCGAGGGCCTCGGAAACGAGCCATCAAACAAGTCATGGGACAATGCGAACGATGCGGCTACTTGTCCAGTCAGAAGATTTGCAAAGCTTGCATGTTATTGGAGGGCTTGAACAAGAGTCGCCCACAGCAGACCGTCCAAGTTGGCTTTGAGGATGAGGAGAGCAGTACGACCATGATGCGCCAGATAGGTGCACTAGAGATCGCCGCGGGCTGAAAGATGCCCTACGCCAGTTTCCGTCTCTTGGCCACATGTGCGTCTAGGCGGGCGAGTATCGAAGCATACTGGTGTAACGCAGTGACGATGAGAAGCTGTATCATAGCAACGACGCCTCTGATCAACCGCGACCGCAGACTCAGGGTCGGACGACGACCTCTCGAGAAAGTCGAATCAATGAATTCGAATGGCAGCTTCGCTCCTAGGTGATTCTGCGCCGCTGCCAGACCGCTACTGAAGCCGTCCTCATGGAATCCATACTTGGTCCAGGCGCCGCAGTAGCTGATACCGCGCGTGTTCTGTATGCGACCGAGAAGCTCCTGAGACCGGATGGCAGCTGCATTGTACAGTGGATGGGAGTATTCCCAAATACCCTTTGACAACCTCGGATCAGGCATCTTGAGTGGATTCAGAGTCACCAACACCTGGCCATATTTGTCTTCGGGGATATGCTGCAAGTCGTTCATCCAGTACGTCAGGCAGACTTTCGAAACGTTGCCGTCGCCTGTTGGTGGGAATGGCGACTCGGTGATGTAATTCCACGCAGACCATGCCGTCCGCCTCCGGGGCATTAGCGACAGATCGGAATGCAGAACGGCAACATTCCGACTCGTTTGGAAGCCGGAGAGGATCTTGACCTCCTCTTCAGTCGCACAGGGCCGCATGATCTCAAGAGCCTGATCTCCGTGGCAGGCCAAGATTACATGGTCATAAGTGACGTGGTGGTTGTTACACGTGAGCGTCACCGAACCATTCTTCAGTGGTGTCACGGCTGTCACCTTGCTCGACAGGTGAATCTGCTTATCTGGGACGTCCTTTAGCACTTTTTCGAGGTACTGAGAGGAGCCTCCAGGTATCGTCATCCAGTCTGGCCGTTTCGAAATCGTGCTCAGTAAATGATGATTCCACATGAATCGGATGAGTGTTATGGCAGGGAATTGTAACGAGCACTTGTCTGGACTCGTGCTCCAGACGGCAGCCGTCATTGGTATCAGGTAGTCGTCTCGGAAGGTCTGGGAGTATGCATTGCGATCTAAGTATTCGCCGATGCTCTCCTGGCGTGGTCGACTCGAATCCTTGGCCTTGATCATGGTCGGATCATTTTCACTCTCATCTTCTTCCTGGAGGAGGTCAATGGCGAATTGGTTGAAGCGGACGATGTCGAATATCAGTCGCCACATGCGGAAGCTGAACAAGTTCTTTCTCTGCGCGAAGACTGCCGACAACGAGGTGCCTGCCCATTCGAACTTGCCTTCATCACGAGAGACGCCAAAGGTCATTCCAGTGGTCACCGTTGGGACGCCTACTTCTTTCAGAAAGGCTATGAAATTGGCTAGTACGTGTTAGTCTTGTCTCAACGATACTCGATGAGACCCACGGTATGTAGCGGAGTTGAGCACAATGAAGCCTGTGTCAACGTTCACCTTGGCGCCATCGGGAGCCTCATATTCTACCGTATTCGTGTGCCCGCCTATCCTAGATGACGCCTCGTAGAGATGCACCTCGCGGTTTGTGTTCTTCAATGCCCATAGAGCGGCAATGCCGGAGCAGCCGCTGCCCACAATAGCCACTCGTTTCCCCATTGCTGACCAGCAATATCAATGTCAAAGTCAATGACGCAGAGAAATATATTTGTGAAAGTCGCTCGGGTCAAGACAATTTCCCGCTAGTCCTCGGATCTTCTCGTTCGGAATGGATCAGATCAGACGTAGAGCACAGCTAAAGCGACCAAGAAACTACAATCTATAGCCCGAGTAAGTGCAAAAGAGAAATAGGTGTTGGTACCTGAATGCTGGAACCATATTCGACAGCGGAGGCTAGCCTCGATCCAGACCGGATGACAAGACCAATCATCGTTGCCCGCATCGAACCCACCCCTGCCGCGGCGCATTCGATGGATGACATCCTCCGAGCACCTCGACGTGCATCTCGACCTCCATTCTACTACTTTAGGACAACAAGGAGCACGCGCATACAGCAGCTACTACGCACAGCCATCCTTCTATTCGACTGACAAACGTCCGAGAACGCAGGCCACAATCCTCACCAGTCTCGCCACTGCAGGCATCTGCCATTAACACCCAACTCCAGCCCTTCCCAACCCGCACACGCACTGCTCGGCCGCGCCGATTATTCCAGCCTCGCTGCCACCACCGCCCGCACCCTCCTCCACCACCTTTTCGCCAACACTCCTCATCCCGCAACAATGGCCGACGAAAGCCAATTTGACTCCTACGAAGGCGAGCTCAAACTCGTCTTCGCCGACCTACAACAAAAACTCGACGCCCTAGACACCTCCTCCACCACCAGCGCCGAAGAGCGCAAATCCTCCATCCGACTAGCCGAACGCGCCCTCGAAGAAGCCAAAGAGCTCCTCGACCAACTCAACCTCTCCAAATCCTCTATCCCCACCACACAGCGCACCAAGGTCAATGCTCGCTACCGCAACCACGCCTCCGACTTGGACGGGTACACACGGAAGCTAAAAACACTAAAGAACAGCAACAACGCAGACAGCGACCGCGCTCAGCTCTTCGGCGAGCGCTACACCGACGACCCGAACGACGCCGCACTGGAACAGCGCCAACAGCTCCTCTCCGGCACCGAACGCCTAGGCCGAAGCGGCGAGCGCCTGCGAGAGAGCCAGCGGATAGCGCTCGAAACAGAAGCGATCGGGGCGGGGACGCTCGCAGATCTGCATCAGCAGAGGAATGTGATTGAGAATACACATCGGAATCTGCTGCAGAGTGAGGGGTATGTGGATCGGAGTGTGAAGACGCTTAGGGGGATGGCGAGGCGGTGAGTTTTTTGCCTTTTCCTTCTTCTACCATCTGTGCCCATCAATTTGATGCTATTTTTGTGTATACATACCATGTTTGTTGTACCGGAGTAATATGTTTACCAGCATGTGGTTCCTCGGCTGACGACCCATCGCACGACGTTCAGAATGGCGACGAATCGAATCATCACCATCGCGATCATTACTGTACTGGTGCTCTTGATCATCGGTGTGATCTACAGCAAGTTCAAGTGAACTAATTTGAGGATGTGGCAATGGCATAGCGCTGGCGTTCATGGATTTTGGAAGAATGAGCGGCAGGTCTTTGGGAGGAAGTGCGACTGCACTGGATTCGTCGCAATTGTTGGCTGGAAACAGAGACGGAACACAGGGTGGTGTTGGCCTCTTTGTACAGTATAGAAAACCACTGCCAGCCTCTACCCAAGTCCTTCGGTCTCCGCATCCCAATGTTTGCTTGCGATAATGTACAGCATGGAATAGTCGTAGACGCCCGAAGGGCTGTTCACACAGCTCGAGCCAGCAGATGACCCTGATCTTCTGTAGCACGCAGAATCCAGAACGCCCACCAAGAAGACATCAGTCGCCCGCCATCCCTCACTTACCAGAGTGAACCGAGCAACATAAAAGCAACCAATATCACGACCCCTACACACAGGCTGACCACCGCCCATCCATCTCTGCCTATGCTGAAGTACTACCCCGCAACCCTCACAAACCCCAGCCCAACATTAAGCAAAAACCCAACGACAACCGCCATCCTCCTCCTCGCAGACCATACCCCACTTTCCCTCCCTAGCCACATCATACATCCCAACGGCCAGAAAAACCCCATCGCCGTGCCGTAGATCATGTCGTCTAGCGCTCCGCTCTCGCTTTCTTCTGATGAGGCGAGTGCGGTGCTGCCATCGCCGGAGGACGGATCGAGGACGGCTGCCGATGCGGAGCCACCGGCGTTGGAATTATCCAGCCACTGGTCCTCCAGCGCGCGCATGGTGGTGGGCGAGGGCATGGTGTCCTGTGTATGTGTATGTGCTTGAATCGCCAAAAATTGCATCCTTAGAGAGGAAACTTCCGTAGGAGTGAAGCCTGAGGTGAGCAGGCGGTCGAAGCCGTGTGGGGATGGTGGTCGATCCCGGGCCGAGGGATTCAGTGATTGCTGGTGTTGCTGGAATGTTGGGATGGTTGGCGATGAGTCGGATGCTGCTGCTGCTGCTGCTGCGGCACGAGAGGCTTCCTCGGCAAGTTCAGCGGCGGTGAGGACGATGTCGCCGATCGAGCAGTGTATGTATATTCGGGGCGTTGGTGAGGTGATGGGGTCGCGGATGGGCTTCTTGCCTTTTGCTTTGGCGGAGGGGATGCCTTTGCTGTTGGTGCCGATGGGTGTCGATGGGCCGAGAGGTGTTCCTGGCCGTGGCGTGCTTGTCCGTGTAGGCGGACGGGAGACAGGCCGCCGCAGTGTTGTCGCGAGCACGTCATCGTCGGCGAGTGCTTTGCCGCTGTAGATCAGTCGTATTCGGCGGGACTTGTAGTCGCTTGGTAGATGCGTGCGGATGAGTTGCTTGAGTGTTGATGTGTTGGCGTTCGGCTGAGTGCTTAGCGGGATAGAAAGCGGTAGGTCGGGCAGTGATGCCGAGAAACGTACTGTCAGCTCGAGGTCGTCCAGAGTCGCGCCATCGTTGGGAGGTGCAAGAGACATTGGTGTGAACGGTCATCGGACGCGAGCTGGAAACGTTCAAAAGCAAGACCTGTGGTGCCAAACGGTGATGCGCCCGAGCGCAGGTGCAAGTGTCGAATTAGCTACATCTAGAAATGCAGTCCCGGTCCCAAGATATCCAGTCGAAGATTCCAGGCTCGAACCACGATCCTGAACTGCGGTACAATTCGTACGGTGGATATGCGTGGACAATGGAGAGAGAGGAGTCACGGTTTGCCTTGCGATCTTAGAATGGTTGCCTCGTAATTTGCGATGCTAGGGCTTGGCACATTTGAAAGAAGCGATTCAATATGGTCCTACGCATCGTCGACTTTCAGGGTTGCAAGAGCACTTGCAGACCTCCTTGCTCATCGCGTCAGTGGATCACGGCGGATTTCAGCCACTACTCAGGTTCTGAAAACTCTGCGCAACATGCTTGCGAGGATCTGGTAACGGCTGAGACCTTCGCTGGTTTCTTTAATCTACTACGCAGGGGCCTCCTGAACAGAAGTGTGGCTAGACGTCCTTAATTCATTCTCATACCGTTATCGAAACTGTAGCCCGTCTTCTGGTCGAAACAGGTCTGTCTGGTTGCGGTCCAGATAATCATCTTACACCCGAAATGTTTCCTGCCCCAAAATAACCTTGAACGCCCAAACCCCAAAATCATCGAAATCGCCGGCCTGCATCATTGCTGGGAAACCCCATTCATTCGAAGCCATGGTCTCAAAAAGTTTCATACCATCGACCTTCTGAGCCTCCTTCCACTCCTTGGCCGACCCTGCATCCCAAATTCCCTTCTGCGCCGTGAATTTAAGGTGCCCAGGACATTGGGGATCACCTCGGGTCATGACTTTGTACGTGCCTTGTACAACAGCACAGATCACCACGTGCGCCGAATGGACTCGGCGAGGCTCCAGGCTTGCCAGGCGGCGATCTCATCTGGGTCAGGTTTGTTTGGGAAAGAGCTTACGTAGCTGCTGCTCTGTTGGGCGCAATCGACCATTTGATGGCCCCAGTCCTCAAGGAGTGGGATATACTTTTCTGCAGCGAGGCGTTGTTGGAGATCGCCGTCGAAGAGACGGATGGTTTGGTAAATCAGGAGAGTCTGGACGCGGGCGAGGTGGGAGACGAGGCAGCAGGGCCCGGACTTGACGACAGTATTTGGAGCGAATTCGTCTACGAGGTTGGAAACGTTGCGTTCGATGATGTGCATAGCTGTGCCTTGGCGGTGAGTTCACAGGCAAAATATGTCGCGCAGGCCGTGAAAGCATCCTGGAGAATCGCGGGCATGCGGTCGGAGCCGTAGATGTTGGGATGGATGAACAGTAATGAGCCCGTACGCGGCCATGCTTGAAGCCACTTCTGGACATCTGACACAGCATTTGTTAGGGAGTCGAGCTTGAAGTAGTCGCAGGATTCGCCCTCCTTCTTCAGGACCCGCCAGGACTCAGGAGCGATTAGTGCCTGGTCAAGATCAGGCGCTCCTTCAACCTCGCTGTGAGGCGTAAAGGCGGTGCTGCGTGATGAGGACGAAACCGTGTCGATTTTGTGCTGTGACTCCAGGGCCAGGTCACTCGCGCCACCGGAATGTTGCGCCTCACGGACAGTGGCTTCCTCTGATGCGACTGGGCCCGGTATACGGTGTAGACGGGTCGAAATGTATACGCAGTCGAGCTTTCGAGATCGACATCGGCCGCAAGAAGGATGCTGGAGATTGCATTTGCGCTTGCCACTTGTGCAACGTATGCAAGCTTTCCGCCGGGTGTCCGATTTGGGCATGAATGCGGTTTTCTTTGTTGGGGAGTACTCTGACAGGTAAATGGTTCCACTTTGTCAAAGACCTCCGCACTCTCAGTGAGTGGCAATGAGAGATCCAAAGCAACATTGGCGGAGTTGCGGACTGAGTAAGTAGTTGTCAGGTGAATGAATGTGTTCTGTCATACTGATCGGCTTCGAATTCCTGTTCGCAGTTTGTATTCACCCATGCGCTTAAGTCCGCAACTCCGCCCGCTTGCTTACACGACCCCAGGCTTAGGGAGTCGCGGACTTATTAGCGTGGGCAAATACAAACTGCGAACAGGAATTCGAAGCCAGTCAGTATGACGGAACACATTCACTGTGCATAACATGGACAATTCTCGGGGTGTGCAGTGCTTTTGCTTCCACTACTGACTTTTGCAACGTATTTGCTGCGCCCATGAGTAACAACTCCGTCGTGTGCGGCGTCGAGTATACACAATATCGGCGGAGAATTGCATGTGGATGTTGTGGTCCATACTTTCGTGAAAATGCTTGCCGTGACCTCGAGGTGGGCTTCAGGGTCATAAGAAGCATGTAAGGAGCTGCAGTCTTGCTCCTCGTCCGGATCGTCACATCGACAGACTGCAGTGACCGACTCGGTGACCACACTCGTTCCGCAACCATGCCTTCAGCATCATTCCTCAGCAAAATCCATCGCGAACCGTACCCAGCCATTTCCCCCACCCGACCAGAGCTGTCGCAGGCAGGACAAACAGTCCTCATCACCGGGGCGACCGGCATAGCTATTCCATCGCGAAAGCCTTCGCCCAAGCAGGGGCCGCTCGAATCGTGCTCGCCAGCCGAAACGCGGCGACCATTCGAGGATCGTTCGCGGACATTAAGAAGGATGTTCCAGGGTACAAGGGTGCACTGATCTCGAAAGTCTGCGATGTCGGCGACACCACCAGCACAGCAAAGCTCTGGGAGTCGTTGAAGGCGGAGGACATCGTCATTGATGTGCTGGTGCTGAATGTCGCCATCAATGGAGCTCGTGGGCCTCTGTTCGACACGGATCTTGAACTCATCGCGAAAGAATTTTTTGTCAATGTCCTGTCGCACATCCACTTTGCGCAGAAGTTCGTGAAGCAGAATAGTGAAGCGCCTAATGGTCACAAAAAGGTGAGGGAGTCCGCCTGGGTCGGCTGCGAGCTGACAAGATTTAGGTCTTGATCGATATCTCATCCGTGGTCATCCATGATCCGGTAGCAGTCGCATTCATGCCCAACTATACGCTGACCAAGAGCTCGAGCACATACGCCATGCAGCTGATCGCCAATGATCTCGATGCCAATGAGACGCAGGTTGTCAGCTTCCACCCAGGTGCAATTTACACTGCTGCCGCCAAGGCGGCCTTCGATGGGAAAGCCAAGAGCGAGGTCGATATACCATTCGACGACGGTAAATGGCCCCCGCCCAACGTAGAGATGGTCACTGATCTCAAGCAGATGATCTCCCCGGCGCTTTCAGCGTATGGGCAGCTTCGGATGAAGCGAAGTTCATCCATGGCAGATTCGTGTGGGCAGCCTGGGACGTTGACGAAATGAAGGCCGGCGAGGTTGCCAGTCGCGTGAAGAGTGATATCTCCTTCCTCAAAGTGGGAGTTCCGGGTCTGACTGTAGGTGATATCCGAGCATAGGCGAGACGGTATTCATGCCTGGGCGGCTTGTTTGATAGACTTTATTAGTACACATAGCAATACATGTCTAGTATAACGTCGCTCACCTTCACGAATGCCACCACCGTGAAGGGCCTCTAACCTTGCTTCCACCAAATTTGGCTTCCTCTTTTTCGAAAGCCTGTCTTTCCAGATTCGATCTCGCTCTAAACGCTTTGACGAATTTCCAAACTTCGCTGTCAGCCAAATTCCAAGCTTCAGCGACGCGTCTCATCTTTAGTATGTTCTCATCTTTGCTCTCAACCGTATCTCGTGCGCGTCTGAGCAGAGAGACTTCCTTTGACTTCTCCTCGTCTGTGGGTGGTCTTGTCTTCGATACATCTGCCGGTATACCTTCTGGTCCTTTCCAACGTTCGGGTCCCGGCACAGGTGGCAAAGACTCGCCGTGGGCAATAGTCGATCGCGGTATCGAAAATCCAAATACCCAATCGAGCTCTTCTAGCCAAGTCTCTGGAAATGGCTCTATCTTCTCCTTCTCCGGGTGCGCATCATTGGTCGGCGACTTTGGTGGAGGCGGTGGTGGGTTGAATGTGGTTGGGAACTGCTCGGTCGTGAACCACAGACTACGACTTGATCCGAATTCAGATGCGACCATATTCTTCAAGCTCAATATCCTGCTTGGTCCACCTCGACCATCACCAAGCACATCTCTCGTAACAGACCAAAGCCAAGGATCTCGATCTGTGTTTCGTCGGATATGTTTTACAGTAATGTGCTCAACGGTGTCGTTATTGAGTGTTATCATCGTCAGAGGATGTGGTACCACACTGAGGCTGAATATGGTTGAGCTGTTTTTGAATGCCGTTGGTGTTTGTACCTGCATCCTGGATCCCACACATGGACTGCATTTGGGTCGATTCGGCGGACAAGAAGTCTGCATGATGGATTCGGGGCATTCCGCGAGCAGATGCGCCAAGTCGAGCGCTGGCTGGACGAGGGCTGTGGAGTGTGCTGGTAGTGGCTTGAGGACAGCGATACCATTCTTGAAGGTGTTCTGCCAGATGGTATGCAGATGCGAGCCGATCAGCCGATTCAATTCTTGCTTGCCCTTGGCAGAGTCCCCGTCCATGAGATCTGCTAAGGCTCTGTACTTGGCCTTGATGGTCTTCGAGTCGTAGTGAGCCATCGGTCCTGGCTGCTCACTCATCCAATGATCTTCGGACACTGCCTCGATGATCGTCTTGTACGTTCCCAGCTTGGCGTCGTTCAAAGCTGTCTTAATAGCATCGTCGATGTGGGACTTTTGTCCAGCAAACAGTCCTGCGCCAATTCCATCGAACTTTGTCAGTTGTGCATACTCGCCTCTACGCAAGTGGGCCAGAAGATGATCGTCATATGCACCCATCGGAACGCAGTGCCAACTTGCAAGAAGACCAGTGCCATATGCGCCCAAGCAAGGAACCGCATGAATTCGAACTCCAGATCCTTCTGCATGCCCTTCGGTTTCAGTTGAGGATACAGCGGGTGTTCCATGGCCTCTTGCTCGCTCAGTATCACTGGCCGGAAGCCCTTGCTCCACCACGCCCTTCGCCATGTTAACAAGAGATCCTGTTCTGCTTTCTGTGTGTCCTTATCTCTCTTGCCTGTCCAGTCGTAGTATGTATACACCGCAGGGCGCTCTGGCAGAACCGGCAACACCGCTCTGTCCTCATCGAGCGTGACCGAAGACGAGAACGGGTTCAGCCATCTCCAGTCACTGTGCCACGAACTACCTCCCCCTGTGCTGTTTTGTTGTTGTGGTGGCTTGTGCACCGAATGATGCCATGACACTTTCAGGTCTGGGACTTTGAACGTGGTAGATTAGGTAGATTTGCTCGCAGATTCTCCGGCGGCTTGATCTTTTGTGCCGCGTTCGAAGCAAAGTCTCGTGATGAAGAGGAGAAGAACAATACAAAGGTCAGTGTAACGATAGTGACGAAGACGAATGATCCAAATCGGAGCCGTGGCATCGCTTCAAACGTGAATTTTGGGGACCAAGAACGCGGCTCCCATCGTCGCTGCAGGAGAGAATGTCTGAGGTGAACAGTCTTTGTCAGTGGACAGGAGTGAGAGTACTGTGATAGTGGATTGGAATTACGCAGTCCATCAACCAAACGGCATGTGCGACGGAAACGATTTCCGGCAGTAGCGACTCACAATGCTGTACTTTTTTATATGCTGCTCCGGTCTCGCAAGGCGTTTTCAAATTCCGCAATACTGCAAGCATGGCGGTCAACGGTGTTTCAGGTCACCTTCAGTGGTGGATGGAGCACCTGAAGGACCTCACTGTCTCTCCTTTGACTCGAGACTATCCAGAAGTCTCGTCAGAAAATGCTCAGAAGAGAGCCATCGAGGCAGTGGAGTCACTGGAGGCCGACAATAAGACCTATGAGGCGTTGAGCAGCTTTCCAAATGATGTTTCGGTGGAAGCGATTGTTCTGACGGCACTGATGGTACTCACAGCGCGGCTTACGGGGGACGAAGATATCAGTATTGGCGCCAATGCAGGCCCGAATGGCTCACCGTTCGTGCTACGACTCTTCACCACCAGCTCTGAGACCTTCTTGGCATTGTCTGGGAAGGTCAGGGAGGCAATCGGCCAAGCAAAAGACAGGTATATCGACCTCATTGATCTGCAAGATCATCTAAAAGCCTCGGCTCTCTTTCGTTTTGCGGCTTTCAACTCTGGTCCCGATTCGATACCAAGTGGCATACCTGCTGGCACCACAGATTTGCTGATAACATACTCAGTCTCACCATCGGGCACCTTGAGTCTCTCGGCGAGGTACAACCAGCGTCTATTTTCAAGCGCCCGAATTGCCGGCATTCTAGCGCAACTTCTCACCCTGATACGGAATGCTGCTCACGACCAAGAGCAAGCAATAGGAGCTATCGACTTCTGCACGCCGGATCAAGCCGCGCTCCGGCCAGATCCCATATCTGACCTACAGTGGTCTTCTTTCAGGGGCGCCATCCACGACATATTCGCCGAGAATGCTTCCCGGCATCCAGATCGGACATGTGTCGTTGAGACCAAGTCAGAAGACGGGCCAGAAAGAGTGTTTACTTATCAGCAAATCAACGAGGCGTCGAACATACTCGCCCACCACCTTGTACAAAGCGGTCTGGACATTGGTGATGTGGTCATGATCTACTCTTATCGTGGTGTTGATCTGATGGTGGCTGTTATGGGCACTCTGAAGGCTGGTGGCACATTCTCCGTACTTGACCCGGCATATCCACCAGATCGACAAAACATCTATCTCGAAGTCTCGAAGCCGCGTGCTCTGGTCGTCATAGGACGAGCGACCAAGGAAGCTGGTGAGCTTGATCAGAAGGTCCGAAGCTACATCTCCGACAATCTGGATCTGCGGACAGAAGTGCCAGAGCTTTACCTGCATAATGATGGCACTCTGACTGGCGGCCAAGTGGACGGAAAGGATATATTCGAAGCAGTCCAGCCAATGAAGGCCAGAGGCACAGGGGTAGTAGTTGGGCCAGATTCCACACCGACACTTTCATTCACCTCTGGATCTGAGGGCAAGCCCAAGGGCGTCAGAGGCAGACACTACTCCCTCGCTTTCTATTTCGACTGGATGGCAAAGACTTTCAACCTCTCGAGCAACGACAAGTTCACCATGCTGAGCGGCATTGCCCATGATCCTATCCAGCGGGACATGTTCACGCCACTGTTTCTCGGCGCACAACTACTGGTGCCTGCAAAGAATGACATCCAGAACGAGCGCCTTGCTGAGTGGATGGCAGAACATGGCGCGACAGTCACGCACTTGACCCCTGCCATGGGTCAGATCCTGGTCGGTGGTGCAGTGGCCAGGTTCGACAAGCTGCATCATGCGTTTTTTGTCGGCGACATTCTGATCAAGCGAGACTGTAAGTCATTACAGAGTCTGGCGCCCAACGTCAACATTGTCAATATGTATGGTACGACAGAAACGCAGCGAGCTGTCAGCTACTACGAGATACCGTCAAGAAATCAACGTGAGGGCTTCCTAGATGGCATGAAGGATGTCATACCGGCCGGTCGTGGTATGCACAACGTGCAGATGCTGGTGGTGAATCGGTTTGACACTACGAAACTTTGTGCCGTTGGCGAGATTGGTGAGATCTATGTTCGAGCTTCAGGTCTGGCCGAGGAATATCTCGGTACACCGGATTTGACTGCTAAGAAATTCGTCAAGAATTGGTTTCCTGGGCATGAGAAGGGCATCAAGGTAGATCTGCAGAACTTCGAGAAGTTTAAGTTCGAGCCATGGGCTAACAAGAAGCTCTACTTCGGTCCAAGAGACCGACTCTACAGAAGCGGAGACCTCGGGCGATATACACCGACCGGTGATGTCGAGTGCTCCGGAAGAGCTGATGACCAGGTCAAAATTCGTGGCTTCAGAATAGAGCTGGGAGAGATCGATACACATCTATCACAGCACCCGTTGGTCAGGGAGAACGTGACACTCGTGCGGAGGGACAAGTTTGAGGAACAGACATTGGTCAGCTACATCGTGCCACAAATCAAGGCATGGTTGTCGTTCCTGCGCGAGCGCGGTCTGGAAGATCAGCAAGATGATGGGACACTCGTTGGTCGATTTGAGCGGTTCCGGCTCCTGCAGCAGGCTGTGACGGAGCATCTGAAGACGAAGCTACCGGCATACGCGGTGCCTTCAGTGATTGTGCCAATGCGTGCAATGCCTCTGAATCCGAACGGCAAGGTTGACAAGCCGAAGCTGCCTTTCCCGGATACAGCTATGTTGTCGGCATCTAGACGGCGGAAGTCCTCGATGATGACGCAGCTGACGGACGCTGAGAGGTCTTTAGCCGGAGTGTGGGCTGGACTCGTGCCTGGCTTGCTGCCAAATACTGTCAAACCAAGCGAGTCGTTCTTTGACATCGGAGGCGACAGTATGAAGGCACAGCAGCTGGCATACAGGATACGAAGAGACCTGGGGGCTGATCTTGCTATCAACAAGATATACCGTCAGCCGACACTGAAGGACATGGCTGCCATAGTAGACCGACTCAAGTCTTCCGAGTCACTACATGAAGACGAGAAAGAAGACGAAAAGACCTCAGGTGTTGAGTATGGCCAAGATGCGCTTGAAATGGCGAAAGGTCTGCCTACGTCCTTCCAAACCGCAACAGAGGTCAAGGAGCCAGTGGTTTTCCTGACCGGCGCGACCGGCTTCTTGGGCTCTTTCGTACTGAAGGACTTGCTTTCGCGAAAGTCCCCAGAGATTAGCAAGGTCATCCTGCTTGTTCGTGCCAAAGATGACGACTCGGCCATGAATCGCGTCAAGGCCACATGTGCAGCTTATGGTGTCTGGGACGATTCGTGGTCGAACCGCATCCAGTGTGTCACAGGCAGCCTGGGACCAACAAAGTTCAGTCTATCGGATGCTGACTGGGAGGCAGCTACTCAAGCAGATGTGGTCATCCACAACGGCGCACAAGTGCACTGGATCAACACATACGATATGCTCAAGGCTCCGAACGTCCTCGGCACGATCGATGCGCTCAAGCTGTGTGCAGAGGGAAAGCCCAAGAAGTTCTGCTTTGTCTCATCACCAGTGTGCTGGATCACGACGCCTTCGTAATGGAGTCCGAGCGCGCCATAGCCGCCGGCGGCGAAGGCATCTCAGAAGAAGATGACCTCTCCCGCAGCAGCACCGGCCTTGGAACAGGCTACGGCCAGTCCAAATGGGTATCAGAATACCTCTCCCGCGAAGCCGGCCGTCGCGGCCTCTCCGGCTGCGTAGTGCGCCCGGGCTACGTCCTCGGCGACTCCCAAACCGGCGTCACCAACACCGACGACTTCCTCATCCGCATGCTCAAAGGCTGTATCCAGCTCGGCACGCGGCCCAATATCAACAACACAGTCAACATGGTCCCAGTGAACCACGTCGCACGTACAGTCGTCGCATGTGCGTTCCACCCGCCCACACTCGGCGTCGGCGTTGCACAGATCACAGGCCATCCACGACTGCGCTTCAACCAGTACCTCGCTGCGCTCCAAACCTACGGCTATGACGCGAAGCTCTCGGACTACGTCCCCTGGGCATCCTCCCTCGAGCACTACGTCTCAACGCACTCGGACTTCGCGCTAATGCCGCTGTTCACCTTTGTCGCAAACGACCTGCCCTCGAACACCCGTGCGCCGGAGCTGGATGACAGTAACGCTGAGGCGGCGCTGTATGCGGATAGGGAGTGGACCGGGGAGGATGTGAGTGCCGGGAGTGGAGTGACGAAGACGACGGTTGGATTGTATCTGAGCTATCTTGTGGAGACAGGGTTCTTGCCAGGGCCGACGGCGGAGGTCAAGGGGGTGGTGAAGAAGCTGCCGCGGGTGGAGGTTGGGGAGGCGCAGAGGAGGGCGTTGGGGAGTGTGGGCGGGAGAGGAGGGACGGCGTAACGAATGGTGGCTGTGTGGGATATAGCAGGAGGATGTTTGATGTGGTGAAGTACGTCTGCGGTGTTCCGTCCGCTCGACATCGGATGTGTGAGAAGTGCCACTTGGTGAAAGTGAACTTGTGGTTGCCACGGGCGCAAGTGAAGAGTGAGAAATGTCACATTAGGCAGAGAACTGCCTGCGCAAAGGTTCAAAACGATCTCCGTCAAACTGTTGTCCTTTGCGAACTTGACAATCTGAACAGCTCCAGATCCCGACCGGTACACATTAATGATAATTCCACCCAGGAGTCCTTCATCATGGAAAGTAGGAGACATACCTTCGTGGTTCCCAAAATCACTCTTCCTTCCTCTACCACGATCGCTTCGCCGAGGACACCGACGCGATCTTGCTCCATCACTAGCAAAGCAAACCACGCAGTCGCGACTTCAAAGGCCTTCTCAAGTCATTTTACGCGATCAGCTTCATCGTCCGGCAGTCTCGACAACACCAGCACGGTGGTTCCGCGCCGAGTGCTTGACACGCCGTCCATCTCGATCACCCCGCCAAGTTTCGACCACAGTGGCAGGAACGGAGCATACAGTATCGCGCGAGGGCTACAAACAACGACATCGCCACGCTTCGCCTCAGACGGCAGCAACGATACCGTCATCCATCGACCAATTACCCCCAGAACACCGTATCCTCCAGCTCGCAACAAAGTCACGACAGTCTTCAACCCATATCCTGTCTCCTCTTCGTCTACTGGTGCACCTGCCTTAGCAGAAGCGTTCTTCCGGCTCCAATGGACCACCTCTCGAGGCTCGCTTGGCTGCACGGCTGGTACCCGCCGTCGTATTTCCTGCCCACAACCGAGAACAGCGTCAACACCAGCAATGCCAAGCGCGACGCAGATATGACTCAACCAAGCGGTCTGCTCGATCCGAGCAAAGTCCCTCTCCTCGCTTCCAGCGTCCGTGACATCTTTTACGTCTATGGCGAAGAGCATGCGTGGGAGCTGACACCGCATATTTTCCGAGGTGCAGTCAGCAACGGCAATGGAGAGGACAGTCTTGCGGAACGAGGGAAGGGGAGTGCAAAGCTTGGCTGGAGTCATGCGCGCATGTCGGAGTTGAAAGCGAACACAGAGGTTTGGAGTGGAATTCTGGCAAGGGGTACCGAGGTTGGCATGGAGACTCCAACTGTGATGCTAAGTATTGGCGAGCGTGGTGGCGCTGGGGAGGGCTTCGCGAGGTTCTGTGGTGTTGTGGAGGTGGAGAGTCTCCCACCGGATGGTGGGTCAGTCCTGCTTGGGGATGAGGAGGACGAGGATGATGATCTGCCGGTTGCGGGTAGTGACGACCATGAGGACGACGATGAGAGAAAGTCAAGCAGCAGTGAGGGCGAGGAAGACGAAATCGATTGGGACGCAGACTCAGACGAGGGGAACGAGGTGTGGAAGACGCCGTTCGAACGGCGGATTGCGGTTGGGATGGCGCTGTGACGGGATCTCAGGCGTTATGTTGAAGCCTAGCGTACACGTGCCATTGGGGCGTCCTACTTGAATAAAGACTCAACTCAACGTTCCGTCCCGCGCTCAAGATCGTTCGCTGTCTCCGTAGAAACGTCCTCGGCCGCATCGTCGTCATCTTGAAGTCTTGGCGTGTACGTACCATGCCAGAGTGCTCCCTGGACTGTCATCGACAGAGCGCTCACTTGTCCGGCGTGTTCGCTTGCGCCTCCATAGATTTCGAGGCCAAAATGCGAGACCGCGTCGTAGAGTCCATCTCGACCTCCTCACTTTCCTCCTTAGTACCAACGGCTTCGTGATCCTCCAGCAGCTGCTCCTGCTCCGCCGCAGCCGCAAGGCGACCCTCCGGCGATTCCTTCTCCCAAGCCTGGACCACAGCAGTAGCCCCTTCAAGCAGGGTTGTGAGCTGCTCAATGATCTGTGCAGGGTCGTTGCGCTCTTTGAGCAAATCGAGAATCTTGGCGGCTTCGCTCAACCAGTAGCGCTTGCGAGACGGCGTGTGCTCAGGGACCTCGATGTCTGCGGCGAGTTTGCAGTAGAGGAAGCCTTTAAGTAGGTCGGGTAGAGTGGGTTGGGCGATCAACTCGAGGCTGATCTCGATGGCGCGCTGAGCGTTGCGAGATTGGTGCACTCCACCGCTTCGACGTACTTGCTCCAAGAGAGTCTTGCGGCGTTTGATAGGGATGCCATGGCGAACCTGTTAAGATCTAGGTGTGAGCAGAGTCTGAGTACAGTTGAAATGCGACTGAGTTTGACTTACGATCGAGTAGAGATGGGTCAGACGACAGCCTTGGTGCACAAGATAAGTGTGATGATTGGCAGCACTCGACGACAGGGAGATCGATGAATAGAAGGTACGTAAACGCGATCACGGCTTCGCACCTGATTTTCGAGGACGGGTAGACTCGCAAGCAACCTTTTCGACACAACTTCACTTGTGACTCTTGGCAAGGTTGCCCTGGTGAAGTTTCCCTAAACTCTTGTTAATAGTTATTGTTGGCCATCGCAACGACAACTCTCATCGTGTTACTGTCAAGAGTCTCGCTGATGTCAATAGAGGTAACTGGCGTGAACTCAGCAAAGTCGACATCAAGCCACCTTTCGTCAACGACAGCGAGCATGTCGAAGAAGCCAGCTTGTGCAAGATGGTGGCGTCGACTCTTTCGGAAGGCCAAGTCTGGAGACAAGCGAAGCGTCGAGGAGCCTGGCCACGTTTTCGAAGTGCCAGCAGAACTCTCAGGCCCACCTCGTCTCAAAGGCGCGCCCGGTAAAGCAGACACGCAGCAGAGGGTCGCGAACTTCGCCGAGAAATTGGGTGACCAGGGATGGGACGCAATCGCCGCAGTGCTGGAGTCAGAGTTGGGTGTCCCGCTGACCTCCGACGAAGAATCTCTGTCGACAGCCTGTGGTCTGTGGCTGGATCGACTTGCACATGGTGCGCAGCACGTCGAAAGCGGCAATGACGACGGCTTAGTACTGGAGTCCCCACAGACAATCGCGTCTCAACCCCCTTCAGAGGTCCTGAACGGCATGCCCCGTCCCGAAGGTCGCCAATGCTCAACCCTTACCTCTGACCAGTCCGACCCAGAGAAGCAGAGAGCCACCCAGACATCTGACGCTGAAGCGGCTGGCACGAATACATCGAAACGTCTCTTCCAGCGATGTGGCAGCGGACTCAAAAAGCTCTTTCCGTGCACCAGCAACTTTGCCAAAGAGAGTGCAGTACCGGCTGAACAGCTTCCAGAGGTAAAGGAGAAGGACGAAAAGGACACTCCAGGAGCTCCAGCACAATCAAAGCTGTCTACCGAGGGGAACTTGATTATACCCGGTCAACGAACCATGGTGCGAGTGACGCCAAAAACAGACGGGTCCAAGGCTGAGGCTGCCGGTGCGTCCGAGGTGAACGACTGGCAAGACAAGCTGACAGTCAGTGCGGTCGAGTGCGCGAACGACGGAATAAGCTATCCTCCACCACCATTTCCATTCAAGCAGCGCTGGCACAAGTCAGATCCAGTACTGCGGGAGGGCCCTGAAAGACGCGTACGCGTTGAAGAGAACAACAAAAAATACATCTGTCGAACTTCCAACATCGGTCCCTAAACATCAGAGACCGCGTGAACTTCTGGGTAGGAATCTAGACAGCGTGAAGGAGAGATCAGAAGCACATTCCTTGATACCGCGCTGGGGGAAGTCCTTCCCAGAAAAGTCCCACCTTACTCCAGAACGTAGGTCTATAGAGGGCAGGATTCTGAGGCGGCTCGATGAGCGAGATGATGAGCGCCCTGGGAGGATGCAAGCCAGGACGACAGGGTGAGCATGTCATGGAACTTACGTTGGCTGATGATTGCCGGATTGAGTGACTCGACTGGAATGGAGAACGGAAATGATGGCAATGGCATCGCGTTCGAACTTCCGTCGAGGTTTCAGTCACGACTAGGTCAACGAGGATCGGACCTGCCGAGAATTGGATTGCGACCGTTGCAGAAACAAACTGGAGATTGGGAGAGTTTCATAGGAAAGATGATCCAGGTAGGAAGAAATACAGTTATGCCTGCCGTCAGTTGAGGCTTGGCGGGGCAATGACTTTGCGACCTGCCGGTGTTCGCGGTCTTTCTTCTCTTCCTTCCAGTCACACCTAAGTTGTTTCACACCAAACATTCGAAGATTGCGCCTATGGACTCGTGATCACGGTCGACTATATACGTTCGTATCTGTCATGGTTTTCACAAGGGCAAGATCATCGCCCATCCCCAATTGGCTGCGCCTCAGCGTCCTGCAGCACCGTGCATGCCAAGCCACTGGCAGCCTGGTGTGCCAGCGCAATAACAGCGGTCAACGCCACAGAAATGCCCAACTCGCCAGCCAGCTGGGGCTCAGCCTGGCACACTGAAACCTTTCAAGTCTTCTGATTCCGGAAAGTCCATACTCTACTATATATGTGAGATTGTCTGACTTACTAGGCTCATTGTACAATGGATTGTGTCGTTACTCACGCTTCCAACAGTTGTGTTTGAAAAGGCAAGGCTCGTTACAGTGTACATCCCCGCATTGGCACCTTGCGTGGTCTGCAGCATCGTCTAGCATCACTGGTTGAAATAATTGCATTGCCGATATGGATGCTGCTTCCGCGCCCAAGAGATCACGGATCCGACTTCCCCCTCCTCACCCACCGTCCCCGTCTCCGTATCCGCCACCAACGTCGCCTCTGCCTCCCCTTCCATGCTCCGCTCCTCACTCATCAGCTTCGTCACCATATGTGCTACCGACATTCCCTCTACCTCCGGCTCCATGCTCCACGCCATTGCTCCAGTCACCACAAGCATCGGCCTCACGAGCGTGCTCGCCCCTGGAGCAATCGGTGTCACTCGCATCAGCGCAAACGCCAACATCCCCAATAACTTCAGACTCCGGGTCCGGAACAACGGCAAGCACTGCGTCATCTCGGAAGCGCTTCGTCTGTAACGAACCACAATGTCTTTCCTCCACTGTCAGCTACACTAGGAGAGCCCACCTTGAAGCCCATCATCGGTCGAAGCACAGTGGCGAACGCTTTCAATGCCCGGTGTGCGCCAAGCACTTCGTGCGCCTTGATGACCTTCGTAAGCATAATGATCGTGTGCATAGGGGTCTCAGGCCATTCAAGTGCGTTAGCAGCGACGACAATGGTTGCGGCTGCAGTGCAGAATTCGCAACGAGATATGAGCTTAATCGCCACTGTAAGGCTTTTCTGCAACGCAGCCGTACGCCCGACCAGGATCCCGTCGTGGAAGCTCAAGTGCCCCCAGATCAGCCGGTGAAGGACGTGCTCAATGATGATGCGCTTTGGAGAATACTGGCGAGCACGATTGAGCGCCATTTATCGTGGGCGCCGAGTGTCACCAAGCCTCTACCAAGTCCTGAGCTCTCATCCCTCGTCGACTTGAGTCTAGCCTCCATGCGACGCCCGGACTATTGCACGGATGAGATCAGCTTGATGGCTGATGACAACGCCGACACTGAACTTTACATCAGGCTCAGTAACCATTTCCGACGAAGGAGATCAGGCACATGTGGCGAGCTGATACAAGCGATGGCGGCGGACCAGAAACTCCTGGTGCTTTGGCACGGAAAGGACTTGATGTATAAAATGCGGGCTTTTGATCCCGCGACGCAAACGACGTTGGGCTCCGACGGCGAGCCTGGTACAGTGCGCAAAGAACTATCGGAGGCCTGGTTCGCAGCAAGCTATTGCAGGTCAATACGCAGCGGCCATACTCACAGCACTAGGGAGTCCGCTGTCTCGACCAATACGTTACAACTCACGGCATCCACACGAACTTCGGCGGCGACTTCGAGAGGCGTGATCGCTGCACCCGCTTATGCGCCATCAGGCACAAGCGAGGGGCCTCTGAATACCTTCAAACCAAGGCGGAACGACTTGTACTCAGCGTTCTTGTCCTCTGTTCATACAGTGGATAAGAACGCTACGGCTCATGCGAGACTTGTGCCGTACATGCAAGACTCCTACAGAGGAGAAGGTATCTAAGGCTCATGCGTGAGTTGAGGCGCACACAACTTTCGTCCTCCGGCAACACCAGGTACGGGCGTGGCAAAGCTTAGTTCCAACCACCTATTCACGACAAGACAAAGATCGAGTCACCCTCGATGCGCTACGGGACCACAGCATATGCGACATGCTCGACAGAGGACTCAACCACAAAATGGAAGACTAGGTCACACATCTGCCCAGCACACTGAACACGAACGACGAGGGGCTTCCCTTAGGTGCAGACAGAGGGCAGTCAACCCGAATAAAAGACTCACATGCCATCGCTGCAATGTCAGTGAGAAAAATTGTTGGAGTCGAGAAGATCGAAGAGAGGACGCCTGGAGTGGTTCAGGGACTTCTGAAGTTAACGCAGGTCAATCTTCGTGATGCAGATTGCGGCGTCAGTGCGGACCATGATTAGAGCTTGTAGCTATTGTACGAGACTCGCAATCTAGTACAGGAGATGATATGTTGAGAACGACAGCTTTCGAGCGCTGGATATTACCCCACAGGCAACGTACCAGCAGACTGGAAGAACCATGACGATAGGTGCAAAACATGTAGCTGAGTTTCCCAGTGTGTTGACTATTGTAAATACATTCCACATTACTGGCTATGCTGATGCGCTTGGGCCTGATGTCCTCACCTGTCGATCAAATCTCTTCCTTCTGTCGGCCTGTCTAGCCGATAAAGCCTCGGCATACAATCCTCTTATTGTAGCTTCTCGCTCCCCAAAACACCATACTGCCCACCGACATCCGTCGTCCCCTCCTTATCCCTCCCCAACCCACCACCAGCAACATTCGCATTGATCGCCTCAAAGTTCTGCTCCGCCAATCGTCCGGGATCCTTCGCGCCACCAACGTTCCCAGTAAACGTCTTGACGTTCTCAGGAATATCCCCTCCCTCAGTCAGATTCGTGCCTTTTGGCTTATACGTAGGATCATCGCCTTCAGCGGGAATGGCACCAGACACCCTAGCCGCGTAGTTCGGCGCCGCGTCGACGTGTGGCCGAATGCCTGTACCAGCAGAGGGCCCTGATGAGGAGGTGGTGTCTGCTCCTACTCCTGACGACGCGGATGCGGATGCGCCCGCTCCCGACGATGAAGATGCAGACTGCGATTGCTGAACGGTCTCCTTCTGCAGCTGGGATGCGGAGCGGCTGTCTCCATCGGCACCGCTCCCACGAGCGCCACTGCCACCACTGCCACCACTGATTCCGCTACCGCCTTGTTGCGCGGACCGATCATTACCATCGTCGCCACCGCTGCCGCCACCGAACACCAGCGTCTGGCTGGGCGATTTGACAGTATTAGCAGGACCACTGTTTCCATGGCCATCGACACCGAGGCTGCTACCACCGCTACCACCGCTGCTGCCCGTTCCGGTGCCAGCACCACCGCTACCGCCTTGCGACTGAGCCTGCTTGACAGTCTCCTTCTGCAGCTGCGACGCAGAGCGGCTGTCTCCGTCGCACCACTGCTGCCACTACCAGAGGCCCCACTCTGGCCCTGCGAAGACTTGATCGTCTCAGCCTGCTGCTCCTTCTGGCCCCTGTTATCACCTCCATAGTCCGAAGTTTGGACGTTGCTCGTATCATATCCGCTGGAAATCTTGCCTGCTGAGGCACCTCCGTAGTAGTTGCCCTCCGAGGTCGTCGTGCCATCCGCCTTTCCGGCATCAGCATCTGGGTACTTGGTCGTCTCATCCCCATCTCTGGCAGCTCCGCTGCTGGAAGGTGGGAGCGCGCTTGCACCAGACGTGTCCGTGTTTGCTAGGGTAGACTTCCCGCCTTCGACGCCTAGCACGTGAGCCTTGGGGTTCTTTTCGAACTCCCCATGCTGTTCGAGGGACTCGGCAGCGAGCGAGTCCTTCGTCACGGCACCCGTGGGCTCGAACGGCACGGAAGGGTCATTGTGGTCGCGGTGGTTTTCAGGGACGCGGGCTGGGTCTGCGTAGGACATGATTGCGGTAGGACTATAAGCTTAAGGTATATGAGTTTGCGGTCTATGGATTATAAGTTGCCCCTGCTGTTGTTGGTGTACTTGTAGAAAGCTGCTGTCTACATGTCAAGCTGCACACGACACTAATTTGTATATGTACCTTTAATCCAGGCACGAATAGCTGTATGCTTCCAGTGATGTCACTCGTCGCACGCAATGATCTCACCTTGTTCAAAAGTATGGATATACTTTGGAGCAGTTTTGACAGCTGCCCAATCAGCAAAAATGTGGGCTTTGCGTCACAAATATTCGAAGTAGTCACCTTCAATGGGCAGACAGGTAGGATGCAGTGTAGCGGATATGCAGTTGCCAGAAGTCAGGGATCGCTTGGAAGAAGTTTCCGGAGTATTCTCTATCTGTAATGAGCATATGTCGCGCTCTTGGCGCGGGAACACGACGCGCTCAAACGTGTCTGTGGTATCATAATTTGTCGTAAAATCGACTTCCGTGCCGACAGCTGCTCGTGACTAATATCTCCAACGATTTTTAGGGACGAACAGATAGCCTCCAGGTCTGCCAGAACCGTCGTCTGAAAGGAACAAGAAGTTGGGATCCGGACATTCTTCTGGCCTGAGGTCCTACCGCAGCGCCTTCCGGGCGAAAGTCGGCAGCACGAACGCCGCTCGGTGAACGTCCTTGTTGTAGTACTTGCACAACTTCTCCTCTTCCTCAGGCGACCAGCTGCGAAGGGGCTCCTTGAGGTTGGCTTTGGGATCCTTGGAGCAAACCATGAAGCCGATCTGACCTGATGGATATGTTGGGATGGTGGTGTAGGCATACTCGACGGTCGGGAAGACCTCTTTGCAGTCTTTCTTGAGCTTGGTGATCAGTGGCAGATGCAGCCATTGATTCTCGGCTACAAGACGTAGTCAGTAAAGGCTGAAGAATGGCAGACGGGGGATAAGAAGAGTGCGCACAACCTTGAGTAGTGATGACACCGCCCTCCTTGAGAGCACCTGACAGTAGCTCGAAGTATGGCTTCTGGAACAGCACTTCGGCCGGTCCATCTGGATCGCTGCTGTCGGTGATGATGACATCGAATTGACCCTTCTGATCCTCAAGGTACTTGAAACCGTCTTGCACCAGGGTTGTGACCGCAGGATGCTGGAAGCCGATTGACATGCCTGGGAGGTACTTCTTGCTCAGCCGGATGACAGCCTCGTCGATGTCGACCAGAACTGCGCTCTCGACGGTCTCGTGCTTGACGACCTCACGCAGGACACCTCCGTCACCACCGCCAATAACAAGGACGTTCTTGGGGTTTGGGTGCGAGTTCATGGCCAAATGTGTGATCATCTCTTGGTATGAGAATTCGTCTCGCTCAGTGGCCTGGATGACATTGTCCAGGACGAGCACTGTGCCATGATTGCTGCTCTCGAAGATGAGGACGTCCTGGTACTTTGACTTCTCGTGATGGAGAACGTTGTTCACCTTGAGAGTCATTGCCTGGCCGGGCCACTATGACGGCGTTAGCGATGGCAGATACTGTATAGGTCAGGGTGCCTGCCATCTCTGAGATCTCCCGGAACCAACCATCTGCGTACGAGTAAGTGATTGCCATGTCGCATTCTGGGACGGTCTCTTACCTTGATGGTGGGGTGAGTGATATCAGCCATCGCGGTGGTTCTCAATGGGCGGTTCAGTACTGTCGAACGAAAGGCGTGGGTGCGAAATGGTCGATACGAAGTGGTAATAAGAAGCGAAAGAGCCGGTCTCAACGAAGGAAGAAGACCATGAATTTTGACGGCAGAGTGGCAGTCGCAGTGGCAGATAAATCACGCTGTTGGTCAAGTGCAGTCGCTGCAACCAGTCGTCACTTACCGGTCCAGTGAATATGCAGATGGTCTTTCCCGCATCATTTTCTTTCTCCCGTTCCTGAAATTTTTGCATGCAAGAGCGACCGCGGGGTGTGCCGAAGTTGCAGATCTTTGTACCCCACTACCCGCCGTGCCGGTTCTCTCCACGCCGCTACTCAGAGAGCGGTTTACCTCTTCATCGTCATAACGATGAGCGTACCCAGTCATCGAGGGCTTCTGGCACTTGCGAGGCATGTCATCGTCTGTTCTTCATATGAGATGACGAGATACTGGGGTCGCGGTTGGTCAGCGGTCGTGCGAGGTTCAAGCACGGTACCGTCACACATTTATATGCCTTGTCTGGAATTTGATGTCACTGGTGGGTTGATGCAATGCTACATTCATTGAGTAGCAACTCGTCTGCAAGTACCAGCGACGCGCATTTCCTTAAATGGGTGTCTGTAGGCTTCAATGAGCTGGCTGAGTCGAAGACGTGGCGACTCTGCTCCCACACGTAAATGTATTCTGTTGCTGAAAGGTCCGCGTAGAGACACCCTGCTTTCCCCAGCCATGCTTATGAGTTCTGCTCAACCTTTCCACGCCGTGGGTAAGGCGTCACAAACATATTCTTCTGCACCCAAGCAGTATGCCCATACATTGTGATCCCATGCATCGGATCCGTGATCGCGAAGTCGAAATGGCGCATCAGCTAAGGACGATTATCAGCATTATTGAGCATGTCGAGGTTGCAAGCGTACTCACCTCAAACACCACCTTGTGCAGCTCCATAAAAGCTATATGTTTCCCCAAACAAGTGTATTTTCCACTCCCGAAAATACAGCCCACAACCATTTCATACCTTTGCAGCGCTTCCTCCTTTGCCTCAATCCATCGATCGGGTCGGTACTGATCAGCATCCGAGCCCCACTCGCTCTCCTTCCGACACATCGCGGAGTCGCAAAATCCGAGCTCTACGCCGCCAGGGTAGAAGACGCCCTTGATCGTATCGCCCTCTAGTGGTGCGACTTTGGTTTTCAGGCCGAACAGCGGAGGGTACATTCTCATACCTTCCCAGATGCAGGCTTGAAGGTATGGAAGTTTCTTCGTCTCCTCGTATTTCGCTACGGGAGAAGAGATATGGCCAGATGTCACGGCGTTATCGACTTCGGCTCGCAGCTTGCCATAGGCAGCGGGATTGCTGATCGACAGAAACATCGTGTTGCGGAGCACCGTTGCCGTTGAGTCGGACCCAGCGAAGATCTGGAGGGCCGCTTCGACCTCGCATTGCAATTGCGATAAGTCTTTGCGCATGAAATAGCCCTGAAGAGTCGTTAGCTCCGCCTGTTGTAAACGTCGGGACGAGGCTTCTTACAAGGATGTCCTTGTGATCTCTCTGGCCTTTCACGAATCGCTCTCGCACGTGCTCTCTTGCGAGCGAAACGATCTTATTGGCACCGATCTCATTCGCAGCCTTGGAGTTCAACAACTTCCGGAGCACAGGACTGGTCACGACTTTGAAGATCCATTCGTGATTCTGAATGAGCTCGGCTATAGGCAGCATACTGGCAACAGAGTCGCCGAACTGGAAGACGTCCTTGTCGGCCTTTAAGTTTCCAAACGACTCGCTGTACAAAAGACGGCTGAGTGTGTCAAGCGCGAAGTAGCGCGTGACTTGTGATAGATCGAGTGGTCGACGACTGTATGAGTTGCTGATTAGGGCGATCAGTTCGAGGATAGTGGTGTCAATGCCAGCTTCGAGCTCTAGATCTCGCCCAGTATACTGCTCGACGCATCAGTAGCCAGTGGAAACGCGGAATTGTTTTCCCATACCGCGCCAATCTCTTTCGCTCTCAGCTCAGCATGGATCTTCTCGTCGCGAGTGGTAAACACGGTATGCTGCCTTGCGTCGAAGGCATTGGTGTCGTACCATCTGGATCTCATCCAGCCCGATCGTGAGCTACTGACGTGACGAACAACATCGGCATCATCGGTGATGAGCAGGTCAGGCGCGACTCGACTTGGCGAGCCATAGGTCTTCAGTGCTTCCTCATGCGCGAAATGGACGCGCGAGCTGAGCCATTGGCGGAAGAGCCATAGTCGAGTGCATGCTGCTAGTGGCGGTCCAGGAAATCGACAGAGCTTTCGATAGTTGAGCACTGCTCTCAAGATGATGGAGGCAAGGATTGTGAGGATGAGCAGGGCAACAAAGCCTGAGGTGCCAATGAGCTCGATCGTTCTGGCCAGCATTGTGTTAAGGGTCGAGGAACGTCAATCGAGGAAACTGTCGAGCAGGTTAAATCTGATATGTCCACAGCGGAGGCGTATTAAAGCCAACGTCGACCAGCACCATTGAAGACTGGGTCCCGTATCCACTTTGTGTTATTGCTGCATTCCAAGGTCGGTGCAACACAGAAACTTCCATTAGATGCAACAATCTATACCTCGCAGCATAGCGCCGACATTTGACAGCTGTCGTACAACGACCGTTCGAACCGCCCTGTGAGGCCTGAGCTATATGCAGCTCACAGCAGGCCAAGGAGTGTCAACCTCTGTTGCGAGATGCCTACTGGATTAGGTGCTAATCCGCTGAAGCATCTGATACGAATGCAGGATGACGTTGAGGTTGCCTAACTCGGGAAGGCTCGATCGACGAGATTGGGTCTGTCAGAGCAAGCACTGTTTCTCGGTGCAACAAGTGGTGTGTAACTGCGTGATTGGCTCTGAAAGTGTAGAATCGATCGCTGGGGCGTTGGCTTGCATTCGATTCGAAGGTCTTCCAGCTTTGCTGTTGGCGTTACGAACGTCAGGAGCAGCGCGCCACATACCCTTCAGAAATCGATATAATCATGGTCCACATCATAGAGCCTCGCGTAGCATCTCCACCAGAGACCTCCATGCTTTGTTTCATTAAAGCCATACTTGTTATACCTGGCGTGAATGGGTACGACGAGATTCCATACGTCCATAGGACAATTGAATCCACCTGCAGCCTTTCTGCTATTCAGCCCATGTTCCAGTATCCGAAAATCTGTGCTGTCGAGTTTAGGGCCATACTCATACTCGCACGCTTCGATGACAAATTCAGCAGCGTCTTCCACGGTGTCCAGGCGGGCAGTGGGCTCTCTTTGCTGCTCTAGCCACTTGACTAGAACATCGACCATAGGGTCTGCAAAGATGTCGAAATCGCACACGCCACAACACAGCTCCTCGATACGCCCCATAAGTCCTCTCTTGCTGAAGTTCCACTTGCGTCCCCACTTGCGCTCCTGCCAGGACCACTGCTGCAGCTTTTCATCGACCTCAGCGGCCTCCTCTTCCGACAGTGACCTCGACAAGATTTTCTCGAGCATGGTGACGAAGTATAATTTGCAGACGACATGGCGGACATTGAAAGGAAGGTTGTGCCAGATGACTTGGCGAATGTCGAAAGGAAGCTGCTGGACACACGCGAGTAAGCTGTCGCGAGATGCAGTTGCTTCAATGGCCAATTGCCGCTCTTCCAGGATAGTCATGCGGTGAATTGCTGGACGTGGAAGCGTGCCCGTGAAGGGAACCGTGAAACGATCTAGCAATAGCGCAAAGCACATCGTCTCGGGACTGGAGAGTGAGAGAACTGACAGCGAGTGCTACGTGACCGCACGATAACAGCAACCAGACAGTCGTGCTTCAAGAAATTGAACAGAGGACAATGAGAACACTTTACCTGGAGGAATCTAGAAGATTTTGTACGGCATAATCGAGCCTACGATCAGTCATAAATCAGGTTGAACAGATTCTGAGGAGAGCCTGGAGTACCTTGACCTTCAGGTACCAAAGAGATGGAAAGGAAGATGAAATGGGCGAGTTGTGAACTTTGGTAACCTTTGAAATCACACGCCTAAGAACGGCTAATGACGCTAGTCTGTGATCAGTTAGGCGCCTCGCACGCTTGGCCGCCGGACTCATTTTGAAGACTTGGCCTCTGCCGTCAAGTACCTAGGTAGGTATCGCGTTCCTCGTCTGTGAGGTTGTCAAATTGAGCTGGTGTGCCGTGACTGTGGTATTATCGATTAGATCTGCGCATGCCATGTCCTGGTAGACAGAGAACTGTTCGCGTTCGGCCGATGCATCGTCAGCTTTGACACGAGTCCTTTTCCAGTGTTGGTTGCGAATTGCCTTCTGACCCGCGCAACATAGCGCTGGCTGCCTAATCTATTGACAGGAAAGCCTGGGACTTATCCATACCCGTATTCTACCGTTAGTAGAGTCTCACCAGCGCACTGGTGGCTGTGATGTGAATGTGTAACTGGCTGGGATATCCGTTGGTCACGAAAGCCTGCTCTAACTTGGCCGCTCTTACGCGAGTACTGCGCGTTTGAAGCCTTCATTTTGGTGAGTCTCACGGCAAGCTTTGCCTTCTTTTCCTTGCTGGCATTTCAGCGACACTGAAGTGGCAGTGGCGCAGTCGAGAGGATAGGAGTGACCAGAAGGGGCTGACTAGGATCGAGTTGATTGCCACGGATAGCAGATCAAATGACAGTACATCTCCCCCGGGCGGCCGCTCATAGCTGAGTCAAGTCCTCCTCCAGCTGTACGCCGTTTATGACAGGGCTCTTGGCTTGGAGCATGACACAGAATATTCTGGCCCACTCATCGCTCTCATTGTCCCAGCCGTGCATCGTCGCCTGCTGAACGACCAGTTCGCCCTTCTTCACCACAGTCCGAGATCCGTCGTCCAAGCTAAGCGTTACCGACCCCTCCAGCACCAATATATAGTCCAGAGATATCGTGCGGTGAAGGCCACCCTTAGTATGTGGTGGGATATCGACGATGCGCGCCACTGAGCCTGGTGTGACCATCCCGATATCGTCTGCCTTGGCGCTGTCGCCTGGATCGCTTATTGGCGCTGGATGAGACTTTGTGGCCCATATGACAGAACTTGCCACCCCGTGTGGCATCATCTCAGCCGCGATCTCGTTTTGAGCTGCTACGAAGCCTTTGCCGGCATTGTTGTGGTAGGTCACCACTCTGCGAAGTGGTGGCAGAGGCGAAGTCATCTTTGCATGAGACTACTGATCTAAGTCCTTGTGCTTAGTGTGATTGCGCATCTTGCTGTTCCAGATGCTGCAGCCTCAATCTGCGACCCCAAATACCGTGTCAGGCTCCGCGTGCTCTCGTGGTAGCGCACACAGTCTGTCGTCATTGGCCAACGTGAGAGAGCGGATACAGTGGGGCCCGAAATGCAGCAGTGGGGACCTATCGCGATTGGCTGACACCATCCACTCCCAAGTTCGAACTAGTCGTGCAAGGCTCACAACCACGGATCAAGGTTTCCTGGCAGTGTGCTCTGTGTCTGTTAACGACGTTTCCAGAGTCCAGTCTGATACTTGGAAAGATTGCGGATTCGTGTCTCTAGTGACCCATATACCAGTCCGGACCCCGGTCTTCGGCCATGATTGCGAAACAGCAGCGCGCCAGCTTCCGGCAATACATCCCATCGCCAGATACGCCACGAATTGCAGGACTTGCGGCTTGTGACGCCCGGCAATGGGCCGAGAAAGCTTGCGACAACGACTTCATGCGTGGCTGGAAAGCGCATTGGGAGAGTCTGGCTGCACAGCCGTACAAAGGTATCACAACCGATGGCAATGTTGTTGAGGATCTTTTTCACCTCAACACCGAGATAAATGGTGGAGACTACAGGATCAACTTGTGTGCGGCCGCGACACGAGTAGTCGAAGAAGCTGGCGATCGCGAACGAGAGCGGCTCCTCAAGGGACTTAATGCCGAAGAGTGGCGCTATTGGGCTAACCCAGAGATCTACATCTACCGGCATGGAATACGTCTGGACGAGATATCTGACGAGCTCTGCGAAGCAGTTTTCGCGGTCATTCGGGCCAGTCTGTCAGAACGAGGATATGCCAAGGCTAGAGGCTGCATGAAAGTCAATCACTTCCTCGGTGATATCGTCAACGGCCGGAAAGTCCTCAACGAGAGGTCCTACAACTTCTGCATTTTTGGCAAGCCGTCCATGACTGAGCCTTGGGGTTGGCAAATATTCGGGCACCATTTCTGCATGAACTTCATGATTGTCGGAGATGACATTGTGGTTTCCCCAATATTCATGGGGGCAGAGCCTAATGTCATTGATGAAGGGCCAGACAAAGGTCTCGAGCTTTTCACGGACCAGGAACAGCTTGCTATGAGACTGATGAGTTCGATGGAAGAGTCCTCGATAAAGGCGGTTCGGATATTTCACGCTCTAAGTGGGCCGGAGTATCCTCCAGGGCGCTTCCACCGCGCAGACCAGCGGCATCTCGGAGGGGCATTTCAAGACAATCGTATCATCCCTTATGAAGGTGGTGTGGTCACGGCATTGACTCAAGAGCAACAGGGCATGGTCCGCAAGTTGTTGACGATGAGTCTCAATCACCTTCCGGATCACGCATTGAGCTGCAGCTCCGTTTGATCGACAAACATTGGAACGAAACATACTTTGCCTGGATAGGTGGCTGGGGTGATCAGGACGCTTTCTACTACAAGGTGCATTCGCCGGCGATCATGATCGAGTTTGACCATCATTCTGGCGTCTTTCTTACGAACAAGGACGCCCTACCGTTCCACATCCATACCATAGTTCGGACGCCTAATGGTAATGACTACGGTAAAGCTTTGTTGCGACAGTACTTTGCGAAGAGAGGAGTAGCGCAGAAAGGATAGACACCCCTTGAATAACAGACGATGTACTTTTGTGACCTTGATGGGCTCTCGGAGCTACAGTACGCATCCGTTGGTGACATTGTAGTGGTATAGAAATAGGCAATGCTACTACAGCGACACGCATCACCACAATCTCCGGTAAGAACGTGGCTTGTTCGAGGCATTCGATACATTCATGCTTTGTTCCAATTCAGAACGTGCAGTATCGCTGATTTCAGCACGTTGTACGGGTCCGCAGCCATCGTCACCGACCTGAATGCAATGTGCCGGTCCGGTCGCACCACAAGCACACCGTCATCCTTCATTTCCTTTCTCTTGCTCCACAACCCAAAGACATCATCATACTCACAGCGGTATCCCACTGAGTATGTTGGCAGCTCTAGACCAAGCTCCCGTTCCACATCCTGCGCTGCCTGCCTCCATAGCTTACCCCGGATCCCACATATGAGGCCAAACAATCCATGCGGTATGATGTCCAGGGTCGACACTCTCTTACCCTGATAGCTGACCCAAGCGTGTGGCAGGTAGGCACCTGTGTGAGTCGTAGGCTCATAATGGAGAACAGGATCTCGTTCGTACTCTGGAAACGGCGTACCGTCATCAACAACCGCCCGCGAATCGCTGTATCGTTGTCCAAGATGCAGCCCGATTGCATTGGACCTGCGATCCTGCAACTTCACGACCTTCTCCAGCTCTGCTCGGCGATCCTCCGCCTCAAGAGCATCAGAAAAGAGATGCTCCAAGGACTCAAACCCTTCTTCCAAGCTTTGGCCCTTCTTGAATCCGAGCGTTGTCGGAACCATAGCCCAATTGTACAGCGTCTGTATAGCATGGTCGACAACCTGCTTGCCGATCGGCTGGCGCTCCTGTGTGTAGCTCTCAAGGAGTTTCTCGCTGGCTTTTCCCTTGACGACGAGAGCGAGTTTCCAGGCGATGTTGTATGCATCTTGTACGCAGGTATTGCTGCCCAAGCCACTTGACGGCGGATGACGATGTGCAGCGTCTCCGGCGAGGAAGATGCGGCCGTGTTGGTACGTTGTGGCGACGAGATTGTTGACTTGCCACTTGCTGGAATCTTTGACTTTGATAGGAAGGTCCTGGGGGATGTTGAGCACTTTTCGTGCGTGCGCAATGACAGCTTCATCTGAAGTATCAGGCTCACCGTCTGCGGCATCGTATTGGCGGTTCAGTAGCCATTGATCCCAGCGCCGGACGATGATGAGGGTGCCAGAGCTACCCAATACGAGTTGCCTGGCTGTAGAAGCATGTAGATGCAGGCCGGACGATGGGCGGTGTACTGTTCGAGATCCATTTCCAGCCACGTGGTCAGCATACTCATCAGGCCGGGCTGGCCTATGAAGCCGATGCCGAGCTTCTCAGCGATGAGTGAGCGTCCGCCATCTGCCGCAACCACGAACTGAGCCCTGACGTTGTAGCAGTCGTGCGTGTGGCGGTCTCGAACGGTTGCTGAAGCATGGTCTGTGTCTTGTGTCACGTCGATGACTTCTTGGTAGAAGTGGACGTCGCCGCCGAGCTCGCGTAATCTGGAATACAGAATCTGCTCCAGGAGGTTTTGAGGAATGTTCATCATGGCACATGGACTCGCAGCTGTAAAGTCGCTCATCTGGTCGTCTCCCGCGCCATAGCAGGCATAGCGTGCGATCTCCAGGCCCGTCAAAGAGGTCAGCATCACACCGCTGCCAACCTCTGTCATTCGAATGGCTTGCTCAACGACCCGGTCCTCGATGCCCATATCTCGAAAGACCTCCATCGTCCGTTGGTTAGTGACGTGTGCTCGTGGCTGAGGTGCTGTACCACTGTGCTTGGCGACTGTGAGTGTTCGAATGCCATACTGTGCGAGGAGAACAGATAAGGTAAGACCCGCTACGCCGGCGCCGACGACGAGGACATCCGTTTCACGGTCGTTTACCAGTGGCGAAGTAGTTCCTACTGAGCCCATATCGGTTGCTGACGGCCGAAACGAATAGATGGGTATCGATGTGCTGACCAGTTGTAGCTTCACGCTCTCGGAAACATCCAATTTCTTGTAGAAGCTTTTGAACTCCTACGGTGCGAGTGCAACAAGATACAAGTTCAAGCCGCTCATACGCTCCAGGCTTGAACGCCCCATTGAGCGCACCCTCAAATCTGTAAATCACGAGTCATGGCCATTCAAAAACACCTTACTGCAATCTGCGAAGGTGCCCCATGGTGGGGCATTTGCCACTATGATCTCTCACTCAACCAGTTCCGTATTTCGGGGCGCAGCATGAAAAGACGCATGCAGAAGTGCGACTGCGATGGCCTGACTTGTTTCAGTCTGTGAATATTGGACTTGTTGCGAGAGCTATTAAGTACTAAGTAAGTCAGGGTTTCTCGCTCATCACGCGTGACTGATGGGGGAAGCGTGAACTCTTGGTCTTGGCACTCGCGATCTATACGCTAAACCCTCAGATATGTAGACCTATTTCAGGCGTATTCATCGAGTACGCCAGCCAATATCAGCGACCCAAAGCCTTCTGTATATCTGCAGCAAGCTCGTCTACGTTTAGCGTCACGATTGGCCGGCCCGTCCAGCGGGCAATTTCGTTGATCGCCCCTACGACCACCTGCACAGCTCCTACGGAGTTTCCGATCCCTAGTGTAGCTTTGATGTGACTCTTGCTCTGCCGAGTCGCGCCCAACGCGATAATAGCCGTCGCTATAATCAGGTGCGATTGCTCTGGTGTGAAGACCTCGTCGTTGGCCTTAGCCACTAAATATCCCCAAGTGACGATCGTCGAGCACATGACTCCTTCGGTCAGCATTTGATACACTGAAGTTTGGGCGTCACTTACACAAGTCTGTAAAGTACTTGCCCATAAGATCGAAAATCTCGGAGTTGCCTACCCCAGAATAGATCCGGGCTCGAAGCTCCTTGCCTCGCCTTGCGTCCTCGAAGGTGACTTCCTCCTTTCGTAGCGACCGAGTCGAAGCATATTCGCCGCCTTTGCGCTGCACAACGCCGATCATCCCGTAGCACGCTGGAATGCAGGTTGGCATGCCAACATACGGAAATATGATCGTAATGGCTTCTCTGAGCCGCAAGAAGATTTCCTCGGACTGTTGTGGCGTGCTCTCGCGGGTCAGATCATCGAAGAACTTGCCCACAACGTCCGCGCGGCCAACGGCGCAGCAGGCGGCTGCCTGGAGGAGGTATCAGCGCTATCATGAATGCGTTTTTACCTCAACACGTACTACCAAGGTGTAAGCATAGTCCTTGAGCTCTGGCTGTTGAGCAAGGCGGTCATTAATTGACAGAAACAAGGCTTTGTCGTATGGTGCTGCGTCGTCTTTGAGATTCGTCGAAACATATTTTGCATCCCAGGAGGACATGAATGGGTCCTCATTCCAGGTCGTGGTGTCCATGCAGAAGGTTGGACGTTTGTCGCGTGGTGAGGCACAGATCCTTTGCAGAGTTAGGTATTTTGGCCAGATGTGGTACTCCTGCTCAAAGTTAGATCGTTAGGGCATGTGGGGGTGGCACAGTTTGGAAAGCCAGCCGCGGACCTATCCACGGTCAGACTTGGCGTATTTGCTTCTCGTAGATCTGTTTCAGCAAAGGATTATAAGAATTGCTCCAGTGTGGTGTTTGATTCGACTCCATCATGATACAAGCGATCCTTCATTGCTGTCGAAGCTATGGGGAATGTCATTGAGAGACACACATGTTAATATTTATGCTTGAGAGTCACGCCTCAGGTACCATTTGTAAGTCCATTCGTGCCGTTGACGACATTCTTCGCACGCTTCCCTTCGCCACTACTCCCTCGCAGAAGCTCTGCACGCGGCAACACTCCGGCATTCTCGAAGGACTGGAAAGTTTCATACCAGGTCTCCAGGCTGTCATCCTGTCGATGCCAACCAAACTTGCGAGCCTTACTCATGCTCGAAGTAGTCGGCCAGGCCTTGCCCATCGCCCAGTTCATAAAGCCCCATGTTCCCCAGCTGAAAGCCGATTTGTTGCCGCCGTATTTCTCGCACACTCTGTCCCATACTTCCTGCTTGCCCTGCTGCCAATCTTCCATTTTGAAGTTGTGATCATAGACACCCTCAAGTCCGACAGCTTTCCACTCTTTCTGGTCGGGGATCTACAGGAACCATCAGTTTTAGATCAATCGAGGGGACAGGAGCCATCAACATACAACGATGCCAAAATACTCGCCTAGCTGTTTGAAAAAGTACCTCCACACAATCGTGTCGCCGTTGACATGATTGAAGGCTTCGTTCTTGGTATGCGCTTGCGTGGCTGACCAGACTGAGAGGTCAGCTATGGCTGGGGCGTATGAACAGTCGTCCGTAGAATTGTAGAAGAATCTGTTTCCGGGGAACTCAGGTATGATCCCCAACTCCTTGCAGGTTATCATATATAGTGCCATGGTGAGCGCCATGGACATGCCATTTTCTATCGCAGCAGTTAGCATGGCTTGTTGGCTCATACGAGGTCTCCGAAAACCACTCACTTCCCGGAGTAAAGCCAATAATGGCATTTGGCCGGATGATGTTCCACGACCACGTCCGCTGCTTCTGCAGATTGAACATGAAGTCTTCCTGAGCAAAATAGAAGTTCTCGCCCTTGTCGTCCTTATACCTTGGGCCATCCTCACGACATGGGGCTGGCACAGGTCCGAGATGCACACCATAGTGCTACGCCACTGTTAGACGCAAGTAACACCCTCAAAGCGATTTTACTGACCTTTCCGCCCGTTTGTAATATCACTCGTTGCAACGCAGACCCCGCGATGTTGTCGATAGATGTCAGGAAATTCTCAAATAACGGCTCGTTGCAATCTCTCAGCTCCGAAAAGCCGTCGGTATGGACATAGCTGGCAAAGAAAGCATGAGTGACGTCTTCGCACAACGGCCTCAGTTGCGTCTCAAGCTTCTCCACGGGGTCGAGGAAGTCGACACCTATCCAGCGAACGCGAGGATCTTGCCAGGTATATCTTAGCGGGCTCCTGGAGGATATAATGATTTTTGACCTATGCATAAATTAGCCACATGGGCCTATATGTGACCAGAGCGTCGTACCACTCTTCTTTGGGCTGTCGTATTAGATGCTCGACGATCGCATTACCTGTGACTCCCGAGCAGCCTGTGACGAATGCAACTTTTGGACTTGGCGGCGACATTGTCGACGTGCTTTCGAGTAGGACTTCCGGATGTCCTGAATGTCGTGCAAGTCGACCAAAATTATGTACTGTCGTCCAAAGACTTGTCCTGTGAAGATTATAAGCTTTGGTAAAGCGTGGAGTCGCCGTAGCTTTCTTGGCTGAGCGACCTGTTTCTCCCCAGGCGAGAAGAGGGGCCCCTTATTGCGAGGCTTGGAAATCAAAATCCGGGGCGTTAGGGCCCCACTGGGGCACTTCCTGACCTCTGTCACAGCCCAAAACTCTAAGTGGCAACTAGTCACTAGCTCATTTCACTGCAGCACCCAAAGTGGTAGAATCGTTACAGCTGCTCCAAATGAAGCTTTGGCAGACTCTCGCAGACTCTCGCACACAGCATCGTCAACATCCGTGCGAGACCTGAACCCATACAAAGAAGATGTGGAAGCGCCTGATCCGGTTCGAGGCCACAAACGGGGTCGTCTGCTTCGGAGATGCTTGTGTGAGCAGCGCAGAGGAGCTCACTGCCAGTCTCGAAGCAGGTAATCTGCGTGCGAAGCAGCTGGAAGGCCACGATCCATTTCATCTGGTGGCCACCGATAAGGAAGTGTCAGTCAAGCGGTTGCTTGGGGTCCTGACTGCTGATGATGTTCCTGTGGTAAAGTGCATCGGGCTCAACTATAAAGCTCATAGTAAGACCTGGTCCAAACTTGGGATCCTATCCCCCACGTATGAGTAACTTGCTGACCAAATCCTCAATCAGTCAGTGAACTCGGACGAAAACCGCCGCCATATCCGTCGCTTTTCATGAAGCCAGCGCCTGCGATAGCAGCATTTGATCAGGATATACTTGTCCCGAGAGCCGCACAGGGGATGGATCTTGACTATGAAGGTGAACTGGTACTTGGAAGCGGCTCCAGCTTGCGTATCGTGATGCTAACAAGTCCAGGCCATTATCATTGGTCGCACAGGCAAGGACATCTCGCAGGAAGAAGCGCTGTCTTACGTGGCAGGGTATGCCTCCTCGAACGACGTTTCTGCACGAAAATGGCAGAGGGATCCAGCATACGCAGGCCATATTCCCCAATGGTCCTTCGGAAAGTCCTTTGACACCTTCGCACCCCTTGGACCAATGATTGTTGCGCCCGCTGTTGTTCAGGATGCCAGCAGTCTTATGCTCAAGACCATCGTCGATGGGGAGGTGCGTCAGGAAACTAATACGTCCGACCTGCTGTTCGGTGTCAAAGCCTTGATCTCCTTTCTGAGCCAAGGATCAACCCTGCAGCAAGGCACAGTAATCATGACAGGCACACCAGGCGGCGTCGCCCTCGGCATGAAGGAGCCTGAGTGGTTAGTGGATGGTCAAATCGTAGAAGTGCATATAGAGCACCTGGGCAGCTGCAAAAACCGAGTGGTGTTCGCTACTAGTCCTCGACTTTGAGAATAAAGTCAGTTATCTGGAGGTGAGCAAAACCAACTTGAACTTGAACTTGAATAGTTCTGAGAATTGTGTCACGTGATGCGACGGGATTTGCCCTTCAAAACTTTAGAACTTGGATTCGTAGCTGCTGCAAATCTGTAGAAGGCTACAGCTGCTTAACATCGCATTCAATCTATGGCTCCTAGCCTACCGCGATGCCTGACGTGCCATCACGCGAGCGTCTATCTCTTCAGTCCAAAAATCGGATCGGCTAGGATTCTCAGATGGCCCGACTGGGAGGTGCCTTACACTGGCCCAGCGGGGAGTGCCCCACGATGATCTTCTACCCATAATCAATGGTCTACTGCTTCTGCAACGTTCGCAAAATTCGCATATGGTGGCTCAGTGCTCGATCGCTTCCTTTGTGAATCACAGCCCAGCTGTCGAAACCTTGTCGATTGTCAGCCATGGAAGTCCCAACGGCGACGACGAGCCTTCTAGTTGTCCTCGTTTCGATTGTGAGTAGGTGGTGCTTTTAATTTCAGCTGTTGCTGAACGAAACATAGCTCTTAGCTCTAAAGCAGATTGGGTCCTTGGTCTACAATGTCTTCTTCCATCCCTTACGCAAGCTGCCAGGACCCCGTCTCGCCCAATTTACCAGGCTCCCCATGATATCTCGCAAGTATAGGGGTAGTCTCAACAGCTGGCTCACCGTTCTTCACCAGACATACGGAGAAGTGGTCCGAATCGCGCCGAACGAAGTCAGCTATATCAACCCTCAGGCATGGAAAGACATCTATGGCTTCAGAACCGGAGGCAAGCAGAGCCTCGCCAAAGATCCGTTGTTCTACGGACCTGACGCTTCTGGTGGTAACGCAGGTCTTTTCCGTGCAGGAGATGCTAGCCACGGACGACAACGCCGAGTACTGTCTCACGCGTTTTCTGATCGTGCACTCAACGAGCAAGAGCCCATGTCCGAGCACTATGCCCAGTTGCTGATACAAGGACTTCGAAAATCAACCCTGGAACCGAACAACAAGGTTGATATGGAGCGCTGGTATAATTATGCTACATTCGATGTCATGGCAGACCTGACTTTCGGTGAGCCGCTGCATCTCCTCGAGGATCAGTCTCAGGAATGGTTTCTGGACAACGTATTCAGCTTTCTGAAATTACAGAGCATGTCCCAGCTCCTGAGGTACTACCCTTTCTGTGCTGGGGTTCTCAGACCATTCTTCATACCAAAGAAGCTGGTCAACCGTCAGGCGCGCAACAACAAAGAATGCATAGCGAAAGTCAATCGACGGCTGGAACGGGCTTCTGACAAGCAGGATGTATGGGGTTTAGTCATGAAGCAAGAGGGTGAGAAAGCTATGTCACGTCCGGAAATGCACGCCAACGCCATAACAATGATGGTAGCTGGTACAGAGACCACCGCGACAGCGCTGAGTGGCCTGACTTTCTACCTACTGCAAAATCCGGACAAGATGAAGAAGCTCACAGAAGAGATCAGATCCAACTTTGACGAGGAGAGAAATATTGATATCAGAAGTTTGGCTCGTCTCGAGTATCTCAACGCCTGCATCGAAGAGGGGTTGCGAATGTACCCTCCTGTACCTCTTGGTCCGCCGCGCCTAGTACCCGAGGGTGGAGCGAATGTGTGCGATACAGTCCTGCCAGCAGGGGCAAGTACTTCCTTCCTAGGTACCTTCGATGACATATCTAACTTTGGTATAGACCTGCTGTTATGTCTCCAGCTACGCGGCTTTCCATTCAGAGCACAACTTTAGGCACGCAGAAAAATTCATTCCCGAGCGATGGATTAAAGGTGCAGGGTACGATGATGACCGAAAGAACGTACTACAACCGTTCTCATTCGGCCCACGGAATTGCTTGGGAAAGAAGTAAGTGCATGCGAGCGAGAACCTGGCTAAGCTGACAGATAATAGCCTGGCATACCATGAGATGCGCATGATACTTGCGAAGGTGCTGTGGAACTTCGACATGAGACTGGATCCAGAGAGCATGAATTGGCTAGACCAAGATGTGCACGTCATTTGGGAGAAAGGCCCACTGTATATCAATTTGACTGATGCACGAGCTGCTGTATAGAGTCGAGTATGACAGACATTACACTTGGTGACATTGTGCACGAGGACAGGGGGTTTGACATCAGTACGAGACGATCCCGCGAATACCGTCTACTTACCTGATCCGTGTCCCGGAGACTCCCTCGTGTTGTCATGTGTGGTACCACAGTCGCGTTGGAATACGACGTGCGCTTTCTGAGCTGTGGGCCAGGCCCAAGGCCTCGTCGTCAACGCAAAATAACATGTGGGGAATTAGACTTTGTCCCACCTCCGAGAACCTGGGGCATGTATCCACTGGCTATCCTGTGCTGGGACAGCCGACTCTTCACCAAGCCAAAGCAGCGTGGTTCTTCGCGAGAACATGGGCCACTCTGGAAGGAGACCCACCACATTCTGGTCCAGACCATACACAGGCACCCTGGTCCTTAGCTGGCCTCGCGCAAACGCACGTTAGTCGTCTGCCACGTGCAGGTCTGCTGTATAAGATACCTGCGCCATAACATCCTGTCGTCTGATCTGCTTCATCCGGTGTTGCAACAAGCCTGATTCATCTTGCCAACAAACACCAAAACTGAAGATGTCTCATGAGAAGTCAGCCACGCATGCATCTCATCATGACGACCTCGTGGGCACCAAAGCACTTCCCGACATTGCGCGAAGAGAAGGAGGCGTCCTGCTGGATGTCACTGGTATCGACGGCACGAGCCTGAAGCTCGCAAAAGATGGCCATGTGAGTCTTGTCCATGCTGAACGCAAACCCACCGATTGGATACTGATTCTTATCGTAGACTGTACTCCTGCCACAACCTAGCGACGATCCAGCAGATCCGTTGCTCTGGTCAAGCTCGAAGAAGCACCTGCTACTGATCACCCTCGCTTATGGCGCCTTCGTCACAGACTTCATCAGTGGACTTGGCTCATCCCTGATCCTTGCACAAGGTGAAAGCTGGCATATGAATCCCAATGCTGTGAATCACGCCACCACATTCAACATCCTGTTTCTGTGAGTGCACCATCAGCTGTTGTCGTCTTAGATATGCTGATGACGGTCTTTAGTGGCATTGGAGCCTTGTTTTGGGTGCCTCTTTCCACTTGGTGGGGACGAGGACCTACTATCTTCTGGACTGCTTGATTGCTGTCTTCCTCAACTTGGGAGTTGCACTGTCAAGAGACTTCACAACGTTCTACGCCTTTCGAGCGGTGTCTGGGCTGATCTCGAATGCGGCGCCGACAATCTCAATCGCCTTCATCAGAGACATCTTCTTCTTCCACCAGCGTGCTCGAAAGATTGGTATATGGACTTCCTTGTTCATTGCGTCACCATATGTCGGCCCTATAGTCGCAAACTATATGTTGGCCACAACAGGAAGCTGGATCTTGCCTCTATGGGTCGGATTTGCTGCCCATGGACTCTACTTTGTGTTCCTTTTGTGCTTCCTTGACGAGTGCTGGTATAATAGAGAGGTTCCTGAAGCTCTGCAGCCAAACCGGCCGAACACGCTCGCAGGCAGGCTGAGTCGCGTGACTGGCATCTGGCAGGTTAAGAACCACCGAGACTACTTCCTTACCCTGCGGCATTCCGTCACGAGATTTGTACGGGCTCTTCTGAAGCCAGTACTGATCCTCATCTTCTTCAACTAGTAAGTGGCACTTGCTTGACATTTTTGATTGCCCCACTGACTCATGTCCAGCTTGATCTGCTTCGCCTGGGCAATCGGCATCAATATTACGACAGCGATCCTCTTTGGCACGCCCGCGGAATTTGGCGTAAGTCACCCTCCCATGGACAAACTTGTGTGCGGAAATGAGCGTGACTTTGAATGTTGCCTGAGTGTGTGTCTCGGGCTGGACAAAGAAGTGCTCGCGCTAATCCTCCAGTTTTGCCCTCGAGCATACCGCCCTTTCAAGATACAAGACTAATAAGATTCGCAGGGTTATGGGTATACGTACAAGCAACTTGGTGCGCTTTACTTCACTCCCGTCGTCGGCGTCTTGATCGGAGAGGTCATCGGTCACTTCGGCAACGACTGGCTGGCTAAGATGTACGTCCGTCGGCACAAGGGCGTCTTCGAGCCTGAAGTGCGGCTCGTGGTCGCCGAGATCGCTGCGATCTTGATGATCATCGGCCTAGTCGTCCTTGGCCAGGCATTGCGGAGTCACCTGGCCGTGGGCGTGGTGGTGTTTGGTTGGGGCATCCATTCTGTTGGGCTTGTGATGCTGTCGGTCACGACATTCGCATATGCTGTCGATGCATACCCAACAGTTCCAGCTGAGAGCGCTGGCTGGGTCAGTTTCCTTCGCGTTATGGGTGGCTTCAGCGTCGGCTACTTCCAACAGCCATGGGCTGTCGCAGTAGGATACAACAACAGCTTTGGCGCACAGGCAGGTACAGTAGCGTTCGGGCTGATCTTTGTGGTGCTCGTCCACGTTTTTGGACATCGTTGGCGGGTGAGGTCAGGGGAGCTTAAGTAATTTGGAGGTTCCTACATGAAGCTCCGCTAGGCTTTATGTAGTCTCAGATACTCGCAGACACATGTCTCATCTTTTCTTGGCTGTGTGATTTCAATTGCCTGCCTCACGCCGATTTCTGCAGCAACAGTGAATCTCGTAAGTGCTTTATCGGCAGTCAAAGACTGGAAGGTGTCTATGGGTTCGGGAGTGGCTAAGAAAGCTACCGTCTTTCAGCCCCCGTTCCCCGCAGTGGCAAAGACTCCCTCGGAGCTCTCCCGTAGCGGCACTTGCCCACTTGGACGCTGTTAAGCCACGGCAAGCGCGGCCCAGGATGGTATCCTATTAGCGTCTAACGTCCTACGCATCCTACGACCTACACACCACATAGGGTATATGATATTGCACTTGGATTACTAGCATACGGGCTCTCAACGCCTCCCATCTGCTGCAGCATGAATGAGTTAATTTCCTAACGGTTGGGTCTTTCAGCTGCCGAATGACGCACCGGCACAGCAGCTTGACGACATGGGCGAAGGTGAAGTCGCGCACCATCGAAAGAAGGACAAAGCAAAACAGTGCTTGTACTGCGAGCGCAAGTTCACCAAGGAGGAGCATCTCAAGCGGCACCAGCGGAGCCATACAGGCGAGAAACCCTTCAAGTGCCATCGGTGTAACAAGCAGTACGGACGGAGTGATGTACTTGCGCGCCATTTGCAGACTCACGGTATCATCGTGACCGGAAGGAGACAGGAGGATCCGTCGCAGAGCTATGGTCAACCCAACGGAGTAGCTGGGGCTACGGACATTGGTGGGAGCCTCCATAATGATGGGCAGACGGGCGACAGCGAAGTGGTCGATATCGCGAATATCGACATTACTCTTCACTCCATCCGCGATTCAGGACTATCCAGAAGTCCACAGCAACCAGTGTTTGCTGCTGAGCAGCAGCACTCAGATATTTGGCCCACCATATCTGGGTTTGCTAACCAGGACGCGAGTGCTCAAGGCACCCATCTCAGCGCATCGCACCACTCCCGGTCGATAGCGCCTCGAACATTACCCGCTGATCTATCATGCGCACCACTTCCATGGATAGAGCAAGACTATCCGTCGCAGGGAATCGGTCAGTCGCGTTCTGGTAGCACAGATGTACGACTGCCTTCCCTACCACCTACACCAAGGAGCGGCTTTCCTGGCACTTGGACACCATTTCCGAGGACACCTGACATTCCTGCGTTCAGCCCCAGTGTCTTCAGGTACATGGACTTCGACCCCTCAGCGACACCTGTCGGACCACAATCTCCTCGTCCGCGGCGGTCGTCTTCGAAGGTCTTGTTCTCCGACAATCAGCTTCGCCATATACGTCATCTTTGGCAGGGTCAAAGATCTGCACCAAGTTTGCAGCTCATCCGGTCTCTGTGGAGTGCCGCAGCCAGGCATACAGCGCCGAACATATTTTCCTTTTCAGCGGCGTCCGAAAAGAGGCAAGATTATGCGGAGTCTGGTCGAAGTCGACGGTGGAAGCTAGACGAACAGTGTCGGCGGGATTTGATCCATTTTTGCGAGGACATGGAAGAACGATTATCTTTGGACGCTGATGCTGGGACTGGCTTGTTCCCCCATACTCAGTCTGGACCGACGCCCTCGCCAGGATCGATTTCAGACACAAGCTCACTACCAGGCCTGTCGGCTGATGGCTTTCCTACCTTGGAAGTCTTAGAAGCCAGTCTGGATTTTTACTTTCAGTACTTTCCATTCGCTTTCGTTCACAAAGCCACCTTCGATGCAGGAACAACGCACCGGGCCATTCTACTTCCCATGATTTTGATTGGGCTGACGTCGCTTTACCTTGAGCGCTCTAAGAATTTCGTCCTCCGCCATTCGAAAAGGTTGATGCGCCTCTGTCATCAGAATCTGACTAATGATGCACTTGGTCGCTGCGAGCCGTGGACGCTTCTAATCACGATCACGTCCACGTTGCTAGTCACGTACATTTGCCTGGGCCTGATTGAAGAAGTTGGCCACAACCAGGCCCACATGCTGTGCTCACAAACTATGAGTGTGGCAGAGAAGCACGGTCTTTTTGCAGCAGAGCGCGGCGAAGACGTCAAAGCGTTGCTGAATGAATTCGTGTCTGGCTCTGAGAATCAGTGGATGGCATGGTCCCGTGTGGAATCTGCTAAACGTGTTGTTGCACACCTCCTCCTTCTCGATTCGGCGTACGCTCGTCTGCAAGGCGCTGCTGGAGTCGTTGACATCGACAGAGTCGGATTGTTGCTGCCGTGTGCCCAGCAGCTCTTCGAAACAGGAACGCTTGCACGGTTCCAGGCCCTGAAGGCTCAAAAAGGCATGTCAGAAGTCACCCCTTTGATCAGCATATTCAACTTCGCCGAGCATGCAGTGCCGCATTTGATGGGCCCGCTGGCGCTGCAACTGCTACTCACACTGTTCTTTCTGAGAATATCATCGGCCCGTCACCACCTGCCTACACCACACCACAGCAACGAAAGCGAATCAAAGTCTTACAGTCCTGCCGAAGCTTTCGCTCACAACGCTGCGACCCGAAGCGCTCTTGAAGGCATAATATCGCTTCCCTCTCTTTTTATGCGGCAGATACAGCACGGAGACCCTATGTGCGCACTGGCTTACAACAATCTTGGTCTCTCACTGACCGCTGACATGGACCTCTTAGAGATTGCATCCGGACGAGAAGGTTCGGAGCGAGCACAGGATATGGCACCGATCGCCATGAAATGGGCGGCATCGGCCCAGGCTCGTCGATCGGTCCTCCACGCTGCACAGATTTATCAAGTTCTCTCCGGAACCCGGCTCAGGGAAACAAACATTGCTCGTCCAGACATTCTGCTCTTCACATCTGCCTAGTGATCAGCATGTATCTTTTTCACGTGGAGCAGCTTCAAAGACCGGATGATGCACAACCTTTGGAGCTTCTGGACGTCGTTGACTGGTCGCTCGTGGGTGGCGAGGGACTCCGGTCGCCATCTTCGGGCAGTGGCGTCAATGGAGCAGTCTCAGATCCCGGACTCACCACTTCGGCGACAACATTCATCCGCCACGGTGGCATGACCACCTTTGCAGGAGACCCGCTGGACCCAGGTTCTCACACAGCCCGCAAGATCCTGAGCAACTACGTTCATCTTGTGGATGAGCTCGGCAGGTGGCGCATGTCAAGATACTCGCAGTTGCTACGGACCATGAGTGATTTCGCTATCGAGGGGCCTGACGCGTCGAGGACTGAGGATACGCAGGATGGTGTGTATGCCCAAGAACTGCTACCGACAACAGAAGAGCCTAGACACAGTCTCTCGGCTTGAGTCCGCCCATGTGTCTAGACAAAATCTCGATGGACAATTCGGGATGCATGCGATGCTGACTTTGCTTGAAGTCTCAACGACAGGGGCCGTCGATCCAGCACGGAACCCGTGGGCGACTGTGGTTTCTCTAATGTCGAGCTCGTTCTTCCCTGCTCGTTTGCTACTGAACCTTGACTCCTCCTGCGCCAGAGATAAGCCCAAACAAGGGTCATGTCTGCCGCGCATCGATGGACTGATTTTAGTTGGTTCGACTCGCGTACTAGGGACTTTGCTGGGCTATTCGGTGTCGGGGCGGTGGCAACCGGGCACGATTGTGCCCTCACGTCCTCAGTGCGGCGCAAGCGCGGCGCGAGGCTGCCAAATCATATGCTGCGGTTGTAAAGGCTTGTGGTCAGTCACAGTTGCAAACACCGCTTGTGTCTCTCGTGTGTATAATGTAGCTGCCCTGGTCACAGATCATCAGATCTCTCCACGCACTCAAATCCACCGACCACTACTATCAGAACAGAAAGCCCGTATCCTCATCGAACACCACTCTGCCCACCCACCTCTTCCACGAATCAGGCACCAGACTGAGGTTGGCCATGGGTATCAGAGACTCAGATGCAGACCCATTCGACAGCCTGAAGCGACCGAGTTGCCTTTGTACAGCGCCGTAAGTTACCTTGTGCCCGGGAATGAGCCTGCTCTCGAAAGGCTCCCAGTCCGGACTTTATCCATATCCCGGCACAGAGCTAACAAGAATCATAGATGCTACCCCGGCAGATGTCCCTGTCGTACGGGAGTGGGATCTCACAATTACTGTATCCGCACATGCCGCTGTAAATGCCGCAGGTAGTGACGGCGATGGACTCGTTACATCTTGCCATAGGTTCCAGGTATATGGTCTTATTCCCGCATCAGTGCACTCTGGCAAGTCCTCAGGGAGATATCTTGGGTCGAGCGCGATCTTAGCCGACATTGACGCAACAGCCTTTTCTGCACCAACGCTGTGTCGAAGGGAGGAACGTCGAGTGCAGATTGATGGGTTCAGGCCGACACACGAATTCATTGTCATAGTCGAGCATTCTTGACGACCACGCACATGGTGTTAGGGCAATTCTTACACATTTCAACACGATATTCTTTGCGCTTCACGCTGAGGTTCGCACCATGACGTTCGGCGTACCGCGGACCCACTGGAGATCGCTTACGACGTTTTGCTGCGTTCAACGAGGACTGTTCCTGTGCCTATTCTTGCGAACTCAATGGCATTACGTTGCCCAGTGAGTCGTGGTCGCTAAACCCACGTGCCAAACCTTAATTGACTCCTCAACAACTACATACGTAGGTACACAGCACTTTGACGTGTATAGCTGGAGAAGACCACCATGAAGAGACTTCCACCAAGCCGATGGCCCGCGACTATGTATAAAAGCTGGCATAGCAGCCCGATCCCGCAAGATGTGCCGCCTAGCCACTTCAAATCGAAGGAGCCATGTACCGAAGCTGGATATCAGCGCTTGGCGCTACGAGCATGGTGCAAGCAGCAGCAGCTAACACAGTCACAGGCTCAAGCGAACTGGTTGCAAGGGCCACAGTCAACGGCAATCATTCTGCTGCGGTCGCGCCTTTTTGGGAAGACTACACTTATTGTCAGGGTGAGTGAGAGCCTCCATATGACACGACATCATTGCTGATTTACTCGTGCATAGGGCGGACCATCGACGCAAGCACATATCAGCCCATTCAGAATGCCACAATGATCAAGCTCATAGAAATGTGAGCAGCGCTGTAAGGGTGTCTCGGAGGGCACATTGCTTACCTTTGAATCCAGGAACCGCCACGGCGCACGTTCCCCGGCCGCTGGACCAGTCCCAGGGGACAACACGGAGTGGTTCCAATGCGGACAGTGGGTGCTCGTGTCCCATTCTGATTGCTCCAGCTTGTCTTACCGCACTACAGGCCTGACGGTTTCGTCTTCATGCAGAACGGCAGCACACTCTCGCCAGACCATACACCGTTCATGCAGGACCAAGAGGTCATCAGTGGAGCTTTCGCATACACATTCTGGAAAGGCAACTGCGATGCTGGTATGCAATAGCTCCCTGCTGATAGCGTCAGATTGCTTCGCTGACACGTGACGACAGGTCAATTGACAAACAATGGATCCCTGCAACTTCAGGCCCTTGGACGGAACCTTCGTGCTCTATATGTCGACAAGCTGGGCGTTCTCCCCACGGAGATGTCTCCTAATTTCAACATCAGCCACACATACATTACCAGGACGCAGCAGTCTGCCGAGAACCTCTTCGCAGGCCTCTATCCACCATCCACCCGACCCACCAACACCACCCTTACCATGCGCGTCAGACCCAGCCCAATCGAAGTCCTGATCAGCAATCCCACCGCTTGCCCAAAGCTTGCCAACCTAACCGCGCAATACGCCGCCTCCAGCGCATACGCCTCCGCCCTCGCCCCGTACAACAATCTCCAAACCACTCTCGTGAACGCGTACAACACCTCCCGCATCAAGGGCTATAACACCACAGCAGGCCTCTTTGACACCGCCGCCGCAACCTACTGCGCGGGCCTCGGCCTCAAAGGCAATCTCACGGCTTCCGACATTCAGACGCTCGTCGTGCCCGGCACGTCCGCGTACCACAACGTCTGGCGGCCCAACAATCCTAATTACGAAGAAGCAAAGATGCTCGGCGTAGGTCCCTGGCTGCAGGAAATCGTCGGCTCGCTGACCAACTATTCCTCGCCGCTGGAGGTCTACTCCGCCCACGATGCGAGTCTGGATATGTTCTTAGCGGTAGTGGCTGATCCAGACCTGCCCTGGCCGCCTTATGCAAGTAATGTGCTGACTGAGGTGTGGCGGTATGAGGGGAATGGGTCGACGGTGGTGAGGATGTTTTATGAGGGTACGGTCGTGCCGGCTGTTGAAGGACTCGGCTGCAGTCTGGCCGCTTGTCCGTTGGAAACGTTTATGGCTTTCGTGAAGTCGTATATCCCGCAGGATCTGAAGAGTGCTTGTGCGCTGTAAGGAGTTGAGGAAGGAGGGAAGTGATATAGCAAATCGATCCGTAATTGGTAGCCAGCCATCCTGTCGAAGCCGAATAGGTAGATTATACGCATGATTTCTCTGTCATCATAGCCCGCATCCATCATTGCGGATCAGCCCAGATCCAGACGCAATTGCTGAAAGCTCATCAGTACCGCCCTGGAACACATTAGGGTTGGCTTCCCCCGCTGGTTCAACCATGAAACTCGATTAAAGCACGTAGGATCGACCAACACGCAGAAGTCGGACAGGAACAGAGATTGCCCTTCGATGCGCATAATGAGCCTCTACATTGCTGAGTCTGTGCTTCAGGTGACATTGCACCACTTAGAGCCTCTGCGGAATTGTAGTAGATACCTTGATCTCTACCTAGGTAGGTATCAAAGAGATGGTAAGGCAATTTGTGGAGTCAACGTCCATCCAGCCGCGCTAGTCCGTGACCAGTAAAGCGTCTCTTCCGGTTGCCTCAACGCCTATTGCACTGTTGCCTTATGAATTCTGTCCATCAACGCGATCTTTCTCTGTCGATTGCACAGGCAACAATCCTGCTGTATTCATTGACCTGGGTTTCTTCTGGTCCGAACTCCTAAATAGTAGACTACAAGGCATTTCCCGAATAAGTTCAAAGCCACCTCGTTGATCGCTTCCATAGCAACCCTTGCATCGCCACCAAAAGTTCACATCTGTCACTTGTGCACCAAGTCCCGGTTGTTTCGGCGCGAATGAGCTTGAGAAGTTTTACGCAATCGCCGTGATGGCGGCTCTTAGGGCTGCCACTATCTACAAAACAGCCAAGCAACCTGGTATACTCGCCATCCCTAGAGACGGCAAGTCTGTGACATGGTCGCCAGACCAGCCCTCAGGAGCGCCTCCGAGCCTCACAATACCCGTCCAGGACATTTCGAATCTGCAGAAGACACCGGACACGGCAAAAAAGGCTATGCTGAAGATTTTCGCGAAAGGCTCGAACGATGCAAATGCTGTCGATCACACCTTCACCTTCACATCTGTTGATTCGCGAACTGAAATCGAGGCCATCACAGATCGAATACGCAAGATCATTGATGATCACAAGAAGGGGCAGCTCGCGGCAGCAAGCGGCAGTGGCCAGTCTGCGGCGATGACGATTGCGAATGCGGTCTCTGGTGGCAGAAATAACGGGCCGATCTGGGAGGATGACGACAGACTCAAAGCCGACGTGAGACTACAGCAGTCCTTGATGCAGCAGGACGCGTTACTCGGCAGGACCTTCAGAGAAGCACTGAGCGAAAAGCCAGACTCGATCACGAGTCTCCAATTCACACAACAATTCTGGGCGTCCAGAGTCCATCTACTGCGAGCACACGCACTATCACAACACCAAGATCGGGGCAGGTCCAATGTTTTCTCAGATATCGGCGCGATAGGTAGTGGTAAGACGGTCAGCATCACGAGCGAGCAGATTCATATCATCTTCGAGCAGTACCCGTTAGTCAGAAGAGTCTACGACGAGCTCGTGCCGAAGCGGTACAATGAAGCCTCATTCTGGAAGCGCTTCTTCCAGTCACAGCTATACCTCAACCTGCGTGGTATGAAAACAGACGACCGGATCAACCGCAAGGACGACTACATAGACTCAGACCAGTACCTCAACGCACCCGAGCTGACCGGCCTACGACCCACAGCTCCAGAGCTACACATTGCCAAATTCATTGACCTAGAAGGAAACGAAGAAAACCACAGTCAACGCCAAGGCAACAAGCCAAACATCGAGGACCAGCAAAGCAGCCTGGAAAATGCGCCAGTCATACGGAAACTCAACGCCCTAAGCGAGAAGCTCATGGCATCCGTGCGACCAGCCGACACCGATGTAGCAGCACCCATCGGCAGCACAGAAGCTGAATATGACCAACTCCGCCTGCGCGATCTCGAAGGCGACCCCGAACAACACCGCATAGTCCTCAACATCCGCGACCAACGCCGCTTCTTCGGCGACACCCAATCCTCCAAAAAGGACACTTCCAACCCATTCACCACCATTGACCCCGCCAAAGCCCTCAAACTCGTCCTCGAAGACATCCGCACCGCCTTCCCCTCACCCGGCGCGACCAATCCCAATCCCAGACCACGATGACACTGGCGAACAGAACGACCTCGACCCCACCCCCCAAACCTCCGGCGCCCTCCACGCACACGCCCACGTCATGACCCTAATTCAATCCCACCGCTCCTTAACAGCAAGCATCTCTGAAACCTCCACCCTCCCACCCGCCATCTACGAACGCCTCCTCCTAACCCACGCCACCAGCATCGAATTCCTCCGCCAGTTCTACACCGCTTTCAACTCCGGCGACCCACAACGAGTAACCGAGATCGAATCTCTTTCGGGCAGTCTGGTTAATGCGACCGCGCGTATTACTGCTATAGCCAAAGATGCGGAGGCGGAGCGGAATGGGATTATAGAGAGGTTGGGGCGGGAGGCGAAGGAGATGGCGCGGCTCAAGGGGGAGGGCAGTAAAGTGCGGAAAATCAATTTGGATGCTGTGCAGGGCGGTGGGGAGGTGGTGAGGGAGCTGATGCAGCCTATTTTGGATGGGTTGCTTCGAGCTGGCGAGACGTACAGACGGGCGGTGGTGGAGCAGAGTAGGGATGGGGGAGGGGGGACGCCGCAGCCTGTGTGATGTGATGGAACAGATGGAGAAGACCCAAGAGATAATCACAGTGCCATAGAAGCGCGAGATGAGTGCTTGGAGACTGCTACGAGCTCGTGAAATATCCGGCGAACCGGCCCAACATCCCTCTCTGCTCCTCTCCTGGCTGTACGCCCCCAGCGCTAGTCACGGCTCGCATCCCATCTCGCGATCCTTCCTCCTCCAGCCGCCGTCTGAGTCCCTCAAACTGTTTGCCAGCACTCTTTTGTTTACTTTCACCTAAAACCCACCGCGGCACCCGCCACCGCCCCATCCCACCAGGCAGCATCTCCCCCATCCACGCTGACCCGACCACCCACCCGCACAGCGCCGGCAGCAACCCGTAAGGAAACTGCGTTAGGGCGAGTTGGCCGGCGAGGAAGTAGGTGGTGGACTTATCGCTGAATAGCACGCCCTTTGCTCCCTCGCTCTGCACGTCCTCTTGTGTGGTGGTGAGGATTTTGTAACGGTACAAGGTGGGGACGGCCTCGGTGTAGGCTGCTAGGCTCGCGAAGATCAGGCCCGTGGCGCCGGGTGGGAGGTAGTTGTACCATCCTAGCGTCAGGACTTTCAACACCACCAGCAACGTAGGCGTGAGGAGTGTAAGGCACGCCCAGCTGACGATGATGAAGGAAGCGTATTTCCTCGTACCCCATAACCGCTCCAGCACACGAAACTGGTAGAGGAGTACCGCGGAAAGGAGGGTTTCGGTCGAACTGAGAGAGGCGAGTTGGTAGGTGAGCAGGCGGTTGAACTGGAGGTAGGGCACAAGTGTGGGGTTGGCGAGATGGGGAGGTAGTGTTTGAGGTCGAGGATTGAGAACAGGGTTGAGGCGGAGACCAGAGTCAAGAGAAGGAGCGTCGTGATGGGGGTGTGGGTGAGGGAGGGCGTGGCGACCATCACGGGTGGTTACGACTAATCGGGCCTGGCTGTCAGTCGAAGCAGGAGCCCACCGCAGGCACCTGAGTACAACAGACTGTGCGCTGCAGGCAAACACACTGGAGCTCAAGGCGACGAGGGGGAAGTCGAGATGAGCGATTTGGGGTTCAGCACATGACGCCGTCGGATGTCATGAGGCAGTCGCTGTTCAAGGTTGCGGCTGCTGAATGTGGCATTGGTTTCTGGAAGGGACGACGTGAGTATCCGATGCCCGGATCCATGGAAAGATATCTCCGCACCAAGAGATCTAGGCTCTGCCAATCATGGTTCCGACATTCCGCTTTAGTGGATAGACTTTGGCGATGAGATCAACGACCTCGAAACCCTCGCCGCAGACCCTTTCGTCTCTGAGCACACTCCTTACGACCTTGCTGTTGCTGCGGGCAGCTCTACAACCCTCTACCACGCACACCTGGCGCCCATGATCGTCCGACCATCCACCCGCGCCGCGGCCAAAGCCGCCGGCAGCGCCTCACGATCAGTCAACAGCTCCCTCGCCGCCACCCAATCGAGAACATACGCCACCGTTCAGGAGGGTGCTCCCCCGAAACGAACGTATGGAGGTCTGAAGGACCAGGACAGGATATTCACAAATCTCTACGGTCACCATGGCGCAGATCTGAAGAGTGCAAAGAAATATGGCGACTGGCACCGGACCAAGGACATACTCGCCAAAGGCCATGACTGGTTGATCAACGAGATCAAGGCATCAGGCCTGAGAGGACGAGGAGGAGCTGGCTTCCCCAGTGGCCTGAAATTCGTACGCTCTTCCCACACCTTACCACCCCCTCCTACATCACTAATACCCGCCCTAGTCATTCATGAACTTCAAAGGCTGGGAACAAGACAAGAAACCCCGCTACCTCGTCGTCAACGCCGACGAAGGCGAGCCCGGCACCTGCAAAGACCGCGAGATCATGCGCAAAGACCCCCACAAGCTCGTCGAAGGATGCCTCGTTGTCGGCCGTGCCATGAATGCCACCGCCGCCTACATCTACATTCGCGGCGAGTTCTACCATGAAGCCACAGTCCTGCAACGCGCCATCCAGGAAGCCTACAAGGACGGCCTCATCGGCAAAAACGCCTGTGGCTCCGGCTACGACTTCGACGTCTACCTCCACCGCGGTATGGGCGCCTACGTCTGCGGAGAGGAGACCTCCCTCATCGAATCCCTCGAGGGTAAGGCCGGTAAACCGCGATTGAAGCCCCCCTTCCCCGCCGCCGTCGGCCTCTTCGGCTGCCCATCAACCGTCACCAATGTCGAAACCGTAGCCGTCTGCCCCACCATCGTCCGCCGCGGCGGGAAATGGTTCGCCGGTTTCGGCCGCGAGCGCAACCAAGGCACCAAACTCTTCTGCATCTCCGGCAACGTCAACAACCCCTGCACCGTCGAAGAAGAAATGTCCATCCCTCTCCGCGAGCTCATCGAAAAACACTGTGGTGGCGTCAAAGGCGGGTGGGATAACCTCCAAGCCATCATCCCGGGCGGCAGCTCAACACCCATCCTCCCCAAACGCATCTGCGACGACCAACTAATGGACTTCGACGCCCTCAAGGACTCTCAGTCTGGTCTTGGAACTGCTGCGGTCATCGTGATGGATAAGTCCGCTGACGTAGTGCGGATGATTGCGAGGTTGAGCAGTTTCTACAAACATGAGAGCTGTGGACAGTGCACGCCGTGTCGTGAGGGTAGTACATGGACGATGCAGATTATGCAAAGATTCGAGAAGGGACAGGCCAGGGCGAGGGAGATCGATATGTTGCAGGAATTGACGAAGCAGGTTGAGGGACATACGATTTGCGGTGAGTTGCAGCGATTTTCGTCTTGTCCACGTTTGATACTGATTTCTTCAACAGCGTTAGGAGAAGCATTCGCCTGGCCCATTCAAGGTCTAATCCGCCATTTCCGACCAGAGTTGGAGAAGCGCGTGGCGGAGTACAAGGCGACGCATGGACACGAGGCGTTAGGTGGTGGGTGGGAGTACGATGCTGGCAAGAAGGGGCTGTTAGTAGCGCCGGGCCAGTGATTGAACTACATCAGGTGGATGGGGAAGAGAAAGTTTGTGGTAGTGTTTCGTTAGCGTGCATTTTCTCGCCTTGCGGAGTGGCCTGGTGTTTGACAGAATCGAAGGGAAGAACGGTGCCGTACGAGCATGGGCATCAGACAAAAAGGAAAGCAAGACAGTGGCATCCAGAAGCTGGCGCGTCATGGACGGCGCGATCTCCTCGTCACGCGGTCACGGAGAAGACGTTTGTGTCAATATCAATACAGTTGAAAATTCCAGAAGTGTTCTGTAGTCGAGTATCCGTCGGATCGCACATCCTTTCGCCAACAGGCGATACCGACGGGGCCATGCCATGCCACATGATCCCCGACCACATGCCGGTCCGCGACCTGAGTAGACACAAGCACGCAGCAAGAGCAGAAGAACCACACAATCAATCGTATCAAGCGGTCCCGAAATTCCGACGACCTTATCGGCTGAATGCCCTCCATCCCGAAAAACCAGATGAAAGTCCCAATATGGCAACTAAACTGCCATTTAGGATTGTCCAGGCATGGCGTACCCGAGCCTATACCCATACCCGGTTACGGGTGGGCGTTCCCGAGACTCATCTTCTTCTTCACTTCCTCTCACAGTCTTTTACTCCTTCCCTCCACCAGCCTGACTAGCCATTCGGTGAGCATCGCGACTGCTGCTACGAGATTGCCAAACCAATTCCCTCTGCGCGTTGGGACTTTTGCGTCCAGCGTGGACAGCTCGTGTTCGAGTTTATGTGCAGGTCGGTACGGGATTCAAGCTTCAGCTCAAGCCTCGAAACCTTCGGCTCGTGTCGCATACTTCAGCCCTACCTACTTCTTGATATGTGTTTGCAGGACTGGTATGAGTCGCTGTGGCAGGCCACGTGGCCACACAACACGCTACGAATGAAGTGTTCTCTGCAGCATCTGCCATGGGCTGCTGTGGCAGCCACACGCAGCGCCACGATACTCAGGACACGTCCAGCTGAAATGGCCACGCACCTCGTCGCTTCCTGCGTAGCCAGGTTATGTATATGATAAGAGCTCTAGATGCTACTGGAAAACGTCGAGTCCTCTCACATTCCCGATTCTGTTTCCATGCTGTTTCTCGCTCAATTTCAAATTGCCAATCTGATCACTCGCTATCTTCCCGCTCAACAGCGCTCAAAATGTCTTCTGCCAACGTCGAAGAGCACAGGAAACTCATCCCCTTCAGCCATTTCATCTCCTCCACCGGCAACCACGGGTCATTGATGGTCTCCGACGTCTTCATCGACCCAAGCAAGCTCAACAAACTGATCGAGCTCTTGACCCCCTGTTATCATAAAATGCACGCGTATCCGGAGTGCAAGTTCATCGAGATGGCCCAGAACCCGCAGGACCCGGCACATATTAGATATGTCCATGCTTGGACGAAGGGCACGGATTGGTTCAGAGAGGTTAGTTCTTGAGGAACGACGGGTTGCTTGCGTGAATCGATGGAGGCGGACCGCTGATCAGCATGGTTGTTTTTGAGCAGAATATTGAGACTCAGCCTTGGTTTGCTGAGTATGTCAAGGAGCTTGCTGCGATATCTGACAAGAGTAAGAAGCGTGAGTATTGATCGTGATGAGGTGGCTCGAGCTTTGACTGATTGTTGGACCAGGAAGCGTTGAGCACTTCAATTGGATCCCGCTGAAGTAGGGCTTGCGTGAATGAAGTTAGTATTGGCAGGATTGCAAGAGATGGCGGCGTTGTCACGCAGACATCACGTTGCTCCAGACAGGCTCGGTGTATACCATGGCGAAGGTGGTAGCTGGCGTGGCAGGAAGATGATGTCAGGAAGCGAGGCACACAGCTTTCGTCTGCCTCTGCTTCTTCTCCTTTACCTCTCGTTTGCTTGTATCATACATGGTCGGCCAGTGATCGGACAGGGCCAAGCTGAGGGAAGCCTAGCCTGTCTGTGCAATTATCTATATGACAGAGAATTCAACACACTGAGCTGGCTGGTCGCGCTGCCTTGAAATCTGTGGCTTCTTATTGGTGCTGATCATGATATACATCTGTCACAACCCAACATCGAAGAAAGAAAGCCCCCGAATCGTTCGCGCCTAGCATAGGGTGAAAAACTCGACGATTCAATTGCGAGTGTGCCTAGATATCACGAGGCAGCGTCCGAGCCTCCCTTGGTTATCATGTATTGACGTGCCGACGCAACGACAAGGCTGGCTGAGTTTTGCCTTGCGGCTGAGCATAAGGGGCCGGCAATGTACCTAGCAGCCTATGCGACGACGCACTGTGACGGCGTGACGGCGCAGCCAAGGGCGATGTCTGAACATTCGGGCTGTGCGTGCGATGAAAAGTTTCAGACAGTCATATCCTGATTCTCACAGCATGCGAAAGTCATTGCAGTGTTCTACTCTGGTTTGTATCAAGATACCCAAACTTTTTGAGGGCTAGTAAAAGTCACGTGACTCGCATCGGCGGGCTGTGCCAGTGTCGCTTCGCCGGCCGATGATGTGGCGCGCCGGTCTGGACATCACATCTCATCCCAAGCATTGATCCTCGTGAGCGCTGACTGTTCTTGTCGACACAGCCCATCACCGGCACTCGACGATCACATAGCCGTCTTCTTTCCGCCACCTTCCGACTTGTATATATCTCCATCCACCACCGTCACTTTGTACTTCGCCCCACTACCACCATCTCCATTTCCTCGATCCTGCCGGCAGCATTACATCAACCACCCAACATGGCCACCTCACCGACCAGACCACAACCGTCCCCGATAGACACGACCATCCACACACCTTCACCACCCACGTCCTCAACCTCAACCCCTCAGACCAAGCGCTCCCGCAGCGCATTATCACTCGACCTCAGCACACTCCCACCGCTGACCTCCCCATCACCGCCCTCCAACACCCTACTTATTACCCGCCTCTCCGACCCCAAAATCTTTCACCCGGCCTCCCTCGCCACTATCCGCGAACACATCTCCTCCATCGCGCCCCTCAATTCCTTCTCCCCTCTAAAATCAATGCACCGCATCATCGTCAGCTTTTTCGACGACGCCTCCGCTATCGCCGTGCGGCAGTCTGTCGACGGCACCGCGTTTTCCTCGTCCAATACCGAGCCCTCGGTCGCGAAATGCTATTTCGGCGAGCCGACCCCAATAAACCAAGAAACGAAATACCTTGAGCGTCCCGATGCGGGGAGGCTGTTCTTCATCAGCCCACCGCCTAGTCCGCCCGTGGGCTGGGAGATGAGGATGGAGGATGCGCCTAACAAATCCGTCCATGCAGAGGATCTGGCATCCAAACTATCGGCGTTGACGAGTCGGCTGTCGTCCTCGAACAACAATGAGGATGTCTCGCCTATCGAAGAGCAGTACACAGCGGATGAGCTTTCTCAGAAGCTGAAATCTACACATACGCGCAAACGCTCTACGGAAGATATGCTCACGACGCCAACGTCAGCAGCACCGAATAATAACGGGTCAAGTCCGAAGAAGATTAGAAGTCGGAGCTCGACGTTGATCTACGATCCGAAAGCACACGGAGACTCACCCGGCTACCCGCCGTGATGCTGGAAACGGAGGACGATGATGAGGTACAAGAGTTGGACGAGCCGAAGCCAATCCTCGCGCACACGAGTCGGCCGCCGTTGGAGTTAATGGAGGAGCATTCGTGATTCATTGTGCAGGCGAGCATTGCAGAAAAGGAGCATTCTTGAGTGGTGCTGTAGATAATAGAGGTGGAATTAGGACTCCGGCATCTGTTACGGAGAAGGGTCAATCAAAGACCAGATGTACAAAATTATTAATATGTCCACGTCGAGTCAAGCTGCACCAAGCAGGCGAGACAGAAGTATGGGCCATCTCAACATGTGTCACCTTGGCTGCCTTTTGTGGGTCGGTACCATCATGCCTAGTTGCCCGCCTGGGTTTGCGTTTGCCCGAGCCGCCTCCTCTATTCGCTTCAGATACTAAGTAGGCAATTGGTCGCCCATGAACAGGCGGGGAAATATGCGTCCATGTAGGTTTGAACACCTGAGTACGCTCGACTCAACCACGAAACTATATTCATTCGACATGGCACCGTATCAAGGGGCATCGCGTTTGCTTAGGCTCCATGGATTGTGTACGGAGCTAGGTAGGTATGCACGGGCTAACGGGCCTGGGTCGGTTTGCCTTGCAGACTCCCCGGATTTTGGGCCTCGGCCAACTCCAAACCTTCTCCACATGATGCTATCATTCAACTCTCGACCTCGTAGGGCTGACACCATGTGGCAAATGCTTAAGAGAGCGGTCCATCGGCTCCAGAGCGAGTGCGGCGACTCAAGCGCTGATTTCAGCCGCTTCGCTTTACCCAAGCGACCAGTATCGTTGACGAGCAGTCCAATATGGCACCAAGCGCGACAGCCTCGCTAGAAGATGGCTACGGCGGACTAATCCCCAACGACCCGACCACCGATGCTGATCAGCAGAACAATGCGAACACGCGTGGAGAACCCAATAACCCCAGTGAGGACGATGTGCCCATCCTGGAGCAGCTGGCAGGAACGAGAAAGCGACTGCGAATTGCTATTCTGGGCGCTGGCTTGTCTGGTCTCAATTTCATGAAACGTGCTGAGGAGCGACTCAAGAATATTGAGATCGTCTGTTATGAGAAGAACGATGATGTTGGCGGGACCTGGTAGGTGCTTCTGGACATGTCGACGTGGATGAGTCCAGTGTGGTCGGGGCGGAATGGATTTTGCTGATAGTAAACAGGTATGAGAACAGGTATCCGGGCTGTGTAAGTGATGTCTGACTGCCTGGGGAACTTGATACCTTGCGCGACGAATCTTCACAATTGTCTTGCCACAAGTCCTTGGCGATTGAGTGGCGATAAGCAGTCTGACGAAGAGCAGGCCTGCGATATACCCAGCGTCGTCTACCAGTTCCCGTGGCGGCAAAAGCCTTGGACACGCTACTACTCTACAGCTCCCGAAATCTGGGCCTACATAAAAGAAGTAGAGCAAGAGAATAAGTTTATCGAAAAGTATATCAAACTACAGCATCGCACGCAAGCCATATCCTGGTCTGACGACACAGCTCAATGGATGATCTCACTCCAGGACCTCCGAACAGGCGTACGTTAATCACCTTCACAGACATCGGACTAGACACTAAGATGCTTCAGCGCGAGTTCACCGACCATGCCGACCTCCTCCTCGACGGTACCGGCGTCCTCAATAAGTGGAAATGGCCCACAATCCCGGGCCTGCACTCTTTCAAAGGCCAACTCCTGCATTCCGCTCAATGGAACCAGAACGTGTCCCTCGAGGGCAAACGAGTCGCCCTGATCGGCGCAGGCTCTTCTGCAGTTCAGATCCTCCCCAACATCTATCCTTCCGCCTCCAAGATCTACCACTGGATCCGCAACAAGATCTGGATCACCGCCGGCTTCGCGCAATCCTTTGCTGGTCCCAACGGTGCAAACTTTGAGTACAATGAAGAGCAGTTGGAGCTTTTCAGGAAAGATCCGGATAGCTATCTGACGTACTGCAAGATGATCGAGGGAGAATTAAATCAGCGTTTCAGCTTTATTGTGAACGGCAGTCCTGCGCAGAAGGAGGCGAGGAAGTTCAGTGAAGGGGAGATGCGGGAGCTACTCAAGAACAGGCCGGATCTGGTGAAGAACATCATGCCGACGGACTTCTTCGTCGGATGTCGTAGACCAACGCCGGGTAATGGGTATCTGGAGGCATTACAGGGTGAGAAGACCCAGGTGTTTGGAAACCAGCTAGGTCAGATCACTGAGAAGGGGTTCATGGACCTGATGGGAATGAAGTCGAGGTCGCGACGTGATAATCTGCGCGACAGGCTTCGACACGACATACAAGCCAAAGGTACCCTTCTCGGTCAATGGTGTTGACATGCAGGAGAAGTGGAGGGATTACCCTCACGCACCGAGTTATTTGAGTCTAGCGCTGGCAGATGTGCCGAACTACTTCCAATTTGCAGGGGCGTACTGTCCGGCTGCACACGGGAGTTTCTTCCCACTGATTGAGGGGTACAGCAGTTATTTCATCAAAGTCGTTGAGAAAATGCAGGTGGAGGGCATACGCTGCGTCCAGCCGAAGGGAAAGGTCGTGGATGCTTTCTTGCGACACGCTGTGAGTAGTGGCCGCTCATCTGAACATTGAACCTCTGCTGACAGTTCGACAGGACACATTTCTGAAGCGCACCGCATGGACAGGGCCGTGCTCATCTTGGTTCAAGGGAGGTGACCCAAACGCAACACCCGCGATATACCCTGGCTCGCGATTGAACTTCCTTCGCTTGCTCGAGAACCCGCGTTGGGAGGACTACGAGATCGAATATGATGTGCCGGAGAATATGTTCGCGGCGATCTTTGGAAATGGCTTTCATGTCTGTGAGAGGGATGGCAGCGACATAACTTGGTATATGGGACAGCCGGGCAAAGAGGTGGACAAAGACTGGCTGAAGGATGTAATGAGTGGAAGTAGGGGAAGGATCATGGAACGGCCTTGTTGAGCGTGGCAGGAAACTTGGAAGGAACGGGACCGAGGATGTGTACAAGTCACTGTCTCGTGAGAGTCCATCAACGGCAGCAAGAGTTGAACGTGACGCTGTAGTCAATCGTGTGTCACTGAGAACGAGTTCAATAAAAAACGCGTGCCGCGTCTGCACTAGCTGATCATCTGATCGCATGCGCGTTGGCACTGCTTTTGTCGATATTTATATTCTCGGCTCGTTCTTCGCAATATCCTCAGCCTACTTGCTCAGTCTTCGATTGCATCCACTCGCATCCCCGTTCCAGCTTCCACCTTCTTCTTCCTTCGAACGCTCCTCTCGAGCTTCCTGCGGCTGCTGTTCGAAAAAGATCTGACGGACCTTGCAGGCGTGAAACGCGTCGCTGCCAGCGCATCGCATCGACCAGCAGCTCCGATCACGTGGTCAGCCACGAAGCTTGTCCTGTAGGCGCGCGTCGGAGCCAAAATCTCCGGGCTGTCAAATTGCGGTGCAATTTGCCTGGATGATCGTCAAGGGTCTTCAGCCGCATCAAGATGGTTGCCTTGTTCTTGACGACGTCTCGAATAGCATAAGTTGCAGCATCGCAGGTGTTTTCTGTTCCGCCGACCTCGCCGACATGAAAGCAAAGCCCTTGACGATGGTCAGCGCTGCGCTGTTGCACACTCTGTGTTCAGATGTGCGCAGCACCAATGACGCGCCTGCTGCGGCTCCAGCGGTAAGTACAGACAATCATACGCTAATCATACAGAAAGACCGTCCTGGAGCGTCATTGTGACATCGCTGCTCGTACGAGATCATGGAGGATGAGTTGGTATGATTAAACCAAAGTTCCACCACGTTGTCGCGCCTCATAGGTCGCGAAGCCTTATCATACACCACGGTTCCTCATCATACGGCAAAGCAATACCAAAGGTCCACCTCTTCGACTCCAGTTCCAGTCGCTCGCGTTGTCGATGCGAGTCCCCCTTCCAAAATGGCGACAGCGAGAACACCGTGTCGTCGCCCTTGAATGGTCTTGTTCTTGCTTTGCAAATGCTCTGTCATGCCACACGATGGCCCCTGCCAAAGGATCAAGATAATTTCGCTTTCCCTGGCATGCACTACGCTCGATCAATGCCACGAGCACTATGGCCAATGGAATTGGCCATAAATACACCGAAGTCTATTGCTTTGCGCTTGATCCTGCGGTGGATCGGGTCGATCTGGTGAGGCCTTGCATGTCTATATGTTCTAACGCTCCCCCTGCAAATCTCGAGTTTCCTTTCCCCATACCGGCAAGATGACTTTTCGCGACAGATTTTGTCGTTTACATCCTGCTGTTTCCAGCACCTTCAACCCCCCCACCGTGAGTTCTCTTTTCCTTTCCCGTTTCCACGGATCTGTTCTTTGTGCAACATCAAACACTGTTTCACGCTGCTTCGGAGTCCTCCTGACTGCCGTCCCCGTTCTCTCAGATCAGTCTACTAACAAAAAATGTTCATAGCCTCTCCCTCCTTCCCAATGGATCAGGGAACATCACCCATCATACGTTCCGAAGCCTCGCGCTCCCATCGCCCGGCCGAAACTGATCCCCTGGAGACTCCTCTACTACCGCTCCCGCTATCGTATCGAACGCGGCTTACCGATCACACCCTGGATTCCCACGGTTGATGAACCGGTACCACCGAACTATGTGGTCGATCCTATACCACCTGAGTACGTGGAATACTTCCTAGCGGATTACGAGGATCCTTCATCACTATCATCTGGATCCGGTTACGCCTTATCATCTCGATCTGGCTCCACCTACGATTCATTCGATAGTTCTCTTCCTCAATATTCATCGGAACTACAACAGCTCATTGATGCTGTCCGACAAAGGAATCCGGAACGATTCGCCGAACTCATGCGAGACGATCCGGAACCGGAAGTCAGTCAATCACCTTCCGGTCCGATGTTCAACTTCCGATCGAAACACGAGGAATACCCTACTCAATCATCTGGCTCGGTGTCTACACCGTGTCCAGTTGATTCTCCTTCATCAGATGGATCTCGATCCCCAGATCCAGATGATTCCTACATTCGATACCAGAACTTCATTCGGCAAATGATCGCCACGCTCAAGGCAGCGGTCACCGAGGGACAAGAACAAGAACAAGAACAGGAAGTAGAGGCTCGAAACACCCAGATTTCACTCTCTCCGTCTTCCGATACTTGGTCCTCCCGATCTGGTTCCGATAACTCGGTGGATTCCAACTTCTACGACGAAATTGAACACATCGAGGAAAATTGGGAATCTTTTTGCGACGACAGCATCGAAGAAGCCGACAATACATTCATCTCTGAGGGTCCACTAGCTGATTCATCGGATGACGCCTTTATTGAAGAGGACGATTCCTTCGAATATCCACAGCGATCCATCCCAAATCAGAGTTACCGGCAACTACCTTCTCAAATGCTCGTCACCCCTACTTCAACAACCCCCTGCATCTTCTGCAGGGTATGGACCTCTGTCTCCTCTTGGGTCAAGTCCTGGTTCTAGGGTTTCGCATCGATGAAGCACCTGGACACGACTTCACCGGCTGCCAATACGACCATGGACATCTCCTCCCAGAGTCTGTCCCATACACAGTCCGGTAACGACATTGCAGTCTCGTCAATACCACCTGCAACGCGTTTCGAAGTTGTTCCAGGATCTCGACAATGCACTCTTGGCTCCCAACCAAGCCAGTGCTTCTTTTTGGAGGATGAACAGGTTTTGGTTTTGTTGGTTCGAGTACAGATCAGGTTGACAGAAACATCATCGCCGCTTGACTCGACTGTGACTTGCTCGTCAGACCACCTGGACATCTGCTTTGCTCTGTCATGAGCTTCGATCGGTATTGATTTCGGTTGTGCTTGTGGCAAAGGGAACGTCACTGGTACAGCCTGGCCTCCGAAGGCTGAAGGACTACGCATAACGACGCGTACTCGTGTCCAGGGAGAAGGAGATGTTGATCGGGTTTGGGCTCGGAACGAGATCAAGAAGGATCAACGATCGAACGAGAGATGGACTGCTTGGAGTTGCAGCATGGGAATGAAAGGCAAGAGATGGAATACCCGGGGTATAACACGCTTTCAGGGACAGCTGGGCTCGAACCGAGACTGAGAAGGGTCAACGATCGATCGAGAGGTGGAACGCTTGGAGTGGGCTTGTGGGTGTTGTGGAATGGTGAAAGGAAGCGAAAAGAGATGTAAATAATGGTTTAGGCTGTGGAAAGGGGAGGAAGACGCCTGGAAGTTGGAGTTTTGGGAGTGTGGTATGGGCTTGCTGTTGGGCTGAAACAACAGACCTGGACTCTCCGAACCCTGGACCTGCCCTGGACCTGCCCTGGACCTGCCCTGAAACTTCCTCTGGAGCACCGAATTCTGGCCGCTGGACCTGCCTCTGCGGATCTCGACTTTGACCCCTGGAACACGAAACTTGGCCCCTAGGATTTTGGCTCTGGCTTCCCTAACTTTCCCCTTCAACCCCGGACATCGCCTAACCCATTGGACCTGCGCCTGAAGCTCATCTCCTCCACACCAACTGTCACTTTCACTGTCGTCGCCAACATCCACTCCTGTCGTCGACTATCGGTTGCTGGAGTTGACCTACCTGCGATATCTATTCCTGTGACTTTCTGGACTCCGGTGCCCGTTTCCATCGTCGTCTTCACTCACTTGCGACACTTCATCAACTACAATTTTCTCTGTCCACTGGTTGCAGCTGAGTGATGGACAACAATGCCTTGCTTCCCTACCCGGACCCGTGCCTTGAGAACACTCTCCTCTTGTACTTGCATGATCCCATCTCCGATCTGCATCGACAGTGTCTCTGGCTTCCTTCCTGCGACTACTTAGACAAGATCTCAACATTCGGACACACGTTCTGGACCTGCCTCGGACACGGAGAGAACAATCGTCTACATCATCATGTCGACTGATCACCTCGGCGACGTTGACGATGTTCTCGGACACCTCCATGGACAACACAAGGTGGACTTCGACGAGACTCTGTAACATCACACCTTCGGCTTGTGAGATCATCACGGTAAGACCAACACTTCAAGGGTACATTGTTGACACTACTGCCAATGCTTGCAATGCGTGTGAGAGATCCTTCAATGGCATCACTCCGTGTCAAAGCAACTCGGTGAGGAAGTCTTCGTGTGTATCAACCCTGTCGTTGAGGTCCCCTGATAGCTCCTACCGTCGGCTCATGTCGCCACTGGCTCTGGTTTGACGCCTTTGCTCTTCTTGGACTGGGTCTTTCGACAATCACATTCATTGGGAGGTTGGGTGGGAATGTGACAACACTCGCTCTGGACAACGCTGCTGAACTGTACGACTTCTGTCCTGTCTTCTCGGCTCAATGCGTCAATCACTCTTGGATCTCAGGTCGACAGTCATTACTCGCAGAGATCCAAAAACATTGACCGAGAACGACTGGTGAGGCCTGGGAAACCTCACTCGCGACATTCTTCGAAACAGTTTCTGGACTCGCAGCACCCCTGGTTCGGCATTCTTCCATGAGCAGCACACAGCAACCCGTCACGAAGACAGACTTTGTTGGGAGCATCGTCTTGACTTCTCGGGTTCGTTTCAATCTCTGGGTTGGTCGTTAGCTTTTGTAGAGCTTCCAGTGTCCAGCAGGATTCGACGCTTGTGCGTGCTTCATGATGCCTGGAATCGGGGAACCTTATATCGTGGATGGAACTGGTGGCGGTTCATGGCAAAGCCTTTGTCATTCTTCTCTCGAGCATTCCGGTCAATGGAGTCACTGTGTCGCGATCGAATCCACACACTCCAAGCACGACTTTTTTCAGCGATCTACTGGTCCGATTGTGTTTGAGCTTCCAACCTCGACACCTTTGTTTATTCGCACACGACTTTCATTCTTCGGGACGTCGACTTCGATGGTTCTCTCTTCGTCCTTACTAAGCCGTATGGCTAACAGGGTAGAGATGTTTCCTGAGGGTCAATTACCAAGTTTGGAAGTGGCTGACTTGGCCTGGGAAACCAAGTTTGTCCAACGTGGAAAACAGTCGGACTCGGTCTGAACAACGAAACGACGTGTGACTCGGCAATATTCTCTCTTCCGGACACGAAACGCCTTCACCATCTCGTCTGTGTGATTGTATCCAACATTCGTCCACATGGCGTCGTGTGTATTGGTCCGCGAAAGGAGATTCAACATGACATCAATGTCACTCGAGAAAGAATACAACTTTGCAACGGAACCGCATTTGAGCAGCAAGCCAATACCTCTACGGCAACGCGTCACAAAAGGTCCTCCTGTTTATCCGCCTCACTTACTTCACTCTTCGGGAAGTCGGCTTCGATGGTTCACTCTTCGTCCTTACTAAGCCGTATGGCTAACCGGGGAGAGATCGTTTCCTGAGGGCTTATTACCAAGTTTGAGGAAGTGCGTCAGAAGGGAGTGTTTCTGGGGGAAAACACGACTGGACGATGTTCATTAGGAAAGGGAGCAACCGGGTGGTAATCGTGTTGGAGGTGGCTTGTAAGAGGGATTGACTCTCATGCTCGGCTCTGGAATTACCGGATGACAATGATGACTGAAGTTGAGGAGTTCATAGTGTCGGCGAGGAACAGCGTGTTGGAACGTCTGAGACCTCATAACAACCATTGTCGACCCTTCCCTGGACTTGACGGACAGGTGAAGCACAATCGGGTGAACGACTCCTGGTCACGGTATTCCATTGAGCATTTTGGTGGTGGAGGTTGAGTATTCAGCTGGTGGAAAGCTGAGGATGGTGGTCTGTGTTTGGCTGACGAATGGCTGACGGATGGTTCGGCTGCTGGTGTTGGTTTGGCTGATGATGTTGGTTCGGTTGATGGTGTTGGTTCGGCTGATGGTGTTGGTTTGGTGATGGTGTTGGTTCGGCTGTCGGATGGCTGAATGAATGGCTGACGGTGGTGTTGAGTGTTCGGCTGATGGATGGCTACTCCGGGATGGCTACTGAGTGATTGGCTACTCCGGGATGGCTACTGAGGGATTGGCTACTGAGGGATTGGCTACTGAGGGACTGGCTACTGAGGGAGTAGTTGGCTACTGAGGACTGGCCGCTGAGGGACGGCTACCGAGGGATGGCTACTGAGGGTTACCTACTGAAGGATGGCTACTGAGGACTGGCCGCTGAGGGATGGCTACTGAGGGATGGCTACTGAGGGACGGCTACTGATGCGTTGCCGCTGGTGTATGTATGTGTTCGGTCGGTGGATAGCTGATGGTGGCGACGTGTCTTCGGCGGCTGGATAGCTGATGATGATTCCGGTGGTCCGGAGGATTGGTGTGGAATATTTCGGCATCGATCTCTTTCGAGGAGGGTGCTTTGGGCCTGCAGGAGTTGACAGACAGAAGGCAGGGATCTCCGGATTGGGAGGAGGGTTCAGCGCAAGTTGTATCTGTGTTGAGTACTCCGAACTTTTTGGAGGTTTCTTCTGCGACGGTCTCAACTCAGGTGGTTAGTGGTCGCTGGGGGAAAGAAAAAGTTGGGTCCATGAGACTGGCTTCTCGTAGTTCCTGACAAGAACAAAGAGAAAGAAAGATAAAGACTTGTCTTCCAGAAATGGTTTCTTCGTGATACTTCCTCAAGCGTGTTTGCTATTGCCCTTCAATGGCCTCAGGCTCTCCCGCCCATGACTCGCAGCTCTCTCAAGCCTCAGTGCCAACTCTATAATCTCTCGGTCCTCCCCGGGCGCTCATTGCACCCAGAACTGATGAAGCTGGCTCTCCCCTTTCTGCCCGCTCTCCCGCTTCAGCACTTCCAAAGCGCCCCTCACAACTCTCTCTACCACCTTCATCATCTCCCTGTCGTTGACACCCACCGACCCAGCTGGAACCCACTGCAGGTTGCTGATCGTCTCACTCGTCTTGATCAGCCACTGCTCCTGATCACTCCGCATTTGACTCATCTGATCCAAGAGATTCCGCGCCGTAAAGCCTTATCGAATCGGGAGAGCAAGAGGTCATCCTTGACGAACTTGAGCTCTTCTGCTTTCTTCTCGATGGCGGAAACGATCTTGTTCGAGCGCATCGCGGTGTCGTCGATCTTGCCGATGGTCCGGATCAGGTCGCGGGCTTCGGCTTTGCGGGATTCGGATAGGGAGGCGGTCTCGCGCTTGACGTCTGCGATCAGGATCTCGAGTCGTTGATGCCAGTCGTTCTGGGTGGTAGTGGAGGCCTTGAGGGCTTTGTCTACCATGGTGTTTGCTTTGCTGATGGCATCTGCGACATTGTGGCTTGTGGCCGCTTTCAGATCTTCGACGGCGGCTCTGATGATGTGGTCGCTGTTCTCGGCGTATTCGATCAGTTGGGACTCTGCGGCTTGGACTACGCTGGTCTTTGCGCTTTCGAGTAGGGACTGGGTGTCTCGGGCTATGTTGTTGGCCATGTTTCTCGGCTGCGCCGCTTAGTGTGGTTCCGAAGTCCGTCTGCTGGGCGAGGATCTTGTTGTGGGCTTGTGTGGAGTGCCAGTGGAGATTGCTGGTTGCGGACGTGAGTCGAGACAGGCGTTCGAGGATCTCAGTGAGCGGGAAGGGCTGGTCCGAGACGATGATAGACTGCTCGATTGAGCGGAGCAAGTCAATTATGGACTTGCCATTGCTGACAGATCCGACATTGGTCGACATGGTGCTCAGGGAGGTGCTAATGGTCTCGACCTCGTCATGCAACTTCGCCGCGGCTTCTTTGGACGCGTGAGTTGCCGCTTCGACCTCCGCTTTCAGATCCGTGTGCGCTTCTTCCAGACTCTGCTGCACCTGGTCGCTCGTTGCCGTGACTGACTCTCCGATCGCCTTAATAGCATTCATAAGCTCGACCTTGTCCTCCTCGGTGTCTCTGCCCAGCTGGGCTATTTCGGTCTCGATGGCGGCTTTGCTCGCGTCAACGGCGATCTTGAGCTCGACTTTCGACTCCGACATTTCTCGCTTCAGCTGCGCGATGTCGTCCTTGACAGAAATTCGAACCTCGTCAATCGCCTCGCGGAGGGAGGATCTCGTTGAGATGAGGTCGTCCTGCAGGTTTGTGGTTGAGCTGCGAACAGCTTCGGTGAGTGTGTTGGTGGACTCAAGCTGCTCGGTCTTGACTTTGTTAACGCTGAGCTTCACGTTGGCTGACTCTTGTTTGACGCTCTCACCGACCTGAGCCACCATAGCCTCAACCCCGACTTTCACAGCATTCTGAAGTCGATCGGCTCCTTGCTTGTTCGCATGTTTGACCTCTGCAATCTCTCGCTTCATCGTTTCTCTCATCTCACCCACTTCCGCCATCAGCTCGTCACGGACTTGAGCCAACTCGACCCGCAGCGTCGATCTGAGCTCGACGAATTGCGTAGTGAGAAGCTCCTTGAAGTGCCCAAGCAAATTATTGGAGTCGATGTCGGGCTGGGCAGTGGCCGTGGTTGGTGGTGGCTTGGAGGCTCCCTTCTGGTGGTGATGAGACAGGTCTACGATGCGCGGCTTCTGGATGGCAGCATAGCGAAGAGGTGAGCCAGAGTCACCGCCGCCGATGTAGACTACGGTCTGGGGAGAGTCGGATTCGGACTTTCGGCGAGCGTGGCGACGCATCGTTGGTGTGCGGTGAATGATAGGACTGAGGTATTCATCTCCTCGGAGGGGCGACGCGTTCAGGGGGCTGAGGTCGCTCAGGTCCTGTGATCGAGTCTGGTCAGTCTTCCACCGTCGCCACGCTGGCGACAAGGAATTACTTACTTCGTCTTCGTCGAAGACATCGTCGGTGCTTGACACGTCGAACGGAAGCTTCGACTGTGTCTCGTCGTCGGAGAGGGACCAGTGGTCGGTTGCGGTGGGCGCCATGTTGAATCACAGCGACGTAGATGTTGAGTGAGGAGTTGGTCTAGAGTGAGATGCGACATTGTTGGAAGAGATGTGTACTAGGTGGTTATAGGCGGTAGCGAGACTTCAAGTGACATCCAGGTGCGCTAGCTTGGTGAAGCCGGCCGAAGGCCGCAGAACTCTTGCTTTGTCGTCGGGTTGCCCCAGCTTCAACTTGTGTGGAAGTCGCTTGAAAGACTGCCTTTCTCACCTGAACCTGCTGCCTCGGTGAGCACTGCTGACCACGGAGACGAAACCGAGCATCTTGATAAAGAAGAAGAATCTGTCTGTTGAATCGATCATGTACATTGATCAACTGGCGTGTTAACCACTGACGTGTCTCTCACCTTCTATGTGTATCCAAAGCGCAGGTTACAGACTCTCTTACTATCGCCGTCGCTATGCAGAAAATCAGCACACAAATAAAAGATAGATGTCGCCGCCCAGATTGCCCTCCTATGTGCCGATCTCCACGCCCACGCCTTCCGCTACACCAACTCAACCTCAACCGACCTATTCATCAAGCCCCTTCAGATGCCGGTACCACTTTTTGTGCTGCTCAAGGAACACCATGGTAAGGATCGTCTGCGGCCCCAGTCGCATGAAGCTGGGTGTCCAGCCACGGAACATCCAGAATAGACCCTCCTTGGCCTGCGCTTCTCGCAGAAGTCCGGCAATCCCCTGACCCTTCCCCGCATTCATGATGCGCGTCTTGATCACGTCCGCAGGACTACATATTGTAGTTGCCACGAACCCCGCCAGAAGGGAGGAGACAAAGTGCGTACTCAAATTGTCTTTCATGCCGAGACGTGTAAGGCAGAAGTCCTTGAAACCATCGTATGAGGCCAGTTGGGAGGAAGTCATGAGCAGCGCTCGGGCAGAGTTGGGTCCTACACCGCGAAATAAGCTCGCAGGCCCTTCTTCACGAACCATGCGGAAGACGCCGTCGATCGCATGCTTGTAGTTGCGTCGTTGATCCGGCGGCCGCGAGGCGTCGGATTGCATGCGCACGTTGAGAATGTCGCCGGGGTTGCCAGCTATACCACCTAGCACACCGGACGTGGAGGACATGAGAATGAGGTTGAGCATAGAGGGTTGTGGTGTTTTGCCCGTGACCGGGTCCGGAGCGGGGGCGAAGCGGACCTTGAGATCCTCGTAGACGCCAAATCGAACGGTCGAGTAGGTCAATTGACGGAGCAGGGCGGCGGAGAGACCGGCGTAGAGACCGAGAGGGCCTTCATTCTTGAGAATGTAGGTGAAGGTGGAGGCAGTAGTCTTGGGCGCGTCAGGAGCGCGAGTTTGTAGGCGAACCTTGACTGTTGATCTAGATCAGTTTGGAGCTTGGTAGTGTTGACGTGGTTCCGAGAACGTACTCAGATCAAGCGGGTGGGTGCACACTGCTGCCATGGAGGCGGCACTCCCACCAAACCAGAACGGATAGTGCACCTGGCCTGCCTTTGCGGGCTTCTTGAGCTGTGTGGCTTCATTGTCGAGCTTCTTGTCCAGCTTCTGAGCTTTGCTTCCCAGCTGCTCTACCTTTGACTGGCTGTTCGACATCGATCCATGTGAGGCAGCAGGGGACTGCTTGGGAGTGCTCCGAGGGGTAGCGTATGGGTCCAGTCAATTAGGTATAGAGCAGGTGAGAGGAGGAGAGAGGTTGAGAGGCTCAAAGGTGAATGGGCGCAATGTTCACGACAGTAAAGACGGGAGTGAGAGATCTCGAAGTAAGATCCGGGCATATAAGAATGGCCTAGGACAGTCACTCCTTCGGGGAGGTCCTGAACAACCCCGAGCTGCGAACTTTCTCTTTGCCCACGCGATGATATGGCTTCCCTGAGCCGCATGTGCTCTTTCCGAGCCGAGCCTGTCAGTGGTTTCGAGATGGGTCATGATTGGCTTCTCTGGGCCTTCGATCTCGAAATGCGTGCTCTTGGCGCCGACATCGCTTCTTCTTCTTCTTCTCCAACTCCAGTCGCAGTAGCTTGAATGAAGCAGAGCAGTCTTGAGAAAGAGGTGCTTGCACAGCCGGTACCAGAGCCAGTCGAAGGTCACATCGCCCATCGCGTGTCGGGACAATCCGTGCCATGCGGCTCGCCGTCACCGGTGATTCGTACGAGCGTATCAAAATGCGCGTCTGGCACCGCGACCGACGGCACTCACCTCGATACAATCAAGCCACAGATGGCAGAGCACGGCGGCGGCTGAACCGACAGCACCACCCACAGTAACTAACTGGAGGTATCCCAGCTCAGAAGCTTTGTATGGCCGGGAGCCTGAGAACGACGAAGGTTCTCCAGACGAGCTAGAATTCAAGGCGAAGCTCCGAGCCTCTACAAACAACACAACACGCCATGATGGACCACTCTCCGGCGCAAGAGTAGCCGGTGATGCATACCTATTTGATAAGACCAGCAATCTCTCGCCCACGATCCTCTCCCTCATCGGCCGAAGGCTGTACAATCAACCCGATCATCCAATCAGTATCACCAAGAAACTCATACAAAACACCTTCCCACAATCAGTATGCCACAATGTCCGCAGTCCGGTAGTCACGGTCGAAAAGAACTTCGATTCTCTAGGCTTCCCAGAAGACCATCCTGGCCGGTCACGCACGGACACCTATTATGTCAACTCGAACCACGTCCTGCGAACGCATACGTCCGCCCACCAAGCCGCAGCCTTCGAGTACATGGCCAAGCATAAAGCCTGGTCCTACAACATCTGCGCCGATGTGTACCGCCGGGACAGCATCGATCGGAGCCACTTCCCAGTCTTCCACCAGATGGAAGGCGCACACTGCTTCAGAAAGTCGTACTCGCCACGCAACAGGTGGGAGGCACTACACCAGCGACGCCACGCGATCGAGGCCAACATGGAACGCATACCCAGATCCGAAGGCCGCTTGATCAGAGTCGAAGATGCAGTCCACAACTACAAGTCAAACCCACTACAAACAGAGCACGACGAAGAAGAAGTCAAATTGCTGACGGAGCACCTCAAACTCAGCCTCGAAAGCCTAATCGACAGGGTCTTCACCGAAGCCGCCGCGGCCGGCGTAGGCGGCGAAGAAGCCAAAGGCAAACCCATCCAGATCCGCTGGGTCGAGGCCTACTTCCCCTTCACAAGCCCCAGCTTCGAGCTCGAAGTCTTCTGGCAGGGCGAGTGGCTGGAGCTGCTTGGATGCGGGATCGTCCAACAGCCCATCCTCAAGAAAGCCGGCTTGCACGATGCCATTGGTTGGGCTTGGGGCCTCGGCGTTGAACGCCTCGCTATGTTGCTCTTCGGCATACCAGACATCCGTCTCTTCTGGTCAACTGACCACCGCTTCCTGAGCCAGTTCCAAGAAGGCAAGATCACAAAGTACGAACCCTTCAGCAAATACCCTGCCTGCTATAAAGACGTCGCCTTCTGGATTCCCGCATCACCGGCAGCTGTATCACCGCTCGAGGCGCGTGAGACAGGTGTGGCTGCAGCAGCAGGCGGTGACGCGACGAAAGCCTCTCCAGCAGAAGTCCAACCCGCAGCATTCCACGAGAACGACGTCATGGAGATCGTGCGCGATATTGGTGGGACGCTGGTCGAGGATGTGAAGCTTGTGGATGAGTTCGTGCATCCGAAATCAGGCCGGAAGAGTTTGTGCTATAGGATCAATTATCGCAGCCTGGAGCGAACGTTGACGAATGAGGAGGTTAATGATTTGCACAGGCAGATTACGGAGAAGATGAAGGGGGATTTGGGTGTTGAGCTGCGGTAGGCCTAGTGTAAAATAACTGATTTGTACTACATACATTCCCATGGTAGCAATAGCTGTAACGCTGGCTACTCACATCGCAAGTCATTCACATTTCGATCGTATACACAAGACCATTCCTGTTCAGAGGCTCTTCTGAGACAGCACATCACATCGTATCCAACGCCATATCTCATACTGCCAGGCCAGGCGTTCCATTCTCATATTCCAGTTCCGAGGCAGTAGCACCGCCTGCTGTGATGGCCTTTCCACTTATCCAGACACCGAACAAATGTGTGCCCGCTGCGGTGGCATTTCGATTCCCAAATCAGGTCTCAACCGGAATTCCCTGCCATCCAGAACTCCGTGATTGCGTTCACCAATGCAGGCAGCCTCCCTGCCAGCGCTCTGACTCCAAGGTCTGATGCAGGCGGATGTCCGCCTCTCAGCGAGGGGGGTTCCGGGCGGCGACTGTGTGCCTGTACCCTGCTGTCTCTGGCAGGCGACTTCCGCGAGAAGGTCTTCGTGACCGGCTTCCATGGACAAGCAGCCAATGTAGAGCCCATTACACGCGAACATCGTCAGTGTGATCAGTAGCATCGACAACCAATGTATCGACGCTCAATCCAAGACCGGCACCCCTTCGCCATCCACCCCGACGCCTGTAAGCATCCGAGTGTCTCTCCGACTTCCGCTGCCATAGACCATTTCCATTAACTTTGCCTTCTGCTTTTCGCGTACCTGGCGGAGATAGTCGTGTGTTGACTCCAAGCCTTTGATCTGACCTTCAATAACCCCTTGCCCACCGCCAGCATCGCCTTGCCCTTGGGAGTCTCTGCTGCTGCCACCACCGAGTCCAGGCAGCAAACTCACACTATCATTCCTCGAAATCAACGGACTAACCAACTTCCGCCTCACAGCCTCCAAACCAACCTTCAACGTCTGCAACCGACTATAATGCTCCATCACCAACCCCTTATTACCAACCATCCGGCCCCTCACCGCCTCAACAACTCCTTATTCCGCTCGAACTTCTTCAACGCGGCGCCGTTGACGCCCACTACACGCACCCACAGCCCCGACAGTAGATCGGACTCAAGGCGTTCTTGGGTGTCCGTTTCCCGCACGACCGTGCGCTGGAGGTTGAGGAATTGCCGATCGATGGCTTCGAAGAGGCTGAAGAGGGCGGCGGAGTGCGTGAGTTCCGACGTGATGGATTCTTCGAGGACGGAGAGGAGTTCGTGGAAGGTGCGGGAGAGGGTAGCGTGGGTTCGGGTGGGTGTGGGCGTGCCGAAGATGTTGGTTACTAGATGCCCCAAGGCCGTCGGTTGGTGTGTTTTGGGAGATTGAAGGAGGTGTGGAGGAAAGCGGTTCGCGAGGGCGTATAACCTATCGTAGGCTAGCGTTGGGTAGGAGGGGTTGTGTTGGGAGTGCGAGAGTGTGAGGAGTTCGCGCCGCGCCCAGTCCATGACGATGAGGATGCCGTCGACGTCGGCGTCGACTGCGGCGAAGAAGCGCGTCAGTTCGAGGGAAAGGGATTTGAGGGATTCCGAGAGGGTGTCCAGGGAGGAGACGATGAGTGGGGCGGATGTCATGTTGGCTAATCGGACGGATTCGCCGAGGTCCCAAACCGCGATGGACGTTTCTTGGAGGTGGAGAGTTTGCGCGTGGCCGTGCTCGGAGTAGAATATTAGAGGCTCGAAGGATTTGGCGAGGGAGGAGAGCTTGACTAGGTCGGGGACTGGTTGTGGAGTTGGAGGGAGGGAGAGAAGGCGGAGGGTTGTGAGGCTGAGGACGATGGTCACGAAGGACAAGAGGGTGTTGAGTTTGGTGGAGGTGAGGTTGTGTAGTGTGCTAGAGAGGAGGTTGAGGAGCGGCATGAAGGGCTCACGTTGGAGGACTTCGGCGCGGATTGCGAGGCGGATGTAGTTATTGTTCGTTGCGGGTGATTCGGGTTCGGGCGTTGAGAATGTGTCGTTAGGCTCGCTCTTGATTTCTGGTTCAGGCGATTGCCCCTTCACGGGTGAGATCGTGCCCGCTCTTGGCAAAGGAATGTTCGCTGCGATCGTCAAGTCCTCGCCCTGCTCTCCTCGCGCATCCTCATACTCTGGGCTCGTCTGTCTCGAGCCTCTCGGCGAGCTCATCGGCTGCGGTCGCAGCGCAAAACGTCCGTAGGGATCCTGTCGAAACCACGCCGCCGCGCTTCCTCCGCTATCTGGTCGATGATTTCGAAATCCTGGCGGCGACCACGGCGCACCAGCACTCGAGTGGTCGTCGATCTCTGACCCATCGTTCTCGGACTTGAAGCCAGAATGCTGCGAAGGGATGTCGAAGAGGGGCGAGCGTCGTTCCTGCTCTTCGAAGTCTTCGAGCGAGGCGGCGACGGAGCCGTGGTCGTCAAACATGCTACTGCGATGGTCTGGATTTGTGGTGGCGGCAGCCATCATGGCTGCCATGTGGTGGTGTGGGCGCAGGTGAGATGATGCAGGGAATGCATGAAACGGTGAGCTGCAAGTTGGCAAGGTTGGGTGTACTGATGAAGAAGGTGGGGGATGGTCGGGAGAGGCCACCTTCCTTGGTTGCCGGGCGAGATCTGGTTCGGGTCGTTCACTTGTGGTCGCCAAAGCGGTCGGAACGGGTGTTCACAGTACTTTGATGATTGGTGACCGGTTGCTTGGGAGGCTCTATGCTACATGTAAGGTACCTGTTGAGCAGGTACTGCCGTTGAACTTCTGATCATCGAAGTCCACCATCTGGCATGCCCAGCCACTCACCTGGTGTCAAGGCGGGGCAACTCCATGATCCGGATAGAGCCAGTACGGCAGACGATCGCGTTCTGGACGCGTGCAACTACAAGGATAGTGCGTATGAAATAGGGAGGAGGCTGGGATAGCACAGTGGAAAGACGCAGTTGTTTCATAGGAGCCTGGTCGAGACGTGCAGTAGCGGGCAGTGGTGTTCGACCAATCAGAAGGCGAGAAAGCTCCAAGACTCTGTGGACTTGAAAACGCATCATGCAAGGGTAGAGGCAGTACAAAGCAAGTGATCGCCGAAGCTTAGAACTTGTGTGAAGATGTCGGTCTAGAATACCCGAATGGGTTTTGGAGAGCAGAGTAAAAAGAGGGAGTTGCTGTGGTGGCCAGGTGATCGGGCGCATCCGCCAGCATATCCCAATTGCTCCAGGCTAAGGAGATTATATACAAACGCCCGATGTGTTGCGCGCCGGCTTCTCCGGCGATCCGCGCCGTCCGATATCCATGGTCGCATACATTGCAAAGAGGGCGTGGCCTGATGGTGATGTGATTGAAAGATGGTCGGCTAGTAGTAGTGATACAGCAATCGAAGGGGAAGTGCTCGATGCTTCGGTTGATGCCCGTACAGAGCCGTCCAACAGAAGTCTGCGGTGGCTGCTGCCATGACTTAGGGCATCGTGTGGTCGTATCGTGTAGGCATATGTTACGACCGTCTACTTGGTCTCCTCCTGGAGCCAGGTGATGAGATCATTCCGGTCTGTGAACGGTCAGTATCTTGTGCGGTCAACGAATTGAGGATGATGCGACATACCCTTGCCCTTCTTGAGACCACCGAAAGCCATCTTGGTGCCGGGGATGTACTTCTTGGGGTTCTCGAGGTATTCGAACTGGTTCCGGTCAGCCGAGCTCGCGTACCGCATCTGCAGGAGATCGTACGAGTGTGTCCTCCTTCCATGTGATACCCTTCTGCTTGTTGGCATCGGTGTACGAGAAGCCTTCGACGGAGCCAGTCTTGCGACCGAACAGGCCGTGCAGGTTGGGTCCGATCTTGTTGCCCTCAGATTCGACGACGGTGTGGCATTGCGCGCATCTCGTCTTGAACAGGTTGGCACCCTTCTTCGCGTCACCTATGGCATGTTTGTTAGCACGTGAACGACAGAGCGTCCGACTAAAACCGGGCTTTGCAGCAACTTCCAATCACAAGTTGCCCCCTTCTGTCCGAGTCTGTGGCGAGCCTGTGATGGGCGATAGCCTCTTCTCATAGTGATGACCATGCCCTTCCCAAGGTGTCCAATCGCTCGAGCACGATCGAGCGATGCGCACAGGTGCTGGACCGGCATGGCAGGGCTGTTGCCACTTGGTTGGCGGCAGCTCGTCTCACGAGTACATCTCTGCAAGCAGCCAGAATAACGGGAGGTGTGCCATTTTCGCAATGCGATGTAGTGTGCTCGGCATCCTGCTCTTGAAGGACTCGGCTCGGATGAAAGCCCATGTCATGGAAGCTGCGACAAAGCTCTGTTGGGGTATGACGCGCGGGTAAACGTACCAGGTGCGAAGCTATCGTTCTTGCCCATTGTGATAGAGGGTCTCGGAGTAGTTCAAATTTGAGATGACTACTGAATTTGATGGATGCGTGAGGATGCTAGTAGTGTGAATGAATAGGAACAGCAGAGAAAGAACGCAAGAACTTGTTGCTGCGAAAAAGTAGTAACGTCAATCAAGCCCGGGACCATGAGGTGGGGACTGGCAGCAAGTCCCATCCACCAATTGTAACGCATCCATTATAGTCAAAGAAATTTACATGCTCCTGCCGACTCTTCCCGAGCGATTTTCCTCAGCCACAGATCGCTTTCGTCCTGCAGTCATGATGAACTGAGCTTGCTTTTGCTACTGCTCGTGACCATCTACACAGCTGTGTACAGTTCGCATCGTGGCCATCATCAAGGAGGCACCGGCAAGAAGCTTTCATCAGCACACCTGCATGTCGGTACTGACGTATGTCTCTGCAGCCATCTCATTCATCAAGGCTTCGGCTACTCTGTCCAGATCGGTGGGGATCGGGATGCCCAAGATCCTGACTCAGGCACGACTACACCGCCACACCAGGTAGAATTCAGCCACACTCTTCCGCGCTCCTTTACATATATGCAACCAAAAGGGTCTCTTCACAGAAAGCGTGTGCGAGCTGTCTACAGCTGGGCAGCTAAGTCCTAGATCGTTGGCTCGACTCGGATTCTCAGTTCCGCACCTGTGTCCTCGGAGTTCGGGCAGGCCTGGACTCCTATGCTGCTTACTTGAGTCCTTAGATATCGTACTACCGATGATGGTATGATGGTGACAGAACCGGCCGGCGAGAGCATGCGCCGCTGCTGATTTGTGTGCACTTCCTGCTCTCCTTGTCAAAGCGTCTCCAGGTAGGCACCCACGCAGAATTAAGCTCTCATGAGACCAGAGCCATGGTCAAGGCACGTTCTCATTGTCTCCACACAAAGCCTACAGCATTGTATAGTCGTCCTTCGATGCTGTTGAGGCCCGTACGGACACCGATAGACCTAGCTCTTTGTTTCCCATCTGCTTGCGACCACCAGACAATGACTCCTGTCTGGGCAAAGCCCGCCCGGACAGAGCTTGGCATGGTCAGATACAAGAATCGAGCGGTTGCGGCTCAGCTATGAATTGTTGCCAGATCTACCTAGGGACCTCGGGGACAAGCAAGCAGACATGTTGAGCAGTCAGCTTTTGGTCAAAGGCGTGGCGCTGGCATTCATCGCGACAGCAACCGCCGTCTGGACTGGGAAGGATATGGGGACCGCCGGATCCGAATCCTGCGAGTTCATCCCACTGAACGGCGGTAAGACAACCCTGTTCCCGCATCCATGACTACCTAGGTAACCATTAATTACTGACCGTCTGTTTCTTGCAGACGCAGAAGGCACCGGACCGCAAAAGATCTGCTCTCAAGTCATCCCAACCTACTTCGCCAACGGCACCGTCGAACGCCAGGGCATCTTTGGCAACCGCTACTACACCGGCAAGGTTCCCCAGACCGGCCGGAACGACCTGTCCCAGTGCATGAACATCGAACAAATCAATTACGACACCCAGTCCCCGACTGGCGATTCTCTGGTCATGAGCAATGCATGCACCACACTGAGCGGCTGGCAATATCTCAAGGTGTACGACCAGAAGGCGTGCCCTGGTCCGGAGATGAACCCGAGGACGCAGCTTTATGCGATCAAGGATGGCTTTCCAACGAAGGAGCAGATCGATCGTGGGACATTCCATTGCTTTAGTGTGAGTGCAAGCGCTCCCTTGAGATCTCAGTGAGGAGGACTTCCGCTAACGATGTTTTCTTTCTGCTTCAACAGCCTGGCTTTAAGGTCGCGTCTTTCTTGTATTTGTCACTGCCTTGATGGGCAAACTCAGCGTGCTCCCCAATGCCGGTCACTTCTGTTTTTGTGGTTTCATTAGTGCTCAAAGGGGTCAAGTGCCCTTGACGTAGAGACGAGGGCAAGTACGTGCAACTTGGGAAGGCGCGGATCAGGCTCGAGTACCTTAATTTGATATTTACTTTACAGCTGTTTCCGTTCCCTCACTTCTGCATGTTTTTCTACTCATTCGTTCATCAACGCCACTTCAGACTCACCTCAAACTTATCTCACACCGAGACGCAAACGCATCTAAGTATGTGGTCATTCCCAGCCCGCTCGTTTCTGGCTTCAGCCACCCAATACGCCAGCAAGGCCGCCAAGATTGGCGGAGATGTAAGGACTTCTCATTGGGTCATCGCTGGAGCAATTGTTGCAGTACGTCTTCACGCTCCTTTCAAGCTCTCGTCGTTCGACAGCCTCCTGAGTGCGTATAGTGGACAGTGAATGACATACGAGACCGACGCAGAGCCTTGTGGTGCAGGATTTGTGGGCAGCAAGGGAGGAACGAGACCGCCATAGCGCCCTCCTGGTGTATGAGAAGCGCACAGACATGGAGGAACGAGACCGCCGTAATGCCCTTTCGGTGTACGAAAAGTGGGCAGAAAGGGATGTTAAAGACCGTCGCAAAGCCCTCCTGGCGTACGAAGAGTGCGCAGAAATTAACCAACGAGATCGACGCATAGCGTCTTCCAAGGAAAACAGATGGAGAGCAGCCGTGCTGAAAGCTATGGAAAAGGTCAGACTCCTCCCAGCTCTGGTATTAGCTCTAATGTTCTTGACCAGAAGTGACGTCGCACGACGAAGCACGTCAGACGATTCGCAATTGATTGAGAAAGCCGGAGACAGAGGAGAGTAGTGTCTACTGTGCTCAAAGAGCGGAACGTTTGTCTTGCAAGCCTCCAAACAGCTTAGGAGTTGAGATTCTGGTCCCATAGAAGCCTCTATTCAGACATCACGGCGCAGCTAATCATTACGCCTTCCATGGTCAACTCCAACACTGGCCTATATACTCCCAACCTGCGGGCGCTCAGAGTCCATTGCGGACAACAACTAAAACGAGGAAGTGCACCGCGGATGCAAGCACGGTCCCAAGGACGACGACCTTCGCGACGTCCAACACTCGGCCCTTTCCTTCGGGCGCGCTTTGTTGGTGTGTCGGTACTGCTGGTTGGGAGGTTTTCTTGTCAGGCTGCGCAGTCGCTGCAATGGTTTATTGTGCCTTCGTTGGTGGCTGCACGATGTCTTTCGTGACCCATATGGTCCGCCCAAGCCATATGCCGAATAGACCAATACAAACACCATAAGCCATCCACAAGTAATCCTCTAGTCGATCTTTCCGCCGTTTGGACTTCTCTTCGCTCACCGCTTTCGGGACACAAACCCTTCTTTTCTCGTCCCAGGTTGGGCAATTGTTTTTCTCGAGGCCGGTGGAGGTGTTGACTGGGCATGAAAAAAAAGCTATCTTTGCACGGTGGCTCGGTTGAGGGACACGAGTGATATGGTGCCGGCCAGGGGTAGACTGTGTCGGTGCGAAGAGCGGCTGTCACAGCCTTGAACCCTCGCTTCTGTTGGAATGCGATACTGCTGAGGACTGTCGTCGGAGCATGGTCGATTGTTGAGCGGCGATAGGATGGGGTCGTGCTGGGTCTGCTGATCATCTGGTTTGACGTATGGTACGACCTTGTGGTTGGTGCGATGACACGGAATGGCAACGCCCGTGTCGCAGTTCTCATGCAGGGCTTAATCATGCCGGTCGATGGAAGAGCATAGCGAGCAGCCTGTAGGGCTGGAAGTAGTGGTGTTGGATTGCCTGGGTGGAGAGCACAGAGCGCTCCCATCTCGCCCAGCATCAAAGTCGTCGATGGGCCGGACATGCTGCCTTGTGCCCGTCAAATGCCTTCTTGTTGAATAGTGTCGAAGAGTGTTGAGGAAACGATACTTTGTGATGAGTACGTATAGCAGGAGACGAGAGTGAACGCACCATGTGCGCTCGAGGAGTACCTTAAATCGACAGAGGTGTCCTGTGTGGGGGTCCCAAATGCCTCATCATATGCCAGCTGATAGCAGCTGATGGTAGTACCATGGTCTGCCAGTGCCGACAATACGGTCGACTGGCTCTGAAAGTGAAAACTTCGGTAAAGCGTGAGCAGTTGAGATTCTGCTTCTAGGTACGAGTATCCTCCATCTCAATTGTTCTGGGCTTCCACTCCAGCCACCATAGACAGCTTGCTTCACTATCTGCTCGGCCACCCCGAGTCTGCGCATGCTCACAGAACCTCCTGGACCAGGAGCAACAGTACAATCACAGCCCCACAGACTATCCCTTTCGTCACTTCGGATCCCCGGCTTCTCCCTTCACCTGCATGTTTGCTGTGAGCCGGCTCTGTAAGTGGGGAGGGCTTATGATCTGGCTGGTGCGGCGGGCTTGCTCCCGACTGGGGCTGGTCTTGATTCTCTGTAGCCTCAGCTGTGCTCTTGCGAGCAGGTTCGCTGGGCTGCCAGGAGTCGGAAAAGTGTGTTCCCACCCAGGCGTACACCGGTATGCCTGTCATCCAACCAACATTCCATGCACACTGGTCTCGAATCTTGTTTCTGTCGCCAGTCGCCGTGACAGCGTGAGATGTCTCCGATGGTGGTGTAGTCTCCAGCTGCGGTCGGGTGTGGCAGTTGGATTCATCTTCCCTGGTGTGAGTGGGCTGACTGTTGGTTTCAACGCAGTGAGTTTTCCCACTACTGATGGCAGGAGGCGTCCCACCACCATCCGTCCGTCTTGCGAGGTCCTCGACTGTCTCTGTGAGCTCTTTCACCGCAACAGCAACACGGGCAGTAGGAAGATCGCCACGGAGTTGTTCTGCGACCCGAGTCCTCATGGCACACCAGCCTTCCGTACGCAGCCATTGGGTCCATTCGTCTACGTGGGTCTGCGACCAATTCTTGTATACGAGCACTCCCAAAATTACTGAACCGACCAAGTACGCAAAGACGCAGAACGTTTGCCATTTATCGTCGATCGCCTGCTTGGGGACACATATCCCCCGCCTCGAGTCCCACGTTGGACAATTATTGACCTCTGGATCTTTGGAGGTGTTGACCGGGCATGGCCCATTAGCGCACGGTGGATTTGTCGAATCACAGCATTGATATGGTCTAGGCCAGGGATAGATCTTCGGGAAGGAGCCGTAGTCTTCATCGTCGTCTAGCCTTTGCTGCTGCATGAGGAAGGGATGGAAAGCTGGCCCAGAGTTGTTGTGGTCTCCGAACGGTATTACGAATCCTGAGGATACAAAATGTCGCAAGCGGATACTGTTCGATCTAGCAGTATAGGTAGCTCCTTTCGGCCGGTTGGATATGCTGAATGGCGAGATTCGTGGCTCAGGTCTGGAAATGGTACTTCTCAGGGTCGTGGAGTAGCCTCGTCGCGCTCTAAATGATGCATTTGTTGTGCCAAAGCAAGATAGCAATGGTTGCGCGCGTTTGAGAAGTGGGCAGATCACCGTCAAGCCCTGACTTTGCGCGAGGATCGGAGTGGTGCACAATGTGGCCATCGTCGCTGCAGTGATATTCGAGCCGCCTTCCCAGTGGCAGCAAAATCACGACTGGTTATCGAAATGATGATTTTTGATGAGTCGTTACAGCACAAGATGAAAAGCGACGCGCCATAACGGCCCGAGAAGTACTTCGAAGTCACAGGGTGTCCTGTGTGTGGGTCCGAGTACCTTGATGATGTGCCAGCTGATGGAAAGTACCGTTGTCTGCTGGCCCCGAGGGCATGGTCGAGCCTCCTAGATGTGGAAAGCCTGGCGAAAATCGTGTTTCGTGTTGATCCTGGTGTCGCGGAGGGCTTTGTGTGAGTCGTCACATACTTTCTTCTACTCTGCCCGCGTTTCCACCACTTCCTTGTCAGCTTCGGAGGACGCATGGACCACTGTCTTCTTTTTCTGACATGGCACGTCGGCGTATATCGGCCAAGTCACCGTACCGATCCTTCTCATACCTACTAGCTGTCGAGCCGTTGGTTGACCTTCAGTTTTTGTTGCAACATTTAGTGCCGTTTCTTCGACACCCAGCGTTCTTCTCACCCATTTGCTCACATCATATGCTACCCACATACCATGCAGAAACGCTGCACAGCCCACCAGACAAGCTGTTGCCATAATGCCGACGAAAAAACAAGAAAGGTACAGGACCGCCGGGTAGTCTTCAGTGTCGCGTAAGCTCTGAGAAGAACAACAACAAAAACAACAGGATGATGAACAACACTTCGACTTCAAATCCGTCGATGTCTCGGTCTCGCAGAACAGGCATGATCTGCACCCTCGGCACTGTTTGATGATATCAGAATTGTGATGTTGTCGCCGTTGTTGAATTTGACGGAAGGCTGTGTGAAGCAAAGAACGTGCTAGCGGTCTGTACGTGCCCGGCGAGGGCGCCGGTTTTAGGACGCCGTTTCCAAGCACAGCAAGAGTGAATGTCGAATTACTTCTTGATGTGGAATGTAGAGGACCTCGTTGCCGCGAGGAGATGCTGTTACTGATGCTAACCCTTGTCGAGAGTCTGGTCGTGAATGCTCGTGCGCCGATGGGGGAGTCGCAGCGAAAGGTACTACCAGCATTGACGATGGTGAATCGTACAGAGCAGGTGCATGGAGTCATCTGCTCTGCGAATGAACGCACTTGCCGAATTTCGAGTGATAGAGCTATATCTTGTACTCACCTACTGGTTGTCAGGGGACGAGACTTGGTCGTATCGCAGTGTTCAGCGACCGTCAGTCAGTGTCTTCTGCGAAGGCTGTTGAACGTCATAGGACTGAACTCAGGTAGCTGAGGTGGCCACAACAACATGTTGGAGTACCTATACCTGCAGACCTGTAATAAGCATTCGCTGTGACGAGAGCGTACCATGTTTGGCACGCTCCGCTTAAGTGCATACCTTTTCAGCTCGTCGGATGAAGGCGTCCACGTGCTCGTGTGCTTGCTCTTCCATTTACCATACTGTTTCTCTTTCACGATCGCTCTGAAGTCCCTTCCGCATTTCACATCCCACTCGCCCAGAACTCATCTAGCAACTCATGCCTCTTCACCGCCTCACCCCAGTTGGCGTAGTTGTCCTGCTTTGCTAACGCATACGCTTCAAAGATCCTCCCAATATTCTGCCCAGGGGTCGGCAAATCCGTCCATGCTACATCCGGGCTGCCATCCAGCCTACCACCCTCCACCGCTTCGGGCAGCAGATCCTCCACCTCACCGGTCTTCATGTTCGAGAACTTCATCGAGGTCGGCGCACCGATCTGTGGTCCCGCACTGGCGAACTCAACCACGACTTCGCCTTTTGTGCCGTATATCCGCCAAGTCGAGCCGGGTGAGGTGGGTGAAAAGCGATTGCCGGCGCGAAGATGGAAAGAGAGGACTGGGTCGGAGCTCGGTCCTTCTGTATCGCCGTCATCGACATCGCCCAACTTGACTCGTCCCTGCAGCAAGATCTGATCCGGCGTGTTCTTCTCATATGTTCCCTCGTCCTTCAGCACTTGCCCATCCGCACCCGTCCGCCACATTCGTGGCCTCAAATTTGCCAACATCGGCTTGTACCCGCCCGGCACGAGCTCCGCGTCCAGCGCATACAGCAATGAATCCAGACAGTGTCCACCGTAAATAGTCAGCAGATTTCCGCCAACTGCCTTGTCCATGAAGTAGTAGTACTTGGCTCCCGCGGCGTTGTTCTGCCACACATTGATTGCACCGTGGTAGTTGATGCTATGGATTTGGCCAAATCGACCGGATTGGATTAGTCGACGGAGTGCGGTGACGGTGGGCGAGAGGCGGCCTTGCAGCCCAACGACGGTCTTGAGGCCTGCTTTCTTAGCTAGGTCATGCATCTCCTTAGCCTGCTCGGTGGTAGCAGCGAGGGGCCATTCACAGTAGACGCCTTTGAGGCTTTTTGGTGGTGACTTCAAGGCGGGCAAGACGGCGTCGTAGTGCGTGTCCGCTCGCGTAGTGATGATGAGGAAGTCGATGTCTGGGTCTGTGGCCAGGGCTGCATAGTTGTCGTACGCTTTGGTAGTTTCCGGGTCGAGGCCGTAGAATTTGATGGCGGCTTGCCCAGAGGCTATGGAGGAGTTGCAAAGGGCCACAATCTTGTAGTGTGGCGACTTCGAGAGGAATGGGTGGTGGGCGAGTTGGCCCCATGTTGCGGGTTGAGCGGAGAGCCCGACTATACCGACGCGAATTGGGGCCATCGGAGGACCGTGACGAAGGAGATAGGGGAACTGCAATGGCACCAATGTAGCTGGCAACTAGACACCTCTAAAGCGATCCGGGAATGCAGGGTGCCTACGATCTGTCATGCTTGTGGATGTGCCTAGTATTTGTATCACGAAGGCCGCCCAGCAATCCCAATATGATCAAGTACTCGCTGTTTGCCGTTGTGGTTTGTCATACAGTGGGCCCGCTTGCATCCCGCACTCGTGCCTTCCACCCCACAATCGTCACTGGCAGGGTCGTGTCAGTGGACATCGCCGCTGTTGCGTTCTTTCCAAATCTGGTACACCTTATGCAACTTGTGGTAAAGACTGCCTCTGAGGGTTTTAGGATCGCAAAGGCTTGTGACACCAGTCTACCCACGAAGTGCATACAGGAGGATCTTCGCAGGTTGCGATCGTGCGCTCGAATTGCTTTCTTCACGTCACAGTCTACTTCTTCGTGGCACTTTGCGGTCGCAGCACGCCAAAAGGCAGGCCCTGATTCGGCTTTGCCGCAAATTCCATGACCGACCACCACCTCCTTTCCTCGTACACATTTCCCTCTGCATCCACGCCACTATCTACGCCTCCCAAGCCGCTGCCTTCCGGTGCCAATGGCGTCGGGTCTGGATACCTCACATCCCCAATCAGACCACTGCATACAAGCCCAATCAGCACCAGCTTCATCTCCATCATTGCGATCTCTGAGCCCACACAGGCTCTGGGGCCCTTTTCGAAGGGCCGGAAAGCGTCTTTGGGGATTGGTCCAAATGGAGAAGAGGGCAAGTGACGTTCTGGAATGAATGAGTGCGGACGTGGGAACACTGCCGGATCTCGATGCAGACGTGGCAGCAACAACCACAATTGCGCACCTGGAAGCGTGCGAATATGTTCATTGCCGTTGTAAGTGATTCCTTCAGACGGATCTGCGGGATTCAGCCGGTTGGAATTGCCGGGCGTGAAGACTCGAAGGGTCTCTTTGATGCAGGCGGCGGTATATGGGAGAGAAGAGTCGGAGAGCAAGGCGGGCTTCGCATCAATCTGAGCGGCGATGGTAGCGAAAGTGGTGGTGGGATCGCCGGAGAAGACACGCTCGTGTTCGGCACGCAATTTGGCGGTGACAGCTGGATGAGTTGAGAGCAGAGCCAACATGTAGGCAATCGTCGCAGATGTGGTATCGTGGCCGCCCATGAGCAACGTCTTGATGTTGACCACCGCGAGATTCGAAAACGACGGGTCGAGTCTGGTCTGATCGGTTGCGCCAGACTGCTGCTCGTTATACGCCTGTATGAAGAGGTCGATTGCAACCTTGGTGCGTTGTGACTTCGTTCCTGCACTTTGTGCATGGCGATCTCGGATGATCTTGGTTACGATACTGGTCTGTCGAGATGCATGCCACCAACGAGGAATGAACATCTTGAGCACTCCTAGGTTCAGGCCTGAGATTGGGGTGTTTTTGGCAGCCTGCCCAAAGTGGTACGCTAGGGCATTATACTGCCGCTGAGAGTCAGTGTCGATACCCATGACAACCTCGCATATAACATCCAGCGTGAGCGACATCGCGTGATCTTGCAACTTGAAGGTCTCTCCAGTGTCCGCGAATGCTTCCAATTTCTCAATGAAACGCGCGACATGCCGTGACATTACCGGCGTGAGGCTTGCAACGTGCGACGGCGCAAAACTCGGCATGACGATAGATCGGATTTTCTTGTACTCCGGTCCATCGACCGCCACCATGGTAGGCTTTCCTGTAAGAGGCGAAACAAAGCTATCGATTGCCGGATGTTTGGGGAAGCTATGGGTCTGTGTCATGTGTGCAATAGCTGCCGGATCGGAACAGAGTATCATTGGGTGCGCAGCTGGCCAGAGATCAAGCTGATAGACTGGAGGCATGTTGTACTTTCGCCCAATGTATTCCATGAGAGACTGGTAGTGGAAGTTCGGCGGAAGCTCCGCCAGGAGGTCGCCGAGCTTGTGAGGTCAGACTAGCCCACTGCATGTACTCTGATCAACTCACCAGCTTCAGATGGCCCCATATCGGATCGTGTGGTGGGCATGGCACATCTTTGTAAAATGCTCTGTAACTGCGAAACTTGATCACAAACCTGAACAGAGATAGCAACAGCAGCACCACTGCACCCGAAAGAGTTGAGAGAACAAGCAGACGCATTCTGTTGTTCGCGACCGATGTGCCGTGTCCTGAAGCAAGTCTTCAACTCCAGGCAGCGTTGCGGAACAGCCGTTTCTTCTTTGCGCGAAGAGTGTGGGAGGTCTTCTGGATGAAAGAAAAGAATGCTCTGTTATGCTAATTGAGGTTGAACGTAGTCGACTGGACTGCCTTCGTAAGTACACGGTGATCAGATCTGCAGCTAAGATGCAATAGGCGAGGTGCAATGTGTGGGTCACCTTGTTTCACATTCGCTCGCAGTCTGCCAAGTTGGGGGCCATGAGGTCCTGGTCAAAACGTAGCCTCTTGCGATTGGTTGCGCATTTTACACGGCGCTGTTGCGACGACGCCATGCTCAGAGGCAACGGATTGCTCGAGAGTAAAGCCGCACCTGGCTAAGGTTGACGGTTTAGGACCAGCTGATGGCAAGCATGATAGCAGCACCAACGAACATGGCGCCAAACTGCTGCAGGGTCTTCTTGATCTCTTCGCTTTTGTTGCTGCCAGTCTCGAGCAATTCTGGGATGACAGCAACCGTGCCAACATACAAGAATGTGCCCGCAGTGAATGGAAGCAGCATGTCGCCCCACTGCAGACTCGTGCCCCAGATTCCAACAGTAGCTTGGGCGTCATCAGATGCACCAGATCTGCCGCCAAACTCCTGCACGAAAATGCCAATGAAGGTGCCCAGAAATGCTCCGATAGCCGTGATGAACTGTGCTCCCATCGCTTTCCTCTTGGAGAAACCAGACTGGATAAGCAAGGCGAAATCGCCCACTTCATGTGGAATCTCATGGAAGAAGACAGCCATAGTCGTAGTCGCACCTAACGCAGGGGAGGCATAGAAGCTCGAAGACAGGGCTAAGCCGTCGGTGATGTTGTGCGTAAAGTCAGCGATCAGGTTGAGCAGGCCTGCAAGCTTGACTGATTGATTCTGGCTCGAAGTGGTTGACGGCGTGTCGACCTTCGATTTGGGAGAGGCCTTGCGTTTGCGCAGCTCCTTCTCTTGAGACTTTGGCGACGTTGCAGTCGTTGTAGCTGCGCCGTTGGAGTGCTCTTGCGATGAATGATCGTGTGTATGCCCGCCGCCGCCCGTAGCTATACGCAGAATCTTGTCCATAGCCGTGAAAGTGACGATGCCGACCAGTATAGCAACGCCCAAAAGCAGATTTCGATTTGGTTCAAGCATTACGAATCGCACTTTATCTGGCTCATCCTCCCCAAGGAAAATTTCCGGAAGCAGATGAAACAGTGTATCTCCCAGCAGTCCTCCCACTGCGAAGGCCACCATCACACTTAGAGAAGACGGATCGATGTTGGGCGGGCATAGCGCGAGGAGGAAATTGGGTGGACCTGATATGTACGCAGTCGCCAGTAGGGCATTGATCGCAGGTGACGACGAAGGAAACAGAACGGTGAATAGCTTCGAGGTCAAGGACGCTGATTGAGGAGCGCCATGGATCTTCTCCTCATTCAACGCCTGGACCACAGGACATTCTTGCAGCCTATGCTCGATCTGTTCCACTGACAGTGGTGCATGCCGTTTGTGGATGACTTCTGCGCAGGCGGCTGTGAGCAGTCCCAGCAGAACCAACGTTAACCGCGGTCGATGCATTCGGTAAGTCCACGCTATGTTGAAGCGCGAATCAGCTGGGAGATCCTGTGATGCAGTAGCAGGTTGCGCTTGAGCTTCTCAAAATACAGACATGGAAAACACACTGGCACGCGACTTCGAACGCGTGGCTTGGCAACGACCCAGCGCTGCTTTAGCACTGCGTCATTGATGTGCTCAAACACCTCGAGACCACTGCATCACCAGCAAATACTTCTTTCTGCAGTGGCGTGAGCAGGGCCATCAGAACGGTACATGAGCCGCGAATCTATCGGTCGACGGAGGTACAACACGTTCGCTTGTGCGGTTGCATGGTTGTCCCTGGAGGAGGGGACTTCCATTGGTGATGTCCTTCGACATATTCATCAGAATAGTTGGCTGCACGCGGCCACGGGAGCTTTACTGATCCGAGAGAAGATAGACCGACGTCAACGAAGTCAAATGTGTCTCTTCCTAGGGAGCCCTAACTATCTCGTGGCCATGAGGTAGGTTGAAGAGCTCGGGTCTGTACTCCACGCCGAGCTTGCGCGTCCTATCCATCGAACGCGCATCACTATCCAATAATGCACCACGTCCCGCAGCATTTCATCTCGCGTCCGAATGCATCAATCACTTATGGCGTATAATTAATCCACCGCAGAGATCATACTTTGTCGCGTAGCGAGCATGTCAGTCACATTGCTTCATGTAAGTACAGATCCGACCATTCCCGGAAAAGCCACGCCACGCGGCTCTACGTTGAGTGCAGAAGTACTCGTGCAAAGCCATGCTAGCTATCTACCCTTGCATCTGCTGTGCAAGGATGTCCACACTTCTTCGACGTCGTCGATTTGAAGCACCCCGAGACATGCCCGCCTCAAAGGCATCCCGATCTGCAACATGGGCCAGCACGGATCAGGTCCGAGACTCTGGCATACAGCCACTCACGGCATGAGCGCTCGAGCCACGAGAATGAATCTTAAGGTGCTGTTAGTCGCCGTTCTTGGAGCGGTGCTGTTGTTGCTGTCGGTGGACGACCTGTACTTCCGACGCCACCAGCGAACCCCTCTCCAATACTATCATAATTCCAGTCTCAGCTACACGCAACATCCAATTGATTCTTTGATACAGCAATCAAGACAGAGCTTCGAGGCGAGGATCCATGCGCAATCCAGGACCCTGGAGGATGCCATTCTCGCTTACAAGGAGAGATACAAAATCGAGCCACCTCCTGGGTTTGACAAGTGGTTTGATTTTGCCCAGACCAAGAGATCGCGTATAATCGACGACTTCGACACAATCTACGATGCTGTCATCCCATTTCTTGGCATCTCTGGTCAGCGCATCAATGAGATGCTAGAGGAGGTAATTGCTACGAAGTCAGGGGTACACAAATGTGGCTATCGAAACGGTGCACATTATGGATACTGCGGACACCTGGACCTGAGTTGGTAAGCGGTGCATGATCTGCAGACTTTGCACTTGTGCTGACAGACTCGAAGGTACATGGCGCCGATTGAGTATCTACTCCCAGATGTAGACCTGATATTCAACGACCTGGACGAGCCTCGAGTCCTCCCTGATGAGAATCTCGAGGCTCGGGTCCAGAACAAGGTGACCTTCCTCGACTGGTCGCACAAGGACTTACGACGTCTTTATTGGAAAGGCTGCAAGTCGACCGACTGGACTGCCTACCGTCAGCCTCCAGATTTACCTTTCATTGTGGACGCAAAGCAGGCTCGAGACTTATGTGAGAACCCACAGTATGCAGATGAACACGGCTTTGTCCTCTCTCCGTCCACAGTATGGACCACAGGACAGATGGTGCCGATTTTGTCCCATTCCAAAGCATCTGTGTTTGGCGACCTGATCTACCCGAATCCAGCATACGCCGAGGACTACTTCGATCCCAGGGTCTACAACAAGGAGAAAGACCCTGACTGGAAGATCAAGCGCAACGACTTGTATTGGTCGGGCATCAATTATGGTGGCTACTTTGAGGACGAGGCCTGGAAGCAGTCACATCGTCAGCGGCTTGTTGCGAAGACCAGCGGTTTGATCGACAGTGCAGCTACATTCCTCACCGAATCTTCACCAGGAGTATGGAATATGTCGACCTCGCTCGACCCACTGTCCGGCCTGTTTCACACGTACTTCACCGAGATCGATATGTCCGCTTGCAACAGGAGGCAATGCAAAGCACAGAAAAAGTTCTTCGGGGAGGGCACTCGAGTATCGAACCACGAACAGTTCAAACACCGCTTCGTTATGGACCTGGACGCGTGGACGTACTCTCGACAATTCTACGCTCTACTACAATCGAAAAGTCTGCCTTTCAAGCAGACTATCTTCCAAGAATGGCACGATGATCGATTAGTGCCGTGGGTCCACTACATACCCGTGAGCGTGAGTCTCAGAGAACTACCCGAGATGGTTCGATACTTCGCGTTGACCAAGCAGGGTCAGGCGTACGCTCAAGAGATTGCGGAGAGCAGCAGCAAGTGGTGGGCGCAATCCCTGCGGAAAGAGGACATGCAGATCTACATGTATCGACTCATATTGGAGTACAAGCGGCTCCGCGACCCATCCAGACCAGCCATGCCCTGAGCCATGCAAATTGTCTCAGCTCGGACTTCGACACATACCACCAGAAGCTTCTCTGAAGAACATTACGGCCTGCTGGTTCTGATTATTGATATCGCGAGCGACGCTCCAGTCCATGCATCCTTCGAGCTTCTGCACGATGTTGTCGACGCTCGTGTCGGGTGCTTGAAAGCCCATGATATCTTGAACGCGTTTCGCAACCCTCACTGCCTGTTGTGCTCTGGCACGTCGCGCCAAGTCGTATGCGCTCATTGCGTGTGGGACTTGGTCCTTTCGATGCACATGTGCGAATATGGCCGTCAGCGCGGCTGCGTCTTCGAATGCTTGCGCCGCGCCACTTGCTCCTGCTGGACTCAATGAGTGGGCTTCACCATTAGGTCAGCATACATTATTTCCAAATGAAACGGGAGCACCGTCGCTGGCTATGTGGGTTGTCTTCAGGTACACACAACAATAAAATCTTCGGGACCCCTTACCTGCATCACCTACGAGCGCCACGGAACCGTCGTTGAAGTACGGCAGAAACGCGGATTGGAAAATTGCCCATTTCATCATTCCTGGCTTGTTAATGAGCTTTCCGTGTCAGCATGTCGTCCGAAGCGGTCTTGCCGTTCTCACCTCAAGCCAACGGTCGCCCGGTGTGCCCCAGTCGCTCAAGGCATTCCTCAGTTCTTCTGGCTCGACTGGAATAGTCCACTTCTCATGAGACCATCGCTCATGTCCTGTGGTGCAGGTCACCATGTTGTACATGCGACCATGATCGGCCGGCTGACCAAGCAGCAACAGACCAGGTCCGAACATGAAGCTAGCCTCGCCGGCTCTCTCTTTGCCAAGCGCTCGTTCGGCATCTGCAAAGGGCACAAAGCCCCGATACGCGACTGCGCCGGTGAAAGTAGGCTCGCTGGACGGTGAGGAGCCAAACATGGATGCTCGCACGACACTTCGCAAACCATCCGCTCCAAATAAAGCATCGAAGGTCTCTTTCGAGCCATTGGACAACTCCAGGTGCACACCACTGTCGTCTTGGGTATAGCCTCTGACACCGGAGTCAAGATGTACGGCAGTCCTATCCAGTTCCGCCTCCAGCTCCGTCACAAAAGTCGCTCGATGAATATTGTGGCTAGCAAATACAGGTCTCGCGAACTCTGCCCGTCCGAGATATTCCCCACAACGTTCGCCGCCGCCAGCGTAGATGCGGGGACCGCGGGGACCCATGTCAGTAGTGCCGAAGTTGGTAAGGCACTTATCCAACACCTTTTGCATAGCAGGTGCTATCGATTTGAGAGCTGCGAGAGCATTGGTGGACAATGTGACCGAGGCGCCAATGTCACCCAGCTTGGGCTTGGACTCGAAGACATGGACTTCAAGATGGTCGTGTTGCTGGAGGCCAAGTGCGAGGGCTAAGCCTCCTGGTCCGCCGCCAACGATGGCGACTTTTAGGGGCTTGCTGTCGCCGTTGACTGTTGTTGTCGCCATCGCTGCAAGATTCGTTCGAGCTGTGGATGTCCTCTTGCCGGTCGGACGATATTGGCGAAGTCGTGGCTACCTGAAGTACATTGAGAATTGGTCAACGGCAACGCTCGCCCCCGAGTCACGACGGAAGTCCGAGTCATACAACAGTTCTCGCAGGATTGTGAAGTCGCAGGATTTAAGACTGACAGCGCAATGCTTTTTCCTGCTTTACGACCGGAGTATGCTCAGCTAACGAAGACTCGAAGTACTTGGCTGCGACCGGATAGTGACATCCCCTGTGGTTTACCAGTCCAGAGTCCAGGGCCCATGCCTGGCCACTTCGCAGCATATGTAATAATCAGCAGGTTGCCGCTCTGTTCAATCTGAGGACGCCTGACGATGTTGATCATAACTTCCTCGTACCTAGGTATGCACATGGCGGGTTTTGCGAGCATGTACAGCATCCACAAATCAGATTATGCGAGAGTCAGATCTGGGGTTGATCTCCATACGACCATGGTGTATCATCGTATGGAAGGGAGATAAATATGAACACTATACTGAGACGAATATAATCGCTAAGCCAAGGTCGCCATGGCCCAACAGTCCAGTTCGTTCACCCGTCCCAGGCCCGCCGCCTTTCTCGTAGAAGAGCTTCGCAGTCATGTATTGGCATCATCTACATGCATGCATTGCTTAGATCAATACACGTATTTTGTGTTCTGCTACCTGACGAGATGATCTGTCCGAAGGATGACGATTTCGTTATCGATAAGAAAAAGTGTCTCCGCATTTTTCCAACGTCTAAGATCATGTTCTTTGGACCTCCCTGCCTATGAACACTACATCTTCCGATTTCACCATTAGAAGCCAGTAGACCTACATCGCCATGGGTCGCGAGCTCCAGAAAAAGAAGAACCGCTCCGGCATCACCAAGTCTCGCCCGAAACTCAGCAATAGCAAGCGCACCAAAACCGGAAGACGGAAAGTTGATTTTGGCAACAATGAGATCCTGTCGAGAAACTGGTATTGTCCACCACTGTCTTTTGCGCTGTCCCTGATGACTCACCGCTGTGGATCGAGAATGTCTCGACTATAAGCTTGTCGCATAACTGACACTATCCGCAACAGGAACCGAAAACAAACCCTCTCCCAGAACTACGCGCGATTGGGCCTCTCATCTAAACTCGTCGCGCCCTCCGGCGGCGTCGAACGTCACTCACGCACAAGCGCCCCCTCATCCACTGTCAACGCGAATGACTCGCTAACCATCAAGAGTGCTCGTCCCGCAAAGAAGCTCATTCCCACCGAAGTACATGTAGAGCGAGACGCTGCGGGCAACATTCTACGAGTTGTCAATGGCCAAGCCGACGACGATGAAGACATGGAGGAAGAGAACCCACTGAACGACCCGCTCAACGACCTCGAAGCGAGACCACCGCCAGAGGTCAAGGCCAGCACAGCGATCGTGGAGGCGTTGGAGGCTGAAGCCGCGGAAGAGGAGGCGCGGCTTGCGGCGAAGAAGCAGCCGAGAAAACAAAGTACGCGAGAAGAGGAGTGGATTTCGAGGCTGGTGGAGAAGTACGGGGACGACTATGCGAAAATGACGAGGGACAGGAAGCTCAATCCAATGCAGCAGAGCGAGGGGGATCTGAAGAGGCGGGTGAGGCGGTGGAGGGAGAAGAATGGACGTTGACGATGAGGGCATACCTCTGCTGCTATTTGATGTTTGCAGCATACACAACATCCATGACATTGTCTGCCTCTAGGATCTTGCCAAGAGACGAGTACAGCCGCTCAGTTGAGTCTAAGCCAATCTGCGGCTCGACCTGATCAACGAACTTCTGCCGGAATTGGTCGTCGGACATAGGTTTCGCGAGGCTGCCAACCGCATGCTCGACATGCTTCTGGTGTGTACCGGATTTGGTCTGGACCAGGATCTTACACTCATCTCGCCTCATGCTCTTATCGATCGTAGCCGAGATCTTGCTCCTCAACTCAGCGGTCTGCTGCACGATTTCATCGCTATACTCTGCCGGCGTGGCTTTGCCGAATAGCAAGCCAGAGGCCGCCCCAAAATAGACCGAGAACTTAGCCTGAAGGCCATCTACGGGGTTCTTCTTGCCCGTCAGCTCCAGAACAAGCGGATGGACGGTCAATTCTATGCTTTGGACTTCCTCTGCTTTGACGCCTTCGTTTCGCAGCTGTGAACAGCCGTCGATGATTGGATGTATCACGATGCCGCAAGGGTACGGCTTGAAGGTGTTCTTCTCCGTTTCGGTCTTTCCATCCCCGTCGATTCCTTTGCCGGAGTACTAGTCAGATCAGTAAAGGCAACCTGGGGCGGGCTCTAGCAAAACGCTTACCAAAGCCTCGACAAATCGCGGTAACTTCTCATAAGCAGATTGTGGGTCCGGGCAAACGCATTCAATCCAGCCCCTCGGACCCTCAAGACTGTTTGGGGCGGCCGTCATGCCAGCTTGAGCCAAGTACGCACTCTCGAGGCCCGCCCGAGCTGCAAGTCCTACACCAAGCGGTTTCGAATGCGATCCAAAGTGGATGCGCATGCCGTTCACCTGGGTGGAGGCAATGCCTATGGCATTCACCAAATGCTCTTTCGACAGCTTCATAGCCTTTCCGACGGCCAGGGCGGCCCCTATGGAACCAACACTGGCTGTGATGTGCCATCCGCGGTCATAGTGGGAAGGATACACTGCCACTCCGAGCAGGCACTCGATCTCGATTCCTGCCGTCAGAGCAACGATGAAGTCCGCCCCAGAAAGGGCACTGGGATGGTCAAAGGCCGCCTCGGCATATGCCAGGAGTGCGGAGGCCACAGCCGCTGTCGGGTGGATGACCGTGCTGAGATGCGTGTCGTCATAGTCGTGGATGTGGCACGCCAGAGCATGGACGAGCGCTGCTTGCAAAGGATCGAGTCCTCTGAGGCTGCCGAGCAGACTACATGGTCCAGACGAGCTTTGTAGCGCACCATGAGCTGCTAGTGCTTTCTCTGTGGCCTCGTGGCTTATGCCACCGAGTGTGCATCCGACGTAATTGATGAAGGACTTGACAGCGGCCTCCCTGGTGGACTGGCTGAGGTCTCCCAGCTTCAGACCCTCGACCCAGGCCGCGATTCTGGTTGTGCTTCCTTCGGCCATTGCGCTTCTGTCGGAAATACTGGGCTCAGAGGCCGCCAGATGACTGCCTCGACAAGCTGGAATGGTTTCTTGAGGTCTTCGATCTCCAAATGCGGCATCCCTCGGAAAGTGACCGATCACGTGGACAGCACTCTGAGTATGATCATCTTGTGACTTTGGTACAGTCTTCAGTCTGTCATGGAGGCGTAAGATCTTTCCCAAGCCATATGCCAGTTGCCATCGTCTGGAATGGAAGATTTGGGCAAGACTGGACCATAGTTGTTTCTGGTGGCTCTTCATCGTCGTGGCGAAAAGAGAAGCGCTGGGGCGGCCTTTGGGACGAAGCTCCGAAAATAACAATCAGAACTTGGTGATGATGGCATGATGCGAGCCCATGAGATCGGATCGTGTCGTGGATGGGGACTGGTCGACATTGTCTGGTACAACTTGTTCACGGTATGCCTGCGCCCACGTGACTGCGCGACAATAGTGGCAGACAGCTGCCACAGCAACGCGACTGTTTCTTGTTGTAAGGAGTAGATGGACTCTTGTGCAGAAGCGCAGCTACAGAGTGCGCCTCAGTGGCTGTTCTGGTGCTGAGAAGAATGTTCAGAAGAGGTGGTTCAGGATTCAGTAACGCAACACAACCTTGGACGCCATCCGGCCCATCCTGCTGGCCCATGAATACAAGCACTGTTCAGCATACCAGGTAATCTGGGCAATTGTGGACAAGACTAAGCTGCGATCAAATCATGAGTAGTACGACTACCCAATCTACAATCAACTCGCTGGTCTTCGTCCACTGCACGAGCTTCCATCTCTCCCGGCGGGCGCTGGATCCAGTCTCTAGGCGCGTCGCGCGATATGGCCACCGTCCATTTCTCAATAGCCTCACAATCGAGCAGAACGCGCTGACCCATTCTGGCAACACCTTCACGAGAGCAGCCAAGCTGTCACACGCACCCAAAACCTCCGGCAAGATCCCAAGATGGTCCCTCGTTGACACAGTCTGATATGCCAAGGCGATCGACCGGCCCCATCCTCACCCTTATCCTACGACAGCCCAATGGCAGCCTCCTACAGAACCCACAGCAGATGCCGCTAGTCCTCGAGCCCTCTTGTGACCATGGCCTTCTTCAGACCTCATCCTCTTCCACTTCGAACGTCCTTCTTTTTCGTCTTTCGATCTGCCGCGTTTTCGCGTTCCATCAAGGTCGTTATCGTTTCCATCTGTATTCATCATTGTGCAGACTTACGGAGTCCAAGAGCTGCAGATACCATACTGTGAGTCCCTGCAGGGCCCCGAGCGCGTCCAGAATGCTGATCTGATTTTCTACAGACACATTTTGTGCCACCACTGTCTCTTGTTCCATCAAGGTTAGTCGACATCTTCCTCTGGCTCGATCTGCAAGACCTCAAGAAAGACGCGCCGGGCTTGACTGTGCTGGTCCAGCTCCTCTGGTCAGCTCCAGAAAGAATAGCACACTGCCTGCCTGCTCAACTTCCCTTCCACATCCCCGCAAACACTTCGGAAATGAATGCTGACATGGTTTTTCGCAGATCATTTGTTTCATTTCGGTAGGTGGTGCTGTCAACATGTTTGCTCTTTTATTTCCTGTCTGCAGTTGTTTGTCAAACTTGTTGTCGCGTTCTCCTACTTGCTTTCGTCTCCAGCGCTCTTGCGCTGTCTTTCGTTGAGTTGTGTGCATTACCTACATGATATATAGCAATGATGAGATCAGGTGCCTGTTTTTTCCTGTTCTTGAGTGGGCTTCGAGGCGACGGGAAGACAAGACAATCAAATCGAATCGTTCCGAGCATGCAAGGCGTGCTCCGCGTGGAAATCTGCGTTCAACAGGCTAAGACTGCCGCCACTTGACAATGGTCTGAGATCGGTCGCATCGGCTACTCACCCGTACCTGAGACTTCACTCGGCGCTCCTTCTGTCGAGCTTGACGATCTGGAGAACATGCAATGCTACCGAGCTTCGATGAGGAAGCACCTTCTCCGAGCCTCGATACTTCAAGAGAGGATGCAGAGCTACTGGTGCCGGATGCAGAACCTTGCAGTTCATCTCCTTGGCAACAGAACCGGCCTGGTCTTCACTTCAAACCCCTACGTCACTCTACTTTCAAGATGCAACGTGAATGTTGTTCCTAATCAGTGACTGGTTCTCAAGTGGCGCAGACGTCTGCACTGGTCTATTCAAGTTGTTGTTCAATCTGAACTCGAGCTCAGCCCTCGTCTCGAATCCCGCCCGGCGTTGGTCGCGAGGCATCAGGCTGGAGTCCTGAGGAAACTAGTTCCCGGTCTGCGAGTTGCTCCTTCTCTGGACCGGAGGACGTTACGGGTCTTTCCTACCACCTTCCTCGGCTGTCTTTTCAGAGGGTAAGAGCATCGGCAAAAACTTGGGCAGGGGCATTCGATATCGCCTTTAGCAACTTCGCAACCGGTCTTCAGAGCAACATCCAGCCCAACATGAGTCTGAGAGTTGGTCCAGACTTCTTGAAAATGATCCACCTTCCACTGCATTCACGTCTGGCTGTCATGCTTCCATTGGCTGGCTCAGGATCTTCACCCATCATTCAATGACCTCTACAGCAGTCACGTCTCCCTCTCCCACATTCACGCAACCTTACGTGAATACATGCACCATGGGCTCCTTACTATATCTGTCCCGGCCCTCCCCTTCCTTCTTCTCTGCACTTCTCGACCCTCCCTCTCAACTTTGGACTGCCTCCCATCCTGATCTACAGGAGAAGCATCACCCTGATCCCTCACAAGTTGGTCTAATCATGCTGATCTGTATGCCTTGATCAATGTGCTAACATTGAGACGTAGGCATCTAGACATTGTGCTGGGTCCGGCCCATCATGGCAGCAAAGAAAGCCACCAATACCAAGCCGAAACCAGGCACCATCTCCTACAAGAAGTCCAAGTCGACAACGACAAAGGTCACTGTTGCTACAACAGCGGAGGCGGAAGACACCATCGAAGTCAACGTCGATTCGACCACCTACGAAGTAACCACACTCACTGCCTGGCTGTCTGATCTGTCTCCGAAGCGCAAAGCTGAGGACGATGCCGACGGCGAATACCAGGAAGTCAGCCCTTCGAAGAAGAGCAAAGTCGATGTCGTCGTCAGCGGTCCTAGCTTGTCCACACGAGGACAGACTCGGGTTGTGAAGAATGTGAGTGATCTGACACCGATCAAGATCAGTTTCTGACTTTGGCAGCTTCTCCTCGAAGGTGTTCCGGGTACCGACAAGATTCACAACGCGAAGGCTCCTCCGAAGCCAACAGCTAAGCTGAAGGCTCCTCGAAAGTATCCGAAGGCTGGCGTAAAGTCTTCCGCTAAGCAAGGCGCTGCTGCTGCTCGAGGTCCCATGAACAGCCACGTCGCCAACACGTTCCGCATCAAGCTCTCGATCGATCTAGAAAAGCTCGGCAAAACTCGTCCTGCGCTATACAACTGGTACGAATCGCTGAAGCCTGCTCCTGTCGAGAAGCTTGCTCGTGTGACCAGCGCTGATCGCCACTTCTGGGACCACTTCCACTACAAGGTGAAGTTCGGCGAAAGTCCATGGCCAAGTCTTCTCAGTCCAACCTATGACCAGTCCTACGAAGTCTTCAATATCCTGGTCGACTGGTTGCACAAAGAGCACAAGATCTTCGTAGATAAGGATGGAAGCTCATCCGCAGGTGAGAATCGAACGAACACCGACGACCGTACGATCGATGTTATAGTCCGCACCATCATGGCGCAAGGCACTACCAACGAACTCGCTCTGACCGCTCAGCAAGAAATGCGAGTGGCTTATCCATACTCCGTCAACGGTCAAAATGTTGTAGGTAGTGTTCCCAACTACCACCTGATGCGCGTCCAAGGAGAGGCAAGGCTTCGTGGGGTTATAGATTTGGCTGGCTTTGGCAACAAGAGACCAGCATTCATCATGGCAACCCTGGACACCATCTACGAACGCAACATCGCCAATGTCAAGGCTCATAACAACTGCGAAATCCCGCCGAATACAGAGATGGGCCAGCCAGCCAATGTCGGCTACTTCGTTCCTGGCATGCTCTCCATCGAGGAGCTCATCAGCATGGACAAGATCGACGTGCACAACCTCCTTCTGAGCATTCCCGGCATTGGCGTCAAGACTGCGCACTGCGTCATGGCGTTCAACCTTGGCATAGACATCAATGCTGTGGACACCCACGTCATGAAGGCCGCACGGAATCTCAACTGGCTTGCCGATCACATCAAGACCGAGATCAAGGCGTTCAATCACCTGGACGGTCGGCTTCCTCCGGGCTACAAGCGTGGCATCCACCAAGTTCTCTGGCATCACGGCGTGCTGTGCAAGCGATGCAAGCGCAACGCTGCCAAAGACGATGTTCGAGAAGGCGAGCCGGCGTGTCCGATTGAGCACCTCGTCACCCGCCGCGATACGAAAGAAGCCAGCCAGAGTTCTCCCCGACAACGCAAGAAGTCCGAGTCTCCCAAGGCCAAGGTTGTCAAGGTCAAAGGAAAGAAGGTCTACTTGGAGTTTGACGCGTTCGCTAGTTCAGAGGAGGCTGCTGCTGCTGGCTATGCGGCCTTCGATGTTCCGATCGACGACGATTTTGATTCCGGCTCCGCCAACACCCGTATCTGGAAGCGCTGGCGCTTGATCAAGGCTGAGGAGGTGGTGGAAGAGGAGGTCGAGGAAGTCGATGAGGAGGAGGAAACGGAAGAGGAGTCTGATATTGTTGGTGGGGAGGATTAGACATGGGTTCGAAATGCCGCGTTTGCGAAATCGGAGATCTACAGGCCAGGGAGGGCGCTACGGGAACGAAAATGAGATATGAGTAGCGACGAACATCGATAGAAAACGACGATACATCGAACATTCGAAACGAAGCTACATACCATCGAGGCGGACTCCCTCGACATAATCAAAGAGCTAATGATAATATCCAAAACGTTTTCGCTTTCCTGCTCAACAAGCCGGCAGCTTACTCAACCCACCCTGCGCACCACCACACTTCCCCGTCCCATCAACCTTCTCGCTCTTCCCTTCCCCCTTCTTCACCCCCTTATACTCCTGACACACCTTCTTACTAACTCCACAACTCCCACTCACGCTCGCCGTGTCCCCGTAATTCGAATTGATCCCCACTAGATCACTCGTCATCCCACTGACCCTCACATTCTGGACGATGACGTGCCGCGGCCCGCCGTTATTGGTGCAGTCGCCGCACGAGCGGTAGAGCTTGCCAGCACCCTGGACGGTGTAGTTGCTGATGGTGACGGTCTCGGGATAGCCGTTGTGTTGGATGACTTTGTCGATTGCGGAGGCGGCGCCGCCGCCTGTGATGAGGGAGTTGCCGGGGCCGAGGAGGGAGATTGCGTCTGTGTTCAGATAAGACGCGTTATCGGGGTTGAGTGGGTAGAAGTCGGAAGGCAGCAGGGTGAAAGGCATGGTGGACAAGTGAAAAGGAAGGAGACTCACCCTCACAGACATCCCGAAACCAGACATTCCGAATTGTGCAAGCTCCTTTGCAGTGCACGCCTTCAAGGCTGTTGGCGCCGATGATCACGTTGGACAGCGTGGCGCCGTCATTGAGGATGAAGACGGCGTTCGCAGAGCCGGTGTCGGCATCGCTGTCGCATTTGTGGCCGCGATCGTACTCGTGGTGGCGCCGTCGTAGGAGGAGGTGATGACTGAGGGCGAGGGGAGGGAAGTGATGCTGCCGACGCGTGAGGGGATTGAGAGAGTTTGGGCAGTGATGAGGGGTGGAAGGAGAGCGGTGAATGTCACGACGAGAAATTGGCGAAGCATGGTTCGTGAGGACTGAGGCAAGCTGATATTCAACGGACTGTATTGAAGTCAGCGGTACCTGGACGCTCGCTCAAAGGTTGTATTTGTTTAGAAGACTTATACAAAAGATCCAGTGTTCATAAAGAAAGGACGTGTTGCTGAGATGGCTGCTAGTCGGTGAATATATCGTCAGCTACTTACCTCAGCGTAGCGAGCAGCGACGGGTCGAGATCCTTGAGCTCGCTGATGAGCACATGGCCTCCACGGTCTCTTCCAGCATATCATATGAAAGTGTTGAGCGTTGTGCTGGGGTATGCCATGGCTAGGAAGCCTAAAAGCATCCTCTTCCGGGATCAAGGTGTATAGAAGCGTATGCTAGCTTGAGGTCAGTGCACACCCGAAGTCATACATGTCCTCCACGCCGTTTTGATGATGGCGCAGAAGCGAAGGTCAGTATTCAAGAGACCAACGAGGAGTCGCCTTTCACATCCTGAAACGCAATACCTGGCCGATTAAGGACCGCTTGGCGGCCGGCGATCCATCTGCCGTGGGCCTCGCTTACTCCGTGTCGAACGCGTGCCTCATTACCGAGTCGGTCAGTTGTGGCTCTTGCAGCAGTGTTCAGTGCATGTCTGCAGCATCACAAAAAGCATTGACGCACGACGACGCGCCGGACTGGCAAGGTCGTTGCGTGGGACGAACTGGGGGCGTTCCTCGCGTTAGCTTCAAGTGCTCGCTGCCACGCGACGTTGACGACGAGTGAAATGGAGTAAACCGCCAGACCGTGGACTGTGTTGCTGTTGGATCATCTGACTTAGCTCGCAGACTGCTCCCGACTTTCCAGGACGATGGGGAATCCACACGAGGTTGCCTTTGGCATGGGTGGACACGCCACTGCCAAGATTGACAACCCAAGTCTGGACTTGGCGCGGTTTCATGCTAATCACAAGGCAATACAGGTCGTTGTTGATGCATGTGTATTGAGAGCTATGTACAGCATAGTCGGAACGCGTGGGATAGGACTGCTTGCTACTCCAGTGCTAAACGAACAACGCCCCTCCCACCAAGGGCGATGACCTTGTCCCCCATGTCGCAGTCGCTCATCAATGCCGATTGCGACGCAGGTGCGAGTAGGTCCAGTCAATCCTGTTGGCGTCTTCCTGTTGAGCTCGCTCCCTAGCCTCCTCGCGAGCCTTTTCCACAACCTCCTCGGTGGCGTCTCCTGATAATAGAAGCTTCTCAGCGGCTTCCTCGGGGTACTTATTGTACCTGAGGAGTTCGTCGCATTGACTTTCGAAAGGCATGCTGTGCAGGTCCTTGGGTGTGTTGTGCTCGGACGTATTCGACTCAGGAGGGATCTGATATCTAAATGGTCGATACTTGTCTTCTTCCGCCAGAGCCTCCCAGCCAGTTCGTCGAATCTTCCATGAGTCCAGGAGCAGTCCATGAGGAGGTATGATCTTTTCCATTGACGCTTCTTTGTCAATAATTTGAGGCCGACTCAGGAATAACGTTGGAGCGACTGGCAGACTCATTGCGACGGGAACTCCTTCCTCGTCCCAGAACTCGTCATAGTAGTCCGACTCGACGTCATATCCCGGTGGGTGGCTGAAAGCCTCGCGATTAAGTTGAGCTTCGTAGTCGCAGAATGGAAGAACGTAAAATGCTTCGCGACTGAGGTATTCGTCGTACTCTTGGAGCTCAAGTTCTTAAGCCTCTAACAAGGGTCCAAATGAGTCCTCGTGTTCCTTGACAGCTTCCTGTCTCCTGGCGAGTCGATCGTTGGCCTCTTCGATCTCATTGGGGTCCTCCATGAAATGTAATGTAGGTCGCTTGGCAGTCATGATGACTTCAATTCTCGCAGACCGGTCAGTGAACTCGAAATGGCCCTTTAAATAGGTCCCCTTCTCATGCCATGTTGCGAAATTCAAACCAGGATGCCGCAGTGTAACGTATGCTGCGAACAGTAGAAGGCCACGGTTCTTCTCAATGACTTGATTGGCGGGTACCTTCTGTCGGAAGGGACCGCCCCCGCCTGTGGTCATCTTCATGGTTGCAAGTGTTGGCATCTCATCAGCTAGCAAACGCAGATACCGTGGGAGAAATGTCGTGGGCATGGTCTTAAGGGCGTGTGGGAGTCCGAACGTTAGTGATCGGATAGCCCGTAGTGCTCTCGGATTGATGTGTCTCGCAAATAGCGCTCGGAACGTCTCGCATGGGTAGCTGGCGAAGTCATACATGCCATACAAGACTTCGATGCCAAGTTTGTTTAGTAGTTGAGATGTCGCAAGTACCGAAGAATCATTGGCATCAAGCCCTAGATTTTGAGCGTTCTGCAAGTCGTAGTATCGCGGCATGAATCTGTCGCCTTTAATAAGATCATACCAGTCGCCCTTGTTGTACTTTGGTTCTGCACGGCGGAGCCGTGCATGATCGATCGTTCCATCGTCGTTTCGTCGTCCAAACACCGCAAAGACGTGTGATAGAATAACTCGAAGTACTTCTTCTGGGAGTACCTCGAGTCCTCTGAGCTCGCCACGACTCCCATTGCTAGGCATCTCGAAAGGTGTCGACATCGTGAAGGTGTGGATGATTGCTGAATAGATAGCGGGCCACTAGCGATCTCGCTGGCAATCCTTGACTGTGCAGAGTGGCTGACGGAGGAGACGCGGTCGCGGAAAGCTTGGTGATGCTCCAGGTCAGCCATGAGGGCTGTATAGATATAACTCAACGCCAGGCATCTGACACCGATGTTCACAGCATCACATCTTGCAGCCTGTGTTGCCTCATCTGCCATACAATAACGTTTCACCTCGCCCAGGACCTCGTTGACTGCCCATATGGCCCCTTTCGCCTGAATGAGCACACTTCACGTGAAGAGGCCTTTCAGTCATCTGTTCACAATGCGACATTTGCATGCTATGTTGTGTAGTCCAGTCTGTAGCCGTCACACTCAAAGACATTCGTGAAACCCCCTTTGTAATACAGGCATAGCCGAGGCGATTTGCCAACGATGTGATCGCTGACTATTCGTACCTATCAATGGCTCACTGATGTAGGCATCGGAGGATGCAGGCGCAAACATCTTGTTGTTGGGCTGTGCCGCTGAATGCCGAGCTCTCTGGTACCCGTGACTCTCCCGTCGCCTGCAGAGTTTGGACGGCGAGAGAACCCCTCGGGTGGGGTTGAGGCCATGGCATGAAGATACTTCATCTGGGCGACAACTCAGCACCTGATTGCCAGCGGTCACCTTGCGCTGTATATATCCTGTATGGTGACTTTACGATGGTGCTCTATATGTTTGACATATCGCGTATCATCGTCAAGTTCTCGGATTGGATTTGCAGATTGTTAGCCGATAGTTTGCCAGAGCTTTGTTTGCGCTCTTGCTTGTCAAACGCAATCGCTTGGAGTCGAGCAGGGTCAATCATTCTACGCCACTCAGTCGTCGGATATGTTCAGCTTAGTTTTGAGGGTCGGCCATGTGTCGAGTACGCTGCTGTTCATAGTGTAGTTGTTGACATCATAACACAAAGCGGCGAACTCGGGTCGAATGTAGACTCGTCCATCCTCGGCATCTCGATCGAGAGCATCCTCTAAGGGTCTCTCCCAAAGCCCTTGACGAAAGTCCCACCCCGCTTTCGACATAGGGCCGACATAGTCCTTGTAGGAGTCGATGAGCAGGTCACGTACTTCACCCAGCAACAGGTCGAGCTCGGCGGGATGTGGTTTCAGCCTCGACAATTGCGTCGGTCGATGGTAATGCGGGATGCGAGCCCAGGTCTCGGCCGTGGGATGAATCAGCCAGCCCATTAGTGTGGCCAGTGTCAGGGCAGACGCGAGGCGAACACGGTCGTTGAGTATGCCCTGCCACATGTGGACCACCTCTGCGGCCCAGGTGGAGGCGTTAACGGGATCGCCAGGCCGGCGGCGGCGGAACAGGAGTGTGACATCAACGCGGCCCATAGGTACGATCTGGTCGACGTGGGTGCCCTGAGCTATGAGGCGGCGGCCGATCTGCTGAAAGTCGGTATAGACACGGCCGAGGGGCGTGTCGCTGTTGTCTAACAGGGGCATGATCATATATTCCTTGGGTTTCCGCCCTTGCCACTGTTAGTATACCACTATCTCATCGCCCAGCATTGCGGCACCAGTGCGACCAACACACTAATTAGTCTTGGAGCGCTTTGCGGCTTCGAGGCCTTACCGCTCCTACTTCTCCAAACCCTTTTAAGATCCGCCACCGCACAGAGCCGCGAGATGGCGCAAGATGGGACGTTCGGTCAACGATCCAATGAGAAGCGAAGGAAGTATGCAGGATCTCGTTGAACCAATCACAGCGCTGTGTGTGTACCCGATATGGCATTGCGAATGATAAGTTTACCGGCCAGGTATCATCAGGCACAGTGATGAGATCTGTTGAGCAGCGCACGGAGCCGCAAAGCAATGAAATAAATGTCTAAGATGTTGCGACGCAGTCCGTGTCGGAATTGCAATCCCTCCCATTACTATGGACCATGGGACCCAAGGCACGCCAGCATGCCTCGAGAGCGTGCGTGATGTGTCGACAGAGGAAGAAGAGGGTTCGTATACAGTACCACTTCCATCCAGGCCAGATAGCCTAACAGATATAGTGCGATGGCCCAGATTGTTCAGCATGTAGCGCGGAAAATATCGAGTGTGTTATGGATCTAAGCACCGATCAGAGACGAGGGCCTGGAAGGAAGCTACTCCATCAAACTCTGACGAAGCTGAGGACGCTTCCACTTGCGGAGGCACGGGCTCTGCTTGATGTAATCAGGAGCGACACTCAGGGTCTGGCGGCTCTCGACGAGTGGTCTCAGGGCGATAGTGGAGCTAGTTCTGGCCCTCCACAAAGCCTCGATACTGTGATGGAAACCGAGCAGCTAGAGACTGCTTCGTCGTCGGCGACACCCGAAGCTTCCACGAGCCACGGCTCAAGCGGGGCTTCCAGCAATGCTGCAGTCGAGATGTCTCACGTGGACGGCACACAGCTTGAGAAGCTCGGTACTCGCCATCAGCGCTTGATCTTGCCTGATTCGCCATTAGAAAAGAGTCCCAATTTCCACCGTCTGTCACAGGTCATGCTCAGTTTCCGCGAGGCAGCGGCTTCTAAAATCATCAGTGATGGGAGCGCAAATGAAATCCTTAGCATGTCTGGACTACGAGTTGACCTCCTGTACCGGAAACGACTAGCCAACGACGGCCATCCGGTCTCGACATGGGCATGCGAGTTTGCCCGCGCCTCGAAAGTCGTAGCCCCAGTCTCGCAACTCACGGTCGTATACTTTGCAGGGGCGTTCATGAGATGGCTAATCATACCTTGCAAAGAAACCTATGACCTCTTACCTCCCTTAATGCGACCTATGGTGCAAAAGTCTATGACCTACAATCCTTTCGAGGTTGAAAGCTACAACACTCGTGCTTGGGAGTGGATCGATAATCTCACCTTGAACAAGACACGGTTGCAGTGGCCATATACTGCTCTGGCATGTCTCGATGAAATGTTCGATCCGAGTCTTGCTCTGCTTGAGCCACGAAAGAGTTTCTCAGTACTATTCACGGATCATTGCAATGACATGAAGAATTGGACGATGAGCGGAGAGCAGCCGAGACGCGACTCCTTCCAGATGACTACTTAGCGCAGACGTTGGTCGTAGCCATGGTCACGCTGGCTGTCGACCAAGGTGGCGACTTTCTTGGTCGGGTTCCTGGTGGCAACCTTCAGCTGTGGTGATTTAGAGGCTTGTCATCAGTACGCGTCATGTAGGTGTCTGGGCGTTATCACATAGCCATAGCGCAGAGGGGCAGCGAGGTTGCAGCAGCATATTGCCGGTTACTGCTGTCATGCAAAGGTCAAGGTCACGAACACGACAGGTAAAATGGGGGCTCTGCGTTTGGGGATGTCGTTTAAAGCTAACTAAGCGCCTATGGATGTGCGGTGTGGTGGGTTTTGGTGTTGCGCAAGGACTATGGCGAACGAAAAGAAGTCTTACAAGATCGAGACTGTCGTATATACATATAGTTTGGGGCAGCTCAGGAGACCTTGACGGTTCGCTGTGACGGTGCTATTGCTGGTGACGTTTGGTGATGTTTGGTGATGCCTGACTTCAGGCCTTATAAGTTCCCGGTGACATGGTGAAGGGCAGACTGGTAGGCTTTGTGGATGACAGAGTCAATGCGGGTGCTGTTGTCCACTACAGCTCCAGGCAGAAAAGTTGTATGGATCACTTCACATGAAGAACTCTGCTGGATGTTGAGAGCACAAGTCGCTTATGCGGAAGTGCCTGGGCAGTACGCAGAGGCCGTTCCCTATCATCCAATAGTCATCCTTTCGATGAGCGTAGTGCTGCGACGGTTGGGATGAGTATCCCCGTCCTGTACTGAGTGGCCATCCACCCAGCCACAAATGTGTCCGCCCCCAATGATAACGGCACCGCGTTTCTGCCCATAAGACGAAAGAAGGTGTAATCGAACTGCTCGAGGCTTTCAGTAAATTATAACCGTCCATTGGCAATTGGACGTATGATTCTCGACGTTTGTGTATCATCAATCGAGTTTGTATTGCTGCTGCCCAAACACCATTGCCTATCGAGGTCAACAAAGCACGCGGATGAAGACAAAGACCGTGGAAAGATGAGAGGTGAGCCCGCGAGATATTGAGCACACACGCAATTCAATGAATCGCCATGCCTCGTGGGTTCATTCGTTCCGACGACATGTTTGCTGACAGGACTGTATGCGGGAGTGCTTGCCAATCGATCACGGCATGGTCGATCCCACCATACCTATCATTTCAAAACTGACCGCACATCGTGCTGACGCTTGAAGCGGTCTATACGGAGATTCAGGTCGCTATCGGTCCTTTGCATGGACATCTGACACACGGTCTTTTCTGGTAGCTGTGCGACAGAAAAAAGAAGAGAACTTACTAATGTAGAATTGGATGTAAGCATTTTCGATGACATTATATTGTATTGCAACGGCGTCACTGACTCTGCTTGCAGGGACAGGCATGTGCCGTTGTTTGCGAGCGGCTCGATTGAGTAGCTTCCTTGACTCAGGTCAGTAGTCCGAATCAGGCCCTTCAGCGACACCGACGCATCATCTCTCGGGCAAGCATGATCTGAATCAAATAGTCCTCCTCAGCCTGCGATGATCTGCACCTACCGCCTTCCACGTCGACCTTGTCATCGAATCGAACGCACTTCTTCTGCTGTCGAGTAGGACAGGATCCAGGTGACTGTTTGTCGCGAAAGGCGGTCACATTGGCACCGAAATGCACTGTGGGAGTTCGCAGGATCGAACGGGGTTCCTTGGCGCCTCCAGGCGGCTCCGAACGCTTCTCGTGCTCCTCAGCAGTTGATATCGAGATCGGTGGTGGTGCCTTGAAGCGCGCACCGGGTCCTTGAGCCTTGTTCTGCTTATCCCTACCAGCGACATGGTCGCCGGAAGATGCATCTGGCTCTGGGCTTGGATATGTCGTTAGTTACTTACATGCCTGCGACGTAATTGCTGATAGTGCTCACCTTCTTCTCCGTGCTGGAGTTGTTCGATGTCTTGTGGACTTGGATGAGGCCTGATTGGCATGGACCAGAATCGTAGGTTTTGAGGATCCTATGATACGCGCCACATCGGCAAGGAACTTCTTATGAGCGGCTTCTGCGTTGCGTCGAGCCCGGTCCTTCTCTCGTTGATCATGCTGCTGATTGTAGCCGCCACGAGGGGGCAAGCCATTCTGCGAGCACCAGTTGGCCAAGTCCTCCTCGACTTCGGTGCTCTTGGGGGCCTTCGGCGTAGAACGTCGCTCCTGCGGACAGTGTGCCTTACCATACTGTGCGCTGGCGTAGGTACGTGTGCTGCTGTAGTATCGTGCCCAGGCGTCGACCTCCTCCTCTTCCCATTCATCTCTCTTGGACAACGGACACTTCAGTAGCTCGTATGCAGCTCCTAGCTCTTGAAAACGACGATTGGCTTCTGCCTGATTGTCGAGGTTCTTGTCCGGATGCAACTTGAGCGCAAGCTTCTTGTAAGCTTTGTCGATGTCTTCCACGGTTGCGTCTTCCCTAAGGTTCAGTAGCTTTCGGGCGCGAGCCTGGACGGAAAACTTTGGAAACCTGACGCGGACGACATCGTTGTGATGATAGAGATGGAAGCTTGTGGCAGACCGCAAGCTAGGTACCTGCTTCTCGGGCACCGAACTTGTATGTCGGACAGCGACTCACAATGACAATGGGCATTGTCGAGGTAGCGCCTTTCACTGGAAACAAAGAACGTCAGGCAGTGACGTTGCGGCCTGCCACCAGACAACAAAGACCAGCTCAACCCATGATCTTAGTTTGGTGGATGAGTGAAGAGCTCGGTGGTGTGCAGAGGCCGCGGAGTGGGTCGATGGGTTAAGCAGAACAGGACACCGTTCCAATGGGTTGTCGCTTTCGATAGACAGGTACAAGTGATGCAGTCTATCGCTCTGCACAGCAGAGTGAGGCCAAGGTCGCGAGTCGAGCGACATAAAGCCCAAACAGCTGCCGTAACGACGGGTCGCACGTACACCGCCGGGGAGCAGGCCAGTCGAACTCACCTGCAGACTTTCGCACTTTGTGAGATTTTCGAAACAGCAGCCAGCCGCACGATCCGACCTTTTCTGCGTCACAAGGATCCGTTGTGGATGCAGAGGCAGGCCAGCACGCCTGCCTCATGCCCTGAATCGTAGACGCAACAATCCGCCGGTAGCACGGTTCGATCCATCGCAGCGTCGTGCCGTTGCATTTGTCAGCGACGCGGTAGCTCATGCAGAGCGGTTTAGCTGACTGGCGCGATTGGGGCTGTCTGAGAACCGCTGAATAGGGCAGCAATGCTGAAAGTCCTCCGCAGCATGACCGCCCTGCCAATCTGGCGTGAAAAGTCTCCTCAGAGAGGACGGCATAGTCGTTTCAACGGCACTGTAATTCAAGTTACCGAACGCTCAAGCTTCGGCATCAGACGCCGTGTGGTCCAAATAGAGTCTGGTTAAAGATGGGCTACATTTTGTGATCAGCAGAGCTCTGGTGAGCAAGGTAGAGGATGCTCTAGATCAGTTTCGGGTCCAAGGCTCTCTGCCGGAACTGGCAGTATACTTAGCTCGTGGCTGGTGAGCTCGCCATTGGTCGTGAGAATCGAAAACTTCGATCATACCCGTTAAAGCAACGACCTACATCGATGGCAACACTTTGGAGAATTGAGGGAATTACGATGGTAGAAGCAGCCGAAGGATTCAGGTGGGGTCCGGCATATCGGCATGTGGCTGGTATCTAAATGTGGCTGCAACATGTTGTGGCTAAGTCGTATCTCTTGGACGGGCAGCCTTGCGGACCTTTCGTCGTTGCGGCAGAGCGCTTCCGGTCAAAGTGTCCACGGGTGCTGTTGCAGGTGGGGCGCCTGGAAGGACGGGAGTCGATGCACACCTTTTCGCGTTCTTCTAAGTCCGGCAGCACTCTGCTCGTGTCAGAGTCATTCCGGTCGTACGGTAGTGTAGACGAGTGCTGCACTGATAATGTGAAGCGTCGGATTAATGAAGCGCATCTGATGCGATTGTCGAAGGGAGAGCCGGAGAGAAACACTCGAGCTCTACTATGTAGCCAAGTCGGCCATTTAACGGCGCCAGCAGCGAGGTGTTGGCGTGCTGATGGACAGCAGACGGCTGACTTGATTTCGTTTGTGCTGTCAGAAGCCCAACAACATCTCATAGTCACGAGGTGCACGGATGCTCCGTACACCAGTGCTCATAGGGCTGCATGAGCATGCTGCACCTACTTGTCGCGACAAGGGTAAGTACTTCGTAGACGCCCAGACCTTGCGCTGAAGCAATGGTAATGCACCGAATGTTAACGACACGGCTAGAGTCTGCAGGGACCCTGCATCACGCTTTCAGGGTCGTCTGCAATGCCGGTGTGAGAATTGTAAAGAAACGCAAGAGGAGACGAAGGAAGGGGCTGTGCAGATCACTGCAGAGCTTCAACCTAAGCTTCGGCCAAGCTCAAGGCGGCCTCCGTACCAGTCAGAGACCCCATATAAACCTTGCGATTAACCCGCACCTGCACAATGACCGAATTACGTAGCTCAAGCTCACTCCGCCTCCTGTTCGTCTACCTCAGACGATGTGCAAGTATGCTGCATCAGTACAGCGCAACCGGCAAGCGAAAGCCGGCGCGTTGCCGAGTCAGTTGCACTCCAGATGCACAGTCACTGCTGGCTATGCCTGTTGTCGCGAGATACATGTCTTCTCATGCATCGACTAGCAACTCGTTCGAGGAAGGGCCATCGCCTGGAATGGCACAGCAGACAGCCAGATCGATACTTAGTCTCATGAGACCGTCGATGGACTCGCCTTGAGAATGCCAATGGGTGATCATCAATTCTGCCCCGTACTCTGCATCAATATCATGTGCTTTGCGCGATGACTTTCTGATACAGCAGTGGTCAGTGACCGCATCGGTCGCTCATGTGAAGATGCGTTGGAAGAGGCGGTCAGGGAACTTTGGTATGCCCAGCAGGCCGGATCGGTACCAGTGACTTGCAGGCTTGTAGGCGTACCTTGAAGCTTAGATGGCGCTAAATTGGCCCCCTGTACCAACGCCACAACGAGGCTCAGCCTCTGCGCCAATAAGCGTCCACTGCATCAAACGACATTTCCAGAAACACCACTGTTCTTCCAGACACCAGCACTGTGGATCTCCTCGATGATGCATAGTCTCACTCAATCTATAGTAGGATGCTGTGTAACACGGACCGGCAGTCTGATGTATATCTACAACCGCCACCCGCAGATCCAGCATGGGATCAGCGCGCCAGAGTCCAGAGCCTACCCAGGCGGATAATAACAACTACAGCGACGCGTCCAGACCTCACTCAGTCCACCAATGGACCACAGTGGTCCTTTCTACACTACGCCAGGCACGTCTAGCGACGACGATCTTGATGTCGGCATGTCAGATCTGCTGCCGCCCAACAGGCGTCAGCCGCCGCCCACACAGGAAGATTGGGACAGGATACAGCCAATATTCACAGAACTCTACATCGACCAGGGACGGCGCCTCAAGGATGTGCAAAGAATACTGCTGTCTCGACACAACTTTCATGCGACACCGAAAATGTATAAATCCCGAATCACTAAATGGAAGCTCAAGAAGTACGTCAAATCCGCCGACAAGGAGAACATAGTTAGAGCGATCCAGGACCACCACATTGACGAAGAAAGCTTCCACCGGATCAAGTTCAATGGACGACCCGCGCGTCTGGATCTTGTCCGGCGCTATTGCAAAAAGACTGGCGCTCACCCAGATCTGGCCAATGCATTACCGACGAAGGCCCTCGAAGCACCTCTGCGCCGCGCGAGCACTCAGATCAATACCAATGTCAGCACCAGCGATGACACAGAAACGCCTCCATCAACAATGTTGACTCCGTCACCAATCATTTATTACCGTGACAGATCAGCATCGTTCACACCTGCGGATCTTACACCTACCCGAACAGTTGCCTCCGACCCAGCTGAGAGTGTTGCGTGGCATGTTCAGCAATACATGGAGTGGCAGTTGGCACCGATTCCATCAGACATCGATCAACGGCAGCAAGAGCTTCTTTTCGATGCCGCGGCTGCTTTCCAGACCACTCAGACCAGTGACTCTGCAATACACAGCATTTCATATTTCGAGCTTCTGCTGACTGCTTTGGACCACTTCGACGTCGACCCAGCTTATGCATGGACACTAATTAGTCAAGCGTGTGACATGGCTCGAGTCGTGGTCCAGGAGCAACATCGAGGTCTACTTCGACTGCTGATTGTCACATTCACTGATGATAGATGGAGCCAGCATTCCAATCTACGGCGGCACGTTCTGGACCACTTGGCCGAGATGGCAGCAACAGTTCTGGGCGAAGATCATGAATTGGCATCGATTCTGAGAAGCCTCAAATCCGAGCAAATTTTGGAGTCTGCTGCGATACCAATCCTCAAGGTTTCTGTTGATGTGCTCACCAGACAGAAGCCAGCTCTCGATGAAGAAGTCTGCGAGGCGAAGCGCGCGCTCATGGACCTTTTACGTCGTCGAGGGGACTTCATTGACGCGACATTGATGGCCCGCGAGATGTGTGCGGAGGCGCAAGGCGCGTATGGCAAGTATCATGAAGCCTGTCGACAAGCTATCAGACGCCTGGGCGACACATATGTTGACCAAGGCGACCTGGAACACGCCCGAGAGGCGTACCGAGAAGTCCTCTCGAATGCCATGAACTCCCCTGTCAGCTCTCCTAGTTCATCTTCTTCATCCTCTTCCTTCCAAATCGACGAAGCCACGATTTTCTCTTTACAAGCACTGTGTCAGGTCGACAAGTGTCGTGGAGCTCTAGATGAGGACATCACTGCGGAAGAGGTTATCGAGACCGTCCTGAGCGGGCTTGGCACGTCTAAGCAAGATGTTATGGATTGTCTTGCTCGATGGAGTCAGCCGCTCACTCTGCGACAACGATGGCTCGGCTCAAACCGCTACAGTGATCGCCTGCTAGCTCGATGGTCGATCATCCGCAGTTGAGGGTGGCAGAGGATCTCGATCCCACTGACCGGAGGTCCTCTGCCCGCAATATACAGTGTTTACTTTAACAAGTTCAGTTCAGATACCCCAGGCTCTGTCGCACACGGCAAGCCGCCTTGAATAGGCGAAATTTGGCGTTTCGGGGATGGCATCAAGGTGGGATACTACACATGCAACCTACATGGCATGACTGGCGTTCTGGCACGTGGAGTTTCCGAGTTGGCGACTCGTGCACATATTCTATAGCTTTTAGGCTTTGGCCTCAGGGCATTCCTCAATTGTACAGCCCGACTTTCTGGATTTGGGAATCTTGGATATTTTGGGGCTTAGATCAATCGTGGCTTGCGCTCGCTACCGGCTACGTCGACTCAATCCGGGCTGGTCTGCATGCAGTCTTCATGCGAGTTGCAGGGATGCCCCGCACCTACCAGAAACCCTCAGCCCTGTACCGCCAAAGCGGTGAACCTCAAACTCCTGTGGATGTTAATGCTCCAAGAGCTCGTGCTGAGTGTAGATCAAAGATGTAAGACAGTAGGGAGACCTTTGGCAGACTTGCGCACGCTACGATGAGTCCTTTGGTCGATCAGTCAGTGAAGCCATTTACCGACAATGTAGTCACAATTCCGGCTTTAGAGAACATCACTTTTAATGCCCAAAAGCACGCCCGAACTTGGAAGGCCAGGCTTCCGAATCCAGGAAGCCGAGAGCTTAGTAGATTCTCCCGGGAAGTAGAAACCCTACGAACCCCGCTGCCTTCTCCCACTCCCCCGTACTTATGCATGACCTCGTGTTCTAGCATCAGCTCCAACGCAGCCGAGTCGACCTTAGGTAACCGCTGTACAGATTCGTTCTCGCTGCATACCCTCAGCCAGCTGAGGCGTTGCTGAAGTCGACCTGCTGGCTTACATTCTCTTCAAACCCTCTTTACGCTTTCCTTGAAATCGAGCCTCGCGCAAACTCCTGGTTGGCCAACAATATCGTTGTTTTGAATGTCATGCAAGGGTTTCCTGTGCATTTGCTGTAAGGTCAGAACGTGGCTCATATTGACCGCATTGGCGAAGTTCAGGTAGGTGGAGGCTTTCGTGGCCTCAAGCAGCATATGAATGATGAACGACGCTCTGTATCTATGGTTCCTGCGAACATCTGCTTCTACCAACAGCCAATCGTCATCCCACCGCAAGACACTGGCAGGCTTGATTCAAGCAGAACACATCGTGTGGGATGGTCGAGTTAAGAGACGACCCAGTACGGTCTAACCTAGACAGCATTCTGCATAGGGACGATTCAAATCGACCTAAGGCCGTTCGCATCGACTCAAAACCCAAGCTATCACCCCTTCAGATCCCTGCGACGTTCTCAGACACTATAGAGAATGTAGTCCCCGAGCCACCACCGCGCGACCAGGGACTCGCGGCATATACAATTCTCTTCGCCGCGACGACAATTTCATCCTTCCCGTGCGGTACGACGCATTCCTTCCATACCAGTTCGATCCACTTCCTATCAATAAAAGTCTGCCTTGTCCCAGCACTAACATACATTCAGGCTTTTACCTCAGCTACGGTGTATATCAAGCATACTATCACACAGCATACCCAAATGCGACGAACTCAGCATGGATCGGGTCCTTGAGCTCCGGTCTCCCCTTCCTCCTGGCGCCCCTCATGGTGTACATCTGCACGCACACAACCTTCTCCCGGATACACTTCGTATGGGTCAGCTGGCTGCTGGGCATCATCGCCCTCGTCGGCGCCGCCTTCTCGTACAACACCAACAGCCTTATCGTGACTCAAGGCCTGCTCTTCGGCCTAAGTATCGTCATAGGCGACAACCCCTTGCTGATCATCGTCAACACATGGTGGCGCAAGCACCGAGGGCTTGCATACGGGGTCATCTTCGGTGTATGCGACCTCTTCGGGGTAGCGTGGAGCTTCCTCGGCGAGTACCTGCTTCGTAAAGTAGGGCAGAAGAAGACATTCTTGATCTTCGCGGCTGTGCTCTTCGCAGTGCCCGGTCCCTGCTTGCTGTTGATGAAGGAGAGGGGTTCGAAGACTATCCTGCATAAGTCAACCTTGATGTCAGGCACGCCGAAGTCGGCTCATTCTGATTCAAGGCGTGGGTCTCACGACACACAGGGTGTTAGAGAAGCTATCGACGAGTCGATCATGAGCCCATCGGAGGCAATTACGAGCTGACCAGGCGAGATACTCCGCCGACGAAGAAAAGATTTTGGCGGCGACCGCTGTTCTATGTCTTTGGACTCGCAAACTTCGTGCAGAGTCTAGCTTTCTACCTTCCACTAATCTACCTACCAACCTACGCCCTCCAAATCCACCGTCAATCGAGCAACAACGACGACGACACGAACACAAAAGAGGCCCACGCCAACCCGCTCGGCGCACAAACCCTCGCCCTCCTCAACCTCGCCCAAATCCTTGGCGAAATCCTCTTCGGTCGCCTCTCCGACCTCCTTTGTGTCCATCTCCTCGCCCTAGCCTCTACCTCCATCGCCTCGCTCTCCACTTTCCTTCTGTGGGGGTTCGCCACAAACAAAGGCACTCTCCTGGCTTATGGGTTTGTGTTCGGCTTCTCCGGAGCTGGGTGGTTGGCGCTGTGGGCGCGAATGGGTATGCTGTTTGGGGAAAAAGATTCGATGATGGTGTTTGCGCTTCTAAATGCTGGGAGAGGTGTAGGAGGAATCATTAGCGGGCCTGTTAGTGTGGCATTACTGGGTGATGCGGTGAGGAGAAAGGAAGGGGCCGGAGGATGGGCCATGGGCGTCGAGCACGGGAAGTACAGAGATCTGACCATCTTCGTCGGTGTGTGTATGGCTGCTAGTGCATTGTTGTCTGTGGTAAGTTTCGTGATCGATCGGCCGGAGAAAGAACAGAGCAGCGCCGCCACCAGCATGCCGCAGAGGAAGAGTGAGAAGCTAATGAGGAGCCTGAGTTCGACGAGCCGCAATTCCGCGAGGACGAGAAGGAAGAGCAGTGCAGCCTCGGCAGCAGCTTCCGTCGGAGCCCACAACGAGAAGGCGCTTCCATCAATCGAGGAAGCCCTGCCGCCCCTGCCGCAACAAAGCTTTCTGCCGGAGAAGCAAGGACATATTCCTGGGATTCTGCCGCAGCGGGACAGCGAGGCGACTCAGCATGTGCTCGACGGCGTCCTGCGAGATCTGGAACGGTCAATGCGGGAACAGAAACGCACGACCGAGAGCCAGGGTCTGCCCGAGAGTACTGAGCCTCGAATTGATGCGGGAAAGGACGTTGCAAAACTATAGCGGACAATACAACTTATTCATTACATCTCCTGTCAGGATATTTACCATGACTTTCAAGTCGCCGGTCGCGAGCGTGCAATGGGAGATGCATGGACTCCTGAGCTTATTCGCTTTGGCGACAAGAGCGAGCAAGGACGGGTAGATCGTTACCTGAAGACTTCCGAATCCACCGCCAAGGAATACCAAGCAGTATGACAGGGGTCTCAGCTCCACGAAGATAAGATAAGATGAAATTTTTTTCCTACATGCTCCTTTGGTACCCTGACACCCTACACCAAGTGGACTAAGCCAGCGGAATTCTAGCAGGCATGCGCGCGATATCGGATTATATCGGCGTCCTAACGGACTTGCGGCGCAGAAAGGACTACAGGACTGCGTGATTATTGCGACGGAATACTGCACAGGTCGGGTTGCAAGATGGCTAGGAGTGCCGAAGCGGATCCCAAACGTGAGGAACGTGGGCTTCTGGCGACGGCAAACCCACTCTGCCCACGACTCACAGCTTGGACTAAGTGAAAAGTCTTCCTGGTTGCGGTATTGGCCTCTCAGATCAGATAAGATTGGGCTTTCTCCCAGATGCTTCCCTGAGCTCCTCAACATTCAGCATGGCAGCAAGACCGCCCCAGAACCAGGAGCCTGGGCTTCAACAAGGCCACAACATCCAGCCAGATGTCTTCAAAGCTCCGGCTGAAGACGTTCGAGCCGTCTCCGAGAAAGGCTCGACATCTGTTTCGACGGATGATGCTTCACCAAATGATCGTCCTGAGCTAGTCATGCCTCGAAGCTGGAAATTCACTGCCATCGCCCTGGTATGCAGCATCAGCTTCGGAGCTGCGTGGTCCGCTCGACTGGCTGCCTCAATGAAGAGCACCATCAAGAAAGAACTTTCCATCAACAACACGCAATTTGCACTCCTGGAAGCCAGTGAGGAGTTCATGCAGACTGCTCTAATGATGCTGTCTGGCGTCGTCACTGATCGGATTGGCGGTGCTGGTACGAATTCCGATGCAATCGCCGTGTAAGACCAATCAAGCTAATGTCTGTTGATATAGCGGCCATTCTGTACGGAAACATCATTTTGACCGTTGGATCTATCATCATTGCGGGTGCAGCCACCGGCAAGTCCTACCAACTCAAGATCTTTGGTCGTATCGTTTCCGCCCTCGGAGATGTAGCGACTCAGATCGCCACATACAGGGCATTTGCAGGCTGGTTGGCCCCGAGTGCTGGCTTCGCAACCACAGTCGGTTTGGAGATTGGTATTGGAAGAATCGGGGGATTTCTAGGAAGCTCAACAGCCAATATCATTGCCAAGGTCCGCCCTGAGACCGCTGCTCATTACAAAGATTGCTAATATCTGGCTAGAACACTGGTAATTTCGCCTGGACCTACTGGGTAGCAGTGTTCGTGTCGCTGTTCACGAACGTTTGCACTCTGATCTTTTTCAAATTTACCAAGAAGGCTCACAACAAGTTCGCACCTGCCTCGGACGCCGCCACAGGTGAAGTACTGACCGAGAAGAACAAGCGCTTCGACTTCCATAAAGTTCTGGAGCTACCGTGGACCTTCTGGACCATCATGCTGTTCTCAATGGTCGAGACAAGCTGCGCCATCGTATACTCGCAGAATGCAACAGAGCTGGCTGAACATCGTTTCAAGGTAGATGCCGTAGAAGCTGGGTGGTACTCGTCACTGTCGCAATATGGTGGTGAGTTAAACCTCTGCATATTCAACATCCATACAGCGCCCTCCCTGGCCCGATCTCCATCCCCATCCTGCTTCTGTAAAGTGATGATTCGTACTTCCCATTGACGTTTCCCAGGTTTTGTATTCAGCGCTTTGTTCGGTGCCTTGATCGATGTATACGGCCATCGGCTAAGCTGGATGGCTGTCTGTGGCTTTGGTATGCTTCTATCCATGGCGCTGATCAATTGGTCTACAACGACGGGAGGCGTTGCAGCATCATATGCTACTTATGCCGTGTTCGTACGGATCGGGCCGGTGGTCATTATCGATGGCATCCGGTCCAGCATGTGGCATCAAGACGTCTTTGGAAGTGCCTACGCGGCAAAGATCACTATGAATAACGCGTAAGTCGATGACACCATCTATATTAGTCTATCACACGGACACTGACATTGTACAGCACCAATATCCTGGTGCGGATTATTGCGGGTGTTGTTCAAGACGCCGACGACAACTCCTATCACCGAGTCACCATCATCTATGTGTTCCTCGCCATGTCATCCCTAGTCATCTCGGTGGCTCTTCTCATCTGGTCTTGGTTTGCTGTCGACCTGCAATTGCTGCAGTACACTCGCAAGCGCAGAATAGCAAGGGGCACCTTCATCTTGGAGAGGAAGAGGCGCGCCTTGGAGGAGACCAAAGGTCGGAACAGAACCATCGGTACTTACTGCCTGTCAGCACTTCTGCTCTATGTTCTTGGCAGCTGGGCCGCATACTTCTGGGGGGTCGCAACAGGAAACAATTGAGCTCTGGGGTTTGACAAGGCTTGAGTGGTGGTCAGTGCTGGCTCTGATGACCGTCGGACTGGATTTTAACTTGGCTCAAGTGATTTTCACCGCTGGCTCAGGTGAACGTCGGACTGGATTTATCGCTGGCCGTATCAAGGCTAGCTGGTCATCTTTCGATGTTTAGATCTGCCTGCTAGAGGCCTACTGATGGAAATTTTCGGACTTGCGTGGTTTGGAATTCTGCGCGGTACGATGAAGAGATGTATTCAATGTGTCCTCCAACGTCCATCCGCATGAAACTGACGTCTGCTCGCCTCGGCCCTGCAGCGACCGCTTGGGACACAGGCGCACATCCAAAGATGTAACTCATGCGGCACACGTCGGCCGTCAGTCACGTTGATATTGTTGTACTTCAACGTACGCTGCTCACAAGGATATCGCCTTTACTTGCCACCTCTCAACCTCTCTCGGCCAGCCCCACGAGGTCCTCTCCATCGACCTTGCCCTCCACGTAGTCTTTTGTCTCCAATGCTCCGATCGTCTTCACAAAGAAATCCCTCGTTCCCTGATTCCACTCATGCCGCAGTGTCTTCCAGCTCAGCCTGCCCATGCCACCGTAAGCTACCTCCTCGACCTCTCGCGCGAGCGCTGACATCAGTGCCCGACCGTGCCCCTGGCGTCGGTGGGAGGCTGTGATGATCATGTCTTCGATGTAGATTCCTGGACCTGTCCAAGTTGAATAGGCCGGATGGTAGACCGCTAGGCCTATGACTGGGACAGTCTGAGAGTATTTAGGGGTGGGTGAAACTAGGAGAGCCCGGGCGTAGCCTTTGGTGAACTCTGTTGCTTGGGCGGCTGTTGCTGATGAGGCGTCGACTGGGAGGGATGGTTGTTCTTGGTCAGGAAAGCTAGGAAAGGCGAGGGTCTTTATGAGCATCTCCTCTGTGGTGCGGCATGACGAGAGCTGGCGTTCATGCTCGGCGAGCTCGCGGAGAAGGGCCAGGACGGTGGGGACGTCGGACTGAGTGGCGTAGCGGATTGTGTAGCTTGAGGTTTGGATTGGTGCTGGCATTTTTGGTGATTTTGGCCGCTGGTAGTGGAGGTGATGCGTGAGATCCGTTGAAGATCTGATAGTTGGGTAGCTGTGTTAGAGCTTTCAACTACGAACAGGCGACGTCGGCACAGATGTAGCCACGTTCAAGCTGGATGTCATATGCACTCGGATACCTTAGCTGGAGTTGACGCTGAGTCTAGCCGGCAGGTACGATGGCGCCTAGCACGAGCGCCTTACCATTCTACCAGCACTGTCATTGTGACTCTGATTCTGCCACATTTTCTAAATGCTGAATGCACCAACTCCTGTCACGTAACTAGGGCTGTTTGCAGCGTGTTCCTCATTGTGGACAGGCGCGCCTTCGCTACGAAGCGCTTGCGGAGCCGCTTGAATACAACAGGGCATTTTAAGCAGTCGAGGAGGCTACTGACGCTTAGAAGCGCCAGGTACTGACTTGCTTGAGAGTGCACGTCATACAGAAGCCACAGCCTGTGATACACTAAGATTGTTGTTTGGGCGGACGAAAGCTCCGGAATATAGTCGCGTTTGGCGGAGCCCTGCCAGACCGAGCTCTCGTGCGAGAAGACGATGCTGCTCGTTGACGCTACACTGAAGGGACAGCACCCGAGTCACAGGTGTTCTATGTGTGCCTGCTAGGCTCGTGCTTAGACAGGCAGGACTTGCCAGAGTTGTGGAATCCCCCAGAATTCAGGAGCGTGTCGTGTGCTGAGGCTTGCGCCAAACCGGTTGACTAGACTGGTCCGCGGCTACGCCGGTTGACAATTGCACCAGCGGTTGAGCAATATCTGACGCCGGTTGACACGACCAACGCCCTCGGGCCTTTGAGCAAGCAGAACGGTAGGAAGATGGGAAGATACACAGCACATCTGCCCAGGGAGGCCGCTGCCTCGATCTCTGCTACCGCAAGAACTGCCGAAGCCGATACGCATTTTCAAACAGCATACATCCAGCCTAACGAAGTCTGAGCCTCCCCGAGTTCCGCAGAACAGCGCCCACACCAACGGCTGCCAGGCCCAGCACTGTGTAACCCATAGTCTGATAGCTGACCAAGGACTCCTCTCTTACGCGGCCCAGGTGCGTGCTTTCCTTGCCTCCATCGTTGAACTCCGCCGCCACGGTGCCCTCCAGGTCGAAATCGCTCCAGTCGATCTTGCTCAGAAGCTGGAACAGGAACATGTCAGCATTACTGCCTTTTTCGTTTAGAGACCGGAGAAGAAACTAGAGCAGAAGCCAGAGTAGGAATTAGAACAGGAACCAGAGAAGAAACTCACCTTCTGATAATCAACCACATTCCTGCTCCAATTCTGCGTGATCTTCCCGTTATCCTTCCGCTTATACCACGAATTGCAGTTCGCATCAGCGAAGCTGCTCCTCTGCAACTCCTCCTGAATCTCCTCATTGAACCTTTCCACCCGCTCACTCCTTGGCGTAACCGACAGACTCCCGCCCTCAGACCTGGCCTTAACCACCTCACTCACCATGCCCGCGATATACTTTGCCTGCGCCTCGATCATCAGAATGATGCTGTTGTGCCCCAAGTTCGTGTTTGGCCCGTACAGCATGCCAAAGTTAGGCATAGACTCGATGGTCACGCCATAGAGTGCTTGCCCGCCCTCCTTCCAGACGTCCTTTAGGGTTCTGCCGTTCTTGCCGGTGATGGTAATCGGGTGCATGAATTCGACGGTGCGGAAGCCTGTGGCAAGGATGATGAGGTCGTAGTCTTCAGTGGTGCCGTCTGTGGTGATGCCTGCGGACGTGATGCGGTCGATGGAGCCCGTTTCGAGGCGGACGTTGGAGCGGTTGAAGACGGGGAAATAGTCGTCGCTGTAGTTGGCAGTCAGTTCATGCGCCATACCATCCAGCACCAGCCTCAAGAGCAACAACTCACCTGATGATCACCCGCTTACACCCAACCTTATAGTTCGGCTCCAACTTCTTCCACAACTCCTCCCTCCCCGCCAACTGACTCTTCATCAACACCCGATGCGAGTCCTCCAACATCTTCGCAAATGCGCTCTCATTATCCGTCACCGCATCATAAAACGCCTCTCTGAAATCCATCATATCGCTCCTCTTCCGCCATCTCACGGGCGGCACCCACTTGTATAGACTCCTTTTCCAGCCCGAGATCGGCGCGTCCGCCCGTGGGATGATCCAATTGGGCGTCCGCTGATGAATGGTCAGACTTCCCACCTCCTTCACGATCTCCGGAATAATTTGCGCAGCAGTGGCGCCATTGCCGATGATGGCGACTTTCTTGTCTTTGAGACTGTAGCCCCAGTCCCAGCGTGCGCTGTGCATTACCTTGCCCTTGAATTCGTCTAGGCCCTCGATGTCGGGCATGCGTGGGACATTGAGCTGACCAACGGCGCTTACGACGTAGTCGGTGTTGATGGTATACTCCTCTCCAAACTCGGCGTCTTTGCTTGAGGTTACGCGCACAGCGACATTCCATTCGTTGGTCGATTCGTCCCAGGTCATGGTCTCGACCTGGGTACCGAAGCGGATCAGAGGCCAGATGTTGTATTTAGCAGCGACCGAGACCAGGTAGCGGAGGATCTCCTCCTGGCCGGGGTATTCGCGTGTCCAGTCGCTGTTCTGCTCGAAAGAGAAGGAGTAGAGATGCGACCACACGTCGCAGCAGCAGCCGGGGTACTTGTTGTCGCGCCAGGTGCCGCCGAGACCGGTGGACTTTTCAAGTATGATGATGTTGTTGATGGGAGGACTTGACTGGAGGAGAGATATCGCGGTGCATATTCCGCTGATTCCGGCTCCGATGATTACTACGGCGGCGGATGTGTGGTCTTTGTTGCCCACAAGCACTTGGGGCCAGGGTTTGTCTCCCGTCATTCTGCTGTCGACGTTGTTGACGTCTGCGTTAAGACAACGCCCCGTTACGCGTGTAGTATAAAAATATAATCCTTCAAGATGCTAGCTGCACCTGCCGCTGCTGACGAGGACAACGAGCGCAATGGTGGGGTGGTGTCCACAGTCTCTGACTCGAATGTTCGTGCCTGTTCTCTTTCGATTTACGTTTCTAGACCCCTGACAAAGATCAGTATTGCATGCACGCGTTGTGGACAGAGAAGAAGAGAAAAGTCTGGAAGTCGTCATCGTGATATATCTTTGCTTCAACCTGCATTCAACTTGCTCTAGCCACTGGCCAGTGCATGCCGCTGGTCCAGAGTCCACATAGTTCTTCCTAGAGCGTTTCACATAGCTCTACGAGCATCCGGGCCTTCCAAGCGTCGATCGAATTAGTGAGTTTGCGGGGTAGGAAGCCTCCTTACCGCCACTGCCTCGGCAACCAGCAGCATACTTGGCAACAGATTGTTGACTCATGAGAAGCGGTCTCAGTATCCTAGGCGGCTGATCTAGGCTGAACGTACGCACCGGACGTGATTGACGTACTGAGCGAAGGTCCAGATTCGATCGCTCGGGACATTTTTGTTGCCTTGGGCGCCTTGTTCCGCCTAAAATGGATTTCTCGGCGTAGAAAGCGCGCGGCTCTGATTTCCGTGGCTTCGAGGTCCGCGGTGCACGGTACGGCATCGCCGCGTAAGATCGCGTCCACGCTGTACAATGCCAATTGAGCCGAGCTCGAGGTTCGGCACGGCAAGTGAGGCAGGACGTGCTCGGTTCGCTGCACTTTCATGCCGGTTGAGCGCGCTGCTTTCAGATGTTCTCGCCGCGAATAGAATGTCCTTGTCGTGTGAGGTCTGCGGGTTTCTGACATGCAAAGTTAGGACTGCTCGAGATCGGATGCACGATCTTGTCGAGGAGACCGCCGGTCCTGGATCTGGGAGACTCAGCCTCTTGAGGTGAATGGTACATTCGTGGACTTCGATTCCGGTCTTCTTGTCTTCCAGAAGAACATGCGTTGTCCGCAGCTGATGTGCTCAGCGCAAGAAGTAGAGCACCAACCCGCAGAAGGTGAAAAAGACAGCCACGCCACCCCAAAAGATCCACTTGTCCTGCATCGCTCTCCGTTCCACCATTCGGATGGTATCACCACTGATGCCCAGCGTGTTCGCCACAGAGTACAGCCTCTTCTGCGTCCCCTTCAGTATCTCCCTCTGCTGACCAAGGTCACCCAGCACCGCCCTCCCCCGGTCTAGAAATTCGTCCAGCTGGGTATTGGCTGTCGCAAAGAAGTTCTGCTCCCTTAAAGCATGCTCCTCCCGCGAAAAATTGCCCTGGCCGCCGCTGAAACTCAGACCATCCTGTGTGTTCCCATGTGCGGGAGCGAATGGACCACCTCCCCCACGCGAATTACTTGAGGCATGCGCGTAGGGATTCTCTGGCGTAGCAGCGTGATGGGGCCTTCTTCCTAACAGCTCACTCTTCTGACCGACGTGGATGGCAGCCTCCCGTTCTTTCTTCAGGTGGTCATACTGTGCTCTGTAGCTTGCTAGGTCGCCTCGGAAGTTCTTGATGCGCTCAACAGCCTTGTCCTTCTTCTCAGCATTGAGTTCGCTGCGTGATAGATTTTGGTAGTCGTCGAGCGTGCGAGCGAACGAGGTCAGAGTTGTTGAGATCTGACCCTGGAGAGCAGGCGAGGCGGTGGAGGGCGCCGAGGCAAATGTGTCAAGGTCTCGTCGGAGATTCGTGGATTGTTTGAGGGCAGAGTTGAAGAGGGGGTTCTGTTGAGGGGCATTGTGTTAGGCTGTGAACTATTGGGACTGGAATGGTCATAGTCACCATGATCGTAGTTGAGTAGCTGCTACATCGACCAGCGAGAGGACGTAGCAGATCGAGCGGCGCGTCTTACTGTAGGTCTGGACTTGTATGCTTCATGCGACGTGGTCTGAATGTTCGCGACAAGGCTGCGATGACGAGGCTGAGTTCTAGAATACGAGAATGGGCATGAACCTTGATGTTGCTTATCGAGAACAGCATCATATTACCGGATCAGCTGAGTATGCTTTGACGTTGAGCCTCCACGATTGACAGCATGGGTTGTGTAGCTATGAGTGTGGACAAGCAACTGTCCTCAGTGCCTGCGGCAACTTCAGGATCATTAACGGCTTCCCGTCCTAGGAACTGCCAGGCGCCAACACGGAAGTGCTGCATGTTCTCTTGCCGCAATCCTTGAATTCCTCCTTCCTCCTGACAGGCAGCGAAAAGGCTTCATGCTGGGCAGATAGCTGCCATCCCCGTCTCAACGGACTGACTCTATCTGGATCATTAGCCATGGAGATTGGTCTACGCAGGTGTGAGGCCTGGCTCATGCTCCATTTCCATCAACGATGGACCAGGCCTTGTTTCTCGATCGGAGTATAAGCTCCAGTGACTGATCTGCCTTCCTCACGGATGATCTTGAGCTGCACAGTGTTGTACAGGCATGCGGACAGGTTGATGAGCTCCAAAACCGCCACCGCAATACTCGCATACCAGACATAGGTCTGTCCGATGTGTCAGCTAATAAACCGAAGCGGAAAGCGGCCTGTTGAGCCATCGCTCGGACGACGCTGACTTACTAGCTCATGGCAGACTGTCAAAAAGGTAACCCCTCCCTTGACTTCGTATTCTTTGTGTGTACAAGTCCATGTCCAGATATCGTTCTGCGACTTCTTCCCAGTATCCCAAGCCTTCCAATATGCGGCTGCGGCAACAGCGAGAGCAAAGGCCACTCCACACGATGTAATCGCTGCCAAGGGACCGAAGACGGAAGCGCGAGCCTTTCGAAACTTTTCACAGCCGCGTCAGTAACACGCATACTGAAGTCCATCTGGAACGAAGAGATCGGAGACTCTCACCATTCCAAGCAAAGTCACCAATGCCAGCACGTTCAAGACCGCCGCCACAGCTGAAGCTCCCAACAACAGGTACGTGGGTCGCCAGGTTGGCGCCGTGGGCGGCCATGCTGGGAGCATAGTCCCTTTGGGGTACTTCCACCGATCTTGTGCCGTCTTATGGTAGAGCACAAGACTGTGTACCAGCAGGCCGATGATTGTCGCGGACAATGCGAAAGACAGGAATCGGAGCACGACTCGAAAGGCGTGAGGTATGCCGACATGCTTTCCGGGCAGTCTGCTGAGTCTTCCTCGAGTCTTGGAAGAGCTGGGCAAAGACATGCTATGCGGATCCGCAAGGAGCGTCCTGCGGGCGTGAGAAGACGGAGGACCAGATGACTGATGCCGGAAAGGCTCCATGGTGCGAATAGCAGGGTGAAGACCGCCTGATACGATTGTGACCGAGCGCGAGTCGTGAGGTGAGTGCTGCCCGGAGTAACGGTCGATATATCTGCAAGTGCCTCCCGGTGTTGCTGCTGAGTTAAAAAGCCCGGCATCCGTGTCGGCTGATGATATTTAGATCTGCGACTAGTACACTACACGTCAAATGTTGTCAGCACTGTTGGCGTGCGCCAGGCGGTCTCTACATAATCTAGGATGTTTCAGCAACCATCCTTTCGAGTTACGCCCTCCTTTGGAGCCTGCCCAATTGGAACAAAAGCGCATGGTGTTCGGACGTTGAGGTGCCCCTGCGACAAGGCCATGTGCGCCGCTTGAGCAGGAATAACAGCCGTCTAGCCAGATCAGGAGAATCGACAGGCCTTTTGCTCGCCGCCATCCATGGGACTCTACATGGCCGCTTGATCTTTTACGAGTTCTCCACTGTGTACCTGCATGAAAGATCGCCGTGATCCTTGACCGAGTCAGGAGCAATTTGGAAAGCAACGGACGCTGCGGATTACTCACAGGTCGTGGAGGAAATCACACGCCGAGCAGTCTAATAGGTAGCTCTACGCTGCGTGCGCAAACGAAAGGGGCAGTCGAAGTCCTTCGCCCCGTCTCTTGAGTCGACACAAGCATTGTCAAAAGCTTCAGATTGCTTAAGGGGCTCCGGCTCGCGATATCGAATATCCTCGGGCTTCATGGTGGAGCGATCTAGACACCGATGCGCTGAATCGCTGATTATATAACAGACCCCATCGCTTAGGACATCCGCAAATTACCCAATGGGGAAGCAGGCTGGTACTACCTATCCCGTCTACGCATATAACAACTCCAAGCGCATCCGTGCCTTCTGAAGCCCTTGGCTATATTTGGCTGAGCTCGTCCAGCTTGAGATTACTTGGGGCCAAGCGGCCGAAGCACTGGCGTGATGTCTAGTGCTGAGGTTTGGCTATGCAAGTGCTGCTGCTAATGGTCAAGGATGGCGCCGACTCAGGGACAAAATGCAATGCTGGAATTGCGATCGGACGGCCTCCGACCCGCTGGACCTCATATATCCTCTCCTGGCAACGACAGCAGGACAAGCGCGTATCGGTTCATCCGCTCAACGTCCTTCCCAAACCACGTTCTGAGCAATCATGCGGCTCCATCATCTCATTGTCTCCCCTTTGTGCCTATCGCTACTCGCTCAAGCTCATGATGTCTCTATTCCCGACCGTCCACGACTGTTCGCCAGACAGGCCAAACCTCCCTGCAACGATCCCGATTCAAGCGGAGATCACAACCAAGTCAGGACTACGTTCAACCTTGCAGGAGCCGGGAATGTCATCCTCGACACGTTGAGCCTTCTTGATGGAAGGCCCAACTTTCCCAACGAGCTCGTGGCAGGCCATCGACTCTTCGCCTTCGACTTCGATTGCTCGAACCTCGACGACGGTTCAAAATGCGTGGCGCCGACTGGTCCTGAAGGAAACATCTGCAGTGCTCTGACTTCGAGCAATACAGACGCTGTCGTCTTGATCATAAAGTCCTATGTCAACATGTTCAACTTCCTACAACGGTCGAAGAAAGCTGCGCAGACAGCTAGAGACCAAATCAAGTCCTCCGCCTACCTCGACACTCTGCGCAGCGATATCACACCCGGCAAGGATGTCCTGGCCGCCGTGTTCCTCCAAGTTCTCGAGATTGGCATTTCCTTCATTCCTGTAGGCGGCATCGAGCTGGTGGCTGTCAAAACGGCTGTGAAAGTCTTCAAGAAGATCTCCGAGCAAACAATCAAATCTGCCGCCAAGGACGTCGACAAAGCCAACAACAAAGACCCGCCCAGCATCGAGGCTCTTCAAGCGCAGCTGGATGAATTGCTGAAAGTCTTCCAGGATGCCGTGACGGCGCAGCATAAGCAGATCTTTGTCGACGCCAACCCCGGAACTGGCACGGACAACCCGCAATTCGGGTGGCTGGCGGACGGGATCCAGCTGCCGCTGACGATCAGCGAGGCGGACTTGACGACGACCATTGTGGATAGCATGAAGAACTTCATGCTGTCGAGCTATATCGCCAGCTTCCAGGGACAGATTGTCAAGGCTGTAAGTCGCCCACTCCTGTCAGGTCCACTGTCCACGCTTTCCATGCCCGCGTTCTTATCCATCTCTCACTCCCCCTTACCACCAATTCCTCAAGACTGACCCCTTCCAGGAACAACTCGACATCGAACGCCTCGGCATCAAATGCGCCGACTCCAAGCACCCAACCGAACTCCTGATCCACAACTCCGACGAAACCGGCGACACCTGCTTCTCCTTCGGCTACCCCAAAACCACCGTCTTTCAGGCTTCCTCGAGGGCCAGGAACCCGCCAACAAGAACACGTTCGGCAGCGGGCAGTATGCTAAGGGTGTGGATTTTCCGGCGATCATCAACAATGCGAGGAGTTGTAAGGATAGTGGTGGGGATATTACGAAGGTCGATATTGGGAAGTTCTTGGATGATCCGGAGAGGACGGTGCCGGAGTGTTTGTTTGGGTTTCCGGTGAAGGATATTTGAGGGTTGTGTCGGAAGTATTTAGCATGAAGCTTTGAGGTGAGTCCTTGACAATATGGAAAGAAACTTGTACAAAACAAGACCACAATTGCTCAGAGACCAGCACCGACATCTGTAGGTACTGACTGCGAACCAAAGTTGGGTAGAAATCGAGTAGAGACATTCGAGGCATTGAACACATATATCAGGAGGTACAGGAAGAGAAAGCTGACGTCAAGGCACAGAAAGCGAAGGCATTGGTTCAACGTAATTGAAAGATGCTAGAAGCAGGATACAGCAGGCTCTGAAGCACAGGCGAAACAAATTGGAAGCGAGCGATATACACGTTGACGACTGGAATCATGAACATCGGCAACAGAGAAGGAATTGCGATGCGCCCCGGTTACTGGACCAGGGCGGCCTTCATGGTGTTACATACACTGACCTGCAGAGCTGGAAGTCAAAAGTCTTAGAAGCAGGTGTCAGCGTAGTCTGAAGCAGAAGTGAGGGATATCAAAAGCGAAAGTCACGAAGATCGAAGGTTCGAACCACGAATATTAGAGTCAGAAGAGAGAAGAGAAGATATTCATATTCTGCCCGGCTGTCTTGCCAGGGCGGCCTCTGCGGCTATCGTAAAATCTGATTTTCGTAAAGCAACGAAAACCGAAGCACCCACCACCCCGCTCTCGCTCCCGCTTCCCACCCCCTAAGCACCCTCCTCGACCTCTCCCTTGAGCCTATGCGTGCTCACACCAGCGACGCCCGACGCGAACTCCTCCACCTTGTTGCCGTACGCACGCGGAGTGAGCTTGAAGAGGGTGTGCAGCGGAATCTTGACCCAGGGGGACTTATCGGAGCCAGTTTCGTTGAAGTACGCCCAGATGCAGCGCAGAACAGCCTGGTGGGTGATGATCATGACGTTTCCGCCACGCTCCAGCTCCATGATGATTGGTTCGAGACGCTTGACGACGTCGTAGTAGCTCTCGCCGCCCGGGTACCGATAGTTGTATTTGTCCTCGTCGCGTCTGGCGAAGTCCTCTGGGTACTTCTTCTTGATTTCCGCGTAAGTCATGTGGTCGCAGATGCCACCATCGATTTCGTCAAGGGCTTTCCACTCCAGCTTGCTGTAGCCGAGCTCCTCAACCACGTGTTTGGCGGTCTGGTTGGTACGCTTGAGTGTGGAGGTCCAAACGACGATCTTCTCATCAGTAGGAAGACCAGACTTGATCAGGAGCTCTGGCAGCAGCTTGGCGTATGCTTGTCCGTTCTTGGTCAGGTCAGCGTCTCCTCCGATCTGCTTCGTCAAGTTGTATTCGGATTCACCATGTCGGGAAAGCCAGATAGAGCGAGGTTTGATATGAAGGTTGGTCAGATAGTAGACAATCCGGGTCTGGAGATAGTCCATCATGCGGTTGATTTCGATATGATTGCCGACATTGGCGATCTTGACGTAGGTATACTCCTTTTCGTCGCGCCGTTGATAGACTGATAGACCTTCTCGTAGTTCTTGATGCGCTCACGGAAGTCTTTCGCAGCAAGCTCGGGATCTTGGCTTTGGGGTTGGTCAGTAACGAACTCCGAGCCATGGGGATTTACATACCCAACATAGTCTGGAGAGGTAGTCTTCACGTCAAGAATATTGTGCATGATGATATCCTCGTCGTCGCAGATAGACTCGATGAAGATGTCTAGTAATCCATCAGTCAAGTACAAAAGCCGTGGCGCAGTACTTACGGAGCAGACCAGCGGCGGTGATCTTGTCGTAGATCCACTTGCGACGTTCTTTGGTAGAGTTGGTAGCATCGAGAATGCCGACCTTGTTACTGCTGTCCTTGAACCACTCCAGCATGTCGGCGACGGCGGCTTCTGCGGCAGCTTTCCGGGCACGCTCGCCATCTTTGTTGGTGGTATCGAAGAAGTTGGCACCTGGATGAGGGTTGTCGGTACGACGGTAGCTGCCTACGTTGAAGATCTTTGCGATGACGTTCTGCCACTTGAGGAATCTGACGACCTTGCCGGCGATCAAGGACTTGCCGCGAGCTGGCAGACCGACCATGACCAGGACGATTTGGCGCTGTTCCTTGCTCTAGAAAGATAGTTAGCCCCATTCAAGTAGTCAAAAAGCACGCGTACGAATAGTTCGCCCGGCTCGAATGGCTCCACTGCTCCATGATAGCGAATCCAGTTCGGGAGACCTTCCTGCTGGCTGGAGTAGGGTCCGAGTATCATCTTTGCGTTCTGTGCGGCGATTTCGACGCCAACCTCCAGGGAGGACTCTGATGACATGATTGATCGAATTTGCGAAGTTTAGGATTGAGAAGTTGTGGTCGAGAAATTGTAGCCAGGGAGGACTCTGTTTGGAAAATAACTGTCCTACAAGCCGCAGCCTGTTCTCAAGCCGCGCGAGGGGTATCACTTTGGTTGCCAGCAACATATGCCAACAGCCACATCCCAGCAACACTTCCTCAAACGCCAGGAGAAGGTGAACTTGCCGATTCATTCTTGCCATGCTGAGTCACAGCAATCTTGGGCTTTAACATTGTGCACAAGATCACTACTTCTCTGTGCAGTGCCCTTTCCTTGGCTGTTGTGTTTTCGGCAACTCCACGATGCCTGCCTCGCCATACAGCACGCGTGCTATCGTTCTGTCCTCGGAAATGACACCATGCGCTGCTCTGCGACCTCAATATACATATAGCGAATATCTCAGCGCCGAATTGGCCACAGCGGTACTTTCGTCGATGTCACCTGACCAGCGGACAGCGCAGAATCTGCTGTTGGACGTTCAACAACGAAAGCTGCTCATCATTGTGCATGCAGGTCGGAGTATTTAGGAACGGCATTTTCTGTGTCGTCCCCGCAAATCCCTCCCACCAATCGATGATGGTGGGTGCGAGCCTCGGACCCTTTCTCGTGGAATGCCTGGGCTTCCCGCTGAACCGGGGCGTTCGCAGGGCCCAGCGCCTGCTCCAGACGTTGCCTCAAAAAGGGTCTCCTCGGCTTCGACTACGCTCGTTGAGGACCGCTGTTCGAGCAAGCTGCCTTTCGAGGCGACAGGGCCGCCAGGACGACTCGCCATGTTCATGTGATATCGACTGGGGCGGCCGCTCCTCGCATGGGGAAATGCTTTCCGTTGGACCCGGACGTCCTTGGCCTGGGCGTGTTCATTCCAGGGGCGGATATGAGCGCCTCACGAGCAACAAGAGTCAAGCATCATGACAGCTCACTTACGTTCTTGACTGCCCATGTGGACGCCGAAGCGGCACTGCGCTGGTACTCTGTTGCCGCCATTTCGACCGTGCACAAGACTTCTTTGCTTGGTGGGGGCTTGTATGCAGCACCGCTCAATGACAGGGGCACAGCGACTCGAGCAGCCCCAACGGCAGTCCGGGAGGACGCCCTGGCAGGCCTTCGTTCTAGGCTTGTTCGTCAGCGGCTGATGGTGTCCTGTCTTCATTGCTGTCAGCAATCGAAACACGTTTCCTTGTTTGAGCATCTGGTGTTTACCTTTATCAACGGCCTGAGACGCTTAATGGTTCAACCTGATTATGGACGGGCAACCGGTGTTTGGGCTTCGGGATTGATCGGAATCGCTGAGGAAAAGCGCAGCAGATGATGTGTTCGCTCTCGCAGCTCCGAGCTGGTGTAACGCTGATGGAAGAGAGCCTCGAGGATCAATGTTTTCGAGGGAAATGGTCTTGGACAAGGTACCCATTGTCTTGCTAGCTCACAGGTGAACAGACTGGCATATAGAGCACTGGCAGGCTTATCACTGCGGGGCAATCAGGGCCTGTTGCCTTATCAAACGCGTTTGTAATGAAGCTGCGGCCGTTCCCGCCTTCTCTCTACGTACTTCACTACCTGCCAGAATCTACAACATTTCAAGCAAGCCATCATCACCACAATTCATTATTCATTCACAAAGGGCAAAGGATCTTTGTCACAGGCCGGATATCTTGAGCAGTTGTCATGGAAGGATGCTGACCATTCTAGCATCCGAGTTCGACAGCGACTATTTCTGAAGGCCTTATGCGAAGGACTGGAATTCACCTTCACAGGCAAAGCAGACGCCCGACGAACGAAGGCTCCGTAAGCGCCATTGATGGACGCACCACTACGCAGAACCCTGACATACCAACTCAGGCTTGCCGTACCCTAGAGCGTCTGCCGTGCTGCCGCATCGCGTCGCCTGCTCGCTCGCAACGGAGGCTCTGGTACCCTCCAATAAGATGGTCTCCGGCCGATCTATAAGCTCAGCACAACCAGTCTGACCGTTGACAGCATTCGCAACCCTGCAACAGCCCAGGCTCTAGCCCGTCCCTCCACAAGCCATGGGCATAGCGCTCGCAATCTGTGGTTCTTCATTTCTGGCCTTTTTTAGCGAATGTTCGCTCCAGCAAACTATCATGGCAGATGAAGATAACGTCTCTCCGAAGAGTTCCTTCCTGGCGCTCAGGATGCTCCTTGAAGTATTCGTCAAAGGCTTTTCGGAGCTTGCGATACTTGAGCTTAGCGTTCGGGAACCTCGTCTGTAAGATATTGCGACAATTCGAGCAGACCTTCAGTCCACAGCCATGTCGGTTTGGTGTCGAAAGAGGCTTGCGCAACTTATCGAGGGTTTGCTCGGCGCAGCATCGATATATTGCTGGCTGGGTACAGATGCTGCATGGATCCAACTCTAATTTGTTGCCGCGGTGCTCGCCGTGACGGTCGAGCAGCTGTTCACCGTAAAGCTTGCGGCGCTCCTCAAAAGCCTCTGGATCGCCGAGATCAAGTCTGGAGTAGCTGTGGCTACGGCAGGACATGATATGCAATCTCTGGACCGAGCAGAACAGACACATCTGAGTCGGTGGTCTACGAGGCCCTGGACCGACCTCAAGATATTGAAACTGCGCACTATTTGGATGCCGTCGCAAGGCCACAGTTCGCTCCCCTTGACCCCACACTCCCAAAGCTGGATTGGCGCAGAAGTGACAGTTTCTGGGATAGCTCTTGAAGGAGATGGGATGCGTCCAGCGTGTTGCGAGGTGGAACAGACCATCATCGTCAGGCACAACGATCACAGTCAGCGTCTTCCGCTCGTTACTACCAGCACTATCTGCCGCCTCAAATCTGAAGATGCGATCGACCTCTTGATCCTCGTCGTGGTAGAATTGTGGACCCCAAACTTGTGCTTCTTGCGGCAAAGATGGCACTGGAGTTGGTGACATTGACGACGAAGGACCTCCATTCCAGTTTGAAGCATGGGAGTTTGTCCGAGGCGGTGTTACCAGGCCGGACTGAAAGTTGGGTTCATCAGGAGAGTCGGCACGATCCTTGCCCTTCCGGCTGGGCTTCTTCGCCTTGGCCTTCTTCTTGTCCTTTCGAGGCGTCTTAGCAACAATGGATGGAAGCTGTCGAGCTTTCGGGGCCAACGCCAGGTGGCATACACACCCGACGCCAAAATTATGGCACTTCTTGCACTCCACGCGTGGGTCGAGACCTGCGACTGGCTCCCACTTCTCGATGTCCATATCTTGATCTTGAGTCCTGCTGGCCGTTACTGCAGACTTGTTATTCTTCGGAACCTGGGCAGTATCGTCGTCGGACTGCGGAGATTGGCTGCGGCTATCGAGCTCTCTGGAATCATTGATCAAATTGGCGACCTTGCGATTTCTCAATGCTCGCCCTCCATGATTATCGACCAGAGCGGCCTCTTCATCAAGCTTCTCGAAGTACGTCTGCCCATTCAAGTCCGCCTCATCGACCTTCCGCGGCTTGATGTCCGTGACATCATTCTTGTGCCGAATAGCCAGATCTCTGAGAACTGTCTTTGCAGCCTCAGATGTGAATTGGAAACTGACAAAGGCGATCTTGCAGCTCTTGCGTTCTTCTTTCGTCAGTTCCTCGGTGAACTCCTTCTTCGAAGCTTTTGCACGCCGCTCAGACCCTGTCAGTCCTTCGGCCTTTCGCTTCGGTGTCTTTGGCTTGACAGACTTCTTCGGAGTACTAAAGCCTTCTTGCCCGGGGGTGTAATCGACATCATCTTCATCACTCTCTTCGATTATGCCGTCATGTCGAAAACGACTGTATGGCTGGACCGCAGCTCCTCGAATGTTTCGGCCTTCACGAAGAATGGCCCGGATGGCACTGGCTTGACCGAACGGGTTGGCTTGTTGTCTCGCATCTCGAAATATGCGCTGTGTTCGCTTGAAGCGGACGTATGAGTAGCCGCCGTACGCCATGGTATGCGGTCGAGGTTGGGAGGTAGCGGTAGGATTTGGTGGTGCTGGTCGGCAATGCCGGGTTCGTGCAGGCCTGAACTACGAAGGTCAGAGCCCTCCCTGGAGGTATGGTCAGCGATCCACAGATCAACGACGGCAATATCGTCGCCCTCACCAGAGTCCACGAGTATCGACCAGCAACAGCAATCTCGACAACGCCGGCGGCGATTCTTCTGCCAGTGACCCGAAGCCTGCGCGAGTGCACAGGTACCGAGCAAAACAGTGGGGAAATTCTCAAAATGGTTCGAGGCAAACGGGCTCTCCAGTGACACTGAGCGGCACCCGCTCCAGATCGACCTGGTCTGCCACAATACCGGGGCACGCGACCGGGTAGCGATGTGCGGAATCTTCTCAGTCGGTGCTCGAGTACCATGGACATGCAAATGTTCAGAGAAGCTATGGAAAGGTAGGTGCGGTGGGCCTGGCGTATTCACTATCGAGGAGGGCAAGTGAATGTGAGCACGCCTTGGGGCACGATTTCCTGACTACAGAATGCTCGACTCATCTCTTGGACGCTTCGACCCTTGAACGGTAGGTACGTTGACGAGCATGAAAGCGTGATTCGTCTTGCTGGGAAGATCTCCTTGTGCAAGAAGCTATCCTGGGCGACATTGTTGTCGGCAGATCAGTCAGATGGACATCGTGTACACCGCACGCTCTACGAGAAGCGAGCCATGCTCATCAATGCAGCAGATTTCGAGAAGTCACGACCCAAGAAATAGCCGTTCGTCCAGGTAGGGTCCGTGCGAGGAGCACAAACATGATCGCACGTCTGTACTGACAGAAAATCATGCGCTGGCGCTGGCGTCTTCTGACAGGTCGACTTGCGATCTCGAGCAGTGGCTGCCTCACAGCGGCCATTCCTTGCAAAGACTGTGCTGACTTTTTGCCCGCGGTGTTCAGCCCGTAGCCACTACACAGTTCTGCCATTCTCTGCTGACACGATCAATTACCATGATCATTGGTCGCTACGTCCCTCGCAAGTATGCTATCTGGTCACAGGGAGAGGACCATCATTGTGCAGTGAGTACGAGCCATATCGACAGGAGATCTAGATAGATATACACTCGACCCGATTTCATTACATGTCGGAGCTTCGTGCCAAACTACATACGATCTATGTAGATAGATCTCATCCGCAGATCCCATCCGCTATTCTTCAACGCCCCCACAGCCAACACATGCACTCCCAACATTTCAAGCTCGACACGACCAAACCTGTACGCCATAGTCGTTAGTAAAGCTGACTTGGCAGAAATGAGGTACGAGTAAGTTCGCAGTAAGAAAGTAAAGTTCAGATCTAAGCCCTGTCACAGGCTGGTGGTCGTCAATGCCATCTCTTTGAGTGGCTGCGTTGACCGTCGTGATAATAGAGTAAATCATCATTGTATGGAAGGGGTACATCTGGGCATCAGATCGAGAAGGGGAAGCACATACCGGCTACGGGACTACGAGTGGTAGTTTTCGGGATGATGGCCTGGTCCAAAAGTCAGCCAACCGTCATGGTGAACGCTGGAGGTACTTGGTAGGTGTTGTCGAAGGTTCAGGCAGGACAGTCTCGTCTCCGCCAGAGGTAGAACCTGAGGCTTGGACATATGCTTGTCTTTTGTTTGCGTCGATTCATCATATGGAGAGGGTTGCTGAGCCGGCGTGAAGAGGGCATGTCGTACCTACGAGATAGTGCGAGCGTGCGATCTAAGATCTTGTCAGTCATTGGAGCCGCTCGAGTATTGCGACATTATGAGAGAGTGAAAAAAAGATCAGAAATGCATGAATGGTATAAAAAGATGTTGTCTGCATGGGCGATACCCAATAAGACTCGTCATCTAAAGGGCTCATCTTGTGAGAGGAGAGGAACGACTGCCGGGACCACGTACCGTGAAGAATAGAACTCTGCCAGGTCCATATTAGTCTGTCGACCGTCCGTCAGTCGCAGCTCTCGAAAGTGGTGATCATGGTAATGGGTTGGGAGGATTGCGATCAGTGGGCGAGGTTTTCTAGGCCTGCCGCAAAAGGGCTTTTCCAATCATGACGAGACACAATTTTGTGCTCTCGGCGCCCAGTGCCATTCATCATTCGAGTGCGGACAGAAAAATCGCTTGTTCCCGTACCTCTTGACGATAACATTCCAGTCGTAACGTTGACGGTCTCCCTAAAACTGTTCTTCGTCAGCAGTCTGCTTCGTGCCAACGCGCCGGTATGTGTTGAGTGTGCAGTAATCCCTCAGAAAAAGCCATTTGATATCTTCAAGGACCCGAAGGCCTCCGCCGGTAATTCCTTGCGTATATATGATTGAAAAAGCATCATCGGGAAAGGATCTGGTAGGAGGGCGTCACTCACAGGCACTTGGTCGTTCTGGTCGTAGTTTTAAATGGACCTAGACTGCGCTCGTTAGCCGTTGCTTCGACGGTCAGGCGTGATCCGAGTTTGGTATGTCTTCCATATCAGACTGACGTGCAAAGCAATAGAAGTTTCATTCCTCCGAAGAGGTCAAAGACTCTAGTTTGTTTGTGGTATGCAGTGTCATCCTTGGTGGCCGTGGTGGCCGTGAAGGGTTGGATGGTACTCACATATAATCAGTGATCCCATGAGACCGAATTCTGGTCACGTCGTCAGGCGGTCCAGGTTGAGCAGTACAACTGAGAACATCTGGAGCACACTGGGTCCTTCGCCGTGGTCATTTCTCATCGTCGCAAACAGCAGACGACCGCGGCGATAGACAAGCCGTCAGCGCGTCCTAATCGGCGAATCTGGACCATGAGGGCTTCTGGCGTCGCCGCAGATCAAGTACGAAGTAATGTGGAATCACTGATGATATGCAGTTTCTCGAAATTCCACGAAATCTGAAATCTTGAAATTCGGAGAAGCTTTCCGCTGGCTAGTCTTGGCAGCCGGGCTTTATTTTGGCCGCGATGCCTCCCGTCGCAACTGCTCAAAATAGCCAATAAGGCGGCCTTAGTAGCCGCCGCACCTAGATCTTCTCGTTCTTATGCAGGACCTCGTGAATGGTGAGCCTCTAGCGAAGAACCACGCTCATCATGCAGGTCGAGATGCCGAAATAGAATCACAGCTATTTGTTGCCTTTGACAGGTCTTCTCATTCGCTCCCCACGTCCTGACTGCGATCCGTTTCATCTTGTTCTCGCCCCATCCGTTCCTTTTCCAGTGTCCTTCGTCCCGCCCACAAGCAGCCCGCCATGCGCCTGTGTCGCCCTTTTCAGTGACGGACAGTCAGCTCAGCGAAGACTTACTACAGATGAACCAAATCGGGCGCTTAGACGCCTCGTGGAGGTCTTGCTATTTCTCCCAATGGTCCGGAAGAAGCAGACATGTTTAGGTATGCATACGGGTCCCTGCATCGCTCAGATCTAAATCGTGTTGGTTAACGCGTCCCTAGTCACCGCTCAGCAGGTGCTGGCATAGATCGATATGAAGCCAGCCCTGTCACCGGAGTCCCTCCTCCCCCTCCTCCACCACCTCGCACAGGCGATGGTCCCGCCGTCTCAGCTCCTCCGCGGCGAGGTTATGGGTCGAGACTGCCGTCCTTGACGACGAATCTCGCGCCTGGCACTTCGGGTCATATACTGCCCACCGCGACACCGCTCTCGACGACCTCTTTATCGAGTCCGTTCGTCGTCCAGTCGCACACGCCTTACTCTCCCGTCCCAGGGAGCAGTTCAAGAGGTCCTTCGCCAGGTCAAATGGCAGGTCGCGTCTACAATGTGCCCTACAATCCTTCCGAGTGGGCCAGTGGCACCCGCCGTCCCTCACAGAACGAACGTGCGGACCCCGACAGTATGGTTACCCCAGGTATAGTAAGACGAGAAGTGATTTGTGCTGATGGTGGAACAGATGGCATTGCTCAGCCTCCTCCGCCCTACTCACCGCCCCAGAACGGTCCTGCCAATAACTTTGGTATCAATACAGTTCTGTCGCCCGCGGAGACGTCGCATTCGGCACACTCGACAGTTTCTTCCGCAGTGCCTTCCCAAGTCTCGACCCCAACGACCACAACAGGAGCTCTGACGCCGGGTACGGTGAGAGATCCCACGTCAATACCGCACAGTAGTTCGTCTGCAATGCAATTACCTCCTCCGCCGCCGCGAGGGCTAGAAGCACATCGTATCGCGTCTGCTGGGCGAGCAAGACCTGTTTCTGTCTCAGGTCTTTCTCAGGTCATAACACAGTCGCAAGGATACTCTCACAATGGCTTCAACTACAGGTCAAATCTAGATATGAACATTGCCGATGCACAACCGCCAGCTGCGAGAAGGGCAGCCTCAGCTGGGGCGATCTCGAATGCTAGCTCCGGAGCACCAAGTAAGGAGCCCTCGGAATCAGGCTCCAATGCTCAGGTGTGGCGTGCCGGTGTCCCACTGCCTGGTCCACCCCCAGGTCCGCCACCAGCGGCCTCCAGATCACAAAGTGCCTCAAGTCTTGACAGCCAGTCAAAAGCTTCAATTGGTGTAACACGACATAGCCAGTCTTACCGTGTCCCCTTACAGCCGCCTATGCTCAGCCCTATGCCACCGACGCCGGCAGGTTGGACGGAGGAACAGCCCATGCACCCAGTGACACGTCCATTTGTACCACTGCAAATCCGGACGACTAACCTTGATAATGACGTGGCACCCGCCGGTCGGAGACAGTCTGATCCTGCTGAACACACCCCTCGTTCTGGCGGCACGCTGGCCAGAAGTGCGGCTGTCAGAGACTCGTACACCAAAGGGCTTCGTGAAAGGCGCAGTATACGCAAAAGCATATCAGCTCCGGACACGGCAGGCGTTACGTCCCTCGCGATCGATCCGCAGCCTGGGCCGCCGCAATGCAAGCTGGAGCCGTAGTCAACTCTCCAGGACAGTTCTCGGACGGTGCGGAAATGGAGCATCGCAGAGGGACACGCTTCGTGGAGGAGAACGAGAGGCCGTCAAGCAGTCGCGCAGCAAGCTTCTCGAAGCGAGCGGCAGGACTGCCGTCACCGTTGCAATCGAGCCAGCTGAACTCACCACGCTCACCGATAATGCGGATGCACAAGCTGCAGACAGGGAGCTCGCAACACAATACTGGTCGAGGTCTGCCAACACCTCCGCTAAGTCAGAAGGCGCCTGCCTCGGCTCAAAGCATACTGCCGTCATCCAACGCATCCCTGCCCGACTTCGATCGTGATGTTGGCGAAACGTTTGCCGCCGACTCGTTGAAGAGACACAATAACTTCCTCGAGAAGGAGGCGCGAGCAACAACTAACGAGGAACGCCTACAAGCGTTCGCAGACTACCTAGTCGCAGAATCTGTCTTCAGGTTGAAGCACTATTCCGGCGCACGCCAAGTAGACATTCTTCGCATTCGTCAGCGAATGTTCGACGAAAATGATCCTGCCGTCGCAAAGGCATTGCAGAGCGGTCGGAATACTGGTACGGACGGCAAATCGCGACAGGAGCCTCAGGAGAGGAAAGACTACCAGCCTGCACTTTCTCCCATAGCCAGCATGAGCCAAGATGAGATGAGCTCCAGAGGACGTGCTTCGAGCCGATGGTGGGAATCTCAGACTGGCGGCTCTCAAGGCGATGGCCCGCGAGTCAGAAGATCTAAGCGCGAATCGAAGTATATGGGCCTTTCCACTACGCTCATAGGCTCGATGGCAGAGGTGAACAATACGCCAACACAAATTCCTCCCTCTGCAGGCATGATGAGCCAAGACGAATATCCGCAAGAGAAGGTGGATCCGGCTTCTTTTGGCTTCTACGATGAGGAGCGAAACCCGAGTCGCGACAGTGCTACCTGGGCGCCTACTCCTGGATTGATGGACATCTCGAGATTCATCACCTTGCCTCCGCCATACCCTCGACACTATCCAGCCGTAAACAACGCACATCCTCAACTTGCTGACTATCGACTAGCTGTACGCAGTCTATCAGACTTAAGCGAGATTAGGAGTCGCAAAACTCGGCAGCAGCTAGGAACAGAAGCGCTGCGCAACGAACACGGCTCGAGGGTTGCAGAAGGTCGAAAAGCGTTCAAGAGCAACATACAATCGCAGATTGCAGACGGCTCGATCACCTACGCCGAAGCTGCTGAAGCCGAAGAAGCGCTACGTCACGATGAATTCTCTGCCGAGAAGGACACCCTGCAAGCCGAGTTTTCCATGTTGCAAGACGTAGTAATAAATCCCCTTCACGACCTCCTCAATGACAGACTGGTGAAGCTAAACACTTCAATCGCCGAGTTGACCTCCAAGATCACGTCCGACGCCCAAGAACACAATCCCGACCGAGCCCAACAAGAGGGCGACGACACCCCCGAGCTCCTCGAATATCTCACCCAGCTCAAATGGCTCTTCGAGACCCGCGAAACGGTTCAAAAGGAAATCTTCGAACTCCTTACCCTGCGAAATGACAAGTACAAAGACATTGTCGTCCTTCCGTACCACCAAGCCAACAATCTCGACAAAGTCCGCGAAACGGAAGCATTCTTCGCTCGAGACAACCACGACCGATACCAGACCGCCTGCGCCGAATCGCTGCAACGCCACCAGCAGCTTTACGATATTGTCGAAGATAACGTCCGGCGTGGAGTGGAGTTGCAGAGCTCTGCATTCTGGGACATTGCGCCAAATCTGCTCGAGCTAATCCACAAGCTTTCCGAATATGGTGACGTGCAGAACTGGGACCAGTTGCAGATACCTGAGGGCGAGTATCTTGAGAATCCGACCTACTACCAATTCCCACAACAATATCTATACACACTCCTCGATCATGCTGAAAAGAGCACCTACCAGTTCATTGAAGGGCAAGTGAATCTTCATTGTCTGCTCCACGAGGTGAAGACGGCGAGGCTGTTGGCTGAGTGCCGTAAGGCCGAGACGGGTGTCGGGCAGTCGGCTCATAGCGACTGGGATGAGTATAGGCGGAAGCAGGAAGGCGTTTTGACAAGTGAGCTGAAGCAAAAGGTGGCGATCATTGAGGAGCAGTGGGCAGAGGCGCTTGGGAGTGTGTTGGGCGGGACGAAGGAGAGGGTTAGAGATTATTTGATGGTGCAGGGAGGGTGGGACGATGTTGATGCTGGAGACTGACGGGGTGGTGGGTTGGAACTGGAACGAGTGCATGGGTACACATGTGACAGGTACACCCTGGAGACGGTGCTCGCTAAGAGGACACACTTATGTATGACGGGCAAAGGAGGTGGTGACGAGATACGAAAGATACCCCGACAGATAAAGTATCCGAGTATGAGAACGAAAGCGACTTCGACTCATGCTGTGAAAACGGCCACACTGGAACCCTGCGGTAAATTCGTCTGGCAAGTGCTCTCACGAACCTCGATCGTGGTCCTTGGATGGCTACGCCAGGGAGGGCGCTGCAGGATGGAAATTGTTTGGTTGACGGATTGGCAGTTTTGAGATGAGCGTTACTTGAGCGTTACTGGTAGGTCAGATCGTAGGAACCATTGATCGTGGATGTCCTCGGCCAGGGAGGGTGCTGTACTATCGAGATTTCGTCCTGCGTATACCGCAAGCAAGACTTACCTAGGTATTTCACGATCAAGTCATTTTGTTCTGACGCTCAACTCACGCTGCTTTGACGATCAAGCCATCTCCTATTGACGCTCAACTCATGAATTCTGCCTTCGAAGGCGCGTCACTTCTACGTCTAGTGCTACATCCTAAGAATATCTTCAGACATTATATTGGTGTCAACCGGTCTGGAGAGGCCCAATATAAATGCAGGTGTGGGAGGTCTTTCAACTCCGCAACTCTCGTCCAAGGGACATCACGTCTTTATGACTCCGAAAGGCAGCCTGTCCGGTATCTCAGCTTCATCGGCGCAATCTCGATACTGACGCCTCATACTTGATATGGTAGTGCCTTTAGGAATATAGGAATGAAGCCGGAACGTTTGCCGTTGACACGGGCCGAGGACAGCTCGATCAAGTAGAATAAATGACAAAATGACGCAATCACCTTAGGCGGCCACAGCGTGTATGACGACAGGATTTTTTCACTGCACGACCCCACGATTGACAGCCCGCTCCAGACTGCGAGCCAATCCGCTAATGCAGGGACGGGTAAATCGATGATAATTTTGGCCGACAAATAATTCGAACTACCTGGCAGGAGCACACCAGTACACGAGCAGGACATCTAGGACAAGCACGTTCTGACTCAATATTGGCGTACAAAAGTCAACGCCTGGTCCTACTCGTCTGCTTCCCATCGATCTTCTCATACATTCAACATGGACGGTCTCAAAGCAGCATTCGCGAAGGCAAAGGCCGAGAAACGGAGTGCCCTCGTGGGCTACTGGACTCATGGATATCCTACCATTGAGGAGACCCCAGACATCATGCTGGGCATGCAGCGGGGCGGTGTTGGTCGGTCCCTCCTCTCGGATCTCTAGAAAACATGTTGACGTCTCCCAGATGTCATAGAGCTTGGTCTCGCCTTCACAGATCCCATCGCAGATGGTCCTACGATACAGAAGTCGAACAATGTCGCACTTCAGAACGGCGCCACTATCACAAACGCCCTTGAGCAGGTCACGATTGCCAAGTCGCGAGGGCTCACAGTGCCGGTGGTGTTCATGGGCTACTTCAACCCAGTAATGCGGTACGGTGAAGATCGGCTACTGAGAGATTGCAAGAGTGTGGGTGTCAATGGCTTCATCATGGTTGACTTGCCACCCGAGGAGGCAGTTCGGTTTCGAGACAATTGCACAAAGGCTGGTCTTTCATACATCCCCCTCATTGCGCCGGCGACGTCAGAGAAGCGGATGAAGCTGCTGTGCAAGATTGCAGATTCCTTCATATATGTTGTCTCGAGAATGGGTGTCACAGGAGCAACGGGCACGCTCAACACCAAGCTACCAGAGCTGCTCGAGCGCGTACACCAGTATTCTGGCGGCGTCCCAGCGGCAGTCGGCTTCGGCGTCAGCACAAGAGACCACTTCTTGTCATTATCAGCTATCACAGAAGGTGTGGTCATCGGCTCACAGATCGTCATCACTATTGGAGAGAACCCCGGCAATGCCTCGAAAGCCGTCGAAGACTACTGCAGTCAGATCACAGGCCGCAAGATCGGCGACGCCAACCCCTCTAACGGCAACACCAGAGAAGTTGGCATAGTCGAGATCATGGATGGAGCCAAGGAGCCAAACGAGAAAACCGTCAACGGGCTCAACGGCCACCACGTTACAGTCGACGAAGTCGTCACAGACGCCGACCGTTCCGGCCCAGGCCTCGCAGACCAACTTGACGCCCTCAACTCAACCACCAACGGCACGGAACCCAAACCCGAAGCCATTCCCGCCCAATTCGGCCAATTCGGCGGCCAGTACGTCCCCGAGTCCCTCATGGATTGTCTCGCCGAGCTCGAAGATGGCTTCCAGGCCGCCAAAGCCGATCCTAAATTCTGGGAAGAATATCGCTCATATTACCCCTACATGGGCCGCCCCTCGAATCTCCACCTTGCCGAGCGACTCTCCGAAGCCGCCGGCGGCGGTGCCAACATCTGGCTGAAGCGCGAAGATCTCAACCACACGGGCTCGCACAAGATCAACAACGCCCTTGGCCAGATCCTCCTCGCCCGCCGACTCGGCAAGACGCGCATCATAGCTGAAACAGGCGCTGGTCAGCACGGCGTCGCCACCGCCACTGTCTGTGCCAAATTCGGAATGGAATGCACCATCTATATGGGTGCCGAGGACGTCCGCCGGCAAGCTCTGAACGTCTTCCGCATCAAGCTCCTCGGCGCCAAAGTCGTGGCTGTCGAAGCCGGCAGCCGCACTCTACGCGACGCCGTCAACGAAGCCCTTCGCGCGTGGGTCGTGGATCTAGACACAACGCACTACATCATTGGCAGCGCCATCGGTCCCCACCCCTTCCCCACCATTGTCCGGACCTTCCAGTCTGTCATCGGCAACGAGACGAAAGAACAAATGAAGCAGCTCACTGGCCGCTTGCCAGACGCCGTTATTGCTTGCGTCGGCGGCGGGTCCAACGCAGTCGGCATGTTCTACCCCTTCTCCTCCGACCCCAGCGTCAAGCTCCTGGGCGTCGAAGCCGGCGGCCACGGTGTTGAGTCAGGCAAACACTCCGCCACGCTGTCCGGCGGCTCAGTCGGCGTCCTTCACGGTGTGCGCACGTACGTTTTACAGAACGAGCACGGCCAGATCCAGGATACGCACTCCGTCTCCGCTGGGCTGGACTACCCCGGGGTGGGCCCTGAGCTGTCGAGCTGGAAGGACTCGGACAGAGCGAAGTTCGTCAATGCTACAGATGCGCAGGCGTTCAGGGGTTTCCGCACGTTGAGCGAGACCGAGGGGATCATCCCGGCACTGGAGACGAGCCATGCTATCTGGGGAGCTATGGAACTGAGTAAGACGATCGGCAAGGATGGGGACAGGAAGCGGGATATCGTCGTATGCTTGAGCGGGAGGGGGGACAAGGATGTGCAGAGTGTTGCGGATGAATTGCCTGTCTTAGGTCCGGAGATTGGATGGGATCTGAGGTTTTGAGGTCTAACGGGATGGGTCATACAGAGCCCGCCCTGGCCAGGATATTTGTACTTTAGCATTCATACAATCTGACGCTCAAATGAGGCTCATCTGAAGCTTGTCGATTTGTTCAGCAGGACCAGTCCAGACCATCAGCGCCCTCCCTGGATAGGAAACTGACATTCGACCGTCTATACAGCCGGACCATCAGCGCCGTACTTGGCCTGGAAATCAATATTCGACCGTCTACACAGCTGGACCATCAGCGCCGTACCTGGCCTGGAAATCAATATTCGACCGTCTACACAGCTGGACCATCAGCGCCCTCCCTGGCCAGGAAATTGAGGTTCAACCGCCTATACAACCTGACGGTCAAATGAGGCTCATCTGAAGCTTGTCGATTTCATCAGCGGAACCACTCTGACCATCAGCGCCCTCCTTGGCTAGGAGAACTGCGAGATCAGTAATACATCCTTGTACCATCAGCGACCTCCCCAGCTGGGAAGCAACGATAGCATATTTGTCGGGACCGTGACCGATCCTCCATGAGTACGATGACCCACAAGTGCATATTGAGCAGCTTCAACGAGCCATCCAGAGGCCAACCTACCAGGGAGATTCAGTCTCCTTTGATTTGAAGCATCCGGACATTTGTCTTCCCTGTGAATCATTGAAGCCTGCTCGTGGTGTCCCTTGCCTCTTTGATTGTGCTTTTCTCTTGCCCTGCTTTCTCTCATCACAGGTCACTTGGTGAGAGCAAGAGCATCTCAGCATATCACGTGATACATATCTTTATACACGCTAGTCCTCTCCTGCTTAGCGCCTTGGCTGTGGAAAGCCTTCTTGCTTCCACCCTTCTGACCGCGATCAATCCTTCCTGCACCCATGCGCACTTTCATTATCAGACTCAAATCGCATCAATCGACATCGCGCGTACCCAGATAACATCTCAGTACTGCGCACGAGCAGTCCTGAGAGCAATCATCACTTCCACAACCTTTCGCATCGCCTTCGCTTCCGCGTGTCATCTCGAACTCGAGTAAGCTTGAAAAGTCGTTGAAATTCGACCTTCCGCATGGCGGACATCCAGAACATTCTCGCTGCGCTTGCAGCTCAACGCCAGAATGGGACACCATCACAAGCACCACCAGGAGCTCCACCAGCTGTTCCAGGTGCCGGCTACCCTCCACCTCCACAATACGCTGCGCCACCAGGTGCTGCCGCCTATGGACTACCACAACCAATCAACTCCGGAAGTGTAGATCTCGCTAGTCTGAATCCCGTCAACAGCGGACAGGTCAACTTCAATGATGCGCTCGCAAAGGCCCGTGAATCGTACGATCCGAATCGACCTGGCTCACGCAACAATGATCCTCGAGCTGCTAGCCGCACCTATCGTCGCTCTCGCTCTCCGTCTCGCTCACCTCCTCGTGTGCGTGATGAGTACCGTGACAACTTCAATCCATACCGTGATGAGAGAAGAGGCGGCAATGATAGAGGCTTCCGTGATCGATCGTACTCCCCAGGTCGTGGTGGCAGCGGTGGTCGTGCTGGTGGCCACTATTCTCCAGCTGCTGGATTCCAAGGCCCTCGCTCACCTGGTCGTGACAGTGCCAACGATGACTCTGAGACCCTGCCCGTGGAGAAAAGTCTTGTTGGTCTTATCATCGGTCGTGCTGGTGAGAACCTGCGCCGTGTCGAGAACACTACCGGAGCTCGAGTTCAATTCATGGATGGTCCTGAAACCGCAGGTAGTCAGCGCCACTGCAAGATCTCTGGAACACGTTCTGCCCGTGCCGCTGCAAAAGCTGAAATCTTCCGTGCTATTGAAGACAACGAGGCCGGCGGCAAAGCCGGAGGAGGCCGTGCACCTGACCGCAGTCGAGGTGGTGCAGGTCGTCCTTCAGCTGGTGGCGCAGGCATGATGAGTGCTACTGCAGTCGCGGCTGCGGTCGCTGGAGGTACAAAAGATGGCAATAGCTTGCAGATCCTCGTTCCCGATCGCACCGTGGGTCTCATCATCGGTCGTGGAGGTGAGACGATCAAAGATCTTCAAGACCGTAGCGGCTGCCACGTCAACATCACCGCTGAGGCTCAGAGCGTCAATGGCATGCGCCCAGTCAACCTCATTGGCAGCCCTCAGTCCCAAGCCCATGCGAAAGACCTCATCATGGAGATCGTCGAGAGTGACCAGAAAGGTATCAGTGTCAAGGAGTTGCGCAACCGTGGTCGCGAATCAAATCAAGACTCTGGAGAGAAGATCAACGACAGCATCATGGTTCCTGGCGACTCTGTTGGCATGATCATCGGCAAAGGCGGCGAAACCATCCGCGACATGCAGAACTCTACTGGCTGCAAGATCAACGTCTCTCCGCCTAGTGGTCGTGATGTCGAGCGTGAGATCGGCCTGATCGGTACCCGTCATGCTGTTGAGGCTGCAAAGCGCGCTATTCTTGCTAAGGTCGATGCTGCTGAGGCTCGGGGTCGAGGTGGCGGTGGTGGCGGTGGCGGGCGTGAGAGTCGTGGTGACTATGCCAACCCCAACCCTTATCCTGGTCAATCCGCATACCCCGCTGCTGCAGCTGCCCCTGCTCAGCAAGCTCCTGCCGCTGGTGGTGAAGATCCCTATGCTGCTTATGGTGGCTACCAGAACTACGCTGCTATGTGGTATGCTGCTGTCGCTGCTCAGCAGCAGGCTCAGGGCCAACAGCCTGGCGAGCAGCGTTGAGGTGTTCTGTGAGCATCATCACGCCGGACAAATTCTACTTTGATGAAGGCCATCGCTGCGCTCCACAACGTCCCGAGCGCCGAAGCAGATTTTCATGGTTCATCGCTCTCGCAGGCCGATTCAGAGATCGCATCGGCGCAGCGCATGTCTAGCACTACAGCGCTCTACACCACGGCCTCCTCGCCAGACCTCACGCTAGTCGTTTCATGTCAGGACAGCGAGACTTGGCTGCTAGATCGGAATCATTGGCTAGGCTTGAGCAGATTTTGACCTCGCATGCGGGTGAAAGCGATATGCACACAGCATAACAACAGGGTTTCTATGGAAGGAGTGACAGCTACAACGTGTTCAGAGTATGGCAGGCTTCTGCGCTCCGATGCAACCATGCGGAAACAACCGACGACGGAAGGCATGTTTGGTGGCGCCATAGGGCCGCCTGGCGATGCATAGGGAACTTGCGAAAGGCACAGGAGTGAGCAAGGCCGCTGACATTATGGAAAGATGTACATAAATCCGGCATCTGCATCAAAGGCTGCATCTGGGTATCATGGTCAGCTGGAGCGCAGATCATGTGTAATGCAGTCCGAGCATTCGCAGGTAGTCGCTCCAATTAACCCATTCACAGTGTTTCGTTCCTTCCGCTTTGCATGCCTGTTTTGTCGTAATCGCGTAGTCTCCCGTCGATAAGTTTGCGTACTGACTCATTCCGTACCCACGATATGTATCTGCCTAATGGGGCGGCCTTCATCGCACCTTCCTACACTTGAAGTCGATGTTGTCACTGCAGGCGCGCTTCGCCGTGCTCTGAAATGAAGCTCGAACTTACCTCACCTTCAACCCACCACTTGCTTCAACATGTCCACGTACATTCACTCATCGCCCCTCGAATCATGCACCCAGTAGTATACACAGTGAATGCGTCCAGATCGAGTCATTTTCGCGTCTGCCTAGATCTTCACTGTCGAGGAACGAGGTTATATAAGTCGTTCTCTTCTCCCTTGACTTCTTACTTTCTTCCTTCCCTCCAGGGAATGAGCTCGGCATTCCGCTAGGCTGATGCCATGTCAAGATAGCATAGACTGCTATCCGATGGGGCGATGTTTATGATTGATCGTAGCTATAGACTGACTGTGTTTGCATCATGTACATTGACATGAAGTCAGAGCCGCATGCGCATGAAGTGCGCCGTGTGGCGGCTGTGCCTGATTGGCTGCAAATCTCGCTAAGGTCCGTCAGCCACGTTCCAACTTCCAAGATTTCGGATCAGCGCCACTTCTAATGCGACCTCGCTGTCGCAAAACCATCTGTTCTTTCTTGTAGACACGGCAAAAGTATCGTTGTGCGCGTCCATCGTGCCTCGTCGCCAACATGGTCATTCCGTCAGGCCTTCATCTAGACAAATTTTAGGTAGTGCGGATTTACAGCTGCGCTGCCTCCCAACAGATCGAAGCCTCGACGGAATGACCATGGTCGTGTGAAGTGGACGCGCCCGGAGCCTTCTGGACCAAAGGACGGCATTTATCAGATCGCGAAGCCTACGGAAGTTTCTTTATCGGTTCTACGACGATGGGGATCTTTTGTTTCAATTTCAAGCGCGATTTGGAGGTGGTTGGCTGGAAGCTCTTGCCTGCTCGCTGTTTCATTCTTGGCTCGGCGCCTAAGCAAGAGTGCATTCACGGTCTACCACACGACAGTGAGCTGGACGACGATACTGCCGCAGGCTCGTCCATGGTATATGGAACTCAATCTCGAATACCAGATGCCGTGCGACGGGCTCTCGCTGGCGCCCTGCCGGTGGCGGAAGATGGATGTCTGTTTGGAATGCGGTAAGCTTCGCCCATTTCCTGGTTATTCACATTTTATTGTCCGTTCGCCCAGCTATTGTCATTGTCATTGTCAACGGCCTCAACAGCCTTATTGTTCCTGTTCTATCCTCTACCATTTCCTTTGTCATTGCCACGATTCTCCTTTGTTGCCTCGTTCGTTCTTTCATTTCTTTATCGACGTCGATCGTTGCGTTGCATTGCATGGTCTTCGAGAACACCCTCTGTTCGTTCCTGCAGCCTTGACGGCCTTATTGCCTTTCGCGACAGCCACATACAATCGCGACCACAGAAGCTTACTGCTACTACACAGATAATTCCCTGACATCCGCTTCTCGCCATGTCTGGCCACCCTTTGCCTCCGTCTATGCCTGCCGGCAGTCATGAGATGCGAGAATACTACTCCAAACAAGACCCACCTCGGTTACATCCACACACTGCACCCTCCGAAACACCCTACCTTGGTCTCCGAGCCCGACTTTCGCAAGTCTGGATCAACCGATGGACCATCCTCATCCTACTTGTTCTTGCACGAACCCTGCTCGCTATCCAGGGTATTAACGACCATATCGCCTCGGCGAAGAGAGAGGCCCTATCTGCTTGCTCCGATGTTGAAGCCATGGGCTCTGCTATGGCTTCAATGCCTCATTACATGTCTACTGGAGTCAATCGGCTTACTGCTGCTGGAATCAACAAATCTGTCAATGGACTGATGTCAATGTCGACGCTAAGTGTGACGGCAGTGGAGGAAATAGTGGTGTTTGTAATCGGCATGATGACAAACACTTACCTCTGCCTGATCACTTTTGCTGTGACTGGAAGTCTGCGATCTGCCATTGGCGTTGTTGATGGCGCTCAAAAGGACATCAACAATCTTGGTGGAAAGATTGGTGGAGAGATTGGCGATGCCATGAAAGGCTTCACGGATGCCTACAATGCCGCCACGAAAGTATTGAGTGGTAGCATTATTGGACCCACCATCAACCTCCCGAAGATCCCAGACATCACAAAGTCGACGGACCAGCTCAAGAACTTCAAGCTGCCACCCGAGCTTACTGCTGATCTGCAGAAGCTCAACAGTTCTCTGCCGTCTTTCGCCCAAGTCAAGAACGTCACCGAATCTGTCATCAGACTACCTTTTGAGGAAGTCAAGAAGGTCATCGACCAGAACCTCGGCACCTACAAGTTCAATGATTCTTTGCTACCTGTCCCTCCGAAGGAGCTAATGACTTTCTGCTCTGACGATGAAGGCATCGAGGACTTCTTCAACAAGCTCAGCGCGATGGCCAGCCTTGCACAGAAGATCTTCATCGGTGTACTCGTCGTGGCTGCTATACTCGCGATGGTTCCCATGGCGATGCGCGAGATTCGAAGATGGCGACATCAGCAAGAGCGCAGCCGCTTGGTTGGAGACGGAGCGACAGACTCTATGGACGTCGTCTACCTTGTCTCCCGACCATATACCTCATCTGCCGGCCTCAAACTTGCTGGTGTCCCCGCTGAGCCAGAGATGATCAGGACTGCGACCCGTGGCCAAAATCTGACGCGCTGGGCTGTAGCCTACGCGACCACGGATGCGGCCCTTTTCGTCCTCTGTCTCGCTATTGCAGGTCTCTTCTCCTGCCTCTGCCAGTATATCCTACTGCAGGCCATCAAAGGCAAAGTCCCCGAGCTGTCGAACCAGGTTGGCGCTTTCGCTGACAAAGTCGTCGCACAACTAACCAACGCCTCGGACCAATGGCAGATTGCTACCAATGCTGCCATCCGGACTGCCAGCGACGACATCAACAACGACATGCTCGGGTGGGTGGGTACCGCGACCGAAGCTGTGAACAACACGATCAATGTGTTTGTTGACGAGACGAATAAAGTCCTTGACACAGCATTCGGCAAGACTCCTCTCCGCGACCCCATTCAGGAAGTTCTGAACTGCCTGATTCTGCTCAAGGTTCAAGGCATCCAGAAAGCCATGACCTGGGTCCACGACAACGCGCACATCAACTTCCCAACTCTGCCAAACGACACTTTCTCCGTTGGAGCGTTGGCTAGCCTGTCAGGCGACAACGACCAGTCCTTCCTAGCTGAGCCAAACGACAAAGCGTCAGACAAGATCACTGGCGCTGTGGACCGTGTTGTCAGCTTCTTCGAAAGTGGAATTCGTACCGAAGCAGTCATTGCATCTGTCATTCTGGCGCTCTACGTCTTCGTCTGTCTCTGCGGGATCGGCGCTGCATTCTACCGCGCTCGATTCAATAAGTTCAAGACCAGAGGCGAAGGTGGTGGTCTGTCCGCTTCTAGCGGATCGACAACCGACTTTCGAAGCGACGATCAGGATCGCTTTGTGAATGACAATCAGACCCCGGCGCCAGCCACTGAGAAGCGCCAGTCTCAGTTTCACAATGATCCTGCGCCGGAGTACGAGCCTGCTGCAGTGGCGAAAGCGCCACTGTCGAGGCACAGCCCCGATGAGCACCATTATGCGGACTCTAAGAATCCCTTCGAAGACCCCAGCAGTAGCAATGAGAAGAATGGCGGCTTCATCTGAAGCAAACACATGAATTACGACATCTAGTCGAAGACAAGTGAACAATAATTGGAAAGCAAAGCACAAAATCACACAATCTACCTCTCTGCATGGAATGTTGAACCATATCTGGAAATCTACGCGATTCCAGGAGCGAACGCAAGCAACATATCTGCGATCGAGTTGATGGTATCCCTTTTGATACCCAAACAATACCGAAAATCGGAAGTTACTCGTTGCAGGCTTAAGGTCAGCGACGTGTTTATGTCGAAGTGTTGAATGCTCTGTGTGAGAGCAGAGAACCGAGGGACTAGAGTTCCTTCCCTTGTCCCTTCTTCCGGCGCACTGGAGTCGATTCCTTCTCGGAGGGGTTGACTAGCGTCCCTTATCCCCCGACCTTTCAACGGCCCTCGTCCCCTCGAGTTGCTATGCATATGGCCGTTGCGCCCTTGCTCTCCTTTCTTCGCCCTCGGGGCGAAGGAGTTTGTGGCGAGGAGTGTACACAGAAAAGGTTTCGTGTTGTTGGATTTGCGGACCCGGTGCATTTATCGCAGTCGGAGATGCGTGTCGGAGTGGAACGATAAGTCTTTTTTTTTATTACGATCATAGTCCCTGATGCCCCTGAGCCTGCGCCTTTCCTCATTCTGTGGGAAATGCGGATGCGAAAGGAGGCTACGGGACTCTCGGAGACGAAGTGGTCTTTGTATCACGGAGCAGTGTTCTCGAGGGAACATCGAATGAATATGCTGGAAGTGGCGCTGATGTTGAGAGCACCCCTTTTTCCGTGGGGCCTACATCGAGCTCGGATTCCAACGCCGTTGGCAGTGCCTGATCCTTGGAGAAGGTACCGCCATACCTTACGCTTGGGACCCGAGGTGTGTATGACGGACAGGACCGAACGAAAGAAGGAGCCCATGCAGCTTTTTGCCTTCCTGGTCGTTCCCCACGGAAGCAAAGAGCAAGTGGAAGATCCCGCCCATCCCCCGATAGCTCTCCGCCGCTCTCGCCCTCGCATACCGGGCCTGGTGTTGGTGGGTGTATGTGAGCAGTCAGGGTTTGGAGGGATACTACAAACACAAGAAAAAAGCCGTGGACTGGATATTTCTTTCCAAGGCGATCATGCGCTTGCCGCCTCACGGGGTGACGGCGCAAACGACGTTCCTTACGAAAGCAATCGCCTTTTCCTAGAAGTAGTTTACTGAGAATGAGAATGAAAATCTAGTCTGACAAAAGAACACCTTCCTCTATTCTGCTCAGCTTCATTCCTTGCTCGTGCTCTGACATTCTGTCCGTGGTAGTCGCCCTTGGGCACGCCTGTAGCCGCGTCCGTGGGACTTCATGCCCGACATTGCTGTAGGGCCTGCCCTGTCTGAGATAAATCCTTCCGATTCATGCCATTGGCAGCCGCTTGCTGTGACATCCTTCTTTCGACCTTCTTGCCTGCGGCCTCTTCTGTAGCAAGACCAATCGGCTAACAGCGAACGCACCTGCCACGCAAAGGCCTCCCTGGGCAGGAGCAACCGGTTGACGATCCCTGCACCTGCCTAGCCTACACAAGGCACTTTGTGCGCCAGGAGACACCCATGTACAGCACTCGTACCTGCCTCGCCAGGCGCATCCCTGCAGCAGGAGCGATTGGGCGGTGGCAAACGCACCTGCCCGTCCAACGTCGTCGCTTCGCACGACCGGACGACGTAGCCATCAGAAAGGACTCTCGTTAGACCGGATGGCCATCCGCGTCTCGGTGCTTCGGACCTATCATGCCCGATTCACCTGAAGTGATGCTGTTGGACTTCTCCAGCAGCGTATTAGTCTCCTGCGTCTGCGCGTGCGTGGTCTCTTCGAAAGAACAGTTGGCGCACCGATCAGAAGACTTTTACGAGACCGGATGACTCAGCCTCAAGGAGGTCCTGGGGAGACCGGGTAACTAGATCGATTTCGGTCCCCTCGGCGGCGGCATCGGGCTACGAGTGGCTATCCAATGTGCTCGCTGTCATCACGTTACCCTATTGCCTAAGCCTTCGTAGGTATCGCTGAGTAGACTCTCATTTTCGTTCCATTACCTAGGTAGGCAATATGGGATATTGGGGGCAGTCCCGTGGGGTGGAGGAATTGCGTCATTCTCCAAATCGACGCCGTTCGCGCTTACTCTTGACAAAAATATTTTCGACCAATCCTGAAGGACATAAGCTTGCTCTCCTGCAGAAAGGCGTATCGATGTCATCCTCATGAGTCTTTTCGTCGCTTCCGCAAGTCCCTGTCGCCGACTAGTAACTCGGAAGCCATTGCGCTTGACCTCTGCCACACTCAACCAGCCGAGGTTCCTTTCTGCGACCGCAAAGATGGATGAGAAGTTCAAGCCAGCCAAGAGAGTCGCGGGACAGAAGCCAGATGTCTGGTCAATTGTCAATGAGGCGGCTGCTGCTTCGCCAAAGCAGCCCATAGTCAATATGGGACAAGGCTTCTTGTAAGTCGTCGCCCTTCAGGTTGTCACTGAGTACTGGGCGTTTCCCCATTAGCGCCCTCCCTGGCCGAGAAACCCAAAACGTTCAGTCCCTTTAGTCACAACCTGCCTGTCTGCGTGGAGTACCGATATCTAACATACATGCAGCGGCTATAACCCACCCAGATTCATACTCGACGCCGCCAAGAGCGCCCTCGACAGAGTCGAATGTAATCAATACTCGCCCACCAAAGGTCGGCCGCGGTTGAAGAAAGCCCTGGCAGACGCCTACTCGCCATTCTTCGGCAGGAAGCTTGACCCCGAGACCGAAGTCACCATCACCACCGGCGCCAATGAAGGTAAGCGCAGCCCATCCATCCAGTCTGTGATAACAGGTCGTGGGCGTTCTCCGCATTTCTAGCCAGGGAGAGCACTGGTGGTGTGATTTTCTCTTGCTGGTTGCTCAACATAATTCGGATGAGCCTCACTTGAGCGTCACTTTGTGGGAAAGAAGTACCTCGGGCTTTCTGGCCAGGGAGGGCGCTGTCGGATTTGCGGCTCCAACTGTAGAAAACGCTCACGACTTCTTGTTACAGCTTGCCACACTCTTCACCCAACCATAACTGACCCCAACACCAGGCATGCTCAGCGCCTTCATGGGCTTCATCGAACCAGGCGACGAAGTCATCGTCTTCGAGCCTTCTTCGACCAGTACCTCTCCAACATCGAGATGCCCGGCGGCACCATCCGCTACGTTCCCCTCCAACCTCCCAAAAACGGCGCCACACGCACGTCCTCCGCCGCCAACTGGACCATCGACTGGGACACTCTCGAATCCACTTTCAACGCCAAAACCAAGATGATCGTCATCAACACACCCCACAACCCCATCGGCAAAGTCTTCTCCAAAGACGAACTCACCCGCATCGGCGACCTCTGCCTTAAGCACAAAGTCCTCATCCTCTCCGACGAAGTCTACGACCGGCTATACTACGTCCCCTTCACCCGCATCGCCACCTTATCCCCTGAACTCGCCGAGATCACCATCACAGTCGGCTCCGCCGGCAAGAACTTCTACGCCACGGGCTGGCGCGTAGGCTACCTGATCGGCCCGCCCCAACTAATCAAATACGTCGCCGCCGCACACACCCGCATCTGCTACTCCTCCGTCTCTCCGCTTCAGGAAGCTGCAGCCATCGGCTTCGAGGAGGCAGACAAGAACGGCTTCTGGACTCCGCCGTCACAGAGATGCAAGGCAAGGTTCAACGCTTCTGCAAAGTGTTCGACGAATTAGGAATCCCCTACAGCATTCCCGAGGGAGGGTACTTCGTGCTGGCCAACCTGACGAAAGTGAAGCTGCCAGAAGGGTACGACTTCCCACCACAGGTCAAAGACCGCCCGAGGGATTTCAAGATGAGCTGGTTTCTGATCGTTGAGCTGGGCGTAGCGGCGATTCCCCCAACGGAATTCTACACGGACGAACGAGCTCATCTAGCCGAAGACTGGTTGCGGTTCGCGGTCTGCAAGAACGACGACGTGCTAGAGACTGCCAAAGACCGCCTGAGAGGGCTAAAGAAGTGGATGGTGTGAATGCTTTCGTTACAGAGACCTCCCTAGCATGGAAAAAATCAGGTCCGACTTTTAGTCAGTGACGCCAAAGTGACGCTCAAGCAAGAGAGAAGGTGACTTCAGTGCCATTTTGTAATTGTCGACTTTTCGACGCAGAGGCCTCCCTGGAGGTGATTCTAAGAATACCATGATTCCTCAACATAATCACCAACGCGACTGCCCCCAATATCCCATATTGCTTACCTAGATAATGGAACGGAAGTGAGTGTACTGTGGGCGCCTACTCAGCGAGACCTACGAAGGCCTAGGCAATTCGATATCATGTTGACATCGCGCACATTCGATAGCGGACTTGAAGACCAGAAAGACTTGCTGATGATCTATAGCACGCTGTACCAAGTATAACGATACCAGGAGGACGCCAACGCTATCTCAGTGCAGGAATCGTGCCTCTAAAATTTCACCTCGCATTCGGTCCAATTGAGCTCACCTACTTCCGCCAGACAGCCCTCTTCTTCGCCGCCACTCTCTGATGCCCCGGTCCACTTCCGCCACCGTTACTCCGTCCCTCACTAGCACAAAGGTGGCTCCCAGCTCCTTCTCGACATCGTGATTTCTAAACTCATCGTCGAAGAAGACCATGTCTGAGAATGCTATCTCTTTGCCTCCAGCAGCTAGGACTGACTTTTGGATGTTGATGAAGTGTGTGACTTTGCTGCCTGGGTACATCTGTGGGGCGGCGAAGAAGTCGAGGCCCCTCCGGGCAGGGGACGTGGAAGGCTCCTTGCGAAGTAGGTCCGAGACGGATATGCGCTTTTGTTGGGCTTGTTGCTGTGAAGTGCCGTATTCATGGAATTGACTTGCTCCGCTGGAAGAGTCCTCAACTTCACCGTCAGTCTCCTGGGCTTGTAGTGGCGGAACATAGAGACCACGCAACATTCGCCCCGCCAGATCGGGCGCATGCGTCCGACTTGCTACGCTCATCAGTACTCCTCGTGCTCTCGCAGCGGCAAGAACGGTAGGGACCTCGGCGTAGAAGCTGAATGATTCGTTGTAGGCGTCAAGCATGGCGGTATTGACATCCGATACATCTCCAGACTTGGACTTAGACTTGGATTTGCTGGAGGACGAGTTGGCGGGCTTGAGTGGCGGCGTGCAATGCGTGTCTACCCAGAAGGGCCAAAGAGTGTAGTCCAGGTCGAAGACGAGTAGGGCCGGGAGAGGATGCCCGTCGAGGAATGTCGAAGGAACAGGAATTGGGGTCGTGGAGCCTGGTTGATTGGATGGTGCCGAGAAGAGCGACTTCTTTGGCATGATGGCGGAGAATCTGGACTCGGCGGTTGAAGAAAGTGATAATGTGGAAGGAGAATTGGTGGACCTGGGACAAATTGCCGTTAGAGGAATGGACGAGTATGTGGCGGCTGGGACGTCGTGAGTGAGAAAGGCGAAGGAGGCGAGGAGGAAGGTGCTAGTCGTGCGGAGCGGTCGAAGCAGATTACGGCGCATATATCAATCTGTCTATAGTGACACAGAGAAGAGAGTTCAGGGCGTACAAGGCGAGTAAAGGTTGGGCTTTTGTGATCGCTGCATGACGTTGATTGGGATAAGGCTGAACCAAAGTCCTCCCAGGCTGAGGTTTTGTAAGGTGTCTTTTCGAGCTTTACGGAGTTGTCATCCTAGCCACCGAATGCGACTTTTCGATAGCACGACGCGCTTCTTGCTAACGTCTGGTGACTAAATACAAAAGCCCAGAGAAGAAGCAACGGTCAAAGCTACTTGCTGGGCAAGACCGTTTTCGACATGTCACGAGTCAGGTCAATCTGGCCCGTCGACCGGATCAGTCATGATGCTTGTTCCCAGAATGCTGTTGTGGCCCAGGCCTGGGCCTCATGACAAGTGCTCGAGCAACGATCTCCAGCGCAAGCCGCATGCAGCGTGGCCAATATTGATATATTGGCGGGGATGTGTTGGTCCTGATGCCCTTCCGAGACAGATCTTGATTGTGCCAAGGCGCAAGAGGTAGGTGCTACGTGAGGTAGGTACAGTGTGTTAGAGGACAAAAGAACGCCCTTTCCCACTCATCAGCATAGTCAATCACTTTTCTACTGCATTACAGGATGGACGAATCAAGCGCCGAGCTAGCCTCCATCACTCGTCGCGCCGAGCTACCGCACTCGACTGCATTTCTGAAGCCTCGACAAGATCAACAAGATGAATCTTACACTTGGAATACAGACCTGGTCACTTGTGGTTACTTCAGAGATAGCGATAGTAAGTGTTGCAACGTGCTCTCGGCATGATTCTGACGCTACTAGATCGGGAGTCAACCTATACATGTGGCACAAGTTGCCAGTGTGGAATCGGAGCCAACCCACCAGATGAAAGCGTGTTTGGAGTCTGCGGCGTGAATCCCTCCACTGAGCTCTCCTGCTTATATTCGACTAAATGTTACGATAACGGAAACAAGGGAAGAGACAACGAATTGTACTGGTAAGGAACTTTATCTCCAGCGCCTGATCTTATACTTAACAACGCAGTGAGGACTACCCGGATCGTCCACATTGCGTTCAACTGAGCTGGACAGACCTACATGTTACGGCATGGACATGTATGAGCGAAGCCCACGAAAAGCTCGAGTTGGGATATAACTCGGCCGACCCCATCACTCCGGCAAGCGACTACTCCAGCACCAGCGTTAGTGACTCCGCCACGGATCCTACGACAGGACCAACGAGAACTAGTTCCAGTAGTTCTAAGTCACTCTCCAGAACCTCGCCTAGGCCAACAAGTGCTTTGACATCCGCTACGGGAGGAGGTGCTGTCCTGCCATCGCAAAGCTCAGGAAGCTCAAGCCGGATCCCAGCTGCAGCAATAGGGGGCATAGCGGGTGGCTGCGTCGCTTTGCTGGCCGTCGTCATCGCAGTCATGTTATGGATTAGATCCCATCGCAAGACGAAGCAAGAGAACCACGCACGAGTCAGTACAATGGGCAACGAGGGTCCGGTTGGACCGTTGCCGCTGCCATTTCCGCCCCCAACAGGTGCAGTTGAGAAGGATGCAGAGCCAGCACCAGGTGGGACACCTAAAGCAAATCCATCGGACCAGACCTTGCCACCATCTCGAGGCACAAATGGCCCAGTCTCACCTGTATCGTCACCTAGTTTGTCGCCTGCTCCAAACGATAAATCTCACTTCTCGGCTGCGATTTCATCATTGAACTCAGATGAGATCGGACGACTATCCACACAACCTTCGTTCACAAGTCTTGGCACATCAGCGTACAAGGCCTTCTCGAGCAACCACGTCCATCAACTGCCAACAGTGAGAGATCCTCCGCCCTATCCGAGCGACTCCATGGTTGATCGCAGCTGGTATGACCCCAACAGAGCTAGTGAGCTACCCGGGGTAGCCATTCCCTATCCTAATCGAAACACGGTGGTGAGCGAGCTCATGGGTTCTGTGCCGGAGTCACGGGGCCAGCGTTGAGGCACGCGTGGGCTTCAGCATCTTGTTTTATAAGTACCATGGGTGGCGTCGAGTGTCTTTCTCGTGTGTGATGGGAAGGGCAACCGGGAATGTACTTAGCCATCTGTGCGTCGAGAAGGCCGGGGTCCCTATCGAGGATCTCAACGCCTATAATAGCAAGCAATAACCTGATCGGAAGATGACGGACTGTCAGTGCAAGGCCTTCGTCTTGTGTAACACATCGAACAGAGCCACGATCATCTGTGAGCGGTAGAATGATAATGAAGAGCAGGCACTCGGGCAGACTCGGAGGCGGTCACGACCTTGGCACGGAAAGAGCACATGCGAACCCCACCTCTTTGTGTGCCTCTTCGCGGGGCTGATGCCCGTGTCGTTCCCTCTCCAATTCATCGTGCTCCAGCTCCCATCACAAAACTTTGCTGACGATTCGATTGCTTCGGTAGTGAACGCGAAAGTACCGAAGCGCCCGCCCGGTTGCAAACGGGCAGCTAGGTATTGTTGATGATCCACGTCGGGAAGACCTCGACGGTACACTGATGTAAAAGGAACTGCACGACCACTTCCGAACCTACTTCCCTTTCTTGCTCCAACCCTGTGTGATATCATCTGCTGTTCCTGAATCGTGAAACGACCACGCTTTCGTCTCCTTTGAACCGAGGTCTGATCGTGTCCTCGTGCTTCGTCCTTGCAATCACACTGCCCTCGCCGTCGACCACCCCGCGAGCAATTACAGATCTATACATTGCAGCACAGCAGCCATCCATCCATCCACCCACCATGGCCACAAACGGCACTAAGGCCAACGGCAACGGCGAGACCGGCGTCGGCGCAGAAGCCATCAACTACGACATCATCACCCTCACAAGACACTTGACAGAAGAGCAAGTCAAGCATCGAGAAGCGACCGGTGACTTCACGTATGTTCAGAGCCCTCCCTAGCACGCTCCCGCTAACTTCTCCTCTACAGACTCCTCTGCCACGCCCTCCAGTTCTCCTTCAAGTCCATCGCCTACTACATCCGCCGAGCCACCCTCATCAACCTGACAGGCCTAGCTGGCTCCTCGAACACGACGGGCGATGACCAGAAGAAGCTCGACGTCATCTCCAATGACCTCTTCATCTCCGCCATGCGTGGCTCCGGTCGCTGTCGAGCTCTGATTTCGGAAGAGGAGGAACAGGTCATCTACTTCGACGAGCACCCAAAAGCACGCTATGTAGTCGCCTGCGACCCCATCGACGGCTCCAGCAATCTAGACGCAGGCGTCTCAGTCGGCACGATCTTCAGCATCATGAGACTGCCAGACAGCGTGGTCGAGAGCGGCGCACGGCCCAGTGTGGAAGATCTGTGCATGCCCGGCACAGAGCTCGTGGCGGCTGGGTAAGCCATTCCTCCCCTTCTGAAAACCCCAGATCAGCCTATACTAACCTCTTCCCCAGCTTCACAATGTACGGCGCCTCCGCCCAACTAGTCATCACCATGCGCGGCGGCACGGTCAACGGCTTCACCCTCGACAACGCCCTCGGCGAATTCATCCTCACCCACCCCAACATGTCCATCCCCAAATCCCGCGCCATCTACTCCGTCAACGAAGGCAACTCGCTCTACTGGCAGCCCAAAACCGTCTCCTACTTCAACTCGCTCAAATCCCCCTCTGACTCCCACCCCGACCCGTCCAAATTCAAGCCCTACTCGTCCCGATATATCGGGTCTATGGTTGCAGACGCGTACCGGACGTTGCTGTATGGAGGAATTTTCGCGTACCCGGCGGACAAGAAGAGTCCGAAAGGAAAACTGCGGATTTTGTATGAGTGTGCGCCGATGGCGATGGTGATGGAGAATGCGGGCGGTAAGGCGGTGGATAGTAACATGAAGCGGATGATGGAGGTGAAGCCGGAGGGGATACATGATCGGAGTGGGATTTTTATGGGGAGTGAGAAGGAGATTGAGAAGGTGCTGGAGGCGCATAAGTAGGTTGGGTACTTATTGTATGGAACGACAGCTGCCGTATCAACAGTCAGCACATCTTCAATCTCCGTGCTCTCTTCGCAACCATGGGATCCCCGTTATCCGAGCGCATGCGTGCCTTTTATGAATTGTATTCCCTGCTTCGTTTGTGTAAGACGCTGCTAGCCCTCTCATAAGCTCTCACTGCGCAGCGATGCCACTCAGGCCCTTCAGCGCCTCTTTGACTTCCGCAGCAAGTGATTCGTTCGCAAACTTGCCATAGCGTAGATCGCTCAGCCCGCCCACGGTCTCCTTCATGCTGGCCATCAGCGAGTCTGACTCTTCGTTGAATTGGGTGATCTCGGTTTCGAGGGCGGAAACGGCGGACTGCATCGCGGCGAGCAGCGATGACTTAGTGTGGAAAGGCTGTGCTTGCTCGTGATAAGAGCTTGGGAGTGCGAGGCCGCGAGGGCCGTGGAAGGCTGTGTCGAGTAGCTGATCGATTTTCTGGGCGTCGAGAACGGGTGGAGGGGACGACTGCTCTGGTGGTGGTGAGGAGGAAGGGGACTCCGGTATCTCCTGCTCTGAGTCGGCCTCAGACTCTGAGCCGTTGTTGTCTGAGTTGTCTTCGTCCTCGTCGTTCTGGTCATCGTCGTCTCCATTTTCGGTCTCAGGTCGTCGTGATCGTTGAGGTATAGAGGTAGATGTGGTTGATGAGGCTCCTCGTGAGGTCGGGCGTGTGCTTCGTCTCGTACCGCGGTTAGCTCCCTGTTCAACCTCCTCATCGTCTTCATCGCTGCTGTCCAACTCCTCGGCATCATGCATCCGCTTCCGCTTCCGCCGCCCGCTCAGCTCAAGCTCGACGCTGGGCTCCCTCCTCAGGTCAACAATCATTTGCCCGTCATCACCACCATCCATCTCCCGTGCAGTCTCCCTCCACAACCGCGCCAGAATCGTGCCCTCCTTACTGCACTCCCACCTGATATTCGATTTGACGCTGTCGAGCACATGGCTTCGCTGTGCTTGTAGGTCCGTGTAGAGTTTCCGGAGGGATTTGGCCAGGGAGACATCGTTGCGGACATGTGTGGGAAAGAGGCGAGGAAGGCCTTGTAGGGGAGGATGGTGGGGAGGGAGGAGGGTTGCAGGAGGTAGCGGTTGAGGATTTGGAATTCGCTTGGGGGTCCTGGCGGTGGCATGCTGATGGTGGTGTGTGGGCTGCTCACAATGGCCGTGGTATGGGGTGGTCTGTGGCTTTCTGGCAGGTAGAATGGTCAGTAACAAGATTCTAGACTTGCATCGAGGTGGTTTAGCAGCATCTGCCCAATATGGGCGTTGGAAGTTCAAAATTTGGTCACCACAGCGTCCTCCCAAACACCAGATCTTGAAAATGAGTCAATAGTCAAACCAATTCAATCACTCAATTGCTGCACCTCATTCACCATCCAAAATTCACCTCACACCAGTGACTGCACGCCATTCACACAGCACATTCACTACAGCACCTTCACTAGCGCCCATTCACTGCACCATGGTCACCCACCAGCCCAGCTTCAGCCCAGTAAGTTAGCCCTCAGGCAAAAGTGAGACTCGAGTGAACGACAAGATCTCAAGGCTCAATGAGACTGAACCGAGTGACCTCTAATAACAATCCTACAGCCCTCTCCAACTCCAGAACCTCTTCGAGGCGCGGCGCGACCGCTCCCTCTCTTTCCCCTGTCCGAGCTTGCCGGCCCAAGCCGGAGAAGCCGGAGCATGACCAGGGAGGGAGCGAGGGAGCGGGAGCGCGCGCCGGACAGATTCGCCGACGAGGCTGGTGGCGCTGGGGGCGAGGAGGAAGAACAGCAACAGCAGCAGGAGGAGGAGACTCACCGAAGTCTTCTGGTTGCGCTTTCGCTTCTGGTCTTGGTTGTGGGTGGGCTCTTGTGGGTGGGAAGGAGGACGAGGAAATAAGGCAACCAACGCGTAAGTTTTGGTGAGCGCGTCCTAGTTTTAGGCGTCGACTTTTGCCAAGACGCCCTCACTAGTAAACGCGCTATTCTGCTTTGAATCTTCGTCACTTCTGCTTCACATCCAACTTCTGCTGTGCAATTCATAGGCGACATCTGACACCAATCAGGCGGCCTTCATAGATATCCGAAATCATATCACACAGACCGCCAAGATGCCCTCAACCGACTCGAAACCACAGTACGCCAAGGACGAAAAGACACTGTGTTTCCATGGCGAACTCCTGTACGAGGCAAAGATACTAGAACTCAAGCGAATAGATCCCAAGGACAAGACAAGTCCATACGAGTATCGGGTGCACTACAAGGCTGGAAGGCCACGTAGGTCGCCCTGAATCCCCATTCTACAGCTACCAGACACTAACATACCCTGCTTTAGATGGGACGACTGGGTAACCGAATCCCGCCTCCGCAAATTCAACGACGACAACAAAGAACTCGCCGCCAACCTCCGCCGCGAAGCACAAGCCCAGAACGCCGCCGCAAAAAAGCAAACTACCACTACCATCACCTCCAAAGCCCGCCCGACCACTAAAGGAACTAGCGACAATGCATCCCATCGAGACTCCCAAGACCGCGACCAATCCGCTCCTCCTCGCGGCACCAAACGACAACGACACGACAACGACCTCGAGAAGGAAGAGCACTTTACCAACCGGCCATCTATCCGCCTCTCAATCCCAGACCACCTCAAAGCCCTCCTTGTGGACGACTGGGAAAATGTTACGAAGTCATTGCTTCTAGTTCCGCTTCCCTCACAAGCCCCCGCAAACTTCATAATCGACACCTACTACGCCGCCGAATCGCCCAACCGCCGCCTCGGCAGCGCCGACGCCGACATCCTGCTCGAACTCTGCTGCGGCCTGAAGCTCTACTTCGAGAAATCCCTCCCCAAGATCCTCCTGTACCGCTACGAACGCGCTCAACTAGCGGAAGTGCGCAAACTCTGGGAGAACGCGAACGGGAAGTATCCGGAGTGGGAAGGGAAGGGTCCTGGGGATTGCTACGGTGCAGAACATCTAGCGAGGATGCTGGTAAACATGCCGGAGATCATCGCACAGACGAATATGGACGTACAGAGCGTGGGAAGGCTGAAAGAGGAACTGCAGCGGTTCTGTGCGTGGTTGAGTCGCAACAGTGAGAAGTTTTTTGTCGCCCGCTATGAGAAACCCGGCGGGGAGTACGCTGAGGCCGTGCAGCGCTAACAAGCTGTTCGGACAAGAAATGAGCGCCAGATTTCTCGCAGCGGCCTCCCTGGCGGTCAAATTTCGATAGATTCAATCTGCGACTTGAGGCTCAAGTGAGGCTCCTCCCAAACTTCCTGGCTTGATCTTGAAAAAGCCCAGCCCTCAGAGCCCGCCCTGGCTCGATCTTCAAAACAGTTCCAGTCCCTCAGAGGCCGCCCTGACTCGCAAATCCTGAGGTTCAATTGACCCGCCAGATTCCTCTCAGCGCCCTCCCTGGCGGTCAAACTGATGAGTTTAGATTCTGCGACTTGAGGCTCAAGTGAGGCTCCTTCCAAACGTCCAGCCTCTCAATCTTCGCAACCAGTTCCAGCCCCTCAGAGCCCGCCCTGACTCAAAAATCTTGTGGTTCAACTGACCCACCAGGTTATGGGAGCAAGAGCTGGGCGTTCTCTCCAGCACATAATTCGAAAATTGCCAACACTTCTGCAGCGCCCTCCCTGGCCAGAAAGTCTGCAAAGAAGTTTCCTACGAGATGACGTTCAAGTGAGGTTTATCCAAAACGCAGCCTGCTCAATCAGCGAGCCAATATCAGACCTTCAAAGCCAGAGCCCGCTCTGGAGGTAATCATCACAGTCTATGAGTGCGCGAAAAAATTCTGCCAGAAAGAGGGGTTTTACCATTAGATAGACATGGACACATCAGGGGCCTCCCTGGGCCTTATTCTGACATATCATGCTAGTAGTCTTCATCCGCAAGCACTAGCTCGTCTAGACCCTCCGCATACCTCACCGCCTCCTCTTTGGGCTCGTCAGCTTTCCTCTTCAGGCCCTTCTGCTCCTTCTTCCCTTCTTCTTCAGCAAGCACCTGCTGCCACTCCCTGTCGCGAGGTATGAAGAGCCGGGTGGGGAGTACGCTGAGGCTGTACAGCGGTTAGATGCGTGAGGGGGAGGTTTCGCGGTAGGCGTTGGGGAATGCTATCTTTACGTTTGGACAAGCCAGAGGCCGCCCGGAAGGGGTGAAAACAGCATGTTGACTGCACGGAATGAAATTGATCGAGGGTATCACTATCGGACTGAATCTTAGCCACAGCGCCCTCCCTGGCCGAGTCCAAGTCCAGCAAGCGCTTCAAAAGTCCTCGTCGGCAAGCACCAACTCTTCGCCCTCCACAACACCTTCTGCGTCCCCTGTGGAGCCCGCCCCATTCGTTCTTCGCTGCTCTCCTGGCTCTCTAGCTTTCCTCTTCAGTCCCAGCCTGTCCTCCTCCTCTGCTAGCACTTCCTCCCGCTCCTCATCATCCAAGTCCTCGTCCACCCCTTTCGTGCCTGGAAGGTTGTCGTCTTCGAGGAATACGCGTCCTTCGAGTTCTGGTGGTAGGTATTCTTGCTTGACGCGTCCGCCCATGTAGTCCGGATTGTATTTGTATCCCTTGCCGACGCCCATGTCCTTGAGTAGCCTCGTCGGCGCATTACACAGATGCGGTGGAACCTTCAACCCCATCACCCCTTCCTCCTTGCCCACAGCATGCATGGCAGCGGCTAGGCCGCGGTAGCTGCGCGTACTTTTTGGTGCAAGGGCAAGTGCTACGGCGCAGTGTGCTAGGTTGATCCTCGCTTCCGGCAGCCCTACCTTTTCACACGCTGTGTAGGTAGCTGTAGCGAGGCTGAGCATTGAATTGTCAGCAAGTCCGATGTCCTCGCTCGCAATCACAATCATGCGGCGCGCGATATACAGCGGATCCTCACCCGACTGCAGCATGAGGGCAAGGTAGTATAGTGCGCCATCGGGTGACGAGCCGCGGATGGATTTGTGGAAGGCGGAGATGGCGTTGTAGTGCGCGTCGCCAGCGCGATCGTAGAGGAGAGTCTTCGTCAAATGCGGTTTGAGTTGGGCCAGGGTGAGTTCGGGGTCTGTGGCAAGCAGGGAGAGGGTCAAGGCGAGGAGGTTGAGGGCGGTCCGGGCGTCGCCGGTTGAGGTGGTGGCGAGGAAGGGGATGAGCTCGTCGCTTTCCGGAGAGAGGAGGGTTGCCGTGTGGAGGGGTGAGTCCTCCGTCGTGGTGGCCAGCTCAGCAGCCAGCGCGCGTCGTAGGATCGTCTCAGTGTCCGCCGGAGTGAGCTGCTCAAGCACGAACACCCGACACCGACTCAACAACGCCCCCTGCATCTTGAAACTCGGATTCTCAGTCGTAGCACCCACAAGCGTAACCTCCCCCTTCTCAACCGGCCCCAGGAAAACATCCTGCTGACTCCTCGAGAACCGATGGATCTCGTCACAGAACAATATCGTCTTCCGCCCAGTCAAGCCCAACTCATTCCTTGCCTCACCGAACAATTTCTTCAGTTCCCCAACGCCAGTCGAGGTGGAGTTGATCTCGACGAAGCGCGAGTTGCAGGTTGAGGCGATGATGCGTGCGATCGTGGTCTTCCCTGTGCCGGGCGGGCCCCAGAGAATGAGTGAGGGAATGGTGTTGCTTTCGATCAGGCCGCGCAGGAGGCCGTTGGGTCCGATCAGGGCTTGTTGTCCGGCGATGTCGTTGAGAGTGTGTGGGCGCATACGTTCGGGGAGGGGTGCGTTGGGAGAGAGCTTGGGCTTCTTGCGGAGGGGAGGGGAGTCGGGCGCTGCGGAGGGCTGGTCGGTAGTGGGTGTGTGGTGGCCATTTTGATCAGTGTTGGCAATGGGTGTAGTGGTGGTTTCGGCGAATGTTCGTTTCTTGTAAGAGGTGGAAGTAGAGAGCGCTGGTGGAAGGCTTGGGGACGAGGTTGGGTGGTCGCCATTGATACCGCCTGTACCATTGAGCGTGCTCTCTTTCTTCGCTATAGGCGTCTTGAAGAAGCTGGACACAGGTGTTGAGGACCTGCTGATACCTCCATTCTCGCCGTTCTCGAAATGGGACTCGCAGCCAGAGTCGATGTGGTCATTGATCCTGTTCGCATTGACTGATTTGCCGCAGATCGGGCACGAGACCATTGTAGTCAGTCATGCCTTGACCACCACGTCCGTAGTAGCAGACGAAGGTAGGCGCACTCGCTGCAGAAACGAAGAAAGGAAGAGTCTCGAATAATTGTGGTCATCGCGATGAGATCATTCATTGATACGAAATACGATAGCCGCTGAGACGCGTTCACGCGTTGTGGCCGCGCCGGAACAACGATACGGCAGGCTACGCAGTGACAGAGGCCGCCCTGGCCAGCCAAATCGCGAGCAGTAGGTACTAAAGACAGGATCACGAGAGCATATACTCGAGATTCTTCTACCACATGCTTCGAAGGTTAAGGTATTGTTACATAAAGCTGAAGCCTGCCCTGGCTGGCTATTTGCATGCTAAGGGTATCAATCATGCCAAAGCTTGACTTCTTCCTCACTTGTCACTCACTCACTGCCCGCTCTCGTGTCATGTCGTATGAAATGTTGTTACACACCTCCCTCCTCCCATCTGCCCCGCCCTCATGAAGGCCTCCCCGGGTGCGCAGCAAGTTGCTGTTCTTTCGCCTCACGCGCAGCAATTCGCTGTTCCGTCGCCTCACGCCATTTGGTAAGTGCACCGAATACCAGCCGACGCCTGTACACCCTATCAGCCCTTTCCTCCAGAGCGCGCTCAAAACGGCTAACAGCAGAAGCAGCTTCCTATGCGCCTCTTGACCGCCGTCTCGAGCTGGTTGGCATCGAGATCTCAATGACATCGTCCTGGTCCTCTTGGCCATCGAACTCCGACACCGGCTCCTCCTCAGGACTCCTGCCGTATGGGTTGCCCAGCTTTTCTCGATCTGCCGCACTCATCATCTCCTCTTCTTCATCACTGCTGTTAGGGCCCTCCTCAGTGGGAGCGACCATCTCGCCCATCTCGTCGTCGTCATCGTCGATGTCCAGCGGCCGGCGCTCAAGGCTGGTGCGCGCTTCAAGAGGTGGGGTCTCGCCGTCCGGATCAGAGTTGGAGTCGGAGGAGGAGTCGTCAAGGTCATCAAAGCCACCACGGGTCTTGCCACCGCTACCAGCGGAGAAGAGGCTGTTCAGACCTCTGGAAGCCGAGAAGCCATGTGCGTTAGTGGAGGAATTACTGAAGGGGTTATTGCTGTTGCTTCGCTTGCCAAAGGTGGTGATATCTTGCTCTTCTTCGTCCAGGGAAAACGGATCATTGCCATCTTGCTCGTCATTGTCGTGAAGTGATGAGAAAGGGTCGTCGTTTTCTGCGCCGAATTCTGAAGCGGCGGCCTCTTGCTGCTCTTCCTGCTTGCGAGCAAGTCGGTCTGCCAGTCGACGTCGAGCACGTGATGGCTCAATGTTCAGAGGTGCTGGTGGTGGAGGGATGAGCGGTACTGGAGCGTTCGGATCTTCTGGTACTGCAGCCATGCGGCTCGCCTCTTCGTCCTCGCCTTCCTCCATGTCCTCATCATCATCGTCCGATGATGAGCCGAAGCCACTCATTGAGCCTCCACTAAATGCACCACCGCCAGTATGATTCAGCTGCTGGTTCTGGAGCTCAACACTGTCAAGAGCTTGACCACCGCCGAGACCAGCATTTTGTAGCGCCGTAGAAGCACCAAGGCCGCCGGAGTTAACTGCATTGAGGACTGCCTGCCGTGGTCCAAGTCCATTTTCTGGACGGAAGCCACCGAGAATGGCGTTATCTCTCTCGCGTGTCTCAGCCAGCGTCTTGGTAACGTATTCCTCCCAGTCTTTGCCATAGATGCAATCTTGCACCATCGGAGACAGCTGCTCTCTCGGCTGACGTTCACCGAACTTGACCACTTCCTCGGCGACCAAGGTCAGATGTCCCATATAGCCCAGACGCATGTTCTTGGTCTGTTGAGCTTCATCGCTACGTCGCTGACCCTCTATGATCTGCTCAGTTATGCGACCGGTCTCGAACAGGTCAAATGCTAGGCTTCTGTTGTACCCTCGATCCATAGGCCCGTTGAAGACTTGCTGAACCACATCATACACCACGTTGTGCAAGAAGTTGTTCCACGGGAAGCGGAAGAAGAAGCTCAATATTGTCGGGACAACCTGGTTCTCGACGAACATGATCTTCAGATAGTCGCCCACGACGGGCTTGTCATCACTGACAACGCTTTGATCGCCGTGCATGGTGGAGTCTTCAGCAATTTGTGTGTTTTCGCCTTCGACCTGGCTACTAGTGAGGACGTTGCTATTCTTCGTAGACAGCGGACTGGGAGGCGTAGGAGGTGGCTCTGGACTGCTTGGAGTTGGTGTCTTGTTTGGATCCTTACTGGCAAACAGTGGTGCAGGTTTATCTTCCGGGTGAGGCGATATTGGTGAAGCTGTAGAAGCCTGAGGGGAGGTCGAGGTGACGGTGGCATCTTCGAGGCTCAGTCTTCTGACTTGTTTCGAAAGACCTTGCGTCGGTGATGCAGGTGTGTCTGCAGATAATTCGTGATGAGCTCGGACTGGTGACAGCGGCTCATCGACCAGATCATCCCGCTTCCCGAGCGATTTTGGCTCAGCCGGTTCAGCCTCTTCTGCTGCGACCTTCTCAAAGCCATCATCTTCGCTGTTGTTAGCGACGCGTAGCTCATCGGTCGACGTAGATGCGGAAGGCGTCCATCCAGTCTCGAATCTGGACGAGGTAGCGGAAATGTCCACGGTCGAATCTTCCGACTGCTTGGTAGCGATGAAGGCTCCAGATGCACGCAGACGCTCTCTTTCCTCATCGCGGGCCTTGACAAATTCCTCACTTCCGCGTTCGTTGAGCAACACCATATTACTACAGTGCAAGAGTTCCGCCATCAATTCGCAAGTCTTGAAGCGATCAAACCCAAGTGGCTCAATTCTCGCACCCCATGCTGACTTCAACTCGCCTCGTTCAACGATCGATGTGGTGTCGCCTACTGTGACAGTGTGTCGAGGACTGAGAATGAGCTCAGTGAAATCTGGAACATGCTTGGCGAACAAGCGCAATAATGTGCCTAGATAGATAGGATCATGACTCGTTGGCGGAGAATCTGCAGAAGCCCCACCTTCGGATCGTAGTCTGAGTTGTTCTTGCGAATGACTTCAATGACGATGCCAACTCCCACAGTCAGCGGGTTGCCACCTTGCAGCATAGCGGAGATCAGGGTTTCCATGCAAGATTCCGAGACAAGTTGCCGAGTCAGGCTGTTTGGACCAATACATGACTGCTGGTCTTGCGCCGCATTTGCTGAAATAGTGATGATAGCTTTGAGGAAGTCTCCAGCTGACGTCTGTGTTGAAGAATTGCAATCCGGTGAGAGATTTGCAAGCAGCATGGGGATAAGATCTTGCGAATGCAGCCAATCCACTATTCCTGCTCCACCCTCGGCTTTGTCGAGGCTGATGATCTTGAGCAGAAGGTCCATGACCATAGGACAGTCTACGTGCTGCAGGATAGCAGGCACGATGTCAGGCAGCGACTTGAAGAAGTCCAACATATCTTCCGTCTTCTTCTCAAGTAAGCACTCATTGACTTTGGTGAAGTATCCGGCCTGCAATGGCTCGAGTGAAGGTGGCTTGCGTAGGAAATCCCAGAACTCGGTCAGGTATTGAGTATTGGCCATCAGCGCCTCGGTGATGGACCATGTCTCACAGGACAAGATCTCGCACGCGACATATGCATATTTCAACCGCTTCTTCTCGGACTCATCCTGCTCTTGGTCGACTGCTGGTTCTTCGTCGTCGTCTTCTGGTGCCTTCTCTGAAGATGCTGCGGACTTTGCTGGTGGAGCAATGACATATTGCAGAAGCGCGTGCAGGTTATCATCATCGCGAAGAACCTCGATAAGCTTGGTGTGGTGCGACTTCAGTTCCTGGATGAGGTCTGATTCCTCGAGCAACTCTTCGAGCTTGAGATTCTGCTTGTCCAGCAGCGTATCGATTGTCGATACATTGGAGTATCCTCCAAAACGCCAGAACATTGTGTGGGTATGTAAGTGCGAGCTGCGCAACCGTGCAACCGTGTTCTCAGCGTGGCTGCAATAAGGGCATGGAATTGTGTTTAGAGGGTGAACAGCACATTGGAGGCCGCCCTGGCACTATTAGACAGTCAGTAAGGTGATTCGTAGAATTAGGAGAAGACACGGCGATGCGTACCTGTGACAAAAGAGTGACTAGAAGAGAAGTAGCAAGATGGGAGGGATACAAAGTGTCAAAGAGGCCGCCCTTCTCCTCCCAGGCGCACTCTGAAAAGGTGTGTGCAAGATACTTAAGTAGAAAGAGAAGTTAACGTAGTGAGGAAGTCGCGCAGCGCCCGAAGTGACCAACTTGAACAACGAACTGCAGTCGCCAACTCGAGTCTTGGCACGAGTCCGCTGGCCGCCGACGGTCCCCGGTCAACTGAAATCCGAGTCTGCGAGTTGTGATTGTTATTTCCTCGGTAAGCTGACTGAGCAGAAGACTCGAAGGCAATCGCCATGCCACAATCATATGAGAGTCTGTATGACACTGCAGCCTGCTACCTCAAATGGCGTCACGGGTTCTCTCGTGGTGCTACATGGACCTAGCCCGAAGCATTGGGCACCTGTCCGTTGGCGGCTCCGCAGCCTAGTAGCTCGTGCAGATGTGGTTTGCGCCTTCCTCGTCATGGCTTTCTCGACGAGGTCACACACTATTACTACAAATTCGATAGCCAAAGGCGTCATGTCACCACGTCAAGCCTGGACTGAAGATTTCCTTTTGTTATCTGAAAGGCACGTGGCAAATGCTGAACCTCCAGACAACGTGTCTTGATTTCGTTATCGAGGCCCGGAGTAGTGGGGGCGGGCGCCTCCAAATCAAGCCCGCGGGAACAGCGGGTGTAGCCGCTGACTTGGTCGCCGATAGTCTCCGGCTCGCCAAGGGACATTTACTTGTGGTGAGAACAAAGACACACAGCACATCGCGATGTCGTTCATTCGTTGTTCATAGCCATCTGGGTGGTCCTGACGATGCAATGCCACCGTAAATTCACCAAAAGAACATGACTGCTGCCCTAAGATGCGTTGCCGATGATTTGCTCGACGATCTGAGGGAACTCCTGAACTCGAGTCGGCTCAGCCGCTCCCTCTACTGGCGTGATCAACGTGCTGATGCCAATCTTCAGGCCTGGGACGACCCTCGGATCGATGCGCTCGCCTCCAAGCTGTGTACAGCGTTAGCAATCAGGGCGACTCGATAAGAGCTTAGCATACCTTGACGATGCGCCATCTCAAGTTCTTCACCAAAAACGGCTCCACACTCTCCGGCCTGAGATCATGCAACTCGCCCTTCAAGACATAATCCAACAAGAGCGGTGTGACGGGTGTTGTGTCTGTCACAAGCAGACCCTGCTGCTCTTGATGGCCACAATTGTCACATTGCTCGACTGGTGCTGCAAAATTGTGGCTCTGACCGGCAAGTGTAGGCGTGAGGTTCCAGCTGTCAGGCTTGTTGTCGTCGAAGGGTCCGATGAAGTAGCTGATCGTGAAGGTGCCGTTGAGAGCGAGGCTAGCGACTAATGTCAGTTTGCGGAACCTGTGCGATCATACGTAGACCACCTACCGTTCAACCATGTTGTCAATGTACCATCTGCGCTGAACGTGTGCTTCGTTGACCTCGCCGTCTTTGGGCGTGCCAACGTTTTCGTATAGCTCACCAGAGAGTACTCGACTATCAGTCAACTTACTTGACGGCGTGGATTTCTCCACAGCAGCCGACTTGTTGCTCGCTTGCGGCTTAGGTTCACGAGCATTGCCAACGATAATCTGAGCAGCATTGATCGTGCTCTCGGCCATGAGCTGCGTAGATTGGATCGTGTTGACAGCCGCCTTTTGAACGACTTGCTGCACACGACCCACGGGACCTGCTGACGCAAAGACTTGCGCTTTGGCATATTGCTCAGCTGTCGGAGGTAGCATACTCTTGGGACAAGTGCCCAGGTTCTTGATGTCATGCCCTTGCGCTCTTCTGCCTCTGTATCTCACCGCCCAATCGTACTTGGCTTTATAATTGTCTCTCACAGCCTGGGCGGTAGGAAACTCGGCGTCCACGTACGTGTACCCGAGGGATGTCGAGGTATATCGAGCGTCATCAACAGTCCAGTATTTGTGTTTGCTGGTTGGCTGCGGATAGCGAAACGGGTACAAGAACTCTTTGCCGACTCCCGAGTCCCATTCATTGGGATGTGACGCTTGCCAAATCGCATAGATGCGATCGATTTGGCTATTTCTAATTGTTAGGAAAGTAGATTGCACAGCATTTTCGTCCACTCACCAATGGTGGATCCAGAAAACAGGGTCAAACGCAGCTACTGCTGGATCAGACATCTGACCTCCGTTCCCGAGGTAGTTGTGATAGCCATTATGCAGACCCTCGATGGATCCAGCTGTGCCACCGCGCTCCAAACGCGCCGTCACAACGTTCAAGAAGTTATCATAGCCCGGGAACAAGATGATGTTGTTACAGTACTCGTTATCCTGTTCCCTAACCTGGTTCAATTTATTGTTGAGATCACGGACGCTTGGTCGTAAGTAGGAGAACGCGGGTATCGCGCAGTCTCGGGTGACCAATACTATCAAGATCAAGTCAGTGCCACAAACGTAGCAACGGGCGGCATTGCCATTACCTGCGTGTTCGTCGGGTTCCCATCGGCGTCTATCGCTTTTTGCATCCAGATGTTGGCGCCCTTCTCCTTCGGTGGAAACTTGAAGGACTTCAGAGGGTTAGGGAACGACTTGAGCTCGTTCTGCGTCTCTGCTGTTCGCAGCATGACGTTCTCCCTGGTAAAGATGTCTGGCAGGCGATAGTCGAATGGAAAAGTGGTCGATCCCCCATTGAGCCCAGTAAATTCCACCTGCCCGCCACGCGGCTTGTAGTAATCCCAGTAGGGCAGGCGAAACTTCTTGACGGCGTTGCGATACAGCTTTTTGTGCTCTTCCTTCTGGAAAGTCTCTGCGATTTCCGTCATTTGCTCGTACAGAGATTGCTGAGCGGCATTAGTATGTAAGGAAGGTATACTGAGTTGTAGATGTGCGTACTTCGATCATCACCAGATATGGTCTGTGCCAGCCAGGAAACGTGTACGTAGCATGAGCACAGTAACCGACCCAGTCACCTCTCACCTGATTGCTCAAGTCCTTCCTAGTTGCGACTAGAGGTCGCTCGCCATCCCATAATCTGAATGGCATGCCATGTATGCCTATTTGTATCACCGTCGGACGCCAGTGTGGACCTGAACCGGCTTACCAGCAAGCTGTTAGAAGCACATCTTCATATATGCGTTGCTGTCCTTCTTTAGTTCAATCAAAGCAAGCAGAAAAAGGTTGAAAGTGTCAGGCTCGTTCAGCATAAGATCGTCGATATCGCGGCGTGGAACTGCCGTACCGTCGACATTTGGAAGACCTAGAACAACGCCTGCGGCTTGCGCCTCTTCGACAGTCGTCACAGCCATAATGAGCGTGGCAGTCGTAGGTTGGTGGATGGTTTACAGGTCGTACTACAACTTCGGCTGTTGCCTCCATTTGATCTGATTCCAAAGTAGTGGCATGCCATACTCCTGAAAAGTGTGGTTCTTATACCTTTTGTTGACGCTCCAGCTGAACTGGATCCCGGGAAGTGTTACACGATTCGCAGCGTAAGCTGTGCCTTCCAGCTCAGCCTTCTATATGCACGACACCGTGAAGCTGTCAAGCATAGAACCTATCCCACCAGTCCTGGACACTGTCAAGGTCAGCTCGTTCAATGTCGTCCACATCCGTGTTGCGGTCTGCATGTTCCTAGGATGGCGCATCAGCCTGCCGAGTCCCAACACTGGGCGAAAACACATCTGTCCTTGCACCAACGCTCAGGAGAGAGTGTTGCCGGACTCGAGGGACGAGCCTCAGCCAGCCCAGGCGAACGCCTTGCATTAAAACGAGCGGGGAAGAGGGCAGATACGAACTTGGGCTGCATTTTCGCAGACCGACACCACCCGGTTCAGAATGCTGAAGGTGATAGAAGTTCGAGACCCAAGGCTATACGATCAGCTTCATTGACACGATGTGTCAAACATCCTGCACCTGCTGCACAAAGCTCAACCCCTCTGACGGTGCCAGATCTTGTGGGCCGTACATTGAAACAGCCTACCGTCGAATCGTAGCCCACAAGCAGCGATGATCTGAGTCCAGATTGCGTGTCGTGGTGCCTGATGAACGAAAGTTATGGAAACAAAAGATGCCAACAAAAGGAGCCCCTAGCCTGAGCCGGGGGTTCGCCCTGCCCAGGTGAGCTCGGAAGTGGAGAATTCAGGCGGCCAAAGACCGGTTGACATGCGATGACATAACGCCCGCTCTCCAACGGAAGTCGTCCAGCCTAGACCTTTGAGTACGTCCTTACGACTATTGTTCACCAAACACACGTCGCCAAAATCTATTGCGAAAGTCGCTGGGACACACGATGAATCGCCTCTTCGGCACCAAAGCCCAGGCGCCAAAAGCCACACTCAACGATGCCATAGGAAACGTACGCACCGTTCCCTTTCCCTCCCAATAGCCCTTCCCACTAACACAAGCCTCACAGCTGGACACCCGCGTCGAATCCATCGACGTAAAACTCGCCAAAACCAACGCCGAACTCGCCGGCTACCAGCAAAAGCTCTCCAAAATGCGTGACGGCCCCGGCAAGAACGCCATCAAGCAGAAAGCCCTCAAAGTCCTGCAACGCAAGAAACAATATGAAGCCCAAAAGGACCAACTGTATCAACAGTCTTGGAACATGGAGCAAGCCTCGATGATGCAAGACAACCTCAAGAACGTTATGACAACGGTCGATGCGATGAAGACGACGAACAAGGCGCTGAAACAGCAGTATGGGAAGATCGACATAGACAAGATCGAGAAGATGCAGGATGAGATGGCGGATTTGATGGAAATTGGGAATGAGATCAATGAAAGTATAAGTCGGGCGTATGATGTGCCCGAGGATGTGGATGAGGCGGAGCTTGATGCAGAGTTGGAGGCGTTGGGGGAGGATATGGCGTTTGAGAGCGAGATGGGGGTTGGTGAAGGGGCAGTGCCTAGTTTCTTGCAGGATGAAGTGCCGCCGACGTTTATTGATGAGCCGCCGGTGGAGGGGAAGGTGAAGGAGGCGGCGGGTGGTGTCGGCTAGCGCTGCTGCTGAGCAGAACTATTTGCTATCCAGTCATCGGGCTTACAGCGTCACGAACAAACATGATACCCCCTCAGAACGCCGCATTTCATATTTAAATCGGCTCGTGACAGTGACCCAACGTGTATGTCTGCCTATCCCAGTCCCTTCAGCCCAACGACCCAACCCCTGACCCCCTTCCCACCCTCATGCGCCCTCCTAAACAAATCTCTCTCCATCTCATCCAACCCCCTCAAGAACTCCGCCCCCTCCCCACCACCCAACGCTCCACTGGGATTGTTCGCGTGATCCGCAATCTCCGCCGCTCGCATCGCGAACGTCTTCAGTAGCACCCCGACCACGGCTTCGTCCTCGAAGAGTTCCAGGACTCGAGCGCCCAGGCTGTAGAAATGTGGTGATTGGGCGCGTAGGTCGACGGATTTAGGATCTGCTTCGAGGGCGTTCATGACGCGGGATTGGAGGGGAGCGGGGAAGTCGAGGGTTACGAGGGGTGGCTTTGTTGGGTTGTTACTGTTGTTGGTATCTCGTCAGTGGAACCCATTTCTGGTGGCTAGAATGAGAGACGGGTGCCCAGATGTACGTGTGAATGGGCAAAGGAGAGGACGGGAGACGAACGCGTTGGCAACAGTCAGCATCATGCCGAGCCATAGTGGCAATTCAAGTTTCGTATTGGCTGCTATGGCCTCGCCCGGATTGCCATCGAGATAGCCTAGACCAGGCACATCGAGGTTGAATGTGCATGGGAGTTTTTGCGCGTCGGTCAGGATCGCGTCTGTATCATAGAATGACATTTCGTTTGTGCTACAGCATCGTCATGGGTTGAGACCAGTGATATGACGAGCGCGGCAGGAGAATTTGAGGCTATGAAGAGCAGATATGAAACAGATATCGCGTACAGTTTGCGCGTGATATGCTTCCAGTGGAGACGGACGCCTTCTTGGTTGCCTTGTTTGCGATTCCAAGGAATCGTCCACCCAGGTCTCTAGCTTCGTCTGTACCACTGCGTTACTGCCAAAGCGGACTCTGTCCAATCTTCGTCTCATCGTGAGCCCTAATGCCACTCCCGAGATGTCATCGCAGCCCTCAACCACAACTACTACAGCCCAACGCCCATCAGTCTCCCTCCCACCCTCAAACACAACCCACCTCGACCCCGGCGCCTACATCCGCGGACAACATCCCATCACACTAGGCGAGCACTGCCTGATTCACCCACGTGCCCTCCTCACCACCACGACGCACCCTCTGGTAATTGGCTCGAACTGCGTCATCAGCGAGAAGGCCATCATCGGCGGCTTACCTCCTTCCCAGTCCAAGTCCGACACTACATCGACCACAGCTCCAACTACAGCCCTAACATCGCCCGCTCTCGGCAGCATATCGGCGCCGCCGACTCCAGATCTAGCCTCTGCGTCGCAGTTTACGCAGCCAACCTTTGTCTCAAACAACGTCACAATCCACCCGCACGCCCAAGTCACACACTCGACAACCATTAACGCTTACACCACAATCGAATCCCACGCCGTCGTCTACCCCGGCGTCACCATCGGCGAGCACTCAAAGGTCTGTGCTGGCGTGCATGTCCGGCGGGATGTTCCGGACTGGTGTGCGGTTTGGGGAAATGGGAATCTGAGGCGGTTGAGGAGGCCCTCAGCGGCAGCGCTGGAATCCATGGTTAGCATTGGAGCAAGTGACGAAATCACGGATGCAAAGGAGGGAGCTAAACGGCAAGGACTCGAGGATCCAGAAGAGAGAGCGGCGGAGATGAGGCAGAAGATTGAGGAAGCAGAGGTGCAGCGAATTCGGGGCGTAGAAAAGGAGCGGGAAGCTGCGACAGTGTTGCTGCGCAATGCGGCAAGAGCGGCGGTCGCTGCGAAGAGGGCGAGTGTTACCGCGAGGGGATGATGCTACAGCGGACTCCCTGGTCAAAATTCCACATGAAGTTTTTCCACGACCTGACCTGCCAGTGACGCTTGACTGAGGCTCATTTCAAGCCTGCCCATTTCGTCATTTGGCCATTTCAGACCTCTAGCGCCCTTCCTGGTGTGAACTCCGTACTGAACCTTTCATTCACCTTCCCTGCACCAACTCAACATGTCTCAAACCCTCTCTACGCCATCCTGGGTAAGTTTGGTCCGTCCGTGATGGATGACTCCGTGGCTAACAGGTCTCGCCAGGACAAAGCCGAACCAAATCTGTCAAGCATGCCCATCGAAGTCCTGGAGAAGATCATCGCCTTCGCTATCGCTATTCCGTTCTCACTCTGGACCCCCAAAACGTTTGAGATTCAGTGGCGAAAAGGGGGCCCGATCGAAACAGGCACATATTACGAGGTTTGCTCCCGCAAGGACGACCAAGCGGTCAAGTGGAATCAGTCTTGGGTTCTTGGGCTTCTTGTCGTCTCCAAAAGCGTTCGCCAGGTCACTCGCATATGTCTAGCTCGACGTGCTCAATGGGAGTGGCCCTACAATTGGCATTGGTACGTGGTCGTTATCTGTGTAGAGGCACCGGCTGATTTCAGTGGGGGGGATTGCAAGTGCTTTACACAGCATTTGAGTACGTGGGCATCCTCCACATCGAGATTTAGGCTGACGAGACCAGTGAGACGAGGCTTTGTCTTGGAGACTTCCTCTTGAACTATGCCGAGCACGGTTCATTGGCTCTGGAGCAAACCTAGGTAATCTGAAATGTTGGCTGGGCCAAGTCCACCGAAATACGAAATAGGAGTACTACGGCGAAATGGGCAAACCCACGATGCTCAAACAAAGACAAAGACGAAGACGAAGAAGGCAACGCACGCCAGGGCCGTTGCTGTTTGAAGTGGTTCTGAACAAATGATTGAACTGCCTTTTGTGAACCGCCCTCAAGAATAACCCACGCACAGTCTCATGAAGCTCGTCCATACAGTCGGCCTCATCCTTGAAGCCACTCTTTCCGACACCTACTTCCTCGGTCCTAAAGCACCTTTTGACCGCCTAGATACTGACAAAAAAGCTCTTCTCCCCCTCCCGCGCCACAACCTCACTCCTCTTCAAAATCGGATCCGCACAACTGACCCGAATCCTCTCCACCGTCGCCGGACTCCTCAACACCAACACTTCCTCCTCACCCCACTGCTTCCTCGCGGCCACCAAAGCGTCCCTGATAGCAAAGAACACCGCTGCGCCCATGAAAAGAGGCGGCTCGCCTACGCCACGACTACGCTTGATCGTTCGCAAATTCTTCCACTCGACGTCCTTCAACAGACTGACGTTAAATTCTTGCGGGATATCCCTGAACCCAGGGATCTTATAAGCACCCGGCCCGCGAGTGAAGATCTGTCCTGAGGCGCGATGCCAGAGCGATTCCTCTGTTGTGAACAGGCCCTGACCTTGGAGGTACGCGCCTTCGATCTGTCCATAATCGATCGAGGGATTGATGGACTGGCCTACGTCCATGAGGATGTCGGTGCGATTGACCGTGAAGTCACCGGTGAGAGTATCGATGGTGACTTCGCTTGCGGCGACGCCTTGGGTGAAGTAGAAGAACATGAGGCCTGTGTTCTCCTTGGAAGGGTCCTCCGGGTAGGGTCCCCAGGTGTAGCCGATGTCCGGGGTGGCGTAGAAGCCCTGCGCGGAGAGGTTGACGCGGTCGAAGTAGGCGGCGTGGGCGAGCTGTTTCATTGTTGCTTCAGGTCCGAACTTCTCGCGGTAGGGCTTGAGGCGTTCGTTGAGTTGGGCGCAGGCGTTGTAGGCCGCATAGCCGTTCAGGTCCGAGGAGGCGGAAGCGGCCGTGGAGGAGGTATTGGGAACTGTGTTGGTGGCCGTTTCGGAGATGTGGACGTTGGCGAGGGGCACTTGGAGGGTCTCGGCAACGATCTGGCAGATCTTCGTGTGCAGGCCTTGGCCCATTTCGATTCCGCCGTGGGCAACGAGGACGGAGCCGTCGTGATAGATGTGTATCAGGGCGCCAGCTTGGTTGAGAAAGAGGGCGGTGAAGGAGATGCCAAATTTGGTAGGGATGATGGCGAGGCCCTTCTTCTGCCATTTGTGGCTTGCGTTGAACTCGGCAACGGCTTTTCGGCGAGTCTCGTATGCGGTGGTCTCCATGATCTGCTTCCACATGTGCGGTACGAAGAAGTCTTCGAGCTTCTGGTTGAAGTGAGTGCTGTCGCCTGGCTTGTACATATTGATCTCCCGGAAGCGCTCGACGGGAATCTTGAGGTGGTCTGCAACCTCGGTCATGTACGATTCTGCAATGAACATGCCTTGAGGTCCGCCAAAGCCTCGGAAGGCACTATTTGAGACGGTGTTGGTCTTGCAGATGCGGCCTTGGACATTGACGTTCGGAATGTTGTACACACCATCAATGTGAGACATTGCTCGATCGAGCACTGCCGCAGACAGGTCCTGCGACCAGCCTCCGTTGTTGAAGACATCCGCCTGCAGTGCTTGAATTTTGCCATCTTTGTTGACACCAACCTTCCAGACTGAGAGGAACGGATGCCGTTGCCCTGAGGTCATGATGTCTTCGTCGCGGTTCAGCATACATCTGACTGGTCTCTTGGTCTTGTTTGCCGCTACGGCACAGATGGTGGACACTTGGCAAGATCGTGTCTCCTTACCACCGAAGCCTCCTCCTAATCGCTTGACCTTGCAGACGATTTTGTTGTTGGCGACACCTGTGGCTTGAGCAGCGTATGCCTGGGTCTCCGTGGTATTCTGAGTGCTTGACCAGATCTCCATCTCGCCATCTTCAGGCTTTGGAATGGCAACGGTCGCCTGTGTCTCGAGGTAGAAATGCTCTTGTCCTCCCATGCGCGTTGTGCCGGAGAAGACATGATCACACTCCGCGAATGCCTTTTCGACATCTCCATTCTTGATATAGCGGTAGTGTTGGAAATAGCTCTCCTTCTCAATGGCTTCCTCAATTGTAAAAATTGCTGGCAGCTCTTCGTAGTCGACCAATACCTTTCTCGCAGCAGCTTCTGCCTGCTGGGCTGTATTTGCGACAATCATGCCAATAGGCTGACCAGCTGTGAACACTTCGTCTTCCGCAAAGAAGACTTCATCGCACACTGGAGCACCCCACCAGTTGGCTTGAGGACTCACCACATCGTGGCGATCAACCCAGCCCACGACACCTGGCATAGACAGAGCCGGCTCGGGATCCACGCTGAGCAGTTTGGCATGCGCTTTGGTGGAAAGGACCAGGCGGCCAATCAGCTCATTCTTCTGATGAGGGATATCGTCCGTATACTGAGCCTCACCTGTGCACTGCTTCAGTGCAGCCACGTGCGGGTTGCCTTTACCGGCAACATTTCCTGCATAGGCGATGGAAGCATCGTGATCCTTCTTGCCAAACGAGATGTCTCGCTCCAGCTCAGGTATGGCTTCCTTGTCGATCTTCTCTGAGCTAGCTAGATCAGTGAGAACGTCGTGATAGTAGCGGTAGAAGAACCCAAGGGCCAGCGACTTCCTGTACGTGGCCATGCCTCCTGGAACGCCAAAAGGTAGGTTGAAGTCCTGCTCCAAAGCACTCATGACTCCTTCGAGCGTCTTCAAGTCAGAGAACTTCTTGCCAGTCAAGAACTCCGCTGCCTTGGTTGCTGACACGGTCGTCGGCGCCATGCCACCGTAAACTAGGCTGGCACTCTTAACGACCTCTGCATCATCCAAGGCAACGCGTAGACAAGCATTGACGATAGCAATGTCATCGTCTTTCCGCTTGGACTGTTTGTATGTGCGGATGAATTCTCCCTTTTCAGCAGCAATGGGTATCCTCATCGCGGCAATGACTGCATCTTCAGGCAACGCGGTCTTGCGATAGCCCTTGAAGAATTGATCCATGGGTATTTCGGTCGTCTTCTTCATGGATTTCGCGACCAAAGTCGACTTTGTGGCAACGAAGACGGGATTGAGGTCTGAGATGGGTGAGGCTGTCGCTAAATTGCCGGCCGGTGTGCCGACATTTCGGATCTGTCGACCGGCGAAGTATTTGATCGCTTTCTTGATCGCGTGGAATGGTTGTGACTTAATCTCGCCATAGTGTTGTACAGCTTCATCACAGATATTCTCGAGATCCGTCAAAGCCACGTTGCCGCCGATCTCAACGTGGTCATCATGGAAGGCATACTGACGTAGCTCTGCGATATCTCCCACGTAAACCGAGTTGTTGTAATCCATAGCTTTGAACTTGATCTCGATCTGAGTCTCCGTACTGCCTCCGATCAACTTTGACTGAGGGACAGCATGCTTGATCTCGAGCAGTTCTTGTAATGTCGATGGTCGATACCACTTCTTCCTCTTGTTGCCTAAAGCAAGCGGCTTGAACTGATGCTTGCGGAGAGAAGGTGGAAAGATGAGCTCTGTCTCCTTGTCGTAGTGAATGAATGACGGTGGTTCAAACTTCTTCTCATTTGTGGCGCCGTTGGTCTCTCCGTTCGTTGCACCACCACAAGACCCTCCATTCTCCATGCAGCATCCTGATCCGCCATTCGCGATCGATTTGCCACACTTCTTGTTGAAGCTCTGGGCAGCATCTAATATTGGTCGATAGCCAGTACATCGACACAAGTTCCCGTCAAATGCCTCTTCCACTTCGTGCTCGTGGGGCTCTGAACCGCTGTTCCGCAGCAGAGCATACATGCTCATCACTATGCCGGGCGTGCAGAACCCACATTGACTACCACTGGATACAGCGATGCGCTGCTGCACTGGATGTGGCTTCTTGACCGATCCTATACCCTCCACTGTGATGACATGTTTGCCATCTACACTGACCAGTGGGGCCAGACAGGCATTCACGGAGGCATGATATAGCTTTTTAGTTGTTGGGTTAATCTGAGAGACGACGACGGTGCAGGCTCCGCATCCTCCCTCTGCGCATCCCAACTTCGTCCCTGTCAGACCAATGCCACGGAGGTACTCTAGCAGCGTGATCTCTGGGTCGATCGAATCGAGCTCGACTTTCGTGCCGTTGAGGTAGAAGCGGATCGTGTCGTCGTACCCCGCGGTCAGTGAGGCCAGCGATGTGGCATGGTCGCCATTCGCGACCGGATCGATGATGCCGGGCGCCATGCTATGCTGTTCGTCAGTAGATTCGGACGGCGAGAGTCAGGTCAACATGGCAGGTCAAAGGTCGAAGCTCCGACTTTCAGTTACGCGGGGCACATGTGTACACTCTATAGCATGTGTCCTCTTCAAGCCCGTATTGGCGTGGCAGACCTTATCAGTGTCGGGGATCATCAATGTCATTCCTCGAAGTCTGTGGTATCCGCCGAATCAGGGCGTGCAGAATGCTAATGTGCCGTACAAGAAGCAAACACGCAGCCACACGGAAGCGCCTATCTTTTGCCTGCCGCGGTACAGACCGCAGGCGGAGGTGGCCGACAACAGCAGTGAGCTTGAGCGATGTTCATTGGGTTGTACGACTGGGCAGGAGCGCGTACGGTGAGTTCTAGAGCTCGTTCATGCAGAGCGACGCCGGATGACAGCAGCACTTTCGACGTTCTGGCAAAAATATCTTTCAGCTTGATTGTCTGCTCAGCCTAGGCGTCAACCAGCGTGCATCTCATCTTGAGTCGGACCACAGCATCTCATTGTTTCCGTTGTCACTGACGCGAGACTCTCCGTGCTTCCCACACGTGCTGTCTCACCCATTACCGGACTGCATGGCTGAGCTCGTTTCTCACAGGGCCCCCCCTGCAGGTGACGATATCAATGGTCAACTTCATGATTAGCAGACGCAGTGCAGGTTGCGTGACTCAGTATCGCTTTATAGCTCTACGATGATGCTGTGAATCGCATAGGGCAACCTATGAGGCCTATCTCGGGCAACCGAGCAAACTCCACATCGCCATCCATGTCGAAGTCTTTCGTTTGACGGAACAACGTCTGGATGAACACTCTCAGCATGGCGCGCCCGAACACCATTCCAGCACATCTCTATATCGCGCTTGTCAGCGTGAACATGAATGGAAAATCGAGCATGGAGGGTTGACGTCTTGCCCGAGTCAGGTTCATGATGATACGTACATGCTTGCCCCTTCCGAATCCGAGATGTGTCTGAACTGTGTTTTTACGTATATCAGCGGTCCTATCTCAGCTCATGGGTCACCAGGGTCTCTCACTGTTCTCGCGATTCAAGATGAATTTGTCCGGGTCTTTGAATTGCTGCGGGTCCCGATTCGCGGCTGCGTAGGTCATGGCGATCGGCTCCTTGGGTTGGATGTCCTGACCAGAGATCTTCACTGGGCATACCGCCGTCCTCGAGAAACCTCGGTAAGGAGTGTATAGCCGGACGAACTCTTCAACAGCGGCCGGAATGAGCGAAGGGTCTTTCCGAAGCTGTTGCTGGAGTTCTTTGTCGAAAGCAAGATGGCACGCCATTGATGCCATAAGAATGGCTGGTGCGACCATCGCCACGATGAGGACTTGACGAATACAGGCTACAATATTCTCGTCCGTGAAAGGCTTGCCTTCATGGTCCTTCTCGAGGAAGAGACTGCTTGCGGGATCCTCCTCTGGGTCAAGTGGATGCTCACGTCGCTGTGCCACCACTCTCCTGGCGATCTCATAGAAGCCATCACTGGCTCTTTTGACGGCGTCCCAGTCACCAGTACGCCAGGATTGCACGAACGGAAAGACGGTCTCTTTTAGCAGTCCAGAGTCATGATCGTCGAGGTTTAGCCATTCTTTTTCAACTAGGGCACTGAACTTGGCCCCAAATTCGGCATAAAGGTCGCCATGACCACGATCAGTCATTACCTTCATCTCCCGCTCTGCGTGAGCTTCGATCAGCTCTTCTAGCCGCTTGAGCCGAGACGCTTTCAGAGTACGGTCAATGGCCGTGCGATAAGGCAAGTGCTTGATTTGTTCAGTCACTGGACCTCCGACGCGAACATTGACCTACCTCAAGCCCATCATACTTCAGTGGGGGCCGCCGGATGCCCCTGGCACGAATTAGATTAGCCACAGTCATTGGGATGATTCGAGACCAACCTGGGATCCGATGGGATGACAGCACAGACCGATGAAATGAACGTGTCGCTGTTGCTGCAGGTCGCTTTGATGTCATCGTATCTGGCGCTTCAGCTTCATTCGCACGCCTTGTGAGTAGCTCACCTTGTCAAGAGCCAGTATCCATTATGTCGATCTACCTTCGCTACAGGACAATGCTGCCTCAGGTAGTTGTATTCATCATATATCTTCTCTGGGTCATTGCTCAGCACAGCAGCGCTGTCGTTAACATTCCAGCCAGGGGCCAGCTCAACATCGGCGGTCGCCATATCGGTCTATCGACGAGATGAGACAAAAGGCTTACAAGCATTCAGGTTTCCAGGACTTGCGGTATGTGATGAAAACAAGATATCCCACTGATGTTCGTCTGCACGCTAGACCAGCTAGACAGGCACAAAATTTGCCGTCAAGATTGCCGCCGCAAGCCTACACCTATCAGATGAATATGTCGATTATCAGGCTCAAAGGACGTTGCGATGCCGTGGCGCACTTCATCGATGTACACCCAAGCCCTTGTTCCCCAGGCGTTCCCCCGCTCGCTAGCCTCACGTCCACCAATAGGAAACACGAGTCGAAAGAGGCTACACGCCGCTTGGCCTTCTATAGCGCGGCGATCTGCCGGGTGGCATTCAGCCGCCCGAGTAGCGTTGCACGATAACAATTCAGGAATCGGCCATTGCAGTAGTGGCAAGCGGTGGTGTACTTCTGCAATGGTGCGAATTAGCCTCGTCCTCAGTTGGCGCGGATGTCAACGATCGGCAGTGGATCTCGGTACGGATCGATCGTTCACGATATCCATATAGATTGAGCAAAGCAACCTCATGAAGACTGCTCTATCAACTCCAAGGTTGCATAATCGCAAAGATGCATCACAACGTCGAGAAAGACTTGGTCGCGGAGGTGGAGCAAATCACGCAGCCAACTCAGAGACTGCGCGGTTATGTTCCAGACTCATCTGAGCAGAAGCGGCTCGACCGACGCATCAATCTCAAGCTCGATCTGACTGCTGTTGCCATGCTGGCCTTGGGCTTCTTGGTATTGATGGCTTACTACTATATTGCATCTCGCTGACCCTGCATCCAGTTCCAAGGCATCGATAAGACCAATATAGGCAATGCGGCCACGAGCTCACGTACGTTTGACTCTCGGAAGCTTATTTGTTTCGACGGCATCTAATTTCAGGAGCAGACTTCATCAAAGATGCCGGCCTGCAACCAGACGACGTCCCCAACGCCGTTTCTCTGTTTTCTGCGACGTTCATTCCTTTCATGCCGATCTCAACAGCCATTGGACGCGTCGTCGGGCCTAAGCGTTGGATTCCGATCATCATGCTGTGTTGGGGTGGCATCACCATGGCTCACGCAGCAATCTCGCAGCGGACTACCTTGATTGCCCTTCGGCTGCTTCTCGGTGTGTTCGAAGCGGGTTTCGTGCCTACTGCATACTAGTACGTATGCCTATGCCTGTGAAGAGGGCAAGACATCAGCCTCCCGGCCCTGATCTACCCCGATGCATGCTCAGTCTAACAGGCGATAGCTACATCTCCACCTTATTTCCAATGTATCACGCCGGCTTTCGTCTGGGTCTGTTTGCAGGCATGTACGCATGGGGTGCAGCATTCGCGAGCCTGATCGCATACGGTGTCCTTCAGATCAACAGCAGCCAGTATGCTAGCTGGCAGATTCTGTTCATCCTCGAAGGCGCAGTCACTCTCGGTCTGGCAGCGCTGACGTATTTTGTTCTACCTGAACACGTGAGCACGGCGTGGATGCTGAATGACGACGAGAGACGGCATGCGGCCCAGAGGCTGGAGATCGATGGTGAGGTCTTCGATGTGAGTCGCTATATCAAGACGATGCTGTCTTCAAGCGTAGAGACGAGGCTAACCAGATGCCAGGGCACCGACACTGAATACGTGGGTCAGGAGCGGAGGATCACCTCGAGAAACGTCAAGGACGCTTTCACGGACTGGCGTAAGATCTTGATGATTGTCTTTGTGAGTACTGCGCTATCGTGCCAAGTGGCAGACTGGTCACTGACGGTCTGCTTGCAGAACATGTGTGCAACCATGCCTGTCTACGCATTCACTACTTTCCTTCCGCTCATCTTGAAGGGGATGGGCTACAGTGGTATACGCAGCAACCTCATGTCGGTACCTCCATTTGTCGTGTAAGTCTACCTGGGTCTGATGATTGATGCTCTTTGCCCTGTCGAGTTCCGGACTAATCAACGGACAGTGCTGCCATCGGCCTCTACGCAGTGGTCTGGGCATCTGATCGAATCCGCCAGCGCGCCTTCCTCATTGCGGGCTCCATGTTCGTGGGCGTGATCGGAATGATCGTGCTCATCTCCAGCCACGACCAGAAACTACGCTATGGATTTGCACACGTCGCTCTGATTGGCGCAGGCACATCAAATCCCCTCGTCGCCGCTTGGATCACGGATAACACGCCAGAAAAAGCCACGCGAGCCGTCATCTTTGGCTTCTACGCTATCAGCAATTTGGGCGGGATCATCGCCGGTCAAGTATACAAGGCGAAGTACGCTCCTACCTACAACGTGAGCCTCATGGCGACAATGATCGTGGTCTGCGTTGGCATCGCCGGGATGCTGGGACTGAGGTATTGCTTTGTCTGGGAGAACAAGAAGAGGCAACGACTTATGGAGAGCTGGACTGAGGGAGACTGGCGTCATGAACGAGCTGATCCAAAGCGAAGAGGAGAAAGAAAGCGCTTTTTCATCTACGGACTGTGAGTCTCGTCGCAGCGGCTGGCTTTAGCGTCAGACTTCGCGAGGTAGCACACTCAGCGCCTCCAGCTTCAATGTTTGAGCAGCTTATCAGGGAAAGGGTCCAGAGTATGCAATCTCGAGAAGTGGTAGTACAACACCGGCGTTGTGTAAGGACCCCTCGGCCGGATTTTTCAAGGGCATCAAAAGCTATGCTGGACAGCAATATGTATCTTAGTCCGTGGTATCTGCGGAAAATACCTGCTCGATCTCCGCGCTATCCTCCACTGAAGCTGATGAGCACCACATCGCTTCTAGAATTACGCCATGCCCATGTTGTGAGCCCACAAGCGAGACTCGTCGAAGATGAACCAATCACAGTAAATCACCGAGTCCCATCACGGACATTTAGGTAGACTCGGACATTTGCAACGCCTCCGTGATAGTAGCGAGCGCCACCCAAACTATATGTGCACACGCCAGTTACGGCAGCGCCTTTTCGTGCTCAGATGTCAGTCGAAACATTATTAGACGCACAGATTCCACATCTCTACGTGTTCCAGTAGGTACAGGACAGGTTTGGGACATCAGCCAGCATCCTCGCCAGAGATTATCAGCAGAAAGACCGAACTATCTATCGGACTCAAAGCTGAGCTTTCGGGCAGCAATTATGGGATCAATGGCACCGCTCCCGCAAATAGAGCGCACAAATCTGCCTGGCAGCACTCGATCCATCAGCCGGATCATCAACGGCCTGTGGCAGTTGGCAGGAGGTCACGATGAGCACGTCGACCTAGCCTCAGCCGCCGGAGTCATGGACGATTTGATCCAGGAGGGCTTCGACACATTCGACATGGCAGACCACTATGGCGATGCAGAACTCGTGGTCGGCAAGCACAACGAACTCGCTCGAACGACAGGGAACAGCAAGTCTGTATCGTTCAGCAAATGGTGCCCGGAAGAGGACGGGGTCATGTCATTTGAGAATGCTGAAGCCGCCGTGGACAGGGCGTTGCAAAGGATGGGCCAGGAGAGGATTGAGCTTATGCAGTATCATGCATGGAACTTCTGCGACCCAACGTATCTGCATAATTTGACACATCTGCAAAGGCTTCAAAAGAATGGGAAGATCGGGCTGATCGGACTCACCAACACCGACGCTGCTCATTTGAAGCTGCTACTTGACTCTGGCTTCCGGATTGCGACCAATCAAGTACCGACATCAGTCATCGACAGGAGGCTGACCCGTGGCCGTCTGAACGACATATGTCTCAAGCACGACGTAGGCATTCTGGCGTATGGCACCCTCCTGGGTGGCTTTCTCAGCGAGAAGTGGCTCGATCAACCTGAGCCGGCGGATGATGAGAGCAAGCCGCTGAATTGGAGTCTGAAGAAGTACTTGCGGTTTATCAAGGCAGCAGGTGCTGGGAGCCGTTTCAGACTGTATTAAGAGCGCTTGATAAGATCGCTAAGAGGCACGGTGTGTCCATTTCGGCGGTGGCGTGCAGATATGTGCTGGATATACCATCCGTGAAAGCGATCATCGTGGGCACACGACTGACGTCGGACTCGAAACGCTACCTGCCAAGGAACCTGGAGACCTTTTCTGTCGAGTTGACGGAGGATGATAGAGTCTTGATCAAGGAGGCGCAAAAAGGTCTGACGGACGTCCCAGGAGATTGCGGCGACGAGTATAGACGGCCTCCGTATTTGACGGCTTCTGGTGATTTGAGCCACCATCTGTCGGACCGCGATCGTAGCGACGAAGTCCGGACCGCCATTGCAAAGGGTCAAAGGGTTGAGTATATGTCTGGAAGCAAGTGGGAACCAATAGCTGTAAGTGCATCTGACTAGCGCTCTTCTGGATGCATGACACTGACCAGCTTGCAGGGCTACTGCCGTGCTGTCCGGACAGGGAACTGCATACGTGTCTCTGGCACAACGGCGAACTCTCCGGTCTCCAGCCTATCAGCCATTGGTGGTTCCAGTCCGAGTAGTCAGACAGTCCACATCCTGGACATCATCGAAGGCGCCTTAAAAGCCTGGGGGCTTGTATGGCTGACGTGGTCCGGACGCGAATCATGGTCCGGCAGGCGGACTTTTGCGAGCAAGTGAGCCAGGCTCATGGATGGGTTTTCCAGAATGCAGGAGTATTGCCAGCAAACACTCTGGTAGTGTCAGGACTGATCGGTGATGAGATGTTGGTGGAGATTGAGGCCGAAGCCGAGGTTGGCTGCGCCGACAATGGCGTAGTCCGGGTCAGCAATAAAGCCGTTGCGAAGACCACACAAACGTCGCCCACACACAAGTCGAAATGAATCAGGGCACGGGTGGTAGTTCACGCAGTGGTTCTCTGTTGAGGTCAGCTCCTTGTTACAGTCGCTGCACAGTTCTGACCCATGTCTTCGGACTGCTGCGTCGAAGCTGGCCGAACCTAGAATTCCAGGATGCTGCAAATGGCGTCAATTGGGCATGAACACTCCTCCGTCGACGTTGAGACCAGCATCAGAGAACATAGCAAGCCAGCCTTCTTCATCAGCGTAAGTCCACTGGTATTCAAGGTGACCGGACTCGAATGGCTCAACAGATGGTGGTGTGGTGGTTGAACCATAGAGGCCAATTGTGTCAGCAGGCTGATTCAGGATTTCATCATTTCGCTGTGTCGTATCGTTGACATGATGCTGGTTGGCAGGTCTGAGCGTGTCGACCGTATCGCTGCCATCATGGTTGCGACGACTAGTGTGGGGAGGACGTTGTGCCACCTTGTTGTATTCGCTGAGTACATTGCAAGATAGTCCGCCAGTAATGAGCATGCGAATGTTGGTGGGGTTGCCTGTCGCCGGAAAATGCGAGCCACAGTATCAATTGACTGCGTCACTGTCGCCTCAATCGCTGTTCGAGCCGTTGCACTCAGGGACAGTAATAGCTTGACCAGTAGTGACGCTGCATATGCAATCATGGTGTGGATCGAATCATGACAGAAGACCAGACGCGAGGTAAAGCAAGGATCACAAACGATGTCCAACATCTCGAGGCTCCGTCGCTAGTCGCCAACAACTTCTCATTAGCTTCCATGTTTGCTCGCGGCCGATTCGCGGCGTATGCTTGAAGCTGAAACGCACGCAGAACAAGTCGCGCGTGTGCACCAAAGAACGACACAAGGAAGACGTGGCATTCGCCTATGGCCCATATCAGCTCGATTGCTACATAGTGGGAGCGCTGCGTACCTGAGTGACCCGCCGCGTGAGTCCATGACTGTTGCCACTTGTTGATTTCACGGCTCAGGGTTTCTGAGGCTTCGTGACCCCGCTGATCTGATGGGAGTGACCGCAGCGAGCCAAAAGTCTTTAGAACGTCTGCTGTTGCCAGGCGCAGAGCAATGAAGCCGGCTAAGGTCGCATCGGTCCTCGATGCGATAGGGTCCTGGTACCACTGGACATAGGACTCAATGAAATTACTCCTCTCTATCATCCATGGCTTTCCAGTCTGTAGGTTGAGGCTAGGTTATGGCTTGTCAGCAACACGGCACATCAGCATCAGGCAAGTGGTCTAGGATACCTTCTATCATATACAAAGAGAACGAGCCAGGTCCGTTCCATGTTGCGTCTGATCCTGATCGATTCGTGAGATTGTGTCGTGGTGTCGCTGCCTCTGTCAGATGCTAACTGGAACTTGTGCCAACCTAACTCTTGGGCAATTCGAATCGCGTAGCCCACCATTGGCCAGGAACGGGAGTCGTCGGGCTGCTTCCAGTAGGTGCTCAAAAGAAATGCTTGGATGATTTCGGGACTTTTTCGTCCGGACGTGAAGCACTTCGCCAACAGCTTCTCTGCATGCTGCTGCAGGACAGAGTGATAGCTCGGGTTATAAGCCTTGCTTGCAGCCGCTAGTATGATTGTCATGAGTAGAGATGAGCGATCCTGTACATATCGGAAGGTATGAAGATCCGGATCTAGGACGCACACTAACGGATTGCAGTTATTCATGAATCTAAACCCACCATCAGCGCCGCGCGCACCAAGATCAGATTGATCTTACCCTTCGAACAGCGAGACGGCAATATGATAAGGTAACAGGCCTGAGCTGACAGGGTCATCGCCTCTGGTAGGACTGCCCTCTTTGGAGAGGACCTCTCTGCTCTGATGAGGTCTCAATATGCTACTCAGCGAGAATCTTCCTGATCGGGCAGGCTCGCTGAGCAGACTGGAGGGCTGTAGTCCATCGATGCCTTCTGCAGTCATCGGAGCAGCTCGCAAAGCTCCTGGTGGGCTCTCCTGCAAAGTCAGCGGAGCGCAGACGCTGCAGAAATGCTCGTCTCATACCTGAGCCCCTGCATTGTCAGCCGCGTGCTCGCTGCTAGATTGAACCGTGATCACCTCCTCAGAAGGCGTCCCCATGCCTCGGCTGATAGTGTGAGCGACTGTAGATGCTCCATTCGCTGTGACTTACTCAACCGGTTTCCTTCCGCGTTTCTTCTGGCCATATACACACGAAAGACCCTTTCGAAAGCATCGTACACAAGTTGAAGATGTCGTGGGATTGTGGCATCGAATCTTCAGCTTGCGGCATGCTATACACGCCTCACTGTTGAGAGTGCTGTCAGCAATAGCAACAGTATCACTTGACAATGATAGACACAACACATCTACCCTGGTGCAGAACGGGTTCCGTCATTGCAAAGATAGACATGCAGCAACACAAGAGCCACCTACCCCTGACCAGATCTCGCATTCCGCATGATCGCCACCACTTCGTCCTCACAGCAGATACATCACCTCCGACAGGCTGGGCACACTGCGTGTTGCATGCCCTCGATATGTATACGGTTGCCCGCCGAACTCCAGGTAGGTTGTATATATATGCGTGCGTCTAGCTATCGGCGGTGCGTCAGCATGGAGATGAAATGGTCAGAGAAGCTCCAAGGCGCGATCTCGAACGGAAGCATGAAGTGACATACTACGGTAGATGCCAATCAGGCCAGTTTCCACGAAACGCGTAGGAAGGCAGTACGCAGGATCGGCTTCTAAGCTGGGACGACCTCAAGTAATTTCACCTTCCTAATTGGTCAGCTCAAGCAGAAGCCACGTACTGCGAGTTTTGAGCTTTGGTATCACTTGCCGTGTTGTCGCATATCTCAGCTATACAGTCCGGTGCTAGGTGCCGATAGCCTGGAGGAGCATGGACAATTGTCCGACGAGATAATGTGCAAGCAACTCATTGGACCGAAGAGCTCCATTTTCGCGGGCGTCGTCCTTAGAGTCTGGCTCAACGGATCGCGCTTAGGCGTGAAAATGTCCGCGCCGAGGTGATAGCTAAACACCGACGTCTTCCTACCCTCGACTACCTGGTATCAAGATATACAAGAAGCGAGCAAGATCATCATGGCCGAGTTGCCTCTTCCAACAAAGCTTGTGAGCGCTAGTCAACCCCTTCTACCAGCAGTAGAACTTCATCATGGGTCACCACGACAAGATGACCGTTGCCAAGATTTACACACCCGATGTCGAGGTCGGCTCGGTGGCCGTACCTGGCACTATGAGGAAGGATCTGTCTCGTCGGCACATTAACATGATAGGGCTTGCAGTGAGTTGTTCTTTCCTGGCCAAGCATTTCGGCCTGGACCGTGTACTGCTTCTCGAGACAAGACTGACAAAACCCGCAGGGCATGATCGTAAGTTCGGCTACGTGCTGTATGCGTCGCGGACCTTGACGCTAACCACCAACATCAGGGCACCGGACTCTTCCTGGCTTCAGGTCAAGCTCTTAGGGTCGCCGGACCAGTCGGTGCACTCCTCGGCTACATCCTGATGAGCTTGCTGACTGCATCCGTCGCTCTCACCACCGGCGAACTCAGCTCGTTCATGCCAGTATCTGGTGGCTTCGTTCGACATGCCACCAAATTTGTCCAGCCGGCGCTCGGAGCGGCTACAGGCTGGAACTATTGGTATCTGTAAGTCACTCTTCCATGGACAAAGTTGTGTCCGGAAATGAGCGTGACGTTGAATGCTGCCCGAGTTGTGTCTCGGGCTGAACAAAGAAGTGCTCACGTTAACCCTGCAACTTTGCCTTCGAGCACACCGCCCTTTCCAGACACAAGGCTAATACGGTCCGCAGCATGGCGATCACTGGACCGGCTGAATTGAGTGCTGCTGGGACGCTTATCACTTTCTGGCATCCGGATGTGAACATGGCGGTCTGGTACTGTGTCTTCATCGTCGTCATTGCTGGAATTAGCTTCTTTGGAGTTCGCGTCTATGGCGAGTCGGAGGTCTTTTTCTCCATCATCAAGATTCTCACCATCCTGGGCTTGATCATTGCCGGCATTGTTATAGACCTCGGTGGTGGCCCGAACCATGATCGCATCGGTTTCCGCTACTGGAAGAATCCTGGCCCATTCGTTGAGTACATCACGTCTGGAAGCACAGGCAAGTTCCTGGGTTTCTGGAGCACACTGATCTCAGCCGCATATGCCTTTTGCAACATACAGGTGGTGGCGCTCACTGGGGCCGAGTAAGTCTATCCGCTTTTCGTGAGCCTGAACCATCAGTCGACCATGAGGGCAGTCTCGACGCAGCATCAAAGACACTTGTTCTGAACAATGTCTCGGATCATCTTGTGGTCCTTAGGCGAGACGCCGCTATCTTTGAAGCTCTCCTGGTGGCGAGTTGACCATTGTCTGGCCCCAAACCCTTCTCCCTATCCACTACCCCTCGCGATTACCCGAATGTCCGGTTCAGGCTGACCAATATCGGCAGGACGAAGAACCCAAAGCGTCTGATCCCTGATGCAATGAAGATGACGTTCTGGCGCATCATTCTGTTCTATGTACTCAGCATCTTCGTTGTAGGCCTCATAGTGCCATCGAACGACCCCAAGCTGGGTACCGCGAGTGGCACCGCGCAACAGAGTCCGTTCGTCATCGCCTTTCAGACCGCTGGTATCAGCGCACTTCCATCAGTCATCAATGCCGCTCTAGTCACATCTGCTTTCAGCTGTGGACTCGCCGTCACCTTTCCCGCGTCTCGAGTCCTCTATGGCCTGGCTGAGGACAGGCACGCGCCGCGAGTCTTCCTCAGGATCAACCGATTCGGCTCTCCGTACGTCGCAGTTGCAGCGTCTGTTCTGCTCCTCCCTCTGGTGTTCCTCAGTCTCGGAAGCAACTCTTCCGTAGTCTTCGGATGGTTCGTCAATATCGCCACCGTCGCGGCGTTGATCTCATGGGTGGTCATTGAGGTGACATTCTTGCGTTTCTACTACGGCATGAAAGCGTAAGGGATAGATCGCAATCGTGAGTGCCAAGGTTCTGCAGGTTCTCTATATTTTATGATGCTGACTTGAATCCAACAGGCCTCGTCTACAAGAGTCCCTTCCAGCCATACATGGCTTGGGCCACGACCGCTGTCCTTGTCTTGGTCGTTCTTACGTCAGGCTACACCGTCTTTGTTCATGGCCACTGGAATATCAACGCCTTCTTGTACGTATCGCCCAGCTGAATCGGGCGACACGCCGGTTCCCCGATTCTGGTTTCCTCCCAAGCCCTATGCATTCTAACAGGTGAAAAGTACATACTACGTCGGCATCCCGGTCTTTTTAGGTACGTTGTTTCTCGATCTGTCGCACTATTGTGTGTGCTGACGCTTAACGCAGGCTTCTGGGGAATCTCATATTTTGTCCTCGGAAGGAAAGGCATCATTCCCCTGCGAGACATGGACCTGTCCGAGATCCGGGACGTGGAGCTCGACAAAGCTGTCATCTCACAGGAACCAAAGCTGCCTTGGTATAGAGTGCTGGGCTAGATCCGAGTTGTTTGACGATACTGCACTTTGAGCCCACTGAACATCAATATCATGGCCACGGCTCAGAGCCATGCTTCGAGCAATGTTCAGTGGAGGCCACAAGGATACGAACGAGTCCACTTCCGAACAACAGAGGTTGGTCTCGTGAGTGCCTCGGGGGTTGTCATTATGAGATCCACGGGCAAGGTCTGTCGGAGCTCAGATGGAGTCCTTGGCAGCTTGTAACCCGGCAAGAATATTCGCAAAGGACGCCCCGGAAAATCGCGGTGTTGCAGCCATTGTTACTACACGCCAGGTATAGCCCAAGACATGGAACAGATCTCAACCACTAAGCTGCGCCAATCGCTCCAAGACCGCGTTCCTAGCCCGCTCCTCGTCACCATCCGCCCTCCTCAATGCCGCCTGCATAGTCCTCTTGAACCTCGTATTCGTCCCATGCAAGGTGTCCAAGATGCCTAAGGGCCCGAAGTTCTCATCAAATGCAAAATGGTGAAAGTCGTGCTGAAGATTACTAGGCAGCGGAGCGAGATTGTAGCCTGAATGAGAGCATATGGTGCTGAACTCAAGAAGGAGCAGAGTAAACACCATGGTCGACCAGTGATGAGGGATAATCAGGAAGCCCACGGCATTTGGCAGGAGGTTGGAGAAGAGATGCTCGAAGGGCGAACAGAAAGTCGCAGCCAAGCCCACAGGCGCTGTGAACCTGTGGTGCTGTTTGTGGAAGCGAGCGTAAAATCTCGGGTGATGGAACTATGGCATTTTTAGACTAGACATGTAACGGGAAGAACCAGAACCGGGACATCGATGTCTCGCCGAACTCAGGTCCACAGGTGTACATACCAGACGGTGGACATAGTAGAAGCCGACCTCGGTGCAGAGGATATCGAAGGTGATGATCAACAGGGTGACTGGCACGGATGGCAGCGTGCTCGGATGCACAGGATGGACGACGATGAGGCTGCTTATGTATGCCACCGGCAGAGCGACAAGTACTTGATTCCGGAGACTGATTAACGCGATCCACGCATACTCTCGCGGAGAAACGCGGGTGAAAGGCTGAGTCTTGTACTTGAAAAGCCAGGACGGTCGAGAGGTCAGGTCCGCAAGGGCAAAGACGCCCGCCCATATCCAAAAGAAGGCACTGGTGATAACGAAGGTCGCCCAGCAATTCACGTTCCGATCGCCGTACACCGTGTGGAGGTGGATATAGAAGGCATGCCCGGTTGAAGAGTTGTTGAAGGCAAGGAAGGCAGCTACAAGTACTGCGGTTGCGGTTTGCGACCGGAGGCCTTGATTGAGGAGGCTAAACCCAGAGTACGCCCAGCGGTCATTGTGACATATACGCTTCTGGTCGAGATTAAGCAGCGCGCCGGTCGACGATCTAGAATCCATCGTGGACGAAGCGTTTGTGTTGTGAAGATTGGGGATGAATCTTCACCAGAGGGACGGCCGAGATTAAGTAGTCCTGCCACAGGAGCTGACTTTCGGATCCTTAGGGATCATCTTCCACTGGCGATACGATCATCGCATCCGCTGTTTCGAATTGCGTGAAGCGCGAACGATTGAGCTGCCCAGCGCACGTATATGCCACCTAGGCATTGGCAGCTGAGGTCGCACAAGGTGGCTCCGAGAATAGAGTTCCGTATCTTCGTATCTCGTATAGCTCCATTCCACGACGGAGGACCGGCGGCACGGCTCATGAGCTCGAAAACTCGTCTTCAAGAGCCACGCGTTTTTATTAGAGGAAACATTCCGTGATTCTTTCATCATGCTCGATCATTGTTATGCGGCAGCACTGGTGACCATCCTGGCCCTGAGGGCGTACTCGTCAACTGTCTATCTGGAAGTCCGCCAAACCTCGCACCCGTGGACCTCATACAGTTGGGCGCTTGAAGCGAAACCTGCTCCTGCGGACAGTGACATGGACATTCCAATTTGGACGCGCCTGAATCTGGGGTTCTGTGGTCCATGATCCTACGATTGCAGCGTAGCAAACTACCTTTGGACTTTTTTCACCGTTGGGCACCTGGTAGGCAAGCGATCGATGCTTTTCCAGTGCCATTCCAGTGCTCGAAAGTGCGTCTCTTAGCTCACGTGTACTCCTCGATGAGGCTGATGTTATGAACGAGCTGTCTGGGTCGGCACGTGAAATTGAATCGATTGTCAACTGCGTAATAAAGATTGCCAACCGCTTGTCGCCAGTCCAGTAACTACTGCGCTCCTTGCCTTCGACACTGAGAAGACCTCACTCCCAGAATATATCAACAACCAGCCCCACAGACAGTATTGCCAATTTCAGGTGTCCTTCGCAACCCGATGACTGAAGCTGACTGACGCACCTAGCGACGCTCATAACCTTAGCATCTTGAGCCTCCCAGCCTTCCGCCAGGACGCCTTCTTGCCTCGGCAGCCCAACACAATGTCGACCACCATCGACTTCGACTTCGCTCTCCTCGACGTGGGTCGCCCGTCTAGATACGACCTGAACAACGTTCGGGACGTGATCGCTTTTCAAAAGATGGTCAAAGGGTTCTGGTCCGTGGTCAAGACGAGTCCCGAGACGCTCGCTGACAAGCAGGCCGAAGTGGCACGCTTCATCGAGCTTGTCTCTACAAGTCAAACATGGCCATTGGCATCTAACATGGTAACAGATTTTCGACTGCCACAGTAAGTTGCTAGGCTCCGATGACGATATCGTGGAGCTAATTGTATGTCAGAACTCATGACACCAGCGGTCCAGGTATCCTCAACGAAGTCCTGCGAGCAGTAGCACCCTTGCGTCCACAGGTCTCCTACTATGCCGATCAACTCGCCTCTCTGAACGAACACTGGTTCGATGATGACACCCTTCGCGCAATGCGGACACTATTCGATGCCTTCCCCAATGACCTCAAGCCTGTCAAGGAGGCATACAACCGTGCTGCAGAGGAGGGAATCTCGACCTTGGTTCTCTTCACCATCAGAGATAAACTATGGAATCAACTCAGAGACGACCAGAAAGAGCTCTTGGTCAACATGAGAGAGCTTGAGCTCAAAGCAGCGAAGAGAGCGGCTTAGAGTGTCTCTACGCCATCTAAACATCCTGACAAGGAGGCGACCAGGGCCAGCAGTGGCGCCAGACACGGGCAATGAAAGGAAACTTGGGATAATGCTTGAATGACGTTCCAGACAATCGCATTACCCACAGCACCGGTAGCGCCTGCTGGTCCGACAAGCGATCACGACGAAGATCGAGCCCGGCTCTATGTGCGGCTGCAGAGCCGGCGTGGCATGCATATCTGGGTCTATGCCCCAATCCAGCCTGCTACCTAGCGGTCCGTGAAGATGTTCGACTTCCATAGCAGAATGGAGGACAGCAATTCCACTTCGGCGATCCACCGCTTTCCATGCATTCTCCATTTTCGATGGGCCGTTTGCACCATATTACCTCTTCGCGTGCTTGAAGGTCGATGACTCCGCTTCCAATCTTAGTCCAGAACCAGTGCAGGAGTTGGGCCACTGCAACCAATGCGCTTGACCCCTGCGCTGTTGAGTCAGGAAACGATACACGCTTTACTACAAACAATATGTTGCTTCGGATTTCGCCCTGCGTGTTCGTGAGACAGATCAGCCCGGTCAGATCACGTGGTACTGATCATGCAAATGAAACCGCGTTCCATCTTGCTCCTCCTGCCTGCCTAGCTTAGTCATGTCGAGTAGTGCATAAGTCGAGAGGACAGGCTCGACTCCCCGGCTGGTTGTGGTCCATGTGAGAAACACGTCATAATCGCTGTTTCTCCAGAAACATGCCAGCTTGAACGCCCCAGACTCCGGCAGCCATAGCTGTGTTGTGGATTCTTCTTGCGACTCGTGTTTTGCCATCTCCAGGTTGATAGAATAGAACGGGAAGCTCCACTTCATACGGGTGGCGAAAGCTGATATCTGCTCGACAGTCGCGGGGGCTGTGGCGGCGAATGTGGTATTTCGACTGTGCAGGTGTTCCAGTGAAGCACGATGTGGAATGTGATCCGAGAAGAATGCGCAGCCACCACAGCCTTGCCCGTTACTGTCAAAGGGCATCTGGTGATATAAGATGAGTTGATTGCGGCCATCGAAGAGGTCAAGAAGGCTTCGCGGCGAGCCATCGAGCGCGCTGAAGCGTAGACGCCTAGAGTCCGGAATTTTGATCATTGGGAGGTTCCGCCGCTCGGCGGCGAGCGAAGCGAGTAGAGCTGTTGCTTGTTTCTCCTGGACAAGAAGTTGGCTCCTGGCCAGTGCCCAATCGCTGGGTGTTATGCTCTCCTGTGTGTCTTGTTAATAGGTACCTGGAAGGGGTCCGTGCGACTTACCATCGGTCTATATTCGATCTCTGTTTTGAATCCTGACAATCAGCAATAGTCAGTAGACCAAAGAGGGGCGAAAGGAAGACCAGGAGCACTGTGGGGTAGCTAGTCGGTTCACAATACGAGGTCCCATACACCTTGCACTGTACCATCGTAAGAAGCGATGCATGGATTGCGTTCTGCTGCGGTCATCGTATAAGTCTCGATCACTCACAATCGAACACAGGGCGAGACATTCAAGCACTTTTGAGAAGTCGGACTGACACAATATGTATTGCTTGAAGACTTGTAAAGCATGGCCATCTGAGGTCTATAACATGTGTGACGGTAAATGCAGGTGATGTCGTGCATCAATGCCACGCGCGCTTGCAACGCATAAAACAATCCACGCTCTGGCATCAGATCAGGACGAAGCAGACACGGTGACCAGGTTGATGGTCTCGCAAGTCGTAGGCAGAATGGCACTAGCATCAACGATCGCGAACAGCTGAGGAACGCCATAGGAACCATCGCAGACGGCCCAGTTGACGAATGAGGCATCACCCCATCTCAGACCCGAATCCGTCATGTAGAAACCTGAGACGTCGGGAGGGTTGCTGGCCCCAATGGTAGCAATTGCAGTGCCAGTGATTGTGCTGCTGTAATCGAGGTTAAGAAACCAGCTGTCGGTAGTACCTGAAGGGCTGAATGCGACTTCCCAAACCTGGTTCACAGATTGTAAATTGGCGAGCATGGCATCGCTTTGGAAAGAGGATGCTGCCGCAATACCTGCGCCGGCACCCGTGTGGTATGAGTAGATATATTGCCCAGCGAATTGACTGGGATGCTGAGTGGCCGAGACTTGTAGGTTAAAGTTCACGGGAAAGGGTCCCGGAGGCGTGCGTGCTTCCAGAGGCGCAGAGGAGACGAGACTGGCGACTGTCGCGAAGACGGTGATGCCGGCTGACTTGTGCATGATGCTGTGAGTTGCCGTCTTGTTCGGTATCGATTGAAGGATGCTGATATTGTGTTTGATGGCTTGTCTTGGGTGATTGCTGGTGCCAATGCTGTGCTGATTGTGTTCTCTTGGTTTTTGGTGCTGCCTTTTGGTCAGAGATAGACCGCTGGGCTGGATTTATAGCCATCGCTCCCAAGGGCGACGCCGGCTTCAGGACAATCTGGCTGCGGCATGTGTAGCATTGAGAGGCACACTTGGAGCCCAGAATAGAAGCTGTATGATTGCGCTGAACCCCCATGAGTACGGTCGCAGCAGCCGCGCAAGCAGCCATGCAACCTCGAATATCCGTGAGGGTGCCCTCAGCCACATCAACAAAGTTTCAATTAGCTGGATCACACCCTCCCTCGAACACTGCCCTTACCTTAAAAGTCCATGTCACTGCTCGGGCCGCACCTCTTGGGCTGTGTTTCACGGCCATGCAACTTACCTAGTAGTCATACACTGCAAACATGAACGAGTACATAGGCAGAGGGAGGTGGACAGCAGCGCGGTCTGGGCTTGCACTGGCGCGGCGGAGATAACGATCCTGTTACCTAGCTGAGTAGTTTGAGAAGGCCAATTATAAGCCTTGTAGCTTCTCCGTTAGTGATGGCTTGGCAGAAGTCGTTGGCAAAGCACCCAGGCTTTTGTCATGGCTATATTTTTCTGTCTACCATTTTCGTCTCGCAATCGACCACAGGGTGTGGAAAACAAGCCTTCCCGTCCGCTCAGGCAATTTAAGCCACACGCCGAACGGTTAGTAGTTAAGTGGGTGACCATTAGCGAATCCCGTTTGTTGATTGTTTTTGATTTTTTTTTCCAGCTTCTGCGAGCCTTCCTGTCTACCTGGCAGTCCCGGAAAACACACAAGGGACTCACGCACCAATGTATCCGACATCGAAACATCCTGCCTTGAAAGCGTCTCGAGACTTCCTGAGCAGACATTGCTCGCTCACACTACTAAGCTGCCAACCGTCGGAGCCTACTACTTTTTTCATGGGCCTCTAGTCTGTCGGACATGCTGGCTTCAAAGGATGCATTGTAGATTGAGCGCTCACGGCTGAACTTTGGGAACCTGTGCAACCGCGACATTAAGCAGCGAGTGGGTGCTGAAGATAAAGACGTGACGTCCGTTGTCGGTTAGACGTGCGGTCATGGTCTTGGTGCTGATGTTCCGCAGGCGATACAGCTCATAAGACGGTCAATCCCTCGCAGAACCCCAAAAAGAATCTGAAGATGCTTTTAATATACTCTTCCTACAGTGAAGTCGCAATGAGTCCCTCTGTGTATCGGTCCTTTCAGTTGTTAGCATAAATCATATGATACTTCTCGACTAGCAACGACCTCGGTCACAGAGATGCGAGGAGAGCTTGTTCAGGGGTCAACCCAAGCGCGTCTATTATCACGACGCGAACTCCAGTGACGGGATCGTGCCTCGGCTAGTCCGATTGCGACACTTGAGCAGACACTGCCGACGCAATGGCTCATAGTCGCCTGCGCGTGTGAAGTATGCTGTTGGCAGCGAATGGTTGCGACCTCGTAGAAACCCCGAAATATCCTAGGCATGGGGTCTTTACACGTCACGTGTGTTTCCGAGCTGCTCCCGATCTGGCAAATGGTCATCCTGGCCTGCATTAGTGCCGATCTCGCTGACCTGGTCCATCTTCGCATTATCTGTCCATTGGCTTGGACGGGTCTAGTCCCCGGCCCACTGTGAGATGTATCCTACGTACTTGGTGCAAGTCACGGCCGACCTGCTGCTGTTTGGTGAGCACAGTCGATGTCTGTAGAGTCAGTATGGGTAATGCAGTGGTGCAAAGCACTCGGGCCACGGCTTCAACTGATGCCGAAGTATAGCGTGGTGATGAGACGATGAAGGTCGTGGAGCTATCTATATATTGGCCGTGCGCATGAACACATCCCGCAGCTCCTTCTTCTGCAGCAGGCATTGCAGAAGGCGACTACCTCTAAGCGTCAGTCTCGAATCAACATCGTCTTCTTTCATCAAGCATGTCATCCACTCCAACACTTTCACTCGCCGGCAAAGTCGCCATCGTGACCGGGTCTGGCCGCGAGAACAGCATTGGAGCGGGCATCGCCTTGGCCCTTGCTCGTGCTGGCGCGCAAGTGGCCATCAATTATGTATCTTCATCGACTGCTATACGGGCAGAGAAAGTCATTTCGACTATCAAAGCGGCCGCCGGTGAGCAAGGCGTGATTGCGGTGCAGCAAGACCTCACCGCTACCGACGGGCCTGAGTCACTGGTTCAGGCCACGCTGCAGGGGTTCGGCGTTGATCATGTCGATATTCTGGGTCAGTCCTCATTCCAGATTATGACATGAATCTCAGTGCTGATGACTTGCGATCGACAGTCAATGCTGCTATGACTGGACGGCCTGTTCTGGGCCTCGAAGCAACGTTGGAAGACCTGAACACACAATTCAACGTCGGCGTATTCGTGCCACTGCGCATGATTCAGGCCACCATGCCGCACATGCCGCGTGGAGGGCGCGTGATCAATATCGGAAGCATCGCATCAAAGCTAGGCATACATGGCTCTCCTGTATACAACGCATCCAAAGCAGCTTTGGATTGTCTGACCTTCTCGATGGCGAAAGAGGTAAGATGAAGTGCCCCAAGCTGTGACATGGCAGACTGACTTTGCTCCAAAGCTGGGACTGAAGCATCACGTCACCATCAACCTGATTGCACCTGGTCCTGTCGAAACGGACAGCATGCCCACCCATATTCCGCAGGTTCGGGCTAAGATGGACTGGCTGCTTTCTTTGACTAGAGCGGAGCTGCGTCCAGGCAGAGTAGAAGACATTGCTGACGCAACATTGTTGCTATGCAGTGAGGGAGCCAGGTGGGTGACTGGGCAATATATCAGCATTAGCGGCGGAATCACTGGGGGCTGAGCCGTGTGCGGTGCTGTCCAGTAGGCTCAGGTAGTCGGGTGTCTTATACCGCCGTATTGTTAGTGAGAGGCTCTGCATTCGCACCACAAACCAGTTGCACCAATGTGCTGACTGCGCCACTTCAATGCTTTCGGCCATCGTCGTTGTTTCGGCGGTCCACAGCGCCAAGTCTTGAAGCACACCGGCTATCGGCTGGCCCTTCACGCCCCAGATTTTCCAGAATCGTTGCTGTATAGCTTCGCAATCAGATGCATTAAGAGACAGACATCTTTTCAGTCCCGACAGGAGCAGTAAACAAGTCAGACGCAGCAACTCTTGGACCAGAAGAGTCACGGATGATTCGTCTTCGTCGATGGAAGATTGAAACCTAGGCGTGGTGAGGAGGAAATGGGTAGCCGGGCCAATGAGTTCGATCCCACGGACTTCATCGCGCCAAAACTCCGTCTGTTCACTGTTTTGGGCGACGATGGTGGCAATACCCTCCATCATATGTAGACCTCGCATGATCCCGAGCATTTCTGGGTACATATCAATCATGTGTGATGCCTGCTGGCGAATGTCGAACGACTTTGAGCCGTGGTCTACATCCAACAGCACCAGATCTTGCGGCATCTCAAACTGTGGCACCTGATCGAGAACCGAGCAACCCACAAGATCCAGCCACCACGCCATTAGAGCGGTGTGATTGCCGAGACCGTGAAAGCCATCCGGTCGCAGGTCAGACATGGTTTTCAAGCCCTTCATGTGCACACGCCAGCGCTTCCAGTCGTTGATGTTCGTCTGCTCCGAGGCAGTATCAGCAAAATCAGAATCCATGGTATCTCCGGCAAGGGGCAGCTCACATCATGGCACAAAAAGCCGAGCACAGCAAAAACAACACCTAAGGTGGTGCTCTCGTCCCGATCGCCGAGACGTGCGTTCAGTTGATGCAGAGCTGTGCGATAGTATGCGTTGGCTCGACAACGAGCTGCAGATGCGCAATGGCGCATCCTCTGTCCGAGAAACAGCGTCGCGCTGGCGAGTGATAAGTAGAAACAGGTTCTATCTGAGAAACCGGCACGAATCCAGACGGCGTGGAAGGCGCGGTGATTATAATGCACTTCGACTTTCACTGTGGTCGATGGCGTTAGTGAGAGGCTGGATGAAAGGCATGAAGACTGGGCAATGGCTCCTCTCACTGAAGTCTACGAGTCGCGCAGCGTCCGGCGTCATCTCTACGCCAGGAAATGACGTTGTGCCAAGTGGGCATGTCGTTATACGATGGTCGTTGTGCCATTGTGTGGCTGTCACCCGAGCTGTGCGCGAGGTACTGTGAGGACAAGCTGGTTGCGAAGTGCTGGACTCGAGATTGGCTACGGTGTCAAGCTCGACAATTGTATAGCGAGGCTTTTTCCTGCGTGCTCGACCGATATCTCGCATCACATGACGGCGTATTGCTCGTTGAGTTTCTCGGTCCGGAGTGGCTGGTGAGTGCGTGTACCGCACGAAGGCCAGATGTTGCGCGGTTGTCATCGTTCCTCTGCACAGATCAGAGCCATTACGTGGGCGCTGGAACTAGCCGTTGACGGTCTTGAGCGCACGAATGCGTTCCAAACCGACATGAGTATGTCCAGATGCCAAAGTTCAGAATTTTGCCCGACTGCGTGTACACCAACTCGGACGAGCAAGAAGCAGTGACGCTGAAATATATGCCATACAACAGAGCCGTAGCAGAAGTACTCTTAACGGTCAATAGCAGATCAAATGGTGATTCTTTCGTGACTGTACAGCCAGTGAAAGTCCTTGCGATTTACCATCTGTGTTACAAATTACTGGTTGATTGGGTCAATCCCGGTCGACTAAGACGCCAGTTCGAAAATGGTTAGCCTAGTTTGTCATGCCAAGCGACATTACGAGTATCCTGAATGAGTCCTGGCCGCTCCTACAAAGTTGTGATTCACGGACCTGCACCTGTCCATGCTTACAATCTCATGCTAGACCTCGATGCTTCTGTTGACGGTGATTCATATGTTACGATAGGCGAGGATCAACGACCATGGAAGGCTTAATGGCGGGAGTGTCAGTGTAGAGAGCTATCAAGCGCATACTTGCTTGTGGCAGACTGCGACTGGGACCGGCCAATAACTGCCGCCCAGCCATCCGCAGTCATGCCGGACAATTCGTCTGGGCCTTCTCGACTGCGCTGTTTTCATAGCCGGATCGCATAGGCGTGGAAGCTGCGACCAGACACTGTCGGTTATGCAAACAGTACGCGGCTCACTCAGTCCTTGACAAAGATCACCATGCTGCTTCGCCGAGGCCGACCTCATACACAGGTCTAGCGTGGCAGAGTATATTAGATCAGTAAGTGCAGCTCACGGCCAGCACTTCGTCAACAGTACCATCATGAATAGAGTTCGGACGTTGTCCGTTGTCCGTTGGATCATTTCTCCGAGAGCTTAAAGTTTCGCAATGTCCTTCGGATTCAGGTTTGACTGGAACTGCGAAGAATACATCCGTTCGGGCCATCGTCCCTGGAGCAACAAACAATGCGAGAAACATGAAAAGGGACTGGTGTGCACGAGAAGGCTGTTCCATTCCTTCCATCGTCCAAGAATTGTGTATACCACACCATTCCTGGTCGAATTTACAAGCGATTCGCATTCCAAAAAAAAAATGTATATGCCTTCTAACGTGGCAACTCTAGCTACAGCGGTCTTTATGCAGCGACTCCCATCACAAACCCATTGAGAACAACTGCTGCGCTTCCACAAAGTACAGTGGAATCGGTATGGAACGAGTGGAATCCAACACCAACGGAGATTCCAACTACCGCAGCATTCGCTGTTACCAATGCAGCAGCGCCTCCTGTTACCGCGTCAATCGTACATGACCCTTCCCCCATCACCATTTGGATTCCCTGGGATGATCCGAGTTTGTCAACATTGCCGACGATAGAGTATGCTAGCACCACCCGAACGTCAGCTATCACGCATTGGAGTTGGGTCGAGTGGACGGACCCTTCCTCGTCGACTCCTTCAATCAACACCTTTGCCCTTGAAACAAAGTCTACGCCTACGCATGTGCACCCTGAGTGGCAGGAATGGCAACCATCGAGCACTTCCTTCCCCACCGTCACCTTTGCAGTGACCTCGCAAAGTCCCCCTCAGCCTGCATCGTCACAGTGGAACGATTGGCCTAGTGAGCAGTCGAGCACTTCCCTCCCCACCCTCACCTTTGCAGTGACCACCCAGGGTCCCCCAAATCCTACGCCGTCGCAATGGAATGATTGGCCCGTTCCGCAGTCGACCACATCCTTCCCCACCGTCCCCTTGGCAATGACCACTCAGTGTTCCCGGAGTCCTACATCATCACAGTGGGAAAATTGGAACGTCCCGCCCTGTCCAAGTGCCGCTACAGTGACCGTGACCATCACAGAAACCGTGTCACCTGCGGCTGTCAGTACAGACTGGGACGATCGGTTCATCACCCCGTCATCAGTTATGCCTACGCTCACATTTGCTGCGACTACGTCTCCGACGCCACGTCGCTCGTTGAGCTGACAGACCCAGATGAAAGTGGTGACGATGAGCGGTCCTCGGCAGAAGTTGGTGGTGACAAAACATATACTTCTTTGCCTGCGGCCGACAGTTCACGGGGGACTTGGGCTTCAACCTACGTAGCCTTCCCTTCTGCTACCACACTGCTCACAAGGACGATCGCAAGACCGAGTGCGCGCCAGGATACTGACACAGTGTTAAGAAGGGCAATATCCTCATTGAATTTCGAGACAAAACCGTGCTCGTCGTCGAAACAGTTGAGAAGGCGGAGGCTATCTAGTGGAAAGATTGCACGGAACTGGGTTTCGGGTGGAATGGGACGGGCGTTCTAGAGTTTTGGGCGACTCTGGCGAATTATTCTTCGTTGTACAGCAAGCAGCCTTGCGTAGTACTTTAGCATTGCAAATTTATTGTTCAGATCTACGGATTCTCATGTGGTACGGTTCCAGAGGTGACTTCTAGACGAATGCACATTTCAGATCCCTCCTGATCGCGCCGCTGAGAATATATCTCAATCCCAAGCTCGAGAGATCGCCGGCAATGGGACGGCCACAGAATAGTCATTGACTCGAGCTCCGTGACAGATAGCTCTCCGTTCATCTGGCTCACCTCGCTTTGATCGGTCGCCTCAAACAAAACTCTGGCCCCCATAGCGATCGACAAACCGCCGCAAGCACACGAAGAGGAATCACCAATTAACCTTAGGTGAGCATCATTAGTTTGTGAATTTGTTTTGCTTTTCTTTCAACTCTCGGTGCGTCTCTCTCGGCATCCTAGACCAGCACTGGAGTAGTATGAGCTGGCCAGTGCATGACGGAAATCAACAGCCTGAATCGTTTCTGCCGAGTTAAAATGACCCTACCGCGAACTCCAGCTATGGTAAAGCTCAAGGTTGTCCTTGAAGACGAGTAAACCAATGACAGAGACCGGCGGACCCTTGCCCATGGGATGAGTCCACTGCACAACACAACAGATGAAGATTAAATTTGACAACGAACGTATGTTGTCAAACTACAAATCTCTTCTTCACACATCTCCCTGAGATCATTAAAGCCCGTTCATATCAATATCGACTAATCTTCATTCAAGTATACCAAGTGGCCTCGGGTACCTCCTCAAGTAAGAAGTATCGTCCGAGCTCGCGTTCCTTGTACGCCACAGGATCATGCAAAGTGTGCGTTCTCACATCTCGCCAGAAACGATCAAGACCAACCTTCTTTGCCGATGCACTAGCTCCAGTCACTTCGAAGACACCAGCTGCAACCCTGAGTGCTTCATCGGTCGCGACAACTTTTATGCTGGCTACCCATTCAGCAACATGGCCTCGCCGCTCAGCACTCACGTCCCGCTTTTCTCCATGATCAGCGTACAAAGAGTCAACTTCCTCGCCAGCACGATCTGCAAGTGCCTCGGCAGCTCTTAGATGAGCAAAGTAGTTGCCATACTTCGAGAGAATGTAGAATTCATCTGTGGCGCTCTTCTTGTTGTCTCCGCCATACGGCCATGCACGCGTCTTTGTTGTGGTCCATTTCTTCGCTTCGTCAAGTGCACCAAGACCTATACCGAGATAGAAGTTCGAGAAAACAAGCTGAATGGTTGGCAGGAGTAGTGTGGCGAATGGAATCTGAAGGACCTCTTTGATGGGTCTCTTCTCCGACGGAGACCAACCAAATGCATCGGCCCATGGCACGCGGATGTTTTCGATGCGTACGCTTCCAGACTCCGTCAGTCTCATGCCAACATTGTCCCAGTCGTGGCCGAACTGGATACCGGGCTGTCTAGTTGGAACGATGGTGAAGATGTGATCTTCCGTGCCTTCGAGAACTCCTTCGAGAATAGTTGCGTCGGAAACAACGCCACCAGTATTGAAGTTCTTGAAGCCGTTGAAGACAATTTCGTCACCCTCAGAGGTGATTTTGAGGTCAGAGTTGCGTGGGTTGACCGCACCTCCAACAAACCAGTCGTTGTCAAGGATGAGCTTTTGGATCCGATGCTTTTGCTCATCCGTGCCGACAACGTTCGCTGTGGTAGACCAGAGAAGGTGGTAGCCTAGAAGCATTCCGAGTGACCCATCACCTTTCGCTACTTCTCGAATGAGCTTATATCCGACGCTCCACGGTTGACCACCTCCTCCATACTGTTTGGGACCTAGAGCTCGAGTGAGTCCGGCGGCTTTCAACAGCTGAATCTCTTCGACTGGTGACCTGTTCTCAACATCCCTCTGTGTTGCATCGCGGGAGAGTATAGCTGCAACCTCCCTAGCGCGAGTAATCCAGCCGTCCGGATTCTGGGGCAGTCCAGCCCGTCTAAACTCGGAACCGTGGTCATCGCCACCGACTGTCTTAGGAATGGAGATGGAGCCCATGCTCGTTGCTCAGGTGACCAGGACGATGGTGACTGTTAAGGCAGGGGTAGACAGCCATTTCTATATTCTTCGGATGCATGTCTGTGAGGTCAAGCACGTGCTACCAGGATGTTATGATGTGATGTTTGAGTGCATCGAATCGTGGGCCCTCCACTCCGGGTACGGGTCTCACGACTCGACCAACGCATTTCGTCAGGCTCAGTTCGGCGCATGCTTACATTCCCAAGTATGGCGCCATGACCATGAGCGAACACAAGATCGAAGCTACGTAGATGTTTGCTTTCTGCTTTCTCCCCCGGTTACATTTCGACCAATCACGTCTCGGCCTTGGACTCTATGGTGGAGACTGATTGTGGCGCCTCCTTACGGCAGTGCAGCCACCCGTGGACATCTAGGTACGTCCTAAATCTTCTTCGACTTGCGCTTAAAGAATCTGCTCGTATCTCCCATCGGAAACGAAAAGAACAATGCTTCTTGGCACATAAGGTGAGCCAACGTGTAGTATCTTTTGCGGGTGTCAGAATGAACATGTATAGGGGCGAACCAGAATCGGGACACCGATGTCAGGCCTGATTCAAGCTCAGGGGTGAACGTACCCCAACAAGCCCGAGAGGAAGCCAAACACCCCTGCAGCCTTCTTTATGTTGGTGGCTGCTTGGACGTGTCCATCGGCCAGAGCCAGGTAGGAAGCCGCAACAAGGCCAAACGCCAACTCGACTGTCAGAAAGATGAGAAAGTAGACGACGTTGCTTCCGGTGTCAGCTTAATACATATATGGAAGATGGAGCTTACATAGGAGCGCTGGCGATCAAGAAAAACGTGTTGAGAACGGTCCATACTGACATTTGTAAGCCTCTGTCTGCCTCTCATCGCTGACTTACGCAGGACCCAGAGACCAAGAGCATTGTTGTACTGTGTCGTATCGCTACCATATGCCTCTGCTACGCCGAAGCTAGGGGTAATGATGGCGCCGAACCCAGCATAGAATAGCCCTGTGCTGTTAGTTGACTGAACACTAGGTCAAAGCAGGGTCATACCAAATGCGCTGAGAACTGTGTACGCAAATGAGTTACCCTTCACCAGCTCCCATTGCGCGCTGATGAGCATGCCAATGCCAGCCACAAAGAAGAAGTTCCCGATGTACACATTGGTTGTAGTGACGCCACGCCATTCCATCAGACTCATCGATAACGTGGTCAAAGTGGTTGCAAAAGCTCCGATAGCCAAAGCAGTCTTGGAACGATTAGTGAGGTCTGAAGCCAAAGGACTCGCGACTCACTGGACTGCCGAGGCCATGTCCGACACCCGGCGAAAGATGGATCGGTTTGTCTTCCCCAAACGGATGCTGGCCTGGATGGCTTTGCAATGTTCCAGCCGTCGTCGTTCTGGTTGCAACAAGCTCGGCTGAGCCATTGTGATCTTTAGACATCTTGCTCCCCGCAGACGAGGTAAGTCGTGGTTGAACATAGTCATGTGTAATGATACGCAATGGCGTTACTTATATTCATGCACTATGGAATGGTTGAGCCAGACCGAACCGAGTTGGGTCGCAGTATACTTTGCGCCTATCAGCACGCAATCGTCGAAGAATTTTGCGAGAGACATAGTAGCGGGCCCCACACCAGCGACACGTTGCTCCGGATCATACGTCAGTACCAGCTACGACTAACCCGGCGAAAGGTGGGACAGTCTCTGAGACAGTGCCTTATGCTCTGCGACTGCTCTGACTGGGCTATAATGTACGACTTGAGGTTGTAGCCGAGAGACAAAGATACCTATCTCAACATCGTTGTCACATCTCACAGACCTGCTTGAAAATCTTCGCCGAAATGGCACGGAGGCGCTCCTCAGAACAGACGCGGGCGGAATCGACAGAATCAGGCAGCGAAACATCGACATGCTCATCTAGCTCGAAGGCATCGATCGCGAGTCGCTTTCTATCTTGGCCCTGCGAAACAGGACTTCCAGACCAGCAGCATCAGCTTCTACTTCATGCCCCAAGGGAACCTTTCAAGCTTGATGAAAGCGCGACGCTGCCCGCGATGAAAACTCAAAGTGAAGTTCTCATCCGTGTGAACGGCGTCAGCTTCAATCCTATTGACTGGAAAAGCCCTGCGTTTGGATTTGGTCTCCCGTCTCTGCCGTGCGTACTCGGAAGAGACTATTTAGGCACCGTCGTGAAAGTGCCGGATGTGCCAGATGGAATTTCGAAGGCCGATCAATTGCCCCCGAGTCGTGGCCTACAGCCAGGAGATGTGGTCCTTGCGGTATCGACAGACTATCGGGACTATCGCAAAGCCGCCTTTCAGCAGTACTCGATTGCCGCGAGCTTCAATGTGTGCCGCGTCCCTGCCTCGCTGAAGCATTCATGGGTCTCTTTACCAGCCATCGGAGTCGCTTATATCACGGCCGCCATATCGCTGGGTGTCAATCTTGGCCTAGATTTTGGACATATTGCCGAAACTCCAGGACCAAATCTTCGAACTATTGTACAAGGGATCAAGCGGAGCGATTTGTCAGAAGACATCAGAGAGGAGGTTTTCGACTCTCTTCCGGCGCAAGACCGCCTTCAGCCGGGTGATTGGATCGCTGTATGGGGTGCGTCATCCACCGTAGGCTTCTTCATAGTCCAGCTTGCGAAGAAGGCAGGCTCAGAGTTGTGGCAGTGCAGATCTGACGAAGAACGCATCGAGCTTGATAGACATCGGAGCAGACGTTCTCGTCCACCGCGCACATCCAGAAGAGACTGTCAAGATCATCAGATCACTTACAGCAGGCAAAGGTTTGCGCTATGGTGTTGACACAGTGGGCAAAGAGACATCAGCGCTGCTACAGAGCACTTTCCAGCCACGATGCCCTGCCGAAAGGCACATCTTGTGTGCTTGGTCGGCCAGCCCAAAGAACAACCGGAAGGCTGCCCAGCTGCGACTTACCACAAATTGCCGATGAAGCTATTCCATGAGTCGCCGGAGATCGGTCAGGCACTTATGGCTGGCTCGAGCATCTCCTCGGGAACGAAGGGGCGTTGATGATGCCCAAGGTAGAGATCCACCATTCCAGAGGCTTGCAGCATGTGAACGCGGCACTGGAGCGACTCCGTGTCGGCAACATCGACGGACACCGGTTAGTCCTTGCAACGTAGTCGCCGCATCTGACGAGTATGAGCAGGACATCGTTCAGAATCCTGAAAGATCTGCTTCCAATTGCGTGTGCTTTTAAGTTGAGGTGTGATTAAAGCCATTCAAAATCCTCTGCCCAAAAATCCTTGGCCAATCAGAGGCGATTTCCCCGCGATGTCACCATTTCTCTTGAAATGTCAACATCAATCCTCTGGACCATCGGAAGACGTAGGCAGCTGGCACCCTGTACAGGCAGGCGACCCATCTCGATCACGAATCGCTGTGCATAAAATGCTTGCATTTGTACGCAGCACCATTCGCTCCCGCACATTTACGATCGACACGTGTCCCGCAAACACTCTGTTCGGAATCTTAACAGATTCCAGCCGTGTCTCAAAGACGAAGAGCGTAACGATGTCTGCCATTCGATTCGAAACGCTGCTGACGTGCTGACTTCGGTGAATGGCGCGATTTCGTGACACCTGATGCTCTTGGAAGCTGATACAGGTATGGTCGTAGGTGTTCTCGACATGCCTCTGCTGCTTTCTACGCGTTCGTCGATTGTCAATATTCGAATCTCGTAAAATGGCCACCAACGGTACCCCCAGCCTTGCTGACAATGGTCGCGTCAACAACGGTCTCCCAAACGGAGTCCCTGATGTGAACTCTGATACAGACCGGATTAAATTCGCGTACTGGGTACCCAATGTCTCCGGCGGTCTGGTGATCAGCAAGATCCCGCAGAAGACCAACTGGGACCTGCCTTCCAACATCAAGTACGCTCGGACTGCGGAGCAGGTCGGCTTTGAGTATGCCCTTTCACAAATCCGCTTCATGGCAGGCTACGGAGCCGAGCACCAGCACGAACCGGTCTCCTTCTCGCAAGCAATCCTACACTCGACACAGAAGTTGATCTTGATTGCTGCACTGCTGCCGGGTCCATGGAATCCAGCAGTCGCGGCGAAACAGATTGCCAGCATTGATCATTACTCCGCCGGCCGAGTTGCGGTGAACGTGGTTTCTGGCTGGTTCAAGACCGAGTTCACGAGTATTGGGCAGTGGTGGCTTGATCATGGCGAGCGGTACCGCCGCAGCGTGAGTTCATTGAGTGCTTGAAAGGCATATGGACGCAAGAAAAGTTCACCTACAAGGGGGACTTCTATCAATTCCACGACTACCCGCTTTCGCCGAAGCCATTGAAGTGGGACGGCAGGCCGCATCCCGAGATCTTCCAGGGTGGAAATTCGATCGATGCAAGAGAGAACGCCGCGACTGTGTCGGACTACTATTTCATGAACGGAAACAGTGAGTGGCGAGGCCCATCTCGATTGAAGGCAACCGGCTAACACCCCGCAGCACTGGAGGGCTTCCAATCCCAGATCTCGGACGTCAAAGACAGAGCCCGCCGCGAAGGCCGCGAGCATGAAGTCAAGTTTGCGCTGAATGCTTTTGTAATCGTTCGCGACACCGAGGCAGAGGCCATCCATGTCCTGCAAGAAATTCAAGGCAAGGCCGACGCTGAAGCGGTCGAGGCTTTCCGAAAAGAAGTCCAAAATGCTGGAGCATCGACCTCGAACAAAACCGGCATGTGGGCCAATAGCAAATTTGAGGATCTTGTCCAATACAATGATGGTTTTAAGACGAAGTTAATAGGGACAAAAGAGCAAATAGCTGATCGGATTTTGCTGTTGAAGAGTTTGGGAGTCAGTATCCTCTTGACCGCCTTTCTGCATTATGATGAGGAGATCGAGAGATTTGGGACGGAGGTGATCCCGTTAGTAAGGAAGCTTGAGGGCGAAGGTAGGGGCAAGGATCAAGAGGATGAGATACGTCGGACTGGAGACGTCTATCGAGCCAGAAATCCTGACGAAACAAAGAAGTAAATCACTGATGCCCGACTGAGCTTCAACGCTTGAGCCAGCAGGAGAGATCAAAGCCACGGCGGAGAATGCTACTCAACGTGCCACTCGCCGCGCCTTGCTCACTATAGTTGCACACGTCAGCGGACAGAATGACGGAATGGCAGTAACACAGTCAAAACGTTTCTAGCACATAAAACCATTGGCAATGCAAGCCTATGTCGTCAAACTGCACATCTCGCCCTCCCACTTCTGCCCTTTCAGCTCCTCCTCGTTCTCCTCACCATTGCTCAGAAACTTTCTCAACACCCGCATCCATACCCACTCCCCAACATCGACCCTCGCGATGTTATAGCCCAGCTGGGGCTTCGCCTCAGTCCCAGCCTTGACCTTCTCCCAACCCTTCCCACTTCCCAACGCCTCTGCACCGGTTCCGCCTGACAGCAGCGTCGGTCTAATACCAGTCGCTGACTTGAAGACGCCATCATTGTTCGGGTTGCCAGGTCCAACATTCCAGCTCTTGTTCGCGACCTCCGCTCGGAAGACATCCTCCATAGCCTTCTTATCCCTATGCGGCACTGCCAAAGACTTGTGGTACATGAACCGCATCGCCATCGGCACGTCTTCCGGGCCGCGGGTGACGCCTGTGGTGGAGATGAAGATGAGGCGAGGCTTCATCTGGGTTGTGGAGATGGTAGAGTAGATCTCACGCAAAGTTGAGACGAGGGCTTGAGCGCCCTCCGTACAGATATGTGGATTCTCGAGCTTGATGATCTCAAGCGGTGCGCAGGTGTTGAAGGTGAGCTGGCCGAGGCCGCCGAGACCGGTAACGATTGCGACTGGAAGTTGTGGACTTGGTGACGTCGAGTTGGGAGGCTGCTGAAGGATTCCTTGCCGCAGGCTTTTGGTATCGAGTGCGTCGCCGGCGAGAATGGTGAGACGTGATGGTGAGAGCTGTTGCTGGGTCAAGTTCTGAGCTTCGAGCATGGCTCTCAGCTTTTGCGGCGTTCGGACGAGGGCGACGCAATGAGTGGAGGACGGGGCGGACTGGAGGGCAGAGACAAGGATCGAATTAGTCACTCCGCCCGTTGCGCCAAGGAAAAGGACGGTCTCCATGGTGTATAGTTATGCAGCACGCTCAGAGCTGTTGATTTCAGTGTGTTCCGTGGTAATAGTATGCAGGTGGCGTAACAGTGGCAGTAATGGTTGGTCGATATGTTCGGTTGATTGATGTGTTCTGGATATGGTTGCTTCCATGGCTGAAAAGACGTCCTCCTATATACCTTGCTCTTGGTAGACTTACCTCTGATCCAGACATATCAACGTGGTGCCGTCGGTCTAGCCACCACCGAACAATGATCCCGCGAGGCCGAGTCATTTGGGAGTGATGCCGGCGGTCTAGCCATCATTGTACAGCAAAGCCGCGAGCAGATCAGGGGACGGGTCTTGCGCCACGTTTCATAGAAGGCGCCGCCTACCTCAGTTTCGTAAGTTGCACCCATGAACAAGCATCGAATCAGATACTCCGCCCCGTCTCGCTCTCGGCCCTGCAATAAGTGATGAGATAATGAACACGAAAGTCTACTGAGGGCTGCTTTGAAGATAATAAAAGCGAAAGGCCTGTTCCGGCGGAACAATCTGTCCGGCTCGCCTTCAGTCTAGCCGAACCCCTTTGATTGGTGCGCTCCTGAAAAGTGGGCCTAGTACAGGATCTCAGGCTCGCATCATGATCATGCAAAGAAGCAAGTGTGTGACAAGTGGTTTTTTGGCTCGTCAGTGTTGCTTAGTCGCTAGTCTAGAGCAATTGCAAACGCACATCCGAACAACATACCTCGCTGTGCCCCAGTGGCACCCACGAGCTATTTCCTGCGGCCGGAGGTACCACCATTCGTTGCCGATGTCCTTCCAGGGAGCGAAATCGGGCTGATATCAATCAGATACTGGGCAGTGTCTCGAAGATCGCTCCTTGTTTGCACTGTAAGACTGGACGATCGTCCTGCCGTCTCCGTCCAGGCTCGGTGGGTGACAGATATGTGGCCCAATTTGTGGCCGCTGAACGAGACCTGCCATTTTGCCAAGCTGATAGTACATCGAATGAGCCTACGTCCCTCGATTCCTCTTGGTGTGACCTCGCCAGAAGGCCTGCGATATTTCTCATCGTCGCGAAATCGACCTTGGCAGGGTGGTGTGGAAAATTCTGTGACAGATAAGCTTGTCCATCATCATTTCGCAAACATTGAGCACTCGATAATATCTGAAAGCTCAAGACATCGGTAGTTTTCCGTTCTAACGTGCTATACAAATGCTTGAGCAGCTGCGCGCTGTGTGAAAAGCAAACAACCCCACGCCCGTACCACGAACATTGCTTACAATACTGTGAGGTTGGGGAATTTGTCCTGTAGCCGCGCATTAGTATTCCAGCACAAATCGTGATGCTGACAGTTGCACTCACGTAGTATCCGGGCGGCATCCATCGGCCCTTCGAAACCAACTTCTCCGTGTACTCATCAATCTCTGGCGACACCTTCGCGATGTCGTCCACAGTCAACTCATCCCATCCGCGAGCACCCTCAATATCGCCCAAAGCCTTCTCTAAGCTCTTCAGCTCGACCTCAACCTTGCCCTTGGTCTCCTCGGCATTCTTCACAGCAACCTGCTCGAATGCCTCAATACTGCGAACCTGCTTCTCGACATCGTAGGTCTTGGGCTTGAAGCTCTTAAAGTATGACTCGATCTCGTCGATCACAGCGGTGTTCTTGAGGACTGAGCGGTAGTAGCTGAAGTCAACGGACGTGGGTTGATCTTGTAATTGTTGGACTCTGCGGCGAGCATCGTCGTTGCGCTTCTTGAAGTTTGAGAGTGAGGTGGCCGTGCTTCCGCGCAGCGACAGCTGCGTTGGGAGCTTCGTCCAGTCTAGTTTTGCGGCGGCGCGACCCTGCGAGATTATGTGTTAGCTGGGTGGTTGAGGCAAGCGGTGCTGTAGCTCATGAACCCATTGAGCTTCGCGCAGCTTCTTCATCGGGGTCGGGACAGCTCTGAATGAAATGGACCGGAGCAACAACCGATGAACGCAACAGCTGTGTCGGCACCGTGAGGGTCTTAGACTTACCGCTGAAGCCATGTTGAGAGGTTTGAGGGAGGAAGAGTGTTCGTAGTAAGTGATCTCGAAGCTCATACAGGATCGAGAAGTCCCGAAGGAGAGAGGCTTGGCATCATTGCTTATCACGTGACTGAAGGTCGTCAACCGGCGGTTCAATATGCCTCGCTATTACCATCTACTGAGTAGCTTTACACGTACCATCCTGATACTTACCCAGGCAGGGCAGGCAAAAATACGAGGCAGGAGGCATTTTCGTGCCTTGATCCGTTCGTCTAAGCACCTGTAATAACTACGGCGACTGCACCGTCAAGAATCATGTAATTGACCTGTGATAGAATTGTGACTATTTGCACATGATCGTGGTCGAGGATCAACTAAGATCTCGAAAGGTACTTTCATCTTGCCGTCCACTGTGAAGTTTCCTGCAATGATGTGTTGCGGTGGCCTTTAATCAGACGCTTAATGCCATGATGGAATTGACAATGTCGTTCCCGTTTTCTTTCAGAGCTTTGACGGCCTTCTTCCGACTGACGCTGGCTTGTGTCATGACGAGCTCGATGTCCTTAGCCTCAAGACCACTATCGTCGACTTCCTCGTCATCGTCGTCTTCCTCTTCGACCTTCTTCTCCGGCTCCTTGCCCTTGCCCTTGCTCTCTTCGTGGGAGTGATCGTGACCGGAGTGATCTTCGGCCTGACCAGCAGCGGCAAGCTGTTGAGCAGCAGCAGCCTGGTGTTGGGAGTTCAGGTCCTCGATCTTAGCCTCACCGAAAATACTGTCGAGCATTAGCACTGTATACGTATCGCTTTAGGCAGACTTACATCCAAGTATTGCTGTTTGGCGACCGGTAGACATCAGGGTTGGAGATCACAAACAGAATCTGCGCATTACATTAGTATCTTGTAGAGAGGTGTGTGACTGTGTACAGCATGCGCCGTGCGCACGGCATGGCCAGCTGTATAGCTTTGGGGATAACCTTACACCCTTGGGTCTCCTCAATGTTACTCTAGTGATGCCGGGGACGTGCTTGAGACCAAGCTTGGCAATGGACTTGCGGGCCTTCTTCTCATTGCGACTGTGGACAGCGACAGCAGACCCCGCGGGAATATTGGCATCACCACCCTCTTCGTTGTCGGAGTCTGAGGAGTCGGACGCATCTTCGACCTTCTTGGTGGGCTCGTCGTCCGGCAGCTCTTCGACACGGGGGTTCGCCATGTTTGCGATTTTTAGTCGAGACGTCGTTCGAGCTGCATGAGGTCAGTCGGTTGCTTTGGAAGTTGCGCACCGCAGCTGGACCGTGTAAAAATGTGCGCTTCGTTGCCCACCAGACGATGCTGTGGCTGACCGCGGAGGGTGAAATTCGAAGCACAAGAATGCGAAGTTCCAGCACAGGTCTATGTGACTTACCGAGGATTTAGTATAGTGTCAGCGTGGTGAGGTAGTACTGGATTTGTCTTGAGCATGCGTTCAATATGTGCTGCTGGTCATGAACTCTTGGCAGGTATTCGGCACTCGGAGAAAAATGGAGCCCTCTCGGTGCCCCGCGCCTTGCCCGACTCCGGCCTACCTTTGATCTAACGTCACCCAGGCGCCGCTTCATTCTTTGCAGCGTGTCTCATCCAGATCAATGTTGGTCGACGGGGAATATGAGCAGATTCACTACAAGTAATCTACGCTGCGCGAAAGCGACAATGCGCACCGACAGTATCACGCAGTCAGCGACTGCGCAAATCCGATGTGAACAAGCCCTGAGTTGCCATACCTGACGACACTCCTACCGTTTCGATCTACAGCTGCCTGATCTGTGTGGTCATTGGAGCAAGGAGCGTGCGACAATGTTGTTCAGCTGGCCATAGTACCGCTAGCGCTCAAAAGGCAAGTGTCCTCGTCGACAAGGGCTATCTCGGGGCCGGAACTAACCCATCTCATCAAATTGGGAACAGTTGACGTAGGCTGCACATAATCGAAAGGACATTGCGCCGCAAACCTTATGGCCTGAGTTCGCTCATTCAGCTATGAGCCTGGCCACAGTTTTCGACCGCTGGCCTGCTGGGCCACAGCGAAGGCTGTTACCAGGAATGTGGACTTTGCGCCCCAAACTTTAAAGTGTCCTCACGGTTCCCTCCGCCAGATGGCTACGGATCCGTTCTCGCGGGAAGCCCACCACTACTGCAGGAGTGCTCAGCTGCAAGCTCAGAGACTAACAATGCTGGCTTCGTTTGCGGTACTGGCATTGCAAGGTCTTAGCGCCAGACGCGCACCTTTCGATGACATTCATAAAACTGACCGCCTGCCACGAACTTCCGACAGATCGTCGAAAGGTCCAGACCATGATGGCACTGTGGGCCCAAAGACCACTTGCGATCAAGCTGAAACGAACAGTGGTGGACTTTTGCTGCCTCCGATCTCCACAGCAGCTCAGCGGAGTTGAGAATTGTTGCCAAGATGATGATGGTCGCCACCCATGTCAATCCCAGTGTGGCTGACAGCTTTGTGGGGCAGCCTTTGCACCCTTCTGACTTCCAAGAGCATTGTCGCTCCCGAATCGGCGGTGATTGTGCTGCAGCTGAACGGCTGCGCGTGCGATGCTATCTCCGAATCGCCTTTGCACCCTTCCGACTTCCGAGAGCATTGTCGCTGTCGGTTCGGCGGTGATTATGCTGCAGCTGAACGGCTGCGCATGCGGTGCTATCTCCGAATTGCTCGTACGATGGTCTCGAAGCAAGTATCAGCCCATGTAGGCTGGGACGGTAACGATGGCTAATGGATTCACCATTCGGACACAAATCTCCAGCTGACGTCGCAAATACAAATCATGGCACAGACTGTAACCACATATAACCACTCGTAGTCTGCATCCATCAGTGATACATGTCTGGACCAATGTTAGGTTCGTTCCTTAGGGTTATACGTTCAAGGTCTACAACTTCGGCATGAAACGAATTGCAGATAGCATTTACGATCAGCTCGAGGCGGAGTGGGAGGAAGCTCATCCCGATGCCGTCTTGCAAGAGACCGAGATACCTGCCACTGCTCTGGCCGAGGTTGATGAGGAAGAACCTACACAGCGATTTGTCTCACAGACCATCGTCCCGACAAGAAGTCACCCTTGGAACGCAGTAGCCTGGCGCCCGGGTCTGAGTGGCATTCATGAAGCCGGCGAAGACGAATCAGAGTCGCCCATCAGAGGAAGCCGACGTCTAAGCGAGAAAATTGACCCGTTTCGCAAAGTATCGACGGTGTCGACGCTCGAGAGTCCCATCTCCGGATCTGACGATTCTCCAACGGCGAGCAAGGAGGAAGCAGACATTATCACGAACTTGCAAAGTCCTGATCAATTGCCGATTATCTATCCGTCGGGCAGAAGACGAAGTTCTATTGCTGGCACGACGAGCTGGGACGCACCTCAGTCAATCCATTACCGTGTCTGGACACGGTCTGCCGCGGGTTCGATATCTGGTGCCTCACTCCAGCTGAGTGAGGTCGAGGTCGACAGTCTTAATGGAGACAAGGTACTTCGCCGGCAAAATCCTCGAAACTTGTGCTAACTACTGTAGGTTCGAATCCCTAGAGCAGTAGCCGCAATCACGACTTTCCAAAGCCAGCCGCAAACTCCTCGATCTGCTGTCAATATTGTGGCAAAACATGATGACTATGATCGCCTGCCAGCATGGCGGCGTCGACTCTTCAGACTGGCACCACTCACTACCCTATTAGCTATGGGATCGTATTTTGCCTACTTTGCATATCGCATCTTTGCGACAGTCCAGGCCCAAGAAGCATTTCATCGGACTTACGTTGCGGCCTGGGTCTTCATCGCTTCCGAGTTTCTTGTGTCCAGTAAGTCATGCCATTTCCAACCATCAACGAGCAGCACTGAATGATTCCCAAGTCCCGGCGTTCTTCCACAACACGTATTCCCTGCTCTCGGTCAAGGGTCGGAAGAGGGCCAAACTGCGTCTGATCGGTACCGACCTTCCTGCTGTTGACGTCTTCATCACCTGTTGCAAAGAGGATCCTGATATCATTCTCGACACGGCTCGTGCGGCTTGTGCACAGGACTATCCCTCCTCGCGGTACCGCGTCGTGGTATGCGATGACGGGGCTGACCCGATACTTCGTCAAGGCGTTGAAGCGCTCAGTCTATCACACCCTAATCTTTACTATCATGCCAGGATCAAAGTCAAGGGCAAGCCACACCACTTCAAAGCAGGAAACTTAATCGCCGCAACCGAAATGGTGGAGCAACTTCCAGGGGGCGCTGGCGAATTCATCGCCGCCTTGGATGCTGACATGATCCCCACTCCAGATTGGCTACGCTGTGTGATTGCACACATGGTCGACGAGCCTCGGATGGGTCTTGTTTGTCCACCACAATTATTCTATAATATACCGGACAATGATCCACTTGTTCAGTCACTTGATGCATTTGTGCATCTCATGGAGCCGACTAAAGATGCTAACGGCGTCGCATGGTGCACAGGCTCAGGATACGCCATTCGGAAGTCGGCCCTTGAGGACATTGGTGGCTGGCCTGTCGGATCACTTGCCGAGGATGTCTTCACATCGTCTCTTCTGCTAGGAAAGGGATGGAAGACTGCCTTTGTACACGAGGGCCTGCAATACGGTACCGTCCCCGACACCTTTACCGGCCACCTCAAGCAGCGGACACGCTGGACCTTAGGAACGTTGCAAACCGCAATAAAGCTCAACTTCTGTCTATGGGGCCCGTCGTCAAGGACATGACCTTTCTCCAGCGTCTTTCCGGCTTCGTCTTCCCAGCGGGTGCGCTATTCAGCATTTGCCTCATGATAACATTACTCACCATCCCCATTGTACTCTTGTCGGGCGGTACGCTCGTCGCCTTTGCCGATTCTGCCCAGCTCCGATGGCAAATCCGACTTGCATTCATCAGCTTGGCGTTCAACCGTCTAGACAATTTTGTTGCGCACCTACCTTCTGGCTATCGCCTATCACAGCGTGATGCTGCCGCCCACATATGGATGACGCCCTACCATACGATGACAGTCCTCAGAAGCTTCCTCCTTCCGAAGTGGCTCGGCGGCAAGCCCATGGCGTTCTCGTCGTCTGGCAGCATAAAGTCGGAACTCTCAGAACGCGATGCAGCCAATCGCGCTCCGCTCTGGCGCCGTTGTGTAGTCATGATCTGGCAATGCGAATGCTGGATGCACGTACTACTCGTCCTGTTCACCCTCACAGCCGTTATCTGGTCTTGCACGCAGTCGATGTATGCTGTGCGTCCCTCGCGAAATTACACACTCATCTACCTGTTGACGCATGCATTCTGGCCACCCGTACTATGGATCATCAATCTGTCAGCGTACTTGACGCCATTGCTCTACATGCTGGCGCCACCAAACATGCCGGATAGGGAGGAGTTATTGGACCGAAATGCGGAGACAAACGTAGCGAGGCCGAAAGAGAGCGCCAAGAGACAGAGGTGGTTGAAGTGGGCGTTGTGGCCCGAGTTGCAGTGGACTTTGTGCTCGGTGTATACAACGATAATCTTTGTGGGGACGTTCTTCTATTGAGGCGAACGGGAAGTATTGTAGGCTACACGCCTCTTTTTTGGCTACAGCATATGAGTAGAAGGCAACTGCACCTGATCTTTGACGCCATGATACCTGTGTCAAATGGCTTGCGCTTGTGGAGGCTTTCTCTTGGAGAGTGGCGAATATGCGACCAATGAACTGCTGTGAAGAGGGAGGCTGACCATTGGAGGGAACTCTTGTATTATCTGAACATGTACCACAAGCTACTGGTCAGGACTCAATGTCGAGCTTTCCGACCGGAACCTCTCGAGCTCCTCCAAAAAGCAAAAACTGTATTGCCAGGACTCGTAGATCAACTCGAAGCACAGGAAAACCCCTACTGGTACTCACACACCCCGAGATAAAGGTGGCAGGGAAGAAGAGCCCCATACCAGGTCTAGGATTTTATTTTCTCGTAACAACATGTCGCTTTTGTGCGATTGTTGGAGGAGAATTGTAGAACTGCAATATATGAACAATGCTAGTTAGTCACTGGTGAAGCAGGAAGGTCGGCCGAGGACCTTGTTGTCAGGGGATACTCAAGACTGGACAAGGGAGTACTGACACTCGAGCGAGGTGAACGCCAAGACATGATTGACTTCAAGTCCTATCACATGACACTCTCTGTTTCTTAAGAGCAGACCCGATGGCGGCCTTTGGGTACAGTAGCAGGCTCGTAAATCGTAGTGATTAGTGGCCTATCAGCACAGCATCGGCGGACGGCCTTTCGGAGAGAGCTACGATCGCATGCGGAGCGTTGGCTGGTGCCGATGATATTGCAGTTATGTTGACATCCTCAAATCGGCGCACTTATTCACGTGTTGTTTCCCCAGCCCCAAGCGCTATTGGATCATTTGGCACCAGATTGAACAGCACTAGAAAGCAGTCAGCACCAACTTGCGTGGACGACCGGATTCTGCAAGTGACGGAGGTAATCCTTTGCAGTACTTACTTTGCCCGAAGTTGCCAACCGTCTCATCCATTTGAGCGTGGAGATGCTGGAATTGGCTTTCGTTTTGATACCAAGACCAACTGGGATCCATCTGTGAGTACTCATGGTGTTGCATCGGCTCGTTCAACATCGCAGTAGTGTCGCTTTGCTGTAAGTGATCATCCCGCGATGCGTTCATGGCGTGGGCAGCCGCAGGGTGTGAGCTCGTCCACGGATACTGCGTATTCTGTACAGCAGATTCCTCGAGCCTACCATTGCCAACGATGTCTTGCCCACGATATGAGCCAACCGGCCGCCCGGGCTCCTCTGACTGTCGACTGCTGCTGCTGCTTTCCTGTCTTAGGCTATTCTCAACTTCCTGCTCAAGACATATCTTCAGCAACCGCGTCAGAAGCTGCTCCGTATGATGGGCGATTGGGCTTAAGTCCTTGAGTGAACGGCTCTGCTTGATGATCCGCAAGGTCGCCGCTTTGGCCTCTTGCGCAGTATTGCTGAGCGGCCACGCGCTCGGTGGTATGCATAACACGACACCTGCTGTGAACAAATTCATCAGCATGAATGGCATGACGGTATGTATCTTGAAGTGATCAATCGGCAAATTCGACATCCGCACCGCAGCTTCGACTGCCAAATGTAAAGTCTCGGCGACGGCAGATTTACGGGTAGTTCCCGAAGTGCATCCTTTGGCACTCGATGCTCGAGGACCGGGCGGTGTATGAATATGATGGCGTTGTCGTAGGTGAAATGCAACGTCTGTATCTGCAGCAGCAGTTGGTGACGACATCTCTGTTCGTCCAATGACAAACCTGTGATGCCGTTGAGCTCGTCCAAGATGGACTGTCGACTACCTGGCTCACATTCGAAGACAGGCGGTAACTGAGATTTCCAGGTAGCTATCGCCTTGCGGTTCTGATGGACAGCGCGTATTAACGAAGACATGTCTTCGACCGACATCGGAGACTGAAAGCGTAAAACACGGTACCTGCACAATGCTTGATGGACGATGTCATAGAGTTGATGCTTCAGCACGTGGAAAGTCAGCAGTGTGACAGTTGAGCTGGATAGCAAAGGGTGCTGTGTAGTAATGACCATGAGGGGATGCCGCGACAAATTTGGTCCGAAGATGGTGTCGTCGAGGTCCTGTAACGGTGCAACTCTAGAGAATGCCGGATCTAGTGATATCGGCCGCCCGTAAATCATCGAAGCAAAGATATCCGCCACATTGAGATGTAGCCAATTCCTCCGTCGGACCTGCGCCGTTACTGGATCCCATTCTTGGTCGCTATCCTGGTCACAGTGAAGTGATAGACCGTAAGCTGTCCGCACTGCAAGTCCAACGACTCCCCATGCCAGTGACGGGCTCGCGTAGAAGATAGAATACGTGCCTAGCAGGCTACAGACCTGAACAGTCTCAATGCAGCAGTCATCAACAAGATCGAAAAGGTGATAACGGATCTCCTTCATCAGCATGTCGGCGAAATCCTTCGGTGCCAGTGAAGTCCGCCCTAGTAGCGAGTGTCCCGACCAAGCTGGATCGCGTGCGACGCACTGCAATGCCATAGCTGAGATGGCCATGCACAGCAACACGGTACCCATATCCTCTCTGTACCATGTCTGGCTCGACAGTATGCGATCTTTGGACCTGCGGAAGGACGGCTCATGCATAATACAGATGAACCAATTAACTCGTTCGAAATACACATCCGTCAAAGCGTTAACGATCTCTGCGTCAGGAAATGGCGCGAATATTAGTGACCATGTCGGCCGACCATAATTAGAGTCCTTACGGTCGGTATGGCGTGCTTTATCATGGCCAGGGATACTGGAGATGTCGCCAGCAGCTACCTGCGACGTGGCTGGGTCACCGAAGACATTGGCAGCAAATCCGACAGCGGAATTGTTTGCTCCGAAACGTTGTTGCTGCCGTTCCGTCGTAGAACTGGTTTGCGATGCAGAGCCAGCATCAGGTGAACGATACACGCCTGCGGGCGATGACCGCTGACGTGACTGCGAGACCGCCCCCAAGAAAGGCTGCTGTTCAGACGACACACGACCATTCTCGACGCTTTGCAAGCGCTGCGTGAAGCGTGTGCCTGGCTCAATCTTGGAGCGCTTGGGTGTGCTGTCAGTAGCACGTCTCTTCCTACCCGTCTTCTGAATTTGATCTGTGCTGACATCACGTGGCTCGCATAGCATGCCAGATCTTCGGCAAAGCAAGCAAGGCCGAGTCGAATCGCACTATGCATGGTGTAATTGTGTCAACGACCACTAGTATCGAATCACACTTCATCTGAGGCTTGGCGACTCACCTTGAGCTTCTGCTTCCTGCATCGTGCGCAAGCCTGGGCCACACGAGTCTGCGAGGATGCGGTGCCTATCACCTCCGTCGGAACATCCATACCACATCCAAGTTCCCAAGGTTTGTGGCGGTCATAGACGTGATTCGTCATGTACACGCCATCCGCGACGCGACCCCTTCTGAGGTTATCCAACAGCGAATTACGCCTGGACTGGCGCCACGCGTGAATCTAGATTGCTGAACTTGTCGACAGGTACAAGGCATGAATGAGTACATTGTGGTATCTGCTGTCTGTCCCTTCCACCGGAAGCTGTACAAGGGTAGGTGCAGATATAGTTTAGATTTGGGGAAGAGCGGGGAAAGGGTCCAGGGTCAACCGGGCTCACCGAGCCACTGCTACCGAGGTTTCGTGTAGAACCGTTCTTTCTTCCAAGCCAGGACCTCAACAACGTCCTTGAACCATTGCGATGGCTTTGCGACTCCTATTGTTCGATGATGAGACAGACAGTTGATGCTGACGGCAGGTGTCGTTGCCCTTGGCCCGTCGCCAAGCCAGCGCCAGGCTAGAGCTTCTGAACGCGTCAAGCTTCACAACCAAATCCGCGGATGAAATGCTTCATGGGTACAACGGTAGGTTCCACTTACAACGAACGATGTCACGCAAGTGCACGCCAATCCTCCAAGTTTTCGCATGTTCAGGGAGAAAATCTCAAGACGACGCGCTGTTCCTCGAAGGTGCGATGCGGGCATAGCGCACTGTTTGATGACCGTGTGCCTTCGCGGCAATGTCAGCACCTGGCTGTCGACACTCAAGATCCGCAGCTCTGCCGCGCGTCTGTTCCAATGTTTCCTGCATTTCTCATACCCTGTGCTCTCCTGATCCTTTCGCACGAATCTTTCTCATTCAACGCAGCATGCGTAGCGTACCGGTCGCATTCAGATCGCGTGCTCGGACGTTTTCGAGCGCTTGCGGACTGGTGACAGACGACTCTAGCTTCAAAGCCGTCCTTGAAAAGCGAGCTATCCTTCTTCGACCTGGCGCCTCACTGTACCATGCGGGATCCATGGACCACAATGTCCATGGAGTATTATGCCGACATGTCCGGTGTTCAAGGCTGTCACGCCAAGGATCCGGTCAAAACTTTTGTTCGGCTAGCGAGGAAGCTGAATCCAAGACGCCGAACGGACGGCCTGAGCACAATTGATCTACAGAGAGTGAGACTGCTCATTTCAGCACGTCTCAGATTCCCTTGTCGTGCCAGTGTAATTCTGCTAGGTCCCCAAGAAAGATCCAGGTCCGCGGAGCAGCAAAGATGGAGCAAGCATATACCAGCCTCTATATAATGTGACCGGAGTGAGAAGACTCCTGTGCCATTACACATGATCAAGCAAGGCATCCGTTTTGACCATTCGAGGGCAAAGCCAGTCACCAGGAATCATGGATCTAAGTCTCGGTAAGCGACCACAAGCAGCACGTAGCTGCCACTGTTGCCATTGCTCTTGCACCAGCGACTTTGACTGACTCAACGCTTCGCCAGGTTATGGATTCACCGCTACACAGCGCGGCGACACCTATGCCGCAATCGACCCTCTGAAGTCAAATCTATGTGGCAAGAACGTCCTCATCACCGGCGCAGCCAGAGGTCTGGGCCACGCGATCGCATTGTCATATGCCAAAGCCGGCGCCTCTGGAATCGCCGTTCTTGACATCCTGGACCGCAGCACAGCGATAATGGCCGACCTAAAAGAGGCCGCATCAGCTGCAGGTCGTCCAGAGCCAGACATCGTCATACTGGTGACAGACATCACGGATCGATCCGCTGTTGAAAACGCCGCCAAGACCGTCAAGTCTCACTTCGGCGCCCTCGACATCCTCATCAACAATGCAGGCGCTATGCACCCGTATTCGAACATGGGCGAGACAGATCCTGACCGGTGGTGGCGGGCGTGGGAGGTCAACGTGAAAGGCACCTACCTGATGACAAGGACTTTCCTGCCCATGATCCTGGAAAGTAAAGACAAAACAATCATTGTCATGTCCAGCATTGGTGCGCTTCATACTCTGCCAGGCGGGTCGGGCTACGAGACCACCAAGCTGGCAGTCTTGAAACTCAACAATTACCTGATGGCGGAGTATGGTTCTCAAGGCCTTCTGGCCTACGGCGTGGCGCCTGGAGGCATACACACAGATATGGCGGTCGATTTTCCGGCGCATTTGTATGAGTTGTTGACAGATACGCCTCAGATGGTGGCTGACACAATCACGTTCCTGACGAAGGAGCGGAGGGAGTGGCTTGCGGCCCGGTATGTGGATTCGCGCTGGGACATGACGCAAATGCTGGAGCGACAGGAAGAGATCATCGAGAAGGATCTTCTGAAGGTGAAGCTTCAGGTATCCTAAATCTTTCGCTTGCGGATCAGGTTTTGTGGATCTGCAGCTATGGAGACGTGTCTTGCCGTCAGCCCAAGGCTGTTGTATGGCAATAGCAGGGTCGAGAAAGCTGGCAGCGCGTGCCTCGGTGCCCTCATGGGGAAGGGCACTCCAAGCTGAAGTCTTCTTGAGATGCCGAGCACATAGTCCAGAGCGATGCCATCGGGTCGGCTAACGACAATGGACTGGAGAATGGTAGCCAATCCTGAGCGATCGGGTCGTTGAGCATCGGATCCTGCGTGGTTACGTCAGCTGGCTTTACAGATATCTGCGTCGCTAGATAAGGTCGACTCACTGTAAAGGTCGGGATATCCTTAGAAGCGGTCCAGCTTCCAGGAAAACCAAAAGCTGGCAAGTGGTGACGGCCCTGCTGTTCTTGCACACTCTGGTTTCCAGACACACTATGAGACCACGGGGCGAACTCGAGCGAAGTCAGTTCTCTTGCTTGCGCTATCGTTTCTTCGAGTTGTCCAGCCGGCTGTAAACCCTGTGAAGAACGTGCTGACGCTAGGGGATCTGGTAGCGTGGGTCTATACGATTGTGTTGGACCCGCATTTTGTGAAGGACTGACCGTGGTTGTCATACGGCTGAATTCCGAAGTGGCTTGTCGAGCTCGTGAAGTCACTCCACAGTGCCGACGTCTCGGTCCCACCTTATCAACGATCATTCTAAGAACGTTCGCAGCTTTCCGGGCCTCGGCTGACTCGGTCTGGCGTCCGAAGATCTCGCCTGCTGTCCGCAACGATTTGATCATTTCAGTCTGTGTTGGAACTCCATATACTTCTCGAACGCCTGAAGTATCGCCCGGGGAGGCATTGTTTGAGTATAAGTCAGCTGCGATGATTGTTGCCGCAAGCAGATAATCGTGTATCGCCAGCGACGTCTGATAGTTTGTCAGTCGCCGAAGCTGACCGTTGACAGGTATCTCTTGGTCCTGTATAGCCTGGAAGTGAAGGATCGACATCGCCGAGGACAGACACACGCGTCTAGAATAGACATGCCTCTTGTCGGACTTCGCAGCCCCGAGGAACCTGCTATGCACAACACATAGAGACTTATGGTGTATACTTGACAGAACAAACCTTGCCGATACAAGCACCAAAGAGTCTTGGGCAGATAGCTCGCCAAGCTTCCAGTGGTCAGCAACGTTGTCGTAGATCTGTCTTAACTTTCGGTCGATCTCTAGGACGTTTTCCCAGGTGGGTGCTGGGGTACGATTCACCTCATCGAGAGCTCGAGCAAGACCGGATGCCAGTCTTGCTTTAGCGATGAGGTACGAGATCTTCGTCGGCACCGAGTCAGGCAAAGCTGGTGGCAGAGCTGTACAATCCTCATCAAAAGCTCCACCCTCATCATGGATGTTGCGAGGTAGAGATGCTTCCAAGGATGCAGGCGCAGTCATCGAAGGCAAGCCCATCTGAAAAGAGACCAGTATGTCACATTGCTGGATGAACGTCCATACCCTGCGGCGCATTTCAGCCTGCCCATGATTAGCAAATTGTCTAGACAAGATCCAAGCGGCATACATGAAATGGGGTTGCACGCATCGTTGGCTGGCGTTCTTGATGGTAGCCCATCCTCATCGCGAGTCGGACGATCATGCCAACCAATACCCAAACAGTTGACTTCGCATCGCGGCTAGACACATATTCCGCATATAGGTGTAAAATGAGCGTCTCGATAAGAAATTCTTGGGGACGAGTGTAGTCCGCGGCGATCAGACAGTCCGTCAGCCGATGTCTGAACGTCGAAGCCAAGTCAGCACACTTGGCCTGGTGTTCAAGTGGCTCGTCCTCTTCCCGTAAGTAATCGAGTGAGGCAATTCGCAGTATTGCGAATAGCATAGCAAGCCATGCCATGGGTGTGCTTCGGCTGTTCGACCAGAATTGTTGGTACTGTTGCACAACAGTCAGCGCCTGCTGTCAGTCCCGGTGGGCGGCAGGAGTACCTGTTTCCTGAACACTGGCTCGTGGAGGACATCTAACAGAATCAGAATCGTGTTTCAGGAAGACACAGGGTTCAGAGGTGGTACTGACGGATAGCAGGGTACAGGTGGGCGAAGAATCTGTCGACAAACATGTCACAAGTGTACTTCGACGGCAGCTGCGACAGGATCTCAGCTCGAGAAGGGACATTTGCAGTGCCAAACAGGAGACTTGGCCCAGGGTCGGCGATTGATCGTGTGATCGTATCGGTCGTGCCTCCACTGGGGCGCTCCGATCGAGAGTGCTTCGTCTGCAAGAAGGATCGCACATCTTCGATCTGGATATTGGAGTGAGCTGACGCTCGAGTGAGCGATGGAGAGCAGGTTGCTCACCTCATCCAGCAAAAGTGCCCAGTGTGCGTGGTCCACGGACGAAGACTGCTTGTAGTCTGCAGATATGCGTAGTCCAGTCTCTGGTGCTGCTGAACTAAATGTCGTTTGTCTGACAGGGCTGTTACCGCTGCCATCGACATCAAAAGATTCAGTAGCCGAGCTGCCCGGCGGCGTGTCAAGTAGAGTCTTGGGCTGCTGCTGACTGCTCATGAACGTGATCAGCAGCCGTTCTAGGTTATCGATCTTTGCTTGAGCGGCACCAGGCAGGTCTGAGACCTGCAGTGCCGTCGCACGCGCCTCGTTCTTGCGAGGCACATAGCGACAAGCGGTAATGTCGCCGCGATTGACACAATTCCCACATGCTGGCAGTGCGTGGTCGCATTTCAGCCTGGTCAGCCGTTAGTCTGGTGGACCAATGTTCACAGTAGAACACACTTGCGAGCGCGACATAGGAGACACGAAATTGGTCGCCGTCTTGTCCGATCTCCGGGACTCACGTGACCACGCTTTTCTGACGAAGCCAATGTCCGCGGCATCTTGCTGTCTTCATATCAACGGTGAGCAGTCGCGTCTACTTGACGACACTTATCAGCCAGCGAAGAAGGCTGCTCATTTCGTCCTCTGCTGCTGGCCCGAGGCACGCTGAGATCACGCTGATAATAAAGAGGTCATTATTTCCGGAGTGTGCAGTCCTAAGAAGCTTCCAAAGTTTGTTTGCCTCGGAGATCGCGGACATTCTCATATTCGCTCCATCACGTTGTGCATTGTGCATCTACCAGCTGCCTCTAATTTTGCTCATGCGGACACTGCTATTGTCTGCGCTCGACCTAAAGAGAGCCGATGGCGCGGAATCGCAGCAGTCACAAACCCTTCGTGACTGCATGTTGCAACAGCATTGAATCATATCTCGAGACTGCCTCTACTGATTGCAAACGCACCCTAGGAAAACTGACATGTCGGTGGCGCTCCTTCCTTCAATCTGGGACATGCTCCTGCACCACAAAGAATCTAGGAACAGCCTTGATGCAGGAGCGGCCGGACGGTCTTGACAAGCCTCAAACCTTCATCACACTTGGATCGCCTTGCGTCCACGCAGCCCTTATCGTTACACGACTGATCTTCCACAGCCCATCTTCAGCTCTTTCAATCTCGCATTGATAAATGTTTCCGAAGAGGTAGTATGGTTTCGGATTTGGTGCCAGTCCCTGACCCCCACTAAAATGCTGGGCCAAGATCTGCGCTTGCAAATTCGCTTTATCGCCATCCACCTCGCAACGCACATTCGTTGCCATGTGTGTGGTGTCCAGCGGTCGTCCGACAGCACTCATAAGCAGTTCCGCAATAGTGTCTCGTCCCTCGACCTCTCGTGGCTTGGCACCATTGTGCGTGAAGTGCAGGGCCATGACAGCGTCCGAGGTCAGGGAGCTCGCAGAAAGCTCGTGACTTCCTTCATCAAGGGCCCATACGAAGCGATGGAGCGCATCGATGGCTGCTTCGCGGTCGGTGAGGCCACCCTTGTTGGGCATACTGTTCTCGTGCTGTGCTATCGGACGTGGGGAGAAGCTGGAGCTGGTGCTTTCAAACTCGGTTGTGACAACAAATTCTCACCACGACAGGTGCGCTCTACGACAATAAGACTTGATGCAATGAAGCTTGACGCAAGACGTCGCGCGATGTGTCTTCTCTGAGTTGCGCAGAAAGCAGACCGCTGGGGTCAAATATCCTCACATGTCCGGGAAGCCCGGTGCACTCCACGAATTGGACAACATGTCCGAGAAAACCGAGATTGCTTACGGTATGTTCCCTCAAGTCTAAGACACATTTTGAATGCTCGCCGTGGGCCAGACAACGACACAGACTCGCTAGAACGCTCCAGAAGCACCATGGCTGGCGCAGTACCAAGGCTCGGGGTCGCGGCTAACATTGTCGTGGCCCCATGGGGAAGCTCCTGTGCCTGATATTCGAATTACTGGATGGTGGCATTGCTGTCTACAAAACCTCAACCCAGTCGCTCGGATCGTCAGTGTTGTCTGGTTATTAGACTACATCTTCACCACTTACTCGCTATGGCTAAACACACCAAAAGTCTCTACAGCACTTGGGTCGCTTTGTTCCTGTCCATAGGGTCGGTCGCCTGTGCCTATTTCACAGTCATCACTGCCACTACTTCGGCACAACCAAGCTTTGTGTGAGTAGCACTCGTCTCAACAAATGGGAGCGGCTCATCTAACATCGTGGTCAGTACGTACATGCATCTGGACACGGCATCGAACGCAACTCAGCTACTTGGAGCTGTCAATGGCGTGTATATCGCTGGAGCATTGATTGGATCTATCCTCTCATCGTATGCCACCGATACGTTGGGTCGCCGTAAATCGCTGTCCTTGACATCGGCTCTGGCGACCGTCGGCGGCATATTACAAACAGGCTCTGTGAACATGGGCATGTTCATTGCTGCTCGACTGATTGCGGGATTTGGCATAGGTTTGTGTCTAAACCCCACCACTTACACGACGAACGCGTGTTGACCTTAGCAGGTGCAATATTTGCATTGGTTCCTCTCTTTCAGAGTGAAATAGCCCCACCCACAGCCAGAGGTCTACTTGTTGGCACTCATGGGATCATGATCTCGCTAGGTACCGTCCTGCCGAAGTATGATGGTCCACCTACCGGTGTTCCAAGTCCACAAGCTGACAGTGGCGTAGCTGGATCGGACTCGGCTTTTACTATGTCAATGCGAGCGGTGCACAGTGGAGACCACCGCTAGGCATCATGTGCATCTTTACTCTTGCTCTTGCAGTTGGTGTATGGTTTGTGCCAGAGTCTCCCAGATGGCGTGAGTTACTTTTCAATCGTTCCCTCCAGACCTGGTTCTGACCTCCGAAGTGATCAACAAGGATCGCCACGAAGATGCGATCAAGTCCTTGATTCGGTATCATCGCAACAAAGACGATCCGGATAATCTTCTTGCGCTCTCCGAATATGGGCAGATCAAAGCTCAGCACGATGAAGACGAAAAGAACAAGGTTACATGGAAAGACATGTTCACTGTGCCCACATATCGTCGACGAGCTGGTGTTGCCGCCTTTGTCATGATTGGCAGCCAGATGGCAGCTACTTTGTTGGTTTCAGGCATGTCATTCTCTCTACACACAGAATCAAATCAAACTGACGAAGACGCAAGTCTACAATCCGGTCCTATACGGGCGACTAGGCTTCGGCGTTCCAATGCAGCTTGTCTTCACAGTATGTCTATCCGCCTGAAATCCCTCCCGACCTCTCACGGTGCCTCAAACTCATGGACGAAGCTGACCAATATTTGCAGGGAATCTGGGCCAATTTCACCATCATCGGCAACACTATTTGCGCCTTCACCATAGACCGCATGGGTCGCATCCTGGCTCTCAAGATTGGATGGATCGGCAACGCGCTTGCTTGATCGGTATCGTTGCGTCGCTTGCTATGTTCGAAAAGACTGCGTCGCGGTCCGCAGCCATCTCAACGATCTTCTTTCTTTACGCTCAAATCATCATCTATGCCACTTTTGTGGACGCGACTACATAGTAAGTGAACAATACTCCTTCCCAATGGCGTACAGGCAACTAGCTGACCAGACACCGCAGCATCTATACATCCGAGATATTCCCAAACAATGTGCGCGGCAAAGGCGTGTCAATCGCCGTTGGATCGTACTTCCTTGTTCTGCTTGTACAGCTTGATACCGCACCCACGGCTTTGGCAGATATTGGCTGGAGGTTAGCACACAAAAATCCATCCCAACGCGAGTAGACATGCTGACTACTCTGCTTGCAGACTTCTTCTGATCTATCTATGCCTTCTCCTGGTTTTTATCCCGTTCATCTGGTTTATCTGCCCGGAAACCAAAGGCAAATCTCTGGAGGAGATTGGGATTATCTTCGGCGATCGCCACGTGAGAGTCGCTCTCGACGGCGATCGGACTGGACCAGATGATGAGAAGGCAGCGGACGATGTGGACGGCAGCGCATCCCACCACGCGCATGTCAAGGCCTGAAAGCGTGTGATCTCTCCGGCGGATCTGAACAGAGTTAGAGCAGACCAATGAGAAGGAGATGCTTTCGGCGTTGATCCATGAGACGCCTGCAGTGGACTGTACGTTCCTGATCCACGAATATTCAGGCAGTGAGCGATGTGCGGAAGGGCCCAAATCCGGTTCGGCGGTACAGTTCCCAGGATACATGTACGCATGGCAGAGCACGGATACTTATGAGTGTTAGAGCTGCTCTCAAGCGATGATGTACATCATTAAACATCCCTCGATGTCGTGTCTTTGCAATGTTTAATATAATTGCAATTCAGTACAACGGCACTGACGACATCGGCGACTCAGCGTGGCGAGCACTGCTACTTTCAACGCTGTCACCCATGCCAGCACGAGGCAGCGCAATTGTTGCGTCGTAAGTGCTATCGGTATGGCCACGCCGGATGCCAGAACTCAGGTAGCGCCGGATGACAAGATCGGGGAGAGGCCGGTTGACAAGGCACGTCTCGCGAGACCGGATGACTGTAGCCGCACCTGCCTCACCAAGCACATTTTGCAGCAGCGATGACCAACAGATTGCATTCGCACCTTCCCTTATACACACTTGCCGCAGCAGGAGCGACCGGCTGATACCACTCGCGCTTGCCTCGCCAAGCGCTCCTCGCTGTAACCGCGACCGCGCGCCAGCAACCGCACCTGCGCTCACCCAGGACTTCGTGCAGCAGGAGCAACTGGTGGACGACATTCATGCCTGCCTCGTTACGCGCTGTCTGCAGCAGGCGCGATGTGCTGACGGCATTCGCACCTGCCCTGCCGGTACCAGGAGTAGAACGACTCGGGATGGAAGGCGGAGAATGCGCAACGACAAAGACCGGATGACGGGATTTAGATGAGACCGGATGACTTTGCATGTCCGCAAGACCGGTTGAGATTACGAGACTTTATCATGAGCTCGACATCGGCTTCCCAGTCTTCTTCTGATGCTGTGGCATGGATGATGGCGTGGAATTGGAGGATTATTATCATCCTAGACTAGACCATTACCTACATACCACCCATCAAGGCTGGCCCAACTCAAACTCCGTCCTCCCCTCCAACAGAACCCTAACAAAGAAATCCCTCGCCACCGCAATCGACTGCTCCTTCGACTCAACATACGGCGAGAAGTGATTTCCAGGCACCCGAGCCAGCCACTTCGGGCCTTTCGCCGCCTCATGAGCCTCCCTCTGACCCGGCAGGAAATCTTGCTCGGCAAGAACGAACAGCACTGGAGTCGGAGCTAGAAGCTCGACGAAGGGTGTGACGTCGATCAGGGTTGTTGGCTGGTAGCTCTGCAGTGTGATACGGCCGGAATAGTGCCTTCGTTCGGCTTCGCTGAGTTGTGCGATGAAGGCTGCTTTGACGTCGTCACCGGACGGCCTGACGAAGTCTAGGTACTTTGGTTCTTTGCCGAGTGCTCGGTTCTTGCGATCCGCTGCCAGATCAGCCTGGAACCCAGCTATGTCGTCTTTGTAGCCTGCCATCGCGGCAGCAGACTGCAACGTCCACTTTATCAGTGGCGCTTGTGCAACTACTGCCTTAACGCGACGGTCGAGCCATGAGAACGCCAAGACGTCTCTGCCGCCAAGGCTGGTACCCCAGACGCCGATACGCTCCTCATCGACATTGGGCAGTGTCGTCACGTAGGTAATGGCGTTCTGCCAGTCTTGTATACGTCCGTGATGTGAGACCTCGTCGCGAGGGGTACCTTCACTGTCGCCGTAGTTTCGATAATCGAACCGGAATGCTGCGATGCCCTTCTCTACCAGTGCCGCAGCAACATCTGGCAAGGTCCATTCTTTCAAGCCGTTCAGCCCATGTCCAAGAACGACTATGGGAAATGAACCTTGACCTTCAGGGCACTGGAATACGCCGCCGAGTGTTAGCTCGTCGGATTGAAACCGCGCAGCACGCTTCGAGCCCTCTGATTTGATTGTAAATCCCATAGCAGATAGGAGCTTGTAACGTGTGCACCACCGCCACACAGAGGCAGAAGCACATGGGCTGCTTATCACAGTCGTGAAGGCCAATTTTTGCCGCCAGCCCGCAAGGCACATTTGCAGACTGGACGTGAGGCAAGTTCCGGAGAACATGTCCGCGAAGTCCGGCATAGCGAGGACCTTTTCGCCTTTTCTGTCAGGTGAGACTTCCCGACATAAATTTGATGGCCTCGTGGGGTCGCCAATGTACAAGTGAGACAGCGGCATGCAGAGCCCGGTTTATCACTCTGCAATTATGAGGCCAGCTTGGCACCACCGAGGCTCTTTGCTTCGGAGTTCGGATCTGTTGCGGTCACACGCGACCTGGGAGCTGCTTCGCTGTCCGGCCTCTCGCCATGTAGAAGCAGCGAACGCGTAGCTGACTGTGACAGACAGCTGTTTCTGGAGAATGCGATGGTGGCAGAGGTAGCGACATCTCTGCTACGGCAGGTGAATTGCGCCCCTGACTGGTGGCAGGTGAAAGTGTAAGTCTCTGAATCGGTCTTCCTCTTCGGCCGCCAGCTGTTGCCTCCACTGCTCCCCATTCTCCACTGCAGTAGCTATGTGAGTTTCTTGTCTCCGAATCTTGTTCCTCCTACAACAAATCATAGGGTCGATACTCCTGCATGCCATGACACCTGTGCACCCTTGTACCAATAATCCTGGTGTAAGCGATTGTAAACATCCTGGGCTAAGGATGGACTGGTATCTGATCTGATATGTTTCACAGCCTCAAGCCCTTCTAGATTGACTTCGTCACGCTCACCATTTGCATCATTATCGCCGTCACCATCATCGCCCGTAATGTCGATCGGAATTAGCCCCTGAAGAGTTTTCAGCTCCTGCTTAGACAGTGAGATATGAGTTTGAACCCTTTCCACCGCGACAGGGCCTGAGCCTTTGTCATCGTATCCCGCAACATCAAATCGTCTACGCTGCTTGACGGACTTTAGTGCAGCCTTGCCCCATGTAGCGCGACTCCTGCTGCCGGCGGTTCATCTCGTGTCCCCCACACAGGCCCTTCTGTGGTCGATCCGGCACATCATAGCGGCGTTGCTGATCTAATCTAGCACTACCTGGGGCGACGTGCGCGGAAGCGTGATCAACGTTCAGGCTCAGATACAGGCATGGATTCACTATCGATATCGAGTGGATGACTTGCGAGCAGATCGTCCAGAACAATCTCTGGAATAGAGTCGCCCACGTCACCAACCTCGACAATGCCGTCTGAGGTTGATGTACGACTGCCGGACTTGCCCCATCTCTTCTTTTGCCTGTCGTTCTTCCTGACTTTGTCACGGGGACCAGCACCGATGGGTCGATCTGGTGGAATTTCTTCGGGAAGACCGGCATTGCTGAACTCGAGAGGCCCTTGGCTGTCCATTGGCTTGCCAGTTCTGTGGAACAGCGGTTCACTACCGAACGGATCGTTGAATTCAGGGTCCTCGTCAGGTCTGGGCTCATTGTCTTGCAATGGAGACACCGGTGGGGTGTAGAATGTTAATTCTTCTGACGTCTGAGAACCCTCCTGAGAAATGGCGTCTATTGCGTCACTCACAACGTCTGAGGTGCTTGAGTTGTGAGAGCTCTCTGAGGCGTAAGACCAAGGAGAGTCGTTGGTGACTGGCGCCGCTGTCCCGGGTGTCAGACCGAGCGCCAGCAGCTCTTTGGTCGCCTCAGCGAGTCCACCGGCGACTGCATGATCCAGTGCGTTCAAACCATCGCCGTCACATGTTGTAAGGATGCGGTCGATATCCACGGCTTTCAACATAGCCAAAGCAGCCTTTTCATGATTCTGTTTCACTGCCCACAGCAATGGTGTCGGATAATGGCGGTCGGCGCCGTTCTGATCAAGTGCTTGCCTTTCTTGAGCCGTCAAAGGGAGATTGGCCCCGGTCTCGAACTGCAGAAGAGCGTTCACAGCCTCATCATTGGATCTGACTATCGCAGCAAACAGCGGAAATCTATACAACTCGCCCTCGACCCCGATGCGAACTCCCTCAGAGCAGAGGGTCCGAATGAGGTTGGGACAATTCTCCGAGGCTAACACGTACAGCAGATCTGCTTTGCGTGAGTAGTAGTCGGCGGATGCTGAATGATCTTTGAGGCGCCAGCTCAAGACCCAGAATTCGACATCAAAATGTTCCAGAAATTCCGCTTGAGGGAGACACTGGGAAGCTTTCTCGGCGTGCTGCAGACTGTAGGCGGTTGCGTAGGTGAGGAATGGGAACATTTGCAGCAGATCGGGCACGGATATCGTTCGGTGATATTTGCGTGCATGATGCATGTAGCTTGAGCAGCATCGCGCAATTCTGTCATGACTATAAGCTGCAAGATCGGAACCTAGCTCCGGGAAGAAATCACACAGTGCTCCGCCTTGGAACCAATGCCGAATTGTCTCATGGATGAATTGAACCACTGATAGGATGGTGGAAGTGACCTCCAGAAGACCTCTGCTTGTATGTGTAACATACAGCTCCATAGCATGCTGTGTGGCTTCGTCGGGGTCATGGACGATCGCTTCGTCGAGCTCGTCAGGCGGACCACTTCCCGTTGAAACAGCATAGTAATACTCCACCAAGTGCAAAGGTCTGCGGGCATATTGAACGCATTGAAAGGCAAAGCACGTATCCTCCAGATTTTGTATGTCTCTCAGCAAAATCCGACGGAAGAGCTCGCTTAGTTCCAGAGGTATCTCAGCGAGCTTCTTTTCAACTGTCCTTATGTTACCAGCAGAGAGCTCTTTTTGCAGCGTCGCGACGACGAGGACGGTCCAAAGAAAAGAGCCGTTGGCTTTATCTAGAATCTGCGTGCTGATGCGTTGGACGACTTTGGCGGAGACTGAATTGAAACGTCTCAGGTGAGACTCGACGTAGCTGTCCAAGTCTTCACGATGACCTGGCTCTCTCTCAAGGATGAGTCGCTGACCATACTCGAAGATGACATTAGGATAATGTCGACTGGCGAAGCAGATGCGTACGTCGACGTCAGCATCTATCGCAATCTGACTGAGTGATTTCATCTCCTCCAACATCTCTTGGACTTGTATCGCGTCGCACTCGTCCAGAGCATCGATGAAGCACCTTAATGGTCGTTGACCGAGACTGAGCACACTCTGTCTGAACACTTTCAGCAGTTTCGGTATGGTTAAGCCAACTCGTCCGGAATCTGAGGCTTCTTTAAAATCGTCTGTATCGGAGAGTTCGAAAACGAGATCACGCTGGTCTGGTGCAGCCTCAAGCAGTTGGTACAACAATGACATCCACATACCATGAGTTGTCTTCTCATTCATTGCACCGCGAGCATTGAAGAAGAATGAGATAACAACCTCGCCATTTGGTCTTGCGCCAAGGTAGTGCTGGTGAGCAAACTTCATGATAGTGGATTTTCCGGTTCCAGCTGTGCTCTCTGTCAGCCAAGAAGCATGATAAGGCAGGGCATACAAGACGAGGTGTGCCACGCAGCTTGGAACACCATTAAAGGGAATGGACTTTTCTGTGGAACGGATCTTGGAATCGGACAGCTTACGGTTTCCACGAAGCCAAAGAAAGCCACGATGATCTCCCACCTCCTCTTGTTGATTCCACTTCACAACCGCGGGATGCTCGAGAAACCATTTGCAGGTGTCGTGCTGAGCATCTCGTACGTTCTGCTGTCTTGCGTTGAGATTTTCAGGCCTCAAGAGATCGAGTAGACCCCGGCGGCGTCTATTCTTCTCCCACTGTGCGTTACGTTCTTCGACGGACAGAGCATGCGATCTGTCTCGCGGGTCTTTTTGCACGACTTGGATCAACGTCTTCCCAGCGTCGCGCACTTCCTCCCTGAATTTTTGGTCCAGCTCACTTGACAGCCGTCGTAACGCACTTCGGATCCCCTCACCGTAGTTAGGTACAAGAGAGATTCCAAAGAGGCCTAGTAGACAGTAGGCACGATCTTCAGCTTTCGTGGTGTTCCGGCCTTCCGACCAACGCATACGCTCAGCGACGCTAAACTTAGTCAGGGGTTCTCCTGTCAAAGCCCGAACAGGAATTGTCGTCGCTTCTTCGATTGCTCCAGCAAGATCCCGCCGCTCGCCCAATACCTTCCCTTCCTTTGAGAAGAAATGTACGGTATGGGGAGCCAGAATCTCTTGCAATGTCCACCCTCGCGTGTGGTGGGCGCTGGAGTGAAATTGTTCGCGCCAGACCGGAGTTCCGTCACCGGGCGAGAGCGTTGTGTCATGCGTCACATCCGTGAGAAGGACATAACAGTTCGCAGACCGCCGATACCACCTGAACATAGACGTGATGGCCTCACTCAATTCGGCCAGATCTGACTTCTTGATGCAACAAGTGTCGACCCAGAAGTGATCAAGCCCATCTTTCCGCGCTTGCTCCGCACAGAAACGCAGCTTTTCGTACCCAGCCTTCTCACGACCTGCTCCGTCCTCAATGTCCTCAAATGTCACTTCGCTGTCGTCCTTGCCCCAGGTATGAGATAAGATAGCGTAAGGCGGACAGGCGTTACTATCGAAACTCGTCAGATGAAACGAGCCATCGGCGGATTGCTTGAGTAGCCTCATGATCCGTGGACATGCTGAGGCATCATCCAGGCAGCTGAGTTAGCGGAACGACTCCGATCGACATAGTAGAGACACGAGAGTTCAGAACGCGTATGAATCTAGTCATCGATCATAAAGCATTGTCGCTTTTCTTATCGTAATTCGAAGCTTGCGCGATTGCCACGTTGATAAGATGTCCGTGAACCTGGTCCGCAACTGCACCAAAGTAGTCTCGGAGCAAGAGCGAGGCCTAGCCCGCCCAGAGGGGCGACATCCATGAGTGAAGAATCCCAGCGGCAAAGAAGCGAGGACTTTGCCTCAGTGCGGGGCTCACGGACCGGTCCTTTGCGGGCGCGTAGTCCGGCCAATCATTATGTAGCAATGAGTCTACATGTAGACTGTGGAGAGGGGCTTTTGGTTTTGACCTTCTATATCATCGACCACTTTCACACCTTATTATGACGACCTCTTGCATAACTCTGTGCTAGGACGTCGTAGCTGCCTCGCCGATGCTGATGGAACTGAGAACCACAAGCACGTCGTCGCCGCCGGCAGCTTCTCACAAGTTCTTTGTAAGCGCAGGAGAGATGCAGCTGTGATTGAATTCCATCAGTACGAAAGTCGATATCCTGTAGTGCATTTCGCACCATGACGATACGACTGCTTGATACAATGATTCTCAAGCAGCACGGGGCAAGCAGTTTAGGTGCTGAACGTAGCTAGAGGCGAAAGCGGATGTCCCAGTGCGGAGCAACTCAGCCAATTCGGTCACTGGTCAGCCCGCCTTGCCGGACCGGTAGGTGAAAGCTCGATCAAGATGAATTCAAGCAGCATTATATGCTTTAATCCTGCCCGAAGGAGGCCAATCCGCAGCCGCGACAGGCGCGCGACGACTGCGACGACCGGCGCAGTAGCGATCCAAAGCCTGACTTCCTAGTTCATGTCTAGCAAAGGGCAGCATTGCTATTGTTATTTGTAGGGTAAGCTCGACCAAGGAAGAGCGCGCCAATGGGATGAACGGCTTAGGAAGCACGATGACGAGGCAGGAGGCATGACGATAAGAACGATTGCTCACTGGAGGCACGTATTTTCCACTAGAACAAAGCGTGATAGAGAGATAATTTCTTCATAGCAGTCCAGCCACTCGCTCAGACAGCCACCGGAGAGAGAAGGACAAGAACAGGTCTGCACACCCGCTCTCGCCCCATCCCCAATGGCCATCCTCACCGCCGCTGACTGCTCCGGAAGCTCCTGTTCTTCCTATCAATCTAGCTAAATATGCAATGAGCTGTGCCCATGCTGCCTGCCTATTTACAGATGGTTGATCACCACTATCAATGGCCATCCTCCCCATCAAGAATATGCTCGTTCCCTGACCAATTATCCTCTGCTCCTTTCTTCATTTCCATCATCGATGACTCGGTTCCGCAAGTCCAGAAGAACGCCTTTGGGTATGAAGTAGACTCCGTGACCTCGCTATGCATCGAAAAGCAAATGATGGCTGTGCAGCATGGCTACCACACGTTAGGCAAAGCCAAAATAGCTATTGAACACATTAGTCGAGTTCTTCTATCACAATGGAAGAGGGAGAAGACATACTCAGCACCCAAATTGATGGCCTTCATGAGACTCGTCTTCAAGCTCTCCTGGTTGTCATAGGCTGGCAGGTCGAGTTGATTGAAGCAGGTATGACTCGTCGGCAAGCGGTGGAGGTTAGGCTCTCGGTGAACTGTTGTGCATGTTAGTCTTTGCTTCAAAACACCACGGATTGCAATTGGGGAGTACTCACTGGAAAATCGAGTCGTTCCTTGCATGCCCTCCAAGTCCTTGAACCCATTGAGCGGCACTTTACTCGTACCCGTGATGAACTGCAACAACTTCGCGCGCTCTTCATTGCTCATAGATCTCACAATGCGCCAGAACCACGTCACTTGTGGGCTGTTAGCGTTGTAGTTGTGGTATTCCGTATTGGCTTTCCAGTCATCAACGTCGATCTCAGGCAACCCAGAAATCAAAAGCTCGAGTTCCTGCTCGTCGAAGATGGAGACAAGCTCGGATGGAATAATATCGTGGAAACCCTTGACGAAATTCTCCAATTGCTCACTGACGGAACCGGTAAGACGGTATTCGACTAGCTTCTGAACGTAGTCGCGCTTGTTGTCCTCTGTGACTGGTATATTGCGACCGTCGGGGATCAGATCAACGATCTTCTCTTCGCCGAACTGCTCTTCGACAACGGAGAAGTCCTCTGTGATGATGTCCGTGATGTCGTTTTCGAGGATCCAGCACAAGGATTTGTAGTAGTCGAGATCCATGCTCTCGAGATCCTTGAGGTTGGGCTGCTTGCCAAGCATTCGCTTGTACACCGCACGACTGAAATGGCAATCGAGAACTCTACTCTCGTGTAAGGCCTTGCCGATGATGCGTCCAATGAATTTGAAGTAGACCAAGTGCTCGCCGTTGATCCAGCTCAACGAGTTGGGATGGAATGTGGTCTTATCGGAAGCAACTGGCTGCCAGAGAGCCCAGTCAGGGTTGAAAATGCCACGAGCAAGAACTTGGAACCATTCTCGTGTAACTCCTCCGGCATCGACCCCTTCCTCGCCATTGAATCGGATGTTGAGCTTTCCGTACTTCATCTCATCTGGACTCTTGAAATACAAGGCTTTGTAAGAGTCCTGGAAGACTTGGTCGCGCCGAATATTGAGCTGGAGTGGTGGCTGGACGTGTCGCTGTGCATGAAGTCTCGAATGGATCTGCTTCGCGAAGAACGCTCGCTTGTTGTCGAAGTCAAGGACCTTGGAGTTCTTGGCCAATAGACTGAAACTGCCGTTGCCTTGCATCAACTTGGGAGATTGACGTATTATGTCATTCAGGATCTTGCGGTGCTCGGTGGTGAAGTTGAAGAACAGCTGTTCCAGATCATCCAGCTCCTCCATGACCGGTGTCGTCGGGCCTTCTTCGCGCAACTGTTGAGCAAGTGGAGCCTCCTTGAGAGATGTATTCTTGCATACCACCATCAGAGATTCGATGAGCGGCAGCAGAATGCCGGCGAAAGCGATCGCGTTGTCTTTCTCTCCCATGATAGCGAGCGCCTCACTAAGTTTCGACCATAGCGGAGCTAACGAGAGGCTGTCGTATGATGTTGTCAAAATGCTCTTCACAGTCGCGCTTTCGGCTTTCTCGTTGCTCTTCTTGGGCTCTGCCAGATAATCGAGAGCCTTCAGAACATGAAGTAGCTTGACTTGTTCCGATCCGCTGTTGGTGAAAGGTTGTGTGGACCGCCACTTCGCATTGATGCCCTGAAGATCACTGGTCGACTGAGCATCGCGCAGCTGAGGTAAGAGCTCCGTCAAGTTGTTGCAAAGCGAATTCGACAATGTCTGAACGTGTCCAATTAATTGCTTGCCGAACACCTCGTTGGAACCAGGTATGGTGGAAATGTTGGCCATTGTTTCGAGCGTCGCATGGAAGGTATCGTTGCCGCACTCCGGCGTAAGGAAGATGTCGGCAATGAGCTGAAGGTTCTTCTCAGGAATGATTGGTGGTGCGAAGGTCTTTCGTGGCTTGCTTTCCGGAGCCTTCTCGTCGCCCTGCTTCTCTGCCAAGCCATCTCCCTCGTTGGCAGGTTCAGCTGTTGTCGCGTCTGCTGGTGCTTCGGTCATGGTTGCATCCTCCGGCTGAGACTGGGTAGCGGTCGCGATTGTTGGCTCTGCGGTCCCGACTTCCTCCGCCTTTGCGGCATCTTTCTCTTTGATCATCAGTACCTGAAGCGGTGATGTGACTGCAGCTAGCAGCTCTGCAAGGGACTGCAGACTGGTAGAACTCTCGGTAATGAGTTTGCGATCAAGCAGAATGATGAGGTCGTTGACTGGGAACTTGGTCGTCCGAGCCTCTTTCTCTTTGCCCTTCTTGTTCTTGGCGTTGTTGCTGATATCGACCTCTCGCAAGAAAAGTGTGCGGACGTGGAATCCATGCTGTGAGAGCTGCTTGAGGGCTGATAGGCATTGCTGCACAACGACGAGTGGGGTCACCTCCTCGCTGAGACCAGCGCTTGGTGGAATTGACAAGGTTCTCTTCAGAGGCTGTGGTGTCTTCTGAGGACCAGTGGCCTTGGCTCGCAGAGACAGGCTGGCGAGACTGCGTTCGACGGCACCAAGATCAGATGAGCCTTCCTTCAGGATCCCCAAAATCATACTGATGACCTCGAATCGAGTCTGTCGATTGCCACAAACGTTGCGAAGGACATGCCACAGGTTTGAACGGAGCGAGCCCTGCTGGGGCAGGAACATAAGCCGGAGAAGAGTAGCTACTCCAGCCTTGTCGACGAGCTGCACCACCTGTCGCTTTTCGCGTTGTGCGCTGCCGTCGGCCTGTCTTGCTGGCTCCCGGCGGGCAGCAACATTGCCATAGCGGAAAGTGTGGTGACCATGCTCACGGCCTTCGGCAGCATGACGCGGATCAAGGCGGTCGAGGATATCTTGAGGTTGCTCTGACAGTATGACACGTCTCAGAGCGGGGTCCAGAGTCGCAAAGAAGTCATCCGCATTCATATCTTCAGCCTGCGGTCGGCCGGCTGACGCAGCAGCTTCCCGACGAGCAGATTCGCGCTCACGCTGTCGCCGAGCCAATGCTTCAGTCTCGCGGACTTCCTCACGAAGTTCTTCAGGCAACGCGTTCATGAACTCATCGAGGTACTCAGAGCCTCTGCCGGCATCGATCGGTACTTCGGTGCTGGTGGTTGCACGCGGCTGCTGCTGCTGGACCTCTTCACGGCGAGCGCTGAGCTGCTGCAGAATAACCTCTTCCCGTAATTCTTCGGGTAACGCATCCAGGTATTCTCGGTCGATATCGAGACCAGTAATATCGAGTTCTCGGCCGCGGATCGTTGCAAACACGCGTGGTTGTGCAGGAGCCTCTGCTGGGGCCGACTGCCCAACCTCGCCAGCAGCCTCAGTGTCCCCACTCGTCTGGACGCCCTCCATTGGCTCTGCAGTCTCAGCTTGCTCTGCTGGAGCCTCGTCATTGGCAGTCGAAGCAGCTGCTGCAGACGCGGCCTCGGCTTCAGCAGCCTGGCGGAGCTCCTCAGCAGCTTTCTCAGCAGCAACACGTTCTTCTTCCTCTTTGACTTTCTGTTCCATGGCAAGACGGGCTTCTTCCTCTCTAGCTGTCTTGGCTGCGGCCTCTGCTTCGCGCTCCTTTCTCCGACGATCTCTCGCTTCCTCCTGAGCAAGTGGCGTCAGCATCCAGATGAGAAGCTTCTGGATCTGCTGCACTCTCTCTAGATACTGGTTGCCGTAGAGAATAGCTCGCTCTTCTTGCCATCGGACCATCGTTGATGAGGGCGTGAAGTTGACAGCCCGAGAGGGGTCTTCTCGTGGACGAGGTCCAGCGCCTCCGGTGCTAGACATCCCAAACGGCAGTCTAGTTCCCGGCGGCAAACGCTCTCCGGCTCTGACTTGGATACTGAATGGATGGCCTGCGCCATTGTCGGGACCACCGAGTCCAGTGAGCTCAGTTCTGATTCTGGCGAGGAAGTCAAATAATTCGCCGGGTCGGCTAATAGGACCTGCGCTTTGCTCGAGGCTTCGAAGCGCTGCGTGAGCGTCTGCCTGGGGGTTCGTCCGAACAGCATATTGTGTTGCGGGCCCATCTGGACGGGTAAGGTGGCTTGGCCGGAATTCCGGCTCACTACGCTGGCCAGTCTCCAACTCAGGTCGCTGCAGCAATGGATTAGTGCCATCGTTGTCGTCGTGACCTGCTCTGCGTCGATTCGAAACGGGTGGACGGATGAAACCATGTGCTGGCATCTCTGCAGCTCTGAATCCAGGGACTGAGAAGACAGGTGGCACACGGGCAATTGCATTGGGTCTCCCTGCACCACGGCGTGCATACCCTCGCTGAGGTCGAGTCATTGCCTCCTCGAAAGTCCACTGGTCGTCATAGTAGTCTTCTTCCATGTCGCCGTCCATGAAGTCGTCAAATTGCTCTCTGATGAGCGCATCTTCGTTGTCGTCCATTTCATCATCGTCTTCTTCTTCTTCAAGCACGCCGTCCTCATGCTCTTCTTCGTTATGTAGGCGATCGAAGTTGTCAGCATCCATGCCAACAACGCCTGGCGCATCGTTCTCTGGGTCAGTATTGTGCAGAACGCGCAGGAGGTGGTTGAGGCCTTCTGCCATGCCTTGACCTTCACCGTTATTCAACATTTCGCCGTTCATCTCGATTTCGAGTTCCACATCATCGGGGTCGTCCTCCTCGGGCGCAGCCTCGTCATGGTCATCTTCATCATCGTCTTCGTCCTCCCAGTCTCCCTCCTCATCATGATCGCCCAGACTAGCACCTTCCTCATCGCCGTTGATCTCGCCCTCGGTGCCCTCAATCTCGAAGTCTTCACCGTCGTCCTCGTCATCATCATCGGAATCGTCATCGGACTCGTCGTCATCGTCGTCATCTTCTGTGTCATCGTCGACGTCCATGCCACCTTCGTCGACCACGAATTCAAGTTCCATTGGTACGTCGCCTGGCAAACCTTCCATAGGGCCCATATCATTCCCAGATTCGTCCGCGTCGGAGATGGCGTCGTCGTCCTCTTGGCCAACCGGCATGCCATTATCGTAGTCCATCTCGTCATCGTACTCCTCTTCCTCATACATCTCCTCATCAGCATCTTCATCGTCTTCATCACCAGAGTCTGATTCCTCCTCACGATTGGGATCAAGCAGACCGAGTGTAGAATTACGGTAAAGATCTGGAGTCTCTTCGCGCTCATCTTCGACTTCGGAAACTGACGATGCTGAGGAGATGTCGTCGTCTGAAGTGGTACCGAGAACTGACGTGATCGTTTCTGGCGAGGTCAGACTGAGCTGTGTAGCAAGAGAGGTGAGCTCCTGCAATGGTCGAAGAATGAACTTGATCACTCTTCGTGCGCCAGACTGCGAAAGGTCGATCTCCGCTAATGAAGAAGTCAACACAGAGATGAGATTCTTCTCAAACATCATCCGACCCAGGATCTTGTAAGAATTGTTGCCCGCGCCAGCTGCACCGTCAGTGGTCGGAGGCTTGGATAGAAGTCGCTTGAACATATCAGACAAACACAGAAGCTTGCTGTACTTGGTCTGTAGCGGCTCGGTGGAAGCTGTGGCATCCTTGAAAGCCTTGATGGCATGCTCGAGCACGAAGCGCCGCACAAGTGTAAGGTCTGGCTCGTCATCTTGATCGTTGACCTGGCTCGCCACCGTTGAGTATCTCTGATTCAGCCCGGCTCTGCCTTTCTCGCCAGTCTTTGAGCACAAGGCAACGAGGACTTTGATGGCCCAGTCGGACACAGCCAGACGTTTCTTGCAATGAACAGAGTTGTCGTCCTTGTCGACATAGCCGGAAGCGACGAGACCGTTCAATACGTGGTTCAAGATCCCAGAGCGCGGCTTGGACGGGGTGACGGCCATAGGGTCCGACTTGCGAGAGAAGTGTATAAACTCGAGTTTCGTGCGGTTGTAGGAGTGCAGAAGCTCGACCAGACACTGCAAGAGGAAGCACCGATACATAAAAATCGGGTGCTCTTCAGACTTGAAGGGTGACTTGTCGGACTTTTCGACCTCCCCGGCCTGGTCGTCATCAGAGGATGCGCTGGAGAGCTCTGCGGGAGCCATTGTTGGCATAACCAGGGGATCTGATGTCGAGCTCAAGTCTTCGGAATTTGGTCTTGGGACATGTGGGACGTCTTTGTCATCAACGTCTTTGTAGCTCAGGAGCTCCGACAGAAGGAAGTGAACAACTCCATCAGGACTGTCCGGAACAGAGAGCTTCACCTCTCCAGCTTTGTGTTTGGCCTCGCTCGTCTGAGTCTCGTCTCCTTCGACACTGTTGGCGGCCTGCTCTTCGACCGGTGCGTTAGGGTCTGGTGCATTGCCATCGACAGGTCCGGTCTCTTTGAGTGTCAGTGAAGCAGAACCGAGATTCGACTGCCAAGCGGTGAACTTGATCATGTCCATGGATACCTTGACGAACACCTTGGGCGACCGGATTGCCAGATGATGCAAGTCCCTAGTATACGTATTGAGATCAAGCGCTCTGGACGAACTGCGGCCACTGAACAAGGCTTGGATCTCGCTACGCATCAGCTGTATGAGAGTCTCCTCGTCTTCAATGATGTGTCGTAGGACCAACATGAAAGAGCTCAAGAACCGAGTCGAGACACCGGGACCAAGTTGCTTCACCATGAGGAAAAGCCGCTGCAGGTTTCGCTTTTCGCCCAGCATAAGCGCAACTTCGCGTTGACGAGTGAGAATAGCCAGGACGCGAGTGATCGATAGCGCCATGGACTTGTCCTTGCCGACCTTTGGGAGGCAGTCAAGCAAGACACGGAAGAGCTCTTGTTTCTGGTCGAGGCTCAGGGTCGCTGGTTCTTCGAGAATTGGGTCTGCGACAGCAACATCGACATCGCGTGGTTGATGCCAGATTACCTTGGCGGGCTCGCTATCTTTCGACAGCATTTGCTCGAAGAGCAGAAGGGTGGATGCAACCCAAGGATAGGCGTTGTCGCCTGAGCGGGATTGCATAGGATTCAGCTTTAAGAATGAGAGCAGACCATCAAAGTTCTCCCAAAAAACGCGCAGTGCTGGATCAAAGACCCGGCGATCCTGGATGAGGAGTGCGATCAGATGTGCCGCAGCTGCAATGCTCTTGCCTTGATCTTCAGAAATGACTGCGTCGGACTGCATGGAGAGCAGAGAAGTGACAAGCAGATCCGAAGTCGAATCCCAGTAACTTGCATCCTCAGGCTCTTTCAATTTCTTCGCGGCACTCGATATCAAATCGCTCAGATCAAAAACCATATCCTGGTGGGTATTCAGTACATTGTTACACTGCTCAGCCAGATTGCTGCGAACTTCGGCCCGCATTTGGTCTAAAGATTCAAGTGAGTAAAGCGCGTGGGGTACTTGCGGAGTCGCTTTCGGCGGCTGTTTGTCGTCGGTGTGGTTGAGGATGTTCTTTATGTCCATGGCAGAAGAAGTTTGTGGTCGCGGCGGACTGGCAGCATCGTCCGAGGAGATTCCATGCATTTCGCTGTCCATGCTGCTGGTGGGACCACCATTCGTCGTTGAGGGATTTGCAGAACCAGGACGGGAGAGATCGCCTTGCTTAGGGGCGTTCAGGCCGCTTCCCGGCGTCGATGGTACATCAATGGCACTCTCCGGCGGAGGCAACCGACGTACCCGCGCATTGCTCTCATACAGCGTCATGTAGTCTCTTGCGACAGACTCATGGTTCATCGTGCTGCTGTTTGTCCGAAAAAGAGCTTCGATTGCAAGATCTCTGTCGTGGCTGGAGCTCGTAAGTGCCTCAATACGTTCTGTGGTAACGCTGAATTTGCGGAATGCATCCACCGAGATCTGAGGATGATCACCGTTCCTTCGGATGACTTCATCTTCGCCGTCGCCTTGCAGCACGTGCTTGATGATAGAGATTAGCTTGAAGACAACAATTCGTGAGGCCTGCTCGATGTAGTCACTCGTCCACACCTTGAGGACGAATGGCATAGCTTCCATCCGAAACTCCAGCAGGGTTTGCGAAGGGACGAAGTAACAACTCTTAGATGGATCAGAGTTCTTCATGTAGTTCGACTGAGGGGCGCTAATCACGACTTTGGCCGTTGTTAAGATGTCGAAGATATCCAGGCACAATTTGAGTCCAGCATTGGCAGCAAATGCTGTCAACTCCAGCTTCGAGTGCGTGAGTTCCTCGAAGAAATCTTCGCCAATTCTTCGTAAACACTGCAAGCCATTCATGTCTTTGAAACGTTTCAGCATGTAGCTCTGACAGAACTCTCCGGTGCCTAGCCCTTGCAGATCGTCATGCAGAGCACTACGCACGTTGACGAGCACGGCACCCAAGTACTGATATTTGCCAAGTCTGTCCAGTGCGATAGGATTGGTTTCGTCAGCTGTGATAAACTCAGGTTGAAGCTGTTTCAGGAGAGCTTGAGCGATCGCCTTAGCCACTACGTCGGCCTTTTGTCGCGTCATAGTATCTGGCTTCTTACGACCACCAGCTATGCCATGACCAATGGCCCCAAGAAGCTCAGCCAAAGCTGCTGGCGTCTCAAGTAGAAGGCATCGCAGAGCTTGGACGTTCTTAAAGGCGGCCAATCCTCTGGCTTGGGCAATTTCATCGTCCTCGTCCAGTGTCTGAAGGCCTGTTGGCGAGTTGTCCCAAACTTGCAATATTTGGTCGACGTCGTCATCCCCAGTCGAAAAGTTTTCCGGCTTTGTGGCCTTGACCCAGGTTTCCGGCAGGATGGTCTGAAGCACGATGGCTTCGCGTACGCAAACGACGCAAATATCGCCGAGCACAATACACAGATCTGCTAGAATATCCGCACGTTGACTTGGCTGAAGAGAAAGCTCTGTGATGATCGTTGGGAGTAGATTGGAGAGTTGAAGACCTCGCCAAGGACCTGCGAGAGACAGAAGATCGCCATCAGGCACTTGGCCACGTAGGTTCCATTGTCGATCTGCGGATCATTCTCTGAGTTGTCGGTCTTTAGGCCGTCTGATTTTGGCGGCGAGACGAGACGACCAAACACACTCTTGCCTCGTGGGGCGATCTGGCCGGCGTGAAGCTTGAATTCTTCGCAAGCGTATCGCGTGCGGTCGATGAGTATCGGGAGTATCAGATGAGGCTTGACTTCAGCCATCATGTGCACAACTTTGGCGAGCTCTTCCATATGGCCATGCATGCCGACTGAGTACTCCGTGACGGGCAGACTGGGCATAGTGACCAGGTCGATGATAAGGTCTCCGGTTCCGATCCAGTCCAGAAAGGATGAGCAAAGGGATTGGGTTCTGAAGAAATTGGCTAGGAAACCGATGGCCGGCCGCAGGTAGTCCGAAGCGCTCAAACCGTATGAGTCCTCACTCTGAGGGTGCTCGCTCTTCATCGGATTCGCAGCCGCGTCATGGACGATGAGCGTCTTCCTGCCCGGCAAAGCAATGGCGCGATTTTCGGGCGGCTGTCCTCGTGGCGGTGGGACGACCTCAATTTGCAAAGACTCAGTTCCGCCTGCAATCAAGAGTCTTCCGTCAGGCCCTTGATCGTAGATGACCGGTCCTGCGCCCCAATCGCCAGCCATCGCTTGTGTAATGTGCCGCACACGTGCCATCATGATGATGACGGAGCCCATGATGGAATCCTTAAGACCAATGTAGTGTCGGATGAGCTCGTCAAAGGTGTTCCCAAGGGCGCGCATGTCTTTCATGACCCGGACGTGTGCTGGGGACTCGAAGACTTCAAAAAACTTTTCCACAAGGCCCGCCCTGCGGAATGTGTCATAGCCCGCAGTCGTAAGGCACATCGCCTGAAACATCAGGGCCGTATTGACTATGGCCTCGAAAGAATTGGGAAGTTTCGATGATGGCTGCTCGGATTTGCTGGAAAATGTCGGCCCTTCTTCGCCAGAGTCCTCCTCGCTGTCGTCCGGAACCTCGATCTGGTTGAGTTCGTCGCTACCTGTTACAGTCTTGACAAAACTCTTGATGATCCCAGCCTCGGCGATGACCGTGTAGCATGTGGGCTCGTTGTTCAGAAAGGTCGTAATAGCCTTGACGACCTCGCTCCAAGTCAATGGACCAAAAGCATTCATTTGGTCAAGTATCAACTTGAAAGCAACCAGCAACGACTGGGCATCAACCAAACTCCGAGCTGCGCGATCCGCATTTGCGCCATGATGGCCACTGACATCATTAATCATGTCGATGATGGACCGGATAACCTGCCTATGATTGTATGGAATATCGTAGTCTGTCAAGCGAGTCTTAAACGCTGCCGGAATACCTTTGCCTGCTCGGACCTGCTGCCATGCATCTTCGGCGACCTCTCGTAGTAAGCTGCTAACAATCTCAAAGGTGTCGACTGACAGCAGAACTTGCAAGCCGTCCTTGTATTGATGAAAAAAGGTCTTGACGAAATCCAGCATGCGGACATGAACTCTCATAGCTTTGCCTGTTGTGATGCGCAGGCCTCCAACATAAGCAGCAATGAAGGCCGTTGAGAATACCGTCTCACTGCTACTACGTCCGTGTTGACCAGTAGATTCGGTGATCAGTCGTGGCAGAGTCAGGATAGCCTCTCGCCAAGCATCTCCTTCTGCATTGTCTAATGAATCACCGTCTGTCGCCAGGGTGCTCAACGCAGAATTGGTCAAGCGAATGAGTATGCCGTTAGATGAGGTCGCACCCAATGCAGTAGTCAGCTCCGTAGTGAACGTCTTGTGCCGGATCAGTACTCCAATAGCCTCGGCTCCGAGCGTCATGAGATAGTGGTCGCGACCCTGAACATCACCAGTAATCTTTTCCATGATACTAACCAACGAGCGTGCAACTATGGCGGCTTTTGCAGGATCCTTTGCAGCCAGGTCTCGGAACAAATCTGCGTCAGAAGAGACATTGCCGAGAATCTGAAAGCCAAGAAGACGGGCAGCGGTAAGGTCTCGTCGAACGGGCCGCTTTTCGGTAATGAGCGCGGCATAAGCATACCGTAGCTTGTTGAGTAGATCGTACCGAGCGTCAGCTGGCATGTCCAATGGACACTTGCTGAGCGCTTCTTCCACGGTCATGGTCTGCAAGTCCCGGTCGTAGAATTCGATCGAACGCAGCGATGAGGACTCTTTGGGCGAATCGCGCGTTGCCTCCGCCGGCTGAGGTTTGGAAGTGGCGCTAGTCTGGCGGCGCAGAGGTGTAGGCGTAGTCGGCGTGGAAGATGTTGCAGGCGCTGTGACTGTGGACCCATCTTGGCCATTCGGCTCAGTAATCTGAGCATGCCAGCTTACTTTGATGTGTATGCGAACCTGCTGCTCCGAATCGACAGACCCCAAGTTCATGGCTGTGTCACCACTGGGCTTCTTCTGACCGTCCAGACCAGGCATAGTAGCTGCGGTCGAAGCCTTAGTCGTACCAGACTTGGTCCGAGTGAGTTTCGTGGGCGAGCCAGGGGCCTTGACGAATATGTCTCGCTCACTCGGCCGGACAATACACAGTAGTCGGTGCTGATCGTACTCGTAGAACTTAGAGAGACCGCCGTCTAGGCCGGTCGAACGACGCTCGTAGAATCTCTGTGCCAGATAGACGGTAAGACGCAGGGTGAGATGCAGCAGACGTGGTGAAGTTGTGTTGAGAAGATCATTCAGGCGATCTGAGCTGTTGTACACTGCTCGATTGGCACATTTCTCGACCAGCAAGCGCGAGAAATCGAGGATTGACTGGATGAGAAGCCGATCGCCATCAGGACCACACTTTTCCACGATAGTCTGCTCTGGAATATCGGGGGAACCTTGCACCAACACTGCCACTCCGAATGGTATTGTCTGTGGACCTTTATCAAGACCATATTTCTGGATGAAGATCTCCAAGATTTCGTCGAAACGATCCAAAGGGCCGACCCAGTTCATCAAGTCGCCTCTCGGATAGGGCCATCTCTCATCCCACTTCTTAAGCAGAGGCGGCAAGTGGGCGTAGGGTGCAGTGTTGATTTTGTCGACGAACTGCGTTACCGCTGGAGAGAGAGATGTGTTGTGCTTCTCCTGCGGCTTCTTGCTTATCTTCCCCATCTTCACAAAGCTCCTCCGAACCGAGGCGGTGGCCTCATCAGGGTTGAGAGTAATACCACCAGAGAAATCTTCCTTGGCGTGTTCAATGCGTTTAAAGGTGGCTCAGGTCGTGTTAGGTGCTTGTGAGAGATTAATGCTGCCTCGAGCGCGACAGTCGTGATGTCTCCGGCGCCGATGTATCTCGGAGGTGATCAGATGGACTTTGTGCAGAAGTCAACCCAACCAGAACTCCGCGCTAGTTCGACTGAAGCAGACGTGATATGTCGTAACGCCGTTGGTGGATGCGCGCGTCTTACGGGTCGGGGTATCAGAAGAAGATCCAGAACGACGATGAGATGCCTGGAGCATACAGAGACAAGAAGTCGAAGTTTGTAGGGTTTGCAGAGATGCAAGAAATAATTGTCTATGAGCAGAAGAAGTACAGGTGGTGCAATTGCATTGAACGACCAATTTGGAGACGGGCAAGGCTGAGAGGCGGAAACGTCTCTGACGTAATTTTACATATTCGTGACTGCCACTTCTTCAAGTCGCGCTTGCTGCTTTCACGCCTTCGATATCCAGACATTCACTTGTTTCGGGATGGAGGGTGTGTCAGTACTGGGTCGACGCATCTATGTATGCTCCCGCTGCATGCACAGGCGGTGGGAGCTTCTGGCTAGCCGCGCAGCGAGTCCGGCGCGCGTCCTGAGCCGGCGCTCATTTGTATCAACGCCACCGCGCGGAAATGAAGCTCAGAGCCCACAGAAGACATCGGAGGATACGTCAAAGGCACAGGGTGCCATGTCTAGACGGCTCTCCGAGATGGCAGAGGAGTCGATTGATACTGGCAGCCCATCAGACCGGCGCAACCTAAAGGCCGAATCAAGTAACTTTTCAGAGGAACTCAAAGCGCAGCTTGAGGCACGAATATCCGAGTCAGCCTTCAAGAACGAGAACCAGAAGGCCTTGAGTGAGGCCAATCTGCCTTCGTACGCGGGAAAGGGGACCAGGGACACCGCTGCTGCCGACCAGTGGCTCGGAACGGAGTCACTCGGAGATGCCTCACTACGTATGCTTGATGATGCTCATAAGAAACTTCGCTTCAAGCCTCGAGCGCCTCGAATAGCTACAAACGTCAATTTGCGTCCCGAGCCGAAGAAGCAGGTCTCCAGGGCTGCAAGACTAGTCAATGCCCGGGACAGGACCTCGGTCTATGCCATGTCGCAGCAAGAAGGCGTCAGCGAGGAAGAGAAGGAGAAGTTCCGAAAGGAGCTGAAGGAAAGATTCTCGCCCGGAGCACGTCCCATGCCCGTAACACTACAGGGCCTGACGTCCCTTGCCAATGAACGAATAGAAGACGCCATCGCTCGAGGCCAGTTCCGCAACATCAAGCGTGGCAAAGACGTCAACACCGAACGAGACCACAACGCCAACAGTCCCTTCCTCGACACCACCGAGTATTTCATGAACAAGATTATTCAAAAGCAAGAAATCGTGCCACCATGGATAGAGAAACAGCAAGAACTTGTAAAACAATTAGACTCCTTCCGCAAAAGGCTACGGAGCGACTGGCGAAGACATGCAGCCAGGATGATCGCTAGCGAGGGCGGTCCACTCGAGCAGCAGATCAATCGAGCGAAAGGTTACGCGTTGGCAGAAGAGATCGTCAACCCTAGAATATCCGACAAGCAAAAGATCTCCGGAATCAGCAGCGATGGCAACCTCGTCAACATCACAGTCGAGGACCGCATCGCCGCAGGCATCAAACTTGACGAACCAGAAGTCAAAGTAGAAGTGACGCCGACTACCACTGAACCTCCAACCGGAACGGAGGCCAAAGACCTCCACAAACTCGAACAAGAACTACAGCAAGAAATACAAACCATCGCCGCCACCTCAGCCACGCTGAATGCCGTCCCTCCCACGGTTCCACCCGAAGTTCCAGCAATAGCAGCAGCTCCTGCTGCTGCAACTCCACCTCAAGCACCTCCTCGCGTCCTCCCAATGCCAACCCCCTTCCGCGACCCAACCTGGCAACGCACCGAACAAGCCTATCACACCCTCGCCATCACCGAAATAAACTCCCTCACCCGCAGCTACAACCTCATGGCCCCCAAAATCGCTCAACGCCCCTACACAAACCTCGACCGCGAGCTCAAGCGCTGCTTTGCCATGGTCGCGCCCCAGCTAGCCGACGAGATCGCCGAGCGAGCCAAGAAGGGCGTCGTGAGGGGTTTCGGCGAGCGCGTCGATCGAGAGAAGGGGGTGCTTGAGCGGGTGCTGAGTAGGAAAGATGGGCCGGTATTGTATGAGAAGGTGATCAGGGAGGAAGTGGAGGGAAAGGAATATGGATGGAAGGAGTTCTGGCGGGATCTGTGGGCGAGGGATGAGAAGGGAAAGCGAAAGGATGTTGCGTAGACTATATATGTGCATGGTAGATGAGATCACGACGAGCTCTGTGTGTACACAGTCAATGAAAAGAACTCTGCACCTCCATACGCGTATTTTCCCACTTGGGGGCAAGCAGAGCGTCAGTCATCCGGTCTCATAAGCTTACCCCCAAAACGTCGAGCAAAACCCTGAGTCTCAGCATCGAAGCACGCGTGGAACCAAGCACCATGCCTCCTGGGAGTGGACTGCAGACAGAAAGTCACATCCGCTCCCGATCTCCAGGATGTTGAAGCCTCTTTGGAGGCAAGAACGGCAGATTGGGTTTGGTCAACCGGTCTGAGACAAGCCGACGTGTGCAATGCAAATATATTTGCGATGAGCAGTGTGACCAGACGTGACCCCTGCTCCTTCCAAGCTCGCTGTGATCGAGTCATCCGGCTTCGACTGCAGTCTCGTATGGACAGAAGAGGGGCTTGCTGAGGCGCGCTTCACATCTCTGCGCCCGAATTACAAGAAAGGGCATTGGCAAGTACTGAAGAAGCTTTGGGTATCATCTGATTCTCATCATCATCATCCGTCACGCACCAAATTGGCACACATCTTCGAGCGGACCTCCACTTCACTCCTTAATACTCAACGCACTCAGTCCCGTCCCTGTGCGGCTCGGTTTCCCCCCAACACCACTACTCCCACCCTCACTGCTTCCACCACTAGCCAGACTATGACTCGTCCTTCTCCTCAACAACTGTTGTCCAACCGGAATCTCCAGCCCATCCAAGAACGCGTCCGGATCAGCCTCAAACCCTTCCGCATTGATGACATCCAATACCTTCTCCATGTTATGCTCAATCACAATCCCAGGGACACTACCCGGCTCGTCCGCCGGAGTAGTGACGCCATTAAACTGCACTTTCGGGCTCTGCTCAAACACTTTCGCCAGATACCGCCACAGACTCGTGAGCGCCTGCTGGCGTTCCAGCGCGGTGCAGTTGCGGGTCTTATCGAGTAAGTTGGCGATCGCAGCGGGCATGTAGTATGGCAGGACGGCTTGTTCGTTGACGTTTCCATCGACGTTTAGTCCGGCGATCAAGCTGTGGCGTTTGGGCTCTTCGAGTTTCTCGAAGGCCGTGGCGAAGAGCTCCGCTTGATCTTTCTCGACCGTGCGGCCCATAGTCAGCAAGCGGAGGAGGGCGCGGTCGGAGTCGTTGTCGACATTTAGATTGCGGAAACCTGTGTTGACGAGCAATTTGCCACGACGTTTGAGCACGAGGTCGTATGCGTCGCGCAACGGCATGTTCTTGCGGATGATTTCGAGAGAGACGTCGTGGACGGTCTTGAACGCTTCGAAGACGGGTTGGATCAGGTTGATGGAGCCATTGGAGTTGATGTGGCCGCGAGCTCCGGCTACGTCGAGGATCTGCTCCATGAATTTTAGTTCGAACGCGTGTTCGCGGCCTTGGAGCTCGCGGAGAAATTCGAGGTTGATGGGCACGTTTTCGGCTTGCGCTAGTTGGCCGGCATTGAGTTCAGAGCCTAGCTCGAGGCCGAGGATTAGGTCTTTCTGTTGGGAGTTATCGAGGTAGCTGAGGCATGGGATCATGCCGGGAATGACAGCTGCCTCATAGAGAAGGGAGTCATGATTCTGGTCGGCTATCGATCCCCCGGTCTGTGTGAGGTGCGCTGCAACGTCTCGTTTGAGATTGGGATCTTTGCCAAGGTCGTTGATGATCATCGACACTACTAGGAGCAGTATGGCTTCAGGCGTCTGGAGATGTCCTCGAAAATGGTCACGGAGCCAGGCAAATGACTGTCGACACAGTCGACGGCTCGCTGGCTGGCATGCTGTGAAAATGTCGTATTCGTCGTTGTAGATCCATCTCAGGCACAGCAAGCCTGTTAGTGTGCGATTAACCTCACCGTACTCTCGGCCAAAAATTCTACTGGAAGGACTCTGAACAATTTCCGAGTGGCCATTCGCATGGCTTTCCTGGACTGCAGCATGTTTCAGGCGCTCTAGTTCCGGTCCGAATCCTTCATGGACTTCTCTCAGCAACTGCGACTCGTCGATGGTGAAGAACTGGTTGCGCTGTATTGTTCGCACCAGGGCAGCCGTCTCAGTCTGCCGCGTGCCCGTCTTGGAGTGCGCATGGCCCATCGTCACCGTTCTAGTAGCAGCATTGGGCGAGAAGATGGTTTCGACATGTATGCTAGCCTTCTTGGCAATGATTGTTGCCCGTCGAATTGGTGCTGCTGGTCGTGCGCAAAATGCGATGTTGTCATGAAGCCATTGACGTTGATTGGATGCGATGCTGACAGTCCATGAGCACTGGCAGTCGCGAATTATCTCTCTGGTGAGTGGTGAAAAGTTGAGTCGATGGAAGCAGACATTATTCGTACACAAGCCATGGCCTACATCTAGATAAGACGCGCACCACTGCCGCCGGGACAAAAGTCTCATCGACAAGTGGTGTGGGAGGGAAGGGGGCACTGCTAAGGCGTAGGGTAGGATTCTCAGCGCTGATTGGCAGCCTGGCGCTCTTGCCGGCTTGGAACCTTGGTTTGTGTGGGGTTGTAGGCACGAGCAGGCACGAGTTCATCAAAGGCTCCTTCGTTCTTGCCTTCCTTCATATATGTTGCCATTCTTCGATGATGGCGAGGCAGCTTCGCAGGCTCCTTGATGTTGTGCCTGCCAGCATTATGGATGCTGTCGCTCCGTTCCTTACGCAGGCCCCTGTGGCCAGAAACGAAAAGGAAAGCGTTGATGGTCCAAATGGCCAAAAAGCTTGACGCGACGGACCTTTGGGAGAGTGCCAAAGTCCCCTCTCCGAAATACTTAATCAAACAACATCTCTGAGCAGAGCCGGACCAGAGGCAAATAGCCGTGCGCGCCTTACAGAACGAGATGGCTTCCGCTCCTGGTCGCTGTATCGGATTGAACGACATCAAGATGACGCTGGTGCCCGTTGATCTGGAACGGAGGCGGAAACTGAAGCTGATGAATGGCGCTTCCAGTACAATATTCAACATCTTCTGGCACTGCCAGGCTCGACCTCCATTTCCGCTGCACCGTTCAATGTAAGAAAACGCCCTTTCCAGGAAACAAGGACAAAGTGTTGAGTTGCAGAATCATAACCGCCGATGCGGAGGACTCTGTATGATGTTTCCGAGAGTGAAGATTGGAAAGCGAAGCGAAAGGTACATCTATGCTCAAGATTGTATTTTAGGGTCTCCCTCTGGCTTCACATGCATTATCGGAAAATTCGATTCAGGTAAGGCAAGAGCTACTTCACCAGCACCTGTAAGTGATGCCCTTCCCAAGGAGCAAGACAGCCTGGAAGGCATCTCACCCCAACCTCAACTTCACCTCAACTTCACCTTGGAACGTGACGCGCTTCATTCCGTTTAACTCCGTGACGTTTCTATTTCAATCAGTGAGAGACCTCTTGAATTGATTTCTATTTCTCTTCTGCAAGATTCGCTTCGTACCATATTCGACGAGAGTCTTCTTCGCGACGATGGGTTCTTATCACGATCAAATCATCGCTCTCATGGGCGCCGCCCCAGGTGCGAACCCTTTCACCGATGACGCTGTTGAGACCAGCGCCGCTCCGACTCCAGTGACCATGCAGGTGCCGATACCTGGAAACACAATCGCCGAAACACCCATCGAGAATCGCATGGAGATGACTACAGAGACTAGACTCCCATTCGAGATCGAGATGTTCGGCGAACCAGAGCCTGCCAGATCGGGTCCCAACCGCCGTCCTCCCCGTCGCGCTGCTGCGCCGACGAAGATGCCTGGTGTCGGCCCTCCGATCAGAGCTGTGGCTCGCAAGACATCTCGTGCTGTCCAAAAGAAGCGCGAGCGTAGTCCAGAGGAGGAAAGCGAGGATGAGCAATCGAGCACTGATTCAGATAACGACAAGCGATTGAAAGAAGCTCGGAAGCGTCTTCAATACACGAAACGCCAGCGTCAGAAGCGTGTCAAGCGTGTTCCTCAGTCTGAGTCCGAGGATGAGGATTCCGAGGAGGAGGAGATGGTGAGACGCAAGTCTAAAGGCAAGCAAGTCAAGTATGTTGTGTTTCTACTTCCTTCGATTTGCAACTAACAACTCCACAGGAAGCGTGAAGTGCGCACTCCATCTTTCAGCTCTCTTTCTTCATTCGAAGAACCACAGAAGAAGAAGAAAGCTCCCAAGGCGAACGGCAAGATGACTGATGCCAAACGCAAGTCTACCAATGCCTCCCTCTTGCTCAAGCGCAAAGGCAAAGGTCGTGCTATTCCCAAGCGTGTCGAGGATAGCGATGCAGCCGATCTCATGGTCTGGCAATGGCGCCATGCTGGTCGTACTTGGCCAGAGATTCGCGCTGAATGGACTCGCATGACGGGTCAGGTTCCTGGTCGATCCAGTCTTAGTGTTCGCATGGCCAAGATGCAGGACAACTTCATCGATAATGGTGGTGCAGATGTAAGTGCTATCGCTCCCGAGCCCTCGACCGCAACGCTGCGGTCACGAGTCACCCACAAGCAAAGCGCTAACCTGTATACAGGACCTGCTCCTGATCAAGCTCAAGGAAGACGCCGAGAACGACCTGGAAACCAAGCGTTGGGAGTTGGTCGCGAAGAAGTGGAAGGAGGAGAATCCGGGCACAAAGCAGACAGCAAAGACACTCAAGAAGCGCTTTGTGGCCATCAAGGAGAGTGGCTGGAAGCTGGGACGGAGTGTTGAGGATGGAAAGGATCCGCTCACTGTAGCTGGAGCCATCAAGAGAGACGGCGGTGTTCCTATGCTCGGTGTCGATGTCGATGACGACGAAACTGAGGACGAAATCAAGGACGAGGACGATGGGGAGGGTGCTGGCATGGGCAGTGATGCTGGGGGTGATGAGCAGAACGGAAACGGCAGCGACTAGTGCTCGACTCTGCCCAGGGAGCTGCGCGAATCAACACTCGATTGGAAGCCACCCAGGAGGCCTTCAGAGCGCAAAACAGCTTGCCCATCATAGTATCTTTACCAAGACGATGGCCAGAGCCAGAATCTAACGGAGACACAACGAACTCCTACAGCGCCCGCCCTGGGGAGAAAATCAATGATCAATCTTTCTGGCGACTTAGAGATGAAGTGAGGCTCATCCCGAACTTGCTGACTCAATCTGCAACACCATCCTGGGTCACAGAGCCCGCCCTGACCAATTTATGCCCAAACAGCCTGTCGCCTTCTTTTTGCCTCTCCCGAGGTCCCCGCACGGTTGCCGTGAGTAGCCGACAGCTTAATTGGAGAACTGCCCCGTCATCGGCCTTCCCATATCGAGATCTCATGGCCATAAGAGCAGGAGCATGAGCGTGACGTTGTGCTCTTGTTCGTGCTCCATGACTACCTGAAGAAGCCGCAGGTTGCGTGCTAAATGTCATGAACGTAGCTCGGACTTTCCGAGCGCAAGCTCGCCACCTCCACCCCAGTCCCCTTCCCCTCGCCCGCACCTTTAGTTCCTCCCGCACAACTCTCGCCGACCACGTTAGAATAGTCGAAGTTGGACCGCGTGATGGATTGCAGAACGAGAAGACCTCGATACCACTTCAGACCAAGCTCGAGCTAATCAGTCGTCTCGCTCAAACAGGCGTCACCCGCCTCGAAGCCGGCAGCTTCGTTCCCGCAAAATGGGTACCAGATGGCCTCGACCGCAGAGATCCTAGAGGACATAATGACACACCCACCACCTGCTCCTAAAGCTATAGCATACAATTATCTGGTCCCCAATATCCGCGGGCTGGAAAACATGGTCAAGATCATTGAAGCCAGAAGCGGCAACAACACCACCGTCCAATCCCAGGACGCATACCCAACACCTCCCCCATCACCACAGCCAGACTCAGCCGCGCCCATAACATCCTCCTCCGACCCCAATCCCATGCCTTCAGACCCTCCCGTCTCACCTGCCCACAACAACACCCACGAAATCAGCCTCTTCGCCGCCGCAACCGAAACCTTCTCACACAAGAACACAAACTGCAGCATCGCCGAATCCCTCTCCCGCTGCACCCCCGTCTTGGACCTCGCCCGCCAACACAACATTCGCGTGCGCGGGTACGTCTCCGTCGCACTCGGCTGTCCGTACGAAGGTCCCGATACAGATCCACACAAGGTCGCCGAGCTGACTGCGAGTTTGCTGGAAATGGGGTGCTACGAGGTATCGGTAGCGGACACGACGGGGATGGGGACGGCGCCGAAGACGCGGAGGTTGTTAAAGGTGTTGAAGGAGGCGGGGATATTGGATGAGGATCTGGCGTTGCATTTTCATGATACGTATGGGCAGGCGCTGGTGAATAGTGTTGTGGGTTTGGAGAGTGGGGTGAGGGTTTTTGATAGTAGTGTTGGTGGGCTGGGGGGTTGTCCTTACAGGTGAGTCTTCGGTCGCGTTACAGAAACGTGAGATGTACTGACGAGTCGAGCAGTAAGGGGGCGACTGGTAACGTAGCGACCGAGGATCTTCTGCATCTGGTGCATAGTCTGGGCTGTGAGACTGGCATCGATATGGTCAAAATGGCCGAGATTGGGCGATGGATCACAGGAGAGATTGGCAAGGCGAACGACAGTAGAGCTGGTAAGGCTACGCTTGCACGTTTGGACCTGTAGTCCGCCGCGGCACAACGAAGTACCTGCATAAACCGACTGGGTTGCTGTTGGTTTCGTTTCATTCTTCCTCTGTCCTGGTATTTCACAGGCTATCTGCGGCTATTCGGTGTGTAGCGTTAGCTTCTGACGAGATGGGTCGAAAGTATTGACACCGTCATACAGCCCTTGAATGCGAAGGAATGCGTCAAAACCTCGTCGTGCGCCATACAAAGCGGTGCTCTGTAGCACACTCTGCAACCTCGAGCGCTTGCTAGTTGCCGAATTAGGATGACGCACCACGCCCAACTTTGCGAACGTCCTATTTCGTAAGGCTATTGAACTGACCCATCACTTCGGAAATCCAGCTTGCAAACTGAATTTGTTTCGCATCAGATAGGACGCCTCGACTATCGTGCATTCCATCCAGTGCGCTGATGAATCGAGCTTGAGCAAGCAGCATTGTCTCGCGGTCGTCAGGCTTGTGCGTGAAGTGGCGGAACTCGTTGTTTCGGACAGTGTTGTAGAGATCTGTAGCGATGGTTGGACGGGGGATGATATCGATGGCATACGACGGCGGACGCTTTAGACCAAAGAAGTCGATGAAGCTGCGGGAGACGGTCAGTCTTCTAACATCGAGAGGATTAAATGCTTACTTTGACTCGTAGAGAGCATCGCGCGCAAATGTCCAGACATTGTAAGGCCTAATGAGGTCTATGAACACCTTCAAAGGTTCGGTCTCACCACCAGCGATTGCAATTTCATCGTAGAGGTCGCAGAAATGCATCTTGCGTGTGTAGTCGAAATCCTTTCTGAGGTCGGCAACGAACGCCTTGATGATGTTCTGCAAGCTCACAACTCCTGCGATAGTGTTGAGGTCGTAAAGCTCCGGCTTGAGACGGTCGAGGTCGAAGTTCGCTCCAAGCACCGGCATGATGGCGGCCACTGAGATTTGTCCGAAGTTCTGCTGGCGCAAGATCGAGATGTCGCGTAGTAGAAAAGATCGAGGTTGTGCGAACAGCGAAGTCGATAAATAAGCCAGCTCTTGGCAAGACTTTCAAGTGACTTGTATCACAGTGCACTTGATGAAAGCTTACTAGTGCCTTGACAACGCTCATGACCGGCTTCAAGCCTTCAACTTAAAGTGACCTTTGTCCTTGGCATCAAACAGTCTCACAAGAATAACAGCGATCGACGATGCCAGTAGCAGCGCAAAGTCGTACCAGATCACCGAGACATATGCCTGTGTCTCAGCACCATCCTCGACCAAAGTCCCCCCAACAGGTGAGCCCCACAAAGCACCAAGTCCTCGAACGAAATACAGAAACCCGTTGACCGAAGCATAAGCCTGCGTCCCAAAGATGTCCACAACAGTCGTTGGGAACAGCGAATTATAGCCGCCCGAGAAGACACCATAGCTGACCACGAACGCGATCCACATGCCAGAACTGGTCTCCCAGGCAGCATTCAGCCAGAATGCCACGACTACTGCCGAGCTCGCAAGGACACTGAGAATGAGAGTGTTCTGGCGCCCAGTCATGTCGGCCAGGAAGCCAAAGCCAATCCGGGAGACAGTGTTGACCGCGTTGAGAATCGCTAACAGACTGGCGCCGAAGGTCGCAGAGTATCCCAGTCTGACCGTGAACTCCGGCAAGAACGTCAGTGGCACAAAATTGCCTCCGGCCTGACTCATGCCGGCCAAGGCACTGAGTATGAATGTCGGCTTTCGGGCCACAGCCCAATTGACCAGAGTCGGCCTTCTTGCCACGCTTCTGCTTTGCGGGGTCGCGAGGGATATAGCTAGTCCTAGTACTCCAGATATGCCACCGAGTGCTCGCAATGTCCATGCTGCCCCAACCTTGGCCAGGAGAGCTCGCGTCAGAGGCGCAAATGTAAGACCGCCCAAGCCTGCCCCTGAAAGTACCACTCCCATCGCACTGCCACGATGAGCATCAAAGTACTCTGGTGCCACGGCAAGCATCGGGAAGTACAAAAGAGAGCTTCCGATGCCGTACACCAGACCTTGCGTGAGTAGCAGTTGCCAGACCTGGCTACAAGCACTCGCCATGAGGTAGCCTCCAGCAATCAAGCCTGCTCCAGTCGCGGTCAGACATCGGGGATCAGCAATTCGGGCCATCAGCGGATTCACGAAGATAGATCCAGACCAAGTGAGTCCGGCACCCAATGTGCCAACAAATGCAAGCAGGGCTTTGTTGTCAGCTGCCGATGGCGGCAAGAAAGGATCTGGTCCATCAGCCTTGGTGCCGGTCGCGAGATAGTAAGCGAGGAAGACGCCGTATGACTGATTGAAGCCGATGGTGAGGAACACGGCGCTGAAAGATGCTGCAAGTACCATCAGCTGCTGGCGACGCGTAGGTGGCGGGAGAAGCGCTGATGTCGAATTCGTTGGCACGTCGACTGGGAGGTCGTCGTCGACGGTCCCATCATGGCGGAAGCGTTGGCCTGGTCGCTCGATCAGAAAGTCCAAGGAAGCAAATGGTTGGTCATGCTCCGACTGGGATGGCGGGAGCAAGATACCGCTCCGAGTACGTGCTGGAAGCTCGATCGTGGTGGTCGCTGCAGACATCAAGCTGGCCCTTCCTTGTAGGTAGCGGACCGCGCAAGCAGCAGCGATCTCGGGCCTCCATATATAGGATATACGCTCTCGTAATCGATGTCACCTCAGGTCAGTCACGAGTCACAATGGAACTCAACGCGAAGAGATCATCGCTTGTGCGGGAGAAAGCGGGCATCTCCCCTCAGTCTTCCGAACCGACGTTGAAGTCTCAAGGCTGGCCGACATCGTCGCTCTCGCCCTCCAGTCCGTCCCGCATCTCGGATCCCCGCGATCCGCTGCTTGCTGCAAGAGCCTGCCAAGGCAACTCCCCTTTGTCGATCGGCCGATGCCCCTCAAAGGCCAAGCGAGGAGATGAAATTTCATCTAATCTTATCTCTGAAACCGAAACTTCCATTGGCCATTCCTACGACGATGCTCTTGGATCAGCATGTTATCGTCTCTCAAACTTGCTTTCCCCGGTGCTCTGCCTCTACGCGTCAGGAATAGCTCGTGATGTCTCACATGGCCAGATGTCAAGTCAGCGCCTCTGGGCTAGCTATGTAAGTTCGCGATTCGCAAGGTAAGCTCGACTTCTGTTCTTTCTGCAATTTCGTATGCCCATACAAACCTAGCATCTGGCACTGCACGACTCGCTAGTCTCTGGGTTGTATTGGCATCGTTTTAGACCATGGCGGCATTCATCGATAAGCCGCCTCTGTCCGATCAGAAGCAGAATTCGTTGAAGGACATCAGTGCCACTGACAGGCGAGAACCAAGTCCGGCTTCCGACGATGAACAGGAAGTCGACCATCTCAGACAGCAAGCCTGGGGTCGATACACAAAGCTGTGGATGTGGCTGGGCATCTCGTTGATGTGGACCATTTTTGAGCTCGATAACGCGACCGTCTATAACTGTATGTCCTTTCAGCCTTCCGAAAGCGTGTTTCTGAACAATGTGACGCAGATCAGAACTATGCTACTTCCGAGTTCGAATCTATTTCGTACTTGGGAACCCTGACGACAGCTGGTACGATTTTATCAGCCGTGCTAAAGCCTCCGATTGCAAAATTATCTGATGTCATTGGTCGAGCTGAGAGTGAGTATGATAGGAATCTGAAGAGCCTCTACTGACTTCCGTGCTAGCCTATGCGATCACAGTCATCCTATACATACTGAGCTACATCCTCGCTTCCTCCTCGAATGCATTCGATCAGTATGCTGGGAGCTACATCATCTACTGCGTCGGCCAGACAGGCATGCAGATTCTCAACCAGATCATCGTGGCAGATATCACCAACTCACGCACGCGCGGCCTCGCCAATGGTCTTGTCAATCTGCCCTTCATGATCGTTCCCTGGATCGCAGCTTTCATCGTGGACTCTGCATTGACCACTGTGGGATGGCGCTGGGGCATCGGCATGTTCGGCTTCATCCTACCAGCATGCAGCGCTGCAGTCATCATCCCACTAGCGCTGTTCCAGAGACGTATGAAAGGCCTCGGATCCCCCCCGAGGCCAAAGCTGTCCGTGTCTGGCTTTTTCTCCCATATCGATATCGTCGGCGTCACTCTTCTGGCTAGCGGTTTCGCCCTTGTCCTACTGCCACTGTCTCTGGCTGGCAACACGCCGTCTCGCTGGTCGACACCCTGGATTCCGACTTTGATCGCAGTTGGCTTGGTCTTGCTCGGCACACTCCTGTTCTACGAAGCCAGATTCGCCAGGTGGCCAGTGCTGCCATTCCGATTCCTACGCAACTCATCTCTGCTGCTAGCCTGGCTCATTGGAACGACCGACAGCTTTGCTTTCTCCGCAACGCATACTTACATGTATACATGGTCTGTGGTCGTCCATGACTTCTCCCCACGGAACGCAAGTTTCTTGACCTTCACTGCTGGCTGTATGCAAGTGTTGTCGGGCGCCATCTGTGGCTTTCTCATGTACCGCACGAGACGCTTCAAGGGGCTTCTGGTCGGCGGAGTGATGGTTCGCTTGATCGGCTACGGCATCATGCTCCGGCTACGTGGCAGCAACAACTCCACAGCCGAGCTGTTCGTTGTGCAGCTGATACAAGGCTTCGGCTCGGGCATTGTACTCACCATCGTCCTGGTCGTTGCACAGATCGTTGTCACCAGAGCAGACCTCGCTCAATCGACAGCGCTGATGCTCCAATTCATCTACCTTGGCAATGCGCTTGGATCTGCGGTCGCTGGCGCGATATATACCGGTCTGTTCCGCGATCGAATCGCCGTCCATGCGCCCGACCTGCCCTCTGCGCAGGTGGATGCCGTGTACAATACAATCGCTGGCTACGAGGATGTCGAATCGCCAGAGGAGGTGGACGCCGTCAATCATGCGTACAGTGATGTGATGCGGTATATGACGCTCGTTGCGTTGATTGCAAGCGCTATTCCAGTATTATGCGTCTGGTGGCTTAGAGACTGGAAGCTCAGCGAAGACCGCCATAACCTCGCGGAAGATGTCAAGAAAGGTGATGCTGGAGTGATCAGTGAAGATGACGGCGCCCTCAGGAGATGGTGGAAGACTGGGAAGTGGTGGTAATGCCTCTGCGAGCATATTATGCCCTCCCCAGACCAACTGGACTGTAACAGACAGGTTCAAGTCTTGTGACTCACCGGACGCCGGGTGTTCAAGCTCATGCAGCTTCTGCGAGAATTCGCAAGTCTGCTCTGTACGTCACGTGGAATTTGTTCAATCACACCGGCTACCACCGCCGTCCTGCATCGTCGTACGAGTAGTTGCAGGCCCATGAAATGTTGGCAATGACGCACGGAACATTAACGTATGTCTTTTGTACAGGGTTCGAAGCCGTGAATAATGTTCTGCCTGGACCCCAAGCATACGACGAGTGCGTGCGCACAGCCACGAGGCTTAGCGAGGGAGCGCCACAACCGTCTCCTCGATTTTGCCTCCGATTCCGGTCCTTCTTTCCTCAGGGATTCCGCTATAGGCTCAACGCAGCAGGAGTCGAATATCTGAAACATCAGGCTCTTGACGTTGTGTTCTACATAGAAGTTGCTAGTAGTCGTCGTACGCATCCTCAGCTTACCGGCAAATATGATGCTGGTCTGACGTATCTCGTTCATTGATCGTTGCTAATTTTATTTCCCGACCTGCCAAGACGTTTGATCTTCATGGTTCTTAAGGGCTAAGAACCACTAGGCGCATTGGGAAATGACCAACTGGGGTTCAGCCACAAGTACCGCCTTTGCTCAAGGTCTGGTCGAAGATGCAACGTCTATCGGACCGCGATGGAAGCATTGACGCAGCGCCCAGCCAGACACAACGCCGGAGAGCGCTGTATGTAAGCAAATTCGTCTACCACGCCGATTAGTCGTGGCTGAGTGAATCCCGCACTACGCGTACGAATCGATCTCAACCAACCATCGCTGCCGATCAGTCAAGACTTTCCACCCACGCCCCTTACGTGTATGCCAAGGCCACCCCTTCCGTCTCCACCGTAATGAGCCTCTCTCCCTCTTTGGCCCTTCTTTGCGGTCTTCCTGAAACACGAAAGGAACAGCCGGAACTTGAATTTCGCGTAAGAAAGCTGGATTGAATTTATGGAGTCATGGAGCCACGATCTGACGTCGTATGGACGTTGCCGTGGCGGTGTTGACCTCAAGGTAAATTGCATAAAGGGTCGCCCTACCGCGTTCGTATTCCTCTTCCCCTATCCCCATACCAGCCTGCACACTACCACACAGTTCCTGCTGTACATTCAACAGTCACTCGCTACTTTCCACTCACCGAAACAACTCACAACACACCACACCGCAAAAATGAGATACACAATCCTCACAACCTCCCTCCTCGCCCTCACCGCCTCGGCAATCCCTCAGACCATCGACGTCGGCAACATCGCGTCGGATGTCGTCAGCGCCGTGACCGGCGCCGGCGGCGACGCCGGCTCAGCCATCGAGTCCATCGCTACCTCCCTCGCAAGCGGCGCTGCTTCCATCACCGACGTCGGCTCCTTCGTTACCTCTGTCGCTAGCGACGCCGGCAGCGCGTTGAGCCAAGCCACCCAAGGCGCCGGCAGCATCACACAAGATATTGGATCGGGATTCTCGAGCGTCACTGGCGATGCTGGATCGGCAATCTCGAGCGCCACTGAGGCAGTGGGTTCAAGAGTGAGCAGCGCAGTCAGCTCGGCAAGTGCAGAGGCCACTTCGGCTACTGGAAACGGTGCTGTAGCGGCAATGGCGACTGGTGTGCCGGCTGTTCTGTTGGCTGCGGGTATGGGCGCTGTTGCTTTGTTGTAAGGTCATCAACGGGAAGACTGGCACAGTTGGGCAATTGCCGGTTTTCAATACTTCGCAAATAGAGCTTTATGGGATTGCGGTCGCATGAGACAGGCTAAAATACTTCCGGCGAATGGAGTGCTTCCAAATATGGGCGGACGTGGACGTGGAGGGCATTCCAGCATTAGATCTGATCACACAGTGAATGCAAACACAGATTCTTGAGCAGCACTACCGAAAGCATCTGGACTACTCGTTGCGTGGCTCGTCTCGTTGGTGATCCGTCAAATTCAGCCCGGCTCTGACAGAAGTGACAGAGTAGAACAGCCCACCAGGACAATCCTTGATCGCGGTAAGTAGACACGACCATATGCTATCCCCATATCTTGAGGGAGACTTGCTGTAGCCGTACACGGTGCTACTAATGAAAACAATCGGATTTCCCTTTCCGTTACCCGGAATACAACAACCGACATTTCGGTCGTTCTCAAATCGCTGTGCCATCGGTATTGTGTTGTAGTCCACGGCAGGATACTGTCTCATACAGGTCGCTGACCACATGCCGATCATCATACTGCGAGCTCAGGTGCACAGTCACACAGGTAGCATTGCCGCATCAGATATCAGAGCCATAAGCCGGGACCACAACCATATCGTCGCATCCTACCGTCCCGAACTTCCGACGCCCTCATCGGCTGGATGTCCCTCCAAGCCGAAAAATCAGATGAAAGTCCCAATCTGGCAGCCAAACTGCTGTTTTGGGTCATGAGCGCATGGTACACCCGAGCCGATGCTTGCCAGTACACCCGGAAAAGAAGTTTTCGGCCTGGACGTTTGCCGGCGGCGGGTATGCGTTCCCGATCCTCCACTTCCCTATCTCCTGTCCATGACTTTCGACTTCTTTTCACCTGTTGTTGATGCCCTTGATGGGGACCAGAATTGTTGCTGTGAGATGGCGACAGCGCACATACTTCACGACGACGTGAGCATTCAAACGGACGTGCGCCAGTAAACATGTTGCCGCTGTGTGCAATTATCAAGACGCGTCTTCGGCTCCAGTCTCTTGCTTCAGCAACTATGCTACATCAGGTTCGGAGTCCTTATGAAGTGCTGACACCGAATATCAGCTTCTCACAGTGCGGCATGACCGAATATGGAGGGCTCATACCTGCAGAGACGTTTGCAGCATGAGTGCAACGTCGATGGCATTTCATCGATAAGGTTCGTGCTGTTACAGCCACTGCAGAGACATCACTCAGCCGTGATATAAATACTTTGCTTAAAAGTATCGACTCTCTGCGAGATATAGCGTAAGTACTTTCGAAGGTGAGTTGATTCTCCGGCAGCTTGTGCCAACGCCCAACACTGCTTCCATCCTCCGTTCAGAGCCGTATGCGCGCCGTCATGCGGAGCCAGTGGCTTCTTTCGCGTTCCGCTACAATCTTGTTTGGAGCTTCAGTCTTCGGCCTTCAGGACTGGCTATACGCTCCAGACCTGATATCTGCCCAGCCGTATCTGCAAAATACCAGCATCTCTGGCGTACAGCTGCTGTATGCCTGGGACCAGCTCGAGCCAAGTCGCGACTGCTACAACTTTACGCAAATTACCAACGACCTCAAATACTTGTCTAGGCTATCGAGACTATCCCTCTGTGGATACAGCTACAAGACCGCACCTTCTCCCCGTCACACAATCCCGTCCCACTCTATATGAGAGGCGACCCGTTCTACTCGAACGGCTCTGTTGGTGCGTGCGATGGCAATGCTTGCGATTACCCTGCCAACTTCACCCTTTCGGGCTGGGTAGCAGCACAATGGAATCCGCACGTTCGAGAACGATATCAAGCATTGCTTTCTGCTCTCGCCAATCACCCTGAAGTCGGAAGCAAAATCTACGGCATGAATTTCCCAGAGACCGCCATCTCAGTGGACGAGTCGAGCAACGACTTCAACAACGTGACATACTTCGATGGCACACTTGCCAACGCAGCGTTCGCACGATCCGTCTTCCCACCAGACGTATTTGTGGTGCAATATGTCAATTTTTGGCCAGATGCATATGCGGACCCGCTCGTGTTGAATGCCTCTTTTGCAGCCTTACAGAAGACTGGAGTGGGCGTAGGAGGCCCAGATGACATCCCTGGCAGGAAGGCGCTGGAGGCCAATGTGTACCCGTTCATGCGTGAGTACAAGGGCAAGTTGGCAATCGAGACTATCGCCGTTCAGGAGCCTGATCTTGCGGCCACTAACACAACAACTGGAATGCCGTTCACTAGAGAGGGATACACCACTTTTGCGGAGGCATTGGGTGCAGAAATAATTTTCTGGGCAACGAGTGCGCCGTGGTTGCAGGGCAGCGATCCCTGGTGACAAAATATAGCTCGAGCATTCGCGTGGAGACTACAATACAGTGTTTGTGCAGCATAAAACGGACACATTGCACTGTGCACACGGCTGAAATCTGCCACAGGTCACCAAAGTCGAATTTACAAACGCGATCAGGAGAGCACTAGGCCTTGGTTGTGCGGTTGCACAGAGGTCTTTGCGATATCGTGTTCGTTCATTCACGTACGATAGTGCTAGCGAGGTCGGCGTTCCTGCCACTGAAACATTTGCCTCTTCTCCGGCTCTGCGCTATCCGTCGCCTCATCAGCGCCTGGCCGGGTCCAACGACCAACATCATACTCAACATAGTCAACCTCATGACCTGGCTTTCTCGAGGTCCCTATCCCTAGGGACGCTCTCCTCAGGCGACACAGCGACTCCCTGAATCGTGGTCCCTGCCTTATCCGCGTCACTCCCTATTCCCTCACCCTGCCTCACCGGCTCCTCTTCAAACATCTCTTGCAGTAGATAGCTTTCCTCGAAGCCCATCTTCCTCTCCTTCTCACAGAACTTCCCCTTCCCGAGACCCACAGCCAGCGCCCAGTAGAGCACGCTGCTGATCGTACATCCCAACACCCAGCCCAGACTATATATCCGCTTCCATCCAACAGCGATACCAGCGTTCGCCGGGAACTGCGCCGCGAAGCCAGGAACCAGGATGACGACCGTGATTGTGAAAGCAACCAGAGTGCGCCAGCTGAATCCGCCGTGGTAGCGGTACGCGGTCCCCTTTCTCGGATCGAACAGATCGCGGTGCCAAAAGTTGCCCTTCCGGACGACAAAGTAGTCCGTGATGAAGATGCCTACCATGGGGGCTAGGAAAATGGAGTAGCCACCCAAGAAGCGGAGAAATGTGGTGCTAGACTTGAGAATCTTCCAGGGCATGATCACGAGACTGATAGCATAGCACAAGAACATGCCGCGTCGAATGTTGAGCACCGGGGTGCCAAAGCCGTGACATCCGCCCCGAACGGAAAGAGGTTAACGCCAATGTTAGAGGCCCAGATGCTCAAAATCCATCCCATGCTGGCAAAGGCGATGGCAGCGCGGGCGCCAGCATTCCAGTGACGGTCGAGGATCTCGTTGGACAGGTCCCAGGGATTCCAGATGGCGGCGCCGCCCCAGGCACGTTGGGTTGCGGATGTGGCGAAGATACTAGAAACGGGAGTTAGCGGAGTGTTCGAAGGAAGGACGAGGACAATGACTCACCCTAGCGTCGCACAGAGCGTGTTGCCAATTGGCAAGGCGATGAGTTGAGACCAGAATGGTGCCTGTGCCGTCCTTGCATATCTCGCCAGATCCGTCTGGTTGACAGCCTGTGTCGAAGTCTTGCCCATGCACGAGTTGATAGCCGACAGCATTGCCCACGCCAGGGCGGACTTTGAACCGAAAGTCTTCGTGGGTGTGCTGAACGTGCCAGATGACCCAGCTGCGTTCCGGCCCTGCACTATGCAGAATGCGAACAGTCCGATGGCGACAGGTGGCAACAAGATAGACTTGATGGTGAAGATTCGCCGCATGTGATGAGGCGGTATGAGCAGCAGTGGCGACGAGCAGACCACGAAAAGGATAAAGCAGATCAGGTTCTGCGTGGTGATATCTGCGCTCTTTGGCAGGGTGTTGGGCAAGTCATGCCAGGCCGATCCGAACACACAGCGGAAGAGAACCGACAGGAAGTATCCCGCTTGCATGAGCAAGACAGATGCCCAGATCTGTCCGACCAGCAGACGAATGGCCACGGGAATGAAGGAGCCGTACATTCCCCAAGACACGCGGCATTCCACAGGGAAGCCGCAGTGCCATTTGGCGCCTATCCGACTGTGCCATGCGATGGCTATTGCACCCAAGAGATGCGAAATGAAGACGCATATGATGGACTGCCATGTGTGTAGACCCATGGCGACCATGCTGGAGCCGACGCTCCAGACACCGACGCTGAAGCCGTAGGACCACCAAAAGGCGGCGTAGTCATACCACCCCCAGCTCCATTGCTTTGGCGGTGTCAAATCCAAATCCTCGTTCTTCCAGATTGTTCGTTCGGATTCGCGACCGTACGCAGACTCATCGGTCTCGAGTGCACGGATGAAGTCTTGTCGGCTGGAGAATGCACGCTTGGTGGCCGTCTTCTTCTCCTGCAACTTCTCGCTGCATCGGCTGACGAGTGTCTTAGGCGAGAGCATCGTTGCGGCACACGAAGTTGATTCTTGGGAGACCGTCTATGGTACTGCAAGTCGCTCAAGGGAATCCGACCACCTTTGAATAGTCCTCAGTTATCGAGAACAGGGTCTGGACCAAGTGGGTACTGCTCCAGTCACGATAGCTTCGATGCACTGCTTATCTGTAGTCCGGGAACACCTCGTGGCCTTCATACTGGAGGATGCCGAGAATGTCCACCTCCCACATGGCTTGCCTGCGGTTGATGCGAGTGATGAGAACGAAAGACATGTCGATATCTGACTCCGGCGAGCGTCGGTGGTACGCCGATTGGTTCAAGCACCAGTGATCTGCTTCTGTGTCGCAAAGACCTGCAAAAGTAGCGTCTTGGTCTGCCCACGTTCGAATGTCAAATTCTCCGCAGGTGCGGACAACAGCGAAGATTATGCACCTGAGGCCCGAGAGAAAGCCGTCGTGTATTCCCAATGCCAATGGATGGCCACGGTCTTATCAGCTGTAGGATTCTGGCCGGCGAGATAGTCGACGGCAATGCAAAACGAGGACCTCCCAACAGTAATAAAAATCATATGTCCAGGATGGCTGTTGTCAAGAAGCCGAGAACGCCTGGAAAAGGCAACCAAAATCCCGCGTCCGCCTCGACCCAACCACTTGGGGGTGCACGTGCTACGCCTTAGTCTGCATCCTTGCTGCATCTGTCGTCCCTTTACTCTGCGCTGCTCTCCACTTCAGATACTCGCCACTGGTTGTTATTGGGTACTTCATAGGGTTCTCCTCGCTCACACAAGTCGGCACAGGCTCCAACTTCATGTCGTGATTGAACCCGAAGAAAAATGGGCACGAATACCTCTCCTTACCAGTCTTGTTGACGACTCGATGAACCGTAGAGACGAAGTAGTCGTTGGTCTGCCTCATGAAACAGTCGGCAATGTTGACTACAATGCTGCCTGGGATGGGGTTGGCTTTGATCCAGTAGCCGGATTTGCTGAGCACTTCGAGGCCCGCATTGCCATCCTGCGTAACGAATGTGAAACATTCGAAGTCAGTATGTGCACCGATGCCGAGTTGGTCTGCGGGCGTTGCTTCTTGCGTTGGGTAGTGGGCAAGTCTCATAGCAGCTTTGGGCGTCTTGACGTACTCATCGAAGAAGTCCTCATCAAGATGCAATGCAAGGGCGAAAGCCTTTGTCATCTTTCGTGCCAAAGTAAGCAGTTGCGAATGATGCTCGTAAAGTCGCTCCTTCCAGTCAGGCAGATCCTTTGGCCAGAGCAATTTCGTAGCCGGTGTGTCTGGTTCCTCGGCAGCTTCGACGGAAGGATCAAATCGAGGACTGTACCCGAAGTTATACGCTTCCATTAGGTCCTTCTCCTTCTTGTGGTTACGATTGTACTGTGGTCACGGATCAGCATTCCATATGGTCCAGCGTCTTTCAGTGGGTACAAAAACACGCACAGTCGACATCGGGAAATACCCGAAGAATTCCTCCGGTACTAAATCCGTGGTTACCTCGAGCTTCCTCTTCTCGGGCAGATCAAAAAATCGCTTTGCCTCAGCGAATGTCTGATCCACGTAGCGCTGCTCGACGCCATGGCCAACGATGTAGAAGAACCCTATCCGATGGGCCGCTTCACGGATCTGCTCGGCGACGGCTTTACGATCATCGATGTCGGCGCTGAAGATGCCGGAAATATCAATGACGGGTATCTCATCAGCATCAATGGACTCGTCGGCATGGAAGTAGATCTTCTGGCCGTTGCCGAGGGTGAGGTTGAGTGGCGGCTGGGCCTCGAGGATAGTGGTCGTTGTCATGTTGTTCTGATGGCTCGTTTCACACGGGGATTGGACGTGAATGAATACTACTGCCGCTGGCGATGATGTTGTCTTGCCAGTCAACTCAAATCAACGAGCAATATGGCCTTTCGACGACAGACAATAGTGGAGGAGCCTGTGGAGACACTGAGAGTATCCAGAACTCCGAGATCGTTGGCATGGGTCTGAGTGGGCATCCCGGTGATGTCCGCCGTACGGTTTGTTGAAGACGAGATCCTAGAAAACGGTCACGGCCCGAGATCCGGTGTTTATGTGCCACAACAGCTGGACTGTGGTTGTGACTGTGGCTTGGAAAGCATTCCAGAGCTATGTGAGGCTGGCAAAATGCGGCAAGGAAATGAATCGTGGTGTTGTTTCACGCGTCTTGGAGCAGAAGCCATCGATAACGAACTGCTGCTGGTACAAAGAAACTGTCCTCGCATGGGTGAGGCGACAGAGATCACGAAGCACGAGCTCGCACTCAGCAGATCAACGGTAAGTTTGAGGCAGGGAAAATCATTTATGTTCATTTGTGACTGTGACGTTACTCTACAAACGCTCTTGGGCGCCACACCGGCGCCTCAGCTTCCTCTGCGATCTCATTGCAGATGCTCTCGCTTTGCATTTCATTGCTATTGGCGGCCATGCCGGTATGCGCCTCGTCATAGCTTCACCATCTGCCTTGTCCAGAACGCGAGTTGGCTGGACCGTATTCGGGGAATATGTGACAACCGTCGATAGTCTGTGGCGTTTGGGAGTCTTTGTTCGTCGAAGGATGTGGCCTGTCGGCTTTGGAAGAGGCAGAAGAAAGAGGTCCAGGATGCTGGGTCTGGAGGCATGGTGTTCTGGAATGTAGCGGCCAGCGCCAGGGTTAATAGTCCTGATGATTGCTGGGCCATCATGCTTTGTCCGCTCATTTGTCGCTCTCCTCATCGTTGTTCGCGTCTTCCTTCTCGTCCGAGCTCGCTTCTTACTCATCCTCGTCTTCCTTCTCGTGCTCAAGAAGCGTGATATAGATACCGCCCGCTCCGTCAGCAATCCAGTGCCCGATACTCCCCTCTTCCATTCGCCCCGGGTCACACCCATGCGGTGGCTCGTCCCCGTCCTCGACGTAGTGTCCATTTACGTTGATCACGTAGTCGTTGAGGACGTCGTCTGCTTTTGGCATTTTTATGCTTGCGATCAAACCATTCGCAACTGCCCACATGTCGTCGTCTTGACTTGCAGTAGTTTGGCAAGTCTTGAAACGACCGTTGCTCGATTCGATGACAAAGTCGACCTGGTCGCTGTCCTCATCTTCTGCATCGCTGTCGATCTTATCTTCTGTATCGCTGTCGACCTCATCTTCGTCCATTTCGTCGTCGCTTTCATCAGACTCGGACCCTTCTTCGACAGTCGTCGGGACCGCCTCAGATGGGCCTTCATTCTGGCTTGGATCAGTCTCGTCGGAAGCTTCTTGGAGTGGTTCTTGTTCAGCAATCCGTGATTGTTCGCGTGCTCGTGACCGAGTATTGTATCGATGGGAGGGTGCCATTGTGCTTTCTGTGATGGGTTGGACGATAAAGGCGTAACAAAAGAGTTGACGGAGGGTGAGACGCGAGGTCACCATTTTATCTACGCGCCAAGACATATCTGCTGGCTGTTCAGACAGTCACTGTTGCTAGGCAACAACGCACTTCACCTGCTCCAGTTGTGACTGCTAGGAAAGCCTTGCGTCCACTGACCCAAACCACTGAGAGGCCCCAGTAGCACCGCAGTGAATACTCTGAACGGGCTGATATATCAGTATATAGCATGATCACCAGGGCCTGGTATGATTGCAGGAGGGTGAAAGGTTTGGTGACTGTCGCTAACACTTATAGCCCTTCATGCTTGGTCAAGGACTATTGATGCTTTCTGTTTGGCAAACGATGGCAAGCAGCAGCAAGCATGATGTGGTGGAGTAGGTGGAGGCTTCCGATGTTCGCGGACGAGCAGCACATCCGGCAGCCGAGCAGCTTTGCTATTGAGTCCAAGAAGATGCTGAGGATATGTTCATGCTGTGGCCCTGACCATTTTGGCAACCTTCTCGGTGGTTCTTCCAAGCCCATTGTTCGCATAATAATCCACCGGATAGACGCCATCGCCTTCATCCCAATGAGTCTGGCTTCCCAGCACGACCAAAGCCTCATATGGTGTCAATAGAGGCCGTGGAAACGCATAGCCCCAGTCTATACTCAGTCTTGGACATGCCACCTGAACCCAGCAGTCGACGTCCTCGAACATGGCCAGCTTTCCCGGATAGATTTCAGACAAGAGCAGATTGATGAATGGAATCCCTTTTTGCTGCAAATACGTCTCGATCATGTTGAGTGTGTTTGAATTTCCCTGCCGACCCAGTGCTCCCAGAATCAAGCCCCATTTCTTTGCCTTCTTCGCCGTGGCAATGGCAGACGATCGCATGTCCAGCATCTCGTCATGTGAGTAGCTTTCTCTTGTCAACTTGCGTGAGTATGGATCATAACGGTACGCAGGCAAGTTGGGGTTAGCAATCATAGCAGCCTCAAGATGAAAGCGTCCATCACCAAGGTAGAGAATGAGATCAACGTTTGCATTGGCGTCCAGCTTCGGCGCTGTACAGCCCAAGACCTCACCTTTGCTCAGTGGTGCAATCTGCGGCGTTACGACCTTCAAGCTTCTGCTTCAAGGGCAGGCCTGACGTTATGCAGCGTGGCATTGAATTGGACTGTGCCCACCATGGCAATGGTCTTACCTGGCGAGATATTGCGGACCAGCGTCTTGATCAAATGATCTGTGTCAATGCTGATGTCCACGAAGATGTACAGAGTGGCAATCTTTGAAGCCGACAGCGGGATCAAGCAGCTGTGGGCATAGTGGACCAACAGGTCGCAATTGAGTGCCCGTGCAGTGTAGTCATCGATACAGCAGGCGCCATAGGTCACATCGCCCATGATGAGGGTCTCTGTGCCGGGGCAGAACTGGGTGAGGATGTCTGATATGGTGGTGGCGAATAACAGTAAGCCTTCAGGCATTTGCAGGGCGACTCGCTTTGCTTCGAGCGTCCGTATGCGATGAATGGTCTTGTGGATCTCGAACGAGTAGTTCGCCGGCAGTAAGGCAATGGCCGCGTTGATGTCTGCGTCGTCGAGAATCGAGGCAGGGATTTGATTCAGCGCTCGAGGCGACGTGTGTCTGTCCAGTCAGTCTCCTGTTCCCACCCTTCCATAGGGCGCAACGACTTACTGCTTGGTACTATCGCTGTCGGATCTTCAACTGATGTGCCATCGCCGACCTTCAGCTTGCCCTGGGCTTCCAACGTCTTCCGCCCGATGAACTTCTTCTTGGGCGCACGCTGGGCAGGCACCGGAGGGTCATCATCAGCGCTCGGGAACGCGCCAGGCATCGAAGTTTGATCCATTGTTGTAAACGCAGACGACTTCTCGGACCCGGTACGAAGACTGTCCCGAGCGATACGACAGCTTGAAATAACTTTACTGGAGTGATCGATAGAATGTCGCTGAATCAGAAGTCAGAAACGTTTGCTGCAGATCGCAGCGCGGAGCAACTTTCTCCGACCCGCACCGAGAACACAGTGATGACCTCACCTCAACTTTTACGACACTACTACCACTCCGCTACTGCAAGGTACCAGCGTAGTACAGCTGGCATACATACAGAGCACGTCCACAGTGTGCGTGGCATGTGCTGCACAAAGTAGCTTTCCTACTATTTCGTCGTCGATATAAGGTAGGCCTGGCCCGCGGGCTCTCACGATCCTACCTTCTTGCTCAAAGACAGCTCAACCCCGTCCACTCAGCCTCCAGGAATTACTGTAGCTCGGCTCGCTAGCAACGATGACTATCCTCACATCCCTCCTCCAGTTGACAAACTACAAGAACCCCTTCCTGAGGACGCTCGTGCCTTCAATTGGCCTCGCATATGGCCTGCAAGCCGCCGTAGCAGTGCCCTCCATAATTGCCCAATCCGAACGCTTCTACGACCTCTCCGGCTCACTGACCTACCTCTCCTGTGCCGCCCTGAGTCTCTATCTACCCGCCATCCGAGCCAGATCAGCGGCCAAGTTGACTGGCGCTCCTCTACCAGCATGGCCAAGTCTCGCAGATGCACTGCAGGGGAAAGGCGGAGCGCTGGGGTTCAATTGGCGACAGGTAGTTCTTAGCGCTGCTGTGAGCGTTTGGGCGTCTAGACGTGAGTATTGAGCTGCTTAGACTGGAGGGACTCTTCTGATAAGTGCACACAGTTGGAACATATCTCTTTCAGCGTATCATGGCAGATGGCGAAGACTCACGCTTCAAGAACATCCGCAACTCTCCACCCAAGTTCCTTGTCGCCTTCGCCGCTCAAGCTACTTGGGTATCTCTATGCCTCCTTCCGGTCTTGGCCATCAACGCTCTTCCAGCCGCTACCTTCGCGGCTTTGCCAGCGGCTGTCTCCATTACCGACATCATAGGCATCTTGCTTTATGTTGGCGGCCTGTCCTTTGAAGTCACTGCCGACAGGCAGAAGAACCAGTGGGTGCAGGAGAAGAAGCAGAAGAAGCACGACGAGGACTTCTTGACCAGGGGACTGTGGAGCAAGAGCCGCCATCCGAACTATTTCGGCGAGTCAACCTTGTGGACTGGTATTGCGACATTGAGTGCGGGTGTATTAGCCAGCAATGCCGGCGTGGCAGGTATGGGCTTGGCTGGTGGATTGACCGGCAAGATAATTGCACTGCTAAGTGCAGGCGTAAGCCCGGCATTTGTGACATTCTTGCTGTTGAAGGTGAGCGGCGTGCCATTGAGCGAGAACAAATACGACAAGAGATATGGCGACCGGAAGGACTATCAGAAGTGGAAGCAGGAGACACCGAAGTTCATCCCGAAGCTCTGAAGCAACGTCCGCATCTCTGCAACCTCGGTTAGTGAGACTCAGTCAAGGCTTTAACATCGGATTCGATGGATTGCTATTTGGCAATGCGATAGGAGTATTGTGAAATACGTCAAGAGCATCCGATGGAACACTATACCCTGCAAGCAAGCACAACTTGTCTTGATGCCTTGGCCTCGGACTTCGAAGGAAATGGTGTACGTACCCGTTTATGATGTCGCTCTGGACCTTGGTACGCATCATCTCGCTACCACTGACGCCATCCTTGCCAGCTCTCCACAAACGTTCTCTGGTAGCCTCGCGGCTCTCGGCTGGGTACTCGGCCCACTTGACTTCATGGGTCTTGATTACTGCGGATGTATCAGTACTAGGGTCAGAGGCTGTGGATGGCGATACCCTACTGAAACCAGGGGGGAAGGCTTTCAATTCTTCGGTAGACACCACTACACTGGTGTGAGTCATCCGATAGCATCATGTAGTGGGCTGCTTACTAGTGAATCTTCTGTTGCCGGACAAATGAAAGGGCAACGATATCAGACTCTATTGCGCAGAAATCTGCTCGTTCTTAGTCGTATACACGATCAATTTCTGCATGAATTGGCATCCGGACGTGTTCCTAAGAGCGACTGACCTAAGTATCGTGCTGTCGTATCTCATTGATAGAGTGGCTGGATGGGGTAGGTAGCCTTCTTCTTCAGGCAAGTTCTCCAGGTTCTATCGGTCGCGAGCCACAAACTGACTCTCGCTTCACCTCGGATTCCAGCGTTTGCTGTAGTAGTGGGTCACCGTATCTGTCCCTTCTACATGTGTGCTAAGGCCAATATTCAAGGGCACCCCTTCCCTTCGTTCACTCTCGGTGAATAGCAAGCGCGTATGACTGAAGCAGTGAACAATGTCCGGGACTGACCATAGCAGCGCCACGTCTGTGCGATGCTTATGTGGTGACGGAGCAGTCGAGATGAACGTAGGGAGGAGCCTGCAATTTCTAGCAATGTGGATGCCAACGACATCGATACCCTAAGCTCGCCATGCCTGCCGACATACAGGTTACTGTCCGCTTCCAGGATCAATGCGTCTTTGCCGGCGAAGAAGTCAAATGCACTATCACTTTCAGGAATGTTGCCAACACGTCGGAACCGGCCACTCCTGGCCCTCACCAACGACGCTTCAGCAGGACTCTCAGCATCGAGAAGTTGTCTGCAACGTCGCCAAGATTCAGTGATGTCTTGCAATCACCGAGAGTGGGCAAGGCGAATTATCCGCCGTCGGCCATGAAGAAGGCGATCGGATCTGGACCAGGAACTTCGGGTACGGCAAATCAAAGGCCGGGTCACAAGCACCAAAGATCCGTCTCTATCATATCGATTGGCTCGCCAACAGTCAGTGAATACCAACAAGATGCAGGTTCTGATCGACCACCGATGGGAGGACACCGAAGGTCTTCGACTGTGCAAGTCCATACTGGACATGATCGGCAGATAAGCTCGAGTCTTTCCTCTGGCTTACAGATCCCTCCTCAGAGCGGCAGACGCAGTCCGCTATCTTCGACCTCTGCTTCAACGCCAGTCTACGAGAGTAGGAGATCTACTCCAGACTTCCAGTTCCCTCCACAGTCGCAGGCTGCCCCGTCGAAGCAGCCATCACGAGATCCGTCCAGGGAGCCCTCGCCGAGAACTGCCGGCATGACTGGCACCGCCGTCCCCACGAGATTGCGCAGAGAGCCCTCAAACGCCAGCCGAGTCACCAGCGAGCGAAGCAGTGGCGACTTCTATTCAATGAGCAATCATTCTCACGAGACGCTGGTCTCAGAGCAGCCCTCTGTCCTATCCGAGCGACCACAAATTCAAATTCCTAGCGCTATGATGCGGCGGCATTATCGTATGGACACACTCCCGCAAACTCCTCGACGTCCACCACCACAGCCGGTTGACCTCATGATGGGCTATGCGCACCTGACAGCGACGTTCACAGTAGACGCATCACTCGTAGATCCGTCGCCATTCGAGGAAGTCAAGCAGAAGGGCTTCTTGGGCGGTCAAGCTGGCGGAGGTGTGGTGGGTGTGACACAGAAGAAGGCGCGACCGAATTCAGGCTTTCTTGGTGGCTTCAACTTCAACAGCATAGGCGAGTCATTGAATTCGCTCGTCGGAGGCGACAACATGTCGTCGGTCCGAGAAATGAATGCTGTCAGCAATTCCCGCGCTATACCTCTACTGAGCACACCACAATCACTGCTTTTCGTCAATCTCCATCTTGAGCCAGGTGAGGAGAAATCGTACTCATTCTCTTGTCCTCTGCCACGCGGCCTCCCGTCGTCGTACCGTGGCAAGGCCGTCAAATTCAGCTACAACATCCAAATCGGCGTGCAGTCCGCACCCACATCGACGCGTCAACCCGACCACAAAGTCCGCCAGATCAGCATTCCCGTCCGTGTCTTCCCTGGCGTCGACTCAGATGGGGAGATTCTCGGCCACGACCTCATGCAGCCACACGTGCTCCTTCGCGATCCCGCTAAGACTGCCTCGATCTCCGCTACCTTCCCCGATTCCGAGCATAAGGACCTACAGGCCAAACGACCAAGTACACTGATCCCAGCACTCTCCAATCATACATCAGCACTCTCCTCTCACGACCTCGTCGCCGTTTGTCCAGCACCGGCTCCTTGTACGAAAGTCAATCCCTGACATCGTCCGAGCAGTCTCACCCAACGTTGGCACTCATCAACCGTGCCATCCAGCTCTCCAGTCACCGGCAACTCAATTCCACCAATCCAAGCGGGAACCGCTTTAACATCACTCGCGTAGGGCAACCAGTCGCGCTGATCACCTTATCGCGCCCACTGCTCAAGTTGGGAGAAACAGTACACATCTCTGTTGCTCTGGCATCTCCAACTTTTGACGCGCCAACGTTGCCGCCACCAATCCGCACTACCTCGATCCACATGTCCCTCGAAACAACAGAAAAGGTCGCGCAAAGCCTAGCTGTGCGCAGCGCAGTAAGCATAGCCCGCGTCACACGCAAAATCTACGCGAGCTGGGGCAGCGGATGTGTGCTCAACGGCAAACGCGTGGTTTGGGGCGTCAAGGTCCCCACAGCAATGGGAACGAATGTAAGTCCAGGATTTGTGACAAGTGGAGTGGGCTTGGAATGGGGTGTGAGAGTTGAATTTGGTGTTTTGAAGAGTCACGAGAGGGCTGTCGACGATGAAGGGGTTACGGCAGGAGGCGGGGCACAGGATGAATACGACGACAAAGACGATATTGGCGAGAGAAGCGATGACGATAAACGTGGCGACGCCCAGCAAGCCCAAAGAAGACAAGGAGAAGAAGAAGACCAACAACAAAGGAGGATGTTACAACCTCGGACCGCTGCCTCCAGAACCAAAGGTAACAGCAGCGACGACCACGAGATATCCGAGCGGCAGACAGCAGAGCCTCAGATCTACGAACAGATCGTCCACGACGACCAGCGCGGCACTATCAGCATCGCCGCCGAAAGACTCGACTGCGACAGCTTCGAGGTGTGGATCCCGCTGACCGTGTACGGCGATGTCCTCCCAGTTCTCAGTAACGGCGAGGCCGGTGGCGAGGACGACGCAGTCGTGAAAGTCATCAGTCTGTAATTGGTCCAGAAGAGGCCTGGAATTAGGATGAGATGAACAGGAGCCGCAAGAGTCATGCCGATCAATCATTAGGGAGGCCATGATGCAGCCCTGTCAGTATTCCAGAGTAGCCTTAACGTCAACGACGGAATACTCCGTACAGTACGTCTGTTTTGTCCAGCCGAATCACCACTGGTAACTCTTCGAATGCTGTGGCCCCAGAAGTTGTGAGATCCAAGTCGGGTGGCCACGTGGCAAGAGGTAGCTGAGAGGCATTTTCGTTGTTCCCAGAGGCCCGGCTGCCTCCTACCTACCTGTCTAATTCCGCACGCTTCTCGCCCAACGGCTATCAAACCTTCCTAATGTATCAGACCACACCTCCAACAATGCAACGAATCATCAGAGGCCGCCCTGGACGAAACATAGTGAGACAGCTTAGCCGTCCGACCACATGTCCCTCACGGATCGTACAGAGAGGAACAGTCCCAGCCGTCCCTACTGAGTCAGCAGTTGAAGTCCCCGAATGACGATGGACGCCCCGTCTCCGACCTAGAGCAACAACTGGCAAGACTCAGTGCGCGACTGGGTGCCCTAGACACGACCCTCAAAGCCAGGCATGACACTCTCTTGGCACAACTCAATGACTTGAGCGCGACTATCGAAGCCCTTCCCGACAAGTCTGCGGACCCCTTCTCGTCTGGAATAGCCACAGTATGGCCTTGGGCCGTAAGTTATCCTTGTCTTTCCAATGGCAAGACCGGTCTAACACCTAAGATAGGCAGCTGTCGCCTTGATGGTGGTGATGTTTGAGAACGCTTTCCCGGAGATGCGAAGAGGGAGATCTTCGCCTGGGAATGACTAGACGGACCGCCGACAGCGTCGAATGTATAACACAACGCGAAACTCTTCTCCATTGAACATCAAATGAGCAGGGACTTCATTCCGGTTCTAATATTGCTGCTCGATAGATGATAGTGGAGGACCCATAAACTCCGCACTTGAACGCCTTCTCAATCTCGCAAGCAGCGCGGGGGCTGGTTGGCGTACCACATGTATCGACACCCTCAATCTCACGAAAAGTCCTCCTCCTCCTTCTCAATCCCCCCCTTAACCTTCAACAACAGCCCCGTCTTCCACTTATCCAACTTACTCATCTGATCATACTGGTACAACTTCTCACTGAACCCATCCTGATCGCCCTCCTCCACACAGCCCACCAGATCCTCCAGCAGCAAACACTCCCTCTGCTGCACAAAACTCGGATCCCACTCTTTATACTGCTCCAACGCCCTCTTCGTGGCCACCAGATCTCCGGCTGCGAGATGGCAGATCCCCGCTTTCAGCAAGTACTCCTTCACCGACCACCGCATGAGGTTGTTTTGCAGGCTCGACTTTGCCACACTCTCGAACCGGTCGGTCGCTTTGCTGTAGTCGCCTTCTAGTGCGGCGAGGTCGCCTACTTTCAGATATAGTTTGGAGGCTAGTGCTTCTGCGTTGTCGCTCTCGAACCACCCTGCGGCCGTCTCGTACGCGTCCAGCGCTTTCTTCTGGTCGCCGACTTCGTTCTCGTATACTTCGGCGAGGTTCTGCTGGTGAGTCGCTGCGCGTCGGAAGTTGCCTTTTGAGGTGTAGTGTGATATGGCAGTCGCTAGCACGCGTGCAGCGTCTTGCGGGGAGTCTTTGCGATAGACCTTGAATGCTTCGGTGAGCGTGTTTGCTGCATCGTCTGGTTCGGATAGGTGATTTGTCTGGATGTTGGCCGCCTTTTCTAGAGTCTGGCCGGCTTCGATGTCTGTAGTTACCAGTAGTCAGTTTGTGGATGCGCCGTGGCTTGAGGATGGCGCTCTTGTGACACGGAGATAGTCCTTGAAGCATGAGTCTATGACTAAGGAAGCGTACTTTGTTTCTGCAGCCGAAACGCATTCGCCGCCTGTGTGTACAGATCCGCCGCGTTCTCCCACTTCTCCGTGCGTCCACCGAAGAAGCTGAAGCCGCCCGTCGCTCCAGAGGCCGCCTTATCGGCTTTCTGGAGCAGGACTCGGGGGTCTTGTGCCATGTTGGTTGTGATGGAGGGGTATGTCGAGGAGTCGATCGGCGGCGTGATAAGTGACGTCCAGTATCCTAAGGGTGAGCGTCAGGGTCGAGTGAGTTGTTCGGGTAGTGAACACCTGGTGGCTTCTCAAGCCAGAAGATGTGCTGCCTGAAAATCGCCAGTTTAAGGTGAGGCATGTCGAGTCGGGAGTGCCTGTGCCAGCGGCCTTCCAAGGATGACGTGAAAGTGGGGAGCTGCGCTCGTTGTCAACCGGTCTTCAAGTTGTATGGCAGTAGCCTTTGTCTGGCTTGTGCGACGAAATGGCTGCAGGAAAATCTTTTATTCAAGACACCTTGCTGATGGCAAATGCTTGATTCATATAAAGAACGCTCATGCTATTACACAACCCAGGCTACTGTCTAAGGTCGCTTCGTTACCAAATGCTACAATTTCTTTCCAATCCAATCAACACCACGTAAAGAAAGGCTGCGAGCCTTTGACGGTCTCTAGTCGCTCCACGATGACCTTTCTCTTGTGTCCCTCCATATCACTAGCCGCTGCATAGCCAAGATCTCCTTCCAGGTCATCGTCACCCATGCCGCCGTAGTTCATGGACGCGGTCTGTCGATGCCCACTACGAGTACTATTGCTTCGCCCTCGGTTGCCAGGTCTGGGCAGGCTGCGCGAAAAGTCGAAGCTGAATCGCGCATTGGCGTGGCGATGTGGCTTGGGACGGGTCGGAATAGGTGTCGTGTCTTGTGAGAGATTATGACGGGCTTCGCTTGCGTGCATGTCTGCGTAGCCGCGCATGGAAGCCTCGTTCAGGGACATGGGTGACATGGGCCCTGAGAGATCGGCAGATCCAGCCTCCTCGCCGATGTCTCCCAGGTCACCAGCGCTACGATCTTCGTGCGACAGTTCGAACCTGTTGGGGTTAGGGAGATCATGCAGGGAAGGAGATCCCAAGAGGTCAGCCTCGACTGGTGTCGGTCGAGATGGAGCGGTAGTCGAATAAGCTCCTATATCCATCTCGTCCTGCTCGATCCTGACTTTCTTCTGCGACCTCTTACTTGCCTCGGGCGACGTCGACCGTAGTGGCACAGCCACAGGAACGTCAACCAAGTCATCCCATACGCAGACGCGAGTTCGGCGGGTCAATTCGAGCGGTCCATGATCCATCTGCTTGAGTGTCTCCACGACGTTCCATGCCTGACCTTTCATGACAGCAATTTGCTTAGCGAACATTCGCTCCTTGAAATCCTCGTCCATGGTGAACACGTGTCTCAAGGCGATGGTCGTCTCGGTCCACCATGCCGTGCTTGTCAGCAGTGGTAGGAAATGGTCGCGGGTCTTCTGGGTGAACGGCTGCCCAATCAGAGATACCGGCAGGAAGAGCCACCCAAATGGATACGATCGCCAGGCGTCTGGATGCTTCCAAGGCCATGAGAGTGAGTTATCGATGGCTCCCAGCGTCACGTGTGCCGTAGGCTGCTCGGCCAACACAGGTGTGCTTGTCCGTGATTGTGTTTCCATTGCTTCGTATCGACGATATGGGCGAGAGGTATTGGATTCTGTACGCTGAGAGGGGGATGCTGCACGAGGAGTTGAGTGTCCAGCAGACAATGCTCCATTGGCTTTGGGTGGTTCGGCGACCATGTTGACTTCTTCCGTTTTCGTGTCTATCCTGATCATCCAGTTGTCTAGTCCTCGATCCGTGTTCCGCATTATGTAGTCTAGTATTACCAGCTTCTCTAGTTCTTCTCGGAAGCTTTGCTTCAGCTTTGGTGTCCAGTGAAATCTTTGTTGGAGTGCCGGCGAAGGGCTGTCGAGTCGAGGAGGTGCATCTTCGTCGTCCGAGACGTTACCACCTGGTATGCAGTTGGCAAATGCTCGCCTCTTGCTCTTGTGTTCCATATCAGGGCGGAAGTCGGCGTTGTTTTGATCTGGCCAAGGGTGTTCTCGCAAGAACATGTTGGCATCTTTGAAGCCTTTCAAGAAGACCTGAAAACTGCCGGGTTTTGCGGGCAGGCTCTTCTTCCCGCTCCATGTGCTGCGGCGCTCCCAGAAATCGTAGTAGAAGGACTTGGACGAAAGATAGACAACATCGGTATATGGTACAAGGTTGATTCTTAGCTGAGCATCGAGTACGTATGCCGCAGCTTCCGACACATATGACAGATTAGGGATGAGGCAAGCTCGACCGAAGAACCATGGGAAGAGGTTTCGATGCACCCATTTGGTCCATTTGGGATTCCTGGTCGCGTATGGCTCTTCGTCCTTGGGCTTGAATACACCGACAACTTTTCCCTCGCTGTTTCTCGCAAAGTAACTGCCTGAGCTGCCTTTCGAAATCATTTTTGGGTGCATGTTGAGTTCAATTGCAACACGGACACTTTCGACCACATCGTCGAATTGCTGCTTGGTCATGCGCGACTCGTCGTTGTATGCTCGTAAATCTTCCTGCGTTACTGGCCGCACACCTTCTGGTGCTTGGAAGACAGAGTGGTGAATCTCAAGCCTCTGCTCGCCATCCTCTCGTCCTGGCCGGCCGCTGCTCTTGAACTTGTGTACAATCTCTTCTGCCCATCGTTCGAGTCTGGCATTAATGGCTTTAATGTCTACGCCAGAATTGGTCCGCACTCTTCGCAGCGGACGCTTAGGAGATCGGCCGGGAGTAGGCCGCATGCCCTCGCCGGGCCCTGGCTGAATGGCAGCATACCGCGTTGACAGAGGGGTGTTGTTGTATGACTCGTCACCAGAGTCGTCTGAGAGGACTCGGTCGTCCTCATCGGCTTGGGCAAGCTGAGCATAGCCAGATGTTGCTGGTCTTTTTCGAGGCATGCTGAGCTGAGCGCATACCTGGCGCTGGTCTGTACTACCGCATGGGTCCCGCGAATCTGTATCACGGATGCGACGGAACAGGGGACAAGTGACTGTACTGAGAAAGGGAGGAAAAGATTGCGAGTATTGAACAATTGGATGTGTCGAGTTGTATCTGGTACAGGCATCAGACCAACCGCTATGAATGTCGTCCGGCCTAACAAAGAATCGGCAAGCGGTAAGCCCGCTCCGACTACACGTCCCGGTGGCCCATAACGGCCATGGCGCCATCTTCAACGCTGACCTTCCAGTCACCTTCTTTGGCTTCTCGAATCTGCACACCATGAACCACGTTCTAGCTATGACGCCGCAGAGCCGCGTCAGGCCGAAGTGTCGAATATTAGAGACAGGGCTGCCTGCAAAATCCTTCTACCGCTTACTGAAGTCGACTTGACGAGCAGCCACATCTGCTGAATCTTGGCACGGATCTACCAACTCAATTGCTCATAGACGAGCCGGATACTCAGCGTCGAAGATATCAACCCTTGAGCCTTGCTGTCAGCCCTTGGTGACTAGCCCACGAGCCTGTCGATGGGCTACTTCGTATACTACAAGGGTCTGTGGTGGTGATCCCCTACGAACGCCTGTACCTGCCCAGGGGAAAGGGGCAGCAATCCGATCCGACCTCCACTCCGAGCACCGAAATTGATTGCAATTTCTTTCCCCGGATTTCTTTCCCAGCTACCCATTCAAAACATTCGCACATAGGCTGAGAATGAAATGCTTTCGTTGCAGCCAGCTTCGAAAGGTTTGCTGCTTGAATTGATAGCTGATAAGTCGCAAGGAATGAGGACCTCTCACTGGTGCTGTGGGACATTCCACGCAGAGATCTTCAATGTATTGCCCATCCATCAGATTTTATACAACGCCAATCATTGAGCCACTAACGCTCGCATCAAATTGACGGGCGGGTCGTTGATTCGGTGCCCCTGACAGGGAATCATAGGCTTGCCGCCGCGTTGCCTTTCTGCATCAATCTCTATCGATAGTACATCATCTTGTGGTCCTCACAAGACCCTCATGCTCTCCTTTCCTCATTGACCAGTTCTTTAGCAAGCACAACGATAGCCTTGACTTTGTCGTCTTTCTGCCTCGATTTTCGGGGCGTCCATTCGTTTAGTTGACTTGTGCGAGACTGCCAGGTCTCAGAACCGCCATCACGGCATCTGCAGTCGCGTCCTACTTCCGGGCATCGCCCATCGACCAAGCCCAGCATGGCACACCCTCGATCTTGTCCGAAGAGACGTTCACAAACTACCATGGCGTCAAGGCCGACCACCGGCTGCCCTCTCCGCTAGCAACGGCTACCGCGTATCGTCCAGATCTTTCGCGAGCATCTTCTGCATCCTCCCACACATCGTCCAGCCTCGCTACCCCACAGACATACCAGCAAGACCGCGTCTCGAGTTTTGGGCATCCAGATCAAAGCAAGACCACATTGCCAGGGCTGTCACAAATAGCTGGGCTTGTTACGACACCATTGCAGAACAGGTTCGTTCAAAATGGTTGGTCACGGGGACGCGTGCTTACCATTGATGTATAGATCATTCTCGGCAACACATGCGCCGATGAGCTACCACCACACCTTATCAGCAGTACCGACCCCAGGAATCGCGGGACTGATGAACAGTGCACCTGTAAGTGTTGCATCTCTCCTACATTTTCACCATTTCACTTTCCAGAGGAATGCCAAGCGCGGCAAAGTTTTCTCCGACTTCGCGATAATCGATAAGTTATCGATACCATTCATCTTATCTTCTCCTGCTCATTTGTTCATCATGGCTGCTTCGTTGCCGGAGAGCACGACTAACTCGTTGCCTTTTCAACAGCCGGTATGCCAGAATTGTTCGACCTCAACGACGCCGTTATGGCGACGCGACGAGCAGGGTTCGGTCCTCTGCAACGCCTGCGGACTTTTTCTCAAGCTTCATGGCCGCGCCCGACCGATCAGTCTCAAAACAGATGTGATCAAGAGTCGGAACAGAGTCAAAGCCAGCGGAACTCCCAAAAAGAAGGTACATCTCGCACTGATGATTTGCTCGAGTGTTTGCTGACGCTAGCATCAGTTTGAGAATGGTCTTCCTGCGACACAAAGCGCCGACATGATAGCACCACAGAACAGACGTGTCTCTCACATGGCTTCGGGGGAGTCCCAACGGTCGAATTCTCCAGTCTCGCGGACTGGAACACCTGGAGCACAAGATCCCAACATCGCGCCTCAACACATTTTCGATAGCGTTAATCTAGGGGAGAACGGTGCAGGCGGCTCGCCCTCGCTGCCTCCACTGAATCATGCGTTTGGTCTGTCGCCGAATGCGTTAAACGGACTGGACTACACGACATTGGTTGCCAACAACGAAACTCTCCGGACACGTGTGTCGGAGCTCGAGGTGATCAATAGTTTCTACTCCGACAACGAGAACAACCTGCGTTCAGAGCGAGACAAGGCCATCCAAGAGCGAGACGAATTCAAGCGCAAGTTCGAAGAGCTGCAACGGCAACGCGAACAGGAGCGCGAACAGGAACCGGAGTTGGAGCATCCTGCCAAAAGACCCAAAGCGTCCGGCGACACGAGCGAGCAGTCGGCCACTGAAGCATGAACACGTTTTTGAGTAATGTGCGATTTCTCACGCCAGGGAGGGCGCCAGGCCAAGAAAAAACTTGAATAGACACGACCAGATCAGCCAGACGCCTGGCAACAACCAAAAAGTGATACCCACGATCGATTCCCAGCAGAAGGCCGCCGAATCGTGTTTGACGATGATGGCGCATGTTAATATGGCTAACAAATAATTACCAATGTACAACACCAGATCCTGAAAATCATCCAGCGCCCTCAGCCTGTGTCGCCACCATGAGCAGTGTCTGGAACGCCAGGCTGTGCTGATTACGGAATTGTGATTTCATTGAGCTGCCAAGACCATAGCTCCTTTCGCAAGCCACGGTTTCGATAATGCTGCAGGTCGAGGGATGCTCTTGGACCGAACACGTTGACAAACGGCTGGATCACTCTTTGAGACACCAAGTCCAACGGCAAAAGCGTGTTCGATCGATCATCGTTCTCGGCAGATGTCCCGCGCCTGGCTTTCCCCGTATTCCCAGCCTCTACTGCATCTCGGTCTTGGCATTGGTCTTGCTGACTACACGGCATCCCATGCGTGTCATCTCATCGTTCGCCGGACCTGTTCTGACGTGCGTTTCAGTCGCTGTCGGAGGTTTTGGTGACCGTCGGTGTACTGACCCGCGGTTCAATTTGCCGGAAGGGATTTATTCTCCCCGCTTCTTACTCCCTTGCCACTGCCTTCCGCACCCAAGCATCTCTTCAAGCAGGCGCCCTACCGTTTTTTCTCTCGTTCCCAATGGTAAGAACCATTGGTTCTTCCGGCCTCGTTTGTTATTCTCACCACGAACCCTAAGTCAGATCCTCCGATTTGACGAAAGTCGCATTCTGTCTATACATTGTCATCATCATTCAAGCGGCCAAGGCGAGTTGTCATTCTGATTTCACGACGGGCCAGACCCTGATAGTGCCTCGAATGGGCTTCTGATCGCGAGCTAGATAGGCAATTACCTGTTCAGCAAGCAGCTCTTCGTAGCGCTCGCATCACTCGCGAACTTGGCCATGCCATAGTACCGTGACGAAACTATGCGCGGAGCATCAAGCAGACACTTTTTCCTGAAGGAGACCGCTACGCGGTCCGCCGGCCGGAGGATCTATTTTGGCTCCAACGTTCCTAGCTACGCCACAAGCACTGCAGAAAACTCATCGATTACCACCCTCACTCGTCCTTGGCAGTGCATTGACTTATGGGCGACTGCCAAGCTATTCCTCCCTGGCCGATACCATGCACTTTGCCTTTCCATCCAGGACGAAGTCATACAGCTTATGCCGAGCTATGATTTGCAACTGATGCAAGCATGCTGTATGGTCTCGATGGCCCAAGCTGAGCAGTGCTCTGGTACCTCCGAGTCAGCTCATGTCATCTCATCGTATAGGTTCGGGCTCAACACGCATGTCATTCGTTGCACGATGCCATTGAATGTGGCGCCTTACAGAAACATGCACGTCACATAAGGCGGCCTTCAAATCATTCAGGCTTGCACAGTGCTATGTGTAAGACCCCTTCCGCAAGCATGGGGGCCGTCTACGATATATAAGGCAGACAATTGCCTTACCGGGCATTTCCTCGTTCTCGAGACTCTCGTGTCAAGCAGACGGCCCACCCCAGACTCTGAATCGTGTCTAAGTACACGCCCGACAGCTCATCGAGGAGTTTCGACCCAGCACGACACTCAACACACATCACCTCGCTGCCATCAAGCATGCGCAAAGCCAACACACTCGCCGTCCTCGGCGCTCTCATCCCCGCAGCCTTTACCGATCCCGTGTTCAGCCCTCGTGTCCCCATCGAAACCGCCACCCTAACGTTCTTCACCACCTCCTCTCCCATTTGCTCAAAGTCCGAAGCCAGCTACTCCGACATACACTATGTCTTCACCTCACTCGACAAATGCAAGGACCTGAAGTATACGCTCGGCTCCCCTTACCATAACGTCCAAGTCAGCGAGCTTTCCCCGGACTTTGCCAATCTGGGTTGGGAGGTGGTTTTGTACGAGAAGAAGGGATGCAAGGGTGATGTGGTTGGCCGGAAGAAGTTGGATGGGAAGGTGAAGGAGGAGACGTGCTATGGGATTGACTTGGCGCGGAGTGTGCTTCTCACTCCTGCGGGAGATGACAAGGAGACTGGTTTTGACGGTACGTGTTCAGCATTCCCGTCCCTCTTTGTGCCTGGCGGCAAGGATGGCGAGGCTTCCGTCGACTGCAGCTAGCTGACTCGTACTCTCGCAGATGGCTCAAAAGATGACACCGACACCGCCCCACTCGTCCCAGATGATGTTCTTGGTAAGCTAGCCCACCTTTCTTGCTCTAAACCTCTCTCTGTCATCGCGTCCCTGTCGTCGTTGGACTGCCCATCATGTATCCGCTCCTGCCAAACGCCGTCTGGCTCAAGCAACAAGCCCCTTCGCGTCCAGGCCAAAAGCCAACAAGCATGTTCAGAAGGAACCTTCTTCCCAACAGGCCAAACGCCCACAATCCCGCCAAGAGATCCCGAGGCGGCCGATCAAGAAGCGCCGACGCGCATTGAAGAAGGACACAACGCGCCCGCTCCCGCATCAGACGTCACTGCTCGCGCTGTGCCGCCGCGTGATCCCGAGGAGGGCGACCAGAAGAAAGCAAAGTCTTCTTCGTCAACATTCACAACGTCGACCACCAGGCACAACGCGCCAGCGCCAGCAAGCGATGTCACAGCTCGTGCTGTGCCGCCTCGGGATCCCGAGGAAGGCGACCAATTGGACGAGTCACCAGCGCTCGGCCGCAGAGCACCGAAGAAGCCCAAGAAGCCCAAGAAGAAGGTCGACTGTGGGCCCGTGAACAGTGATTGCAATGTCGTGGCGGCGAAGGAGTCGACGGGGAAGAACGACTGATCGGTAGGTCGTTCATTTGCATGCTAGCGCCGATCGATTGACTGGCTCTTCCTTCATCAAGTCACGTTCCTGTTCACTCTATTCTAATCAGCTGTTCTCCAGAGCAACGTCTTGACGACAACCCATAAATCTTTTGTGTTGGGACAATGAGTGCTGACATTTGATGTTCCAGTATCCCCGGTGGACGACTCGACCAGAGATCCGGGGAGCTCGCTGATTGAGATCTGTCATGCGGATCTGCTGGATCCGAGATGCCAGCCTTGAGATGTTTGTGATGGTGCAGGTGAGGCTTGATGTGCTTCTTTTTGCCTTTTGGCAAAATGTGTTCACACGCGATTGAGGCTGCTTCTGAGGTGATCGGGGGGTCAGGTCATGACTAATGAACCTGCATGTATACGAAATTGGACAGGACCTATGTAGCTTAATGGCCATTCACCACCAGTGCAGGTATTGCTCGCCTCCAATACCGACGAGTGGCTTCCCTTTGGGAGGCAGCTGAGTAAATCGCCTGTGTGCTTTGATCATTGGCGCACCAAAGGACTGGATAATTCCATACACGACCTCTTCTGGATTCACCTTCCGCGAGTACACCATCGATACAGCCAGTATTCGATCCCGTTCCATCCCTGTTCAGCTTCTGTTACCCGCCAGCCGCAATCGATGAGTGCTATAACTTGCTCTCAAGCCCCACTGGTCAAGACATAGCCAACCCGAGACCGCTTATAGACTGCAAATAAGGCGGGGGTGTATGCAAGTATACCAAGTTGTTTCTAGCAGTTATGCAATGCTACTCGTCATGATTCCCATTCTCCCTCCCAAGCTGATCATTTACCTCTCTGGCCCGCCTTCAACGCACCACTGCTACCATCGGTCATGATCGCGCTTCGCAGGAAGGCTTCCCCATCGACCGCCCCTGCTACAGAAAGTGTTCAGAGAGGCTTCTACATATGCTGTCAATCGATCGCTCCTGCCGCATGAAGGTATCCGGAGGGGCAGCTGCCAGCGGCCTCAGCTGATGGCTCCTGCAGTATTAGAGAAAGTTTGTGAAGAGGCAGGTGCGAACAGTGAAGCCGGTCGCTCTTGCATTGCTAAAGATAATATTAAGCGAGGCAGGTGCGTGAGCAGTCAGCCGGTCTGCTACAATCACAGTCATCCGGTCTTAAGTGAGTCCATCGTGCTGGTCGGTGTCGCATAGATCGAACGCCTGAGAGCGTCCTTCTGCCGTTGCTGCCTTCTCGCGCGACGGGGAGTTCTAAACAATCGTGGCTTCGCTTCGTGCTCGATGCCTGCTTCGGTCCCCTTTCCTGAAAAAAGCCCAAGACACCGCATACGCCAAGGCCTTCACCCAGACTTCGATCCGCCGTTGAAACTGCAACAGATCTAGCCTGCACTCGCCCCTAACGCAGCATGGACCTCTCGTCAGCCTCTTTCTAGCGAGGCCGATAGTTTGGTGATGTCTGTGAAAATGCGCAACCTCGATTCAGGTGTCCAAAAATGCTGTTTTCAGGAAATTGGTCTCCCCAACGAAGTTGTGCCTCCCCGGACAAGCAACTTCGGCAACACAACGAGAGTTGGGTAATTTGCTGCGCCCCGGGGTTTTGAAGTCGGGGGCGCGTAAGGATGAAAAGTCGATATTTCTGGTGGTCGGTCTGGGTCGCCACTCTGAAGGTCTTGGCATCATACGCAGCGATTGGAAGTCCCTAGCTGGGTATGTATAGTTTGAGACTCGGACACGGAAGGTGATCCGCGGAGTAGACAGTTCCAGTGTGCCAGTGTGCTCGGCGTTCGTTGTTGGCGTACTGCACTCGAAGTCCTCTTCCCCTCTCCTCTCGGTGGAGTCTCTGTGCTGTAGTCTGCCGGGCGGCATTAGGCTGCATCTGAATTCACCTCTCCGTCCTCGCACCCCTCGTAGATCCATCACTCTCGACTTGAAGCCGATCAATGTCTCCCGTGACCTCCAGGATCTCGCTCTCGATCTCCCCATACCTCCTTCCCAACTTCTTGAGAACCGTTGCCCTTGTTGGCCCACCAGCATCATTCACCAGATCCCTTTCTGCTGATTCATACTCTCCTAAGGCCTTCCTGAGCTGCTCCTTTCGCTCTTGTAAAACTTGCTCCTCTGCGTCTAACCTCGTTAGCACGGCGTCCCCATCAACAGCCCCATCCCGCTCTAGCTCCTTCAGCATAACTTCCCCCTTGGCTCTCAACCCCCGCGCAACGGCCTTGTCGAAATCCGCCCGCGCCACGAACGATCTTGCTTCAGAGGCTGCGCCGTAGACAGTGCTTTCGAGTCGTGGAAGGCGGGATCTTGTCAGTGTTGTGGAATTGGATCTGAGGAGTGATGTTGTGGAGGCTGCTAGGTTGAGGAGGGCGTTTGGCAGGGTATGCGCGTGGAGGCCACGCGAATGGGAAAGGAGGTGCTGGAGGTGGACGTCCACGGCGGAGGAAGGGCCAGACGGAGGAGAAGATGACGCCGGTGTTGATGAGGCGTCGCAAGACACCATAGCATTCCGTCTTAGCCTGCCCTCCATTCCGATGAGCAGTGCGCTGAGCTGCGCCGAGAGCGGCGAAGCAGATGAAGTCGTCCCTACTTTTTGCCCTGTTCCCAGCTCTGGGGAAAGCATGCTTCGAAAAGTCGCAAGATCCTGCCTCATCAACCCATGCTCCTCAGCACTCAAATCTGGCGCAGATGCGATGTACTGTACCATCAATCCAACCAGACCCATATCCTCCTTCGTCAAGACAGAACCCTCCTCGGCCGTCTCATGATCGACGTCCTCTACCACCTGCCCTGTCCCTGCTTCCTCAGGACCCACTGCACCAGCACCACGGCCACCAGCAACGCTGCTCAACGCCCCCAACAACAGCCTCTCTCGCGCGAGCCGCTCCCTTAATGCACGTAAATGATCCGCAGTACCTTCGTAGTCCTCATTCCTCGCGCGGCTCGACGCGTCGTGCTCGAGATATTTGGTGATGAGGGTTTTATGTAGTGTCGCAAAATGTGGGTTGTTTTCCAGGAGCGAGGGCTGCGGTGGGGGGATCATGGTTGGACATGTTCTTCTTTTTTCGGCATATTTTTTTCGCTGATGAGTCGTCAACGAGGGTCGGTGAACAAGATTGTAGTAGTCGGGTCTTTGTAGGGCATAGGATGACGATGTATTCTGTCAATGAGAGGTGAAAAGTGGTAGCTGGTTTCTACTGAGGTTCTCGGGTTGTTCTCTTAGTCTACTGGTTCTTGGCACTATCGGTATCAGCGTCCTAATGCTCCATTATAGCACAATACATCGAATCACCTTGCTCGGCGGAAGGGTTATGTGAAGCAGTTATGAAGGGTGCAAAGGGTATCTTTTTCCCAAGTAGAACTATTTGCCCCTTCTGCTCTTCTCATACATACTCTTGAGCTCATGTCTCTGCTATTTCTGATGTGCCAAAAAAGATCGCTGCTTTGCGACCCACGTGTACTTAGACTCTCAGCCGCGCATTTGTGTTAACGACCACAGCTCTTCCGATACCTTCCGCTGCGGTAGGTAGTTGACGCTGCTGAAAGTGAAGCCCATTCAGTGAGAGCCTGGCTCAAGCAGCCAGACAGGTGTTCTCTCATGTAGAGGCATCAGCCTGAACAGCCACGGCAAGCTTTGACACTGGTTGAAGTGGCGAAAAGCAAGGAGCTAGGCAATACGTTGCTTAGTGTAGTGTGATGAGAGCAATGCTCAGGTAATCGCTGCAATTTGTGCTGTGATAGAAGTGCCGAACTACAAGCCATGGCCAGACTCACTACCAATCACTCATCTTCAGTCCTCCTCACTCTCATCAGAAGAATCGTCGTCGCTATCGTCATCATTCTCGATGGACTGCATCGCGCCGGGACTAGCGGCATCGCCCGAAGCGTCGTAAGCACTCAGCTTGCCGCGAAGGGACTCGATTTCGGCTTCTTGAGCGGCCTTGGTCATCGGCTTGTTCTTCTTGGACTTGGGCGGAGCAGTTGGAGCTGATGCATAGTTGTCATCGTCGCGAGATGTCTCCTCGGGCGGCGGTCCCGCATACTTCTTCACGTATGACAGGAGCTTAACCAGAACGTGGTTCGGGACCTCTTCAATATCGAGTTCGACCTCACTATCGTTCGACGCGATGTTGGGCATACTGGATTGAATAATTCGCAGCGCCTCATTCATCTGCTTCTCGGGAAGGAGGCCAATACCATTAGAGATGTACTGCTTCTCGGCGAACGTGACGAACTTCTCTTTGGGAGGCTTCGATGCCTTTTTCTTCTCTGGCTTCTGCAGGCCGGGGAATGTTGTCTTCGGCTTCTCTTTCTTGGACTTAATTTTGCTCTTCTTTGGCACTGGAGCATTTGGAGACTTTTCCTTCTTCTTCTTGTTGGATTTGGACAGCCCTTCCATCTGTTTGTTCATCTCAGCAATCTGCTTCTGGAGTTGGGCGATCTTGTTGTTGCGCTCATCGCCAGAGTCGTCGGCATCCTCCTCCTCACTCTCGCTACCCTCATCCTCCTCATCGGCATCAGACTGCGGCTCACTAGGCGGCTCACGAGCGGCGATCCAGTCGTCCTTGGTAGCCCACTTCTTGTTGAACAAGTCTTCGAGAGCGTGGCCTTGTTGGTTGACATAATCACCGTCGGGGTTGAACTTGTAGCAATTCTTGAAGACTAGGCGAACATCCTCCTCGAAATCTTTGGCCTTCTCGTAAGCGTTGCCCTGTAACTTCGTCTGGACGGTGCCAAGATCCATTGGCTTCTTGATGATCTGGAAGTACGTTGGGATGTTGAGTGCGACGGGATCAACTGGATGTGTGAAGTACTGATTCATGATCCAGTTGCGCGGAGAAGTCAACTCTTTGATCACCTCCTCGCAGAAGCGGAGTTGCAATTCGTACTTCTTCTTCTTGGGCCGTCCAGATGCGAACTCATTGTTGCGCTTTGTGGGGACGATCTGCCGCTTCGGACGACCATCAGCCATGTTGCTATCACGGCGAATGAGCGGGATGCCATCGGGACCAGGCGCGAATGCGGGTGCTGGAGCGGCGGCCGATTTGGGAGACGGGGCGACAGGAGCCGGCGCATTTGATGTCGACACGCTGGGACGCCTCGGTGGTGCGGTACGAGTAGGCTCTATCTTGGCTCTCGCTGCTTTCTTCTCCTCTTTGCTCGGTTCGGCAAACTGCGCTTTGGGCAAGTGTTGCATCTGGTTCTTGAACGAGCTCTGCATCTTGAAGGCGGACTGGGTGACGACATGATCCTTGCCATTGAACAGAACGCAGTTGTTGACGATGAGATCAAAGTCGGCCACGAAGTCCGAGATCTTGGTGTAGCCATCGGCCTTGAGCTTCTGGTCGATCTTCGACAAGTCCATAGGGTGCTTGACAACCTCTGGATAGTTCGGGATCTTAAGCGCGACATGATCGACAGGCTGTCTGAAGGATGCTGAAGCGTTGCTCTTCTTGAGGTTGGAGATGACCTTCTTCATGTGGTTAAGCCGAGGTTGGGTGACCGAATCATCGCCGTCAGGAGCAGGTGTGCTGGCCGCAGGACTCGCAGCTGCGGGAACATCGGGGACCTTGAAGCTCGTCTCTGGCTCGTCGGTCTTCATACGCTTAGCCGACGGCTCGACGTCTTCGGGATCTTCTTCGCGCTCTCGCGCAGTCTTGACAGGAGGAGCTTCTGTCATCTCTGCATCCTCGACAGGCTGTGTGAGAAGAGAAGAGGCGAGAGGAGCTGGCGTCGAGTCTGGCGCAACATCTTGAGAAGCTCTAGAGACATCGCTTCGGGTTGAGAAGGCTCAGCAGGAGTTGGAGTTGGTTCTACAGGCGTCTCTGTCGGCAAGGTTGGGTACTGTATTTCGGAGTTGGTTTGTGCAGTCGTCTCGGCTGGCAACGTCGCGTGCTCTGGCTCCGGTGGAGGAGGTGGAGTCTGCGCTGGGGGAGTCGCAAGACCCGTCTCTGACGATAACTTTACTGCTTCGGGTACCGCACTGACAGGTGGTAAGGTGACTGGTGTTTCGGATTGCTCCGGGACCGCAGATAATGGCGCTTGCAGAGACTCTACAGGTGGAGGAATTGCAGTAACGGCGTTGTCTTCAGCGTGCTTCTGCGCTTCGACAGCTGCAACTTCGCTCGCACTCAGCGCATCGGCATGAGGCGGCGAACGAAGGTCTGATGTCGGCGCTTGAGGCGCAGGATCTGAGATCGATGCCAATGATGGTTGGTCGAGGTCTGTGAGTTGCGTCGCTGACTGCGTCTCTGCTGGGATCGAAGATGGTACGATTGAATCTGCAAATGAATTTGTAGCCGAAGTCGTGGCATCTAGTGGAGCCGCCAAGCCTGACGAAGCGTGGGTTGTCGTCGGCGGCAACGAGTCAGGCGCAGCCGGCACTTGAACGCTCGAAGACTCTGTGGGGTTCACAGCCGCATCATCAGCATGGAAACCATTCGTCGTTGGTGGTGCAATGTCGATGGCTGGTGCGCTATCCACATTCGGAGTTGAGTTGGCCTCAACAGGAGCTGTTGAAGCTACTTCGGCATTAGATATCGACGCTTCCACATTCGACGCTATGTGCTCTGCTTCAGGTTGCTCTGAGGTCGATCCGAACTGCTTAGGTAGGCTAAGATGTTGTCAGTCATGAATAGGATTGGCATTGCAAACGAGCGAAACTCACCCTTGAGCTTCCAGGCTCAACTCGACATCCATGACGACGATCTACGACTACGAGTAGCCGGTCGCAATAAACAAGCGTCAAGTGGCGATCAGATGGATTGTTTGGTGCTCTTCTGGCGCAACGGATCGAAGGAAGAGGGAGAGAAGAGAAGCAGATGGTGAGTCAGGCGCAAGATATTAATAGTAAAAGCTGCCGCAGATTGAATGCCTTCAGTGAAGTTCTGCCTATTGCCACAGTCAAGTGGCAATGACTGTGTTGATAAAGAAGAGAAAGCCCGCCTGAAAGGTGATGTGCCTGCCTCAGAAGAGAAGGAAGTCGCCTGCGGAGTGGCACGTGATTGCTCTTGCCAAGGCCGGAAGATCAATCGTCGACGTGAAGGATGTGGCCTGGTGACAGTGACAACAACAAGCTCAGTGAAGAGATGCGATGCCAGCGACAACAGCGACTGCTTCACCCTTCCCTGCCCTTCTTCAATGCAGGTGTCGACAGGATGTGGTAATGATGTATGATCGCCTTGCAGTTAAGTCAGGACGAATCAGAGCAGTGCTTGGCACGGCTGTTGGTGTGGAATAGAGAGAGAAGGCCGGAAATCGAGGAATTTGGAGTTGATATTTTGAGGAGGGGCTGCGTTCAATTTAAGTAGCCTCGGCCTTCACAGGCCACTCTGTTACTCTTGGGAGCTCAAGCAATCATTGGGTTTTAGGCCTCTCCACTACGCCAGACACGACCAATGACAGTCGAGAAGTAAGATGATGAGCCCACACCTGGGATGCGAAAAGCACGCTAGTGAGGGGTCTGTGCGTCAACCATCGTCTTTTTCCTCTTCCTTTTTTGCCCCTTTCCTACGCGTCTTGCGCGCCTTGCGTGCCCAGATATCAGTTCATCGGTATCCATTGATCATCAGGCTTGATGACCTCGTGCTTCGGTGTGCATCGTCGTCAGTTGGCATTACCTTCGCCATTCCGACGCCAAATGTCGCGCCGTCGGTGCTGGGTCGTGCTTATTACCGATCTCCGAAAAGCTTACCTTGTTTGGGCTGCAAAGCAGGCAGCCGCTCCGCCTGCCAGTGGAAAATTCTGGTGTCACGTGGTCAACATCAGAATCAGAATTCCTCCTGAGATGAGGCAACTCAGCCACAGGGCTGACTGTTCAGACAGTGTCGTCTTTGTTGGGTATGATAATCGCATCGTAATCCAGTCTGCCGTTGAAGCCGATGTGGTCGCTCGGTCGCGACCGTAATAAGTTGCGATGCCACCGTGTTGATAACTTGTTGTCCATCAGCTGCTTACCACGCCGGGTTTGCCAGCATCCTGAGGTCCGCCTGAGGCTCCGAAATGTAAAGAGCGTGTGCCGGTACCTACACGGAAGAAGATGAATGCCAGTCTCATCGAGACAGTAAACTGTTCGATGCGTTGCGATGCTGGCCGAAAGTGTGTCTGAAAATTTCGATATGCTCTGGATAAACTAGGTGGCCATTCGGGAAGCGGTCGGCACGACTGATCAATGCAGCTCACCTTCTGAGGACAGGAGACAGGCGTCGATGTATCTACCGATGTGGCATTGATAGGACGACTGTGGTAAATAGCCCAACTGAAATTCAAACGTGGTCGCTCAGCAAGAGGTAGGTCCGTCGAGTTGGGTAGTGGAAAGACAAGTGAACAGTTGAAACGTGTGCGGATAAAAATGTACCTAGGTATGGACAGTTCAGGTCATACCTAGGCTAGGCCAGTGCGGAGTTAGCGTGCACAGCTGGCACCTGTGCAGCTCCGTAAAAAAAGTTCGTGGTCGAGTGCTCCAATTGTACGAAATAATTTATCGACTGCAGCAAACATCTGATATGTTGAAGGAAGGCCTCCGGAGGGACTCGACATTGGCTTCGGAGAGCGAGATGTAAGCGCTGCAGTCTTGTAGCCTCTCCTCAACGTCCAGCACCTCAAGCAGCACGTTACTTGTTTGCAGCATGGCCAAATCGCAGCCCACCTCGACCGCCAAAGTCGCTGCTGCCACGAACTCGACAACACAGAAATCTTCGATCCTGAAATCCTCGTTCGCACCTTCCCGCCTGCAGCTCCGGCTCTTTGCTTCCGTCATACAGAGTTTCGACTCACAGCAGCTACGAATACATGACACTGCCACGGGACGACTGCGGTCACAGCATGCGGGCAAGGCTGGCAGCAGAATAACATGTATGGACTGGGGCCATACTCGTCCGCACACCAACGGTACGCAGCCAAGTAAGAGCCGGAAGAAGGATGATGTACTACTGGCCTACGGCACCAGCACATCGGAAATATGTCTCTTTGCTCCTACTGAAGGTCGGGTTGTGGCGGAATTACAAGGACAGCACGAAAGAGGAATTCTCGACCTCAAATTCGCCGAAGACACCAACAACCTATGGAGTATCGGCGGCGATGGTCGGCTGGTGCAGTGGGACGTTGTAAGCAAAAAAGCACTGCAGAGCATATCACTGCCCGAGTCCTCGATACAGACGTTAGCGCCCATACTCGATTCGTCAGCGATACTGTGTGCGTCGAGCAGGCCGCATCTACTGTATACAGACAAGTCCGCCCATACCGAGACACCTACGTTCGACTCGATGGCACAGCCAATACACTCCATTTACCAGTCCAGCGACTCAATACTCGCTGCGGATGGTGAACGATACATAAACATGTACAGGTCAAACGGCCGACTGTCTCGTACATTGTTATCGAAAAGCGGTGTTCAAAACTTCACTGTCGATGCAGGAGACGTCTCGGTCGTCGCCGAAGAAGATCAGCAACTGCTTGCTGCATTGGGAAAGGACGGCACAGTCGAGCTATTTCCAAAGCCTTTCGCGCCACCACAGAGTCAGAACGGCCTCAAATCAAGTCGCAAAGATCTCACGCAAAAACCGGTGGCTCAGGTCAAGCTCATTGACTCTTCGTCAAAGCAGACACCCATTTTTGCAGCATCCATACAAGGCGGCGAGATAATACTGGCATCAGTGACAGGAGGAGTTGACCTCAATTTCCAGAAAGTCCGCTGGCAGGATGACGGGTCCGGCGAGCTACTCTTTGCTGGCTCTAAGGAGGTCGTACAGTCAAGATCAGCCGCTAGCCTGGGCTCAGCGAACGTAAATGGTGTCAAGGATATGGGCAAGCCCTACGTCGACGAGTCCAGTACTGTGGTGACCAACGGTCTCGGCGTACCAGGCTCACAAGAAGCAGCCATCGATATCGAGAGCTCAAGTAGCGATGACGAGGAAGCTGACAGCGAAGATGAGGCAGGTGCCGATCTCGCAGATGGAAAAGCTGAATCAGACGTCGAGTCGGACGAGGAAATGGCGGACGCGCCACCCGCAGGAGCACCTTCCTCCACAGTCCAAGTCCTCAGCTCTGATGCGCAGCCACCAGCGGACGACACTCCCACTTTCGGCGATCTGCTCGCTGCCCAAGAACCCTCCAACAAAATCGTCTCCATCACATCCGCCTTCCCAGACACCAACCCACCATTCACAAACTCTTCCGGCGCCTTGACGATCCCAACAGGAATGTCTCTCGGCACCGTCCTGACTCAAGCTCTGCGTACCAATGATCGCTCCCTCCTCGAAGCCTGCCTCCATACCTCCAATCCAGACATAATCCGCAACACTATCACTCGACTTGAGCCTCCCCTCGCTGGACCACTCATCAGCAAGCTCGCCGACCGCATCATCTCCAGGCCTGGGCGATATGGCCACCTCCAAATTTGGGTCCAGCACCTGTGCGTAGCACACGGCGCTGCGATCTCCAGCAATACTGATGCACGAGATCGGCTAAAAACGCTGTACCGCGCACTCGACCAGCGCGCGAAAGGCCTGCCAAGTCTGCTCCTCCTAAAAGGCAAGTTGCAGATGGTCGAAGGGCAGTTACGCTTCCGCAGGGAAATTGCCGAGCAGCGCGCCGAGCTGGGCGGTGGCGCGTCCGGCACACGGAATGTGAATGTCTTCATCGAGGGCGAGGCAGACAATTGGGACAGCGACACAGATGTTGAAAATGACGGTCCTCTTCCGAAGAAACGTGCGAAGAAAGATCTCGCTCAGCTCGTGGGCCAGGCCGATGACTCAAACGACGACACTGACGTGGACGATGACAGTGACGAAGAAGAAATGCCTGCAGCGCTCACAAACGGCATCGCCCATGCCTCAGACTCGGATTCCGACAACGAGTCTCACTCCTCCCGCTCCGCCAATGGCGCACTTCTCGACGACGAAGCCGAAGAGTCAGCTGTGGAGGATGACGAATCGCTAGAATCTGGCTCCGCATCTACACCCAACACCTCTGACTCCGATGAGGAAGCCAGCTCCCGGGACGGAGAGGAGGAAGAAGATGACGAGGACGACTCCGAAATGGAGGGTTTCATCAATGATGGAGAGGTCAGCGTGGCGACCAGTGGGGATAGTGACGAGGTTCTGCATGATGCGCCTGTCGAGGAGGAAGAGGAGGTCATCGTCCAGTCCAAAAAGGAGAAGAAGCGAGAAAAGGGAGAGAAGATGGAGAAGCCGAAGGTCAAGCGGCGGAAGGTGTAGTGCTCCTTCCATGCTAGAGGTGTGCATATTTCGTTGCTGAATCAGGCTTCAATGGGATCAACTCATGTGGATAGTAGGGACCTAAATATTGCGCGGCATCGACGACGGCAGGTCATACGGAAGTTTATTGGACAGCATTGTGTCAGGAAAAGGCGTCTATGATGAGACGCATCTATCTCGGATCAACTTTGTCTTCCCGTTCACGATCAAGATATGCTGAGCAAGTACTTGATAAGCATCAAATGAAAGCATCACAGATGCTCGACTGTCCTGTACTACGTACCTGCGAGGCTCAGTTGTCTCCACCACTTCATCAGCGACGTGATTATTACTCGACAGAACCGATTGACATGCATAAAAGGATATACTCCTAACAAGACCGGTTAACTTGATCGGCCTGGTGGGCCTCCAGCAGACCGGTTGATAGCCAAGGCCACACGTCAGGCCGGTTGACCAATGTTACACGCCGACACTTTGTCCAGACCGGGTGACAAGACATATTGCTCGAAGCCGGATGACAACCCTCCTACACTCCTTCCTGTTGGTCTGTAAGTGCATCGTCTTTTGTGTGCACCAGCTTGCGTAGCCACAGTAGCGAGCCATCATCGACGTCCATCAGGCGTCGTCGAGCAAGCCGTCAAAGTCTCGTTGTAGTAAGCAGTGTTATCGTACATGCCCAGTGCGAAGGGGAATATATGTGCAATAAGATAATCGCCGCACAGCACCATGTATGTTCACTACCATATTCGCCTCATCGCACAAAGATTGTGCGTCGAGCACGGCTTACGAGGGTGCTTTCAATGTCATCAAATGCGGGCCAGTCCAAGATAGGTACGTAGCAGCATATCGAAGGGGCACGTACAGCGTGAAAGTTCGAATGAATCAGACGACCTTGAGCAGGTCGCCCGGTCTAGGTACAGACCTGGCTCAGTGCGTACCAATACCAATACCCAATCTGTTCTGCCAACCAACCTACCTCCCTCACATTAGCGCGATACAGATACACCCGGTCGCCCACCCCCGACGTAATAATAGTTCAACATTCCCTCTTCTCCATCCGTTATCAACGAATAGCATCTGCACGCCCTAATCCCAGCTCACCAATCCCTTCGCACCAGCCCTCCAACACTCTGCTGCCACCCAACACACCGGGCGCGCTACCCAAGCCTTTTCCGCCCAGCGCATTGCCGGTGCTCTTCCCAGCCCACACCTCAAAGAACTTCACCGTCTGATCACAGCACGCAATGATCAGACTCCCCTCTTCTTCCGTCCTGGACGCCCATGGCTCGCCCTCCGCACGCACACCAGTCGAACGCGCAAGGCTACGCTCACATCGGCGTCGCGCTGCTGGAGAAGACATTGTAGATGGTGTGGACCGAGAGCGGGTTGTGCTGGGGGTGCGGACTGCAGAGCGACCACGTTCTTGAGACGGTGTGCCCTCTTCTTGAGCTGCTTCCGCCCTTCGCCTCTGCATCTCTCTGATGCGCACCGCTTCCCAAGCCGCGAAGCCCTCGCCGATTTGCTTGCGAGAAGGAATGGCGTCATTCGGTCCACCTGGGTACGGGATCGCCCAGAGCGCTCGGCCAATCTCTCCATTGGCTTTACGGTCCCACGGAATGCTTGTCACGCATTCACACTCCGGCCAGCTGAAGACTGCAATGCGTATGCTGTGGTCTGGCTGGGCGTAGCCGAAGGTAGCCACGAGCTCTCGCCGCGTAGTACTCCAGATCAGGCTCGTGACCTGCGCAAATACGTTTATCACAGCCAAGGCAGTCCCTGAAGTGGTATGGTAGAAGTGGATCTGACGATCGTTGCTTCCACCACCAGTCGCTACGAGACTCGGCTGCCATGGGGCAAAAGCTATCGCCTTGACAGCGGCAGCGTGATAAAACGCATAGATCTGGAGGTTGGCTATGCCTGGCAGCATCTGATCTGCAAGAGAGTTCTCGAGAAGGGGTGCGTCGCTTCGTAGCGCTCTGCGACGTGTTTGCTTTCCTAGATCCGACCTGATCTCGGCCCGACCTCGTCGTGGTGATGCTGGGGGCGTAGCAGGTAGATCAAGCGACAAAGTCGCAAAGCTTTCGATAGCGTCAAGGCCTAGCTGAGCACTTCTGGGAACGTCTCTGTGTGGAGTAAGCGGCGGTGTGAGCGGCGAATCCGGCTGTGGTCGCCGAGCTTCAATTCGGCTTGGGCCAGACATGTCATGATCAAGCCCATAAGCAAGCACATCTTCGGCCTTGAACAGCAGAGCCACGTTATCATTGCCGCCAGTGATGAAGCATCGGCCATCCGGGGCCCAGCCCAGCCCACAGATGTTTTGTCGGTGAGCATCAAGCTTCACTAGGAGTGTTGTAGATCCGGGCTCCGAATCTGGCCAGTCGATGGAGTAGTAGTAGATTCTGCCATTGTCGTCGCCGACCAGTAAATCCTCACATGGCATTTCGCGACCAGTATGAGTTCTTCTTTTGGTAGTCGTCGGCCGGAAGGCGACGCAGGAAGCTGGGCACGGATGAGGTATCTCGAATCGCTGTCGAGACTCAAAGAGACTCCATAATGTCACATTGCCACTATGTCGTGCGACTGCAAGGATCGACTTGCTGCCTTGCTCCGATGAGAAGGCCAGCGAGGTAACAAAATTCGTCAATCGAGTCGTTGGCAGTGGCGGGTAGCGAACACCATATTCTTCGGTCCAAAGATACACCTTGTGCGTTAAGGCTACAGCCAGTGTTTGAGATGTATTGCAGTAAGCCAGCACAGAACAGTAGAAGTCGTCCTTGAGGTTTGGTGCATCGAGAACGCGAAATGCGACGCTCGGGATGCTCTTCTCCGGACCACGCCTTTTGACAGGCGCCTTGATCGTGCCGGGAGGCTTCCATCGTCCATCTTGCCAGCTGATGCTGTTGGGTGGGTGCTGAACAGGAGCTGACGAGTGTCTCAGCATACGAGAGGCTTGATCAATGTCAAGAGCCACAGCAAGTCTCTTCTCATGTGCAAGAATGTGATCCTCATCGCTGGGCTTGTTCAGGAAGTCTGGCGTGTGAATGGGAGCATTCGTACCACTGGCGAGTCGAGTACCACGACTAGTTGGCACACCTCGTAGCTGACCAAGCGATACCGTGTCCAGGGAGCCAGTCGACTAAAATGCCGCCCAGTTTGGATGCCTCATTGCCTCGGGAGGTCTTCCCGGATCGATGTTGACAGGACCAGCATTGTTGTGCACAAAGGACGGCGTGTAGACAGGTACTCGTAGTCGGCTAGCGTGTCTGCTGTCATTATAGACTGGAGCTCTTCTCACGGTGACGGCTTGAAAGGGATCTTGGGATGGGTCTCTCGACCGTTGGTATTGCTCTCGACCTCGAAGTGAAGAGGGTGGGGTACTCGTATGGTACGACTCAGACCTGCCCAACAGCGGCCTTTGAGAAATAAATCGGTCTGGCGACTGCATGATGTCGATGCACGACGGAATAATGATCGTCTGGTGTACACCAGATATGCTTAGGTAGACAGGCAAGGATCCGATGTTTAAACCACGATATCTAATGAATTTCATGTGGGGCGCAGTTGCCTGCTTCAGGCGTCCGTCCTTTCCTGCTGATACTATCCCGTCGTCCTTTCTGTACAACACTCAACGGCATAGATACCCGGAAGGCATCTCGAGTTTATGAAACCCTATATTTGATGCAGTCGCATCATTGTCGCGATGGCGAGCGTAAGGGCCCTGCAGGCATCAACGACTGACTGATAGCTGATTTTCATCAAAAGCATGGAGTTCCGCGAGGCAGCACCATAGGCGACCGCTCGGCGGCAGCGCGGTCTCGTGAACTGAGGGAGATTGAAGAATATAATAAGCTTGTGGGCGATATTGACGCCAAGGTAAGTCAGAAGACGACGAAGGGCATGATGAGATGGCGCTAATTGATGGAAACAGGTTGAGAAGGAGGACTTCACGCCTGAACTTCTACAGGAGACTGCAGAGCTGCTGAAGAAAAACCCAGAATACTACACGATATGGAATCATCGTCGGCGGATATACGAAAACGAATTCAAGCAACTAAAGGCCAGCGTTGCCACTGGTGAATTGACAGATGACCAACGACAAAGTCAAGTCATGGACATAATTCAGCTCGACCTTCAGTTCCTGTTCCCACTCCTTCTAAAGTTCCCCAAGTGCTACTGGATCTGGAACCACCGTCTGTGGCTGCTTGACCAGTCCACAATATTGCTACCGAAGGAACAGTCGTTACCTCTGTGGCAGCACGAGCTGGGTCTTGTCGGACAAATGCTCAGTAAAGATAGCCGCAATTTTCATGGCTGGGGCTATCGCAGAATGGTCGTGTCGAATGTAGAAGCATTGACGGACTCAAGCATGGGACGGAAGGAATTTGACTATACCACTAAGATGATTTCAGCCAATCTGTCCAACTTTTCAGCATGGCATAACCGGTCGAAGCTGATCATAAGAACTCTGGAGGAGCAGCAGGCTGACGACGAGGAACGACGGAAAATGCTGGACGATGGTGAGACCGTAGGCTCGTTGTGACGATGATGCTGACCACTCCCAGAACTCGCACTCATTCACAAGGCCTTATTCGATCCATACGACCAGTCACTGTGGATCTATCATCAGAACCTCATGTCGACTCTTGATCCCAAAACGGCGCATAGAACCATGGCGCCCAATCTGAGTACGGCAGACCGATTGGAATATGTCAGACAGGAGCAGGATTTCGTCCGAGAACTGTTGGAGGACACTGATGACTGTAAATGGATCTACCAGGGGTTGATGGAGTTGGCATTCCTTGAGTCGCGGCTCCACGCCATTCCTCTGAGCGAGGAACAGCAGACTGAGGTCATGACCTGGCTTGAACGACTAAAAGCATTAGATCCTTTAAGAAAAGGAAGGTGGGACGATGTCTTGTCCTCGCATGGTCAGCCTGTCAATGCTTCGTAGAGAACAAGTAGCGGAACGCATCAGGCCTAGATTCGCAGACCGTGCGCGTCAACATGGATACAACCACGTGTTGATAAATGCCCGCTTTCGAGGGGGCAAGGGATGAGTCAGTGCAGCGATAGACTGGCCCTGGAGCCCTTCAACACGATTGCCGTGAAGTCGATGGACATATCACTCGCGGTGAAATCAATGTACATGGATGAGATTATTATTGTTGTTGATGACATGCTTGAGAGTACGATGTTTCAAGAAGAATGCATCGTTCTTGTCAGGGGCACGAGGGCATCTGAAACACAGCCCATCAACGGCTTTGACTGGGGGCGTTGAGTTTAGGCGTAGGTCTTAGGCGGAAGGGGCGGCCTGGGTGGAGTAGGATCGAAGCCGAGATGGGGGCTGCCCGGCCAGAAAAAGAAGATGGATGCACGCTCGACGTCCTCTTCCGGACAGTACACACCTGCATATTCAACACGTCGCCTTAGTCCACGACTCCAGGCACAGTATTGACTTTGTATTCACCTTCACTCAACGAATCGACCTCTGCTATCACCACTGTGTCCTGCATCACCTCATACCCTCTGTATCAGCACACGTGTCACCTCTCCTGATCTGGTGTTCACGGTCCGCAAGTACTCTCGTTTCGACACCTGACTGGCTGGCTGTCTATCAGCTCGATGACCTCGATATTGGTACCACCTCACCCCTAATCTACCTACGATCCAACGCACGTTCAAGCAAACCCGCTATAAGAGACAGCCCAGTGTCTACATTGAGGAGGCACGCGATACACTTCTAGCAGCTGCTGCTGCCAGGCAGCAAAACATGGATACCGTGCCTTCGAGTGCGGACAACACAGATAGGGAAGAGGTAAGTACCATATTGCTCTCTCGTCCGGACCGAGAACTGATTATGGCACAGAACTTCGAGGATGCCAATCACTCGCAGTTAGACTCGAAGCTCACCTCACCCACGGACTCGAGTCGACCTGCGCCCGAGTCTGAGCAGCCTTCCCAACGAAACAGCAACACCTCCTCAGCAGATCATGGCGCCAATGGATCGGTCGAGCAGAAAGGCGCGCCGAGAGTACAGATCTGAAGCCCGTCTCCTCGGCCACCGAACCCATGCCCGCCGCCGAAAGGACAGCGTCAACCACGTCCCAGACAGACTCGAGGAAGCAATCGGTGAAGTCCATGACAGCCACTTTCGAGACCAAGGAAGAATCGGCACCCGCACCACCACCAAAACCACAGGCGCGGCCCTCACGATTCGGCAACTTCTCTGCATCATTACCTTCGGTACCATGGGGCGGACCTGCCGCAAGACGGAAATCCGACGCTCGAGCACCTTCACCACAGCCTCCTCCCATCGTACATGCACCAGCCAATCCCAGACAAAAGTCCACGCCATTTGGCTGGTTTTCAAGAGCTGCAACGGCAAATGCGCCCAAAGAAAGTCGATCGCCTTCCACTGGCGATGCGCGCCGGAATACTGCCGCCTCCATCTCGACTCTGGGCAGCAACCCTGAGCTCACCATGAAGGCTTTCGAGGATAGCGAAGGCCGACCTCCTGCTAGACAGTCCTTGAAAGACAAGTTTAAGATGCTCCGGCTCCAGGAGGAGCTGGCAGCTGGGCAAAACACGGAAGCTCCGAAAGAAGGCGATCCTGCAGTCGGTCTAGGTATCGAGACTCAGACAGCAGAACCAGCAGAAGAGGTCGTGGCCTCGCCCATGTCCCCGACAACGCCCCTGCCGCCAGGAAGTGTGAACGCCACTCTTGCGCCCGGAACCGTTTCTGGCTTTTCTGCGTCCGCTACTGATGCTGCACTGCCCATTGATTGGGACTTCTGGCAGACAGTTGTCAACGAAGGACCGCAGGCCGTGTCGCGATCTAGTCCAGAGGAGCTGGCCGCTGCGATTGCCAGTGGCGTGCCTCAGACAATTCGTGGTGTCATCTGGCAAGTCCTTTCTGGAAGCAAGAATGACGACCTCGAATCTGTCTACTTCTCGCTGAAGATCAAAGGCACACCAGACGAGCCTCGCGAACTACCCACACCAGTGCTTGCGAACGGCGTCAATGGTATGTCGAAAGAGAAAGACTCCGTGGCATCCTCGCGCTCGTCGATAAGGTCTGAAAAGTCAACTCCGGCAACGAGCGCGAATCTGCCTATAGGATCACCCTCACCTTCTCAAGAGAAGTCAGATCCCATCAAAGACACCAGACTACAGGTACAGCTGGCCACTGAAAGAGCGAAGAAGGCCAAAGAAGATGCTGCAGCACTGGTCAAGCTCGAGAAAGTCATCAAGCGAGACATGGGTTCGAGAACGAGCTACTCAAAGTTCACCACAGCGGCTGGTCTGCAAGATGCGTTGTTCAATGTCTGCAGAGCATATGCGCTGTTCGACACCGACGTTGGTTACCCCCAAGGCATGAACTTCATCATTATGCCACTCCTGTTCACTATGTCGGAGGAAGAAGCATTTTGCTTGCTTGTACGATTGATGAACAAATATCAGCTTCGCGACTTGTTCATACATGAGATGCCAGGACTGCATTTGCATCTCTACCAGTTTGAACGACTGCTAGAAGACCTAGAGCCAGCACTGTGCAGCCACCTGAACCGCAGGGGCGTGTCACCAAAGCTCTACGCCACCCAATGGTTTCTAACACTTTTTGCATACCGATTCCCGCTGCAGCTGGTGATGCGAGTGTACGACATGCTGCTGTGCGAGGGCCTCGAGGGCGCCGTCCTCAAGTTCGGCATGGCTGTGATGCAACGTAATGTCACCACGCTATTATCGATGAACGACATGCAGGCACTGACCACCTTCCTGAAAGAGAAGATCTTCGATGTTTACATCGACTCCGCACCCAGTACAAAGTCCATTATGGAGTCTGGCTTCTTCGGCAACTCGTCTGGAGTCGACAACGAGATCTACCGCGCAGACTTGATCGTTCAAGATGCTGCTGCGATCAAGCTGACTCCGGAGATGCTTGCTCGATATCGACAGGAGTGGGAGGAGAAGACCACAGCGGAAAAGGCACGCGAAACGGAGCTCGAAGATTTACGCACAGACTCAGCTACAAAAGCGACTCAAATTCGATCTCTGGAAGGCCGTATTCGCACGTTCGAGACGCGCGCCGAAGCCTCCGATGCCGATCACATCGAAGTTGCTAATGAGCTCATCAAATGGAAGGTCAAGTATCATGAGATTGCGGATCGCGAGGAATCACTGAATGTCCAGGTGGAAGAACTCCGAAAAGTGGCCGAGAGCGAGGCTCGAACCGTTGAGGAGCGACTCAAGGAGACAATGGATCAGGTGATGCAGCGTAACGTCGAAGTCCAGAACGAAAATCGCCATATGGAAGAGCAGATGGCCGAAATGGAGAAAGAGCTCGTGGAGATGAAAATGAAGTTTGCTGAGGTACGTTCCCTTTTCCCTTACGGCCTTGCGTGATGTGAGACTGCTCGATCGAGAAGAAGGAGAAAGACACAGACGCTGATACGTTCTTCGTACAGCTCAACGCCGAACACGAGGGTCTCAAGCAGAAGTGGAACGAAATACGCAAGGCAATAGACTAGTTGTCCTTGACCAACGAGTACGGCCAGCCGCTGGATGGAGATGCTCTTATGACTATGACGACGAAGACGACCTTGGCCACGAAACGACTATGAGCATAGGCATCAAGGCTTTGGGTCGCCAGGTGTTCTGCATGATGCCACTCAATGGGTCGCTTTATTCTTTTTCTTTGCCACGAATGGGAAGAAATATGTCTTACTATGCAGTATAGGGATTGTGTATGCATAGACTTGAGGGAGATGCCTTTCGGTATTGAGGGCTGACCTGAGGCCGCGAATGAAGCAGAGACTCTCTGCTCCTGAGACCATGAGCAGATGGCTGGATCAGCGCCTATGAGCTCGCTTGACAGGTGCAGTCTCGTCGGCGACACTCTTCCCGCGTATTGCCAACACGTCTGCACATACTGTGAATCAAGCACAGAGCAAAAAGTGATGGAAAGATTGTCCACACGACTTCTACCGTCGCGTTCAAGAAAGCAATTGCTTGAGCACGGGGACCTCTTGGAAAAGCTGGTCATGACGGATCATCCCTTGTGTCCAATTCCTAGATGCTATGATGGTAGGGTACAGTCGCCTTACATAGTATAGGTACAACACATTGAACACAATACAACAGCCAGCCGGCCACTCAGCCAGTCAAACCAGTCCAGGTTGGTCAACACTTTAGAAGTCCGTGCTGGACAGATGGTAGTCGAAGATAATAATCTGCAAGTGGAAGGAGACCTGGCTCACAGGAAAGCTGAAATCTCCGCCAGGTAACCCAGATGACTTCATTTCATTTCCCATCACTACATGCCAGAAGAGGAAACTGGCCTTCTTGTTTGAGCACTTCTATCTGTCCAGCGTCCAAATCCGACAGTCAAGGTTTCAGCCCTGACAATAACCACGAACCAATACCCAGCTCATCAAGGATCACAGCCGCACCCTCCCCTCCTTGACCTCCGCCCATTCCTTCTCGCCAAACGGCTCATAAGTCCGCCCTCCAGGCTCAACCAGAACAAGCGGTCGCCTGTCAGTGCAACGACGGCTGGATCCACCCCTTCGCCCCGCAATCGCCCTTTCTGCAATTTCATCGTGCCTGTATACTCGAGCTCGCGCACTACTCTCACCCAGATCGGCACCGCGTACCTTGGCATCCTAGTCAACGCATGTTCCGCCAACGCGGCGAAATCAAAGTTCGACAAGTCAGGTTCGATGTCTGCTGTGGGCACGATAGCCGCACAGCCCGCGCGTCCATCAGCATGGGGCACGAGGACGCCGTAGACGTTTGTTTCTGCGATTTGAGGGAAGCTGCCCAGCGTGTCGGCGACTTCGTTGGTGGAGACGTTTTCGCTGTGCCAGCGGTAGGTGTCGCCGAGGCGGTCGACGAAGTGCAGGGTTCCGGTGGGCTGTGGGCAGGGTCGTTAGTATGCGTGGCGACGGGGAAAACGGGGTGTATACCTCGAGACGCATCATGTCGCCGCTCCGGAACCACATGTCACCCTTCTTGAACACGTCCCGAATGATGCGCTTGTTTCCTGCGGCTTCGTTCTTGTAATACCCAGAAAAAGGCGAGACGGGCGCCGCAGGATCCATGTAGTAGAGTGTCTCGCCTGCGTCGCCGGCCTTAACCACCGTGGCGAACCCTTGCTTATTCTTGAGGATCTCTTGCGAGTCTGGGTCGATGTACACCCTCTTTTCGAGGCTTCCATTGAGATAGTGCCAGTAAGCGCCTCGCACACCAATGGCGTTGCGAGAGAAGACTCCTCGGTTGGCGTTGAAGGAGGAACCTAAGCCGTCGGTGGCGGCGTAGAGCTCGTTGATGCACTCGATGCCGAAGCGCTCTCGGAAGACTTCCCAGACATCGGGTCGCATGCCGTTACCCCAGGCCATCTCGACTGAGTTGTCCCGGTCGAGTGGGGTGGGGGGAGCGTTGACCAAGTAGCGGCATAGCTCGCCGACGTACTGGAGGATGTTTGCTTTCGAGGCGCGGACTTCTGGCCAGAATGTCTTGTGGGAGAATTTGCGGCCGAGAATGACTGTACCGCCAGCGCCAATCATCGGACAGAAGCAGAGGCCGTGTGCGGCGCCGTGGTAGAGTGGGAGGCAGGTGTACATTCTGCTTTTAGGCCCAAGGCCTAAATATTCGGCGGTGGCGCGGGTGAGGTTGATTTCTTTGCCGCGGTTCAGGATGGTGCCTTTGGGCATGCCAGTGGTGCCAGATGTGTATATCAGACAGCTAAGGGCTTGTGGGTTGATGTTCTTCCGTCGCTCGGCCGGGAGCGGCGAAGTGTCTGTGAGGGTCTTGAAGAAGTCTGGGTCATAGTATAGTGTCTCGATACCGTCGGTTGCCAGCTCGTTCGCGTGCGGCTGGACGAGGTCTCGTTGTAGGATGTCTGTCAGGAGGTAGCGGCTGTCGCAGAGCTTGACACTATGGATCAGCGGTGCAGCTGTGAGATTGCAGTTGATGAATGCTGGGACCGCTCCGAGGGCCTCCAGAGCCAGCCACAGCAGTACGTATTCCGGACTGTTACCGCCGTCCATGGCCACTATCTCTCCGGCTTGGATGCCAAGGTCCTTGAGCAGCCAGTTCGCAACCGGTGTTATGGCATGATAGAACTGCTTGTAGGTCCACGTCCTACCCTCGAACTCGAGGAACGTGACATCTCCCATAGGCGTGTTTGCTCGGTCCTCGAATATAGTATACACCAGCATTTTGTCCTGGGCCATCTTCTCTGCGAGGAAGGCCATTGCCGTCGACACCTGGGTCGAGGTGTTGCCATACTTCCAGTCATGGCGTAGATGGTATTTCGCGTCGAGGTACGCCGCAATAGCGGCACCGCCTGCGACTGCCGCAGCTGCTGTTACTGTGCTCGTTAGTTACCACATCTGGGGAGAGCAGTCCGTGCTTACAGGCCATGGCTGCTGGCGGCGATCTCGACGCCGTCTCAGGTCCCAGAGCATACACTCTGTGGGAGCCAACATTCTGAGTATCCTCGGGGATTCAATGGAAGCAACGGCCGCCCTAACCGTCACGGTGTGTCAGAGCCGAGGTTGCTCTCGTATATTGACTTTCTACCCCATCATAAGATCAGCAATTGGTGGCGTGAACGTGAATCGCTGAAAGCTCCCCCGCACAAAGGGTGCAGCCGGGGTTGCTAGCCGGTAGTACACCTCTTTGACACGCCATGGTTCAAGCTATTATAAAACAGTGAGTAGCTGGGAAAAGATCATTGCATCTCGACGACCTTGAGATGATGTTCAAAAACCATTCAGCAGGAGAGATTGCAGGACTTGAAGGTCCGGAACAAGGAGGTTTTAAGAATCGAGGAAGGTACCTTATTCTGTATCTGGCATCGAACTAAAGCAGCCTATTTGGACCTCCTGTGTGCAAGCTCCTTCGAACGTTATGCCTAGGTGCGACTATCCTTGTCATACAACCTGAGAACCATCTTGCATCTCAATCGTATCAATCTGCCGTGCTTCCTGACTTCAGACACTGTTCAAGCTGTCCAACGTCGCGCTTTGTTAACATGCATTCCGCTGACTTGGGCGATATCGTCTCATAATCACTTGCGGCCCGGATATGGATCAACCCAGCCAACGAGATGATCGTAGCGCTTCATCGTACCGTCTGGTTCCACGAAGACGGAAACATTCGGATCGAAAATGTCTGGTCCGTGATAGCGCCACGACAGCAATGCAGGAACACCGTTGGCAGCAGCGTGTCGGCGGACGCGGGTCTCCTGTTCAGTCATTGCCTCAATGCTATCGAAGACACCTGGACGAGGGCCAAAGTTTGCGCCGTACGCAGTAGAGTATAGCTCAGCCTTCTGACGACGCTCCTTCTCCTGCCAATCAGGCACCTTAGGTCGCTTGTAACGACCAATCTCGTCCATCAACGCACTACCTAAGAAGTGCATGGCATTGGCTTCGAATATGGGATCGTTGTTCATCTTGTCGTTGGCTTCCTCGACTGCATCTGGGTGTGGATTGGCGAGTCTGCCCTCTTGGTTGTAATAATAAGGGCCGACCTGATCCAACGGATGGGCACGCACAAAGTTCTGCTCCTGAAAGGACATCTCGGAGTGAGTAGCTGGGACGCGTGGTGGAGGCAGAGAACGGTTGACGCGATTGCCGAATTGATCATATCCACGTTGGTCGCCGTGCTCGAGGAGTTCAGCTTGACTCGGCCAGTCCGACTGAGGCGCATCAGCGGCATTGGAAGACCAGATGCTGGGTTGACTCAGGACCGTGCTGAACTCATCGGCCAGACTCTTCTGACCTGGGCCATTGCCAAAAGCTGGTAAGATGACGCGCTTCTCCTTGCCAATACCGTCTCTGTTCATGTTGCTGGCGGCGTTGAGCTGTGCCTGCATCTGGTCGAGACTCAGGGTGACTTCATTTAGGCGAGCTCTGGTGCCATCCGACTTGAACTCCATCCACTCCGTGGTGTTCTGAGGGAAGACACCGGCAGGCTGACCACTAGGATAGGCTTGCTTCTTGAACATCTCTGGTGCGATTGGCTTGACACGACTGCGAACTCTCTGGTATTCTTCTTGAGCTTTGACTCTCTCGGATTTCCAGACAAGAGCTTGGCCATACTGGGGGGTATTGCTGGTTGCACTTGACGCATCGGGCACGATGGTGGTGTTTGCGCCACTGTTAGATTCTTCTGTGTCGACGGACAACAGCGAATCTTCGCCATCTTGCTCAACGCTATCCCAAGCTACAGGTGTCTCATGGCCGCGGACCGACTTGTCAGCTTTGGCAGTACCTTTGAGCTGTGGATTGTTGCGAATGAGGAGCTCTTGAAGGTTGTACTCGGCTGGTGGTAACGCAGACATGCCGCCGTGCTTCAGTTTGAAACTTTTGCTGGGAGCTCGACGTGTCTTCTTCGATGGTCGATAGTACCCTTTTTGATCCGCCGGTGAGTTCGCGAACCGTGATCGAGGTTTCGTTGGAGGTTGAAACGCGCTGTCCTGGTCGTTGCCGTCGACAGGCACGAAGTCGTTCGCTTGAGGGTTGAGTGGGCTGCCGGCCGCAGCTGAAACAGGTGAGCTGTCCATACTTGGTCAGAATTCCGTGTCTCGTGTCTCTGAGAGTGCGCGAGATTGTAAGACCTGCAATTCTGCAATGGAAGAGCAAAGGTGTCGCTATTTGTGAAGAAGATCATGGGTGCGGAAGGTCTCTTACCAAGTTGTGAAGTTATTCTGTTGGTCTAACGCGGGTCACTTGTCTGGCGCCTAGGTGACGCTCAAAATATGAGGAAGTGAGGCCAAAATGAAACGTGTCGTGGTGGTGATGTCCAGACCAAACAAAATCAAGTGGTAACTTGGTAGCCAGGGCGACAGGAAACAGCCCAGCAGAATTCGCATATTACTTCAAGGTAAAAGGATGTTGAAAATGTGCTGATGCAGCATACCAGCATAGTTGTCAAATTTCGAGGCTTTCACTTGACGACCTGTGTTCGGTACCAACACTCCTCCGTGCTGTCATGTTGCAGCATCGCCGAGTGTGCTCCAAAGATAGTACATTGGCTGCGCGAGTTTCCTACTGACCAGCGCCCTCCCCATTGATGGCCGCGTTTCAAGCCGCTTTGAGATCCCAGCTTTTCCTTGTAGACGAAGCATACGGACGCTTCGCAGTAAGGACTGATACGCGTCAAGCCAAACCCACACGTGGGAGGTTGTACTGACATGATAAGGCGTCATAAGGCAACAAGGCAAATTTAGTGGTCTTGACGACCAATGCTTTCTACTTTGTCTTCTACTACCCATTGTGGTGATACTCCAGTGAAGCCGACCTGTTCCTCTCGTGGTAGATTGACGAACATCGTCTTGCTTGACTGGTCAGGCTCTGCCTTTTTGAGCTCTCCGGAGACGACCACTACGCGGCTGATCAGAACCATGCCCTCTTTCCCGCTCCACCTCACGCCAAAAGCTCTTCCTACCTCGACTACGGCACCCAGAAAACCTGAGAACCCGCTTCCTACCCTTCTTCGGACCCCATCAGGTCTCGCCATCCTCGAGATACAAGGGACGATTCACGCTCCATTCCCCACAGCTGACTCCCCATCTACCAACACCAGCACCTCGGATAACGCAATTCAAACACCAATAGGCCGCCTCGAATTTCCGTTGTACGACGCCAGCACAGATACTGCGGCCGACACGAAATGGACTAAGAAGGTCTACTTGTATGTGGGACAGCATCAGCGATTGGTGGGGGAGGTGAAGAAGCTGGGGACGCCGTTGGGCGTGCTGAGGCGAAGAGAAACTCCGGGAGATGCAGAGCGAGGATGGCCGAAAGGGTCTGAAGACGAAGGTTTGGAGGTTGCGGAGGTCGTGCGGTGGAAAATTGTCTTTGGAGGCAGAGCGGAGCCGGTCTGAGAAGACGGTCACCACCCTGACGGCGGGTTCTACGCGATGAGGCGAAAGACGAGGTTCGCATGGTGGTCACAGCTCTTACGATATATCTATCCTAAGGTATACAGAAAGCGGATCCGGTTCACGCCTCACTTAGCATTTTTGCGGAGGGAGAAGGCCGTCACTGGCTGCGATTCCAAGAAACGCACAGAACCGCGCTGCTGCATACTCTACGAATCGAGCGCGACAGCCGCGACACGGACACCAGCTATTCCGCCCGAGCGTCCTTCAGGCTGTCTCAGAGTCTTGAACACTTCCACCATTCTCCGAAATGACCTCGGAACGTAGGGAGTGATGCTTTAATGCGAATAAGTGTCAAGCTCTGCCACACAATCCTGTCGACGCACAACGCATGCAATCGACACCATCGTAGCGCTCGTCAAGCAGTCTAGAGGGAGGCGAAGCCGACCAGTAGCTACCTAGGCAGCTGTAAGCGTACATGAGGCGTGGGCATGAAGAACTGCCGAAACCTGGAGATCAAAAGGCATGTATAGTATGAGGCTTGCGTTGGGCCTGGGTCGGAAGACAGGTCTCGCGAAAGAACCTCATGTGGTAATTGTAGCAGCGAGTGCAAGGTCGACAGCTTAGCTCGACGTAGATGCTTGGATGAAGATCATGGAAGAGGGAGCCAGGACAAGCGGCGGCTAATATTTGAAGCCAGCGGAAGGAGCCCTGCCAAGAAGTAGAACCAGGTGCAGGTGCCATAGTAACTCCGATTGGCTGAATGACGATAGAGATGTGCATCTCCGAGCTCTTCGAAAGAAGCAAGAACGCTTGGATGCAGGAGCTGATCTATGCAGCGTTCACAAGCAGTTACCTCCGTCACATCTTCGTTCTGAACGTCAACTAAGCTAGACAACACAGAAGAGCTCGCAGCTGGCTCACCGAGCACCTCAGCGACCGCAAGCGCTGTCGTGCAGCATCGCCCTCCTACCTCATTCCCCGAATAGCCTCTGCCTGCGGTCATGGCTCCCTCTGCTAAGGTTGACGACCCTCGCATGAGCTCGATAAAACCTCGATTGAAGTACAACACTATCGGCGGTGTCAATGGGCCGTTGGTCATCCTTGACAATGTATGACACCGCGCAGCTGCACCCCAACACAAGAACGTTACTCTGACCATATCAATGATAGGTCAAATTCCCCAGATACAACGAAATCGTCAGCTTGACCCTACCCGATGGCGAGGTCAGATCAGGCCAGGTCCTCGAAGCGAGAGGTACGACATTGTGGTGCACAGGGAGCGAATGCAGTCTGACCAGTCTCTCTAGGTAATCGAGCCGTGGTGCAGATCTTCGAGGGCACAACAGGTATCGATGTGAAGAAGGTGAGGACACTCTGCTGCCATGGCCGCAGCTCGACTGACACTAGGCAGACGAAAGTCGAATTCACGGGTCACAGTCTGAAGATTGGTGTCTCCGAGGACATGTTGGGCCGAGTCTTCGATGGCTCAGGCAGGGCTATTGACAAAGGCCCCAAGGTACTTGCAGAAGACTACCTCGACATCAACGGCAGCCCTATCAACCCATATGCAAGAGTGAGTGTATTCCGTGGTTTCTCTGAGCTGTCTAATGGCGTCAGGTGTACCCTGAAGAAATGATCTCAACCGGTATCTCAGCCATCGACTGCATGAATTCGGTCGCTCGAGGACAAAAGATCCCTATCTTCTCTGCGTCAGGTCTTCCTCACAACGAAATCGCTGCCCAAATCTGTCGGCAAGCTGGTCTCGTCAAGCAAGCCGACAAGGGCGTTCACGATGACCACGAAGACAACTTCTCCATCGTCTTCGGTGCTATGGGTGTGAACATGGAGACTGCCCGCTTCTTCCAACGCGATTTCGAGGAGAACGGTTCGATGGAGCGTGTCACACTCTTCATGAACTTGGCCAATGATCCGACCATCGAACGTATCATCACTCCTCGTCTGGCTCTCACCACTGCCGAATACTATGCTTATCAGCTCGAGAAGCACGTCCTCGTCATTCTCACCGATCTGTCATCATACTGCGACGCTCTTCGAGAAGTCTCGGCTGCCCGAGAAGAAGTTCCTGGCCGACGTGGTTATCCTGGTTACATGTACACTGATTTGTCGACCATCTACGAACGAGCCGGTCGTGTCGAAGGTCGCAACGGGTCCATCACCCAGATTCCCATCCTGACGATGCCTAACGACGATATCACGCATCCCATTCCAGATCTGACTGGTTACATTACAGAAGGTCAGATCTTCGTCGACAGAGGCTTGGACAACAAGGGTATCTACCCGCCTATCAACGTGCTCCCGTCACTTTCCCGACTTATGAAATCCGCCATCGGCGAAGGCCTAACCCGCAAGGACCACGGTGACGTGTCCAACCAGCTGTACGCCAAATATGCCATTGGTCGTGACGCCGCTTCGATGAAGGCTGTCGTCGGTGAGGAGGCCTTGTCATCGGAAGATAAGCTTGCTCTGGAATTCTTGGACAAGTTCGAAAGACAGTTCATTGCACAATCGCCGTATGACAAGCGAACTGTTTTCGACTCGCTCGATCTTGGCTGGTCATTGCTGCGTATTTTCCCCAAAGAGATGTTGAATCGAATCAATCCCAAATTGCTGGACGAGTTCTACAGCCGGAAGAGCTCGAGGAAAGACAAGGACAAGGATCAGAAGAAGGGCAACAAGGACACCAAGGACAACGATAATGACGGAGAGGATGAGCAGCCAAAGACGAATGGCGAGACCGAGAACTTGATGGACGACTAAGTGCTAGAGCTTCAACGGTTCGCATGTATTGGTGGGTGGTCGCGTCCTGTCTTCGCAAGCACTAGCGTCCAAGATGATATTGTTTGACTCAAGATATACGTATAGTACGGCGCAAGCAAGGTCATCAATCAGTCGGCAATAGAGGCATCGAGGATCTGGCCCTTCTAAGAGCCAAAAATCTCTATCAACCGGGTCAAATTCGCTGGCCTAACAAGGGTATCTTGCAGTGCGGCACCGCTCCGTACGAAACAAAATCACTCTATTCTAGCACGCAATCGCTCGAGTCCCACAATCCCCTCCAGACAGCATCGTGGTTGGCTGTACTTCCAGAGACCAGGCGATTCTTTGCCTTGTGCCTTATGTTGAAACATCTGAGAGCCTACAGAAGGCAAACTACCTCATCGCTGCTACTCAGCTGCCCTGGATATGTTTCTTGGTCTGTTCTGCACCAGATGCTGCGAGTTGAATGTCTCGCGCTGAAGCTGCGGTCATCCGGAACCAGCCCCGCACTTAGGCTTTCGGGCTTCTCAGCAAAGCAGAATCTAGCCAGAGGTTCCTGGGACTTCGCCTACCAGGGAGCCCTCTGCAAGAACGACCGCGCGTTGCCGGCGTGAGACTCGACTGCCCCTCAGTCACCGGGCATGACCTCCCGAGTCTCTCAAAGTTTCGCACTTCTTCTTTCCCGGTTTTCCTGATACATCTTCGCACCATTTATTTGTAGAGCCGTTGAATACTGCGTTTCCATCGTGAAAAGTGATTGCATCAGTCACTACCGGTCCTGCAGCCCTCAAGACTATCTGCCAACAGAGATTCGCCTGCAAGTATGGTTGTCGTAAGTGTCTACGACCAATTCCAGCCGCTGGAGACGGATGTCTGATGCCTCTGCAGGCCGAGGTCGACACAGCCCAGGATGGAACGGTCACGGAGCCGGTGAATCGTGAGCCGACGATGGAAGCTCTCACTAGCAGGTAAGCTTGAATGGTTTTGAGCACTTCCCGATAGGTCACCTGCCGCCATTTTGCGACCCAGGGCGTGCTCTGCGTCGAAATACTGTATTTCACAAACAAGATGGAAGACCTTGTGGCTGTCACTCGAGCGTTCCTTGGTAGTTATCGATTTGCATTTGCAAGATCGAAGTCACTGTCACAAAAGGGAGAGACTGATCTGACAAGACGAAGAGAGTGCTTCGAGGGGAACCGAAAACCAATTTGACCAGACAGCAAGACTGAGCTGAGCTGACAGAGAGACCGGCTTGACCAGACTGCGAGACTCATTCGTTGCCGTTATGAAGTGGGAGAGCGAGAGCGGAGATGCTGAACTGAAAAGTCCCAGAGAGGAATCTGCTTGAGATCGGATCGCTGACTGAGGACCAATATCTAGCTTTCTGACATGCACGGCGGCTGTGTCGTATGATCGAAACCACGGACCTATCCAGCACATATCTGCCGACGAACACATCGTCAAAATCGATGGACTGGTCAAGTACCAGCTCGGACTCACCGCAGCAGACATGGCCCACGACTTCCCGCAGCACAAAGTCACTTGTGCCTTACAGTGCGCAGGCAATCGGCGTCATTCGATGAGAACGAGAATCAAAGAGGTCTGCGGTGTGGACTGGTTTGACGCGGCGTTGATGAACTGTGTCTTCGAAGGCCCACGACTGCGTGACATCCTACTGGCCGCAGATACCGTTCAGGAGGACTCCAGCGTCCAAAGCAGACATGTCCAGTTTGCGAGCGTGGGAACGCAGACCCAGGACGATGAATACTATGGTGGGTCGATCCCGTTAGAGAGGGCGATGAATCCTGACATGGATGTCATACTGGCACTGAAGGTATGTCTTATTCAAACTTTGAAATTTCCTGCAGAGGCCGCCCGGCGGGAGTTTTTGCTTCATGGCCTCTAGAAAAGATCGGCTTGATGCCCAACATCCGTGACTAACGATCATCCTTGACAGATGAATGGTAAAGCTCTAGCGCCCCGGCATGGCTTTCCTGTTCGAGTGGTGTGTCCTGGTGTTCTGGGCGCCCGTTCGGTCAAATGGTTGGATCGTGTAACCGTTTCGGAGTGCGAATCGCCATGCTTCTACCAGCAACGAGACTACAAGATTCTTCCGCCACAGGTCACCAACATGGACGTTGCGGAACAGTACTGGTCCAAGATCCCATCAATGTGCGAAATGCCGATAAATTCGTGCATCAGTTCGCCTGAGTCGGGCTCGACTGTTGTATTGCCGGCATCAGGGCTCGTCGAAGTCAAAGGGTATGCTGTGCCACAAGGCAGCTCGGGGCCGATCGTTCGCGTTGAGATTTCCGGCGACCTGGGAAGGAGCTGGGTTGATGCGGATCTGGACTGTGGCGGCGAGAATGCTTCCAAATGGGCATGGGTTCTGTTCACTGCGAAAGTGAGGGTGGCGACTGGAAAGGGCCAGACGATCTATGCCAAAGCCACAGATGCTGCAGGCAATACACAAGAAGAAGCAAGATCAGCGTGGAATGTGCGGGGTGTGGGATACAACGGCTACGAGGCTGTGGTCGATCTTACCATTGTTGAGACGAGCCGACTGTGAGTTGATCAGTTCAGGGGTGGAAGTGGTTTTTCTTTCGACCAGGCTGAGCCTGACGGCCGTTTTGGAAGTGCGTCGAGCGGGTTTGCGTAACCGTGGCTGATGCCCTGCATACTTGTCTTGGGCATCAGGCGGTTAGCTGACACGAACCATGACAGCGTGTTCCAGCTGAATTCATGTCGTGGTTTGCAAAGATAGCGCAAGTCGTAGCCTGGGGTGTGGGTGCGGTACCGAATGGTTTGGCAGCCTCCTCCCCTTCTCGGGGGAACGGTTCTAATGTGAGGTGGAACGCTGAGGATGGTAGAATGTGGACAGCCTGCAGCGGATGCACGGTGCCGACAGGTGTCTGCCAATCTTGGAAACAAGCAGTGTGACCTGGCATGATTGTTGCTTGATGCACCTCGACGGGGTCTCAAAGTAATCGATCGAGACTCCTGAGTTCAGCGAGATGGCGAATTGCAACGTTGCGTTCGAACGCTTGATAGACGGATATATTATCGTCCATATTCATCAACGTTCGCCACAAGGACAGATGTGAACTTGGTGACCCAGCGACAGGTCAACGTTTGCTGTTCGCCGATAATGCGCGATGCCTGCAATGAAGTCCTCTAGGCAATGCAAAAGACGTTTGCTTCGGTCAGTTTGGCCCGGGTAGATGCAGCGCTGCCAGACCTGTCAATGCAGTCAATGTTTGAATGCCGGAGTGATCGACGCATGGCGTTCACAGATGGGTGACGGGTTTCTATGATGGACTCGAAGCATAGTTGCAGTACATGATGGTCATGAAGTGATAGACGACAGTAGACAGCCCGAATGACAGCTTCAGCACCGATCACCAGGGGGCCCGCCCGGGTATCCTGGATCCAAGTTCCTTGATGCCTGTGACTTCGGTCATTGACGCACTGGCAGTGACTTTCACTTTCTCCGCACGAAACTTTTGGCCGTTGAGGAATGCTTCGTCCAGGGACAGGGTCTGTTCGCAGGTCACGACGACGACGATGGGCATTGGACCAGCTCTGTATGTGCTATGTTGTACATGTTGATGTAGAGCACCAGTCAGCCAGTCGAAGAGTCTCTGTGTAAGCGAGCCTTGATGCCTGTTTAGGCCGAAAGGACGAGGGTGCCGCTCCAACTTTGCTGCAGTGGAGAATGGCGGCAATTCTCAAGAACTCATCACTCCATGTTCCCGACCATATCTTGAGGCTTCATCTAGCCATCATCCTCACCGTCCTTAGCCGCCAGATCGTTGCAGTGTGTGGCAGGTGGTGATCACTGCACGACCTTCTCTACTCGTGTACAGAGTCTGACCTATATACTTCATCTTTGGCGTTGGTGGTCTGCCTTTTCTGGGTCCTCATCTTAACCTCAAGCGTGAGTGTTCCTGCAGTAGATCTGATATAGTACATGCTTACGGATGCGGCAGCTTCTATCGTCGTTCCCGTCGTCGTTCCGTATACCTCACGATCACATTTTGCCGGCCGTTAGATCAGTCCACAATTGTGTATCAGTATGGCCTCCAACCCGACTCCCGCACCCGCGGCACCCAAGCTGGACCGATATGTGGTCATTCATGTGGCTACGACGTGCGACGAACACGGAGTATATGTCCAGAAAGATTCAGCCGAGGTCATCGAGCTGGGTTGGATCCTGCTTGACAGCAAAACCTGTGATGAGGTGCGCCTCCCCCCCACAGGTCAAAGATTGAAGCACACATCTGATGTCTTACACAGCTACACCGCGAAAGCGTGCTCATCAAGCCTCAGTCCACTCCCGTCACCCCGCTATGCAGTGAGTGCTCCTGACAGACCGTCACTGAGGTGTCTCATACTGATCTTCCTGTCTCAGCCAGCTTGACGACCCTGACCTGGGAAAGTGTCCGAAACGCAGGCTCTTTCCGTGATGCAATCTCCAGATTTGACCAGTTCATTCAAGAGCATGTGATCAAGAACAACCTCGAATTCTCCTTTGTCACCTTGGATTCCTGGGATTTGAGGGTGCAGCTGCCACGTGAAGCCCGGGACAAGAGCGTTGTGCTGCCTGCATATCTCCAGCACTCTCGTACCTTCGATCTGCGCTCTGAGTATTCTCGGTGGCAAGTACACCATCCAGAGACTCTTACATTCGGACCGAGCTCGTTGGCAAACATTTGTGCCGCACTTGAGGTGGAGCCTGTGCAGTCATCCGCTCCCATCAAACACAATCTGCCGTTCCATCTCCAAGCCTTGGCTCCAGCCTCTCCGAGACGCGCTATGGAAGAAGCCATCACCTTGACCAGGGTACTTCGCGGCCTGATCCGGAAATCTCAACCTGCTTCAGAACATCCCGAGATTTTGACTAGACCAATGGATGCACGAGCCGACGTCAACGCCTTTCTCAAGGAAAGGAGTAAGGTCCTCCACATGAATGGTCTGCCCCACGATACCACTCAGTCGGAACTAGAATCGTGGTTCACTCAATTCGGCGGTCGACCAATTGCTTTTTGGACGCTCAGAACTCCTGATCAGCACAAGCCCACGGGGTCTGGCTTCGCGGTCTTCTCTTCACACGAAGAGGTAAGCATTCTCATCTCCTAGCATTTATGTTGAAAGCCGTCTGCCATTTCCATCGTCTCGAATGACTTCGTACTATCGAGCGGCGATGGCTGGCTACCTCTACCCCAACACTGACTCAAATCAGGCCGCTGAATCGCTCTGCATGAACGGCCGCGCCCTCAACGAGAAGGCCATCGAGGTGTCACCTAGTTCCGCGAGAGTGCTCGATAGAGCCACTGAGATACTCACGCCATTCCCGCCATCAAAGAACCGCCCTCGTCCGGGTGACTGGAACTGCCCTTCATGCGGCTTCTCCAACTTCCAACGACGGACAGCATGCTTCAGATGCTCCTTTCCAGCCGCCGGACCGGCTCCTGACCCGTACAACGGTGGCTATAATCAATATGCTGGCAACTATGGGCCTCCAATGTATCCTGGCAATCACGGTCATCATGGTCATCACGGCGGTCATGGCCATCACGGAGGTCACGGTCATCATGGTGGACATGGTGGTCGCGGTAACGGACCGGTACCATTCCGAGCTGGCGATTGGCGCTGTGGCTCCGAAGGCTGTCAATACCACAACTTCGCTAAGAACGTGAATTGCCTTCGTTGTGGCGCACCTCGAGCCACCGCCGCGATTGTTGTCGAGCAAGGTGGCTATGGACAGCAGATGGCACCGCCACCGAACTTTGGCATGGGACCACCACCGATGGGTGCTGACCAAGGCGCAGGGCCGTACGGACCAGGAGCTCAAGCATTCGGATCCGGCGCTGCCTTTGCTCAGGCTCCACCGAACACCTACGGCATGCCACCCATGGGTGCTCCTGCTGGATTCCCTCAAATGGGCGGCATGACGCCTGGCTATTCCTCAAGCAACATTTCCCAGCATTCGTTTGGTCCTGCTGCACAGGCTGCTTTCAGTGGTGCCGCTGACACAACTGCGCAGTCTGGTCACGCTCCGCAAAATGGATTCTACGGCAATGAACAAGCTCCCGATCCGTTTGCTTTTCTCAACTCTTCGCTCGCTGGTCTCAATGTGAACGACGAGAATCAAGGTGCTCGTCGCAATGGCAACCCGCAAGGTGCTAAGAGCCCAGCTTAGGCGGCTGAGCTTGAGAGTGAGCCTGAGAGTGAGCTTGAGAGTGAGCTTGAGACTCGCTTCAGTCATTCAGGGAGAGGATTGCCGCTGGGAGGGCTCTACGGTTATGGTGCGACGCCACGGCCGCAAGAAAAGATGAAGGCTACTGTACGGATTCTACGTGAATTTTAGCGAGGCGTCGGCAAAGGACTCATCTGCGGGTGTAGCATAGCTTAGCTGGAGGGGTGCTCAGGACAGCGGAAGGGTTTCATTTCCACAGTTTCATTTCGTGGTATGGATGAACATGGCGAACAGTATGTATAAAGCAAGAGGTGGCAGTGATCGTAGAAGATATCAGTAGGACATAGTGAGCTGATAGCAGATATCATAGCGAGGGAGAATGCAGTGTGCATAACATCAAAGCGCCTTTCCATTACACCTGAGGCGGCCCCTACTGTGACAACATTGCCAAGGTTGATATAGATCATGCCAATCCATCGACAAGCTGGCGTCGATCTTCTCCGCCCTGTGACAACAGAGCACTCCAGGGAATCAGAGCACAGGCGATGGCACATTCTGTCTTCACTCTCCAGACAAGAGTACAGATCGAATAGGAACGGGACCATGTCGTCCTCAAGCTTCGGAGGCAAAGTGGTAAGTTGTATTACCTCTTCCTGGTATCCTATAGTGTCACCGACTCCGTTCACCAACAGCTCCATGTATATAGATCGCTATCACTGGCGGCGGTTCCGGGATGGGTTATGCCGTTGCAAAACATCTCGCGTCCCTCGGAGCCAACATCTCGCTCGCCGACATCAACTCTGAGACCCTGAGAGCGGCCTACGATACCCTCCCCACCGACCGCCATCCAGGCCAAGATCACTCCCACATGGTTGTTGACGTAACTTCCACCGAGGACGTAGATGACTGGACGTTGATGATTTTAGCGAAGTACCGACGGTTGGATGGGGCGGTCAACATGGCGGGCATCATTTGCAAGGCGAAGAATGTTGAGTACGTGGAAGACGAGGAGTGGGCACGGACTATGGACGTCAACGCCGGGGGCGTGTTTCGATGTCTGCGGGCGCAAGTGAGAGCGATGAAGCAGGCAGCTGAGCAAGGCGGACGTGTTGCGAGTGGTAGTATTGTGAGTGTCAAAAGGCCGGCTGGATCACTGAGTCACAAAGCACTCCTGGGTTGCCAGTTTGACTCATGGGGCTTTGCTCGCTAACGCATGGATCGCACTACAGGTCTCGGCAGCGAGCACATTCGGACAGATCGGTGCACCAGGCAACATCGCCTACGCCGCGTCTAAAGCTGCTGTTATCGCTGCCACGAGAACCGCAGCAAAGGAGAACCAGCACATCAGGGTGAATTGTGTGGCTCCAGGTGTGTTACAAGACCCGGTCTATAAGCCTGAGCGGCTCGCCGACCGCTCCAGAGCCCTCCCCTGATGACATATGTCATAACGCCACGTACAGGTTCAGTCAACACGCCTCTCTCCGCCAGCGAAGATCCCGAAGATGTAGCACGAGGACTGCAGGTCACAGCACAGAAGCGGCGTGCTGAACCGATCGAGGTCGCCAAGGTCATCGCATTCTTGTTGAGCGATGATGCGAGCTTTGTTACCGGTGCTGTGTATAATGTTGATGGTGGCTGGGTGTGTTAGGCAATGGGTCGAGTGTGTGGCGACATGTGGACGGCATAGCGGCAGGGAAGGGCAGTGCCTGTAGTATGTGACCTGGCGGGCCCAACAGACGAAGAAGAGTGGTACTTTCAGGAGAGCATGCTGCAAGCCATGATCAGGGTGCCGCTAGCTTGGTTCAGCTGTCAATAGGTGACTACCATGGACATAAGTGAAACCGGATGACAAGAAATTTCAATGCAGGCGGACTCTAACTTGAGAAGCATGCCATCATTCGGTCGTGCAAGAGCCCTTCACCGTTATGACTCTTGTGTGTGGCAGATTGGAGAGTTGTGGTGGTCGTGTGTCCCTTCCCTGCTCATTTGCTGTGAACACGGAGAATGTTCGGGCGAACACTTCTTCCGCTCCGACGCCATTGAGAGGTGCCTCGACCCCCGACTTTTCACTTTCGTAGGACGGCCCACCAACCTCGCACAATGGAATCTGTGCCTCAGACCTTCTGAAAAGCCTCGCCGGAATGCTAGTAGATTCAGTGTGGCATTTCTAGAAGCTCAAATACGGGCTGTCAAGCAGCCACAAGCTTAGCTGGACCTTCCAGGCCTCAGACACGGACTCGAGGAAACAGAAGCTTGGCCATGGTCTCTACTAGGTCGACCAAACGCGCCGCCAATCCGGCTGGCCTGGATGGTGCATCGAGTCCCGAAAAGAAAGTCAAGCAGTCTCAAGCATTGCAATCGGCTCCCCAATCGGACCTGCACAACATCAAGGTTGTTCTCCTAGACATCGGTAAGCCAACCGGGGGTGCCAAGTCTGATCCGACGCAAGTACGTGTCATCCTCAGCTGACGTTTGATGCCTCGTCTCTTCAGAGGGTACAATATGTCCAATCAGTTTCGTGAAGGAAACACTGGCAAGTGGATGACTCCGTGGGCGAAGCCCAGCAATATTCTAACAAGGATTGCTGCAGTTCCCGTATGCCCTCAAAGCGCTTCCTTTAGTCTTGGAAACCCAATGGGACTCGCCAAATTTTGCACCGTATCGAGACGCATTCCCAGCCGAGCATAGAGCTTCGCCAGCCGCTCTTGAGGCTCATGTGAAGGATTTGACCGAAAGAGACGTCAAGATCGCTTACTTGAAGAACCTACAAGGCTATCTGTGGGAGGATGGCTACAAGACTGGTGCTTACTCTACGCCTTTGTATCAGGATGTCCTAGATTTCTTCGACCGCTGGCCCTCGAAAACTTCTAGTACGAATGGTGATCCAGCCCAAGCTAACGAAAAGTCGGCCGGTCCCAACATGTCCGAAGCAGGACAAGCCTCGGTTGACAAAGATGTAAAGGCGAATGGAGTCACCACACCAGAAGCTACTTCAGACTCGCTGAGACAGATAGCGATCTATTCATCCGGTTCGGTCTTCGCGCAGAAGCTGTTATTTGCACACGTTCAGACTCCATCAGAGGCCTCCACGAAGACGGGATCAGAAACAGCTCTTGCCAAATCGAATTCCCCGACCCGTGATCTCAACCCTTCTGTGACCACCTATTACGATACGACCAACGCTGGTCTTAAGTCCTCGGCGTCTTCGTACAGCACCATTGCGAAGGATCTAGATGTCCAGCCAGCACAGATTCTATTTCTTAGTGATGTGCCAGCCGAGATCGATGCAGCGATCGAGGCCGGGATGCGGGCTATAGTGGTGGAGCGAGAAGGGAACAAGCCTTTGAGTGAGGAGGAACGGGGAAGATACAGAATCGTGCAAAGTCTTCAGCATTTGGGTCTATGAAGGGTGGTCTTCCCTCCCAGGAGCTGTGAGAGCGCTTCTGGGTCATGCAGACCAGTTCAGTCACCTCTGACAGAATGACGCTGATTTTAAGGCATGCCGGGGATGTGCAACAATTTGGGGATCGGTGGCACGGAGAATGGCGACCTCGGTACGCTATCACATTATCGTTGCGTATCTGTCTAGCTGGAGGATGCTAGAGAATTACATATCGACCGACGAACCTGGCAATCGGAACTTTGGATCCTGGAGAAGCTGAAAGATCCTTGCTGCATATTGTATGCCAAGCCTGCATAGCAGCAGGCAGCCGATCTAGCCCAAGGCAAACAGGCAACCCCGCGGACCAGTTGAGCCTGACCGACAAATTTCACCAGGCTTGTGTCACGTCTCTACTTCTCTGTCGAGTGTGTCAAATCTATTAGGATGATGATGTCCCGTCGCTCCTTTACTCACGAGGCAAGTGTAGACGAATTTGACTTCCATTTCGACACTGACCTATTCACTTTCAGGATCTGACAGTCACGTCTTCGCTTCTCCGATCAGGCTGATGCCATCTGCAACCTAGTTGTTCCACACAGCTACATGTTTGATCCTTCATGCCATCACATCGTCCACGGCGCAAGCGAGGATTGCCCCGATACATACCTCCAGTTTATCCAGATATCACCATGGATCTCGCACCGGCCCCAGATACAACGCCTAGTCTCGGAGGCGACGCATTCGACCCATTCTCGTTCTTCTCAAATAGTGTGGGCCTCCCTGCGTTCATTGCTGCATTGCTCTATCCTCAAGTCAAGGAGATCTCGAAACGCTTCCCTCGGCTATGGAAACTTCTCAGCGCTGCCGTTGTGGTACAGCTCACATACCGGTACACCCAAGCGAAGTTGAAGAGCTTGGTCGCATATCTGGTCAAGCTATGTGCATCGTCGATCAAGATACAGTATGGCGACGAGCTCATGGGCTGCTTTCAACGATGGCTCGACAAACAAAAGCCATCTATGACACATCGCGAGCTCATCACAGCGAGGTCATTGCAGTCGAAGCACTCCTGGCGGCCATGGGACACTCAAGAGGACCTCACCACGACCCCTGAAGGTGTCGATGCAACGAATATTCTCCTTCGACGGAACTACAACGTGCGAATGTTCCGGCATAAGGGACGCTTCTTCTGGCTGACCCAAACTTTAAACGTTGAGAACACCCCAGAGACTGGAGCCGTAACTAGGAAGTCACTGATGATCTGGACCCTGGGAAACTCTGTGTCGCCAATTGCGGCAATACTGGACGAGGCAGTCAAGGAACACTCGAACGATGGAGAAAAAGCAGCAACAACTCTCTTCACACCCTTTCCTAATCACCAAAATTATGCTTGGGATGACAACTCAACTGGTATCTGGAGAAAGCATGCGGTCAAGCCTTGTCGGCCACTGGATACGGTCTACCTGGCGGGCCATCAGCGAGAGCTGATTGAGCATGATGTGGCAAGATTTTTGCATGCGGACACGGCGGCAAGATATCGATCGAGGGGTATCCCACATCGGCGAGGTTATCTGTTCTATGGACCACCAGGTAATGGCAAGAGCTCATTGGCCATGGCATTGGCTGGTCACTTCGGCCTCAATGTGTACAGTCTCAGCCTGCGCGACGCTCAGATGAGCGATACCTTCCTGTCGCAGCTCTTTAACGCTCTCCCATCGTCAAAAGTGCTTGTGCTCCTTGAGGACATAGACTCCGCTGGACTCAAGCGAGAAGAGGAATTTGAAGACGACGACAGTAGCATCTACGACCTACCAGCAAACAACGTAAGTGCTTGTTGCAATGCCATCCCACAATATGTTCAAAGCTTACCTTTCGGCCAGTACCTCAATACAGGCCTCCTCCCTGATGGAACTTTCCCTCGCAGACATCGAATACCACCTCCACGTATCACCAATGTCACACTGTCTGGAGTTCTGAACGCGCTTGACGGTATAGCTGCCCCCGAGGGCCATATTGTGGTGATGACAACCAATGCTCCGGACTCGCTCGATAAAGCTCTTACACGACCCGGACGTATCGATACCAAGATTGAGTTCAAGAATGCGAGCCCGAAACAGCTGTACGATATCTTCCATCGCATGTACCGGGACGAACACGCCACTCTTGACGATGCAAGTGGTCCTTTGGTCGCGCCAGGGCAAGGTACGAGCGTCAATTCGACAGCATCCACAACCAGCACCAACAAGGCAATGTTGGCAACCTCAACCGGTATGCACGAGGAGCTGGCCACGGTCACGCCGGCTGGTACTGATGAGAAGTCGACTATCTTGGAGGATGGCTCGAGCAACAGCTCTACTTCTCTCTTCAACGAAACAAGCAACGAGAAGTCCTTTCCAGCTAGTGCTAAAATAAGCGGCGCCGGGGACGACTCCACAGACTCTTCTCCCACACCCTCTACGCACGGCACCGAAGATGAGAACGATGGTTCAGCCAAGGCTACTGGTTTGGAAGCAGCATCTACTCCTTTACCGCCAAGTGGTGCGTCTGCTGCTCCAAAATTGTCCTTCCACTATACACCGCTCGAGCCGCAAGTCCTAGACAAACTCGCCACCCAATTCTCGCAACGTATTCCAGCGCAGGAGCACTCTCTCGCCTCCGTCCAGAACTACCTCCTAGGCAAGGTGGACCAACCACACCTCGCAGTCCGTGAGGCGGCTGCGTGGGCCGCGGAGGAACGCAAAGAGAAAGAGGAGTACGAGAAGCGGAAAGCTGAGAAGAAGCTCAAGCGTGAGTTGGAGCATGAGAAGCGCATGAAGGCGCTCAAGGGTAACATGGACGCCGGTAGCGGTGGTGGCGATGTCAGCAATCACGTTCTAGCAGCGGAGGCTCAACAATCTCTGCAGCAGCAGGAACTTATTCGCGAGCAAGCGCTTGCTCAGGCGGCCTTTGCTGAGGAGGTCATTCTCGATTAGTGAATGGGATTTCGGGTTCAGCAATGGGCAGAGATGGCTTCGCTGGGAGCCTAGACTGGTTGGTTGATTGGGATTTTCAAGACTGAATATATTCATGGTCTGACGACCAGGGAGTGAGAGCTGCGGGCCACAGGACCATCAAAACTCAGATCAGCATGCATTTGAAGATGTTGCTAGTGCAACCAGCATTAGCTATATAAACCATCTAAGCCAACGTCTTATCTATTCAAGCCTGAAGGGAGCTGCCATAGGATCTCTCCTCAGCCTTGTTCCTTCAGCGGCCCACACTGGGGTCCATGCCCCGGACTTGCCGCGCGTTGCATCACCGATCGCGCCTTCCTGGCTCAATGCTCCCGACATCACTTCTCTTCTGGACAGTTTGTTTCGCACCTGCGAAGCCTGCCGGATTGTCCATAAACCCTCAGAACACACTCCCGTGCCTTCCCAAAGCGGCACGTCCTATCAGCCGAAGGAACTCCCCTCACCCCTCCGCTGAATAACCCAGATGTTCTGGCTGCCATCGCTCTTCCCCAGCTCCAGCATCTTCATGCCCATATGCCGCTCATACCACTTCGCCAGCCCTTCATCGCCCAGGATCGCCATGCACCGGCGCAGATAGGGCATCGTGTCGAGCGTTTCCTGGACGCACTTGATGAGCCATTCTCCCAAGTGCTGTTTACGATATTGGGGGAGGATGTAGACGTCGGTCAAGTAGGCGAATGTTGTCAGGTCTGTGATCAGGCGGGCGAAGCTATCAGAGGGCCAGGCCGGGTGGATTCAGTCTTGATGTCTGCGCTGGTGGCTTCATTCTCGGATGGTGTAGAGGTGTCGTAAAGTCCAAAGCTCAGTCCGTTGTCGAGCATGGTACGTATGACGTCCCGAGGCAGGGGTTTGGCCCAGTAGAGGAAGTCGGAGTCGAAGGCGGCGTTGAGGGCTTCCATGTCGACGAGGGATGGGTCTGTGGAGATGAGGTAGTTGGCGCGGGACCATGTGGCGTGGGCCGTTGGGGTCGAGGGAGGGAACATGCTTTGGCTAATGGGTGATCGGATGTCCTGGTGAAATTCTGAATGTTGGGCCTGACTAACCTGTCGAGCTTGCTGGAGATGGCTTTGCGAGTGATGTCTGTGGTGTAGCGTAGGATAGTACGGAAGGCGTAGGCACCCAGGTGATCCTCTTCGGCGTAGCAACTGATATGTAGCCCCCGCTTCCGATGTACAGGCTGTTCCTCGGTCACTACACTCAGCAGATGTAAGTACCTGTGAACGTAGCGTGAAATATCATGGACTTGGTGCTAGGCTTATGACCTGATTGGAACGGCAAGGCTAGATCAGACAGGGGTGCTTTTGATCGATGACGCCCTCTGATCAACGAAGCGAGGCTCACAAGGAGTAAACCATTGGTCTCGTGCTGTTGAGAAGTGTTGATGAAAACTGTAACGCATGATCTGGAGTGCGAAGCTTGGAATGACTGGATGTGAATCGACCTTCAAGCAGAGTTTCACCTTTTAACGAGTTCACTTGTACGTACCGGACCGGCACTATTGACGGTCGGAGAAACGCACTCTCATATTCATCATAGAAAGACTCGTGCCGTTAAGTAACAGCAGCAGAAGCTAGCTTGATATGGCAACCACCTGAATTGAATGCCTCTTCAATCTCTTTGCGACGTAGAAGAAAAGAAATGAAGAAGTCAAGAGCAAGACAACGACTTACTCATACCTTCCAACAGAAGTGAATGATCACTGCATTGACTTGGCAAGGAGCTCTTCACTATTGGATGCATGATTCAGGGTCAGGCACATTGGTACAGTCTGAACTAACATCGCCCCTGCGGCATCTTATGGCTTTTTGAATGCTGCTGATTCTATTAGAGGCCGATCGTCGACAACTTCCGAATGAAGTCGTACTCGCAAGTTGGCGACAGCGCATGTGGGCAGCACATTCGACAGAAGCTCAGCTGTCAATTCTCGAGAGGTTGTGATTCATGTTCTCCTTAGTTACTGAACGCCAGTTTAGAGCTCTAGCCGATAGTCATCGCCCTGGTCCCTTTCCAAAGGCCCGAAATACTTGCTGAACAACCGCCTGAGGTCCTTGTCCTTCAGCTGCATATGCTCACCAGCAACCTCCTCGAAGACAAGCCCGCCCTTCTTGTCCAGCTGCTTTAGACCGATCCAGTCTTCCTCGTAGATCTGGCGATCCTGCAGTCGGGTCACACGCTTCTCTGCATCCGTCTCCGTATGATTGACCTCTGCAAACCAGCCCGACTCCTTCGGAATGACGGTCTGATCATCCTTGAAGACGACCATGACGAATTTGGCGAGCTTCGCGAGATTCTCCTTGTACGTCGCGTTCTTCACCTTCCGCTCATTATTGATATCCGCGAGGAAGTTCGAGTATTCGAGATAGTTCTCCATATCGCCGCCTGGCCTGTAATACTGCGCGGGCACCAATCTAGACTGAATGAACGAGCTCCACACAGTGCTGCTCTGCAACAGCGCATTCGCACTATGGCAGATCCAGTCCGTCGTCTTGCACGACTGGAACTCGACAATACCGTTGTGCTGGCTTCCGAATGTGATCAGACTTCGCACGGGCGGCGCCCAGTGACCACACCTCTCAATGTAGCCACGTAGGAACTGCCCTCCCTGGCTGAAGCCGACGGCATCGATTGCGGGCGCGGTGCGCAGGATGTTGTCCTTTGCTAGCTCTTGACATACGTGCTCGACCTGCTCGGTGACGTTGCCGAAGAACGAGGCGGACCTATCTGCGGAGCCTGCCGACTTGCCGAGTGAGATCGCTTGGGTGTATGTGCCAGGGTGAATCTCGTCTATTAGGGACATCACGTCTTTGATACCGTCCGCGTCAGCTGAGTCGCCCAAACCATGCCAGATGACGACGGGCAGTGGTGTGTCATCTTTTTCAGCGTTCTTCAAGCTTGGGCGTTCGTGGACTGTAGATCGAAGGGGCACGTTGGCTGGCAACTCAGCAAAGATCTCGGCCTCAGGAAGGATGACGAAGGAAAGAGCGCGGGGCACCAGGGCCGCGAAAAGTGGCAGGGAGAAGTACATGGCGCGTGCTATTCTACAGTGATTAGACGATGTTCAGTTCCTGCGACCAGCGCTGAGAAGTGAGAGCGAAGTATCAAGGAGACAGAAACAGTTCTGCCTGCGTCCGTGATCCCGAATGCATGCAGGAACGACTGGGCGATACCTCTTGGCGCTTACAGCAATAGGATCGCCGCAACGCCACCAGGCAGTGAATGCAGTACTACACGACTACAAAGTGCATAGGAGAATGAACATACAAGTCCTTGATCAACATAATTCATTCAGTATCCCGCCGAAAAGTCGCCTCAATACGTCCATGCCATGACGGCCGAAGATTTGTTCAAGCCGTCCTCAACGCCACGGTCTGAAATGCATGGGGTATCTCAAAGCAAGTAAAGAAGTTAGAATTCCACTGCCAAAGCCAAGCCATCCTCAGCTGAGAGTAAGACATTGATCTTCGCCAGCTCTTGAGTCCAGGCTCTGTATGTGTGCAGCCACAGCTCTCGTTCCCGCGTACACTCCTCATCAACGTAAATTTCCTCTGTCAAGGAACTTTGCCAGCCCTCCTGCTTTCTCCCGTTCACCACCAACATTTCGTCCGTCAACTGCGGGAACCGAAGCCTTGCTCTTCTCGCAGTATCCGCCATCTCGCGAGCTTTGTAGTCCTCGAACTGACAAGGAGGACACGGGTGGTTCTGGTGTGGGAGAAAGGTCGGAAGGTTCGTGTAATGTGGTGTGCAAGTGTGGCTATTGGAAGAGCACGCGAATGAAAACGATTTAGCGCTTTTGGGTCGTGGTTGCGAGATGTTCTGGCAGTAAGAGAGCGTGCCAGTCGCTGGCGAGCTACGCCTGGAAGTGGAGCGGTTACCACGCGATACATCGGTGGCGGTGAAGATGGTTCGCTAGACGACATTGAGAGCTTGCTCATGGTTGAGTCAATACTTGAGACAGAGGTCGCACAGGCCGGTCTCGATGGTGGACTGGACGGACTTGAAGACGTTCGTCGATTTTCACAGCTGTAGCATCGGAAAGGTTGTCGTGGAAGTTTCGGGCTCGTAGTCTTGATGCGCATACATGGGCCCAATTTGCAGAATTCGAGGCTCATGAGAAGGGAATGCTTGCATCGGAATCGTAGAACGTGTGCAAGACACATTTTGGTAGCAGAATGAGAAGAGTCGTCAGATTCGTAGATGTCGTAATGCCTGGTCCTGGTCCGTCGTGGTGTCCAGCACAGTGACGCCTGGAATGAGCTGATCGTGAGGAATGGTTGAGCCTGGCTGCACAACGTGGCATTCACGATTGCTCAGAGAGCTTAGAATGTGTCGTTGTCGTGGTCATCGTGACTCTAGTCGTACGCTTCTGCTTTAGACATGAGCTGACGAAAAGTCGTGAAGGGATTCACACGAGTCGGAGGAGGAGAGTGGTCTTGAAATTATCCGGCAGAGATCGTTAAGAGCTGGGGTAGTGGGCATCTAAAGTACTACACCAGTATCGACGGTGGAGCTGGTACCCGCGGAAGGTTCAGTAACGGCAAGGACAAAGGAGAGATGGGAACATCATTCATGTTGGGCAGCTCCGTGCCTGCCCGTGTCAAACGCAAAACGCGACCTGCCCCCGCGTATTCGAAAAATTTGCGGGATTTTAATTTTCTGCAACTGCAACGCTTCAATGCTGAACGAATCTTCTCCACAGTAATATCAGGCCTTTATATGCCGACTGTCCCGTGGTTCACTCTGTGTTGCTGCTGGCTTTTCCTGCAGTGAGGCAGCTTCGGAGGTCGCTAGTCACGACTGAAATGATCCGAAGCCAGCATCAGGTCAGGGAGTGCCTTGACTTGTCGGCTGGAGAAAAAGCTTGCGATTGTCGAGCTGCGAGGCAAGACTACTGTGCTATGCTTGTGCAGCCAGCTGCATGAACGCGCAAACACGCCCCCACCTACTCTGGCATTGGTGTACCTAAGCGGAGACAGACAATTAGTGCAGCTCGATTCGTGTACGTAGATACCCGTGAACATGACGAGGCCACTAAGCCGCTCTTGATAACAATAGGCTTCATGCGTAGGGCTCTAGACCTCCGTTGGCCAAAAGGCAGTATGACCCGAGTCCATATGCTTGACGTTCATGTACACTTCGTGAACCATCTCCGTCCTCTTCATTGACACACAGTACAGTACGAATTGTGGCAGCAAAAAGAGGTATACCATTCCAAGGTTTCCTGCTGTCGCCTCAACCCCACCACGTTGACCCACTCCAATCCGAATGACGGCATTCTGCATGCATTAGCTCGCAAGCTGTTTTCGCTATATCGGGATGATTTCAGGCTATCTGCCGGGTGCACTGCGGCTGGTGGTCGATTCTCAACCTATGCTTAAGCATTGTTCGTTGCCACAATCAAGCACTTGTCAGACATACCCTATATTATGTACCAGCCTGGAGGTATCAGGCAGCGCACAATAAGCCGGGCGCGGGAATCAGTCGTTCGTCTCTCACAGGATCGCAAGTCAGAGGTAAGCTTCTCCGTGGAGACAGGCCGTTCAAGGGTCAGGCCGTGCCAGTCGATAGCCGAAAACAGTACGGCGTAGCTGCTCGTCTCCGGGGTCCTCTTCAAACATGACTTTATCCATCGTATGCTCCATAATTTTTGTGACTGAAAAGCCCCCAGCACGGGCAAGTTCGAAGAAAGCAAGATCCTTCTGCAGCAACCAGGGTCGATAGGGAGTGAAGAACACTAGAGCGGACGAGGTCTGGCCCATAGTCTGTTGCAGCGTCTGGATCAGTTTCTGGTGCTCTGAATGATTGAAGAGTATGTCTGCGAGTATGATGAGGTCGAAATGGTCGGTTGAGGCCGGCAGACGCGATAGCAATGCCTCTGGAGACTGACCCCAAAGGTAACCTGCTGCAGTGATGTATGTGTTGCTCAGGTCCAAACCACAATTCTCGATATTGTATTGAAGGTTGGCGATGAGATCGTGATCCGGATAATCGGTGACAACGACAGTCTTCGCTCCGAGACCAGCAGCAGCGAGGCTGGGAAGCCCGGCGCCCGCACCCAGCTCGAGTACGCTTTTGTCCTTGATGAACTCGTCGGCGTGGTCCTCCAGAAAAGAAGTAATGACTTGACCCGCATTCCACAGAAGATGTCCCTGTCAAAAGCTATCAGCATGAGCGTCAATAGACATCTGATTGGTATCCGAACCCAGAGGGGACTGTGCCCTACAAGTCTGAGGGACACTGTGCGGCCATCTATCAAAGCGAAAGTGGTAGAGGTTGGCTCCTGCTCGGGTTTGTAGTATCCTGTAGGCTCTTGGAATAGGTTGCCGCCATCGACGGAACCATCGTCATCTGACATCTCAGAATCCTGAGTGGCACTCAAACGAGGCTCATCTCCAGCCTGCCGCTTCTATCACCAACCGATTCCTGAACGGATTCAGACCTGTAGCGTCCTCCCTGGCTCGAAAGTCTCCCGAGTTGTTAGCTTCAAGTCCGACTTCAAGTTGCACAGTGCTGGACCCTGTGCATCTGCAGACCTATCGCACTCTGCTCCCATTCAGACAACACAATGCAGAAGCCTGGCACGTAAGGGCGATGAACTGCGTAGGTTGGACGCTGGGACCTGCAGTAGCTGGTGGGGATCATGGGATTTTTCCCGAGCAGGCGCGGAATTTATCGCGTTCCGTCGATCTTCAATTTGTTGCCTCTGCATTCTCCTTCTGGCTACAAGGAGATGGCATCGTAGCACGTCGGGCAAATTGAATACTATCTGCAAGGCAGCGATAACCCAAAAGACTAGGAGCTACAGTGCTTACGCCTGCTGGCTTCACCACATTGAGGACTCGAGGATGATTGATGTGTACAAACCGAGGTTATCGGTGGGAAGCCGATGTGGGACAGCTGTAAGTGTGGACATCGGATCGGAAGGTTGTGGGTAGGGCTATGTGGACTCGGTGCTTGATGAATAACAACCGAGTTTGTACCTCGAATCCTCGATGATGAAGGACTCAGAAGGAGGAAGTAACCGTAGCACGCAAGATTGGCAGATTGAAATTGTACATCGATACCGAGGTTCAGCCATTGTTTAGTCTGTGCTCTCATTTTCCGCGTCGACATCGACTTCGTTCACAAGGCATCCCTATCCCAAATCCATCATTGCTTTTGCTGCCACGATCAGATCTTAGGCCGGATATCAGCACCTTCAACAAGTAATTCCCCGTGATACCGCGGCAGCTCTTTGACGCCTAAATACTGGGGAAGGACAGGTCAGATCACGCTCGGGCCTTTCTCCAGAAAGCCGCCTACCGTCTCATCAGCCGCCGTCACAGCTCGAGACTTGGCCACTCGAACATTTCGCCATTGTTATTATTGCCTCTCTTCGGTGGCATCGCTATCAGCATCAATACGTGCCTCAGCATTCAGCCGGAAAAGAAAGCATTTCTCATCCCGCCCAGACTTTATTTTCCCCAAGCACGCAACATCCGGTGGTAACCTCCAGCTTTCGCTGCTCTCCCCACGGCTCCAATAGGTAACTGACAGTCACTACGTCTGTCAACTTGTCAACCCGCTTTTCATCGGCCGATCACATCGCGCAGCACCTGCGTTTGCAAGGACATCGATCCTCACTCACGAATCTGATCGACTTTTCGGTCGACATCTGATTCAACCCGTCGCCACATATCTGACATCGAGTATTCGGCTACTGTGTGGTACTTACGCCGTAGACAATATTTCGGCGCATCTCCGTGCATCGCCTTCCCGCGCCTGCCTTTTCGGCCCTTGTTCGAAAGTCAATTTCTGGCCTGATACTTTCCTGCCCGTCGCAGGCGCCTTCCTTCCACTTCCTTCGCTCTCGCGAGCTCTGCCTCATAATGAGTGCCTTTTCTCCACGAAGAAGTGCTCGTCTCGCTCAAGATCCGGCTCGCGCCCTCGCCTCACAATCGACACCTTCCTTCGCCTTCTCACAGCCATCGAGCACCTCTACTACATCACACCCGAGCCCTGGCACCGACGGCCTCAACCCACCACCATCGACGCCGCAGAATAATCTCCGCCTACAGGCACAGCATCTGCAACAGAATACCATGATGTCGCAGCAGCAGCATCTCGGCGCTCCTCTACCCTCTCCCTCCACGAACGATGTTCCCTTCTTCTCGAGGACGCACTCTCAGCCGAACCCATTCCAACAACAAAATCAGAACACATCTGCCTTCCAGCAGCAGTCATTCATGCAGAATCAAGAGCAGGCACAGCCACAACATCTACATCCTCACAGCAACTCGATGTCGCAATCACGCAACGTCAACGCTATGGCTCCACAGATGCCGCCCGATTTCTTAGCCGAAGCGGCAAAGCGAGCCCAAATCGCCTGTCTTATGCGCGATATGGGTGATGTCACTCTATGAACGCCGTCGTCGACTGCTACAACTCCTCGTCACTTTTTCATACTGAGCGACAGCTATCAATATTTTGCGATCACCGAGGCAATTTACACGTCTAAGCAGACATGTGATTACAATGGCCTGGGGCCCCATAACGAGTTCCACAAACTCTACCGGATTTCCCCAACCATAAGCAATCTTCGATATCGGACTCGACCATTGTGTCCAAAACAAGATCGGTCACGGTACGCAATGCTATACGGCTGGAAGCGGTCTACAACAACATCTGACGGCCTACTCAGGCTGCCGATTTCAACCACTATCGACCGAGAACGACGACGACAACGGCTCATAATTGGCTTTCACCCCCATTCTCAACTCTGCAACATACCCACTTGTGTACCACATGTCAGCACAGGAATATCACTCTTATTTTCATCACATTGCATAAGGCGTAAGGCGGAATGAAGACAAGATCTCACCATCATGACCATCATCGGAAACAGATTTCTTTTTGCGAGGAGTTCCAGACGGAGGCCACTTATCATCGCCATTGATCCGGACAAGGATAATTGAGAGGACCTTGGCCTACAATAGGCACATCTAATTTGCGGGACACAGACGAGCAGATGGGCGAGTCGACGAATGAAAATCCTAATGAGAAAGGCTCTTTGGGTACTAAGTCGGCCAGGCTACGTATGCCTCCGTTGTAGCAAGTTAGGTAGCATAGTTGCGACTGGATAATGAACCCAATGCAGGTCTTTCAAAATCTGACTCGATATTTACCTGCACGAGGATCCCTTCAGACTACTCGGGCCATGTTCACCCTCGTTGCCTCTGCAGCCACTCGATCACTCATCCGAGTCACCAAACTCTGAGTCCAGAAATCTTACAAATCCCTCGATAACCTCCTCCCGTCCCCTCTCCCCACCACTAGCACCAACATAGCCCTGACCGTGCGCGATCCGCCCGCGCTGAAGCGCCGTGTATTTCCGACGCAGCTGCTGGAGGTAAGGCTGGGTTATGTTCTTTCCTGGGGAGATCGTGATCGTGTATGTGGTTGTCTCTTCTGGACGTGTGGTCGTTGAGGGGTCTAAGTTGGCTGTTGGGCTGGCGGTGGCAGCAATGGAGGAGAGCGGGGTGACGCTGAAAGTAACGACTCCGCCATCGCCGTCGGCTGCAGAGGCGGCGCGTGCTGCGGATAGGAGGCTGCGGACGACGAGCAGCGTGCTGGATTCGAGGAGCTGCAGGGCGGAGGCGGAGGTTCGTGTTGGGAGGACGGTGGCTGCGTGGGGACGGACTATGTCTGTTGGCACGGTGGAAGTGTCGTTGTCGTTGTTGGCGGTTGTGCTTGGCTGTGAGGAGGACGAATTGTGAATTGTGGCCGATCCCGCAGTTCCATTTGAGCGTGCGGATGCTGGCAGTTGGGAGAGTGCCTTCTTCGATGTCGGCTTCGTTGGTGATGGAAAGATGGCGTCGAAAATGGCTGCGTACGGTGGATGGGTGTCAGTGGTTGGTATGGTGAAGAGTGGTGTGTCCCATCTTGAGAAGGGCGAGGGTGGCTCGTAGCGCATCGAGAGGGAGGTCAGCGTCGTAGGAGAGTATGGTGGTCTTGTGGAGGGGTCGGCGGGCTGTATTGAGGGTAGATACGACTCTCGAGGCTCATCGGTCGCATCATTGCGGATGGACGGCCTTTCGCTGTTTTTGTCTGGCGACGAGATGTAGAGGGACTTCAACGTCATGGTGTCTTCCGCCTGCGGTCTGTTTGGTACTTCCTCAGGCGTAGCACTGTGCGTCCGCGGTGGCTGGTCTGTACTTCGATCACCATAGATTGTAGTATGGCTCTCAGGCACGAGATTCCCTCTGACGTCCTTTCCAGCCTTTCCAACACCGTCTTTTTGCTCCGCCTCCTGCTCTTCTAGCTCGTTCCCTCGGCCATACGCCCTCAACCGCTCCTCATTCCACTTCCGACACTCATCCTCCTGCGCCGCAACATGCACCACACAACACCTCGTGCTTGCCGCTTTGGCCTCGCACCATAGCTGGTAGCGGTATCCCTTTATGTAGTTGGGACAATCGGCTATAACGACATTGTCCCTCGAGACGCCGCGTTTTATGGCGGAGAACTCTTCCGCGCGTGCTGTCTTCTCGCGGTTGGCGGTGTTGTACACCTCATCGCGGAGGCTACCTGCTTTGTGGTCGTCTTGTGAAGAAGGCGAGTCTCGACTGGCGTGGTGGGACGCTACGATGGAGACGGTGCGTTTTGTATTCGGTGCATCTTGGGCCAGACGGTGGGAAATGTACTCGTGGATCTGGTCGGCTCGGTGTGTCTTGCCGGAGCTGGGGAGTCCAGTGACGATTATCAGCTCTACAAGTTAGTTAGCGGCGTCGTGTCAAGGCAGTATGGTTTCTTACAGGCATGGCAGGAATTGCTCGAGTAGATGATCACGCCAAAAAGATCCGACAAAATTTATTAGGCCGGCATCGTGAGGGGAACTTCCACGTGAACAATCTGCGGGACGCTTCTTGGGCTTTTGGGGGCGTTCCAGGAATGAATGCTGCCTCTCGATGGCAAGACACTGGCACACAGTCAAATATATTCAGAACACCACTGCCTACAAACCACGCATGCCGGTGTGGCAGTTAGGATCTATCTAGGTCATACACGTTGTCCAGAATTCTGCACCAAGCCCTCCTCACTTATGCCTTCGTACTTCATGTATCCTACCACCAGGCCCAGCACTTGGGCTTTACGCCTCCCCTTCCACTTCACGTCGGGCCAAAGCACGGGCAGGAAGCCATGTGCATCCGAGGTCGTCCTCTCGTGGCAACGGGTGCCAATGGTTACAGCATCACCTCTGGCAGAGTTGTGATTACGCTGCATCCAGTCCTGGTGAGGGTGGCCTGTCCTGAAGCGACAGCGTGGACCGCAAAGGAGCGGGCGCTGCAAAATGTGGCCTAAGCAAAGGGACTGATACCACTTTGAATCGGGGAGAACGCCCGATGAGTCTCTGATCCGGGCAGAGATAATCCTCTGGACTGCTGTGCCATGTGTGGACTGGGATCCGACGGTATGGTGGCCAAGTATGCAATTAGACATCATGAGTCTTGTTTGCCATCATTCAATATTCTTGTCCGGGGTACTGGACGAAGCATGGATCAAGCAGAAAATTCTGGTCCACGATGAAGGGCACGGGGTATTCCATAGGAGTGTACATCATTTGGGTAGGGTGCACAATCACGTCCGGCCGGTGCTTCGAATATGGCAAAGACCTGGCAGAGCTGCTCCGGCTCATGGGCACTGAGCTGAATTTGTTCTTGTGCTTGCGCACCGGTCCATGGCGGCTGGTCCGGCTGTCAGCATCGCTGTCGTAGCCATGCACACGCTTCATATGGTCTCGTCGGTTCCATCGGCGTGGAAATCCATTGCCAGGCTTGGCCCTTTCGCAATCCGGAAAGTCGCAGAGATAGGGATGCATCCCATGGTTGTGCATCCCGTGTGCCTCTCTCTGATGCCGGAACAGACACGCGTTCGAGGAGAAACGCAGATCCTCGCAGTCCTTGTTGGTGGCGGCGTGTGTGCATGTATACGGCCTGAGGTGGGAGTCCAGAAACTTGCTGTTGTATCGAGCTTGGTTAGCTTCTACAATGATTGGGTTGGGACGCGAGACCTACGCAAACAGGCACTTTTGTTTGACTGGCTTGTGATCGCACTTGGTCTCGCTCTTCTTGGGACAGTGGTAGAATCCGTCGGCATCTGGGTCCATGTCATATAGAGGATCCGTGCGGTAATTGATGCGTTCATTGTCTGCTTTTGACGGGCTTGAGTCCGCATCGCTGCTGTCTTCCGAGTTCCTGCGTCCATTAGATGGTCGAAGTGGTCTCGGCGGCGAGCGCCGTGATTTGCTAAAGGCCTACATTAGTACATCGCAATAGGGCCGTGTGGTATGAACTAACGTCATGTGTTGCAAAGCCGAAGGGCCTAGGTTCTCACAGATGGTCGGCTCTCCAGCTCCAGTCATCTGGGCTGTGATCTGCTGTTCCGGAGGCGGTGTGTTGGGCGCTTGAATTGGCCATTCCATTGGAAACGTGTCATAAGCAGACGCTAAGGTTGACTCCTGGACGAATGGGCCGCTATAAGATTCCGCGACAGACCAGGCAAAAACGTTGGCACCAGCTTCACATTCATGTGGCGAAATACCAGCCTCAGACTGAGGTGGGGAGATCTCAGCGACTGTCGACGAACCGCACACGGACAGAGGGGCAGATCCAGGACCTTCCATACCAGCATAATATTCGAATTCACCAGGCATACAAGACCGGACGAGCGTAGCTGGAACATATGACGTCAACTCGTAGTGTTGTAGCTCTGGTGCAGAGATAGGAAGGTATGATGCATCAAAGTCCTGTGGCAAATCCGGGTACCTTGGTGTGGTGCTCTGGTACGAGCTGTGGCCTTGCATTGTGGTTTGAATTTGTCGTTGCCGGTAAGGCATCATTGTATGTAAGTCCAGACCTTTAGTTGGGACGACTGTGAACATTACGAGTCAGCATCCACTGTGCTCAAACTACGAGATCGACCAAGGAAAAGCGATGCCGTCCGATCCAGTCCGCGCGCAAGACCCCGTATGTGCCTGGAGCATTGTAAAACAGTTCTGGCGTAGGTCATATTGTCATGCTTTGGAATGTAGCAGAGTCGGACAGACTCATGAGCAGCCGAAAGGATAATGACATGGCCAGTCCGCGTTTGTATGGAGTGATGTTCCGCGGCAACCTGCTGTCGAACGAGGGTGATTCTGATTCCGGTGTACAAACCTCAGTGTGAACTAGGTCAGGCCAAGATGAGATACGTGAGCTGGGTTGCATTCGTCGCTGGCAACATCTCTCGTCAGAACTCGATAATAGGAATGCGCCTTGGTAGCATGGCCAATCCGGAAATCTCTGGTACACAACAGTGCGGCAACGACTCCTGTAGGCCATAAAATGGGTGTGCAAGAGCACGTCATTATTCATCGTTCGCGACACAAGTCAGCTGAACGGAGCGCCAAGGGCGCCTCACAGAGCAGTCATCGACAGACAGCCCAGGTAGTGGATCCAAAAGGATTTCGAGGTGCTCCGAGATATCCAGGAGCATAATCGCAGTCGACAAGGTAGAAAACTGACAGGGAGGGAGTGCAATATACCTGTAAATGGAACTCAAGTGCGACACGTTGGACGCAGTGGTTCTCTGGACAGATGTGGCCTGGGTATGTCCAGAGTTCCCGGATGTCGTTGACAATGGTGAAGAACTGTCAGGCACAGAAGGGGAGCGGGTGGTCGACGTGGGCCAGGAAGACGAGTACACAGTTGGCCAATCCAAGTAGACCGGTATGGTCTTTCAATCACACTTGTTGTTGGTCTGGATTTGACTGTGATGGTGACAGGCGCTGAAGCTGTTCGACTGAAGAAATGACACTAGTTGCGATGCCTGGGTTGGTCTTTCCGCCCTTGGAAGGGTATCCTTGGATTTGTAGAGAATTGGCGAAGCAATGGTCCGGATGGTTTGTCGATTCCTCTGGGACGAGAAAAATATTGAACTCCCTGATCTGACGCGAAACAAAAGATCAAAAGAGACAGCCTTGGGAAATCCTCTGGATAGTCCTTGGGAATCCTGTGGAATATTCCTGGGATAAACAGTGGCCTCTCCAATGGTGGGTTTGAGTGAACTTCGTGAAATATCACGCTATCATTAACAGTGCTTGTCGGCGATGATCTTCTCTGGGAAGAAAAGTGGTTAAGACGGTGGAAATCGTAGGTTGGGCAGAAGTCGAGATTGACAGACTTTAAAGGAGAAGGAAAATGTGGGCGGTGACGGATAGTTGGAAAAGTGGGAATGTGACAGCTGGTGTCAGTGGGGACGGACCGGGCGTCGTGGGCCGCCTAGAAAACGCCCAGGGTCCTGAGCCAGTTGCTTCTGAGAGACATGCCGCTAGCAAAACTCCGCCCGCGAGAGACCGCCGAATGACGATCATCTCAACAGGCTGTGGGATCATCAGGGGCTTCTGGATTCGTCTATCTGATGTGACGACATGCAAGCGACTGCATCAGATCGAGCTGACTCGCTGCGACCTCTTCATGCATGTTTGACGTGGCAGATCGTCAGAGGACCTTCCATACTGGCTTGCAGGCTCCAAAGACCGACCACATCGAATGCAACTTGAGAATCGAGCCGTCTCGATGGGGGTTCTCCGGCCTACCACGACGGATCCATGGTCCAGTAGTGACATTCAGTACACAGTGTCTAGCTGTGGTTGTAACTCTCGTGTAAATGATTTGAATGGTCGGATCGATCGTAGACCGTGACACAAGCAGTGATCTAGCCTGTTCCAGACTTGCATCCAGGAAGAAATGCTGGATACGTTGTCTCTGCTGCCTACGAAAGCTCGACTGATGAAGCAACGCCTGCAGTGTTCACAGATGAGCAGCAGCACGGGACTTTCGACCGTACAGTGCGTTGCCAGGCTCAGTTTTGCAACAAGTACATTGTTCCTCAACCCAGCAAAGCAGCCTACCGGGCTACGAAGCATTGGGCAGCATCAGTGAAACCATGTCCAACCACGACTCGTAGCTTAGGGACGTATCTTCAATCTGTACGGTCGTCAGCGCGTTCTCTGCTTTGGTGCATCGTAGAAGACCGCGGACGAGGGGCTGATTTTCAGAAAGATTGATGATGGTAGATTGTTGTCGTTCAAAGACGATTTGTCTCAGGTGAACTATGCTTTAAAAATTGGTAACATCATGGTGTTCGGGTTGTCATCCATGGATACATGGCGAGTAGAACTTACCATAGTTACTGGGTTCAAGGCGACTCGGCACGATGAAAGTACGACCCATCACGCCGAATCAGCAGTGGCTTCATCGCCTTACGCACAAGGTGCTGTGTGGTGCGTAGAAAGATGGAATCGCTGTTTTGCTTTGTGGAATTTTCGTCTATCGCTTGGCATACCTGCGGCCACCTCCAGGGCTGGGCACTCAGGAACTTAAATCAGTCGTCTTTACAAAGCACTTCCTCGGGACTTCCCACCCGTCACCCTCAGCATCTATAGCGGCTGGAGGATGACCCTTTTAAATGACAGCCAGATATCCATGGGGAGGATCTTGAGCAGTTGAGGAAGAGCTTCCGAACTCACCTGGTACAGGATGCTGGATTGTAGTTTCGACTGCATGAGATCGTCATGACGGCATGCAGGTTCTCAGAAACGTTTCCAAGAGCTGACACAAGCGATTTGATCAAGTGCCCAGGTGTACTTGCCTGGACATAGCTATCGAGAGCCATGTGTTGAATGTGGTGCTCGGGAGCCCTTTGCAGTGTCGCGAGATACAATAATTGCCTGCTTTAGGCAACGGTGATGGGAAGGTAGCTAGCGAGGGCGATGTCCAGGGAGGCGCGGGAGCAGTGTGTTCCTTCCCTCACTAATTATACCTCCATTGTACTTCGGCCTCGTGCAGGCCCATCAGATTTGTCTCTGAACCATCGGCTCGTCGCCCTGAATACTGGTAGGTACTTTAGCCTGCATCTTGACATATTGTTACACGAAGACCACATGTTGCTACCACTGCCTAGTCGAAAGCATCCACTCGCATCAACAGAACGCATCCACCGACATCGCCACAGTGTCCGGGTATGACAGACCATGAATTGGACGTCTGGGCAGCTAAATCGTTCGACGAAAGCCAATAAAGACCCAGTTCGCAAGAAACAGAACCAGTACTTCGCCCGGCAGCGCATCAACCAAGGCCCAAAAGCACATTCTCCTCTGGCGCTCGGTCATTATCAGCAAGCGGCACCTGAAGTCGCCTCTGAACCTCCACGCCCAGTGACCAGCCACTTCTTCCCATCGGACCTCAACAGTTCCCACAACCGCCCAGAAATCGGAATAGCTGGTGGCCACAACAGTGCGACTCATCAGAAAGACAACAGGCGGCCAGATGATCCTCTTGAACACGTTCGCCGGCGTCTGCTGAAGCACAGAGATTGGTCCGGGTTGGCACTCGCACGTCCACGCCCGATCTCGTTTAGATCACCGGCAGAGATGGATGAGATTGGTCGACGAAGAAAGGTTTCGAAAACCAACGCAGAGAAGAGTGGCCCGAGACGAGCTCAACGAGAAGATCGCAGAGTACGTCCAACCGAGACAAAGCTTCGAGCGCTGAGAGAAGGTCAAACCTATGGGCATATATCTGAACTCGATCAAATCGATTGCAGTATACGTGTTGGCTCACACATCCATCAGACTCAGACTACGGCTAGTGCTGCTCCTAGCAATGTTGCTGCCACCAAAGAGTCCACGATTTCTCGTGCAGGCGAAGCTCCTCAGTATCAGCGCGACCATGCAGAGCTCAGCCTCGCGGAGATCTCGGAGGAAAACGTCAATCCGTTCCTTATCCCTCTGAGCGAAGCCCGACAGATGAAGAACTTTGACGAGGTGCAAGACCGCTCGTCCTCGATTGTTCGCCAGGCGTCGAGCTCATCAAACCCGTTCGATGCTACATCGCATCGGCAGAGTTGGCCTGGAGGCAAGGACGGAGGGAATGTTGCTACTGACGCAGCTCAGAGCAATCACAGATCCACCCCGACGCTTGACGTCAGTCGACATTTCTCACAAGCAAATGGCGATGAGAGCTCTGATGCCATTTTTAGAGACTTGATTGGTGATGGTATTGCATCGGGAAGGAGTGCCGTTCAAGACCATCAACACGTTGACGCGACAAGTGCCCGAGCTGGCTCGAGCCGGCTTCTTGTCGACACTCTGCCACGTTTCACGATCGATCGTCAGGTACTACTAGAACGGCAACTAGGTCGGAACCAAGACAGGAGCCTCGCGACCTCACATTTTCGACACCTTCCCTGCCGCGGTCACACGAAGTAAGTTCGACTAGACAACAGGGCGATCTCGTAAGTCCTTCCGAGCCGTCACTACCGCCGTTTTCGGGACCACAAGACATATCAAATTCGGTTCCCTCGCAGCATTCCGGACAAGAGCCACCACGGAAGAGGCAAAAGATGATGGACTCAGACACTCCAAATCTGGACACTTATCCCAAACACACCCCTTCGGACCCGCCCTCCCTTCACACAAGCCAGAGGGAATCCACCGCTGACGAAAATGTCAACATGCGCGAGCGATTTCTACAAGCAAAAAAGGATCATCAGCTGAGCGCACCGGCAGGGCCTCTCTCGGTTTCGGCCAGGCAGATGACACCCTTGGGTCGGCGAACGGGATCTGAGAATGAGGAATGGATGAAATACGTCTTCCACGAGGATTTCAATCGGAGGGTCAAAACCTTTAGCTTCTCACCGCCCACACATCAACCCCAGGGTGAGAGATACAGATCGAATCCAGCGCCCATGTATCAAAGTCTGCCACAATCACATCATCCCGATCGATCGGATCACCAATCAATGGGACGTTCTTCATCGATCTCGATACCTACGGGCGTCAATGCGTCCATGTACCCAGCATTTGCGCCGCCTTCACAGAGCGTGCCCAATCCCTCGCTGCCCTCAGAAACAGATTTCATATCCCGGCTGAGCCCTATGGAGGGCGTCATCGACGATGGGCTCGGGCCTGTGTCGCTCCATGGCAATGCAGCTCTGAGTAATCGAAGCTTTGTTTCACTTCCACAACAGCGAAGCGCCGCCACGATGCAATCGCATGTCAGGAGCGCTTCGAGCTTCGGCCGACCACCGCACACCCCTGTGAACCGAGAGCCCTTGCAGGTGCTGCCCCAGCCAAGGCTATGGGCCAGCTCAGAAGCTCAGAAAGTTATGAGTGGCGAGAGCACGCCGAGTCTTTCTTTGCCACAACAGCGGCTTCGACGCCACTGTGGATCAACAACGGTGATACTGGGCGTCTGCCGAACGTTCAGTCTTCGCAGCCACATGCGGCATGGAGTCGAGGCAGCATGAGCCAGCGCAGTATAAGCCAGCGTAGCGTATATCGGGAGCAATTGCCATTCGCGAGAACCCAATTAACGGACTCGGCCGCTCAAAGCACAGGGAAGCTGATGGGGAAGGCCGGATGGGATCAGCGAAGCACTCACGGACTATTGAGCAGCGCGGCGCAGAGCTTTTGGACCAGCTGAGATACAGCTAGGAATCTGATACAGATGGTGATGTCGCTGAGAATGGGCGGTGTGGTCTGCAAAGAGCAGACCAGTCCGATCTTGCAAGCTTTACTCGGCTGCTGAGACTAACATCCAGGCATGCCTACTTCTGTAGACAAGATGTAATATCTAAAATGTTATCAATTCGGCTCACAGGTGTCATTGCGACACGATTCCTGAACGACGTGTTTACTAAGTACGTAAGGTAGACACTTTTCAGGAGGCTGCCCTAGGTCCTCAAGTCCAACGGCAATGTAGTCAATCAGAAGCATCCTACCAGACATGGAACAATGTCAAGACGTGCAGAGATCACGCGCGACGATAGCATAGAAGGAAACAATTGGACGGCACTGATCAGAGAATCAAGAAGCTTTTGTACGTTCTACAAGCCATGCCAACATGCGTGATAGACCAATCCGGCATGGGTAGGGTAGGGTGGGGCCCGATCCAAAACTGTGCAGGTGGCTCTAGGCATATATACACGACGGTATTCCGTCAAAAGACACCTCCCTTTAACCGCGCCATCGACCGCCCCTTTAGCGTTACCGCTCCTCCCGCCGGCGCCCTCGCAGCCCGCCCATGCGTGAGTCGCGCAAACGGCCCCTTCCGCTCCTTCGTACTCGACCTCCTGCGCTCCTGGTCAGGCCTCTTCTCCGCCCGAGCGCGTGCCTTGTCGCTCCAGATCGCTTCGCCGCTAGACTGGGCGTCGCGTGTGCCAGTGATGAACTCGAGCATTGCTGCGCCTGTCGAGCGGCCTTCTGACTCTTGTCTTGACAAGATGTTGGTCCTTGAGTTCTTCGACATCTGCTTGGAAAGCGTATTCGATCTGACTAGTGTAGGGGACCGTGTGAGTCCGGCATATTCCTTCTCTTCCTGTGACAGCTCGTGGCCCGCCTCGTCTGTGCCGATGCAGTTCTTTTTCAGCCACCGCAGCAAACTCTCGCACAGGCGATCCAGCACCCATTCGGACTCACTCTGATCGCTGAGCATGGGGCTGTTCTCGTCGAGCCAGTCCCATTCTATGACACCCTCAGCGTCCTCATCACGCTGCAGCTCCTCCACGCTCATCTTGGTGAAGCGTATCAGACGTGTGAAGTCGGCCCACTCCTCATAGTTGTATCTTTTGCCAGGAAACCTGACCAGATCGTCGGCCACACGACGGATTGCGAAGGTCAGCCTACGCGTCATGTGCCCATCGCTTAGGTCTTCGTGAGCGAGCATCTCCAACGTTGGTGCGTCCGCATCAACATCAGGCTTTTGGTCACCCACCGGTAAGCCCTTTTTGCGCTTCCGTCGGATATCCATAGCTTGCAGCCACGTATACAGCCAAGGCTGAGAGTTGACGAATTTGTGCCACATACCGGCTTTGGGCAGGAGCGTGAAGTCGCCAAGCCTTATTGTGGCGCGCTTGAAGCTTGCAATGACGGTGTCGCCCATGCCTGAGATCAGGATGGTCATGGTGGGGATGGCGATCAGGGACCAGAGGACGAAGAAAGGTTTGCCGGCATTGCTCTTGGGGCTAAAGTCGCCGTAGCCGATGGTCAGGAGGGAGACGTAGCAGAAGTAGAGTGCCTGAAAGTAGCTCAGACCCTGGGTGTTCATCTCGGCTTGCCAGAAGACCACTGCTCCCAGGCACCAGAGTATGCCGAAAGCAATGACGGACACACCCAGAGCGGACCACTTCTTGAACGAGCGAGCATCGCTCTGGATCTTCCGCATCGCATCGAATCGATCCTTCTCTTTCCGCATGACAAGCGCCTTCTTCTGCTTCGGTCGCATCGCCTGCGCGGCTATCGAAAACGTGCTACGCGTTAAGGTTCGTACGGCTCGGTTGAGAAACTGGTGCGGCTTGGGTGCATCATCGTCACCATTTGTCTGCGTAGCTTCGTCCTGCTTAGGACCTTCTTTGGAAGGCGCCTCGAACTGGATAGTCTGTGTTCGTGATTCTGTTGCTGATTGAGGCTCGGACTGAGGCGGCGCGGAGATGGGGATCGGACTTGAGATGACAGGCCTGGCGCCATGCAGCTTCTCTATTTCGTGCTCGAGGTGCTCTCGCTTCTTTTCACCTTCGTCATCTGTTACAACGCGCGAGAGTGTATCCACTCGTCGATGCTCTACATGTTTCCGGACCACATTCTCCTTTGAGAGCTCCTCGGCGAACCTGTGTATCGAGCTGACCATCAGACCGAGGATGATGATGCCACCTACTGAATAAGGAAAGACAAGGCCTCGTCCAGCGTCGTTAGTCGCAACAAAGTCACCAAAACCGATGGTCAAGACAGTCACGTCGCAGAAGTACAGGGCGTCAGGAAAAGTCATGTCGCATAGGGTTGCGAAGACTCCTGCCCCACCACCGAGCCAGATGAAGAACATCATGGTCTGAAGGATCAAATTTCGTTGCTCATCGGTGAGCGTGAAGTGCTGAGGATAGTGTCCAAGGAAGTATCCAACCATATTGACCATCAAGATCATCGAGTTGAGGACATAGAGGCAGGCGGCGATAATGGCATACCAGAAACCTTGCGAGTAAATCTGGTTCTGGCCAGGTGGTACGTACATGTTCATCGATGCTGTGATGCCGATCAAAATCCCTGATGCAAAGTAAAAGCAGATAATGGTGACGGGTAGCGCAACAATATAGCGCACACGTCGAGTGAAGTTGAAGAGCAGGAACATGTTTCCTATAAACCCCACGACCAGAGAAACAACATTGAGGTTGTAGCACCAGTTCGGATCCGGATAGCCTTCAGACGTAGCATCCCTGAGGATAGGAGTGTCTGTTGTGATATTGTTTCGCCACGAAACAACCAGTGCGGCGATTGAGAACAGGTTCGCCATAGGCGCGAAGGTGGCGGCGACCAGAGGGATGGCAGTGGATGCGAACCACCAGTCCGAGGGCAAGTCATCCTCCGAAGCTCTCAACTTCAGTTTTCCAAAGGTGACAGTGCGACTCCGGTGTAAGACTTGCTCTGGTGCATCCTCTTCCCTGTCCTTGCCAGCCCAGAGAGCGTCCCGTTTCTCGAAGCTGCCGGCAAACTGGAAGGAATTGAAGTCCTCCGTTCGCTGCTTCTCGAAGGCATCGTCGGCAAACTGCGGAGGATCGTTCTTGCTGGCTCCCGAGCTTGATGACGACGAGGGCAAGTCGTCAGTCTGCGTTGCTTCGTTCTCGACACCCATGACGGGCTGTGGGTTCGAGCGCTACACCATGGCGGTCGCGACTGCTATATGCGACCACAGGGCTCTGGAATTAATGGCAGTCATCACGATCCAAGGTACCCGGTAGGTGCGATTGACGATTGCATCGACGATAACCGATAATCGCAGCCAGAGCCTGTCAGGTTGTGCGGTGGTCTAGATAGCAAAGATAACAAAATGTCAAAGGACCTGGCCGCGGAGCGACGTGAGCGCAGCCACCACGTATCCCACACATGGCAGCACGGGAAGAATGCATCATGTAGACTCAGCACCGGCAAGTCAAAGCGAGCATGACAAACCTTGGTGGTATCCTATTCGCGTTAGTGCGCCGACCAACTGCGTGGGCTGGCACTTGGTCGATGCGATATCATCTGAGGAAACCAATGTCACCTCTTTCTTGAGGTGAACGTGTCGAAGAGAAGGAAAGGGCTCTGCGGTGGGCAGCATCGTGTTATATATGGATACTTGCCACGTTGCTGATCGCCTTGCAGTAGCTAAGACTAAAGGCTCATTGCGCAAGATTCCCTCGAATCCTTCGCGGCCTCCACCCAAAACTACAGCTCGCGCCCATTGGCTGCATACTGACCGCCCAGGAACAGAAACACCATTCAAGGGATTTCCATTTCCGTGCCCATTCTCCTTATCGTTAATCATTCTCATATGCCAGTGTGCTTTCTCGAACAAAGGTGAGCTGGTGCCACAACTTCTAATGGAAGCACGGCATCTCTAGGCAAAGTGGAAAAATCCAGGTAGGATTGACCGAGCCTCAACAGCGAGCTATACACAAATGAACGAGCTGCCTACGATTGCGTCCTCCATTCAGCCTCCAGACCAGGCGAGCTGTGACTCCAAGTACTGGGCGTTTCCTCTGAGATTTTTGAGCCACAAATGGTGCTCATCATGAATATCATGGCCAAGGAGGGCGCTGACGCCTTTGTACTGTTATACTGATCGAGTCGATGGGCTTGAGATGAGCCTCATCTGAGCGTCAGTGCGAAAGATGGATACCTAGTCTGCGTCCCGGCCAGGGAGGGCGCTGTAGAGAAAACGCCCAGTAGTTTCAGTCACAACCTGTCAGGCTCACATACTCCCAAAGTTCCACCTCCCGCAGCCACCATTCATGATCTGGAAACCCTCCGTCAGCAGCGCCGTCTGGAAGAATCCCGCAGTCTTGCCTCCATCGCACGTTGTCTTGCCCGCGCCGACTCCAGCGAAGTAACAAATGCCGGTGTTGCCTCTTGCAACGGCACCGCAACCGCCGTCCAACTGCATGCATTGCACACAGCAGTCGGTCGCGTCAACGCCGTAGCCCAGGCTGAACGGGTTCGGGCCGATGCCTTCGATTTGCTGGCCGGCGTAATTGGTCAGGATGTTGGAGCCTGGCAGGCGGCGTAGACTGTGGGTGTTGGGCCAGTGGTAAGGGTGGACGTGGAGGTGCTGGTCGTGGAGGTGACGAGCGTGCTAGTGGTTGTCGTCTTCTCGGTGGCGTGGCTGCCAGTATTGGTTAGCCTGAACCGGGGACTTGAGGGATTTTCAAGGGATACAGGAGTGGGAATTGAAGTCGATGCGAGACAATCGTCAATTAGCCACCAGGGGAACTTCAAAGATGGCCCAGAGGATCATGAAGTACCTCGTAGAGGACTCTGAAGGCGATGCGAGACAACATCCGAAACATGTGTCTCTGATGTTGGGTCGAGACCGTCTCCTGGTCGACTGATTCTTCAGGCTTACGAAAAGCGGATAGACTTACTCGGTGAAGGTAAGCGTGGTGCTGACGGTAGTGCCGGGGACAGTGGAGGTGGTGAGAAATGTGCTTGTGGTCTCTTTCGTGACTGTCTCTGCGGGAGCTGTGATTGTGCTCAGCAGGGAGATCGTCTCGGTGGAGGTGGTCACGCTGGTTGTCGTGGCCGTGCACTTCGGCAGATCAGCGTCTCCTATGTGTACGGCGTGGGCGGCTTCGTGGATGAAGGGGCGGTGACGTTGCGCTTGAAAATGGGCTCGACGCGGCCGGATTCATTGTACATGGCTTGGATTGGGGTGAAGAGCGCAGGTGCAGCGACCGTGCTGGCTGTGGCGGTTGTCTCGACGACAGTGCTCTCGACGATGGTGCTCACGTCTGTTACCACTTCGCTGACCGTTTCTAGGACGAGAATCGTCGTGGTGCTGCTGAACGTGTTTGTGATGTCTTTGGCAATCTCTGTCACAATGGCTGTCTCGAGAATAGTCGAGATCGTGGTTGATGGCTCGGGAGTTATAGTCGTGGTTCCTGTCTCGGTGATGGCGGTATACTCGGTACTGGTTGCTGTGCAAAGCACACCTCCGCCAGGTCCGACAGTCCATTCTCCCCAACTATGGTGCTTCTTTGTGGTTGTGGTGGTGGTCTCGGGCGTCTCCGTGGAGGCCTTTGTTGAGGTTGGCTTTCCAGGTCCGCCATGCGTCTTTGAGGTCGTTGAGGTCACCGAGGTCGGCTTCCCTGGGCCACTGTACGTCTTGGAGCTCGTGGAGGTTGGCTTGCTTGGGCCGCCATGCGTGCTGGAGGTCGTCGAGATCGTCGAGGTAGGTTTACCGTGCCCGCCATGACCGTGGCCCGGCTCATCACCCTCACCGGGACCGCTTCCATTGTCAGGTCCGCCGTCATGACCCTCGCCTGGCTGCCCGTCATGTCCAGGGCCCTCAGATCCATTATCAGGCTTCCCTTCATCAGACCAGTCCTCGCCAGGTCCAACCGGCAGCCACGCATGCTGCCCTCCCTGCTCAACCCCAGTCGGCCCAGGAACCCAGACAGTATTACCCGCGATTGTCTTCGTGACCACATTACACACCTGCTCAGCCTGCACCGCCGCAATCAATGGCAGCGCGAGCAACAACCTTGAATGCATGTTTCAAAAGAGTGACTATGTAAAGAACGACTATAGTTGGTATGCGATTATACAAAACCCACCAGCTAAAACCAACAGTGGAAATGATGGGCGGCGACAGCCGAAGGCATATTTCCTCTATATACACACTCCCATCACACCGCCTGTGCCCCTGCTTAGGCTGCTTGCCGCCAGCTTTTTGGCGAAAATAGACTCGATGGGGATTGCGGAGGAGCGTGGTCTTGGTGCAAATCTCGGATATGAATTTCCAGGTGTCATGGTTTGACTCAATCCGTCATCCGCATAGCCTCTTGGGGAAAGGTTGTGAAACTAGCGTTGGAATACGAGGGTTGGCATTAGACGTCGCGTGTCGGATTCAGGAGTTCGGCTGGTGTGATAGGATCTGTACATGGACGTTGTTCTTGACGGCGAACGCGTTGTATTCGCGAGGTGTCAACGCGTGACATGCGCCGAGTTCTCCTGCAGCATGCGGCAGCTGTTGCGACACGTTTGACCAGGATCGTCGAGATAATGCCCGCGTGAAATTTGTGCCATGGAGTGAATCTCGCAAGCAATCCACGTATGAATTGTAACAATCTCGGTTCCCCGGGTCAGGCATACCAAGGCCGTCAAGGTCTTATGCTCCACGCTTCCAGAAGCGCGGCGAGTATTGAAAACTGCGAGCATGACTGACAGATGCAGCTGAGGCCGCTCTGCTGAGGCGGATGAGTCGTCCGGAGGGGAGCGAGGTGCTTCATCTCGAGGATGTCGTACACATGCAGTTGCTCGTAGGCTCTGGTCCTAGCTGACCCTCATAACCGCGCACCAGACCTATGCGACAGCGTTGGAGGTCCGAGACACTCAGGAACAGGATGTGAATGTGCATTACTGTATCAAGTCGACATCGTCGCTAGCAAATACCTCGCAGGACGTTCCCTCAGTTGACCTCGCTCGTTATGTCCGAAGAGCGATGGGTCGGCGGAGATATGTGAGCGGTGGTCCGCGTATTAGGGCGACATTGTCAACAGGCTGGTGAAATCCTGATAGTAAAGAAATTAGAGACCGTGTGTATCGCATTTCTACCTATAACCTGAGCGCAGCGAGTTCGATGGATCTTGTCTACGCTGATTGACCCCGTTGGGCAACGCATCCTTGACCACCTCGACCACGTTCTCGCTGGACTGAATCATCGCTTCGTTACTTAGGTACACTCACTGAGCCTTGCATCAAGATTTGCCCCCCAGAATCCCCAGGTTTGATATCTGCCCGGGCTTCATCTCCAGACGCCGTCGCCTGATCTCGAGCTGTACATGCTCGTGCCTCCATTCTGATCATCTCAAGATCAATATCATTGTGCCGCGTGAGGCACGTGCTCGCAAGCAGCTGGACCTTATGTCGTCTTCCTTTCGTTCCACCACCGTTCATATCTCTCTTTCTTCGCTTCAGCGCGTTTCTTCCGCAAGCTTTCATCCGCTTCGAGATTCTTCCTGGTAAAGTCGGCCAGAAACTCTCCTCCTTCTAGAAGAAACGCCTTGAAAGGGCTTTTCTCCTTGTACTTGACCAGCTTTTCCTGGGCGAGGAAGGTGTAAGTAAGTAGGAGTTCTCGCATTTCTGAGCCAATACCAGAAGATTCCTGGTCAGCCGCTGATGTGTTCCCATAGACTTCTCTGATCGTGTCACACAATTGCTGCTCGAAAGGCTCGGTCAACCACCGGTTCGCCAGCTCCCGATGAGTTCTATGGAGAGACATTTCCTGGAGGCCGGTCATAATCCACTTGGTCGCGAAAATGTAGAGCCGTGCGTGGAGGCGAATATCACTGAACGGTACCTTGCCTTGACTCATTTCCTGCAGATATTTTCCGAACTCGCTCCCAGTCCTGCCTTGAACTGGAAAATCCCTGAAATCAGCAAAAGAGAAGTTTCGCACAGACTTCACCAATTTGCAGTCGTGGCATTCCCAAGGAAATCCTTGTGTGATTTCCTTGTTTCTTACTTCGTCGCAAGAACGACGGCCGCATGAATGACAATACATACGGCGTTTGTCCGCAATGACCTCAGCACTCGCGTTCTTGCACTTCGGCCAGCAAAATAAGCTCCACTGGTCGCTCCCACAGAAGCCGCAGAAATGAGGATCCTTGCTTGTATCGAACGGGTTCTCCGATCCCTCTTCATGGTGGTACCCACGCCCTGTCTTGATTTCAACAACGGGCGGCCGGTAGAAGTTGGTGTATGCGTACTCGAGGACTAGGCGGAAGGTATCTGGATCGACATCGAGAAGGACTACGCGTTTGTCTTTCGACTCCTTCATGCCACTGCTCAACATTACAGCGAACGGCTCAGAGATCCGGCTGAGGACAGCTGAGTGAACTGATGTGTACAGCTTCTGTTCCGATCCAACGACGAACGTGTAGACGTCGCCATTGACGATTTCCTCGAAGTTGATAGTGGTCGCCATGCTGATCTAGATTGCTCGGGACGGACGTGGAGAGATTCGAAGAGGCCGAACGCAGGATCGGCTGATGGGCGAAGTGGTGTTGACTGGTAGGGATGTAAGGGTCTCGATGCTGGGACAGGGTCTTCTGTCTACGACGGGAAGGAAGATCGCGAGGAGTGAGGGCAATACCTAAGTACCAAAGATCGCATCCGTGGAGAGCCTATGCAGCCTGCCGTTAGTAGGTGATTGCTGCCCGTGATGTTCCAAGGTTCTTTGTTTGGTGCGGGCTTATGCAGGCGGTTCCAAGAGCCTGAGCACGTGAAGGGGTGAATGAGTCTCGACCTTCGAATAACACATTCGTGAACTTGTGAAAGATTTGTCGCCGACACTGCCTTCCATCTAGGAGAGGGGCAGGTCGTCCATGCCAACAATATCTTCTATGAACTCGAGTGCAAAGGCTCCGCCCTCCTCAAGCAAGTCCTTGAAAGCTTCGACCTTCAACAGACATTTCCGACACTTGATGGCGAAGTCGCGGACGAGCTCTCGCAACTCAGCTCCCACCCCTTCAGATTCGGTGTCGGCTGGCGCAGTGCGCTTGTAGACTTCTCGAATCATGGCGCAGGTATTCTTCACAGATCCGTCTGTGATCTTGACGTTACAGAGATCTCGGTGTAATAAGTGCAATGACAAAGCTTGCAGCTCGTCCATCATCCACTCGGTCGCGAATAGATGGACCTTAACGTGTTGAGCAAAGTTGGTACTGACATCGACTCTAGGATACATCGTGTACAGATAGTCCCGGAAATCTGCATGTGTGGTTCCTCTGACAGGATAGCGGCGATCTGAGAACTGCTTCCATTGCGAACAGTGCTTGCAGGGCAGGAACCTTGTACGTAAGCTGTCATGTGGCTCTACCTTTCGTCCACATTGCTGACAGTAATAGTCGTCATATTCGTGGTATCTGCGATATCGAGACTGGCCATATCCTGGGGACCCATAGTCTGGAGATCCGTAGCTACTATAGTCTGGGCTGGGGCGACGGCGCTTTGTACAGGCATAACACCCTGAATCTTCACCCGTCCAGGACAGATCGGCACCGCACCTTAAGCAGAATTTTGGCTCTTCGGAACGCCCCCAGTTATCGAACTTCGATAGCTCTCTCGTCTTCTCGGAGGCGGTGGAGGTATTGTTTCATCGACTTCCGCAGAATCAATCTCTTCACTCGCTCTGCGAGGAGGTGGACTTCTTGGTCTCTCACCTTCTCCACGATCAATGTATTCACGGATAGGCCTCTCGAGCCGATACATGTTGGTGTATGCGAACTCGAGCACCAACCGGAACGTCTCGGAGCTGATGTCTTCGAAGATCACCCGCCTGGTGGTACTTTCTTTCATGCCGTTCTCGAGCATGGCCGTGAGCGGCTTCGATAGCCTGGTGAACACGCCGGAATGAACCATGTATCCCTTCTTTTCTTCGCCGATAACAAACGTGAAGATGTCGCCGCGGCAGACTTCCGTGAAGTCCACCAAGTGATGCTAGCGTGCCATCTTATCGGCCTCTATGCTGAGGTGTGCAGCAAGTAGCGGCGGCTTTCGATGGGCGAGTGAGTTGATAAGGTGGATTTGGTACGACGTAGATGTGTAGTTCAGGGAGCAGCATGAAACTGTTGACTCTGAGACATTTTTACTTGCCCCATCTTCTAGCTGTCTCTACATGATGACAATCTGCTTTGTTGTCGCAAACCTGGTACAACATGCGGTGACAATGCGGCCAGTCAGATGCTCAAAGATTTCCTGCGTTGAAGACCTCCGAGTGTATCCGCTCCTTAGCCACTCCCATGGACTCGAGCTTCTTCTGCTGTGCCTGCATGAAGCCAGACGGACCACAAAGATAGTAGTCAGCATCAGGCAGAAGCACCCGATCTCGGATCTTCTCGAGGTCAAGTCTGCCCTCGTAGTCGTAGTCAATCTCTCGAACATCATGCTCGCCGATGTTCTCATAGAAGACAGCCTTGCCCACCTGAGGGTTCTGCGAATGAGTCTCGTTGACGTAGTCTTTCATAGCATGGACCTTGCCACTCCGAGTAGCATGTACGAAGAGCACCTTTCTTTGCTTCGCGTTCTCGGTCAACTGCCCCAACATAGCGAGCATAGGCGTGATCCCGACCCCGCCGCTAATGAGTACGACGGGCTTGTCTGTGGTGACATCCAAGGTGAAGTCTCCACGAGGGTTGCTGAGCTCCACCTCGTCGCCCTCGCTCAACTCGCGGTGGAGAAAGTTGGACACGCAGCCTGCTGGCTTGTCGTACGTAGCTCCCTCCCTTTTGACTGATATACGAAACTGGCTTTCATTGGCCGATTGCGAAAGAGAGTACTGCCGTGGTTGATAGAGGCCGAGCTCGGGAATGTACAGTCGTATGGAAATGTATTGTCCAGGTTCGTACGTGGGCAGCGCCTTTCCGTCGATGGGTTCGAAATAGAATGAGGTGATCTCGTCAGATTCTGGCACTTTGCGAGCGACTTTGAATTTTCTCCAGCCAGTCCAGCCGCCTTTTGCCTCAGTCATGGATTTGTATAGGTTCTTCTCTGTGGAGATGAATACTTCAGCGAGTTGCCCATACGCAGCCTCCCAGGCGTCCAGTATAGGTTGCGTGGCCGCGTCGCCAAGAACTGCCTTGATCGATTCCAGCAGGTACTTTCCGACGATAGGATAGTGCTCCGGAGCGACCGCCATACTTGCATGCTTGTGTGATATGCGAGACACAGCCGGTCCTAACGCGCCGAGATTGTCAATGTTGGCGGCATATGCCCATACGGCGTGTGCTAGAGCGGCTTGTTGGGTACCAGTGGCTTGATGGCCATTGTTGAATACGTTCTTGAGGTGCGGACAGGCGCTCAGGAGACTCTTATAGAAGTGAGTAGTAATCGTTAGCCCGTGCTCCGCAAGTACGGGCGCCGTTGATTTGACTATTGCTATCTGCTCTGGACTGAGTCCTGGCGAGCTTCGGGCAGCTCCAGATTCAGCGGTCGAGCCCATGGCGAAGTCGAACGAAGTGTGTTGAACGGTGGAAACTTTGGTCGAAGCTGGTTTGCCGAAGGCACCGCGATTGTGTATACTGGGGAGGCCTTTTGCGTTGGGAGTCGTTCCGCCATGGCCGTTAAGGTTGATTTATATAATCAACATTCTCTTAGTGCAGTGAAGTCGGAACGATAAGAAAGTCGCCTAATGCTTGGGGAGCATGGTTTATCGGACCACTCACAGTGGATTGGTCGTTAGCACTATATAGTTCAACACATACCTCGAGTTGGCGATGAAGTGTTTCCGCGGCGCTCGTACAATAAAGCCATGCAAACGAACCTTTCATCAAGTCTCGACACAAAGCATCCAGAATCGAGCATCGTTGAGCCCCGTTGCAGGCCTGGAATGGTAGTAAGTTAAGTCTCCTCATCGGGCCGCGGAATATTGAAAATGTCGTATGAGGTAATCGTCAATTCTCAAGAAGGCACAATTTCCAGACAGGGAAGCCCGATACTCATGTCGATGTTACCGATACACACAGTAACAGTTCGGAAAAGGCCTTCAAGTGGTAGGTAGGTAGCCACAGAGTTTGGTACAACAAAACTTGGGAAACTCTGGCTTGGCCTTGAGATGGAGAAGTCCCGAAGCAGTATCCTGGGCCTCAGTACAGTATATCTGAACGAGACAGGTATCATTCGGGGAGCAATTAGCTCTCGGACAAGCTGACGGACGGGCCGCGGTCTTCGCAAGACCATCTGTCGGACGGTGTTGAGTCAGGCACTCGGGTGGTATATAACTGGTCAGTATGCTCATCAACTGGATGTGTATTCGTAAATGACACCAGTCGAATGAGCAGTTCGAGCAAAGGTGCTGTCGGACACTTATGTGAAAGTATAGAGGCAGTCCAGCCCATCATCTGGCTCATAGCGATTGTGATGCCAAGTGCAACGCCAGCGTTGGCAGGATGAATCTGCCGAAGCTGAATCCATTAGTGGCATTCAAGTTGCTGGTATGTACGGATGACGTTGAGAACCTGGCATTCCGTGGCCATCGAGTCGTAACTCCTACGCCCTAGAACGGTGGCGCACGGGAAGACCAGACACCATCATCAGCTGTGATTGATATCGCATGTAGCACCGTGTCACAAATTGCATATTCTAGGGAAAGAAAACAAGGCCTGGCGGCAGCTGCTGTGCTTTAATCAAGTTCTCGCTTGTGGATAGGCGAATGCTCATCGCGAATTTAGGGGCATCTGCCATCGAAGTCGTCAAGGATCGAGCGCGGATCACAGCTAGGCATGCCCAGAACGATGAACCTCTCGGCGGTCGTGCTTCCACACCAATCACGCCCCCGGGCTGCGACAGTGTAGCCGAACTATGGAGTAGAGAAACAAGCAGGCCCAGACTGTCAGTGAAGAGTGACGTCAAATAATCTACCAGACGCGTGTTTGACCACTACAGCTTCAAGTTCTGACACCCTAGAATCGATATTCGTAGCAATCTCCAGCGCCTCTGGACTCCAAGACGTTTGTCGTTCATTCCTTTAGTGACTTGGTGATCGCGTTGCGACCGCACGGCAGGAAGCAGTCGCACACTCATCCTTGGGCTAAAGGTCTCGAGTTCCTAGTTCCCTCTTTCAGCCTCCCTGTGGCACCCGCCCAGCATGTCACACCCAGACCAGCAAAAGTCTGGCCAGCCATGGAGCGGACAGAATAAGATTCCAAACATCAAAGAACTCGTCCAGCGTCTCGACAAGGACAAGGCCGCCCGAGATCAGCAGATCGACCAAGAGATCTCATCTAGCAATCAACAAGACAAGGTCGTTGCTCATCAGAATGAGAAACGCACAGAGCAGGGCAAGACCGTCACAGATCCTGTGACCGGCAACCAAGTGGTGATCGCAGACGTCGGCAAGAAGTACATGAAGAATGTCGACAACCCACAAGTACGTCCAAGCAAGTCTCCAGTGTGACTGATCTAATATGCTCCCAGCTATCCGTGCCCAACGCCAATCTTGGCCGAGAGACAACGGTCGCCACGTCCGCGTCACAGAAGAATCCAGAGTACAAAGAAAAGCAGGACATTACAGCGCCACCAGACCCAATTGCTGAGGGCAGCACATCAGACGTGCCTATTCATGGCGAGAAGACCAACATCCTCTTCCACCCTACACCATCGGTGAGCTATGAGCCTATGTTCAAGGCCCTCGAGCAACGGGCTGGAGGCCTGTGTGTTGCCATTCTGGTTGCCATCATCATAATGGGCAAGATGTTTGGTGGTGCTCTGAAAGGGCTGATTCCTCTCGGAATGTGCATCTCATCTGCAGTCTGGCTGTGGATGAAGGAGGTGGTCAGGAGCGGGCGCGAAGTTGAGTGGAGCAGCGAGCAAAGTCGCGGAGAGACAGCCACAGCGAACCTCTTGCCGGAATCTGTCGAGTGGATGAACTCCCTGCTTAACGTCGTCTGGGGTCTGATCAATCCTGACATGTTCGCAGGTGTGGCCGACACGCTCGAAGATGTGATGCAGGCTTCCGTTCCAAGAGTGATCAACAACGTCAGAGTAGCCGAGATCGACCAGGGCAGCAATCCGCTCAGAATTCTCAGCATGCGATCTTTGCCTGACAGTAAGGTCAAGGACTTGAAGAAGAGCATACACGAAGAGAATAAGAAGACGAAGGATCCACAGGAAGCCGCTGCAGATGAGGAAGGTGGCGAATACTACAACCTCGAGGTTGCCTTTGCCTATCATGCAAAACCAACGGGTTCAAGCGTTGCAGGAAGGGCGCGCAACATGCACATGAATCTGGTGTTCTACTTGGGCGTCAAGGGCCTGATCGGAGTGCCCTTGCCTATCTTCGTCGAGCTTCAAGAACTGGTTGGCACAGTTCGCCTTCGGTTGCAGATGACGCCTGAGCCGCCTTATGCGAAGTCTCTCACATTTACCCTGATGGGCGTGCCTCATGTCCAGGCTGGATGCATCCCCATGGTCAAACGCGGCGTCAATATCTTGAACCTCCCGCTCATTTCGAATTTTGTCAATTACGCTGTTGCAGCAGCCGCGTCTCTATACGTCGCACCGAAGTCCATGCAGCTCGATCTCAAGGCAATGCTGCAAGGAGACGACATCACCAAAGAGACCCAGGCAATCGGTGTCATGTGGGTAAGAATCCATCGTGCTGTCGGTCTCAGCAAACAGGATCGACGTGGGTCCGAGGGAGGTGGCAGCGACCCGTACATCAATCTGTCGTTCTCGAAATACGGCAAACCCATGTACTGCACGCGTGTCATCACAGATGATCTGAATCCTTTGTGGGAAGAGACCGCTGCACTGCTGGTCACACCCGAATTGATCAAAGCCGATGAGCAGCTGAGCGTTGAGCTCTGGGATTCTGATCGCAACACAGCCGACGACATTGTCGGCAAGGTCGAGCTGTCAATTCAGAAGATGATCCAGCATCCAGGAAAAATGTACCCGCAGGTTTCGAGGCTGAGTGGTATGCAGGAAGGTACTGACATGCCCGGTGAGCTCCATTGGGAGGTCGGCTATTTTGGCAAACCTCAATTCCGCCCAGCACTGCGCACTGATGGCAAGGATGACAAGCTCCCTGCCTCACTCAAAGACGACCCGCAGTTCCAAGAGGACAAAGGCACGCTGGATACGAGTACTGCGGATGCTGTTGCTCATACTCCTCCCGATCCGCTTTGGCCGTCTGGCATACTCAGCGTGATTGTGCATCAGATTGTCAATCTCGAGCTCGAGAACATCAAGGGCAGTGATGGCAACCGCAAAGGTAAGGAATTCGAGCCCGCCAAACCATACGGCGAGGCAACGGAGGAGGAATCCAAGAGTAAGTCAGCGAGCCCACCTTGAGCATCAGACACTGACCTACGCCAGAATTGCCAACATCTTACTGCACGATTCTGGTCAATGATGGTCTTGTGTATCGGACACGTGCAAAGGCTGTGAGCAGCAAACCCATCTTCAACGCTGGTACAGAGCGATTCATCCGCGATTGGCGTTCAGCATTAGTCACAGTCACGGTTCGCGACCAGCGCAATCGTGAACATGACCCGATTCTCGGAGTGGTGCCGCTGAAGGTGACTGACATCTTGACCAAGAGCTCACAAGTCACTCGATGGTACCCACTAGATGGCGGCATCGGCTTTGGACGCGTCCGTATTTCGCTCCTCTTCCGCAGCGTCGAAACACGTCTGCCACCAAACATGCTCGGATGGGAAGTGGGTACGTTCGAGTTTTTGTCTGATCGCATCTTGGCGACTGGCTGGGCGAAGAACGCAAAGATCAAGCTCCGTACGGGGGGCAGTACCGGCAAGATACCTCGCACAGACTGCCACAAGACTGACGAAGGTGATGGAGTGTACTGGGACATCTCTGCAGCTTCCAACAAGCAGGTACGAATGCCAGTCAAGCACCGTTATCGATCGCCAATCGTCTTCGAGTTCCACGTCACTGGTAAGCGTGGCGCTGCAGCTTATGCCACGATATGGCTACAGCACCTGGTGGACAATGAGGAGACTCCTCTGGACATTCCCATTTGGACCACCAAGCTTGGCTCCCGTCTGGTGCAAAATTACATAACAGAACGAAACATCACAGCGAAAGAGGTTCCTGGTCTTGAAGATCTTCAAGAGGTCGGAAGACTGCAATTCCGGGGACGATTCAAGGCTGGGATGGATGAGGCACATCGCGCCTTCGTGGTAGACAACGATACTCGAGAGACCTACGAGTCGTGGGAGACTTGTCTCGGAGAAGGCGTGAGGCAACGCGTCGTTGAGGCTGAGGTGCCTGAGAGTGTGCAGGAGCTACACAACCGCTCATTGACCCAAGGTCGTGACGTTCTCAAGGAGATGGACCCGAGAGAACGTAAGCAGTGGCTGACGAGGAACGGCGAAGACTGGTCAGGTGCGTTCGGCGACAGTCCACGGGCCTATACGAACTCCAAGCTCGAGAAGATTGCCGAGCCGGGCAAAGATGCACCTCCTCACGACCCCATCAATCCTTCCGATGACGATGATCCGGACGATCAGCCAGACAGCGATTCGAGCTCTGATCTTGGCGTGACTGATGCAAGTAACGCGCCCACTGGCGGATTCAAGAATCGCAACGCTCGGCAGAGCATTGGCAGCGGTGGTAGTAGCGAGAGGCTGCGACAGAGCATGGACAGCGCCAATACTGGGTACACGACCATGACGACCGACTCTGCGGCATCACCGGCCACTAAGCGCGATGCGAAGTGGCAGGAGAAGGCGGACAAACGTGCAGAGAAGCGCAAGCACCGCGGACTGGCACAATGGATGCCGGCGCGGAATGTGACATTTGCAAAGGACGAAGGCAAGTTTGGTCTGAACAAGCTTAAGAAGCGGTTCACCGGCGGACTTGGAGGACGTGAGCCAGGCGTTGAGACGGAGGCTTGAACGATGAGTTAAATATTGATATTGTTCACGGGCGGAGGACTCTTGTTTGGAAGCTGGCGAAGAGCTGAAACGGGTTGATTTTGTAGCAGTTTCAGATCCGCCGATTTGGATTACGAAGCTAAGAAGCATCAATACCAATGTCAACAATAAAGCTATGAACTGTCCACGCTGCGCATCAACTACAGACGTTTCGAAAGGCGCATATCACTCTACCACTAGCTGATGTGCAACGACGAGGTTTACAGTCGATGCGTTGGAGGGTTTGGTAGGCGAGCAAGGGGTGCTCGGAACATCGTTGTCTGCATGAACTTGAAGCCAAGGAGTGACCTTTTATGGGAACTTCGCTTGTGACCCAATGATACGGCGGCTGCGAGGACTTGAAACCTCGGGACTGTCAGGCTGCCGGCCGCAGAAAGACGCTGCCCGAACACCATAATGCGATTCATGTTCCCGTCAACATTGTGTAAGCACTGCGATGCTAGATTGCGTGGGCGGCGACAAAGGTCATGTGGAAGAATGCATGATTTGATGTACAATGGTGTATGCTAAGACCTGGACTGACGCGTAGACTCGTTCAGACGCAAGTTGACGAACGCACTAAGGCCTGTAGCCAAGGCCGGTTGTTCCGAGAGAGGTGTGAAGCCCAATCGTTGCTTCTTTTAGACCGTGGGTGTAGTAGTTAGCGGTTGCCGGCGCCCAGCCCCAGGAAAAGTTCGGAAGGTCTGCGCCTCCCTACACTGCGCACGCCGCAGCTGCTTCCCCACTCCAGGCCGGTGGTTTGGGTTGGACTCGTCTGTGGCAGTAACGTCCGTCCGGCGCCCGATGAGACACTCTACATCACCATCTGCATCCTTCCCGTCTCCTCTATCTCTATCACTCAATCGTTCTACGAACAGCCGATAACACTCAGTTGTCGCAGATCCCACATACCACATTCACTGTCCGCTCTCGCTATACCCTCTTTCCGATCGCTACTGTCAGCCGCTGCTCCATTCGACTCCGAACTCCGAGGCTGTCGATTTGGCACAGAAGGACTCTGGAGGAACACCACACCTATCGTCAGACCTTTTCACGCCCTGTTCGGCGCCAGTAAGCCATTCTGAAGGCAGAACTACGATACCCCAAGCCGCATCGAAGCCGGAGTACCGTGCTGAGCCTCATCGAAACCAGAATCAAGCCCGCAACGAGCCGTCGAGCAGGTATCCTAGTCCAGATCAGAGTACACACCAATGCAGCAATAACACACGCCGATACTTAATCTTTTATACCCTTCTCTAAAGCGCTATGCGCTTCCTCCAGAGCCTGACCTCGGTCCTGGCCACAATATGTCTCCTCGGGGCGACCTCTGTTGACGCCAAATCCAGATCGAGGAATCCCCTCAACTACCTCACACTCATTGAATCACCACGAATAGAAACACCTGCTGGAAGAGTGAACGCATACTCCAGCTTCGACCTCACCTTCGACCTACATAGACATTCACAGCACATCCGATTATCATTAGAGCCGAATCATGATATTCTCCACGAAGACGCTCACGTCGAGATTCTGGACAAGGACGGCAACATCAAGTATGCCGAAAAGATCAACCGCATGGATCACAAAGTCTACCAGGGCCAAGCGTTCTTAGTCGACGACAACGGGAACTCGAATCATGTTGGTTGGGCACGTATCACCGTGGCACGCGACGGAGTCGTGCCATTGTTTGAGGGCGCCTTTACCATTCTACGGGATCATCATCACATCAGCATGAAGACGAACTATATGCGGACGAAGCACGTCCAAGATCCCCTCATCGAGGAGCACGAGGACGAGTACATGGTCATGTGGCGAGATTCCGATATCAGCCAAGACCCTGTTCACACTGAGCTACGAAAGAGAGAAGACGGATTGCTGAGCTGCAGATCTGATTTGCTTGACTTCAACCGAGATCTAAGCCAACCTGTGTACACTCGGATGCTGAAACGAGACGAAGGATACTGGGGCGCCATGCCCATCTCAAACATCCTCGGGAAACGACAAAATATTGACGGTGGTGGAGCTGGAAACGGAAATTCTGGCCTGAGCAATTTGAGGGATAACATCGGCAACACAGCTGGGTGCCCAACAACTCGAAAAGTAGCATTGGTCGGTATTGCCACCGACTGCACCTACACTGCAGATTTCAACTCGACAGATTCGGTCCGGCAGAACATTATCAACCAGGTCAACACCGCCTCAGACCTGTACCAGTCAACTTTCAATATCACCCTTGGTCTAAGGAACCTCACAGTGTCGGATGCCGAGTGTCCAGGAACGGCCTCACAACAAGCACCTTGGAATATTGGCTGTAACGGCGGCACTATAACAGACCGCCTGAACACCTTCTCCCAGTGGCGCGGATCTCGAGGCGATTCCAATGCGTATTGGTCGCTATGGACAACATGCAACACTGGTGCCGAAGTCGGTCTCGCCTGGCTGGGTCAGTTGTGTAATGCCGGCGCCACTTCACAAGGCTCGGGTAGTAACGCTCAGACCGTGACTGGCGCCAACGTTGTTGCTCGGACCCCGACCGAATGGCAGGTCTTCGCGCACGAGACCGGACATACCTTCGGCGCTGTGCATGACTGCGACTCAAGTGCCTGCCAGGATTCAAATTTTGTCAATTCTGGCCAATGCTGTCCGCTCTCGTCAAGTGTGTGTGACGCCAACGCCAAATACCTCATGAACCCGTTCTCTGCAAGCGGCATCACCGACTTTTCGCCTTGCTCCGTTGGCAATATTTGTCAGGCCATTCTGCGCGGCTCGGTCACTTCGAGTTGTTTGACCGACAACAGAGATGTTACCGTTATTACCGGGAACCAGTGCGGTAACGGCATCGTTGAGGCAGGCGAAGATTGCGACTGCGGCGGTACCGAAGGTTGTGCTGGAAACGCCTGCTGCAATCCGCAGACCTGCAAATTCAACACGGGCGCTTTCTGCGACCCGTCCAACGAAGGATGCTGCACAAGTCAGTGTCAATTCGCAGGTGCTGGCACTGTCTGCCGTGCATCTACCAGTTCATGTGATCCACAAGAAGTCTGTCCGGGTAACAACGGCACATGTCCTCCAGACTCGAACTCCGCTGATGGCTCCGATTGTGGTAACGGTCTGAAGTGCGCCAGCGGTCAATGTACGTCTCGAGATCTGCAATGTCGCACAGTCATGGGTTCTTATACAGCCGACAACGACACCTACGCGTGTAATTCACAGACATGCCAGCTATCCTGTGCGTCACCAGATTTCGGAGCAAATACCTGCTACAGTATGAGACAGAACTTCCTGGACGGCACAGACTGCGGTGGTGGTGGCAAATGCAACAACGGCGTCTGCAGTGGAAGCAGTGTTGGTGGCCAAATATCGTCGTTCTTCGACGATAACAAGAATTGGCTCATTCCGGTCATTGCTGTACTGGGAGGCCTCCTTGTCATCGCAATCCTGAGCTGTATAGTTCGATCATGCCGCCGACGGAGAAGACGGCCAGCTAGGAAACCGATCTCTCCTGCCATGCGCCAGAGCCGAAATGGTGGGTGGAACGGGCCTCCCATACCGCCACAGTATAATGCTGGAGGCTACGGCAGTCCTCCGCCTCCGGCCCAGCAACAGTCCTGGGGCTATCCGGCGCCGAGCTATCCAGCACCGCCAGCCCCCGCTTACAACACAAACTATGGGCCCCGAGGAAGTGTCAGGTACGCATAGTAGAAGCCCCATCAGGGAGGATTGCATCATGTCACGACTTGTAACGAAAGCGCTTTTTGTGTTATGTAGTCATAGAAGGAGATGAGCTGGTGGAGACCTGTACAGACGGTTTCATCATCAGCATCATGGGATGCTGGGTGGGTTGGGAAGGACTCTGATAGTCATCCGTGAACAACTTGAAAGGCAGGTCCGATGAAGTTGGACTGCGGAGAGTGGGACAGAAAGAAACTGACCGGCTGCCAAGCCAGTCAGCTATACGTATTAATATGAAACCGACCACCAACCCTCCATGGCAATTTCGAGATCGCTGCAATCGCACTTGCCGTATCTGCTGCCCTGATCTGTTCTTCCTCCTCGCGGCGAGGCGCTTCACGACAGAAGCCCGAGTCATCAGTCACAGCACACGGGGCTAAAGAATATGCGCGCACCCTCACGTTTGATAGATAGGGTTTCGGCGCACGTGGGTGTTTGGTCAAACCGGATGACAATGCCATAGATCTACTGCATGTCGTCAGATTACCATCCCGACTGGCTCGGACGTTCCTGCTCGGCCACGAATAGGTACGTAACCTCGAACATACTACTAGCAGGCCTCGGCCACAACCAGTCTTTGGACAGCGAGCTCTGCACGACACCATTTGCCCAACCCGCACTTACAACTATAAGAACCTCGAATATAAGTGTACCTGGCTTCCTACTAGACCGCCGCTGCCCCTGTCTGGGTCGAACATGGCTCCCGAGTAATTGCTCTAATGAACACAAATTGTTCATGCGATAGGGTGCCGGAGACAGGAGTCATAGCACAGTGAGGAGGGCTCTAGCACCGGCTTCAAGATTTCAGCACGATGGCAGAGGCGCCCGATGCTGTAGTTGCCATCTTCAACGCCAGGCTGATCCTCCAAGCAGCGCCGTGCCAAAGCCTGGATCTCTGAGCTTCAGCAGACGCACAGGTCTGATCACTTCGCTCACAGTTGATGAAGATGGGTTTCCGGATCCGGAGGAAGACGTCGCTCCTGAAGCCAGAATTGACCTACATGGCCAGATTCTCGCTCCGGGGTTTCTAGATCTGCAGACGAATGGCATGGCTGGTGTGCACTTCACTACTCTTGCTTCCAGATCACACGAGGGTCAAGGCGAGGATGATGTCGCCCGTCTGCAGAAGTGTGCGAGACTGCTTGTCTCATCTGGTACGACAGCTTTTTGGGCGACCATTCCGACTGTGCCGCGTGAGAGGTGGCGGGAGATCCTGCCTAGCCTGCAGGCCAGAGAATTTAGGAACGTGGATGGCAAGCTGGAGGGAGCAACGTTGATTGGAGCACATTGTGAAGGTCCGTACCTTGCACCGGAGAAGAAGGGAGCTCATGCGGCTGAGTATATGCTCTTGCCTGCGGGGGACTCCTCGAGGTCAGCTTATGATCAGGGAGTTTCCAAAGCCAACACTACTGCTCAGCATGAGCCAAGGTTCGTCGACTACGAGGTTTTGTACGGAAGCACAAACCTCACGGACAACATCAAGATGATCACCATTGCACCCGAGCTGCCGCACGCGCTCGACATGATCACTTCGCTGCAGCAGAAATACCCACAGATCCGCATCGCGATTGGACATACTACAGCTACGTATGCTCGAGCAAGTGCTGCTATCGCGGTGGGAGCAACGATGATCACTCACACCTTCAACGCCATGAACGGCTGGACGGGTCGCGACCCTGGTGTTGCTGGTTTGATGCTCGAGGAAGAGCGGCAGGTTTACTACTCGACTATAGCGGATGGCGTTCATCTTCATCCATTGACTCTCGGTCTGGCTATCAAATTAGGTCTGGATCAGGATGGGCTTGGTGGAGGCCGGTGTATAGGCATCACGGATGCGATCGAGCTTGCTGGACTTCCAGATGGAACGTACGAGGGCAACGAACAGATTGTGGGGAGGCAAGTGAAGATTGGGAATAAGGTTGTGAAGGAGGGCACTGGTACGCTGATTGGGAGTTGCGTGCTTCTGGATAGCGTGGTGCGGGAGATGACGAAGATTGCGCCCGACATCAGGAGGGAAAAGCCGGAGACGAGCAGTCGGGAAGCTGAGGAGCGGAAGTTGGTCATTGCGGTCAAGGCGGTAAGTCAGAATGTGGCAGATATGATGGGCGAGGCTCACAGAGGTCGCCTGGAGGTCGGGCGGCGCGCGGACTTTGCTGTGTTGGACTACAATGAAAGTGCTGGTGAGGACAAAATCGGTGTTACTGGAACTTGGATAGGTGGCTGGAAGGTCTTCGGTCGTGGCGATGCGCACAACATTGGCGCCGATAATGGCCGTGCTCAGTCTGGGAAAGGCTGAGCTTTCCAGGGATACAGATTTGGCCCCTCTCCGCCCGTCGATGAACGTTGTGAAAACACATCCGGCGGGCGAAGATCAAAGAACGTGGAGACGAGATGATGTGTAGCAGGATGGGGTCAGGAAAGGAGCAGCCTAGCTGCTGAAGAAGGGACACACCATTTGCCGTGGCTACCTTACGCGGGCATAATTTCGCGATACATTCACTGCTCCGGAACTGCGGACGTCAAGGACGCCGAGCTACCTCCTAATCGTTGCTGCCGTCGACAATGAGAGCGACGATGACTAGTTCGACGCATTTGAGATACAGCCTGTCTTTTGTTTGCTTCGCTAAAGTCGTCGCAATCTTCGGGATAGGTCTTGTCCGGTCCAGGAAGAATTCATCTCCTGCGGAACGAATGAAAGATTGCGAATCTCCGAAAGCGGCAGGTCACCTGCCCGATCATACCTGCCATTGACTGACAACTCTTACCCGATCATAGCACGGTCCAGCTCTCACCTGCCTCACACCCCGAGTTCGACTGGCAGAGAGCCTTTTCATACGTTGCCATCACAATCTACTCTTCCCTGATCGTAGTGCATTGAGGAACGCATGACCGTGCAGCAATAGTGTACTTGACGTGATGGGCAAACAGTCAAGCAGATGGCATGTGCATGAATTGCCATGCTCGAGAATGGACTCCCCGTGCTGGCCCGGAAAAGCTGGCCGTGCCTGAAGAGGCATTGACGTCAGCTCCATCGATGGTTACGATAACATCCTGTGGCCAGGACGGTAAAATACATTCAGGACGGTCAGGTCTCGACATCTCGCTGGCCAAATCAGCAGCCTTGAGATGGTTTCCACTCGATCGTTGCGTGAATGAACAATGCATCGTGACCTCTTCCAGCCAAGGCGGGCGCTGGAGGCGTCAGAACGTTTTACTCATCGCTTAGTAGCCTTGAGGTGGACCACAACTTGAGCACTACCTGGAAGGCACAACTCATTGTGGCTATAACGACCAGGGAGGGCACTGAAGATCCAGCATCGGTCCGCTATCCCAGCGACAGGAGGCCACATTGCGGCAGTGCTGGGTGTTACATCTGACCATATCGACAGCAGACAGTTAGCATCCTCCTACGGGCCTTCGATGCGACGTCAACGCGGCCGGCATCTCGGCGATCGGCGATCTCCTCCCAAGCTTCCTCAACGACTTCTCCTAGACTTCCTCGACTGCGAATGAAACAACAAGGTGTAGAGGCCTCTCGCGTTCTGAACCCCTTCTTAGCAAGTGGGCAGGCTCTTCCAAAGGACAGTGAGCGTAGGAACAGAAGTGTTATGCAAATCAGGCCAGGAAGGCTGCTGGAGGTCTAATGTTGGATTGCTGGTTAGCGAGCAGGATTGAGATGACCGCCACTTTACAGGAACAATATCATCATGAAATAAAGCCCGGGAGGCCACTGGATATTTGAAGTTGCGTCGATAATAATTGATAGGCAGGCTTCAGATGAGCGTTAGTTACAGGATTATTATGGAAATCGGGCCAGGGAGGCCGCTGTGCAAGTTCGGATGCAATGCAGGGAGAGGGCTGGAGGCATGAATCCGTGTCACTGATGAAGTCAGCAGGCTGGAGCCGAGCGTTACTTGAGAGTCAGCTCATCGTGATGATTTCATTATTGGGATTAGGTCAGGGAGGCCGCTGACGGTACAAATCTGGGATAGAGACAGTCCATCAATCAATGGGCGGGCTTGAGATGGGCATCGCTCGAGCGTCATTTCGGAAGAACAAAATGGTCATGGGGTTAGGGAGGCCGCTGGATGGATCTCCGAGAGCAGATGGATAGGAACAGATTCATCATCAAAATAAGCCCAGGGAGGCCGCTGTGTATGCAGAATTGGGTTGCCAACTCAGGGGCAGGCTTAAGATGATTGTCATCTGAGCCTCAGTTGAGCGTCACTTTGTACGAACGAAATGGCCGTTGAAACTGGGTCAGGGAGGCCGCTGTATATCCAGAATTGGCTCGTCAGTCAACGGGCAGGCTTGGGATGATCGTCTTTTGGGCGTCAGCTGCGCGTCACTTTGTAGGAACGAGACGGCTATGAGACTGGGTCAGGGAGGCCCCTGGATGTGTGTCAAGTTGTAGAACGATTCATCATGAAATCCGGACCAGGGAGGCCGCTGAAGGCCTCGAAGTTTAGGCTGGTAATAATCTGTGGATTGATGGCACGCTTGAGATGAGCGTCACATGAGCGTCACTTTGTAGGAAACCCTGACGATGGAAATTCCACCAAGGAGGCCGCTGAAGGGTCCAAGGCTAGGTTGGCAAAGCCTGTGGACTAACAGCATGCTTGAGATGAGCGTCACTTGAGCGTCACTGTGTAGGAAAACTAGACGAGGAAAACCTCGCCAGGGAGGCCGCTAAAGGTCCAAGTCTAGCTTAGCATCCGCCCGTGGATTGATGGCATGCTTGAGTTGAGCGTCACCTGAGCGTCACTTCGTGAAGAACATTGATCATGAAAATCTCGCCAGGGAGGCCGCTGAAGGTCTGTGTTGGGGTTAATATCCGCCCGTGGATCAATGGCATGCTTGAGTTGAGCGTCACTTGAGCGTCACTTGAGCGACACTATGTAGAAAATATTGATCACGAAAACCTCGCCAGGGAGGCCGCTGTATGGATTTTGGATATGCTATCAGTTCAGCCGAGGAGGATCGAGATAAATGTGTCCTTCGCCACTGTTCCAGTTCCGTCGAAGTCGAACTCGTCAATCATGGCATGCAACTCGCTCTCGTTCACGTTCTGCTCTCCGCATTCCAGGCAAACGCGTTTCAGGTCCTCAAAGACGATATAACCCTTCCCATCGCTGTCGAAGATGTTGTACGCGCGCTCCACTTCCTCGTACGGATCTCTGGTAACGATTCTAGCAGCCGCAAGCTGCAGGAACTGTGGCTTTGGCATCACCATGTTGACCACGCTCACGTGGTGGTTTTCTGTTTCGATTCCTTTGGCTTTGAGACGCGTTATCGCTGCGGGCGACACAATGCCGTATTCTTGCATCAGTTGCGCGATCTCTGGGCGACTAAGCTTAAAGCCCATGGCGCGAAACGCGACACGGAGTTCGTGAAACGCCAGCATGCCATCGTTGTCGAGGTCAAAAAGCAGAAACTGGTCTCATCAGCGAAAATGCATGAGAATTCGGCCAGGGAGGCCGCTGTATGGGATTTTACTTACAGCTTCTTCGATCTCCTCTTTCTGCTGGTCTGTAAGAACCACAGCGTGCTCGTTCTCCGTCTGCCGTGCCATTCTGGCTGGCTGCTGCCCATACTGTGGTGCGGACTGTGGTGGTGGTTGTTGTGGTGGTTGTTGTGGAGCGAATTGCACACCTTCTGGACGTCTGGAGTACGCTGATCGCGCGAAGTTCTGCGGTGCCTCTGTTACGCCACTATTACGACTTCGGTCGGGCAGCTTCGAAGAGGTCGCGAAGGCATTTCGTTGAGCATATGCAGGCTGTTGGGCCCCAGACATAGCTACATCAATGATAGGGGTGATGCAGTGAAGCAGATATCGATAATACGTATGAAGTCGGTACGGGTGAAAGTGGATTATTTGTCTGGTGACAAAGTCAGAGGCCGCCTGACGCGAACTTGAAGTTAGTGGACGCGTTGTGGGACCGCCAAGCTCACGTCATTTTTCTCGTTCCCACGTGACCATGACTCCACTTTCCCTTCTACGTATTTACGAAGTATAGCCTACCACTCTTCTGACTCTGGCAGATGCTCTTCATCCTCCTGGCAGACGATTCATCAAGATGAGATGCAAGCATCAGTACCATCCCTCAACACGGGCCGCTGGCTGATACATTTCGACTATGACGCTTTCTATGCAAGCGTTGTTGAGCACGAGGACCCGGCCCTCAAAGCCGTTCCATTGATCATCCAGCAGAAACAAATAGTCTGCACCTGCAACTACAAGGCGAGGGAAAGGGGAGTCTATAAGCTGCAATTGATGACCGATGCGGTCAGAATATGTCCTGAAGCCGTAGTCATCCTGGGAGAGGACCTTACTCGGTTCCGGGATGCTTCCAAAGCACTGTACGGCTTTTTGCGGGAGCGAATATGGAGTGATCGCGCTGAGCGCCTGGGCTTCGATGAGGTCTGGCTTGATTGTACTGATATGATTGACTACAATGCAAAGCTCCTCAGTCAGAACGATTTGACTAATTCCTTCTTCTGCATGGACCGGGATGACCCTACGATCGGATTCGCCTTCGATGCAACGGCGCTCTTCGGCCAGACTCAGCCAGCCATAGCGAGTGAAGGCGTTCTTCTAGACGAGGACCGTCTCCGACTGCATCTGGCATCACATCTCGCACGGCATCTACGACATGAGCTGGAATCGCAGGTCGGATACACAGCAACAGTTGGGATAGGTCCGAACAAGGTCCTGTCAAAGCTTGTTGGAAATGTCAACAAGCCGCACAACCAAACGACAATCATCCCACCTTATGAACCACTTGGCACACCCACATCGAATGTAACTCAGTTCATCGACGCACACGATATCGGCAAGATACCTGGAATCGGATTCAAGCTCGCGCAGAAGATCAGGTCAAAAGTGCTGGGGCGTACTGCCGTCATTAATGAGGGATTGGTTATGGTCAATGCCAGCACGAAAGAGTCTGTCTCGGTTGGAGATGTAAGGAACTACCCGGGCATGGGTCCGGAGATGCTCGAGGAGGTACTCGGTGGACCAGGTGCGCAGAAAGGTATTGGAGGCATGGTATGGGGCTTGCTGCATGGAGTCGACAATACTGAGGTCAAGAAAGCGCGCCGCGTCCCTGCATCCATATCACAGGAGGACTCCTACATGAAGTATCTGCATAATTTCGATGAGGTGCGCAAGCAGCTCTTGTTGCTGAGTGAGAGACTCATTAATCGCATGCGAGTCGATCTAACCGAGGATGACGAAGACGATGCGAGCACTAAACGATGGATGGCACATCCGAGAACGCTGCGACTGTCCACACGACCGCGACCTCCTAGGGATGCTGATGGTGTGCGCCCACGAACCTTTCATCGAATATCAAAGTCTGCGCCGTTGCCCAACTTCGTATTCAAGCTTGACGAGCAGATGTCTGGGCTGGCTGAGAAGTTAGTCAACGAGGTCTTAACTTCGCTTTTTCGCAAGATGCATGTCGAATCCAGTCAGGGCTGGAATATCTCCCTCATCAACATTGCTGTGACGAACATGGCGGAGAGCGCAGCGGATACCAAAGACAGCGAAGGCAGAGACATTGGAAGAATGTTTCGTCGGCAAGATGATATCCTGAAGGACTTTCGAGTGGTCGAAGAGTCCGAGGCAGGCAATACTGACGATCCCGTCGCTGCGCACCCGGACGACGGCATGTCGTCCTGGGACTCTGACAATGACGATGAGGACTCGGAGCCATACGCATGTCCTGACTGTCAGGCTCATATACCATCTTTCGCGTGGGCTGCTCACCAGCAATTCCACATAATGGCAGCCACCTAAGTCAACATATTGAATTCTCGGAATGCCCCCTCGTTCAGGCAAGTTGACCCCAGGAGAAAGATTCTCCCGTTCGTGCCAAGCGTCTATTTAAAAGCTCGGTCAATCCCGACTTAGCGAAGATCGGTCCTGGCTGGCCCCAACAACCGCCCCTACGCTCCATCAGGAGACGTCTCAAATTGTGGCTGAGCTTAATTATAGTATTTCGCCCGCTGACCATGAGCTTTTTACCGCGCTCGAGACTCTTTGCGATGGCGAATTTCCAGCTCCCATCAGCTGCTTTAGGGTATCGAATCTGCGGAGCTGTCGCAACGTGACTGGCATGCGTAGCCGCTTATGCATACACATTGCGCGTATGGCTTCGATCTATTGGCAAGCGAATATCCCCATCTTCGGATGATGTACGATTCCGGTCATGCTTTGCTTTGCGTGAGGTTCGAGGTCTCAGAAGCCCCCTAACAGAAAAGAAACGCATGATACTTCGTATTTCCTCAAAAGTGATTGCCTTTCCTGAAGATGATGTTGAGTTGCGAATGTGCATAGCATCAGCTCATACACCTGAGTCGGGCCCGAGGACCGGAGACGTGAAATCCGCCTACACTTATCGGCACTCAATATAGCCCTACGATCTATTATCTACAGGAACACCGAAGAATTGGCCCTAGCACAGACTCGCACCTCGCACCTAATTCCAACAGAAACGCTTCAGCCTCCGCGCATTGATTCCAAAGGCACCGCTCCTTCGTTTGTGCCCTAAGCCTTGGGATTGAAGAAGCCTAAAGCTCACGCCTGGACTGGCTATCATTGCGAGCGCAACATCAAACGAACATTCTCACTGATTACTACTTTAACTACAACCTCGTATTCTCACAAATCACCCAAGACTTCTCACCACTTCCCTCGTAACGGTCGGCCTTGTCAGCACACACGACTCCATCCATACTACAGTACAAGACACCTCAGGCCCAGATCCTCTTACTGTGTACAAGCGAAATCTAGCGTCCCACGTTGCACAACTGCTTCCGAACGACCTTACACGACATACAGGTTTTCCTGGGGAGAACATGCTTCTAATATCCAAGGCGTCTTCAGTATTACCTTCTTCTACTACCACGGATCCGAGTTCACGCTACGCGCTCGACACCTTCTCGCACTCTATGCCCGCAGCCAAACGCCCTAAACTGTCCCTACAGACGTCCGCCCTACCGTCAGCACACTACGGCACCGCCGGCTCGAACACCGGCAATGCACGTCTCATGGACATGGCGACCGCGACACCCACGACTCTCAACACATTCAACAACACATTCGACCTCAGCATCCGGCCTTCGCCTATCTCAAGCATAGCGCCTCCGTCCGCCCTGTCCAAACCTCTCACAACGACCAGCTCCCGGCCCAAACGCCAAGCTGCCGGTACTTACGAACTAAACCTTCCCCTCGGCATTCGCCCAATCCTTAAGAACTCCTCCCTCCCACCCGACCTTCGCCGCGGCAGCCTCAGTGCTGCCGCCAGCGCATCGCCCCTCAGTGCCGTCAGCTCGTCCCGGAGAGTGTTCTTTCCTGAGCCTAAACGGGTCAAATTCGCTGTCGGAGGGGACGAAGAAGTGGTCAATCGGGTTTACACGAGGCGGCACATGGACATTAGTTCGAGCGAGGATGAGGAATCAAGCAGTGGGAGTGGTGAGGAGGGAGAAGAATCGGGTCCGCCATCGGAGGCGCCTACAGTCGGTGATGACGATGCTGTTGCGGAGGAGCCGCAAGAGCGCGCAGCGGCACTTCGATTATCATCAAAAACGGCCGAAAATGTCGACGAAGTCCAAAGGGGCCGAAGCCAGTCGCGGCATCACCGCAGGTCATCGAATGATGCGACTCGTAAAACACGAAAGCGACGTCGGTGGGAGTGGACTTTGGGCAGCACTGCTACTGGCGAAGCAGAGACAGCAGGAGCGACAGAGCCGAGACCGACGACAGGGAAGTCGCTGTCGCGTGATTCCGCAGCAGACGATGCCGCCAAAGATGGCGCTGTTGAGGTAGCGGTGGAGGAGGTGCAGGCGACGCCGAGTCCTGCGGACGTGAATGCTGAGACTCCGAGTCCGTCGTAGGAGCAGAGGCTCTCAAGTGCGTGCCTGCTGATGCCTGCTGGTCTGTATCTCGGCGGAGGCAAACTGTTGCCGCCTGCTGCGCAGCGTACGATTACGTATGCCCATCAAGTGAGATCAAAACCCCTACACCTATCCTACGTCCGTACGTGATCATTCCCTACTGCTGCTGCTGTTGCTTAGCAGGCTTCTAGCACCAATGCACACGTGTTCCTTCAATGGATCTTTGTCTTGCCGCGGATGGGAACCGGAATGCCCGCCGCAATCGCGCCGACTTCTCGCTCGTTACCTCCCAATGCTAGGCAGGAGCAGCAGCGACAGAAGGCCTGAGATTGACAAAACTCAAGCATCCGGTCCATCAGAAGCGAGAAGGCGGCCCTTTCTGAGGCAAATCTAGCAGCTTGGTGGCATCGCCCATTCGTGATGGTCCAAGACTGGCGCCCATTGAATTAGGCGATCCAGCAAGCGGCTTGTTGTCGTGATAGGAGATGCTAGGCAGTATGAGGGAGTAGAAGACAAGGCACCAAAGTCGCGCTGCAGCGTACTATGGCCTCCAGGCTAGAAATTACGTCACTGTTTGGGTTTGCCAAGTGTTCTCTTCTTCCATCAATCATTCATCGCCGGATACTATACCATGGTCGCAGACGTTTCACTTGGACTGAATCCGTAGATCTGAATATAGAGGGAAGCGCACAATGTCAATCTGGCCTTGACCGTAATAAGCCAACATCTACGCTGCTCAAGACCGACATTCGAGGCCCCGGACAGGATGGCCAACTCTGAGGAGACGCCCGCGCAGCGACAAGCACGAATCCGTCAACAGAAACGCGAGGCTAAGATCAATGCAAATGCTCAGGAGAGACTGGATAAGATTACCAACCTGGGTGGCCGGGCTCCCGAGCCAGGTAAGTAAAGCCATGTGCAGGAGACCAAGAATTGACCCAGATCGCAGTGCGCAAAGAGCCACCTTCGCGAACGCCGGATGCGGCAGCACCGAGTCCCGCCACGAACAGACAAGTGCCATTCGGTGCAGGTGCGCCGCCGCCGAACAACAATAGCCTAACACCGGAGCAAGCCAGAATGCAAGAAGAGTATATGAAGGCTCTCTTCCAGGGACCTCCGGCAGGAGCGGTTGGCCAAGATCAAAGTGCACAACAGCCAGGCGCAGATGACCCAATGATGCAGATGCTGCAGTCTCTTATGGGCAACATGAGCGGCGACCCAGGTCAGGGCGGCGCGAACAACAACCCTGGCGGCCTGCCATTCTCTCCTGACGATTTGGCTCAGGCAACCGGTCTACCTAGCTGGGCGACGGGAATGATGTTCGGCGGAGGAAAGGCACCACCGACTCCAGCACAGGAACAGAGTCAGAGGATGTGGAAGATATTGCATGTTGTCGTTTCTGTGCTTTGTGGCGTCTACATGTTGTTCGCCGTGAACAGATCTGTCCGCACCTTCGGATTAGATCCGCCTGCGCCTCCAACCTTTCAGAATCCATTCATGGTGTTCATCATGGCTCAGCTTCTGCTGCAAGGAACGAGGATACTATCAGCCGGTCAGGCGGAGAAAAAGGGTATCGGTCTATGGTTCCAGATGCTAAAGCAGTTAGCACGTGACGGTGCAGTCGTGGTATTCATGCTTGGCTGCGCCAGTTGGTGGAAAGGCAACAGCTAGCATGTGCGTTCCTCTCACGACAACAATTCCATATTATTCTTCGAACAGGTTTTAGTCGGAGAGATTGCCGACATAAGGATGCTTTTTCGTCGTGGGCGCTTCTCGTGCTCTACTACCGCGGCATCGGACTCGATAGTTAGGGTACATGATGACCCGTTATCCCGGAGGCACTTTTACAACCGGGGCGGACTCCCATGTCCGAGACCTTGCCGGAACTCGTGCTGGCAGAAGCTGCCGCAACTCAACATTTGCTGCACAAATTGCCTAAAATGGCTTCTCGCATACCAAACAACATCTGTCAGCCGACAGTCGGTAGTTGCTACAAAGGACTCCCTGGGTCAGTACCGTAAATGAGTACGGTCATTGAATCAGAAACGTAACTTCCGGGAGATGTGCTGGGTATGCAGGTCAGCTTGAGAAAATCGGGTTGGGTATGCCGGAGGAACGGGACAGGGGTCAGGTCACAGGCAGTAGATGAATGGTGGGCGGCTTTGACGTGATGCGGGGGAGGTGCATGGCATACCTCATTTCAGATTTACAAATTCTGGAGTGGTCACTCGACAGCTCGCGCTTCTGCTCGAGGGCCTAGACAGCAACGTAAATACGGAGCACACGTCACTGGTCTCTTGACGCTGCTCCCCTAATGAGATATACTTCTGACCGATCCCAGCGTGACCAGAGCTTTCTCTGTTTCCTCATCATTGCTTCCCGGCTGCCCCTCGCACGTCCTCACGAGTTGGGGTAATTTCGTCGAGTATTATATAACTCGAACACTGCTGCTCACCAGACCACATCAGAAGGGTCAGCGACTATGGCTGAAATCGAGGCGAAGCCGGAAGGCGGCATTGTAAGTCATTCCACACTTTGAGAGGTGTCGGTACGTTAACGAGCGACAAACAGCCCGAGTCACATACCGTCGACACATTCCAGTAAGCGCCGGACGATCGGAGGTTGCTGACGATTACTGACGCTCCTGCAGTGTTCCCAAGCCATTCTTCAAAAAGGGCTCCGGCAAGACCCATTTGAAGGACTTTGCCGAATATGAATCATTGTACAAGGAATCTATCGAGAATCCGGATAAATTCTGGGGCAAATTAGCTCGTGACTTACTTTCGTGGGACAGAGACTTCCAGACAGTAAGAAGCGGTACCCTTGCTGAGGGCGACGTTGGGTGGTTTTTGGAGGGTCGATTGAATGCTTCCTACAATTGCGTTGACCGACATGCCTTCAAGAACCCTAAGAAGCCCGCAATCATCTACGAAGCCGATGAGCCCAATGAGGGCCGTACCATCTCCTATGGCGAGCTTCTTCGTGAGGTCTCGAAGTTGGCTTGGACGCTCAAAGAAATGGGCGTCAAGAAGGGCGACACCGTCGCGCTTTATCTGCCATGATTCCCGAGGCACTCATTGCTTTCCTAGCAATCACTCGTATTGGCGCCGTCCATTCCGTGGTCTTTGCTGGATTCTCGTCGGGTTCTTTGGCAGATCGCGTTAATGACGCAGAGTCAAAGGTCATTATAACAACCGACGAAGGCAAACGAGGTGGAAAGCTGATTGGCACGAAGAAGATCGTCGACGAGGCACTGAAGAAGTGCCCTGGCGTGACTGGCGTACTCGTCTATAAGAGGACAGGCGCAGATGTACCTTGGACCAAGGGCCGAGATCTGTGGTGGCATGAGGAGGTCGAGAAGTGGCCCAACTACATCGCACCTGAGCCGATGGCATCGGAAGACCCGCTCTTCCTCCTCTACACGTCTGGCTCGACTGGAAAGCCCAAGGGTGTAATGCACTCTACAGCTGGCTATTTGCTAGGCGCCGCAGCCACAGGCAAGTATGTCTTTGACATTCACGACGATGATGTCTACTTCTGCGGAGGCGATGTTGGGTGGATCACAGGTCACACTTACGTCGTGTACGCGCCTCTTCTTCTGGGATGTGCCACCGTCGTCTTCGAAGGCACTCCTGCCTACCCCGATTTCGCGCGCTATTGGGATGTCATCGATCGCCATAGTGTCACCCAGTTCTACGTCGCCCCGACCGCCCTACGATTGCTCAAGCGTGCTGGAAACGAGCACATAAGACACCAAATGTCGAAGCTGCGTGTGCTAGGTTCAGTGGGAGAGCCCATCGCAGCTGAAGTCTGGAAGTGGTACTTTGAGACCGTTGGAAAAGAGGAGGCACATATTGTTGATACATACTGGCAGACGGAGACCGGCTCCCATGTGATCACACCACTTGCTGGTATCACCAGTACGAAGCCCGGCAGTGCATCCTTCCCCTTCTTTGGCATTGAGGCTGCGATCATCGATCCTGTCTCGGGCAAGGAGATCGAGGGTAATGATGTTGAGGGCGTGCTTGCCTTCAAGCAGCCATGGCCAAGTATGGCTCGGACTGTCTGGGGCGCACATAAGCGTTACATGGACACATACCTGAATGTGTACAAGGGCTACTATGTAAGTCTCAAACTTGTGCCTCTTGATCGATGCTGACAATTCGGAGTTCACCGGAGACGGAGCCGCTCGCGACAAGGACGGGTTCTACTGGATCCGCGGCAGAGTCGACGACGTGGTCAACGTGTCAGGTCACCGCCTGTCCACCGCCGAGATCGAAGCTGCTCTGATCGAGCACAGCGGTGTTGCTGAGGCTGCTGTGGTGGGAATCAACGACGAGCTCACTGGCCAGGCTGTGAACGCCTTTGTGTCGCTGAAGGATGGTACAGATCCTGGTGAGCAGACGCGGAAAGATCTCATACTGCAGGTTCGGAAACAAATTGGACCATTTGCTGCACCAAAGGCTATCTTTATCGTCGATGACCTACCGAAGACTCGATCCGGCAAGATCATGCGCAGGATCTTGCGGAAGATTCTTAGTGGTGAAGAGGACAGCCTGGGCGATACGTCAACTCTGAGCGATCCAAGTGTTGTTGACAAGATCATCGATACTGTCAAGCAGGGGAAGAAGAAGTGATCGCAAGGGGGGAAATTTAGGTAGCAGCTGGATTTTGTAAATCTGTCGGGCTTGGCATGATCAGGCAACGTTGAATAGTCCATATTGCTGTACGTTCTTCCGCTTCATTGTCGTGGCTGTGTCATCATTAGGGTAGATAGAGCGCTCTGGACCATGATTAGCGTAGGTATCTACAGTGACTATCGTAACAATGCAGCGTTTTGCGTCCAGAGGCACCGTGACTGCCAGGCAGCCACTGGTCAGGTGACCATCGCCCAAAATGGACTAGTTCAAACAGGCGAACCTCTACTCCAAAAGTCGCAACCGCGCTCTTCTCCTCTCCATCGAACGACACGCGCACTTTTGACAGGCTTGACGCGACTTTCTTGTACCTTTCTCACTATCTCTCTTCAAGGTCTGAGACAAAAGCGTTCCAGCCATAGCGCGCCGACGCGCTTCCACGCCGGCAGCCATGGCGTTTGGCGGAGGGTCTAGCTTTTCCTTTGGGTCGAACAATAATCAAGGCACTGGCTTCAGCGGCTTCGGAAACAACAATAATAATAGCACACCAAGTGAGTACTCATCCCTTCTTTCCTCTGACAGCTGCTCATACATGTCCTCCAGGCGCTTTCGGATCTACCAGCAATACCGGTGGATTCGGCTCCACGAGCACCACCAACAATCCTTTTGCGACCAACACAGGTGGCAGTAGCACGTTCGGATCCAACACTGGTGGAGGTATGCATCCCGGAAGAGCCCGCAAAGCTGCTACCAATGCTAACAACTTCACTACAGGGTTCGGTACCAACTCGTCCGGTGGCGGCCTCTTTGGCAACAAAACCACTGGCACTAGCCTCTTTGGTTCAACGAACACATCCTCAAACACTGGAGGTGGCCTTTTCGGCAACACTGCCAGCAACACTAGCACAGGCTTCGGAAGCTCAACTGGGGGCTTTGGTAGCAACAATACTACAGCCTTCGGAAACAATAACAACAATACCTCCACGACTGGATTTTCAGGGTTTGGCAGCACAGCCAACAAGCCTGCGTTCGGCTCTGGTTCCAGCGGAACTACTCTGTTCGGTCAAGGTGGTGCAGGCACGACTGGGGCTTTCGGCAACAGTGGTGGCACTGGCTTTGGTGGTTCGGGTACAGCGCTCGGTCAAGCCGTGGGTCCATCTCAGGGCACAGGCAATGTACCATTCAATGCAGTGAGCGAGAAAGACACAAATGGCACTGTCAACTATCAGAGCATCTCATTCATGGAGAACTACAACAAGTACTCGCCAGAAGAATTGAGAATTGCCGATTACAATGCCGGCCGCAAGTTCGGCAACGGCGCCGGCCAGCCTGCAGGTGCTTTCGGCTCAAGCGCTTTCGGTGGTGGCGCATTCGGGTCGAACAACACATCGAGTGGCTTCGGGTCCAACAATGCCACAAGCACCAACCTTTTTGGAACGAATAACTCGTCGACTACTGGGGGCTTCGGTAGCAATACTGGCTCGACCTTTGGCAACAATAGTGGTGGATTGTTCGGCCAGAACAAGCCTGCTGCTACCACAGGCGGTCTGTTCGGCAACCAGTCCTCGACCACCAACACTGGCGGCTTATTCGGAACCAGCAACAACACTTCTAGTGGTGGTTTGTTTGGCACGAACTCGAACACTTCCACCACAGGCGGTTTCGGGTCCAACTCAGGTGGCGGAGGCTTGTTTGGCAACAATAACAATAACGCTCAGTCAAAGCCTGGCGGTCTCTTCGGCAACAATTCCTCCACGACTTCAGGAACCACAGGGTTCTCGTTCGGCAACAACAATAGCCAGCCGCAGAACAACACTACAGGTGGCGGTCTCTTCGGCAACAACAATCAGTCAACCAGTGGTGGACTGTTCGGTAACAACAGCAACCAGCAAAAGCCAGGCGGACTTTTCGGCAATACCTCGACGGGAGGCGGCTTCGGCTCGACCAACACCGCCCAGCCCTCAGGTGGCTTGTTTGGCACATCGAACAATACCACAAGCACAGGCGGCGGTCTCTTCGGCAACAACAATGCCACGGGTAACACGTCGACAGGAGGTGGTCTTTTCGGAAACACACAATCGAACTCCAGCAGTGGCGGACTGTTCGGCAACAATAATGCCAGCAATCAGGCGAAGCCTGGTGGTCTATTTGGTGGAAGCACTTTTGGCAATCAGCAACAGAGCAATACTGGAGGTGGCTTGTTCGGTAACAATAACACCACTACCCAGACTTCTACTGGCGGTGGATTGTTTGGTAACAATAACAACAACAATACTGCAAGTGGCTTCAACTTTGGGGCTAGTCAGAATAAACCTGCTGGCTCATCGCTATTCGGCAACACAAGCACCACCAATACCCAGTCTGGTGGGCTCTTCGGATCCACCGCCAACAGTGCCTTTGGCAACTCGATGAGTCAATCGCAGATGCAGCCTCAGGGCGACATCAAGCACTCGTCTCTGCTCGACAGCAATCCCTACGGTCAATCATCCATTTGGACTGGCCTTCCAAGTCCTACAGAACAGAATTCGAAGCCGCTGGTCACGCCGTTGACGGCCTCTCAGAGCCTGAAGGATAGCCAGGCGAGACCGCCACCAAATCTCCGCCTCAATCAGTCGAGGTACATGACCCCTCCGCGCCGTGGCTATGGTTTCACGTACTCCACTTACGGCACACCCAACAGCGCTGCAAGCACTCCTGGAGGCAACAGCTTGAGCACAAGTATGTATGGCAGTCGCTTCACAGGCGGTAGCTTCGGACGCTCCATGGGCAAGTCTGCCTCTATCGGCAACATGCGATCATACTACAGTGAAGGAGAAAGTGTCCTGGCGCCCGGCGCATTCACTCCAAGTTCGTCGAGGTACTCGAGTGGTAGCATCCGCCGTCTGACCATCGATCGATCAATCCGAGACGATCTTTTCAGCCGTCCGTCTTTGCCAGGACCTAGCAACAGCTCCAAGACTGCTAGTCCTGCTCCGCCGAAACCCGCCAGCCACGCAGCCACTGCTGCCCCTGCACCCATCGAAGCCACACCAGAAGCTGCAAGTGGCAAGCTCAAGAAGCGAGTCAGCTTCGACAAAGATACCGCTGGCGGCCAGAACGGCGAGCTTGACTCCAACACCGGAGCCGTCGTCGTGCGTGCAGAAAGTGAGGAGGAAGCCACACCACCTGCAAGCGGTGCCGTACAGCCACCGGAAGCGCCGCGCAACAACGCGCTGGCTGCTGTCCCTGAAGATCGAGAATCGGAGCACGTGTCAGCTCCCAAGGGCCAGACAGACACGCGCGACCCACAACCCGGAGACTACTGGTCGAAGCCCACCGAGAAAGAGATCCAGGCTATGACTCGTGATCAAGCTGCTCACTTCAAGGGATTCACTGTCGGTCGTAAAGCCTGTGGCCAGGTCACATTCGATGCAGAAGTCGATCTGAAAAGCTTACTTCCGTTGAGCGAAAAGTTCGGCAAGATCATCGACATAAGCGTTCGCTCGGTTGCCGTGTATCCAGATTCGTCTACGAAGCCTCAGCGTGGCAAAGGCTTGAATGTGCCGTCGACTATCTCTATTGAGAACTCTTGGCCCCGACGGAAAGGTAAAGGCGAAGCTGTGGGTAGCGGCCCCTCTTACGACCGACACATTCGTCGTCTCAAGGCCATGGAAAATGCAGAGTTCGTCAGCTATGATCACAAGACTGGAGTCTGGACTTTCAGGGTTCCTCATTACACGAGATACGGTCTGGACTACGACGATGACGAAGATGAGGAGGAGGCGGGTGAGTCTTATTGAAGACCCTCGGCCAAGGATCTACTGACCACACGTTGTGTAGATGACTTCGAAACTAGCCAGCTCTCTGCGCCACCTGACAGCATGAAAGCGCCTACTCAATCTGTCATGGAAGTCGACAGTGATCACACTAGTGACTTTGGAGAGGACGACACGTTCCAAGGCAAACAGATGATGACTATTCCCGGAGGATATGGCCGTCAGAGCGCAATTCCTGTTACGGAGGACTCTATTGTGCAGACGATCGAGCACGACAGTCCGCAATCCGAGCATCCAGCATACTCAGAGAATGACATGTCAGATGATGACGATGGAATGGACATGGCCGGCTCCTACCCTGCGCCAAACGACACGGACAGTCGACCACGGCTGGTCCCTAACACTCCACGCAACCCTCTCGCCGGCATCGATCTCGACGATGACTGGGCTGAGCAACTCCAGCGCACTATTAGCCCACGCAAGCAGAATCGGGATGCATTGCGGGAAGCTCAAAACAACCCTGGAGTGCTCCCTGATGGGAAAAACGCGCCCGATTTCAAGACATCTATTGATATCATGAATGCCTTGTTCGGGAACAAAAATTCCTTCCAGGCGGGCTTCAAGCCGAAATCCACCTACAAGGGCGATTCTGGCCAGCCATTGAACATCAAGCAATTGCTACAGTCCGCCGTTATACGGCAGACAGACGGCATACCAGATATCACGTACGCCGAGCTCCCATTCTCTGCATACGCTAGCGCATTTCCGGCTGGGGAGGCCGCTGAAGCGCAAATGTACGAACTATTGCACGTGCTTTTCGACGACTACGAAGACATGTTCAACGACGGTCTCACCGCTATTCAACGAGCAGAGTACGCCGGGCGCATCCGTAGCGACCGGCTTTCGGAATTCTTGCGAAAGACACTCTCCGAGGCTGCAGTATCCCAAACCACCACCAGCGATCCTGTGAGATCTGCACTCCAATACCTTGCAGTTGGGGATACCGAGCGAGCGTCCAACACCCTTCTGGAAGGCAAAAATGTCACGCTGGCTATGCTGGTAGCTCAGCTTCCCAACGCAGGTTCGCTGTTTCAGGGAAACGTTCGTGCTCAAATCGAAAAATGGCGCGAACAAAGCATGCTTTCTGAGATCGAGTTGGATATCCGGGCCATCTACGAGTTGCTTTCGGGCAATACCACAATCTCCCAAGGCAAGGCTGGTCCGGTCGAGCACAAAGCCGCCACGTTCAGCATTAGCGAGCGCTTCAACCTGGGTTGGTTGACTATGTTCGCCGTCAATCTGTGGTACGGTCCTCGCAAGAACGGGAACATTGAGCACGTTATCGAAGATTTTGCGAACAAGCTCTCGTCTCGGCAGGAAACGTCTTCACCTCTGCTTACCGATGGCAGCGAGGATCCCCTCTGGGTTGCCCTGCGCTTGTATTCTCTCTGCAACGGTCAGAAGGGAACAGACGCTGCCACTATCGTCTTTCCCCAGGCACTGGCAGCACTCTGCCACCAAGATCCCCTGAACAACTTTGCCCTTTTCCGTGCGCATCACGCTATCCTGCATTGCCTCAAGCCGGCCAGCAAGCAATCCGTGGTCGTCATTGACGAGGAGCGGGAAGAGCAGCTTGTTGCGATGGTGGCTGCAGAGTTCGAAAGCAAGGGAGATGGTCTGGCGGCCGCGTTTGTGTTGCTGCATCTACGGAATCAGAACGCGAGAATGGCGGCGCTTAAGGACGTGCTGGGGCGCAAAATCATGGAGCTTTTCCCGCCTACGACCTTTGATGTATTGACCCAGGAGCTGCACATCCCGGGCGGCCTCTGGTATGCTGCGGCTGCGATTTTCGCTCGCGGTCGCGATGCAAATGTGGAGCTGGAGTGTTTGCTGCGGGCAGGAGACGTCAGAGGTGCTCATGCTTGCTTTCTCGAGCGTGTCGCGCCTGCCATGGTCGTTGACGAGGACTGGGAGGGCCTGAGGCGGGCTCTGAGCATGTGCAGCGCCAATGGCGCGCCGTTGGCCGGGAATGAACACGGGGCGGCCTTTGATGACTTCTGCAAAGTCGTTGAGGGAGGTCTTACCGGGAACGCGAAGCAAGCTGCTCTGTCACGAGCTTGCAAGGGAATCTGCGCTCTGTACAACACGGTCTCCTACATTGGCAGCAAGGGTGGTGCTGACGAGGGCACTGAGATGCTGCAGCGACGCGTTGCGCTTCGGGAAATGGCGCGTAGGATCGCGGATGAGTGGGAGGGTGTTGCTGGTCTGAATGAGGTGCTCGAATTGCCGCTCGACGGCTTCGTGAAGCGGCGTCTGGGAATGAAGATGGCTGCATCGCATTTCGCGGCGGTCATGAATGCGGAGGCTTAGAGCCCGCCCGGGAGTGGTATTCGTACGAACAGACCAGTATGACGAGAAAGCATAGCATAGCGAGCAGCAGACACTCAAGTAACGCTTCAGTGATTCGATGACCTCTGCATTGAGCGTCACTTCTAGCTCTACGTTGCTTCCGATGACTGTCATCTGAGCGTCGCAGCTAGCTCGAAGTCACCTTCAACCCCCTTTACTTGAGCGTCATTGACTAGCAGCTCACTCGAAAGAATCTGCAGGCCAGGGAGGACTCTGTATCAAAGATTTGAACATCTTCATCAGTCTCTATAATCCTGATTATGTCTCTCGATCGGTGTCAGTCGAGCGTCACTGCCCATATCCCACACTTGAGAATTGTCCATGCTAGGGAGGACTCTGTGCCAACTATCTGGATGCATTGATCAGACTCTGCAGTCGTTCTGTCTCTCATATGAGCGCCACTCGAGCGTCGCTGTCCAGATCCAAAAACAGAGAATCGACCATGCCAGGGAGGACTCTGTGTCAAGGATTCGAAAAATTTGATGAAATTCTGTGATCATCCTGGCTCTAACATGGACATCACTTTAGCATCACTGTACAAATCCCAGGAATCGAGACATCAATATATCGTCTGATCGTTTCCATACCAGGGAGGCCTCTGGCCCGACATCATCAAGGACCATGAAATGCGTGCCTCCGTCACCTTGATACTACGGTGGTAACATACCTCGCTCCCTCTCCGCCCAATCACCCCAGTCATGCCTGACAGAGATGCCGGATACCTAGATGACCAAGACTTGCGCACGGTGGTAGATGCGCCGTGTGGACAAGAGAACCCATCTGTTAGCGCTGTAGATTGAGCCGGTAGAAGATGAGGATCGCCAGAATGGGCAGAGGCATCTTGGACACATTTACATATACTAGGGGATTCGGCAGACCGGATGACACCTTCTTCACTTCGACCAGGTCAGCGATTCAGTCATCCGGTCTGGAAAGCACAGCCACACTGGAACGACGAAGCACGCAAATTCGTGCCCTGAGCCAAGGCGTGGCATGACGCGGATGATTAGGTGGGTGTAAGCTGCAACTGGGCCAGGAAAGTGTGTTGACTAGGCATGCATCGCTTAGAGGACTGAGCCGCCACCGAACACGGTGCAAGTCCTCTCCCTAAAGCCCGACGCGCTCGTGCAGTTGACGAAGACGAGAGGATGAAGGAGGGGAACCTGGGTGATTTTAGATAGTTGCCAGCCAGCTATGACATGGTCTCGTGCATGTGATGCATCGATATATCAAATAACGTGTCCCTCCCCAAGCCATCTATATCTTGCCACTGATATGCCCAGAATCGAGCATGCGCTCTGTCGTCGAGGTAGATCATCGACTGTGATTATTCACTCGCGCCGCCAGCATTATTGAATCGCGCGGCAACTTTCACCAGCACACCAGATTTATCACGCAGGCTGTGACGTACGACGCTCAGGGCTGTGGGACCCCCCGGAAGCTAAGCCCAAGCCTCCAGCGCAAAAGACTCCATCCGACACCTACGCTCTCTTTCTTTTGACGACCGTGGTCATCTTCATGTTTGCTTCGTTAGTTGCCATCGTCCATCTTGTCTGATTCCAGAGAAGGATACTCATCAGAGGTTGTAGATTGGCTCTTGCGCACCACAGTCTCCCTGGTAAGTCTACCCAGAAGGATCACGTACTTGATGATGCTGGGACGAGAACCAACGCCGCGACGGACAAAGAAGCATCTCCAACTTCAGCAACAACCAACCTGGCCGTCCGCCTACCTCACCTCAATCTTCCCGATCTAAAGCGCCATCAAAGCTGACATGTGCCCACAGTAGTCCGCACCGTCACCGACCCCAAGACCGGCCGCAGGGTCTCTGTCGTCGACGGCGCTTACTACCAACCCTACTACCAGCGACGACGGAATACCATCGCCACCACTGGCATAGGCACAAGCTCGACAGCTGAGACTAAAAACACCACATACGCGGAAGACAAGAAGAAAGACCCCAACGAGCCGGTCATTGTCCTCCGAAGATCGAGCATTGAAACTGCCCCAGCTTTCCGACCAGGCGGCGGTATGTCCAAAGTCGTGCGCGGGGTGAAGAATATCACCAAGGGGTATAGCAGTGTCCAGGTCAAGGTTCGAAATGGTATGCGCTGATCTGATTGGCCTTGCGATGGGAAGGGTATGCTGATGGGTTCTGATAGCCACCTCGAACGATCCATGGGGGCCCACGGGCACGGACATGGCGGAGATCGCGGCGTTAACGTTCAACAAGTAAGCTTGCTGGCGGCGAGGGCTGGAGAGCGACGACTAATCTATGTACAGTCCGTCAGATTTCTACGAGATCATGGACATGCTGGACAAGCGACTCAACGATAAAGGCAAGAACTGGCGACATGTTCTGAAATCCCTGAAAGTCCTCGACTACTGCTTGCACGAAGGCTCGGAGCTGGTCGTGACTTGGGCACGGAAAAACATCTACATAATCAAGACTTTGCGAGAGTTCATCTACGTCGACGAAGACGGCCGCGATGTGGGCAACAATGGTATGCAGCCATCGTGATCAGCACGAAAGGAATGGCACTGACTGATCTAGTCCGGATCTCGGCTAAGGAGCTCACCTCTCTCATCCTCGACGAAGAGCGCCTCCGCAGCGAGCGATCAGATCGGAAACTGTGGAAGACCAGAGTTACTGGCATTGACGAGTATGCACCACAAGGAAGCTCGAATGTTACAGCCCCCCGCGAGGCACGCCGCGATCATCGGGGCAACGACCAAGAAGATGCAGAGCTGCGCCTTGCAATTGAGGCTAGCAAGTATGAAGCCGAGGAGGATCAGAAAAGACGCAACCAGTCGAAAGGCAATGCTGCCGACATGGACGACGATCTGGCTAAAGCCATCAAGCTGAGTCAAGAGGAGGAATCCCTGCGAGCACGACAACTGGAAGAGCAGAACGCTGCTTCGCTGTTCGACGACACACCAGCGCCGTCCCAGCCTCAGCCGACTGGTTACAACCAGGGCTACCAGCAGCAGCCTGCCGTCGATTGGTTCGGCAATCCTCTGCAACAGCAGCCGCAGCAGACTGGATACCTCAACAACCAATACGCACAGCCCACTGGGTACCAGCCTCAGCAGACTGGCTATCAAAACGGTTTCAGCAACGGGTTCCCGAGTCAACCCGGTGCCTATGACCAGTTCGGCTCACAGCCGTTCCTGCCACAGCAGAACACAATCCAGCCTCAGCAGACCGCTTTCCAGAATAACAACCCTTACGGCGCTCTCCAACAGCAGCCCAGCTTCACCCAGCAGCCGCAACAGCAAGCCCTCCAGACCGGCACCAACAACCCCTGGGGACAACAGCAACAAGCAGCTGAGCCGCTCAAGCCCCTCCCTACCGGCTCCAACAATCCATTCGCCCAGAAAGCCGCCTCACCATCACCCTTCCAACGCACCCAGACGCAACCCTCACTGGGCACACTCTTCGAAACACAACCCACAAACTCCTTTCAACAACAAACACAATACCAACCCACACAGCCAAACCCAATTTCTAACTTCACCGCGCCCGTCCAGCAACAACCGCAAAAAGCGCAAGACCCGCACGCCGCCCGTCTCAACGCCCTGCTCGCCTCCGGCGAAGGGCAGGACACCTTCGGCAACACGGGTGATCTGCGTATTCCGGCGCAACATACCGCGCCAGGCACGTTCGTCAATTCGGCCGGACAGGGTAGGGATAAGCTTATCGCGACTCAAACCGGCAGCAACCCGTTCTTCAGCCAGCAATTTACGGGCGCGCCGCAAATCCCGGCGCAGACTGGGCCTGTGGGCTATGGTGGTGGAGGCTATGGAGGCCAGCAGAGCCACAATCCCTTTGGAGCTCGGCCGCAGCAGCAAGGTGGCGGGAGTCTGATTGACTTGTAGGCGGTGAAATTCACATTGGCTCAACGAGGAATGAGCCTGCTGCGTTGGTGGGCTGAACGCATTTTCTTTTGTATGTAGGCATGGCACGAGACTGGACCTCGCTCGAAGGAGCAGACCTGCAAGGTGCTACGAACAGACTGGGACTCGAAGATTTATATCTGGTAGTTGGCGTCGACTGGAAGCAAGTGTTGGCTGGCAGGTGCGAGGAAATGATACCCGCTTGACACGTGCTTTGCCTTTCCCTACTTCTGCGACTCTTCCCTTTGCTATCTTATCCAAAGACATGGCTCGTCATCCGGTCTCGCTCCAGCCCGGAATCCTCAAAGCATCCACTCATCGAGACGTGCTCTCTAAGCATCTACACAGCAGCTAGCCTGGGTCATGAGACGCGGGTGGTGATTGCCGCCTCAGAGACAACGGACAAGAGACGATCCACAAAGCAAATTCGTTATTCGAGGTAGTAATCTATATCGTCCCAAAATGTTCCCTTCAAGATAGTTCCCGTCTTCTATGGTACATTATGCTTTCGTGACTTCGTCGAAATAATGCTGTCGCAAGCGCCAAACGCCTTCGCTAGTGTGTTTCCTTTTGTACAGCGTAAAAAGCAGATTAACGGATCTCACAACGATGTCACACGTGCCGCCGTCGGCGTCGAAGGCTGCCTCTGCTGCGGCCGGTGCTTGATCACCATTTGCAGTTCGCGCAGCATGCTCGTCGTGTTGTCCGTTTGCTCCTGCAGGGTAGCTCGCTTTGCTCGGTCCTCTTTTAGTTTGGCGATCTTCTCCTCGCGGGTCATGTTAACGCCAAGGGACATTCGCTTGCGAGGTTTGGAGGAGACGACGCTTCGAAGATCTCTTCGTCGCCGGTGGTATCGTGGTCGTCGGTTTCTCCATTGAGGAGTTTGAGGGCGTCGGCGGGGCTGCCTTCTACCATTGTGAGGCCGCCTAGGCTGGGAGAAGGAGAGAGAGGTGTTCTCATCTCGCTTAGAGGGCGGCTGTCCCGACCTCCATCGGGGTTTGGGAACAGGGTCATGGCTGATCGGCCACGGGTCCATTCGTCCAGCAGGGAGCGCAGCTCTTCGCCGAGCGAGTCGTAGTGCTTGACTATCGTCGCGTTCACAACTCGGTCAGTTGCGTCGCGGGAGATCAGATCAGTGATCTCGTCCCTAGCGATGCGCGTTCTTGCACCGAGGGCACGCACGCCGTGAGTGATGCCCTCGAAGCGTCGCATTTGAGCCTTGGATTGCTGTCGTTCGGGCGTCACGAATTGTAGCTGTATGGGACTCGCGACTGCGTCTTCGTCCGAACCGTAAGTGTCGTTTCCGGTGTCATCTTCTGTCAAGGCTGCTCTTAGCTGAGCCGCAGCGGCCTGGACGTCATCAACTAAGCTTTTGACGACTTGTGTGACTTTTCGCCATCTCTGAACTTCGTCCCAAAATGTTGTTGTTCGAAGAGCCAGCAAATCGACCAGAAAGAACTTCCGTGCAAATGAGTGCAGCTGACTGAGAAATCGAAGCTGTTTGAGAGTTTCTTGCGCCTCCGGTGACATATCATTCGCGAAAGAGACCGCGCCCGAAAAGTCATCTGGTGAAAGCTCGTAGATGTGATAATAAGTTCGCATATCGTCTGGGCTCACGAGTGGCTGCAGCTCGTTGTGGAAGTGGATGAACTGGGTAATGCCAGTGTATAGAATCTTCGCTGCAAGTCGTCGAAGTTCGCGACACAACGTTTGCGCGTGGTCACCATCTAGACGACTTATGGGCGGGAGCGTGTTGCTGAGATCATATCCTCGAGCGACGACCTCAATTTCTTGAATATAGCGAATGCTCTCTTTGATAGTATCGTCGAGTTCTTCACTTATATGCACCAGCCGCGATGTGGCGAGAGCAGCGATTTGTCGTGTGAACTTCAGGTACTGCTTCCGAGCCACGTAGGCCAGCACAGCGAGGAGGCAACCAACGAAGCAGGCATCCAGGCACAATTCCAACCAGCTTGCTTCTGCGACGGTCTGCAGGCGGCATTGCATCCAATGGAGCACCCATGCGAGAGCGAATGACAGGAACATCGCCGATGCTGCTCCGCGGAGAGACACGTGTGCTGGAGGTTCATCGGAGGAGGTCAAGGTATGTTGGCGGCTTTTGCCATCTTCGGACAACAGCTGAGATGCGACAATGCTGTAGCGGAAACGCTCGAGGAAACGATCGCTGGATGAGTTCGCCACAGACAGTGCCGTTCGTCGTAAGATTCTCAGCTTGTCTCGAAGCCGGGGCAGACCACGCGGGGCGTAATGCGCGTCGGTGACTGTGGGCTCGCCATCGAGATCTACATGGTCGGAAGGCAGAGCGTCGCTTCTAAGATCTCGGCGAGTGGCGTGTCGTCGTATACCAAGGCTTCCATGACATTTCTGCTAAGCAAAGTCAAGTGAGTGCATAGAACGATCAAGGAAGGACGCACAATAAAACCGAGAAACTGAAAGAGGGAACAGCGCGTGGAAACCTGAAATCGATCGGCGCGTAATGTGACCGGTCCTCACGTGATTTGAATTTTGATTTGATTGCAATTTCGCGTCTTACTTTGACTCTGAATCCCTGAGACCTGCAGTACCTTCGTACAGGACCTGACTGCCCATCATCCGCACCGATAAGGCATGTTTGTTGAAGCTCGCAGGCCCAGATGACAGGTGAATGCAATTTATTCTACTTGTTGATGTCGTATGGTACATGTGATTCGTGTAGGCTGATGTACTTCATGCTGCTCGTCGAATTATTATAGTCAACATTGGTCTTTTCCGCATGCCTGGTCGTATGCATATCATGGCCACCATTTCATCTTCTCGTAGCTGGCCAACATCTCCTGTACGCCTTCCTTGGTCAGTCCTTGTGGTTTGGTGTACTCGAAGCCAACCACTTTTTCGAACAGACGGCCATCCATGCTCAGGTCAGTATCTTTCAACAATTCCTTCTCCAGGAATGGAGTAAGAGGTCCGGGCTTAGTGATCTCCTTCTCGACCAGAAGATCTGCCCACGGCTGGAGGATGTCTTCGTTCAGATCGTCTACCACATGCTCCAAGTTCAGCTTCGCGAGTTGGGAGATGACAGAGCCTTGAAATCCTGTCTTGATGCCAAAGACTTTCGACACCACATCTGCACTTGTGCCCTGCGACGTCTGACCGTGATCGACGATGTTGAAAATTGGTACATTACCTGAGGGTGGCTCTTCACCTTTGGATGACAATGTCGGTCGTCTGCTGCCCGGGGAGAAGGATCCTTCCGGTATAGCGGAATGCGTTTCTCTCCACTCTGCAGCAGTCCAGAGAGCCCGCACTGCATCGTCTATATGTACTGTATTGGTCCGGAGATCTTCGGTCCACAGCCACTTCAAGTCTTCTTTCTTCGCCTGATACACGCGTGCGAGACATAGTAACTTTGCGAAGAAGCCCGCATCATATGGACCATATACGTGGGCAAAGCGGAGGATGATGAGATTCAGTCCAGACGTGCGCGCCAGCTCCTGTTCGGCTTCCAGCTTAGCCTTGGCAAGATTGAGCCATGGCTTCAACTTGTCTCGTTCTGATCGAGGCTTGCGCTCGGGGCTGTACACCATTCCCGTACTTGCTTCAACGAAGACCTTTACGCCCCGTTTTGCGGCCGCCTTGCCGAGGGTGACACTGAGCTGCGTCGACTGTAAATTGTACTCTTCTATCGTCCGCGACCATGCGGTGTTACCACCCAAGTTGAAGACGTAATCCCACGTGTGGTCAGTCCCCTTCGGATGAGCGAAAATCCGGTCCATGGACGCCTCGCGCGAGGCATCCGCTTGTACAAAGAAGGTTTGGGAACAGCATTCGGAGAATTCGGGTGCCAAATGAGCCAATTGAGGCAGCACTTTGTCGACAAGGCGAACGGTAGATGCAAGTTGGTTGTCATGAATGTGTTTGGCGAGGAAGCGACCCATGTAGCCTATCGGTAGTTCAGGGTAAGACTTGGTACCAAAACTCATGGGTAAACTCACCCAGTCCACCGATTATGAGCACTGATGGCTTCTGGCCGCTGCCCTCCGGCGCCATTATGTGGAGGAATTGAGAGGTTCGTGGTAACAGTGAGTGCGACTCAGGTCCTGGGGCGCATGCGACTTTTGTTGCAATTGTTCTTCGAAATTCCGCGATCGTGGATGCGGCGGGATATTGACCGGCCGGGGTGTGGGGGACTCTAGGGTTCAGTGATTGCCAATCTAAAACATTATCTGAGGCCCTGGAACGGCCCGAAACAGTTGCTTGTGAGAGACAGGATCCCGCGGTGGCCAATGACTCGCTTTCGCACACAGCGTTCTTGTGACGTCGTCGCAACACCGTAGCAGTTTCTCAGTAGACCGTTCTGCGAGAAATGGACCTTCGAAGGAGATGAGCGTTGAAAGATGCAGAGCCTGAGGTGGATCAGGGGTCTGCATTATTAGGTGCTTAGCTAGACTTTAGCTGTGGCCATCGATTCAAGGCCCCTGCGTCAGTTGTCCTTGGCTGCAGTTTCGATATTATGCATACAAGTGGATCGTCATGCACACTTTCTGCATCACAAGGGACTTCAGTATTCCTCCGTGATAGCAAGGGCAAAGTACCGGCTTCATTATTGATCAGTGAATCGGATGCAAATGGTCTCGCGTTGCACCGACTGACCGTGACCGTGACTGCGGCCAGGGTTTCCGTGCGGGGCGCGGTTTGCAAGGCAATCATAATTATGCCAGTCCCATTCTGGGAGACCTTCACGGCAAAGGGAGTACCTGCGCAGTCCTTGTGCTCACGATCGCGAGGGGGTGATCAAGTTGTTCGATGCGAGCCATTACGGAGAGATCCTCGTTGAAAAAGTGAGCAGAGGGAAATGCCATTTTCGTCTAACTGTTTACGGAAATTTGCTTTTCCTTCCCAATTAGGATGGCTGCCTCGAAATCAAATTCACCCACCATGTCATCGACGACCGACGGCATCATCCTTTTGACAGCACTATTCAGGCCCGCACAGATGATTCAAGTTGAGACCCGGTTCTTCCGAAGCCCGAGTGACGCGACTGAGAAGCCCAACCCACGAGACTAGGCTCCGGTGGCGAGTTCCCTGACCCTGCCAGGCCTGCTTGAAGGCTCGCGTGACGATCAGTCGGAGACTGCTCGAAGGCCCGAGTGACGAAAGCTCTGGCGCACAAACAACAGTCAAGGCTGCCAGCGCGTATGAAGCAGTTCACCCCATTACAGTCAACACATCATGCTTAGACGCCTCTCAGCAACGCCATGTCCGAATGATCCGATATGGCAACAGCCGAGACCTGGTTCGCATGGGGACCAGACCGAGGACTTAACGGCCAATGTGGACTTCACAACAGAATTCAAAGCATCGTTTCGGCACGTGAAGCCTCGTCGCCCGCCAAGACCACAGAAGGCGCCAAACATCGGCTTTACGATCCATGAAGATGTTGAGCTACGCCTCGATGGTAGCCAGCCTGATCGCGACGATAAAGGAACAACCACAACGCGTCCGCCAGCGGATGACAGAAAGGTCATGGAGCCGAACCGCCGGGTGAGCTTTAGCTTGGACCATCTTCGAGGCCAGCCAGCAATTGAGCCACCTCAGACCTCAGGTCTCGCAAAAGCACCTCGCCGGCAATCTATCCGAATGGAGCCCAAGACAGATGTCCAAGTCGCGCCGAACGTCTCGACCAAAATCGCAAAGCCGGCGCGTCGCGGAACAATTTTCATTCCCTCAGACGACACGACTATGCCCACGATGTTCATGGATATCTTTTCGCCTTTGAAAGGCCATGGCGCAGAGTCCTTTGTAGAGAATGCCGGCGATCCCAACCTGACAGGGCTCGCGCTGCAGATGGCCCAAAAACGTGGGAGACGATCGTCTGTCCTTGCAATGAGCCCTAAGCGCGCTCCGTTGAACCTGTCACAACGCCCCCTGCAACCGGCGGCCATCGTCACAGACCGACCTGGTCATGGTCCAGGAAAGGAGAATCGACCACCAGGTCACGAAAAAAAGGCACTGAAGAAGATGAGACCATCAATGGCACCTACTAGGCCGCCGCGGGTCAGTCTACGAGACAACACTGGCTCCGGACCTCCACCTGCGCCACGAACATCGCGGCTGTTCGAGCCGACCGCGAGCTCTGCAGCTCGTCTCACCCAAGTTAAGCGAAAACAGCCTGTTCCTAAGACCACCTGGAACTCGAATTTCCTCTTGCCGAGACCGAAATCAGAGATTAGCACAAGCCCCGACTTTGGTCAAGGCCCCGAGGACCAAATCTCGGAGATGTCTGTCACCAAACGGCCACCGGTTCCTTCTCGCTTTGTCGTGCCATCAGTGCAACAACCTGAGTGCCAGGGTTATGCATTCGTACCAGAAGGTGTAGCAGACACTTCTATGTATGAGGACAACTGGCTCGGACAACAGGAGATAGCTATAACTCAGCTTCTCAACAACTTGTTCAGCGCCGCATCTCTAAGCAAGTCACACGAGCCCGCAGGTGATCTAGATCGCTTGCGATTGCTAGAGATGTATGGCAGTAACGAGATGTCTGTGCTCTACAAGCGCTTGCAGGCATCTCTGGCGCATGGCCCTCTCAGCCTAGGCGGAGAAGGTGCTTTGCGTGGTCAGCAGCTTAACAGCGATCTTGCCAAGCGCAGATCTTTTGTCGAATTCTGGGTTCATACCTATACTCCGCAACTGCTGCGACTAGGTCTCGAAGTGGTCATTGGTAGAGTCGTACCATTACGGACAAGTGGGCCACTAAGTGGTGATGTACAGATCAGTGGACAGAACACCAGTTCCAACCCTGTGCAGCGTTTCATCGAAAAGTTTCTGATTCGTAATGAGGACATTCGGAATGAGGACGAGCGAGGCGACCGTCAGGAATGTCTTCACCAGCGAACAATCCTCAGAAGCCTGATGCTGGTCAAACTGTTGGATATGATGAAGGCTGTCGCTTCCATGAACATCTCGATTAACCTGTTTCGGAGGGACTCTCGATGGAAAAATCCACCGAATGCGCGCTCGAGATCTGTAGAATGCTGAATCCTGGCGCAGGCGACGTCACGCGACCTCTCAAGAACATCGATTACGTGGTCAGCCATGAGCAGTACCCACTTCAGGAGTACGAGTACAAGGTCAAGAATTTGGCGGTGGACATTCGGGATGGAGTTCGTCTCACGCGACTGATCGAACTTCTCTTATATCGAGGTGCTTCACAGGCGCTCAACTATGGTCGAGATCTGGACGCGACAACAAATATCACGATAAACTCTGGTCAGACGATCTGTCTAGCCGAGGGAAACCAGGACTGGCCAATTTCACAACACCTCAAGGTGCCTTGTGATAGTCGTACGATCAAGCTATACAATGTCGACTTAGCACTTGCTTCGCTGCGCGAAGTTAGAGGGATCAGTGGGTACCTGAAAGAAGTGACTGCGGCCGACATCGTCGATGGATTCCGGGAGAAGACTGTCCGTCTACTGTGGCTGTTGTGCAGCAAGTATGGCCTTGGGAGCCTGGTCGACGATAATGATCTCAAATCGGAAATCAAGCGCTTAGGACAAGCACAAGGCAAAGTCGGCAGTTCTTACCTCGCCAGCTTCGAGATCGAAGAAGACGCCGACGACAACTTTCTCTACCTTAGGAGCAGTCTTCGTGCTTGGGTCAAAGCTGTCGCTGCGTCTCGAGGTTTGCGTGTGCGCAACTTCACCGATTTCGCTGATGGTCGGATTTTCGATGCCATTGTCTCAGAGTACGAGGCCTACATGCCTGGCGGTATTGTCCCTGCAGTTTCTGGTGAGCTCTCCTATCGCCTCAAACGATTGGGTTGCAGCAATGACTTCGCCAATCTCTTCTCGTCTCGGACGTCGCGACATGAACAGCAACATGAGATCTTTGACCGAGACTTTGTGCTAGCATCGGTTGCTTTCTTGGCCTCGCGGCTTTTACGACCGACCAAGGCCACTCGGGCGGCTGTCACCTTGCAGCGAGCCTGGCGACGCAAGCTCGAACGCATCGTAGCGAGCCGCAAGGTCGTTCTGCGAACACTGGCTGCAGAGTGCGCTCGGCACAAGCGTTTTCTCCAAGCAAAGATGACTATATGGCGGACATGGGGCAAATACCGCGCAAGAACGGCTGAACGCTCGCGCGCGGCAACATCTCGTTCAGCCGAGGAGGATGTTTGGCTGTCTCTCTGAGGTGAATGCCGGTTTGGCGAGGACTGTTCGCGGACGAAGTAGCATTCAACTCTCGGCAGAATGGCAGGATCACGTAGAGTATAGTGTACGAATTATGAATTCTAGGTCCTCCCAGATATCCCTTTCCAGCAACCCCATTCTTGATCACTGGATGCCCAACAAGGAGTGACCCAGATTGCTCTACCAACTGGTCGGGACGATCCATGAGGTCCAGGCCTTCGTTTAACGCACAACAGAAACCCGAGAACCTGGATACTGACTTCTCATCGATACGAGGGACGTGCATGAGGCACGTAAGTCTCGATGCTCAAATTATTCTTACGCCGAGCATGCATGACACGACGAACACTTCCATTCTGCCCACGCCAACAAAAGTACGCGAACGACTCGCCAACGACCCGACGGTCTGGAGTCTGGACCGTCGCCACAAGCTCGTCTGCTGCGAGCCGGATGGCAATCTCCAACCAATCAAAACGATTCCCAACTGCTGTACATTGGCTGGGTCTAGAACTAGAACTGTACAACATACTTCCTTACGCCGAAGCCATCAAAAGTTTCATGACGTCTCGATCACGTCTGCTGTGCGATATAACGCATCAGATTTGATGTGGGCAGACGGAAGCCTTTCGCTCTGAATCTCGGGGCACACTCGGGGTAGAATTTGCACCAGGCTTCCTGTATCGCTGCTCCGGAAATGCACCATACCATGGATGCTTGCATCAGCTCGTGCCACAACGGAATTTGTCCATTCATCACACACATGGAACAGGACGGGTTTGCAACAGGGCCGATGATGCGGAAGGTACGCGTTCCTGCCCGACGTTGAGGATCAGTGTCTGTACTACCACGAGCAACATTTCCTTTCACTTCTTTATGTCATCTTTCTTAGATCAGCCGCCTGCTGCGCTTCGCTCGTCTTGAAATTAACGTCGACATCGTCGACATGCCGCGGCTCATGCTCGAGGCCGTGCCCGTAGCAAGATCGCTAGCTACACTTCCGATCGAAGTTCAATGCAACATCATTGCTCACCTTCCCATCGCCAGCCTGTTGAAGTTCGCCCGCACCAGCCATCACAACCACAAGCTTGCCAAAACCGTGCTCAAGACACTCCACGTTGCGGTGTTTTCGAAGAAAGTCCACGGTGTCCTGGCATACCTCAATGTGGTGGATCAGATCGGTTCCGCCTCATCTCCGCAATTTGATGAACCTGGTCTAGATTGGGTCAACGTGACTGCGTGTATTCCAGAGACGGCGAAGACGACCTCGCCACTGGGCAGCCCTGCTCGGAAGCGGCTACGACGGACCAGGAGAAGAAACGACGAGCCTGCAGCTACTGCGAGACGACATGCCCCATCATTGCCTCCAGTGATCTCGCCACAGGCCCACCGAGAAGCTCAGATTCACCAACAGAACGCGCAGCTGACACGAATCCTCTCCTCCTCGTGCCTGAGTAACCTTATTACGCTAACGATCCACACATACGCACTGCTATCACCATCTCTGGCCGCAACGCTTTCAACGCAACTTCCACATCTCCGGCACCTGTACTTGAACTTCTGCCATCCAGCCATCCACGATTCTTCGCTTCCCTCGTTCTACTGGTCGAATTGTCCCAGCCTCGAAAAAGAAGGCAGCACGGCATGGAATTTGCTGAGTGGCATCGGAAGTAACGCTTGCAACAAGCGTGGACGTCGCAGCGGCGGCAGTAATGGCAGCGAACCGACATCGCTGCACAGCCTGACCCTGAAACGGGCTGCGATCACGAGTCTGCAACTCAGGAAATGGATCGAGCTGAATCCAGAACTACAGACTCTGAAACTTGCACTCGTCACTGGCGTCGATCGGGACTTCGTCGAGGGCCTGGGAAGATCTTGCTTAGTTCGGAACACTCCGCATGTGTCTTCATCCTCGCGAAGCAAGGCTACGACCACACAGCAGCATCAACCACCTAAAGGTCTCACCACACTACTTTTCGAATCGTGCACCAATCTGTCCCTATCCTCGCGCTGCGATTTTGCCTGGCTGGAAGCGCTCGTGATTTCGGGTGGACTTAACTACATCTCGTTCAAAGATTGCCCGAACGTCGATCTCCAGGCCTTGAGAGCTGTCTGTGAGGAGCGTGGCTGGGTGAATTCAGACCGGAGCAATGGTGGTTTGCTCATCGAAGAACTGCAGGGTCCTAGCAGTGCAGATGAGAGGTTAGAGACCAGAAGTTTGGGTCAAGTCGAGAGTGGCCAGACCGAGGGCGCCGATGGGTCTGCTGCCAGTGGTAGAGGCGGAAAGAGCATAGCGTGCGGTGGAGTGATTGATGTTGATCCTATGTGGGATAAGAAGGGCCATGATTCGAAGGCGGATGAGGTCTAAGAATGTGCTTGTACAAAGATCCTAGATCGTTTCAGATACACTACCTCGGTAATGAACGGACACACGTATGGCTACACAGCTTGCACAAAGACGTTTTATCGCACACTGGCCACATATTTTCGGGGGCAAGTGTACCTTATTCACGGACTCAGATCTCCTGTCGCCGCAACAGCGTCCATCATCACATTGCATGTATCACTTGAGCTGCATTGCCACGTTCGAGAGACCATGATTGTATGACACGCAACGTGCCTCCGATATCCTTGACCTACCTCATCTCAAGGACATGAGTGACCTTCATCAAAAAATTTGTCTGTACACAAAACACCGCTGGTTTTTCCCATGACCCATCTCCCAACGGGATAAATGCCACACGATTGGGAATAGCGGGTGCATCCCCTTTCGCCTTCAGCCGGAGTACTACAAATCCCACCTTCCGAAGAAGACAGGACGAGCGCTGCCAACCGGTCCTCCCTTGCGAGAGAACTGAAAAGACTACTCGGAAATTCGATCTTCGACCTGTCGACCAGAAATTGACATTAATTGTTGTAATGGCTCCCTGAGGTGTCGAAATGGACGCACGTTCGACCAGGAACACTCGACAACTCCGCCCGAAGGAGGAGAGGCGAGGTCTGGGATCGTGGCCACAGGTCGGTGTGGTTAAGAAGGCAGAGTAGAGGCGAGGCGCGAGGTTTTGAACTTTTTAGATGCGATAGCTTGGCGTCAACCTTGGCGCCTGTTGCCTTTGGGGCTGAAGGACGTTTGCATTTGACGTATATATATATCAGAGCCGTCTGCCTTGTATCTCTAGACACGGACACCTATCTTCTTGTTCGAATCCGCTTGCGTCGGCGCAGACATCAACTCGCCCTACCCACAAGTCCTTTCCCCAAAAGGTCAGTAATAATGTCAGCTCCCGACATAGACGAAATAAACAGGATTAGAAAGTCCATCGGCCTCCCACTCTTGCCCTCCGCCTCCACCGCGGCCAGCGAAGCAAAAGATGGCCCAAGCTTCAAGGCAGCCACCGCCGACAGCGACGATGACAGCGATGCCGAGCCAGCGTCTACCCTCGACACTCGCGAGGCGGCAGGCTACGAGAACTTCCAGAAGTTGCAGGCGGACAAGCGGCGACAGGTAGAGCGACAGCGCAGGAAAGAGGCGCTACAGAAAGCGCGTAATCAGGAAGAGATAAATAAGAGGCTCGAAGGCAAAGGTCTGGCTGATCTGGCTGGAGACAGCGATGCGAAGAACTGGTTGAAGAATAGTAAGAAGCGCCAGGCGGAGATTGCACGGCAGCGGGCAGAGCAGACCGCCAGGGAATTGGCTGAGCGGGAGGAGCTGGCGAGGGTCCAGTACACGTCCAAGGATCTAGCCGGTGTCAAGGTTGCGCATGAGGTTGGCGATTTTGAGGATGGGGAGGGCGAGCAGATCTTGACGCTGCAGGATGCGGAGATACTCAAGGACGATGGTAGTGAGGATGAGGACGTGCTTGAAAACGCTGAGATCATCGCCAAAGACAAGCTGAAGGAGAAATTGGACCTCAAGAAGAAGCGCACTGCTTACGATGTTCACGCCGATGAGTCGAATGGCTTGCTCAGCCAGTATGACGATAAAAAGCGCAAGGCGTTCACTCTGGACGAACGCGGAAGCGGTGTTCAAGAAAGAGAGGTTAAGCGGCAGGCGGTTGGCGAAAAGCTCAAGAACACCATCAGTCTCGACATCCTCAAGCCTGAAGCCGTGTCAGACTATAAGGAGATCAAGATCAAGAAGCCGAAGAAGACCAAGAAAAAGTCTAGTCGCAAGCGAGAGGAGGATGACGATGACATCTTCCCTGCTCAAGCTGCGGGCGATGCTATGGATGTCGATGTCGCGCGAGCTCCAGCAGCCCCTGTGAAAGCGGCTCAGTCCACCGTCATTGACGATGAAGACCTCTCCAATGCACTGTCATTTGGCCGCCGTGCAGCGCTCAAGAAGCAAAAGCGACGACCCGAAGATATCGCCAAGCAGCTGAAAGAAGAGGAAGAGGAAGAAGCTGCGGCTGCCGCAGTGGAAGAAGGCGGTCTCACCCTCGACGAAACCTCTAACTTCCTTGACAACCTCTCCTCTCGCCCTCGCTCCCCATCTCCCAGAGCCCGTGCTCGCAAGCAGACAACAGAAGAGCCAGCCTCTGAACCGAAAGCCTCCCCCGACTTGGACAACGACCACCCTATGGCCGAGTCCACGGGCACTTGGGACAACTCCAATCTGGCGACAGTCCGTCAGCCCTCCGCGACCCCCAACATCGCCACAACCGGCATCGATGAAGAAGAAGACATCAGCACCGGTCTCGGCGCCACGCTGTCTCTTCTCCGGAAGCGCAAGGGTCTCGATGAAGGCCCCAACACTTCTGATCGCAATCAACTCGGCATTCAGCGCCAAAACTTCATCACCGAGGCCCGTCTCCGCGAGCTCAGGGCGGAACAAGACGCCCGTGCCCAGCGTGAGGGTGACCGCGCATCAGGCCGCATGACGCAGATGTCCGCCAGAGAACGTGAAGAGTACGCCCGCAATCAGAACTCGCGACGCGAGCAACAGAGCAGTATCGCGGCGGCAGCGGCCTTCAATCGAGACTACAAGCCGGATGTGCAGTTGAAGTATGTGGACGACAAGGGCAGGAGTCTGAATCAGAAGGAGGCGTTCAAGCAGTTGAGCCACATGTTCCATGGGAAGGGCAGTGGGAAAGGAAAGACCGAGAAGGAGATGAAGAAGCGGGAACGAGAGGAGCAGGCGAAGCGTCGGGGCGTGTTGAGCACGGATGGGGCCGGCTTGACGACGGGAGGCGGCATTGCGCAGGCAATGGGGAAGCAGAAGGGTCAGGCGGGCGTGAGATTGGGTTGAGGTTGGGTCATCTCGAGGAGACTTGCCGTCTAAATTATGACGCTCTTGGCTCGACTCTATCCAGTGACCAAGCAGACCAGGAGGATGGATGCCCTTACGTGGATCGCTTGTTGGGATCAGTGACCCCTGCCGGTAGCAAAATAAGACGAGGGAGATCAGCAACAGATCAATATCTCGGGGCGTGCGTATCCTACAAGTAGACCTGTCCCAAATATGTTCCCCATTCCTACTGCTCGCCCCACTGCAAGATTCATGTAAAGTGAAACCGGATGACCAGGCCTGAGCAGAGCCTCGCCACTACATGTCTCTTCCGCCTCAAGTGATCTTAAGAGACCACCTCGCAAACTCCTCATCCCACAAAGTCCAACGCGCGATCCCTATCGGCGCTTGGACAGATCACACTCGTAGGCTCTATGACCAGAATGGCTGACGAACGACCCCTCAACGTGTTTGTCTCGCTCTTCAGCGGCCTCTCAACCGCCGCCTCCTCATCCTCCACCTCAAAATGTGCACCACACACCACACTCTGCATACCCCTCACCGATTCGCACCCCATAGACGACCTCTTCGCCCATCTCACCGCGCGTCTACCCACCCTCCCGTCCTCCACACGCCTAATCCTCACCACACCTCGCGGTCGGCAAATTCTCCCGTCGTCGCATCAGTCTACTACACCCTCCACAGCCCGCCCTACAGCACGACAACTTGCGTCGCTTCTGTCACCCAATCAGCCGACATGCGCCTTTCTCAGCTTAAACCTCTCCCTGCCCCTTTGCGCCGGCAAAGGCGGCTTCGGCTCCCAACTCCGCGCGGCAGGAGGCCGCATGTCCTCGCGCAAGAAACGCGCCCAGAACGCCGCCCTTGCTACGGGTAGCGCACGCAACCTTGATGGTCGCCGACTGCGCACGGTCGCGGAAGCGAAGAATTTGGCTGCATACTTGGCGACGAAACCGGAGGCGGATGCTAAAGAACGAGAGGAGAAAAGGCGGCGGTGGGAGGGCGTTGTGGAAATGGCAGAGCAGCGGGAGAGGGAGATTAGGGAGGGTAAGGTGGGTGGGAGGAAGAGAGGTTTGGGGGATGAGTGGGTACAGACGAAGGAGGAGGTAGGGGAAGGGGTGAGGAGTGCGGTTCAGATTGCTATGGCGGCACAGGCGGAGAAGGATGATAGTGATGAGGACGGTGGTAGCGGCAGCGGTGGCGGCGGGTCTGGACGCGAGCAGAGCGTGGGAGAAGACGACAGTGATCAGGATGTAGATATGGCGGACGACGATATACTAGAGCTGGACGAACAAGCGATGGAGAAACTGCGCGTGGAAGCTGAGGCAGGCGACGAAGATGCCATGTGGGTGCTCAAAGAGCGGTTGCGGATACCGGAGCAGTATCTGCCTCAGCCTAAAACGAAGAAGGCACCACCGCGGACGCGCAGATTCGCAGGTTTTGATGACGAAGACGACGACGAGGACAGTAGTGATGAGGACGTTGCGGGCGACGAGGACGTCATTGAGTCCGAGCAGTCGGAGGGCTCCAAAGAGAAGGGCAAGGCGAAGGCAACGTAGCAGACGGTTCCTGCAGCTGATTCTTGCACACATCAGCATTAATGGACCGCCTGTTCGAAACTGATAGCATCAATCAGGACCACCTTCGAAATGTGCACCAGCGACACCGTTCAAGCAGCAAACAACCGGCGGCTGATCGACTAAGAATAGTGAGATTTCCGACAGCACCTAAGCACTATATTGACCTGTCAGCACAGGTCCAGGGTCTCTCTGAGGTTCCTTGCTATCAGCTTTCCATTTACGGCTGTCCAGGCCAGATTCGATCCGCCACACGCCGAACCAGCTTCAACTTTGCAACCATATCGTCGCGCGTGACCGAGTTCCCACTGCTATGGCTAGCAAAGCCGCACTGAGGACTCACGCCGCAACGGTTCAATGCTTCCTCTTCAGTTTCGCCACTGCCCTTGACCATCCACTTGACCGCCTCACGTACGCGCGCTTCCATCTCGGCCTCATCTTCCATCTTCGGGAACTTCGAAGTGATGACGCCGAGAATGACATTTTTGTCCTTGGGCAGGTATTGCAGGGGTTCGAAGCCACCGGCTCTGGGTGTATCGTACTCCAGATAGTAAGTGTGCATGTTAAGTTCTTGGAAGAGCTTGGTTGCGATGCGATCGTAGCCGCCTAGAGGGGGTGTCAGCTGGTCTGAGGATACGTGGAAGAACATGCTCACCCTCTGAGAAGTGCCTGGAGTTAACGAAGTTGCCGCGACAGAGATGGATACCAACATGCATGTCGCTTGGAATCTTGCGACGGCCCGGTTGTAGACATGGATATACTTCTGAAGCAGCTCGTCGGCGCTGTAAATATTGTCCTTGTCCTTTTGCCAGCCCTCGAGCATGGCTTCCGAGCAGAAATCTGGTTGGGTTAGTCTTGCTTCACGCAGATCAGAAATGCAGTCTCACAAGCCAGGTTGGGATCATCGAATTGAACGTTTCGGAGTCCATGATCGTACAGGATCTTCAACTCATCCTGATAAGCAGTTGCGATGTCGGCGAAGTATTCATCGTCGCTGCTGTAGACATCTGAGGGGTAAGCTTGGCCTTGCTTGTATCTCAGGTGGTACCAGTTGGGGGCGGCGAGGGTCAGTTTGATGTTCTTGACCTCGTCCCCGGGAACCAGACTCTTCAAGAAGTCGAATTGATCAGTGTATGTGCTTCCCTTATGCTTGATCTTGCCTGTACAGATAACGGTCTCCCCTGTCAAACAAATTGGTCAGTTGCTGGTCGAACGATATTCAGCAAGCTCTACTGCTTTGGCAACTAGCATCGATAGTCAGTACAACTCACCTGGCTTGTAGCCTGCCTCTGTGAATGCGGCAATATCAGGAATGTACATGCGAAAGATCGCTGGATCGGGCTCGGCGACCTCTGTCATACCCCTTGACATGTCAGCTCGTATCTTGTCCCACCGGCACTGGTCAAGACTTACTCTAGACCGGGCCAGAAAGATCCCCAGAACATATGCCGGCGGTATTCTCCATCAGTGAGGGCATGAAAGTTCAGATCCTGCTGGATCTTGACAATCTCCTTCACATCGTGGTCTTCGATCGGCTTCAGATCAGCCTCTGTTCCCTTCCCACCTTCCCAGTCGTGACGAGCTTCAAGTAGCTTTTCCGTGCGAAGGAGTGATCCTAGATGCTCGGCACGGAAAGGCGGGCCTCGATGCAATTTGGAAGTCATGCTTGATATTGCTATGCGGGATTCGGGACAGCTGCTAGATGTATTGCAGATCTGAAAGAAGTGCTTGCGGAGTCGTAGTTTCCATCAAGAAAATTCCTCGTGCGATGTCCAGCAGGTACGATCTTGGTTCTTAAATAAAACCCACCTGCAGGCACGATGGACCCCCCAAGGGACTTGCCGAAAAGTCACTGGCATTTTTCACTCGTGTATTTCGCCATTTATTGGATCCTGTACAACCACTCGGGAAAGCAACGTACCCCTCGTCTGCCCCTCATAAGCGTCATCCAAGCCGTTGTATTCACGTGGCGGCTGTACAGGCCTTCATCGGGTGCTCGTATTCAATATCGTATGCAGATTAATGCGACAGGCTTCGACCGTTGACACAAGAAAGACCGCAGTGAGACGTCAGAAGATCCGGCTTGACGTCTATGCAACGGATCGATTACGGCCCACAACCTTGGAACCGAGGCAGGGTTGCCTTGCTGACTTGTTCCGTGGCCGCCTTATTTGCCTGTTGTCGCCAACTGACTGCCGGTGTCAGCTCTTCGACCTACATCTTACCAAGGGAGCCGCGACCTGTACCAGAGGCTCAGTGTGATCATGCCATCTTCACTGCTGGATCTTCCAAGCGAGCTGATCAATCACATAATTTCCTTCCTAGACAGTATGCCGCTATCGTTGCTCGACTCAAAAGAGCAGCCCAGTCGACCGGTGGTGAGGCTGAAAGCCTCCACTGAGTATCCGTTCTTGAAGCGAGTCTGCCTCGTATGCAGCCGGCTGCGCAAGATCGCTCTTCCTCATCTGTTTCGCCATGTACTGGTACTGCCGGGTCAGCTTGACAATCTACTGGCGTTCACCTCGACCCAGAAGCTGGACACCCATGTCACTACCGCTCACATTTACCTCAACAGCCCGAGCTCTCACGAGCAGCCTCCCTGGTGGGCGATTCTCCTCGACCAGCTCACAAATCTAACCACTATCACCGTCACCGCACCTCCACATATCTTTGCTGAGATCACTCGAATTCCTGTCAAGACCCAGGACGCATGGGCTTTCAAGATCGCCGAACAGTCCTTACAGCTCACTTGCGCGGCAAACTCCACCTATGCACCTTACGAGGCTCAGGCATCACCGTCATTGCTGACTGCTCGCCCGTGGCACACACTCCACGTAAACGAGTCCTCCTCGCTGCGCGCGTATACAACGTATGAGTACTTCCTTCGCACCCCGCCCAGCCCCATATCTCCCTTCAGCAAACCGCTGAGTAGCCTCGAGACAAGAAGTGCCATCAGGACTCTCCTGAGCACAATCCGCCACTTCCACTTCACAGCCATTTTCCCCTCCTTCAACCACATCGGTACCATCCTTGAGATGGCTGAGGGCTCCATGACCCGCCTCGACAGCCTGACATTCCAGCTGCTGCCGAAACCGAACAGTACTATTCTGGTTGATGCGCTGGAAGAGACAGGCGGACACATTGATGTGAATGACCCGTGGAATGAGTTCGAGACAAGCCTGGCCCTCGTGGCAGTTTCTGCGTTAGGCATGAGTAGGAGCAATCTCACAAAGCTTACCATGGAAGACGTCGCTATGGAAGGCGTTCGCGACATGATCGAGAGAATAGTGACCGAAAAGCTTGTGGAAGAACCAGATCTCGGATGGGCATATGAGGGCGTGGGTAGGTGGCGGCGACCGCATGGGCATACGACCAAGTGAAGGTCACGAGAAAAAAGCAGTAGTTTTAGATGGACTAGACACCAATCTTGTCCTACTGGGGGTCGGTGACGGCCAAGGTCGACTGATCTCAAGAAACATGGCGGAACCAGGTCGAATGCGCACCAGCAAAATCCGAGAACAGCGAATGCATGAAATATGCGCCGGACGACTTCCGGGAATGTGTCAAGAGGAGTCATCTGCGTTACATGAACCAGCCATGTGGAAGCGGAATCAGACTCTCAACACAGTCATAACGGTGCCAGGGCGAGTCTTGGGGAGGGAACATCATGGAACAATGATAAGAGCACGAGTCTGGGCTGGTTGAAGAGTCAGAAAGTTGGTGGCATCCGATCGTTGCGCTTTGCCCTGCTTTTCAGTTGGGTCCCGGACGCCATTTTGAAGGAGAGATGGAAGCCTGTTGCGTGGTCGATGGGAGTCTGCACGAGAACATGTGTGAAAGGAATAGTTGTGATTGTGTTGTAGTCGATTCTTATTACAAAGCCGATCTGTCGTCCTCCACAAGCCATACATTCTATATACCTCGTGGACCAACGGTCCAAAAGGTGACTTGCAATCTAGACCAACTCGCTGAGGAGGGGATATCATTGCAAGAGTCGTGCTTGACAATTTTCCATGTCTTCTTCCCAAATCCGTAAACGCCATAATCGTGGTGTAGTGGGGTATCATTGTATGCCGAAATGCTTATCATCTGGGTATCTCTTCCTCGTGCTTCACTTCTTGTACGCACTACCTCCCATTGACGGGCCCAAGTGGGGGCTGTGCATCATGTTGCCCGCATTGCTCATGAACTGCTGGCTCGTAGCCTGCGGTGACACGACGCCGCCGTGATGTTGTCCACCAGCTTGGGATCCTGGTCCAACATTGTAGATCTGAGGCGCAGGAAAGCTCTGCAGGACGTTGTGATACTGCTGGACTTGGCCTTGGTATTGCTGGACCTGTCCGCGCAGGAATCTATTCTCTTGGAGGACATGACGTAGCTGGTCTTGACATTGTTGAAGGTCTGCTCTGAGCCTCTTGACCAGTGGATGGTCATCGTCGACTGTGGTAGCCTGAAAGGGATCAGGAGTGGCAAGGCTGATATGCATCAAGCCCTGGACATGATCGTCTGTATCAAGACCATTTGCTTTGACACTGTACTCGCTGGGCACGGGCGTTGGTGGCCGTTTGCGTTTGCGAGCATGCTGGTGGTCGTCGTCGTCCGTCGAGTTCGGTGTCTTCTGATCAGCGTGACGCCGTCTCTTGTGTTCCTCGAGGTTCTCCTTGCGCGAGAAACCCTCGCCAGTGACGTTGCGTGGACAGTCTGGGAACGGACAGAAGATGCGGGCTTTAGTGGCGCTCTGATGCATTCGGTGAACTTCCCTTTGATGGCGAAGAAGGCCGCCGGAATAAGTGAAGCCTTGTGAGTTGAGACAGTTGGGATGCTCGCATTTGTATGGTCGCTCGTGTCGGTCCATGTGTTTGTTCCATTCACATGCCCGTCGAAAGGTTGGGGGATTGTCTTCACAGTCCTCATGTGTGCAATAGATATCTCCCTGATCGTTGCGCGGTGGCGCATCAGATCTGCGAACCGCGGTGGTTCTCTGTGCAACGTTTGGTAAATGTGCCTCGTCGTCTTCGGTCTCCATGGCTTTGTATGGTTGGACCGCACAAAGCTTCGACGAGTTCGGCGGAGTCAACACGTTGTCTCTGTGCATTGAATATATCGCGACCCGTGGGACGCTAACGGGTAGAATATGGAAGAATATCGGCGTTGATTTCGGTTTTGTTAGTAGTCAGGTCAAGGCTGCAATATCAAGCTAAATGTTATGTTGCCTAGTCAGCAAGGCAGCCACGACTTGCCGGGGATAGTGCGGGTGACGGTGCAGATGCTTGCTCAGGCAGTTGAGAACACGCAGGGCTACAGCAATTAATGTCAGGTATATTTGCCACCAAAGTTCTGCGGCGGGACCTCGCTTCTTTTATATCGGCCATTTTGTGCGCCGTTTCTAGTGAGTCTGAGTGAGCCAGAATGAACTCGCGGCTTTGACAGGCGAGTGGCGCCTGACGCGAACACATGAACATGTGACTGCTCGAAGGCACGACCGAATGAGTCATCCGAAGAGAAGACGTCGAATGATTGGCTGCGGAAGACCTGCTGCGATCTGTCCTTCACCGGGTAGTCAGAAGTACCGAGAACAGCGAGGTTGAAGTGGCCAGCCATTTGAAAGCCTTTGGAAAGTCCGGAGTACAAAAATCCTGAAACCTGGCAGGGGAGGCGAACTCGAGGAACGTCGGGTTTCTGCCTGAAGACTTGGCATCTCAAGCCACTCGTTGCCTCGCCCTGTACTCAACCTTAGGCGAGCCAAACACTTTCGATTAGTCACATCGTGCCTACGACTATCACTATCATTTCAGAATGGCATTTCGGCAATTACTGAGCTTATTCGAACTACATCTATGCTGCGACTTGCTTCTGGCGATGACAGCCACAAGACGAAAAACATCAGCAAGACTCTGATGTGCGTCAGCCAGATGAGCTCGACTAATTCGTGCTCATGCCATGCCCTTCATCGTTCGCGGACCCTTAAGCCCCAACAGTCGTCGACTAGTTGTGGTCGTGACGCAGAGTATGTGTGCTTCACAAAGTCTGTAAGACTCATAAAGGCAGCGAGCGCGACAGGAACCTGGTGCTTCACCCCAACGCGCCTTGTCATTTAGTGACTCGACCTCCAAAGTCCGCAAGCCCCAAGACTAGGCATGTATGACGTTCTGAACATGCGGATAAACCTGAACCAACTTGTTCCAGAACTCTGGATGATCAGTCACCGCGACTTGGGGATCCCAACCCATGGCGACGAAGATAGTGTTGACACCGCTGGCTATTGGTTCTGTAAAGATCTGGCAGACCTGCAAGCCGATCAGGAAAGAGAACGCCATAATGACCGGCGTGAAGGTTCTACCCTCGTTGTAGGCTGGTTTTGTGTATTCGAGATAGAGGTAGGAGAAGAGCGTGCATAAGTAAGCGACGAACAGCGCGCCCATCGACAAGACCGGACCGACCAAACAATCGTTGACCAAAGCATCAATTCCCCTGTTCTTGATCATGGTCCAGGTGTCCTTGGCGGCTTCGAAGTACCCTTTTCCGTACAGCGCAATGTGGCAGAAAGCGTATTTGTTGATGAATTCGACAGCCCATTGGACCAAGGATACAATGCATCCCAATACGCAGAAAAGGATAGTGCCCATCAAACTGCCGTCTTGTCCTGCTTGAGAACGAAGGACGCTGAGCGCTTGGCGGATCATGTTAAGCAGTGCGATGAACAAACTGCCCAGACTGACTGATCCGAACGAATATGTGGTTGCGCGCTTGAATGCACCCCAGGAGCTGCCTTTGGGAATGCCACCGGGTTTCCCTGCACAGAAGTACCAGCTACCATACACTCCGGCAACGCTGGTGTGAATTGTGTTCTTGATCCATTCCGAGATCCAGTATCCGGCAAAGGTGACAAATACGACCAGCCCGATGACTTTACCGCTGCTGCAACCGGCATCGCTGCAGCTGGGATTGTTGACGCCGCTGCTGCTTGGCATGTACGCTGTATAGATAGCTACAAGTGTGACCGACCACCACGCAGCGAACGCTGCGGCAACAATACCACCCATCAGAGAGATCATGAGCACATGCACTCGCGGCATTCGTGCGACGTCCATTGTCTGCTGGAGCATGACCACAGCGAAAGGTATCCGTGGAATCCACGAGATGAAGCAGATTATTGCGAAGACTGCGAATATGGCGAAGACGATGCCGGCTCCCCACAACTTCAGATACAGATAGTAGACGGCTGTAGCCACTGCGAAGACACAGTTAAGGATACCAGTGATCCAGACGAACAATTTGGTGAACATTCTTGCCAGCATCAGATATAGCGCTGAGAAGACGAAGGCTATTCCGAGCACGATCACAAATAGCAGAATGGTATTGGTATCGAGTGAGAAATCGTTAGATCCTCCATAGACGCCGCCGCCATTGAACTTGTGGTACTTCGAGTAGCGATAGAGCGACAGACCGGAGACAGCCACAAATCCTAGGAACGTCGCGATCAGTAAGAGACCTGCCCACCAGTCGTGGAACTTGGGTTTCTGGATCTGGAAAGTCTGCTCAAACCCCTGCTTTGAGTCTTGTGGAGGTTGATAGTTCGGCGCTGGTTGCGAATACTTGTTGGGGTCCTGGTAGTCCATAGGTTGTTGTGGAGGTTGCATCTCTTGGTAATTGCCTGATTGTTGATAGCCATTGTTTTGCGGACCGCTTGGGGGAGGTTGACCATAGTTCTGTGGTGCACCGTGTCCCTGGGGCGGCGCATTGTTGTAGTCGGAGTAATAAGAGGCGGCTTGCCCACCAAGATGCGACATCGCGACACGAACGCGGGTGTTGGCAATGTTGCGGATGCAAACGATATTATGTGTGAAAGCGCTCGCAGGTCAGAGAAAGGAGTGCTTTGACCGCGGCGCGACGGGAAGAGACTTATCAATGTCCAGCGTGCTTTAATGACGAAATTGATTGGTAGAGGAGGTAAACATTCAGAGGATCTGATATGCGCGCTGAAAGAAACTCAGCTGGACCGGGGCACTTCAGAATCTCGATTGCTTTAGCTTTCGGGAATGGCTGATCTGGTTCAGGCACGAGTGTTGCTACTTCTACACAATTTCAAATAAATACCAGCTGTGCCCAAGCATCGTACACGCGCGTCCTCTGCAACAATTGCTTCGGCTCCCTGCGGGCGGTGGTTGCTTAACGATCTCTTGTTCAACATGGGCATCTCAGAAGAAGCTGATCATTGGCAAATTTTAGGGCTAAGAGATCGATCATCTCGGCTAAACTCGTTAGGCCAAGATGAGTTCCACACCCGGAAGCGCCTTCCCGGGGGTCATCATTATCTTTAGCACCCATCGACGAATCACGAAGCTGACTGAAGCGACAGTAGCAACAGATGTGACTCGACCAAGGTGAGTTCTATAAAGCACTGAGCACGACTGTGACCTCTGCGCCTCATCAGCATGGTCAATGCAAGCGCAACACTCACAGAAGCGCACTTTGGCCATAGGCGACCCTACGGCCTGTCTTGAAACCTAAACACTATCAGCGCAGCTTGCGACAAGGCCAAGTTGGCGCAACCATGACGAAATGTCCGCTGCTGTGCTTCCAGCTTCAAGTTCACATGCGCCTGCGACAGAGAGTCCTCTGAAATTTCCTGCAGCATATACTCTGGATTCTCCAGCGACCACGCTGCTGCCACGTTGTGATCATGATGACCAGCTGACATGTACATCTCCAGATTGCGTGCACTTGCACTCGCGGGCTTGTGCGTCGCCTGCTGGCCACTTTCTGCATTTTTACTGTGGCTCAATTATGCAATTCTTCTTACCTCACGCCGAAAACCCTTGAGAGCATCATTGCGAAGGCTTCCTGGCTTTAGAGCCCGGCGCGTTCTCATTACTGGGGCATCCCCAGCTGCTTTGCGCCTCGCCCGCGCCTTCCACGAAACGGGTCACCATGTTACTCTTGCGGCGATACAACCGAGCATACTGCCGTTACATGTCAAGTGGTCATTCGCTGTGCCAACCTTTGTGCGCTTAAGGCAGGTACCAGCAGCCGAAACACCGGCCGAATATGCCCAAGAAATCTTGACGATCGTCGAACGAGCTGGAATTGAATTGTGGATTGATGCCGAAAGCATGTCCGGGTCAGCTTTGACCACTGCCAAATCGGTAGTCGAAAGGAAGACCAGCTGTGTTGTGTTTGCTCCCAACGAGGCGACTGCTTCTGCATTCACATCAAGATCAAGATTCCGTGAGTTTGCCGCCAGTCACGGACTTCCGGTCCCGGAATCGCACGAGGTGAAGTCGCGCGACGAGATCCATCGCATTTTAAATCAGTCCAGAGGTAAACAGCGTTACATACTGAGCCAAACCAACGGCTCTGGACTCGCCGGCCCCCGAACTTCTCTCCCTCGGCGGACCCTGAGCCAGACATATGACGAGGTTGCGCGAATCAAGATTGCGCAGAGCTCCATCCTTCGTCTGGATCAGACACTCGAAGATGGCGACAGATATCGGAGCACCAGTGTTGTAGTAGGCGGGCGTGTGGAAGCGTTCTCGGCATGCAACTTGAATGATGCCGGCGCCAGCACGGCCATACGGTCCACGAATCCGGTAATACAGCCAATGTTGCAATTCCATCAGTCGCTGGGCAAGAGGCTCAAGAATTACAACGGTCATTTGACAGTCGACTTCTGCGTGGACGAGCAGCAGTCAAATGGTCAATCTATCGAGAAGCGCGTTCTACCGATTACAGGCCAGTGCTCAGCCGACGCGGCACTCCTATATTTCCAGGGAATTGAGAACGCGATTGCTCTCGTCCGCGCCTACATCTCAGTCTTTGGCCGCGAAGCGAACGGTTTCCTCAAAGCGCCAGGCACATCCGTTGCGTTGCCTTTGGTGACCACGAAGAAGGGCGCCGCCGAAGTTGGCGTCTTCGCTTTTGGTCCCGCTGTCTGCCAGCTTCTCCTCGCGCCAGTGCTGCAGCTCTTCAACTTTCAACTGGAGAGCCTCTTCTATCTTATGGGCTCGTCCTTGGCATTTGCGAAACAGGTCTGCTTCTGGCACGAAGTGATCTACGACTTCAGTGATCCTCTGCCGTTCTTCTACTTCTACTTGGTCTACGTGCACTACAGCTGGTCTTGGCAGCGATGAACGGAGATGCCGCTGGAATGATGGAGAAACTGGCTTCGATGAGCTGCTGACGTTCGGTAAACGAAGATCAAAACTCGTCTATAGACAGGACGCGTGTCATCAGTAGATAACTCACGCCATTGCGTACCCGTGAAGGTCGTAATGGATATGAATACTATCCTAGAGAGCATCTCCATTTGCATTACTCTGTACAGGGCTTTCTCCTGGTCAGTAGGATGGGCTTGTTGGCACGCTGTGCCACTATCATGGCTCTGCCGACCACACTGGCTGGTCCTGTCACCTGCACTGAACGTATCAAATTGAGCCTTCAATGTTGGTGAACCTGTGTCATTGATCGCCAACGTGCGAGTCAAGGATGAGCCTCATGATGGGTACCGAGTGACCTGCTCATCGTCCTGCCAGCCGTACGGCAAGACCTCGACGCCCTGTCGCATCTATCTCACTTTTCCGTGGCTTGATGAGAACGGAAAGGGCAAGCAGCAAGGCTGCTCCTGCATAGCCGAGCTCCTGCTCCTTTCGTACTGTTCCGCGATGGAAGCAGCTGTGTTGGCCCCTGGGACTCAATGAATGCGGGTGGCGGACCGTCCAGAGTAAGCTCTGCTTACCTCTTACACTTGCAAAACTACTCTGGACAATCCGCCACCCGCATTTATTGAGTCCCAGGGGCCAACGCATGTTTCGTGGAGATCGATGCAGTCATGGCGATGCTGAGGTCGTGTAGTCGTATGTCGTCGATCTTTTGTTCGGAATTCGTAGCCTTCCAAAGTCGGTAAGTCCGATCAATCCTAGGCATTCGATGGCTCTCTGAGGTCAACATGATCTGGGACATGAACTGATCTGAGCTAGATATTGCTTCCGTTTCCCCTCTGGCACTCTATCTCAGCTTGTTGGCGACCTCGAAGTATTACATCTGATGACCCAGGACTTGTTGCCATTGCACGTCCCATGCACAAGATGAAAGAGCTGTCAGGTAAAATGCCAGTTTCCTGCCTGCATCACGCTGATACCCTCACAGCTCATCATCCACCACAAAAAGTTGGCCGTCACGGCATCAATGTCTATGTTTTTAAGACTTTAGTTCAGCGGCGCGTAATTACGCAACATTGTACCAGTACGTCTGAGCGTGTCCGGCGTCGTCGTCTCAAGGATCCTCAAGGCTTCCGGCGAGCTCACGGTAGCGGACAGTATGCTACATATCAGGTCTGGAACTTCGCACAAATAAGTGATGACAAGCTGATGTCGAAATTCCGAGGCAAAGGAGATCCTCAGCTAAACGAAGTTGGGCCTAGCCATGTCTTAAAATGGGCTTTCGATCTCGCCTGTGGAACCGACATTAGCGGCGCAGTTCTCGTTGCCGGCGAATCACAGGGATGGCCTCCCCGGAAACGCAGATGTTGTGTGAGACAACTTTCTCACCCATACTTACATTTTGCGGCCGCCGCAGTCCCTTGTTGCCGTCTCGAGGCCTCATCTTCCTTGAGCTCACCATCTTTCAACAATATCCTATGTTCACGAACATTCGCTACTGGCCTTCACTTCAGCATCACATTCGTTAGAAAATACGCGTTGAGGAAGGGAAATAGACTTTGTCACGCCCCTTATTGCCACGGGAGCAGGAGACGGAAAATCGAGTTCAATCGGCAGTCATATATTGGGAGCCTCTCTTGCAGGTCTGAAGCACCACAAGCAAGATGAGGACCACGGGCCTCGCCAGCAGACTCCTCGCTCTCGTCCTCCTCTTCACAACCGTCTCCGCGTCATGGAGATGGTCTCTATTCGAAAGAAACGCCCTCGATCGGCGGCAGAACAACAACGATAATAACAACGAAGAGTCCGCAACCAACACACCAAGTCGGACTGCTTCAGCAACAAACAACGATGATAATGAGAGTGCCTCCGCATCCGCAACAGGCGACGACGAAAACGCCTCAGAAACAGGTAGAGCTTCAGGCTCTGCCTCCATCACAGGCGGCCGAGGCAACAGCACACGCACGAGCTCCGCCTCTTCGAAATCGACACTCGTCGATCCTCGTCTGCCAGCCGGCGGCGTCTCCATAATCTCGCCCGCCCCTACTGCTGGCGCCTCACAATACTACAAAGTTGGAAACACAATCACATTTGAATGGAACTACACCTCCCTTTCCAACACTCCCAGCGCGATCGACGTGTTCGCGACCTGTTCGCTCAACCAGGCGACGTACACTATCGCGTCGAACATGTCCGTTGAAGAGACGGGCCAGGTGGAATGGGACACGGGGGATCAGGAACAGTATACTGATGGATTTCCCGTGGCGACTTACACGTTGTATATCCACGATGCCTCGAGAGATCCCACGCAGGTGGCCGCGGCGGGAGATTTGGCCGCATACAACCAGTTGAGGTTCGGCATTTACACGGGACAGCCATATACGCCGCTCAACGACTTCAAGTGCTCGACGTGCAATGCGGCGTTGTCGTTGCACGAGCAGCAGGCGCTAGGAGTGCTAGGAGTGACGATTGCGGTGACGGTGCTGTCCTTCACGGTGTTCGCTAACAACGCGGGACTATTTGCTTAGTTGGCTGCTCAAAGCTCGCGGCGATCTGGGCACAGCTTCGGATGTCGGCGGGACGGGTCGGGTCCTGTACAGCAAAATCTATTTGGATGGTACTAGCGATCTGGATAGAATCTAATGAAGATATGTCACCCTACGGGAGTACGAGCACTGCAAAGCCGTGCCACTTGTTAAGCTGACGTTCGTTGCTCCAGGTAACTCTGAACTTCAAGTTGTTGAGCCTAGACCTGTAGTTTCGAACGGCCGGAGATAGCACTGATAGATCTGAAGACCCGCAATCCGCTGGACGCTTGCTCATTTGAGTGCCTGTTGGGCCATGCCCGGGACGTAGCAATCGACCAAGGACGAGGGTATTGCTTGACAAGCACAAAGATCAAGCATGCCTGCTTGACGTGAGCAAGCTTGCAGTGGGAAATGCTATAAGATGGCATTTCTTCGGGTAGCTTCTGCTCTCATTCGGCTTTGTGAGCAGTTCCTAGGAACAGTGACCAGGCAATACTCTTGCTGCGACAAAACTTTCCAGGAACACTCCCTGGTACCAATTACGACCAATTTTGTGATCATTGCCGCGCTGCACGGGAAGTCTGTTCACAAGGATGCCCGCCAATTGGCAGACCAAGTATTTCATTTGGCCACGAGATACAAGGCCTAATCAAGACCTCGCGACATCGCGCTGGGCTCGATGCAAAGAAGTTCTGCGCGGCAGCGACGACGGAATCTGGGTATCTGTGCGTCGGAAAGGGACCCAGCAGATTCCTCATCACTTGCGCTATCAGTCGCCTCGTGGTCCGGATATTTGGCAGTATGGAAGCAGGTCGAAATTCCCCAATCAACACCCGTTCTACGTACCAGACGACGGGCCTGGGCCAGATATCGGGGCGAATTGCTGGCACATTGTCATTCCAGCCGGATGCCCTCACTGCAGTGCGTGCCCCGCTCATCGACTTCGGCGGCCGCCTACCAATTGGTCATAGCGCCCAGCAGCTGGACTCGACGCTGCGAGGGAGTCCGCCCCCGGACATGGGAACATCGACTTCACCGACATGATGCATGAACAGCTTGCCATGAGACTTCGCTTGAGTCGTCGCTAGGTTCGGCTTTCTCGCGGAAGAGGGGCAGCTGCAGAGAACCATCCAAGACCTTCCCACACTTTCGACATGGCTGCGACTCGAGCTTATGGTAGGAGGCGAAGAGCGCAAGCAGATCAGACAGACTGGCTTGTTGATGTTGCTGCTGGATGAATTGGAGGATGGAGTTTTGATACGCGGAGGGCGTATGGTCGTCAACACTGGAGACAACTAATCTAGGTTTCGCATCCGAGGAGTCGGTCGCCATGATGGTGAACTTCATAGCTGATACAGTAACAATCAAAGGGAGCGTGTTCGCTGACGTCGTAATCTCAACTCCCGGAGATCGAGCTTTTGCTGCTGAGATGATGGCTTCTATATCACCTTCGGTCTCAGTTCCGGTGCTCGTCTGGTCCGACTTCTGGTTTCCCGATGTGATCTGTGCTCGCTTCAGATCTGGCAATGAGCCAGCATAGTCGATCGGCCACACGTCTTCACCTTGTGGGAACTCTGTATTGTTGACAGTTCGCCAGAGCTGATGCATTTCTTCGCTGTGGTAAGCCCGCTTGAAAGAGGTGATCTGTGTGCTGCCGGACGTGGCAGCGTCTCGCAAAGTGGCAGCGAACTTCTCCGGTGACTGTCGATCTGCCAACAGCGTTGAGCCTAGCAACCTGCCGGGAAGCAGTGATCGCAGATTGTTGACCTGAGTAGCGTGAGATGGGATTGACACCCGGGAAATCCCATCCAGGTCGACTCACCTGACCATGCATTTGCTGCAGTTTTGCCAACTGTTCGTATACTTCGACATCGTCCGGGTGAACATCTTCCATCTTCAGCCGTTGCACTGACGCCATCATTGACCGTCTGAATACACTTCTGGGAAGTAATCCAAGTTGACAATCGATGTCTTGGGCTCTCACTAGGGACGACGCGCAAGCATTGGCAGAGCTGTGTCGCGCCAGCAAGAGGAACAGCGCTTAAATCTCAACAGTCTCTCGACTGTCTCATCGGCACCTTGAGCGCGAAGACGCGGCATTCAATAGTGACGAAGAGGAGAGATGTTACAAGGGGTTGATCAAGGTTGCGGGGCACGAGGCGAACAGGGCGATCAAATGATGCTTGGCGCCAGCCGAGTCTCCTCCAGTTGCCAAGTCCTCCTGGCATCGCGTCTTTACGATCTTGAGTCTCGACACCTCTTCCAGAATAGTGAGGGCAAGTCACTCACTTCTCCAGTATCTACTCTCAGCTGAAGTATGCGATGAATCAGCAGCCTGAGCTTGCCATTCTTCAATCCAAATGTTGATTCAGTCGAGCTCCGTAAGTCAGGTAATCTAATCGACCCCATTGAGTTCAGACATTGTCAACACCACGTTTGTGAGTGGCAGCGCTCTTAATGAACAGGCCCAACGGTGTCGAAGGCAAGTCCTGCTCGAGTGACAAGCCGTCAACCCGAGGAGACTGCCCGCATTGCGGTTCGTCCCTTGTCACGGGATCCCACGTCTTCGTATCAGCTCATCTCAAACCATGCTGTCATAACGGGCGCGGCTACGAGATCGACGGACGACGCCATGCGTCATACTCACTGGACCGACACGAGCATTGTACTTATGTTTTCCTCTCCGCGGACACTTGCCGAGCTCTCCTCTGCTGCTGCCAGAGCATGCGCAAAGCTCGCTGCACAGGCATGACGCAACACACATGACATGGTCCAAACATGCGTCCAACAGAGGTAAATGATCATATTCACCAGGGAGTGAACGTCAGTTGCATCAACCGCTTGAACGTTGATGCTCGTTCCGCGATCTGCAGCCTCAAACGCAACGGCAAGGATTGTGTGGGTGGGAAACAATGTATACAGCGATACCGCGAACTCGCTGTGACAGCCCACAGAGTCGAGCGCGCTACCAGCCTACCCAAGCGTTCGCTGCTGACTGTGCATGCCTGGGTCTTGATGTCTGGTGAGGTAACATGTTGGGTAGATATGGCTTCGCGAGCGATACGTTTGACCTGATCGAAAGTTGACGTCAACTACCAGAATTGAGCGTGAACGAATAGATGGCCCTCAATTCAAAGGAATTGCCAGATTCATCCCAAAGTCACCAAGTAGGTACATCAACGACGGTTTCGATAACCCATATACATCGTTTAATGGTACAGGAAGCAGCATAGTCTGCCCCAATACTTGACGGCGGCATCAGCCACCACCGTCAGTGTATCACCCAGGGAGTCTTTGTACCTGACAGATAGCTCACTGCGAAGACGTTGGGGTCCAAAACATCTGCATCGTTAGATTCGTCACCCATGTCAAGCACGTGTGACTACAACAGCACCGCCTATAGGATTGGATCCTGCCCGATTGGTGCCGAGCTCGCACCGCTGACCAATATGGACCCGGGCGCATGGGGCGATGACATGATCTCCCCAGGCTATCTGATAACCTGTCTTTTGTCTGTGGAATCATGCACGTTGTACTGCTCCGTACGAACAGTACACACAGCCATAGTTATTCACCTTAAGGTTCCTAGACTACACAAGCCTGCCAGTCCCACGTCACAGCTTTCAAACGATTACAGAAGTATGCTTCAACGATACACCCTTCGGTGATGTCCCACCGACACTGACAATCAACGGGGAGACATGACTGAGTTCCGGAGATAGATAGCGACCCTAATACTACAACAGCCAATTCCGCAGGCAGCGTATGGCTCAATGATGATTGATCACCGTGATGGTCCTGCACCTTGTCGAATTGACCTGTCAGAGCGCGAAACAACAGAATCTTGATCGGAGTTCACGCTGTGCGGTGTCCCCGACTCAAGAACGTCAGGTCAACCCTCGTAAATGAGTCTTATGCTATCCTATGCATAAAGACCACGGTCAAGCGGCAGGCAAGCGACTGTGCCATGTGCGCGCCCCGCCAAATGCAGAAGGAAGCACGGTTGCGACTGCCTGATAACTCACAGATCTTCAACGCGCTAAATGGGCCGCATACTTATAGAGTTTCTTGTTGAGACTCAGATCCACGTTCTGCGTCCATACGCTACTATGTACGGGATCTGGTATGCATGAGCGAAAGCACGGCGGTGAGGTGTCAAGACTCAAAAACGGCAGTGAAGATCTCCGGTGGTCGACATAACGAGCTCTCGTAACCCCGCAGCTGAAAGTCCCAGGAGAGTCCTTTGGTTACACATCCATGGCATGCACCTCGTGGAACACTTCATCCGTTAGCGCTAGCGGGCGCCCAAACGACAAGGTTCTCGGCCGACTATTTCATGGCGCTCCCGATAAACCCGAAAAGTGCTCGCAGTGCTGCGCATGTCGATCATTGCTGTCTGAGAGTAATGTTACTATGAAAAGTGCAGTGACTTTTGACTGGAGGTGCTGAGGCAGTGAATAGGCTCCCTCCAATATGTGTCGGAATCGGTTTTCTGATCTATCGATCGTTCAACATCTCGTTGTCTGGTTATAATTGAAAATGGGCATGCTTTGAAATGAGCTTGAATCATGAAACCTAGATGGGAACATCGTTGCGCCGTTCGGTCTTCACGAGTCTTGGTACGAAAGGGAGCTTTCTTTGGATCCAACACTTTCCAGATCCATCAACGGTGGTATTTTAGGACCTTTTAGCAGAATTGAAGAACAGTGAGCCTCCAGCCTGGAAGCGAAACAGGCTTAACCCAGAGTAGTCAATCTGAGCCCTCCACCACCCCTGCCATAACCCCTGCCAGCGACCGCCCTACCCGGGTCTGCTAAGCCCGAGAGGGCGCGTATGGAGTCGACTAAGGAACGAGGCACAAGATGTGGATTTCGTACACCGATACTTCACGTCTGTATGTAATTTATTACCCACTTCCACGAAATGCTTGCAGGCTCCACAGCTGCTTATGATCTACCAACTAACTAAAAGTCGCCGCGCTCTTGCTGACATTATCAACGGCCCTACCCAAAATCCGTCAGATGAGATCGACAAACAACTTTAGAATCTATTCATATGTCGTGGCCCCCTTCTCGTTCATCTCCCTCACGTCTACATTATCTTAGCAGGCTATGTGATTGCTACTCATATCATTGAAGCATCATACCCTCTGCCACCACGCTACCTATATATCCGAGCAGAGCCCCAGTCGCCTGCTTGCTTGCTCTGGTTCAACAGAAGATGACCAGTACCTTCAGTCACGAAGCAATGTTCTCGCTCACAACACCCCCAGCAAGTGAACTTGAGTTTGACGAGGTCGAGAAGAACGCCATCGCATCCTGTTCACCTACGATCAACGGTTTCTGTTACCCGTCGCCAGCTCCCTCGCATAGTCCACAACCGTTGCGAGCGCTCTCGACAGAATCACTGGGTCTTCACGACGATCTTGCTGACATGTCATATCCTGACAGTCAGCAAGCCGAACAGAGTTATTTGTTCTCATCATACGGCACTTCGGAACCATCATTTCTTCCCGTATCAGCAATGTCTGAGCAGGACCTCCCGCCTTTCACCACATCCTCATATCCACCTGTCTCCCAACAAGCGGCATGGCTCCCCTACACCACTACATACGCTCAACCCGCCATGGCAAATTACGAGAATCCAGCATCCCAGTATCCTCCATTTGAGACGACGATGGGTCAATCATATGCGAATGTAATACCGCCAACGCCCCAGGACATCACCCAAGCTACCTTCGACTTCAACTCAGTCCCGCGGTTAGCATCCAACGGACATCATCTCTCAGCTTCGCCAGCGTTCTCACATCAGAGCAGTCAGCATAGCAGTCTGACTTCCCTATCGCGGTCGCCAAGTCCCACGCTTTACTCGATGACAACAAGCAGTACCGCGGCGCCATCGAGATCGACTCTTCGGTCGAACTCTACCTCGTCTAACAGCTCTCTGCATTCTTATGGGATCCCAGTTGCAGACCCAGCCTCAGCTCCTCAGCCTGCTTGGAGGTGCGCGTATCCTGGCTGTACTTCTAAAGCTACGTTCACGAGAGGGTGTGACTTGAGGAAGCACTACAATCGACACTCGAAGCATCTGTTCTGTAGAGTAGACGGATGTCCCCAGTCACAATCGGCTGCGGCTTCGAGGTCTACAGATGGCACCCTTTCCGGTGGCTTCAGCAGCAAGAAAGACAGGGCGAGGCACGAAGCCAAGCACAACCCTGGGATCAAATGCGAATGGACAGGACCACACGGGGAGGAGTGTGGTCGGATCTTCAGCCGCATGGATAACATGAAAGACCATGTGCGGAGGATACACCGCAAGCAGGAGCAGAAAAGGTGACTGCAGCGATCTTGATTGTGTTTACGGCATTCTAAAATGGAGGGATTCAACATTCTAACGATTTCTGTTTCTGCATGAGATACCAAACGGGTCCGGGTCGCAACGACTCTCTTTTCAGTTAATAGAGGGCGAGATCACTCTGAAGGGTGCTGTGGGTTGCGCTAGATAGCTGTATGACTAGGAAGCGCGAATGTCACTAGCAATTGCACAGCTCACCTTCCTTTCACGTTTCGGTCTTGCCGTGCTTGCGTTTGTCTGGCAACATATCTTGATCATGCACTACTCCGTCCGTTCGAGCTTCGGGCACTCCGATTGTTCATGGCACACATTGTCACATCTGCACAGAAAGCTGCACTCAGCCACGAAGCTCGGATTACACGATCGAACATTACGGCTGGCACTCCTAGATCACGGAGCTCGTCGAGATCGCGGGGCTAGCCAACAACGTATAACAAGCGCGCTTCCAAGAGTACTTGATCTGCTGAGAACAATGCTTGTGAGCTTTGATGTTGCTACAGAAGGTACCTACACACCCGTATTGGTGGATAATTGACGTCTGTTGCGCCACATGAGACGACACAGGTCGGCAGAATAGCTTTGCCGGAGATGACCCAAGCTCCTTGCGCTAAAAGCAATCCAAGAATGGTTGCAATTGAGTCCTGTGTTCGGTCGAAGGAGATGAGGCGTCCGTTTGGAGCACAGATGCGCCGACTCAAGAGTCCAAGAGTTCACGATGCCAAGACATCAACGATGTATCCCAACATCCTGGTCAACGAGGATAGAGAAGCATAGGAGTGTGACCGTGAGCAGAAGCAGGACATCGACGCTTTCGGGATATACCGAGCCCTTCGGAACACCAAGGTGACGGTCTCAATGATACACATTCAGCGAGCGGGTAGTTCCCGGCGCGTGTCGTTAAACAGGGTCGTACCCACACGAGCAGATGTGTCAAAGCTGTTCTCCGTATCACTCATCGAATGAGGCAGGAAGTCAGCCAAAAAGGAGTCGTTGAAGCAAGCATCGGCCCTTCTGCTTCCCTTGAAACTAGTGTCTCAACGACATGTCATCAAGACCAGAGTCTTACTGCCTATCTCCCACGTTCCCCCACAGGCTCCCCAGTCCCTGGCCGCTGTGATTCGCCTCGAGGTTCACCCAGACGAATGACAAACAGCTTTGTGGCTGGCCACTATTGTATGTCAGCTTGACCGAGGCTCTCGATACGTGATGTAATTGAGATCGCTGTGGACGAGTTTCATGTTTACGCTCGCACTGCGACTCCGTGGACCATCAGTATTCAGGAGGCAAAGAAAGCCAAGACAGCGACTTGTCTAGATTCTGAGCCTGTTGCGAGAATGCACCTTTGTCCACTGGACCGCTATTCGTCCGACTCACGCTTGCGCACAGACCGGGGAGCAAGGAGAGATTGGGGCGACATCCAGCCCTATCGCGTTTCATGCCAAATCCTTTCGAAGTTACGCACGCAGAAGGTGCCACATCAATGGGGGCCAGAATATGCGGGAGAAGTACCGATAAGGGGGCGGCGAAGATCCAGAGTGAGCCAGACTCCAGCAATCAAGCTTTGGTAAGCAAGAGCCGACGTGCGGAACATGGTGAGTGATGGGGTTCTGAAATGCCCGAAGTGCGCTCGAGGAGCGTATCGCGTTCCTTCAAGCTCGCCGTTTTCATTAAGGGTGTGCCTCCGGGTGCAGTGCGTGAAGTGAACCCCTCCGCGTCTTGTTGGGGTGTAGGGCTGATGCCGGCACTTCGAGTGCAGAAGGAGGCGACGTTTAGCTCAGGTCTTGCTTCCGCATTCAGTACTCGGTCGAGCTGCGAGCATGATCAACCGACCCTGCAGTCGGAGCTCCCCAGACGCCGATGTTCTAGGAATGAGCTGCGAGCATTACCAAAGCATCGGACGAATGCGAGACCACGAGGTCTGGCAGTCCCGAGTAACTGGGTAGACAAGCGTGATACGAGAATGATATCCACGGGGAGCTCGCGAATGAGGGGTCACCCTGACCGCTATGCCACGCTGGTGACAGATAAAATAAATGCTGCGAAATGTGATCCATACAGCACAAGGACAAATCAAAATACCATGTAGGATCCGCTAGACTATCAGAACTCGCGGTGACATGGATGCTGACCGCAAAAGATCGTCCTTTCGAGCCTGTGGACAAGGAACAGACCGTGCCTGGAGACTCTTCCAGCCAATGGGAAGCACCGTGGAGCACACTGCAGGAGATAAGTGAGCGGTCGCGGGACGATGGTGGAAGAAGCGAGAGTCGCTCCTGATGTGACGCTGTGCCTGCTGTCCAAGCACATTTGCATTTCTTTTTCGACGACAAGAGGACATGAGCGATGATAGGTCGTTACTCCAAAGGACAGGTTTCTCTGAAACGATCCATTCTTAGCCCCCATTGTGCTCGTATGGAATGGAAACCGGGCCAATTTTATTGCCGAAAAGCCTCGAGACGGCTGCCAATCTGCGATCCTCCACAAATTATTTCGAATCATTGTCAGCGGGTGGTATCCCCCGCTCTGTTCACAGCCACAGTTGCTAATACCTTGGCGGACTTCATCATTCACCATGACAGCCTTGTCAATGTGACGGTGCATCCAAACGCGGCACGACTGCCGCGAATGAACCCTCATCAACGCACGCGCTCTCCCTCTGGGCAGTCCTTACGTCGTCACGGTGTGCAAAGAGCGGTGCTATGCAACTCGCCATCCGGGCTTCAAGCAATAAGCAGTGGTCTTGTGTTCGGATGATGATTGGCGGCAGTCTACAAAAAGCCCCGGAGAGTGCCGTCCACGTCGCCAATCTAGCCCGAAAGAGCAACTGTTCGTGGCGGAAACAAAAGGAGAGGAGCCTACAACTGCATCTCGGACGCAGCCTCTCAGCCCGGGTCCTTCGCAGACCGGGCGCTCGGAGCAAACTTTCACCGCCGAGTCAGCCGTCACAACCAGCTTCATTGGCACATAGTAATGAATTTCCGATGCTATCGCAGCCAGGCAACTTGCAAATGCAACGCGATAGCCTTTCACGGCGGCAGCAGCTAGATGACCGGTGAGTCACAAGTGTTTGGAGGACATCTAGAAGGTTCATTCGACGTCAAGCTGTATTGCAGAACCTTCAAGCAGCGGCAACGATATCATGCACGTCGCCAAGAAGATGATTCGACAAGAGTTCTTGGTGCCTTCGATGATTCGATGCCAAACGACCAAGTCGCAATCAGGTGCAGTCTGTTGCCTTGTTAGGGCTGAGGCGACACGCACTTCGCAGTCTTCGTGTTACATCGTGCGACACAAGAAGGACTCTCCATGGTCACGTTACCGGCTAAACTCTTCGGCTTGTCCCATGCCAGATATCGTTAGCATCGCGCTCCATCTGACCTATTGGCAACAGGTTGAAGAGGACAATGAATGTACTTTGTTGTTGCGGCTGAGCTCCTGGACGAGCAAATGTCTTGATTCTGCACAATCGTTCACTGAACCGCTGCATTGGGTCAATGAAGGGCGGGGCATACACTGCTACACCGTTGGCGAAAAGTGCCATGGAACAGGGGAGACAAGCGAATGGCAGCCCATGTCCTTTGTCTACAGCCCTACCAATCACACCCTCCAGTCATCGGGAAACTCGCATTACCTCTGTTTTGCTAAGGATACAGCACAGCCGAGTATGGCAATTTTCACAATTTCGGGTCGAGCGAAAGGTTTTTGGGGTCTGAATGTATCCCTGACGACTCTGAACCTTAACCGGATCGAGTACAAGCCTGAATGTCTGCGACTGGCTCAAGCAGCTTCCCAGTGACATGGCTCACCCCGGCTCTGACTTCAACGGCTTCGTTGCAAGGTCGATCTCTGTACCAGAGTTCATGGCTGCAGGTGACTGACCTGCGTAACGTCATTACAACTGCCTCGAAGCTCAGACAATCACTACCTAGGACTGTGACAGCGCTGTCCCTTTCGGTTTCTTTGACAGCGATGATTTGGGTGTGCAGAGCATACACCACACGTCTAGCGACCTATCATGCTGCGTAAATTGCTGTGATCTTGCCTGGACGTCTCTCAGTATGCACAAGCTTGAAGACTGAGGTTAGAAACTTGAGACTCATGCTACCCCCCAGTAGCGACAAACTGATCATCTCCCTCCCAAACTATGCAGATCCAACACGGCGACGGACGATAGAGCGCGACACGACGGCGTTTGCTGCAGATCGCGGCTCAGTGCCCAGAGATTGCGCCCGTGTCGTAACACTGTACTATCGTACGAGCACTCCAGGGCTGGAGATAGTGGGCTATACGAGGGTGAACGAGCACGTGCGACAGGGACATGCCAGTATCGTGGACCGTGGAGCCTTGATAATTACAGTACAACTTACAAGGCGTGTTCCAGGGCACCAATGCATCGGGCCCAGCCCAGCGAGCAATATGCTTGCCTTGACCGCCCACGGATTCATCTAATAATTTGACCGAAGATGCATTTAATTGTCGAAGGTCGTGTAATGGTTCCTTGGCCAGCGATACTGCGTTTCGTAAATCCGTTCAAGGCAAAACGGGCGAGATCGTTCCAAGGTTCTATACGACCACGAAACTGGTCAGACTTTCTTGACGGTTACGTCCACAATTACTATCACAGGCCTAGGCATCGGCTATCTGTACCGAAATCACGTTGCCTGGGCACTCGTATTACGACGAGTACTTTTGAGCTTCATCTTACTGTGGACTGCAAGTATTCCACTCTGCCCACAATAATGATAATAATGATGGCGAGCACCAACAACAAGCGTTGACAAAAATACACCGAGCAAGTCTCCGGGAGAATGAGGTGGGCTTACCACCATCATTGTGACTGCAACGACCAGCAGATCACCCATACGCGATCCATGTCCAGAGTCTGTTACATCGAGTCGTTGGCTTGATGGCACTGCCTGGAGACAGTAAACCTTCTGGCGGACTCGCTGACCCGCTACTGATTCGGGATGCGCGCACGTTCATGGCGGACTTGCGCATAACGCACAACGCCGAAGAGACTCGAAGTTTACGGTGCCTGGGAATCATTGACTGCGATATCGTCTAGCTGACAAAGCGATGTGGGTGAAACGCCGGAGATCAGGACCCTGCCCAAGGAACGTGGTCGCACACTCGCAGTCGATGACAGATGCTCTTATGGCCGATGATCGACCTTGCAGATCCTCCTTCGGTACAGCTGCACCATTCCGCGGTCACCAATTCCCCACGGCGACTCCCTAATTCGGCCGTATGCGAGCTTTCATATCAGCTTCGGGGCACGGACAGAGGCATGCAAACCCAAATCCGCCATGTCGTGATTTCAAAGTTCTGGACACCGTCACCCATTCCAGTCTTTATCCAGGTGACCTGGAACAGCCCTGCCTACAGAGCCTATCCACTGCAGTCGCTCCAGGCGTTATCCAACTCTATGGCTGCGTTGGTCATTGGCCCTGCCGTACCACTTCAGAAGCATTTGCTCCGCCTATTCATTCAGTCGCTGCAAGTCTCATCCTTCATCTCGCACGTGTCCATCACACCCTCGCGCATTCCAACGGATAGACATTTCTCGGATAGCCCAATGAATGGGTATAGCCCAGGACCGGGCGGTCTCACATCACATCCACGTCACCGCGAGCCTTGTTCCAATTCAACGAGTCTGTACCTGCCGCATAAAGGATGGCCTTGAGCGTGGTGACTTGAAGAACCACCGCCGACTACCGCAATCAGATCTACTAGAGTCTATGCAGAACTCAAAACACCATAGCTGAGCCAAGGCCGCGAAAGCTTCATGAGCAGATTCCACAGCCAACCTGCAGAAGCTCTTGTCAATGCCTTCGATGTCGGCAATGCAACCGGCATCTGGAGAGACTTCTTGTTACGCACATGACGAGGTAGACAAACTTAACCTCAACCTTCTCAAGCAATCTGAGCGGGAAACCGCCTGGTCGATGTCGATACAACAGCATTTACCCGGATTCGTTGACTCTGAACCGGAGGAGAACCCAGTTGTCATGCCATCTCGCCTTAAGAGCTACTAGAGGCTGCGCACGTAGGCAGCAAACGGTGCAGCAGTGGTAAGGTCGCGCATCTGTCGTTGACAGCTCCAAAATACCCAGAACTGCGGCCACATTGGCCTTTCTGTCTCATTTAGGCAACTTTTCTACAGCGACGATCGCGTGCTTCCGCTGAGAGCCCCAAATATGCGGACTCTGGTGCGCGAGGCTGCGTTGAATGGACAGGTCAGGCCATGCATAGAGGCAAGGACTGGTACGCTGCATGTGATGAGTGTTGAACCCAGTTCAAGTTGAATTCCGCGCAGACCTGTTCGTCAGCGCCTCCTCATTCCCGCTCGACTTCTGTCATAAACCAAAATCACGGTGCTCGGGAGCCCATGCGGCAGAACTTCTAGCACTGTGTCAAGCGCGACTTCAGCGGAGCAGGCAAGTCATTGTGTTCATACTGTGACCCATCACTCGGCCAGCTATCCTCTACTTCACACATCGTCACCAGTCGTTGCATCTCTCTCAGCCCGTGATCCAGCCCTTCAAAGGACGGATTCAAGATGACGATTCCCGACGATGAAATAATGCAAGGAGCATATTGCAGCCACAGATCGGCTTATCTTTGTGATTGATATCAAGGTGCGCTTTTCGGTGGGTAATTCGTATCGCTCTTTTCCACCCAGGCTCCTGTTACAAGGCAAACGATTTTTCGGGAAGGCACATTGATTTCGCTCATCCAAGACTACAGGCAGCGACTAGCACGCAGTGATGGCGCTTTTGTGTCGAGGTCAATCTTCATTGTCCCTTGCAGGAGACGACATGTCGTTGTGTATTGGAGCTTGTTTCTGCATCTCTGCCATCTCATGGCTTGGTGATCTCGTTGCGGACGGGACGTGCGGCTGCTTTGTCGCAACACTGTCCGCTCATTCCTCACATGTTCCGGTACATGTCGGTCGTCATCTCTGGTGCCCGCTGTCCTCCCCTCCTATGTCTAAGCACGTCATTGCCAGTGGTACGAATGACACCTCACATATCAGTGATCGTCCTGCAGGACATCTACTGTTTGTGCTTCATCTGGTGGTGCTGTATTTGCTTACCATATCTTTACAGCACCGCTGCCTAGGAGCACAACGCTCGAGTCGGCTTGAAGTGCCGTCACGCCATGGAGGCAGCAAAAGCGTTCCGTGATTTTCACGGTAATTCTCGTCTAGCGACCGCCTTGGATCGACCGCTGCCGGTCCATTAATCCAGTTCACAGTATATCCTGTGGCATGCAGCAGAGAAACCATACACTCGATCAGGTACTCTGGCTCATGTTGTCATTTCAAGCGAATGGCGTCCACAGCATCACACGAGAATACAAGGGGTACGATCGCGAGGTCGTCATACAAAGGACCCTGGCCGAGCTCTCCCACGCAAGACTCTCCCTGCCTCCGCTTCCCACGTGGCAACAAAGCACCCCTGCTCTACTGCCGCCCAAGGAGTCGTCGTACTCGTGTTTACTAGTCGATACATGCAGGAACACGAGATAAGTAACCATGTCTCCATGTTCTCGCAGTTGTAACCCACCAGACGCGCAGCTCACCGAATTTGTACAGCACGACCATGCAGTACAGTCAGCTAGATGGCTTAGAGAATACGCAATGCGAACCACATCCTCAATTGGTCATGGCGAACTACCGCATCCGGACGGCCATGCCCAGTCGTGTTCCATACTTGGCGTTCCTGCTGCATCTGTATCAAGTGCTCGACATGGTCGTCAAAATAACGGTTGCTGACTTTGAGCAAATGCAGGCAATCTTTCGGATGCGCGACCTACCTTCGGCAAGGGAAGGTCTCCTCACATCAAAATCGACATTTTGGGAAGATTTCAGCAGTCGTTTGGTTGGTGGTGTGGGCGAGCCAATGATGAGCCCGCTGAGATGCCCATTACAGGACTAATCAGCTCCCGGGACGATGCGTCAGATAAATGATTTCGCGGTATGGGGTTTCCAACATGCAGGAACAAGTGCCGCATTGTCGAATTTCAGATGTTCAGTCGTGCGCAGGCCCCGCGGAGGTGTCTCGACCACGACAAATTAACATGACTGTGGTGACTGCCCGGTTTCGGGTCCTCGCTCGCAGTTCGACATCTGCACTTCCTACAGTGGTAGTTGAGAATGACTTGGATGTGTACGTAACGTCATTTCAGGACTATCACGGAACCGGAAAGTGCGAGCCAGATGATACGATCGGCGACGCAGCGCCGTTGCAGGGTTTAGCCGGAGTCTAGAGGGAAGAAGTCGCACCAATTCAAGGATATGCGTGCACAGTGGCGCAACAACACAGTAAGCTGTGCGTGGCTAGCAGGGTCTGTTCCCCGAAAGAAAGCGCAAAGACGAAGTCTAGAATTCGCCTCGTTGCCTTCTTGGCATCAAGCGTCCGATCCCGCTTGCAAACGGCTGCATGCGGCCGCACGTGCACGCGCTTTCGGGGAGCGATAGAAAACCTCGTATTGCACCAGCTGCCAGACACTTATGATGAGTAGCACGACAAACAGCCAACAGAACTTCCCTACTTCGCAAAAGCGAGTTGCGCGATAGGCTGATGGATTCTGACTTTATCAGGCTATCCGACCCTGAGAACAGCCGGGAACAGACAGACGTGCATCGAGAGACGCCGCAGGAGACTCAGCCAGCGAGTGTCTTCAACAGCTGTGGCGAGACAGCTCAGCTCCGTGCCATGTTCCGTATTGAAGAAGACGTCTGCAACCTGCAGTCTAGATATCTAGAGCTACGACAGGTTTGTCAGCAGTTTTGTAGCCCTCAAGAACTCGGTGTCAGCCAGTGGAAGGCTTCATTGATCGTGAAAGCATCCCATTTCTGCTGATGAGGTATCATAGCAGTTCACTATCATTAGCAGTCCATTTTCGAGACAGTCTTGCTGGAGCTCAATCGCCGCGATACCAGAGATCCCCTGTGTGCGTCAGCAATTCGCAAAACCATCGATTCCCTCTCGGAAAAGTATCAAGATCCAATCGACGATTCACAACTTCAGATTTGTCTATAGCTTTGCTTTCGTCTTCCCATCTGTCGTCTGCTGCAGCGCCTGGACCTGACCAAAGGCATATTGCCCGTATGGCACCATCTGCTCACCATAATTCTTCGCTGTTGTCCCGCTGGCCTGCCGCCGGGCGTATCGCGCCGCAATACCTTGCATGATGACGGAGTTCCGGAACGCGCCAAAGGCGTTGCCCCATTTCAGCTCTGGCGCGGCATCGTAGCCGCTGTCCGAGATATACCAGTTGACCACTTCCTGCAGCGTCGGCAGGCCAGGCGTCACACCTTCGTCGAATTCGTTGACCTTGGTCGTGCTCTGACCTGCCTTGCCGGGCGCGGGCGTGCTCTTGCTGGTCCAGGTCCACGGCCCGGTCAAGTTGACCAGGTCCGACAGCGGATGTCCGATCGTCGCCATTTCCCAATCGAGTATGCCGATCACTCGAGGCTCGGTCTTGTGGAAGACCAGATTGTCGATCTTATAATCGCCATGGATCAGCGTCGAGCGATCTTTAGGCTGCTTCTTCTTGTCCTTGAAGAACTCTGTCATTTCGCGGAAATGCGGTATATCGCCAACGGGCTTCTTTGTGTCCACGTCTTCTGACTTCGCCTGGTTAGCGGATATGGTGGTGAAGGTCTTGATCTGGCGGTCGTAAAAGCCGAAGTGGCGGCCGAAGCTGGAGAGGCCGATCTTCTCGTAGTCAACGCGGTGGAACTTGGCGAGGGTATCTATTGCTGATCTCCAGCCTGCTTTTCGGTCTTCTGGAGACCATCCGGGGAACGAAGGGTCTGTGATAAAGCGGCCGTCTAGAAACTCCATGATGTAGAATGCCGTTCCGACTATACTGTCGTCTTCACACAGGCAATACGCTTTGGGCACCGGGACATCTGTCTGGCCGAGGGCAGCTATTATCCTGAATTCTCGATCTACTTGATGTGCAGTTTTTGAGAGAAGTTGCCCTGGTGGCTTCTTTCGCATAACAAACTTCTGGCCGGTCGCATCTGTGAGCTGGTATGTGGGATTCGACTGCCCGAAGCCAAACTGCTAGCTGTCAGTATGCACTGCTACTCACATGCGAGCGACTCACCTGCTTGAGGTCAAGCGGGGTCTTGATCTCCTTGACATTGCTGTCAATCCACTTCTCCAGCGCCTTCAGATCAATAGGTTGCCGCACTTCGCCCGCCATGGTTGAGGTCTAGAGATCGACCATGCGCCAGGAGGTACAGTATAAAATGTACATACTGGAAAGCACTCCGGGCGATGTAGGGCACCTCTGGCAAACATTCTCCGCGCCTCTCAACCTCGGCCCGGCGGGATGTCATCGGCAGCCCATCTGTGGCTGGTGCTGTGGCGCGCCAAGAAACCCATTAGCCTCGACGCGTCCACAGATCGCCCTACGCGTATCGCTCTCCACAGACCGCTACTGCTACTGAGATCTTCAGAACACACCAAGAACATGACCAGGGAAACAACACCTCCATCCAGCACTCAACAGGACGGAACGACCTCACACCAGCCGCCATCACTGCCCAACTCACCACTACCCAAGCGCCAGAAACCCAACAACACAACGCCAACTACCCAAAACACCACAGCCATGTCATCAGCAACTTCACCCGCCGTCCCGAAACTCACATCAACCTCCCAACCACCACTCCTCATCAAGAAACTCTCCCCAGACGCCACCACACCAACTCGCGGCTCCGCCTTCGCCGCGGGCTACGACCTCTACGCCTCCAAACCAACCACAATCCCCGGCCGGGGCAAAGCACTCGTCTCCACAGACCTCTCCATCGCCACTCCCGAAGGCACCTATGGGCGTATCGCACCCCGGTCTGGACTCGCGGCCAAGAACTTCATCGACACAGGTGCTGGGGTGATTGATGCGGACTATCGTGGGGAGGTCAGGGTGTTGTTGTTCAATCATGCGGAGGGGGACTTTGAGGTGAAGAAGGGCGATCGCGTGGCGCAGTTGGTGCTGGAGAGGATATATACGCCGGAGATTGTTGAGGTGGAGAATTTGGAGGAGAGTGTGAGAGGGGCGGGTGGCTTTGGGAGTACAGGGGTTGGAAGTGCTGCTTGAGGGAGTTTGGCATGAGAGAAAAGGGAGTAGAGAGGCATGCGTGTGGTACGGTCACACAGATAGATTGCTGATGTCGTGTCAGACTTCGACTCGGAACATTGGTGTCCGAAGGTGGGTTGGAAATTGCTCAACGAGCAATCCGCAAGCAAAAGCAAATAGAATATTCAACCACTTGTTTCCCAAAAGTAGCGAGAGGCACTTGTCGGTCGACTCCTGATGGGCTCCGAACAGGAGTACCTACTCATGCTCAGCTGGTCGGCGGCAGGCACCGGAAGCTCAGTCGGCAGGAGCCATGAGCAAAGTGCCTTCCACTGTCGGAAAGGCTGTCACCCGGTCTTGATAGGATACTCCTGTGTGACGACAGATACAATAGGCCAGAGTAAAGCCCGAGAAACTTGCTCGACGGGTCTATTCTGCGTGGTCCTTGCCACGTCTACTGCGTATGCACCGTTGCCAGCGACGTGTCTGCCAGACCCATCCAGCCACCCGGTCTCAAGAATATATTCGCAATGCTTGACATCTAGTAATCTATGACACAGCCTCCGCCTTGTACCTTAGTTCAGGGTCTCGCAAATCCGCGGCATTTTGCACCACACGAACTTCGGCTGCCTTCGTTGCAGCCAAATGCCTCCTCTCATCTTCCGTACTGCTCTGATCACCATCCAGCTCACCGACACTCGGCCGCGATCTCTTGTCGAACTTAGCCAGCTCTTCGTCCCTCGCTTTCATTGTCTTCTCCAACACCATTTGCATGCTGCTCAAGACCTTTACCGCCGCCTTGGCCAGCGGCAGCTCCGTAGGCAGTACATCATCGTCACTGACCCAACCCTTCCTGTCCAACAAACCCTGCTCGCCGCACTCCTCACGTAGCCTCGCAACCATGAGCCCCGCAAGCATATCTCCCGTGCCACTAAAGAAGCAGTCCAGCTTCGGTATCCTGACCACAAAACACCTTGCCTTCCCGTGACTGTCACTTGTGCTTCCCACCACCAACAGCCCTCCCTCAATCCCACTCTCCTTCTCATCAACCCGAATACTCGTCACCAGCACATGCTTGACCCCTTTCTCATGCAACTTGCCCACCGCCTCCACGCACCCCTTTACTCCCCTCTTCCCAACCCACCCCGTCTCCAGCCCCAACAGCACCTCCAACTCAAACTGGTTCGGTAGCACCAAGTCCGCCTCCCCGACCAACCCCCTATACACTTCCACCGTCTCCTCCGCCACATACAATTTTCCCTGATCCCCCATAACCGGATCCAACACCCAGAAGAACTCTCCGGGCGCATGCTGGGAGCGCAGGCGGAGTTCGCGGCCGATCTTGCCAACGGCTTCGACGGCGGTGGCCGAGGGGCAGTAGCCGGAGAGGAGGACGTTGAAGTCAGTCAGCTGAGCGGCTTTGAGGCCGGACCAGAGTGAGAGAATTTCGGGGGCGGGCGTTTTGGTGCCGGCGACGCGGCGGTAGGCTGTGTGGTTGCCTGTTGGTTCAAAGCATTAGACACTCGATCTAGCTTTCGCAGGAGGGAGGCATATTGAGGGATGCGGCATTGTTTGCTGTGGTGACAGAGTAGACAATCCACAGCAATGTCGCGGTTCACTCACTGAAGTTGACGGTGTTAATGGCCGCGACCTCGCACCCTAAAGCTTGCATGACGAACGTAGCCATCGTGTTGCCGACATAGCTGTCCGCCATGATTAGCACGAGCAACGTCTTCCCAGAGCCTTAAGTGCACCAACTCACCCATAGACGACCTAGCGGAGGGCCGAATGTCAGCTGGAAGACCGAACACATTGCTACAATCTGCGTCGTGCGCATAACAAATGGCCACACGGTCCCGAAAGACTGGTGTTGGCTGAATGAACTTACATGGCTGGCAATTGCCAAGACTTTGGCATCAGAAGTGGTCATTGTCATCAAGCATGCCTCAGAACTGCCAACAGACCCAGTCAGGACGAAAGAAAGTCTCTACGTGGTTATCATGGTGAATTGCATGGATGTCTGTCATTTATCATTTAACGATCCAGAAATTCGAGATTTCCACCCTGACGCAGCACAAGGCTGAGTGACGAGGCTTTACCCCCCCGAAATCCCTCAGGTCATTCCCTTCTGGCTCGGGATCTGGCAAACTTTCACTTATCGTGCCTCTGACTTCCACCGTGCAAATGACGACTACCGTTGACAGCAGTCATGTCCGCACAACGTACATCCATCTCGACTCGCGTGAGCAGGTGCGTTTGATGGACAATTCTTTCCGTCCTGTCGTGGAGTTCGTGATTGAGCCGCTTTCCATGACGCTCACTTGAGACTGTTCGGACTTCGGACTGACGCTTGACCTGGCGTGATAAAAGAGGCGGTCGTTGTTCACTCATCTTCGCCGATCTGTAGTCATTATTAGCATAGATCAATCGTGATGACCATGGCTGAGACTCACCTTTGGGGCAAGGTAGAAGCGCAAGTAGCTAGTACCAGCAAGACCGTATTCAACCAGCAATGGAACCTCTTGCGACAAGCACAACTTGACTCTACTGGCAAGACCACTAGCCTTGCAGAAATTGACAAGATACTTGAGAGAAAAGGTAAGGTTCACGGGCTCGGACAGCTGAATGGTGACGTCGTTGTCGGGCTTCTCGACGTTGGTGTGAGATCGCAGTGTGACGGCACCGCTACCGATGTCGCCCTGGCAGGAAAAGCGGACGCCCTCTTTGCTGGCTTCGACGCTGACTGTGAGAGATCGTTAGCACTCTTCCTAGTACAGTCCGGGTTCCGAAGAGTGGTCTCACCAGACTCGGACATGGCGATCAGGTCTCTGCAGATTTTCTGAAATTCGGCACTGGGCATCTCGATGGTCGCCGCATATTCAGTGTCTGGGATACCCAAGTGCTCTTGATCGATGTCCATCAATTTGATGTCGTACTCGCTGAGCCGGTCGGTGTCAGGACTCTCGAAGACCAGGTTCACGACATCTGGGGCGTCTTCGGCCTTGAGTGTGAGGATATCGTTGCTTTGAGCTGCGCGGAGCACTTTTGTGAGGGAGCCAAGTTGATGCCGAGAGCGATGTTGCGATCGCAGCGGAAGGGTGTGAACATCTCAGCCTTAAGCATCATAGAAACGAGCGCGACGTGGGAGTTGTCCATAGCCTGGAGGGCAATGCCGGAGTCATTGCAGTCGAAGTTGCAGTCCTGGACCAGATCTTTGATGGCATCGACTACCTAGGGAGTGTCAGCGGCCACCAGTACAGGTCTTGGGTTTGCGAACCTTCTTCAAGGCGTCAGACTGCTCGAGACGTGCTTCTAACACTGTATCTGTGTCAGTATCGACAGTGGCGGGGTAGCGGTGGTGGCGGTGACATCGACGACTTACTGACTGAGTTGGGAAGATGATTCAAGGACCAGACTGCTTCAGGGACCCTCGGACTGTCTTCCTTGCCTCTGAAAAGCCAGGAGAAGAGTGCTGAGCTTGAGAGATTGAAGTGGTTTGCGTTTGATTTGAAGTAGAAGATATTTAGAACGCGTCGCTCCTGCCGTGCCAGTGGGGACGCGCCTGCCATGGCTGAAAACACGCTAATCTGGAAGAGGGTAAAGTGGAGGATTATAGTCTGTGTGTGCAACCGTAGCCATGTCTGCAACAATTATCCCTGGCCACCGTAGCGTAGTCTATCAGCTATTCAACCCATGGAAAGCCTTTTAGTACTGTCTGTGATTGACCTTCTTTACACAATGTTACTATTCACACTGCTCTAGTTGCACAGTCTCATGAAGCTCTCCATAGTTCTAGCATACTTACAGAGACCCAGTGAGCTTATCCTTTAACTATTCCTCAGCACTAGAGGCCTTACCACTCGGACAAGAAACATCCGCTGCACCGGCACTCTAAGGTAGCTTCGAATCTGATAGCGGATTAGTCGTCAACGACTACAAGGCTGTGTTCGCGATGGCAAGTTATGCTGGAATCCTTCTACATCGAAGCTGCACGACCTCCTAATTTCGAGCCTTGACTGGTGGAAAGCCGTGCTGTATGCTGACGGATCGGAATTCTATGGGCCTCACGTCCTGACCAGATGGTAAGTTTGAGGACGGTCACCTGGCCATCATGTGCCATACAGATTCCGCGCTTGATCGTGCCGTAGCCAGATTCAGGTCGGGTCAGAATGTCAGATCCAGGTGCGAGTTATTGGCCATGGCGGAACACGGTAGAAAGAACTTTAAGAAAACACCTCATATTAGTCATCCTCTGATATGTTCGTCCTGACCGGCGTAGTTGCTCCTACGCTAGGGCGTATGCTGGGAAACGCTCAAACTTTTCCTCGACCACATGCTCAGCAGCTCTCACAGAAAATGGCGAGTCGAAATTTATTCTGTCCCAGTCCTTCAACCCATACCTGTTCTGGCAAGTCAAATAGCTTCACGCCATTCGCTTGATGCTTGTGGAAACGACCGTCGCTATGCTTGTACGCCTGTGGATAGCCCTGTCAGAAGATCCATCTCGCCAAAGGAAAAGTCTGTCCATCGTCTGGAGCAATGACAATCCACAACGCCCTGGATACCATGTCGCGAACAGCTCTGTCCAGCGAAGTCGTGAGCATGCAGACCCCGTAGCCAGCTTCAGGGTAACAAGCGCCCAAACTCGTCCAAATAGCTTTGCAAGTAGGGTGACAACCGGTAATCCGGGATGCGATGCGCCATCTGGAGGTACCGCACTGCCATCTGGAAGTACTGCTCGCTATGGTGGGAATACGACACATTCCCCATTGACAGAAAGGCTTCTGCCGCGAGACTCAGCAGAGAACCTTCTAGAGTCCCGTTTCGTTCCGCCGCTTCCACGGATCTCTGCAGGTACTCTGTTGCAGGCAACAGCATTCCTCTAGCTTCAACATAGTCCGCACCTCCTGCTCGAGCATTTGCCTCGATCGTTTGACGGGCAAATTCGCGGGCGTCTTCTGAGGCTGTAAATGATCCCACACGTTCAGTGGAATTTGCCATCGAGCTGGGGCGGTCGCTTGATGTGCCGCTGGAGGAACTTCCGTCGTAGCGGTGGATCCGTGCTAATGTTGCCTGCACGCGAAGCAGCCAGCCCCGACCTATGCCTGCAAGCACCTCGGCCGAGTCTTCATGGCCCTGTGCCATAAGTTGCAGATAGGCTCTCAGGCACCATGAAGCAATATCCTCGACACCACCTTGAGCAGTGTCGTAGTACGCCAAATTTTGTAGTCCGGACACGATCTGCAGTTGGCTTTCGAACCGTTCTGGAGATGACAGGAGAGATAGGGAGTCAATACGTCTTATTAGACTGCGAGCTATCGACAGACGCGCTTGGAGGTCCGCCTGGGCGGATGTCGGCGTGCTATCGAGATCTTGGAGTCTCTGCAAGATTTCAGTGATTACTTCGTTGTCGGTAAGTGGTCGACTGTTCGGTTCATGGTCCAAAGCCTCTGTCCAGTCGTGATCGTTCATGGTTGAGTACGCGGTTCCGACCGGGAAGCATGTTGCGTGTGGTTTTCGTGACCAGGACTGTCTGCCATCGGAAATACGCATCCTATTAATCCTAACCTGTAGAAGCTTGCGGAATTGCATTTGTGCTGAAGGCAAACCAAATGACTTTTGCTAGTGTTAGCGCAATCGATCACTCCATTGACATGTTCGATCGGCCATACACGTTGGGGAAAGCGCTGGCTCGGTTGGGTTGTATGGTAGCAAGTGTTAGCCACACGTGGTCCTTTACTTGTGGGACTCTGCAAGACGTCCTCAAGGCTGTTGCCTCGACCGATAGATGCGGTAGAGATCTGCTGCTGTCAGCGCAAAAGCCACAACAGGAGGCGAACAGTCTTTGGTTGGTCAGTGGCCAAAGGAGAATTAACGTTCCGGTTTTGGTGGCAAGCAGATATCATATCGCGAAGCATATGCGGTTGCGGCTGGAGCGTAGATATAGGTCATCTTACCTAGGCAACGATGACATGATCTCTGTAAATACCTCTGGGGCCTGGAACTGTAATGAGTTCGTGGAACGATGTAGTTTCTGGAGAGCGTTATGCGGCCACGTTATTCGGACGAGGAAGTGGCGCATGGTCCCACGATCGACATAGCGTAAACGTACTTCCGACTAAAGCTGAGCCTCTCGAACGGATTATCAATGGCATTGCTCTTACCACCGTCTGAGGGCAACTGCATTCTGAAGCGCGTGATGCCATACTTGGAAGTCCAGACCCAGAATCAACCTGAGGGGTGGCTACGCCATGCAATTTCACATGTTGAACGGGGAATTAGCAGGCCTGCCCACTCAGATGCGCTCAGGCAGCCTCTCATTCATCCAGAGACAACTGCTGCATTGAGAGACGGATGGCCAGGGCCGGTACAGCTGGTTTGCAGCCGGTAGCGATTTCGACGTACGTTGTCGTGAGGACCGAATGACCTACAGCATTCCTGACTAGGCAACCTACCAGTCCGCGAATTGTGAGCTGCCAAGATGCCGGAAGCCTTTTCGTATGAGGCAAATATTGCACAGCGGAGAGTGATCTGGCCAGCAGGCCGATTCAAGGTAGTCGATGCGAGGTCGCAGACGTGTGCACCGGCTTGCAGCTCTGGCGTCGGCACCGTCAGTTGTGCACAAACCATGACTATCACCGTGAGTTACAACCCGTTGAAGCGAATCTTGCGGCACTTTCAGCAAATGGCACAAGATCATCGGACGTTCGGGCTCCCCCTGTGCGGTGTAGCCGAAGTGTGCCTGTAAGGCTTAGCCCAACTAAGGTGAGATCTCTCCGAGAACAGATCACTGGGGCACATCATGATGTTGCAGCGGGTATGCCGTGCCGGACTAAGCTCTGTCCCGGCCACGCGCAGCATCCGAATTCTGGTAGCATAATCGCAATCCTCTGACTCTGTGTATAGACACAAGATTTCCTCAGCCTATGGCCATTAGTGGCTTCATTAGCCTTGACACTACTAGCCAGCTTCAGCGATCCGATTGTCCAGTCTCAGTGAGACAACGGATAGGTATTGTTCTTGATGGTGACAGCAGTAATGGCAACAATTTGGTGGAGGTGGGAAGAGGATAGGTAGCCTAATAGGGCATGCAGTGGTGCCAGTAACGGCCGCGAGTTCGTGCGGAATTAGGCTAGTAATTCCGCCGCCTTTGAATGAAACTGGATCCTCAATTCCGACCTCGATCGCGCGTCAGTGTTCCCCTTCCATCTTGTCGCACCAGCAATGACGCGCTCATGCGCACTGGTGCACGAGTCGTCGAAGCGCTTCGAAGCCCTTGCGCGCCGGTAGTCCACCGAGTTTTACCTGCACGACATGTCGTAAATCACAGGAACAGGGCGTTCAGTTCTGCACCGCAACAACGCTCTGGTGCAAACCTCAAAAGGCCCATATTTGCAAAATACTACGTTCCTCCCCCACCAAACCACCCTCCGGAACAGCCCTGCAAGGGAATCTGGACGACGGAAGATGGTTCAAAGAAACTGCTGGGGCAGGTTGCCGATCTGACACCCACGCCTGAGCTCGAACGCGAGCTTTTCTGGATAGCCCACAATGAACCTGATCTGCCAGCAGTGGAGGCCTTATTGGTCTACCTAATTGTGCAGCGACAGTTGCAGCCCACAGCAGTGCACTATGAGGCGGCAGTAGTCGCCAATTGCGATCCTATGCACGGATCGGCTGAGTATGCCCAAGCTCTTGCTGAGAATGCACGGGCGAGTGATCTACAGGCGGCGTCGCTGCTGGACACTGCACTGCTTCAGGTAGGCGAGACTGTATATTGCAGGAGCACTCTTTGACAACCACATAGGTGCTTGCAGTCCATCCGAACCGAGTAATGCGCGAGACCTTGTTGAAGAAAGTCAAGGAGGAATGGATTCACCAACCAGAGACAACCCGGCTATTAACCGTAGCCAGTATGCTCCGGGAAGGCCAGACTGAGATGGCGCAGCTCGAATTGAAGGCGCTGCAAGCACAGAGTATCGAAGTCGCTGATTGGGTTTGGATCCTGCTTGCGCATGATCACTGCAGCAGACGTGATTTCGAGGCCCTGATCTGTCTATTGCACGATTTTCACGATCAGCGCGTGCAATTGCCTCGAAAGACAGCATTACACATTCTGACAGAAGCAGCTAATCACGGGCATAAGCTACAGTGCATTGGATATGGATGAGACATGTTCAGCCAGGCTTTGTGCGACCAGACAAAGCCTGCTGCGATGCTGTTGCGAGACTGGCATCGAAAGAAAAGGACTTCATCCTCGAGCGTCGGGCGTTGGCCTGATCGCGCAGATTGATGCTCAGCAGCAAACTTCGCAGGAGGAGCCCATCGACCAGCCCCCAACGTTTGATGGTGAACAGGTCAATGAAGCAGCGTCGTCTTGGCTGAAGGACGCTCCGTTGCCTGAAGAAGGCTTCTTCGATCCATGGGAAGCGCTGGCTAAGCGGCCAGAGCCGCGATACCTCGAGCCGGCGTGGCTGCAAAAAAGGGAACGGCATCAACGCTACCTACGCTGGGTCTTCGGCAAGCTGAGGAGGTCTGAACGAGATGACGAGTACTCTGGATCGGTAATCGATCGCATCAATACCACGCATCGACGCAGTGCGGGCTCTACTGATCCCGCACCGCCGGGCCCTATGTATCCGTACGGGGAGGAGGCTTCATGGGACGAATTCGGTGATCTATCGTCTGCGAGCGTGTCTACCGGCACGCTGACGCAGGAAGAGGTAGCTCAGGTCTTGGGGCCGATGAAAATGAAGAAGATGTCGGTGAGAAAATTAAGGTAGTGGTAGTTGGGATTCAGTGGTGGTTGGCGTGTGTCATGCATGCCAGGTGATTGAGTCTACCAGCATGGTGCAGTGAGTGGTGAGGCTGAGCGCTGACTTGGACGTGGAGGGAGCAAAGTGATTGCGTTGCGACAAGAGGGCAGTACTGGTGCGTCGTGTGGTCTGCACCGTGACGATGCAAGTTACAGCGTTACAAACCTTCGACTAGCTCGAAAATGCACTTCAGCGTCAATTCAGGGAAAGCAGATGTCGTGGGCTTCGCCAGAGAGGAGTTATGTTGGGTCAGGCGGAGAAAGGGTTGGAAGAACAGACGGAAATCTTCAAAGACTACAGGATAGAGGCGGACTTCGTTGATAGTTGACATACTTATGCTAGGGATCGCTCCGGTACGCCACAGCGAATACCAATACTTGCCACTGTGATAACCGACTATTATACTTTTCGACATGTACGGATCAATTGCAGCGCCTTCGCATTCTTGTTCATTTTGATGCCTTCCCAGTCACGACAGAAATGAGACCTTTGGTGTCGATGCGAGATCAGGAATCGCCATAGGCTTCCTTGACCTCCTTCTGGTAGTGATCGAGGATCTTCTTGCGTTGCAGCTTCTGCGCGGGTGAGATAAAGCCCTAGAATGAGTTAGCGACAGTCACACACGGAAGCTGGATGAACACTCACACTCTGTGGGGTCCACTCTTCTTCAGTGAGCACGACTCCTTCAATGATCTCAATACCTTGGAGACCCAAGTTTCTGCCAACCTTCTGCAGCTCCTTGAGAACAACGTCCTTCATTTTCTTCTGATGGACCAGCTCCTCCACGCTGTCGCCCTGGATGCCGTTCTCGGAAGCAAGCTTCTTCAAAGCAGCCTCGACTGGCACAACGATGGCAATAGGTTTGGATTTCTCGCTTGAAGCGTAGCAGCAGATGTTGCCAACGACTGGTGCTGAGCGATAAGTAGACTCGAGCTTCTCGATTGCAATGTATTCGCCGTTGAGAGTCTTGACCAAGTTCTTCTTGCGATCGATGATGCGCAGGTGGCCATTCTTGTTCCATTCTCCAATGTCTCCGGTCTTGAACCAGCCATCCTCAAAGGCTTCCTTGGTTTCCTTCTCATTGTCCCAATAACCTTCGGTCACAGGTGGACCGCGAATCCAGATCTCACCCTGAGGCGGGTTATTGGTCGAATGGTAACCAGCATCCGCGAAGTCGACAAGCTTGATCTCGATGGAGCCGGTGATATCACCTAATGCAGAAGGATCCCAGTGGAATGGCTCCTGGATGCAGCCCATGGCAGATGTCTCTGTCAGACCATAGCCAGAGATCATGGGTGTGACTGCATAACTGATGAACTTGACAGTATCTTCAGATATGGGCCCGCCACCCGTGAAAGCAATGCGCAGTCGGCCACCCGTGGCATCCTTGAGCTTCTTGAACACAACAGCATCAAGAACACCCGCGCCAGGAAGGCCATAACCGAGCAGCGTTTGCTTGAGCGACATAGCGCCCCAAAACATGCTTCTCACCACTGCAGATCCGGCATTCACCTTAGAGAGGATGCCTTTCTTCACTGATTCCCACACTGCGGGTACACCAACAAGAATTGTAGGCTGAAATTCCCTGATGTCGCCTTTACAATTGCGGACTGATGCATCGGAAAGTGTCTTTGGACTCCCGTAGCCCATAACACCGCCCCAATAGAGACATGCATTCTCGAACATGAACTCGAGAATATGTGACTGTGGAAGATAGGTGAGGAGAGCGTCCGAGGGGCCGATGTAAGGTCCAACGACGGTTTGGACGCCAGCCATTGAGGCGACGACCTGCCGATGCTTCAAAATGACACCTTTGGGCGGTCCAGTCGAGCCGGATGTGTACATGATGCAGCAGATGTCGTCAGGAGTTGGTGGCTTGGCCTCGACGGGCTTGTCGGCACCCGCTTTACGTAGCTCATCGATGCTGAGTACGTTAAGAGAGCTCCGCTTGCTTTTCAGGCTTTCGATATCTTTACTCAGACTCTTGCTCTCTGGGAGGGTGTTGTATATAATGTGTTCGATGGATGGAGCATCTCCGACAACACTTGCGAGGGTGCTGAGCAGATTTGGGTCGATGAAGATGGCCTTGGAGCCGGTCTGCTGGAGTGAATGCTTCAAGCCGTCGGGACCCAGTGAATCGTATGCAGTCACAATAGGAATCGATTGCGAGGCTGCGGCGTGAGACATAGCAAGCCAATTCGCGCTGGTGGCACCATATTGGTGTATCTTATCGGATGATGTTATGCCGAGACCTGCAAGGCCTGAACCCAGATCGAGTGCCAGCTTCTCATAGTCGAGGAACGACATGTACTCGTAGCCGCTCAGCTCGTAGTAGGTCCATTTCTTGTCGACCTCCTTCTCAACGCCGTCAACGATCTTCTTGACCTTCTTGTTCTCCCTATATATTGGCAATGTCAGTGTCCTCCGTGTCAACTTGCGGGGAGGGAGATAGACAAGTAGAATACGCGTCCGGCATTGCGGCTTGCTCAGGCCGGGTGAAAGACTTACACATGTTCTTTGATCAGCTTGCGGGTGCCAATCGCTTTGTTATTGCCAAACTTCTTTGCCGATCTCTTGAGGTTCTCGTACGTAGTTGACACATCCGAGGAAGGCCTGTCAAACAGCTTGTCTTTGGCAAGAGGATGCCGTCTTGGTATGGTCTCGCCATCTTTCTTCTCGTAGCCGGCGGCCTCGACGGTGAAGGGACCCTTGTCCTTCATATGCGGTTGGGCGAAGCCATCAAATCTCGGCCGTGTGTCCTTGTCCAATGCTTGGAACGACATGTTTGTAGATGGTCCGCAATGCGATTAATTACCGGTTTAGATTTCGACCAGAGCAATTCAGCGCTTCAGAACGACAAGCGAGGCAGGCGTCAGACAAGTAGACTTTCGTGGGAGACGTCTGTCTGAATGAGGGCGTGTTTAAATGAGCCTTCGTTTTTCGTGAAGGTGAATACGTGACTTTTGCGGATAGCCCAGGCAGGCAGATACGGCAGTCGCGATGCTTCAAGTGGCTCGAGGATTGAGACTCAGGCGTGAAAGTGATGGGAACGAGCTGCGCCTGCTATTCACATCTCGGCCTGTCGACGTCATCTCATTGGCCCACTTCTTTTGTCAAGGGCTTGGTATTGTACCAAGTCGCCGTTTCCCCAGCAAACGCCCCTCAGCCGCCTTCGCCCACCTCTCACAAACCACAAACGTGCCCTCGACAAGAACGCCGCGCCTCGTGCCGGCTCTTGTGCTGCCTTGGGAACACCTGTCACCACGGTCTCGAGGCAAGCTATCTGGACTGTGCGGTCTCTGCGGCTCTGAGCGGATCATTCGAGAGTGACTCGATCTGCCCGGGGTTTATGTCAGCTGAGCTCCATGGGCGGGTGAGCAGTAATGTGATTCGAGGCAGCCGCACCAACGTTTCACCACGCCGGTGCATGAGACTGAACTACTTTGCAACTGTGTTGGATTCAACTCAGGGCTGACTTCGAATCGACGTCGTGTCAGCGTCATGAACGAAGCTCTCGGCGAGCAGGTGAGAGATGCTTCTGATGAGACCTTTGTGCTCTTCAGTCAAGATTTGCCCTCGAATAGCCTAGGCTTTGTTGATGCCAAAGCGGATGAAATTGACATCGACATAGGCATTCGCTCTTTCGTACTGAAGCAGTCTCCAGGACTGTTGATATCTCAACGAGACACTGGCACGACTGGAGCAGTGCTCTGGAAGGTCAGTCCATTGGTTGCCCAGTGGCTCACGTCAAAGCCAGCAGCACTATACGAGAAGGGCATCCTATCTGAGGACGCTACAGTCGTCGAACTTGGCTGTGGAATTACCGGGCTCATTGGTGTTGCAATGTCACCTCATGTTGACACGTATGTCCTCACGGATCAGGCGTACATTTCGAAACGCGTTCATGAGAACATCGCCGAATGCAGGATTACGCAGAAAGCACGGGGTGCTAGCAAAGCGGCGCTCAGGTTCGTGGAGTTAGATTGGGAAAAAGACAAGCCGTCCAGGGCGGGTCTGTCCCTGAGACCCGGTCAGAATCTAGACCTCATCATTGCGTGCGACTGCATATACAACGACTTTCTCATCAAGCCACTTGTTCAGACAATGATCGATCTCTGCCGGCTGAAAGTGAGCAGCTCCAAGCCAACAGCAGTGCTTGTTGCTCAACAGTTGAGAGACTCTTCTATCTTCGAAGACTTCATGGCATCATTCTTGGACGATTTTGATGTATGGAGACTAGCAGACGATGCCTTGCCGGCAGGCTTGCGGTTGGGCTCGGGCTATACTGTTCATCTCGCCTGGTTGCGAGAACGCCTGTCAGATTGAGCTACAAAGATTTCCAGCCATGAAATCGCATAGAACTTCGTCTGCGTTTGCGCCACAGCCGGATGAAGCCTGCTTAGTTTGGCATCAGTCTCGATGCAATTCAACTCCGATGGCTTATTGGAAGGCATTGTGTCAGCTGCTGCTGCTGCGCCTGTCCTTGATCTCTGATGTCCGTGTATAATAATGCCATGTATCTCCTGTGTTAGGGCTACCATAATGTACTTATCTGATCGAATTTCCCGTCGTGGCAAGGCTTCAAAAAAGCCTCGCACTTGAGCAAGGTACCGCGCGTGCTTGGCGATTTTAAGGTAAACCCGCCGGTAAGGCGGCCCTATCCATCCCCCTCCACGAAGATTATCGTGCCCGCCAAATTCCAGCACTCATCACTCGCGACCACATTTGCTCTGCAGCCTTCGCTGTTTTGGCGCTATCCTGGAGCCGGCCCTCGTTTGGGCAGTCGTGCACTCAACATGGACCTCCGTAGCACGATCGAATCTACCCTCTCCGCAGACGCCAATGTGCGATCCCAGGCCGAGACTGCCCTCAAGACCGCCGAACAGCACCAGGGCTTCACGACAGCCTTGCTCGACATACTCCAGGCCGAGGAAAACACTGCGATACGGTTGTCCACCGCAATCTACCTGAAGAACAGGATATCGCGAGGATGGCCCACCGAGAACCCATTACACACCCCCATACCAGACGCCGAAAGGAAACCCCTTCGAGACCGCCTCCTACCAGTGCTTGCGTCAACGCCTTCGCAGATACGAGCCCAGCTGGTGCCAGCACTACAAACCATCCTCCACCACGACTTCCCGACAAAATGGCCAGAATACATCAACATCACGATACAGTTGATGGATGCGCAAGATGCCACTTCGGTCTTCGCGGGATTGCAGTGTTTGTTGGCAGTATGCCGGACATACCGGTTCAAGGCTGGTGAGAACGAGAGGACAACACTTGATCAAGTGGTTCAGGCGTCATTTCCCCGCGTTCTGGGTATTGGCAACAGATTGGTGGACGAGGCCAACCCCGAAGCGGGTGAGATGTTGCGGTTAGTCGTCAAATGCTACAAGCACGCCATCTACTATGAACTACCGACGCCGCTCCGCGAGCATCAGACGACGGTAGACTGGTGTACCCTTTTCTTGCGAATCATCTCCCACGATGCACCTGCGTATGCGCAGCTCGAGGAAGTCGACGAAAGGGAACAAAGCCCATGGTGGAAGACGAAGAAGTGGTGCTATGCCAACCTGAATCGGTTGTATGTGCGGTACGGCAATCCAACGACACTTTCGACTACGCAAGCAAAGGAGTTCGGAGACTTCCCCCAAAACTTCATTACACACTTTGCTCCGGAAATATTGAAGGGCTACCTGGGCCAGATCGAGAAGTGGGTAGGCGGCAACCACTGGTTGAGCAAGCCATCGCTGTCATATACTCTCATATTTCTGGAAGAATGCGTCAAGCCTAAATCGATGTGGGATATGCTCAAGCCTCATATGGACAATCTCATCAAGCACTTGATCTTTCCAGTCCTGTGCTTGACAGAAGAGGACATCGAAACCTTCACTGACGACCCGGCCGAATATCTACATCGCAAACTCAATTATTACGAAGAAGTCTCGGCGCCCGACATTGCAGCAATCAATTTTCTAATCGCACTCACGAAAAATAGGAAGCAGCAAACTTACGGGATCCTGTCTTATGTCAATGAAGTTGTCACCAAATACGAGTCTGCGCCTGAAGACCAGAAGCAGGCAGTAGAGAAGGAAGGCGCACTACGCATGATCGGCTCGCTTGCCTCCGTCATCCTGGGCAAGAAGAGCCCCATCGCTGACCAAGTTGAATACTTCTTCGTTCGACATGTGTTCCCAGAATTCCGATCACGCCACGGTTTCCTGCGAGCTCGTGCGTGTGAAACAATGGAGAAGTTCGATCAACTCGACTTCAAGGATCCCAATAACCTCATGGTCATTTACCGCAACATGCTCGAGTCCATGGCCGACACTGAGCTGCCGGTCAGAGTACAGGCCTCTCTGGCACTACAGCCGCTGATCAGACATGATGTGATCAGAACTGCCATGCAACAAAATATCCCACAAATCATGCATCAGCTTCTGAAGCTAGCAAACGAGGTCGATGTGGATGCTTTGTCAAATGTGATGGAGGATTTCGTCGAAGTGTTCTCGGAACAGCTTACTCCTTTTGCGGTCGCACTCTGTGAGCAGCTACGCGATACATACCTCCGCATAATACGAGAACTACTGGACAAGAACGACGCCAAAGCACAGACAAATGGCGACGCTCCAGAATATGGAGAATATCTCGACGACAAGTCAATCGCTGCACTCGGCGTTCTGCAGACTATCGGCACTCTCATCTTGACATTAGAGGCTACACCAGATGTACTTCTCCATCTTGAAACCATCTTGATGCCGGTCATCACGATTACGCTGGAGAACAAGCTCTTCGATCTGTTCAACGAGGTCTTTGAGATCGTCGATTCGTGTACCTTTGCATCCAAGTCTATCTCCGACACCATGTGGCAAGCTTTCGAGCTTATGCACAAGACATTTAGAGATGGTGCCGAGCTCTACCTCGAAGACATGCTTCCAGCCCTGGACAACTTTGTTGCATATGGCTCAGACAAACTGGTGCAGCATCCGCCATATTTGCAGGCGTTGGCGGGTATGGTTCGGGACATCTTTCAGGATCAGAAGGTCGGCAGTGTAGACCGTATCTGCGGCTGCAAGCTGGCAGAGGCTCTGATGCTGAATCTCCGTGGTCGAGGCCCACTCGATACATATATTGAGACCTTCACGAGCCTTGCCATGGAGACTCTTGCCAATCCTGCCCTGAAGGCGAACATGGTCAAGTCATACAGACTGCATCTGCTAGAGATGGTCATCAACGCCATCTATTACAACCCTCTACTCGCACTACAAATTTTGGAGACCCATAATTGGACGAACAAGTTTTTCTCAATATGGTTTGGCAGCATTGACACCTTCAGAAGAGTGCATGACAAGAAGCTCTGCATTGCTGCAATTTCTGCTCTGCTTCCCATTCCAGCGGAACAGGTTCCACAAACAGTTCAGACCGGCTGGCCGCGGCTGCTTCAGGGTGTTACATACCTTTTCAAAACACTTCCTGCAGCGGTCAAGTCTCGCGAAGAGACAATGCGTGCTAATGATGGGGCGGATCCCGATGATGACTATCCCTCTAGCGAGGATCCAGATGAATGGAATGATGAGCCAGCCGGCGCTCAGGACGCCTCGGAATGGGGCAATGTCGAGTCAGCCACCCTACCTGACACAAAGGGCGACATTAAGGACGAATCGCAAGCTTATCTGGACTTCTTGTCTGAAGAAGCCAAGAAGTTCAGCTCGTTAGTGGAGGAGGATGAGGAAAGCATCATGGAAGACGACAGTGTTCTAGAGAGTCCTTTGGATAAGTTCGATCCGTACGGCGCTTTCAAGTTGTCGATTGAGCGGTTACAGCGTGAGCAGCCACCCCTCTATTCGTCGCTGATGAGCACGGTGCCTGTAGAGGATCAGAACTTCCTCAACCAAGTTGTGCAACATGCCACACAGCAGCAAAACACTCAAGCTGCCGCGGCTGCGGTCGCCGACAAGCCAACAACATGAGCGATACCGCTCCTACGAACCAGATCATGGACATCTGAAGTCTATGGTGTTGGATAATCACCCGCTGGCTCGCTAACGACGTGTGCGCGAGATGTGTACCTTTTGTATCCGACATGGCTGTCACATGCAGGCTGTGCTTTTGGAATCCCTACAGAACCCTCATTCTTGGGCCGGCCGCGAGCAAGATCACCACGTCATCGTCCACTTCCAAGCACGAGAGTGCAGCATCCTGCACTCAAGCCTATTGTTTCATCATAGTCACTGCCATCGATGCCCACGAAGGGCACACTCTTGGCCACTGTTCATGTTTAAGCATGCACGATGTTCAGCTCATATACGTCCGTGATGGGCACGATTCAACACGTTTAGAGTGTTGCATAAGCGCTATGCATACAAGTGTATGCGAGGACGATCCGAGGACGAGGTGGAATGTGAAGAATGATCAGATATTAGACTCACAAGCCCTCTATTTTGGAGTGTGTCAGCCTTATCTCAGGTTCAGGTACAGTAGCTATACGACAGTGAGCCTGCCTGCGGCTCTCTGGTAACACCAGCCTTTACCCCGATGCTGCTCTTTTTAACGTCGACACCCATCGTTGGGACCAATGCTGTATGTACTTCCCGGTCATGGAACTCAACCATCTCGTCGTGCCTCTGTTCGGACAGCCGCCCATGAAGCCTTGAGATGCAGGGTTCTTGCGGCGATCGACATTCGCCCGTGTTCTGGACTCGCTCAAATTATACGCTGCTGAAGCGACTCGCCTAGTATTGACATCCCTCATTATCAGGTACGTGCTCGACCGCTCCGAATTCAGTCGTTGGTGGGACGTGGTTGTTGTCCTTTTGCCATTTCAGATATGTAGGGTCAGATCCTTACTGCTCCTGCCTCCCTATTTGTGCACCCGCGCCCTAATGCAGGCAATGCTCATCAATGGGGAGCACTGCACCGACAAGTTCTACCATGAAGCGAGTATAGATTGAGGTGACTATACCAGACGACATTCAAAAGGGACGCAGTCCGGCGGGAAGGTAAAGCCTTGTCGTTCCGCTGCATCTCGTCTATTACTTGTCACATATTTCAACTTGCCTCTCCTTCTCGATACAGCCAAAGCACAAACAAGATGAGTGGACGGAATTCTAGCGGGCGGTCTCCCGAAGGACAGCCAAGAACGAACAATCTAAGTTTCGCAACCCCAGGCGAACGTTTGTGGCGGTCACGACTCTAAGAGCCTCCCCGCACGCTCTTCTCCAGATCTCGGTGCGCACACCAATCGCAGTGCGGGCATCCTTATTGCCCTGCTTGGCAAACACAGACAAGCGAGGCACAGAGGAGTGCTTGACAGGCTTGCTGATTGCTTGCCGAGGTCTTCGTCTTGCCAAGTTGCCACCCCTCGCTTTGACTCGCCATGAATTGACACGGACCTCTGCCCGGCACTCGGCTGTGCCTAGTGCTGGGGATATATAGGTCGGGGGGTTCCCGGTCGAGTGCTCTTCCGCTGCTACTCCAGCCTATATAGAAATCATCAAGCAAGCATGGCCGACCCTCAGTCAGAGATCCGCCGGGAGGAGAAGAATGACGCCCCGGAAACATTGGAGAAGTCTGTTACCATCGACACGCTTCACAATGACGAGGCCGTCAAGGTCCTTGCTACCTACGCCGGCGACCAGGAATGGACGCCAGAGGAGGAGAAGAAGCTCGTCAGGAGGATTGACAAACGACTCACCTCTATCCTATGTGCCACATACGGATTGCAGTACTACGATAAGGCTATGCTGTCACAAGCTGTATGTCTCCCTTCCCAGCTAGCATTCCTTGCTGGCTAACAGCCACCAGGCACTCTTCGGTCTTCGAGAGGACCTACAACTCAGCGTCGGCATACGTTACTCGATGTCCTCAGCTATCTTCTACCTCGGATTCATCGTCGGAGCCTATCCAGCAATCTTGCTCGCGCAGCGATACCCGATCGAACGGGTCATCTTTGGCATTGTGTTCCTCTGGGGAGCATGTCTTACCTGCACGGCCGCTTGCCACAATTGGCAAAGCCTCTACGCCCAACGGTTCTTTCTGGGCTTTTTGGAAAGCGGCGTCAGTCCCGGCTTTATGCTGATCGTGGGAGGCTGGTTCACGAAGCAAGAACAAGCCCTTCGCATGGGCGCTTGGTGTTCGTCTCGCTCCTACCTACAAGTTTCCAAAACTAACACCTCCCACCAGATTCCATGACCGGCTACGTCTCAATCTTCTCCCCACTAATCAACTACGGCCTAGGCCACATCACCGGCTCCCTCTCACCATGGCGGTACATGTACCTCGTCGCCGGATCAATCACTATCCTCTGGTCGTTCGTCATCCTCTTCTTCATGCCGCCCGACCCCATCCGCGCCCGCGGCTTCTCCGACCGTGAGAAGTACATCGCTGTGGCGCGTATGCGCCAGAACAACTCTGGTGTCCGCAACACGCACTTCAAGATCGGTCAGGTGTATGAGCTTCTTCTGGACAGGCGATTCTGGATGGTCTTCATTATGGCCTTTACTATGTTGGTTGCGAATGGCCCGGTGTCTACGTTTATCCCGTTGATCATTCGAGACTTGGGATTCTCTGGGTTGAATAGTCTGCTGTTGGTCATGCCGGCTGGATTCGTCATTGGGACGATCGAGCTGGTGGCGCCGTACGTCTGCTATAGGTGGAAGGGGTGGCGGGCTTACGTTGTTACGATTTGTGTGTGTGGTACTATCATAGGGAGCTTCATCCTCTGGAAGCTGCCGCAGTCGCAGAAGGGCGCCAGACTCTTCGGTACGACGAAGTTCATTCCGGACAGCTCTTGTGCTAATGAACTCATAGGAGTCTACATCCTCGCGTCATACGGCGGAGCCTACGCTGTGCTCATGAGCATGCAGATCGCCAACACTGCCGGCTACACCAAGCGCTCTGTTGGGTCTTCGGGCATGTTTGTTGGGTACGTGACATCCAAAGCTTCCAGTCAGGCGGGCACCGGTATGCTAACGTCAGAACAGTTACTGCTTGGGAAATTTCGTCGGCCCGCTGGTCTTCAAAGCCACAGAGGCTCCCAGATACAACACAGGTTGGATTGTGACGATCGCCACCTCGATCGTCTGTGCGGTGGTGAGCCTGATCTATCGCCTGGACTGCGTGATGGAGAATAAGAGGAGGGACAAGGCGGGGCAGATGGAGGCATTTGATCATGCTTACGAAGATGACCTGACCGACAAGAAGAATCCACAGTTCAGATATACATTGTGAGTCACAATCAGGACGCTGGTTCGGAAGGGATCAAGCACGGCAGAACGCTCTGCGACAGTGACACTGGTCGCCGGCCTGGAGATGAGGCGGGTGGGGCTGCAATCGAGAGCGCCTTGAGAGAATTCTCGACCACAGGGCAAAATTATGGTGAGCTGCATCGACGAGCAATACTTTTCAACGTCGATGTCTTTGTGCCTGAGATTCGACGTTGTGGGCTGCTTCGTTCGCCCTGGCTATGAACATGTATCAAATCATTGTGCTCATACACGGGCGATGACCAAGTCGAACGGAACGACTTTCCGTCTTAGTCGTTTTTCGTCTCTCCAAACTCAGAGTATGTCTTCTGCCGTCGAGGATCGATGCGGACTCCGACTTCTGACCCGATCTAGCCCACCTTGTGGCGCCTGTAGACTGCTATTGGGGTTCATGTGCATTACGCTTGCCATACCGTCGTTGGGTTGTGCCTGGGCATACCCATCGGCAGCCTTGGGAGGCGACCGTCTCCCGTTTGCAGCCCAAGGACTGCTATCCTCATCATCTGAACTTGCCAGGCTAGCCATTTCGAGCGAGGTTTCCTCATCAGACAGTCGGTTAGCCGCCTCTTTGTCACCGACGCCGCCACCCTCTTCAACCTTCACTGTCGAGAACAGATACCATAGGCCAAAGTCGTAGGCCAAACGACATATGCCAGCAGCGACGAAGGCAATCCAGAAAGCCTCCTTGGCCGCCAACAGGCCTGTAATTGTGGGACCAGATGTTGCTGCGACAGTGCGAATTGTTGATGTGATGCCTATGACTGCAGTGCGTTCCTCGGGCTTGACAACCGCAGCAATAAACGCTGATCGCGGAGCTTGATCCATATTATTCAGCCCGGCTCTAACGAGCAGAAGCACTGCAGTCAACCAGAAATATGGCGGCGCCGGGAAGAAAAGCACGGCCGCAGAACTCGGCACGTGCGTGAAGACCATCGTGTTGATCAAGCCAATCTTTCTGGCCAGAGGCCCAGCGAAAGTACTGCCGATGGCAGCAAGGAAGTAGCTGGCGGAAGTGACATCTCCAAGTGTAGACTTCGCTGGGTGGAACTTGATGTCCATGTAATAATTTGTGAGTGAGTAAGGAACCATTCCGTCTGCGACCGAGTCACAGGCAAGGAGGATCCACAGCTTGTACATGATGGAACGGGTCTCGCGCCGATATCTGAGAAAGAGAAGTAGAGAGCCATGTGCGAAAGCGATGGAACCAGTTGGTCGGTTGAGGGGACTCCTTCAGGGTGCTGCCAGTCGGCCGCTGGGTGGATGACATCTCTGCCTCTGCCTCGTCTTGAGGGACTTGGGAATAGGTATCCGTGGTTTGGAGTTCGCAGGCATCACTCAACATCAGCATCAAGATCGCGTTGGTGACCCCCATGATGGCATAGATCCAGAACAGTGCATGATAGATCGGCACCACTTCCCAACCCACGTTTTGTAGCGCGTGTATCAGTCGACCGGAGACTTCACTGCCTAGGCTTGACCCGATTGCAGAAATTGTGACGTACCATGCCAGCACGTCTGGCCGTGTGCTTGGCGTCGTCAATTGTGAAAGAACGGACCTAGTGTTCAGATGTTAGCGCACGAAAACGACAGTGACGGTGTTCCAGGCTAATCCATACTCTTCGATGCTTCGGAACGGACCAAAGTCGCCACCTGTGACACTGACGACTCCAACCACAGCGGCCATGAGTAGTATAAAGAAATTCTCAAATACTGCAAATACCACGCCGGTCAACACCATCAGGAAGGAACCTCCGATCAACACCTTTCTTCGCCCAACCTTGTCCGCGACGAGCGTAAGGAAGGTGCCAAGAAGCACATCTCCCACCAATGTTAAGGTCATGAAGAGTCCGATTTGATGGTCGGTATATTTGAGAGCCGAGAAGAAGATCGCTGTAGTAGCGCAAGCGGCTGTGTCAGCGCAAACTTCTGTGCAAATCACGGAACGCTCAGCAGTATCGCAGCAGAGACGTACCTAATATCAAACTATTCGTGCCGTATGCGAACATCCGCAGTGCGCGAGCCAAGATAATGAGATAGGCATTGCGGCCCGTCTCGTGGATAGCGGCGAGCCCAAATTCATGGTAGAACCACTTGATCGGCCGCACGATGGCTGACATCTACTGTATGGTCCCAAGACGCTGTAGTCTTGTGAAGGTTAGGGAAGATGGCGAAAGTTTGCATCTGGGGATCGCAGAACTTTTATTGGAGATGCTCTTTCAACATGCTTTAGGGCATTTGGAAAGTTGCGGTAAGGCGATGGCGTGTCGAGTGGGAGAAGCTTGCCGCGCCCATGCATAAGCGAAGACATATTGCAGGCGCCATTGACTATAGTAGAAACGTGCAGTTACTGTGAGTGGACGGGGAAGGTGGGAGGGTGGCGTGCCGCGGTGAATGCCCGATAGAGCCGCACTTAGACCGAGAATGAACGGGAGCAGGAGCGAGAGCGAGATCGGATATAATAGTTTAGTAAAGAGCGAAATGTGCTTCAAGTTATACTCAACAGCTTCAATACTAACATAAGTGTGATCAGATGACAGAGCTCGTTCATGACCCTGGCTGAAGTGCACGCCATCAAGGAATGAAGCTGTTTCCTAATCCACCCCACCGATCCTTCACAGATAAGGCAGGTACGCGACTCGCAGAATGTTATCTGCACGGGCTCGATGATGACGACTCAAACCCCTGAGCATTGACATTGACAGCTAGTGACGGTGTAACGCTGCATGGATGAGCGCGACCATCGCAGTACTGTATTTTGTGAGCGCTGAAGCACTGTTTTCGATGCGAAAAGTCTTAGCACCTTGAACATACACCAGCACCGCCTTGTCTTCACCAAGATGACCTCAAGTAACCGAGGGAGTCATCGACAAATGTCCTCCGTCGATATTGATTACAGACCCATTCATGTAGGCACCTGCTCGAGAGGCTAAGAAGAGCATTAACCCAGCGACATCCTGCGATGTCAGCATCGAAAATTCCATAGGTACATAATAGGCCTACCTCAGCAGTACCAGTCCTCCCTGCAGGGTGTGTTTCAACGGGCATACCGCCACGCTTTTCCGCGACTGGCGGAAGGAACTTGTCGGTCATGCCTGTAACGAAAGCGCCCGGACATATCGTATTTGCGCGGATATTCAAATGTGCGAAGTCGTGACTGACACCTTTGGCAAAGTGCACGCAAGCAGCTTTAGAGGCGTTATACATGTAGCCTGTCAACGTCTTCTTCAGGAGACCGCTAAGACTTGCAACGGCGATGAACTGAGAGTCAATCTCTTTCTGACGGTAGACACTTGACTCCTCGGTATTCCCAGCATGCAGTAGTGTCAGGAAAGCGGTGAACAACCAGTATACGGACTCGACGTTGGTGTCAAATACCCCTTTATCCTCGGCTTCACTGGCCCACAGGAACTTGGCGACATCCTCCGCGGATCCAGGCTCGTGGGGGACCTTCATGAACTTGGTGGAAGCCAGGTAGCCGGCATTTGATACCAAAACATTGATGAATGTCGTGTGCTTGCGAATCTCTGCAACCGCAGCCTGCAGTGATTCGCGATTTGTGACATCGCAGGTCACTGGAATGATCGTAGAGTTTGGCTGCCTTCGTCAGTCCACTCCATCATTTCAGGTATACACGAGATACCCACTGCTCCTTTTGCGACTTTCTGCAACTCCGCAGTGCGTCGTCCCAGTATGAAGACTTTGGCTGCTCCATTGGCATCAAACGCCTCTGCAGTCCATTTGCCAATGCCAGTGCCGCCACCTGTAACAACACAGACTAGTCCTGACACGGAGAAGAGGTCAGACACCAAAGCCGCCATGATAAATGTCGAGGGACGAGAAACCGGCGCACCTTTCGCAGCGTGGTGCAATGTATATATATACCCAGATAATGAACCGACAAGCCTGATGGTGCTCTTGCAGACAATAGTGTAGCTCGCAGAAACTCATCCCGCTATGCCTGTTCCAGAGCACTTCATCTGCCGCTCTATACAGGTACCACGGGACGGCAGGCGGAGGCTTGTCCCAAAAAGGGATAGACTCCGAATTTGGGAAGAGGCAAGCGGCATCTATAGGCCGCTACTGAGATCAAAGCTGACAATGCCGCCAGCCTGTTCGTCGTACCGCCTCAGGAAATATCATCGTTTAGTCGGCGAATTGTCTGGGCTGAGCTGAGCACGAGTTAGTACACGGATGAAGAGAGCAAGTGAAGACCAGCTGGAGGAGGCAGTTCAACCATGCCAACAGGTAAGCAACAAGGTACAACCTGCGCAAAACGACGTGCTGAACGCCCGGATCGTCTTCATAGGTGTGATATGGCGACCGGGAGCATGGCACAAGAGCTGGGTGGGAGTGGATCTTTGAACGCCAAGCTCGATGGACATTATTTGTGCTTGTTCAACATAGGGAGCGGAGTGGCGTGAAAGGCTCCGCGACAGCCGCTGAGAGTCCGGATATCAGTGGTGGAGGCTCAAGCTATCAGTCTCGGCTGCATACTCCCATGGTCCGCGGCATCTCAACAGAGCACTGGTCAGACCCACGAGCCGATTCCCCTGGCGACCTGACTCTTCATTGCTGACCAATACATCCCACAAAAGAGCCGAAGCTTCACCCGCTGCAGTAGAGCGTTCACAGGCGGGCTTTGCTTTGTTCAATTGTACCATCTTGGGGTTGAGGCAGCAGATGCGAGCAGGCTGCGGACACAAGTACGGGGCATTTTCCACATTACAGGTTTCTAGGTCCAGGAGGGCGCCTAAGATCCATGAATTTTCTGTGTCTTAGTCAGTGATTGTGAGATGAGCCTCACTTGAGCGTTCAACATTAATGAACACATATCGGGAAATACTGGCCAGGAAGGGCGCTGTAGGAATCTTGACAACTTGAAGGTCGAGTCTGGAGAAAATGTATGTACGGTACTAGCGCGGTCCGTAAAAAGCGGAGCTGTGACTTGATCACGTGTGCTCCTGCCAAGAGTTTCGATTGCGCCCACTGCACCCACGAAAATTCCGTGCATGCGACCAATTACTGCATCACCACACTCTCTTTCCTATCGTTCCAATCTTTCACGACTCATCGGCAGACGGTTGAAGGCGATCCCTCTCAGCCGCCACGATGAAGTTGAACATCTCATATCCCCAGAATGGTACCGCGCACTCTCGAGTTTTGGCGGAGCAAACACTAATACAAACCAGGGACCCAAAAGCTGATCGAAGTCGAAGAGACCGCAAACTGCGAGTATTTATGGATCGTCGCATGGGCGATGAAGTCTCCGGCGATTCCCTCGGCGATGAGTTCAACGGCACCGTCCTCAAGATTACTGGCGGCAATGACAAGCAAGGCTTTCCGATGAAGCAGGGTGTCGTATGTGGACCCTTCTCCTGAAAGCGCCAGCACAGAATGCTGAGACTTGTCTATACAGATGCTTCCTACCCGAGTCAAGCTCCTGCTCGCCGAAGGCCACTCATGCTACCGTCCTCGCCGGACCGGTGAGCGCAAGCGCAAGTCCGTTCGTGGCTGCATTGTCGCTCAAGATCTTGCCGTCCTTGCTCTGTCTCTCGTCAAGCAGGGCGAGCAGGACATTCCGGGCCTCACCGACACCGTCCAGCCCAAACGTCTCGGTCCCAAGCGTGCCACCAAGATTCGTCGCTTCTTCGGTCTCACAAAGCAGGATGATGTTCGGTATGTCTGAATAATCTAAGTACCAGAGCACGTCTCTAACATGTCTTATAGCAAGTTCGTCATCCGACGCGAGGTCACTCCCAAGAAAGAGGGCGCGAAACCCTACACCAAGGCTCCCAAGATCCAGCGACTCGTCACACCTCAACGTATGCAGCACAAGAGACATCGTCTCGCTCTCAAGCGCAGACGTGCGGAGGCTTCCAAGGACGCGGCCAACGAGTACTCTCAACTGCTGGCTCAGCGTGTCCACGAAGAGCGTGAGAAGAAGAGTGAGCTGCGGAAGAGACGTGCTTCAACCGCGCACAAGTAGATGGCCGGTTGTGCTGTTGTCGAGCGAAATGCATGGATGGCGTGCGCTTGTCTCAGGAAAGCATCCTGAGAACCGAGCATGAGCAGTCATCTGACCTGGGGAGGTCACGACACGAAGGTTGAATGGGATAGGCTGGTCAGACACATTCTTGAACCATTTGTGCTACCATCAGAAGCAAGTTCTGCATCCACCGCAATGCCCGCCGAGATACCAACGACCACATTCCATAGATTGAGCAATTGATCTCTTTCACCGACCATTTATTCGATATCGAACTGGATTCTCTCTGCCTTCTCGTGACTGCATCGTACCTTTTTGCCAAGCCCCCAGTGTCTGCGGGGCCAGACTTTGTCCCTCGCTGCCAGTTGCGTTTTTCTTCATGACAGATTTCACTTTGTCGGCTTCTGCTCAGCATGTTTCCTCCATAGTCACCGACTCGATCGCCGGCAGCATGGCGTCCAATTCAATAAAGCTGCTGACTGGCAACAGTCACCCTGAGCTCGCGAAGCTTGTGGCTAAGAGGTACGTCGTCGCTCCTGCCGCGTTTGGCGCATTCGAGATGTTGCAATTTCAGTATGCGGTAGTCACGACTGGAACCGTTGCTAACAAGGATTCGCAGATTGGGCATTGAGCTCACCAAGATTATGGTGCTACAGTACTCAAATCAGGAAACATCAGTCACAATTGGCGAATCTGTCCGAGACGAAGATGGTACCTGACCCTCAATGCAATCGTGGCAGCGAATGTCCTGACTTTCCGCAGTCTTCGTCCTGCAGTCTACACGTCCTGGCGACATCAATGACGGGCTCATGGAGTTGCTAATCATCATCAACGCCTGCAAGACCTCGTCTGCCCGCCGGATCACGGCTGTCTTGCCGAATTTCCCATATGCACGACAAGACAAGAAAGACAAATCAAGAGCGCCCATCACAGCAAAGCTGATGGCCAACATGCTCCAGACTGCCGGCTGCAACCACGTCATCACAATGGATCTGCATGCTTCGCAAATACAGGGCTTCTTCAACGTGCCAGTCGACAATCTCTACGCTGAGCCATCATCAACCAAGTGGATTCGGGAGAACCTGCTGCACGTCGGCTCAACCGGCGCTGAGGTCAATGGTGCTCGACAAGAGTGTGTTATCGTGTCGCCTGATGCTGGCGGTGCCAAACGAGCGACATCAATGGCCGACAGACTGGACTTATCCTTCGCGCTGATCCACAAAGAACGCTCGCGGCCGAACGAAGTCTCACGAATGACCCTGGTTGGTAACGTGCAGGACAAGGTCGCAATTCTTGTGGATGACATTGCTGATACGTGCGGCACACTTGCGAAAGCTGCAGACACCCTCATCAAGCATGGCGCTAAGGACGTCGTCGCGCTCGTCACTCATGGTGTCCTCTCTGGCAATGCCGTCGAGACCCTCAAATCTGGAGCGTTGTCAAGGCTTGTCGTCAGCAACACGGTTCCAATCCCAGAAGCGAAAATGGAAGCGTTGAGCCAGGAAGTCTGGGAGGGCGGCAAGCGCAAGGGCTGTAAACTTGAGACTATCGACATCGCCCCAGTCCTTGCTGAAGCTATCCGCCGCACGCATAACGGCGAGAGCGTTAGCTATCTCTTCAGTCATAGTGTCGACTGATCTCGACGGGACTTTATTTACATGTGAGATCTGGGCTTGGCGGCGCTATGGCTGGGTAAAGCCTTCGTGGCACCACAAAAGCATACAATCTACAGGAGGATTCCTGGAGCCCGCGATGATAAGGGCATTTGCATTATACAAGGCGTTCCAATGATACCCTGGTGCGATGGGAATGTACAGCTCCATCGTTCCCTAACGTCGAAGAGGCTCACTAGGTACAGAAGAAAGTGTATACCGACGTCTCACAATCGTTCTCTCTTTACGCTCAGTTCTGTGCCTGCAGAGCATATCCATGAAGAGCCGCAAAAGAGGCTTCTTGGCGGTACCTGCAAGGTGACTAATCTCAAATCATCGGGATCCTGGCTATAACCAGAACGAGTTACTGCCGCTTCCATTCACGGGAAAAGGGTAGTGCATGATGCCAAGGCGAGACTGAAAGCCCCGCTCGTGTCACGACCGTGCAGATAATGCGAGAAACACGCAGCCCTATCAGAAACGCAGGGATTGTCTATATGCTCCCAGAATGCTTGCGATTGGATAGGACTGTCACTATGCTATCACATTGTTGTTTGCGTTCGATATCCCGCTGCAGATGTTAGGGCCTCCGAACGACTGGGTCCGCTGGCACTAGCAGTGCCAGATTTTCTGTGCTTTCCCCCGACCACGGACGATTGTCGCTTAAGCGAGACGCTTGACTTGTCCTTTCGACAGCGAGATGGACACCGTAATATCTACAGCGTCCGTCTGAAGGCGATGGCAAGACAAATGACCTCACTTGCGGACTATGTGGGCTTCGTTCCGCCATCCCACGTGGACTGTGTAGAGTACAGCCAACGCCGCCGAACTACCCACAATGACCGACGTCGATGTCACTCGGCCAGCGCAATTGCTCTTTCTGCCCACGAACACAGCGGTTTTCAGGAAAACGAACGACCACGTTCGACGTATTATCAATCGCCATGTACAGCGGCGGGCGCAACGAAGACGTCGGACTGATGGCCCGCCACCTCCTTCGCTCATGATCGATGTCTTTCCCAGCCCGGCGGACATTGAAGAAATAGTGACAGACGCTGATCCTGTCACACTCAGAGAAGTGACCGACGATGATGTTGAGTTCCTGCATGCGCCATCACCAAGCCCAGAATCAACAGCATTGGCAGTGGTGGCCCCTGTGTTCCAGCCACAGACCTACCTCGACTCATCACGTATGGACCCATTCTTGACGTCCCAGCTCACCATCACGCCAGCGGTAGCGCCAATATACAACCGCTATTTCATCGACATTATGTCGGTCTTCGAGCCTCTTCATCAGGAGCGCGAAGAGTACAACTCGTGGCTTGTACCGTTGACCCTCAAGGAACCTGCCTTGTTGTATGCGCTGCTTGCATGTATGGCGTACGACATGGAAGAGGTTCCCTCAGCCAATTTTGGACCAGTTCGACGACGAGACATGTTGGGCCAACGCGTGCAATACCAACTCTTGGCGATTGAAGCTCTTAATCGGTCGCTTTCTAACCCAGCTTTGGCACTAGAGGCTACGACTCTGCTAGCTGTTCATTTTTTGTCCTGGCAAGAGGTGAGTTGAAGTGCTTCTCACGAGCAACCCACTGATATCCTCAAACAGAACTCGATCGATGGGGACTCCGTGCATCTGAACGGTGTCAAAAGATTGTTAGCGCTCAGGGGTGGCTTCAAGGGTATACATCGGAAGGAGATAGAGACAATCATGGGGTAAGGCCATCTCCAGCCTACCTAGGAGTGAAGCGGTATCTGACCATAGGAACCTAGAGGTAATGCATGGCATGCAATACGCACAAGGTCGAGGCCTATATTGCCGACCGTGCTCGATGACCTTCCCATGTCAGAAGCACGATTCCAAGAGATTCTTGATGGAAGTGATCCTTGTGTCGCAAAGAATAGCGCGCAACTGCTGAGTCGTAGCATGCGCTCGTACTTCGGCGCAGATTTCTGGGCTCTGCTACAAGATTCGAGAAAGGTCTGGATGTAAGTGATCCTCCCGAATCGAAGAGCGATGTAATGTTGTGAGGGAGCGGACCTTGACTCACGCGCCTCACTTCGCAGCTGCTACGAGCAGATAGGAACCTTCCCCTTCGAGCCTCTGGAAAAGCGCTACATCAGCATCAAACGAGTCAACATAGACCACAGATTTCTGTCATACGCACTGGACCACCCCGACGACGTTGAACATTCTCCAATCCAAGAAGTCGTCCGTCTCGCCTATATTCTTTACTCGCGCGCCCACTACGGGATCGTGCAACCTTCCTCGGTCGTTGCTCGCGCTCTCGTGGCCGACCTCAAATACGCTCTTGAGCAGTCCGATCTCCGCAGTTTCTGGAACGACGCAAGTAACGTCCTGTTGTGGGTGCTGTTTCTCGGTGCTCATATGAGCGCTGGACAGGTCGAGAGGAGCTGGTTCGTGACAGCGATGTGTAAGATTCGGTCGGACAAGATGAGAGGTGATAAGAGCTGGTTTGGGGCGAGGAGAGTGTTGCTGGGGTGCTACTACTCTGATCGAGTGTTTATGGAGAGCTTAAAGAGGGTGTGGGAGGAGGTAGAGACATTGGCGGGGTTGCTGGACTTATACTGAGGTTGCGTTAAGCTGTTTTGCCGGTTGAATAGGGGTCTTCTTGATCAGCAACGCACGCAAGCGAAGGCCTGCAGGCAGTGAGAGGGAGGAGCTCAGTGGACAAGGTGGTCCAGCGCTAAGTACCCCAATACGAAGCGGTAGGCTGTGCCTACTGGTCCTACTCTGACGAAGACAAGGGTCGCTTTGCAACATGGCCAGCATCATGCTCCGAATCTGGTAGCAGGTGTGGGTCCGCCTGGCCAACAAGGTGTCCTGGTTGATACGGTTTATGCCAGATTCCGCAGCAGGCATCAACCGGCTTATTTGACGATCGACCGTGACCTGCTACTGGTACTGGATACAGGCAGCCATGAGTCAGGTACTCTGCTTCGAAGTTCTTCGGGCCCGTCTACAGTCACTTCCAGAAGCCATCATCAATGCCTATGCTAGCACCAAATCGCCAGCAAAAATAAAGGCCACCAGCGAGCCGTTACGGGGAGTACTTTGTGGCAAGCGTGTCTTTGGCCGCGTCGAAGCCTTGAGAGTCTCGGATGATGATTGCTGATTGATTGGCAGAGTAGCCACGTACTCAAACGTACAGTCCAAGAAGCGGCCAGCCTTGCGTGCCCGAACGGCCATGGAGCGCACCTGCGCCGCTGTGTGGTGGCTGGTTTGGGGCATGGGCATTTGGCTTAAAGATCGACCGTATCACTTTAACGAGGACCTCTAGCAATAGCTGTGGGTGCAGATACAGTGGACCGGCACTGCCGTACATGTTGAGTTCAAGAGTCGACGGGTCTCTCGTGCCCATGTTGCTTCACATCGCGCCCGTGCTGGCACCTGTGTTGCTGTGTACAGTGGATGGTTTCAGGCACGCATCTTTGGCTCGAGAATCGACTGTCATGGTGTGACCACAACATATGACATTCCCATACAGCCGTACTGCACATGCGTACCGCCATATGGAACGCCGTCTGGTCCAAAAGATGGGGAATTCGTTGGCCTTTTTGTTCTTGATGCTCTTCAACGGCTCATGCAGCGGTAGATCTGTGATGCTATGGACTACATCGAGTTCCCATTCATGGCGCTCGATGCCACTTCACTGCGAGCTAGCATTCACGCTGAGCTTCGCCAACTATTGACAGACAATCTTGGGAGACCTTGGTGGCCCACAGTGTTAATATGTCTTTGGACCACCTTCGACAAGGTCTCGGTCTCCGAGCTTCTTACCAATTACGCCTTCACGTCGGCAAAGCTATCCCTCAAGCTTTCTTCGAGTGTGGTGAATCCTTTACCACCCTTCATGGACTTGAGAATTCCCTCTGCACCCTCGTTTGGAACATGGCTGAGATCTCGTCCAATGCCTGGAAGATCGTCGATGAAGGTCTTGTTGGGATACAGCTTGCGCAGAATGGCGAGCACGTCGTTCCAGTTGTATGGATAGCCGAATCCGAAGATACGCGAGCCAACATTGCCATCCTCGGGCAACGTCAGCGCCGCAACGTGCAGCTTTGCCGTGTCACGGACGTCCACGAAGTGTTCTGTTCGGCGTGTCAGTCTTGTTATGCAACAAGTTGGGATAGAATGGACACTTACGAGGGGGTACAGCCTTGACTTGGTCGATCTGTCCGTCATAGAAGGCCTTTGGCCATCCACCGGTGCTGGGCCAACCTTGCGCCTCTCGGTCCAACACCGGGCCATGGTTTGCGCTGGGCAAGACGGTGCTGAAGACGAAATTCAGCTCACCCTTCTCTTTGGCCTCCCTCACCCATGCCCATGCGGCTTTCTCTGCGGCCACCTTGCTAGCAGCATAGTTGGTGAAGATATTGGTGGCATCGAAGGGCGGTTCACGAGCATTCTTCGCCGCCCATTCGTTGTAGTCATTGCGACCAAGGGTGTATTCTTCGTCGACCTTCCACGGAGCTGCGGCCATGCTTGACGAAGTGTAAACGAATCGCTTGATGCTTGGGGTTTTGGCAGCAGTGCGAAGTGGATTGACTAGGGCGTTGACGACGTCCGTGATATATGGTTCTGGATCAGGTGAGAGGCCGGTGTTTGCAACGTGGGCTATGCCTGAGACTCCTGCCACGTCATTAGCATCCGAGATTGGCTTGGACTGACGAACATACCATCGAGACCACCATCCAAGGCTCCCTCGTTTTCGAAGTTGTCGGCAGCAACCAGCTCAAATCTGTCCGGACCGAAGTGCTTGTCAAAGTAGGTCTGTAGCCACTTGGACTTGCTGACATTACGAACGGTGCCCCTGACACGGAGACCAGACGCGAGTGCTTCATTGGCGATTGCTGAGGCAAGGTAGCCATTGACGCCGGTGACCAGGACAAGAGAGTCTTTCTCCATACCTTAGTTCTTGCAACAGTTCAAGGGGCCCTCGTAGATAATATGGCAGTACTGAGAAGTTGACGATCTACATAATTAATGCAAGGAATGCACCTTTGTCGAGCTTGAGAGTCGAATATCTCAACTTATACAAGTCACTTAGCGTTCACCTCGTAATAGTCCGAAGTCACTGGCTTACGAAGAACCTGCATTCACCATCGTGGCAACCCCACTTTGTGTTGTCCGCAACTGCCCCATTTTCACATGAATGTCAAATACTTGGTGGTGCCTTCTAGTACTTGAGGACCAGGACTTGCTAGTCCAGACCTGGGAAATGACGAGCCTGGCAAGTGTGTTCAAGACATCGTTACTGACGTTCTCGGTTGGACCAGCCGCTCATCAGGGTGACTAATGATCTGCAGGCACTGAATGCATGCCAAGGCCTCGCAAAGCCAACCTTAAATTTGTCAGCCACTTGCGGCATGAGCAACATATCACACTATCGTAGGCTGAATGTCACAGCAAGTCGACTATGTCTGCTCAGAGTCCGCGCGAAGATTGTCCGCATTCATCTCGACTAAGTCGCTGGACTTCGTCAAGTCTTCCATGGATGTAGATGGGGATCAAGCTCCGCGATGCAGGTCGATTTGGCAATCCCCCTTTCTGCCAGCACATCGCACATTGGCTGGATCGAACGGCACTGGCGTACCTCTTCGGCACCCTCTATACCCGTATATATCGATCCATCCTTGTGTCGCAAGGTGAGTCGTGGTTGCTCTACAGTATCGTCGGCGTTGCACAGGACAATTTTACGCATATAATCTAGACAGTGTGGCCAGTGATCGTGACGGAAGTCCATGCCGACGTCCTTTCCTTCGCTCGCTTGCTGTATAGCCAGACGGAACCTGGCGATGCAGCGTAGCTGATGAAACCTGGGGAAAACTCGTTAGCAAGGACTGCATTGCCTAGCCCTAGACAGGCGCCGACTCACATGCTGAACTCTCCTCGATCGAAGGGACCGTCTGGGGTGGAATACTCGCCAAGGTGATCTTCGAGCATTACTTCCCACAGAGCGTCTGCAGCGTGGTTTCGGGTCATGTACCGGCTGTCTCTGCCAAGCGTCGTTGATCGATACTGGGATGAGAGCGACGCACTCAGTGTCGTCCCTTGACAATCAGTTGACGATGGCAGGCGGCTGACGAGAACCGTGATGGCGATGAGCGACAGAGCCAACAGACAAGTCAGCGTAGCGACAGCCACTTTCAGGCCGCGGAATGTCGACGAATGCACGCGGTCAGTACATCGACTCGCCGGCCCATCGTCGACCTCGAAGCCTTCCTCGTTGTTCTCCCTCAGCTTGCTATACTCGTGCATTGACATCGGCGCATCAGTCCCAAATCGTGTCTGCTTTGTCCCATCGATCTGATCGCTCGTAGCTCATCCATAGAGCATCGATGCGATCATCCGGTGCCTGCATCGTGTTGAACTGCCAAGTCTATGCCGAATCTCGAAGCTACGTGCATGGGGCGATTTCTTCTCCACTAAGGCATGCTATTGGGCAAAATTACTGCCTATTATGGTAAGCAATAAGCCGTAAGCAAAGTGACTGCCATACTGCACATCGTGAGAGATAATCCAAGGCCCATCAGACGGTCTGTATATTGCCAATAATACCAGCAACATGCTCAACAGCGCATTGAGGCATCGACCAGACGGCCATGGGTGGCTGGGTGCCAGAATCGGACAAGGAGGACTCTCTAAGCCATGTTCGTCATTCACGCAAAGAAGCATACTTCCGGAAGATCCTCCTCGTCACAGGAGCAGCAACCATACTCTTATCACTAACAACATACTGTCTCCTCCGCCTCAACCTCCACCAGCTCAGCATCTCAAATTGCAGCCACTCCGCCGCCGAAGCCCGTGCCAATGGCTGCCACTACGAGCCCATGCTCGCCTCATGGATTCCCACCGAATGCTATGAGCCCGAGCCTCGCGACGAGTACGCACCATACGACGACCGCGCCTGGTTCTGGGACTACAACATGACCATACCCATGATTGGCGAAGATCTTGAACGGAAACGTCGCGGGGACGATATCACCGGCTACACCAAGTTCTTCCATGACGAGCACTGTTTGTATGCCTGGCGGAAGCTGCATCTTGCGGTGGAGAAGCGACGAAAGCTGGTCGACAGCAAGACGATGGACTTGCATCATTCGACGCACTGTTCGAAGCGCATTGCGAAGCTGATATACAATGTCGGGATGTGGGATATAATGAGACGCTGGACCATACTTCGCGGTCGCCGGTCATGTATCAGACTTGTGTGCCGTTGCCTTGGAAGACGCGGTGGGATTGGATAATTTAGCTGCTCCGTGTGCGCTGGCGCTGAAGTAATTTATTGTAGTAGCTGATGTGCAGGCGATGTCAGTACTTTGAAGCATACTTAAGTGTCCAAGGTCGAAATTACACGCTTTATTTACCGTGAGTTCACATATTTCATCAGGTGCTGCCAGCAGATGATCCACAACGAGCCGGAGGTGGATACGGTCCATCCCAAGCTTGCCCGTCTGGCCTTTTAATCAGCTGCTGTTTCGCATGAAGTGCATGCTCCGAAAGCCAGCCGCCGAGTGCAGTCCAATTGACGCACTGATGGACGATGGTGTTGTTCGCCTTTGCGGAAAGCCCATCTTCCCTCCAGACGATTGGTCGCAATGTTAGGTCTGGCTGGCACATGATCCATTGGCGCAGAGTATCGATACAATGATCTGTTCAGCCCAAGTCAGTACTTTCACGAGTACACATACACCTCCGGAGACCTTTCGCAACATACCTAGATGGATTGGGAAGCCATCGGCATCGCTTCTCGAGTCGCGCGACGGACACGCACTTCCATGGATATGGTGACGAATCGAATCCTGACATAGGGTTAGACATCGGCTTGTTATGTACGTGGTCGCGGTGCTCACCAGGCAATGTAGGTGATGAAACATGCTCAAAGACACCCAGGCGTCCCCAGATTCATCCGAAAGATGGACAGTCGATGCGCCTGGTGCTATCGCAGTTCTCGGAACTCGTATGTTGTAATCTATTTGGGGACAAGTTAGGCCGTCAGTGTCGCTCTACACCTTCTCGCGCTCCAGCTCCAGCACTCACTCTGTAGTACATGCTTCCAGAGCTCGTTGCGTTCTGGATTTGGAGCGCCACTGTAGGGATTGTCGGGTCCTGTGTGCATTTCCGATATCGTGATTAGAGGCAATGAGCTGATTGCATCATAAGCCGGAGCTGCAGTACTCCTCGTCAGCTCCAGCTCTCAAGTCAAGCAATGAGAACTCAACTCACATGCTGTCACCATGCTTGGTTGCTGTCTGACTGGTGAGGTGGCCTCCACGAGTACCAAACGAACACCGCACAGATATGCAGCAAGAATTGTGAGAAACACTGCTCCTAGAAGACACAAGATCTGAAGTATCGGGTACCGCCGCCGAGCTGCTATGCTTTGTCGCTCGAGCTCGTCGGCATCTCGTTCCGACGAGGCTCCCAGATTCTTTAGGTCGTCTGCACCGCCGTCGAGCAGCTTCTCCGTTGCGCCATCGCACTGCATTGGTGGCATGTCTCTCTAGCACATCGATGCTTCGAGCCTCCACGAAACCGCTGTGCAGAATCGATTCGATGTCTGTTGGTTGATAGCCTCACTCCTCGGCGCTTGCACTAAAGACCAATTGATCGTGGTCCGGGCGGATACCACTGCTCTGGCAGAGCATCCTCAGCGGATGGGCGGTAAGCTTGCACACGCTCAGCCATGTTTTGGGGTACCACTCTGGCGGTCGTCGATCAACTAGGTACAGGAGCAAGAGTAATGCTTACGGTCCCTGAGAATAAGCTCTAGATGACCAGCCGGATGACTATACTACGGAGAGCGATTGCGCCACCACGTACAACGATTCTGTTGAAAACTCCCCGCTCCGTGCCCCGCCCTCCCCTTAACCGCCCCAAGATGTCCCTGGGTCAAAAGACGGGCCGTGAGGCAAACTCTGGTTCCTAGAAATTTCGTAGTCGTAGTCGCAAAATTGCACTGAGGGCAAATAGATTTATTCATCTGAGGCACTCACGGAACTGATAGAAGTCGAATTAGGAAGGTGAATTTCCCGATAGGGTGCCACTGTTTGACGTCAGCTCCCCTTGCTCGCACATCTCTCCATTTCCGTCACCTATGGCCGGACTCATGCTCCACGGCATGTTCCTTGCTCGAACTTTGTACCATGTCGGCATGTCCGAGTATAGAAGAGGTCAGTCGCGTTGCTCGATCTACTTCATGAGTGTGGCTGTTGACTATGGCATTATTGTTTCGCAGACCTGTCAGATCTATTCGAGGTATGTAAGAGAATGGCCATTAGTGAATCCTATGGGTTTCTCTATGCTATATATCTTTGCTCGAGCTCCCTCCAGCGTACTCATTGCCATGACGGATCCCATGCCGCGCTGGAGGGCACAAACGGACTGCGGCTTTCTGTCCTTCCCCCGATGCAAAACGCCTATGGCTTGCGTTCGATGACGACGGGGGCACGCTTGTCCACATTGTAGTCAGTCTGCCAGTCAGCTTGTGCTACTGGCTCCGGCTCAGCTAGGTTTGTTATTCTTGCATCATCGGACTGTCCTTCGACTACTCACGACAGGAGTGCGCTTGTCGACATTATAGTCAGTCTGCCAGTCGGCCTGACGCTTGTCCACGTTGTAGTCGGTCTGCCAATCCGCCTGACGTTTGTCGACATTGTAGTCAGTCTGCCAGTCAGCTTGGCGTTTGTCGACGTTATAGTCAGTCTGCCAGTCAGCTTGACGTTTATCGACATTGTAGTCGGTCTGCCAGTCAGCTTGGGGGCCTGGCGCGGGCTGGGCCTGTTATTGACGTGCGATCGCGTCGAAAAGAAAGTACTTACCACTGGAGCAGCCAGCGCAAGGCCGCTAAGAAGCAGCAGGACCGCTGAGTTGACAACTGAGACCCTCATGGTGGGCAAAAGCTGAAGGGTCGACGTTGGTCAGAAAGAGCAAGCAGTATTGGGGTGGTGTTGAAGCGACGGACGACTTCTGCAGGGGCAGACCTCAGCAAACTCCAAGCCAGGATAACATGCATAGGCTGTCGTTATATTGAAGAGACAGGTACGCTATCGGAGACGACGTGTGATTCGCTTGCAGGTAAGCCGCCGCAGGATGCATGCGCTGCACTGGCGGCAGATGAGCACAACCGCAGAGCCAGTCTTCTGGTACAACATCACTGGTCTGCTAGCTCTTATGGCTTATTGGTGAGACTCACGTCTGTGCAGATCAGAAAGAGTGTAAGCAGACTTCACTTACGGATCAGGGTGTGGGACGCTACTAGTCTTGGCTAAGGAGCAGCGATAGCCCTTCGACAATGGCTATCGTGCTGCCATGGTCTGGATTCGCATGAAGCTCGCGGCTCGTCTGTCCTACGAGCCGTTGGGTCACCGTCTGGAGACGGCCATGTTTAACAAAAGCGTCGAGACCAAGTACTTCGACGATGCCAACGATGACGACTCGAGTTCGGACCCCGTCTCGCTGCCACGACGACGGCGGTCCAAAGCTCGCTGGATTGCGGTCTGTGCAGTCACATCAGTCCTCTTCAGCCTACTTTTTCTGCTGCTGTGGCACATGATGTACAGCCCGGGATTTGTATTAGGGGACAGAACGAGGGATTCGAAGGAGATGTGGCCACATAGTACGAAACTGTTGTACCGAGCTGTCCGGAATGCTAACGAATGGCTACAGTTGATACGAGAAGTCTCACCTTCGGTTTACAGAAGGTCTACACAGATCGAATGGAAGCGGGAAATAGAGCATGGGAAGCATTGATGCCAGGTAAGTCCATGTGACTTCTCGCATTCGAACACACACTAAGCAGCCCGATTCCAGTCGGTCGAGGCAACATATTAGTCGAGAACCCACGTCAGTACAAAGACTTGGGACCTGGCGTGCCCCAGTCCAACCCAAACGTAGAGGGCTACGGCATCACTGTCTTCCATCAGCTTCATTGCCTAGCAGAGCTCCGATATGCTCTGCATAGCCTACAGAACGGCGACGACAGCTACAAGACCCCGCCGCGGCATCTAGATCATTGTCTGGATTACATACGGGAGTCGCTGATGTGCAACGGTGACACGACCATCGAGACCCCGAGTCGTATTGAGCGGAAGGGTGATCATTTCGTGGGTGGTGTTGATGGCACCAACGTTGTACACACGTGTAGAGATTGGGACGCAATCTACTCGTTTGCGGTGGAGCATCGCAGCGGCAACCACACGGGCCATATAAACCCAGGGGCACATCTGGGCCACGAAGCATAAAGACCGGTACAAATAACCACTTCTGCTGGATGAACTGAGGTGGCTGTGGCTACAGGGCACTGAGGTAGCTGTCTGACGTCCTTTCTGATCGCCAAACATCCGTCCTGGCAGAGTCGTTCCAAGTGTCTTCCCTGCGCTCTCCGGACCAGCATTCAAGTGTGCAAGCTCGACCTAAGAACCCTTAGAAGGGAAGAAAGTGTGCCAAGTCCCTGGATTGCTTACGCCAATGACAACGGGGGTAATTCATGCTTATTGGCTGATGCGTAAGCGTACACTCGCTGTAGAAAGAGGGCAGCTTCAACCCACAGACGCTGCATTGATTGACATGCTAGATGATGATGCTTACACCGGGCATGGGCAGTCATGCAGTTCCTGAGCCAAAGTGCCCTAGTAGGCAGGCTCGCAAGACCGGGCTCGCTATCTACTCCGTACAGCGCTTGTATCACGACTCAGGCTACCCATCAATATGGCGTGATTGTCTGGTCTCTGGCGATGCAAGAACGTCGACACAATCCCGTCCGCCATGTCGAAGAACCCATTGCTGTCCGATGATTCATCTGACTTGGAGGACGACATCTCCCTGTCGCGCGGAGGTTATGCATCACCTCCCAGCATCTGGCCACAGCGGGTCCTTCGCTTGCTACAATGGACCGAGCACCTGCTGCTAGGCACTGCTATCTGCATCATCGTTGTTCTGTCAGCAACATGGGGTCGGCAGAGCCGAACAGATGCACAGTGTGGCCGACAGCTTTCGGCGTTCTGTGAGTCTTGACCATAGCACCGACAATCAGTGCTCATCGTGAGGGCCCAGCTGACAATCACTGTAGCTTTGCCAAAGTTGCTTGACCTCGCGGTCGGCAGCTACCATGACCATCATTTCCAGGGATCACTGCTCGCAAGCAACGAGTACAAGGACCCGCCAAGTCTGTCACCACCGAGCAAGGCCGTGGATGAGACTTGGGAGATCTTCAAAACCAGTGAGTATCCTTGTCAGGTAGTCTCAACTCAAATATGCTGACGGCACGTCGCAGTCGGTGCAATCCATATCACTGAAGACGACGTCAGAGCACTGGGCAAAGATCCGCGAAAGACTGTGAGATGGCCGGAGAAGTATGGCGGCGGGTATATAGGCTTCGTGGAGTCTTTGCATATGTTGCACTGTCTGGACTTTGTTCGGAAGATGACTTGGGGTGAGCATTACGCTGGTGACAAGTATTTTCAGGAAGACGCATTTGGTGTTCGCAGACATGCTGGTAAGATACACCCAGACTTGACCGGAGGGTTGGTCAAAAGACGAGACTGACATCGCTGTGGCACTATAGACCACTGCATTGATATCATCCGCCAGGCACTGATGTGCAATGCGGACGTTGGGATCTTCACATATGTCTGGGTAGAGGGGTATCCGAAACCATTTCCCGATTTCGATGTTCAGCACAAGTGCAGGAGTTTCGATGTCGTGCTTGATTGGGCCAAGACAAATCAGGTGTCTGATGTTGTGCTGGCTGATTTGGACAGGAATGGAACGGAGGTGAGGGAGGGATTTCTTCGTTCATAGATCATATGCCACGACAACCGTCATGTCGAGAACGTTGCTGCTGTTGTATGACCACACCAGACGTCAGCACATTTACGTGCACGCTAGCCATGAGTCCCAGCTTGAATTCCAGCATTCAAGTTGGCGCCTTTGCGGATAAGCAGGCTCACTATATCCTGATCCCCTTTCGAGGCCGCGATATGTAAGGCGGTCTGGCCTCGATTATCTACCCCGTTGATCTCAGTCATCACCTTTAGTAGCGTCCGCATCGATGCAATGTGGCCGGCTTGGGCAGTTATGTGCAGCGCGGTCTGGCCTTTCGAGTTTCTAGTTGTCCAGTCGGCTTTACTGTCTAGCAGTAATTTGACTAGGTCGTCGTGGTCGTTCTGCACCGCAATGTGTAAAGCCGTGCGACCCAAGGCGTCGATGCAGTCCAGTGAGCTTCCACTTGCTACGAGTAATCGTACCGTGTCGATATGACCTCCGAGGACGGCACAGTGCAATGGTGTTGTCCTGACGGGAAGAACCAGAGATATTGGCTCTCCGACAGACTGACTTCTAGCACAAGATACGACTCGTCCTTCCGTCGAAGCATTGCTTTGTACTGCACGCAAGACTGCATCGTGCGGCTGGGTCGTACGTGAAGTGGAGTGGCTGATAGAGCCAGAGGGCTCCTTGTCTGAGATTTCGGCGATGGTGAGTTGGGCTGCTGTTCCTGCTTGAGGTGTATCTGCGAAGTGTACCTGATCAATGAAGAAGTCATCATCGAACTCGAGAAGCGCGGCATCCTGGGTAGCATCTATGGCTCTCGCAAAGTCTGATGTAGACGAGGTGAGATAGTGCTGGCCCAGACCAAATGGATCTGACTGTGGCCCATCACTTTCAGCGAAGGGAGGCACACTCGACGGAGGCGTCCTTATGCCGCAATCGACACCGGCATGAGATGGTCCGGCTGAATGCGTGCACTGTGCCTTTCCAGTCGCTGCTGTGGGTCTCGCAACGGCCTCATCATCAATCTGCTGCTGGCTTTTCGGTCTGGGTATGTCGTGATGTCGACACGAGTGGTCTTGCTGATCTGAGTAGTTGAATGTGTTCAATCGGCTCATGGAACCATGCCTATGGTTTCTTCCTGTTTGACATCATATCAGTCTCCAGATACTTACCTAAGTACCCGGAATAATGGCGAGTCTTCTTACGGTAGCGTCTTTGTGCCAGCTTGTTCTGAATCCGTCGCCGAGCAGCAGCATCCCCAACACTCTCCCATTCTTCTGCGCCTTCCGACCGCGTCAATGCTGCCATCCAGTAGTTGCTGGTGCGCAATGCGGCATTGAGACAGGCACAGGCAGCGGCAATCAGCCACAGGTTCGAGATGGTCGATCAAACGGTGTCGTCACCGCGGGGAGACCGAGACGCGGCCCATAATGTATACCCCCATGCTGGTCCCCGAGTCAGGCCTTGGGAGGCCACGCACATCCGATCCCATGGATCAGCAGCCGAGCCTTGATGTTGACTTTCGTTATCAATGGTCATGCACGTCCTGTAGCAGCTGCTAACATCCCACCCTGCAGATCCAGTTCCTTTCGTTCGTACAGCACCGAATACAAGGCCGCAGCCAAGAGGATCTTGGCCAAAGCCAAGCACTATAATGCCGCCTTGAGCCCTATGCGGTAGGTCACAACTCATGACTGCTACTGAGGAGTCTGTACTCCACGAATAAGAGATGGCGCTTAGCTAGAGTCTTAATGCATGCAGTGTGTTGGCATAGGGCTACCATTGGGGATCGGGAAAATTCCGACTTTCGAGGTGCTGAAGAGATGGAGCGCAAGAAGCTGTGGCGTCTTCGGAGACACGTTTCGCCCACGGCTCAGATATGAAGACTCGTCAGATCGGTACGCATAGATTTTGGACTGTCAGAGAAGGACCTCAGATGCTGGTGCTTTCTTGATGGCCTCGTGCCGCGGGGACGGTGAGCAACAGACGGAGACATGACTGGACCAGACACTATGTTCAATAGATCTTTTGACCCCTATCATGATATCGAACATTGGATGATTGGACTAAAAGTATGGTACCATCGCACCGCCGGCCTTATATACTCCGTCACTTAAAGATCGTTCGCTCAAGGCTGAGTCTTAGCCTCGGCTTGGCATTTACCTAACATGACCTTGGTTACCCATGGCACCAATGTACCTGCTTCTTCCTCACATCCCACGAGTACCTGCCGTCCGACTGCTCAAGCCAGCCGCCACCTTCCTGCAAGTCACGACGAGCAGCTTTGACCAAGTATGGAGGCTTGTATCGTCTGAAAACGTGTTACACCTGGTCGCAGACTCGTGTGTCCTCCCTGGGGATGACTGCCATCGACTCTGTGCTTCCACATCCACCACGAGAAGATACTCTTGAGATCAGACAAGAGCGAAACTTGACTACCTAGGTCGCGGTGCTTAGCTATGGCTGTTTGCCGACCCATCCGGCATGGACTGGCACCCTTAACATGAGGTAAATAGTTTCGGCAGCAGGCACCACCGATAGAGGACAATCGAAATTGCATCGCTGCGCACTGTCAGCGACAGGAGCGACTGCTTGACTGCTGCAGCAAGAGCGGCCGAGAGACAGCATTCGCACCTACCGTGCGAAGTACACCCTGTAGCAGGAGCGACCGACTGGTTTCCTGCTACAGAAATTGCCCACTCAGGCAGGTGCGACTGCCGTCAACCAGTGGCTCCTGCTGCAACGTAGAAAGTGCCTGGCGTGGCAGGTGCAACTGTCAATAGGTTGGACCTGCTGCAGAAGTGCTCAGCGAAGCAAGTGCGATCGAGGTTACCCGAATCGCTACTGCTGTAAAAGGTTTTTTGGGGCAGGTGCGATCGCCATCACTCGGTCGCTCTTGGTGTAGAAAGTACCCACTCGCATCTTATTGCACAAAGTGTCTTGGTCAAGACGAAGACTACGGCTTCGTCAGCGCTTTCGGGACTCTTTTGGGATGGCTAGGTGACTGACATGCTCGGTCCTGAAACCACGTATTAGATCAGATTGGGCCCTGTTGCCCTCACAATCAATCAATGCCGCGGCGACCTGCCTCGCATGGTCTGTTACGTCGACGTTGTGGCGGAGTGACCACTGTACACTTGGAGCGACTCTTGTTGTGAGCTTTGGCTTCAGTAACTTTCCAATCTTGAAGATCTTGTGACACCGAGTGGGAGAACGGGCCCTGCCAGAGTCTCGAAGCTCCCGCTCACCCAGGTTGTTCCGCAGCAGCAGCGAGGGGAAGCCGAGTAAGTAGATCCAGCCACTCAAACAAGTCGCGCTGCTGAGTCTGCATACATAATCTAGTCTGACCTGACTCAATCGAAAACGTCGCGGTTTGGGCTAGCATGACGAAACCCGAGAAGACCGCTGCAATCTTCTCTTCTGACAAGGACGCCGTTACGGATGTCTGTTCGTCAGGAGTCGCCCAGATCGCCTTCAGCTTGTCGACGCCATTGAGTGGATTGGTCCCGAATTCCGCCTTGGATGCTCTGGTGATGAGCAGATGAGCTTCGATTTTCTGAGGCACAGCAAAATCGTAGACGGCCCAGATATCGTGATCCAGATTGATGGGCTCAAGTTCCGCTGCTGCAAGTGGCTCAGAGATGAAGTGTTGATTGCATGGTCTTCGCATGGAGGGAAGTGAGCATGTTTGCGCGATATTGTACATGGTAGAGTACATTCTCCAGCGCTGCAAGCTCAAAGTGACTGGCAGCAACATGTTGTCGGGCGTCGATCTAGGATCGTGGGATGTCGGGTCCAGAATGCCATAGAGCGTGAGTGCCAGAGGGACCGAGTCTTCGCTGCTCTCTGCTTGCAGCACTGAACAAAGTAATTGTGCCCGAGACCGAGAATAGTCAACAGAGATGCGACTTGTGCTCTTCTGGCAAGTCTCAATCAGTCCGAGCAGCCCGTACACATGGTCCAGGGGTTCTGAACATGCCAAGCTACCGTAGCTGTAGATCAGGTCGATCAGGCTGTGGTTCATGGCTCGATGCCTTGATCGGAGGTCGCTCTTGTGGAGCAGGAGACGCTGCGCCGCGTAGAGATGCTTCATGGTCTGCTCCGGCAGGAAGTCATGCCTGCACACGAGGTGCAAGAAAAGCAGTTTTCTGAACTGTGATTCGTTCAGGCTATGCTCGCCACAAATGAAGACAGTATGGTTCGCCAAGATGACCTCTTGGACAATCCATAACCTACAACAGCATCAGTACTCACGCCCTCAAAAATGAAAAAAAGGCATACCGTCTCCAGTAGTCTTGGTTGAAGATATATTCCAATGCCGATCGCATCTGCAGATAGGCATGTGTCTGGGACAAACGTTTCTCCCACCGATTGACGTCCTCCAGCAGCGGCAGCATTGCGTCCGTCTCCCGAGATCCTTCCCCAAGGTACGCAAGCACTTGATTTGCAGTTCGATATATGTTGCCCATCAACGCGACTTGATGATTCCGTTCTGTCGGGTTGTCCTGATCAATGCTGATGGCGTCGATCCAGAGAACAGTTCGCTTCCCACGTCTCATCCTCTGCCGGGCATTCAGAAAGTGCCAGAGGTTTCGGCGTACCAGAAATGGTCGTCCATTGACCGTAATCTCGTGGGACGGCTCATCGTGTCCCCAAGTATATGAGACGGCGTCGAACCTGCCACGATATCGTTCCAGGGACGCAACGAATAGCTCACAGCATATTCCGGACGGTAATGGTAACAAGCGAAGAAGTCTGACAGTCTTGTAGTCCTCCTTCAAAGTCGTGTACAAAGGGTCTGTTGCATATACATTCGACAGCGGTGTGACACTGCCCAGGGAGCCACTCGTGACAGTGGCATCTGTCTCGAGCGGCACGTTGGGCACCATCGATATGCTCGTGCCTCTTATAGTACCACAAAGCTGGATAGGATGTGCAACGAGAAGCTGACTGTAAGGAAGCGAGCTGAAGCACGAGAAGACACCGACATGATTGCACGTCGTGACGGAAGTCCACGACTACAGAAGGCGGTGTGTCCAGCACGTGTACTTCACTGACCGCCTTGCAATGGGCGCCACAGGACTCACCGCTGGTACAGACGTCAACCCCACAATTCTGGTCTTCAGCCATTCACCGCAAACCAGCTCTGATGCGAGCAGCTAGGAACCAATCACATGAAACTGTCGACGCAGGTACCGTCCAATCAATGCCAGGGTCTGACCGGAAATGGCTGCTTCGCATCTGCAGTGGGGCCGTGTGCATGGCATATCGAATTCCTCGAGTTGAGAAGGCTGGAGGCGGCAGTCAAGATGACCCCTATGGGAGCTCGAAAGAGGCGTGGGCAAAATGTGACCGAGATCGCGGGTCAGGGGCGGAGTTCTTGGCATTATCGGCTCTCCTACGGACTTCGCTGCTGGTAGCTGACCGTGGGAGATCAAAGGCGGCGATGAACACTATCGTACGAACCACTCAGCATGCATCCCGGTCAAAACACCTCCGTCACAAGCACGGAGAGGCAACGATCACAAGTCGAAAAGGCCTTTGTGAGTCGCATACAAGGATGTATACAACAAGCTTCCATTACAATCCTGCTGAACCTATCCTTTCCTACATAGACCTTCAGCGTCTCAAAAACTCCCCAACCTCAAACCCAACCCTCCTCTTCGCCTTCTCCCAAAACTCGGCTTGACCCTCAAGCCCTGCTCCGCTACCACCATGACCCATTCGCACCACCACAGCACGACATTCAATCAGCTTCACGTCCACCCCTTGTCCAATTGCTTCAGCAGCAGTCGCCACGACAGCAGACTGGGGGACAACGCCTGAGCCTGAGCCGCCTGAATGTGGCGCCGAGCCAGAGCCTGGTGCTGAATTACCGCTATTGGGCGGCGGAGGTGGAACGGAGATGGATGGACGTGAGGCGCCGCTGCCAGCCTTGATGGGCTCGGTCTCTTCTGCGGTGCCGGTCGGGCCAGTAGATCTCGCAGCGTCGATCTCGGCAGTGCCGGTAGATTTCTCTGCTATGGCGCTCTTTTCTTCCATGTTCCCTAACGTCGTAGTCATGTGGTCAGCGTGACCTCCAGATCCACCTTTGATGACAATGCTGACATCTGGCCCAATACAGCCGCGCCACAGTGTTGCAAGCCATTGCCAATGTGCAAGTGGGGAGTACGAATCGTTGATGGGCAGAGTAATGGCGGCAGTGTCAACAGTTGTGAGTTGATAGTGTGGGACCAGGGCGATCGGAATTGGTGTTGGAGAACTAGAAATGGAGGTTGAGCTTGGCGACTTGCTCGCACCAGGGGTAGGCGGAAGTTGTTGGGTCGACACGATAGGAGGAGGATTAGTGTCAAACTTGCTGGGCGATGGAGGCGTCATCTCACTACTGGGTCGACTTGCGGGCGCGGCGGATGATGAGTGCTCACTCTGCTGATGTGGGAGCTGTTGTTGTACGATAGCCGCAGCAGGAATGCGTGTATATGGGCGATCCTCTCCATCGGTCGCTTTGGAGGTCGAGCCGTAAGATAATCGACCACCGACAGAAGGGCGCTGTTGGGTCGGGTCTGGCAGAGAAGGATGCTGACCATGAGGGATACGGTCTGCCTTCCCATCAACTTCACTTCCGCGTCGTTCTGACCTCACATCGGCGGGACCATCAAGTGTGACTGATTTTCGAGCTGATGAGGCCGAGGCCGTTGAGCCGGAGATCGATCCTGGTCTGAATTTTGTGGTGATGAATCGCCTCATCTCCTCACTGATTTTGTGCCATTCGCCAATGACGTTCAGCGTCTCAGCAATCGTGAGAGGATTTCTACCTTGCATGGCCGACCACACGCTGTAAGGATCAGGGCCGCCAAATATTCGGACTGCGAATTTGCCGTCTCTTTCGAGCTCCTCCGCCAGTGAGTTCGTCATGCTATACACAGTTGTCGGGTCCATTCCTTCAATGGCAACGACGGAGCCACGGACCTCGGGAGCTGGTGATGTTAAACTAGGCGCAGGCAGGTGTGGTGATATTTGGCTGAGTATCTTGACTTTGTTAAGTACCGGGATGGACATAATCATAGCCTCAAGTCCGGAAGTCGATGATTGGCTCGCGCTTGGCGTCGTAAGTGGTGGGAGCGTAAGACTGGGATCCCGTTTGTGTGCGTGCGGCGGACGAACCATTTGAAGCTTTGGCGGTGGTGGCGGAGGTCCTGCGGGAGCGTACATCGCATGTGGTGGTGGAGGGCCCGTCATGGATTGTCGCTGACCAGCATTCGGTGGTGCATCTCCTCGAAAGTACGTAGCCCTTGGTGAATATTGATAGGGAGGTGGCTCGCGCCATTCTCGTGTTGGGATATAGACTCCGTTGCCATCATAGCGACGACGCTTCATATCGGGACCATCACCTGCGCCCTCGGCGACCGAAGGATATCTTGCTCGAGGATCATGGTATCGGGGAGGAGGTGGTGGCCAGTGGCGCTCAGGGTACGACGGACGACCACTTTGCGGCGGCGACACCATAGCTTGCGATCCAGGTCGAGGCATTGTCACTGCTGAGCCTCGGGGCGTGGTCGGATAGTGATTCGACGAGTAGGGTGTGGTAGGAGGATTCATCGTCTTGCCGCCACACTTGACGCAATTACCTTGCTCGTCGACTTTGCCGCCACTTGGAGGACCCGAACCCGATGATTGACTGCTATAGCGGCCGTTGCGTCGAGGTTGGTAACGATAGTCGGGGTATTGTTGCGCGTGACGAGCCTTTTCTTCCTGTGATGAGAATCGAGTATCAGCACAATGCACTTTGTGTGTTCGGCTTTGACTTACTTCCGCAAGCGCCTTCCATTCATTTTTGGCATCTTCTGGCAGACGACTCCATTGTTCACCAATGATCTTGGATATGGCCGGATTAGGCAAGCCAGGATTCGCACGAACCACTGCTGCTTGTTGGTGCTGGCGATAAAGAATGAAGGCTTATTTTCTTTGTTAACTTGACACTTGAATTGTTGGGCCACGTAAGCTCACCATTGCGTGGTCTGGGTATCTTTGGTTCGGGCTGACACAGACAAAAACTGCTCGACCCATCCATGTGACCTATACTTGTTGGAGAAGAGGACCCCTCGGAATGATCGTGCGAAGCCATCGCCTGGTGTGAACGTTTCCGCGCGTCGAGATCGTCAAACTGATCCGGATGAACGAGGGGAGGAGGAGCTCTTGCGTCAGGCGACGCAGGCAGCTGCTGCGGAGGAGGGGAGGAGCGTGAGTGGGATGTTATATGAGGAGCAGCCGGCGGCAAGTGAGGCACGGTATTTCTTCTTCCATCATCGTTTATCGTACGGGCATCCTTATAAGGGTCCCTGACGATGTGATGATCAAGCAGCGAGGCTGCGCGAGATGTGCGGTATGGAAAGGGATCAATGGTAGCATCGGTCAGCAACGAATGGCGAGCGGTGATGCGGCGCCATTGCGAGGGCTGGTCCGAGATGGAGAGAGTCATAGCGCAGAGAAAGGAATTCTTTGGCGAAATGACAGGTGAGAATGCTCGCTGTTGAATGCTGCATGGACGAATAGAATAGAGTTGTAGCTGGCATGCTGATCGCTATTCGGTGACCATGGTCGATACAAGTACAGACGTGAACATAAGATGAAAGATGAGAGCAAAGCTCTGTGTAGAGAATTGGAACGGCCATGACCTGTTCGAAAGGCTGGTTCCCACTCACCGCAAGATAATGCTGCCTCTCGCAGGCACATTGTCGCGGATGCACCGTGCTCGACTGACGCATAGTTCCGAGTCCTAACAAAGAAAGCCCGTGAGGAATGCAGACCAGAACAAAGAGGGGCCCCGCGGATTGGCCACCCTTCATCTGCCAGAACGCGTTACCTTGACCCTGTCATGGAACAGTAATCCTGATGAATCTCATCGAATGGATGCTGTGCTGTGACGGCGGAGATTGAGGTGAGTTGAAGTTGAGTTTGCGACTGAAACGTCTATTCACGAAGCTGTTCAATCAATACAGCACAAAAGTGCACCTTCGACAACTTCAAGTTTGACGCAGTGGGAGTGGAGTCCATAAGTACCTGCCGAGACCAACCGGACTGAAGAACATCCGCAGAATAGCAAGCACGACGGGCGGAGATGGATTGATGGTGGGAAGGGCCTTATTGATGATGGGGATGCGTGAAGCAGCTGTTTTGTTGCGAAGCTGAAGAAGGTTGAGATTCCTCCCAATCCGCTTTCGCTTTCGGCAACGCTTCGGTGCGCTATCGAAATGTTCTACACACCACTTATCCTGTCAAACGCCTGTCAAAGTACCAACCCTAGCATGCTGCTAGCATCTCGAGTGTTCAGCTGTCCGTCTCGATACGGCAGTGAGCTGTCACGGGTTGCTACAGAAGGCATCGGCAAACAGTGCGTTTGGAAGTTCTTTGGGGTTCGTCTCGTCTCAAATTTGGCATATAGGACGTTACACAAACAACGATCTCTGTGTGAGAGGCATCCAACAGTGTGGTATCATAAGACTGCGTAATCTCGTTTCGTCTCGTCTCGTCTCTTCATCCGGCGAATACTCGTACATTTTGATCTACGCTGGCTGTGGCAAGCACACAGCGTATCTTTCCGCTGGTCGGTGCTTTCTCTTCCTTTTTGGCGCCATTGGTAGTCCCGTTGGCATCGCCGTTAGCCGCAGGCTGGACCGGCACATCTGGTGCCCACCTGATACTGCTCACAAAGTGTTGATGCGCTCCGTCAACCACTTTTACACACTTGCCTTCTTGAGACAGATCCCAGCAGCGGATGGTCTTATCGTCTGAGACTGATAGGAGATATCTGCCAGAAGGGTGAAATTGTAAGCCGCGAACCCAGTTGTCGTGCCCGACGAGTGTCTTATGACATGTGCCCCGATTGTCCCAAATTTTGATGATCTTGTCCCGGCCGCCGGTTGCTAGGAACTCGCCCGAGCTTGCGGTCGGAGGAGGCTTTTTGTATCCGGCTATTGACGCCAGATGGACGTACGCAGAGCTCGGTGCAAATGCAACACACTCCAAATAGTGCTCATGACCTAAGAATGTGATCTTCACTTCACCGGTGTTGGCATCCCATAGCCGGGGAATTTGATCGTTTCCGGCACTGAGAAGCCATCGGCCGTCTGCTGAAGGCGTGACTGATCGTACCCAGGCAGTGTGAGCCTTCAAGGTCTTTAAGCAGTAACCCGTCGTCACATCCCAGAGCTTCAGTGTTTGGTCTCTCGACGCCGACACCAGGATGTTGCCAGACAGTGGCGCGCCGGCAGCACCAGAAGGTACGAAGCGAACGCATGATATTGAATGATCGTGTCCTGGCAATGTGCGGGTGTTCTTGTATTCGTCGCTCGGATCCCACAGCTTGATGGTGAGGTCCGAGCTGCAACTTGCCAGCAGTGTTCCACCTCTTGGTCCGCCAAAATCAACATCTAAAACTGCTTTTGTGTGGCCCTTCAGAGTCCTTTCCAACTCGCCCAACTCCCAATCCCATATCTTGATCGTGGCATCTTCCGACGCCGATGCGAGTGAGGAAAAGATCGGGTGAAATGCAATAGAAGTGACGGGTAGCCTGTGTCCCTGCAGGGTGTGCCGAGCTGGTGCTCTCGGCAGCCATGTCGCTGGATCGACCTTGCGACTGGAGGACAATGGCGTGGCCGAGTCGACTTCTTGTTGCAGAGCCGCATTCCTCGTCTCCAGATCCAAGATTTTCTTCTGCAACCGTACAACTGATGTCCATTTCTTCTCTAATAACGTTTCGTATTTCTTTGCCGTGACATCGTCGAACGTATCGGCCAATTTTGATTCCTGCCGAAGTGCATTTGCGCTGTCTACCATGCCCACCGACAGCAAGTACGATATCATTGACTTGTGCCTGGGGAGAGGCGATTAGTTCAGGAAGCGGTTTGGGAGGTACCACGCATACTCACAGTTCATCTGCTTGTCGGGAAGTCAACAACTGACTCATGTTGGCCCAGAGGCCTCAGCCAGACCTGTGTACCAATTCCGACCCTTCTTGTCGTCTGTATCTGGCTATCCTCGTGGCTAGGCTCTCTACCGTCGATTCTGGCAGCGTAGAAGGAATGTCCAGGGCACGAGGCTGTTCGACAGTTGTGGTGGCTTCGTGGAGGCAGCCTGGCAGACAGCAGTACTCGAGGACCTGAGGTGTAGGGAACCGCAGTTGGTCAATTTGTTGCGACGGGGCACATTGCAGGGGTGGCCGGTGACATATGCGGGCAATCCTCAATTGACCGACAGGGATTCGCCTTTCGCCAAGTCCGTGTAAACATTGACAACGGGCCGTCGCTGGGTCATCGGGTACCCATAGCGGCTCACATGCGCTGTATACACACTCTACATTGCCACATCGTCTATTGCACGTACTTGACAGTGCTTCTGATCCACTGCAGGACTCGAGAACTAGAAAAGGGCACCATCGTATCGACAGGCGAACTCCTTGGCTAATGTAAACACGCGAAATCAAGCGACAGCCAGTTTATTATTTGCGCGCCGCGCGGATCGCGACCTCCCCACTACCAAACCACCCATCGTTGATATCGCGGTCCCTTGCGCTTTCCTTCCATCTCTTCGAGGCGCTCTGTGACAGCAAACACGATCGAACGATAGGTACGTCACGCAGCAACTCCCCGCATCATTCATCAGACAGCATGCTAACAGCACGTAGGAATAGTAACAGCACTACAGCCTCTCCACCCACCAAGGGAGCCAGGTCCGTCTTCAATCTTCGTCGCCTGTTCTCGACTCCCAGCATGGCGGAGCAGGAGGAGGACTTCTCTCAGCTGCCGCTACCAGATCGGTTCGCTCACAAGCTTTGGAAAGTACGAAAGGAGGGCTATGAAGAAGCAGCCAGGTTGTTCGAGAAATCCCCGGACGAGTCGGATCCAGTGTTCAGACCATTTGTCCAAGATGGCAGCATATGGAAGGGCGCCGCCGCCGATAGCAATGTCGCTGCTCAACAAGAAGGTCTTGGAGCGCTCTGTGCATTCTTGAAATATGGTGGTCAGCAATCTGCTTCACGATCGCGGCCGCACACGATTCAGCCCATCTACGAGAAAGGTCTGTCATCAACAAGACCTGCTGCCAAAGCCAACGCCCTCGAATGCCTCCTACTCTATGTCGAGATCGACAAACCTGATCTGGTCATCGAGGAACTCCTGCCAGCACTGGCAAACAAACAACCAAAAATTGTGGCAGCCACGTTGGCCGCCATCACTTCGATATTCCACAATTTTGGAGTCAAGCTTGTCAAGCCTCAGCCGGCGCTGAAAGCGCTGCCTAAGGTTTTCGGACATGCAGACAAGAACGTCCGCGCGGAGGCGCAGAATCTCACAGTCGAGCTATATCGATGGCTCAAGGATGCGCTCAAACCTGTGATATGGGAGGAGCTGAAACCTGTCCAACAGACAGATCTTGAGAAATTGTTTGAGAAAGTCCGCGAAGAACCACCACCGAAACAAGAGCGCTTCACAAGAGTCCAACAAGCAGAGATGGCAGCTGCTGAAGCCACTGCCGACGAAGTTGGTGGATCCGAAGTCATGGTCGAAGCTGAAGACGAGGAAGCGGTAGAGGTAGAGGCCTTCGATTTCGCTGAGCCGCAGGACGTTCTGTCCAAGGTGCCCGAGAACTTCAACGAAATGATCAACTCGTCGAAATGGAAGGAGCGCAAAGACGTACTGGACGACTTATTCAACGTCCTCAGAGTACAGCGGATCAAAGCGGGTGCGTGGGACGATGTCATTCGCGGTCTCACCAAGTCGATGAAGGACGCCAATGTAGCAGTGGTAACCGCCGCGGCAAATTGTATTGAGAAACTGGCTCTGGGCCTCCGCAAGGACTTCGCCAAATATCGATCGACGGTCATGGGTCCAGTCATGGAACGACTGAAGGAGAAGAAGCCTTCTGTGGCAGAAGCGCTAAGCGCCGCCCTCGATGCGACTTTCGCGTCCACCACTCTCACTGAATGTATGGAAGACATCATGAGCATGGTTGTCAACAAGAATCCCAATGTCAAGGAGGGAGTTGCCAAGTTCCTCGTTCGGTGTCTACGCACGACAAGAGACATTCCTTCGAAAGAAGAGCAGAAAACAATCGCCGGCGCTGGTACGAAGCTGCTTACCGAATCGGCGGAAACGATCCGTGCTGCTGGCGCGGAGGTTCTTGGAACTCTAATGAAGATCATTGGCGAGAGGGCTATGAACCCATATTTGGAGGGACTCGACGATGTACGAAAAACCAAGATCAAGGAGTTCTTCGACACTGCCCAGGTCAAAGCGAAGGAGAAACCGAAGCCGGTCGCTGCTCCTCCAAAAGCTGCTGCTACGTCCTCAGCGCTCGGAAAGAAGGTGGTCGGTGGCGGGAAGAAGCCGGTCGCCAGGAAAGCTGTAGCTGCTGCGCCAGTGGAGGATGCTGCGCCGGCCCCAAGGCCAACAGCAAAGGCATTAGCAAAGCCTGGCGGTGTCGCGAAGCCTGGGCTGGCTGCTCCGTCTGGTCTGAAATTAGGCGGGTTGAAGAAGACCAGCGCTGCTAGTCCGCAGCCTCGTCGAGTCATATCCCCTCCTACCAGTCTAGACGACGACGATGAGCCAGCGGTTGCATCACCATCCAAATTTGGCATGGGCCGTGGCCTTGCCGGCCGGCCCCTTGCCAGACCTGCTGCGATGCCGATGTCACCGCCTCCTGCGCCAGCAGCCCTTGGGATGAGTGCCATCGAGCGCGCCGAGCTTGAAGAACTAAGAGCTGAAAAAGAACGACTGACAGGACTGGCTGACAGCCTTCGAAGCAGTAACGCCAAGCTGACCGCTGAGATTACCGAACTACAGAACCAAAATGCCCAGCTCATCGAAGACCACACTCGCGACGTCCTCCAGATCAAAGCAAAAGAAACACAACTCACTCGAGCGCGTGGCGAATGCGATGTTCTACGTACAGAAATGGAGTCTATCAAGAAAGAGACAGAACGCTACAAGCGCGAGGTTAATCGCCTCGGCCGCGAGAGCATTGGTCGTGAACGTGACGATCTGAGCCGTGGTCGATCTACATATGACGACGACAACGCAGGCGGCATTTACGATGACGAGCCAGTCCGATTCACCGCCAATAGCCGCTCAGAAAGCAAGTCTGACCTCCGAAGTGTCCCTGGACTGCAGCGGACTGGCTCAGGCACGAGCAATATATCGTCTGGCCGTCCCGCGAGCGCCAAGCCCAACAACACAAGACCAATGTCTGGATTCACGAACAACAGTCTAAGTCCAAGCGATGAGAAGGAGAACGCCAATGGCTTCGAAAACGCAATGCTGGCGAGGCGGAAGATCAGTCCTTCGCTTGCTCAGCAGCCCCAGAGCGGCAGTATGAGTCCTGTCAGACCGCCTATAGTCACAGCAGAATCGGGAATTGGTGGCAGTACCGAGAATTGGAAGCGAGCGGCAGAGGTGACGAGTCAGTTGAAGGCAAGGATTGAGGCTATGAAGGTATGTTCCTCTACTAGGACGTCAACAGCTTTACATGGTGACGCGCTAACAACCTCACAGGCGAGACAACTACCACGAAATCAATAGCATGAGACTTTCCCACGATGCCTTCCTCCGCCGAAATCCTCATATATGCCGCCGCACCTCCGGTCTAGCGATCCTACCGGGCCCACTCAGTTTCAGGGGCATCTTGCTAGGGTCTTCACTTCATGACGGAATCGTCCCTGTCTGGATTACATGCTGAAGTACCGATCTCTGACGAGCCTAAGAGGCGAGACGTATTCTGGTCGATTGCTCTCATGAGGGACCTTGTTTGAATTTGAGTGGTAGAAAAGGGTCTGCACATACTACGACGACGAAACATCGTTTGAGATGACGATTTTGATTATCATGATGATACCCAAGATGCATAATACGATTGTCCATACCTACCTCACCTTGTCACCTGTCTTCTTTCCAGGCTCAATTGCTCCGATGTTGCCGTGGCTGGAGACTTCCTCACGCTTGCGCCACTGACCTTCGTGACGAGCAGAACCACGATGTCTTTCCATATCATGAATGTGAGAACATAAGGGCATCACTTTCCGCTTACGACGAATGAAGGACACTTGTATCAGTCGATCACCGCACGTCGAATTGAACGACTGAGGCAAGCGTTACACGATGGGAAGGAGCAACGCAGCGGCTTCAGGCTCAGTAAAAATAAAGATGGGAAGGATCGTGGGCAGCAATCGAGTATTTGAGAAAAGGAAAGAGAAGCCACAGGCACATGACTGAGAAGGCACCACCGACTAACGCAGTCAGAACAGTTGTGTGGATTTCATTTCATGTCATTTTGGAAAACGCTGCTAGGTAACACGACACGTTCGAGTCGTTCCGTGCGTTTTGTGTATGCTCGCGCCGTGGTTGCTGTTTGGCAGCAACTCGCAGCGAGTTGCCCGGCCTTGCGGCAGAAGCGCTTCGCGCTAAGAATGGCCGGGCATGGTTGTGATCAGACATCGTGGTCGGTGAGGACGACCGCAAGTCCGGCCCGAGCGAGAGTACCGCATCGAGCGCTGGAACATGGCCGAATCCAATCCCATGCCTTCGATGCCTTCCGAGCATGTCATCCGAAAGGCCTGTGCGTATACCTCAAGCTCAGCCAGAGGACGAAGCAGGCAACGCGACAGATCGTCAAGTCCAGACACGTCCACTTAGATCTTGATAGCCTGCTCCAACGCCTTCTTGCGCTTCTCGACCTTCTTGTTCGCCTTTTCGCCCATGATACCACCACCCAGTGACGTCGGTGATCCTCGTACTTGTTGGCGTAGCCCTCGTTCACAGCAGAAACCAGCTTCGACAGCTCGTTCTTGTCCTCGCCCTTGACCTCAGTCAACGCAACTACAGCCGCAGTCTTCTTGTGGACGACTGTGCCCAATCGCGCCTTGCCCTTGATGATCGCATATGGGACACCCATCTTTCTGCACAGAGCAGGGAGATATACAACCAGCTCAATGGGATCAACATCGTTTGGGATCAGGACCAGGCTAGCCTTCTTGTTCTCAATCAGTCCGACGACGTGGTTGAGACCGTACTTGACGGTGTAGGGCTTCTTTGAAGCATCTTCCTTCTTCTTACCCTCAGACACAGCGGTGGCTTCGGCAGTAAGACGCTCCTTCTTCTGTGCTTTTGTCTCTGGGCGGTACTTGTTGAGGAGCTTGAGGGCTTGTGCGGCGGTGTTGCGGTCGAGAGTCTGTTGGAACTGGGCGATCGCAGGTGGGACCTTCAGGCGCATATGGAGGATCTTGCGCTGGCGTTGGAGGCGGACATACTCTGGCCATCTGGGGTTTTGTGTTAGGCAATGGCGTGACAAGGTAGTGCCGTTGTGCTATGCTTACCTGACCATACGAGAGAGGTTACGGGGAGGCTGAACATCTTGGCCGATACCGAAGTTGCGGGGGCGCTTCTCGATGAGAGGGTTCTGCAGAGTTCTTGTCAGTATGCCGGGGCGGGGTTTGCGGCAACGAGAACGTCTTTGACGAGCTCGTCGCCTGCTGGGTAGTTATCTGAGACGTACCTTGGGAGCCTTCTTGGAAGTACCCTTGCTACCCGGGAAGGGAGCAGGAGCGGCTTTCTTTCCTTTGGGGGGCTGTCATTGAGAAAAAAGACGAATCAGTAAAAATGCATTTCTCGTCGGAAAACAAGAACACAGATTGTGTGAAGGGTCTTTCTGAACTCTAGCGAGCATCTGGATCTTGACGCACGAGCAGGAAATCGTTGTCTTAGTACTCTGTTACCGAGCACAAGGGAACGAGATCCTGCTTGCGTGCCAAATTCCAAGACCTCCAGCCAGTATGATATTTCGGATGTGCTGGACATTCATTGCGACCCCGAGAGACATGGGCTATGCCGGAGTGCTCAGTGAAGAGTTCCGACAAAGGCCAGTAGGTTTCTCAGTTTGTGTAGTCGCAAAATGTTCGCAGCGAGTTGCAGTCAAGCCATAGCTCGTTACCGAGCATACTTGTTGACGCAGGTTCGGGTGATGGATGCGGAGGCGATCTGGTTGCTTACCATGGTGACTGTGTCGACGGAAAGCGTAGGATGAGGATACAAGGGCAAGAATCTGAGCGACGACAAGAACAACTGCGCTTGAGATGCGGTCGTGGGTTTTGGCTCTGCAGTGTGGATGAGCAAAAAAATCTTGGCAATGGGTTTGACGAGCTAGCCGTTTTCAGAATCACGGACCGACGATAGCTTTGAGTGACGCCGGATGACAAGATCCCGCAGCGCCGTGGGCATTCAGCCTCCTACTATTCGAGGTCTGTCTTCAGGCGACCAAGTCGCTGTTGATGTTCTGGAAAGGACATTGTGAGGTATGATCTCATCTACATCTATTTCACACCATTGCTATGCCCAGCGTTCGCTTTTTGCATAGCCAAATAATATGCCTCCGCAGCCTCAAGCGTCCTTACGTTGGCTCCGAGTTTGTTCATCGTCTCAATCCACTCATCTTCAGGATCACTGTCGAAAACAATCCCACCGCCAGCTTGCAGGTACGCCACATCGTCTTTCCAGACCATCGTTCGCAGAGCAATGCAGGTGTCCATAGCCCCTTCCTCAATCCTCGTGCCATCCGGCGAGACCTGCGAGAAACCAAAGTAGCCCGCCGCGCCAGCATACACTCCTCTCTTCTCTTTCTCGAGCTCGGCTATCAGCTCCATAGCCCGCACTTTCGGCGCGCCTGAAACCGTTCCAGCTGGAAATATGCTCCGGAAGGCAGTAAATCGTGTCTCGCCCTCTCGCAGTATGCCAGACACCTGGCTCACCAGGTGCTGTACGTGGCTGAACTTCTCCACAACCATCAATCTGTCCACTCGCGTCGAAAGCGGATCGCAGACTCGATTGATATCGTTTCGCGCCAGGTCAACCAGCATGACGTGTTCAGCTCGGTCTTTTATACTGTTGCGTAGCTCATCTGCTAGCTGCTCATCCTGCTCGGGATCTTGGCCTCGCTTGACCGTGCCCGCAATAGGATGGGTGATGATACGGCCGGCTTCTTCTTTGACGAGAAGTTCGGGTGACGCACCGATTATGCTGAAGTCTTCGCAATCGATGTAGAACAGATATGGTGATGGGTTGACTGTGCGGAGGTGTCTGTAGATATTGAAGGGGTGCAGACTTGTAGGCCGTGCCACTCGGTGTGAGGGAACGCATTGAATGATATCTCCTTTCGTGATGTGTTTCTTTAGTGTGGTCACATGGCGTTCGTATCCTGTCTGTCCAATATTCGACGTCGCTTTATTGCCGGTCTGTATCGGTCTTTGCACAGGGATGGTATATGCTCATCTTGAAGCGTCGCGATCGTCCGGTCGAGTATGGCGCTGGCTTTTGTATATGCTGTCCGTAGCTGCTCTTCTGATCCGCTTTCCGGCACTCTGACGTATGTTATGACCTTGCATACATTGAAGAAATGGTCGAATGCTACGATCGTGTCGTACAGCATGAAGAAACTTTCTGGAAGGTTCAAGACGTCTTTCATGGGCCTGGCTGTTTTGGGTTCAAAGTACCTCACACAGTCGTATCCCACATATCCGATCACACCGCCAGTCAGGGGTGGAAGCTGCAGAAATGGTACTGAGGCCACCCGATACTGTGCCAGCTCCTCCTCGAGTTGTGGTAATGGGTCGCCCTCAATGCCATGTCCCGGACCCGTCTTCAGTACTTTCAAAGGATTTGCGCCCACAAAACTGTAACGACCGATCGTGCCTGTTGTTGCGGCACTCTCATATAGGAACGATAGCTTGGCGCCTTGCGACACTTTGAGATATGCTTGTGTGGGCGTGAAGAGGTCGGCCTTGATTTGCGCACATAATGGCACGAGGTTCGGCGGATGTGGCGAGTCTTTTGACTTCTTCAGTATGTCGGTCACCTGCTCGAACGAGGGCTTGATCTCGGACTGCATCGCATCAGTGGCTTTGGTCAATGTGTGCGACCGTACTGAAGCACTTACCGCGGGAAGCATGCTGTTTATAGGTTGTCGGTGACAATATCGCTTACCGTTTGGTCCGCAATTCGCAAAATAGCGGGAGGCCTGATGCCTATGCCTGAGTACCAGACGTCTCCGCAGAAATCCTAGCGACCCGACTTCGTGCCCAGCACTAGAGTGGGAAAGATCATGGAATCAGAGTCATAACTTTGAACATGCGGCGGCGAGGTCCTGGAGTTCTTCTCGCATGCGGGGACGTTGAGTTCTTGCCCTGAGAGCTTAAATTGTCGCTAAACGCGAGCCTAAATCGACCTCCCACGCGTTGGTCCGCCGCCTAAAATTACGTAGCGAGCAGGGATTCGAGCCTGCGGCCATGTGCTTTTCCCAGCCACCACATGCAACTTTCCTGCGCAAGTTTCGAGCAGGCTGCGTTGGATCGTCCAAGTGAAGATGTGTCGAAGACTTCAATTCATTGCGATAACCAGAACAGCCTAATCTAAAGTCACGCGCCAGAAGTGAATCATTCAAGTGACAACCACCGCGCGCGATGTATCCCAACGAACTGTCGCAAGATGTGACACGCCCGTCGTCTGGCTGGACCAACGACTCTACTTTTGCCGACAGTGCTATCAGCATGGGCACGGCTACGCCGAAAAACTTCGAGGATGATTCGATGCAACTCCGACCGCCCTCTTCGTCCACGCCGTCCCTGTCCGAACGTCTGACTGGACTTGCTGCCCTCGCTTGGGCGGTTGAACAAGATGGGTATATTGAAGACGCTACAAGGAACAAGATCTGGAAGTCGCTTTCGCGTGTCGAGAATCTCCTGGAAGACCGAGATGAGGTCCCTGAAGCAGATTCCAAAGGAGCTCCAGAGAATGCTGAAACACGAGAGATCGCCAATCAGTTCAGTGAAGAGGATGTCGCACAGCTTGACCAGATCCACCAGCACCTCACAACAACCGTGGCTGAGATGCGACTTCGCCAACAAGAGCAGCACCATATATATGAGATGGCCGTTCGGAGGCTAGACGACATAGCAGGCACATGCGCTCGACAAAAAAGGCGGATCCAGGAACTCGAGACTGAGGTTGGAGCGCTAAGGACAGAACACCAGAAATTGTATCGCGACAGCGAGGGCTTCCAGCAGCATGCTGAGCAGTTGACTGCAGAGCTGCAGCGGAGAGACGTTGCGCTGCAAGCCATGTCAAGTGCAGTCGCCGGCTTGGACGGGTGGATTTCGACCACTTTGGCTCCTAACCAGCGTGCGACACGACTAGACCTTCGGACACGCGGTCGGGGAAGGTTCAAGACACATTACTATGTCGAGGTCCCTATCGACACTTCGCCAGATGATGGTGTGGACCCCACCGTGGAAGCTCGAGAATTGCGTGACGGCATCACAGCATGGGTTCGAGGCTTTCGGGACGTGGAATCGGCATCCCTGGACGCAATAACCGTCAGTCACGACGTGCACCCGCCGCCTGTATTCGACAACAGGACAGTCTCGAGTAGCGTGGAAGATTCGATGCCAGATGTGGAAGAATGGGGTGACTTCCAGACCGCTTCGACCGCTAACATGTTATTGAGGTGAAGAGCGTTCTGATGGTGAATGGAGCGTATTACAGAGGCAGGCGATTTTCATCTCTGGAACTTGATGACGGCCACCTAGCATATTTTAGAAAAGACACATGGATACTCGGTGTATGCATACCTGTGAGGCCAAAGAGAATGCCACTCTCATACTGTCTGCATCCCAAGAAAGTGAATGCTCGACGGCTGTCGAGTCCCCGTTCAGACTCGAGGCTGCATCATTGCTGACCAGGTCTCTATCTTTGATTGCATCTCCATCCCAGCCGGACGCAGGGGCTTGCCACGAAGCCATCAGGTTGTAGCGGTGTTCAGCATTCCAGATTCGTAGATCAGCGTAGCTCGCGCCTGCCAAGCAAAACCCGTCGGGCGAGTAAGACAGCGCTTTCAGAGGCTGGCTGTAGCCCAAGGTGAGCTTGCAGAGGGTTGTGATATTGTTTTGTGTTTCGCTATAGCTCCAGGCTCTGATCGTGCCATCGACGGAGCAAGTCGCAAATTCAGTTGTAGACAGAGCTTGTCGGCCCTTTGCAAGGCGTGGCCGGATTTGTAGACCTGTGATGGGAGCGTGGTGCGCCTCGTGGACAAGATCCCGTGACGGTAGCCAAATTCGTCCACTCTCGTCAGAAGCTGCCACAATCAAAGATTCGTTCGCGCTTTGCCAGGCGCACTTGACAAAGGCCCAATTCTCGTTCCCCGTCGCGGAATTCGACCAAAACTTCTGTTCCACCTCAAGCTCAGCGTAAGCTCGCAAATGATATACAACCCGGCCACCAGAGGCGCAAACAAAAGCCTGATTCTCGAACACGGCGCAATCGATATCTTCCAGTGTTTCTGGAACAGTCACTGTGAGGGGGTATTGGTTCATTCCTCCTCCGGCTGAGATGCTCCACTGCATTATTGTCGATTCTGTGCTCGCGTCGCGCGAAACTCCAACAAGCCGCGTGCCATCTCTCTGCCACTGCAAGCGCATGACGATGCGTTGTGAGGCGCTCAAGATCTCGACTAAGCCAAAGCTGCTTCCATCGTAGACATGAACCTCGCCGCCAGTGGGTGTCGACACGGCAATAGCGAGCATCGCGCCGGATGGCGCCCATGCAACAGCTGTGACGCAAGTTTCGCTCGGGGGCGGGATTTTGATGAGTTCCTGAAAAGTGGTTGGAGGACTCTGCGAGGATTCTGGCAGCCTCCACAATCCACATACTGTGTCACTACGACCGGTGAGTAGGCTCGTATCGTTTGGACGCCATAGGACCTGTGCCAGATTCGTGTAATCGAGTCCAAAGATAGTCGTGGAATCTGCGAGGTCTGTCACCTCAGCTGGTTCGACTTGCACGGCACGACTTTCCCCGTTCACCAGGGTGTGTAATATCACAGGCTCGGGAGGAATTTCTCTTTGCTGCTCACCATCGGAATCGACATCCATGCGATCGTCGCCATGAACACCATTGATTGCGGCAGCTATATCCTCTGGACCAGGAGGCTCGGTCGCGGAAGGTGATCGACCATCGTGAGAGGCTGGGTGCCCATTGGGTGCATTTAATTCGATGTTGGTGACAAGAGTGGTGCTGGTTGGCGCTGGTTTGCGGCCAACAGATCCGTTGCGTTCACTTGTGGGAGCAGCAGTCTTTCTACTTTTCTTTGGAGCTGGCTGGGGCAACAATTCCGAAACCCCGTTTGGCGGTGCATCTCGCTTCAGAGGCACAAGAGAGGCCGGCGGAGATGGTTGCGGACCCGTAGATTGTGGTCGTGCGCTGTCTCGGACTTCTTGCACAGATCTTTCGCTCTCAGGACCGAAAAAAAATCGTGATGGACTCAATTCTCCTGCAGGACGCCCCTGCTACGGAGGGGTCAGGACCGGGAATTCTTGGCAGGATCGAAGCAGCAGACTTACCTCATCTATTGTTAACGACAGGTGATGATAGCGCAGGCCTTTCTGGACAAGATTGATCAAAGCTCTACCTTTGATGTGATGCGCAAAGGGGAGTTGTTCGGCGTCGACGTTCCAGTCGCGTTGAAGCTTGACTGCAGCCTCGCCATAGCCTGGAAGGATCAGTACAACAATAACTTTTGCGCTAAACCCAAAGGAAAGAAGTACCAGCTTCTTGAAGATATCTAGAAGCACGAGGTCAGCTCTTGTTCTTGAGCCGGAGAAACGGTCTCAAGGCACACGAACCTCCATATAAGATAGTTGAGTTGATCTGAGTTCAATGGTGGCGGCCTCGTGGAGGTCGTTGAAGGGGTCTCAGGATCCATGGCTACATGCCATGCTCGAGCAGGGCACGAACCCAAGGGTGGAACCAAAGGAGAGGCGTTGAACGTTCCCGATCACTGTCGCAATGCAGCGATAAGTGCTAGCTTGCGATACTCGAGTGTCGGAATCAATACCTTGTTAGTGAAGGCGACGGGGTCAATGGTTGGCGCTCGGGGATGACTGGCGGAGAATGGAGAATATCCTGAGCTTTGCGGGATCTTAAACTCGGGAAAGGTGCAGAAATGTTTGCGCAACGGCTTTCGGCGCAACCTGATGGGCAGACGCGCGACTGCACAGATCAATGAATACTAGTAGACGCGCTGCAAGATCGTGGATATAAAGACAAAGTAGAACGATGATTTCGATATGAATGAACAGAAACGATGAAGTCGTGTTTCGATTTCGAACAGGGCAAGGTAGGCCAGGGAGCGGCCTCGAAGCCAAGATGCGGCCTGCAAAGACTCATCAGAGGGAACCGTGGAGTCGCCTGTACTCTTGGGGTCTCGTTAAAGATCGGCCAAAGTTTCAGCCTCCTGGTGTAGATGATGCGCACGAGTCATTGGTGCATTTCTTCAATGCTGTATAACGAATGCCACCATTCTAGAGGCCGGACTGTATGCTACTACACGGGCATAGGCATCAACGCGCCTTGCATGATCCTCCGATGCTTGATGCGATACCACGCCACGTGTGCGCTACGGAGAGATGCCGATGCAGACACTCGCCCATGAGCCATCGGGCAGTCCTACATCACTAGACCTTGGCGATGCTCCTACAGGGCTGAAGCGGGCGCCTGTCGGAGCTGTCGGCGCACGTGAAGCACTGCAGGTGCCAACAAGGCTTTGGGCCGCATGACAGCGTTTGTGCAGGTTCGTTTCCCGTCTTTGATCTCGTCGTAGTGTTGTATCGGTGGGCAATTGTGCTGATCTGTCGCATCCTCGCTCGCCTCTGCGTCAGCTCTTTACGATCGCATTGCATAAGAGGTCGCAGACTGCTCAGAGAATGTCACCAAGATCGAACCATGGCTAGTTTCCGATTCAACATTCCGGATTTCACCAAAGTACTTCTGCTGATCGACATCGCAATATGCGTCCTCTACACGCTCGCGCGACTGAGGCCTTTCTCGAATGAAGCCGGCACGCACGCGTCCGATGTCCCATACCTTGCGCTTGTTCCGGCGAAAGTCGTCTACTATCCATGGACTCTTTTGACCACCACCTTCGTTGAACAGAACCTGTTCAACTTCCTCATCAATATCGCGACAGTCCTTTTCGGCGGTCGATACTTTGAAAGAGCATGGGGAAGTCGGGGCTTTGCGATGACCGTGCTCGTCACCTCACTCATACCAAATATCCTTATCGCACCGCTATACTGGGCATGGGGCGCCATCATGGGAAATCCAGATCGCCAGTTGACGCCGTGCACGGGAAGCATCACACTGCAAGCGGCGTTCATCGTAGCGTTCAAGCAACTTGTCCCTGAACATACTATCAGCATTTATAAGGGCATGATCAAATTCCGAGTCAAGCACTTCCCAGCCATATTTCTTCTACTCAACACCGGTTCAGGGCTTGTCCTCGGCACTGACACAGCCTTGGTCTTCGCCTGGCTCGGTTTCCTCACATCCTGGATCTATCTACGTTTCTACAAAAAGCAGCCAGACCTGACCGGCACCAGCACGAATATGAAAGGAGATGCCAGCGAAACCTTTGCATTTGCGACGTTCTTTCCAAATGTCATGCAGCCACCAATTGCTGGCCTGACGGACAAGATCTTTGAGTTACTGTGTACGATCAAGCTCTGCACACCCTTCTCGGATGAAGCAATAGAGTTGTCAAACCAACATGCGGCGAATAGAGGCGACGCAGGATTACCGACCTTTGTCAGACAGCCACGAGCCGGTATGGGCATGAGCAAAAGAGAGGAAGCAGAGCGGCGACGAGCTCTGGCATTGCGTGCACTTGACCAGAGGCTGAACGCGGCGCCTAGTCAGGCAAAGCCACCGGTCTCGGTCACGCCGTCTCTCGCTGCTGGCGCTGATCAGCAAGCCCTGGGACAGACGGACTACAAGCCGGATGACCACTAGTACATAATTTAAGTCGCCTGCGAGTAGAGACACGTTCAACGACGTTGCTTTTCACCCTCTGTTATTTCTGCACTGATCGTCTCGGCGAGGGCCGAAAGACATGCCTGCTGGGTAATCTTCGAATGACGCATGCTCCTGCGGCGATCGGTCCCGATGAAGCAGCTCGATCACGACAACCCCACAAGTGCTCGAACCTCATCTCATTCAAGCTCCAATCATCTCAGCACGCCTACATAGCGACCTACAATCATCCTGCATAACGCAGGTACATCTTGCTCTTCGACAACCTTGCTGACCCTTTAGCTTCTCCCGCAAGCGTTCTGAGGTAGGTGCCATGCAGAAGTCATCGTCCAAGTAAGTTTTCGCAACTCTAGCTCATGCATATATACACCCGGCTTCGCGCCGTGCCATGCGACTTCACCGTGGAAGTCACGATTGTATCAAAAGGTCAGCACGTCTTCGCAAAACTTTTTAGGCTACCTCTACCGTATCTTTCATGATGAAGACTACATCCCTTGCCCTAGGGCTTGCGAGCTTCCATTTCGCCGCAGCTCAACTGTACCCAAATCAATCGCCACTCAATCACACGTGTGCACTCAAGGAACCAGTGCTCTCTTGCTCCGCGGGCGCAAATCCATCCGAGACGGATACATGCTGTATGTATCGTGGCACAACTCCAGGCCAGATGATGGCTAGTCACGATTCGCGCACTAACGACCATAGGCACTGAAACGTTTGGCGGACTACTACTTTCCACGCAGTGTAAGAGAACATATTCAAACATGTTGTTACACTACTGATACATCCAACAGTCTGGACTATATATACAGGCCGCGAAGCCGAAGGCCAGCTCCTCCCACCCAAACACTGGGGTCTACATGGACTCTGGCCCGACTTCTGCAACGGATCGTACACGCAGTACTGCGATCTCACCCGCCAGTACGACCCCGATCCTTCGCCAAACACCACTACTGGAACTCCCAGCGGCACACCGGTCCCACCCTGGCACGGCGTGTCTATCGACGTGTGGATCGAGGAATTTGGCCGGGAGGACCTCATTGCTTGGGCCAACGAGTACTGGATCGCACAGGCGCAGCCCAATACTGAGCTGTGGGCGCATGAGTTCAGCAAGCACGCGACGTGTTTCAGTACATTTGACGTGCCCTGCTATGGGCCAAAGTACGTGGACCACGAGGAGATTATCGATTACTTCGATACCGTGATAAAGTACTTCATGCAGGTCCCGACTTATGAATGGCTCGAGAATGCGAGTATTGTACCCAGCAACAGCACTAGCTATAGTCTCAGCGACTTCCAAGGCGTTCTGACCGATGCGTATGGAACTTTGCCATATGTTGCTGCTCAGGACCCAGGTACAATGAGACTGCCGCCGGGAAGGGCAGCTCAGACAGTGGCAGAACAAGTCTGAGCGAGGTCTGGTACTTCAGTCATGTAAGTGCTCAATCATCTTCCGGCCGTAGCGCACTAACACGATCATCACAATAGACGCTCGGCAGACCGCAAGATCACACCGGAAGTAATATTGCCAAAGTCAACTCCACCACAAAGTCGAACTGCGCAACGACTGAGGGCGGCGTGTGGTACTATGAGAGATCGAGCGGGAGCGAGAGATCTTGAAGCTCGCGGAGAAGCGGCATAGGCATTCTACTAAGCCGGCAACAAGAGATTCTGGAGCTCGCGAGATGGAGCATAGACACCCTACTAAGCCGGCAGCAGTGGTCCCGCGGCCATTGCCAGTATTAGAACGCTTGTGTCTTCTTGTCCTCAAGCCCTGCCATCTCCTGACGTCCGATCAAGGCAACACTTTTGCTGACAATAATACGATTGCAACTCTTGACCGACTTCGTAGTGTAGCACATATTCGAGGCGACACGTCACCCGCCCGGCTGCCTGGTCCAAAGAACACATACCTTTTCATTCTCAGCTTTCTCTGATCAAACACACTCTTGAATCTGACCAGTGCTCTCCAGCTCTGTTGCTTCACCGCGTCCGCTTTATTGCGACCCCACGGCAGTTTCACTGACCTCGAGATGTCCACCACATTGGATCAACCGTCCTCTGTGACCGAGCTCGCATTGCTCAGGGTGCCACTGTCTGCCGGCGCGTCATCTCCCATTGCTACGCGAACCGATGTCTCTGCTGTCAAAGCTCCCATACGTGCTGGTCTGCTCAAAGCAAAGAATGCTATGCAGGACTTCTCAGGAGAGAGCTTTGCCTTTGCGATTCTCGAGGCTGATGAGGAGAAGAAATTTGAGAGTTCGCAACTTCAAGCACATTCACAAGGACGAGAAGAGGCAGAGACAGAAGGAGAGGCAGCAAACATGATTTTGAAGGAGACTGTCGACGTTCTTATCATTGGTGGCTGGCCATCTGTCGACTTCCACGTCAGGACATGGCTACCAAGTCCAGAAAATCAAGCACTTCTCGTCGAAATCGGCAACTCTGGCGCGACGACCAGGTGGATGTGGCATGTCGATCGCCGTCGGGAGGACCTCGAGGGCCTCCTGACGAGTGCTGCAGCATCCAGCCCTGGAGGACTTCACCTCCATCGTTTAGTCATTGACAACCCTGAGATGATGGAGAAGGCAGAAGTTCTGCTGGCAGACCTGCAGGGAGGTGTTGGAGTAAGGGGAGTCGTGTCGGCATGGCGTATCGATCCTGGCTACTGGGCAGAAGGAGAGACAGATATGAGAGCGAACGCAGGGGTTGATGCTGCGGAACTGGTCATTCTTCTCAGCACTGGTATGGATGACGAAGTCGACAAACGTGCCGGAGACGTCATTAATCAATTCGTTGGATTGGCAGTGGATTCGACCAGCAGAGTCGGAACGATCATGAACATATGAGGTAGAACTCAGTCAGATTCTCCCGTCCTGACAGTCCCTGTTCAGACCGGATGACGCAAAGGTGAAGAAGGCAACCACCCCGCAGGAACACGAACGGGGCCCCCGCCTTCCGCCTTCTTTGCGCCCTTCCGAGTACGATATCGAGGTTCCTGCGGAGATGTGATGTAAGTGCACAGGTGCAGGCCTTTGCCTTTGTATGGCTGATCTGAGACTATCATGGCGAGCATGCTGCCGTCGCGGCCCAGTCTGATTACAAGACTGCATATATATTCGACCCCCATAACTCCCGTTGACAAAGAAGTGAAGTACTGGCCCAGGTCCCCTGATCTGTCACTTCCGTGATCGAATTCGAACTCCTCGAATTATCTTCCGCACGGGAGTTCACGAACGCTTCCATTTCTCATCAAAACAGTCACCAACGTGATGGCCACCAAACCCACCTCACCTCACACAACGACCTTGCAAGCCACATGCCATTGCCACACCTTCTCCCAGACCCTCACCCTCCCCAATACAGCCTTTCCCCTGAAGTCCTCCATCTGTCAATGCAACACCTGCCGACATGTCACGGCCCAGCTCCTCTCCACCTTCGCCGTCATTCCCGGGCCCCTCCCCGACGCATGCTTCTTCACCCATCTCGCCAAATACGAGTCTACTAAGGGCTTCGAGCGCTGGTTCTGCCCGGTCTGTGGCGCGAGTGTGCTGAATGTTGAGCGGCGGAAGGGCGGGACGGAGGTCGCGGAGTGGGAGTTTGCCACTGGCGTGCTGGAATTTCCGGAGCAGGAGAAGTTGGGCAAAGGTCCGCTGGACGGACGCCTGAGTCGCGCCCTGATGTGGGTTGCTGATACGACAGACGGCGGAGCGGTAGGGTGGGTCAATAACGGGAGGGGCGGAGAAGGACTACCTGGTGGGAGGTTCATGAAGGGCCGAGACAGCGAGACTATTTCAGACACCACAGCAATGGAAATGATGGTCAGCAACGCGAAGGGTCTGGCATCGAGCCCAAAGGAAGACGATGTCCTCAGAGTTCACTGCCACTGCCGCAGAGTTCAACTTACCATCCATGCACCATCTCCTGCTGCCAACCCAAAGGACTCCTCGGCAGAATTCTGCGCATGCACTTCTTGCCGCAAGTCCAGCGGCTTTGAAATCACTTCCTGGGCGCACGTCGCTAAGGACAAAGTCACCACTACCGATGGTCGACCGCACACAGAGATTCTAACAGAGCTGGCCCACTATGAGAGCTCCATGGGAACACATAGATATTTCTGCAAGACATGCGGAGCGACCATAGCGTACGATCGGGACGATCTGAAGAGGCTGGATCTGGCGTTGGGTCTGATGGACGATGGGAAGGGAAGCGGACGATTTGACGAGTGGTTTACATGGAACCCGGATGGCGAGGGCGTGGCGTACATGGAGGATGCGAGAGACAGGGGATTTGTTAGTAGACTGGCCGAAGGTGTTGGAAGAGATACAACCAGAAGGGACCAGGGCCGGCGATGACGGAGTCCCTCCAGGGTAAGGGGAAGACTGGCTGTGTCTGCAGAACAATTTGTTGTCTTGAAATGGGTATCGCTATAAGCGTCCAGCTAGCTGATATGAGCATAGTGACTTTTTGATACAACCACTCTGTCGTCTGTCGCATCAGATCAGCGAAATCGAAGAAAATTAAGCGCCGAAACGCTTCTCGGCCGCCTTCCAGTTGATGACGTCCCAGATGGCCGCGAAGTACTCGGCTTTCTTGTTCTGGTACTGGAGGTAGTACTAGGCAGGATCGTTAGCCGGACGCAAGGCACACACATATCGATTGGAGTTTTGTGGTCAACTTACAGCATGCTCCCAAGCATCAACGCCCAGCAATGGCTTGTATTGTCCCACTACGGGATCCTGGTTTGCATAAGTCTTGATGCCGACCTGGCCAGTAGTGTTGTCCTTGACAAGCCACGCCCATCCGCTGCCCTGGATGCCGGCTAGTGCTGTGTTGAACTGCTTCTTGAACGGCTCCAGACCGCCGAACGTCGCATCGATGGCTTTCGACAGTGCCCCAGAAGGAGGCTCGCCACCGCCCTGGTTCTTCGGTGCCAGGTTCTCCCAGAAAAGACTGTGGTTGGTGTGGCCTCCGCCGTGGAAGTTGATGAGTGGTTGTAGAGATATTTTGGTAGCAATATCGTCCTTTGCTTCGGCGGCGGCATACTTGTCTGCGGCATCGTTGTACGAATTTACGTATGTCTGATGGTGTTTGCTGTGGTGGAGTTCCATAATCTGACCGGAAATGGCGGGCTCGAGGGCGCCATAGTCATCTGGGCGAGGCAATTAGCACGGGAAGCGGTTGGAAGAGCAACGTGCTCACATTTTAGGTCAGGCAATGTAGCCTTGGTCCGGATGAATGTTCGGTCTGCAGTAGTGATAGCACGCAAGCCGTTCGATGCGCCAACGGCTCGTAAGGTCGTAGGTCGGGCGGCGGACTTGAGAAGAGAAGCCATGGTGTCGGCTTGATGGGCGTTTCTGGTGTGTTGATGGAATGGGTTCCTATCGCAGCAGTGTGTCGTGTACGAACAGAAACGCTATATGATTGGTATCTTCCTGGTGAAATAGCAGGAAGCTCACTGCATCTACGGATACACTGGCACCAGAGACTCGGAGTCGGAGAAGCAGCGACCCCAGGAGTTACGTCATTTCAAATAACAAAGCTTGGCGAATATTCTCCAAGGGAACCTTGAATGCGGCCAGGCCAGGCGCCTGAGCAGTTGTCGAGTCTTTCAGGGCTACAAAACAAAACATGAGGTATGGTTGTAACGGTTGATTCGACAATCCTGGAGGGACAGACTGCGTCGGCGGGTTGTGAGTGACAGTGCGAGAAGTGGCGGGTGTTGTCCCACGGCCGACCATGTCATCTTCAGATGAAGCAGAAGGTGAGACCTTCCAACTTCGAGATTACGATCAAGACACCGACGATGAAAGACCGAACAAGCGCAGGAAGACTGCCGCAAAGCCGTTATGGAGCAAAGGCATGAGTTTCGTCTCCTCCACGGTATCGGCTGCAATTGAAGGCAACAACGAGGAGGACGAAGACGAGCAAGATGTTGATGATGAGCGGCCAACAATGGGCTCGATGGGCGGCTTTCGCAGCGCCTTCAACATTGGCGAGTACTCGGCTGACGCCAGTGAATCCTCTCCGGCCCCTGGAAATGAAGCGCCAACTCCTCAACAGCCCATCGGCGCAGGACGATCTGCTTTTGGGCCCGGCGGAAAGATGAACAAGAACTCGTTTGCTGCGCGCATGATGGCGAAACACGGCTACGTCGAAGGACAGGGTCTTGGTAAGGACAGACAGGGCATCTCTGCTCCAATCCAGGTGCAATTGTTGCAAAGCAGGGCTGGCCTTGGTCAGGGAAGCGGCCCAGCGCCGCCGAGGCAACAGAAGCAGAATAATGACAAGGCTTCGAAGCCATCCACGCCAGGCGCAAGCACGCCCAGGGTCAAGGCACCTCCGAAGCCAAAGTACACAATCGCTGCAATTGAATCGAGAGGACTCCATGTCCCAGAAGCTATGAAGTCAATCATCATCGACGCAACGGGTGCGGAAACCAGGACAATTTCTTCGGTGTCTGCATCTGGCTTCTCGACACCAGTGCGAGAACAGTCCCCAGGGACCATTGAGAGGTCGAAAGCTTCAGCACGCATCAAGCTGCAGCTTTCCGCATATGCTGAGGCCTGGGATGCAGCAAAAGAGGCCGAGTCTCGCCTCGACGATGAAGAATCTCAGCTTGCGACTTCGATTGCGTTGCACGAGGAAGAGGAGCAAAGATTTCGCGATCTTATTACCACATTTGAGAGGGTGACTGCCGACGATTCTGCACAGCAGAGGTCTTGGGGCGATGTGGTTGCTCGTCTTCTGGTCATCCAGGACACCTACGCCCCCTATATCGAAGATCTCGACCTTCCAGAACTTGCGATTTCGTGCTTGGAACCAGCGTTTCGATCTGCAATTCTCGATTGGTCGCCGTTGAATCAACCCGGGCACTTTGTTGATTCTCTGCAATCGCTTTCATCATTGTTACAGATACCCAAGATTCAAGCCAGTCATCCTCGGAAGCGTACTACACCATACGAAACTCTGCTACTACAGCATTGGTATCCCTATGTACGCGGCGCCGTTCAGCACGAATGGTCAATATATGACCCGTTACCACTCGTTACTCTTCTCGATAACTGGAAACCTTGTCTACCGCCATGGCTAGTCACCAAGCTTTGTGGAGAGATAATTCTTCCCCGTCTCATCGAAGGTGTTCATCGATTCCCAAAACGTGCGGCGGAACAGCACTCTACCAGCACATTAACTGATGGCACAAGTACGCCAAAGAGACTGCCTGCACCAGATCTTCACGCCTGGCTCTTCGACTGGTGGAGCCTTCTCAGCGATCCTGATTTTGACCTCGAGCTTTTCCCGGAGCTGCGTTCGGCTGTCAAGAGCAAGGTCACCAGTGAAGTATGGCCTATGTGGAAGCCCATCTTGGGCTCTGAAAAGCAGAAGTCTCAGCCTGTCCGGTCACAACCACGGGCGAAGGAACGACAACAGGCTCAGGCTCACGCGGACTCCGCCGAGCCGAGTTATAGGGAGCTAGTCGACGCATGGTGCACGGAAAACGATCTGCTTCTTCAGAATACGGGTCGGAGCGATGCACTTGGGCGGCTACTATACCGTCTGGTGGATGTGACTGGCAAGGGCAAAGGGTCGTTGGTATACATCGCGGACGATGTACTCTTCGACGGCGATGGCAAACCCTGGATGCTTGACGATGACTTAATGCATCGTGTTCGCGGCAGAACCTCGTAAACGTAGAGTGCTGTGTAGAGAAATTACAAGAGACGCCTCTGTGCCACTGCTCGTGGACATGAATTTCCTAAATGTTGGTATGCATCAGTGCCATTTGCAGTGTTGCAGCACCAGCAGCTTGGTGAAAGGCGTTGCCCCTGGATAAAGGGGATGGCAGCCAAAAAGACTAGCGCCGGACTCGATGTGTCGGACCCTTTTCCTCACAACTTTGCCTGTAGAATGTGTGGCGCATTTTTCTAGGCACTGGCCCCGCCAATTGGCGAAGAACAGATCCAAAAATAATCTTTCCCAACGTCGGACTACATCAACGACATCATTACTGCACAACGTGCGCTCCCTAATGAGGTTACCCAGAGATGAGATGCGATGCGATGTTTGCTAACATGTTTGACGGCGTCCTCAATAGAACAAGTTCTGCGAGGACACCTCCATAGCGTAGGAGCGGTCGTGCGAACTTCTGAACACTCACCGCCATGTGCGGCGATCATCCTCGGTGCCCCCACTATGGGTGTGGACTCAGGGGTTCAGCCAGTCAAGACAGCCCTCTATCACGATCGCGTCAGGGCTCGCTCTTTTGCGGGCCAATCTATACTCAATCGGACACCGTCAATAGTCCCAGGAGAGGCACTACTCCTCGAGATGCTGCTCCGTGCATGCGGTGCTCTGCCCGACAAGTGCTTCTGATGAAGCCGAAGACGCTGTGCATTTCATAGTCCGCAGTCCGGCTCGTGGTAGCCGATAGTCTGCATGCGGGCCCAGAAAACCAGAATGATTCCATTGCATCTAGGGAAGGTTTGTCCACATAGCCCACCCGTTGCTATCCCTTTGCTTCGTCCGGACCCTTAGCGTCTCAATAAATTATTTTTGCTGGTCGTCGGAGTTGTTTGCGGTGTCTTGTCTCAAGATTAGCAGATCAGAATATATTGACCAGCTCACCGTGGGCAAGTCGTCTTCTCCCCTCTCTTCCCACACAGCAAACACAGCACCACCCTATCGTGATCGTAAACATCTACTTATACACCACCAGCAACCTAAAGAACCCCCCCCATCCCTCACCGTCAAAACTACCATTCATCAATGAGCAAGCGGACTTCTGTCAGAATGGCCAACGGATCTGCTGCTGCGAACGGGGTCGTCCCCAGCTACCTGCTCACAGACAAGGTTGCTCTCGTCACCGGCTCTGGTAAGTCCATAACCCAATCCCGAGCCCCTCACCTCCCCTGAGCCACAGGGTGACGCAACGGGCCTACCTTCCGCTGAACGGCGACTGACGAAAGCACAGGCCGTGGCATGGGTCGCGAGACCGCTCTCGAGCTTGCTCGCCGAGGTGCCGACGTCGTCGTTAACTACGCCAACTCCTCCGAGGCCGCAGATGTGCTGGTGAAAGAGATCAAGGCCCTGGGTCGGGACTCCATTGCCGTCAAGGCCAACGTTGCCAACGTTAAGGAGACGATTGAGATGTTCGCAAAGGCAAAGAAGCACTTTGGCAAGATCGATATTGTTGTCTCAAACAGCGGTGTCGTCTCCTTCGGCCATCTGAAGGACGTCACCGAGGAGGAGTTCGACCGTGTCTTCAACATCAACACCCGTGGCCAGTACTTCGTTGCTCGCGAGGCGTACAAGAACCTCGAAGTTGGCGGCCGCATCATCCTGATGGGCTCGATCACAGGTCAGGCCAAGGGCGTGCCAAAACACACCGTCTACTCCGGCTCAAAGGGTGCCATTGAGACTTTCGTGCGTTGCATGGCTATCGACTGCGGTGACAAGAAGATCACGGTGAATGCGGTGGCTCCCGGTGGTATCAAGACTGATATGTACCACGCTGTGTGCAAGGAGTACATTCCAAACGGCGAGAACTTGAACGACCAGCAGGTTGATGAGTATGCGGCGACTTGGTCGCCTATGAACAGAGTCGGCATGCCCATTGATGTGGCGCGTGTGACTGCATTTTTGGCATCGCAAGACGGGTAAGTGCACTCTATGATCAGACGCATGACGTCGTGTTTTCCATCGAGCACAACACTAACAAAGTTGCAGAGAATGGATCAACGGCAAAGTGCTGGGCATCGATGGTGCTGCATGCATGTAAGCGCATTCGTAAAGGCTTGCACAGAAGGCATTCAGCGAAGGGCATCACCAGAGCGATGAGTACGATTTCGTTCCACGCTTACTTGAGTCTGTGGACGAGATATATTGTCGCAGGAGGTCGGTGCGGCGTGGTCACAGCGGGCACTTGCGCCCTTCATTCCACTTACTGCAGCATTGCGGCGTCATCAATTCTGGACTTGCACGAAGGCAACTTGCTTCTAGACATTTGGAGTCGAAATGGCAACTATATGAAGACCGCAGCTTTCCTTCCTTCTTTCGCACAGTGCTCTCTGGAACGCGGTCTTGCGACATCAATATTGGCAGCTTTTGCTGATTGTGCGTCAGCACTGTCGTCAGAAGATCACAAGAGACTGATCGATTCCAGCTTGCTTGTCGCCGTGACAAGCTATTCGGCGCACTTCGCTAATGAAAAATTGGATGAGCACCGAGACTCGATCTGGAGACAGATGTCCAATTGAATAACGTGTTACTACCTGGCACCTTCCTTGTGAGTGTCAGTTGTGCTAAGCACGTGTCTTCCGAGTACGGATTGAGGTACAGCATGGCACTTTCCTGCTGTGCTTGCCTACCTCATGCAGCCCGGACCAGCGCCTGACCCGATACCACCGCGCACCTGCCTCAACACTCCCATTCGTGCCTTCCTGCCGAGAACCAGAGCATGTCTGAGCAGGCGCGTTGACGGACGGGTCTCCATCTGCGGCTCGAGACGTCCAGAGTAGGGTGCTTGCACCCTTTCTCTTGGGATCTTACTCTGGTCGTTTCTCGAGCCGCATATGGAGACCCGTCCGTCAACGCATGCTTTCAGATGAGATACAGATGGTGTCTACTAGATTGAGCGTACTGTAGTCGTTGACGTGTCCCCATTCCTATGAGTAGTAACACCAGACGTAGAGAGCACCGGAAGATCACGAGCATCATAATCATCTACGGCCGACCGGCGCAGACGTTAGGCGACGGCGGCGGAGGTTTCTGCACATTAGACATAATCAAACGGTGAGAGGTATTCCAAGTATGAGGACCGGCAAAGAGGATTCACCTGTCCATTCACATCGGTAGAGATAAAGGTATGTGTGTCTACTTAGGTACCTAGTACCTAATAGTAGCGACCTGTGCATTTGCCGAGGCGCGATGACACCGTACATCTCCTTCGACAACATGGAAAACCTTGTCCATCTGCTTTACATATCCAGACACTTCAGACCTGAGCCGCGCCGATGACTGGATTCGATTCGGTTTTCTACATGACTCCATCATTCAGCATCCACGAGGAAGGTAGGAGATACTGAACGATAACGGCCCGGTTCTTGGATGGAGTTCTCCGCCCCTCCACGGCAATGATGGGACGTCCATGGTGCTTGCTGGCGAGCACAGCAAGGCCACGGGTCTTGCTCGGGCCCAAATCTTTTCATATGAATGGCAGCAGACACCTCACCGGCGTTGCAACATCTGGTGCAACTCACTCCTGATTGCAACCTCGGGAAAGCTCAGAGTAAGAACACCTTCATTTCGGCCATATCCGCTTCGTGCTTCAGGACGCTTCACCAAGATGGCAACGACGACGAACGGAATCAATGGCCACCACCCAAATGGCGTGCACACTGCAGCGTCGTCCAAAGACTTCTCGTCGTTCAAGGTGAATCAAAGCCGACTAATGGACCACATTCACGATGGCTGCCAATTCGGCGCTGCCTGGAAATATGGGGAGTGAGTGTTCCATACACCAGACTGTGCCAACCCGCTTCTCGCTCCTCCACTTACGGAATTACGAAACGCTGACCGCTCTCGCGGTGCCAGTGACCCTACAGAGACAGGCATGGCTCGCCTAGCCCTCAACGACGCCGACAAGGCAGTCCGCCAGTGGTTCACCACCAAAGCAGAGTCTATGGGTTGCACTGTCACAGTCGATGAGATGGGCAACCAGTTCGCCGTTCGGCAGGGGAAGAACGCTTCCGCGCCGCCCGTTATGATGGGATCTCACCTCGATGGTATGTTTTGCCTATCCTGAGCACGATCTCTTGACCGCTCCTTGCTGACTGTCACTAGTAAGTTCAACCGTCCAAGAGACGATATGAAAACGCTCGACCTGTCGTCTGACTACGTCCCTTGACTGCCATTCCGCTGAGTTCTCAGCTGATTCCAATGCCCCGCAGACTCAACCAACCGGCGGTCGGTACGACGGCATTCTTGGCGTCAACGCCGGCCTCGAAGTCCTGCGCGTGCTTGAGGACAACAAATATGTCTCCGAAGGCAACATCGGCGTAGTGAACTGGACTAACGAAGAGGGTGCGCGCTTCCCCATGATGGCCGTCAGCTCCGGCGTATGGGCAGGCGCAGTGTCACTCGAGAAAGCCTGGAACTTGGCAGAGGTGAGTGCCGGTGAGGACGGAAACAAGAAGACGATGAAGCAGGAGTTGGAGCGGATTGGTTACTTGGGGCCAGTAAAGTGTGACCATTCAGAGAACCCGTTTGCGGCACACTTCGAGTTGCACATTGAGCAGGGCCCCATCCTCGAGGCGGAGAAGAGGAGGGTAGGTGTCGTGAAGGGCGTGCAGGCTTTCAAGTGGTTCGAGATCGAGGTCTCGGGGAGGGACACGCACGCCGGCACCACGCCGTTCTATGCACGCAAGGACTCGATGCTGTGCGCCGCGAAAATGATTGTTGAGTCGAACAGGATCGCGAAAGCGGCTGGTGGCCTTGCCACGACAGGTATACTGACTCAGGAGCCTGGCAGCATAAACACAATGGCACATACTGTCCATTTCACGCTCGACATCCGGCACGTGGAAGACGCAGTTCTCGAGACCATTCGAAAGGAATGTGAGACGGCATTTGCGAAGATAGCCAAAGACGACAGCGAAGCAGGTTGCAAAGTCGAGTGGAAGGAACTGGTGGACAGTCCTGCGGTCAAGTTCCACGAGGATTGCATCAAGGCCGTGGAAGAAGCCGCGGAAGAAGTCTGTTCGGATCTGCCGAAGACGGCCACTGACGGAGGGAGCTTGTGGAAGCATATGATCAGTGGAGCGGGACACGACTCATGTTATACGAACCGCAGGTGTCCGACGAGCATGATTTTTGCCGTTACTAAGGATGGCATCTCGCATAATCCAGTGTATGGCACTTCCTTTCTACTTCAGGGGTGATGAGATTTAACTGACAATTCCCAGCGAGTACTGTAGTCCGGAGGACTGTGCGGTCGGGACGCAGGTATTGCTTGGGGCTGTCCTGAGGTTCGACAAGCGGAGGAAGTTCTAGAATCTGGAAGGGATGGCGTCTTCGCTGGGGCGACTTGGACTACCCGCTTCTTTCCTGCTAGACATTTTTTGTCAATGGAAATTACAGAATCCCCCACCAAATCTGTATCATTTCCAACCCCACACCTGCATCGATTCCACCACCTATATCCGCCTCTACGCCGCTGAGGTGATTGTCATGCTGCATCAACTAAGATCAACAGCAAATTTCTCCCTCAATTTTCCGCCCTTCCAGTAAAACAGCACTGGGGCGGGCATCAACGCCACAGTGACGAAGCCAAATACACTCATTCCCCAGCCGTAACCCAACTTCTCGAACAACCCAGACACGTACAGCGGAATCTGTGCACCCATCATACTTCGCAGAAACGCTCCAGCCGCCAACGCCGATGCTGCAAACTTTTCAAAGCTGTCGATGTAGTAGTTCTGCGTGCTGTTGAAGATGCACACTTGGCTGGCGCCAAAGAGAAGTGTTGCAGAGAGCGGAACAGGCCAAGGGCTGCTATTCTCGATTGTCCACGCAAACCAGAATAGAGAAACAGGAAGAAAGACGGCGCCGATGAATGCGATGGGTAGACGGTGTTCGGGCAGGCCCTCGCCGTCATTGGACTTGGCGAGCTTGCCGTAGATCCGGTCAATCGATGGGACAACGAAGATGGCCGCGAGGATGAAGCCGGTCGCAGGCGCGAGATAGGTGAGTGCGAGTTGGGTCTTGTTGAAGTCGTAGGGTGGGGATGGCCAAATGTTGGTGAAAGTTGAATAGAGGGTGAACATCGTGGCAAAGATGACAGCTTGGTAGATCTGGATCTCACATTAGCCGTGGCGCCGCGTGCAGGATATGAGTTAGAATGATAAGACAGCATAGGAGCTAAGATGGCTTGATGTCCCAACAACGTCGAAAACGGTAGAGGCCCCCGACCAGTGGAGGAAGCACTTACCGACATGATGAGAACGATAGGTTGTGTGAAGAGAATCCTGAGGGCACGATTGCAATTCTGCAGCGTTGTGAGCACACCCGAGGGACTGGAGAAAACTCTGGATGGGTACACGCACAGACAAGATCTTCTTGTAGATCGGCTGGTCCGATGCACCCTCGACGCGATACTGTGTATCAGGATGCTTCGATTGTAACTTCTTCTTCCGACCATCGAGCACAATCGGTGCATATGTCTCATAAAGAAAGAAATAGCTTGACAGACACATCAGTGTCGACACGACGAACAGGATCCAGAAGATATATCGCCAGTCCATATGGGCAACGATGAGACCGCCGAAAAAAGGGCCCAAGGAGGGCCCGAGTAGAGGACCGAGGAGATAGAAGCCGAGCACGCTGGCGCGTTCCTTGGCCTCAAACATGTCCGAGATGGAGCCTCCCCCATTTGCAACTCCAACGGAAGCAAACAGACCTGTGATGGTACGTAGAGTGATGAGCACGGGGAGGTTTCCAGCAAGAGCTGTAGGTATTTGCATGATGGTGAAGAGGACAAGGTTTGTCAGGAAAATCGTCCTACGTCCGAACGTTTCTGACATGGGAGCCAAAAAGAGCGGGCCAACCCCAAGCAGGTGCAAAAAGCCGGATTGTGCACCGACGATGGCTTGCTTCTCGACGCCAAATTCGGCGGCCACATTGGTGCTCGCGGGAGCTAGCATTGAGCTGGCCAGAGGGCAGAGGACTGTCATGGTTGCGAGGCTTGTCAGCATGATCTCGACATGTTTGCGACCGACCAGTGGCGGCGAGGATGTTTCCGATGGTCACTCACGGCCAATGAAGGTAATCTGCAGCACCTGAAAATACTTGATCTTTTTCGGCCATTTCTTTGGATCCTCCTCATCATCCTTGTCGAAGGTGATTACTTCCTCGTCACTGCCTTGATCGTCGCCATCCTGCCCGTGCCAACGCTCATTGTGCAGCAAAGGTGTACTTTCCACATCAGAGGAGCGTGGTGGTGACATTGAGGCTGCTGCAGCCGTCGTTGCCAGGAAGTTATGTCGGCGTAGGATCGTAGGCCATATAGGTCCAATGTATAGACGGGTTCGACTAGACACAATGACTCGACTAATGTACTCAGCAAAGCAAAGTTGACCACGACTTATGGTTTTTGTGCATGTTACTGGCTGCCTTGCTGAGTTTTCCCACGATGCCAGCCGCGTGGAAATTAGTGACGACATCACTCACTCACGAAAAGGTCTCCACAATATCTAGCCCGCGACTGGGCCGCATTACATGTACATGAACATTGAAGTAGGCCATCAGGTCGTACGTGTTCAACACCAAGGTCACCGATGGGCGACCTGATTGTTATAGGATACGATTTCAAGAAGAGCGGAAACTTACTGGTCCGCCGTCACTTCCTTGACACCCTTGAGTAAGGTTCAATAAAAGGCAAAACTACTCCACTTACAAGGCAACAAGAACTTCCCGGCCCGCAGGTTCTCGAATTGCCTCCTGGCTGTACACCTGGGAGCTCTGCAGAGGCTCCCGGCTCATTCATCCCATGACAACATTCGTGGAGTTCTTTCCCGTGGTTTGAACTGCATTAAGCCAAGTACGAAGCGTTGCAGATGTGCGTGTTGTCGCGCACGACGGTCAAGGCTGCTTCATCACCTTCCAGCGTCTGTATCGAATCTCTCTACCCGTGGGTTCACTTGAGACTGTCCGCTCCCGAGCAATCAGTCTGAAGCGCGGCTTCATGGTAATCGTTCGCGCCCGGCCTCCTTCTCCAAGACTTCGCTCGCGACAGTCTCAATCCACTCCTGCACCCGATCCTGGTAGTTCTGTCCCTCGGAAAGCTGCTTCATCCACTCGGGCCCCAAGCCAGCGCTCAAACCGCCAGCTGTGATCTCCTGCTGGGCTTGCATGATCATCAGTTCCATCTGTCCTTTCTTTCTGCTGTCGACGATATGCTCTGTTCGATCGTGCCTATAGTCCAGGTAGTGCTTTCCGAGGACATCTTCGGTAAGCTCTAGTACGAGGGAGCAAGCGACCTCGCGTAGGAACCTTGGATCCCTGTTTGCAGAGGAGGATCTTTTGACGTCGTCTGTAATGCAGTATCGTAGTAATCGCAGTAAACGCCATTTGCTGACAACGCGGCAGGGATGCCAGGGCTCTGGTATAAGATGGGATCGATCTTGAAGCTGAGAACGACATTTTGGCGCATCGCACCATGGAAGTCTTGCGTAGCAATCAGGGCGAGTATGATCTGATGGCGCAATTGGGGTAGCGGATAGGAGGTGATAGGATATGGTACCTGTTGTGAGGAGAGAGCTGACATGGACGACTGCAATCGAGGAAGGTACTGCTCGAGAAGGCTTGGTGGCTGTGAAGAGGAAGACTTGAGGATCTGGATGGCTTCCGTGAGTGTTGTACTGGGAGCCTGTGACGCCATTCCTTTCGAGGCCTTCTCGCGCTCACAACGCGCGCAATCGCAGAAGAAAAAGTACCGTTCCAACAATTCTGACTGCCGTCGTGCTCGGTCTGCCGCGGCGTCGATGTACGTGATCCGCAGCTCGTCGCCTGCGTCAATCGGGCGCAGGGCGTGCACAGATATGCTCCCATGATGCACTTTCGGCAGTGGTTTCAGCTGCACCGAGTCCGACATATCGAAGCGAACGATAGCATTCGGCTCGCAGCTATGATTGATCAAGGCAGGCAATGGGTGAAGTACAACTCCGATTGGATCAAATGTAGGTGTTGTTAGTGTGAATGAATTCACCATTAGTATGCAGCATAGCTGAACGATCTGATCAATAGCGATCGAGGTTCCGGAATAGGTCTTGAGAGCCTTCGTCATGAGAAAGATGTTCTGCCATTTCTCTCCCCCAGCTTCGCTGAGCTCTTCCTGGTGGGACTCGAGGGTGAAAAGCTGAGTCCATTCATCCCCAGGTAGAAGATCGTTTTCATGTTGTAGGAGAAGTCTGAGTATGGCTCGGACGGTGCTGGGTAGTATTCGTGGCTGTAGCCTCTGGAAAATCGGGCACTCGTGCCTGTGATACGCTTTCCACGAGAGTCGTTGGCAGGCCTTGTTGCAGAAGCGAACAGCGCGACATCCCGTACACGTCTTCAACTCAATATCTTGTGCTTCAGACGTCGATGAAATGACAATTTCTGCGTCACTTGAACGTAGACAGGCATAGCAGGTCGTCGGTAGATGAGAAGTGTCGATTGCCGACAGAAGTGGTCGTTGTACGAAGACGATCTGATCTTGGGGAGCGAATGTCTTGGTCGCATACAGACCATTTCCTCGTCCCGGTATCGACCTTCTCTCGACGCCGGCAGGAAAGAGTGGCACTTCATGGCCCTGTATGCTGTTCGACATCCTTGAAAGCAAACCTTACTCCATGGATGCTACCAAACAAAATTCCAGATAGGAAAAGCGGAACTCACGCTCAAGAAGCCGTGCTTGTGGGTCGTAGCCTTACGCCAGTGTCATGCTAGCGAATCCGTAGCTACAGAGAACGTGCCACATTCATAATTCCCGAGATTTGGCTTATGTGCACGACTACAAAGCAAGACATCTAGGTATAACGTACTGGAAGGTGATGAATCAAATGCGGCGCACCGTGGGAACCACTTGTGCATTACGGGGGTAAGAATGCTCAATATCATGGAACGGTTGACGTACACCGATATTGCTCCATGCTGAGACAACGTGGTCGAAGGCCTCAGTCCAAAAGCTGAGGATGGAGTGCGTGCCCGTGTCATACTGCCTCGATGCATGTGTGGATCCCAGAGAAGCACCGATATAAACCATACAAACTCAACGTGTTCTCTGGGCTGGCGAAGCAGTCAAAGCAGCATCGGCCTTCTATAACTCGGCAGACATCAACGCTGACATCGTTGTCCAGCAATGCTCCTCTTCTCACCTCGTTCAAGGTTGCCAGCCAAAGCACTGGCGGTGAGCGCGTGGTGTGTGTGTGCCAACGATGGCATTCGGACCTGGACTGATGCGCTTGGCGGGTTCTTGCATGGCTCCGTGGTGGAATGATTCCTCTCGTGACCAGTGAGTGCTAGAAGCAGACGGGTCCACTCTTTCAATAGGCAAAGCGGACAAGATCTCTGCAAGTGAGTTGCCTCGCCGCCTGATCTGTATTGTTTGTCAACTTACCAGCAGGTCGTTCATACTTCAAAGTTCCTGATTATTTCTCCTTCATTCTCCTTCATAGTTGCTTGCACCAAAGCACCCAATCATCAACCGCGTCCCTACGACAAGTCAACTGCAAAGACCAGTGATGCCAAGGCAAGCTCCTTAGCACATCGCCCGCAACAAGATGAACACTCCGGAAGCCGACACAAAGTCGAAGAAGGGCGACAACGAGAAGAGAAAGCAGGCTAAGAGAGACAAGAAAAAGGCGAAGAAGAGGGCTGAAAATACCGAGACGGTGCTGAATGGCAAAAATGCAGCCAACGATGTGTCGTCGAGAAGTATCGAGGCCGGAAACTGGCTCATAGCCTTCGGCGAGTCCGATAAGCGACTCACAGACCTGCCTGCCACCATCCTGCGGTCGATTCTAGCTGAAGTACTTCCGGACCGCATTCAGCTTCGAGGAGAAGGATTCCAGACGGACTGGAAGCTGACCTGGAACCAAACAACCGTGTGGGCACCAAAGTTGATGCTGGTCAATAAGGCGATGAAGACGGCTGTCCGACCACTGCTAGGAGAGCGCATCGCTATTACCGCCGTATACCGCTGTCCCCTTGAATTTGCTATTAGATCCGAATTCTCAACCTCCCCAAATATACCCCCTCCGCTGATTCCCCTCGAGGTCTTCCCGGGATACATCGTCAAGCGCACGAAAGAGCTCCGGGTCCACCAATCCCCACTCCAAACCATGTTCCGATCGCATACAATGGACGTCTCGGCTTTCCGCAAATTGGAAAGCATGGAAGTCGTACTCGGTGACATTTGTCGGAATGTCGAGAATCTGGGTCAAATTGGCGACGAAGATGGCTTCGTCACTTTCAACAATGGCGAAAAGTGCTACATTCGTCAGAAGCTCCTCGAAATTCCAAATGCCCTCAGCTCCGCGGGTATTGACTGGGAAGAGCTCGCAGACAATACTGCGTCGGAGCTGGGACTTGATTACTCGCAGCTGAAGAGAAATGGGCAATGGAGACGTCTCCTTGCTCAGATGCTGAGGAATTCGTTCTTGCCAATGAGCCGCTGGGAGACACTGAATGCAATATGCGGCTCGGTGCTCGATCTCAATCGCGAGAACGTAATCGGCCTGAGAGACGAAGCAGTCCTGAAGATTGTGCTGCAAGACAGCGATCGCAGCGACCGAAAGGTATGTTTCCATGGACGCGATATGCGTAGATGCTGACATCGATGATAGATTGCGCATCTGGAGATCGACTCTTCGGGAAATAAGTGGCTCTATTTCTGGCCGGACTTCCTCGAGCTGTACACAAAGTAGGGTCTATGGCTCTCAAGGAAGCCTCATTTAACAGACCGCCAGAGGCTTCAGAAAGATCCCATAGAGAGACTTGCAACCGCGGGTTGTTCGATGTTCGATTGGACCACTTCAGGATCGAGAGTCATGGCCAACGAAGCCATCAAGACCCTGCATGATATCTTGAGCGACACCACCACTCAATACTAGCTTCACCAAATTCTTGAGAACGCTTCTTTTCACACCTCCCAGCTTCGGCTGCCAAACACCTTGATAGGCTGCATGATCGTGCTTTCCGTTGCTGGCATCCCTTGCGATTCCTTTCATTGTATCGCGAGCAGGACTGTCGATCATTCTCGTGGATAGAATCTTCAGTTTTTTTGATAAGTCGGATTGACCGATGCTAACCGCGACGATAGCGTCTGCTACCTTCAATTCTTCGTGACTAGGGTCGAAGAGAATATTGTCACTGACGGCTGCGGTCAGTAGAGTGATTGGTGGGCGTGCTGGCTCTGTTTGAGGGAAGAGGGTTTGACTGGCTAACCAGTCATCATCAGCCACCGGATCTTCTTCGCCTTCGCTCTTCAGTCTTGGGATCCTCGTATCTCTGAGCGCTAGGTGTGTCGCCAGACTCAGGAGCGGAAGCGGGTATGCCTGTAGACCATGCGGCGAGATGAGCAGTACATCGACGTAGATGTGCCAGTGAAATCGTGAATTGATGATCAATTTGTCCGGTAGCGCTGAATGGAGGAGGGGCTCGCGAAGCATCTCTTCCAAGTAGATGAGTGAGGCGTCGTCGTCGCGGGAGGATGGCAGTGTCAGTGACAGGGAAATCCACTTCGACGAACTAGCATTGTTCACGGCGCTCTCCTCGAAGCCCGGGACCGCCGAAGGCGGGCTTCGCTCAACCTCCAGCTTGACACCAACGATCGACTCACTTCCATCACTGAAGCTGACATGGGCGCTGCCATTGGTGAGCGGTAGGACGCCGGTCTCCGCATCTAGGCTCTGAAGTCGGTGGAAGAACGAGAATCTGATCGGATGGGCGGTATCGAAGCCAAAGACGTATATAGACAGGACAGCTCGGCAGGCGAGAATGGTAGTGCAGCGCTCGTTGCTGACGGCATGATTGACCGTCCTTCTGCGGGCTAGCTGTTGCTCGCAAACGGCGTAGATTGTTGTAAATATTGGCAAGGTGCTGTGGCGTTGTCGTGGATACAAGAGCAGAAATTCACCACCACTCAGTCCAATCCTATCGCGTAGCGTCAAGCGAATATGCCCTGCAGGAATGAGGCTGTCGAGAAAGGCTCCCAGTAGTGGCGCAAGTTTTACTGCACGTTTAGCTTGGGACGCTTTCTTCAGCGAGGTCGAAGGGAGGGGTGTCACAGTCTGTGTCTGTGTCATTTGAATTGGACATAACGACCAGCGAATGCAGCTAAGGTCTTGATATTGAGATCGATCACCAGAGAGATTTGTTATTCTGTAATATATTCGCTTTCTTGTTCTATGCTCATTGTCTTGCACGTGCCCAGTATACCCGAGTTGGGAAGAGCAGAACTCGGGTGTCTTGTACGTGAAACAGACAGAGGTGCAGGAAAGTAAAAAATGTCAACGAAGTCGTCCTTGACATACTACGACTACGGACTGCACGCAATGTCTCCGGACAGGTGGTGCAAAGGACAATTGCCAAGTGACATCACAAACCTTCGAGACAGGCATCTACTGGTCATCAAACCTCAAGCGTGAAGCAGTTCTTGAGAGTCAACCGTGATGATGCTATTCCTACGCATAGGCATGATGCACCAAGACTGGGTGTATCTGCGCGATATCAACGCGAATCTCGGCTAGACTCATACCGGCAGTGTCGCATGCAGGCTGCTGTGCCCGACATTCACGGCGACTGCCTTAGGCGAAGTGGTCTTTCGTATGGATGAGGCATCGACGGACGGAGGATCTACAGTAGACCTAGACTTGACAGTCGTTAGCTGTGCTCGCCGAAGGTGAAGAAGGACTTGTTTGCGTCAACATTGGAAATCAGACATCCAAGGAAGATATTCGCCATCAACGACACCGCGACTTAAAGTAGGTTCTCATGCGCGGGCTATGGTGGAAACTGCGAATGTAGGAAGATTTTCATCATAGGAGAAGGATAGACTGTTCGACTTGGGACGTACCGTGAGTGTTGAGAGTCGTGCGCAGCGAGGGCGGGCGAGATGAAGGTATTTACTGCAGGATCCCGTTAGCTTAGGAACCCAAAGGCAGAAGAACAGCAGATGCGGTAGCTGTCAGTCAGACATCAAATACTGGCAAGTAACAGACCGTCCAGCTAGACAGTCCGAGCGTCTCTTCAAGGGCGACTCAGACGAGAAAGAAGTTGTTGAAGTTGTTGTCATCTTTGAACAGAGTAGACAAATGGTTGGATGGACGGGCTTACCAAGTTAGTTCTGCAGCGAAAGTCACCGGACTATTCAAGAAGCAGGGCAGGTATGGCGTCGAGAAGTCGACGGGCGAGGTGTCATTGCGCTCATCGCGAGCCAGCTCGTATTCATTGTCATTACGAAGGGAACAGCCTGGCGAGAAGTGCTGAATTTCAAGAAATAAAATAACTGAAAATAAAAGTTGCCGGAGAAAAGACGACGACATAAGGCTGATTCACACTACGCTCTAAGCAGTATAGTAGCCCAGTCATGTGATCAGCGTCTCCGACCGATAGCGTCAGGGAGGAGAAGACAGTCGGGCTGGGCTGGGAGCACGCTGTCTCGCCTTCGCCCCCAGTGGGAAGGCCCGAAGATTCCATTTCTGCTGGCAAGCCGCTGACCCATCGCTCCCGCAACACCTTCGACTGCACTTCCACCACGGACAGCGCCATCAATTATCGGGCTCCTTCATCCTCGAGTCCGCGTCGCGCGTTGTATTGCATAGACGGCATCAACTTACTGCACTCTATTTATCGACGTGGCCTCTACCGCACAAATACGATCGTTACCTGCACGTCCTAACAACCTGGGCCTGTCGATCGTCTCAATCTCCGAGCCTACCTCAATTGCGATAACCTTCTCCCGCCTGACTTCACGCCGAAAGGTACTCGACAGCCGACCTCGTCTGTTGGCGTTGTCATATAAAGGTCTATACAACAGTATACACCCCATATATACCTACACTGCCGGCAATGGACCTTGTGCGCATCGATCGCGCCATTAATTTGTGATCTTGGGGGGTCTCGCTTCGTGCCAAACTCGAGCCACCAGCCACACGCCCTCACCCACCATTCCTGTACATCACGTTTCCCGCTCCAGCTCCTCGTCCGTGCATCCAGCTGCCCCGCGGTCCCACCATCAGATCGTCTATACGCATGATAGCAATAAACAATATAGCGACAGCTTAAAGTGCCGGCGCTGGCGAAATTCGGCGGGCCTTGCGACGACCCTGTGACGCGATCGCTGCGTCCGCAACTTCGTCGCCGCCCTAGCCTTCGGTGCGGCGAGCGCTCGACTGCACCGGCAGAATAAGATCAGGCATTCGGTCGCTTCTGCTGCTTATTGCGTCGTCGTCGAGAACTGCACAGCTCAGCCACCATGATGGCTGCACAGCAGGCTTTCCCGCCCGGAATGGGTCCTGGCCATCCGATGGCAGCTGGTCATCCAATGGCCGCGATGCAGCATCCTGGTGGACACATGGGCGGTCATCCTCCTGGTATGATGCAGGCCATGCATCCAGGTGTATCTGGACCACAGGGAACGCCTGGTCCCATGGTAACGGGAATGCCACCAGGCAAGGCACGCCTGCGCCGGGCCACATGCCAGGTAATTCGATGGCGATGGCCCATCTCGGTCCACAGCAGCACATGTTCCAACAACAGGGAGCTCCCATAAACTTCGCGCAGATGAACCCTGGCGCACAGCAACAGTTGCAGCAACAAGCCATGATGCGCCAGCGCATGATGCAACAAATGCAGCAGCAGTCACAGCAAGGCATGCCGATGAACATGGCCAACAATCCCAATTTCACGCAGGCCCAACTCGCTCAAATGAAGATGAATATGCCGATCCAACATCAGATGCAACAAATGCAGAACCCTAACATGCCACCGCAGTTCCGAAGCCAGCAGCAACATCAACAACAGCTTCTCGCTGCTCACCAGCATCAGCAACAGCAGGCCGTCCTAGCCCAACAGAGGCAGGCCGCAGCAATGCAAATGTCGCGGTCGCAGGGAGAACAGCAGCAAGCACAAGCAGCTGCCGCCGCTGCAGCTCAGGCGCAGCAGACGAGCCAACCTCCGCAACCCCACCCCACTCCTGCACCCCAGAATCAACCTCCATCCCAACCCACACCTCAACCTCAGCCAACCCCAAGTCAGACACCCGTTCCTCAAAACAAAGCCCCTCCCTCGCAACCTCCTGCTGCGGCGAATCAACAAACGCCGCAACAAGCACCTCCACAGAATCAGACCACTCCGCAAGTCAAGCAAGGCGACGGTGAAGACGAGGCTCAAATGAAGCAACAAGACCCTGCCACCGGCCTCGGGATGCAAGATCTGTCGAAGGACCAGCTGTTCCCTGGGCAGTCTATTCTCCAACTGATCATGTTTCAAGACTCGTTAGCATCACCTCAAAGACCAATGGACATCGAATGGTGGAACGAAGTCATTGCGAAGCATTTCTCGCCGATCGGGACACTCAAGATGCAGTTGTACAATACGAGAAACGGCCAAGACAAGTCATACCTGCTTCAAGCTGCGTCTTTAGCTCGCTTCTACCACGCGCACTTCGTCGGCGGAGTCCAGCAGATACAGCTCACTTCTTTTGACCACTCGCAGCAAAAGCAAGCCAATGGCCAGGTCTTTGTGCAGTGCTCATCAGCTTCCTTGATGTACGTCTTCGCAAACGACATCCGCGTGAGCACCTCGGGCTCCATGATGGTGTTGTTCGACGAATTCAACAAGATAGTCAAGCTTGATCTGATAACAGCGGGTTGGCAAGAGTTCATTCCTCGATCGATGGCGTCTACGGCGCTGGCGGCACAACGGTCGCCGCAACAGAATATTAAGCAGAGTCCCAAGGCATCCAACAAAAACGTGAAAAAAGTGCAGCAGCAAGAGCAAGCCGAGGCGTCTGAGGTGACTTTGCAGTCGTCTGGTGTGTGCGAGTGGGGCATACCAACACGTGTGTTGCGATTTCTTGAGGTAAGTCATCCCCATCCTGAGCAGCACTTCAACTAAGGCGTTAGATTGTCGAGATCTGCTTTCACATGGCTCCGCTCATGGAATATTACCACGCACATCCAGGTAGCACACCATTCCAGTCCCTGCAGAACATGAATCAGGACAGCGCTCAGCAAATGGCTCAGGCACGAATGCAGAACCAGGTTGCTCGTCAGGCCAATGGTCAAGTCCAATTCCTCAATCAAGCTGGAATGAATGGACCTACCCAGTTCTCATCTCCCGGAATGGCCCACCTGGGCCTGCCTCAATCGCAAGGCTCGCCACACCTCGGAGGACCGGTTCATACGCCCTCACCGGCTCAGAACGCCCAGGGCGGCGTGCCCATGATGCACCAGATGAGTGCACAGGGCAGTAACCTGAGTGGCAGCCAAGGTCCAAGTACCAATACATCTCCAAATGTAAGCAACAAAAGGAGGAGACCGAGTACGGTGAAAGTGGAAGACGACAATGCCAGTGCTAACCAAGACGGCAATCAGTCAAAGGTCAAACCTAGTCCACGAATCGGCGGAAAACGTCAGAAAGCCTCTTAGGAAGAGAGACATGATGGTTCCTCCTCCGCAGTACCACCCGCCAAGGCCGGCGCCGAGAAGGACTACATCTTCACTTTCGATAGTCGCATAGCGACACACATCGCGCGTGAGCAAAGCTTCACCTGCTCGACATGCGGAAGGAATTTTACCGAACTTCGATCACTCGATTCCCACATTCTAGGACCGGATGGGTCTCGTTGCCCGCGTGCACGCATGTATACGCAGCATAGGCGGGCGTGATATCGGATAGCCTCTGAGATGGACCCATAAATGCAACGAAAGACGATTATTGGAGAACACGAGCATTCTGGGTTGATGACTAGGAGGATCTGACAGAAGTTCTGTAACTCCGAAATTGGCCGCGCATGGCTGCCCAAATCCCATCGTGCAAACCACCATCACGGCCAATTTCCATGACACTGCGCCGGATCAATTAGTGAACACATATCTCGGGATAGTGCCTTTGTTTGTCGACAGCGACACAGGGCACTCCTACTGCTCATGGACTGGACACCTACGAGGCGAGCGTCGAGCGGCGCGATCCTGGGGCAAATCCGCGGTGGGGCCCGCCTCGAGGACACATTTCACATACAGCATGCTGGTAGATGGGACGGACATTTTTGTATTATATTTTGAATTTCATGATGGGGTTGCTTGCTGGGAGTCTTGTCCGGCCTTCGTGGTCGTGATGGCATTGGGTCGATTGTAGATTGGCGTTAGAACATGAAACGGACGCGTATCTGGGACGAAGCATGGTTCATCCTCAGTTGCGCACAACATGCACGTTAAGAAGGGCAGAGATGTGTGTACAGAACGAAGTAATTCCAGATGTCTTTATTCTTACCAAGTGTTAGGAAGTCTCGAAAGCAATCGTGATTCAGCGGGTAACCAGTCTCTGTCACCGATGATTACTTATGATCACTTGCTCTTGCTACATAACTCGGTCGAAAGCTCCTTCCGATCGTCCTTCGTAGATGGTCATTAAGTACCTTCCCTCCCGGTCGAGCCTCGCACAATCGAATGGGGGTCGGTGCTTGTACTTTAATTTTCACCTCTGCTTGATCTTTGCATGTGACGATTTCCTGACCACCTCAGGCATGCTAGACAGCATAGTGGGCCAACGCAATTCAACTTCATCCTGCCTTCCGTCCAAGCAGTGCCTCAACCAAATGCTCCAGACGATATTGAAGTACTCCGCAACTCCTGTCAGCAAATGCCACCAGCCGTGCCCTTCCAACAAGATGCCCCACGGCAAGCCGACAGCTCGTCTCCACCGTCTCAAGTCATCGCAGTAGATATTGTCGAGATTCCAGACAAGAAACCCGGAAGCTACCGAAAGCAGACCAAACGGGATCATCTTCCACATAGCTCTCAGAATATCCCCATCCCTCCGGTCACGCCGAGCCTGCTCGGCGGCAGATACACCCTGAACAGACATTCGTCTTGATGGCCGCAACGTCTTCTCCATCTTCCATAAACTGCGGAAAAAGACAACAGCTGTAAGAAACGCAAACACATTTTGATGAAACACCGGGTCTCCAAGATAATGATAGTATCCCGTGACGAAAATAGCTATACCCCCAACCAACACTCCAAGCAGCACCCTATTCCGACCCTCCAGTCCATGCTCAAAGGTTGCAAAGAACAATATACAAGTGGTGTATATCATGCTCAACTCATCGAGTAGTTGCATCGGGTACTTCAGAGTGGAGTGGAAGATGAAGCTGCCAACTCCGATCATGAGGTATGAGCTGAAAGCCCATAAGAATATGCGATCATGCCGTTGCGAGAGGCAGTTGCGAATGCCTCGCTGGGCAAGGTAGATAAACCAGAGATTGGTGAGGGAATTGATCAGCTCGGCCGAGTATGGTGTTGCGTAGTAGTCTTCTTCGCACCAATTGCTTCGTTCACCGTTAGCTTAGATTGGGACGCGGAACAGGAGTACCAGATCGAGGAGTTGAAATCATGTCCGAGACCATATGTTGCGCTCTGCTTCCAGTCCAAGCATGGAAAGTAACTCACATAGTCGAGGTCACAGGCCGCCAGTAGCCGGAGAGGGCGCCCGATGGGTACGGCCAGGACAGCATGGAGCTCATGTTATAAGTCGGACCTGCTGAATTGATCAAGAAATGTACCTACGATTGAATTGGACATGCAGAACGACATAATGACAAGACTACCAAAATCGCAAAGTGCGCGCGTGGTGGAGCTTTTGATACAGCTTCGTAGCGAGACCCGTTGGTATCCGACTGACTTCGGCTGGGGTCCTGCGGGCACTGGAATGGCTGCCTCGTTTGCCTTCTTTCCAAGTAAGCTCCCACGCAGGCTCAGAAACGACAATCAGGCACGGCGGAGATGCAGGTGCTTTACTAGTGGCATGGCCATGCCATCTCTTCTCGAGGGCGCTGAGCATGCGCAGCCTACCTCACGGAAGCCACTGACACTCCTCGTCGGCCTGTCAGGCCCTTCTTCATCAGGCAAGACCACGCTCGCACGACTTCTACGTACCCTTTTCTCCCTCCCAGCTGCTGAATCTGGATATGTCTCCCTTTCGCTCTTCATCCTACACCAAGATGACTTCTACCATACCGATGCCCTCATACCACTCATCACCACTCCATCTAACGCCGCTTCCGGACTTGGTGCCCGGGAACTACAGGACTGGGACTGCGTGGAAAGCCTGGACTTAGACCTCACTAGCCGGACGTTACAATTTGTGAAGAATGAGGGCAGACTCCCAGTTAGGAGCACGAATGAGTCGGAAGGAGACGGCGAGGACTGGGGCGAGAGCAAAGAAGATCAGAACTCGGTTGGGCCTGTTGATTTACCAGAGGGTCTCCTGGACGATTTGCGGAAAGACTTGGAGCACTGGTGGGCGGGTCTGAGCATCTTCTCTCCCGCCCCACAACCGCCGACAAGAACGAAGGAGCCGACCGACTTCCGCCTCTGCATCCTCGACGGCTTCCTCCTCTACCCCGACCCAGCCTCCCCCAACCCGGACCTTCAGAGACTGCAAAACGGCGTCACGGGCCACCTCACTTTGAAGCTCATGCTACTCGCGTCCCGAGATCAAACGATCACCCGCCGCACGAGACGGACAGGCTACGTCACCCTCGAGGGTTTCTGGGAGGATCCGCCGGGCTACGTGGAGGACGTGGTCTGGCCGAACTACGTCAAGGACGCAGCTTGGTTAATGCGAGGTGATGGCGATTGCTCGGCAGAGAGTAAGGCTAGCGCTGAGAGCAAGGAGCCATCGATGGTGGACGTCGATGAGCGGGTTGCTGAGAGGGCGGGCATCAAGGTAGCGCCGGGCAAAGGGCAAGTGGGACTGGGAGCGCTGCTGAAATGGACTGTCGGAGAGCTCAGAGGGGCGGTCGAGGCGACTTTGACTGTTGGAGGGAAGGCTTGAACCTCTGATTGCGTTGGCTTTCCCCTAATATGTTACAAAGCAGCGACGAAGAGCCATTGACAGGCATCAGCTACACAACGCTGAGAATGAACCCACGAATTCGTCGCGATGATGAGTGTAGAGCAGATGAATCATGATAGAAATGGTACACTATCATGCCATACACGTGTCATGCACGGTGCAGATCCGATCCACTACATCACTTCCCATAGCCGCTTCTATGTGCCGCTCACGGCCAGTACTTTCGCTGTGAAGCACTGCTTTCCGACCGCGCCACGGATTGGCGAAGGCCGCCCTGATTGATGCGATCCGTCATTCTAACTCCGACGTGTATGCATATGCAGTAAGCACAGTAACTCCGTTCCTCCCGGGACCTGAACCCGATTGCTCCCTCTAGGATGCTTGACCACCGCCTCTGGGGCGCTTCTGCCCTCCCTCAGCTCCAGTATCACTCTCTTCCCTCGCACGTTTCCCGCCAGGCACGAATTGGATAGCCCCCGGATTCAGACCGCCTCGAGTTGGACTGCCGGCAACAGAGCCACCGCGCTGACCTGGGCCGCCGATGGAAGCTGACCGGCTGCCTGCGCGAGGGATACCACCACGACCACCGCGAGGGATACCGCCACCTCGCGAGGCTGTGTTGACTGTAGCGGGACCACCCCTACCCCGAGGTAATGACGACGCAGCCCCCCGTGGTAAGCTTGAAACTCCCCGCGTGGCTGTGGTGGTGGCCACCGCAGGCCTCGTTGGACCGTTCGGCACCACGGGTACTGAATTAGCTGGCGTCGCTGTTGCGGCCACCGATGGCTGTGTGTTTTGAGTGTCAGGCACTGTGCCGTCCTTCTCCGCGTTTGGCTCTTCAACTGGCTTGGCTGGCTCAGCAGGCTTGAGCAGGGGCAAGCGGCGCGACAGCTGCGCCATTGCTTGCTGCAGGTTTGGCAGCTGCCGCAACTGGCACAGCTTTGGCATTCTTGGCCTCTTCCCAGACCTCCTTGACTGCGCGTTCTGGAGTGTCCGTGGAAGCAGTCTCGACTACCTTAAGTTTTGCCAGCGCCGCGTTAGCGCGGTTTGTGGTCATATTCAACTTCAACGCATGCTTCTTTTCTGCCATTTGCTCGGCCTTCTGAACCTGGTCCGCAATTTTGGCGGCGGCGGCCTGGTCGAATTCCAGCCTCTTAGACTGCAGCTCTTGCTGGTGCTCAGCAACAAGATCAGCCTTCTCCTTCTCAAAGCGCTCTTGATACTGTTGCTCAAGTGTCGCTTTTTCAGTCACGAAGTCGGTCTGTTGTTTGTTGAGAGCCGTTTCCATCTCAGATCGAATTTGAGCCAGCTGGGCATCAGTAACAGTAGCTCCTTCGCCATTTGGAATCTGTGCGGCTTGGAGCTCAGCTTTCGTGGCCTCGACAGCCTTCTCAACTCTGGCTCGCACATTCGCCGCCAGGATAGATTTGAGTCGATCGACGTTCTTGATGGCCCATGACCATCGCTCTGGAGTTTGTGCCAGGAACGCTTCGTCGGAGATCGCCAAAGCTTCACTGCTCGCGGACACTTCGCCTTCTTCGGCGGGTGCTGACGTGGGAGTCGGATTCGTTGGGGCGGCAGTGTTATTGGACAACTCGTTACGCAATTGGTCCATCGCTTTCTTGTGATCATCCTCAAGTCTCGTGCGTAATTCTTGAAGAGCGGCATCTTTGGTCTTGGCAGCTTCGCTCTTAGCGTCTTCGAATTTCTTCCGGAAATGTTCCTTGACGAATTCCTCTTTCGCCTTGACTGCGGTGTCTTTCTCGGCCGTTAAGGAAGCGATCTGTCCGTCTTTCTGCTCCAGTGACTGTTCGAGTTCCGAGATCCTGCTCTCGAGCTCCACGACCCGCTCGTTGATTTCCTCTGAAGCGCCATTGACTTCAGCAGTATCACCATTGACCTGATTGGAAGATGTCTGACGAGTACGTGAGGTTTCAAGCTGCTCACGTACATCATTCAGCTCTTGCTGTATTGTATCCTTTTCACCTGTTGCCGCGTCCAGCTCGGTCTGTTTGTCCTTGAGTTTCCCATTCGCCTCCCGCAACTTTGTCTTGAATTGTTCTCCCAGCGCATTCCGCTGCACGTCCTTGGCTTCCTTGATCTGATCGGGAATTGTGTCGACCTGGGATTGCAAGCCATCACGGGCCTGAATGGCCTCATCTCGCTCCTTTTCGAGCTTCGTAAGCTGTTCCTTGAGTGCCTCCAGCTCAGCGGGATCAATTCGATGATATTTTGACAATATGTCTTGCGTGCGTTGTCGCCAGTGGTCACGATCGCTCTGCAATAACTTAAGCTCACCGTCTCGAGTCTCGAGAAGACCTTCGAGCTCAGTCACCTGAGCCTGAAGAGGCTCGATTCGCGCTTCTAATTCCTCCACTTGCTGTGTCTTGCTTGCAAGGGCCTGCGAGGCTTGTTTGGCTTCTGCTCGCAGAGTTACGCTGCTCTCACGGAAGAGATTCAACTCGTTGAGTGTCTCCATCAGCTTGTTGTGGCTGACAGCGTTGCGCTCTGAGTCGGCTTCGGAACGTCGCTGTTGGTCCAGCTTGAGTCTAGTCTCGTCGAGCTGTGATTGTGTAAAATCGAGCTGCTGACGAACACGTTTGGCCTCTTGTTGCGATAGATGATACTGAACATCGACAATCTCCTTCTCACGGCGCAGGTATTTGATGACTTCTTGCAAATTGTCGAGATCGGCACTGCTGGAAGGATTGGCTTCGCTGCTCTCGCTGAGAGCGAGACGATCCTTCTGCAAGACGCTGATTTGCTGTGTCAGGCCTTCCAGTTGATTATGCAGGAGACTGTTCTGTTGCAGCACCTCTTCTCTGCGCTTCTTCAGATCAGCAAGTTCTTGCTCGTACCGATCCTTGACCTCAGTCCAGCTCGATTCTTTCTGCTGCAAATCATGGACAGCAGTATCAGCCTTGGTTCTTAGATCCACAGCGTCCAATCGTAGCTGGTTGGCTTCGGTACGAGCCACTTGCAGATTTCGAGCAGCATCAGCATGCTTGACCAGCTCATTCTCATAGTTCTGCTGGGCTTCGGTGGCGATCTGTGCTTGGGCCTTAGAAGCTTCAAGGTTGAATTGTGCTTGCTCTGTTGCACGCTCCTCGGATTCTTTCAGACGCTCAATCTCACTTTCGAAGCTGTTCTTCTGCTCAGAGAGCCGGCGGTCGACATCGGTCTGTTGGTCGCGGAGCTTGGAGAGCTCGGTATTGGTGTTCTCCAATTCGGAAGATACGTCTTCAATACGTTGCTCGAGATCTTTGATCTTGGAGTCTTTCTCTGCGATACTGGCATCAGTCTCTTCGCGGTATTGGTCATTAGTTTCACCAAGCTCTGCCAAACGTTCCTCGGCGGATTGACTGATGTGCTTGTAGACGTCAATCTGCTCATTGGCGCGTTCCAAGTCTGCCTTCGTATGCTCAAGCTCACGTTTGAGCTGAGAGATCTCCAAGGTCAATTCTTGCTCTTTCGATATCGTGTCTTCTTCAGTGTTTTCCGTCGCGTCTGCTGGCTTCGTGTAGACTTCCAACCTCTCTTCGGCAGCGCGGATCTCAACGTTGAGCTCATCAACACGAGCTTGCAGATGATCACGCGACGTCTTGACCGATGCTAGCTCTTCACGAACGGCCCCTAAAGAGGTCATCAAATCATCAATCCGCTTCTGACTCTGTTCATATTCATATTCGCGGCGTTGACTTGCTTTTCGATTCTCCTCTTGCTCGTCGTTGAGCTTGCGCTTGGTGGCTTGCAGCTCGGTCTCAAGAGATTCAGACTGGGATTGTAGTCTTCGCCGAGTCTCAGAGTCTGTCTGCTCACGCTCATTGAGAATGCTCTGGAGACTGCTGTTAAGCTGGTCCAGACGACCTCGCTCGTTTCGCAAGGTTTCGTTGTCCTCGATCAGACGTTTTTCGACACTCTTCCAGAGGTCCTTCTCCGCCTTGAGGTTGGCGGACTCGCGTTGCAGACTTTCCGCCAAGCCCTTGGTCTCAATCAGGTCTTCCGCCGCCTGCTGAATCCGCATCTCTTGTTTTGTGGCAGTCTCCATACTTGAGGCGGATCTGCGCTGCAGCTCACCATTCTCGGTCTTGAGCATATTGTAGTTGGTTTGCAGCATTTCTGCACGCTGAGTGGCTGCACTGAGTTGACCTTGCAGACGACTCGTGGCAGTCTGAAGCTCAGAGTTGCGCTTCGACAAATTGTCCAACTGGGAACGTAGTGAGGCGTGGTCCATGTTGGAAACTTCCTTCTGTGCATCAAGCTGCTGTTGCATCTCCTTGATCAATTTGGAAAAGTCGCTGGAGTCTGCTTGACTGACGGATGCTGACAGTGCCTTGTTTGGTGAACCAGCAGCCGGCACAGGCAGCGATCTCGAGAAGTCCATCCCATCGCCGAGATGACCTTTCCGCGTCAGCATGTTCCGGAACATGTCTCGTTCCTTGACGAAGCTCTTGGACTGGGCCACCATAGTCTTGATCTCGTCTTGGAAGCCAGCAATTTGTGCACGAGCTGTTTCGAGTTCTGACTTCATGGACACGAACTGCTCCTCTCGCTCCTGTGATTCGCGACTCTCAAGATTGGCGAGCAAGTTGCGAATGGTCGCCAATTGAGACTGGTTCTGCTCCTGTAGTTCCGCAATGTTCTTGAATGCGATCAACTTTTGATTGACGACTTGTTGAGTCTCTGAAAGACCCTTCAGCTCAGCCTGGTTCCGCTCATCGGCCTCGGCCTGCAGGCGCATCCAATCCTCATCTGTAAGAGTCTGGCCTCGCTCGCGGATCTCAAGCTCCATGAGCAAACGGCGACATTGTGAGCTCAGGTCGCGAAGCTGTTGTTGTAGCGCTTCGGCCTCCTTGGTACGGCCCTCGAGCTGACTCTGGTACACGCGTGCACTGCGCGACGCTTCGTCTCTTGCCTTGCTAGCTGAATCAACGAGCGATGACATCTCTATTAGCTCGGCTTGAATCTTGCTATTATCCTGTCGTACTTCGTCGAGTTCGGGCTTAGCTCCTCAAGCTGCGCAACGATTTCGTCGAGCTCTTTCTGAAGATTATCCTTCTCAAGCCGCTCCTTCGCCAATTCTCTCTCAACACGTTTGTACTCAGAATACATCTGTGTTGATGTTGGATTTCTGGCTTTCGACGAAGGCGTGAAGATACCTAGAGGTGTGGAAGGTCGACCAGGTGTTGCAGGCATATGACCATTAGGTGGTTGAGGAGTTTCGGGTCGTTGTCGCTGCTCCTCAGCTTCAGACCGAAGCTGTGCAATAGTGGCCTCGAGCTCCGTGATCTTTCGGACTGCAGCTTCCTTTTCCTGAAAGTCTTGCTCGGCTTCTGATCTAATGATACCCAACTCCTCGGCAGCCTTCTCTTTGATCTCCTCGACTTCCTCTTGTAAGTCTTGGATGCGTTGCTTGGCACCGTCTGCTTGGGCTTTCTGCAGGTCGGCAAGACGCTGGACATTCTCAAGGTCGCCTCTGAATGACTCGGCATCGGTAGACTTTTCGTCGCGGAGTCTCTGGAGTTCTTGCTGGCTGTCCTCAAACTTGTTGACGTAGTCGTCCAGACGATGCTTCAGCGACACCTCTGACCGCTTGAGTGCTTCGGCATTTGCAATGTACTGCTCGTTGGATCGCGACAGCTCTGCGATGCGAGCATTCTTGTCTTTACGGAAGGCAGTGTGTTCGTCAGCTTTGACCTTACGTTCATTCTCGAGCCAGTCATTGTTCTTCTTGAGGAGATCGATCTCTTGCTGCAGTGTCTGCTCCATGAATCGGGCGTTGGCGGCGGCTGAAGTAGACGACTGAGAAGCCTGCTCGAGGGACGCGACTTGCTTTCGTAGCTCTGTGGATTTCTGATGTTGTGCTGACAGATCCTGCGAGAGCTTGTCGTAGGCGTTGGTTTTCGACTCAAGGAGAGCAAGCGTGTCTCGATTCGACGCCTCGAGTGAGCTTATGCGGGACTTGAGAGTGGTGGTCTCCGAGGCATCGGATGAAGTAGTACTTCGAAGGCGTTCTAGTTCTGACTGGACCTGTGACCGATTCGTCTCTGGAGAAGGTATGTTAGCCGCTGCCGATCTGCAAGAATGGAGGCACATACCTGACTGTTGCAAGTCACCACGAATCTTCTGCACGTCGGACAGAGCCTTGTCCCGCGAGTTCTGCAAGACTTTGACTTTGGACTCATTCGTCCGTACGACAGTCTCAAGTTCAACCTCAAGTCGAACTCTCTGTGACTTGTTCTGTTCACATTCTTTGGCATTCTTCTGCACGTTCTGAAGAAAGGAAGTGACTGTCTCTGGTGTCGGCGCCGATAGCAGTGAAGAGAGCGCTGCTTCCGACACGGTCGAGAAGACGGACACCGCCTTAAGATCGAGCTCAGTCGCCATGTCGACGGGTTGGCGTTAGATTGTGCTGAAGTCGAATGCGCCGGGACGGGCCCTTCTTCAAGTAGCCGGACTTTGGTCGCAAAAGAACGTGCCTTGCATGGCTGTTGTCGTGATGCGACAGTGACCACGCTCGAAGACAGATGCAAATGTGTGTCGAGAGTAGAAAGGCGCGGCGTGAAGAGATTGGCAACCACGGTCGATGCGATCAATGGAAGAGAACGAACAACCTCGCCGAAAGCAGCGAATGATGCACCAACCCGCAAATAAACGCGAACCGCCTTACCTAAGCTGCAGCTCTTGTTTTTAGGCACAGACCCCGCTTATAACTTGCGCCTAACAAGCTGGTGCCTGGAGAACATATCCGGATATCAAGGCACTTCACTGCCAACTATCAAACTTCACTTCATCAGTCACTCGACTGTCACTGAAGTCGTTTGCTGATACGGTCATCGAGCACGCTTAATAAAACTGCTGAGCGCCACATGACGGACTTGATGCGCAGGTGGTATGTGTCCCGGCTCACCGATTGAGGACAACAGGCCTGAAGGGAACCTTCGACGTCGACCCTTGTCTCATCACTTACACTGAGCATACAATATGGCCAACATGGGATCCAACGTGCCCGACAAGCTGGTTGCCATCTCGATGAGGTCGCGCGAGATGACACACGACGCCATCAAGCGACTGAAGGAGTTCTATCCGAAGGAAATTCCTTCAAATGACTTGGTTACCTTCCTGATGCCAATCACTGCCGAAGCAGAGCTGGTCCGCTTCTTCTTATTGACAATCAGACAAAATCGCGTCGTGCAGTGGAATTCCAAGACAGACACCTATGTTTTCATACCGCCCTACGAAATCTCATCGGCGGAGCAGCTGCTCGCGTACTTCCAGAAGCAGCAGATCGCCAAGAGTATTGCCATCACCGATCTACAGCAAGGATGGAAAGACTGCGTTCCCACCATCAACGACCTCGACAGGGAGCACAAGCTGGTCGTGCTGCGCCATAAGAAGGACAACAGCCCGCGTACGATCTGGGGAAATGACCCAACACTCTATGCACCACTCGATGCTATCTATGTTCAGAAATGGAAGGCCATTACTTTGCCAGGCGAGAACGAGATCCGAGACAAACTCAAGGCGATGAGCTCGAGGGCTGCCGGCGATGCCCCCAAAGCTGTCTTGGACAACAAGCCGAAGCAAAAGAAGAAAGTACGCAGAGGCCACAAAATCACAAATACGCACATGCAGTTTCTGGACAGTAAACGCTGAATATTTTTGTCTATCAAAGTCTTTGAGCCTGGCACTCGCTTGCATATATCATACATCGTCAATCGATATCCCTATCGATATTCCTGCCAGTCGAGGTTTACCACCACAGATCGGTCATAGCTCGACCGTGCTCGCGGTGATTTCTGAGCACTCGGCATCTGCGTACTCATGGACAGCACCTGCATGGAGATGTGTGTCGACAGCGTCCTCACACGCCTAGAGGCAGACCTCGATGTTTTCGACTTAGGCGCGTGCTTTTCATCCGTGGACGCTTGCCGCTCTCTTCGCGACGATTTCGATCTCACCGAGTGCTTTTCATCTGCGAACATCTCCTGGCCCTTTCTTGAAGTCCTCCCAGGACTGGTGGGTGTCATATCTGGGGCTGGCAGCATCACCACATTTGACTGTCGATCCCAATCATCTTCGTCTCTCGTCCTCGAAACACGACTCTGCGACTGCTTGCCGATGTCGTCAGCGCTCCAGTATCGCGACATCCGGACTTGGGTCCTCCATGACGAGCGTTTCGACGGATGTTTAATGTCTCGTGGGGATATCTCCTCAGTAAGCTCTGCGCACCCTCTGAGCCTCCGGCGCCTGCGGATATAGAACCAGAACAGTATCAGAACAACCCCAACAAGGACGACCCCGGCACCCGCTGCGACGGCGATGTATGTGGGCTCCGACAGCTCTCGCTTTTTATTGTGCGGTATCATGGCATGTGTGGATTGGTTGCAAGTTAGGTCATCATGAGTCGATGCGGTCGCTATAAAACCCAGTCCCGCCAGATAGTGAAGGCGTGGGAGATACTGGCGATGAACACGAATTCGCGATTGCCAGATTCAAGTTTCCAGCTGCTGGGCGATTTCTGCTTGCGTAGTATTTCGAAAAACCACTCTTGTGACCCGTGAAATCACACTCTTCCTGATATGCCCTCGGTCGCTATTCTCTGTCTTTCCACAGTCGTCCAGGTGAGGCTCGCAGACAAAACGTCGCAATTGCTGGTGCAGTCAATTTGTGTATGGCAAGAAAGACAAGCACACATGGCCCATCACACCTTTTACCACAGTATTGGTGCACCCACCTCCGGCACAATGCCGTCGTCACCCCTCGAATTTCGCTATCTACCACTCCACGAGCCACTCCATCGTACCCAAATAGGTATCCCTAGCACAAACCCACACTGACTAGTGAGCGCGATAGACATCCGGCGTTCGCTTATCCGATCCCCACGTTCGCGCTATGTACGCACTAAGGGACTTCAAAACGCGGTTGACAGAAGCTTCTGCAACCTTGCCGTTAACAGATGCTCGGGCATTCCTGTCGGGGAGTTTGCAGAGATTTGGACGCTCGCCCAGGATGGCTATGGGTTTCGCGTAGACTTTTCGGTATGAAGTAAGAAAACGCGCGTAAAGGCACATAATACAAGTGCACGATTGCAGGCATACTTGGCTTTACAAGGAACATTCAGCGCGGCTCTCGAGTACCACGCGTCGTGCTTTGCTGTGACTGTCGGAAGCGTGCTGCTAATCAAGATCCATCGTATAGTAGATCTTGTCTCCCACGCGACCATATGATCTTCAGTCCTATCAGATGTGAAAAGTTCTCGACCTTTGCCAGACCTTCTCGAGGAACAACAAGCCTTCAATAGTCGTCTGTGTCCGAGATGAGGCGTTCGAAGATGTGGATCGATTTCCGCCCGAGCAGGGGGAGATTGCACCCTTGCAAGTTTCCCGTGGGGACTTTTGTACACCCGTGCGCGCAGACTACTTGCATCGGACACTCATGTGAATATATCAGCGATGAGTCGACATGATGTCGGCCAACATGTTGGCTTGGTCGCACTGACTATGCAAGAACAAGGTCGGCAGTGCCACCTGCGTAGATCCATACCGCGATTATCTCCGCACAAGCACCGACAGCGCATGAAAAAGGGCATCTCAGCGAGTCTTCGTGTGCTGTCGAAGTAGCATGCTAAGGTCTGAGGACAGACCAATTCTTCAATTAACTCGCAGCTGATCTCCAGCGTGAGCTGGTCTCTAGCATGTACCTGTGATTTTGTATATCAGTTTTCCTTCCCCGTCCGCCTCCAGCGACCAAACAGTCAGATTAACTTGTATGCACAACGATAGCTCAAAAGTTGAACCAGGAGAGGCAACATCGTGCGACGTGTGTCAACTTCTTCACTTCTCACCACCGACTCGTCCACATGTCCCTCTTCCGATACCGCCCAAAGTCAACCTGAATGGCCGTTCACTCCATTTTCCAGGCCTTCCAATCCCTTGCCCTCCGTCTTCAGTCTATAGGCCACCAGGTCCTCAATAGTGACCACCCGTAGGCCCCACCGCCGCCCAAAATCCAGACATTCGTCTCTTCGCATCATTCCGTGCCCCTTCCTTTCAGCCTTCCCACCCTCTACCTCGTCCCCATCTATTACCATCTCGCATATCACGCCCACCTCTCGTTTGCCAGCCAATCGACAAAAGTCAACCGCGGCTTCAGTGTGGCCTGTCCTTTCCAGCACGCCGCCTTTACGCGCTCGCAACGGGAAGACATGGCCTGGCCTTCTCAGGGAATCCTTCGCGGGCTGCTTTGCAGCTAGCGTCCGACACGTCAGGCTTCTATCGGAGGCACTGATTCCCGTTGTGACCCCGAGCTCGGCAACAGCGTCTACGCTGATGGTATACGCTGTCCGATTGGGGTCTTCATTGTCGTTTACCATCTGCGGCAACTCTAGCTTGTCTGCAATTTCTCCAGTCAGGGGCGTGCATATTATCCCGGAAGTATAGCGGATCATGAATGCCATCTGTGCCGCAGTGATATCCTGGGCTGCAATGATTAGATCGCCTTCGTTTTCGCGGGATTCATCGTCGAGGACAACTATGAACTCGCCGGCCTTGAAAGCGGCTATGGCGGATTCGATGGTATCAAAGCGTTCACGGGTTGGTGTGTAGGTGCCATTCGAGGTATGGGAGCGAAGGGCGTCGGCCAGAGAAGATGCCATCGCTTAAGCTGTTCCGGGGCCGTGCGGCCTGTAATAATGCTATACGATCTGTATCTGTGTCGAAGAGCTCAGACACAGTCAGAGCCCAGCTTGAAGTTGGGTCTTGGCGGCTGGTTCTCGCAGTGCTCTGATCTGTACCCAGGCCTGAGCGTTGACACTGATCGTGAAACTCTCTCTGCGAATCCCCTGGGTCTGGATGGATCGCTGTGTCAAGCAGTAGTAGGTCGGGTCGAAAGGTCCGCCGTCAGCGTTCTCAGAACAGAGTACGGGCCGGTACGCACAGCACAAGAGAGTTCGGGTCCCCTCGTTGGTGATGATGATATCTTCTCGCGACCAGATTGAAGAGATCAATTTACCTGAGGTCCTGTCCTTCAGGTCTTAGAGTATTCGAGCTATAGTACAAGATCGAAACGGTCCCTATTGCTGAGCAAGAAGTGCGGAACTCTGGTCAGTGTGACGGATCATGTGCTGACTACAGATTCTCGCCCGGGTCGTTCCTGCTTAGAAAAATTGTTGCGCCGCAGTGACAACCTTCGTCTCCGGCCTCGGTTCGGAGAGCCGACTTACGGGAGAGGCACCCTTTCCTCGCCAGCCTTGGCCGCCTTTCTTCCACTTTCTAGAACTCTTCGTGTGTGTGTATACTTTGGTTCGGCTTAAGAGTGATCTGGCTTTAGCATGGAACAACAAGTGCGTCGTCAAAACGTGTGCCTCGGCTCTGTCGAGCGTGGAGGCTGCATCAAAGTAATTTGCAGCCAGAACGCTAGCATACGTACACGCTACAATGAATTCTACAACAGTCCACCTAAGGCGGACTCTGTGTTACTGCAATCCCTGGGGAATGCGCCATGGCCGCATGGGTATCTTCAACACGCTGCAAGCCATTGCAGTGAGCAAGCATCGCGTACTCCGTTATAGCTCCTATGCTGTTTTGACTCTCCGACTCTGATTCCGCCGCGAATCCAATTGCTCTTCCTCCGTTGCAGCGTCGTTTTGTTTCCTCATTCGCCATTGCCAGCCCCACAGCACAGGCAGGAAGCTCCACAGGTCAAAGTCCGGCCAGAGTACTTCCAGGAAGACGATCTGGGTGTCCTGATGACACTGCCAAAGCATGAAGTCTGATAGACGGGACACGCCAGATGTTCGCACAAGCAGATCTATAGGCGGATCTCCGGCTGTGTACATATGCTGATCTAGAGTGGTTGGAGTGATCAGCTCCGGTGACGGAAGAGTGGTCGTACTAATGGCCTTAGGTCGATCTGGGGGCGAATGTAGTGTGGTCGAGGACATCACAGACGATGAGGTGTCCAGGTCTTCTTGCTCAGCATTGTCCGAGGCATCTCGGGAGGACAGCGACGCAGTGCTAGGTGATGGCGATAGCAGAGGTTGCGGTTGCGACTCCGGCGATGATGCCGGCTCGATGTCCTTCGTACTATGGCTTTCCAGTGCGTGTGATCTGATCGTGTTTGCAATCCTCTCCTCCTTGAAAGGGCTTTTCCTCTCTGGCGAAGGGCTGACAACGGGCTTGCACCAGTCATCAACGTACTCCGCACTGCGTGTGTGATCTCTTCTCGGCTCGTATACGGAAAGCAGACGTTGAGGACGCAATCACCGTTTTGGCTCGTCACAGCCACAGCTCGATCGACCGCTTCCAGCACGTCTGGCTTGATCAATTCTCTTTGCCCAAGAATGCGTATCTTTGCGCCGTAGCGATCCAGTATATCACCGTGTTGAACAAGCTGCTTGAGCTTTGTCTTCGCCATAGCCATTAAGGCTGACACTTCGTGCGGCGATCTCTTAAAGTTCTCAATGCTGAAAGCATATATTGTGACATGAGTGGCACCGGCTTTGTAGCAGACTTCGAGTATTCGTGCGAGGGCCTCAAACCCTAGATTGTGTCCTTCCACCGTCTCCATGCGGTGATTTTTGGCAAAGCGCCTGTTGCCGTCCATGACAAACGCAACATGTTTGGGGATTGGTCCTTGTCGTAGAGCTCCGATGAGCAGGTCTCGAAGCTGGTTCAAGGCCCACTCCGCCGGCGGAGAAGCCAGGAGCCAGTCTCGGAAGCGAGCGGTTCGTTTTGAGGCCATGTTGTCTGTGTTGGCAAAGTGGTGATCTAGGAGACAGTAATGCTCCTTCACTACTGTCTTGCTAGGAAAGGCGAGGGTGGTGAGCGAGGGTGGGTGTACATCTCTTGATGGGCAAAATTGCGCGCTTCCTCAAGATCTGGACGGTCGAATACGAGTAGGCATCAGGGAGTGGAAGAAGCACGCATGCTGGCTCAGGCTCGCTATGAGCCGCAGGGCTTACGACGACAAGGTGCCGATCTGGGCTAAGTTGTACTCAAGAAAAATTGGCGGCGCGCGGCGTCACCGCATGCCTAGGTGTCTTGGCAAGGCCGACAACTCGAATGTAGAGTGCCATTGTTTCTCAATTGATCAGAAGTGAGTTAATAAGTACTTGCTATGGAAATCCGGAATCATTCACTGCGTCCCGACCTCGCACTTTCAGGTCCTTTTGGCGAAGTTGGGAGCAGAACCTCCGGTAGTTTGATGCCTACCCCTCCTGTTCCACCCGTCTTCTTCTTCCTCTCCTCGCCTGGGGTCTTGAGGGGTCGTCCCCCGCTGTCGTCCTTCTTCTCGTCTTCCTCTTCACGGATTTCTGGTTGTATCCGTTGTAACTTCTCGCCTTTGAGCACTTTGAGAATCTCTTCTCGGTCCAAGGTTTCGAACTCAATCAAAGCATCCTTTAACGCTTCCAGACCTGCGCGGTTGTCTGCCATGATTTTGTCCGCTCGTTTCCTGCCGTCCTCAACAATCCGGCGCACCTCCCGCTCAATTTCTTGTTTTGTCTCACTCGACAAGCTGTTGTAATCTGTAGCCAGATCCACATTCCCAAGCTTTGGAGAGTAGCCAAATCTGGTGACTAGCGCGAAAGCAGTTTGCGTAGCAGATGACACGTCCGACGAGATACCGCTCGATACCTTGTCGGGTCCGTAGATGAGTTCTTCTGCTGCTCTACCACCCATGGCGACGGCAATATGCGCGAGATATTGGTCGTAGCCTTGACTGACGGCATCCATGTCGGGCAAGGAGTGCGTGACACCAAGCGCTCGTCCTCGAGGAATGATGGTCATCTTGTAAAGCTGATTGCTGCCAGGAGTGAAGAGGTTGACCAAGGCGTGACCAGCCTCGTGGTAGGCGGTCATGATCTTGTCCTTTTCTCTCATAACCCGTGACTTGGCCTCGGCACCCATCATGATCTTGTCCTTGGCCCATTCAAAGCACTCACCATTGACCTTCTTGTATCGCAACCGAGAGGCACGAATAGCAGCTTGGTTGACCAGATTTTCCAGATCGGCGCCAGACATGCCGCTCGTGGCGCGTGCCAGAGTAGTTGCGTCAACGTCAGTCGAGACCGGAACATTCTTCATATGATGCTTGATGATCTGGATACGACCACGCACATCAGGCAGCGGCACATTAACGTGTCGGTCGAATCGTCCGGGACGGGTCAGAGCTTGATCCAGAGCATCGGGATAGTTCGTTGCGGCAATCAAGATGACGCCAGTGCTAGGGCTAAACCCATCGAGCTCGGTCAATAGCTGGTTCAAGGTCTGTTTGGCGTATGCTGGATCACGCGCGTTACGCTTACCACCAACAGCGTCCAGCTCGTCGATGAAGATGATGGCCGGAGCTTTGTTGCGAGCTTGTTGAAACAGATCTCGCACACGCTTTGCGCCCACGCCAACGTAGAGCTCATCAAATTCAGATCCAGACATGTAGAAGACTGGGCAGCCTGCCTCGCCAGCTACCGCACGGGCAAGCATGGTCTTGCCCGTACCTGGTGGACCGACGAGCAGTATGCCTTTGGGCAGCTTGCCGCCAAGTTGATTGAACTTCTCGGGATTCGTCAAGAACTCGACTAACTCCTGCAGCTCCTCCTTTGCTTCATCGCAGCCGTGGACATCGCTGAAGCGTACGGTCTGATGCTGAGCCTGGACTTCGTTGTTTTGGCCAACTCTCGTCCGGAAGCTGCCCGCAAATTCCACGAGCATGGTCAGGACGACAATGCCGAAGTAGGCCAGGATAGCCGCGATGACAAGAAACTTGACCCAGCGGAAGACAGAAGCACCCCAGGATTCTTCCACGATGACGTGTAGTGGTGACTCCTTAGCACCAGTGCCAGTCTTTGCGCTCGGCGTAACGAACGAGCCACCATAGTTGTGAGCTGCAACCGCTTGACCAACGGACTGAAGAGTGTGTTGATCGAGACCGCCTGCAGGTTGCGTCTGACTAGGAGCACCGGGAGGAGGTAATGTTCCGGTGACCTGAAGGGCCTTCAGGTATGACGCATCTGTCGCTGGACTGTTCGCGTAGCGGCCTGTCTGGTACCGTTCAATGACAATCTTCGGCATGTTCGCTCGCAGTAAGGCGGCGTAAAATGCCTGCTGCGCTGTTGCACTTGTTGGGTTGTTGTTTGCCGTCCGTTCTGCGTGCGCAAGCATATTCTGGTTGGAGAGCTGAGATGTGTTCGAGAACGAGCGCTTCTGTCCGCGGCCTGCATTGTTGCCTCGTCCAGAACCTCCGAATCCAAAAGCAACCATCAACGGACTTGCGGTCTGTGGCATGTTTCGCTGTTCAATATGTGTCGAGGGGTTTCGGACAGCATGTGTCGCAAGTCCTCTCGAGTACACTCGTGGGGTGAGCAGTAGGGCATTGTGTAATGGGCGCAAGGCGCTTGCGCCTACAAGAGTACCGGCATTCGATAGCAGAGATGACGACGATGCACTTCGAAGGAAGTCGGGTATTCGTGGCGACTGAAGAGACATGTCAGTCCCGATCGTAGGTTCAGTAATATTCTCTTGAGCACTTACGCCGCCGTGCGATTGTGATATCTGTCTCGCTTGCGATACGGCGCTTTCGCCACGGGTCCGAATCATTCGATGCTGCCTCAACGCTTTGAGTGGCGAAGCCAGCGCGCCGGATAGTGATGACCAGGCATCAGGGCCAAGCGCTGGGAGGCTCTGATGCAGAACTGCGATCAGCAAATGCGACAGTGACGGCCATGAGCCTGCACTTACCACTAGAGGAGCCTGGAGGGCCATTGTCGAGAATGAAGCGGCGCAGCGCCGCGAGCTTGATTGCAACGCTCAGAAGGTGTGGGTGTGTAAAGACATGAAGAGAGAGGACTATATGCGAACTCCGAGTAAATCCAACAGTTGTGCCTATCGCAAGAACGAGAGTAGATATCGATGGAATTGTAACGGGAACGCATGACCAGATCTCGAAGGCTTCCAGAAGAGTGATGAGGCGGGCACAGTCGGGGGTTTACGGAGATACCGTAGTCCCGAATATCGGCACTGTAAGATAGGTGAACAATGATGCCACTGGCATTTGTGCCCTGAATGAATTCATATTTGCTATAGAAGGTGGCACGGCATTCCAGACGCGCAGAATACGCTCAGAGATGCATGCATGCGGTTCACGAGCTCTTCAATTTAACCATACAGCTGACCTTACCCCATCCTCCCGGGTATCTGTCGAGGTGAATTCGGTGGAGAGATGGCTACAGACGACACATTCCCAATGCCAGACGACGGTGTGATCAGTGGTGAATTTCGATCACTGCCCTGGGGTGACCGAACGGGCGTCTTTGGCGTCTTTGGTGTTTTTGGCCGCTCTGACGACGGCGAGGCAGCCGTGGTTGGCGTAGCACTAGCTCCTTCACTGCCGAATGCCGGATGGTGCTGATGTATGAACGTACTTCCCTCCAGCTCCTGAGGATCTTGCGGTATTTGAAGCTTTGTAGCTCCCATAGCTCCTACGTTCCGATTCGAGTCGTAAGCTGGCGGCGATGAGCCGAGATTCGGAAAGTAGCCATTCGTCTGGCTCATTTGCGGTGATCGGGGAGACCTTATCAAATCTGGGCCGGCCAACTCATGAGGCGTCTGAGGCGGCTTGGAAGGGTGGATTGCAGGCTCATTTGGTGGGAACGTCGTCGCTCTATTCAACTCGGCCTCTCTTCTCCTTTCTTTGCGCTTGCGCCACATGCAAATGGCAACAATGTTGGTTATGAGGATCACTGCTGCGATGGGCCCAACAATCGTTCCAATGAGAGCCCCTCCCGTCAGGCCCCCGCCCGCATCGGCCGAGGTAAGCTCGAATTTCTGCGCGAAGACGGTCTGCGTAATGAGTGTCAATTTGGCGGTATCAGTTGGAGTTGAGGCTGGGACGTAGGTCGAGCTCATCAAAGGACTCCAGCAAGGCGTCTGCGCGCCGATGCCGGTATAGTACACCTGATAGCCACTGGAATGGTCAGCGTTCTGTACATTTCAGCGGAAGGAGGTGCATACAGTGGGCAACAACCACCAGACGTCGTAAAATAATCTTGCGGACACCTCGTGATCTTCGAATTCGATCCATACGAGTATGGACAACAACTTTGCCGGTCTGGGCCACAGCCAACGGCCGGATACTCCCATGAGCTTCCGGCGCTATTCGTGACAACAGCAAAGTATGGATTTGAACAAGTGCCTGTCAGCAACGGCGCTCCTCCAAATGTGGCAGTGCCAGTGGCGCCGCTGAATGATGGAGGCTCTGTGACGACGTCGCCCGTAATTGTTGACACTAATGAATTCGAAGCTGAGGTTTGGGTTTGAAGGGTGGTCGGCGTCGAGCCACTTCCACTTGGAAGGGCCGTCAGATTAAGCGGGGAGCATCCCACGAACGCAGGAGCTTGCTTGCCGACCTTTGAGCATTCTTCTTGGTTGAACTGGATCGCGACTATCAATGCATTAGTTCACTGGTTGTCAGCCGGGTGGCGATCGGACTGACTTGACTGCTCCTCTGGATTACACGACGTCGCTAGACAGCATGACAACGTGCTCACGTATGCTGTGTTAGAACACAAGCAGGCAATGTCGATGACCTGGCACGTCGATTGCGCCTTTGTACTGTTGGCCAAACAGTTTTGCTAGACTCATCAGATCGATGCTATGACGGGGCAACTTTGCCACTCACAGCACAGAGCGGCACATCTTGTATTGTGACCGCTGCTCCTTCTCTGAACAACAGTGGCAGTGCCACAGCGAGGACAAACAGCTTCATGTTGGCGAACATCAAGGCATGAGGCAGGAATGAACAGCGACGCCCCGTGTCAGAAGAGAATGGGAGAAGCAGCGCAGGTACACGTAGGCATCATTTTTGCGTCCCCGCAACCAGCGATATGTCGACATTATTGTCAGAGCCACGAGTCCTACCTTTTCCGGACAGCACAAACAAAGACGGGCAGGGCACGGTCACAGGCTGATCCGTGTGCAGGATGGAGGCTGGTCGGTAGCCTCGGCCGCGGCAACCAGCATGGAATGAGGTCTGAAGACTGCTCGAGACGTTATGGCGTGATTCGCAAGCCTGCGCTGATATTATTGACGAAGTTCTGTCGTAGAAGCTGAAGACGAGGGCATAGGGCAGATGCCGTAAATATCGTGCTTGCCATGCGGAGGTAAGGCCATCCTAATTCCTGGTGCAAGGTTCCCAACCCGTGGCTTCACCCCGGAGACCATGAGCCGCTTCACCTCCCACCAGCAGATCTGCGGCGCGACTGTGGCCTCTCGATCCCGCCCATACAATGAATGGTTCATAGACCTCGACTCCAGGTAGGTCTGTAGAAGGCCGCCCACTTCAGTAGAGATGGTGTCTCGTGAGTACCGCATACTAGTGACCGGTGCCAATAGGTGAGTCCAGTCCAGTCACGACAATCCGTCGGCCTTAATAAAGCCTCTCGGTAGTTGCAGCCAATACTGATGCAACGACCGCAGCGGAACAGGACTGGGCATATGCCAACGACTCATTGACGATTTCATTCAGGTCAAGCCTGTTACCGATCGTCTTACGATCATTTTCACAACGAGAAGCGCGAGTAAAGCCGCTGCTACCCTTCGCAATCTCCAAGTTCGACTGAAAGTGCGCTATGCCGATGATATCCATCGATTTACTCTCTCACCCGAAAGTGTCGATCTGTCCGATCTACGCTCCGTTCGTGCACTCGCACAGAAGCTGCTAGCCTCAGACATTCCCTGTATTGATGCGCTTGTCCTCAATGCTGGGATTGGCGGATGGAGCGGCTTGAATTGGGGGCTGGCTGTTCGCACCATACTATATGACCTGAGAAGAGCGACAACGTGGCCAACATTCAAGCTGAGCTATGTCGGCACCGTCACAAAACCACAGCTCCCTCCAATACACGGCCAAAATGCGGATGAGCCGCCATTGGCTGAGGTGTTCTGCGCAAATGTTTTCGGCCACTACATGCTTGCCCATTGGCTGACGCCATTGCTTTGGTCTTGTAATTCAGTTCGGCCAGCACGAATCCTCTGGATGGGCTCACTAGGAGGCCAACCTGAAGATTTTAGGATAGATGATTTCCAAGGCTTCAAGGCGCAATCGCCCTACGAGCACACCAAGTGGATCACCGACCATATGGCTCTGACCGCCCAGAATGAGCCGGCGACCGAGCGATACGTGAAGTCATTCCTCGATCCGACGACGTCGACGCTGGCACCAAACCAGGACCGACCCCGGAATGAACGTCCCTCCATCCGCGTGATTCATCCCGGCATCGTACATACTGCAATCATTGATCTGCCATGGATCTTGATGCAGGGCTACGCTCTGGTGGTCATCCTGGCACGATGGCTCGGCTCGCCGTGGGCGACTGCGACATCATATGTCGCTGCCATCTCAGCCGTCTCGCTGGCGCTAGCTCCGCATAAGCAGCTCATGGAGATGGAGGAGGACGAAGGAGGCAAAGCCATCAAGTGGGGAAGTGCAGTCAACAGATGGGGTACAGCTAGGGTCGAGACATCCGAAGTTGTTGGATGGGGCATCAACGGCTCAGGCAAGCCATACTCAGCTACATGGTGGGGAGGCCCAGCTTGGTGGATGGGAGGATACGTTGGGCGGAATCATGGAGCAAAGGACGCCACTAAGGAAGACGTTGAGAACTTCGTCGTCCAAAGCGCTCAGGTGTGGAAGAAACTCGAGGAACTGCGAGTAGAATGGGAGCATAGACTAGAAGACTATGACAAGAAAGTCAGTCATGAGAATGGGAGCTTAGGTTAGAAAGCTGTGCCACGGAAGCCAACTAGTCATGGATTTCGAGGCTGATGTGTTCATGCCAATCAAAAGTATTCACACACTGAATTCCTCCCATTCCGCCCTCTTCCCTCGCTTCAAAGTTTCGACTTGGCCTTCTCCGCAGGGGCCTCCTCAACAGCTTGCCCCTGGTCTGCGAGTCATTCTTGCTGATCGTCATCCTCATCGACCCAGCCCTTCGACTGCTCGACCGCTTTGCTCCACTTCCTATACATCTTCTCACTCCTCTTCACGTCCAACTTGGGCTCGAAGAACTTCCTGCCTTCCTGGTTGATGCTCTTCAGATCATCGAAACTCTTCCATACGCCCACTGCAAATCCAGCTGCGATCGCCGCACCCAACGCCGTCGTCTCGCGCATCTTCGGTCTATCTACTGGTATCTGTATGATGTCGGCTTGCGTCTGCATGCACAAGTCGGAATTGCTCATGCCGCCATCCACGGCCAGCTCCGTGAGCTTCACACCTGCATCCTTGCCCATGGCGTCCAGAATGGCTTTGGTCTGGAAGCAGGTGGCCTCAAGGGTGGCACGGGCGATGTGTCCGCGCTGAGTGTACGCGGTGATGCCCCACATCGTCCCTTTCGCGTCGTCGATCCAGTAGGGGGCAAAGAGGCCCGAGAAGGCCGTCACGAAGACGCATCCGCCATTGTCGGGGACGGTCTCGGCGAGTTCGGAGATGCGGTGGCTGTCGCGGAAGAAGCCTAGGTTGTTCATGAGAAATTTGACGCTGCTGCCCGCGACAGCGATGGAGCCCTCGAGGGCATAAGAGGGAGCGATGCCCTGCGCGGAGAAGTCGTAGGCGACGGTGCTCATGAGGCCGTGCGTGCTGATGACAGGCTTCTCGCCGACGTTGAATAGCAGGAAGGCGCCCGTGCCGTATGTGTTCTTCGCGCGGCCGGCGGAGAAGCCGCCTTGTCCGACGAGGGCGGCGGACTGGTCGCCTAGACAGCCGGCAATTCGAGTGCCTTTCAGCGAGGTGCTGGCGAGTTTGCCGTAGGCTTCGGGATCGGACGAGGAGACGATCTTGGGCAGATGGATCTTCGAGGTGTCGAGGCCGAAGAAGGAGAGGAGCTTTTCGTCGTATTTGAGCGTGTGGATGTTCATGAACATGGTGCGTCCGGCATTGGATGGGTCAGAGACGAATACATTGGCCGAGACGCCGCCGTTGAGCTTGTAGGCGAGCCATGTGTCGACCGTACCGAAACACAGGTTTCCGGACTCGTAGGCAGACTTAACCTTGTCGACGTTGCGCATCAGCCAGAGGAGTTTGGCGCAGGAAGGGTACGTTGAGAGCTGCTCGCCGCAGATGCCCATCAGCTCGTCAGCGCCCGACTTGGCCTTCAGCTCGCGGACGATGTCCACGGAGCGGGTGTCTGTCCAAACGATGGCATTGTGGAGAGGCTCGCCGGTATTCTTGTCCCAGACGATGGTGGTTTCGCGCTGATTGGTGATTCCCACCGCAGCGATATCTGAGAGCTTGTGACCAGCGGACTCGAAGGCTTTGCATGCCTCGTCGATGCAAGCTTCTACTGATGAGATGAGCTCGAGAGGGTTGTGCTCGTGCCAGCTGGTGGCATTGTTAGCAGGCGGTTATAGCTGAGGCAGCATGAAAGAGTAACCTACCCGGAGTGAGGATAGATCTGTTCGAACTCGATCTGATGCTGTGCGACTGGCTCACCATTTGAGTCGAAGATGAGGAAGCGTGACGACGTCGTGCCATTGTCGATGGCTCCCACGAATTTGCCTGCCTGCTCGTCGTTCAGCGAATGCTCGGAGCGTATTCTGTGCGTACTGTACCATTATAGAGTGTCGTGAGATGGACTCTTGGAGTATTTCGCTGCCTGCTGAGAGTCAAAGGCCAACGCAACGCTTAACGAAGAAGACGGGGAGCTCAAGTTCGGGCCAGGACAACTATATGAAGAATGTTACACTCGACGGAGCAAGTAGTGGGTGCGTTGCACATGCATCAATAGCGCGGTAGTCTGACGCGCTTTTGCATCCCAGTGGTGTGGGCAATACGGGTCAGGCTCAAATTCAGCGGGGAAACCATGTGCGGGCTGCGGGGCAGAATGAGAAGCTGAGCTCGGCTCGGAGAATGCCTGAAAGCTGTACCGACTCATGTGCTCGAGGTTTGAGCAGCATTTTGCTAGCTTTCAGGGTGGCAAGAGCACGAGACCTCGACTAACTGGCCAGTCAACGTTTGATGAGACCGTTAGAAGGCCGAGAAGAATCTCGAAAGGCACCGTGGCTGCGCGGCTTCGAGAACGCGGCTTGCTGCAGGTCGGTGTCAAGGTGCCCGAAGGTCAACTTTTCCGCGCTAGCTCTCGCGCCCAGACTTCACAACGGCTGCTCACTCGTGGCATAACGGAATCTGCGGATGCTTGTAAAATTGGTATGCCTTTCCGGTGGTATGTACAGGTGACCTTCCCTGCGAAACCGTACAAAGGAAATCTTATTCTCGGGCTCAATTGCCGGTGCTTGCGTAAGTAGACAATTTGGACTGCTGGGAGGCCTTCAGCCATGCGCCAATGGCATCGGGTGACCTCCAGACACGCGCGAGTACTTGGCAGATCTTCCGCCCAAAACAGTGCAGTGCCGAATGCTCAGCGCAATATCTACTCGTCGTCATCTCCATCCTCGTCTTCGCCTGCAGCTTCTGCACGAGCCTTGCCTTCAGCATCATCAGCATCAAGTTGCTCCAGCTGCTGTTCTCTTAGCGCTCGCATGCGATCTGCGGGACCAGGAGGTCGGGTAATGAGATCAGCGATCTGACCACGGCCGATGAGCGATGCTACGATACTTGCGCCCACGATGAAAGTAAGCACGAAGCGGTACGTGGCATACCACGATGGTGCCCAGCCACGACTTGCAGCTCTGGCATCGTTGTAGTAGAGGAAGGTAAAAGCCAGAAACTGAGCAATCAGACCAACCTCAGCCGGTAGGAGGAGGGTCGGCCACGCGACAGCTGTTGCAACAATACCCATAGAGTATCGTGGGTAGCCCTGATGACCGCCATAGCCAGCCCATTCAAGACCCCAATGAATGGCTCCGAGGAAAGAAATGATCTGAAACGACATCAGTAAAGGATGTTACAACTCAGAGCGTGACATACAGAAGCACCGTAGCCCAGTTGAATTGGCTCAATAATGTGCAGGAGCTGCTCAGCAACCTCACCGGAAAGGATCAGGCCCTGACCGTGGGACGCCGCGTACTGGATGTCGAATGCAAGGTAGACTGTGGATAGGGATGTCGCTAGATATGGAATAACGCCGGCAAGACCGACAGCCAGGGCTTCCCGGGGCACGTCCTTCAAGCTGAAAGTGTCAACAATTGTTTTCTGTCCTCTGTCAGCTATGCCCTCTCTTCCGCAGTGAACATGCATACAAAGTCACTGCGTATTGAGGCAGTCATATCGATCTCTTCTTCGTGAGGAGTTCCACCGACCTCGCCGGAGACTGCAGGATGTACCGACGAAGTTGAAGAGACGAGTGATGGATGTGCTACCACCATTTCCTGACCATAGGCTTCCTCCGCTTTGTTGTCTCGACTTTTCGGGAAACTCGCTTTCTGGTATGTTGTTTCATAGCGAACCAGCGACTTCGAGACAGGTTTTCTGAGCGCGAGAGCCAATGTGCTGGGTCGGATAGCAGGCTTTGCAGAGGTTCGGAGGGCTGCACGGAGGATCGTCGAGGATTGGGTCGTTCTTGGAGCTTGAGCACGCAGGCCCTGAAGAGAGCGCGCTACATTTGTGCGATACATCTTGACTGGGATTGCCTCTAACGGCGCAATTGGAGGAGGAGTCGCCCGACCAGTACCAGCTGTCAGAGCTCGAAGTATCGTCGTCGATAGGAGTGGAGAGGGTTGACAGCAACTGTGAGCTCTCACCTTGTGGTTCAATATGGGTGTGAAGTCAAGGAGCAACGGGCAGCTCAAGCTTTAAGGTTTGCACTATCCCTGACTGGTTAGCTCCCTTGGCGGCAAACGTCCCCGTGGCAGTGACGCATTCAAGTTGAGAAGCCAAGTTCAAGCCAACTTGAGGATTGCCAGTAGTGACTGCACTCTTTTTGCTTCTGACAATCATAATCGCAATAACACGAGAGTCTTTTTGGTGTCCCATTTCCCCGTCAATTATCAGTCAGTGGCTTGGTGTGCGTTCTAAGCCTTTCAGCATTCACATTTGGACTTTCCGGGCGACTTTCCGCTTGCACGGTCGCCTTGCACCAACCTCGGATACGCGCCACGTGTGGCGGTGTTGCCTCACACTATTTACTGACTTCGATTCGATCGTTTCTGGATCTTAGCGGTGGTCTCCATGTATCTCAACATCGATTAGGAGCATTCACTCTATCCCAGGCCCGGGTAACGGCCACCAACCGCCAACATGTTGGAAGGTCTGGTCGCCAATCTACTGAACCGTTTCCTGGGGATGTATGTTAAGAACTTCGATCCCAAGCAATTGAATGTTGGCATATTCTCTGGCGATGTCAAGCTCCGGAATCTCGAACTTCGCCGTGAGGCCCTGGACCAGTTGCACTTGCCGATTAATGTGGTCGATGGTCGGCTTGGAGAGCTCACACTGTCGATACCATGGTCCAATCTCCGGGGCAAGCCTGTGAAAGTCAACATCGAAGATGTCTTTCTACTCGCTGCTCCTAAGGAGGAAGATCAGTTCGACGCCGAGGAAGAGGAGAAGCGAGCCGTTGCCGTCAAGCTGGAGAAACTCGAGAGTGCCGAGCTTCTCAAAGAACGTAACGTTGAGGGTATGAGTAAGGAAGAACAACAGAAGAATCAAAGTTTCGTATCCAGCTTCACCACTGCCATTGTCGACAACTTGCAGATCAGCATCAAGAACATCCACATTCGATACGAGGATGCAATCGCCTCACCGGATCATCCCTTCGCTGTTGGTATAACACTGAAGGAGATGAGTGCTGTTAGCACGGACGGAGATTGGCGTCCCACGTTCATACAGTCGACTTCGAGTACGACACACAAACTTGCTGTACTCAACTCCTTGTCCGTGTACTGGAACAGTGATGCCGAGCTGTTTGGTACTGGCAAAGGCAGTGATCAGGAGGCAGCAGCAGAGAAGCTGGGCACCGAGGAATTGATTCGTCGCTTCAAGGAAAGTATCGAAAAGACCGACAATTCGCAATATCTGCTGAAGCCGGTCAGTGGTCGGGCCGGGCTAGAGATCGACAAGACTGGAAGCACAGACCGTCCTCGAATGAAGGCGCGTCTCATGTTCCAGGAATTTGGTTTCGTTCTCGATGATGAGCAGTATCGTGATGCATTGATGTTAGTTGATCTGATGCATTATTTCATTCGGCACCAGGAGTACAAGAAGGACCAGCCCGTGAATACCCCCAAGGAAGATCCTCAAGCATGGTTGAAATTTGCAGGCCACGCTGTTTTGAACAAAATTCACGACCGGAACCGCCGCTGGACCTGGGACTACTTCAAGGAGCGCCGAGACATGCGCCTAAGATACATCGAACTGTTCAAGAAGAAGAAGAAAGAACAGCAGCTCACAGAGGATGAAAAGAAGGATCTCGACTCGCTGGAATACAAATCATCTTATGAAGATCTACGTTTCTGGCGGTCTTTGGCCCGCAATCAATTGCGCAAGGAGAATGTCGGTGTTCCGAAGCCTGCTCAGAAGCAGACATGGGGACAGTGGATGTGGGGTCAGAAGCCACAGGAGAGTGAAGACACTCAAACAGAGATGACTGAAGAGGATCGTAAAAAGCTCTACGAGGCGATCGACTGGGATGAGAAGAAAGCCATTGCTGACAGTGTCGATCTTCCCCGTGAGACCGTCAAACTGCAGATCGAGTCTGGTCTGCGCACAGGTAGCTTCACGCTGAAGCGCGATCCTCACGGAAAAGCCGCCGAGATTCTGAAGTTGGTGTTTGACAACTTCAAAGCCAAAGTACTCCAACGACCTGACTCCTTCCTCGCCGATGTAAATTTGGGTGGCTTTCGTGTCTACGACGGAACGACCGAGGGCACATTGTTCCCGCAAATTGTCAAGGTCAAAGGCGTCGAAGAACAGCCTAAAGACCAGGATGTGGACTCTGACAGCGCTGACATAGCTGATGGTGATGCTAAAGCGGACGAGGATGAGAATGGCCTGTTCCATCTCGTCTTCGAGAATAACCCACTGGACGAGAGCGCTGATACAGAAATCAAGCTTAAACTCAAGAGCCTCGAGTTCATCCACAATCCACTTTTTGTGGTAGAGATTGCCAGATTCTTCAAGCCGCCTGCGAGGCAGATGGAATCGATCGGAGCATTGCTGGAGACTGCCGGCGCTACCGTGGAGGAGATTCGACAACAGACTCGAGCCGGCCTCGAGTTTGCCTTGGAAGAACACAAGACCATAAATGCCAACCTTGACATTGCTGCGCCCATCCTCATCATCCCTGAATCCATCACCAAGCAGAGCGCGCTTTGTATGATCCTTGATGCTGGTCACGTCAGTCTACATTCCGAGGTAGTAGACAAAGCAACCCTTCAGGAGATACATTCGAAGCGAAGAAAACAGTATACCGAGCAGGACTTCCAGCAGTTGGAAGGGCTCATGTACGACAAGTTCCATCTACGACTCGATTCGACTCAGGTTCTGCTCGGTCCAGGTATTGAGGCAACAAGACGGGAGCTTGAGTCAACTGAAGATGCGCAGAATCTTCATCTGATTGATCGAATCAATATGGATTTCTTACTCGAACTTTCCATTCTTCCGAAAGCTCCAGACATCACGAGAACAAGGATATCTGGTACTCTTCCGGTACTTCATGCATCGATATCCGATCGCAAGTACAAGAACCTGATGAAGCTTCTTGATGTTGCCGTACCGAAGTTCGACAAGTCGACACCGGAACAGACTTCGGCGGACGGCCATGATGGCGGCAGGCCTGGCTCCGACAACGTCAGATCAAAAAGAAAGTCTGTAGCGCTCCTGGAAAAGAAGGATGAAGCAGTAATCGATCACGACTCCGACTCCGAAGAGGCATCTAAGCAAAAATCAAAATCGCAGAAGTCAGAGGAGAAGGAAAAGCCGCTGAACATCCACCAGCGAAACTTCGAACTTAACTTCAACATCGAGAAGCTGCAAGCATCTCTATTCAAAGCTGATCCTGAAGATCCCAAGAGGGACAAGCTCCTTGTCGAGCTCGTGGCTGAACACTTCGCTCTATCGTTCTATCTCCGGCCCTTCGATATGGTCGCAGAGGTACGGCTCGGTGCTCTTACTGTTGATGACCACATTGAACAGGAACCTCTGCCAGAATTTAAGCAGATTATCTCTTCCAAAGGCTTCAAGGCTGAAGAAGGCAAGGATCTCTTCAATGTCAAGTTCGTCAAGGTCAATCCGGAATCTCCAGAATTTCAATCCACGTACGAAGGCATCGCCACAAATCTCGACGTGGCAATATCGACAATAAACCTCATCGTGACAAGGAGAACTCTTCTGACTTTGCTTGACTTCGTGCTGGTAACTTTCACGAACCAGGGCGAGGCGCCGAAAGACACCAATCCGACCAATAACGCTAACAATGATGTCAAAGCGATTGACTCCACAGATTCTCAAGCGCCTCAGAGCGACAAGATACGGATCAAGGCCCAGCTGAGCAGTATTGCATTGATTTTGAACAACGATGGCGTGCGACTGGCGACACTCAGCTTGAACTCGGGCGACGTCGGAGTCTACCTCGATGCTCCTACCATGCAGGTCAAGGCTCGTCTAGGCAGTCTCACTCTGGTCGACGATATCAATCAGGGTGCGCCCGAGGATTCTCCACTACGAAGACTCATCGCGATCGAGGGTGACGACCTGGCTGACTTCAAATATCAAACCTATGATCCAAATCGTCAGGGCTATCCGGGGTATGACTCGGGTGTCTACCTTCGCTCAGGCTCAATCAAGCTCAACTTTCTGGAAGAGCCGTTCCGCAAGATCATGGAATTTGGCGTCAAATTTGGCAAAATGCAAGGTATCTTCAATGCCGCTCGACAAGCTGCTGCCAACCAAGCAACACAGGTCCAGGAATCTGCATCGAAGATGCATTTCGACGTACTCGTCAAGACGCCAATCGTTGTGTTCCCACGAGCTATGATTGATGATCGTCCACGAGACCTTCTTACAGCATACCTGGGAGAAATCTACGCCAGCAACAAATTCGTGGGAGTTCAGGGCCAGAAAGACGGTCCGTTGGTGAACAAGCTCACAGCAGGCATTCGACATATTCGTCTGACGACTGAATTTCACTACGAGGACGGACAATCTGAGGAGCTTGAAATGATCGAGAAGGTTGATCTGGATTTCAAGATTAGGTATTTGGAGCACCAAGACGGCCTCGAACGTCCGGATCTAGAAATCGATGGCAAGATGTCAGACGTCAATCTACGAGTCTCTCAGACTCAGATGAAGCTCCTACTCGAGCTATCGAAGACAATTCCGGCAGCCTTTGCCACTCAGGTCGAGACTGACGAAGAAATCGCGGATGAGCTTCCGACGACGCCCAACACGCCCATGAAGTCTACATCTAACGACCCAGAGCCAGCCAAGGAGGTGCCAAGAGCGTCACATCAGCTCCCGAGTTGAGCGGGAGTGACGAGACATGGACCAAGTTGAATCTTGTCTTTGAAGCGCCTCTTATCGGTTTAGAGCTTATTCTGGCAAAGGAGGACGAGCCGACTGGAGTCCTGGACTCGGCAAGTCTGTCAAAGTTCTCCTTGAACAAGACCAATGTCAAGATGAGGATGATGAGTGATAACGCACTGGAAGCGGAGCTGCTCGTACATTCCTTCACAATTCGCGACAGCCGCCAAAAGGACACAAACAAGTTTCGCAAGATCATGTCGCTGATCAACAACGATGTACAGCAGCAGTTCATGCTCAGTGTATCGATATCCGGTGGCTCGGATCGCCACATGATCGTCATGCTCACCATCGACAGCCCGAGAATCATCTTTGCAGTGGACTACTTGTTTGCATTACAAGCATTCGCAAACACTGCTCTTGCTGTGAACGATCCGCAGCCTATTGCGGAGGCCGAGGAAATCTACGATGACGACGAGAACGATGAACCTGCGAAAGCCACGCAGACGAGCACTGAGTCGGAGTCTTCCATGACGACCTCGTTCAGAGTTAATATCGTGGAAGCACAGGTCATACTGATCGCCAATCCGACGATCTCGAACACTGAGGCCATCGTCCTCGGGACCAAGGGCATCCTTCTGTCACAACAGAACTCCACGACCCTGCAAGTAACCAAAGTCGGCATGTTCCTCTGTCGTATGGACAAGTTTGAGACCAGTCGTTTACGGATCCTGGACGACTTCTCCATCAACATGTCAATGCAGAGCCGATCACAAGACAAATCGTCCTCTTTGACTTCCATGCACATTGAAATTGAGCCTCTGGTGCTAAGGCTTTCGTTGCGAGACATTCTGCTTGCGATGCAGATTGCTGCCAAGGCGACTGCAACGTCGTCGCAGGAGAAGATGCCTGAACACGAGGAGCCAAAGCGAATCAAGGACCTCAAAGCCGACTCCAAAGCGCCATCTACGAGACGGAAGTCCGCTGCAGGCGCTAGCGTGTCCCGCACGTCTCGGACGAAGTCAGTCGCTGCGCAGTCTAAGCAGACCAAACCTAAGGCGCAGCGAGCTTCAGTCGTGATGAAACGCGAGGAGATGGTCGCTGAGATCGATGGTATACGAGTGATTCTCATTGGTGACATGCACGAGCTGCCGCTGCTTGACTGGAGTGTCAAGAAGTTTGACGTGAACGTCAAAGATTGGTCCGGGGCAATGAGCGCCGACACCAACCTCAACACCTTCATCAACGTTTACAACTTCTCCAAATCTGCATGGGAGCCGTTGATCGAGACCATGGCAGCTGGGCTTCCATATGGCGAAAGAGCCAGAGCAGGATATGATGTCCGTGGAGCTGTACTCGCACAAGAACATGGAGTTGACAATCACGTCTGCCACTATCGCTCTTGCTTCTAAATCGTTCGATTTTCTGAGCACAGATGAAGACATTCTGTCGAAGCCACGTACAGCTGATGCACCGTATCGGATCCGGAATTATACTGGCTTCGATCTCTCGGTTTGGGCAGATGAGAAAAGCGAAAATGCTGCTGCTGCCAAGCTCAGTGACGGCGAAGAATACGCCTGGCGCTTCGAGGATGCGACTTCAATGCGTGAGAACTTGTCGCCAGAAGGCAACGCTGGACTGGTCGGCGTTAAGCTAGAAGGCAGTGGCTTCGATAGTATAGGCCGCATTCCAGTCATCCGTGAGGGCGAAACTCTCTATAATCTCAAACCCCGGAAGGACAAAGTTCAGCATCGAATGCTCGTGGAAGTCAAGCTTGGCACCGACAATGTCAAGTACATCACCTTCCGTTCACCGCTGCTGGTGGAAAACAAGACCCAGATCCCCATTGAAGTCGGCGTTTTCAGCCCAGAGGAGGGCACGCTGCTGAAGATCGAGAAAGTCGCGCCGGGTGAGGCGAAGCCTGCACCCGTAGGAGCTGCCTTTGTACATTCACTCATTTTGCGACCCGATCAGGGTTTCGGCTACGGCTGGTCGAACGAGCGACTCTTCTGGAAAGAGCTTCTGAATCGCAACACCCGGACAATCACTTGTCAGTCTGAGGGGCGAGACGATTCTCCTCCCTTCTACTTCCAGATGCATGCGTCATACGACCGGAAGGATCCCATGGTCAAGATCTACCCTTTCATGAGGATACAAATTACTGCACCCATCGAGGTCCAGAACCTGCTTCCCTACGACTTCAAATATCGCATCTATGACAAGAACACGAAGAAGGATTGGACCAACTTCCTTCGCCGAGGTGGCGTCAGTCCTGTCCACGTGGTAGAGCTCTCGCATCTGTTGTTGATCAGCGTTGACCTGGAAGATACACCCTACAAGCAAAGCGACTTCGCCATCATCAACAGTAACACACAGGAGGAGTTCAGGCGTGAAAAGAATTTGCAGCTCAAAGATGAGCACGGCAACAATCTGAGACTGAAGTTGCACTACACCAATGTCCCACACAGCGGAGGTGCTTTCAAAGTCTCAATCTACAGTCCTTATGTGATCCTCAACAAGACTGGTTTGGACATGAACATACAAAGCAAAGCCGTCTTTGGTGGCTCAAGAGCCAACCCGAGCAGTGGATTCGCTGGAAGCTCTGAAGAGGGCAAGGCCATGCCATATCTCTATTCTTATCCGACAGATGACCGCAAGAACCGATCTGTCATGAAGATTGGTGAGTCAACATGGAGCAAAGCCCAGAGTTTTGATGCATTGGGTAGTTCCTACGAGGTGGTACTGCCTGCTTCTTCGGGTCGCTCGGAAATGCACGTCGGAGTCGACGTGTCTGAAGGCGAAGGCAAATACAACGTTACGAAGGTCGTCACCATCACTCCCAGATTCGTTTTGAAGAACAAGATCGGCGAGAATCTGGAACTTCGAGAGCCTGGGTCGTCGAACATCATGAAGCTCAAGAATAATGACTTGTTGCCACTATACTTCCTGCGCCAGATTCAGGACAAGCAGCTTTGTCTTTGTTTTCCGGGCGGCAACAATCAATGGTCGTCGCCGTTCAACCTGGCGAATGTGGGGATGACACATGTGAAGCTAGCTAAACATGGTCAACGACAAAAGCTTGTTCGCATTGAAATCATTCTGGAAGGAGCGACTTTGTTCGTCCACTTCAGCATCGAGACCAACCACTGGCCCTTCTCCATGCGCAATGAAAGTGATACAGAGTTCCTTTTCTTCCAGGCCAATCCCAACGTTGGCGAAGATGAAGAAGAGGATCGAGGCAGTGGTTGGAAGCCTATCCGCTACAAGTTGCCACCCAGAAGCATTATGCCGTATGCTTGGGACTACCCTGCTTCCAAGAACAAAGAACTCGTCCTTACTTCGGGTGGTCGCGAGAGATACGTTAAGCTTGCTGAAATTGGCAACCTGATTCCGATCAAGCTACCGCCGAGAGAAGCTGGTGATCCCATGCGCATTATCGAGGTCAACATCGTGGCAGATGGACCGACTCAGACTCTGGTACTTTCGAATTACAAGCCTCAACGTTCACTTTATCGACAGCAGACCGGTATGTCGACGACCTCGCAGACTACTGTCAATCAGGGCTTCGAAGTCAAACAGATCGAGTCCGAGGTTACTTTCAAGGCAGAGCTTCGTCTGGCTGGTGTTGGAATATCTCTCGTAAACTCTAGCCTCAAGGAACTCCTCTATCTCACGTTTCGGGAGATCGAGTTCAAGTACGGCGACTCGAAGCTGTACCAGACCTTCAGTGCTACAACGAAATGGATACAAATTGACAACCAGCTCTATGGCGGGATCTTCCCGATCCTGCTGTATCCCAGTGTGGTTCCGAAGACCGGCAAGGAAATGGAGGCTCATCCTATCTTCCACGCCATGGTCACTCGAGTCAAGGACGATGCCTACGGTGTTCTCTACATCAAGTATGCCACGCTTCTCCTGCAACAAATCACGATTGAGTTAGACGAAGACTTCATCTTCGCTCTTCTCGACTTCACCAAAGTTCCGGGAGCTTCTTGGACCGAGGAGAAAGAAGGACGACTTTGCGATGACTCGGTGGATGTGCCGGAGCCGACGCGGGAAGAGGTTGGTCAAGACGTGTACTTCGAGCTACTCCATCTTCAGCCAATTCAGCTCGACCTGTCTTTCGTTCGAACGGAAAGAATCAACGCGGAGGACACGATGAGCTCGAACCCAATGATGTTCTTTGTCAATGTTATGACGATGTCTATTGGCAATGTCAACGATGCACCCATTAAGTTAAACGCACTGATGCTAGAAAATGCTCGGATCTCGGTGCCTGCATTGATCGCCAACGTCCGCAACCACTACACGCAGGAAGTTCTGCGACAGGTTCACGTCATCCTCGGATCTGCTGACTTCTTGGGAAATCCTGTCGGTCTTTTCAACAACATTAGTTCTGGTGTAGCCGACATATTCTACGAGCCATACCAAGGTCTGGTAATGACTGACCGTCCACAGGAGCTCGGCATCGGCATGGCGAAAGGAGCCAGCAGCTTTGTGAAGAAGTCTGTGTTCGGGTTCAGCGACAGCATGGCCAAGTTCACCGGATCGATCTCGAAAGGTCTCGCAGCTGCGACATTGGACAAGGAGTTCCAAGACCAGCGTCGCATGTCGAAGAATCGGAATCGCCCCAAGCATGCTCTTTATGGTGTGACTTCTGGCGGTAACGCCTTCGCCACCAGTGTGGCCAGCGGCATTGGAGGTCTTGCTCGCCATCCACTGGAAGGCGCAGAAAAGGAGGGAGCTTTCGGCTTCGTGAAGGGTGTCGGCAAGGGTGTACTCGGCCTGGCGACGAAGCCAGCCATTGGTGCTTTTGATCTTGCTTCAAACGTTGCTGAAGGTGTTCGGAACACCACAACAGTATTCGATGCCGAGGGCTTGGACCGTGTTCGACTGAGTCGCTTCATCGGCATGGATGGCATTGTTCGACCATACTCTCAGAGGGAAGCGCTTGGGCAGTTTTGGCTGAAGACTTGTGATGATGGGAAGTATTTCAACGAGGACTACATTGCACATCTGGAGCTCGAGGGCAAGGAGATGATGGTCTTGTTGACTTACAATCGAATTTTGATGATCCGGACTCGCAAGTTGCGCATGGAGTGGGATGTGAAGTTGACTGATGTCCAGACTATCAGCAAGGAGAGGACTGGCATGAGCATCGGTCTCAAGGGTGGCGCAAATGGACCTTTCATACCGATCTCTGAGCAGAGCCAACGTGACTGGCTCTATCGACAAATTGCGATTGGTAAGTCGAAGTCCTAAGAAACTCCGTTGACTCCCGCTAATTTGTTGAAGCTGTCAATCATTTCAACGACAAGTATAACGCGAAAGGCTAGGATACGACTGTCTGACCCGCATTGCGACCGGCGTTCGATCGATTACCACGAAGTTCTTATGTGTAACATCAATAATGACAATCATAATTGGGTTCAGCTGCCTGCTACTGTGGCTGCTGCCTCTCGAAGGTAGCTGGATGTGACAGAAGCTGTTCTTCACTGTTCAATTGCGCGCTAGGGGTTAAGATGCTCCTTCCGGATGGCCTTTTCTTGTAATCGCGCTTAGGTGTGGCCTTGCACAACTGCATCAACTCAATTGCATCCTCAAAGACCACACAAAGCAACTTGGCGATCTTTTTGGGTATTGTGAAGGATGAGAAAAGTGTCTGGACTGTTCCGCAAGATGTCGCTCTCACGTAGCAGCTCCAAGGCCAAGGCTGCATCTCCGTCTTCTGGTATGTCTGGTATCATGTCTTGTCGCGTCTTGTCATGCAAAAACTATTTATTCACACTAAGCCTCCACTTCAGCAGATTTCGAAGCGCAGGTTGATGTGGCTGAAAAACGACACGCAACGGAAGCCGCAGACTTGACTTCTGCGGGTTTCGACTTGACAGCCTACAACAACTCCCTGAACGCAGAGCGTCCGTCGCTTGTACGTACAAGTTCGCCTTCTTCAGACGACGGTGGTGCTCCGGCAGAAAATCTTGTTCCCGTCGCGCTCGACTCTCCAGGTGCAGTCCTCGCAGAATCTTCCACCTCAACCTTTGCGCCAAAGTGCTCAAGCAGCGATCCCCTTACACCAGCTCGCTCTATCTCACATACAATCGCAGAGGATCCGTTTGAGGACAAGTGGGTCCCGGCGAGCACTTCAACTGTCACGCCCTACCTGCAAGTCGACAATTCTGCCACTGAGGTCCGTCGCAATCCACACTCGATTGCTCAGACTGCCTCCGAAGAAGAAACTATCGCAGCCGAGTCGCCCACTCCGATCGCAACATCTCCACCTTCAACTGCAACCGCTGCTCCAGACGAAGCCACATCATCCCCTTTCGACCTAGTCATCATGCCGAAGAGACGCGCGGAAGACGAGCAAGCTCGCCCTGCTGGCGCTCTCGCAAGCGCTCCGGTGGAGACTACAGTCAAGATCAAGGGACGCAAGCTCCGCAAGACCAAGCCAAAAGACGCTACCTCCGAGGAGGCCTCCCACCGCACCAAGCGCCAGAAGCGTATCGATGCTGCCGCCGCTGCTGTTCCTGACTCGAGTTCTGATGACGATGCTTCTGTCAACACCGACCAATCCCTCGAAGTCGCCGCGCTGCGCTTCCGGTGCGAATCTCTCGCTAAGAACAACGCTGCGCTCGCCAAAGAGGTAATCTTGCGACTGAGCATCCCATCCTTTCCCGACACACGGCTAACAGTAATTGCAGAACACCACCCTTCGAAAGCGAGTGTCCGAGCTCAAGGGATGCGAAGACAAGGCATTGGAGCTAGAAACAGCTTGGATGGGACTAGGCCGCCGTATCGAGATTTTAGAGGCGGAGGCTGAGGAGCTGGAAGCAGCGAAGGACGTCTTGGAGGAGGAATTGCAGCGCCTACGGGCCACGAGTGAATAGGGAAAGTGATGGAAGCTTGGTCACGATAGGGAGGTCACGAAGCACATGCCAGTGGTTCCTGGATAATGAATGACAGCCATTGAATACGTGGGCCTTCGTTCGTGACTCGAGAATTACAACGCTGCCGATTGAATTGTTCACTTGACGTTCAGGTAGCCTGCCAAGAGGATCACCCGTGGTCGCCTCGCACGTGACCCACAACGCCTGGCTAAAACAAAATTATATATATTTGTGTGTCGAAATTTGGCTTCAACAATTGCTCACAGATTGTTCCGCAGCATCAGTGGTTTAGTGGTAAAATCCGTCGTTGCCATCGACGGGCCCCGTGTTCGATTCACGGCTGATGCAACAGATTGGAAGAATCTCAATTCTTTTTGTTTTTCCGCGGTCACCCACTGCGAAAATTTGTTTCTGGCTTTCTGGGCTGCTAAAGCTGTACGAAGAAAGGCGCATCGAACCACGGCCGACACACATGCTGTCCTGCCCGCTTACTGCTTCCGCATCCGCTTGCTGCTTTAAAACACTCAGCTCTGAACGCATCAGAAACTCCGCCCATTATCAAGGCGCTCAACCCGGCCCCAGCAATGTCGTGACCTCGATGCCGACTAAAACTGCACCACTTGTCGCACGAACGAGATGTTACGATGGGACCCCCAGCTGCAACGAAGGTTGTCTCGTGAGTCATACGACGCTAATGCAGGACCCCCAAACCACATTGCCAAGCTCGATGTTACATATTTAAGTATAGACGTTAGTGCCGGCTCCTCCTACGTGCATGTCCTTGTCCACCTGCTCACTCGGCCAAAATGCCTCTCCGCCTCTTCCCCGCCGTGGATGCCGACGCAACGCGTGCCTTCGAGATCGAGCATCTCGCTTATGCCAATGTCGGCGATCCTATCAGCTCTCTAATGTTCCCCGGTCCAATGCCTGCTGATGCCAACGACAGACGCGCAGAGGACGTGCTCAACGAGAAGGCCAAAGACCCAAGTACGGTCTGGATGAAAGTTGTTGATGACGAGCTCGACGGTTTAATGATTGCATTTGCCGAATGGCACGTCTATTCGGTGCCAGGTGCGGTACCCGAGCCGAAAATTCGGTCTTTCGGTCCAGGCTCGAATCCGGAGGTCTGCGAGTGGTTCCTTGGGACAATGGACCGGAGGAGGACGGAGCTGATGGGCGGGAAGCCACACATCTGTAAGACCTACTTTCGCATCACGTGCGATCGAGCACACTAACATATTGCTGGACAGTTCTGAAGTTCCTGCATACTGAGTAAGTCTTTCTGTCGTGGACCAACTTGAGCCGGCACAAGAGGGCCCTGACCCCGGGAAAGCTTCTGTTGTGGGCCTGCGGGGAAGAGCTTCAGTTCCGTTTCGATGCTGCCTTCAAGCATGGACTACTTTGCGGAGACAGGGCTGACGTTTTTCGCAGTCCGGCACACCAGAAGCGTGAGTCATTCCATCACGTGCAATCATGTACCCAGCTCCGGGGAAGTGAGTGATACGTTGAGCGCTGCTCAGAGCATAGCCCATGGGCAAGCGCAGCTGGAGTACCGCTTGCTCTGCCGTCTAAAGGCACACACTACTTCCGCGAGAGAAGGCTGACGTGAGTCGCAGGAGGAGCTGGCAGCATGTTGATCAGGTGGGGACTGGAGAAGGCCGAAGAGATGAAGCTGCCAGCGTATCTGGAGGCTTCCAAAGTGGGCAAACCGCTGTATCTCAAACACGGCTTCAAGGAGATCGATCGTATCGAGTATGATCTCAGCAAATTTGGCGGCGAAGGCATTGATGTTGTGGTCAATATGCTCAAGCCGTACTCCGATGAGCCATGAGTGCTAAGATGTTCGGGCCCGAGCACCCAGCAATTCTGCGTCTCCGTCTCGTCTCCTGATCTACTTCCACACACAGCACATCGCGCTGCGGCCATCCAAGACCACGCAGACGCCTCCGGTCGCGCCACAAGTAGGCGATCGCTAGTCCAGTCATGGCATTTGCGCACGATTCGGTGCCGACAGCTTTCTGCGGCGACCTGTCGTGAGGCTAGAGATTCTGTGGGGAAACTCACAGTGAGACACAACGCTATCTCTGTCCATGGGTGGATCGAAGGGTTGATTTAGAACGGCCAACGGGCCGTACAGAAAGAAATCGGGATTCTCGACGATGATGAAGTCATGGGGAGCTCGCTAACGCATTCCGACAAGTCTACGCTCCAGCGGAGCCTCAGAGAAAGGGTACCAGAAGTGTACAGATATCGGCAGCTTGTTCTATTATTCTACTTTCCGGCTCCATGGAATGTCCAGCGGAGAACGTGTGGGTGGAACCACGGCCTGAACGATTCTGGTCAAATGTGTGTGATTCCCACTTTCTCGGCAATCAGCCGTCCCTGTGTCTCTCCGCCTATGCCTCTCCGACTCTCGCCTGGCGGAGTCAAGAGCTCCCCGAGTCATCTTGCGTGTCCACGCGTGGTGTCACGCCTAGCCTTCACTGAATGTCCGTCGGCAGCACCTATACACCGATAGTTGTCAAAATGAGCAGGAGCTGGCGGCAGAGGCTAGTGGAGATACGTGCAGGGAAGACATACCACGACCCAATTCTTGTCCGCTGTGACCTCCAAATTCGCCGCGGCCTGGCCGGCAGAGTTCTCGCTGATCATTTCTGTCAGCTGCTCGAACGCAGAGGCCGACCGGTTGATCCACAGATGAATTCCTCCTTTAGAGACGTCGACGCCGTGGAATTGCATGTACCCGTCACTTCCGGGTGTATCACCTCCAACCAGTATGGGCTTCTTCCACTGGTCGATGTATGTCAATATCGCGGCCCATTTGCCAGAGAACCACGTCGCAGGCGTCCAGAGATAGCTACCAAAGATAAGATCAAGATTTGCCTGCTCATCGTAGTCGCCGTCCTCAATCTGCAGCCGAGAAGTCGTCAGCTCTCCGCTCGTGGCGTTCTTGAGCAGCGTCGTTACGCCGATGACATTCTCTGGCTTGACATTATAGCCGTACTTGGGGTCTGCAGCGACCATCCGCACGAGTTCCTCACTTGCTGCTGTTATGACGTAAACATCGATGCCATTGGCCATGAGGGCGTTGTAGAGCTGAACCTGGCCGGCGAAGATCTTAGGCGTTGAGACTTCATCTTCGACGATCTCGTCGCCGTCCCAATACTTCCTGTGAGAGATTTAGCAGGGGCATGCGAGACCCAGACTCAACCCACGTTTGGATGGTTCCGTTGAGCGCCATGACTTCGTCAACGTAGGTCTTCAACTCGCTCAGGGCGAATCCGGACCAGACCTGTGCGACCCACGGATAACAGACCAGGTCATCGATCTCGCAGAGGCGGTTATAGTAACTGTAAAGGGATTCTGTAAAGTCTTCAGTGTCCTTAAAGTCTATGCTGATTACACCTGTTAGACTGAACATGTATCTGGAAGAGCCAGAACCAGGACTTGATGTCTTGCCCGGGCCAGGCTCATGGGTTTACATACAGCTTCAACGCTGGGTCCAGGTTATCACGAGTGAGGATGCCCTTGTTCTCCATATATGGTAGGAGAGACTCTTCGAGATCGTATCGGTAGGAAGTGTCTGCAGATCTCGTTAGCTTCGGTTTGGGGATGAGTATATGCTTGAGGATGGGTCCTGAGGCCCAGCAAGAGGAATCTTCGGCCGGATACTCTGGCTAAGCCTCGAAGACATACGCTCCGGCAGCGCTCGATGCAAAGCTCACTCCCGGGTGTAGGGGTCACTGACTGTCCATGTCGAAACACCTGTCGTGAGCAAGATAGCGGATTAGTCTTCGGTCTTGCACAGATGGACAGGGGGATATGTTCTAGGACGTCTTTATGCTCTCAAACACCAGAGCATTCGAATACCCTAATGTAACTTTGCTCAAGTACTTACGCATAGTTGCCCTTGTTCGCATTCGCAGCTATCATGGCTAACAGCGCTGAGGCAGCCTCAGTGGGCCACAGAGAGAGTGTCGTGACGGGCGCCGGCCTGGTCAACTCGGCAAGGGCGAGCCATAGGGCACTGAGCGTTACTGTCTTCATGGTGGCTGGTCGTGATGGAAGGGCTGAGGTAGCTATACCAGAGCTATGGTCGCGTGCTCTCTTTCTTATTCTTCTCCAAGCCGTGTCGGTCTTCCCCGCCTCTCGCTCAGCAGTCTGCCTTGGCGCATTGTACCTTGCCTTGGCGACATGCTAGCTGCGGCAAACTGCAGTAGGCATGGTAAGCACGGCATCGGGTATCACATTCTTTCAGAAACCTCAGCAGTACAGGAGAAGGCTCCGTCACCACCCGAGACAACAGGTCGTAGCTCTGCAATTGAGCTGGTAGTCCGATGAAGTTGACATCCAGACATTGCCAGGACACGCTCAACATTCGCAGCCTGCGGCGTAGTTCGCCCCGAGCATCCACTGAAAGCCCGCTCATGATCATGATGGCCAACAGCGTGAACTCAGCAAAGACAGGCAAAGCTTTCGGCGTTGCCTCGCGAAACGCATGAGCCTCGTAGCCACTCAGCAGCGTTACAGAAACCTGGCCGCCACTTTCGGTGAACTCAAGTCCAGTCCTCAAGCTTGCTGAGATGTTGCTTTGGAAGGTCGAAGCGAAGTCCCGATATTTGCCTTGGAAACCCCGACAGGGTGGCTTGTGGCTACCAAGATAAGATATCTAGGTGGCAAGCTCAGCTTGCTGCATGGCGTCGGACGTCTTGGCATGTCTTGGCAGACGTAACCTGCGGATATCGCCCGTCCCAAAGCTTTCTGCAAGCTCGTTCAAGCATCTGAGCAGCCCATCGCCGGCGGAGCCAGACGCCTTTTCGAATCGTACGCGGAATGCCACGACGGAGCCAGACCAGGACCCACGTGTAGCCCGCCGTACTCTCGCGCACGCTGATATGCACGTGACACCACTACCACGACATAATTTGTGAGCACCTGTACGTCAGGTCAACCTGCGAATTGGCACATGGCTCTCGAGCACAATGTCTAAGAATCCCTTGAGCGCTTGAGGTCGCCTCATGGAGGCTCAGGCACACCCAGTGACGTCATTCGTTATAGCGCTGTCTACAGATCACGGCCGGGCCTGTAAGCCGACATCTAATGTCCTAGCAGTTGACTCGCCTGTCCTGGGTCTATGAGCGCTGTCACAATTGGTCTAACACCGTCCGATCTTGCCACTACATCAAATGCGGCCAGTGCGTTCGCCCACGTCGGGCAGCAGACAGAATACGATGCATGCTGCAGTTCACCTAAATTGCCGACACAGTTGTGGTTTGCATGACGTCGGCATGGAGGGCGGGTCTTGGTGTTGTCAGGTTTCATGGTCTATTCAAGGATGTGGAAACGTAGCTATGGCTTCTGGTCTGCTTCTGCTGGCATCCAAATCCCACCAATACGCTCCCTGGGCTCTTAGCACGCCACAGAGGTTTCCCTAGCTTTCCATCTTGCCCCTGGCCTCAGCGAAGGGTCACAGCGCCAACTTCTTCATCTTCAGGACCCCACCTTTCGCCTTCTGTGCCACACTGACGAGAAAGCGGTCTGTCTGACATCCCCACAGCGAGCCGTGGGACCTCGACGCCGAATCTCTGGCAAAACTTGACGGGTGCCTACTCTAGGATGAGACCCCTAGATGGCTGCATGGCTGCTGTGACTTCGTGAGGCTGGAGGCACGTGTCCCTGTCAAAGTCCTGCTCCGCGGCCATGTCGCCACCCTGCTCGCCCAGCGCGTCTTCATCGAGTTGGCGGCCCATCCTCAGTCGTTGCCTCTCAACATGCGTCTGCACCTGCGGAGTCCAGATGCCAGGGCAGTCTGGATCCGTGCTACTGGGCTGGACCGAAGACATTGTCCCTGTTCTTCCCCAGAAGCACAATATGGAGCAGGCAAGTCGGCATCTCGCAAAAGTCCTTCGTTCGTGCAATTTAGCCTTGTACATGAGGTGCCTGTTCCCGATGTATATGTGTCAGAGATGCTGACCACGAGTAAGCGCTGCTGCCGCATGCTACTACACGACATTGGCCTCACTGGCTTATTCCACCATCTTGAATCTCAGCAGTATATTGCTCCTTACAAAGCCTTGTCGATGTTATCATCATCGGCACCTCAAAATTGCAGGGTTTCGCGACCGCAAACGACGGCACTCGGACTTCTGGTAGCTCCCAAGGCACGATCGATTACATCTGTCTCGAGCTGACAATCATGACGAGGTCTACATCAATGAGAGTCTCGATCGGAGATGGAGACACTGTCTGACCTGGCCCAGCACGTAATGCTCCGAGCGGCTCTGTCACCGGGTCGCTTGTTCCTGTATGCAGTAGTGGGTGTCCAGCGGGCAACTATCCTCCAGGCAACATCGCTTCAATTGTACGAGGTGACTGTGACCTTGCGTCAAAGGTGCTCCTGCTTCAGAAAGAGGCAGCTTACGTTGTTGCTACGGGCGCTAGACAGGGAGAAGCCATCAGCTAGGCGAGTTGGGCGGCTATCACGGTGCTATCGTCTGCGCAGCACATCCAATCCAGGTCTGATAGTAGGCTGATGGCCAGATTGCGCATCCTGATAATTGCGGAAGTGATGCATAAGGCAAAGATTTCCGCCCTGGGAATTTTTCTCTAATCAGCCGCAGCGAGAGCCCGGAGCACTGCAGGACGTAATTGTGACCCAGTCGGTGAATGCCCAAGTCTCTGCCCCTGCCAGGAGGGTACACCTTGGCATGTCCCACACGCAACACGCCCATGATCACGGGTGACGAACACCAAAGGTCGGAAGACCGCTCGCTGTAAGCTGTGAACGCATGAGACTTGACGCAAAACAAACATGGTGTGAAGTAGAGCTCGAATTGAGGTACTTGATAGGCATAGGCCACTTCCCGAGTGGACTTGCGAGAAGTGCGGGAGAATCGTCTGATCAACTGGGCATATTCTACCGTGTATGCGGCGGTTGAAGTGCCATAAGCGGCAGGCATAGAGCCTCTTATACCCAGGGCTACAAAGCAGGCCAAACAGCACGGGCTCTCGGACGCAGTGTGAAGTCTGTAACAAAGTCTGCGTAAATCTTCGTGTTTGGTGCATCCAATGATTCATGGTGTCGATACGCCCAGGTATATAGCGCTGCGCATTAACGAATCGGTCACTTGAGGCAGTGAAGTAAAGTCGTTTGAACGTCGATTTTTCGAGTCACTTGTTTTACGTCCAATTCCTTTGTAATTAGCACCATTCTACTCGTCACCATGAGCTCGTTAAACTGCACTACTTAATGTCCTTATAGTATTACTATGCGTTAAGATACAGCAATATTAAACTTGTAGTGGGTAGTGAAGCTAGCTTAATATAGAGGTTAAGTCTACTATTTCCTTTAGCCTTGTACAGCCTTGTTTAATTGTAGTCTTAATCTTAATTCATCTCTTATACTACTACTAATATACTATAGTATAATAACTTAATAGACTATAATAAATCAACTTAGATTAACTTGTTCTTAATAGTATTATAACTATTAGATTATAGTGATTATAATAATATTCTTAATATTAAATTTAATCTATAGGAAAAAGAGCTAAAAAATTAACTTATAGCTAACCTTACTAGAGACTCCACTAAGAACCTATTAATATTTAATAAAGTCTACACTTATAATAGATCTACTACTTCTAATTCTTAAGATATAAAGTTAGTATCTAGTGTAAAGTAACTATTAGCTTATACTCTATTAAAATATACTAGTTTTAACTTCTCTTAATTAATATTTATAGAGCTGATTTAGAAAGTTTATAATTAGTAAAGTAGGAACTCCCTACCTAAAGATACTAGATCTTAACTACTTTAAGAATAATATTATTAATATAAAAGCTAGTAGAAAGACTTATAACAATATACTTAACTAGCTTAGTCTATAAGGCTATAAAATATCTAATAAAACTCTATACTAGTATCTAAAGAAGTAGAATATCTATATTAAGACTAAGACTAATTCTAATAATCTTATTAATACTATTTAAGATCTTTTTAATACCTACTAATATATATCTCTCTTTAATACTACTATAGCTTTTTAAATTACTAATTTAGAAGACTAATATCCTACTATAAGATAGGTTTAAGAGATCTATATCTAATAGTATACTATAATAGATTAAGATATTTAATAAGAAGAAAGATAAGACTTATTATATAGAGACTTAAAAATTAATATATTAATTAATAAATAATATAGATTATCTTTATAGCTATAGATAGATATAATAGTATCTACTTTAGACTCTTGATTATTATAGCTAGTAATAGAATATATAACTTGTTATTACTGAATTTAACTCTACTAGTCCTTATCTATATAGCCTTACTAGCTACTATTAGATAAGAGTCTTATAGTCTATAAGTAATAGTCCTAATTATATCTAGTTAATTAATAGATATAATAAGTTAAGTAGATAAAGCTTCTAGATCTATATTAGTATTAATATCTATTCTTATAAGTATATCTAGATATACTATAGTAATACTATATAGCTATCTTACTATAGTATAGTATTACTACTTATAGTCTAAGATATTATATATAGATTATAGTTTAGAGATATTCTTAATAACTATAGTCTACTACTTATTCTATATTGTTATACTAATAGCATAAAGAGAAGTAATAATACTTAAAGAGATAAATAATATTAATATCAAGACTTGCTATAAGTAGAGTCTCTCTACTAGTAATATTTAGATTAAGTATTCTTAGAATACTATAAATAGGATTATAACTAGAATATAATATAATCTCTTTCTTTATCTAGAGAAGCTAAAGCTATTTATATATAATTTAAATTAACTTGTTATATAGTATATCTTTATACTACTTATATAGTAAAAGTTTATAAAGTATATAACTATTAAGAATAAGTATTAAATAAGATTAACTCTAAATTACTAATATTATATACTAGATTAACTAAATAAGCTTTATATAAGTCTACTCTCTTATAGTAGTGCTTATTATATACTAACTATAGTAGAGTAGAAATAATAACTAGTATAGTTTAACTTTAATATCTATTTAATAT